CCTATCCCTCGTGTGCCAGCCGGGTCGTGCAGCAGGTGATGTTGATTATGAACAGCAGCAGCAGCGGTAACAGAAACAATAGCGGCAGAAACAACACCAGCAGAACCAATATTCACAGCAAAAGCGCAAACAATAGCGCCAACAACAGCCGTAGGACATCCCTAGTGCTCTCTGAGGCCCAGTATGGCCGCGGTGCTGTATTGCCGCTCAGCATTCCCAAGTCTGTTGCCTCGACAAGATACGACATACCATCGCCACGGCGATTCAGCCCACTGCCGTCGACGCCGCTTTCATCGTCTACGACTGCTCACGGTTGTGCTGGCGTCCAGGAGTCGTCACAGGTCGCCGCTCTCGATCAGGACGGCACAGGAGTCACCGGCAACCCCGTACCCCTGCGGCCGACAACCACGGACGATGGCATATCAGGCAAGCCGTTTGTGCGACCCATCGTGGCAGATCGGCCATGCAGCCTTCCGTTAGGCTCTCTGCTTCGAGGAAACGGTAGCCCCACCGAGGAACCTCTGGCATCAAGCACACCTACAAATGACTCGCCCGGAGAGGCCGAGCGAGCCCGGACAGCCGAGAGAGAAAAGGAACTGGTGACAGCGTCCCGTATGCTGGAAGACCTGAAGGCATCGGCTGCCGTGCCTGTCGGAGTATCTCGCCTGCACGTGGTGGACCTGCCGACGCTGCAGATGCGGCCGATCTACTGGTCACCCGTCCACGATATTGCCGTCGTGCAGCGGGCCACGTGGTTTTACAGAGACACAATGCTGCCGCTGGAGCCGGCCGTGGCTAACCAGCTGGAATCGCTGTACCGCGAGTTGCGCCCGTGGACCGACACCTGGGCCGATGAGCTGCGGTGTGCACTCGATGTCGGTGCTGTGGGCGAAGAGAAGGTGTCGCAGCCGGTGTGGCCGAAGCCGGTGGTGCGCGACTCCAAGACTAGAGGGCGTGTCGAGCCACAGGAGCCGCTGGTGTCAAACGACCGCTTCTGCGCGTCTCGATGCCTCCAAGGGGCCGCAGCAGTCGAGGGATCGCTAGAGCGACAGACCGTCCTCGAAGAAGAAGACGCGGTCCCGGATGTATCCGAGGGTACAGCCCAGATGGAGGCTCGCGATGCAGCTGCGGCTGCGGCGGCGAGGAGCTTCGCCAGCTACCACATCGTCTTCAAGGATGGAAGGACAGCGTTCCTGCTCAAGTCCAGCCTCAAGCCGTCGGCCTACTACGGCCGGCGACCGGTAGCCAAGATATGCAAGGGTGCCACCGTGGGCATCCCCATCGTGCGCGGGTTTGACCGCGATGCGTGGAGCCGGGTGCACGAGAAGGCTTCAAAAGCAACAGCCACAGCAGCTGCGGCGGCGGCGATGCGTGCGGCGATGCGGGAGGTCGCCGGAGCCACAGACGTCGAGAGCGAGGCTGGACAGAACGGCCCCGAGGCCGGGCACGGGCTGATTGACTGTCCGGGCTGCCGAGCCGAGAAGATGAGCAGCCAGGTGACGGACCTCGTGCTGGTGGCCCACGGTGTGGGCCAGAAACTGGCAGAGCGCGTCGAGAGCTTCCACTTCACACACGCTATCAACGGGCTGCGGCGTGCCGTCAACGCGGAGCTGCGCAATCCGGCCATTCAGGCGGTCCTCCGGCCAGACCACAACGGCATCATGCTGCTGCCAGTCAACTGGCGCCACACGGTCTCGTTTGAGGACGGCGGCCTAAGGCCAGGCCAGGAGGCCGAGTCTGGCGGCGCAGTCTTTGGACTCAAGGACATCGAGCCCGACACAATTCCGGCAGTGCGCAGCGTCATCTCCGACGTCATGTTCGACATTCCCTTTTACATGTCGCACCACAAGCCCACAATGATCCGCGCGCTGGTGCAGGAAGCCAACCGCGTCTACCGGCTGTGGTGTCGCAACAATCCCGGCTTTGCCGAGCATGGCCGCGTCCATCTCATCGGCCACTCGCTCGGCAGCGCCATGGCCATCGAGGTGCTCTCGCGGCAGCCCACGGTGCCGCCACCGCTGGACCCTGCTACCGTGCTGCCACAGACGACCTTCTTCGAGTTCGACACCAAGAACCTGTTCCTGCTCGGCAGCCCAGCTGCCTTCTTCCTGCTCCTCGAGCGCGGGTCGCTGGTGCCGCGGCGTGGCCGCCACAAGCCGGGCTTCGACGCCAGCAGCGGCTTGGCCGACGGCCTCGACAGCCTCGACGATCTGGACGGTCGCGTCGTCGGTGAGGCCAGCTTTGGCTGCCTCGCCGTGGACAATATCTATAACATCCTTGCCAAAGAAGACCCCATCGCCTACCTGCTCAACGGCACCATCGACACGACCTACGCAGCCGGTCTCCGGCCAGCCTATGTGCCGTCAGCCACGGCTGGGTTGCTCGCCTCTGTTGGCCACGCACTGCGTGGCGTTATGCCTGGCATGGCTACCACGCCCCATCCGGCCGAGACGTCGCTGCTGTCCTTGGCGGCCGCTGCTACTACTGCTCCGACCATGGTGCGGCTGCCGTCGCAGCTTGAGCTCGAGGTGCACGATTTCACGAGGGAGGAGATCGCCGAGCGCAAGGCGTATCTGCTCAACGACAACGGCCAGATCGACTATTTTCTGCACTCGGGCGGCGGTCCACTAGAAATGCAGTATCTGAACATGCTCAGCGCCCACACAAGCTACTGGACCAACCCAGACCTTGTCCGTATGCTGTGCGTCGAGATTGGCCGCCGTCCTGGCCGTCAGCACACGCTTCCGGCCATGCGAGTTGTCAAAGCCACGAAGAGGATCATTCTGGCTGCGAGGTGAGTAGGTGAATAATGTGGGTGCTGAACGGACAGGGTAATACATAAGAGGACACATGCAATACCGGCTCTGCACCCGTGCCCCGAGACGATATGTGATCGTTTTCCCGCAGACGAGATGGGAAGATAAGATACGGTTCTATGAAGAGGCTGCTACATACATATGTACGGAGTATTTGGCGCAAGAAAAACGGCAAGCCAGTGTATACATAGTAGGCTAATAAATTGCCCCATCTTTCCACGAACGGCCCACTCTGGTTTTGTAGAAAATTCTGCCGCCAACCACCGCTAAAGTTTTTTACTTGATCGCAGAAAAGTATCTTTGTACGCAAACGCTCTCTCAACGTTCGGGTCTTGCCTCCATACTGCGCGAGCATACTGAAACGAGAACACTGCCGTTGGTTTCCGCTTTGTGGAAGCAGAAGCACGATGAATGTCTCTCAGCCGGTGGCCTCCACCGTGGAGAGTGTCGAGTTTGTCTTCCTCTCGGCCAGCGAAATTCGTGCTGCTTCTGTACGGAGAATCGAGAACGAGAGCACATTTGACACTCTCCTCAATCCGGTCCCGGGTGGTCTATACGACCCCGCTCTAGGAGCATGGGGTGACGCAATGTACGTTTGGACTGGAGAACTGAAAAATAGCAAGAGAAAGAAAACGAGACCATAGCAGCACGGCTTGGCTGAGTTTCGAATGCTGATCTTGAGTGCCTAGATGTACGACTTGCAACCTGGGCCAGTCTCTGTGTCCTGGGCATGCTGGCCACATCGACCTTCCGGTCCCTGTATACCACCCGGTTTTTCTGGACCAGACTCTGCGCCTCCTCCGAGCCGAATGCATGTACTGCCACCACTTCCGGCTGCCACACAAGGAGCTCAACCAATATGTCTGCAAGCTCCGGCTGCTGCAATACGGACTTCTGGCCGAGGCCACAAACATTGATGCTATCGGAGAGGACTACGACAGCCTGGCACTTCCCGATGTTCCGCAAATCGAAATCGAGGCCGACGACGACAGCATGACCCTGTCTGACAGCGTATCCCGGGCAAGAAGCACCTATGTTCGGCAGGTCTTGCAGAACCACAAGATCTCGGCCGGGGACATCCGGAAAGGCAAGCACGAAGGCGCATCGGAGATGCGCCGTGATCTGGTCGCGCAGTTCATGAAGGACATTGTGACCAGTCGGCAATGCTCACGTTGCAAGGGCATCTCTCCCAGCTATCGGAGAGATCGGTTTGTGAAGGTATTCGAAAAGCCACTCAGCTCTAAGGAACAGGCAAAGATGGCAGTCAGTGGTCACTTCAAGGTGCGCGACGCCCTGACCATCCGGCGCAAGCCCGGCCACAATGAGTCGGATGCTGCGTCGGACGAGGGCATTGCCGACATCGATCTCGACTCAGCCAGCAGTGACTCGGAGACGGTGGAGAAGGATGTCGACGAACTCGACGAAAGTGGCAAGCTGGTACAAAGGGAGGCCGCGAACGGGTCTTTGGCGCCGGATGCTGCCAAGCAGCGCTACATCAGCGCGCAAGAAGTCCTCGAGAGACTTCGACTGCTCTTCCACAACGAGCAGGAGGTTCTGCAGCTGATTTACAGCTCCCGGCCACAGGCAAAGGGCACACAGACATCGCCAGACATGTTCTTCATCGAGGCTCTTCTTGTGCCGCCAAACAAGTACCGACCAGAGGCGCGGACTGGAGATTCCGAGGTGACCGAATCACAGCAAAACTCGCTTTACAAGGGTGTGCTGGGCGCGTCGTTCAAGGTCGCCGACATTCACCGCGAGATCCTGACGGCTGGGACGGACCGGCGGCGGCAGACTGGGCTGGCCGCCCGCGACATCATTGCGCTCCACGAGGCTTGGACAGAGCTCCAGAGCACGGTCAACTCTCTGATCGACAGCAGCAAGAACCCGGTGCAGGGCCAGAATGCGAAGCGCATTGAGGAGGGCATCAAGCAGAAGCTCGAAAAGAAGGAGGGTCTTTTCCGGAAGAACATGATGGGCAAGCGTGTCAACTTTGCGGCTCGCAGCGTCATCTCGCCCGATCCGAACATCGAGACAAACGAGATCGGCGTGCCGCCGGTGTTTGCGCGCAAGCTCACGTACCCAGAGCCGGTCACCAGCCACAACTTCAAGGTGCTGCAGCAGGCTGTGATCAACGGGACGGACAAGTGGCCCGGCGCATCGGCGATCGAGAACGAGAACGGCCAGGTGGTGAATCTGAGAAGCAAGTCGCTCGAGGAGCGCATGGCGCTGGCAAACCAGCTGTTGGCGCCGACAAGCAACAGCAGCTCCAGCGGGATGCGCGGCAAGAAGGTGTACAGGCACCTCAGCAACGGCGACGTGGTGCTGATGAACCGGCAGCCAACGCTGCACAAGCCCTCGATCATGGGCCACCGCGTCAGGGTTCTTCCAGGCGAGAAGACGATCCGGATGCACTATGCCAACTGCAACACGTACAACGCCGACTTTGACGGAGACGAGATGAACATGCACTTTCCGCAAAACGAGATTGCGCGTGTGGAGGCGCTGCAGCTGGCCGACACCGACCACCAGTACCTTTCTGGCACCCAGGGCAAGCCGCTGCGCGGTCTCATCCAGGACCATCTGTCCATCTCGGTGGCCCTGTGCAGCAAAGACACGTTCTTCCCGCGAGGCGCGTACCAGGAGCTCATCTACAGCGCGCTGCGCCCAGGGAGCGGCCACATCATGGGCGAGCGGATCGAGCTTGTGCCACCGGCCATCCTGAAGCCAGTCCCGCGATGGACGGGCAAGCAAGTGATCACCACGATCCTGAAGAACATCAAGCCGGTCACGCACGGCGACCTGTGGATGAGCGGAAAGTGCCAGGTTCCCGGCGGCCGTTGGGGAACGCACACGGAAGAGGGAACTGCCATCTTCCAGGATGGCGTGCTGGTTACCGGCATCCTGGACAAGGCTCATCTCGGGCCCAGCTCTGGCGGTTTCATCCACGCCATACACGAAGTGTATGGCGCTGCAGTTGCGGGCAAGCTGCTCAGCAGCATGGGCCGTCTCCTGACCAAGCTCCTGAACATGCGTGCGTTCACGTGCGGCATGGACGATCTCCGGCTGACGACGGAAGGTGAGGCGAACCGCAGACGCGAGCTGAAGGCGGCAGAGGGCGCAGGGCTCGAGGTTGCGGCAGCTTACGTCAGCCTACAGGAGCAGAAGCCGACCAGCAAAGACCCCGAGCTGCTGCACCGGCTGGAGGAGGTGATGCGAGACGACAGCAAGCAAGAGGGCCTCGACGTGCTGATGAACAACAAGAGCTCCAGCGTGTCAAGCGGCGTCACCAAGGCATGCTTGCCCGACGGGCTGGAAAAGGCGTTCCCGCACAACCACATGCAGTCGATGACGACGTCCGGCGCCAAGGGCGGCGGTGTGAATGCGAACTTGATTTCCTGCAATCTGGGACAGCAGGTGCTGGAGGGCCGGCGTGTGCCGCTGATGGTGAGCGGCAAGTCGCTGCCGTGCTTCCCGGAATACGACTCGAGCCTGAGGGCGGGCGGCTACATTGTGAACCGATTCTTGACAGGCATCCGGCCACAGGAGTACTACTTCCATCACATGGCCGGCCGCGAGGGTCTGATCGACACGGCCGTCAAGACGTCGCGTTCGGGCTACCTCCAGCGATGTCTCATCAAGGGCATGGAAGGGCTGAAGGTGGCATACGACACGTCTGTGCGCGATGCGGACGGCAGCGTGGTGCAGTTTCTGTACGGCGAGGACGGACTGGACGTGACGAAGCAGAAGTACCTGACTGACTTCAGCTTCCTGCTGCGCAACCTGGACTCGCAGATGTCGTACATGAAGTTCTCGGATCCGCGGACGGCGGCACTGTTTGAGCACCGCGAAGAGTTTGCCAAGCAGACGAAGCGGATGATCAAGAAGGCCGGCAGCAGCCCGACATTTGCGGAAGAGCCGGTCAACTCGCTCGTCAACCCGGCCCGACACGCGTATGCCATGTCGGAGAAGTTCTTTAGCGCCATGTCGACGTACATCCGCGAGAACAAGGACCGGCTGGTCAAGGACAAGAAGGAGCAGCAGACGGGAGGACCGGCGGCGATGGGGCGCAAGTCTGTCGAGCGCGTGTTTGCGGCCAAGTATCTCCGCTCACAGGTCGAGCCGGGCGAATCGGTGGGCATCGTGGCCGGACAGTCGGTGGGCGAGCCGTCGACGCAGATGACGCTGAACACGTTCCATCTGGCTGGCCACTCGGCCAAGAACGTCACGCTGGGTATTCCGCGTCTGCGCGAAATCCTGATGACAGCTAGTGCCAAGATCTCGACGCCGGCAATGACGCTTGTGCTGAAGGAGGGTCTTGCACACGAGCAGGCTGAGCAGTTTGCCAAGTCGATCAGCCTGTTGCCGCTCTCCCACGTGCTGGACGAGATCACGGTGCGCGAGCGCGTTGGCAAGGGCGTTGGGTATGCCGTGGCCAAGATGTTCGACGTCCGGCTGCGTCTCTTTCCGTCGGCCGAGTACACGACGACGTATGCGGTCGAGGTGGCGCAAGTGCTGGACGCGGTGGAGAAGCGGTTGATGCCGACGCTGCGCAAGCTGATGGCCAAGGCTTTGAAGCAGCATGAGAAGAGCTCGAACAGCGGAGCGCTGCCCGAGATCGGAGTGAGGGCTGGTGTGGTGGCGGTGGCGGCGGCAGCTCCGAGTGCCGATGAGGGCGATGTGGCAGGCGAAGACGACGACAGCGACGGCGACGAGGGCGACAACGATGCCACCAGCGCCAAGCAGCGGGCCAACAGGGACGAGGCGGTCTCGTACGGGCCCAACGACGACGACGACGATGCGATCCAGGCACAGATGGACCGGACAGACGACGAGCTGTCGGATGACGAGGGCAATGTTAGTAGCTCGAAGCTAGCAGCAGGCAGCAGGAAGAACGGGGACGAGAAAGAGGACAAGGACGAGAACGACGAGGACGAAAACGAGGACGAGGACGATGACGATGACCGGATGACAGGAGTGCAGCTCGCAGAACACCTGGCTAAATCCAAGGAACGCGAGGCACGGGTGAAGGGAGCTAACCAGAACATCACGCGCTTCCGGGCAGACGAGAAGCTGGGCGAATGGTGCGAGTTCACGCTGGAGCTGGCAGCAGACGCCCCCAAGATGCTGATGCTGAGCGTGGTGGAGGATGCCGTGAGACGATCGGTGGTGCGGCAGATCAGTGGTGTGGGTGCATGCACGTTTGTCGAGAACGAAGAGATGGTCGATCCGCTCAGCGGCGAGATGGTTAAGAAGCCGGTGGTACATACAGTCGGCACCAACGTGCGGGCGATGCAGTCGTTCAGCGACGTCATCGACACTGACCAGATCTCGACAAACGACATCGTGTCGGTGCTGGAGATCTACGGCGTGGAGGCCTGCCGGAATACCATCATCCGGGAACTCAACGCCGTGTTCGGGTCACATGGCATCAGCGTGGACCATCGCCATCTCAACCTGATCGGTGACTACATGACGCGTGGCGGCGGCTTCATGCCTTTCAACCGCTACGGCCTGAAGGGCAACGTCAGCCCGTTCACCAAAATGAGTTTCGAGACCACGCTCGCCTTCTTGAAGGACGCGTTGATTGATGCCGACTGGGACGGCCTGACGACGCCGAGCAGTCGCATTGTCATGGGACGTCTGAGCAAGACCGGCACAGGCTCGTTCGATGTGCTGACAAGAGTCCCGATGGAGCACTACGACCCGATGCAGGGAGTTGAAGCAGCATAAGCAAAGGGAGAGGGAGGCCTGCGTGTCTTGTCTGTGTATTTGTGTATTCGTGTCTTGTGCCTACATAGAACAAAAAGCAGTTGGTAAATTGACTAAATGGGAGAGGACGAGTCGTGTGTATATGGGTCGGACAGCTGTTATCCTGAGCTGTCTGTCGTTGTCTTGTTATCGGGCTCTTAGCAGGACATAGTCGGGTTCCAAGCCAAAGTACCTTTACAGAGACGCGTGAGTGGATTCGGGAGGCGCGTTAATGGTGAGACTCTTGGACTGAGTTGCTGTCTGGATGGAAAAATACGGAGTACAGAGAAGGGAGTATCTTACTTACTCCGTTTTACTAAGCAGTACTCAGCCACAGTCTCCGTTCGGAGTAGTAGAAAATCAAGACGGAGCTCTTTTCTTACTCCGTATCTTACCCACACTGCACAATATTTATGCTCGGGCCTTCGTACTCCCTACTAGCGAGCCAACTAAGTACCCCACACTGCGCGAAAGTATCGTTTGCCGCAGTTTACGGAATACTGCGCATATGCAATTATCAGATTTACCACTTGCATATGCACAGAGTACAGGCACGACGGAATATATTGTATACACACTGGTCACGTGGAAAGCAATCCAGTTTTCCACTATGCCTCGTCCAAATCCATCATCGCGGCATCCATCTCCCGGTCATCATAATTCTCTGCCACAGGCTCAGCAGCTGCATACCGTGCCAGGCCGGCTCCGTTGATCTGCTGCTGCAGCTCGGCAATCCGGTCGTGGTCTGCCTGTTCCTGGTGCTTCCGCAGATCCCTGAGACTCCACGTGCTGATGCCCTCCTGATCCCGAGCGTGAAACGGCTGTGCCATGTCCCGCAGGAACTTCTTGGCATTGCTCACCGCCATATCCGTGCTCAGATTCGCATCTGCCTCCAGTAGCGCTTGGTTGATCCATTTGGGCAGCTGGTTCCGCTTCTTCTGGTACCGACGGTCGGCCAGCACCATGATGCCGTAATCATCCTTGCCTCGCAGCACACGGCCCAGACACTGAGCCGCATGTCTCATCGCGTCAAACGAGAGGAAGTCGTTCTCGCGGATCCGGTATGTCTCGCGGAGAAACTCCAGCCGCGCCTTGAGAATGCGCGACTCCGTGTACTGGAACGGCACCCCCATCGACAACACCGTCCGCCCATATTGATGATCGAAATCGATGCCTTCCGACACTTTGCCACGGGCCACACACAGGAGAATGGCGCCCCGCCCGTTGCAGCACGCCGTCCGATACGTCTCCAAAGCCAGCGATGTCTCCTGGGCGTCGGGCGTCTCCACCAGGATCAGCTTGTACTTCCACACCTCGTCCAGGATGCCCATGCCTTGCCACATGCTGATAATCGACTCCATGTACAGGTACGACGGGAAGAAGACCACCAGCCCGTCCGGCGTGATCTTGGCAAACTCCGTCAAGAGCGTGCCGTAGTTGCGCACCACGCTCGGCTCGTTGCGCACCTGGAAGCTCGTCGACATGGCTGCCTGATCGCTGCCACGCGTGACGATCATCGGCAAAAAGGATCGCCGCGCCAGCGTCATCGTATACGACTCCTGCACCACCGTGTTGAAGCCGAGCATCTTGGGATACATTTCCAGGGGTGAGATCGTTCCTGATGTGATGATCACGCTGCTGAACCGCTCAAAGACAGGCTTGATGGCAATGGCGGCGTCCAGACACGTGAAGTGCAGCACCGGGTTGGGCACTTCTGCCGTGTCCGACTCAAAGGGCTCAAGAATCAGCAGGAAACCCTTCTCGTACGTTGCCACCAGCGTCGCAAACGTCGCCACCTCCCGCAAAGGCTGGTAGTCCTCAATGTTGGTGAGTTCCAGCGTCCGCACCAGCGACGCCAGTCTCTCGGCGCAAAAACGCAGCGGCTTCTTCTCGATGAACGTGTACTCTTTGAGATGTGCCAGGAACGACGGTGGCGTCTCCGAAATGACCTGTCGTACCTTCATCCGCGTCTGTGTATGTCAGGTCGGGTTAGGTCGGGTTAGGCTTGAGCGAGGACAGATTGGCATGCTTGTACCGACCTTTAGATACTCAATGAAGCGCTTCAAAAATGCGACGAAGTGCTCTGCTCGCCTGATGTTACCCGGGACAGCTTCTTTCAGAAGGTCTTCGGGCAGTGCTATTGGGACCATACTGTCAGCAGCTGAAACCTCTTTCAGGGCCGGGACTTGAGACGTGACTGACTCGGGTTTGTCATAAACGCATCTTCTTGGCGTGCCTCGTCTGCCTCCCGCAGCCCCTGTACCAGCTTCTGATACTCGTTTTCGAGCTGCTTCTGATCTGTCTCTCTCATCTCGTTGATCTTCTTCTCGAGATTTTGCGCACCCCTGGTTGCCTTTCGAAGCGAGTCTTCTGTGATGTCAGTGCTCAGAGACTCTATGCAGACGTTGTCTATGTTGTGCGCCTCGTCAAAAACAACAATGCAGTCTTTGGACAGCTCCTTGGACACCCGCTCTGCAATCTTCGGGTCTAGCAGGTAGTGGTAGGAGTAGATGATGACGTTGCAAAATTGCATCTACCACAATGTCAGAAGTGCTCCGTGCGGCGCATTTCACCGCATCAGCTTCTTACCATGCGACGGGAAGTAAAGTATGGACACTGTTTGTGCTCCTCGCCGTAGCGTAGCAGGCCATCGAGCGTCCATACACCGTTCGGGATGAGATTGTGAGGCTCGAGCTTGTCGAGGTTCTACAATGTTGACCTGTCAGCACACCTCTCAGGAAGCAAGGGTAGGTAGACTCACGTCGTGGTAGATGCAGACGTTGACATCCTCGCCGCGCTCCTTCTTCTCAATCACAAATCCCGCAGTCAAGCTGCGGCAGCGCGCATCCACCACACTGCCACTCTTCTCGCGCTTGACAGATGGGTGAAGGCAGAGATTTTTCCGACTGGTCAGACCCAGCCCGCGGAACTCCTCCTCGTAGCCAAGTTCCTGTGTCCGGTACTTCATCAGGGCCTTCAGCTCTGCGAGGGCCTTCTCGATCTCGGACATGGTACCTGGGCAGCGTCAGCAGGATGTCAGGCTCACATGGAAACATAGTCTCCGGGCACGAACGAGAGCAATAGATCAGCTTGCGCTGACCAGGATAGTACTGCTGGTAGGCAACGATCAGCGAGAGAAGGGAAACGGTCTTCCCCGTGCCCGAAGGCATCTCCAAAACGCAGTGGCCCGTCGCATCGAGAGTCCCTGTTCACAGGGTCAGCAGAGCCCGGTTCAGGTGACGCTTTGGGGGGAGCATATACTCTTCAGATCACACATATAGCTGTTGGACATGTCGGGTTAGTCATTTTGGGTTGGTAAGACACGCAGCAGCCACAAACCCTTCAGTGCAGAGCAACTCTTACGCATATTGTTCTGCATCATTAGCACGTCGCATTAGCGCAGGCCCATGTCGCTCGGAAAGATCTATCTGGAAAGGTTCAACGTACCTGGATATATCCGAGGATACGGAAACAGAATCGGCAGGTCACTGGGTCGCAACGTCGCTTGTCAGTATAGCCTCTGCCCAGACAGGAAGCCCGAACAGCGAGCTGGGTCCTGGCGGATGACGCGCATAGGTCAGAGCTCACTCTATGTTGAACTTCATGGTGGAATAGAGCTTGGGGGCCCTCGCCCACGGATGTCACCCAACACTTCAGGGCCAGAGATGAGAGTCCGCAATTCGTTGGATCGTTTCCCGATGGAAGCAGATCTGTTGCGTGCAGCGTCGTCTACCTTTGGCCACGACGTCGCGTATCGACGATGGGGGATTCAAGCACGCATTGTTTTCCGATTAGTCATACAAAGACTGTGCGCATAATTCGACACTGTGTTCGAGCAGGTATGCTTTTATAGAGTATAGCAGCTTATTACGCATTAATTTCATATATACTGATCCCATCCTTCCATTGCCTCCTCCATCAAAACCCGAAGCTGTCCAACAGCGAGTTGGCATCTGGCTCCTCGAACACCGTGGGCGCTGCGCGGCCGCCCGTCTTGACGTCGCTGTGCAGTCCGCCGGTGATGGGCGACATTGGCAGGTCGGCCACCACCAGCGAGCTCCGCCTTCCCAGCATCTTTAGCGGGTTGATGTCGCCACCCAGTCCCAGAGCTTCGGACGGGGCCGGGCTCAGGAACTCCCAGTTCCGCACGAGATCCAGGCCCAGCAGATCGCAGCCCATGCGGTCGTACAGCCGCGCGCTATGCAGCACCAGATCCCACTCGACCTTGGGCGTCACCTTGGAGGCACCGCGCAGCGTTTGCAGCGTCTTCTGGCGCAGTTGTGCGTAGAGGATCACGAGGGCCGGGTCGTCGGTCAGGAACAGTTTCGACTTGAGGTCCGGCGAGCACGGCGTCTCGATGAGTGTGTAGACCGGTGTCTGAAAGTCAGCAAGGGAGGCAAGCACACAACACGGAACACAGGCACAAACACTTACAATCAACGCTCGCACCGACATATCCCGGCGATGCAACATCCAAAACGCCCATGATGCCAGCCAGCGGTTGCCCTCTTGCGCCGCGAGTGGCAGCACCTCGTCCTCCAGAAACTTGCTCAGAATCGGGCCATGATCGCCCTCGTAGACGCGGGCGATGGCGATGGCCAGCTGCAAGTCCTGAAGCTGGTTAAAGCAGACGGCAACAGCGTCCTGCAGCCGGTCGGCCAGGAGAAAGAAGGCGACAGCATACTCTGCGAACAGTCAGAAACAGATCGGGCGAGACAAGAGGCAGACAAAATACGCACCAAACCGGCGCTTGCTCATCAGCGCATACGCATTCTTCAGCGCGGCCGTTCGCCACCGGGGCTCATCAAAGCTGTTGGCCAGCAGCCGCAGCGTCGAGCCCTGCTCGCGGTTCCACGTCGCCATGCGCCACAGTCCCTGCAGTACCGTCTTCTTCCGCAGGGCAAGGTAGAACAGGCTGCAGTCGACCGGGTTCTTCACTTCGCTCTTGGCGTACTCATTCCGCGCTACTAGCTCGAACTGTGCTTTCTGCAGGGAGTCAGCATACGTATCACGTGACACGTGACATCGCCCAACCCCAATACACAAACACCTGCACTCACCACTGCTGCGTTGTCTGCCAGCCACATGAACATGCCGCTCTCGCGGGCATCGCTCCAAAGCACCGACCCGTGATGTTGCCGAGAAACAAAGTCGACCAGGATGTCCTGGCTCGTCGAGTGGTAGGCCCAGTTGATCTCGCGCCAGGACATGTGGATCTCGTTGGTGCGGCCCTTGCGCAGGACATGCTGCCGGAAGAAGAGCATGTAGCGAGCCGCGTTCTCGTCCATCGACCGCCGCTGCTTCTCCACCAGGCCTACGCACTCGACGATGTCCACCAGCTGGATCTGCTCGTGACCCGACAGCTGCGGCAGGGCCACGCTGGTCAGCTTTTCGCTAATGGCCGCGGCCACTTCTTCCGTAAACACCTCGTCGTCCTCGTCCGGCACGTCCTGGCGCGAGAAGAAGGACGTGGCCGCATTTCTGTCCGCTGCGTGGGACTCGGGCAGCTGCAAATAACCTGTAAGTTGCGAGATCACAAGTCACGTGCAGTGCGTCACTCACCTTCTTTCTCATGTAGAACTCGGTCACGTCCAGGCTGAGGTAGTCGTCGACATCGTCGCCGGCAATGTAGAACTTGAGCATCTTGTGCAGGGCCAACAGGATCTGCTGCATGAGGATGCTCTTCCCGGCCAGCATGCACTGACTGAGGAACTGGGGGTGGAAGACCGGCAGCGGGCCGTTAAGCCGCTGCACCACATCGAACAGGTCCCACGTGTGGCCCTTGGTCGTGTGCGGCAGTCGCATGCTAGTAGCCAGCGAACTGGGCACGCTGTAGAGTCGGTCGTGCACGAGCAGCTGGTTGCCCGTACCGATGACGAGGTCGCCGTCCCCCAGCCAAGTCGAGTCGCCGATCGGGTGCGGCGTGTGTTCGCGCGTACTGATCTCCCGCACTGCCGCCCACGCCGGGCCCTTGTTGAGATAGTCGAAGCGCAGCTGCGACAGCAGCAGCACGCGGTGCGGGAACCCCACGGCCAGGATCAACTGCGAGTCCGGCGTCGATGTCCAGTCCAGGTCCTGCACCGTGTCGTGCTTTTCGAAGCTGCCGTCGTACTCGAGCTGCGCGCTGCGGATGTCCCAGATCGTCACGGCTGACCGCCGCGCGTTGACCAGCGCCGCCTTTTTGCGCGTGCTGCCGCTGACGAGCGCTGGCTCCTGCACGCCCGTCTCCATCGACGACGTCAGCAGCCACTCCACCCGCCTCTGCTGGCAGTCGATGCGTGCCGTCCAGAACTCCACGCCGCCTGACTTGGTGTACAGGATGGCTACATCGCGTGCAAACACGTCCAGGAACCCCGATATCAGCGGATTGGATCCTGCCGGGTCGACAGGCAGCACGTACGCTAGATCTCCGCTCTCGCCTAGATCGAAGCGGCAGAACTCTTCCACCGACGGGCCACCATGGGCTCCAGAGCCGCCATTAGCCTTTTGCTGGTCGGCCGTATACTCTGGCAGGCTGACCTCCCAGACGATGCCGTGCTTCTCCGACGTGACGGTCGCAATGTGGGCTACCAACACGTCTTCCACGTGTTCCCGCGGCAGCACCAGCAGACAGAGCGGCTTCCCCGAGATGGCGTAGGCACAGCGGCCGAGCAGAATTGGGGCAGGGCGGCGGCAGTCCCAGGCCGTGATGCTGTTGCCAGTCAAGAACACGACAAAGCGACCCTTGCGCAAGACGCAGATGCGCAAGATCGGCCCGTCTGCCGACAGCAGCATGGACTGGGGGTATAGCGGCGTGTCCTTGCTCCCGTGCGTGTGATGCCACACCATGCCGTCCCCGCCATCGGTCCTAGAAACGACGGCACTGCCACTGAAGTTGCGCACCATCTTGCTGATGGCGCCAGAGTGTCCCGTCCATATGGCCTTGCGCCACAGCCGTGGCTTGGTGGACGTGTCGTCCAGCAGGTAGGCGATATCAGCCTCGTATACTTCGATCTTTCCAGCCATGTAGTGGATGAGGATGTGTAGATGACCACCCGAGTTGCAAAAGGTATAAATCTCGACGTGGGTAGGGGGTGATGCGGCTGTGGCTGCGGTTACGGTCGTAGTTGCTGTAGATAAGGGTGATGGGGCAGATAGGCCCAGATTGGGCGAGAAGTCGAGGCTGGGCGAGACGAGCTGGGTGATGTTGTAGACGTCGTTGGTCTTTTGCACTTTGGAGTCTAGGTTCTCCAACGACAGGGCGGACAGAGTACCCTGGGCATCGAGGACCAGGCAGATCTCGGAGCTGCGGTTGGCGATGGCCACCAGATGCCCCAAAGCGCGGTCGGTCTTGATGTCGCGCTCGTCGCGCTCCTGGACGGCCTTCTCCGTGGCTGCAGACAGGTCGCGGCCCTGGATGACAAACGCCCAGACGATGGGCCGCAGCGCGGGCTCGCTGCCGAGGGCGGCTGCGAGATCGACGGTGCCCCAGAGCGATAGTTGCTGGTGGGCACTGCCGGACACCTCGGACGACGTCCAGATGCGCAGTATGTTGTCGGCGCAGAAGGTATAGAGGATGTGGTCGACCGTGTGGCCGACGTGGTAGGGGATGCGCCACTGCAAGCCGGTGACGGGCTGTGGGTGTGGCAGATATGCGTAGTCGAACCGAGGATTGTCCGAGTCGAAGCTGAGCCGCCGCCAGACCTTGACGAGCCGGTCTGTGTAGCCAGCGCAGGCGATGTAGGCCGAGTCGTACGAGCAGCTGGCCCACTTGACCGGGTTGGCGAGCTGCTTGTGCCACGAGCAGGGAGGCGACACCGCGGCTACAGGACCGCCCGACGACGATGATGGCCGCGAGCCGGTGCAGTAGAGAGCCAGGGCCGCCTGTCCGACCACCAGCTCCTGAGAGGCTCCCCACGACAGCGTCATGGGAAGCCGGCCATCTGCGTCATCGGAGGCGCGGACATTGGGAGCGAAGGCGCTTTGCAGAGCCCATTGGAGAGACCCTTCTAGCCGGCCAATGGGCCGGTAGACACGAACAATGCAGTCGGTGCAGGTAGCAATGTTGCCCGACACCTCGTCAAAGGCCACGGCCTCGAGTGGCGTCTCGTCGTCATCGTATATCGTCTGGTGCAGCGTGTCGTGGCTACCGAGGATGGCCAGGGCATTTCCGGTGATGTATATCTTCTGCGCGTTAGCAAAAGGCAGCCTAGGACAGTGTCCGAAGACGGCGCAGCGGGCAGCTCACGATAACGCGCCGCGATTCCCAGAAGCCGGTTGCGAGGGCCTGCAGCCGTGGCTCGGGCTTTCCCGGAAGGACCGCCTTCATTGCTACCGACAATCGTGTCGTTGAGGGAGCATGTTCGACGGAAGTAGCTTCTGTCGGGGGGAAGGAGGGTGAAGATGATGTTGCGTGGCTGGCTTTGTGCAGCGAAGCTATCGTAATATTTGCTCTTTGCAGATGGTAGTCGTATAGTGTGGTGGTTTGCCCGTGTGTGATATTTTAGCACTGTATACTGGCCGTTATAAGAGCTAGCACTGAACACGGCTTTTACTACTCAGCGTGTCGAGATACTACAACTTTGGCAATGCGTAGCGACAAGGTCGACGCTGCTGTTCCCGTGGAATAGACTGTAATACTGGTTGATTTACGGGGTACAGAAACTTTAAGAGCCTTTACTCCGTATTGACGAGGATATGCAATATAGGTGGGTGTTTATATTCAGGCAATACTCGTAGTTTCTGTTTCATATTCTTTCATCAGGCATATTATTGCGTTACTCGTTTCCACACGTGCCGCCAACACGTGATTACATGCCACAGCGTCAAACCTCGAGTCGCAATACGCTGCATTGCCTTCGAATATACGGGGTTGCTGGGTAAACTAGGGAAAGGTCGTTTTATATTATGTAGAAGCTCAACGGGACTGAATACACACTGAGTGTGTGCTTGGCACGACGTGTATCCAATTCTTTAAAGCGCCGCCTGCGAACAAGTCACAGGTCAATATGCCCGTATAATACAACCCACCGCGCTCGAATAGATATGGAGTGCGCGGCGGGCCGGTTATCTGCATTCTCGGGTGAATCAACTTTGAAGAGAAAAAGAGAAAGGAAGGGCCAAGTGAAATTTTCTTTTGGCGCCGCGATAATTATAGAGAAAGTGCATGGTCACGTGCTAACATCGCTAGCCTCAATCAGAAGCAAATTACTCCGTATTCCGTCCGTTGCGGCAACCATAGAGCTAGGCAAATGGCAGTTAGTCATCGGCAAATGTGCTGGTTCTAGGAACCTGTGACAGTTTCTCTAGTTCTCTCATTCAGCTGTAACTCACCTATGGCGTCACAGTGCAGCCTCAGAATTGGGCTGCCGTCGAGCTGGGTATCCAGAGGCATTCCCACCTCTATCTCGTGTGTCGTAGCCTGATTGTGTCGTAATTGCCCGGACAAATCCTTGTCGCCTTCTCCCTCATTTCCTCCTCCCTCATCCTTTCTCCTTTCCCTGCTCTCTTCACTCTCTATCGGTCCCATGGCTGCTATTGTCCCCCGGAAAAAGGTAGCCATTGTCGGCTCTGGCTGCTCAGGCATTGCCGCGCTGTGGGCGCTCAACCGCACCCATCACGATGTGTACGTCTATGAGGCGGCCGACCGCCTCGGCGGCCACACAAACACGGTCGCCTGGCGCGTAGGCAAGTATACCGCACAAGTCGACACCGGCTTCAGCGTCATGAACACGACCGCCTACCGTATGTTGACGCTCCAGCTGGACCAGCCCCCTTGTCTCTTGCTGAAAACGCCATGCTCACCGCCGCAGCCAACTTCACGAATTTCCTCCGCAAGATTCGCGTATCTACAGCACCGACAGAGGCGACCTTTAGCGTTTGTCGCGACCAAGGCGCTTTCGAATGGGCTGGCGCCAGCCTCGACACTTTCTTCTGCCAGCGGCGAAATCTCTTCTCTCCGAGCATGTGGCGCATGATCTTCGACATTGTGCGCTTCAACCAGTTCGCCCCTGATCTCTTGGAAGAGGACACAGCCGGCTATTATACCGATGCGCAGGAGACCATCGGCCAATACCTCCAGCGACAAGGCTACTCTGACGCATTTCGCGACAACTACCTGATTCCACTGACGGCCGCCCTGTGGAGCACAAACCCTGGCACGTGTGCACTGGAGTTTCCCATCGTCACACTCGTTCGCTTCTTGTCAGTCCGGCCATATAGTTCTCTGCTCCTTCTCCCCTTTCCTGCTGACCTAATTCTAGATGGGACCGTCACCTCCTGTCCCTGCTTGCCCGCCGCCCCAAATGCCAGACGATTGAGACCGGGGCCACGTCCTATATCGACATCGTCACCAGAGGCTTCCCTACCAACCATCTGCTTCGCAACACCCCCGTGCGGTCCGTGACGAACGAGCCCGACGGCCGCGTTCGGGTCCACCTCGATGGCGACCGGTCCGAGGTGTACGACCATGTCATCCTAGCCACTCATGGCGACGAAGCTTACGCTATCATCAAGCCGTCCGCCACGCCCGAGGAGAAGGAAATCCTTTCCTGCTTCCACACGTCAGAGAATGTGGCTGTGCTGCACTCGGACACCTCGCTGCTTCCACGCTCGCGCAAGGCGTGGTCGAGCTGGAACTATCTCTCCCTCTCGTCACACCTGCCCGACCACAAGCCTATCGACCAGGTCTCTCTCACCTACAACATGAACATCATACAGAGAATTCCAACCGACATCCTGGGTCACGTTCTTGTGACATTGAACCCCCTCAAGGAGCCAAATCCGGCGACCGTAAGGGGTCGCTTCAGATATTCCCAACCGTTATACACAGCCGAGGCTGTCCAGGCACAGCAGCTCTTGCCGCTCATCCAGAACAAGCGTGGCATTAGTTATGCCGGAGCATGGACCAAGTATGGCTTTCATGAGGACGGCTTCACCAGCGGCCTTATCGTGGCCACGCAACACCTTGGCGCCAAGCTGCCGTTCGAGTTGGTCGACTCTACTTCCAGCCAGCGGCCAGCGCGGCGATTGGGTCTGATTGGTTGGATACTGCGCATAGCAGTGTGGCTCATTCAAGTTTTTATCGTCGAGACAGTAGAGAGGCTGCTTAGCGTATCTCGAGACGGACAGCCGGTGTTGGCATACGGCGTCGGCAAACGGTGTGTCACAAAGTGCAAGTATTGATATGTTTTGGGATAGCGGGTTGGATAAAGCACAAGTTTGTAAATTGCAAGAATACAGGTTCGCGCCGAGGCTTGGGAAGACATCTATATTAGTTTGCCAGCTAGCTTGGAATGAGTATGGAGTATTAACGAGCGAACAGTTTGAGATGGCTTTTAGATGCATATATGGGCGATCGCATTATCGGGGGTTTTGACACTAGCAAAGCCGGAGAGCTTGGGGACCTCAGCTGACAATTTAGACCTGGGACAGAAGCTCTGGTGATCCGCCAGTTCGACGCACATTCACACGTCGCAACAGCCATGGCATCTATAATACGGCCATTGATACGGCTGCCGCGCCAGAGCATGTGGGGAGCCTGCTCAAATTGCAGGGCCGGCCTGTCGCCCTCCGTGCCGAGACGGTTGCTGAACAACACCGCACGACGGTGGCAGCAGCGGCAGGAGGAGGCTTCCGCACCAAACATGGACCGCATGAAAACGAATTACAAGATCCGCAACCGTACCACATTGTAGGTTCCTTCGTTGCAGGGCGCTGCTGCCGTAGCCCGCCGGCCTTCTGACGGGGTCCAGGTTCTACACGCTCAGTGTCATTCTAGGCACAGTGGCGTTCTCATACGGCTCAGTGCCAATGTACAAGATGGTAAGTGGCAGCTGAGGCGACCGATAAATACAGAGATGGGCCTCACAAAGCTCACATTGCCATACAATCAGATTTGCCAGACCACCGGATGGGGTGGCCAGCCGGTTCGGGCGCCCGGACATGGAGGCGCTGGAGGCGACGGCGGCGATCTAGCCAGCCGACTGCAGCCGGTGACGGACGCAAAGCGGCTCCGGGTGACGTTTCACGCATCAGTGTCCGACGTGCTGCCATGGAAATTCGTACCGCAGCAGCGCGAGGTGCGGGTTCTACCGGGCGAGACTGCGCTAGCATTCTACACAGCGACGAACAAGAGCGATACGGACATCATCGGTGTGGCAACATACAGCGTGACGCCAGCACAGGTTGCTCCGTACTTTAGCAAAATTCAGTGCTTCTGCTTCGAGGAGCAACGACTGGCTGCAGGCGAGACCGTCGACATGCCCGTCTTCTTCTACCTGGACCCGGATATGCTAAACGATCTGAATATGAAGGGTGTCGAAACTGTGACGTTATCATACACATTCTTTAGTAAGTTTGCCCCCGTCATCCATGGCAGTCATAGTCGGTAGCGTTCAAGAACAAGTACTGACGCCACGATGCAGAGGCCAAATACGACGATAACGGAAAAGTCACAAACATTCCCCAGGCAGGACAGACTTAACAGAGACCTGGCGAGGGTAAGGATCAAAAAGGGCAATGGTGCCCGTTGGTGGGTGTATTATGCAAGAGGACAGATGCTGGAGACCTATAATTAGTCGGCCATCTAATCTCTAGGTATTAGACCCGTGACATCACTCTTTGAAATCGGGACTAGCAATAGGCAGCAGGCAGCAGGCAGCAGGCAGCACTCTAAATATCGCACAGCCACGGTATACTCATACACAGTCTATGCAAGACACGGTGACATCCAGACAGGTACCGTTGTTGGGCAAGCAGGTCGTAAGACACAATAGTTGGTATGTGTAACCGTACGATTCTATGTGTTGCCGGGTAAGTGACTGCTGTAAGATAAGGAGGAATATAAATCGCACTGTAGAAGTAAACATTTCGCACTATGAGTACATAAGCTACTTTGACTTAGAAGCAGTCTAATCGATAGGCTGATATAAAAGCAAAGTGCTCCTTCCTTAAGGTGAGCACATTAGAACAATGCTAGAAAATACTCTGTTGTAATATTTGGACGTTGCAATCGAAATGTTCCAGGAGTATAAAAAGATGCGACTATTTGCGTCCTATGCCGTCCGCGCTGCCAAGCTTCTTGTCAATTCGACACCGCATATTATGCCTACTAGATATCCATTGGTGGGAAGATGCATCTGAGTACCGGCATGACTACTTTGTTACCGTGTATTCGTGTGCCTGTGTGCTTGTGTGCCCTTCGTCTTTGTTTCGCAACAAGCAGTATGGAAACGACGTCTGGCCACCACACAAACGGGAGGGAAAGCACGGTGGTCAGGAAAGCTTGCTGTCTGGAAAGGGAAATGCACGACCCAGACACCTCCATTATTAGACCGACAAGATGGTTAGTGAAAGGAAGTTGAGGCCAAACCAGCTGTATCACTCGCTCCTTCCCGCATAGCGAATGTGACGGTGGTGGCATTGCCAGTCCTATGCGGTCGCACGTAGAAGTTTGGACGCTATTATTGCTTTCTCGGCCCCATTCACTAAGTTTCTGACTGATGTCACTTTTCTCAAGAAATACTCTTAGATAGCTCCTTCCCAGAGAGGTAACAAGCTATTACTACCTTTGCATCGTGGGTTTTCCCACCTCAATATGGCCTCACCTCTCCGACCCACACCCAGCTTGATTTCCCATGCGATTTCGAATACAAGTGCAGAACAAGAACAACCACCACACGAAGCATGGCAAGAAACAAAATCATTCATACCTGGTATAGCCCTTCAGATTAAAGCCGACGATACCATGGCTCCTCGAGGAGGCTCGCAACGCGGCGGTGGACGAGGAGCGCCCGTTGTCTCTCGGCGCGAGGCAGACTTGAGCGAGATTTTGACGACACCAGAGAAGGAGGAGCTATTGCTTTTGGTCACATCCATCACAGATGAAATGCTACAGCAGATAGTCCTAGTCTTCGACTCACCGATTGTGCCGCTCCTTCACAGCGTGCCCGTGAACATTGTTGTTAAGGGTAGCTTCAATAAAACAGAACCAGGTGCAACTGACAAGAACCCTAACAACAGCCCATCGAAGTCTGAGACTGATGGGAAGGAAGAGCCAGATGGAGTGCAAGCAGAACTGAAAAAGGAGGCTATTGCAGCCCTCAACAAGTGGCAAGTTGCGGTCACCAAAAGGTTCACCGAGATTTCAGCTGCCAGAGACCAGCCGCCCAACCAGTCCCAGCAGCGTGGCAAGGCCCAGAATGGCAAGCTACCCCAAAGATCATCTGGAAGAGGAGGACCGAACAGGCCAAGTGTGACTGCTGATAAGCCAGGTGGCCGTGGTGTCCGACTGCCCTCTGGTGGTAAGGAAACACTTCAACTCCTTGGCGAAGCCATACTTTGACTCGCTTCGAGCTAACTTTACAAGAAAGCAGCCAAATAGCCGGTGTGGCTGCCTCACCGGCTAGCACATGCACGAGCCCATCACTGACACTTGCTCAATGTCCGATGGAAAAGCGACAACTCCTTTTGCATGCCACAATCTTATTACTGTTATCCCTCGAGAGCTACACTGCTTATTCGCGCGTGTTTGTTCTTCGAATGGCAGCCCATCTCCGTGTTCCTGCCCATATAGTCGCCAAAGATGAGGCACGTGTCGCCCGAGGGCTATCCCACGCCGCACATAGAGCATACACCGAAACTGTCCTAGCAAAGACGGAAGATGCGAAAAAAGAGAAGAGAGGAAAAGGTGGCGGTGGCCCTATGGCTGTCAATAATGTCGTGCTAGCCACTCCCTTGCTCGACGTTCAAATAGGCTCCGTTTCTGCTGGAAAGGGATTAGGTCCGACGGCTGCAGCGAGTGTGCTTGGAACAATGGGTACATTGGCAGACGGGGGCCTGGCAACATGCATTTTCTTTGGAATATGTGGGCCTCGGGGGACAACGGCAAAGACACTGGAGACATTCACCAGAGATATACAGGACACTTCATTGCTTCCCCTGCATGGAGAGCAGCAGAATGGTGAGGCTCCTGAAGCAGATACTGTTCCCCCAAACGACCGAAGACTTCGTCTTTCCATTGGGATCAACGGTTGGATGTCCCAGAAGCAAGATGCCATCAACCCTTGGCGCGTCCTCGGCGACAACAGCGAGTCTTATGTGTTGGGCTGGGAGGATGAAACGCTTTCAAAAGTCGGGAGTTCGCTCGAAATCATGGCGACAAGCACAGCCTGGCAGAACGCCAAGAAGGAATTCGCTAACCGCAACGGTGAGAGCTCGTCTAACTGTGTCAAGCTCACTTAAACTAACAATGATAACAGTAGTGGCTAGCCTAAAGGCTTTTGCATGGCCGGAAGGATTGCTTAAAATCAGCAAAATTGTTGATAACCCGTGGAGTGTGGGAATGGTCCGCGCAGACAAGGTTGGCCAGGCCCTCGCCGATGCCATAGCTAACAAGGTCTACGGCGAGCGTGGTATCTCTCTTCTCGGATACGGCCTCGGCGCCAGAGTCATATACACGTGCCTCATGAGCCTTTCAGAACGACGCGCTTTTGGGCTGGTGGAGAATGTGATCATGATAGGAACTCCAGCTCCGTCTGCCAGCTACGTCTGGGCGGCCTTGCGAAGTGCTGCTTTTGGCCGTGTGATAAATGTATTCTCTGAAAACGACAGCATGCTCGGGTTTCTCCACCGCACCGGCTGCGTTCAATTCGGTGTAGCAGGGTTACAGCGCATACAAAATGTGTATGGCGTTGAGAACGTCGATGCGACCAAGCCGGTGGCCAGCCACTTGAGATATGCGCAGCTCGTCGGAAGGATTCTCAAAGATGTAGGTTGGGAAGACCTAAACGTGGAAGAAACAGCGAAATACGAAGAAGCCCTCGTTATGGCGGAAAAACGGGAGGCGAAGAAACAGGGCGGGAAACCAGCAGGCAAACCCGGCCGTCGGGCGGGCAAAGAAGGGAGGAGAAGCGGCAAGAAGACACTGGAGGGAAAATTGCAGGCATTGAACATTTCATAGTAGACAGGTTCTCGGATGGGAGACAGGTAAAACACATACTACGTAACGTATTTTACTCACTGTTTTATGGCAAATACGGAAACAGTGTAAGTTGATAGCTTTAACAGGCGCGCGGCCGTAAGTACGATTACGATTATCATACACAGCCTTGTATGACGGTTCCCTCCCTCTACTCTGCCTACTAAAGCCTTTGCCCGACTCTGTTCAAGTAATCAACGTCCGGGTTTCTCTGCGCGGATACGCCTTTATAACTAACTGAGGGGGACATGGCGACGTAACTTACTAATAGTTTAGTCCTCGAAAAGATCGCTTGCGGTGCTTTCGCTTGCATATTCGATTAGCGGGGCTCGACTGGTCACATGCCGTGACTAATCCGATAATGAAGGCGCCACCCCATTTACCACTGACTTATAGTACGGAGTAGCAGGAACAGCGTTTCCGGAGCGTTTTGGCTATCTCGAGGCAAGCAATCAATCATCAGCTCACCTATTTGCTAACAGCGCAGCGCATCCATTATTGATTATTGTTTACGTCCTGTTCAAACTAGCGATAATTTTCCGTATTGGCGTTGCTCTGCAGCCATGGCTAACCCTCTGGACACCGATGTGGGCAGCGAGCTGTTCGCCAGTTACGAAGCCGAGTTTCGCGTCGTGCAGGCCGATCTGACTCAGAAGCTGGACCAGATCCCCGACCTGGGCGGCGAGCCGCGCAAGGCGGCCATCAGCCAGGCCGAACGTGCGCTGGAGGAAGCCGACGAGCTGGTGTGTATCTTGTCCGGGCCCCTTTTTGCCTTTTGCCTTTTCTGTGCGGGCGCTGACAATCTGCCTCAGATCAGTCAGATGAAACTGGAGAAGCAGAACATTCCGTCGAGCGGGCGGGCACGCGTCAACCAGCGCTTCCGAAACTACGAGACGGACGTGGACAGCCACCGACGCAAGCTGCAGGCGCTGGCTGACGACCGGGCGGCGCTATTTGGCAGCCGATACACGGACTATCCGGGCGCAGGCTCGGGCGACGCGCAGCTGGAGCAGCGGCAGCAGCTGCTGTCGGGCACGGATCGGCTGGACCGAAGCACGCAGCGGTTGAAGAACAGCCAAGCACTGGCCAACGAAACGGAGGCCATCGGGGCCAGCACGCTGGCCGACCTGGACCGCCAGCGCAGCGTCATTCAGCATACGACCGATATGCTGCTTGAGAGCGAGGGCTATGTGGACCGCAGCGTGAAGACACTGCGCGACATGGCGCGTAGGTACTGTAGCCGCCTGCTTGCCTCCCAGGGATGTGTTCTTCGGCTGTTCTGTGCTAACTGGATGTCTACAGGATGGCTACGAATCGGCTGATCACCATTGCCATAATCACGATCCTCGTTCTTCTCATCGTGGCTGTCATTGTCAGCAAGTTCCGGTGACCGTGTGTTGTGCGTGTTTGGAGGCAGGCGTTACATGGAGTTTGTATTATATAATCAGTCATTTTCTGTGTGGTGTCAAGACAGATGCGCCTTCCGGATGTAGTCGTGTACATGCCTTCTGGATGGAGTGCTCGTGTGCGTGCCTTCCGAAAGAGTGTTCATGTGCATCCTTCCGGATAGAGTGCTCCCATGTGTTCATAGATCAACATGCTTTTTCTTTTCCCAGTCTCGTGACAATGACCGAACTGCTATCTAAAATCACCAACAAGGCAACCAAACTGAACAAGATAAACAAAAGAAGCAGAAATCCGATCAACGCCGAGTGTTTTCCTGCTGCTCGACCTCGAGACTCTTATTTACTGGTCAGCTCCTGGTCGTTTCCACCGAATTACCGCTTCTTCGGCCACGACTTGCCAACGCCACCGCCTCCTGACGATCTCCGCTTGTCTTCACCCAGGCCGCGCCGTCCAAACGACCCACGTCCGCTACGGCCGCCCCGTTCACCGCCCCGGTCACCACCACCTCCGCCTCCTCTCTGGCTGCCACCCCGTCCTCTGCCACCACCACCACCACGGAAGGACTGTCTGTCTCCTCGTCGTCCGCCAGGGCTCTTGTCCAGCTTCGACTTGATGCCTGCAGCGTCGGCGTCGGTCATGCCGTCGTCGTCGTCGTCACCATCGCCCTGGCCCTTCTTGTTGGACCACTTGAGCTTGCCTCGGAAACCCCGCTTCGGCACGTCCTTGCCTGTCATGGCAGCCATGTACGCATTGACGCCACTGCTGCCACCATCACCTTCTTCCTGGTCGACATCCATGCCGTCGCTACCGCTGGCACCATCCAGCACCAGCTTTCCGTCGGCATTGAACCGCGCCTTGCCCTTGTTCGGCTTGCGCAGCTTGACCGGCCGCGTCGACGAGATGCTGGCCATGGCTTTGCGGTCCAGCAAATCCAGCGGCTCGCCCTCCTCCTCGATGATGTAGGCATTGCCGCCCTTGCTGCCGCGCTTCTTACGTGCTTGGCCGTCGTCGCCGTCACCATTCTCGTTGTCGTCGTCATCTTCGTCGTCGTCGCTACTATACAGCGCCTGGTCGAAACCGCTCTCGAACTGGCCCCCTTCGCGTGCATCGGCCTCATCGTCGCTGCTGTCGTCGCCGGCAGCGATGCCCGCCTCCTTGGCCTCCTTCTTCTTCCGCTTGTTGCGCTCCTTGGTCTTGCGGATGTTGGTGATCAGCTTGCGGTCCTGCTCCGGACAGTTGTTGTACACGATATCGAAGCCGAAGCGCCGCACCATGCGGTCCAGGATGTGCTTGACCTTGGAGCGGAAGTGGCCCTTATGCTCGTGGCTCCACACCATCAGGTTCGGGATCAGTGTGGGCAGCCGCACGCTGATCATGTCGACCGGCAGGCTGATGACGCACACTTTGACGAAACCCAGCACGCTGCTCACGATCTCGCGGTTGTTGGACGTTAGGAAGAGGTCGACGGTCTGGACCAGGTCCTCGAGAGATGGCCGGTCCAGCATGGCGTGGAACTCGTACAGCACACGCGTGATAGCTGTGATGGAGGCGGAGATCATGTGCGGCGTCGAGCCGGCCAGACCGGCGCTGACCATGGTGAAGAACTCCTCGAGACTGGCGGCCACGGCCGGCGCGTCTGCCGGCATGTTGGGCACCTTGCTGTTGTCGATGCGGGCTCCGTTGGCGGCCACCATGCGGCGGCCCATGGTCACGAGGATGTCGAAGGCGGCCTCGCGCGCGCGCTCGTTGTGTTCCTTGCAGCTGATGACGACCTCAGACAGCGTGGCTGGGATAAAGTGCAGCGCCTCGTCGGGCAGCAGCGGCACCAGAGCCGCCAGTGCTGCCAGCCGTTCGCGCCGCGCCGGCGCCGTCACCTTGTCGGCACTGGACAACATCAGCGTCTGCAGTGCCTCGTGGCGCTCGGCTAGGGCCACGCGACCGACGGCCGAGTCGGCCAGCCGCGGGATCAGCTTGTACGCCTTCTTCTGCAGCGGCGCGTCGTCGTCTTTGGCCAGCGCCAGCGTCGCGATCTCGAACAGCGCAGCATAGCTCTCACGCGGCAGGTGCAGCGACATAGTGATGACCAGGTCCATCAGAGTCAGGCTTATCGACGGCACCTGTGCGGCCGCGCCCTTGGGCTGCTGCTTCTCCGCGTTGGCCCCCGTCGCCGCCGTCACCTGCAACTCGGCCGCCAGCAGCTTGCACACCTCGTCAAACGAACGCACCAGGTCTGCCATTGGCGTGATGCTGAGGAAGGCGTTGATCGTCTGCAGGATCGGGCCGCGCGACTGCGCCAGCGTCTGCCCGTACACGTTGAACAGCACGGCCAGGTACTGGCTCGCAAACGTGCCCAAGTGCTCTAGGTTGGCACGCGCCTCCGCTCGCGAGACCCGGCTCTGGAGGTACATGTCCTCCTCTTCATCCTCATCAACCGCTGCGATCGCCTGGTTGGACTCGATCAGTCCCTTGAGCGCTCGACACACGTCCAGCCGTAAGCCCACCTGCTGGTAGAGCAGATTGGCCAGGAGCTGGGCAAAGTCGCTGTCAAAGGCCGTCTTCGCATCCAGCGGCAGGTCGCAGTAGCCCGGCAGGATCGACCAGATCTGCTGCACGATCGTCTCAAAGATCTTGACCTCGGTCGTCTTCTCGGCATCACCGTTGTCGAGCACAGTCTGGTACAGCACGGTACTCAGTGGCACGAAGATGGTCTTGAAATCCTCCAGCTTCGTGTTGGTCGTGAAGTCTCGGAACAGCGGCAGAAGCCAAGCCCGGCCTGGATGTTGCGACGACGCCCGCGTTAGATTGTGCGGCAACACCTGGAGCACGGTCCCGGGGCCCATGGCACGGATCGCCATGCCGAGGAGCTTGTCGGCCTCCTTCTTCAGCACAAACGCATCGCTGCCGCGGAGATCGCCGATCGTCTTGGTGATATCTAAGAGGTACGGTTCTGCCCGCCACCGCAGCGCGTCAAACATGGCCCCGAGCACGCCAAAGACCTCTTCAGCCGCGGCCTGATACCGCACCGTAAGCAGCTCGCCGCCGATCGCCGCCAGCTTAGCCAACACCTTCTCGTCGTACACCGACGGCTCCACCACCACTTGCTTGGGCACGCAGTTGACCAGGAACGAGACCAAACACTCGGCCGCCGACACCCGGATGTTAGCCGACGGTGACTCTAGGTACGGCGTCACCATGGCGAACAGCTCCGGCAGCCGGTAGAACGTCTCCTCCGGCTCGACCTGTGCCGATACGTCGTAACCCCGCGACAGGATTGCGATCCACGGCGGCAGCAGCTGTGTGTCGTTGGGTGCCGGCTTCAGCTCACCGATGATCTCGAGCAGCCGCGTCAGCTTGGACGTTGCGATTTCGTCTGTCATGCCCTGGAAGATCATCTCAAACACCTCCAGCACCGCCACCGACATGTGGTCGTTGCCAGTGCGCGCGATCGAGAGCAGGAGCTCGCACAGCTGCTCGATCTTCTTGCCCGGCCAACCACCCGTCGAGCCGGCGATCGACCGCACCAGCTGCAGCGCGTGGATCAGGTCCGGATCGTGCAATCCCTTGGCCGCGTTCTTGTCACTGTTCTTGTCCTTCTTGCCCTGTCGGACACGATCTGCCAGCTCCTTGAGGCTGGCCATAGCCGTCTCTGCACACATGGCGCTGGCCGGGTGGTCTAACGTCGGGCCTGGCGGAGGCGAGTCAAGCACCTTGCGGAGTGCCTCTAGCGCCCGCTTGCGCACCTTTGGCCGCGGGTCGACCGACAATGTCAGCAGGCCGGCTACTGCCCGACGCGGGCTGATCTGTGCGGCCGACAGCTCCCAGGCCGCCGAGTCCTGCGCCAGCAGCAACGACTCCAAGCAGCCGATAGACGGACGTATCAACGGTGCATCCGCATTTGGGAGCGTGAACACTGGTGCCAGCGAGCTCAGAATCTGCGTGAATTTGGCCCGAAGCAGTGCGTGAGGTGCTGACGGCGTGACGAGGTCGAGAAGGTAGATGATGGATGTGTCAAGGTTCTTTTTGGAAGAATCCTCGCCCACCGCCTGGCTCAGGAGTGCCAGCAGAGCCGCAAAGTAGGCTGTCGGTGTGGCCTCAGCCTTCTGCTCCTTGAGCGTGGATTCGACGGCATGGAGGACGATGGCGGTCTGAAAAAAACACCGGTTAGCTGAGCCAGAGTACAAGCACAATTACGGACCACATGTTTGGGCTGTTCACCTGTTTTTGGCTTTCGAGATTGGGGGAGCGGATCTTTGCAAGCCGCTCTTCTAGCGACGTCTCTGCCATCTTGGAAAGGTTGGCCCACGAGACTGGGGATTTGCTGTAGGGTCAGGCCGTTGAGAAAGACTGCTGCGAAAAATTATCTACAAAGTTCTACTTTTTTTTTTGTTCTTTATCTTATCGATTAGAAAAACTCGTGCCCCTCTTGATGACTAATGGCAGCTGTCAGATGCCATTCTAGCTTCTGGTGGTCTTGGCTAATAGTTTCCATTGTCGCCAATAAAGACCTCTAAAGAGAATATATAAATGGAGCTAAACAAACCATACCAACAACGGGTGTTCCAATCTGATAATCCCAAGGCTACCCAAACGCCAACCCCATATCCTAGGGGAAATATGCATGTACCGTTGTGAAATCTAACATCATCTAGTGGAACTATGGTCGAACGCGGGCACCGATTCCCTGGCCAACATATGAGATGGTCTCTCGCCAAGCACCCAGCCTAACGTTCACCTGAGCTTTTGCGTCTAATTTGAGCTCACCACCAAGAGCCTTGCGAACCTTGTCGAATCCGACCGAGTCGGGAGACCACTCCACCGGCAACTTGGGAGTCTCAGAAAGTCCGGGCGGAACAGCAAATGTAGCGTCAGAGTCAATAGTTCCGACAAGCTCAGTGTGGTTGTAGAAAGCAGTGGCATGGACTGTCTCAATGTAAAGCGTGTTTTCTTCAAGTGGTGAGACTAGGCCGAACGATGCCCTAGATGAGAATATGTGAAAGGTGGCAGTGCGAATGAAGCTGTGTTTTTTCGTTTGGTCGTCTTGGTCTCCGTCGCCGTTGCCATGATCTGGGCCGGGAAGTCGCAAACGTGGAGTGGGAAGCGTGAAGTTGAATTTGGAGAGGGCAATCCCAAGCGCAGGCTGAAAGGGTATGCTATCGTGGTATGTTTTTATCGTGACGCTTGTATTGAAGCCGGAAATATATTGGGACAGGAGATCGCGGCCGACTTGAAGGCCATATTTGCCGCTCATCGATGGGTTCCAAATTGCAGTAACGGCAATGTTTGTATTCTTGCCTTTCCTGATGTCGATGTCCTTGGCAATACTAGTTCCAATGACGGTGTTGTTGTTCAGGATGTGAATGCTAATGTAAGGGATGTGTGCTGTGTAGTCGGTAGGATTGGTGATGTTCACCAAAGCCCCCAGTGTGATTGATATCGGTGTAGTGTCCAAGATGCGAATGCTGCCGACCTGAAGGTCTAGTTCATCGGGATTTCCAATAGGAATGGCTATACCAGAACAGTTAGTTATACCTGTTGCGTGAAACTGCAAGAACGGCCCACGTCGTGTTCCCACGCATTTAAGTAACTGACAAGCTGCAATGCTGAAAGAAGGCTAGTACAGACGTTTAATTGGCACATTCCCGGCGGCAGGAACATCCTTCAACGTGAACTGCCCGAGCACCGTATTCACACGGATGTCAACCAGCGCGTTGATGTCCAAATTCACTTCCGCCCCATCGAAAAAGAGTTTCTGGATGATTTCCGTAAGAACGTCTCCGTCCGTAACAATGAGCGGGGCCTTCTTGATGTGCGACTGGATCGTGAGCATTGCTTCATGATCGGCTGTAGCTTTTGTCATAGTCGAGTTCGCAGCTTGCCACTTGCTCAAATGGAGCTCACCCAGCTTTTTGTTATGATAGATGACGTCGGCATCGGCTCGGACTTTGGTGACATTGATGGCGAAGTTCATTTCCGACGGCAGCCCGGCGACGGCAAGAATCGTGCCGGATACGGTCGGGTTGGAGTCAGGGTCGTCCGGGTCGGCCATAGGATCTGGCAGGCTGAAATGGACATCTGTCAAGGAGAAATTGCGGATGATGTTGTCGAACGACCGGCCCGGAAAGGGAACCGGAACCGTAACACTGGACAAGATGTCGCTAATCCAGTCTGGCGTACCGTCCAAGTGCTGACTCTTTCCACGGACAAAAACAGTCGCTTCATCACCACTCATATAATGTTTCAACAGGAGGTCGAGCGGCGACGAAGTAGAGTCTGGACAGCGAGCCGTCAAGGATTCGGGTAGCTCCTGGACTGTGCCGTTGACCTCGACGACGACAAGAGACCGGGGGCGTACTTCGACCGGCTCCGTTACAGCATCGGCAACCAAGATGTAAGGATCGAGAGGGTTGCAGTCGGGAACAAGAATTTCGAATCCGAGAGAGGGAATATTCAGCTGGACGGGAAACTCGTTAAACGCAGATATCAGCACCTCGGCACCCATAGCTTTGCTGCTATTGTCTGGCGTATCGACCTCCTCGAATATGACGCGATCGATGCTATACTGAGGAATTGCAGGCAGGTCGTCGGCTATTCAATTTATCAGCATTCATCCTAAGACATGACATTTTTGAGAGTTTCTCGTCCTCCCTTCCCTCTCCTGCAGCCCCATTACAAAATAGTCTTTTCTCCGAAGTACAGCGATGCAAAGGAACGGTAGAGGTATTGACCTTCAAAAACTAGCGACTCGGATACGGAGTGTGTGCCCAAGGGAATGGCGCCTGACTTCAGCTTGATGTCTGCTTTCCCTTGGACCCGCAGAGAGCCAAGCCGCCCTTCCAGCCATTCGTTGGCGATGCTTCGAATGCCGTTTGCATCACCCGGGGCAAGATCGGCAACGAAGTCGATAGCGGTAGTGTGGCCATCCACAAGGCTGACGACAAGCGGCGGGATTTCTGCAGACCCCAGCAGAACGTTGCCGTATTCGGGGAGAAACACGTTCACCGTCATGTTCTCTGTCCCCAGTTTCCCCACAGCCCAAGTAGCTGCTCTGCCGATACGCCTGACGTGGACGTTTTCCACTTTCGAACCGTCCAACCGAAAGTTGGCCTGAATCCGGGCGCGTACTCCGTCGACTGTGATGGATTCTAGAGACAGGTTTGTCGGCTCCACCACCAGGCCCTGTTTGGCGTACTCTTCAACAGCTGCCGGAACGACGTACGCAAACAGCAATATTCCAGCTGATGAAAGTCCAAGCAGGAGTATCGCGATGAGCGTCGGCCATCGTTTGGACTTCTGTTTTCCTGCCCGACCGGGCTTGCTGCCATCGATCAGACGCGAGAGAGAAGACGAGGCGCTGCTGCCACCGTGTGGTTGCGCGGGCTCATCCCGTTTTTTGACCAGCAGTGGCGTGGTCTCTTCTGCCGTGTGGGTATTCCTACGGCTGGATGGCCCGGCTTCGGTCGATGAAAGCAGAGGCGACCGCTCTTCAGAGTCAGCCATGCTGTATGTTGTTGTTGCTCAGTCCCAGCCGGCTTTCGTGTTAGCTTAGATGGGGATGAAGATGAGTGTGGGAAATAGTGGTATCGGCCCAAGCAAAGCGATTGCGGAACGGTAGGGCGTCACGTCGCTACACAGGACGATGTTTATTGTTTTTACCAGTCAGTAAGGCGAGAGTGAGGCAGCAAGTGGAGGGCAAGACAACAGTGCTGTTGTTACTTGTTACAGAGGGCAGCAATACAGCGTAGTAAGCCCACTTATAGATTGACTTTGATTACATCACCGGCTAGGCACCTATATGGATATGCACGTGACTGGCGCGACTATGCGGGTCCATGTTTCGGTTGATCGCCACTGCCATAAATGCGCTATGTGTTATTGGTCAGAAATTGGTGAATAAAACATGCAGAGTACAAACACAGTTATGCTACGGTGCTATATACTGTGCGCACTCACAACGGGCATCAACAGCTTTATCGTACAAATGAGTCAATTGGCGAGGCGGATAAAAGCTTTTTTTTTCAATCTCGTCACGCGCTGGTGATTTTGTAGTCATAAAAGTGCATAGACACGACCTTTCGTGACCGATTCGACAGTACTCCAACTCGCTTGGGGGACTTAATCTATTGGGGACAATTTTATCTGAATTTTATCTTGACATACTGGACAAAGTATCGTTGTTGTGTCGGTCATCCAACATAGTTACCTTTCAATCAGCATAGAACCAGTCATGCGGTCCTCGTTTTTCCGTGCCGCGAGCACATTTTCGCGGAACATTCAAACCAGGGCATACTCTACGCCCCGGCATCTCATGTCCATTGCAGACCTGTCGTCGAATGAGCTTGCCAAGCTTGTCCTCAATGCCGCAGAGTACAAGGCAGCCTACAAGGCAGGGAACTTCCCTGAAAAGCTAAAGGGCAGTCTATCTGGTCCGGCAGTGGCTCTCATGTTCAGCAAGCGAAGTACACGGACCCGGGTATCGACCGAATCTGCCGTGTCTATGATGGGCGGCCATCCCATGTTTTTGGGCAAGGACGACATCCAGCTGGGGGTTGGTGATGTCTCTCCAATGCGGTACGCACAAGACTGACGATCGGGACAGGTCAACGAATCTCTTCTGGACACCTCCAAGGTGATCTCGTCCATGACATCTGCCATCGTGGCTCGTGTCGGACCGCATTCAGACGTGACCGGCCTGGCTAAGGACTCATCTGTTCCTGTTATCAATGCTCTGTCGGCCGACTTCCACCCGCTCCAGACCATTGCCGATTTCCTCACTATCCACGAGGCGTTTCCGGCAACTGCCCCTGGCAGCGGCGGCCTTTTGGTCTGGAGGGAAAGAAGGTGGCTTGGATTGGTGACTCTAACAATGTTCTCTTCGACCTGGCCATTGGCTGCTTCAAGCTGGGCGTTGACGTTGCCGTGGCCTCGCCCAAGGGATACGGCATCCCAGACCGGATGCGGTCGCTGATCCAGTCTTCTGGCTCCAGCAGCAAGCTCATCGAGACGACGCGGCCGGAGGAGGCCATTAAGGACGCCGACATTCTGGTGACCGACACCTGGGTATCGATGGGTCAGGAGGCCGAGGCCAAGAAGCGGCTGGCGTCATTTGCGGGCTACCAGATAACCAATGAGCTGGCGGCGCGAGGCGGCGCCAAGCCGAGCTGGAAGTTCATGCACTGTCTGCCACGGCACCCGGAGGAGGTGGCCGACGAGGTCTTCTACGGCCCGCAGTCCCTCGTTTTCCAGGAAGCCGAAAATCGGCTGTGGGCAGCGATGGGTAAGTCTTTCGTCTCTACAAATCAGCCTCCCTGCTGAGAAACTATTTTACTGACGGTTGGATGTATGTAGCCGCTCTGGATGCGTTTGTCGTGAACAAGGGAGTCATTGTCTAATTCTATAAAAAAAACAAATCAATTTGCCAGCCCTGAACAATTCAGCATCGGCTGCATGCTTCCGGGAGGGATAGACAAGAATAAACGATACATAAACCTCGTAGCCTTTCTCTCCGCTCCTTCTACGGTCACAAACTTCGCCACCTAACAAGCCACAAGGCCGTACATCGATATCAGCGTTTGCACTCTCTCCTTACAATCTTACTCTTTCAGTACATGACTAAGGTAGACTTATACAAATCTGTAAAGAAGTATTGCGATCTGATAGAAAGGCTTTGTTGCAGAAAAAGTTGTTGTGGAAACACGTATGTGCGTAGAACGAGCATAATCTCTCGATGCAGCTCCTGCTGGCGAGACGATAACACCTGGCCTGGCCGCCATTGCATGACGACGAAGCATGTAGGGCAGAACAATAAGATCTGAAATTATCGCGATACAACCATATTCGCAAACCGCAAAACACCAAGCCAGCTACGAAGTTTAACCGGGCGGGAGCATGGTCGCGTCCACAACCTCGTCTGCCTCCTTCGCCGGGCTGCCCTCGTCTGGGCCGTAGAGGGGTGAGCGTGGCAGAGCCATCAGGCCCGTCCGAGCCGACTCAAGGATGCCAAAGGGAGCAATGAGCTTGAGGAACGAGTCGATCCGCGTTGGCTTCGCGGAGCTATTCAACACATTAGAAGCTGCTTGCATTCACAGAATTAAACATGATATGGAGCAGCTGTTGACTTACACTTCGACAATGCAGCTGTTAGTGCTGATGTCGAGGACCTTGCCGCCGAACTGGTGAGTAAAGTAGGTGATGCTCTTGAGATGCTCGTGTTTGTGGCGGAGAGCCTGGCTGGCGGCCAGGTGGCTCGGATGAAAGTCTTGGCTAATCTGTTCGAGGCTCGCTTCGGCGACGGCCTCGTCCTCAGGACCACCAGCGGTTATCTCGCGGTGATGGGCGAGAAGCTCCTCAAAGTACTCGGGGCCGAGGATGTTGATCTTGGCCAGCAGGAGCTCTCGCTGGACAAGCGCAGCGCTGGTGTAGTCCAGGACAGCCCAGACGGGCACCAGGTCCTCGAGCTGGCGGCGGGCCTGCTCCACCACGCCGTCCTGGCCGGTGAGAACAATGGTCATGCGGGACAAGTCGACGACCTCGGTGCTGCAGACGACGAGGGAGTCGATGTTGAAGCCGCGAGCGGCCAAAATGCCAGACACACGTGACAGCACACCTGGCTCGTTCTGGACGAGACAGTTGAGGATGTGGCGCTTGGCCGGGGCCATCGACGGCATGGGCGTCTCGTAGAGGATGTTGGAGACGGCTGACTGGGCCGACCAGGACGACGGGGCATCGCTGGTGGGTAGCGGAGCCTGTCGACGGCGGAGGGCCTTGTAGGCAATAGCAGAGGTTGAGCTGCTCGTGGAGCTATGGCGGAGGGCCGAGACGGACGCGGGGCAGGCAGACTGGCTGCCATTGGCGGTGCGCAGCGCGCCAGACGATGCTGCTCGCCAGGGCGTGGACAGCAAGAGGCGACGGGACGCCATGGTGAAGTATTGACGACGAGGTTCGAAGTCAGAAACTGGAGGAGATCCAGAAAGACAAGGAAAAACAAGCGTCGACCAGGGGACAGTGCCCCAGGGAGTATATAAATATTCGGGACACGAGGCCAGGGGGTTGGCAGACCAATTGGTTCCCTGTGTCGTCTCCTCTCGTTGTGAATGACTCAGAGAGTCGGAGGAGTAGCTGAGACAGACGAAAAAAGAAGTCCGAGATCGCACTAATAAAAATTTACAGGCGTTGGACGGATTCCCCACGCTGCAAGGTTTGGCGACCTGAGATGTCGGAGACGGGATAATGATTTTGCGGGGTCTAGGGCGCTTGCAGCTTCGTGTACAGAGTTATTGGTCGAGCATGTCCGACTATTATCTCGCGAAGCTCCTCCGGGCAAAAAAAAAGTCCAGAAGTGGATGCAGCCTTCCCGGTATCATAGCAAACAAGAGAGCTGCACTCTGATCTTTTCTAGTGGACGCCTCGTCATCCGTTGGCAGCTGCACCTGCAATTTCACGCTCGACTCCGCTGATTGGCACCGCGTCAGATTGCACTGCACCCGCTGCTATCCTTTCGCTGACCGGCCATGGAGTCTGGAGAACGGCGAAGTGTGAAGCGGTCGCGCTTTGACCAGACGGAGCCGGAGCCCAAACGGACGTCGCGATTCGACCGGCGTTCTCGCTCACCGCCCCCCCGGAAGCCAGACTCTGGGCGTGAGCGCAGCCCCCTGTCTCGCGATCGTGAGACTTCTGCCGAACATGAGGCGAGTCGCGTCGACCCGGCAGCGGCAGCCGGTAGGTTACGCCCAATGGCCAGGTGCGCTGTCCTGTGTAGGATGCTTCGCTGCTGACGACAGCCTCTAGCCGCGGTTGCTGCAAAGATCAGCGAGCAGCTCAATGCGCGCAAGACGGGCGGCCGCGATTCGGAAGCCTCGCCAGCGCGATCGACGCCCCTGACGAACATGAAGGCCACGGCCACGGCGTCGGCTGCGAACATCAACGGCGAGATCTACGTCTCGGACGGAGACTTTATCAAGGACATTGAAATCAACGATCTTCGAAACCGATACGTCGTGACGAACGCGGCGAATCAGAAAAAGGTAGATATTCTTGTGTCCTGGCCTTGCCACCACTGACGAATGGAGGTGGAAGTTTTTTTCTGTTCTATACGTGTTGTCGGTTGAGGATGGTCTTGCTCACTCGAAGCTTGACAGCCCAGACACATGCTCCTCTTTGGCATCTGCTGACCTCCGCTCGTTGTGAAATCTAGATCAAGGACGAGACTGGTGCTGGTATGCGCTTCATCTTTTTGTTCTGTTATTGTATTGTGTGAGAGTCCGGGATTGACAAGCGGTGCTTTTTCTCAAGATGTCACAACGCGCGGAAGCTACCTGCCCGACAAGAGCATGGCCTCGCCTTCGGTAAAGACTCCTCGGACACCGGCTGGAAGGCTAGAGACTGACGTGCACTACTTGCAGAACCCGCCGCTATACCTCCACATCACGAGCACGACCAAGGAGGGCCTCGAGAAGGCGATTGCCAAGGTCAACGAGATGATCGAAAAGGAGCTGCCGCCACTTGTGGACGAGAGGCGTTTCCGGCGGCGAGAGAGGGAGCAGGATCCTGTCGAGCGAGACGAGTACGGCCGGCGAAAGTGGCCGGACCATAAGATCCCCGTCAGCCTCGAGCCGGTTCCCGGCTTTAACCTGCGCGCCCAGGTTGTCGGCCACGGCGGTGCGTACGTCAAGCACATCCAGCAGGAGACCGGCTGCCGTGTGCAGATCAAGGGGCAAAACTCCGGCTTCATCGAGTCCTCTACCGGCCGGGAGAGCGACGAACCCATGTTCTTGCATGTGACGTAAGTCTTGGGCACATCTATGCACGACCGCCCCGCCTGTGCTTTGCTAACGAGGCCCTGGCCAGTGGTCCTGACGCCAGCATGGTGGACAAGGCGAAAGAACTGTGCGAGGATCTGCTGGAAAACGTCAAGGAGCAGTACGAGCAGTTCAAGAGCCGGCCCCAGCGCCCCTATGGACAGGGCAGCTATGGTGGCGACCGTCACGGCAACGGCAACGGCAACGGCTATAACGGCCACCAAGGCTACGGTGGTGGCGGCGGCCGTGGCCACAATGGCGGATACAACAGCGGATACAACAGCGGACATGGGGGGTATGGAGGACACGGCGCGCCAGGTCAGGGGGGGTACAACTCGCCCGGACCTGGAGCCATTGGTGCTGCACCGCCCTCTGGCCCGTCTGGAAACAGTCCTGTGGCAGCGGGCGCAGTGGTCTCTCCCGGGGGCGATGCAGCGGCTGCTGCTGCGGCAGCCGCGGCAGGAGGTACCGGAGCTGCAGACTATGCCGCTCAGTATGCGCAGTACTACGGGACCAGCGATCCATATGCGCCGTATGGTGGCTATGCTGCGTAAGTTGATGAAGTTTGCGTGTTGTTGAAAACGTGACTTGCTGACTCAGCCAGTTATGTTCAATACTACCAGCAGTACTATGCTGCTGCACAGCAGGCCCAGCAGGCCCAGCAGCAGAGCACACCGCCACCTCCTGGTGTCGGCTCGACGTCTCCGCCGCCTCCTCCACCTGCGAGCGAGGCTCCACCGCCGCCGCCGCCACCGGGAGGGCCACCGGGAGTGTCCAGCTACAGCGCTGTAAGTGACGGCCTTTTCAGTTTGTCCCAGGAAGATGCACGAGCTAATTGGTTATGTATTAGGTACCCCCTCCGCCTGGTCTGTGATGGAGATGCGTGGCGTATTTGCAAAGGCCTGACAGGGGCGAAGAACACAGTGGTAACTGCCGGTAGAGTTGGCTATGCAGAAAAACATTTTTGTAGGAGGACGATGTGATCCCGTGACCGTCTGCTGGCGTGCACCCCAGGCTAGCCTACTACATGCGCCACAACAAATGTGGCGCACGGACCCTTGCCTCTTGTATTAATCACCAGATTTGGAGGGTCGTCGATCCCAGACAGCACTTGCACAACGACTGTCGATCCACTCTCACTTGCCCGTACACGATCCTCCATCTCTGCAACACGCACAAGCACGTATGGCTTCCTTTGGACAAGCCACCCGGCCTGCGCGACAGACAGGGGGCGCGACCACGGTAATGACTCCGCGGGCGGCCGAAAGCGGTAGCACGGAACAGCAGCAGCAGCAGCAGACGCAAGAGTCGTTGCCGACGGTGCTGCGTCTGCACGGTGCCCCCGAGCGCAACGACCGGTCCGTGCAGTGGGCCGAGGACGTAGTGGACAACGAGGGTCTGAACCGGAAGAGTTCGAAAGGTGTGCAGTTCTCCCGTCTCGTCGTTTTCCGTATTTTGCTGCTCTGACACGCGCCAGTCTGCTGCATCTACCACCGACCACGCGCGGCCGACGAGTCGAGCGATTCGGACTCTTCGTCGTCGGACTCGGACTCGGACTCGGACTCGGACTCGGATGCGTCTGGCCCCGACGCCGGCGACGCAGATCACGCATATCGCAGCCGACCACGGCCGCTGCCGCATCGACACGCGCCAGACTGCCCGGAGAATGGTCAGGGCAGCGGCCAGAACGACCACGGCCACGACCATGACCATGATCACGATCATGACGACAAGGACAGCGACAAGGATGACGGCAATGGGCCCCGCGGCAGCGGCAAGAGCCGGCGGAGGCCCAGCCCCAATGCGTACGAGAAGATGCCGCGATACGACCGGCCGGCCAAGCCGAGCGGCTCTGGTGGCGCTTGAGGCAACACGTGCCCTGGTACCAGCTACAAGAGATACCCTGTACAAGTACTCATGCATGCTCCTATTCTTCTGCTCTACATGGTTCGTCGTCAAGCCAACGCCGACCAGACCAGATGGGCTGACGGCAAAATACAAAAAGCAAGGCAAACAAGAAGTAAATACACAAATGGCAACAACGGCCGCTTGTCCGCACCGGTATCTTGTTTTGCAAAATGTCCTCCGTAGCGTCATCATCTATAGTAGTGGTCGTGGTGGTGATGGTAGTCGTAGTGATGGTAGTGATGGTGGTAGTGGTCATGGTGGTCAGTGTCTATTGTGGCGTACTTGCTCTGAAATAGTTGGCGTCGTACAAAACCTCGCTTAGTAATACACGAAATTTTTCGTCTCGCGTCGCCCCGTCGCCCCGTCCGATTCAAATGCTCAACTTGTCCGGCCCCATGGCCAACATGTTAGCGACCTGCTTGCGCACGAGATTGCGCGAGCCGCGATGGTCAGGCCGCGGAACGCCCTGGATCGTGCGTGGCTCCTTCATCAGCGACGGGTCCAGCTTGGACGGCACGCGCGTGGTGACGGCGCGGTACTCGCCCGGGAACTTGGAGCTGGGCACGGGCACGGAAGCCGTGCGCCAGATGTGATCGGACGTGTCGGCTAGGTGTGGCGGGATGCGGGCGCTGCTGCTGCCAAAACTGCTGCCACTGCCACTGCCGCCGGACGAGACGCCGTGTGAGGCCTTGATGGTCGACAGTCGCGACAGGCCGCCGCCCAAGCCGGGTCGTCCGCGAGACTTCTTGGCCAGGATGATCTCGTCAAAGAGGCGGATGTCGGGGTGCGTGGACGAGTGGGTCTCACGCTCATGAATGAACTGGTTGAAGGCTGGGCAAGTTAGCATTCGTAGATGTGGCTAATAGAAATCACGTGACTCACCCTGTGTGTTCCGCAGCATCATCGCATACTCCTGCTGGTCGTACGGCAGGCTCTTGGTGAAGCCGTTGGCGTCAAAGGAAAAGAGCTGGCCATTGGTCCGCTGCTCCTTGGACGGCCGGCCCAGGTACTTGCGGTACGTGTACAGCAGGCTGGCCATGCAGCGCACAAAGGCGGCGCGCACACGGTCGGCGTGGAAAGCGGTCGGACAGATCAGTGACACGTGACCCAGACAGCGCGCGTGGGACAGACAGTTGCAGCCGTTGCAACAGTAGAGCCCATCGCCGTCGGATCGCTCGTCGCAGATGGCACAATTGCCGGCAGCCTCAGCGGGCGTCCAGTGGAAGCAGTGGCCCTCCACCCACATGGTCGTGTCCGTGTTGCTGACCGGCTGCACCATCATGTTGGGCATGACCGTCGAGGCGGCCAAGGTCGACTGTGCGTACGTGGACGGAGCATAGCCGCCGTTGCCGCCGTAGGACGACCGCGAGTCGATGGAGACGGCCGAGATGGAGAGGCTGGGGCCATGGCCGTTTTGGGGTTGGCCCTGGTTTTGGTATTGACCTTGACCTTGACCCTGGCACTGGCCTTGTCCCTGTCCCTGGCTCTGGCTCTGGCTGTAGGCGTGGCCGTTGAGGTGCTGCAGGCTGGGCCGGTGCATCGGTGGATGGCGGTCGACGCCAAAGGACGAGCTGCGTCGCGACCGGTCGTCAAAGTGGCCGGACCGCTTCTCACGCAGCGTGGCGCCAACGGCAAAGCCCGAGTCGCTGCGCGAGACAGGCGTCAGCGGAGCGACAGGCATGGGCGGAAAGCTGGTCGACACGGGCGAGAGCGACTGGGGCGGGCTGTTGGTGCGGCCAGAGAGCGCAGTCGGCGGCCGCTCAGCCCGGGCGTGCTCGTTGCGCAGCTGGACAAAGGCGTTGAAGATGGGCACGCGTCGGGCGGCCGGTGGATCGGGATCGCCAAAGGTGGCCGAGCTCTGGCTGACCCATTTGCCCAGAGTCGCGGCCGGCGCCACCTGGTTGAAGAGCGACTCGTTCTCGGCCGAGAAGGCGTCGTAGGGAAAGGCCTCGATGGCGTAGGGCGGCGGCCCAGCCGGCACGCCGAAACGCAGCCGATGGGGTGCGGCCACCTGCAGCAGCGAGAGCAGCTTGCGGCGATGCTGACGCGGCAGCTGCGGCACGGCAGCCCCAGGCGCCTCGACGGTGTCGCGATCCAGGTCCACCAGCACAAAGTCGTCGTCGGGCAGCTCGATCCGCTCAAAGCGCCGCTCCACACCCACAATGTAGGGACACGGAGCCTCCAGCACCGACAACAGCCGTGCCGGCAGGATCGGGATGAAGATGCTCTCCCACTGCAGCGGATACAGCAGGTTCGCCAGCGCGTGGCAGGCCAGGTGCAGCATGGCGGCGTGTGACGACAGAAAGACGATGCGTGACTCGGCCAGCGCGTGTTCCAGCAGCAACACCACGTTGTCTAGCGAGAGGCAGCGGAAGAGCGCGTAGATGTCGATGTTGCGCGAGCCCGGCAGCTCGTTTGTCGCCTCCTTGCGCGCGTACAGTCGCAGCTCACGCACGCTCAGCTCCACCTGTGTCTTGGAGCTCAGCGGTCCAAACGCCTCGGTGCAGAGGTTGACCACATAACGCTCCAGCGGCTGCCATCGTCCAATCTTGGGCGAGCTCGGCGGCACGCGCAGCACTGCTCCGTCGGCCATCGGCACCACCACCGCCCGCAGCCACTCCTTCCAGAAGGTCATGCGGGTCGCGTCGCGTCCGAGGATGCCGTAGGCCCTTGGTGCCCACAGGCCTGTCTCGCTCGATGTCAGCCCGTCGATGCGCGACGCTGCGCCGTGTCTCAGCGGTCGCAGCATCTCGGCCATCAGCGCAATCTTTTCTTCCACCGTGCTGATCTGCTCGTCCAGCGCCTCGCGCTCCTCCGACCCTGATGCCACGCCCGGTAGCCGCGCCAGTAGCTGCGACAGGTGTGCTCGCTCGCCTGCCAGCCGCATTCCCAGGCTTGCTGCCAGCTCGCGCTCTTCATCCGACATGTGGCCCTGGCGCCACTGCTCGCACCGCTTTTCCACCTCCTCTGCGATGCCCGCCTGCAGTGCCGTCCAGATCGTCACCGAGATCCCGTACACCCGCGACCCGTTGTCCGATGTCATCGTGAAACCGTGCCAGGTCGACCGTGGCCGCTCGTCCGACGACACGATCTGGATGTCGTTGGGGAATGCAAACATCGGTACGTAGTCGGGGAACCGTCCGCGCCGCGCCACCTCTTCCGTCGCCGTCCGTGGCGGATACCGATCCAGCAGCACCGGCTCGAACCTCCGCTTCAGCGGGTGCATGTCCGGGTCTGTGTTCAGCGGTTCCGGTGGCGGGATCACCGAGTTGTAGCTGCTCACCCGCCGGCTCGTCCGTGTCGATGCTGCCCGGCCCACCGGCGTGTGTGACTTGCGCACGTTGCTGTTCATGTCCCGGAAGCTCAGCTTGCGCCGGATGCTGCCCTTGATGCTGCGCAGCGGGCTCAGTCGCGTGGCTGCTGCCTCGGCCGATGGGCCCTCGTCCAACCGCAGCTTCTCTGTCCGCGTACTGGCCACCGTAGGGCCCCCATGGCTGCCCAGACTGCCCATACTGCCCATACTACCCATGCTGCCCATGCTGCCCATGCTGCCCATGCTGCCCAGACTGGTCTGACTGCTAATCGGCATCGGCGGTGTTACCATCGGCGGCCGTCCGTGCACCTTGGCCCCGGCACTGAAGCTCAGGTCCTCGAGAAAGTTCTCGCGCTCGGCCGCAAACTTGATCAGCAGCTGGTCAAAGTCAAAGTCGAGCTGCAGCCCGCCGGCTGTCTTTGCGTTGATCGAGCTGGCCGCCACGTCTGCCAGCGGTCCCGGCTTGCCGTCGTCGCCGCCGAGCCCCGATGGCAGGATCACCTGGCCGGCCTTGATCGTCATGCTGCTCCGGTTGCTCTGCGTGTTGCCCTCCATGTCCTCGAGCGTGAGCGAGAGCCGCCCGTCGAGAGATAGCTTCGAGAGCCGGCTGGTCGAGCTCTGCCGGGCGTGTCGTATCACCGTGGTCGACCGCTGGGGCCGTGACATGTCGGCCACCGCATCGGGCTCGCCATCTTCGTCAATCGTGTCGTCGAGCTGCTGCGAGGGTGGGGGTGGGGGGTCGTTGTACGTGATCGAGTCCACGCCGGCGATCCAGAAGTAGTCGGCCAGAGGTGTGGAGGCCGTGTCCATGATTGGGATCTTGCGAGAGAGAGAGAGAGGGGAGAAGGACAAGGACAGAAAGACGGTACAAACGAGAGACGAATGTTGCCGAAGAGCCGGGAGAGAAGGGAAAAGGCAGGGAAAGGAGAGACGATAAGACGGACAGGAGCTGCAGGATGAAACGGAATTGAGCAGGCTATCGCGGCTTAAAGAAGGCGTCAGACAGCGGCCCAGATGCAGGGACCACGCCGAAAGGCAGAGACCAGGAAGAATAGGACGATGAGGACTAGACTGAGCAAGAGCACGATGCTCCCCGGGATGAAGAGGGAATAGGGGGAAAAATTATCATTCAGACGAGGGGGGGGGGGGACGGCCAGAAACAATGAACCTCGCGGGTCCAGATGCCCGTGCAGAAAAAGGAGGAGAACCGATCCAGGGAAAAAAGGACTACCATCCATGCTGGCTGCTTGGTGCTTGCCAATGGTGCTGCGTAATTGCGGGCAGCTTAGTACGTTTAGGGTGCATGTACGCAGCCGTTTGGGGGACTAGCCTGGGGCGTCGCGTCTGGGCGCGCCTTGGACGTGCTGGGCCCACACTGCCGTTCAGGAGTATGTAGTCGTATGTATTGCACCACGTCTATATATAACACGGCATCGTCGTATACTCTATACACGATCGGGTAAGACAGCAGCACGAAGAGATTCTTCCTCCGTGCTCCGGCCCAGACGGACGGGACAGGGGTGCACGCTGGCTCGTACTGGCAAGATGGCATTTCATGCATTCAGGAACAAGACAGGACCTACGTATGTATTATGTGGCGCGTACAGGTATGGGTACAGGTATAGGTACAGGTATAGGTACAGGTATAGGTACAGGTATAGGTACAGGTATAGGTACAGGTATAGGTACAGGTATAGGTACAGGTATAGGCGCTCGTACAGGTACTCACAGGCACTCATGCAGGCGCTCAGGACGCACAGCCTCTCGTACAGGTACTCACAGGCACCCATACAGCTGCAGCTTGTAAGATACTCGTTCCTTGCATCTGCTGTTTGCCGTCTGCCTGTTTCCTGTTTTCCATCCATAGTGCCGCCCCCACAGGTTTATCTGCCCCTTTCTTCGCTCGCCCGATAGTCCTATCTTCGCCTCGTGCTCCAACAGGCGTCGGACCTTTCTTGCACCGTTTGATGGATCTTGCTAGCCCTTCTGCTCTCCGCCCACAAGCGGCGATCCATCCTTGTCCACACCCGCACAGAGTACGTGTCACCTCTCACCCTCAACTCCCTTCACTCCCTCCACTTCTCCTGTACTCTGTTCTCCGTACGAAGAACGCCCAGGCCTCACGCAAGCACCCGACGGCCGCTCTCCACCGCAATACGATACAGGGTAGCCGGGCTCGGCGGTCAGAACGAATGGGCGCCATCAGACGACAGGCTGGACGAGAATCAAGAATTCGTCGTACAAATACTTACTATGTACTTAGTAAGCTGCCAGGCACCACCAGCACGACGCACAGCGGCCGCACAGCGGCAGCCCCAGTCGTACGACAGCTACGCCAGAAGGCCGCACACCGCCTGCGCAGAAGAGTGCGGAGTACTCCGTACATTGTAAGATATTATTGTAAGATACTCCGTAGTATGGTTACTGGCCTTGTCCAGGCGTTACATCGCCCCTAGGATTTGTGATTCCAGGAGCCCCTGGCATAAGGTGGCGATGCAACCGTGAGGAGAACCAAGTCTTCTTCCTTGGCAGAGCTGCTGCACTTTCTTTCCATTAAGATTGCACCCGAACCTTCCGTCAGTGGCCTTGTCGACCAGACCTCGCTTCCAGGGCGGTGTGCTGCCGTCGTAGTGGCTGGCGAGGCGTAACAGCTCGTCACCAGCGCGTCACCAGCTCGTCACCACATCGTCACCACATCGTCACCGCGCCGATCGCGTGCCCAGCGTGCCCGTCGTCAGGAATCCGCGGTTGCCCATCTCGCTGCGCCATCCGATGCCCAGCACGCCGAAGAGCAGGCGTCCGTTGGGCTGCTCCGGCACGAGTCCGGGTCCGGTCTCCTCCAGCAGAAAGCAGACCTGTTCCACCTCGCCGGGGTGCAGCACCGGCTTCTGTCCGTCCTCCCAGTCGTATTTGTCGTACGTCAGCGACCGCTCCAGCTCCAGCTCCACCCGCTCCAGCTGGATCACGTCCTCGCCGCAGTTTTCCAGCTGTGCCTCGAGCGCCCAGCGCCGCCGCATGTCGCCCGCTCGGCCGGCTGCGTACGGTCCCGCCTTGGTCCGCACGATGAGCGACGCCTTGCAGATGAACTGGTACAGCTTGCGGAACGTGCGCGTGCGTCCGCTCGTCTCCGTCGCTTCGTAGTAGCTGACCGTCACCGCCAGCACGTGGTTGCCCTCTTCCTTGAGGTCGAACCGGACCACCTTCTGCAGCGTCTGTCCGGACGCGAGGTCCGTCCCTGCATGCAAGCCCAAGCCGGCCCCGTCGCCGTCGTCAGTCTCGGGGCCCAGCACCAGCTTCACCGGCTCCGCTGCCGAGGGCGTCTTCATCTCTGCCTCGATCTGCACGTCGCGGATCGAGGCTACGGCCGATGCCGCCTTCTCCTTCGACCACCCCCCGTCCTCCACGTCCGCCGCGTCGTGGTTCGCACATAGCGTGCACGCAAACGTCTCGCCCACATACGCCGACCCAAACGACGGCGGCAGGTTGAGCACCGGGCTCAGCAGAAACGGGTCCGTGTTGGTGGCCGCGCTGTCTGGCCCGCCACCGCCATAGGCAATCGAGGCCGGCACCGTCGGCGGCGGAAGTGCGGTCGAAAGCGGTGCCGCAACCGGATACTGTGTTGCTAGCGATGGATGGGACAGCCTGCGTCGGAGTAGGGAGTCAGCACGGAGTCGGGTGTCAGCAACACTGGTCAGCCGTGGCTGCCTGCATACCGCAATACTTTCAGCGAGATCGGATGCGGCTCCTTGGCCTCGTGCGCCGTATACCGGTTGTGGCTCATTGCTGCGTCGAGGTGGGCGGGCCTGCAGCCGACATCATCGTTTGCACCGAGTTTGGCTTCGTCGTGGCAGACCGTTGAATATGCAGTTTTGGTGATGTACGGAATAACCCGTATTCTGATTCAGCCTCTACAGGGATATTGTCACGTGATGCTTAAACCCCACATATTTCAGCCGTCATATTGATAGTTGAGAGCTGGCGCCGCATCGACTTTCCACTTCTTGGCGCCCTTCCAGTTTCCCCTACTTCTTGTTTCTTCACCTTTCTCCCTTGATGATGCGACGGGACCGTCCGGCCTTGCCGTTGCGCCACGTCGACGGCGGCTTACACATCATCCACGCATTCAACGGCCGCCGTGAGCCGACAAACTTGCCACCAGGACTGAAGACGTCGATGACGGGCCAGTTGTAGTCTGCCTCGGCAACGGGGCCAGTCTGGGTATCCGATAAGTCCAGCGTCTGCAGGATGCCAAACTTGTCTTCCCGGTCAGCCTGCTCCATGCTCTCCGTCCTCCTCTCCGTCCTCCTAAATAGTTCTTTCGTGCGCACCTGCGCCACCACCTCGACCCAGCCGCAGCCCTCGATCAGCAGGTCCAGTGCCACCACGCGGTACGGTAGCCGGTCGACCGCAATGTTGGCCGCGTCCCTGCGCGTGATGGGCCCAGCCCGCAGACGGGTCACGTCGTGGCACAGCGCAAACGAGCCGGCCAGCCGCACGTCTGCACCCACGCCCACAGCCGCCAGATTCGGCACCTGCAGCTCGCTCGTCTGCTGCTGAATTGCCACGGCCTTGTCCGTCAGCGTGCGGTGAGCCGGCAGTGGCGAGAAGTTGTAGGTCAGAAAGACAACGTCGGGCGTGCGCGGCGTGATGCGCACCAAGCCACCCAGCAGCAGCGACTGCCACGGGCCCTTGAGCACCTCCTGCTCCGGCTGCACGCGCAGCTTCATCACCAGGTCGTCACGATGCTGCGGCGCCACCACCTCGGCCAATCCCCGCCGTGCCAGCCCCGGCAGATCGATCAGCTCGCCGCGTCCCCCGCCAAATGGAATCCGGATCGGCGATGCCGTCGTGCCGGCCACTGCTGACACCACCGGCATCTGCGGATAGTTCGTCTCGGTTGGTCGTGGCGGCAGCAACAGTCCCGGCTCGCCGAGATCCTCGTCCTCTTCGTCCACACCCTCCAGGCTGTATGACCCCGATGAGGTCCGCTCCAGCGACAGCAGTCGCTTCGGAGCTGCCTTCTCTACTCCCATCCGTCCCTTTGGAAACACCTGGTGCACAAGGTTGCTCTTGCCCACGTTTGCCTTGCCTACCAGCCAGCTCGCGCCGCCACGCTGCCAGACCTCCTCGCGCAGCTCCGTCGTCCACCAGCTGCGTCGCGCGCTGACACACCGCACGTTGCCCAGCCGCACGTGGCGTCCCATCCGGCCCAGCGCGTCGCGTAGCGTCTCACGCACCCACGTCATCATCCGGTCCACCTGCTGCTTGTGTGGTGCAAACAGGTCTGCTCGCGTGATCACAAAGCTCAGCTCCGTCTTGCGGTTGCCAAAGAACTTGCCTCGTCGTGCCCGCCGGTTGCGTGACCGCAACGGCATCGTGTCCAGCAGCATGTCAATCCGTGGCAGCAGCGACATCGGGAAGTCGGCTGCATCCAGCACGTGGTACACATGGTTGTACTTGTACGGCGACTCGGCAATCGTCTCGCGCACCGCATCCATGTCCGGCTGGTAGATCGCCGTCCCGGCACTGTGGTGCACCAGATCGTGGCAGCGCCTGCACAGGATTGATGGCCATCCCTTTGTCCGCCCGTCGGTCTCGTCGCTGTGCTCTCGCAGCGAGAGCTCCTGGCCCGAGTTGCTTTCCCACAGAAGCCCTCCCAGATCGACGCCCTGTGCCTCCAGCGCGCTTCTGTCGATCCGCCGGAGCGCCTCTTCCACCACCCGGTCCTCCTCCCGTACCCGGGGCTTCTCCCGCACCGCCAGCCCCATGTACTCCATCGTCGATCGCCGTCCGAGATCAAAGAAGCCCGCCTGGTCCGCCTGTGTCGTCTGTGAATACGCCCCGCATCCGGGGCACTGCAGTGGTAGCTTGCGCAATCCGGCAGCTGGCACATCATCCGCAGAAGCATCATGTACCGCTGTCGCAGCTGAGTACACGAACCGTCTCTGTGATCGCACCTGCTGCCACGTCGACTGGGACTGTTGTCGGCTCGGCCCTCTAAGTCTTGGCCGTTGAGCCTGTGCCGTCCAGACGGCCGGGCAGAGAAAGGCAGGAGGCAAAACCGGGACAGGACCGCTGGTCACTGAGTCCACGGCAAATACTGCCCTCAGCCAACCCCTCGCGCTTGGTGCCATTGTTGCCTATGAAATCGGTGGTGGGAGATGCTGAGCTCAGAAAAAAGTTATAAAAGGCTAAATCTGATCTTATCGGCGCGCCACGTGATCCAACCCACCTTACAGGGCTTTGCGCTAGAGTCCGCCTGCTGTTGGCGCTGCGCTTTTCGGATACAGCAATAGGCAGAAAAAAGTTGTCATCGAACGACTTCAACGACCTCAACGACCTCACGGCCACCACGCCTCACACGATTAACGTCTGCGACCAACCAATTCGTCTCAGGGAGTTCGGTAGAGCTCGCAAAGAAGCCCAACATGGTTGGCGTCGCACGGCGCATGAACAAGCTGAAGGCTGTGAGTTGCTTCGCATCCCCATCAGCAAGCTTTCGATCGATGCTAACTCCCCTCTCTCTCTCTCTCGCTATAGCAGGTAGATATCCTTCTGCTGCGGTCTCTGACGCCTGCTTTTTCTGGGAAAACGTGAAACTGACTCGCCCCAAAGCTTCTCAACATACGACACGGTCCCGGGGCTGCGCTTCTGCCTTCTGAGGTCTCAAGGATACACCTGGAATTCGCCCAGCGGTGGAACGACGGACAGTATGGCCCCAGGTAAGAGAGATGGCCCAGAGCCTGGACCGACCGCTTCGAGCGGTACCGTCACCCGAAGCTGACAAGCATGCAGAAAATTCTGGCAGACCTGTTTGCCGCGCCTGAAATACTGGAACCCGGCCGTTCCTATGATCGTCAACCGCACATCCGAGGCCACCGGTCCGGCCACTCTGACCATCTACTTTCGCCAGAAACAGGAAGGCGTCATAGCAGCCGCAGAAGCCACTGAAGCAGAACCACAGCCTAGCTCGTCTTTTGTCGGCGAGTCCAAGGCTCCGCAGCCCACCCCCACCGAGCGCACCGTCCAGATCGACATGAAGGGCCTGCGCTCAGACGCCATCCTCCAGGATTTCCTCAGCAAGTCTGGTGCCATCCCAGTCTCCCCATCGTCCCAGGAGCAGGCCGACATGCGCGAAGTCGAGGAGCGTGCCGAGCGCGCCAGCGTCGACCGTGAGGTTATGCTCAAGTACCTGACAGCTCGGCGACGTGAGGCAGCTCTGCTGGCCCAGGCAAAGAGCGAGGTAGATTCTTTGAAGCAGAGTGTATGAGTCTATAAGCTTTGGTTGCTTGTACGATAAAAACAACCCATCTTCCCGCAGTGTTGATTATGTATGCTTTATAATCTATGCAATTGTTTTGTATTCACGCTTGACTCTCACGGCCTCTTCACTTTAGGCCAAACCCTTCACTCTCGTTTACGGCTTCCCACAGCCTCTTTTGCAGCGCCTCTTTGGATCGGTAGCGATACAGAGTCAGTGTGTTAAAACACGTTCTTGCCGTTGGGTATCGTCCAGTGTCGTTGCCAAGGCAGAGGATGCGGATCGACAAAGACGCCGGTCCTGTCGCAGGTATACGGTCACTCCCCGTGATGAATGTCAGTAGCTTCCGCTGGTCTTGCGGTGATGCTTCCTCAAAAGCCTGCCAGAACCACCGAATGGTCGGCTCACTCTCCGGCGAGCTATGCGCGCCCCAGTTGTCGTAACTCGCAGCCATGCGCAAAGAAGTAATATCCAGCCGCTCGTCAGACCCTCGTACCAGAAGCTCGATCTCTTCCGGGCGGAAGAGAAGCAGCGCGTTGGAATCACAGACCGTAAAGAATCCCCGCTTGAACGGTTCAAACTGTTGAGACACGCCGGTATCGAGCAGGTACCGGACATACAAGTGGACATACTCCCGCCGATTGGACCCTGTAACTGGGCGCTTTTCACCATCGACACACAGGGGCACCTGCTCCATCACTCCGTACTTCTCGGCGGGTATGGTAAAGTCGAGTGAAAAGGCCGACTCGACATCACCCTCGTAGTCGAGAAGCTGCTGAAGACCCTTGGCGAGCCCTGGTCGGTACTCTGCAAGATCTGCCAGCGTGTAAGAGATAGGCGGTCGGGTCATCCCGGTTATCATTCCCGCAGGCGCCTCTGGTCCGGCAAGCAGAAGCTTGCGGAATGCAAATGGTGGCAAGGCAATGTCCAGGATAGTCGAGTTGTAGATCGCCAAGCCCAGAACGACCCCAACCAAGAAAAACTGGTCCGATGTCTCGAATGAGTTGGGGTTGAAATAGCAGTACCGGGAATCGTCATTGTACGAAAACATGCCTATAGTAGCTGCCGTCAGTCCGATTTCTTCCAGCTGTGGCACAGACAAGAAAGGCAGAGGAACGTACCGTGGTCTGGATTGAAAACTTCCCGTACGAGCAAGAGGAACCATTCTTTGCGAAGCCCGCCGGCATCAATGCCCTCTTCTCCTCTAAAGACAATACGCAGCCCTTTTTTGAGGTCCTCGCCGCCACTGCCAACTGCTTCGCTCACGGCCGTGAGGCTGTCGTCGACGAGACAGTCCCTCCTGACTCTTAAGCTAAAATGCTGGTCAAAGTCTCGGTGTGTCATGATGCTGTCAAAGAAGGCATCTCGCGCCTTGGTCCTCATCTGGCGATGTGCTTCGTGTTCGAGAATCTGGATCTTGGCCCAGATGCTCAGCAAGAAAGGATAGCGGCAAAACGTAAACTTTGGCGTCTTGAGCTCCCAAGACTCGAAATCCGCTACCAGATCGCAGTTGTCCAGCAGGGTCATGTAGAAGTCAGACGTCGGCAAAAGCTGGCCGTTCAGGTTCGCGCGTGGGCCCATCCCTGGTTTTTCTTTGTCATCGAGCAGACCGTCCGACGCGTGTCGATGCGCATAGGCTGCGCTGTTCGCATTGAACAGAAGGCCCAGAACGCGAACGGCGGCCTTGATCTGCCAATCGTCGCCATGGGACAGCTTTTTCTCGGCCTTGGTCTTCGGTTTCTTAGCCGGCCCCGATGTCTGGCTGAGTGCTGCCTGCAGCGACGCAGCCGATGCCCCTTCTGACACTCTGGGCACCAGCTCCTCTGCAAATTCGTCCTTGGACTCCTCCTTCTTTTCGTTGTGGCGCACCAAGCGGTACGCCAAGAAACCGCCCACTAGATCTTTCATCTGCATGAAGCGGGCCACTGAGAAGTGGGAAAAGCAAGAAGTCACATGGCGCTGCCGCTCATCGGATGCGTTCGAGATCAGTCCCAAGATGCGCTTGATAATGACTGAGTGTTGTCCAGATGCCGGTCCATTCCCGCGACTTGCTTCGTGCTTTTGTTGGTGCCGTGACTGCTGGGTATGTGCAGTACGCTGGAAGACCCCGGCGAATGGTCGGCACGAGGCGTGTAAGAGCGGGTTTGCCAGTGCCATAATCAGGAATCGGAAGTCGCCCGACTCGCCTATGCGACGTCCCGGCCGTTTGAGCACAGTTTCTATAGCCTTCAGTAGCACCCGCTGTACGTGGTTCTGCCCCTTTAGAATTTCGGCCTCGATCTGCTCAAGTAATATCTTTGGTTGTGACACGCAAGTATTAGACTCAACAAGGTGGTTGTACACTTCGGTCCATGTTGCCCCAACGTTGACAACCGTATTGAACCACTCATCCACAGCAGGCCAGTCGATTCGTATGGGCCTGGTTGCACAGCTGGAGCTGCTCACAACTCCACTCTCGCTCCTCTGGCGGCGATGATCGGGGTGTGTTGGCCTCCTAGGAATTTGGTGCCCCGTCCACCAAGAACCATTTTCAGCAACGTCCCCAAGAAGAAGAAGCTTGTGGTCCAGTTCGGGAAGGCCCGATTCTCCTACAGACACGGAGAGGTCCTCGTGGGCATAGGAGGTGTGGTGGCTCGCCTCAGAGACCTCACGACGGTGTCCTTGGTTGACAACGGGCTGACTGGGCACAAACGAGCTGTCCAGACAGTTGATGGATAAGAAATGCGTGATAATGTCGTCTTCCAACTGCTTAAATATTCGCTTCGCTTCTGTTTCTTCCCGGGTCTTATCGACACCTTGTGGAAGCGTCTGGGGGAAGGAGTGGACACTCGGCAAACGAGAAGGCCGTTCTCCTAACACAGGGCCGGGAGGCGTAGGGAGAAGCTTTTGGGTGGTTTTAGAATTTCGTGGGGGCCGGTTGCTAGGAAGAGCTCGGCGAGTTGGGCTATTCGCAGTCCGGGCTCCGGAGTCAGAGGGAGGAAATAGAGGCCTGCCTGACTCGGCTCTGTCTGTACCGGCAGCAACTGTAGGTCCGGTGGAGGAGATGTCCGGCCGTTGGTTTGCCTTCAAAGGGGAGGAAGCAGAGGAGGGCGTCGGGTGCATCTGTCTTGGCGGAACATCGTGGCCGGCATGGACGTTTGACAGGACGGCAGTGAGATAGGACCGAATGCACTGCTGAGCCAAGGCCCTAGTCCGTTCGACCGAAATCGGAGCACCATCTGAATGGAGTCTATGTCAGCATGGTAAGAGCACTGCCTGGAGCAAAGACGGTGGGCTGCTTCTCACCATCTCTAGCCTGTGAGGCTCGAGTGTGCTTTCCGGAGCCAGTAGCCGGCACCCTCCCACCAGGCACAAGGTCGTTGACAGTCAGGCAGATGCTGCACCTGAAGGCTTCGACACCCTGGGCCCACCGCATGAGAGACCCGCAGGTTATGCAGGGCCCGGTTGTGAAGCTGTTTCCACGGCCTGGACCAGCAGCTGCCAGCGAGTGCAGCGGGGCTTGCTTGCTGCCCCGTGACTTGTGCATCGGGCCGGCTTCATCGCTGGACTCCGAGTCGCTAAAGCCAGAGGGAGACTGGTCTCTGGCCTTTTTTTTTTTCTTGGTCGAGAACAAGGACGGGAACGGATTGCTCATGGAGCGTCCGTGGCTCGGCTTGGAGGGATGGCGGGAGTGCTGAGCGTCGGAATCGGAGCTCGATTCGACCTGGAGCTGGGCAATATCTAGGGATCCGAGGCTGACGGGATCTAGGCTATTAGAGACTGTAGGGTTTAGGTTCGTGGGTAGAGGATCGGGGTGGGCTCTGCGTCGAGACGCGTGTGCTGCTGTGCTAGGAGTACGGTGGTGGTGCGAAGTTGTTCTGCCGTCTGCAGGAGAGGATGTCTGGCCCAGCGGCCCGACTGGTGGCCAAGCCATTGCGTTGAGACGACAAAACGGACAGTGGGCTGCATCTGGAAATGGAAGGAGGTCTGAGGAGCCGAGGAAAGAGCAGTGCATACGTCCTAGGTCGCTGCTCCCTTGACTGCATGGAGATGGAAAGAACGGGGCCAAACACCCTGCGCCGTTTTTGCTGTAGTTTCGGCAATCAAAGTGCGGGAAAGCGGATTGGTGGGTCATAGCCGCTAAATATAGTATAGACAGGGGGCAGACAGCTCCAATACACGATGTCTTGTACCGAATTTGAAAGGACGGAGTAGTTCAAAACCGACTAACTCACAGCGAACTTAGATGCTGGTCGGAGAGACTGCCGGGAGAATTGACAGCAGACTTGTTTATAATCAATAGAAGGCCTATGCAGTCTACCACCCCAAGTTTTTTACGCTACAAATTGCCAGCTGCAATGGCAATGTTAGAGGAGTGCCAATCGTACTATTGGTACGTAAAGTACCCCTTACAGAAGCAGTCTTTCGTATCAGATGAAACCTGATGCCTTCAAAAGCACTTATGGAGCTGCTGATCGTGCTCTAATCGCACTATGCGTTGTTTCTTACAACTTCCCTACAAAATTGTACTATCAGATCTCAGTGCGTAAGATCAGTATGTTTAATTTTGTCAAAATACCGGCTAGTTTGATTGAGTTAGGTGTATAGCAGGAGAGTGGCTCAAGTACGTAAAATGCGAGTACACTACTTTACAGTACATTAGTTCGTCTACTGATTAACAAGTTTTATACTCGGCTGGCCAACGGACAGCGAGGGTACAATCCCAGGGCCGACGGTTGTGATCAAGTGTTAATCTGTACTCCGTACGAAAGACTGAATACCGTGGTGTGTGGTTCTATGACTATAGAGTCGGACGGAATCTGGCAGGGGTGGGAAGGTATTAAGTAGCCGAACGTTGTGTTTGCTGTGGTTTTGTATCGTACTATGTCTACCTACTTGCTGCTCATGGCTGTTGGTAAAAAATCAAAAGCACATCGCACACTGGGCATATCAATGGGACGTGAACCCATGCGTTTAGGCCGCACTCATCTTCCATTGTGGGTTATCGTTTATCAAAGACACATATTTGACGTGTAAAACCGCCCTCACTGCTCCCCACTGTCGACCACGATGTAATTCCCAGCCGTCCTTGTGGCCAAGCCGAGCACATCCCACTCTTCTGTGCTTGCGGTGGCTACTGTGTGCTGGCGTCTGCGCGGGCGCTTGCGGTGTCCGAATGATTCTTCCTGGAGCAGGGCCTGCTCGAGTTGCTTGATGCCGATTGTTTGCTCCTGAATCGCCTCACGAGTCTCATCCCGGATCGACTGGAGTGGTCGGAGACCGGCGGTATTGACGCCTTGGACGTCGCGAACAAAGTGCAGTTGGGAACGGAGAGTCTCGATCTTGGCCGCCTGTTCGTCAGGTGACGATGGAAGTGGAAGGGCCGAGAGACGGAGGAGATGGCGAAGCAGAGCCGGAGTGATGGCAGCGTCTTCATCCGATGCGCCAGACTTCTGGCTTGGCAGCAGAGCACGGACTGACCATGTTGGTCGCTCAAGCAGCTTGGCAACGTCGACGTCGGAAGGTGGGCTGCTGGTGCTCCACGAACGGCAATTCGACCTACTCAGACGTGCAGCGGCCAATACTGTTCGTGGCGCAACAAAGAACGAGGCCGCGAAGGCTGTCGAGGACGCCATTTGGCTGTGGGGTGTCGTCTACTTTTATCACTACGCAGTCCACAGTGCGGGACGGTTTGAGTTCTCGGTCAGTGTTCTGTCGGTGGGCGGTGAGTAAACGTAGTCACGTGGTATTCATTGCAAGCAATCAGGTGCATCTCTAGCCTGTCCCATTGCTAGCTCCCCGCTTCCGTTTCAGGCGGCCGCATTCTCGTCCAGCCACATCCTCGTCATAGCTTTAGCCATCGGCCCCTCCTGACAAAAGACGACCCCCCTGAAGATTTGCAGTACTTACAACTACCTGTCGAGAGTTTCAGTCTCTACACAGGATATTGCTCAGTGCACCGACAAGTTCTGACACCATGGCTGATCCGCGTGCCTTGCTCCAAAAGGTTCCATCCCTGATGCTCTCCACAGGTCTTGATTGGTTTCATTTCTAACGTTCGGACAACGTAGGCGGAGAAGACGGCGGCCAGTGCTGGCAGTGGTTTTGGCTTTTTCGGCGGACGCGAACAGAAGTACTTCGACGCAGCCGATCTTTACACACAGGCGGCCAATGCGTTTCGGTTGCAGAAGAGTAGTAAGCATCAGGACCATGCGCGAGAGAGGCTGGGCATTATCTGGATTTCGACATTGCTGACCGGCTGCCTCGTCGCACAGATAAGGAAGCGGGCAAGGCGTTTGAACTGGCTGCTGCCATCCAGAAGAACAACTTGAAGGAGCCCGATGACGCTGCCAACACGATGAACGAGGCGTTCAAGGTGTACCGCAAGGAGAGCCCGGAAGATGCGGCACGGTGCCTGGACGAGGCTATTCAGCACTACTGCGCCCGTGGTAACTTCCGGCGAGCAGCAAAGCAGAAGGAGGATTTGGGCGAGATTTACGAGCTGGAGCTGGGGGACCCCAAGAGAGCTCTGGAGAGCTACGAAAACGCGGCATCCTGGTACGAGGGTGACAATGCCCAATCGTGCGTCTCCCATTTCCCACTCCTCTGTCCCGTCTTGGTTGTTGGAAGCTAATTGTCTTGCAGACTGGCCAACAAAAACTGGCTCAAGGTTGCCGACCTCGCCGCCCTAGAGGGTGATTACTACAAAGCGATCGAGCAATTTGAAAAGGTGGCACAACAGTCCATTTCCAGCAACCTTATGCGCTATTCGGTTAAGGACTATTTCCTTAAGGCTGGTCTCTGCCATCTGGCGACCGGGGACTTGATCAGCGCACAGCGTGCCCTCGAAAAAGTCCGCGAGCAGGACCCGAGCTTCGCCATGCAGAGAGAGAACCAACTGCTGGTTGACCTCGTGGAGGCTATCGAGGCGGGTGACGCCGACAAGTTTGCTGAGAAGTTGTTTCAGTACGACCACATCAGCAAGCTGGACCGGTGGAAGACCACGATTCTCCTGCAGATTAAGTCCAAGATCGAGGAGGCCGATAACGAGTTTGCATAAGAGATGGCGGACGCTTGCAGGTTGTTCTATTACACAGTTTCCTTTATCTCAGGATTGCGGAATATTTTTCGCGTACGCAGTCACGCTACTTAGTATCTTCGGCATCCATTATATGTGAGAGGTTGAAATTATTACAACACTTAGGACCTTTTCGGACAGATACTGCCGTCAACAGAAGCAGAACGCAAGCCACGGTTCTTAGGGCGTTGTCCGCGATGTCCTATATCACGTAACAATGGTTTAACTCAGGCAGTGGGCTGCGGACGGTAGACAGGAGGTGGCAAAAAGGGAGAAGACTGGGCTTCGTACGATGCTGCCATACAGGATCGCGGGGCTGCGCGGAAGCCAGAAACGCATGTTCAATCTGAAGACGACTTCGCTTAGTATATGTAAGCGGTATTAGTAACTCCATATGCGTTAGATGAAATGCAGACGTTGATATCAAAGGACAGAGATGAGCATTTCATGTGGTGTTTTTTATTCTTTTCCTTTACTTTCCACTTAGCCTTCTTCCCTCCCACGCGATATAAAAGAAAATAAAACCCTTTTGACGTGCCCGTCACCTGAACAAAATAAATGAACTCCCAATCGGCTTTTGTGTTCCGTTGATGTGTTATACTACTACATTCGGGCGCCGTTTGCAATAGGTAGGGTTGGTTGGCTTCGGAGAGAAAGATGATGCTATTGTCGCTTTTGACGTCTTTCTTATTGGTACCCTCCTTCGTTCTGGACGGTCTTAAGACGGGGGGGCAGCACCGCGGCCACGGCCGAAACCGCCACGGAACTGAGGAGCAAACTCGCCAGGGGCACCGCCCTCCTTGCCCTCGCCAGCATCCCGTCTCCGGTAACCACCCTCGCGGTCTCCCCGCTCACCACCACGGCCACGGCCGCCAAACGGCCGCCGCTCGCGCTCCTCGCCGCCCATCATGCCACGAGGGGGGGCATGCGATCTCTGCTGCTTGATGTGGGTGGAGGGGACGATCTCGGCCGGCAGATGGAGCCACTCCCGGAGGTAGTCGAGACCCTATATGACGAGCATGTTAGCCCGAAACACTTTCAGAATGTCCCAGTCGGCTAGATGTGTTCAATGCCGAAGGGATGCATAGCTGGCAAGTTTCGTACCTCAGGAGTCAGGGTGTAGTAGTACCACTGCCACGAGAACTGGGTCTTGACGAAGCCCTTCGAGGTGAGGGACTGGCAAGCCTATTCGGGAGGTTATATTAGCCACTGGGTTCGATTTATACAGCATTCGCTTCCGTGTTTTCTTGTTGCTGTTCTCTCGTCCAAGGGTTTTCGGCATATCCCACCTTGATCACGAACAGGTTCTTGGTGTCGATCTCCGGGTGAGGGATCTCGTAGCTGCGATGGGGAAAAAAGGTCAGTCTCTTCCTGTATTAAAAGACGGCACCAGATTCCCCTTCGCAGGCAGCGACTGCGAAATCCCGGCGATTTTGAAGCGTCCTAGCGAATGCGCCAATGAGGTGTTCTGAGTGCCTTCTCGGAGTACAAACATACTTTTTCGGAGCCACGAGGACACCCTCACGGAAGAGGGACTCGTGGATCTTCTTGCGGTCGGCCTTCGGAATCAACATCTTGAATTGCGTTCGACGGGATGCTGGTTGGTGATGTTTGGTCGAAGAGTGCTGATTGCGGTGGTGGGAAAGTAAAAGAGACAAAAAATTATGGACTATTACTACCCACAACACACAGAATCTAGGGTGAATTTTTTGTGAAAGTTTCCGTTCGTGCACGGGCCAGTAGGGCTTTCGCCAAAATACAGCCACACCCAGCCCCGCATGCAGAATGACCCACCTAAGCACAGCCACACATTCGTCGTTATCTTTTCAGTCCTCCAATCTAAATTGCAAGCTTCCATCAGCTGTGATACATAACTACGAAGAAATATAAGAAATCGCCGTCAATCACCTTATAGCATAAGACTGCGAAGTAAACGTCATATCAACGAAGAGAAAGACGAAAATGGATGAGAAGATAGTGAATGTGCTCGTGGCGGGAATTCCAAGCGAGGGACACCCTTCAACATATTCTCTCCCAACCTCGACATCTACAACCATCAGCGAACTATGGGACATCATCTACGAGGTCTTGCCACCCATCCAGTCTCGTCTGATTCTCACCACCCTCTCCAATAGACAGCTTCTAGGTACATCGGAGCGAACTATTTGCGGCCTGCTCTCTTCTCCTGAGGATGACTTCATATCTCTTCGTCTGTCGCTCCCCGTCCTCGGTGGCAAGGGCGGCTTTGGCTCGCAGCTGCGTGCGGCTGGTGGCCGCATGTCCTCAAAGCGGAAGAAGAACAACCAGGGCGAAGACAACGGGTCTAGCCGCAACCTGGATGGTCGCCGGCTGCGCACAGTGACAGAGGCCAAGGCACTGGCAGAGTACTTGGCCATCAAGCCGGACATGGAGCGCAAAGAGAAGGAGAGGAGGCGTAAGCGCTGGGAGCAGATCATCGAGATGACGGAGAAGAAGGAAGACGATATCAAGCACGGTGGTCGCGGTCGATTAGACGGGAAGTGGGTCGAAGACAAGGACGAAGCGAACGACCGCACGCGTGCAGCCGTACTCGCAGCGATGAAGAAAGGCCAGTTCACCGATGTTGGCAGCGGTCTGCAGCATCTGAGCACGTCGATCGGATCCGGCACCTCGGCGTTTGCATCGGCAGAGTCGGCCAGTGGCAGCAACGATGAAGTCGAGAGCGAAGATAGTGACGCCAGTGACTCTGCGTCTTCGGAGCCGAAACCGACATCTGCATCTGTAGCAGCCGCCACAACCGGTCCCGCCAAAACCAACAGCAAAGGGAAGGGCAAGGCGTTCTTTGCCTTCGATGAAGATGACGAGTTTATGAGCTCCGACGAGAGCGATGGCGAGGAGGCCAAAAGCAACTAGGCGATGCAGTCTGGCAACGTTGAGTCTGATACTGTTTTTTTCTTGATACCTGGGTACTTGCGGTTAGTTGCATGGCGTTTTCACTGTTGAAAGGTACCCTGTTAGATTTGTTCGGTTGGAACTCTTTCACAACCTGTGCTTAACATAGCGTATAATCACGATTAACATATTACGTGTTCTGCTGGCAAACAACCTGATATCATGGTTGCAAGAACATCGTGATGGATTGCTTATGACTTCAATACCGGGCACTGGCTGAGGACTGCCTGCTTACGTAGCCGTTTATCAGTCACCTTAATTCCGCCAAATTACAGTTACCGTGTGCAGTCACACTGACGAGACGGGTGACGCCTTTTGGTCGGCTAGCTGATGATAAACAGGCCAAACACTCAATACTAGATACTCAAGGCCAGATCAATTCAGATCAACATAGAACTCAATTAGCGTACAACTTCAGGGTAGAAGTATTGACACAAGACGATGTAAAAAGGATGCGAAAACTTCAACCTGTGTCTGCAATTTCTACACGTGCTCCTCTTTGTACTATATGGAAGACCTCCTGATCCATTGAACCCTACCATTCTGACGACATCTCCAGCTTACTCCAGGCGTGCCGGAAAGCTGCCCGCCTCTCTCTGCTCATCCCAGCGCTTGTACTAAATGCGGCTGTCAGTAAAGCGTGTCATACATACGTATAACGAGCTGTCTTTCTCGTGGACTTACCCAGGCGCTAGGGCACAGGGACCGGTAGGCCAGCCAGAACTGCAGATAATGTCAGCATGCGCGAAGTCAGCCATACAAACAGACAACAGCAACCGCATGACGCTGGGATTCGCGGTACGGACCTGGCGGCAGGGGGCGAAATCCTCGCCCTTGGCCAGAATGCACTTGTGGTAGTCGACGTAGTTTTGCCAACAGTGCTTGGTCTGGTTCGTATTGGGGAACCGGGCGTCGACACCTAAAAAATGAAAAGACACATGTCAATCGTAGATGTTCTTTTGGCGCCTAAACGAATCCCGCGCTACCGCACTTTCGCTATGGAACTGGGGATCTCGAGGAACGCAATTGTCGAGTCCACATCCTTTCGAAGCTATCTCGAGAGCGCAAATTGGTGAAAATGGGGAGGAAGGAGGATGGCATACCAGCTGTGAGTCGAGGTCAGTGTCAGCCATACGGTGTCATACGATGATTGTGATATTTTTTTCTCTAATCTTGCTCCGGCAGCCGAGGGGACGAAATACGTACCTGTGACGAACTTGAAGGGCTTGGAGACACGCTCGTCGTCGGACATGTTGGGCGATTTGGCTAGGGTCAATTGATCGTGGTGTTCGTGGTGGCCGGCAGGGCGATTGGTGTTTTGAGGGGAAGTCGGAGAAAGAAGGAGGACATGAGCTGTTTGAGGGCGGAAGTCGTTGGCCTGGGATTAGGATGAGCGCAATTCGTTCGTTCGGAGCAATGGGGTGGGTAGGCCATTTCTGGCCTTGGAATTCAGGCGCCGACAGGCGTCGATGGGCTGATTTCGACATTATTTTATTTTATTTTTTTCTCGTACTGTGTGGCCCGACCAACCGAAGGCCAGCGAAAAGCCGCAGCGCCGGGCTCTGTGTCGGCACCACCCAAACAAAATCCGCCTGTTTTCTCACAATCGCTGCAACGCTTCCTGCCAGTCCCGCCCTAATTTGACGCTCTCGAACCTCCCTAGCCAAAGGTGACCTCATTTTCCCCTTCTTCCATCTTTCGACGTCTCTGACCTCGCCTCGACTCGCCGTCTAACTTTCCGACAGTTCTCAATCTCTCCACTCAACTCTCCACTCTTTCACGATGTATGCCACTCGGGCTCTTCGCATGTTCCGGCCGACGCTCCGCATGATGCGGCCCGTTCCCGTAAGTCTCGGTGATGCTGCCAGATGTCCATGCACACGATTGCTAACAGTCTGGCTGGCAGAAGGAGGAGCAAGCCGGTGCGTGTGGCGTGCTGTTCCATTGACCCCAGACAGCACCGAGACGACTGCCAGTTGCGAGATGCAATTGATTGGAATCGAAAAACTAATCAAGCTTCCCCCGAGATCAGCCCACACCGTCTCTCAGAGGCTGCGCCGCCTGAAGAACATCCCGGCCGAGCTGCTGCCCCTCGGTGCGTATCGGTGTCGCAAGTCTCCAGCCTTCTCATCGTCTTTCCGCTAACACCCGCGTCGCAGGTGTCGTCGTCGGCTTTGCTGTGTTCGCCGCCGGCTACTCCATCACCCGCCACCTATTCGTCGACAAGACCATCCGCCTGAAGCGCCAGAACCGTCTGGCCGATAACGCTGCCCACGGCCACGAGGAGCACGCCGAGGCTGCCGAGCACGCCGAGGCCGTCGTGGAGGCGAAGCAGTAAGTCGTCTCACTGGACCGGGCGCAAGGTAATGCGCGAGAGCTGGACTCGCTGGATTGAGAGGTTCAGCGAGCAGGAAGGCAGCGAAGTCGCAGTATGAACGCAGTTGGCCGACGGTGATCTTTCTTCTGTATAAAACAAAACCACTGGAAAGATAAGAAACAATTGGCCTTTGCTTTTTTGAACTGAAAATTTTGGATATTGCGCCTCCGAATCCGTCCTTCCGTCCCTACTATACGCGACCGATGCAATGATTAAGTGTATGCCATGCTTGTACAGATAAATCAATCAAGATACGTATTCGTATCCCATTCCTTACTCCGGCCTCGGTCCGGCAACGTCCAGTCCCTCTAGACCCTGCATTGGGTCTGCCGGAGCTTCCTGTGTGCCGAGCAGTCCTTGCTCGGCAGCCAATCTGTCTTCTTCGCTTGTTGTGTTCTCGGCAAGCCATGCATCCTAGTTGATGGTCAGCTGCATGCGAACCAAGGCAAAGCACGGACGCATTAGACGAACCTGTTTCCAGAGAGCCGTTCGGCTTCCCAGCCCCTCACTCGCGCTCTTGGGGGCCTTTGCAGCCGTGACTTTGATAATTCTCCCAAAAAACTCGGACTTGTCCATGTTGTCAATGGCCTCCTTCGCGTCGTCGACGTCCTCGTACTCGACATAGGCGAAGCCCCTGTGACCGGGCTCGCCGTCGTCGTCTTGTTGCGGCGCAGTGTCGTCGTTTCTGTCCTGGGCGCCATTCGACCTGTTACTGCCTTTGGGAAGCGCCACATCGGCAATGTCGCCGAACGGAAGAAAGGCGTCCTGCAGGTTGGCCTTGGTCACCTGCGGTCCTAGCCCGCCAACATAAACGGTGGCCTTCCACCGAGCCGTGTCTGTCATTTCGTATCGTGTTCGAGGCCGGAGAATTCTGGGGCGTTGCGCTGCCCAGTCCTGGACTAGAACCTTTTCGACTTCTCATGCGAGCTCGGGAACGTCCTAGGGCAAAAAGCGAATATTGGCTAAAACGGGTGTATGTAAGATAAAATATCTCCGTATTGTTCTATCAGAAAGCAGGTGAAGCTGCGGGGCAATTGCCGTAGCAGTACTGGAGCTACTTATATCACGTGATCACCCCCTGGTGAGTGTCCATGCCACCTGGCGCACAGGACAGGTCAACCAGTTCCGTCCAGCCAAAGGTCCCCTGTGTAGGCAAAAGGACAGACAAGACACATTTCGTTCAAGGGAGGCTTACCAATTCTTGACGCGACGAGCTGCCTTTCTCGAAGCGAGCAGGCGGTTGCTTTCTTTTCTTTTCATTTCTGTCGAAAGTCATCGTGCAGTCCATATTGAGCTGGAATTGAGACTTGTCGAATCCGTTTACCTTTCACGACCTCCGTCCATCGTCTCTCGATTCGTCCAGCATGGTGCAACTCCGGGAGATCCCGCGCACGGCGGTCTTCGCCTGGTCGCCGGGCACGGACAAGCCGTTTCTTGTGACGGGAACGCGTGCTGGCGCAGTCGATGCCGACTTCTCTGACGAGACCAAGCTAGAGCTTTGGGACCTGAGCCTTGACAGCAAAGACGGCGTCGAGCTGCAGCCGGTCCACAGCATAAGCACAGACTCCAGGTGTGTAGCCCCCCTTGTTCTGGGTGCTTGTTTGCCAATGGCTGGCTAACGCAGCTGGCGGTAGATTCTACGATATTGCCTGGGGCCCACCGGACGAGGACTACCCGCGTGGTGTCATCGCCGGAGCTCTGGAGAGCGGAGCTCTGGAGCTCTATGATGCGGAGAAGCTCGCACTAGGCGCATCTGATGCGCTCATCGACAGTACGACGAGGCATAGCGGGGCCATCAAAACGCTGCAGTTCAATCCGATGCGGCCGCAGATTCTGGCGACGGGTGGCGCCAAGGGGGAGCTGTTCATCTACAACATTGGAGACCTCCAGAACCCATTCCGGTTGGGCAACGCGGCAGCGTCGCGTGCGGACGACATCGAGGCGCTCGCATGGAACAAGAAGGTGTCGCATATCCTGGCAACGGGAGGCAGTGGCGGTCAGGTGACGGTGTGGGACGTGAAGACCAAGAAGGCGTCTCTGACTCTTAACAACAACCGGAAGGCTGTCAGCGCGATCGCATGGGACCCGACCAACTCGACCAAGCTCATCACTGCGAGTCCGGATGACAACGCTCCGGTGATCTACCTGTGGAATCTGCGCAACTCGAATGCTCCGGAGAAGACGCTCAGCGGCCACGAGGCGGGCGTATTGTCGCTGTCGTGGTGCCAGCAAGACCCCGACATTCTGCTGTCGTGCGGCAAGGACAACCGGACGCTTGTGTGGAACCCGCAGACGGGCGAGTCGTATGGCGAGCTGCAGCAGGGCACGAACTGGGCGTTCCTGACGCGGTTCAACCCGGAGAACCCGAACCTGACGGCGACGGCGTCGTTTGACGGCAAGATTACGGTGCAGACGCTGCAGAACACGAACAACACGGCCGATGCGCAGGCTGCGGCACAGAGCAACCTGGACGGTGAGGACTTCTTTGCGTCGGCGCATACTGCACCGCAGGTGGCATCGTTCTCGCTGCCGAAGCCGCCAGCATGGTATCTGAAGCCGGTGGGCGCGACATTTGGGTTCGGCGGCAAGGTGGTGTACTTTACTCTGAACGACACGCCTGCTGGACAGCCTGCGTCGTCTACGGTTCACATTGGGCACTTCTCGGCCGACGCCAAGGTTGCTCCGACGACGGAAAAGTTTGAAGAGGCACTGCAGTCGGGTGACGTCAAGGCGATATGTGCGTCGCACATCGAGACGGCCAAGACGGATGAGGAGAAGGCAGACTGGGAGGTGCTAGGGACGCTTGTGGATGCGAACCCGCGCCAGAGGGTGATTGAGCGGCTGGGATTTGACAAGGACGAGGCGACGGAGGAGGATACGAACGGCGTGGTGACGGAGGAGAAGAAGGCGCAGGAGGAAGAGAAGGAAGAAGACAGTTTGGCGTCGACAGACGGAAAGAAGACGGACAAGGATCAGCTGTCTAGCTTTTTTGACGACAAGGGCGATACGGGCGGCGACGAGGACGACTTCCTCGCAGGTCTGTCGGCGGCAAAGGACGAAAAGGACGCAAAGGACGAGAAGAAGACGAAGACGAACGGTCCATTTCACCTGCTGGGAAGCGGCAACACGGCGCTCGAGGACACGATCACGAAGGCGGTGATGCTGGGCAAGTTTGGGCGGGCGGTGGACATCTGCCTCAAGGAGAACCGGATCGCGGACGCGTTTGTGATTGCCAACTGCGGCGGCAAGGAGCTGGTGCAGAAGGTGCAAGCAGCATATCTGGCGGAAACGCAGGGGACGCCGAGCTACCTGCGGCTGCTGAACTCGGTGATTGCGGAGGACCTTCGGGACGTGGTGCAACAGGCGGATCTGGCTAACTGGAAGGAGGCGCTGGTGACGCTGTGCACGTTTGCGAAGCCGGAGGAATTCCCCAAGTTCTGCGAGGGACTCGGCGACCGGATTCTGGAGGCGGGATCGCGCAAGGACGCGTCGTTCTGCTACCTGGTGGGCTCGCGGCTGGAGAAGGTGGTGCAGATCTGGATCAGCGAGCTGGACGAGGCGGAGAAGGCGGGAGTGCAGGCAGACGCGACAGACTCGTCGTACTCGGTGCATGCGAAGTCGCTGCAGCAGTTCATTGAGAAGGTGACCGTGTTCCGTCACGTGACCAAGTTTGAGGACGGCGAGGCGAGCCTGACGTCGGGCTGGAAGCTGGCGGCGCTGTACGACAAGTACATTGAGTTTGCAGACATTGTGGCAGCGACAGGACTGATGTCGGTTGCGCAAAAGTACCTGAACCTGGTGCCGACGACATACGAAGCGGCCGAGGTGGCGCGAAACCGGGTGCAGCTGGCATTGCAGAAGACGACGGCGGTGCCGCAGCATCGGGCAGCGACAGCAGCTGGACAATCGCGGGTGCCCAAGTCGCGTACGCCAGCACAGCCGCAGGCGGTTTTAAACAGCGGGAGTCCTGTGATGGCTGCGATGCCACGACCTGCTGCGATGTCTGTGAGCTCGGCAACGAACCCATATGCGCCTCCTCACGTGACCTCGGCAGCTCCAGTCAATCCCTATGCACCTCACGTGACGCCAGCAGCTCCGGCCAACCCATATGCGCCGCCCGGTGTCGGAGGACGGACGAGCAACAGCCCGTATGCACCGCCTTACGGACAACCACAGCAGACGTCAGCTTATGCGCCGCCGACGGGGCCGTACGGAGCACCGGTAACGACGCCGGCCTACGGAGCACCGCCGCGCAACTCGACGACATCGGCACCGCCTCCATCGCGAACGGTGGATGCCGGCAGCTGGAACGACGTGCCCATGGTGACGCGGCCGCCAGTGCGGAGAGCGACCCCCAACATGGCGCCCATCACAGCGCCGTTCGGAGCCCAGCAGACAGCAGTGGGACCTCCTCCGGCCGGCCTCTACAGTCCATCTGGTCCTCGCGGAACAGCGACGCCGCCTCCTCCGCCCAAGGGCTCGGCACCGCCACGTGTGACATCCCCGCTCGCAGGACCGCCTCACAACTCTGCAGCGGCCGTGCTGTCGCCACCACCGCGTCCGACTTCGTCGGCCGCAAACACATATGCACCGCCACCACCTGCAGTAGGGAGCAACACGCCTGCAGCCATGGTGCGGCCACCCCCTCGGACGGAGTCGCCCTACAACCAGCCGCCGCCTGGACCGGCACCCACGAACCGGTATGCTCCCGTGGCGGCTGTGCAGCAGGCGTCCAGCGCCGGGCCACCGATCGGGTTTGCACCGCCGCCTTCAGCAGCAGCCACGCATGGCCGATACGCACCGGCGCCCTCGCCCTATGAGATGACACCCGGCCATATTGGCCAGCCGCTGCACCAGCAGCACCAGCAGCACCAGCAGCAGCAGAGCATGCCGCCAATGGTGCCGGCTGGACCACCGCGTGCTAGTCCGGCTGGGTCGGCCATGGCGACATCGCCGCCGCCGTCGCAAGCACCTTCGCAGCCGACACCACCGCCGGTCCGCAAGACGAGATACCCGGCAGGCGACCGGTCGCACATCCCGCCGCACGCGCAGCGTCTGGTGCAGATCCTGGACGCGGACCTACAACGTGTGGCGGCCAAGGCGCCGCCGGCATTTGCGGCACAGGTCAAGGACACGAACAAGCGGCTGAACCTGCTGTTTGACCATCTCAACAATGCGGAGCTGATCAAGGAAGACACGGTGCACCAGCTGCACCAGCTGGCCGAATCGCTGGAGGACAAGGCCTTTGACGCGGCACAGCGGGTGCAGGTGGAGATTCATCGTGCGAAGCCGGAAGAGTGCGGCAACTGGATGGTAAGTCTGCGTTTCTTTCTCTTTGTTGTCGTGCCCTGCTAACTTTTCAGGTCGGTGTCAAGCGCTTGATTGCCATGAGCAAGGCCACGCCGTAGATGCGAAAGGAGACGAGAGACCAGGCGTTGTCGTGGCTCTGTCGGCAACAGAGAGTAGTAGTAGTAGTCAGATATTAGTATTACAGTAACAGACATGCAGTTGTTCGGGGGACAAAATGAATATTATAATCTTACGGAGTACTCCGGTGTGGTTCCAAATACCGATCACGTGATATTGAATCAGCTTTAAGCTACTCCGTACTGTACGTCGTTCGTCGTCCAAATTGCCACCTATGTCGTAGTCTCAGACAGACAGCGCAACGACAGACAGAATGACTGAGAGCGCGGCACCAGAATCGGCGGCACCAGACCAAGATGCGGCAGCGGCAGCACGGCTTGCAGAGGCCCGCAAGCGCAAGGAGCGGCGAGAGGCCAAGATCAAGGCGGGCGGCTCGTCGAGGCTGAACACGATCTCCAGCCTGGGCGGAGGCCTGCAGCGGGGTGAGCAGTTGCAGCAACAGCGGTGGCATTGTTCTGATGTGCTTGCTAACATCGGCAGAGGAGCCTCGGGCTGTTCCCAAAGCGGAGGCAAAGACGCCCGGCGACCCTGACGAGATTGACATTTCGGAGCACTTTTACGAGCCGACGACGACAGCGCGGCCGCAGGCGACAGCAGGCGGAGCAGGCGTATCAGAGGCCGACGCGCAGCTTCTCGAGCTGCTGGGCCAGTCGCAGAGCGCGGGCAAGGATGGGCTGCCGGAGAACGACCCGATGGCGGCGATGCTGGCTCAGATGATGCAGAGCATGGGCGGACCGGGAGGACCGGGAGGGCCGGGGCTGGGCGGCGGCGGCTGGCCTCCGACGATGCCTCCGATGGGACAGCAGCCGAAGGCAGCGGTGCCGAGCGCGTCGGCGGCGCTGTGGCGGCTAGTGCACTTTGCGGTGGCGGTGGCGCTGGGCCTGTACGTGGCCTTGTCGACGCCGTTTGCGGGCACGCGGATCGAGCGCGAGCAGTCACAAGCAGCGCAGGAAGCCGTGGGCAGTCTGGACGGCCTGCACGGCATGGACGGTGCAGCCGGGCTGGACGACTACGACAGCGTGCAGCGGCGGTACTTTTTCTACGGGTTTGCCACGGCCGAGACGGTGCTGCTGACGAGCCGCTTCTTCCTCGAGCGGCAGGGCGGCGGTGGGCTGTGGGGCAGCAGCAGCGGCAGCGGTGGTGGCGGGCTGCTGAGCATGGCCCTGGGCTTTGCGCCACCAGCGGTCCGGCGGTCCGTCGACGTCGGGCTGCGGTACTGGCAGATCTTCAGCACGGTGCGGTCGGACCTGCTGGTGTGCGTGTTCGTGCTAGGCGTCTGTTCGTGGGTGCGAGGATGAGGGGGAGGACAGAGTAGAAAGGAGACATGCTGTCTGTGTTTGTTGTAGTATTATGCTGCAGGCTCTATGATAATGCTATAAGATCACGTGGATGGCCCACGGCACGTGCGTACAGGCGCTCTATTAGAAAGCGTATGGGGCAGGAACGACAGGGAAGAAGGGAAAGAGCGAGCGAGTGAGAAAGAGAGACGAAGTTCACGGGGCGACGACGGTCTTGAGCACGGAGCCGAGCAGGCCGCGGACGCGGCGGGGGTGTTCGCGGACGGTGGTGAGGACGACGGCGGAGCTGGCGGCGAAGAGCAGGGACTCGCGCCACAGGTAGCGGTGGTGGTAGCGGCGCGGCAGGAGGGTGGCGAGGGCGCGCGGAGCGACGAAGAGGGCGATGTCTCTGCGGCGGCCAGGACGTTCAAGCAAGATGCTCCAGCCGCAAAGGGCACAGCCAGCGGCGGTGCAGAGGCCGCCATCGATGGCCTGGCAGGCAGCGGCGGAGCGGCCGAGCAGGCGGGGACCGATGCGGACGCGAGCCAGACAGACGCCGTAGAAGAAGAGCGAGACGAAGGCGGCGAGAAAGGCAGACGAGCGGGCAGCAGCGAGAAGGGCGCGCACGAGGCGACGGAGCAGGGCACGGGGACGAGCAGCAGCACCACCAGCACCACGCACTGGCCGCAGAAGCAGTGTCAGGCTCAGCGGCAGATAGGTGGCCAGAGCCCAGCGCCACGATCGCCATAGTCGCACGACAGCGTGACGCTCGCACGACGGCCCGCAGCCCATGTGCACCATGTCGCAGGGAAAGGGCATCGTGAAGGCGGGGTCGCCCCAGACCGGCGGCCAGCCGTAGTCGCGGCACATCTCCTGGAGGAGGCAGCTCTGGTCGTTGTCTGGCCGATCTGCCTGCTCTCCATATCGCAGCGACCCTCGACGACACCGTCGCAGCGCCTCGATCAGCCGTCCGTCCACGGCTGCGGCCGCCGTGATCCATCGGTCGTAGGAACGCGGCAGCCGCCACGGCTCGTAGATCCACGTCCACATCACCAGCGCCGACGACAGCGCAAACAGCGCAGGGTCTATCGCCGCACCCACCAGCGCCTCTGTCCGCGTCCAGCGCCGTCTGCTTTGGCTGGCAGACCGCCGTCCACGCCACCGCGCCCACAGGCTGCCCACCAACACGTCGGCTGCACCCGTGGCCGCGAACAGCGTCAGGTCGAGCGTGCGGCCGGCCGTCTTGGTCGGTTCTGTGGCTGGTTCTCTGGCTTTTGATCCGTCATCACTCGTTTTCCTCTCTCTCTCGTCAGTCGTCTCTCTCCCCTGCAGCAGCTGTATGCTACAGTACCCCGACACAAAGCTGGCCAGACAGCGGGCGAGACGGGCTCGGGCCAGCCTCGACAGGCCAGTCGGCCACCGGGAGAGCAGCTTGTCGAACGGGACCTGGAGAGTCAGCCGGTGAAGCGAGAGCCAGCGTCAGAAAGTGGAGGCCAGCCTACCTCGAGCAGCGTGCCACCGCCGACGAGAGCCGCACAAAAGGTCGGGAAGCCGTGCCAGGCCAGCCCGTCGCCGAAAATGCGCCGCACAGAGGCAGCCACAGCCGCAAGAGAGGCCGTCTTTTCGGCCTCGGGTGGCAGGCCCTCTGCTGCAGCTCGCCGTCGTCGCCGCAACGCTGCATACGCCGCCAGCAGCACCGCCAGCAGCTGTGGCGCCACCGTCGACGCATAGCCCAGCAGGTATGCGCGCACGAGCGGCCGCAGCGCCGGCGGCACGGCCTGGTCCCAGCGGCCACGTGGGCGCGGCAAGACTGCCTTCATGGCCTGCCGTCTGTTGTTGGCAGGCTGCTGCCAGAGGGGCTGAGCTCCGAGAGAGTGCGGACAAGCGCGGGACCGTTTGCGTCTGTGGACCAAGGGGATCTGCGTGCAGAGCGTATCGCGCTCCGTTCTGGCCGTCTTTGCGCACAACCTGTGCTGTACTCGTGCAGTACTTCCGACTCGTTGCGTCCAAACGGCCAACTTGTCAGGGGCCACACACCACTTGGCTGCGGCGATCATGGCGCGCTCTGATTGGCCACAAATCTAGCATCGTCTCGGCTGCTTTCGGTTCCCTTCCGACAATGGCATGTGACGGAGAGGATGGGCTGTTGGGAGTTGGCATGGTCAAGACGCCGCTTGCTGACATAATGCCGCAAGTTTGCTTGGCGGTCGAAACCGGCGCTGGAAGATTCCTCATTGTTCGTATCTCAGCGTAGCATCTGCAGCTTGTCACATATTACATGCCTATACTCCGTACGGAGTGGTAATAGGGAATCGGCCCCGCGGTGGTTGATATGCTTAGTCAGCAATCGGATCTGTTCCGATCGGACACAACCCCTCTGTCCTCTGTACCTTACAGCGCACACAAGCCCTATCCCACTGCCTCTACAGAGCCTACGCCACTTTCTGCCACCTGCCGAAGCATGTGACAACGTCCAGCTCGCCGACCACTCCTTCCCCAGACGAGACATTGCGCCGGCGACGTCTGCATTAGCCCGCTGTACTTATGTCGTAAGGAAAAAGTCCTCCGCCCCTGGAAAAGATGCGCCCGCTAAACAGGCCCTGCTCGCCGCTAACGTCCGCTGTTTCCTCTACTTCCCCGCATGGCGCATGGAGCTCTACGACGTAAGATACTATACAAAGTCGCAAGTCCCCACCCTGCTATTCTCGCCTTCTCTCTTCCCGCATCTGCTCTTGCCACTTCTGGCCGCCGCCGTCGCCTCCTTCCCTTACGGGCCAGCCAAGCACCTGACCTGGCCGTCGGCCGAGTACGAATAAAAATAATCCGTACAGTCACCACACTCGCTCGCCCCCTTCTCCATTTGCATGTGCAAATTATCGTTACTGTTTTTCACCCCGCAAAACCTTTTGTCTCCTCCACACTCCAGCACCAGATCACAGAGCAGATCGCCAGACGCGCTCGCATTTATCGCCAGCCCTACGGAGGACGCCTCCTCCAGCTGCTAGCGACCGCTGCTTCTCCAAATCGCAACTCCATCTGCGACATCGAAATCCCAAACTGCACATTCTCGACGACACATTCCTCTTCTCGCACCAGTTGCATCAAACACGGCTTCTCGTCTTCCAGAACTCGAGAGAGCTGCCCGGCCCCTCTACACATATAGTCGACGCCCTTCCGAGACAGACTCATTCCTGCTGCAGTACCAACAGCCTCACCTGTATCATCACTACTTTATCTCACTCGTCTCCTTCATTCTTCTGTTTCCCATATCTCACTCCTGTCTCGTCGCTCTCCCGTCGCTCTCTTCGTCGGTCAGATGGTCTCTACTCGTTCCACGAAGCACGCACGTCCCTATCGGCCATCATCGCCTAGCCACCCATCTGCTTACTGGCATCTCGTGTCCACTAAATCCCACCTCACGTAGCACTTATGCTCGCGACTCCACGCCTCCCGCTTACGATGGCTTCGGTGTATCGCCCTGACACCGACCCACAACCATCGTCCATCGATTGTAAGCACAGCACCTCCTCTGCCTCTCCTCTGTTTCTCACGCTAACGGCCCCTGCTAGACGAAGACAGCCTCTTTCCCCAAAATGCACCCCATCCTCCGTCCGGCGCCCCATTGCTCACCGCTGAAGATCAAGAGGCCCTCAGCACCTTTTTCAAAGACATGGGCTCCGACAGCCCTGCTCCTAGTGGCCTGGCTGGCGGCCCCATGCATAGCGAGAGCTGGATGGACCTGCCGCCCAAGTTTATGGGCTCCACCAGTTTCTACGGCGAGCACCACGAAGGTCTGGTCGGGTCGTTGACCGGTGATTTCCATCAGTTGATAAACAACGCATCGTCGTCCTTCAACATGCCGCCTCCGCCCCCACCTTCGCTGCCGACGACCGACGAGCAGACCCAGACCTCCGGTGCACCGTCCTCCTTTGACCATTACACCTCCTTAGTATCGGAAAGTGCGCATCCGTCGCAGTCGTCTGCCGGTGTGCGCTCTTCTGCTATGGACAACCACCGCCAGTTTTCCGCCGAGGTGCTCGAGGCTGCTTCTGTCCTGCATGACGGCTCTCTGCATCGCGCGAGCTTCTCCTATGGCACCCAGCCGTTTTCTCGCCAGAACACCGGCCCGGCGCCGTCGTCTTCGCCTGCAAAGCCACGCACTCTGACCACGACGCTCGCAGATCATGAAATCGGCCTCGCCTCCGAACTGGGACTGGCTTTGGAGCATGCGTCGCTGGCGCCGCCATCCAGTTTACCGTCTGTCCACCATACCAATATGTTTTCTGCCATGTCGCTGCTCCACGGGGACAGCAGCCAGGACGTACCACCGGCTGCCAGCGTACACCGGTCGGCGCCACGAGCAGAGCTGCACTGGGGTTCTGACCAGAGCTTCAACCAGGTGCAGTATATCCCGCGGTCGGCCAAGGAGACTACAGAAGCACTGGAGAGCGTGCACCTCAAGACTATGGAGTGTCTCGAGGTCAGCCGCAGCGCCAACACTACACGCCCGCCGAGTCCTGTATACGGTGCCAGCCTGCATCAGCTCAATCTCAAGACTAGGATCGCTTCCATGTCGGCCGCGACGGATGTCGGCCGCAAGCGCAGTGTACCGCCTCCAGCGACGCGGCTAAAACGCCGCAGAGAAACGGCGTCTGACAGAGGTGAGGCCGATGATGATGCTGGTGCAGATGACGAAGATGTTGCCGTTTCCGGCGAGTTTGGAGCAGCCGGGACCACAACGAGGATGGGCAAGAAATGGGGCAATGTCTCTGTCAACGGGAGCAACGGCGTCAGTAACGGCAGCAATTTTCTTCCGCTGTCGCCGAACTCGCCGCAGCAGATAATGCCGTCGTCGTCATCCTGTAGCGGCATGAGCGATGGCACTGGGAAGCGCAGACGGCTGGGGAGCAGTAGCCAGGCAAAGCCGCCGCGCGAGAACCTTTCGGAGGAGCAGAAGCGCGAGAACCACATCAAAAGCGAGCAGAAACGCCGGACGCTAATCAAGGAGGGCTTTGACGACCTGTGTGTGCTCGTGCCCAGTCTCCACGGCGGCGGCTTCAGCAAGAGCGTCATGCTGTCGATGGCAGCCGACTGGCTGGAGGCTCTCATCAGTGGAAACCAGCAGCTCCGGGAACAGCTGTAGCTGGTGTCGCGAACGGTTGGGTATACACATGTTGGGGAACAGTTGGGTTCGCATTGTCCGTTTTGAGGTTTATTTGGATGCATCGGGAGGGAGTTTGGGGTTTTACTACGAGTATCAGGCCGGCTTGCAGCAAGACGACTGCAGCCACAAAATGGGTTTGGATGGGGTTTTGGTTATCTGTATTTTGGCTCATTTCTTGGCTTGTCTGCCTCTGATACGAGCAAGAGACACGTGCAGGATGACGAAATGAGGAACTGGTTTTGAAGGCATGTGATTGGCTACATTTGCAGGGTATTCCTCTTCTTCGTATTCACTTGTCCGTACTCTGTACACATCTTTCCTATATCGTACATCTTCAACACCCCATAAAAGCAAAACGCCTGCTATGCACCGGTGAGGCCGTAAAGTCGTCAACATATTCATACTCTGTCCGAGTCCGCTCTCCTGTCCTAAACACACAGCCGCACCGTCTGTCTCTCGTTGTCACCCGTGCCGCTCGCTGCGGCGGCCGCAGCCTCTGCTGCCTGCATACAGGCGCCTTGCAGATGCTGACTCATCATCATCGTGGGGGTCTGCGTCTCGACCTCGTCGTGGCTGTTGTTGTCGAGATCGTAGGGCACAGGCGTGCTCTTGCGCTTCCGGGCCTTGTCTGCCTCTGGTGGTGGTGGTGGTAGTGCCAGCGGTGCTGTTGTCGTGGCATCCTGCATCTCAATCTCGTGGTCGGCTGTCTGATTCTGGAGCTGCAATGGCTTCTCTTCTGCCGCCGCCTTCTCGGCCGCCATGGCTGCCCGCAGCGCGGCCATGGCGCCGCTGAGGTGCTCCTCGTCGACCTCGCCGTCGTCGTCCTGTCCGAGCGTCCAGACCCAGCGACGCTTCTTGTCGCGGCGCGTGGTATTCTTGCGCTTGCGGATGCCGCCGCTGCTGACGCCGAGACTGGCGACCGGCGACACGGGCGTGGTGGCCGCGCTCGTCGATCCCAGACCGGCCATGCGACGACGCATCTCCTCAAACGGCCCTGGGGTTGTGCCGCCGTCACGCGTCTCGTCAGCGGCGGGCGACACAAACGGTGACGCCTCTTCACACAACAGATCAATGTGCGAACGGGTGTACGTGTTGGTCGTGATCGTCTGCGTCAGCGGCGAGTTGTACATGACGTGGCGCGAAGCCCGCTCGAACAACCGCTGCGATTGGCGCCGCGGCGACACGGGTGACCGGGCACTCGGTGGCGGCAGCGGCGAGTTGCGCAGGATGCTGTGAAGCGAGCGCGGGTGTTGATACGGTGGCGGCTGTCGTCCCAGAAGCGTGGCTGGACGGGTGGCACGTCGCCGAGACAGTTGCTTGTTCGTATTTGTTGCTGCTGCTGCTGATAGTTCCAGTGGTGGCGCCAGCTCCTGGTCCTGGTGCTGTATCTGCTGTGAAGACACAGCTGGCCAGGATGTCCTCGGCGTGGCCGCCTCCTCGACCTCTCTGTCAACTCGCGTCGGCGGCAGCCCCAGGCCAAAGAGCCGGGTATCGATGGCTGTCTGGACCTCCTCGGAGCTGCTGCGGCTGCGGCTGTAGCGATCGTCGTTGGTGACGTGCATGCTGTCGAAGAACTCGCGGCTGCGGTCGGCACTGCCGTCGGGCGAGAAGCAGAACATCTGGGCGGCCGCCGAGCCCGAATCGATGGGTCCGGCCGACAGCGGCGGTGTGGCCGTCATGATAGCGGCGCTGGGGAGCTGGATTTCGGCGGCCACTGAGGGAGACAACGGGTGGGCCGTCAGCGGCGTCTCGGGGAACTGGGTGGTCACGTAGGGCGTTTGGGTGTGGCTGTCGCCGGTTGTGGCGTCGGGCATCTGCAGGCGTGGCAGCTTCGACAGGCGCTTCCTGCTGCTGCTGTTGCTGCTGCTGCTGGTCGTCTGGATTGCGGTCATGGGAGTGGCCGAGCCGGTGGTCGGCAGGCTCAGCTGCACAGAGGCTGACCGGTCGATGGCTGTGGAGTAGACATTGGACAGCGTGTTGAAGGCGGTAGGTGAGCTCGGGTTGACGACGGCAGCGAGCGTGCGCGACGTGCGGATGCTGGGGCCGGTCGACAGGGCCTTGATCTGCAGAGAGAGCCGTGGCCGCTTTTGGGGGCTCTGGCTAGACATTGTGGTGGTGGGAGTTTCGGCCTTGGAGGCTGAGAGAGCAGGTGGGAGAGGGTGACGGGTATTATAAAGAACAAAAAACAGAAAACAGAAAACAGAAAACAGAGAACAGAGAACAGAGAACAGAGAACAGAGAACAGAGAACAGAGAACAGGGGCAGAGAGCAGAGAACAGTAAAACACAGACAGGGCACAAAAGAGAAACGAGTGAAAAGCGACGAGTGGATATATAGAAGGCGGCAGCCGAGACAGGACTACTGCATGAGACCATCACACGCACAGCTGCAGATGGGGAGGGGCAGGCGCCTCGTGTGCGCATGTGGAGCGCCGTTAGACGCGATGGGGATGAGCTGTGACCGCATATCGGTTCTTGGCTGATCGCCCCCGATGGTTTGTGCTTTGTGGTCACAGTTGGTCTGGGTCCATGGCTGCGGTCTCGACGAGTGACATCCGGCACGACGAGTGACAGCCGTTTCGACGAGTGGTCATACTGCTGCCGTTGCTGCTGATGCTGCTCTCGTCGAAGCCACTCCAGCGAAGCGCCGAACCCCTGCTCTTCCCCCAACACACAGCCTCAGCCAATGGGCGATGCAGGACCACTGCTGGCCACTCACACCGCGGCGTCTATTTCTGTCCGCTGCAGGCGGCCCCATGCATGGCGTCCGCTCTTCCACATCTCGCTCTCTTTCGTATTTCGTCGTCATCACGTCGGTCGGGTGGATGTTCCTCCTTGACCGTTTGTTTCTGCTTCTATTTCTGGCCGTCTCCATTTCTGTCGATCCGCTGCATCGTTGTTCCACCACTCGTCTCGTCTTGCTCCGCTCGTCCCGTATTGTCGCTCGATTTGTCTCTCGTATTGTCAGCCACCTTGCCACCGTCTCCCATCGTTCGCTTGCCTGTAACAGATTTTTGGACGCGGCTGGGAAAAGTAAGATACGGAGTACTCCGTCATCCTGTTGGAGGGTACCAGTAGAAGTGGGGCATACAGCAGCAGCCCCACAGTTCCACAGCAACCAATCATGGCGGTTCACTACTGCAGACAGAAGAACTTCCAAAGCCAATATCACATCTCCTTCTTGCTTCCCCTCTTCTCCAGGCACACGACGCAGGCGATGGATCTGGCAGAACGTGTCAAGGCTGTCATCGAGGCTGACGTCCTGTCGTCTTGGCATGGCCTCTCCACTGCGGCCTCGGCGCCGAGACGACCGAGTCATCCTGCACTTTGTGAGCTTTTCCTGCTTCTTTGCCGTTGCATTTCTCCCTTTCCCTGGCCTGGCTGACTCTCTTCTCCCCCCCCAAGGACTATGACTGCTTTTATGCCCAGGTAGTGCAGAACCGGGCTCCCGGTGGCCTTCTGGCCGGCCGTTGCGTTGGCGTCACCCAGAAGAGCATCCTGGCCACGTGCAACTATGCGGCTCGGCGTCGTGGCGTCCGCAAGCTGATGCGCATCAGCGAGGCTCGCCGCGTGTGTCCTGACATTGTGCTTGTCGACGGCGAGGACCTGTCGCCGTTCCGGGATGCGTCTAAGCAGCTGTTCCGCCTCGTGCGGCACCTTGTCGGTACTTTCGACGGCGCTTCAGCCAGCAGCTGTCCTGTCGAGCGGCTTGGCCTAGACGAGGTCTTTGTCGATGTCACCAGCCTCATCGACGCCAACATCGATCGTCTGCACGCCCTGCCCGAACTACACGATCGTACACGGGCCTTCTTTCAGCTTCCAGGCGAGCCGGACTCGCCCGACGACTTTGGCTTCGCCTTTGATGCCACCTCGTTTTCCGGTCATGTCGTCGGACAAGTTCCCGTCTGCTGGCCCTCGTCCTTCCATCGGCTCCTCCTCGGCTCTCACCTCGCCGCTTACCTGCGTGGTCGCCTAGAGGCCGACGCTGGCTACACCGCGTCTGCCGGCATCGCCACCAACAAGCTGCTGGCCAAGCTGGCCGGCAAGCAGCACAAGCCGGCCGCCCAGACAACTTTGTTGAGTGACGACACCGTCGTGCTCGCCTTCATGGACGTCTTGCCGCTAAGCAGCGTCACCGGCATCGGCTTCAAGACGAGCCGCCTCGTGGCCGAATTCGTTCGACGGGAGTCCGAGCAACTAGACCAGCCGGAACAGCCAGAAGAACTGGACGGCTTCGATCCTGATGGACGGCCGTCTGTCAATGTGACCGTCGGTGAAGTCCGTCTTTATCCCCATATGTCGGCACGTCTGTTAGAACATGTCTTAGGAGGCGAATCTGGGTCGTCTTCTCTCCCTCCTGCCTCGCGCGTTTGGGCTCTTTTGCACGGCGTTGACGACACCCCTGTGCGCCCGGCCGCCGATGTGCCCTCACAGATCAGCATCGAGGACACGTATGCGGGCCCGCGCCGACATCTGCTGCAGCCTGGCGTTGGTGCAGCCATGCCACCGCCTTCCGTCGTCGACGAGCTGCGCAAGCTGGCCACGTCGCTGCTGCGCCGGATGCACGTCGACCTCTTGGGCCAGGAGCCCGTTGGTGGAGGTCCAGCCTCCAAAAAAACATGGCTCGTTCGGCCGCGGACGCTTCGGCTAACTCTGCGTCCTCAACCCGTCGATCCCGATGCTGCAGCCACTACCACCACCACCTCACCCTATGCCTACTCTCGTTCCAGTTGCAGCCAGCCGCTGCCCGGCTTTGTATTGAGTCTAAATACGCCATCATCCCAGATTGTCGACCGTCTGGTGACCGGCAGCCTCGTTCCCATGTTCCGTCGGCTGGCCGCCGCCGTGGTGCCGCCAGGTGCCAGCAGCATTACCGACAGCCGCCTCACACGTCACTCGTCGGCCTCTTCTGCCTGGACCGTAGGCCTGTTGAACGTGTGCGTGGCCAACATGGCACCTGTGGCCGCCGAGGGCGACAGCATCGCCGCCCTCTTCCGTCGCCAGGAACAAGAGATAGAAGGCGCTGAAAGTAGCCATGGGGTTAGTGCCGAAAGTGACGAAGACGACGAAGACGACGAAGACAATGACAACGACAATAGCTGGCTCACTTCCGACGATAGCGGCCCTGCTGTAGAGGCCTGTAACCAGTGTGGCCGTCTTCTTCCCTCCTTTGCCCAGGCAGCACATGCTCGATTCCACTTGCTAGGAGATGCATAAAAGTCACTCTGCATTCTATTGACAACACAGATTGTGCTTTCCTGATTGTTTGAGAATGCGTTCTTGGTGACTGAACTCCGTGTCGTAGACAACCAGTGGGCACATTGTCCGAGCTTAACGCCGTGTAAGTGGTGAATGGTAACCCGTGACCACCAGCTGCTGCCGGCTGTCCTAGTGTGTCTCAGTGAGACACGCTTAATGACGTCAAGCTGCTCACAGACAAGAACAAGCTCCAGAAGCGGCCACATCCCTCGCAGCCCTGCATTGCAGCTCTCTGCCGTTTTCGCATCGGCGTTAGTAAGATACTGTCCAGTCGTTCTAGGCGTTGATGACGCCAGTCCGTTGGCGTGGCTGTGACGACATCCGCTCGTCCTGCTCTGTATTTTTGTCCCTCAAGTGTCCCGACTCCGAAGAATAACCATTGCCAGGTTTAGCTTCGTCTCGGCAATACGCAATTTCCCCCGTCTCTTGCCGTCGCCATGTCCAACGTCAAAGACCATCTCGTGTCTTCGGGCCAGCACTACTCGGGTGCCAATCGAGTGCCCAACATCAAGCAGTTCGTCGAGAGCCTTGACAAGGAGAAGAGGCTGCGCGATTCCGAGCTCGAACAGCGTCTCAGAGACAAGGCTGCCAATCAGTCTGGTGAGGCTACCGACCACAAAAATGGCAAGCCTGGCCGACTCAACAATCGTCGAGTGGTGACCGACCCGGTAACAGGGAAGGGTGCGTAGGGATGTTGGCTGTTGTGCTGTTTGTTGTCTTAATGGCTCCGTCGTCTTGCCGTCCGTCCGCTGACCGTCCAGATGTCGAGATCGACGACATGGATTCGTCCATGCTCAAGGCCGCAAAAGACCCCAAGCTGTCCGTTCCCAACGCCAATCTGGGCAAGGACACCACTGCCCAGACCAGACACACACAGTCCGGTGAGGAGTATCGCCGCAATCAGGACATCACCGCCCCACCCGATCCCATCGAACCAGGTTCCACCAGCGATGTCCCCATCCATGGCGAGAAGACCAACGTGCTCTTCCACCCTACTCCGGCCGTCAGCTACGAGCCCATGTTCGCCGCCATTCAGGCCCGTGCCAACGTTCTCTGTGCCGGTCTCTTCCTAGCCGTCCTCTTCCTTGGCCGCCTGTTCGGAGGACATCTGCTGGGTCTGGTGCCGCTGGCCGCCGGCGTCGCCTCGGCCGTCTTCCTCTGGACCCAGGACCTTATCCGCCGTGGCCGTGACGTCGAATGGTCTAGCGAGCAGAAGCGCGGCGAGACCGCCGTTGTCAACCTGATTCCCGAATCTGTCGAATGGCTCAATTCAGCCGTGTCCCTGGTCTGGGGCCTGGCCAACCCGGACATGTTCTCCACCGTGGCCGACACCCTTGAGGACGTCATGCAGGCCAGCGTACCCGCTGTCATCGAGAACGTCAAAGTCAACGATATCTCCCAGGGCACGAATCCCATCCGTATCCTCAGCCTGCGCACCCTTCCCGACAGTCACTTGCAGGATCTGCGCGACGAGATTCGCAAGCGCGACGAGCGGGAGAAGGACCCCAACGAGATAGCCGCCGATGAGGAGGGCGGTGACTTTTATAATCTCGAGGCCACTGTTGCATACCACTCGCTGCCATCGAATGCCGACGTCTCCTCCAAGGCCCGTAACATGGGCATGCAGCTGGTCTTTTACCTCGGAATCAAGGGGCTTTTTGGCGTGCCGTTTCCCGTCTGTGAGTCTATGCTTTCGCTTCGCTGCAGATGTTTGATCCCCTTCTGACGCACACAGGGGTTCAGCTGGACGGTCTCGTCGCCACGGTGCGCCTGCGTGCCGCTCTCGGACCTAGTCCCCCGTTCATCAAGACGCTGAGCTTCACCCTGATGGGCCTGCCCAAGATCCAGGCCAGCTGCGTTCCCCTAATCGAAAAGGGCGCCAACATCCTCAATTTGCCGCTCATATCCACCTTTGTCAACTGGGCCATCGCCACGGCCGCCCACATGTACGTCGCGCCCAAGTCCATGACCCTCGACGTCGGCAAGATGCTACAGGGCGACACGATCCAGAAAGAGACCGACGCTTTGGGCATACTCTTCATCCGCATCAACAAGGCCGTCGGCCTCAGTAAGCAAGACACGCGCGGCAGTCGCGGCGGCGGCTCGGACCCGTACATCTGCATCGCCTTTTCCAAGTTCGGCAAGCCGCAGTATTGCACCCGCGTCATCCAGGACAACCTAAACCCCATCTTCTCCGAGTGTGCGGCGCTGCTGGTTAATGCAGACGTCATCCGTGCGGACGAGCAGCTCTCGCTGGAGCTCTGGGACAGCGACCGCTCGTCGGCCGACGACGTTGTCGGCAAGGTCGAGCTCAGCATCCAGAAGCTGATCCAGCATCCGGGCCAGATGTTCCCGCAGGTGTCGCAGCTGCGCGGAGTCAAGGCTGAGAGCACGATGCCGGGCGAGCTGCACTGGGAGGTGGGCTTCTTTGGACGCACACAGTTCCGCCGTGCCCTGCGCACTGACGGCAAGGACCCGTTCATACCCAAGGAGCTTCAGGACAAGGCCGAGCTGCAGGAGGACAAGGGCGTGGCCAACACGGAGGAGGAAGACGCAGTCATGTACACGCCGCCGGATCCGTTGTGGCCGAGTGGCATCCTCAGCATCGTGGTGCACCAGATCGTCGGCCTAGAGCTCGAGAACATCCGTGGCTCGGATGGGAACCGCAAGAACAAGGAGTACGAGCCTGCGCGGCCCGAGGCCGGCGAGCTCAAGGAAGAGCAGGGCAAGAAGCTGCCCAGCGCATACTGCACCATCATCATCAACGATGAGCTGGTGTACAAGACGCGGACGAAGGTGGTGTCGTCACGGCCCATATTCGAGGCCGGCACCGAGCGGTTTGTGCGCGACTGGCGCTCGGCCATTGCCACCATCACCGTGCGCGACTCGCGCCACCGTGAGCATGACCCTATCATCGGTGTGGTGCCGCTGCGGTTGACCGACATTCTGCTCAAGAGCAGCCAGAGCACGCGGTGGTATCCGATAGACGGTGGCATCGGATTTGGCCGCGTGCGCATCAGCCTATTGTTCCGCTCTGTCGAGCTGAAGCTACCGCCGGCCCAGGTGAGCTTCGGTGAAGTTGGTACGTTTGAGTTTCTCTCAGACGCCCTTACCACGACCGGCTATGCGCCGTCGTCTAGTGTGAAGATCCGCATGCGCACAGGTGGCAGCACGGCACGGATCAAGAGCGACAGATGCTCGCGGACTGAAGAAGGCAACGGCCTGCGCTGGGACATTGGTGCGCGGTCCGGAAAGACGGTGGACGGTCAGGTCGAGAAGGACGGAAGCGATGGCCGGGAGATCCCTGTTGGAAATCTGCGTCTGCCAGTGCAGTACCGATATCGTTCGCCGGTGTTCTTTGAGTTCCACGTGTCTGGCATCCGCAGCAAGAATGCGTTCTCGTCCATCTGGCTGCAGGATCTCGTGGACAACGAGGAGAAGGAGTTTGACGTGCCGGTGTGGACGTGTGACAACCCGTTGCGGCTCTCGCAGAGCTACATAACGGAGGAGAACTGCAAGGATGTGCCGGATCTGAAACTGGAACAGGTGGGCCGCCTGCACTTTCGCGGACGTTTCAAACCCGGCACAGACCGGGAGCACCTGCGGTTCGTGAGTGACAACGACTCGCGCGAGACAATTGAGAGCTGGGAGGCGTGCTATGCCGAGGGCGTGCGTGGCGAGGAGGTCCAGGCCCAGGTGCCGAAGCTGGTGCGCCACATGCACGAGAGGTCGTTGACGCAGGGCCGTGATGTGTTGGCCCAAGCGCCAGAAGAGGACAAGCAGCGGTGGCTTGGCAAAGACGGGACTGATTGGACGGGAGCCTTTGGCCAGGACGAAGCCGAGATGGAAGAGGTCAATGGTGCTGGCGATGGCGTGGGTGAGGGCGAGGAAGAGAGAGACCGAGATGCTCTACAGATTCCACGCCACCACGAAGTCAGTGGTGAGACCCAACGTGGTCAGGCTGTCGCGGTTGAGGACGAGTATTTCGACGACAATGGAAGCAGCAGCAGTTGCAGTACCGCGAATAGTGGCGCCTTGGTCGACCTGGGCGTGCAGGATGGAAACATGGTCACGCCCGCCAAACGAAGGAGCAGCGGGATCCAGAACCTAGTTGAGGCGTCGACCACGAAGAGCCTTGCTAGTGGTGTCAGTGGTACCAGTGGTGCCAGCGGCAGCAGTGCTGCCAGCGGCGGTGGCAGCAGCCTGAACCCGGTCAAGAAGTACAAGGATTTCAAGGATCGCAGCCGGGATCTGCACCGGAAGCATAGAGGTTTGATGCAGTGGTGAGTGTTCTTTTTTTTCTTGCAATTTTGACAACGGATTATCAGTCTGGCTGACAGCTCAGGAAACCTATGCGCAACATTGCATTTGCCAAGGACGAGGCCACGTTTGCAGTGCGGCGCGCACTCAAGGTCGGTAAGCTGGAGGGCCGAACACCAGACATTGAGACGGAGGTGTGAAAAGTGAAGAAGTATATGTGAATGGAGACGAGATGTGGAAGTTTGGAAGGTGATAGAATGCTGAGCTGGCCAGGAAGGAGCGTTGAGGAACGAATCAACGAGGCAAGTACGATATTATACAGTATAAGATTGCAGAATGCTCACCCAGTATACCTATTAATACTTCGAGTATGACATTTATTCTGCTCATGTTTCCTGTGTCGGTTCTAGTACGGCTACGACATACGAAGTACCGGATTATTCCGTACGTCGTCGTAGGTCACAAGAATGTTGTACTCCTCGCAGAGCTCTAGAGGTACGGAATAGAGCCCCACACATATATGCACCTATCCGGACATATCCACACTATTGTCTGCCGCCACCCAAACGTCAACACTTGGCTTAGGCTCAAACGCATCACTGCTGTCGACAATCGGACGCTTCGTCGCAGCCACGCTTCTGGCAGAATCCGTGCCCGCACAACGACGCCGAGACTCTCGCTGCCGAATTGCCGATAGCAGGCACCCTCTTCCTCCCCCACCGACATGGCCTGTCTGGCCGGTCTCGCGTGAGCCGAGCGACAATTCCGAGGACCTCTCGAGAAGCTCTCTCGAGGACCTCTCTCCTCTTCCTCTCCACACCGCATCCCACCCCCATTTCGAGCTCTGCGGTCATCCCCCCGCAGACAACGCTCTGCACGATGCTCACGGCCTTTACTGCGCGGCCCATTGTCGAGCTCAAGGCACGCGACAAGTCCCGGGTCCAATCGCTTGTGGCCTATGGCGATCGTCTGCTGGTGGGCCTGCACACGGGCGTGCTGCGCATCTACCGCGTGAACGAAGCCGACCCGACGGCGACGGCAACAGCTGCGAGCCCGACGACGTCAACATCGATGACAGCCGCCAAAGACTCGGCCGTCGCCAACCCGCCCACGATTCTCCTCCGCGAAGTCGAGAAGTTCGCCAGCCGCTCCATCGAGCAGCTGGCCATCATCAAAGAGGCCAACACGCTCGTCTCGCTGGCCAACTATGCCGTCTCACTGCACGATCTGCAGACGTTTACACCGCTGCCCGGGGCTGCACCGCTGCCGGGAACCAAGAACGCCAGCGCCTTTGCCGTGACGAGCAACATCGTCAAGGACCCGGCCACGGGTATCCCCGAGATCGTGTCGCGCCTCGCCGTGGCTGTCAAACGCCGTCTGCTTCTCTGGACCTGGTATGCGAGTGAGCTGAGCACGGGCGACGACCGGACCGACGATGGTCGCAGCAACGTCGCCGCCGGAAGACCACCCCCGCCGCCCGAGATCACGCTACCCGAGACCATCCGCTCGCTGACGTGGGCCAGTGCCACGAAGCTTGTGGTTGGCATGAATGCCGGCTACGTCCTCGTCGACGTGTTGGCACGCACGTTTGAGGACATTGCCGGCGGCGGCAACAGCGCCAGCAACAACGGAAGCCTCAACGGCAACGGCCACGGAAACGCAAACGGCGGCAGCAGCGACTTTGCCGCCAGCACCAGCCGCTTCGGCGCCCTTAGCAGCGCCGGCATGGGCTACATGGGCCTCGGCAGCTACATGCCCCGGCCGCTGGCGGCCAGGCTGGCCGACGGGGCCGTGTTGTTGGCCAAGGACGTTCACACCATCTTTGTCAGCGACCAGGGCCGCACCCTCGACCGTCGGCCTATTCCCTGGACCGGGGCCCCCGACAGCATCGGCTACAGCTATCCGTACATTCTGGCGCTGCGGCCACCCGGCAGCGAAGCGGCTAGCGGCAACAGCAACAGTAACAGCACCAGCAACAGCAACAACAACAAAGGCAGCAAGGATGGCAGCAGTTCTATTGTTCCTGGCCCCCCACCTGCAGGCGTGCTCGAGATCCGCAATCCCGACACCCTCAGCCTGCTGCAGACCATCCCGCTGCCGGCCCCAGTGGTCGGTAATGCCGGCACGCTGCAACTGCACGTGCCGCCGCCTTCGGTCAGCCTGGCGCACGCCGGCAAGGGCTTCCACGTGGCATCGGAGCGCGGCGTCTGGAAGATGGACGCGACCGGCTACGACAGCCAGGTGGACGCGCTGGTGGCGTGCGGTCGTCTAGACGAGGCCATCAGCCTGCTGGGCCTGCTGGAAGATGCGCTGCTGCGGGACAAGGCGCAGACGCTGCGGGCCGTGAAGATGCGCAAGGCCGAGCAGTTGTTCCGACAGCGCCGCTACCTGGACTCCATGGACCTGTTTAGCGAAGAGGACGTGCATGCGCCGCCGGAACGGGTGCTGCGCTTCTTTCCGCGCTCGATCGTCGGCGAGCTGTCAGACGAGGTCCTGGAGGAAAAGAAGGACGAGACAGAGGAAGTGGCGGTGGAGGACGACAACGAGGGGGACGCGTCGGCTGCAGGGTCATCCCCAGAGGCTGACGCGGCCAAGGATACAACGGCAGAAGCGGCAGGTATCAGCGGGAAGGAAACAGACGGTAGTGAGAGCAGGGAACAGGCACCACAACCATCAGAGCAGCAGCAACAGCCGCCACAGCTGCCGTCACTGCCACCACTACCAGCCGAGGTAGCTATATCTCTGCCCAAGGCCAGCGGCTTCACCAAGATGTTTATGAGCCACCGACGCACAGACTCGGACGCGGCATCGACTCGGACGAACACGTCTTCCGTGGCCAAGGGGCCCACAGCAGCGGTGGCCACGGCAGCCGAGGAGGCAGGCGATGCAGAGAAACCTGCTACTGCCAATGGTTATGTTCCGCTCGAGGGCAAGGACCTAATGCGGGCGGTCGAGGCGCTCAACAGTTACCTGGCGGGTGCGCGGGCACGGCTTCAGCGGGAGATCGACCCGGCAACAGGCAAGCTGAAGGAGAAGAAGGCAGCGTCGGGGGACAAGAACAGAAGAACCGAAAAGGACGAGGACGAGGACGAGGATGACGAGGCGCGCGAAAAGCGACTGCGAGAGGCATTCACGCTCGTGGACACGACCATGTTTCGGGTGCTGATGCTGATCCGGCCAAAGCTGGCCAGCTCGCTGTTCCGGATCCCCAACTTCTGTGACCCGGCCGTGGTCAACGAGCGGCTGCTGGAGCGCAGCCGATTCAACGAGCTGGTAGACTTTTTCTATGGCAAGCGGCTGCACCGCCGGGCGCTTGAGCTGCTGCGGGAGTTTGGAGAGGGGTGCGAGGAGGACCGAGAGAAAGAGAGAGAGAGAGAGAGCGAGAGCGAGAGCAAGATCGTCGTCCCGCCGGCTCTCCGTGGACCCCGGCGGACGGTGGCCTATCTGCAGAGCCTGCCGCCTGAGATGGCCGACCTGGTGCTCGAGTTCTCGGCGTGGACGCTGCGGGCAGACCCAGAGCTCGGCATGGAGGTGTTCCTGGCCGACTCAGAGAATGCAGAGTCGCTGCCGCGCGACCGGGTGGCCGGCTTCCTGGCCGAAATTGACGCCCGGCTCGAGATCCGGTACCTGGATCACGTGATCAACGAGCTCAACGACCTCACGCCAGCCTTCCACAACCGGCTGGTCGACCAGCGGATCCGGCTGCTGCAGGAGACAGACCGGGGCAGCGATGACAGCGGCAGCGACAGTGACGACAGCAATGCCAAGGCAAGACGGGCCGACTGGGACACGGCCATGGCCAAGCTCGTGGCCTTTCTCAAGACGAGCCGACAGTACAGCCTGTCGCGTGTGTTTGGGCTGATTCCACGCGACGGTGGGTGCTCCTTCTGTATCGGGGTTCTGTCTGATGACGCATTGCTTACTTATTCTTTACTTTGCTAGACGCTGCCTTTTACAAGGCACAAGCCATCGTGCTGAGCAAGATGGGCCAGCACAAGCAAGCGCTAGAGATTTACGTGTTCAAGATGAAGGACGAGGTCGAGGCAGAAGAGTGCGTCCGTGTTCTGTGTTGCTGTCGTTCTGTGGCGATTTATATGCTGACTAAGTAGATACTGCAACCGCATCCACGCAGCGCGAGAAGCAGCACGGAGCGCAACCCAAGCAGCCCAGCCGGTATCGCCACGGCTCGGCGCCGCCACGGGGACAGGAGCGAGCGGTCGACGGACGCTGCGACACGCGCTATCGCGCGGATCGGCCGACGACGGGACATCAAGCATGGGGCCGAGCGCGAGCGTCAGCGTGAGCGCGGATGCCGACAGCATGGACGAAGACGACGAGGACGGGGATGCAGACACGAACAGCGGGACGGGTGGTGGTAGTGGTGGTGGCGGCAGCAACAGCTACGGCTACAGCTACAACCACAGCTACAGCTACAGCAACAGCAACAGCTACAGCAACAGCAACAGCAACAGCAGCCGGACACCCGGAGGAGCGGCGACGCCAACGGCAACAGCAACAACAACGACAGGGGGCCCATCGATCTACCACATGCTGCTATCGCTGTACCTGACGCCGCCGTCGCCACACAAGCAGCAGCTAGGGCCGGCACTGGACCTGCTGTCGCGACACGGAGCGCGGCTGCCGGCATCGTCGACGCTGCGGCTGATCCCCGAGGGGCTGCCGGTGGCAGAGCTGGCGGCCTACTTTCGCGGACGCATGCGGGCGACGCACAGCGCGGTGCACGACAGCCGGATCGATCGGGGCCTACGGCAGACGGGCGTCCTGGCGGCACAGGCGGCGCTGCTGCTAGGGGCCGACGGCAGCGGACGGGCCGGGCGAAGCCGGCACGTCGTGGTGGGCGAGGAGCGGGTCTGCGGCGTGTGTCACAAGCGGCTAGGCGGCAGCGTGGTGGCAGTACTGCCGGATAACGCGGTGGTGCACTATGGCTGTCTGAACCGGGCGGCGGGGAAGGCATGGGGGAGGGGGTAGGGGTGAGATGAGGTGAGGGGAGATGGGAGAGAGAGGAGGGAAGAGAAGAGGGAAGAGATCGGAGAGGAGGGACGAAGATATGGGAGAGAGAAGACAGGGAGAAGGAGAGGGAAGAAGATGAGAAGCGAGAAGAGAAGGGAAAGCGAGAAGAGAAGGGAAAGAAGAGGAGACAAGCGAAGAAACGAGAACACACAAGAGGACAGACTGGACAAGGATGTCAATGTAATGGCGACAATTCTGAGGGCTGCAAATATATGCAGTCGATATGTATGAATAGAACAGGGTCCCACGCCTACTCAACCATCTCCTCGCCGTAGCTGGCCTCCTCCTTCTGGGCGGCGGCGGCGTCCTTGGCCGAGCGAGTGGCGTCGACCACCATGCGGGCTGTCAGCTCGCGGTTGACGTCGGCCTGGACAGCAGTGACGGCCGCGCGCAGACTGGCGAGATGGTCGGCCTTGGTCTCGGCCGTCGACAGCGCGGAAACGGCCTTGAACGAGTCACTGTCGGGGCTGTGGTAGACAGCCCGGAGAGTGGACTGGGCCATGAGTCGTCGGTTGTTGGTGGGTGTGTGGGAGTGAGTGCGTAGGTGAGAGTGCGTGGGTGTGTGGGGAGAGAGTTGGAAATAGTATGCAATGAGTCTACGAGTATTTTACAAGTGCATCCATTCACGGAGTATTCCGTAGATTTGACAGTACCGCCTGGCACAATGGCAGCATCTAATTGGCTAGACAGAAGAGATAGACCACCCACTTTAAGGCTAAAGGCTAAAGACGACCGCCCCCCCCCCCCCACTCACGTGTGGGGTCAGTCACGTGGACCTATACCTAGCACAACGTATCGTGCCTGCCGCAGAAAGCTTTCCTGGCCATGCACCCTGTGCGCCTTCCCTCCCGTCGTCGCCCCAGCTCTTGCCCTCCTGCCCGTTTCTGTCTGCCCAAAAGATCCGCTCGCCAGCCAGAAATCCTGATCGATCGCCACCCGGACCAGAAGGCAGAAAGGAGACAGATTGACGATTGCCAGCCAGGAACACGGCCATCTCTCGCTGGCCCCGACCGAGCCCAGTCCGAGGGGAGCGAGGGGGAGCCGCCACCACCACCGCACGGTGCTAGCAAAGTCAGCAAGCCGCTTCCTTGGCACGCATCCAATCAGCCCAAAGGCCGCCGAGCATCAACAGAACAAGAGAAAAACGGAGAGAGAGACAAGGCCAGGCCGAGAGAAGACAGAGACGCCAGAGACACGGCCAGAGAAAAGACAGACGCGGGACAGATGTCCGGTCAACGCTGACCACCCTCTGACACGCACACGCTGCTGGACAGGGCAACACTTGTCACGAGCCGATCTTTGGAGCCGGAAGCCAGGCGAGACGACTCTGTTCTCGGGCGATAGTCATCGTCCTGCTCGCCATGCAGCCGTCTCGGGCACCGCGGGGCCCCGGCAGCTTCTCGCCGCTGCCGTCCCTGTCCGCATCGGCAGCCTCTGCAAATGCTGTCGCCTCTCCGCCCTCCTCGCCCGAACCAGCCTTGGCCTATCCGCCTCGACAGACTGCTCCGGCCTCACCCTCTTCCTCGGCTCGCTCTGTCGGCGTCCTGCCGCCCCAGCGCTCTCCCCGTCCGGCCGGACACATGCGATCTCGCCGTATCAACTCCACCTCCAGCGACGAAGCCCTTTCGGTCATGCCGCCTCCCCTCACCATAAACAAGGGCCGCCAGCCACATCAGCAACAGCAGCACCAACAGTCACAACAATCACAGTTGCAACCACAACAACAACAACAACAACAGTCTACCCCGTCTTCCTACGCCTCTTTTGCTGCCGGTGCTGCTTCGGCTGCCGGCGTCTCTCCCTCCACCCACAACAACTATTCCCGTCCGGCAGCACTGGCAACATCGGCTGCTGCTGCTGCGACTGCTCGCCAGACCGCTGCTGCCGCTGCCGCCAACGATGCCTCCCGTGCCGTCTCACCCCTGACGCTGCCCAACAGTGCCGCTCCCAGCCCGAGCAGCAGACACGAGGGCGCACCTCCAAGCCCCGTCACGGCCTTCAAGCCTGGCCCTGGTCACTCGCGCAAGCACTCTCAGACCGCTGGCCATTTTGACGCCACCTTGCCGTCCACAAATAGGGCCCAACAGCAGCAACAGCAGCAACAGCAGCAGCAGCAGCAGACGACCACCACGTCGGCAGCAGCCTATGGCAGACCCGGCGGCAGATCGACGTCTTCGCCCCCTCCTCCCACCCTGAGTGCCAGCCAGATTGCAGCCCAGGCCGCCGTTCTCCATCAGCAACAGCAACAGCAACAGCAACAGCAACAGCAACAGCAACAGCAACAGCAACAGCAACAGCAACAGCAACAGCAACAGCAACACCAGAGCCAGATGCAGAGCCAGAGCCAGGGTCAGAACCCACCACAGACCCAGACCCAAGTCCAGACCCAACACCAGAACCTGCATCCCCACCAACACCAGCTGCAACCACAGCAACAGTCCCACCAGCAGCCACAACAGCCGCAGCACACGCGCCAGCGGTCACAGACTGTGCCCACGCCCGGCGAGTCGTGTGAGGCCGCTTTGGTCCCGCACAAGAGGAGCAGCGTCCTCGCTGCACCGCCCACCCTCAGTCTGACCGAGGCCAGCGGCCCCAGCGACAGCGGCTTCGACAGCATGTCCTACCACAACGGCCTGCTTGGCGGTCACGCCTCGGCCGCCCAGGCTGCTGCCAGTGTCGTCTTCTCCCGGTCTGGTGCGCCGGCCTCGCCCAGCGCCACGTCGCCTCAGCAGCACTCACCAAAGCAGCACTCGCCAAAGCAGCAGCAGCACTCGCCGAAGCAGCAGCAGCCGCCGCAGCAGCAAGCACCCCTGCCGCCTATACCACCGCCTCCACCGCTACCGGAGAAGAAGCTGGAGAAGAGCAAGGTCAAGCTCTTCTCGCGCCCGGGCAAGATCTCGGTCAAGGGCGAAACTCGAGACAAGCCGCTGCCGAGCCCCAGCAAGATGGGCCTCTCGTCTGCCTTGGCGTCGCTGCAGCGCGGCAACTTCAGCACCACCGCCGTCGAGTCTCTGGGCCAGCCGTTTTACAGCATAAATAACTCTTCGGCCGCAACGATCCGACCGTCGGACCCGTCGCTGACGCTGGGCCTGAGCAGCGGTCTCGCCAGCAGCAGTAGCAGCAACCTCGGCGGTATACCGGGTGGTGCTTCTGGCATGGGCGGTGGCAGCGGCGGCGGCAGTGGTGGTGCTGGCATCGGGATCGGCAGCAGCAGCAGCAGCCTGACGGCCGTGCCGGAGAAGGAGGCCAAGGAAAAGAAACACCACTTTCTGTCGCGCCAGAAGCACAAGCTGGCCAAGGACAAGGACGACTTCCACCTGCCGCTGTCGTCGGCTGCCAGCAACTCACGGCCCACCGATCCTCACGCCCCCAACAGTCTCTACAACTTCAGTCTCCCGGTGGCCAGTCCCGGCCCAGGCGCGACGACCTTTAAGGGCATGAGCGCGCTGGACCTGCGCCACGGCGGCCGGGGCCTACGCGACAAGAAGAAGGAGAAGGAGGAGAAGGCGGCGGCGGCGGCGGCGGCCAGCGATGTCGACGGGTCCCCGAGCGGCATAAGCATCAGCGGAGCGGGTGCCGGTGGCGGCGTGGGAGGCGGTGGCGCGAGCGACTGGCCGGGACCCGGCAGCTTTGGCTCGGTCGGCGGCACGGCCTCGAGCTTTCTGAGCGAGACGGCCGCCGATGCGGTCAAGTTCGGCTTCAACAATCTGAGCTACGACGACGCTTGGCCGTACCTCAAGGCAAAGCTGCAGGTTATCTTCGAAGGCGAGGACCTGCGCATCCCCATCGAGCACCTCAACCGCATCGTCATCATGCACATCCAGTACTGCATCCAGCGCCGCTCGCCCAGCATCATTCTCGAGGACCTGCGGGACCTGCTGGCCGCCGGCTTTGCCTCGCTCGACCGCACCCTGCGCAAGACGCCCGAGGACCGCCTGATCCCGGCCCTGGTCGAGCTGTGGCTCTTCACCTTTACGAGCATCCTGCCGTACATGCAGGCCGTCTTTCCGCCCCTGGACCTGGAGTTCTCGGGCAGTGGCACGCTGCTGACGCCCGAACAGGCCCGTGACTTTTGGGGCAGCGTCGCCGGGACGACGACTGGGACGACTGCAGGGACGACTGCCGGGACGACTGCAGGGACGACTGCCGGGACGAATGCCGGGACGAATGCCAGCACAACAGCGGGAGCCGGGACCAATGCAGTGACTCCGGTCTCAGCCGTGCTCGATGTGCGCCGACTGGTGCTGGCCTCGTATCGGGACGCCGTGATCCTGCCGCGCTACGACACGCTCAAGCCCATCTTCTCGCGGCTCTCGCTCGAGTTTCTGCCTCAGTCGCTTACCGGCATGACCAAGACGCACAAGACGCACAAGACGGCCGGATCCACGTCGACGCCCATCCCGATCAAGCAGAAGAGCCGGTCCAACTCGACGCTGGCCCAGCAGTACCAGACGGCCGGGGCGCATAGTTACGGCAGTTTCGGCGGTGGTGCCAGCAGCAGCAGCTATCTACAGCAGCAGCAACACATGTTGTCGACGTCGCCAGGGACGGCCGACATCCGGCCGGGAACGGCCATGAGCGGGGACCCGAGCGTTTCGGCCAGCAGCGGCAGTGTCGGCGGTATCGGTGGTGCCAACAGTGGAGCAGACGGCAGCCGAGGCCGAGCGATCAGCAACGTGTCGTTTGGCAGCGGCAGCGAGCCGAGGCCGACGTTCTCGCTGGGCAACACAGCCAACGCAGGTGCCAGCATTCTGCACGGCAGCCTGCGGGAACAAAATGTGGAGGACAGCAAGCAGGTGACGGAGATGGTCGGTCGCATACTGCAGTGCATGAGCGTACTGGCCGGCGTGGGTGTGGCCGGCGATGGGAGCGACGAGGGCAACAAGATGGTGGAGGAGCTGAACCGGTTGCTGAAGCTCAACTGGCTGGGCCGTGGACGCACAGGACGCAACCGACGCGGAATGGTGGGCGGCCGAGTGCGGCGAGCCGGCACCGGTGAGACGGCAGGGACACGGGACACGATGAGCGTTAGCTAGGTTGGAAATACTGTTTTTTGCTTGTTGCTATATACGAAATGCATGGCCATCTGGGAAGACGGGAACGGAAAGGTGAGCGAGCTTGTAGGCGTTTGTTGGACAGGACAGGGACACTTGGACAGGATGGGCAGATAGTCGATCACGTTGGGACAAAAGTTCAGTGATATTTTATTTGATTCATTTGGTGACGGAACTGATACTACGGAGTCATTGGCAGTAAAATCTTGCCACCTAGTGATAAGAGTTAGCCTCGAGATCACAGACATGGATGAATAAAACACAAGCGTGTCGTTCTCTTTGATCAGACATCCAAGGAAGAATTCGCCCTCATATGCGATCCGGTAGATTAGGCTCTGATGGATGCTCAAGTGGAAACCGCGAATGTAGGAAAATGTTTCATCATGCAAAGAGACGACACACGCGCAAGGAGGGATTCATAACCAACCTTTTTGTTGCATGCTGTTGGCAGATTGTAGGAGACACTAGGGCTAAATATACTGTTTGCTGGTTAGCCGATGCTCCGAGATGACGCTCGAATGTGTGCCAGGCAGTCCATGCGAATCTTGGCTCAGACGTAACAATACTGGCAAGTAACAGGCTGCCCCGTCCCGAAGGTACGGAACAGCCCGAGACAGACTGTGCTTCGTCATGGTCGATTCTGTTGGGAAAAGAAGACATTTGTTTGAAGTGTCATCAAGGCCGGGATGGTGGACGTGCGCATGGAACAGGAGCGAGAGCAGCGAGAGGGGGGGCCGGAGCTTACCGAGAATGCGACGAGTCCCCTTTGTGTGCATATGAACCGCCATCACGACGCTGGTCGTGCATGGGCCGGAGCGACGAAGAAGGGGACTCTGAGGATGAAGAGAAGTTGAAGAGAAAAAAAAATCCGTCCTTGATAGACAATTTTTATAGCTTGTCCAGCCCGGCCCACTTGGGGAAGAAGAAATTTTGCATGGCTTTTTTTCGCGGCGCCCGGAGCACGAGTTGTTCCGTTCACGTGATGTGGTCTAGAAACAGCCGTTTCTTGCAGTCCAGTCTGCTCCGTCCCCCAGATGACCAGTGGATCCCCCGCCAGCCGCCGTCACAGCCCAGTCCGCTTTTCTACCGCCTTCTCTACTCCGTACATACACGAAGCTCTCGCCCAAGATAACATCCTGCGGGTGCGTCGCAGCTTCCTCGCCCATTCTTGCATCAGTCGCTCCTACCTCGCCGCCCATACCGCAGCACATCCTTTGTTCTTGTCGTTACATTCCAGTCCTCTTACTCTCTCTCTCTCTCTCCTTTTTTCTGTCGTCTGTCTTAACTCTGCTGTCTTGTTTTCTTCCTCTTTCCATCGTCTCACGCCTTTCGCCTCTCGGCTGGCCCAACACGCTCCGCGGGTGACGACGATCATATCGTTGAGTCGGATTTGCTGCTAGCGGCCGACTGACGCCCCGATTCCCGAATATCGTGTTAGCCGTCAGAGTAGCTCGGCGCGCCCCCCCTCCCCCATTCTTATTTTTCTCTCAGCCAATTGCTGGCCGCCGTCTCCCCTCCTCTCGCCGCCTTCTGTCGATCGTCGCACATTTTCCCTGTACCTCTCGCTCTTCCTACCTCTTTTTACTTCCCCGTATCGCCTCGGCAGCCCGACTCATCTGGTCTGGGCAGCATCCGCCTTCTCCTCATAAATACATACTTGTTTGCATGAACTGAGATCTCCCCTTTGCGCTTTTCCCCCTTGTCAAGATCGTGAATAGAGACGAAGGCCCAGTGGTCGTCTTCGGCCCCCCTTTTTTATTTAATTAAGCGATTTTGGTCGCGCTGCTGTTGTTTTTTTTGCGGGTTCCCATTTCGTTTTTGCCCTTGTCCGAATCGACACGATACCAAATATCCGTCCTGAATCCACACCTGACACTTGGATCCTCTCTCACGCCCCAAATCGGCGCGCCTACATTTTTGTCGCCTCCGGCATCTCGTTGATTGATCCAGCCTTCGAACACAACAACAGCGGCAACCTCGTCTCGGCTTCTTGAACTGTGTTCTGCTGCTCATCTCCGTCCTCTTGATAGCCTTCCGCTCGATTTCCTTCGCCTCCTCCTTTCCGTTCGTCTCCCGCCACCGCATCCGCCCGTCGGATTGCATTGTCGTCGCGAGAATCACCGTGCGCCCATCGCGTGACGCCCCGGATGCGATAGACCGACAACACGTCCCAACCGCGTCTGCCTTCCGTCTGCCGACCCCGTCATCCAGTTGCTGCCGTCGCCAACCTGCTGTGGACTGTTGCTGGCCACGCGCAGAATGATGGCGAGCATCGGCGCGGCTTTTCCTCCTCACCCTGGCGCCATGCAACAACATCCGGGCGTTCCCCAGGGCCACCCCGGCCTTGCTCCGGGCATGGCTCACAACCCGAGCCAACCAGGCGGTCCGCCGGGCTCTGTTCCGCAACACCTCGCTGCCGCCCACATGGGCGTCTCCGGTCCTGGACCCCAGATGAATCCGGTCGCCATGATGGGCATACCCCCTGGAGCCGGCCCCAATGCGCATGCAATGCAGCATCTCACCCCGCAGCAGCAGCAGCAGCTGCTCCAGCAACAACAACAGATGGGTCAGATGGCCTGTACGTCTTCCCTCCCATTCCCTCCTCCCTTCCCCTCCTCTCTCCCCTAATGTCCGTGCGGTCTGACGCGTTTGCAGTAGCCAATAATCCCAACTTTCAGCTGCAGCAGCAGCACCGCTTCCAGATGCAGCAACAGCAGCAACAGCAACGACAGAACCAGCAAATGCTCATGCAACAGCACGGCATGTATCCTAGCGGGATGCCTATGGGCCCGGTGAACATGAACCAAATTGCCGCTCTCCAAAGACGGATGGCCGGACCGGTAAGCATCCCTACCCGGCGTCTTTCCGTACAATCACTGACACCTCATGCTCGACACAGCACGCTCAGGACCCGCGCGCCCAAGCATTCCTGGCACAGCAAATAGCCATCCAGCAGCAAGCGGCTGCACAAAGCCAAAACCCGAACGCCGGTCAGCTCAATCTGCACCAGGCCCAGATTGCCGCCCTCCAAGCACAGCAAGCGCAGCAAGCGCAGCACGCTCAGCAGGCCCAGCAGGCCCAGGCTCAGCACGTGCAGCAAGCACACCAAGCACACCAAGCACAGCAGGCGCATCAGGCTCAACAAGCCGCAGCCGCCGCTGCCCACGCCCAGCAGCAGGCTCATCAAGCTCAGGCACAACAGCAAGCCCAACAGGCCCACCAGGCACAGCAACAGGCACAACACCAGGCACAGCAGCAACAACAGCAACAGCAGCAGCAGCAGCAGGCACACCAGGCACAGCAAGTCTCTCAAGGACAACAAACCCCCGGCATTCCCGGCCAGCCACAGGGGCAACAGCCAACTCCAGGCCAGTCTCAGCCGCAAACACCTCAGCCTACTGGTCAGCCGACCGTCGGCCCGCCACCTCAGAATGCTGGGCCTCAGGGTCCGCAAATGCAGGTACCGCCTCAGATGGCCGGCAACGCACATCAACAGCAGCCAGTGTCCGGCCCGCCACAACCACCGATGCCCGTCCAGATGCCGCAGATGCTCCAGCCTAATTCGCTTACCCTGCAGCAACATGCTCAACAGCAGCAGCATGCTCAACAGCAGCAGCATGTCCAGCAGCAGCAACAGCAGCAGCAGCTCGCCGCCGCCGCAAATGCTGCACTCCAAAAAAGCCCGCCAAGGCTAGCATGCTTGGTCAGACTAAACCAGTTTTGCGAGCACATCGCCGGCTTTCCAGGATCCAAGGGCAAAGACGACCTCTCATACTGGGTTAACCTCGTTCATCAGTTTTTTGCCAGCACCGGCGTGTTTCGTCACACCATCCATATCGTCGAAGGCGATGAGAAGACCACCAACAAGCAATTCGAGATTCCGTTTTCCGCACTACCCCGCTACTTCCATACCTACTTTGAGAGCGGCGTCACAAAGCTTCAGCTGATCATGGACAACGCCGTCGTGGAAAAGCCGCCGGTCAGCGACCGATTCTGCGTCGAGAACTACAAATCCAGTTTGGTCCAGTGGTTTGAGAATGGCGGACACGTACGTTTCTTCCCATTGCTGCAGGTCACGGGTATCGTATAGTCGAGCTAACTGTGGCAATCAGGTCGTATCCACTGGCACAATTCGCGCGCAGTTCGACCCGGAAGTCAAGATGGACTTGTTTGAGTTTGTCTGCGATGGTCATGAAGAGTTCGTTTCTCGGAAGCTCGTCCTTCAAGCTGCCAGACCGGGCCACAACTGGCTAAAGGAGTGGAACAAAGTCAACAGCCCGCCCGACAGCAAGCAGTCGCCGGAAATGAGCAAGAAGTCAAAGGCCAAGCAGTTGAAATCTCCACAGAGCCAGCCACCAGCTTTTGATCTGCCGTCTGTCATCGAGGGCAACGCTGGCCTGACTAGTGCCATGAAGCAATTTCTTGAAGTAGGCTACCAGCTCTCCCCTGCAGCCTGTCAAGTAAGAATCCTAACCAATGCTTTTTGCAGATAGTCGAAGTGATGGGCTACATGAACTCGCTCTTTGGCTTCTCCCATGGAAATCCGACCCTGACAGCATTTGGTGCCCTCGACCAGTTTGTGCAGACCGTCTGCACAACATCCAATGGGAATGTGCCGATGATGATACCACAAGGACCTCCACGGACTCCTAGTATGGGGTTCCCCATTGGTGCCAGCCCGCATCTAACCCATCTACCGCCTCCGGGTTCACCACACGTTATTGGCAGCCCGGCAGCTGGCGTAATGCCAGCGCCTTCAATGCATCGGTCGCAAAGCCAACAGGGACCCGGCTCTAACGTCGCCAGTGCCAACACTTCGCCTGCGGGAACCAAGCGCAGACGGCCTTCTGGCGTGAAGACGGAGGACGAAATGAACGGCGGGCCTACATCAGTCCCAACTCCATCAGCCAACCCACAGGCAAACGGCCTTCAGGGTAAACCGAAGCCACCCACACCAAGGATGCAGAAGAAGCAGAAGGTGAATCCGACGTAGGCATACGGCGTCCGGCTTCTCGTCCGGCTGGCGTGACGATGATTTCTGAGCGTCCCTTATTTTTAAGCACGATTGTCCCTCACGATGAAAGCAGGCATGTTAGTACCCCAAACGAAGATGATGAAGACGAATGGCCCCTGGTCAAGAGCTTCAGCAGTGGGCCGAAGAAGGGATTTAGCCTCGTTCTGCAGAGAAGGCACAGTGGATCGAGCATTGTACGGCTATTTGCCTGACTGGAACGGTTGGGCGTGTTTCATTCTTTCCTGTCTCTGGCTCTCTATGCTTTCATGCTTCTAGTTGTGAGTTGGTCTGCTTTCTCTTTTTCATTTGGTTCTTCTGGCCAACGGGGTTCTGTCTCATTGGGTTTGGTTTTCTATATGAGCCTCTCATACTCTTTGGCTTTTTGTTCCACGGCGATGCGTTAATTCTCTTGGATATGTCTTCTGTGCTCTTTGTTTTATCCTGCGCATAGCCACGTTGCCGGTTCCTGGCTTTAACGGTGTAGAGGGTGGAAGGGATTTGTGTTTAGATATTGAAAATTTATGGCGCGTCTCATCCTTTTTTTTGCTTCGCCGTGAATTGGACTCGTATATGTAGGTATATATTTGGCGATAAAAGGTCTTTCTGCAAATTAGATCTCGACGGTGTATTTGAAAAGGGACTCCGTACCTCGGGAGTATCTCCGAAACCTAAAGATATTTTTGGAAATCCACCAGGATGCGCTGGTGTGTTGATTGGGTTTTCAGTAGCACGTCCAAAATGGGACGTCACAATCAACTTGTAAAACATCGAGGTCTCATCTAAGCTCGATCTGAGGAATATTGATATATGTACGGAGTACGGAGTATAAGGTTTTACACTCAGCATTTTTATCGTCGAGCCACCAGCTCCGCCCGGTCATGTCGAGCATTGATTTAAGTAATGCTTTCCAGCAATGATATCCCAACACAGTGGATATACACAATGAGATACATGTAACACTTATAAGCAACTGTTCAGAAACATCATTCGATTCCGATGTAGTTTAAGTGAGAAGCCGTTAGTACTGTATTTGAGAAAATATACTCCGTCTGAACATGAGAACGACAATTCTCCGATGCTGTAATAAGTGCACAACAGTAAGTCTCGGTTGCTTGTCTTGCACAAACGGCAATTGCAGAATATTGTATGATTCTGACCTTTCTTCTACTAACGCCTGATTAAACATAAAAGAGTAATACTAATTTTCAATATAAATGTAGAATCTACTTTCTAAGATAGTCAGCTAAACTTAATGGCGGGACGTGTTATAATTTGAACCCTCCGAGTTGTGTTGAAGCTGCGGCAAAGAAGATCTCTAGTGCCTCTGGTGTCTAAATAATTACTATGAAGCTCTTCGTTTTACACTGTATCAAGCAGCAGATTAAAAGCATCTGGCTTCCAACCCCATTTTTGCACTCCCTTTTTACACTAAAACTTTACCTTTGCAACACCGTGTTATAACACAACAGTAAAAAGGAGATTGAACCTTCCGAATCAGACAGAAAAGAAGATATGGTATGTAAAACACGTTTCTTTTTCTTACTTTAGAGCATTTGTTCTTGGACGAATGTTGAATGTTTTGGAATATAAATGGGTATGGGTACGCTTCCGCCAAGATGCAACCAGTTATAACCGTATGCGATTGACCAGTCTCACCGCCTTCCAATAACATGTTAGCGTATTCTTATACTGCCGCTAAAAGAAAAAAAACAGCGATAAGTGGGATACGGACTTTTTTTTCGACGAAGGCTGGACAATTGGAACAGACCAAATCCCCGGAACTCGAGTCAAAACCAGCAAAGATGGCCGCCGTGTACAAGTCCCTCGCCAAGGTGAGCGGCGACAACTCCAAAGAGGATGGCGTGGTGAAGCGGAAGAACCGGCAACGTGTGCTGATCCTCACTTCTCGGGGCGTCACATACAGGTTCGTTGATCTTGGTATTCTCGGTACTTGGTGTTGTGCTGCTGCGATTGTAGCGTACATGTGCTGACAGAAGACTCTAGACACCGGCATCTTCTGAATGACCTGGCAGCTATGATGCCGCACAGTCGGAAAGACGCCAAGTTCGACTCCAAGTCCAAGCTCTACCAGCTGAACGAGCTGGCTGAGCTGTACAACTGCAACAATGTACTATTCTTTGAGGCACGCAAAGGCCAGGACCTGTACATGTGGATGAGCAAGGTGCCGAACGGACCGACTGTCAAGATGCACGTTCAGAACCGTGAGTATCTCCTCTTTGAACTCTCTCTGCGTACGCAACGCCGTGTCGCACGCCCCCTTTGCTGACGGACTCGCAGTGCACACGATGGAGGAGCTTCACTTCACCGGCAACTGCCTCAAGGGATCGCGTCCCGTTCTCTCGTTCGATGCCGCCTTCGACTCGGAGCCGCACCTGCAGCTGCTCAAGGAGATGTTTATGCACACCTTTGGCGTACCACAGGGCGCGCGTCGCTCGAAACCCTTCATCGACCGGGTCATGGGCTTCACGGTTGCTGATGGCAAGATCTGGATCCGCAACTACCAGATCAGTGAGGTCGAGGTTGGCAAGGTCGCCGGCGGAGAGGAGGAGGACGACGACGCCAAGACGGCCAAGGCGGTCAAGGCGGCCAAGGCGGCCAAGAGCGCCAAGTCGGCAATGAAGGACACGGACATCACCCTCGTTGAGATTGGACCCCGGTTTGTCCTCACGCCCATCGTCATCCAGGAGGGCGCCTTTGGCGGCCCCATCATCTACGAGAACAAGCAGTTCGTCTCACCCAACCGGGTGCGGTCAGATCTGCGCAAGAATAAGGCCGAGCGGCACAACGTCCGCGCCGAACAGCAGCAGGACCTCATCCAGAAAAAGAGCAGCCTTGGCCTGCAGTCCAAGGGCGGTGCTGGTCCGGCCAACCGTGGCGTGCTGGACACAAAGGAGGTCTTTGCGTAAGCAGGCCGCACTCTTCTTGTCTTGCGTGTACTATCTTCATCACTATTGTCATTTGTCACGATTCCCACAGGGCGTTTGGGTTGCAATTGGACATTTTTAGCCATTGCCTCATGTGAGAGAATGCGTGTTAGGCGTGATAGGCTTATTCAAGTTTCCATGGGTTTTCGTTAGCTATGTTTGACACGTGACCATGTTCGGGATGACGGAGGACCCGCATTTGCGATCTTGCTCCTTTACCTGCGCGCACGCGAATCTCAGACTGTCTTCTTCGTTTTGTTTCCTCAACTCGCCGTCAAGCCCGCGGTCAACCAGAGTGTCGCTGTTGCAACCCACCCGCTCTGTTCGTTCCCATCCCTGTCGCACAGTCGTGTGAGGAAACTCTTATTATCCCTTTTTGAATATGGCGCATTACCCCTTGGATACGATGACAGGCCATTTAACAGGTCAATCGGCGCGCGACGAGACGAACACCACGAAGAGCATCATAAACATCAACACCAACAACAAATCAAGCAACAACATTACCACCAAGAACACATACTTTAGTCATGCCCATTTCACCCCATATGTCCCAGATAGCCCCAAGTGCGGGGTGCGCGTATAGAACTGACAACGTGGAAGACGACCTACGCGATTCGAGCAAATAAATCGAGTCATTTTGAGTCGTTCGAGACTTGTTGTTTTCAATTTATAAGAGAGTAGAAGAAGCCTGCTATCATATTCTCGCAGCGAAACCAACCAATTCACATCACAACAGTTCACCTTAGTCTTTCCCTCGGCTATAAACGACTTATACTTTGTCTTAACAACCATTTTGAAAGCCAATATTCTCTCCATCTTTTCGATTTTTAAGAACAAAACCACAAATTGCTCTGCACTACAGCTTAAGCGAGGCGCACGGGTTGCATTTGTGAGTGCTTGTAGCGACTGCCTAGCTCGCTATATCACTAACACGACTCTTGCACCATGCAGACCCCACACCAGCTAAAGAGCTTCAAGCTGAAGCTCCTGAACGCTTTCTGGAAGGCAACTTTCTCAACCACCTTCCTTGGCACCTGTTACTCCCGTGTACCTGGTGCCAAAATACTTTAGGGCTCAACTCTTTTGTTCCTCCTCTTGTTATTTCTTTCACTGGGACTATCGCAGACCACTATGTCTGTAGCAGCTTGTATGCTATTGCCACGAATGGTACATGGCACACCGGGGAGTCCGGCTATGACCGCAGCTACTGGACTGCTCCCGGCTGTTGCTACATTGCCATCACCCGAAGTGCTGCCGTCTGCCCTGGACCGTGCACCAGTTGAGGTGCTCGTTCTTGTGTTTCAGCACCTGGACCTGGATGCAGCATTCAGCCTAGCTGCAACGAACAAAAGACTCGACCGCATTTTCACCAGAAATCGGGCCGTGATCGTGTTGCGTATTGCACAGCGGGAATTCAGCCCGCTGAACGGCTTATTGCAAGTAGCCAAGGCATCGCCAGCAGACATGGCTGTGCCCTGGGGCACGTGGCTGGACAAACGAATTCGACGGAAGAACGTGGTACTCTGTTCAGGCGGCGTGGCTGGTGTTGACAAGCGGACGAACATCAGCTTGGTCTCGTCGTTGGCGAACATTCGCTGTGCCGAAGCCGAGATAACGAATGCGGACATCGACCGCATACTGGATGTATGTCGGGTGGTGCGCGGGTGGGAGCGGATCTTTCCCCAACATCGGTTCAACGCCTCACCTCTGCTGACCCGCAGCCTGACGGAAAGGGAGAACTTCCGGCTGCGTCGGGCGCTGTATAACTGGATGCGCTATGCATTCTACTTCCATGGCGATCTGCCGCGGCCAAACGTGTTTGTGCCGGCCGGGAGGGATGTCCGGGTCAACCACCTGCGGGCGCTGTGCAACGGCCAGTTGGGGGAACTGGCAGATTTGTGGCGCACGGTAGAAGACATCATCGAGATGTCGCTGTGTCCTTCGGTCGACATCGTTCGTATCGGCGCAGTAAGTCTGTCTTCTTTGGCTGAGCTAGGCAGTTGCATGATCGATTCTGACAGCAATAGGACTTCCAGATATCGGAGAAAGCTGCGGCTGAGATCGGCTGGGGTGAGGAGAGGGAGAACAAGACTGTAGTGGCGACAATGTCGAAGCTGTCTCCACGGCAGCTGCTGCACTATCTTGACAATGGGCACAAATACACCAAGGTGCGACTCATCGCAGACATCCGACAACGCATGGCACATTTTGAATCAGACACGGAGAGCCTGACGAGCGCGATGTCGGTGGTGAGCATGGAACGGTGGCGGCAGATGCAGAGACAGTTTCCAGCCCTGGTTCAGGGCACGGGATCGCGGGTGTTTCTGCCGGTGTATACGCGGGTGATGAGCCAGTTCCATGGCGGGACGTTGGACTGGGACGATGCACAGACAGAGATAGATCTGGAGCGGATTGGCAGGATGGTGGGTGTAGGATTGGATTGGCGACCGGAGGAGTTCTTTGGGTTCCGGCCTGAGATTCCAACGGGAATGCTGAATCCTTGAGATAGCGGTAGATGCACATAGCTTCGAGCTAGCTCTTTAATCTGTACAGGAAGGAGCGTGTTTCTAAGAGTTGCGTGCCTGCACAGTAAATGCGACGTCGTTCATAGCAGGCGGGCCGCTATCAGGTGCCCCGCCAATCAGGCAAGGGCAGGCTTCCCTGGACAAGCTAAAATGCTAACCAGCGCTTTGTTTTCACTCGTCGCCTCTTCTGCCCAAACCCATCACAAAAAGTGACAACACGACCGCAGCTCCACCAGTGGCGATCCTCGGTTAGCCACGTAGCTTGCTATTTTGATTCATCAGACAGCCACGACAGCCTTGTTTTGTGAACGAGGCCAGGAGCCAGAGGCCAGTGAGCACACCGGTAAAACAGCTTTCTCTCATGTGGGCTGTGGAGGATCAGTAAAGGTATGTTATGACAGCTTTTGGGATTTCGGTCTTACCCCTTTCGTCGTCGGTACAGGGCTCCGGCAAGCGCCAGCCTTGGCGGTCTTGAAGTGGCCGGCAGGACAACCGGTGCTCTGCTGTTTGATTCATCCGTGGAATGGGTTGACAGCGTGCATTGGCCGTCCTTTCTGCCTGTTTGAATTGTGTTTCAAGCGATTTGCCCTGGCAGTGTGCGATTGCCAGCTGTCTGCCATAGACAGCGTCTAGTTCTGAGTGGTACTGGAACTGACCGTTGACCAGGCCACCGTCTCGTGTTTTCGTCTCATTTGCGCCCACAGGTCGGGCTGGGCAGGGTGAGGCGACCGGGCTGACGCGCTTCGCGTTGTTCGTCACGGGCACGATGGCCGACGCGGACAACGACGTGGTGATGGACGGCATGGGCGCCGAGCCAGAGGCGGAGGCGGTGGCGCCGGCCAGCGCAGCAGCAGCCACCAACGGACATGCGACAGCGGGCAGCCAGGACAAGAGCGACGTCAAGGACGCTGGTAATGGCGAGAGCAAAGCGGCAGCCGAGACGTCAGAAGAAAGTGCACTGGGCTATCCGGTGGACTTCAAGCGGCGCGGACTGCTGCCAACGGGCTGCTGCTACGACGACCGGATGAAGCTGCATGCCAATGCGGACTTTGGGCCAGGGCCTCACCACCCGGAAGACCCGGCGCGGATCTCGGAGATCATGGCGGCGTTCAAGAGGGCCGGGCTGGTGTACATGGGCTCGGAGGCCGACCTGGTCAAGATCATGCGCGAAAGCCCGACCAAGTACATGTGGCGGATTGCGACGCGTGACGCGACCAAGGAGGAGATTCTGCTGGTGCACCACCCGCGGCACTTTTACTGGGTCAAGGAGCTGTCGGTGAAGCCGACGTACGAGCTGCGGGAGATGAGCAAGCTGATGGACGAGGGCCGCGACTCGCTGTACGTGGGCTCGATGACATATGAGGCCGCACTGCTGTCGGCAGGCGGAGCGATAGAGACGTGCAAGGCGGTGGTACGGGGCGACGTGAAGAACGCGTTTGCGGTGATCCGGCCGCCAGGCCACCACGCGGAGTACAACCAGCCGATGGGGTTCTGCCTGTTCAACAACGTGCCGATCTCGGTGCGGGTGTGCCAGAAGGAGTATCCGGACGTGTGCCGCAAGGTGTTGATCCTGGACTGGGACGTGCACCACGGCAACGGGATCCAAAACACGTTCTACGAGGATGCGAACGTGCTGTACATCTCGCTGCACGTCTTTCTGGACGGACAATTCTACCCGGGGACGCCGACGAACCCGTCGACGCCGGACGGCAACATCGACAAGTGCGGCGCGGACGCAGGGCTGGGCCGCAACGTGAACATTGGGTGGGACAACCAGGGTATGGGCGACGCGGAGTACATGGCGGCATTCCAGAAGATTGTGATGCCGATTGCGAGCGAGTTTAACCCGGACCTAGCGATCATTTCGGCGGGCTTTGATGCGGCAGCGGGCGACGAGCTGGGCGGCTGCTTTGTGACGCCGGCATGCTACGCCCACATGACGCACATGATGATGTCGCTGGCGGGCGGCAAGCTGGCCGTCTGTCTGGAGGGTGGCTATAACCTTCAGGCGATCTCGGCGTCGGCGCTGGCGGTAGCGCGAACGTTGATGGGCGAGCCGCCACCCAAGTTCGAGGTGCCGAAGCTGGGAAAGGCGGCGGCGCGACTGCTGGCACGGGTGCAGGCTCACCAGGCGCCATACTGGGAGTGCATGCGGCCGGGCGTGGTGGACGTGGCCGATCTGCAGGCGCACGGGGGGGTGCGGCTGCACGACGTCGTCCGGGCGTACCAGCGGCAGCAGCTGTCGGCGCAGCACGGCATGTTCCCGCTGTTTGTGCAGCGCAGCACGATCTACAAGACGTATGAGGACCAGGTGCTGGTGACGCGTAGCCTGCATGCGGCGCGGCGGATTATGGTGATCATGCACGATCCGTGAGTGAAGTGGGTGGAGAAGTACTGGCAGTGCAGGATTGTGCTGATCTGAACAGGCCGGAACTTGTGGGCCAGCCAGACGTGCTGGACAACTCGCTGGACGCACACAATGCGTGGATGGTATGGCCCCCTAGCACGGTTTTGTCCGCCAGCTTCACTAACACGGTCAGAGCGACGGGGTGATGCCGCACATCGAGTGGGCCATCGGCCAGGGCTTTGGGATCATCGACATCAACGTACCACACTACCACACACAGCCGGAGGACACGGAGTCGCACGTACCTCGCATGACGGAGGAGGCCATGCAGGGCCAGCTGCAGGAGCTGGTGTGCTACATCTGGGACAACTATCTACAGATTGCGGACGCGGCTCAGCAGATTGTGATTGTGGGCGTGGGCCAGGCTTATCTGGGAGTGAAGATGCTGCTTGTGAACAGAGGTTTGTTTGTTGTTTGTTGTTTGTTGTTTACTCGTTTGTTATATTGATTTGCCACTAACATGCCAGACTGCAAATCCCGCATCACCGGGGTGGTCAACTTTGTCAGCGGCAGCCTGCGGGCGGTCAAGAGCGATGCGGATCCGGACCTGACGCAGTGGTACAAGACGCACTCACGGGTGTACGTGGGCAACGACCATGCGTGCTGGCAGACCAACGAGTTCATCCGCAAGATCAACAAGCGGCGATTCGGCGACGTGGTGCGCAGTCCGTTCACGGGCCTGAACCGCATGCTGCGCGAGCACGCGGCCGATGCACACGAGTGGATCACGGAGCGGTTGCCCGAAGAGCATGGAAATACGACAGAGGACGACAGCTAGGCTGTGACGCGCAGGGCGTTGTGTTGGATAGGATCTGGCGGCTCACCGTGGCCGCGTAGTGGGACTGTCTGTTTCGTGTATGTCTGTTTGCTCGAAGGGTGGAGGGAAGAGAGGCAAGAGCGGAAACGGCCTCAAGTGTAATTTTGGCGTCTCATTTTTGGACCTGGAGCCGTTACTTGTGCAGATCAATTCATCGTCTTCATTACAGGTAGCTTACTTCGTATATCTTGCCATTCGGACGAGAGACACGTGACTATCCAGATGCGGCTGGGCGGCGATAAGCGATAAGCGAAGCCAGCGTTTCCCCTTTTGAAAGTTCGCATCGCGCCTTCCTACGCGGTCTCCAAAAGGGAGACTCTTTCTCTCTTAGAACCTTTTTGCAACAACTGGTCGACATCTGCCCACATTCTCGCCTTAAAACGTACAAGATTGAAGGCACACGCATCACGAAGACGAGACAACAGCTGGCTGCCGCATGGTGGGCTGAGCAAAGCTGAGCAAGCCGGGCAGAAGACGCGATGGACCGAGACCGGGGCAACACCCGTCGGTGCGTGTGGTGGCGAGAGCGAGAAGCACGGGCTGAGCTAACCAAACGATGCTGGGCTGCAGATACGATGACGGCGAAGTGACTCGATACGGGGCGGGCGAGTCATGGCGACCGACAGCCCGGGGCGACAGGTCGCCGCGACGGGAGAGAAGTCCACCGATACGAGAGCGCGAGCGGATGCGAGACTGGGGCAGCCGAGAGAGAGACCGGGAATGGGACAGGGGTCGAGACCGGGAGCGAGAGCGAGAGAGGGAGCGGGAGAGGGAGCGAGAGCGAGAACAGCGAGAGCGAGAGCGAGAACGGGACCGGGATAGGGACAGGGACCGAGACCGGGACCGGGATCGCGACCGAGATCGAGATCGAGACCGAGACCGAGACCGAGACCGGGACCGAGATCGTGACCGCCGGCCATCGCCTCCACCGGCCAGCGACAGCTATGTTCCGGGCGGCCGGGAAATGGCAGGGCCGCCACGACGTCCGCGGTCGCGCAGCATCGACCGCTATCGGACGGCGCGCGGTCTCGAGGACCGGCCGCGCGAAGCGGTGGTGGGAGCTGGAGGCATCGGAGGCGAGCGATGGCGACCGGCACCACCTCCACTTCCGATGCTGGAGCGCAGCCACAGCCGGGTACGCAGTCCTGGCGGCGGCGGCCCACCGTCGATTAACGGCGCCGTCGCGACGCGGCCCCCGCTACAGGGCACGAATATCAACATGGCGTCGCCGCGCCGCAGCCCGCCCCGACGGCCTTCGCCGGCACAACGCTGGGGTGGTGGCGGCGGCGACGACCGGGACCGCGGGGGCCGGTCGCCGCGACGGGACCTGACGATGCGAGATATGCGGGATGTGAGGGATGTGCGAGACCTGAGAGATATGAGAGATATGAGGGATATGAGGGACATGAGAGACATGAGAGACATGAGAGACATGAGGTAAGAGAGAAGAGAGAGAGGAGAGAGAAAAGAGAGAGGAGAAGAGACACAAACAAATGCTGACATAAGCAGACGACGATCCCGGACACCTGATCGTGATCGTGGTGGCTTGCCATCACGGAACCGCTCTGTCGGTTCACGTCGCTCGCCCCCGATGCAGCGCTACAGGGCACGATCAAGGAGTCCCGACCGGCCGCCAGACGATTATCGCGGTGGCGGTGGCTACGGACGGAGGCCGTCGCCACGACCATCGGCATCACGGCCCATGTCGCCGCGACCCAGCCCCGGTCCAGGCGGCTGGAACGATGTCCGATCGCGCCAGCCATCGTCGGCACCACGATCTCCGCCTCTGGCAGCATCATCATCGTCCATGCGGTCGCCTCCGCACGGTCCGGCTGCACAGCGAGGAGGAGGAGGAGGAGGACAACCGCTGACGGCGACCCCGTCTGCTCGCAAGATGGCCCCAATCGGAGCTGGAGTGGCATCGGTGCCGTCATCCATGCCGTCAACGCCACTGGCAGCCCCGCGAGGACCGTTTGCCTACGGCGGTGGTGGCCGTGAGGATGCCTCTCCCTCTCTGACGGCAACGCCGACAACGACGACGACGACAGCGACAGCAGCAGCAGCAGCAGCTATAGTGGCAGCAGCAGCAGGCCTGCCACCGCCGTCGGGTCCGCGCGGCTACGGTGCCATGCGCAGCAACAGCATCAGCAACGTGAACCTGAACGAGCGTGGCAGCAGCAGCAGCGGCAACACCAACGGAGCTCCCTTCACGCCACGAAGCGGCCGCAACAGCATCCCGACAGGGCCACGCGGTGCATCCATCAGCGGGCCTTCTGGTGGTGGTGGCAGCAGCATGGCATCCGGCGGGCCATCAGCATCAGCAGCAGCCGCAGCTGCAGTGTCTGTCAACATGAGCCGAGGTGGATCGCCGGCCATGGGATCGCCGGCTGTCAGCCTGTCTTCAGGAGCAGCAGCAGCAGCAGCAGCCGCTGGCGGACGACTGTTCAACCCGCCAACCGGACCGGCAGCACAGGTTGGCAGTGGCAGTGGCAGTGGCAGTGGCAATGGCAATGGAACCGGACCGAGTTTGGGTCTGGGCAGCGCCACCAACAACAGCACTGGTATCGGCTCTGGTGGATCGTCCTCTCTTTCTGGTTCTGGTTCTGGTTCCGGTTCCGGTTCCGGCTCGCTCGCCCAGCAGATGCTCGCCGGCATGCCGACGCTGGTAGCCGGCGGACGGCTCGACGGCCAGCTTGCTCTGCCCCGTGGCGGTGGCGTCGTCCGCGAACTCGAAGCCCATCACCGCCGTCTGCGCGAGGAAGAAGAACGGCTGCGCCAGGAACTCGAGACCCGCCAGGAACGGCTCCGTCGGCAGCTGCGCTCGTGGGACCGCATGGATCGCGACGGCCGCTCCTTTGAGCTCAAGAGCAACCTCAGCGAAAAGAGTCTCAAGACCATCGCCGGCGAAGGCGTCGGCGGAGCGGCTTTTTAGCACAGCTGCAGAGACGGCAGAAGCACAGGACGGCAGTAGACAGACTGGTTCGACGGATATCTTTCATAGCTTATAGGGCTACGTGCTTACATAATCAGTACTCGAATACATACGACTGCACACAGACACACAATCACACAATCACACAACACACGGACACAAACACACGACCAGTTTTGCCGAACCTATCATAGAATTCCTTCCAAGATACGGAGTACATGCATCTATTAGGACTGTCGACACAGTCACGAGTCCATTCTTCATCCTCCTGCCGATTCGGGGCCACAACAACACCCTCAAAACACCACAATCCGTTCCAGGTTTGGCTGCTTTTCCTGTGCTTCCTTTTCAGTGTACTGTTTTTGTATTTTTCTGTCTTTACACGATTTGCTTGTTGCGAGTCTTCCGCCCCTCCCTCGTAGTAACAGAATGGTGGTCCTCATATGCGAGCTCGCCCTGAGCTGCCATGCATTTACTTCTTGGCGTCGACAGCCGCAACCTTGACGATCAGGTCCAGGACACGGCGGGAGTAGCCCCACTCGTTGTCGTACCAGCTGACCACCTTGACGAAGTTGGGGTTCAGCGAGATGCCGGCCTTGGCATCGAAGATCGACGAGTTGTTGTTGCCGTTCAGATCAGATGACACAACGTCGTCCTCGGTGTAGCCCAAGACGCCTGTCAGGTTAGCATAGGTGACGACAAAGGAAGTGAAAAAGAAAAGAAAAGAAAAGAAAAGGAAAAAAGAAACCCACCCTTGAGGGAGCCCTCGGAAGCCTCCTTGACGGCAGCCTTGATCTCGTCGTACGAAGCACCCTTCTCCAGGCGCACAGTCAGGTCGACAACCGACACGTTGGCCGTCGGCACACGCAGCGACATGCCCGTCAGCTTGCCGTTCAGCTCCGGAATCACCTTGCCGACAGCCTTGGCCGCACCAGTGCTGCTGGGGATGATGTTCTGTGCCGCACCGCGGCCACCCCGCCAGTCCTTGGCCGAGGGGCCGTCCACCGTCTTCTGCGTCGCCGTGTACGAGTGCACAGTCGTCATCAGACCCTCAACAATGCCGAACTTGTCGTTCAGAACCTTGGCCAGGGGCGCCAGGCAGTTGGTCGTGCAAGACGCGTTCGAGATCACGTCTGCGCTGCCGTCGTACTTGTCCTCGTTCACACCGACAACGTACATCGGCGCATCGGCCGACGGGGCCGAGATGATCACCTTCTTGGCACCACCCTTCAGATGGGCAGACGCCTTCGCCGTCGTCGTGAACACACCCGTCGACTCGACAACGTACTCAGCACCGGTGTCCTTCCACGGGATGTTGACCGGGTCGCGCTCCTGGTAGAACTTGATCGTCTTGCCGTTGATCACCAGGTCGCTGCCGGAGACGGTGACGTCACCCTTGAACACGCCGTGGGTGGAGTCGTACTTGAGCATGTAGGCCTGGAAAGAAGTAAAGCCCGTTAGACAGCCGAAACACCACTTGCAGCGCCGTGGAAACAACTTACAGCGTAGTGCGGCTCGATGAACGGGTCGTTGACGGCGACGACGTCGACCTCGCCGTGCTCAATGGCATTGCGGAAAACGATACGGCCAATGCGGCCGAATCCGTTGATGCCCACGCTGATGGTCATTTTGACTTGTTTGAGTTAGCCAGAAAGCTCGAAGAGAGAAGAGAGCAAGCGCAATGTGTGATAAGACGACTGAGGAGTTCACCCTCGCATTTATTATAGCTTGATGGCCGGGTGGAAACGGCTTATACGACGGAAACAACGAAAACAAAAAAAAGACAAACAGGGACAGGGTCGGATGACAATGACGGAATGTGGTGGGGTGCTTCACGAGGAGCCGAATAGTAGGCAAATCACGAAAACCACGGCAAAGGCTGACTGGGGCTTCGGCTGTCAAGGGTAGAAGGGGGTAATGGTTCGAAAATCTCGGGACTCAGGTCGCGGACACACGGGTGACGCCGGAATAGGCGCGAAAAAGTAGGCTAGAGCTGTGCCAGTGTCGGTTAAGACAAAAGGCTGAGGGTGGAAACGGAGTGTGGTGAGGGGGACGAGGATGAGCGAGTCCTGGGGATAGCCGGGGAGCTGGGGAAGTGGATAAAGGTGGATATGATTGACAATGCGGCCGGTATATGGATAGACTTGAGCAGGGTGAAGCCGAAGTTGGCCAAATCACGAGATTCAGTCGGATAGCTCTCAGAGTGAAAGGCGGGGTAGCAGTATGCCAGCAGAAAAGACACAAGCAAAGGAAAATCAAAAGCCAAAGCAGAAACAAGCGCAGACGCTCAAAGAGACACTCTTACCTGTGTGATGAACAGAGAAGTTCGAGTAAGAGGTTGATGTGGTTGACTGGTGAAGAAGCTTGGAGTGATGATGAAAGAGAGAAGAAGAGAGGGGAGAAGAGCTGAAGAAAAAGGAAAAGAAGAGGAGAGAGAGACGGCAGGGGTGATGACGGTGGCATGAGGGTCATGAATAAAATATACACGACCGTCCGTTTGCTGGTGGCATGGTGGGGTCGTCGCTTCCTGACAGAGCTAGCAAAGCTGGCTTGGAGGGGCAGTTTTGGACTCATTTCGCGGCACTTGGCGTGTTATTGGCCTCAACTGCGCGTCATCCGTGGCGGATGCCTTTTTCTCTTTTGCCCTCAGGAAGGCGCTTCCCCACGGATCCCTTGGCGGGCTCATGCTCGTACGGTTGCCTTCTTCTGCGCTTTTACGAGAGACGCGACTCGGCGGGCAATGACTACGGAGCAGTGCGAGCAGTGCGAGTAGTGCGTGCAGTGCGTGCAGTGCGTGCAGTGCCTTCATTCCCGTCCTTCTGGTCTGGCCTCCCAGAAAAGACGAGAAAAAGAGCGAGCAAATCTGCAGACGGGAAAAAAAGCTGCCTGTTTCCACGCTCCGTAGTCCGACGGCCTCGCGCGACGGCAGCCTGTCCACGTTGTCGCAAACGGAATAATAACGCAGATCCGAGAGCAGACAAATGGAGACGTCTCTATACGGCCGCCACGGTTGGTTGGACGATGCGTCTTTTTTGGCGCAGACGCCCTCTAGCTCCTTAGTCGCCCCTGTCTCTCGTCTCTCTAGTCGTGGTGTCGAGGCCTTATTGCCTCACCTAAAAAAAGCCTCGTCCAGAAGCGGACAGCCTGCTGGTGCGCCTGTCTCACGGCGCGATGCAGAGATATCTCGTCCAAGCTCGTGACCCTCGTGATTTTGGTCCTGATTCCGCCACCATCGGCTATCGCTCGCCTCCTCTCCTCATGCCTGACTCACACGGACTTGCTCGACGTCGGAGCCGCGATACGAACGCGAATACGTGCTGCATCCACCCATTGCTGAGGTGGTCTGCTCATGTTACAGCTGAAACGATCCTGGTCCAATGCGAGCCTGGTCTCCGCTGTCGTGCCACCAACACATGCTGCTGTCCAGCAACAATGCGCATCGTTGCATCGGACATGCACGCCCGCCCGAAAGAACAAGACAGAAAAGCCCGCAGCGATGGGGTGTGTTAGGTGCAGTCCGGGCGGAGCGGTCGGCGTCATTTTCGGTGCCATCGACTCCTCGCCGGACCTAGACAAATAGCCCGTCCTGACCTTTTCTCCTTTCCTTTTTCCTTTTTTTCCCTTTCTTCTTTGTTTTCTTTCTCCCCTCGTTTTTACTCTGGCCTTTTTCCTGGCCCTATCCACCAACACCGGCTAGCCGTTGGCAGCGCGACAATTGCCAGACTCTAAAACGACTGCTGTAAACGGGCCTGTCGTATAAAAACGGGATTTTCGCCCAAAGCGGAAGGAAGCTCGATCGCAGCTCCCCCGCGCCCTCACGCGTCCCCTCCCTTTCGTAGTCGTAGCTCTTTCCTCGTATTCTTCATGCTCGCTGCAAGCACCGCTCCTTCGACTCGTACCATTATCGCCAAGACTCTCTCGTCCACATCGAGCCCTCTTCTGGTTCGCCAACGGCATTGTACAATACCATGGAGCAACCGGCTTACTCGTTCTGTCGTCCAATGGAAACTCCGGACCCCTCCAAAGACCCTTATCGGTGCGGACCAGCTTTGACCCCACCCACCAGCCGATAAGGCTGCCTCGTCGTCTAGTTCTCGACGCCCCGACGACTCGACATTGACTAGCATCATCACATCCAGAACTCTCATCCGCGCTGCAGCACCGTCCCAACATGTCTCACTTGCATTCCCACGACGGCGGCATCACCATGCACGCCAGCCACGGCCATGATGCCGGCAGCTTCATGCACTCCCACGACGGTGGCATCACCATGCACGCCAGCCATGGCCACGAGGCCAGCAGCTTCTCGGCCGTGGAGCATGGCCACAGCCACGAGATCCTCGATGGGCCGGGCAGCTTCTTGGCCCGTGAGATGCCCATCATCGACGGCCGCAACTGGGAGGAGCGCGCGTTTACCATTGGCATTGGCGGGTATGTTCTGTGGTTTGTCCTCTCACCACGCACAATTCAAACTGACAGCCTCCCAGTCCTGTCGGTTCGGGCAAGACTGCCCTCATGCTGGCTCTCTGCCTCGCTCTGCGCGACCGCTTTTCGATTGCGGCCGTCACCAACGACATCTTCACGCGCGAGGACGCCGAGTTTCTCACCCGCAACAAGGCCTTGCCAGCCGACCGCATTACGGCCATCGAGACGGGCGGATGTCCTCACGCGGCCGTCCGCGAGGATATCAGCACCAATCTGGCCGCCCTCGAGGACATGCAGGCTGCCTTCCACACTGACCTGCTGCTCATCGAGTCCGGCGGCGACAACCTGGCGGCCAACTACAGCCGTGAGCTCGCCGACTTCATCGTCTATGTCATCGATGTCAGCGGTGGCGACAAGATCCCCCGCAAAGGCGGTCCCGGCATCACCCAGAGCGACCTGCTCGTCGTCAACAAGACCGACCTGGCCGAGGCCGTTGGCGCCGACTTGGGCGTCATGGAGCGCGACGCCCGCAAAATGCGCGAGGGCGGGCCCACCGTCTTCGCCCAGGTCAAGAAGAACGTCGGCGTCGAGCATATCGTCACGCTGATCCTCAGCGCCTGGCGTGCCAGCGGTGCCGAGTCGGTCGTCAAGAAACAGGGTGGACCGCGTCCGACCGAGGGTCTCGACACTCTGTGAGGCTATTCGAAGAGAAGCATATCAAAGAACGAAAGTACAGCAAAAAAGTCCTGTTGCAAAATATCCAAAATCAAAAGCAAAGTTCCGAGCAGATGTTAGGTTCAAAATCTATCATTATCATGAGCCATTGTGTCGCCTATTCCTCTGTTTTCCAAATGGTTGCCCGTTTCCCTGGTTCCCTTCCTTTATGCTTGCTCACTCCATTGCCTCATCCATCATCTCGTCGACAATCTCCTCAGCCGGCGGCGCAGCCCACTCCTGGTACAACAGCGACTTCCGTGGCCAGACCCGCTTGTATAGGCTGACACCGATACTGTCCTGTGGGTTGATGCGACCGTCAAACGTGGCCTTGAAGTAGCCGTGCGTGCCGAGAGCCTCCTTGATGTATCCACTGCGCCCACGCTTCGTCCATAGCGGCAGCGCCTTGAACCAGTCCACGTCTTCGCGGTTGAAGAACATGTACCGGATCGTAACCACCTTTTTGTGAATGTGGTACGGATGGCCGGTGAGGACGACCCGTTTGGCCACCACGCGCGCCGTCGATGGCGCCAGCGACGTCCCGATGCCAGCCAGCTGCAGCGGTACCGTGTCGCTCTTGGTGCGCTTGAAGAAGAGCGTCGGCACGAAGCCCCAGGTGACGGGGCCGACGAAGCTGACCACGGCCGACTGGCCAGGGTGCACGAACCGGCACGACTTGTGCACGTTGTTGGGCGTGTTGCCGCTCTGCGAGAAGAGCGGCTGGACGAAAAAACGACGCGGTCCACACTGCACGATGAGCTCCTCCTTGGCCTTGATCGAGTGCGGGTGGTCGGCGCTCAGGTTGATGATCAGGTTGACCACCGTCTGCTTGTTCTCGTGTCGCAGCAGAGAAAAGGCCACGGCTGGCCTGCTCGTGCTGTAGGCTGCCCGCACGGCCTCGGGAATCACGCCCTTGGCCAAATGCACGGAAACACGCATTCCCGGCGCCACCCCGCCGACCAATGCTTCCCGGGCTGCCCGGATTCTCGACGACTTGTAGTCGGGAATCTGCAACAGACGCCGCCAGTCCTCTGGCTCGTGTGGACGGTCCTCCTTTGCGTTCCACGGGCTGGACCGCAGGCTCTTGAGACCGCGGTACCGTGCTAGCCGTTCACGTGCCAGCACCTGTGGGTGCAGCTCGATCTCGTCTGGGAACTCCAAATCGTCTTCGGCCTCGCCCCGCTTCTGCTGCCGATACTGCGCCAGCTGCTCGGCCTCCTGCTCCTCATTTTGCTCAACATAGATCTCCGACTGCGGGTACTCGGACGGTCCAGCACCTTCGGTCTGTGCATCGTGTGCCAGGCCTTCCATTCCGTCTGCCGGCTCGGCCTTTTTGAATCCGTCATCGCCCATCTGCTCCTCTTCGTCATCGTTGTCGGACCCGGATTCTGACGTCACATCGTCCAGGATCCACGCCGACTGGTACGCTGATGTGCCCTTGGGAAGCTTCTTGGCTGGCCGGAACTGGTCCTCGTCATCGTCAAAGTAATGGTGGTCATCCAACAATACACCTTTTCGGCCAGCGGCTTCCAGGGACCGGTTGTTAATCTCCTCGTCCTCCATCTCGTCATCCTGGTCGAGAACGGCCTCTTCGGGAGCAAGACCGTCTAAATCGTCCCTGTCTTCGCTGGGTTCGGCGAGTACAATCTCTGAGCCTCCTTCTTGTCCGTCGACAGCCATGTCCTCGACGGTAGCACCGCCCTTGGGCTTGCGTACCGAGATGGGCGCCGCGGTGATCTTGTCAATCTGGAACGAGCCCCAGTCGCCCACGTGGATGAGCCGATCCGCGTTGAGTCCCTTGCCACGCACGACACCCGTGAGGACGGCAGCAGCATCGTCGCCTGTGGTCCCGAACTGCACGTCCTCCACGAGCATCCAGCTCCGCTCATCGCGCCAGTGGATGCCCTTGGGCGTCGCATTGCACAGAGACCGCATCAGGTTGGCGCATTCCTGCCGGCTTTCAAGACTGAAAAGCTTCTCCTGGTCTGGGTGGAAGTGCCGCATGAAAGACTTGAGCGACTCCAATACGGCCGTGCGCTGCTTGGCCGACTCGACGCTGCTGAGTCCGTGCACCGCCGTGAACAGCGTTGTCAGGCCCTGGCTTTCCACACTGCGCAGGATCAGCTCGCCACGCTCATCCACCTCGTCGACGGCCGAGATGACAAAGACGACAAAGTCGGCAGCCCGTGCGGCATCCAAGCAGGCCACGACGTCGCGGTTCGACGGCACCACGATGTACTGCAGCTGCTGCTTGAACCGCTCGACGGGCACGCGCACCGCACCGTCGGTGATGTCCACCTCAATGTCCAAGCTGACATTGAGGGCGCGGATGGTGGTGGCGGCATCGCAATTGCTGCACAGTGGGATCACGGCCACGTTGCGCGGCGCACCATCGCGGCCGGTAAAGATGGAGGCGTCAAGACGCTGCTCCTTTTGCTTTTCCAGCTGGCGCTGGCGGTTCTGATTGCGACGATCGAGTTTCGACATCACCTGCTGGTGCGGCGTTTTTGGTCTCTCATCCAAGACTTTGCCTATATTTTCGCACAAATGTCAGCATATTTTCTTCTGTCTATAGCCTCTAAGCTGAATCGCTCCTTCTCCACCAACCTTTGCGATTCCGTCCTTTGCCCCCCTTGAAGGGCTTGTGGCCGACTTTCGTTGTCGCCTTATGGCTGTGCTCAGCCAGTGTCGAAGGCATTTTCGCTACGTCTGAAGCGCACACGATTCTTTCTCTGGGGAAAAAGACTCTTATGTGTGCCACACCGTTTGATTCAACTGTAATGGCTTTTTTTTTTCTCCAGGCAGAATTTTTGGATTTTTGGCTAAAGTGGGAGGGGTTCGCGCTTATCGATAAGCGATAGTATGATAACAAGATAAGAACATGTGAATCTCGATAAGAATTTTTTTTAGTAGTCCCGCCTTGCCAACTAAATTTCCTTGCTGCTTTCCATACCAGGTAATGAATGCTGCAAACCCATGACAACCGACATGATGGAAGTCGCAACGACAACGACGCATGACCGTCCGAGAAAGAAGCGGACGGGCGGAGCTGGGTCTGCTGCCAGATCTGGTGCAGGCACAATGGTAAAACACAACAACGGAGCGAAAAAGGTGGACGATCTACGGCTATCGCTACGGCCAAAAGAAGAGCAGGAACGGATACGGAGGCACAAAGAAGCGCAGAGCCAATATGGGCGCGGCAAGCAGATACCCCTGAAGGCGGTGCAGGACAGGAAGCTGAAGAGAACTCTCGGAAACCTCGAAAGCCGCTACAAGAGGGCGGTCGACCAGGCCAAGGATGCCGAGGTGCTCTTGGAAAACGCCAGCGGCTTTCTCGAGGCCGAGACCGATCTGGAGCGCACGTACAAGGTGCGGCAGGATGAGATTGTCAAAGAGGCACCGATTGCGGTAGCGCAGAAACGCTTCGATCTCAAGCTTGATCAGCTGGGGCCGTACATGTGCGAGTTCACGCGGACAGGTCGCGAGCTGCTGTTGGCCGGCCGCAAGGGACACGTCGCCACGATGGACTGGCGTGAGGGAAAGCTGGGATGCGAGCTGCAGCTGGGTGAGACCATCCGCGACATTCGGTGGCTGCACAACAATCAATACTTTGCTGTGGCGCAGAAGAAGCACGTGTACATCTACGACCGGAACGGCGTAGAGCTGCACTGCATGCGGAAGCATATTGAGGTCTCCCACATGGAGTTTCTGCCATACCACTTTCTGCTGTCAACCATTGTAAGTCAGCCCCTCTCCCTCTCGTCGCAATCGGACGTCTAACCCGTCCAGAGCCTGTCCGGCCAGCTGAAATACCAAGACGTGACAACCGGCAACCTCGTGTCAGAAATTCATACCAAGACAGGGGCGCCCTGCTCGTTTACGCAGAACCCGTACAACGCGGTCGTGCATGCGGGACACCAGAACGGCACGGTGACGCTGTGGTCGCCCAACTCGTCGGAGCCGCTGGTGAAGCTACTGGCTCACAGAGGCCCCGTGCGGGCATTGGGCGTCGACCGGCAGGGCCGCTACATGGTGTCGGGCGGCCAGGACTGCCGGATGTCCGTGTGGGACATTCGCATGTTCAAGGGCGAGGTCGGCAACTACCACACGCACCACCCGGTATCGTCGATCTCGATCTCGGACTCGGGCGTGGTGGCCACGGGCCATGCCACGCGCACGACGCTGTGGAAGGGTATCTTGACGGGCCCGGTGGAGGAGAAGCCGCTGCCGTACATGAAATGGGGTGGTGATGGCAAGGCGATTGAGCGGGTGCGGTTCTGTCCGTTCGAGGATGTGCTGGGCGTCAGCCACAACATGGGCTTCTCGTCGCTCATCGTGCCGGGTGCGGGCGAGGCCAACTTTGACGCGCTCGAGGTGAACCCGTACGAGACGGTGAAGCAGCGGCAGGAGGGCGAGGTCAAGGCGCTGCTGAACAAGCTGCAGCCGGAGATGATCGCGCTGGACCCCAACTTTGTCGGCAAGCTGGACGAGCGGTCAGAGGCGCAGCGACAGGCAGACCGCGACCTGGACGCCGTGCCGGTGGACATTGGGGACGAGATCCGCAACAAGATGCGCGGCAAGAACACGGCGCTCAAGAAGTACATACGGAAGCAGCGGAAGAAGAACATTATCGACGAGAAGCGTCTCAAGGTGGACGAGATCTGGAAGGAGCAGCAGAAGCGGAAAAGGGAGAAGCTCGAGGAGGCCAAGGAGGATCTGGGGCCGGCGCTGGGCCGGTTTGCACGGAAAGAGTAGATGCAGCTGTATGGGTAAAAGGTAGCAACGGAGTACGGATGACAAGAGTAAAGGGTATATCGAGAGCAATGTAAGGTCGGGCCTTGTGCACGTGTACAGGCACGTGGAGCCGCTGAATCCTAGGCCCGCTTCCCTGAAACATCATTGGCCGACGGCAGGGAAAAATGCTAGAGCATCGACACTGGGGAGCTGACTGAAAGCCAAGAATAGCAACCAGGCCGCTTTCTGTCCTCCGATACAGCATTCGTTCCCTGCCCTCTCTCCGCCACACCAGCTTCTTGTCGCCATGTCCGCCATGGCCGACTACGTAGAACGGGCGCTCGAGAGCCCGATGGCCGTTGCGATCGGCACCAGCGCGGTGGCCTTTGCGTCGGGCATGCTGCTCGGCGCCTACTCCGTCCGCGGCTACCTCTTTTCGCCCGAGTTCCAGGAGGAGCGGCGGCGCAACCGGACGGACCCAATGGAGAGCGAAGAGTCGGATATTGACGACGACACCATCCTGGACCATGCGCCGAACTGGGCCAACGGCATGGAGGCCGATGTGCGGGATGGACTGCGGTCGAGGAAGAAGAAGGGCAGCAGCGCGGAGAAGAGCAAGGGCCAGGCCGAGAGCGACGAGGAGTGCAAGCTGGTGTTGGTTGTACGATCAGACCTGGGCATGACAAAAGGTGTGTTTTCTATATTTTCTTTTTTCTTTTTTCTTTCTTCTGTCTTTTCCTCCATCTTCTTTCCCCCATCTCCCTCTAACAAGGACAGGAAAAATTGCAGCTCAGTGTGGCCACGCCACGCTTGCCTGCTACAAGACGCTGCAGCGGCAGGCTGCAAACGACCCCAAATCTCCGGCAGCCCGGCTGCTGCAGCGCTGGGAGCGCCACGGCCAGGCCAAGATCGCGCTGCAGGACAAGGGCGAGGACGCGCTGCTGGCGCTGATGGGCACGGCTCACAGCCTCGGCATTACGTCTGAGGTGATTGTCGACGCCGGCCGAACACAGATCGAGTCGGGCAGCATGACGGTGCTCGGGGTTGGACCGGCGCCCAAGAGCTTGGTAGACAAGGTGACGGGACACCTGAAGCTGTTGTAGAGAACGGCAGGCCGTCGGGATGGACAACGGGCGAGGTGATCAAAGGAGGACGACCATCAAGGCGGACATCTACGGGCTTATGTCTCTTGATGGTACCAAGAAGCTGTTATGGGCCAATTTTAGGGCAGATTGCATTTGATAGTCAGACACCAAAACCTGGGATATAAAGCACAGCACTGTGAAGGGCTCATCTGAACACGTGACCACGCTGCGATGTCACCAGAGACCCATTGTCGAAACCCACTACCATATTTCAGCGAGCGAACCGATCTGTGCCAGTATTTCCTGACGTCGAGCAGTCCGAGCTCTGTCAAGGCAGAGAGACGATCTGCCACAGTCATGGCTGCAGTCCACCGCAAGGCTGTCGTGATCGGGATCAGTGGATGTTCGTCCAGCGGCAAGACGACGTTGGCCCGGCTTCTGCGCGACATTTTCCCCAAGACGTTTGTCCTGCACGAGGACGACTTTTACAAGCCGGACCAGGAGCAAGTGGCCTGTTTTTGTTGAGCTGCGCCGACCATTCGCTGCTGACGACAGCCTCTCCAGGATCCCCATCAAGGTGGATGGCCTGGCCGACTGGGACTGCCCAGAAGCCATCGCACTGCCTGAAATGGTCCAAGCCCTAGAGCACATCCGCTCGCACGGCGTGCTGCCAGTCAGTCATATCCTTCGAGTCTTCTGTCCGGTCAGTCCGTTGCTGACAAACTCCCCCATCGTGCAGCCTGACCTCTTCTCGAAGGAGGACCAGAATTCGGTAGGTCCGTGTCCGGTGTCCGATGCCAAGATTGCGGCCCTCAAGGCCAGAGTCGCGGCAAGGGCCACGGTCACGGCTACAGGACCAAGCCTGTGCATCCTCGACGGCTTCCTGCTCTACAACGACGCCATGCGGCCGGCCATGGACCTGCTCGATGTGCGGCTCTTTTTGCGCGTGAGCCACGACAGGGCAACGCAGCGACGACAGGCACGTGACGGCTACGTGACTCTCGAGGGCTTCTGGCAGGATCCGCCTGGTTACATGGACAAGATTGTGTGGCCCAACTACGTCGAGATGCACAGGTGGATGTTCCCGGGCGGCGACGTCGAGGCCGAGCCAGATCATGCGCTGCTCCAGGCCAACAGCATCCTGACGCAGCTGGACAAGGGCGTTGACGTCGACATGGAGACGACGCTGGAATGGGCCGTGGACATTCTCATGCGCGAGCTGCAGAATGTTTGACGCGGCTGGACGAGCTGCTTTCATCGCACAACGTTTACGTTTCTTCCAATAGTATGTAACGACAGTCATGGTTTGCCCCTGCCTCATGGATCGACGATCTCTGGCAACGGAGTGGAATATGACGTTCTTGGGATTCCCGGTCCACGAGGCTCAGCTTTTGACGGCGAACCAAGCTTCTCCCCGGGAAGAGCCCGGTTGTTCTGGGACCTGTCGATAGGATAATTGACACCATATTCCAAAAGGAAGAGTGCGATGTCTCCATAGGATGTATCGAACTGCCGCAGTCATCGACTCTGAACTTGCGTGCAAGCAGAGGACGTCTGGGCACAGATCCGTGGTGAAAAAGAAGGAAGAAGAGGAGAGAAGGAAAAAGTCGCGAAGCAAAGCTTTTATGGCAGGCGAAATGGGCCCCGCTAAAAGTTTTCACTCTTTATTACGTAATGTAAAGTGCACGTGCCACCTGGTATGCCATGCCTTATTGGGCCAAGACTTTTGCATCAACTACGTGCCAAAGCACATCCACGCGGCACCAGAAAAAGGACGACGCCAGGTTCTCGCATCGCCCGCCCACCATGGATCTCGCCACAATCCAGGAAGCCAACCGTCTCCGGGTGGAGATGGGGATGAAGCCGCTGCCGGTGCCAGGCGAAGAGCCGGAGGCCAAGGGCAGCGACGAAGAAGACGAAGACCCGCTGGCGACGTTGGACGGACGACATGCACTGGCGTTTGACAACTACAAGAAGGTGCAGGACGCGGAGCTGGCGAAGCGGCGGCGCGAAGAGAAGGCCGAAGCTGTCAAGCGGGCGCGCGAGAAGGCGCAGCGGCATGCGGTGCTGGAGGGCCACACGCTGGGCGAACTGGAGGGCGGAATCCTGGGCAACAGCGACAAGGGAGACGGAGCCGACGGCGACGCCAAGGCCTGGTTGCGCGGACAGAAGCAACGGCAGAAGAAGATTACGAAGCAGAGCGAGGCAGAGGCGGCCGCGGAAGAAGAAGAGCGCCAGCGGCGAAAACGGCTGGTGGGCGACGACGACGACGACGACGACAACTTGGCGGGCGTCAAGGTAGGCCACGACATGTCGGCGCTGCTGGACGGCGGCGACCAGATCCTGACGCTGCGCGACGCGACTGTGCTCGAGAACGAGGACGACGGCGACGAGCTGGAGAACATGGAGCTGCGCGAGCACGAGAAGCTGCAGGAGCGGCTAGACCTGAAGAAGAAGCGGGTGGCCTACGACCCGCTGACGATGACAGACGACGAGACGCCAGGCTCGCGAACAATCTTGGGCCAGTACGACGAGGAGATCCACGGGAAGAAGCGCAAGACGTTCACGCTGGACCCCAACGCGATCCTCGGCCCAGACGGGAACTCGGCTGCGGCAGGCAAACCGGCGACAGTCCTGGACATGGCGGCCGGGGGCCTCAGCAGCAAACACAGCGTGCTCCAGCACGTGGATCTCAACGACCTTCTCGCGGGCGGTCCGTCGTCGGACTACGTGGATGCGTCGGAGCTCAAGATCCGGAAGCCCAAGAAGAAGTCCAAGGAGAAGAAGGCGGCACGGGCGACCAGAAGGCGCGGTGGTGGTGGAGGTGACAACGGGGACGACGACGTTCTGTTCCCGGCCGAGGCAACGGTGGAGGACGACGCGAAGATGGACGTCGACACAGCGGCCGTAGAGGCGGCAGCGGCAGCCGATCGGAAGCAGAAGAAGCGCAGGGCGATGGAAGAGGCCGACGAGGACCTGATGCACGACGAAGAGAGCTTGCAGGCAGTGTTGGCAGTACAGCGACGCGAGGCGCTGAAGAAGCGGAAGCGCATGCGGCCAGAAGACGTGGCTAAGCAGCTGCGCGAGGCCTCGGCAGAAGGGGCAGACGGCGAGGGAGAGGGGCAGCAGGGTGGCGGTCTGGTGATTGACGAGACGGCCGAGTTTATCAGCAATCTGAAACGACGAGAGGACCGGGAAGACGAGCTGCCGCGGGCACGGAAGCAGACGGAACCGTCGTCGGTCACGGCGATGGACGCTGACAGCAGCGAGGACGAGAATGGCCAGGACGTGGAGATGAAGGACGAGCAGGGCGGAGAGCAGGGCGAGCGAACCGAAGGTCAGGGCGCAGCAGCCGGGCTAGAGGAAGAGAAGAAGATCAGCGAGGGGATGGGGGCGACGTTGTCGATTCTCCGGGGTCGAGGCATCTTAGAGAGCGAAGGGGGCGGTGGGAGTAGTGGAAACGGTGGAAACGGTGGTGAGGGTGGCAGCAGTGGCGGATCCGCACTCAACACGCGGATGCGGGCACACCAGCAGTTCCTGGCCGAGAAGCGGCTGCGGCTGGCCAAGCTGGAAGAGGATGCGCGACGACGCCGCGAGCAGGACCGGGCAGCCGGCGGAGCGCTGGCGCGGATGACGGCACGTGAGCGCGAGGAGTATGCGCGACGGCAAAACGCACAGCGCGAATTCCAGACATCGCGCATGCTGCAGGACATGTTTGCGGAAAAATATACGCCCAACTTCCAGATCGAGTACACGGACGAACACGGCCGCTCGCTCAACGCCAAGGAGGCCTTCCGCGAGCTCAGCCACGGCTTCCACGGCAAGACCAGCGGCCGCGGCAAGACCGACAAGATGCTCAAGCGCATCGCCGCCGAGAAACGACACATGGCCGAGGGTATCCTGGACGCGAGCGAGGCCGTCGGCATGAGCTCGGCCGCTCAACAGCAGCTGAAGAAGCGGAAGGAGGCGGGTGTGCGACTAGATTAGGGGGGGTTGCATGTAGATCGAAGGGATTGGGCGTTTGATATCTTAATGGAGCTTGTGTCTGGCTTTTTAACGGAAATGATGTTGATGGCATCTTAGTGAGAGCTAATGTTGCCGATGCAAGTCATCTTCATCCCTCTGTGGATTCCAGAGGTCACCTGACCTCTGCCGAAATCATCAGTCAAGACGAAGCCTGCGCGCTCATTGCGTACAGTCTAGTCTAGTAAACCACCCTACGATTCATTACTACACCTTTGAAAGGGTTAACGTACAGGTCTTACACTAGTATTACGCCAAGGCAGTGGTGCACGGAGTATGTAGAAGCCACACCTCGTAATGGTTGCATACGCTTAGTAGTCAACATGGTGGTCACGTGATTTACGAAAGGATGTACAGTGCAGACTACGTACTACAGAGCACTCCGTACTCCTCACGAACCTACCTCGGCCATATCAGACTTCCTCGTCGTCACTCCGTGCAACCGCTGCTTTTTCCAAAGCCTCTCGTCCGTCTCCCCCGTCTCCCTTGACCCTCGACCCTTCTTCGTCTTCGGCTTCACGATCCAGGCCCGGTCAAAATCAATACACATCATCCGCTGTCGTTCCTCGTTCCACACCATGTTTGCCTCTCTTTCGTCCCCGTGCTCAATCCCGGTCGCGGCCAACTGGAACCAGGCCTGGTGGGCCAGCTGCTGCAGCGTCTCCGTCGTCGGCACCGGCCTGTCTCGCACCTGCACGGCCAGCGCCGGCTCACCACCGTACGACAGCACCAGCATATGCGTCACGTGGATCCCTCGCATCGAGATGTAGTCGTGCACCAGCTCCACCGTCCCCAGACACACCGGCACCAAGTCGCCTTGCCAGTCGTGCAGGTAGTCGTAGATGGCCGTCTCTGCCTCCAGTCGTCGAGCATTTTCCCGCTCCACTCCCTTGGCAACAACGCAGTATCCGGACTCCGGCAGCGTCAGCCGGAACAGCGTGCCGATCGCACCACACTTGCGATACCGATCCAGCGCGTCGCAGTGGTTGTCCATGTCCTCCCCCAGCTGTTCCTGTAGCTGCTGTATCAGCTGCTCTGCCGACAGCCCGTGTCGCCCGTCCTCGCCGCAGCATCGTCGGTGCCGTTCCACGTTCGGACACTGGCCATCCAGCTTGCCGCCGTTTCGTAGTCCGAGCAAGCAGGCCTACGTGCAGTACGGCGCTGCCTTTCGTTTATCGGACGTTTCTCCTCGACTGCTGCTGCCAGAGCCCTGCGTTCGCGATGCCGCCGACCGTGTGGCATAGGACTTGCCGGTCACCGCGCCTGTCGAACGTGCTGGTGTGAAATCCCCATCCCCATCGCCCTTGGGCGGTTTCCGTCCTGGTTTGGTCGGGTCTCGGCAATCTTGCTCCCCGGTTCCCGGTGGAGGCAGCAACGGAACCGCCGGCCTCCCATCGCTCTCTTCACTCCCGCTGTCTTGGGGCAGGTGTGCCTCCATCTGTGGATACGCTGTCGGCCACCGCTTCAGCCGGCTATCCGCTTCCAGCTTCCATCGCTGGCTCAGAAGAGGACTGTCCAAAGCGAGCAAAGCTAGTGCAGACACCACCGACACGGCTGATCGCATGGTAAGTCCCATCTGGTCCGAGATCCGTTCGGTCATCTCGTCTGCAGGCACACACAGATGGTAATACAGGGTCTCTGGCTCCTCCGGTCGGAGATGCAACAGTAGGATCATCTCGCCTGACGTCGCATAGCAGTAGCACAGGCCAAACTCAACCATGTAGTGGAACGCTTGTGTCACGACCGCGGCTGTAGCGTTTTGGGCCTCTGCCAGCATCTTTTCGTCCCCCTCCTGCGGCACGGTATTGCTGAGCTTGTTGCGTAGAGCCGCTGCAAACAAGCCCCCGTTCGACGCGTTGTCCAAGGCCAACTTCACCATACTGGCACGCAACTTATGTGCGGCCTTGTATTCGACAATGAAAACAGGCCGGATCCTCCCGTCCACCTCTTCCCGAATCAGCCACTGGTCGGGAAAGTGCTTGCGCGTCGGCGACGACACCCGTTTAAGAGGGGGTCCGTCGTCGGTTTCGCCGCGCGGTCGCCCCCGATCCTGTCTATCCTGCTGCCGGGCCAGCACCAGAGCCGGCTTATACGCCGGACGATTGGGGTTGTCGAGGTCGGGATCATCGCTATCGTAGACCGACAGCCCGTATGACACGCTTTCGAACAGGATGGTGGTCGGAAGAGAGTGCGTCTCCTCAGAGCGGCTTTCTTCTTGTTCCCGTTCCTCCTCTCCCTGATCGTGCTGCTGCTGCTTCTGCTTTTCCATGTCGGCCGCTGCCTTCGTCTCTTGGAGAAAGGTAAGTAACACCTCACGCACACCTAACTCGACGGCCAGAAATTGAAACATTCGCATGTCCTGTTCGTCCGTCATCTTCCTGCTCTGTACAAGCTTCTGGACGACGCCGACATGGCCAGGCGACCAGAAGAGCGGCTTGGCGGCGGGCGTGCATCTCAGAAAAGTCGGCCCACGGCTTGAAGTGCAGAGGATAGTATTTGTTATTGGGGTTAGCGACGATGCCAGTAAAGGCTAGGCGAGCATTCGTCTCGATAGCTAGTTTGAGGGAGATGTCCCGGTGACAGAAGTCGAGATAGGTGTTGTAATCGGAGGGAGCCAGTTGCTGTTCGGCAGCCTTGCGGCGAACTTCTTCTTCTTTGCGGCGAGCTTCTTCTTCTTTGCGGCGAGCTTCTTCTTCTTTGCGGCAATCTTCCTCTTCTTTCTGGCGGGTTTCAGCAACCTTGCGGCGGACTTCTTCTTCTTTGCGGCGGTCTTCCTCTTCTTTCTGGCGGGCTTCAGCAGCTTTGCGGAGGACTTCTTCTTTGCGGCGGCGGTCTTCCTCTTCTTTATGGCGGATTTCGGCAGCTTCGGCGCGCTCATTAGCCGCTGCTACCTGCGCCCGGTATGCGGCAACCGCCTGCCGCAACTCAAGCAGCTCTTCAGCGTCGCTCATCGTGGTCAGCTTCGTGGTATGAGAGCCGCAAAGACTCAAGCTTGTCAGTCTCTGTGCCAGACTTTGCGCTAGTTCGCACGTAGACCAGCCCTCATATGCCATGAAAATAAAACGAAACTCTGGTAAAATAGATGTAAATATAATCATTGGTCTGTTTTAGACAATTAACTAAGACGAAAGAGCCATCTGAATGTAGGGGGAGAAAAGAAACAAGCGCGCATAATGTCAAAGATGGTGCTCCGTAGCATTTATGGTCATGTGATCAAATTAATAGGTTAGAAACGTAAATAAGATCACGTGAGCGGAGCATGGGTGGGATCGTTTGGGCCACTGTTATCTATTCATTTAGACGGCTTAACGTCGCCATTCAAGGGGTTATGCCTCAAGAACTAACACGCCTCCCTAAGGGCATACGACGGATGAGGCAAGGGATAGATTTCAAGACCTACTAGTCGTCGTCCTACGTAAGGCATCTTATGATTTAGGACAGTCTAAAATAGCTAGAGAACGGCAAATTATATTCACCACCTTTTTACAAACTAACAAAGTTCGATGCTCTTCCTTTGCTGATCCATCGATGCCAAATCTACCTGTGACACCCAGACAGAGCCAAAACGCTCAAACTTGCCGTTTTTTTCATCCAATAGAAGAATGAACACAGACGCTTGCGTCATATTATATCTGGCAGTTTCCCAGTCGACGCATTCTCCCTCACTGTCTCCGTCTTCCCCGTCTACCTCATTTTCCTTATCTTCTTCGTCTCCTTCCTCCACCCCGGCTTTCTTGCCTTCTCCATCTTCCTCGCTTCCCGTGCTTGAGGGCGTAGTCATAAAGAGCACAACACCGACCCATTCCTCAGATAAAACTCTGTCGTGTAGCTCGTGGATTTCTGGGGAGTACTGGCAAAGAACAACGCTTGAGGAAAATCTACATTGAGGCAAAAAGTATCCCTCATCGTGATACTCGATGCGCGTAGATATTGTTATCGATTCGATCACCAACACTGGCGAAATTTCCGGAATGACTTGATTTTCAGTCCTTCGGGAATGAAATAGTTCGTCGATAGGCGTCACCGTTTCATCACTGCCTTTCACCCATATTTGAAGACCGAAGTCCACTATTGGCGCGATGTCAAGCTCGGGGTTGTCCTTGTTTTCGCAATGTTCTCGAATCGGTGCAAGCCACGTCTTGAAATAGCTAACTTGCCCAATCCATCCAGCCCAAGACCAGCTGGGATATTTCAAATTTGTGGCCGTAGTGCGCCTTTTCAATGATTCCTGGCGGTTTGATTTTGCAGACGGAACATACGGTTCCCAGGAGAGGCCACACGCAAATCGGTAGTTGACATCTCGGGCTACTGGTCCGGCGTCGGCGGAGTCGTGGAAAAGAAATGGTATTCCCCAGTAGCTTGGCTGCTTCGCAGATTGCAGAATGCCACGGAATGCATTCAGCACGTCAGATTCGCATGTTAAGAGACGCCTAGTGTATTGGCCCAGCATATCTCTGAAATCCCAGGCAGGAACTGCGCCAGGACCGCCAATACTATCGACCATTGGCTCTGGGTGGACTAGGCGCATATACGCTAGTGCTGGGTATGATGATCCAGAAAGGGTCTGGGGAAAGTTCGTAATCACTGACTCTCGTTGTAAGCCCTCCATACAAGTAAAGTACACCTGGGAATCCGTGAAGTAGAAGCAACGCTTCGATAAGCAAGCTTCTTGTAGTGTCCAGCCACGGTTCACCCAAGGAGACTTTTCCAGGACCGATAGCAGAGGAGGCCCCGTTGAGACAAATAGCTTTCCCTTACTAAAGACTTTTGGTGGAGGCTGTCTTGAGATCAAGCCAACGCCTGGAAGCCCAGTTCTGCCTTCTTGAATCCCTGCGGAAACTATTGTTGCTTCTGCCCCTGAATATATCGCATGCATATGAAAAATCTCAAGCGTTTTTTGTATTTCGTCGGCTTGGTTGATGCAGATCTGGTCTGCCCATAGATATTGACCTCCAATTTCCAGGACAGCCTTGATTGCATCTTCGATAGAAGGGTGAAGATGGTTAGGGAGTTTGAATTGCTTATCCATTATGGGCGGTGCATCCAAGGCTTCGGGCGGTCCCCATACATAACTTAGATTGAAATACCGATGGCCTGGGCGCCTCAAAACTACAGCTCTGGCATTGCAATCAATGAGCTGGGTTGGAAACCTTTGGTCACCTTGAGATGAGTGACATCTTTCCCCGTGTTGCTTCTCACAATCCTGTAACCATTGCCGAAGCCTAGCGTAGGGTACTTCGTGTGGAAGTACCTCGCATCCGTACACAGCTAGCGGTCGTGATGAAGTCGGCTCCGGAATTGGCAATCCAGCAGGGACTATCACGCTTATTCTGCTTAGACGTTCTGCAGTTCCCCATTCGGTAGTGCCGCCATAGATAGATCCTTCACCATGTTGAACAGCCAGAACGCAACCGAGTGTTTGTCCAACGTATTTCCTCCATTCTTGTCCTTTCTCTCTAAGTGCGCTACTGTAAGCTTGAATATTATAATTGTCGTGTGCTGGTTCATCTTGATATAGCCGTGTTTCTGCGAATAGTTCACACATAGCACTTAGGGTCTGATCTCCTGAGGCGGGTAAGGCGCCCAGGAATACAGAGCTGAACCCATAATATTGTTTTTGACTGCGCTCTCCGTCTTCGAAGATAGCCTCAATATCAATATTGCGACACCTTGAACAGAGTCTTTGAGCCTCTATGTGGCGAGATTCGTTAGGGATAGAGGACTTATCGTCGTCCTTGGCGACTCTAGCCCCATGCTCTGCCTTGCGCGCAGCCTCCTCCTTGTGTGCCTTCTTGGCCTTCGCCATATGCTGGACCTTTTCCTTCCTAATCTTCCGACATTCTAGGGCGTGCTTCTCGGCCGTTGTGCTTGGTATGGTCTCCTTGCAGTGCCTGCACACTTGTAAGTCGGGTGCATCTTCGAGCGGTCTGCTAGTAGCAACCGTCTCGGACGCATTGCCGCCCAACTGGTTGACTACCGGGCTTGATAACGGCGCCGACATGTGCGCTTTAGAAGCGAGGAGGTAGGCGGTCGTATCGGAGAAAGAAATAACAAAGTGCAAGGGATGGCTTAGGCCAGGTATTACGCCAGACAGTATGAAAAGGCTTGGGATGTCTGAGTCCTAATAATTATGCTGTTAGATGCAGGAGGGGTATTCATACCCCTTTGCTACTTGCATGGTATTGGAGTGTGTACAAAACCTACGAGGCCAATTGTCGTCCGGATAGACGAGCCTTAATACTCTCGGGCCATTTATTGGCTCGGTCTTTTTGGGCCTGGTTGCAGGAGCACAGGTTCCGCTAACACTCCACCAAATCCCCCATCATGCAAGATCGAAGCCATCCTCTTGCCGCGGATTATTCAATGACGCTGACGCCCGTGGAAGAGCAAAACAAGCACGGCACCTGTCTTGTCGATATCGGGACATTAAGAGTCCCAGAAGAAGCTAAAACGAGTGTCGAGGCGCTGCAAGCTTACAGTGGGTCCGGTAAAGTGCCATCTAGTAAAAAAAAAAAAGCAACGCGACGCGATTTTTTTATCCTCACTTTACTACACCCTTCACAAAAAAAGCTGTACAGGCCGCATTTTTTATCAATTTATGGCTAGGCCAGAGTATAGTCCTTATACAAGGACTAGAATCGATGCCTTATGGTCAGTTAACGTCCCTTATAAGACTATAGCAGCCAAAGAAGGCGTTGAAAAGCATGCCATTTACGGTATTGTGAAGCGCTACCAAAACCAAACTACAAATCATCCATCGCATTTTCGACAGGGGAAGCCCCCGAGCTTATTTGGAACATCCACAATGGGTCTTGGGAGGCAACAGTGCTTACCATCTTACAAGCGACATACCCATCTCAAACATTTCGGCATACAAAGAGAGGCATCCAGAAGTCTCCGTCATCGTATACCGAGATTATGAGCTATCGAAGATGGAATCACCATACGATGATGCCGATGTCGATTGTCCTATAGTTGAGCATACGTTAGAGGAGATCGAGCTAGTAACAACGGTACTGCGGGGCGCTGTCTCCAAGCTATTTAAATATATTCAAAAGCCGAGATTCTGGGACAGCTCTGAGACTGGGGTTCTGTCAGAAAATCTGCACCCCCCGTACCTTGCGATATTCCAGGGCCGCAGCATCCTGGCGGACTCTTTGAACACATCGCCTACCCAGCAGCATGTCCAGTTCAAATTACTTCTTGACTACGTCCTATCTCGCCACTCCCACGAGTATGAGGCGGTCGACGTGCTTCTCGAAAAGGGACAGATCAGGCACGCTTACATGGAGTATCTCTTCAAGCCCGGGATCCTCATAGCAGTCGATGGGAAGGACAGCAAAGAAAAAGCCTACTTGACCATCTCGTGGCCCCAGAAATCAAAAGAAAATACACTGTATATCGAGTGTATGCGCTGGGAGTTCAATAGGAGGTTTTGGAAGCGAAAAGAAAAGTCTGGCGGATCTCCAACGGAACGCTCTTGTGTTTGTTTTTCTTCGGGTTCTTGAGTACTACGACGGCATCCTTATTCACACAAGCAACCGCGTTGGAACGTTCGACGAGGCATTTTTATCGCGTATCTAGTTGGCTATTCATTATCCCAACCTTGATGAAAGCCACCGACACTAGATCTGGATGAACTTCATTTCTCGGCTCGAGATGCTGAAGGAACCAGACATTGATTTCAAGGACCTTACGAAGCAAGTTGATAAACTGGCCCGACACAAAATGAATGGCAGAGAAATACGTAACGCGATTACAACAGCGCGCCAGTTCACCAAATTCGAAAAGAAGACGCCGGTATTGATGCCATGGACGAGATCATTGCGATAACCGGAAAATTTGGCAAGTACATCGAGAAGTTGAACGATGGCTTTTCCCAGGTTGCACTTGCCGAGGATGATAAATTGAGGTTGCAACAGGACGTGTGAACCCAGATGGTGTTAGGGAAGAGTGTCTACAGTTCTTATTCGGGAAGGAGGGGGGGTTCGTTTTTAAAACATCCTTTCAATCTACGGAACCCCTTAAACCACTGGTGTAGTCTCAGTTCGCGCTCCTGCCGATGCTGTGCTGTAATTCTGACTGTCTATAACCTAGAAAGGAAGGAACTATGGCGATAAATGAAAAAGAAGTAAGGCTATCTTCAGCCACAGATGCGAACCATTCTAAACTCCGTTCTGCAGTCTCTCGTCTCCTCACATTCCCGTCACCCGCATCGCCACAAAACCAATGGTCAGCACGACCACGAGCGTTATCAGACTGCTGGGAATACCGCGCGTGATAAAGTGCTTGACGCGCAGATAGCGCTGGCCGGCCGGGTCCTCCTTCATGATAGCAGCTGCAGGAGTTAGCAGTGAAACGAGAACAGCATGAAAAACAGACGTAGCAAATCAAGGAACAAAACGCACTCATGTTGGGGAAACCACTCGTCGGCAGTCCCATGGCGGCACTGCACATCAAGACGCCGGCCATGACCAGCAGGTTCGGGTGCGGCTCGGCCATGTCGGCGCCGATGTTGTGCACCAGCGGCAGAAGGATCAGGGCGGCAACGGTGTGGCTGATAAAGGTGGCGATGACGAGAATCAGGGTGGAGAAGACGACCAGGACGCCGTAGAGGCTCATGCCCTGGACGTGCACGGTGATGCCGGCAGCCACGGTGTCGAGCAAGCCGGAGGCTTTGACGGCCTTGCCCAGAGCCAGGCCGCCAGCAGCCAGGATGATGATGGTCCAGGGGAAGTTGTTGAAGTCCTCCTTGGACAGGATGCCGATGCCGAAGAAGATGACGATGGGCAGGATGGCCACGACGCCCATGTCGCCAAAGGTGTCCTCGAGATTGTGGCTGGCACACCAGAGGCCGATGGTGACGAGGGTGACGAGGGTGACGAACCACTGGGCGGCCGTGAAGCGCTCGCGCACCGGACGCACGGCCACGATGGTGGTGCCGCGACCAGGCCGGAAGCTGACCAGCAGCAGCAGCCAGATCAGCAGGATGGACACGACGCCGACCGGGATGGCGATGAAGAACCATTGCAGCCAGGGCGGCTCGGGCGTCATGATGCCGATGGCCACGACGTTTTGTGGCGAAGCGATGGGCGACAGCATGCCACCAATGTTGGAGGCTAGGGCAATGCCGATGATGAGCGCCTTGGACATGTTGGACTCGGACGGGAGGTTGCGCAGCATGGGCTGTGGTTGTTTGTCAGTTTTCTGATTTGTCAGCAATTTGTCAGCAAACTCACCTCAATGATGCCAAAGCACAACACCGGCGCGGCCACGTTGCTGATCAGCATGCTGGCAAAGGCGGCCACAAACATGTTGGCCAGCAGCACGGTGCGCGGCTGGGTGCCGGCCTTGCTGAGCACAAAGGTGGCCAGACGCTTATCGATGCGGCACTTGCTGAGGGCGGCCGCCAGCGTGAAGCCGCCCAGCAGCAGCATGATGACGGGCGTCCACATGGCAGCAAAAATGAAGCCGGCAGCCTCCTTGGATCCCATACGGCGCGGGCGGTGCTGGTCGGTGCCGCTATCGTCGCAGGCAACCCGCAGCACGACGCAGAGAAAGGGCACCATCAACGATGTGACGAACAGCGGAATCGCCTCAGTGGCCCACAACAGACTGACAAACACCAGCATGGCCAGGCAGTTCTGCTGCTCCGGCAGGCCGTCCAGCAGTCCGGGAGCATACAGCACGCCAAAGAAGACGGCCACGACGGTCACCAGCGTCAACATGGAGCTGCTGACGAGCCATGCCGGCACGACGACGACGTGTGAGAGCAGCCGGATACGTCGCACCGGAAGGGCCTGCGGCTCCATGTCATCGCCCTGACGAAGACGGGCGCCTGGCCGTCGCGGATTCTTGGCGTCGTCGTCGTCGCTGCCACCACCGGCACTGCCAGCCGCCATTAAACCGAGTCCACCGCCACCAAGTCCACGACCAGCCAGTCCGCCTAGGCTGGCTGCTTCGGCTCGCCGCTCGATGCCGATCATGTCGCGCCACACGGTGTTGCGCTCCCAGACGACGTGCTCGCGCAGGTGGGAGCGCAGGTCGCGGCGTGCTGTGGCGGCATCGCCTCCGGTCACGACGTCGGTGTAGGCAGCCTCCATGCGGGTGATGTTCTGCAGCAGCGCATCCCAGGTCTCGGAGCGGAACGGAAAGGCCGGCTCGACCGAGGCGGCCATGTAAGCCGGACGCAGGTTAGTGTCGAGAATCTTGTCGAACTTCTTAAGCACCTTGCGGAAGCCGGTCTTGTTGAGCTGCACATACGACTTGAGCTCGCACAGCTGCACGTAAGTGTGCACGATGCGCTTCTTGAGCATGACGCTGGACGAGAACATGACCGCATCCTCGGGTGCGTCCTCGAACGTGGTGCTGTATCGCCGCGACCGTGTGAACTCGGTCGATGCGGTGAGGTCTGTCGACGCAGCCAGGTTGGTCACGGCCGTCGTCGGCCGACTGCGGTGTCGTCGACGCGGCCCATCCCAGCTGAGCCGCCGGCGGTTCGACTTGAGCGGTGGTAGCGGCTGGTGATCGTCGTCACTGTCACCGTCGTCGCTAGAGTGGCGGGTGCTGGACCGGTCGTCGACTGCGATCGTGCTGCCGGCATTGCTAGGCCCGGCCGCTGAAGCAGCAGCGGTGGTGGTGACGGACGGCACTGTCACCGGGCTGCCGTTCTTGCGACACTCTAGCACCTCCTCTTCCTCGCTCAGAGCGCCGACGTCGTGCAGCACCATGTCGACCTCATCCAGCAGCTCGCGCTCCTTAAGCACATAGAAGGAGCATATTTTCTCGAGCTCGACGTCGAGGGCGCGCGAGAAGACTGCCTCGGGGTTTGGCTCGTTGCTGATGAGCGGACGCGACTCGGCATCGCCATGGTCCTGGTGGCTGGCAGCCTGGTTGACGGTCTTTTCAAGCTGGTATATGCTGCACAAAGGAGAGTCAGCCTAGGGCGGGCGAAGAGACGGGAAACGAGGGAAACGAGGAAACGAGGGGAAGGAGTCGGCTTACAGCTTCTTCAAATTGCTGTAGGCAATATAGTGGCTGCTCCAGTCCGGCACAGCGTTGAACTGGAGGCTGTGGGAGAACTTCATCTCGTCCTGCGCCTGCAGCCACCTGCGCTTCTCGGCGCGGCGGTGCGCTTGTTTGTCGACGCGGTGCGATCGGAGAGGGACAAGCTCGATGCCGGGATCAGTATCGGTGGGGGCGGAAGTCGATAGCGGTGGTGGTGGTGGTGGTGGTGGTGGATGCGTTGGAAAGGAGGCTTCTGTAGCAGAAGCGAACCGGGCTTGCTCAACTGCTGGGGTCAATGGCTGGCTGTCGCGGTCGTGCAGCATCGAAAGCCGGTATGATGCGGAGAGGAGACAGAAGGAAGGAAAAAGAGGCGGTAGGCCGGTTGGTAGCCTGGAAGGTGTGGACGAAAAAGTAGGGCTACCTGGTAGTGTTGGCTTGTTTGGCTTCACCGTGACCTTGGAGGCAGTTTTGGGCGGCCAATCGACGCCGTACAGCACAGCAGGAAAGCAGGAAATGGCCTGTTCTGATTAGGGGTTTTTTTTAGTTGCTGTGCTGGGGTCCAGTCAGCGCCACACTAGGCTAGCGGCACGCCATAGCACCGCTAGCAGACAGCAGCATTTCAGGCACGGATGAAGGCTAGAGAGAACAAAAAATAGCCCAATAGCGGTCTTTCGACTCCAGACTTTTAGATTCAAAATATCCATATCCAATATTATGTGATTAAGGCGGACGAAGAGGTGTTTGGAAATACGCCAACACACAGGGCAAAAAGGCAACCAAATACAATGGGGTATATCGTGTAGTGAGATTCAACGCCGCCGTTTCCCGGATCCGTTTTCATCCGGTTTCCGTTTTCCACTGTCCGCTGTCTGCGGTCCGTCATTGCGGTCAGTCCTTGGCCGTGGCCGTGTCGCCTGTTGCTGCGTGCTGGTGAGGGTGCAGGCCGAGCACGCGCTGCAGGCTGCGCCGGATGCTGCGACCGGCGCTGTCGTCCGCGTTGGGGTCGGAGGAGGGCGAGGCGGGCGGAGGTGCCGCGTCGCCGTGTGCGTTGTGGGTGCTGTTGGCGGCTGCCGTGTTGGTCGTGAGGCTGGCAGCGGCGGGCCGGCCGCCGCCGCTGAGCAGATGGCTCATGCGGCGGCCGAACCCAGGCGACGACAGGCTGCTGCTGTGGCGGCGCTCCTTATCGCGTATCTTGCGGGCGGCGGCCTCTTCACGGCGCTGTCTCTTGCGGGCAGCAGCCGCCACAGCAGCGGCTGCTGCGACCGCCGAGGGCGACAGCGCCGGCTCGGCCATGCGTGGTGGCCACTCGCCGTCGCGCTTCCAGCCGGCCACGCAGGCCCGCACGGCGTCGCCCAGGTTGATCGGACACGACGGCTGCAGCGAGCTCAGCACGACCTTGTCGTACAGGCTGAGGTAGAGGTTCGGCGTGATCGATGCACGCATCGGGTTGGCCGCCGGCAACAGCGGCCGCGCCAGCGGCAGCATCGTCTCGACAACGCAGTCTTGCTGGCTCTGCCGGTGCTGGTGCTGGTGGCGGTGCCGTTTCGTGGACCGCCGCGACTGTCCGCTCGTCGTCGCCTGCGTCGGCACCTGGCTGAGCGGCCACATGCTACTGCCACCCACACCGACACCGCCGTCCGACGTCACCGGAGACGTCTCCACCGTGTCTGCACCGAGGCCGAGGCCGAGACCGGCCGACTGCTGCGACTTCTGCGAGTGCTGCGAGTTGGACGTCATCGGCGAGAGCGGCATCGTCGTCACGGCCGGCGCTGGCTCGGACTTGGCGTGCGAGTGGAAGCGGAACAGGCGGCGCGGCGACGTCGAGGCTGCGGCGGTTGCCACGACCCGCGACTTGATGCGCACCGTGTGGGCACCGGTCCAGGCATCGCGACGCGCCGTGAAGCAGGCCAGGCCGCTGTTCCAGGCCATCTCAGACCGCAGGCTGCGACGCATCTTGGCGCGGCGGGCCACGACCGATGCCTGCACCACCATGCCGACCGAGTCGGGCGAGTCGAAGCGGAAGAGCGAGCCGGTGTGGCTGATGCTTCGCCCGTCGCTGTTTTTGCTGCAGCTGCTGTTGTCTGCGCGCTCTTCTCGTTGTCCGACAGGTCGGACGTCCACTCGGCCCGTGGCTGCAGGTGCAGCGGATCCTCCGAGACGGTGCTGTAGACAGACGCGCAGTCAGAGTCGTCGGCCGCGTCCAGGTCCGAGTCCGAGTCAAAGGACGCGCTGTTCATGCTCGCCGTGATAGCAGCCAGGGGCACCGAGACGACGGGCGATGGCGGCGATGGCGGTTCGAGAGGCTCGGCAGACGACTCCTCTGTCTGCTGGGCGGCCTCGAGCTCACGTGCACGCGCAGCCTCGGCAGCAGCCGTGGCTGTCGTCTGTGAAGGCCAGTCAAAGGACCAGTCGTTGCGGATGTTGGCCATCAGGAAGCGACGCACGGCATCTTTCTGCTTGGCCTTGTTCGGGCTGACGAGATCGGCGTCGCCATAGTCGAGCTGGGCAGCCAGGGCAGCGCCGGTGAGGTGAGGATGGGATGTGGTCGGGGACAGCTGCTGGTCCGAATCGCTCGAATGGGACGTGGTTTGAAGCAGCTTGGAAAAGGGCGACCTCGGTGACTTGTAGAGGTCGGAAAAAATCATTTTGGGAATGGGTTCAGCGGCAGGCTGCGGATGGCTGTGGTGGGAGGGAGGGTCGGCAGCGGTCGAGACGATTGGGGGCGGTGACTCTTTTATTGGTGTTGGCGATGCTGCTGTTGCTGGTGCTGGTGTCTCTACTGCCGGGCAAAGGAGTGGATCAGGATCAGAACGAAGCGGCACTAGTGCTTCTGCGGGGTGGAGATGCAGGTTCTGGACTGGTGCTGGAACGGATGTTGGCGTGGATTCTGGGGCCCGTGCACTAGGCTGGTCCAGTGACAGACAGCGGGCGGAGAGTGGTGTGATGGCGGCTATGAAGTCAGCAGGAGCAGTGGCTGAGAAATATGGATAACATGAGCAGCAGGAGACGGGGAAGCAGATACTAGGGCAATCGGGATGTAGGAAGAGGACGAGAGCGAAGACAAGGAGATGAACGGCCGGAGCGAGTGGAAAAACCAGGATGAGACGACGGACAAGACGCGGAGAAGAAGGGCGAATACGAACATGCAAAGACGGGCAAAGTATGGGGTCGTATGTTGGGTGCGATCAAAAGACAGCAGAACAGGCGAGCAGGCCAATCAATGCAACTAGTCTGCCTGATGCATGCATGACCTGGTCCTGCAGTGACTGGGTGGAGATGGCCGCAGCGAGGTTGGACGAGAGGGAGAGAAGAGGGGATGAACAAGATGACCGATGCAAGGGTGGCAATGATTGAGGTACAAATACTCGTACAGACTTCGTACCAGATTCTGACCAGGCACACAATAGAGAATGGGATACGGAGTACAGGGCATGAAAAAAAAAAAAGAAAGAAAAAAGAAAAAACGGCAAGAATGACAAAGAAAGCAGCCAGCGAAATGACGTAAAGACGTAAAAGGCCTGCGAGCAGAAAAGGCTTCTTCTGCCTCGACCAGACTCACCATCGACGGTGGAGCCGACCGGAGGACCAGACTGCACGGGCATGTCGGCCATGGTGGACAGGGCGGCGGCGAGAGGTCGTGCGGAGCGGAAACGAGCGCGGCCGGTCGAGAAGGTATACTCTGTACTTTGTAGTAACCAGGATTCGCCCTCTTCGTTGCTCGTCGATGCCGTTGCGGATTCCAAAAATTGCATGTCTCCTGGCCTGGTGCGCTTTTCCTCTGCTCGCGTTACGTAATACCGCTACGACGCTGAGCAGGGCCTGCCGCTCGCTGCTGCTACCCCCCCGCTAGCGCCTGACAGCAGGCGCCTAAGAGCAGGACAGCCGACGGCCAGCGTCGATCGACAGGGTCAGCTGGCCACCCCATCAGGCCATGGCATGGTCGATGCCAGATCCGAAATGCGCAATACTCCGTATTCAAGGGCAAACCAGGATGCAGCTTGTAGAATGCGAGCATGCCGAAAATGGACCGGCAACTTCATGCTTCTCAGTCCATCCAGCTGGGAGAGAAGGAGAAGAGAGGAAAAGAGGGAAAGAGGAAAAGAAAAGAAGAAAAAAAAAGAAGAAAAAAAAAACCCTTGCTTCTATTCTCGTACACGCACCATCTTCTTTTAGACTACTCTACAGTGTGACATCATAGAAGCTATTACCATCCCGGAAATCACCGTTGTATCATACTCGTACACATCCTACACTCTCCCTCCCGACTCATGCCACCTCCTCGACCAGCTGGACCTTCCGCGGCGGCATCGCGCTGCCCAATGTCCGGAACACGCTGCCCACAGGCCCGGCCAGCAGCTCGGCCGCCACGGCCACGCGGCTGCCCTTGCTATTGCTCACCCAGCGAATGATGGTTGGGTCTGGTCGTGGCCGGCCGTCCTCGTCGCCCGAGTCGTCGCCGGCCAGCGCGTTCTTCTTGGTCGTCTTGGGCGCCTGTCGCTTCAGCAGCTTGTTGATCGTCTCGGCCTTGACCTCCTCGTTCCGCTTCTCGCTCAGGTTGCGTCGTCGCCGCGCCATCTCGGCCCGCCGCATGCTAAGCTCCTCGGCCGTGAAGTGCTTCTTGACTTGGACCTCTGTTTCTGTCAGTCCCGCACGTACAACCACAACCGCGCCACAACCACAACAAACTCACCGTCCGACAGCTTCATGTACTCCTGCGGCGTCTCCTCGAAGCGGGCCCGCTGCCGCCGCGTCATCTTCGACAGGTCAGGCGTGCCTTCGCGACTGCCACCCTCGCCGTCGCTGAGACCGGCGTCCCCGTCGCCCTCTCCGTCGCCCTCTCCATCGCCCTCCACATCGTCCTCGTCGTCCTCGTCCATCACCTCAATCTCCTCGCCCTCGGCGTCGACCTCGTCGTCCTCGTCTTCGACGACCAGCTCCGTCTCGCCCTCGGCATCGATCTCATCGTCCTCGTCACCGTCTGCGTCGTCTTCGTCGTCCTCCTCGTCCTCCTCGTCCTCCTCACGAGGCACGCCCTTGCTCCGGACCCCGGCAGCAGCAGACCGCCGCACCTTGGACTTGGGCCCGGGCTTGGACGTCAACGGTGCCCGCAGCTTGTTGCCACTGCCGGGCGGCCGACCAACGCCACGCGGTGCCGTCACCACAGACGCTCCCTCGCCGGCCGGCTTCGATACCTTGATCGACGGCGGCGGCACAGCACCCCCTCGAGCGACCCCTCGGACGGCAGCCGACACGGTGGACACGTCCACATCGACATCGCCGTCAGCATCGACATCCATGTCCTCGCCCTCGCCCTCGGCGTCCTCGTCGGCCTCCATGTCAATGTCGCTGTCGCCCACCTTGATCTCGTCCTGCTCCTCCTCCTCCTCCTCTTCGTCCTCTTCGTCGTCGTCGTCGTCGTCATCGTCGTCGTCGTCCTCCTCGTCCACCACCACCTCGTCCTCATCTTCGCTCGACTCCGACTCCACGTATCGCTTCTTCGGACCGCGCGTCGGCCGACGGCTGTGCACGACACCATCGCTCACGGACTGCTCGCGCAGACTGCTGGCCGCGCCACTCTGGCGCTTCCTCGACCCGGACGCGAGCACCGAGGACATGTTGGAGTCGGCTGAGGGCGCACGGCCGGAGCCACGGCCCTCGCCTAGACGCCGGTATCGGGACGTCATGGCAGAATCTCTGTCGGCCATGTCAGTAATGGCCATAGAAGCCCGCTGGGCGGCCGACCGGCGAGGTCGGGTCGACATGATGCAGGAGGGAAGAAGGGGGCAGGCAGTAGATGCAAATTGGATGTGGCGGATGCAGTTGTATTAGTAATGGCGGATATCCAATATCCGCACACCGGCGGTCGAGTGAAAGCAAAACGAGCAGATGTCCTCGTAGGCCCCTATTGTGGGGAGTGGCTTTGGCAAAAAGGTGGCTGTGGCCAGGAGAGCGAGAGAGGGAAAGAGAGAAAGAGCGAAAGGGCGAAAGAGAGCGATGGCGAGAGACAGCAGGGGAGATGAGGTGGAAAAAGGCCAGAGGCAAGAGAAGCTCGACAGCAGCAGCGAAAAGCAAGGTCAAGAAAGGTGGGGCAGTAAGCCGTGATACGAAGGAGGGATCGGTGCAGAGCCATACTAAGCAGGCCTACGACCAGAGCTTTCTGAAGCCGGGTGAGACGATGTAGTGGAGGCGATCTGCCATGCAATGCAACGAGAGGAGCGACAAGCAGAGGGCAAGAGCAAGACGCAAGACGCAAGACGCAAGACGCAAGACGCAAGACGCAAGACGCAAGACGCAAGACGCACGGGGCGCCACGTCTCTCACGGCCAGAGCTGGCTGAACGGCCACGCCAATGAGGCGGCGGCTTTTGTGTGCCGGGCACCTTCCTTTTCGCTGGATGTCATTCCGTCCTTTTTGTGGCCGCGCCAACTCTCGCCTTGCGGGCCAGCTGGTCCACACGACAGCACACCAGCACACAAGCACGGCGACACCGTCAAAAGCAGCAGCTGCTGCAGCAGCCGATCTGTGGTGGCGCCATTCCCAGACTCACCAGTGTTCAGAGCAGAATCCGCACCCTTTCTGTGGACACGACCAGATGGAGACGGGGGAGCGTGTGCGAGCTCCGACAGGCGCGACAGCGAGGACGATCGGCCGTGGAATGGTGTGGCGGCAGTCGTCTCTGTCGAACAGGTGTGCCGGTGCTGCAGGCCGTGTCTGAGAGGGCTGCGGCTCGTCGTTGGATCGGTTGGCCGTGTGGACGCGCAGAGCTGCCGATGGTTGGCTGCTGCAGTCGAGTGCGATGTCGTGTTTGGCAAGCTCTAGCGTCTCTAGCCTGCTGTCGATGGATTATGCACTAAAGCGGCTGCCGTTGGTGCCTGGATGTTCAGGCAGAGACATCCCCGTGCCACTCCACCGCTGCCAACAGGCCGAGGCTGCGGGTTCCCCAGACTACGAGAAGCTCGTGCTGTTCCGCGTCCTCTGTCGAACGTACGGAGTAAGATACATCGCATCTGCTTCCTGACACGTCCTCTGGTCTCCATCAGCCATGGCTCCCGACGGAAAGGGCGACGCGCCTGTCGACCAAGAAGAGGTGTCGTCGACATCGGCTTCATCTACGGAAGAACTAACATCCACAGCCGCATCAACAACAACACCACCATCACCATCGCTATCGCCATCAACACCCACAGCAGAAACTGTAGCCCCGTCGCTCGAGCGGGCGCGTGCCTTTCTGCGTGACGAAGCCGTCCGCAACGAGTCCCGGGCCCGCAAAGCAGCCTTTCTCGCTGCCAAGGGCTTCTCTTCGGCCCAGATCGACGAGGTGTTGGACGAGCTGGAAACTGATCCTGAGGTCAAGACGACGACTAGACAGGTGCCGGTATCGTCTGGACAGCCGTCGACAAAGGAACCATCTGTCACCTCCTCTTCCACCACCTCCTCCTCACCTCTCATCGTCACCTATCCCGAATTTATTGCCCGTCCACCACAACCACCGCCGCTCGTCACGCCCGCCGCCTTCACGGCCACCCTTTACGGCAGCGCTGCGGCTGCCTCGCTCATCTATGGCACCGCGCGCCTGGTGCTGGCACCCATGGTCGGTACCCTGGCGGACGCGCGTGGCCAGCTGCAGGCGACTACCCGTGACGGCCTGACGCGTGTCGTGCGGGCGCTGGAGGCCGTCGTGGGCGCGGATGTGGAGACGGGAAAGAACAACAACCGGTCTGGTCCTGACGGCGGCTCTGTTGACGGCGACGGCCACAGCACGACGGCCTCGGACGCTCCCAACGCCTCGGACGCGTCCGACTCGCCCGACCCGATCACGGCCGCCTTTTCGCGCGATGCCAGCGTCCAGACGTCTCCATCTACATCTAGAATGACATCCAGAACGACATCACACACTGCCTCCACTGCACTCATCTCCTCCTCCTCCTCCATCTCCACCTCCACCCAGTACGCCCACCTCGCCAGCATGGCCGACCAGGTCAAGCGGCTCTGCGACGACTGGGCTGGCCCCGACGACGTGCTGGCCGAGACCCAGACGGCCCTAGACATGCTCCGCAGCGATGTCGACAAGCTGGCTCGGCCGTCTTTTGTCTTTGGTGCTGACGCGGCTGCCGGTGCCAACAACAGGTACCCCGGCTACGTGCAGACGACGCGCAACGAGCCCGACGACGAGATCCGCCGGGCCAAAGAGAATATCCGCCGCGTCAAGGGTGCTCTGCTCACCACGAGGACCTTTCCGACAGCGAGATAGGGTGCTGGAAGGGCAGTATAGAAGACGAGGAGATGACGAGACAAAACAAGGACAGACCCGGTGGCGTATTATAGCAACTAATTTCAGCGAGCACACTGTATTTCAACTCCCAACGCACGAATAGCACTGCCAACTGACACTGTAATGATGGCCTGTAATCGCTCCCAATACTTACCCCAACACTCGCCCCAACACTTGCCCTCAACCATCAGTGCCCCTTCCCCCCGAAAGAACGGAAGAAGGCCTGTGACCCGACGACGTGCAGATGCTCAAAGCCGCGGCCCTCTTCCATCTGCTCGCCATACCACTCTGTCGTCGGTCGGAAGACAAACGACATTGTCGTCGCCTGGGCGTCGAATCGCCGTATTCTCTGCACGGCCTCAAACAGGGCGTTGCTGCAGCGAGACCGCCGAACCGGTCGCTGCTGCTCCTGCTGCTGCTGCTGCTTCTGCTGGCTGTGGCCGCGTGGAGGATGGATCACGACTCGGTCACCGGCCGGCCCCCCATCGTCGATGGCCTCTCCGCCCTCGTCGCTCTCGTCAAACGACTCTGTCCGCTTCTTCGGCTTCGTTTTCGCGGTTGCCTTTGTCTCGTTGCTGCCATCAGCCCCTCTGGTCTCTCGTCGCATCCGCACCGGTCGGTATCCGCGCTCCTGCAGGTAATTAGCCGTCGCCGGCAGCACGTCCTTGAAAGACCGCACGAGGCTGTCCAAATACTGCATCGTCACGTGCAGCTCGCTGTCATCGGCTGCCGGCTGCACAAAGCGCGCCTGCTTCTGCGGCCTCGGCTCTCCCTCTTTTCCCGCTCCTTTCTCAAGGTCAAAGAGCTGGCTGCCGATCCAGACACTCACCAGGTCGAGGCCCGGGTTTTTGTCTGGTCCTTGTTGGCGTACGTACCCAATCAGCTTCTGCTGTGCCGCTGTCAGGTCCTCCTCGCGTAGCTCTGTCATGCCAGCCAATCGTGTCGCCGCTCGCAGGTCCCAGATGATGATCTCTGTCGTTCGGAATGGCCGCTTGTGCGCGTGCTCTGGCCGGTAGACTGCCACCCACGCATGGCGCCCGTACTCCCTTCTAGCCGGATGCTCCTGTTTCTGTCCCTCTCCTGCGTCCTCGTGGTCTGGCGTGAAGAAAAGGCCAACATAGCTGCGGAAGTTGTGGATCCTAGTCAGAAACGACCACGAATAGCTGAACCAGTCCGAGATGCTGCATTTGTAGCCGTGCATCGGAAATGCTACCGACTCCGCGCCATCCATCCACAACACCGGGAAGCCGTAGAAGCGCCAGAACTCCGGCCCTGAATTGCACTGCATCAAGTAGGACGTCAGTCCCTGCACCACCGAAGTCGCACTTGGCAGCTTCGGGTCTACACTCGGCTTCGGGCTCTGTTGGGCTGCTGCTTCTGCTGCCTGCAACGGGCCTTCTTCTTCAGGCACTCCCCACGCCGAGTCCGGATCGATCTTCGTGTCAGCTGCAAACGTCGGTATCGGGATTCTGCGCTTGACGCTGTCTATGCTTCCTTCGCCGGCTTGGTCTGACCCGACAACGTAGAATGCCCGGAATCTGTCCAGTCGCCGGGTCGCCCACTCAGCATAGTAGTTGACCAGGCTCTGCTCGTCGTTTCCGTCCACCGCTGCTGGCATCTGCACAATCGGTCCGTCGTCTTGGCGCCGGAACACCCAGCCCTCCGGACGCTCGTACTGCCGCAATGCTTCTCGCACGAGCAGCCACGTCCGGAACCGGCACTCGCACACGTCGTGTGTGAGCCCGAGCTGAGCAGCACGCTCTTCGCGGAGACGCAGCGATGCAGCCTGTCGGCTCGCCAGAATCATCTCTCGCTGTCGCGCCTTTTCTCGTGCCAGCACCTCCAGAAACCTGCAGAAGTCACACGTCGTCACCAGCTGGAACGCTATCCCCGGTGCCAGCCGTCGCACCCGAAAGAACCACTCAAATAGATCGTACGCCCGTTGCGGCTCTGCCACCAGGAAACTCGGCGTCACCAGGATTGCCATGCCGTGGGGAAACAGCTGGGTCCAGCACACTTGGCCTGGCTGCCGCGTCAGCCGGCCTTCCTCAAAATCTGTCTGCCCATCCGATGGAAACAGTGCTGGCAGTATCATCGACTGCGATAGCGACCAGATCCGGCAGCTCTCTCCCTCTGCGAGGTTGCAGATACCAAAAAATCGTCGCACCGACCAGGTCGCCAGCTCGTGTATCACCACCACCCCGGCTTCAGTCTCATTCTTTTCCTTTTCCGTGCCTTTCTTCTTTCCCGTCACCGCCTCCTGGAAGGCAAGCCACGCTCCCGGGCGCGAACAGAGGTATATTTTGCTCGCCGAATCGACCACCCGCACCCACCCTGCCATCTGGTACATGGACAAGAGCAGAGACGGCGGAAAGATGAAAAAGACGCTGCGCCCAACGCCCCCCTGTGCTTGTTGCGCGTATTGGGGAAACAGCGGAAGATATGACGCGCGGTCGAGCTGGAAGAACGTCTGCATCAGGTACTCGCGGTTGGACATTCCCTCTGGCACATCCAGCACCGGATCGACATTGGGCGAGCCAGCATCAGCAGGTAGCGATGGCTTGCGCAGGTACGGCCCAAAGTCGATCGGCATCCGGAATGCAACACACCGCAGGGGTGCGTTCGCTGTGTTTGCCAGCAACGGGAATCCAAACAGCTCATCCCTCCAGTCCTCGCTCTGTGCGGGGTACAGAAGCATACCCGTCCCCGGCCGAGACAGAAAAAGTCCCGACGCCATCGTCCGCAGCCGTTCAGCAGCTGTTTCCAGCGCTGCTGTCGAGCTTCCACCACTGCTTTCGTCCTCCTTTTCTTCTCTCGCGGCAGCTGCTGTCGCTGCCACATTGCCGTGAAATACCATACCCTGGTGCATTTGCTGTAACCGTTTCACCAATGACTCGGCCAGGACGATATGCTCAAAGTGCAGGGGCTCGTTTCCGAGAATTTCAGCCAGCGGCAGCTCAATAAACCGAATGCCGGAGATGGCTACAGGAAGTACCACCCCGCTGATATACACAGATATCGGCTTCTTCCGAGGCCCCAGCAACAATGTGCTTTCCACTGAATGCGTTGGTACAGGGTGCATCGGCGATCCAGGCTGCCGCGTCAGGTCAGCTCCGTGTGTTGGGCTGTGGTGGTCCCCGAAAGACACGTCCTCCTCGGCCGGTGTGTCCCAGCCGCCGCCATCATTACTGTCACTGTCGCTGCTGTCGCTGACGATGAACCGGACCGTCCTCCGCTTCTTTGCCTTCTGTAGCGCCTCTCCGTCATCGTGTGCCTTGTCTTCGGGCCCATTCTCGGAAACTGCGGTGGCCGTAGCCTCCGTCTGCTTCTGCTTTCTCTGCTGCTGTCTGGACAGCACTGGGCCCTGTGTGATGGGAAAGAGCTTCGTTGACAACACGCCTGCCTCAATGGCACCGTCTGGGCGAGAACGCTCTCGGAGCTCTGCAATTCGCCGGACGCGCCGGTTGAAGAGCATGCTGTTTCGCGACGAATCAGTCACGGCCGTCTCGAGGGTCGTCATTTTGCGCACCCTCTTGCCGTCGATAAACGCATTGCCCACGACAGCGGCACGACTCGCAGCACCCGATTTTCGCGCTGAGAAAGACGCCCTTTCAGTAGGACCAGAAGCTACCGACTTTGCAGTGCTTGTCCTCGCCTTTGCTAGCAGGCCAGGTGTCGTGCCGGCCCTTCCGGCCTTTCCGGCCGTCCTGCCGATAGTCGGACTCACCGCTGTTGCCGTCTTGGTAGCTGCCGATTCGGTCATCTTCCGCCTCGCTGTCAGCCCAGATGGACCTTCTACCAAGTCTGACGGCTTCTTGTGTGCTCTGTCCACATTTCTGACCTGTGATGTGGCCGTCTGTTTTGCACCATCGGTAGCCCGGTCTGGCTTCTTCGCCTGAGCGGCCGTCTGGACGGCTGGCGTGCTTTTTGTGGCAGCTGCATCTGGCTTATTCTTCGTCCTCTTCCTCAATTCGGGTGTCTCCGTTTCACCAGCGATTCTCGCAGGACTCGTGCTTGCTTCTTCATGCGTGTCTGACTCCTCGGCCGTGTCAAACGGTTCCTGTTCCTCTACCAAAGATGGATTATCGAGCTTTGTCATCGGTAGGCCAAGCCTTCTTCGCTTTTGATTGCGCCTGTTGTGACGCACAGTCCATCGCCTCACAGCTTCATTGTACCGCTCAATGTCAAAGGGCTTGTAGTCCGGGAGCCCTCTCTGTTTGTGCCAAAACTCGTCGACGATCTCGGCACCTATCTGGTCTTCCGGCTCCCATGTGCAGTGCTGCAGTTCATAGTCCGCCCATTCAACCAAGTATGAGCGCCCGCCAGTGCTGGTCTCACTCTCTGCCAGAATGTCCTTTACTAGATATTCAGTATCGTAAGCCAAATTCTCATCGACGGTGGACGTGAGTGAGATGTTGTCATCATCGTCGTCGTCGTCACTAATAGAAATGGCCTCCAACCTGTCCTCCTGCATGGATGCCGTAGCCATTGTAGTCTCACGAGGAAGCGCAACACGCGCCACAAGGAATTATGTCAGAGCATCAACAGAGATTGTAAGCGCGCATGAGATGACCGATAACATAAAGCGTCCACTATTCTCTGGGTTGTAACACCACGATTTATCAGCTTGCCTGGTTGAGGTCAAGACTGCTCCCTGTAGTTTGCCAGCGCAACTGTCAAATGAATCGAAGACGTATGTATGTAAATGCTCAATCTCAGGCTGCGCAAAGTGGGGTCTCCTAACCCGATTCAGTAAGTAATGCAAACGGAAGGCACAACCGTCCCTTGCTTCTTATCTTCTTTCAACTGGGTGCACTCCATGTCTAGCTTGTGGACTAGCTTGAATTTTCTTTATTGATGGGATGTCTGTTTTTGTGCTAGAGGCGTATATGGACTCTGATATCCATGAATTTCACTCCGTAAATTGACAACAATCACGAAGTACAAAGAGCCCGCTTCGACTAGATACATGTCCAATGCTACTTTAGCTGACACTTCGCATATTAGAACCAATAGTTCTAATACCGGTCTCTTGTCAGATTATGTGTTTTCCGGCTTTACACTGATGACTGTACGCAGTAGCAAGTTTTCTCTTGCTTTCGGTTACGGAGGACTCGTATGGGGGACGTAATATGTATATATCAGTTCTTGGACCCCTATGTATCTACGGAGTATCTCACCTACACCCCTTTATTTACCGCTCTTTTGTACTCCGTCTTCTACTCCATACTCCATACAAATGTGACCTAGCAAGCGTTACTCCTTTACGGTGATAGCTCTGAAACAGTCTGTAGTGGGCCGAATGAGGGGCATAGCTACACAGTTTCGTTGGGTGAACGCAACGCTTTCTCGACCGGACCAATTGTCCTTTCTACCTCTTCCAGCGAGGTCTTCTAGCAGAGGTCGTACTCTGTAGTAAGATATCGTAGTTATCGACCCCACCTTGATTAATCTGTAGCTGCAAAATTTTCGGCCTCTACAGTGGGATACCCTCGCTAGGTACGGAGTCAGAGTACTCTATATCTGACATAAAACAATCCCAAAAAGTAAAATCCGTATACAAGATACTTCGTACGAAGTACTCCGTAGTAAACTATCAATGCCTCCTCCCATATTGCTAAGTGTTTGTTATAAGCGCAAAAATGAGGGCCCTGCCGGGGATCGAACCCGGGACCTCATGTAGTTGCTCCAAATGATGGAAACCCAAAACATGAATCGTACCACTAGACCACAGAGCCAGACGTTGAAAAAATTTATCCTGAGGTTCCTATATTGATAGCCACAAAATGCTACTAATAATAAATATGTCGCTCCACTTATACGTAAATATCGGACACGCACGAAGTACTTCGTAGTGTCGACCACGACTAAAAGCGAAAACCCTTGATCTTCAGCTGTTGGGATATATTAACACGTAATTCAGAGCACGTAATTCAGAGCACGTAATTCAGAGCACGTATCTCAGAGCGACAATTGCGCATGTTGGAATATGGCCGGCTCGTATTCCTCATGTGTTCATAACGCAACATGTCATCGACCTGTACTGATCAGGTTCTTTGACAGCGGCTAGCATTATCCTTAAAATAATCAAACCTCGATTTCTCTACAAACTTGTCCACGGACAGAAATTTGGTTAATGAGGGTCCCAAAAGTGTTGGCAGTCTTTTTTAGCAAAACATGACATAGTAAAAAGCCTTAGCATCACACGAATGATTTTACGGCTCGATATGTATGTTGCTTCATTTCTTTCAGTGGATGTCCACAACTTGAGCATACCCTCAGTCGCGACTTGGCGCATATTAAAATCATGTTCTGCTGAGAATGAGGCTCGTATCTATATTCCATGTCTTGTATAGCAACCAAGGCGACAATTTTCACCTCGCAGCCATCAGCACTAGATTAAGGAGGTACACCTACATTTGCACCTTGATGTTAATATTCTTCAGGCCTCAGATATATGTATGACTCGCTTGGATTCCTGTATGTCGCGACCGTGATGCAATTTTGCGTGTGCCAGTGCCTTCCAACAGGCCCGCAGACGAGGTATCGATAAACTTAAAGTGAGTACATCGCCTTTAAGTTGCATCAGCTAAATTGGCTCGCAGGGTTGTAAGAGTTGCTTTCTTGCAGTCTATATTTCATCAATTTCCATGTACAGCTCTTTAAGCAGCCGAATGCCCAGTACAGATATCTTGAAACCCACGTCTAACCTTGCATTTCCTTCTTTATGCAAATAGCAAAATCGCCGTAACTGATGCCGATAACGCAATGTTGAGACAAATTTCACTTCTGTTTCGGTATCTCGAATGAGTTTCTCAAGCATGCGAGTTGATTTCCTTCGCGGCCATCACTGCACTACCTGCTGCAGTCTTTGTGCATGCTGCGTTGCACCTTTAGTCGGTCGGTAGAGTACTTGAGCTTGCAAAACTCTTGATAGATGTGCACTTTTGGTGGGTGAGCTTACGTGATTCAAGGAAGTGTCTTACCACAAATTCTTCGTAGGATCGAGGTGCTAACCTTTTTCAAATTTGCTTGGATCCATATTTTCAAAAGCTTCGCCTGTTGGTGAGGCTGGTTAAGGAGGATGGCCCAGAGTTCCATGACGTTTACCTTTAGATGCTTAACGTGTCTTTTCTTGACGGCTCAGTAACTCAGTTATCGATATATGTTGGGACTACAACTCCAAATAAATACATCTCCAACGTTGGAGGGGCTAAGCCACGAAGGCGTGAATTGTTGCCGCTTCCAGTACTACCGCTGGTATTGCCATGCATGCGATGTGGCATGGACTGCTCAACATGTTTATTGTGCTGCTGCACCAACGAATCTAAATTAGCAGGACGAAAAGTCATACTTTGAAGACACGCATACAACTTACACCAGGGGTACATGTATATAGCCAATTTTACAAAGGTGTACTGTAAAGGCAGCAAGGAGGAAACCGACTACAGAACACTCAAGAAGTAAGGTGTATGTAACCCAATCAACCAAAATGTACTTCAAAGCATGGGCGGGGTCCTGAATGCGGGATAAGGTGCACCAAACCAGTTCTTCCGGGCTACGAGAATGAGACCCGTCTGCATTTCGCCTCGAAACAGCCTCAATGCTGTCACAATTCTTTGCGATCTCAGATGCCAACTCCCGGGGTGATTTTGTACGTGCTCCGACGTATCTTACGAGAGTAGGGGTGGTTCGACACCCCCAGAAAAGTTGACATAGACTAGGCGAAGAGGATCATGAACAGGTGTTTTTTTGTGAAGAAAAACAATTTTTCTTCCTGGGTTGCAAGGTATATGTTCTCTTCAGGACTGAACACAAAGGAAGCTACACCCGTCTCTCAGATTGTCTCAGCATCTCACAAGTATGGCCACTTCTTCAATCACCAGCAGCTCAAATACGAATACAACGACCGGCCCTGAACAAAATGTTGGAATACCTCGACGAAACAAATACTTGTATCAAGGTTATGACTTTGCACTTAGAAGACCCTCAAGTCGCCACCGGAAATGGTTTTTTGAGATATATGTCTGTATCTATACCTTATCTCTTTGGCAAGCAAAGAAATTGCAGATCACTCTAAGAGTCAAAAAAGACCAAAGATAAAAATAGAGAGCTGAGCCCCAAAGAAGCACATGCCTATCTCCATGTCGGTGTCCCTACGAAGTCAAAAAAATATAAGAATCCGAGGTCTCGTCTAGAAGCTGACCGTTATCTGATCAAACCAAATTTAAGCTCCCTGCCTTTGGCTGTGGCAAGTTTAAAGAAACAACGGAGATAATTTTTCTTCCTCTCTAAGGCAATGGGCTGTTGTGAGGTGAGATAAACACTTGGAACAGTCGTTTCATTTAGCAGGTCTCGACCTATTCCTGCTTCCACCTGAGAAGTGTTTACAAACCGAAATAAGAACGGGATGGGTTCAATCTAGAGGGACTGTTTCAGATGAGAGGCAAAAAGAATATAAATAAAATATACTTTTCCACACAATAATAGCTTGATTTAAAAAAAGCAAGCACATGAAACCGTACGTCGTACTCCGTTCTTTACGTACAGTATCCCACTCCCTCTACTCTGTCTCCATATATTGGGGGAAAAAGGAATATTACTCCCGTCCAGAGTAAATGAAGAAAATGGGGCTCAAAAATGTACTCAAGAGGGAAGGCTAACCGGACTAACTGTGTGAAGTACTCCGTGCCTGGTGAGGGGTCCTAGCCAAACGAAGAGGTGCACGTGAGGATGACGAAAAGCGACTCATAAATCAGCCTCTGTAGGCAGCAGCAAGACTTCTATTAAAATACAGAGTACTCCGTAATACGGAAGCCTTTACTAAAAGAACGAGACCATTACCGTTATCCATTTCTGCCGGCAAAATCAGTACTTATTATATAGGTGAAGAGGCACTCAAGAATGTATAATAATTATGATATCAATGTAAGCTTGTTAATGTTCCAAAAGAACAAAGAGAAGTTTGAATATCATCAATGAAAAAAATAATGCACAGAACCATATTACATGAAGGATTGAAGGGATGTTATATGGTATACAGTAATAGATGATGGATTCAAATATTGGTAAAAAATATGGAGAAGGTGAAGCATAGCACTGATGATGGTTTTGAGCGTTTTCCGAATTAGGTATAGTTCATAATAATTTTATGGGCCTACAGGCGGTGACCCCCCCTTCTTTTGGTAGGGGCTCCGTACGACAACACCTGGCCGAACCTCGTTAATCCCCGTCGACCACCCATCATTGCAAAAGCTTCAACGATACACGTCCCTCGCCACACGCCAACCTCAGTCGCATCACCTCCGCACCGCACGCAATCTCTCAACACCTCTATTTAGACATCCATCGAAATCTAACCACCCGCCATGGCCAACGACGAGTACGATGTGAGCAGATCCCTCCCTTTCCTCCCGGATTGCCCCTCTCTTCCACCGCCCTTCTGCTGTCTTGTGTCTTGGCCACGAGCTTCAAACCGCTGCCACATCGCCGCAACTGGACCTCCGGATCGCCGTGATGCATCTTATTCTCTCCTAGAAGAAGCGCTTTTGCTGACTATGCTTCTCATAAAAGTTTCTCTTCAAAGGTGAGAACGCACCACCGCTGCTACCTCTGCGACCGAGCTGCCCACTCTTCCAAGTTCTATCTGTGACAGCCTTGGTAGGCGGATGGAAGATCGGACTAGCTGAGGATGGACAGGTTGCAATACGAAAGAGGCGGTTGCAGTCGCCATTACCGCCGTTGCTACCAGCATCGCCGTTGCTGACACATGGCCGGTTGCCCACGCTGTTCTTGTGCTAATGTCGCTCTCATTCCTTAGTCGTCCTGATTGGAGACTCAGGTGTCGGAAAGTCCAACCTGCTCAGCCGGTTCACGCGTAACGAGTTCAACCTCGATTCCAAGTCCACCATCGGTGTCGAGTTTGCCACGCGGTCCATCCAGGTCGACTCCAAGACCATCAAGGCACAGATCTGGGATACTGCTGGTCAGGAGCGGTACCGCGCCATCACCTCGGCATACTACCGCGGCGCTGTCGGTGCCCTACTCGTCTATGACATCAGCAAGCACCAGACCTACGAGAACGTCACCCGGTGGCTAAAGGAACTACGCGACCATGCTGACGCGAACATCGTAATCATGCTGGTGGGAAACAAGAGCGATCTGCGGCACCTGCGGGCCGTACCCACAGAGGAGGCCAAGGCTTTTGCAAGTACGTATACGTCTGCCTACTGACAAAGGGGCGCCTGCGGCTTTTGTCATTCTAACCTGTCTTTGTCACTAGGTGAAAACCACCTCTCCTTCATCGAGACTTCGGCCCTTGACGCCAGTAACGTCGAGCTTGCCTTCCAAAACATCCTGACAGGTAGGTTCCATCTCAATTGAGGCGGTGAGGCCATAGGGACATGTTACTAAAGCAGTTTCCGACAGAGATCTACCGCATTGTGTCAAGCAAGGCTCTCGACAGCGGCGACGGCGCCCAGGCTACGATTGGTGCAGGCACAAACATTTCACTCAGCAAGCCGGCCGAGGACGCGACGGCAAAGAGTGGGTGCTGCTGAGCGGTCCATTCGGCCATGATCCACGCGTGGCGGACGTTCTTGGGAAGAGACATAGCGGTGGTATGGTATTGGGCACAGGGATTGGGACTCGATCCATGGTGTACCGTGTATTGATTGGCCGGCGACGATATGCATGTCTGTCTGCCCAAGGAGGGACGACAGAAGGCATTCGGGCTCTGTCTGTCGCCGTTACGATACTGTCTCCTTGGCAGGTTTATTATTTTGTCGATTTTCTGCCTGTTCAGTTTTCGCTTTTCGTCTTTGATGTCAGTATGGTGTTTATCCACGTTTTAAACGCACTTCTCTTTTGTCCCGTTCACGTCTTTAACTTAGGTAATCAAATGAACTGTCAAGTGGTAAACCTACGGAAATGCCTATACATCCCTGCCCACCCCTTTGCAGATTAATGTAAACAATACATGTATAGACTGATGTGAAGATGTCCACTCTCTTGTGCCGTAGCTATATTAGACTGGAGCCTGGCAGAGCAGGCCATTTAATTTAATTCTCGGGCGGAGAGGCGCTGCTACTACGTACATACTCCGTAGTAGACTAGCCAGGTGACTGGCATTAACAGTGGCCAATCAAAGCATTCCGTTTACTTGGTAGCCGCTGCCTCTGATCTTCCGTCTTCCGCCTTGCATACGATGCGATGTCTCTGCAGGGATGCTTCCAGTGCAACGAAGGGCGGTGGAAGAAGATGAGTTGTGCAAAGACTACTCCGTACTCGTACAGAGGTCTGGTGGCCCGGTTTTCTAGCCCGGGTACTCCGTAATTTGAGACGTTTGTCCAGCTGGGATGGAGGAGATTGGATTTGCCACTTGCGCTGACGCTGTACCGAGATGAAGGTCACGTGTGGGATGCAATAGCAGCGACGAACGAGTCAGCCGGCATGCTGCGCATGGATCGTCCCCCTTCCCCTCCCCCACCTTTCCTGGTTGATTAGGCTGCCAACTCGTCATCCCCCTGTATCACCTGACCACCATTTCCCGCCTCAAAAGCGAACTTGCACCATCGTCGCTCCTCTCCCCTCTTATCGTCATCACTCATCGAAAGCACTCATCATCTTTTGTCCTTTGGTCTCTGTTCCTGCGTCGGCTGCTGTCTGAAACTTGATCGCGCGTCCTCCCCGTCAATAGTCGACTATCTCACAACCTATCCGCCACCACACCGCCACGATGCGCTCCAAGTTCAAGGACGAGCATCCGTTTGAGAAGCGCAAGGCCGAGGCCGAGCGCATCCGCCAGAAGTACGCGGACCGGATTCCGGTACGTTTCTCCTTTTCCTTCCTCCCTCTTGCCTCCACGCTTCTGTTCTTTTCCGTTTGGCGCAACGTTGTTAGGAGAACGCGTCGCTGACTCAAGCCCCACAGGTCATTTGCGAGAAGATCGAGAAGAGCGAGATCGCAACCATCGACAAGAAGAAGTACTTGGTACCGGCCGACCTGACCGTGGGCCAGTTTGTCTACGTGATTCGCAAGCGCATCAAGTTGGCGCCCGAGAAGGCCATTTTTATCTTTGTCGACGAGACGCTGCCGCCTACAGCGGCGCTGATGTCAAGCATCTACGAAGAGCACAAGGACGAGGACGGGTACGAAACCCACGAACCCCCTTTTTAAGTTGCGTTTTACTGTATGATGCTAACCTTGTCTTCACAGCTTCCTCTACATCCAGTACTCGGGCGAGAACACGTTCGGCGTCGACGCCTGAGCGCTGCGTCAGTCACACGCGACAACCACCCGTCCTCTTAGCCTCTCTCGTGCTTTTATGCTTCGGTTTCTATCTGTCGCTTTACCTGTTTTGTTTGTATCGCGTCTGTTATGGATTGTCTGTGAAATGAATGAACCTTTGGCGTTGGGATTCGAGGGATTTCGTTAGCTGCCTTGCGTCCTTGTCCGATACGGCATCATCGTCCTGTCTTTTGTTATGGCGTATCCTCTACTGGCAGGCATTCTACTGGTAGACGACGCTATGGTAGATTTCGGGATGCCGGAGGTGGGCGAAGAGAAGGGCCATGGGTGCCTGTGGAATAGTGCAGGGTGACCGGTAAAGGCATCGGTGATCACAACAGTTTTCCCTCGTTCAACTTCTGAGTGCCGGAGTATTCTCTATCGTTCAGCTCTGTTGCGACGGCCAGGATGAACTCGGGTCAAGCGGAAAGACGAATGCTGGGGAGTGCCAGGGGCGAAAGGCCTCAAGAACTGTGCTCTATGCTGGCATCTCTTCATTCGCTGCTCGCATCTCGTCTCCGATACCGGCATGTGCAAGGCTCTGTCTGTTTCCGCCCGTTCTGCCTGATTTTTTAAACATTGTCTCCCGCCGACGCAGGGTCTACTTTTAGTCTTATTAGAACAATGTTTTTCCCCCTATATGGATGGCAGATGGTCATGTCTGTAAGATATGATATCTTATTACAACGTGGTATTCTGATGCGCGCCTACGTCGGTCCCCAAGATTAAGATTTCATGTGGGCTCTATGACGTTCTGCAGGTACGAGATCGGTTAACTGCATATTCGCATACAACGAGCGTATGATATCGCCCAAAGACATGTTCTGATTGTACGATACTTTGCGCTTGAGGCCATGTAGCCTCACTCCATTTTAGCGATTCTAGGCCGACGGCGGCCAACGAAAAACATTCGATTTCCAGGGTAGCTTCCCCAAAAAAGTCACCTTCGCCCAAGTGCTGCCGGCTTTGTACATCTTGCCGGGGTCCACCATTCGGAAGCAGGCAGCCAGTTAGGCATTTAGACACGAAAAGTGGCCGCACCGGTGACGATAGGATCGTGTGGTTTCTCTGCCCATTTTCGCATTGGCCAGTCACCTTGTCGGAGACCTGTCAGTTCTTGGACTCCTGGCCGCCTGCTTTAGCTTCGGATCCTGCCTATATTAGGCCGGCCGCCATGGCTGCGTCGGGACGGATGCTGCGTCTGCTTGCGCAAAGCAGACGGAGAGTGACAGGGACAATTGGCACGAGAGGAACCGGAGCAGGCACAATTACGACAGCCCGGAGAACAATTGCTTCGAGCCGTGTCAGTGCGCCACAGTCTGCCATTAACGGTTCAGCAGCAGCGGCCGCGGCCATTGGAGTTGCTGCGGGCAGCTCATTGCTCTTCTACAACATGGTGAGGCTCTTCTGGCGATCGGTCTTGGTTGCGAGCGGCAAATGCTGACGGGCTCTAGGCTTCACAAGATCCAATTCGATGTGACTCGCCGTCGCTAGCAGAGCGGGACGAGCAAATTCGGCGAGACACGGGCGGCGTGGTGACGGAGCAGTCGCCGATGCGGCTGCGAATGGAGAAGTTCATCAAGGAGCAGCAGCAGGTGATCATCCGGGGGCTGGCGGAGATTGAGAACAGCGGCGGCGTGGCCAGCGTGGGCGGACCGGTGGAGGGTCGTTCGGCAGACGGACAGACGGCGCCACGGAGTTTCCGACAGGACGAATGGCAGCGCAAGGAAGGCGGCGGAGGGATCACGTGTGTGCTGCAAGACGGGGTGGTGTTTGAGAAGGCGGGCGTGGGTGTCAGCGTGGTGTATGGCACGCTGCCCAAGGCAGGCATCATGCGGATGCGGGCAAACCACAGCAAGCTAGGCGGCAGCAGCAGCGGCAGCAACGGTGAGGGGCTGCCAGAGTCGCTCGAGTTTTTTGCGGCCGGTCTGAGTTTGGTGGTGCATCCACGCAACCCGATGGCGCCGACGGTGCATCTCAACTACCGGTACTTTGAGACGGCAGCACCGGGCGGCGGCGAGACCGGCGAGTCGGACGGCGGGGCGTGGTGGTTTGGCGGAGGGGCCGACCTGACGCCATCCTACCTCTTTGACGAGGACGCGATCCACTTCCACAAGACGCTCAAGGAGGCGTGCGACCGTCACAACAAGGACTACTGGCCGCGCTTCAAGCCGTGGTGCGACGAGTACTTCCGCAACAAGCATCGGCTCGAGAGCCGCGGCGTTGGCGGCATCTTCTTTGACGACCTCGACGAAGAGAACGCCAACAGCTGTGGGGCTGATCGCGAGAGCCTCTTTTCCTTTGTGCAGGACGGCCTGCGATCCTTCTTGCCGTCATATGCGCCCATCATGGCACGCCGCAAGGACATGGCCTTTACCGAGGCCGAGAAGGAGTGGCAGCAGATCCGCCGCGGCCGCTATGTCGAGTTCAACCTTGTCCACGACCGCGGCACCTCGTTTGGGCTCAATACGCCCGGGCCGCGCGTCGAGAGCATCCTGATGAGCCTGCCGCTGACCGCCAGCTGGAAGTACATGTTCGAGCCCGAGCCCGACAGCCGTGAGCAGCATCTCGTCGACGTGCTGCGGAAGCCGCGTGAATGGGTGTAGGATAGTGTTTGAGAGATAGCACGTAAAAAAAAGGGGTGTCGAGCGTGGAGGGTTGGATTGGTAGATTTGCACCAAAAAAAAAAGAAAAGAGAACCCCGAATTTGAAGTCGATGACATAATATCCCCAAACAACCATAAACACAGACGCCATCGGCCACGGTCCCAACGCCTCATGTGCTGACCATGGCCTCCTCTCGCGGCCTGCTGCCATCGCCGCAGCGTCTCCTTGTCGACCTGGTGCGGTCCATTGGCGCGATTGCGGTGGACAACGACGATGGCGATGACGTCGGAAGAAGGGAGCCGTCTGCGGATGGCAATCCCCTCGCCCGCATGCCCGCTAGCCAGCGGCCCTTGCTCGCGGCCCTGCACGTCCTCTTCCCAGCCATGCTGCTGCCGGCCCTGGACCTGCTGGACCGGCGGCGGGTGGTGCGGTACGGCTCAACAGCCACGACAGACTCGACAGGCGAGGCCGCCTTTCCGCTCTACCAGGTCTTGGGCGACACGCCGCACGTCGTCCACCTGCGTGCTTGGCACTGCACATGTGCATACTTTGCGCTGCGAGCAGCCGGCGCAGAGACCACCAGAAACACCGACGGCGAGCATGGCCGGAACAGCCCGGCAGACCAGAATGACCAGGACACCGATACCGTCGACGACAACAACCTCACCCTCTTCTCCATCCCACCCTGCAGACACCTGCTGGCCTGTCTCCTGGCCGAGAAATGGCCGGCACTGCGGCCCCATGTCCTCGCCATCGACGGCTGCGGCCCCGAGGTGCTGGCTGGCGTCGCTGCCGGCGTCCACTGAAACCGGGTCCTGCTGGGAGAAAGGAACACGTGACGTGATGTGGCAGGACAAAATGTCAGTAATAAGGAGTACATAGTAGACAAATCGCTCCGTACACTCCTCGCCAAATCAATACGCAGTACAGCTACTGCTTTAGCACTTGTCTCTGCACTCATGTACGACTCTAACATGGCTTGGACAGGACTCGGTCCTAGACGTCCCCCGCCACTGCATTCCTTCTTGTTCCGAAGATATCTATACGCCTGCATGAAACTTTCAAAACAAAAAAGGTACCCGTGGCAAACGTGAGGGAAAATCGTACAGAGGGCCTCTCTCTTTCCTTTTTTGTCTTTACCGCTTTCCCAACAGTGATGGCAACGCTTCTCTCTCGGCGTGCCAAAAGTGCTATAGGGCTGACGTTTTGCCGTGCTTCCCTTGCCTGGCTGCATCGTCCTCTTCACTTCTTCTCCTTGGCCGTCCCGTTCGGCGCCTTATCGCCGCCGTCTTTCTTGTCGCTGCTGGCGTCGCCACCGTCCTTCTTCTCTGCGCCGTCCTTGTCCTTGCCGCCGCCTGCTGCTGACGTTACTGCCGAGCCGTTCTCGCCGTCCTTCTTGGCCGCGTCCTTCTCCTCCTGCTGCTGTCGGTTCTGGATCTTATTCTCGATGAGGTCGTGGAAGGCAGTGATTGCCCGGATCAGACTGCTGAGATAGATGGCCATCAGCTGGTCGTTGGTTTTGACGCTCATCGCGTACGCCAGGTCGCCATCACCCTTGACCGGCGGCGCCGACGTGCCGTTCTGCCCTGACGCTGGCTGGCCCGTCTGGCCGGCTGCCCCGCTCGTCGGCGTCGACAGGTTCGGCAGCAGGTTGAAGACGTCCTGCAGGTTGCCCAGGATCGCGTGGTTGACCGGCAGCTGGCCGTCCAGCACCTTCGTCAGGTACGCCTGGATGTCGCCCAGCCGGTGATGCAGGCCCTGCAGCGACTGCAGCTGGTTGGTTACCCGCGTCGACAGCGTGCCCACGGCCACGTCGCGGATGTCGCGCAGCAGGTGCTCCACTCCAATCTCCTCCGCCTCCTCCGCCTCGATGATCGACGGCGTGTGCACAAACGTCTTGGATGTCGTCGTGCCGTCCTGCGTCTGTCAGTACTGTTTGAGGGGGGGGGAAGCACATATAGACTGTGCCGGCGCTCCAAAACATACATCCTTGATCTCCTCCACGGCAAAGTATGCGTCTGTCGGCACGCCCGACTCCTTCGGCTGGACGTCAATAATCACCAGCAGCGGGTGCGGCGTGTACCGCTTGAACAGCTCGTTGATCTCCAGGTCCGATGCCCGCAGCTTCGGTCCCGAGTGGTACCACCCTATCAGCTTCTCGCGCGCATTGATCTTCTTGAACATGTCGTTCATCGCCTCAATGTAGTTGTGGTCCAGGTACCACACCGATGGGTCCCTCTCGTCCTCCTCAAACGGCACTGGCTCGCCTGTCAGCTCCTGTCCCCAGCACAATACCAAAAGCCAGATGTCCACGGCCAGTCCTCACCTGCAAAGCTGTTCGATACCCGCACAATCTTTCCATCGTTCTGCCCTAGCAACACGCCCACCACCCGCTTGTTTCGTGTCTTGGTCGCCGCACTGCGGTTGAAGTGGTCCACCGCCGAGAGCAGCACCAGTGGCGCAACAGTGACATTCCGCGTCACAATCGACAGCGTTTCGGCGGTTGTCGTCGGCATGGCTGCGGCGGGGCTGCGTCTGTCAGGATGTGTGGGAGCGTGTTGTGGTCGGAAAACGCTGTGGTGGTCAAGGTGACGATGTGGAGTTGGCGGCAGACCAGAGTGTGGAAGCCAACGTTCTCCTTCCAAAAGGCGTCGTACTGCTGAGGCTGCCTTTTCCGCTGCCCTTGAGGTGAATTCCTACTTGGGCTAGCGCTGCCCGCCACAGGCGCCACACCAAGCAACCCCCACCACTACATCACGTGGAACACCATGTGACTTAATGGCGAACTGTCCGACGCTGCCATCGCGACTTGTCACTTTTTTGCTTTCTGCCTCTAAGCAGTCTCCAGTCTACGATGGATCACTGCTGCCCTGCTCTTCCGGGAAAAGAAAAGAACGACGGTGCTGCGTAAGCCATGTCCTCTTGTATGGATGTAGAATAATAGCGGCTCTACTCTGTAAACGAAAATCGGCCGGCTTGCATGAGCTTGCTCCGCAGCGTGTCTTATGCTGATGTCCCTTCACCCGTATGGCTGGAAGGAAAGACAAGAGCGAGAGAGCGACCTGGCTACATGATAGACACGAGATACCGCCCCCAGGACGAGCACGAAAGGGCGAGCTATACTCCACGTAGTAGTGCCTCGGCGTGGAGGAGGTGCTACGGAGTACGACTCAAGATACGTAAGATACCCTGTGGAAGAGCTCGGATGACTGGAGCACGCGAATTAGCCGCGGGCGGGGCCATGTATCCCTCTAGTACCGTAATGTACTCTGCCGGTGCTGCAACCGGCCGGCAGTACCCTGGAGCTGTGCCACGGTACCTCAAGCTCCCCCACTGCCACTGAACTGGGGCCTATTGCGGAGGACTGCCCCCTGTCCGCAGTGGAGTTACAGCGGTCTTATTCAACGCACTGCACTAAACCTGGCTCTTTCTACCCCGAAATCGCATTTTTCGCGGTTTTTTTCCCGACCTGCTCTCCGCCACACTACTGCTGCTCCATCCTCCGTGCTGCTATTCTAACTTTTGACATTTTTGCTCCGTCTTATATCTCTGCCATACCTCGTCCTCCTCACAACTCTTCCAATTCCTCCGTCCTTTGTCCCTATTTCTCTCTTCTGTCTCCCCTCCTTCTCCACATCCTCGCTGTTATCATTAATCTCCCCGACAAGATGGGTGCCATTGAGGAACAAGTGAAGCGTTTGAACGATGTCGTGGCCAGCCTCGAGGACCGTATCAAGGGCCTCGAGCAGCGCAAGTTCGGCGAGGTGGCGGCGCCCAAGAAGGATATTCGCATGATTCTTATCGGCCCCCCCGGTGCTGGTATGTAACTGCTTCGGAACTTGACCGCTGCCGGATGCGATTGGAGCTGACGCTGACGTGGAATGCGACCATAGGCAAGGGCACTCAGGCACCGAAGATCAAGGAGAAGTTTGGCTGCTGCCACCTGGTACGTCCCCCCATGACGCCAATTCGTACTATCTTGTGACTGTAGCTTTGTGTGCTCATCTGCTAACGATTGTCGATATTCAGGCCACCGGTGATATGCTGCGCTCGCAGGTCGCGAAGAAGACGCCGCTTGGCCGGGAGGCTAAGAAGATCATGGACCAGGGTGGCCTTGTCAGCGACGACATTGTCATTGGCATGATCAAGGAGGAGCTAAACACAAACCCGGAGTGCAAGGGCGGGTGAGTTCTGCCTTGCTATCTTCGGCTCTTGCTTTTTTGCCCTCATACTCACTTTAGTTCAATTTGCTGACGGCTCTAGCTTCATTCTGGACGGCTTCCCGCGCACCGTTCCCCAGGCTGAGGGCCTCGACAGCATGCTCAAGGAGCGCAACCAGACGCTGCAACACGCCGTCGAGCTGCAGATCGACGACTCGCTGCTGGTCGCCCGCATCACCGGCCGCCTCGTCCACCCGGCGTCTGGCCGCAGCTACCACAAGCTGTTTAACCCGCCCAAGAAGGAGATGACTGACGATATCACCGGTGAGCCGCTGGTCCAGCGCTCCGACGACAACGCCGACGCCCTCAAGAAGCGCCTGTCCACCTACCACGTGCAGACGGCCCCCGTTGTTGATTACTACCGCAAGACGGGCATTTGGAGCGCCATCGACGCCTCGCAGAAGCCGGGCCAGGTGTGGAGCACTCTGCTCAAGATCTTCGACGGCGATGCCAAGAAGGCCAGCTCGTCGGGCAGCGGCATCCTCAGCAAGCTGAGTGCCAGCAGCTAAATTGACCTCGAACACACGCATATACTGGAAGGAGGAGTGCGGCATACTTTCCCGCTCTCGAACCTGAAGAAGGGAACGGAACCATTTTTTCCGGACCCACAGGATAGGAGAGGCATACCATCCTCTTTTTTCTCGTGGGGCTGTTTAGGATTTGGAGGTATTGGACCCATGCAGCATTGAGACACGATAATTGAACAGATGAACAGATGGACGAGGAAAGGGTGGGCGGAACTCTTTTGGACCGGCAGGAAAGGATTTGCGAAAGGCCTTCCTTTTTGTGTTGTCTTCTATTTGAGCGGGCTCAAAACTGGGCGGTGGAAGGGAATGAAAACGGAGATGGGAGAGGGAGCGTTGCTCTCTCAGTCTTCGATGTATGATGTAAAAAAGGCACTGGAAATGCAGACAGTTATCCTCTAACCGGCAGCTACAACCGGAAAATCGTGAGCGTAGCCACATCGTACCTGTCGCTTTGCGCGGCTTGCGCATGCTATGATTTATCTGGTAATTACATTTGCTTCTGCTTTCCCCGTCTTTTTTCCATGGTACTTCACCTACTGCCGGAGAGCTTCTTTGTTCAGCCAGTCGCCGGTTGCGTACCGTTCCACCCAACCTGCATGATATGGTCTGGCGAATGAGAATGAAGTTGTCCGAATCCATCATGCATCCTTCTCCCCTTAGTCTTGGTTTCGAGTTAGCTGTCCCGCCTTTGGCTACCCGCCGAATGGAAATCATGCCTTGGGAATCGGCTGGGCAGAACCGACATCACATATGGCCACCTATTGACGATAGCTCTGACAGTTCTGAATCCCATTCAGCAGGCTGGAATTTCGACATTTTCACTCCCTTAATTCGTTACATATATTAAGAGGTAAGATTCTTCTTTGCTTCCCGTGCATGCAGAACTTTCGTCTTATATACGACATAAGTGTTCTACTTTGGATATAATGTCTGCATTGCCAGTTTCGCCTCTATCGGCACCGATCTCCCCGGTTGCCCCGATCGTCACGCCAGCCTCTATCAGCGTGATAACGGCCTCCGGAAGCAGCGCCTCCGGCAGCGGCAAATCGGCCGCCACCACGTCATCGACGACACTCACGGCTGGAGCATCTACCGTGCCGGCATCGTTCACGGCGGCGCTGCCAGGCTCGTCCGCATCGTCCGTGTCGTTCCAGCGCAGGATTGCCACTGTCGCAGGTTCATCTGCCAGTGGCTCTCGCATCCAACCCAACCTCCCCTCCACCAGCGCGCAGCATGATATTGCCGAAGCACGCCAGGCCATCGATGCCAGCATTGCCAACCTGCTCGACACCCAGTTACAGGACCGTGCCACTCTCATGCACGAAAATATGCGCTCTATCGCGGGCCAACAGCGAGATCTGAGCCGTGCCGTGGCAGGCCTACGCAAGGCCAACGACGGCTTGACGCGGCTCGTGCACGAATTCACCGGGTCGTACAAAGAAATGGGCCACGTGCAGAACTGGGCCGAGATACAATATCAGAATATCTCAGCGCTGGAGGAGACAATGCGCCTGGTGCGGGAGCGACGGGCACGGGAGGAGCAGAGGGAGGAGCGGCGCAGACTTCGAGAGGAACGACGGAGGCAGAGATTAGGCAACGATGGCGAATGTGCAGCAGGTGAAGGGCGTGCCAGAGAACACGATGGTGACCAGTATGACGACGACGACGAAGACGACGATGATGATGGTAGCTGGAGCTCGAGCGGAAGCTATAGCGGAAGTTACACCGGCAGTTACACCGGCAGCAGCCGCAGTCACAGTCGGTCGAAAAGCGATACTGGTGATGGGGAAGCAATTCTTGCATCAGTGCCCGTTGCATTGGCTGGCACAACGTGCAACAATGCGGCAATTGAGGTTGACAGAGTCGAGGTCGTTAAAGCCGAAAACGAGGCGGACGGTCACCTTGGAGCTAAAGGAAAAGCGACAGAGGCCACTGTCATTATTGGGCAGACAAAGGGGACTGGACAGGAGGCCGCTCACTCTCTCATGACTGTCAAGTCGTCCCCTTCCGCCAATACTGTAGAGAGAGAAGTCAACAACGCAGGCAGCCTAGCAGAATCAAGTCCCAACCTAGACCAGGGGAAGGAGAAAGATACAGAGATCGCAAAGAAGGAAGAGCTGCCTCGACAAGCTATACTGGCCCCTGTCACGGATGTGGAGAAGGAAAAAGACACAGTCAACAGCAACAAGAACGAATATAAAAACGAAGGTGTTGAAAATAAGACAGGAGGGACAGAAATTTTGGATTTTCAAGTAGAGAAGGATGGGACCACTTCGGCGGAAGAGCAGGATATGTCATCCGAAATGCTTAATGAGAACCACAGTCGAGAAAAGTCATGCGATGCGGGCGTGTCCCGCACCATTATCGAGGTAAAAGCACACCAGGCAGATAACAACGACAACGCCGAAATTGAGAAAAACGAAAAGGTGGAAGACGAGGGGAGCATGAAAACTGACAATTTGCACAACGACGAGACTCGGCATGCAGGGGGCAATCATGATACTGCAGATAACGTTATCCCAGCCGACAGTCAGTTGGAAGACGTCCAGGGGGAACTGCTGTTGAGTCTGCCAGATGCTCCAACGGCAGAAATTATTCAAAATCCGACACGCCACAAGGAGGGAGAGGCGAAAGTACCGCTGTTAGACTGATTCAAGACGGTAATAAAGATGTTTCTTGAGGGCGAGGCACAACGGAACTCACGGCTGACTTGGCAGAAGCACAACACATGGTAGCAGGAGGCAAAATATTGTTTGACAAGTGGTTGTTGGAGAAGTGTTATTATTATTATATTTTTCGTTTTCGTTTGTGATTTGCTTGCAGGCTCGCCCGCGTATTTTGATTTGCTACTACACCACCCCGTTGTTTCTGCACACACCCGTTTAACTATTCGTGTAGAATTCCAGCCCTTGTCCCTTGATATTGTACACCATTGTTGGCGGGTGGCGCCATCCATCTCTTGCATCCCGGCCACGCACAGCCAGGCCGCACGACCGGATCAGATCAGCCCAGGAAGCATCGTGTAACGCTTCTTCTTGTACTTGTCCGGGAACAGCCGGCGTAGCGCCCGTTCCTTGTCACGCGACCAGCTGCGCATGTAGCTGATGCCCACTAGGATGAAAATGACCACCGTCACGTCACGTGAGATGAGAATCACGCCCACCCACGCTAGAACTTCAAACATGTAGTTCGGTGCCGTTACCAGGCTGGTACCAATGCAGCTGGGGATCCCCTTCTCCGTGCTGCCAGGCTTGCGAAGGTGTGCCAAGTGGTAGTGGACGCGGAAGTTGCAGAGCTCGCTGACGACAAAGAGCGCAAGACCGGCGTAGTCAAGCGGGGTGCTGCCGAAGCCTGAACGTGGTGGCGACGCGATAGTGCTGCCCAGCGGGAAAGAAAGGCGCATCGGCGACAGCGGCGCGTACAGTGACACAGAGCACGCCAAGCCAGCTAACAGCCAGTAGAATGCAGAGTTGCGAAAGATGTTGAAGGCAGGCATGGTGTTGGCGGCGAAACGGTGCAGAAAGATGGTCTCGAGCTCGCGCTTGAGAAAGTGCAGCACAAAGAGCACAAACGTGACCGTCTGGACGTCGGTGGGGCTGCCGGTGCTATCCACCTTGACGCCGCCAGACCAGGATGCCGGCAGGAACGGTATAGATGGGCGAAGGAAGTAGAAGAGCACGTGGATCAGGAGCGGGCCGGCATATTCCACAACGAAGACGGTGCGCCATGCAATCTGGGGGCCTGCAGCATGACAAAAAAACATGCAGTGTTAGCGGACAGAAACATTGGAGCCGGGGAACAATCGACAATGGTCGAAGTGGGAACAAGGCAAAACACAATGAATCCTACCGAGATCCTGCACCAGCACCTCGCCCGATGCCACAATATTCTCCTGCTGGCTGAGAACAGCCCGGCGATCACGAATTATCTTCCGCGTCCTGGGGTCAAAGATGCCGATGCGGTTGAAGTCCGAGATGCCGGACTGCTTCGACAAACTGGCCTGGAGCTGCTCAATGGTGCCCTCCGCTGCAATTTCAACAGATGCGGGGAGCTTCTTGATGGCGCCCGACTTGCCGCGGTTCGCCACCTTGAGGTGAAGTTCTTTGGATCCGGCCATGCTGGGCAGAGAGGGCACGGAATGCAGCACGGATAGGAAGAGATGTAATGATGTTGGGTAGTCGGACGGCCGTGCGGACAAGGAGAGATGCACTGAAGAACTTTTGACCACATTCGAAGTGGACCTCCTTCTCAACAAAACCGCCCATGACGTTGATTGGCTAGAGCATGCCGTCAACAATTAGGCTAGCGTAACGCTCTACCCGTTACGGCGGTACTTCAGTTGTACGCGTTTTTACCTATACCGCTATGTACCGCGTCTTACAAGTCCCAAAACGGCTACAAACCCATCTTCATCCCGAAAAGGAAAGAACGAGGCTTCAAACCTGCCACTTTATATTCCATAGATCAAGTGAATAAAGCCATCAATGTGAAGGAAGGCCTCTCAATAGGCATAATAAGGCAGTTGCCTCCTGGTCAGTCTTTCCTCTTGGTATTGTTCTCTATACCTGAACAAGTCCTGAACAAGTGATTCATGACTGCCATGACCGCCTTTACCTCGCTTGCCTCGCTTGCCAGTCAAACAGTGGGGTCCAGTCTCTGTTTACCTCTCCTATAAATCTAGACCTCTCACCTTGTACATTCTCTCCTCTTCTTCCCCCTCTCTTCTCTTCCAAACCCAAAAAGCTGCCAACCTCAAATCCAGTTTTTCATCAAGGAAAAACAAAGGCAGCATCAACAGAGAGTCATATCCCCATCAGCGACTCATTCTCCACCAAGAGAAATGCCTCGAGTGAGTGATGACTTCACTGCTTCCTCAGCTTCAGTCCGAAGTCTTTTCTCACGCAGTCACTACTCCCCCCTTGCAGAACCACCGCTCCAGACGTAGAGGCCCCCGGGCTCCTCCCCCTGCGGTGCCTCAACGCAGCTTCCCCAAAGAGTATGAGGACTATCTCAGAGGCGTTGATGCAGCTACCGAAGCTCTGAAGTCAAAGAACATCGAGACAAACATCGAATCAAGCTTCGATGACGCAAAGGTCGATACCGCCACGGTCATCGAAGCTCCCATGACCGAAGCCCTTGACAAGGGAAAGGGGAAGGAGACTTGCATCGATTCAGGTACGTGAATGCAATCCCATCTACCTGCAGAGTGTCTTCCATCCGACATCTACAAACAAACACGTCAAGATGCTGACTTTCCCGTTACCGGGAAAGCAGATGAGGTGTCGAAAGGAAACTACCTGTTCACTCGCGGAGAAGTTCCCCAGGGAAAGACCCATCTGTTGACTCATGCTTCTGACACGCATACAAACATCTTTCCCAAAGGTATAAGCAGAGCACCCCGCCATCATCCATTAAGTTTCCATGCTGACTATTGACCTGTCTATTAACAGAGTTTATGACGAAAGTCGGGCTTCCCAGCCAGAATCGAATGGAGCCTCGCCAGGCCGGAAATAACCCAACAAAACAGGCCGCAGCTGGAAGCACTAGATATGATTCCATTGCTGGCGAGTGTCACGAAGCTGGTCCAGCTACACTGTACTCGCCGGTTGCTGGTCCCTCCAAGTTTCCTTTCATTGGCAAAACCCCCACTGGCCCCACTGCAGGATCTCTGCCGAGAACTCACATTGATCTCACCTGGGGTCAACAGAAGACTTCTCCGGTCCCAGGTGTCTACGGTGCGAAGACGGCAGGTCATCAGGCTAAGCGTCCGGTCCTCGGATCTTTCCAGAAGCCAACGCAGCTGAGCGCAGATTCTCCCTCGTTTCATCCACAGGGAGCTACGCCTGCTGCTCTGATAGATGTTGCCAACAAGGGTGACCGGCTGCTGCAGTCCATTGCATCATCGTCAACAGTTGCTATGTACACAGGTAACCATGGTAAGACCAGGCCCATCCCCGGCGCTACATTAAGTCCTCTCTAACAGAATACAGGAGTGCTGCGGGCCAGAGATGAGCTGAATAGGACTGCTGCTTATTGCTCGATGCGCGAGAAGGCTGATTTTGCGGGCTGGGGCAAGTCCCCATTTCTTCCCCAATCGCCGATCGACTTCGTTGCGCACCAGAGACAGATTGTGGCTGCAGAGATGAAGCGAAACATGAACCGTGTTGCGATGCTCGAAGCCACGCAAGGTAAACACAAGGCCATGCTCACGCTTGACTTCCAGGACGGCCTGTCGCCCATGCTAGTGCAGAAGACAAGCTTCAATGATGTGGAGGCAGACTACCAGAAATATGTGACGGACTGGCCGACGCCGCACGAGCTGCAGATGTCTGGCACTTCTCTTCCACTCCCGCAGAAGAAGCAGGCGGAGTCCGGAGAGCAAGCGCAGCGCACCACGTTCTGCACCCAGGAAGACGAGACTCGCACATGGGACTGGCTCAGCCCGTTTCAAGCTGCCTCCGTCCGAGCTGAGGATCCTGCCACGATTGACGAGGACACCCTCGGTTCTTGGATGCGTGACCTGATGAAGGCAATTGACCAGGACGATGAGTGACAGAGGCACAGAGAAAGACCACGAACGATGACAAATTTATGGTAGGATGACAGAACGGTATCATATAACAAGGGCGAAATGTGTGACGACAAATTGACAGTTCGCAGGAGGATGCAAGGATTGAGACGGGCTTGCAGCAACTGATCACACGGGACAACAGTGTTGTTTTGTTTTGTTTTACCATGTTTCTACTTTTGTTTTTCATGTAGGCCTCAGGAGTAAGCTTCACTTGCAGTGTACGCTATTCTGGTCACGGCCGGGTTGGCTATGGGAAAAAGGCCAAAGGATAGAAATTGCCATAGGCGATTGTCATCAGCAATAAACTTCGCTATTATTATGAACGTCGAACTTGACGAGCCGCGCTATTCCACAGCACGGACCGCGCACGGACCAGGCATGAGAAGAGCCCCACTTGGCTTCACGTGATGCACTCGACGCTAGGTCTTCTGAGCCCCGCTCAATGAAAACCCGATTTGTGCGCACCGATTTTTTTAGGTCTAACAAATTCGCCAGTGAAAAAAAGCCCTGAATCTTTTTCGAGCGTCTCTTTTTCCTTTGCAACCAACCATCACGACAATCGCCGATTTGTTCAACGCCCGTTTCCAGCTGCAGGCGTAAGGTATGTGGTGATGGGGCTTTAGAGTTCTCACGACTTCTATTGTCTGCCCTTCAATCGAGATGTCTTTTCGCACGACTCTCGCAGCATGGCCATCTCGCTGACTTTGTGATCTCTTTCACAGACACCACAACCATGGGTATCTCCAGAGACTCTCGCCACAAGCGCGCGGCCACCGGTGCCAAGCGTGCCTACTACCGTGCGTCGATTCCCACCGAGTGAATACTGTTACTGCTGTTATCTTGTTTGGGTGGACGGGGGATCTTTCATTTTCGAAAGCCCGTATCGGACTGGGAGAAGGCTTCTCTTTCTCATCCAGGACATACGTTCTGACCTTTGCCAACAGGGAAGAAGCGCGCTTTCGAGGCCGGGCGCCAGCCCGCCAACACCCGTATCGGTGCCAAGCGTGTGCACGTTGTGCGCACGCGTGGCGGCAACCACAAGTACCGTGCTCTGCGTCTTGAGGCGGGCAACTTCTCGTGGGCGTCGGAGGGCGTCACGCGCAAGACCCGTGTGATCGGCGTGGTGTACCACCCGTCGAACAACGAGCTGGTCCGCACCAACACCCTGACGAAGTCGGCGGTGATCCAGATCGACGCGGCACCTTTCCGCCAGTGGTACGAGGCGCACTTCGGCCAGGCTCTGGGCCGGCGGCGGCAGCAGAAGCAGGCCGGTGCCGCGGCCGAGGAGCCGGTGAAGAAGAGCAACTCGGTCGAGAAGAAGCAGGCCGCTCGCTTCGCCGCCAGCGGCAAGGTCGACAGCGCGCTCGAGCGCCAGTTCGAGGCCGGTCGCCTGTACGCGGTCGTGTCCAGCCGTCCGGGCCAGTCTGGCCGTGCCGACGGATACATTCTCGAGGGCGAGGAGCTTGCGTTCTACCAGCGCAAGCTGCACCGGTAAACGTGCACGGTCTGATCGGAGCGATCGGATCGGGTGGACGGCTTTGCCGGTGGAGGGGAGGATACGATTTTAAATACACAGGAAAACCGTTGTGTGTGAGGGGCGTTCTGGGAGGATGCAAACCAAACGATGACAACACAAGACGAAAGGAAAAAGGAGGACGACGCTGTGGCCGAAGTAAAACACGGCGGGATCCAAGGACAACAGCCGGTTCTAGCTCTCGACGATGGCTACCTATTTTCTGTAGCTCCTGTTATTTATACCTGTTTGATCAAAAGGGATATGGAATGACAAAAATATTGCACAATCAGCACATGTTGGACTGAGGTCGAGGTACTACGTAGTTGACACACGTGACGTTTTACACTAATAATGTGGAGACACAGGGAGGTAGGAAGTACAGAGTATGATGTAGATATTCAAAACCAACAACGTAGCTCTCAGGACGGGATATATACATGAGACATGGGGTTGGCATGCTCCAAGCCTCATAAGCAGTTGTGTATCATTCGTTTAAGGTATGTGGGAACAATGGCGGGAAGAGTGTCGAGTTCGGGCTGGGCCGTGTTAGCAGGGGACAGGAGACGCAAGAAAGGACAAAGCACAAAGAGAGGACGTACGATGCTGCCGTGGGCCATTTTGCGGGCACGGAGACGGGCCAGCAGAGCGACCAAGACGCGGCGCAGGGGCTTGAGGGCGGAGAAGCGCTCGCCGATGGAGGTGATCAGCATGGTGCACTTGTTGAGCAGGTCAGTGGTTTCGAGCAGGCTCTGGGGGTCGTGGCGGGAGTGGTGAGGGTGGTGGTGGTGGTGATGGTGGTTGCTGTGTCTGCGGGAAGCCAGACAGAGGTAAACGACACCGGCGGCAAAAAGGTCGTAGGCGTCGACAAAGGAGCCGACAAAACAAGCTCGCGGTCGGCACGGGCGTAGGCGCGCTCGATGAGGCCGCGGCAGTGGCGGGCGGCGTCGTCGTCGATGCTCTGGCGAAGGCTCTGGCCGGACAGGAGGCCGACACTGACGCTGGGGGCGAGAGGAGGCGGCGCGGTGGTGGTGGCAGCTTCAGCTTCGACAGGCGCCATCGTTTGGGCTGTGCCGGGGTCCTCCTCCTTGGGCGAATGGGGGGTGGAGGTAGAGGCCGAAGAAGCGGCAACCGAAGAGGACGAGGAGAGGACAGAGGGCGAAGAGTCGGAGGCGTCGACGGTGATGGCTTTTGTCTCGGTTGTGGTGGTGATGGTGGCAGTGACAGTGGTGGAAGAGGCAGCAGGCTCGTGACCATGCAGGCAGTTGGCGGTGATCTGCACGAGGGTGCGGCAGGCCAGCAGGTGCAGGAAGTCGGCGTGGGTTTCGCGGGCGTCTGCAGGCAGATGGTCGAGCGGAGGGGGAAAGTCGCGCCAGTAGCAAAAGTTGCTGTAGTCGAAGAGGGGAGCAGTGCGGGCGGCTGTGCGAACGGCGGAGACGAGACGGGCCTGGACGACGAGGTGGTGGCTGAGGGAGAAGAAGGGTGGGATTTCGCGGGAGGAAGAGTCATCTTCTGGCATCTGTGGATGAGAAGGGGTGAGAAAGGAGAAGAGAGGAGAGAGGAGAGAGGAGAGAAGAGGAGGAACAGATACGCACGCTGACAGAAATATCTTCGTCCTGGATGCTAAAAGGGCGATCCATAACCAGACCAATAGACCTACCAGATTAGCAGGCGGACCAAAGGACCAGACCCAAGGAAGTCAACAGTCAACTCACCGGTCCAGCAGGTAGACGCTCCAGAAGAGGCGACGCCGCTCATCGGCCTCGACAGCCGACTGGACGTCAGGTTCGCGTCGCAATCCCAGCACGATGCAGCGCTTGGTGGCCATGCCGAGCAGATGCCAGGCCGAGCCGCCGTCAGGCGAGAGGGTGGCGTAGATGACGAGCGCGACGATGGCGCGGATGGCAGCAAGCGCCTCGCCCGCGTTGGAGTTTCCAGCAGCAGACGCTCCAGGGCGCTGAACGAGAACAGCGGGCAGCAGCCGGACGGCGGCAGCGTGAAGGCGCTGGGCGAAGCCGTGCAGGCGAGCAGCATTAGGGGCCAGCAGGGCGCCGGTAGCGACGGCGAGGTAGACAGCCAGGCGAGCGGATGGCGAGGGGGCCGACGAGGACGAAAAGAAGGAGGAAGAGGACTGCGACTGGAGGACGGCATCGTGTTGGGCCTTGAGCACGGCCTCGTACTGGGCCTCGAGCTGGTCAGCGGCCTTGGCCGTGGCCAGATGGGGGAACCGAACGGCGACCTCGTCGAGAAAGCGGCGCAGATGAACGGCCGAAGCGAGTCTGGTCAAGGTCCAGGTCCAATCGTCGGGAGGGTCTGTCAGATGCGGATGCAGATGCAGAGGGGCTGAGCCGTTCTTGCTGTCGCCGGTAGCAGCAGCAGCAGCAGCAGCAGAACCTCCATCACGTCCGCTGCCCGAGGGATCGTGGCCGTCGAGGGCCAGGGCGGCCATGACGACGCGGTCAGGCGCCAGACGAAGTGGTCGCTGGACGGCCGTCGTTGGCTCATCGTCGTGCGGCTCTCCGATGGCGCTGCGCGACAGGAAGCCGATCTCGCCCATCATGGCGCGTATGGATCCGTCCGTAGCATCGGCAGCGACCTCATCGTCGGCGGCCAGCGACGTCGCGGCCGTGCTCGTGCTGGCATGAGCCCGGAGACGTGTGCTGCTGGTGCCGGCTTCGGATGCGGCCGTGCGAATCCGCACTGTGGACGGAGTGGTGGTGACAGCAGTCCGAATAAGCGGTGGCGCCGGCGCAGACGGCGACGGTGGCGACGAAAAGGACGACACGGCGACGGCGACACCGTCACTGCGAGGCCGGTCGCCGTCCAGCCGGGCTCGCTTGTTCTGGCCGTGTGGTGGTGCGTGGGCCAGCTCGTCCAGTCGGCGCTTTAGCGTCTTCACATAGCTGAGTAGTCAGCGGAAAAGGAACACCCCCCAACGAAGACGGGAAACCCACCTCAGGGTCGAGGCGTGCGACAGCGGACTGTCGTCGGTCAGCAAGTCGAACTGTACGCTCCTCGCCTGACAGGTCACGCCCAGACCGGCACACGTCGAGCAGGACGGCAGTTGGCGGTCGCACTGTGTCGGTCAGCCGGGCCGTGAGAACGTCTTTCCAGGGCTGTCACGTGCACGTGCACTTGCCTTTTGCTTTCGCTTCCAGCACCGCTCGCACGCCTGGTGGCCCATGGCCGGAGCGGCTGTCGGCCGAGGTGTCGTGTCGTCCGACGAAGACGCCGTCCTGCCGGCGTCGTCTGCGCTGGGGGCCATCGAAGCAACACGGAGACCACGGGGTCGACCGGCGTGTCTCTCTCTCACGGGGCAATGGCCTATCGGCAGGCGCCCGACCGTCGCAGAAGGTGGGGAGGAATGAAAAACGGCGAGAGGCGAGAAAAATCGACGGATCGGAGACTGTCCGAGATAGCCTGGTTATTGTGCGTCACATGACGTAGCTTGGATATTGGTCACGTGCTGTGATGTGCTGGTCCCGAAGAGGAAGCACCAGTCGGCATCGGTCCGGCTGTCTGGGCGTTGGGCATTGGGAGTGATCGCTGGGATGCGAACAGCGTCTGTGGCTATCCGCCACGCCACACGCCACAGCTGTGGTAGCACTGGGGGCGGATGGCCGAGGAACTGCGGTGACAGGCGACCAATCGGGCGCGTCCCCCTGTCCGGTGGCTCCGTATAGCTGACCGCTCCGCGTGAGAGATATGGAGAGCAGCAGTCCTGCAGCAACTGCACGCTCCCGCCTCACCATCTTCTGGCGGACAGACGAATATGGACGAGCTGCCCGAAGACGACCACGGCCACGGCCACGACCACGACGCGGACGAGCCGCGCTGGACGGCCCTGCAGCTGGCCGCCGGCGACGGCGATCTGGCCCGCGTCCGCGCTCTGCTGGATGGCGGCCATGAGCAGGTCAACGCCCCGGCCACGGGCTACAACGGCCGCACGGCCCTGCAGGCTGCCTGTCTGGGTGGCCATCGCGACGTCGTGCGCGTCCTGCTGGAGGCGGGAGCCGACGTCGACGCGCCGGGAGGGAACAATAGCATGCGGACGGCCCTTCAGCTGGCATGTGGCGTTGGGGGAGAGGAAGAGGAGGACGAGGACGAGGACGAGAAGGACAAGAAGCACGACGACGTCAACACGGACAACACGGACAACGACCCCATCCATCTTCTCCTGGCGGCCGGTGCCGCCCTCAACGCTCCTGCTGCCCGCTACAATGGCCGCACTGCTCTCCAGGCCGCAGCCGAGACGGGACCGATCGCCACCGTCGCGCTGCTTCTGCGTCTCGGCGCCGACGTCAATGCCGCGCCCGCCACCAATGCCGGCCTGACCGCTCTCCAGGCCGCCTGTCTGGCTGGCCGTCGTGCTGTCGTGTCTCGGCTGCTGGACGCCGGCGCCGACGTCAACGCGCCGGCCTGTCGCTACAAGGGCTACACCGCCCTGCAGGCTGCCTGTGTCGGTGATGGCGACGACGTCTGCGCCATCGTCGACCTCCTCCTCGCGGCTGGCGCCGACCCCAACGCCCCCGGCAGCGGCTATCGTGGTGGCACTGCCCTCCATGCTGCTGCCCACGTCGGCCACGTCGATGTCGTGCGCCGCCTGCTCGCTGCCGGCGCCCGCGTCAACGCTGCTGCCGGACCCGCCCGCCAGTCCCCGCTGCAGACCGCCCTGCTCGGCGAGCATGCTGCCTGCGCGGACGTGCTGCGCGCTGCCGGTGGCATCGCCATCGCATCCCGGGCCACCTTTCTGTTCGAGTTTTGATGGGCCTGGTGACGAAATGAGGTCGTGATGGCCGGTAGACTGAAAGTCTGGAGTTTCTCTGATTTGAAGCACAAAAGATGGGGCACTCCGTTCCTCTGAAAAGTAGGTGGTTTCTACTCACTACATCGTGGCGTAGATAGGATTTGGCTATAATATATACATACGTAAATGCAGTGTTCGACTAGCAACGACATCAACGGAGTGCATACTTTCTAATCGCAGTAGAATACTTTGTGTCACGCTTACGCCAGTTACGGGTTTCATCTATCGAACCCTCTTTTGTAAAAATCTGGAGTATACGGAGTACAAGTTGACCATTATCTATGTACTCCGTAATCACCAGTTCATCCAACTGTCACGTGGTGCACAAAATACAGTGTTAACGCATTGTGTCTAGGCATCCGCGCAAACTCCATTTGCGAATCTTGCTGAAGGCACCCAAACCACGCTGCACTATATTCAGCATAGTTTGCACAAGGCTTCAGACCACAGTCCGAGCCCTACGACGTTTCTCCACTCTTCTCACCTGGGTTACGCCTTCCTCGATGGTTCCCGTTATGTCAACTCCGGTATCTGAACATCTGAATCTGGTTCGTTTTTCTCTGCTATGCGTCTAATCAAACTGCTGATCACCGGTTCAATGGGCTTTTAGTTTCTACAAAAAACAAAGAGGACTGCTCGAATCAAAAACCTCTCAAAAGAGCCCATGGTTGTCTGCCAATCGGACATATTTCCAGATTATTTTATCGTCGACTCCAATGGACGCATCACGATCATTGGCTTGTCTGATGTAAGCATCCTTCCAAGCAGTTTCGCCCAATATTCCATCCAGACCAACCAGTTTGGGGAGGATATGGAAAGATTGAAAAGCTTGGTGTCCGCTCCGACTGCAGACGGGACTGATAATAACACCTTGGCGTTGCACATGGCTACTGTACAGGTCGTTACTGATCTTTAGATCAAACAGCGATCCCTGAATCTAATGAAATTACTGCTTTGCAACTCTTGTCAAAACTCCCGCTCAGTAAAATAAGGGATGAAGTGCACATAGCGAAGGGCTCTATATTAACCTGCCATGCACTATTATTGAGACGACGTGCTCATTTAGACTCTTTAAGACCAACGGCAATAAGGATCTCGTCCACCACGGGATTCAAAAAGTCTTTCTTGTTGGGCACGAAGTGACCGCCGTCGTGTTGGAAAGCAGCCTTCTTATCCTCTGGGTACATGGCTGCAAGGTACTGCGATCTGACGCCAGGCACAGAGTTGTCGTTGGACCCGTATATGAAGACGGACTTGGTGACGTAGGCCGGGTCGTCAACGGGCACGGTAAAGGCGCTCACGAATTTCTCTGTGATCTGAAGCTCGCCTTCGGCGCCATCTGGCTTTGGCTCCGTGAACGAGTAACCGGATACGGCGAGAGAGAGCTTGAAGTAGTCCTGGACGCCGGAGAGTTCCGGGTAGGACTTGATCGTGTTCGCAATGATGGTGGAGACAGCCGCACCTTGAGAGAAACCGACGATGCCGGCGTATGGGCCGTTCTCCTTGATGTGCTTCACAACCGATGCGAGGGCCAGTTGTAAATCGAGCTTCTTGGAGACATTGTCGTGGTAGAACCAGGCCCTGTTGACACCACTATCGGCAATCTCTGCCCACTTCGCATCGTCGACCTCAAATGGCAAGTCCTTTTTCTCTAGTACAACAGGGCCATCAATATATTCCATGTAGATGTTGGACTTCTTCAGGAGCTTTCTCAGCCCAGAGGACTTTTCGGAGAACACCTTGGCATTCTGGAGAAATCCGTGAAGACAAAGGAGTCTGATTTGAGGCGCCGCCATTGTTGCTATTCGTCACAGGTTGCAGGACCGTTGGTTCGAAGAGCGACCAAAAAAAGATCCAGCTTCAACCGTTAAATGCTGATCTATTTTTCGGTCCGGACGCCGGATAAGTTTCGACGCCGTTGACTCATGCCGGCCCCGCTTTATTCGGGCCAAAGGTAGCCCTAGTCCACCAAACGAGCCAGCACAAAGCAAATCACGACGACGTAGATTCATCAGCGCTCAACTTCGGCGTGTTCGTGCAAACACTGCCGCACAGTTTAGAGACTATCAGTCTAGATTGGTCGACACAGTGTTGTTTTATAAGTGTACGAGCAATCAGTTTAAAGGCCCACACGTTTATGTGGTATTTGGGGCTGCTCGCGCGTTACCTAATAGAGACATCCTTAGCTGATTACGCTACTGTTGGCACAGATCTCCTTCTGGGCGAATACTATGGCTTTTTTTACTTCTGTCGAGGGAAGCCTTGGCCCAAACCTACTCCTTGTCTGTAACCCCAAGCTAGATGCCGTAAGACCCGCTGCAGGGAAGAATTAGTGCGGTTTAAGCTCAGCTTAGCTTGCTTGATCTAGCCTCTTTTGTTGCATCTTGTCAAGATGTAGCTACAGGCGGTGGTAAATATTGCGATCATGGTGCCGTCGTTAACCCCAAAGAGGCGTTACACTTGGATGGCTTGATGCATCTGTCTCCCTAACCAGGGACATCCATCTACCCGATTTCTCATACGGGACGGAGTACAACCACAACTTTTTCATAATATTTGAGTCTCCCCCAACAAGTACAAGCATCAACTAGAGAATCGACTTTCCTTTACTTATGCCTGCCTTCCATGTCTTACTTTGGCAGTCCCATTTTAATACACTACTTCGTATATCTCACTTTGCTTTCTTACAATTATAAATGAACTGTCAACGGTCGTAGACAGTCTCAAAAAGTCCTCTCATTTCCAGACGGAGCATCTAGATTAGCCTTGGCTATGTCCGTCACGATACATACGACCATGCTCATCCAACTCGCAATCAAGCCACTTTACCAACTTCACCTGGAAACGGCTTTCTCGCATATACCACTCGACCCCAATAGTACCCGTGATACTTAGTATCACGAATCATTTTTCGCATTTGGGATACGAGCACAGTGACCTCTTCGGGGGACCAGCCAAGGACTCCAGTCATAAACAGGATAAAGCCGCCAGCATCGTTCAGAATCGCTGCCATAACAAGGAGGCCTATCTGATGCTGTTTGGGGTCTTGTGGCCACGCACCTATCGGAAGCTTTTGAAGCGCAACGTAGTTGATTAGTAGTGATTCTAAAGACATTTGGGTAAGATTTACCTTGATAGTCTTCTCGTGCAAATCGACGAATCCAGTAGCTTTCAGAGCCGACATCTGTACCCCATCCTCGTATATTCGAGAGGACCGGCCAGTTTTCTCACTACCCTTCCAAAATAGTAGACCCCATTGGGCCATGGCTGATGTGGGCGGGATGCTGTCGTCGTCTGAATACAGGACGGCGGACGGCTCGTAGCTCTCAATCCACGCACCAGGCCTAAGGACTTGATATGCCTCCTTGAAAAAGGCAGTCCAGTCGACGATAGTTCCACCAAGGTACCGCGCGTGCACATAATCAAAGCTCTCAGGTGTGAAAGTCCAAGGGCCTGTGTAATCTTCTATTTCGCTACAAGCTGTAAGCAGAGTTGTGGACCTGTGTTGTATTTATAAAGGTGGTACCTACAAAGACAAATTGGGTGGCACCCATATAGGCTGTATGGGTGAGACGTCGGTCCCAATCACTTCACAGCCGGGATACGCATCGGCGAAGTCCCTATAGCATTATCAGCGTGTTCTACGCAAATGCGTTGCAATCCGGGCAAACCACGGATACTCACATAGCCCAAAATCCTAGAGACAAGTTGTGTTAGTTGTCTTGTCCTGTCTCTATCACCCAATCACACGTACCGGTCCCCGTGCCAACATCCAAGACTTTCTGGGAAGTATTAGATATGCCGGCTGCCAATATTCAGAGAAAAGAAGTAATCATTGCCACCTTTGGATTTTCAAGCGGCGCCAGTAACAGTTCATCATCGAACGCAAGTAGAAAAGCGTGATGGCTACAATGTTATCAGTCACGACCAGATAAGACGCCGTACCACCCAAAGTCAGGATCATACATAAGATCAAGTGAGTCATTTGCTTTCTGATCATTAGATCCCCAGTACAGCGCGTTTCCACGTTCGCTGTGATAGGTGCGGCCATGGATTTGGCGATATGCAAGGATAGACGATGCTAGGGAGGCGGTGGAGGACGCAGCATCTGCACTCAGGGTAGATTCGGATTCGGCGTCATTGTCGTTGGCATCACTGGCGTCGGCATTCTGTTATGTCAGCTACGTTCGAATTGCTGTTGTTTTCCCTTTTTCGCATAGGAGTAGAGGGGGAAATGAGGGGAAATGAAGCCTTACTGCTCCTATCTCTGCCCAGTGGGAGCCAGGAAGAACATTAACTTGAAGCAGCGCTGCAGGAACTATTCCTAGTTCTTCAATGGACGTCGGCAGAGGAGATGCAGTTGTGGCAAGAGGAGACGACATGCTCGGATACTAGAGGTTACAACCACTGTACGTGAACGTTCTGTAGACAAGAAAAGCGAAGGAGGAGGACTAAGGAACAACAAGCAGCTTACTTCTGTTATTATAGCCTTACGACGTACCGGGGTGAATGTTTTGCGCGTTGCTCTTGGACTGAACCAGGAATCCTCACGGGTACCGAGCACCATTTTTCTTCCGGGTGAACATCCCGGGTGCAACACAACTATCGTTCCAATAGAAAATGCTGGTCATATACGCTATGGTCCAATATTGTGAGTCTTGTGCCGCCCCCTGTCTAGCACGGGATTTATCTTCCGTGTCATGCTATCGTTACGACGTAAGATATAATTGGTAAGTCGCCGCTTTCCACTCGACCGCATGAAAGTCCAGACTAACCCCCCCGGGGCTTTATGTTTAGATATGTTTAGAGCAAAAAAAAAGCAAAAAGACTTCCATGTCCCAATAGACGCAGAAATATCTTTAAACCGGAGTAGACAGAAGAGCGGCATCGCTTAAACACTATCACCTCCGAGTGTACTGTATAATGGTTTTCGGGAAGAAGCGCGACCAGTCGAACTCGGTGTAGGAAGTCTGGGCCTCGTCCATGAGGCTTACGAGATAACCTATGGCGAGCTGCTGCCACCGTGCACGGAGACCTCATTGCATCTGTCGCTGAAGAAGCTACCCTTTCAGACATAACGGCTTTATTCTTTATATTTCGAGAGCATGGCCTTAAGCTTAAATCTTGCCATTTTTCTGCGGCTATATCTCTGTCAAATTTTGGGTGTCCAGTGAGCGTGTGTGTATTGTTGGGTTGGCTACTTCCGAGCTATGCCAATTTGAAAACACGTACTATATAGTCCCCTGCACCACATAGTATCTTACATGTATTTTCCCATTACGAGTACGCGGCACAAACGTACCCACCTGTTTCGTAACATGTGCAGAGTACGGAGTACTCCGTACTTTTTGGCGTACAGAGTTTAGCGCCCAGCCCTACCTTATTAGGGAATTTCAGCACGGCATTGGTTGGAAGTACCCCGTACTCTGTCCAATCACAACAATACACATGCTCACTGGGCACCGATGATCTAACAGTTATGTCCGCCTAAACACGTTACGTAGACCCGCGCGCCTAGCAATTCCTTAACTTACATATATGTAAGATGGCGCAGAGGGTAGCAAACCAAATTTGTCCACTTTTCAAACATAGCACAATTCTCACATCAGTCTTATAATCAACTCCGCCTCATCGCCATGTCTATAAAGTCCCTGGCAAGGATGCTGGAGTCTGGGGAGTACAGTGACTTAACTCTGACATGCCAGGGAAATACGTTTGCAGTCCACAAGGCCATTGTTTGTTCGCAGTCCCCTGTCATTGCTGCAGCACTTCGGGGAGAGTTTAAGGTACGATCCACCCGGACACTACTTGAAAACTACGGAAGGCTGATCTAGGAAATAGGAGGCGAAGACTAATAGTCTGGAAATTAGTTCGTTTGATGCTAATACAGCGAAACGGATGATCACGTTCATGTACACAGGGGAGTACAACGCGATCCAGGCCGAAGAATTACTTTCTTCTTCTGAAGATTGTACGGAAGACACGCCTGGAGCTTTACTTACACATTTGCGCGTGTGTGCAATCGCCGACTATTACAATATCCCGGACTTGAGCGAACTTGGTCGCGCGAAAATATCTTTTGTTCTTCAAAAAACCTGGTCGGTACATGAATTCACCGAAGCCGTAAAAGAAGCAACATCTTCCACAAACGACAGTGCAACACACAAGTTGCTTGCATTCACTGCGGCGGAGCATATCGAAGAGCTCATGGATGTTGAGAGCTTTACCAACTTAGACGTACTGAACGACTTTACTTTGCAACTTCTACGGGACTGCTCTAGGAAGATTAGCTTTCTGAAGCCTTTTCAGAATGCCCACAAGATGCTCGAGATAGGACTTCGCGATGAGATTGCCAGAGCTACCTCCAATACGGAAAAGTTGAGCAACTGTCTTCGGGTTTTGGCTGAAATAGACCGTTGTCGTAACTATAACTGTGCTGCCGCGTTCAATTGTTACATTGAACATAATATGGGGGTCTACCAGATTCGCTGCGCAAAGTGTCGCTGCAAGCATCTGTGAGCTACGTATTCTGAAGTTTTCGGCGAGGGTCCTGTATGAGATAGATGGCAGAGTAGCTACGAAATTAGAAAGCATAATCAGCAAGATGTCCTAGAGTGATTTACACATAGATCTGCACTATTGTCCGCTTACTTTTTATTCTGTCTTCCTATATCGCAGACGTCCCGTTGCACTTAAGGGCTGACGACACTGCCGTCTACAAGCGATGCTTTTAAACCACAAAATCTATGCGGCTGTCAAAGACGGGATGACTAAGCATACACAGACGTAACATCGAGCCCCTGTGCTACGACAACCCAAAATCAAACCCGTTGAAGAGCTCGAGCGTCTCGTTAGGATCACCATACACGTACTCGCCAACGACGTTCCACATGGTGTCGTCGCTCAGAAAGGCCCATTGGAGCAGGTCGTTCCTGACCGGGGCAGCCGGCAAAGAGCCATACGATGACAGGCCCGGTGCTGCAGCATGACCGAAGCCGGAATGTGATGTCGTCATGTCGGAGGGTGCAAATGGCCCGGGACCGGAGAGGCCTGGACGTCCATAGAAGGAGTCGGTCTCGGGTCCCAGGACTAGGTTGCCCATGGTGACGGACGCGGGAGACATGTGTTGGTGCTGTTGATGGGGATGATGCGGATGTTGTTGATGTTGGTGGTTATGCTGGTGCTGCTGCTGTAGGAGAGAGTGTTGCTGTTGCTGCAGGGCAAAGTGCTGCTGGGGCTGGCCGAACTGGGCGTTCATGGAGGCGGCAGCAGCCATGACAGAGGAAGTCGAAGGCGACAAGGCCGCGAGGGTGCCGACGTTGGCGTTGCTGGCGTTGCTGGCGGCGGCTGCGACGTCCCACAAGGCCGGGTCCTGGACGTGTGCCGAGCGGCCGGGCGAGAGACGCCTGCGGGGACGATCAGTTTGATAGCTGTTGCCGGGGCGGCTATGATCGAGAGGGTATTGGCTATCGTCGACGTCGTCGACGTCGTCCTCGTCGTCGGCCTGCAGGGCCTGGTCCAGACGAAGGGAGACGCTCTTGTGCAGGGCCTCAAAGGCGGTGACATAGCCGCGGGCATCGGGCAGCTGGGCGCCCATGTGGGCCAGGGTTTGCTCGCAGAGGACGAGGACGGAGCGGGCTTGACGGATGCGCTCGCGGGAGTGATCGTAGTCATCGGCACGATCCCGGTCTGGGTCCCGGTCGCGGTTTTGTCGCTGTCGCTGAGCGGGCGAGGAAGCGCAGCAGCAGAACATGACGGACAGGCCGGCGGTGAAGACGGTGTGGAAGTAGGAGCGGGTGTAGGTCACCACGTGGCTGTGGAAGAGGCCGCCGTAGAGCCGGATGGTGTTGGTGGCGGCATCGAGGCAGAGGGCCAGCAGGTGACGAGCCGGCAGGCCACCACCGCTACCACCGTCGTCGTGCTTCGGAGCCAAGTCCATGGCCTTGCGGACGGCGTGCAACCGCTCGCGAGCCAGCAGCAGGTCGTACCACTCGGACATCTCGTAGAGGACGCGCGGTGCGGCAAAGACGGGCGCGCCACGACGCCACTCGTCAATCGCCCGCAGGATGTCGTCCAGCAGGGCGTAGATGCGGCCGGTCAGCAGAAAGGCTGGCGGTGCGGTCGGACCGCTGCCCATGGCTGCCGACGAGCCCGAGACGAGCTGGGAGAACTCGGTCTGGATGCGCGATGAGATCTGCCGCAGCCGCACGCACAGCAAAAAGACGCTCATCTCTGTCGGCCCCGAGGCTGTGCGCGTCCGGCAGAACGTGTCGAGGTCGAGACGGTGGCCGTGGTGCTGGGCTGCGCCGGCCTGTCGGATCTCCTCGTCGTCTGCGTCCGCACAGAACGGCACCGTGATGTCCCGGTCCGCCAGCGCAAACGGTCGGCTGATCGTCGTCGAGCTGTACCGGTCCAGCATGTAGTACTCCCAGAACACCCGCCGCTCGATCTGCTCCTGCAGCATGTCTGCCGCCGGCCTCTCCCGCGGCCGGTGCAGGCCCAGCTCGATGCAGAGCCGGCCACACAGCTGGATCGTGTCCCAGATGGACGTTCCTGCACCAGGTCAGCCGGGCTCAACAATGACGATATCCATCCAAACTCCCCTCTACCGACCTATATGGTAGAATATCCCAAACCGACAGATCAGCAGCAGGTCCTGCACCGACTCTAGCTTCGTCGCTAGAAAGTCCGATCCAAAGTGCGGCATTGCCGCCAGATAGTAGCCCAACGGGTGGTGCGGGTGCTCGCCCAAACGGTACGGCACAACGGTCGCGATGGCCAGGATCATAAACGTGCGGAAGATGTCCTGCGACGTCGCCTGGCCCACAGCATCGCCGCTCTCGCTGGCCGAGAAGACCCGCACGTACAGCTGCTCGACCTCGTGCCGGAGCAGGAATGGGTTCTGCACGTGGGATCCCATGAGGCTGTGCAGAAGCCTTTGTTCAGCACTTGTTGGCAGTCTCTGTCTTCCCCAACACCGGTCGTGATACTCACTACTTCTCAAACAGATAGTGCACATCCTTGGCCGACGGCATCGCGCTGGCCTCGACGTGTGCCTCGGCTGCCTCGGCTGCCTTGGCTGTCCGTCCGAGTGTCTGCATCAGATGGGCCTGGCTTTTCCGCCATTCTGTGAGTCCGGACCCGGACCCGGACCCAGACGCCGTGTCGGTCTTGCCGGCTGGCGCTGTTGTGCTGATCGCATGGACTGCTGTGCTGGCTGGCGGTGGGTCGTGCCAGATTGGCGACCTCTCCCGACTGCCCTCCTCTTCCGCAACTGCTGTCTGTCTGGCGCCTGTGGTGAGAGCCTGCTCCTTCTGCTCCAGCTCATGCAGCTCTTCCCGCGATACGGTCTCGTGCTCGCTCCCTGGAAATATCAGAATGCAGGCTGTACCGTTGCGCGTGCACGGCGCACACTTGGGCCGCTTGTTGTCGCACTTGACCTTTCTCTGGTGACATGACCGACATGCAGGCAGCCGTGGTACGCGACGAACTGGTCCGCCAGTCTGGCTCACCTGCCCCTCCCCAAGCGCCGACATCGCCCCGGTATCCGTCCGGTTGGCTTTCTTGACACGGCGCGCGTTCCTCGAGGCCGTCGGCGGCCACTCGTCTGTCCATCAATCTCGTGGCTGTGGCTGTATCAAAATCGTCAGCGAGCTCCGTTAGCGGGAATTTGGCCTCAGCGGTCGGACCGGCGCCGACCAGTGTCATGTGATGAAGCACGTGATCGGAGCCTGTACAGCCATGCCACCAGGCGGATTTACTGTAAGGGTCGACTTCACAGAGTACTGAGTGCTTATACTGGCTGTAATCATGTAAGATATGACCTACAACCCATCCAGACCATCTCACATATGAATGGTTCTCGACCGTTCGAAGTGGGCTGATTGTGCCCGCTCTTTTCAGCTCCCCCTCCCCCCCTGTTCCATCTTCAGCTGTGAAAAGTTTTTAAGCATCCGTTTCTGATGACTCAGCAATGAATCGCTGTTGGGAACCTGGTTGGACGGAGCTGACTCTGGGGAATACCCGGCGCTACTTTTAGCCGACTGCCTGGCGGCCATTTTCCTACTTTATCCTGTTTTTTGCCTCGTGCCACTATACAGCTGAGGAGCGACAGAACGGCTGGCAGGACGAGCGCCGCTTCGACAATGCATCAGCATCAGCCATGCTGTCCGCCGTGATACGCATCGCACGCAGCCCCTGGGTCCTTGCTGCTGCCTATCTGCCCAGACTATGGACCCAAGTGCTACGCCTGGCGCGTTTTGTCCGGGTTAGGCCGCCGTCTGAGGCCCTTGGGACCAGCACTACAACGATCGACGGGCGACAGGCCGGACCTGTCGCCTCTACCCACCAGGCCTTCCCGGCCACCGAGGACCAGCTGAACGAGATCCGGAAACGGTTCATCGAGTCCATCGATCCCGATGCCGTCTGCGCCCTGGCTTCTCGATTGAACCACGGAAAGCCGTGCCAGATTGTGAGAAAGGCTCGTGGCAGCTTCAACATCTGCTTCTTTGTCGAGTTTGGCCATGATGGGCCCAAATGGATCATTCGAATTCCCATCGAGTCCTCGCTGGAGGATCCGTGGACCAAGCTGCTCAGCGAAGTGGCCACGATGCGGTACGTAGCTGGTGGCGATATTGGGCCTCTTTTCGACCCCATGCTCACGTGTTGGGCAGACATCTCCAGCGCAATACGCGCATACCCATCCCGCACATTCACGCCTACGGCCGTGGGGCCAAGCTGACCAGGGACGGCCAGCGGAGACAGATGTTTGTCATCCTGCACCTGGTCCTGGGCCAGCCGCTCGACAAAGAGCTCCTCACCTCGGCCACAGAGGATGACCGGAGGCGATTCTACTCGCAGCTGATCGACGTCCTGGCCGACTTGAGGAAGCTCGAGTTCCCCATGATCGGCTCTCTTATGCCCAACCCCGTCAGTGGCCAGGAGCCCGTCCTGGGCCCTGTCGTCTCCATGTCGGCCGCCATCATCCATCGACCCCTGCCGCCCAAAGCCTTTGCTACGGCAAAAGAATACATGGACTTCCAGTGCAACGTTGTGTCCGACTTTCTGCTGCCGCCGATCAGCGACTGCAGCGTCCTCGATGCCCGACACGAGGTCTTTACGCGGCACGGAATTGAGCCCATATTTCAACGAGTCATTGATCCCCGCCTCAACGACGGGCCGTTTGTCCTCAACCATCTGGACCTGCGCGGCCCCAACATCATCGTGGATGAGAACTTGCGGATCCAGGGCATCATCGACTGGGAGTTCACCAGCACGGTCCCGCTCCAGCTGTTCGCGCCGCCGTCGTGGATTACCGGCTACGATCCGAACAAGACGAACAAGCAGATGCATGCCGAGTTTCGCAATGTCCTGGCCAGCAAGAAGGGCAGCGTGTACAGCCAGCTGCGGAGGGAATGGTACAGCACCCTGGACACCGACAACGTCCGGAAAGACGTGGCCTTCTGGGTGTCCCACGCGATACGGCGGCCAGCCAAGGTCACCGACATTTTCTGCGACGTTCTCGCACCGAGGCTGTCGGGAAGGCCTCTCGACGACGTCGTGTCCGAGTTTTTCGACGAGAACCCAGAGGCTGAGCAAGAAGTGCAGCAGCGGCTGCAGCAGTGCGAGCGGTACCGCGAGTACCTGAAGGAGAACGGACTTTACGAGACGACCAGAGACAGGGCCCTGGCCGAGTCAAAGGCCGTGAAGAAGACATGGGGGTGGTCGTCATTTGCAAGCAGGTCGGGCAGCAAGCAATGGTAGGGATGTATAAGACTAGACTGACGAAATACAGCACTGGATGAACTTATGTAGCGACAACGAATAACGGCTAGATTAGCGGCGTAACATGAACGGAACTTTGCATTTATCTATTTAACTAAGCGTCTGCTGAATACTATATGCGTCGTATATGCATTTACAGCTTTCTACCTACTATTATAGTCTGAAGTGACGACTACAACTGCTAGAGCTGTTGATAAAGCTGTTGGCATTTCTTTGTAAGATTACAAAGCTTCACAATGCATTTGCTAAAAGTAATAACTTAGGCAGCTTCGCTTTGCAAGGTTTAAACGATATACGTAGCTATACGCTATAGATCCTCGCCTTAAACCAGAGAACACCTACCACGTAGTCTAACTCCACGGTTGCGCCGGCACCCATGGGAGCTGCACCTTTTTTGCAGCGGGTATGGAAACCTCCGTTACGGTGACGGACATACTCTTCGGGACCCCTGGCTGCTCTGCAATGACGATGGCAGTGGCCGATCCGTGCGCCGGGTCCAGCTTTGGGCGGAGCACCAGCTGGGATTTAGCGGCGGGGGTTGATTTCTTGGGCCTAGGAATCATAGATGGCTGCTTCGTCTGATCCTTCGGCCGCTTCTTGCTCGTCACTCCCAACGGACCAAGAGACGGCACAATCCCGGCGGCGACAAGGCCCTCACTAAAGGCGTCGTCGAATTCGTCGGCGGCCAGAAAGTCAGCCGATCCGGAGGCACCAGACATGGAAGCAATGTTGATGCACGCCCATTGAAGGTCCAGCATTGCCTTCATGTTGTATGCGTCCACTAGCAAGGGCAGAGAGACAGAAAAGGTCGCACCCGACCGTAGGGGCCGGCCGGTGCGCACATCGACGGCTGCTACGATCCCATCTTTGCTGCCAGGGTCAACGGGAATGGCTGCGCCCGGGATGTTGGCGTCCTCCGTTCCGGGCCGCAGCGCAGTGCCATATCGTGGTCGCTCACGCCAGTCCGCCACCCAATGCTCGCCCCCTCTAGCGTCCATGCAGACCGGTTGCCGCCAGGCGTCTTCTCGTATCCATGTCTTTGGCTGGCCGCGAGGCGGGGCTTTCTGCTGAGGCATCCAGACAAACTGGATGCTAACGGTGGCACTTCCGTTCGGAGTTGGCGTCACGCCGAGGCATTTCAGGCCAAGCCGCGCCTCTCCCTACCAGCGTTGCAGCTGTGGATTTAGGCAAAGTATATTCCATGATTTGTCAGTTGCAACTGGCCGGCCGCCGGTCACGAGGGAGGTGTGGTCTCCTATAATGCTGCGAGCTATACTCCGGAGGAATGTGAGTTTGGTGGCCCTGATTTGCGAGGAGGTGGCTGCGAAAGGGAATCTATGACAGGCATCTGGGCCTGTCGTGCCGAGGATATTGCACTTTCTCTCATCACGTCTTATACAACTGGCGTTTCAATTTAGCGCTTAGGTATAGACCCAAAGAGAGTCGGGAGACGGCTTCTAGGCATCGCAGGCGGTGCTCCCGTCAGGATTATTAGCATAACTAACACATCCTGTTAGTGAACCACTTGTCGACCTCGCTTATACAGGCAAAAGTCGTAGAAAATTTTAATAGGAACTTACAGACGCGGACCAATGTTTCTGTCTGTAGCAAAAGCCAGTCAGGACATTTTCACCGGCCGGCACTGCCTCAGCCTCGCAGTATGTGTAATGGCAGTACACAGATGGCATCAAGACTGAAAGCCTGATGACTAACCGAAGATCATTGAGAAGGAATCTGGATTGGGCTAATTCAGAGGAGGCTGAGTTGACCCGATAGACTTGCTGTATTTAACCTGAAAGAGCCGGGACATTTGCTGCGAGCTTAGGTGATGTCTCTTATTTTGATGTAAAAGTCTTTGATTTGGCATAGGTTCGAACCCTGTGGCTTCGTGCGATGGGGATGCGTAGTACTTGATTGTTGCGAAGGGGGAATCGCAACCAGTGTTATAACATCGAACTTCTATACCACCTACACCATGTGCAACAAAAGTAGTGATCCCATGCCTTAAATCGTAGAAGGCAGAGTTATATAACTCAATAAAAAGGATATTTATCCCCCACCAAGAGATTTATTATCAGGGGGTGAACACGTATGCTTATAAAGCTTAACATGTCTTCTGAACATTGGCCTGATTTATCGTACATTTTCTGGATGGCGCAACGTTTATAGAAGAAGCACGTCGATTTGGTGTAATTAATGTCTTTCTCTATAGCAGTCGAGTATCTTGTCTCGCCTACTTACTAAACCCCTACGCAAACAGCATATCCTAGCCAAAGGGCCGAACAGTCGGTGCCAACATTAGGGTTCCAGCCGTAAAACTCGTCGAGAGAGATTTTGTACGTTGTAGATATGGCATAGCAGGTGTCACCAGAAACGACGACGTGATATACGGTGCAGCTGGACGTCGTGCCAGGCTCTGTCTGAGCGGGGGGGACCACGGCCGTAGTAGACGATGGAGTGCTCACAGACGTGCTTGTTATTGTTGCCATCGGTGTGGTAGAGAACTGTCCCGAAGTGGCGGTGGACGTGGACGACGAAGAAGTGCCTGTGCTTACGCCGGTTGTATTGCGCTCGACACAGAACTGCTCGTAGCCTCCCACGAGGCCGTTCCAGAGGTTGCTGTCGCATGCCACATTGCTAGTGAGTTGTGGATTAAGCGCAACGACGTCGTTCACCGTGATGTTGAACAGTGTTGGAAACATGCTGCAGTTGAAGTATCCTTGTTTCTGTTGTTAATTCCAGATACTCTTCGTTTTTGGCCCTCATCTCCTGTCTGCCGTCTCACCTTTGTCTTCTTCCCGTACCTGAATGTAGCAGTCACATTCGTCCGGTTGTACCGATCTAGAATCAATCAAGGAGATGTTCGGTGCAAAGCAATAGTCGTATGGGTACGTAATATTGGCTGTCGTAATATTGGCTGTTTTTGGCGTCAGCATTCTGTTTCTCGTCTTTCTTTGCTTTTTTGTTTCTCTGGCCTCTTTTCCTACCTGGGAATTCATCTTTCTGCACACAGTAACTGTACCCTTGCTCCATGAAACAGTTGCTAGCATTCAGGCTGGGATTCCAGGCGAGGAGATCCGACAGCAACACTTCGGCTCCCCACGTCCACGCCAAGCACGAGTTGATGTCAATGTCATCGTCATCTTGTACAAAGAGACCTGGGACAAAAGTATTCCAGTAGTAATAGCATCCTTCAATGGTCCCTGGCGCTGTTGGGTTGAGTGTCGGGCCGACGTAGGGGGGGGGGTAGTTGAAGTCGATGTAACTGGACGGGTGAAACTGGTTGCGGCTGCTGTCACTGTGTAGCCAGTATATGTCTGTATGTTTCCGACTGCCGCTACGCAGTACGAAGTTTTTGCCCAGAGGTTGTCGCACGACGAGTCAACCTGTGGGTTCAGGAAGTAAAAGTCGCTGAGTGAGATGCCAAACTTGACTGAAATGAGGGAGCAATAATCGCCCGGCAGAACCTGGCCAGTCAGCACTCAAGAATCAGAGAAAACAATACGTAGAGACTTACATAGTACCACTGGCCGCAGTCTGTGTTGGACTGTGGCTGGGCGTTGGTCGGGACCGGGGCTGCCGTCGTTGATGCGCTGCCCAATGGTACAGTCAATGTTCCAGACGGAGAGCTACTAGGTCAGCACACGCAGACATAGAGATGAAGAATGGAGGGAGATCAATATCAATCAGAACAAAACAATGTACCTCACACACAGATACCATCCTCGAAAGTAGGCCAGATTGGAACAGCCGGAGTTGATATTGGGGTTCCATGCCAGCAATTGGGCCATTGTGATGCCGAGATCTGCCACCACAGAATCGCAATTGTCGTAACCCTGAAGTTGGTATGTTGTACACATGCTGGACAGACAGAGCTCCGTTCCGACATCCGGCAATGGATCGCAAGCCAACGTCAAAGCGTTTGTCGTGATGAGGCCGTACGTGGAGACGTTTTGTTCGCCCGAGATACTGACGCAAGTGTCGTCCTCCTGCACCGTGTACGCGGTGGCATTACACGTTGGCCGAGTCGTGGCGACAGCGGTGGCATTTAGAGCCCATGTCGTCATTGTCGGCACGGAATACGTGTACGTGGTCGCCGCACAGCTGGAGGTCAGACTGGAAAACGCTTCAGCGCTTTCTTCGTCGTAGCCGATGGGGGATGCCAGCTGGTACTGCAGCAAGGCCAGCTCGCAGTACGAGCAGTTCTGCTCTGACGTGTAGGCGGACACATTGTTGTTTGTCTCGTTCAGCCACGAGCTGACCAGGACGTCGCAGTACTCGCCCGTCTTCGAGTCCACTAGGCACGATATGTCTATGGCATAGAGGTAGCGTTCCGCTATGAAGGTAGCTGGGAATGGTCAGGCTACAGGATTTCTGCTGTTGGATCTCGAACATCATCTCACCTGGATACGCAGTGACAGTGTCTGGCACCATGACGTCCGTCGGCGCCGTGCAGGCTGCCTGAATTGTGGGTATGAGTCCTGCCATATCCGAGCGGCATGTGCTGCTGCAGAGCGTATTCAGCTCTGCTTCAGGCACAAGGGGTATGCTTGGGTCTCTATTCATGCTACATCAGTTCCATGAATGAAATCGCGCGCCCCGAGGCTGGAAACCTACAAGCCGGTGATGACACCGAGCCATGCGGGACATGATGATACCGTCGTGTTGACTGCCACAAGACAGTCGCTGCTGAGCCCCAGTGACTCAAATGGTATCTGATAGCCGTCGAGCTGTTGAGCCCACACCGCCGTAACGGCGAGAATCGACGAAAATGCGACTGCCAGCATCGTGGTCTTTTCTTATGGGAAATTGGGGGGGGAGGGCGAGAGAGGGGAAATCGCTTCCAACGCGTGACTGCTCGCCGCCATCCCTTTCTTTCTCAAAGGCGGGTGACCGCACCTTGATATGCTCCTTTCATTCTCAGTGCGAACCGAGTTTTCAGTCCGGTACTTCCGAGACAAATTGCAATATCGCAAATATAAACAATTACCTGGCGACGTTACATCCAGGCTGATGAATGGCAAATTAAGGATGTTGTGTACGGCAGTGTTGGTGAAGCAGTAACGCGTTCGCGTTGAATTGTTAAAGTACTTGATATACATAGAACATTTGGGTCTGCCGTAGTAAGATACATTTAGGTGGGCATTACGGGAGTATGCCTATATTCCATTGGGCGGAAAATAACAATAAGCGCACTGGAGAAGCCTGCTATACGATATCTGCTAGCTGAGCTTAACCTTTATTCACGTTACTCTAAAAAAAAGCATACTATAGCTGCCTTAGTACTCTGTACCGCGTTAGCTATTTGCTTAATAGTGTTGTAACTTTCTAACACGTACTAGAGTAGATCATGAAACAGGATTCGGTGTAGTAATATGTAAGTAGACGAGCCTTTGTCCAAGGCGGGAAAACAGCTCCGTATTTTCTTATTATGAGGATAAGCGCGGTCCTCATCGATCTTCCAACGTACTCAGGTTCGTACGAGTATAAGACAAATGAACCCTTTTTGTTCCTTTTCTAAATGAGCATTTTAAGGCACATATTCCCAATCAGGCGTAGCGTGACACCGTTCAAGTCTAGCTTAGAGCAAGGCCTTCACCGCCTTCTGCCTTTAATGCTGTGGAAAGGTGCATGTATTTCCCTGCACTAGAAGCTAGTGCAGGCTGTACTGCGGGAGTGAAAACTCTGCACACTGACCCACAGGGTCACGTGCAACAAATGCACATTTTTTTTCTTAAGTAGCAAAGTACTCCGTACTCCGTAACTACTTCGTATATAGAAAAGCACACCAAATCGCCTCCTTCTTTGACGGGCGAACATCGTTGTATCTTTAAAGCCGAAGAGGGAGCCTAGGACAAACAGTCTACGGTGTTCCGTGCACCAACGCGCAACCTTTTTTTACGAGTCAAGTCTGGCAGAAAGATATATACGCTGTACTTAAAAATAGAAAGGCGCGTATATAAGATGACGCCAATCACTCCGTCGAAAGGACCAAAACGCTTGTTCTTCACTTTCCTTTGCTTAAAAGATGCTTTTTAACCGTTGCATACTTGTGAAACCACATCATCTATCTTCAAAAGGGAAAGCGTACTAGACGTTTTAGGTACCGATCTTGGCAGGAGTTAAGACACGCGTATGATTGCAAAATATTTTGTATATAAACTCTTGTACGGAGTACGACGTCTCTGTCTAGTTTAACTCTTTACTCTCTTGCCTTTGCACCAAGACTAGCCGCTACGATGCCAGGATTGTTCTTTTCTCGTCTCAGCCTCCTATTTTTAGGTCTCACTGCCGGCAGCGAACTTGTTCATGCCGGTAGGCCCGTGGATAGCCATCATCACCGAGCTCATTCTGCTTTCCACCACCCTTCTTTGTCGAACTGGCAAGTACAAGGAAATAATAACGCAACTTCTCTCTCCCGTCGAGACTATACGTGTGGACCTGGAAGTAGGTTTTCAAAAAACTGCTCGTTCTTGAGTGTTCCCACATGTACGAATGCGCTAACGTATAGACCCGTGCACAAACGGGGCTTGCTGTGGCGGTAAGGTCTACAAGGCAGCATGATATTTCAATCTAACGGTTCACTGATTCACTGTATGTCGCTTACTAAATAGGAAGCGGTTTCTGTGGTTATGGCGATGCCTACTGCGGTGCTAGTTGTGTAAGCAACTGCGGTGCTGTGGCCGAGTGTGGACAGTATGCCGACCCTGGGAACAAGCTTTGTCCTCTGAATGTTTGGTACTTGATCTGTTATCATAGGATTTGGGAGTTTCATGCAAATACTAAACAAGCGACTTTTCTCTTTGTTGTATTAGCTGCTCTGAATTTGGGTTCTGCGGCACAACAGAAGGTAAGCTGCCGTTCCCCAAATTTGAAGAGTGCATCCTAACCGCAGGTTTTGTCATTAGATTTTTGCAATGATAAGTGCCAGTCGAACTGTAAACTAGATGTTTCTCCTCCATCTGGATCCCCGTCTGGAGAGGCCTTATCAAAAGGTAGTCCGGCTATCTGCCTCCGTCCTGTAGCACCGAGTTGATTTATCTTCCTCTAGTTATTGGTTACTACGAGGCCTGGAACGATGTCTCCAAATGCAAGCAAACAAAAGCCTCTGACTTGCCTGGTATGTAACTCGCTTCCCTTCTTTCGTGAACTGTCTTCATTCGCTAACGACTCTAGTTGACGCTCTTACGCACATAAACTATGCATTTGCCTACATCGACCCTACTAGCTTCCTCATTACCACCATGGACAGCACCGTCCCAGCCTCTGTGTTCGATGACCTCGCCAACCTTAAGGCGGCCAAGCCCGATCTCAAGATCTTCGTCAGTATCGGTGGTTGGACCTTTTCCGACAACGGTACGACAACTCAGCCTGTCTTTGGCAACATTGCTAAGAGCGCTGCAAACCGCCAGACCTTCGCCGACAATGCATTAAGGTTCCTAAATAAGTATGGTTTTGACGGTGTGGACATAGATTGGTAAGGACCCTATATCGTTCCGTGTTTCGTTGTCTTCGCTTTTCGTTTTCCCTTTCTATGTTCTGACCAGTCTTAGGGAGTATCCTGGCGCCCCTGATCGCGGTGGATCCAAAGAAGACACAGAAAACTATGTATCGATGCTAAAGACACTCCGGGAGACCTTTGACAACTCCGGTGCTAATCTCGACATTAAATTCACTGCGCCATCATCCTATTGGTATCTACAGTGGTTTGACGTACCCGGCCTTCTCAAGTATGCAGACTGGGTGAACCTTGTACGTCTTTACCAGTGCACTATTATTTCTTTTCCCTCACCCAAACTTCAAAAGCGCAAAAGCCCAAGCTGATAACATGAAATCGTTATGCTAGATGACATACGACCTTCATGGCGTGTGGGACAGTACAAATCCGATGTAAGAAATTGAATGGCCTCTGTTTGAGTGATGGCAACTGACAGGTTCTTTTTCTTTTGACAAGTGGCTCTATTGTTCAAGCCCACACGAATTTGACTGAAATCAAACTGGCCGTCGAGTTACTATGGCGTGTGAACGTCAGGCCATCTCAAGTTGTCATGGGCTTCGGCTTCTATGGCCGTGCCTTTACGCTGGCTGATTCTAGCTGCACCACTATAGGATGTCCGTTTAGTTCTAGTGCAAAGCCTGGACCTTGCACGGCCACTAGCGGCTGTAAGTCTGAAAGAAGCGATATGAGTCTTTGTGCAGTGGGTGTAATTGTAAATGTGCTCACAATACAGATTTGGCGTACTACGAGATCGAAGAAGTTCTGAAAAGCAACAGTGGCGTGGATGTGATCTGGGACAAGGATGCCGCCGCCAAGTACTTTACTTGGGATACAAACCAGTGGATCTCATACGAAGACTCGGACACGTTCAAGCAGAAGGTCGATTGGGCAAACGATGTGGGCATTGGCGGAGCTCTGATCTGGGCCTCCGATCTGGGTGTGTTGTCTGTCCCCAAAAGCCCCGCTTGGAAGACGTCCGACTGACTCCTTCAGACAATTACGAGTGGACGGCACACAAGGCACTGACAGGCAGGACAAATCTCGGGTCTGAGCTGAGCATCAAGGTTTCTGCGCTGAGCACGTCCGTGCCTGCTGATCTCGACTCCTTCTTTGCGCAAGACTGCTTTGTATTTCCCTTTAAGGTGGATCTGGACAACCCCCAGGCATCTAGTTGCGGGTCTGGATACACTAGAGTGGGATATGACAAGGCTGGATGCAAGGGAAAAGATGTGAGTAATTCGCTGCTCCTGTCGGCGATTCTGGATGGGTTGAAAAGAACACTGAGCAACGTCATTTGTAGGGCATCTGCGGAAAGCCAATCTGCTGCAAGACTTCGTCGGCACCCAAGGTATGCAAATGGCGCGGCTTTGGAGGCGACTGGAACGGCCAGTGCCATGCGGGTGAGGTCGAACTCGCGTCGTCCAGCTGGGGCGGCATACCGGGCGAGTCTGGAACCGGGAAGTGCCGCCGTGGTAAGAAGGCGTTTTGCTGCGAGGTTGGCATCTTCAATGCACTGAACTTGGGATGCTACTGGACATCAGGATGGTGAGTGCTTATCAATGAGCCGGATGATTGTCTTCGCTGGTCCGCAATTTCCCCAGCGCTGACACAAGATGCAGCGACAAATCGTGTAAAGCCGACGAACAGAAGATTGCCCACATGTATGACAGCTCCAGATGGTCAACCGTGTTCTGTCATGGGAGCTCGTACTGCTGCCCGGGAATGCACCGGCACCATATACAGACTGCCACTGGGTCGGCAAAAACGACTGCGCCCATAACACATGCGCCAGAACAGAGGTCACGCTGCGCACAAGTGACCGAGGAGACAGCTTCGGTAGCTGCAACTGTACGCCATCCTCTCACCCATCTCGTTTTCTGGCGGCTAAAGCTGGTGTTGATTGATCTAGGGAATCGAAAGAAGGCACTCTGCTGCACGCCAAACCTCGAAACTTTGACAACTATGACGTGCGATGCGGACCTTTGTGCGGATGATTCTTGCGAAACTGACGAGCACGATTATGATGATTATCCAACGAGCGTCTTCGAACGAGCATATGATAACGGCGGTATGTCATCGCTCCGTGTCCGCTCGTACGAGGCAGCCGACGGAAACACTTGGTTCAACTACGATGAGAGCATCGATTTTAATCTGTTGGAAAAGCGTGGGCCCAAAGCTAGACCAGGACAGTCACGGAGTGGTTCATTCATCTTGAACGATATCTTGAAAACAGGTTTTTATGGCGCGCAACTGGCTTGGGAGAGTAGGCCTTATCCCTCAGGCCTCAAAGTGCTCAAAGGCGACGGATCCTCTACACTTTCACTGCCAGGTGGTTATGGGTATGTTTTTCCTAGAACTTCTCCTCTTCCTAATTGTATATTGTACTGCTTTTTGTCTTACGAAACAACCCAAAACAGACTACTGAAGGACACCTGCAGCGCCACTGCAGTATTATTTCAAGAAGCCAAGGACCTCCCCAAAACTGGTTTCCATGCAGAACATTTACGAGAGGTATAACAACAGACTGCTAGTCCGGCTACAGATCTAAACTAACTGGAGCGCAGGTTCAAATGATTCCGAGGTTCCTTCTTTCAACGCTTTTAGGCCAACTTCCAACTGGCGCTCCAATGAAGACTAAGGTTAATATCCAGGCGCTAGTTCAAGGCTGGAACAAGGAATTTGACGTGTCCCTGCCGCGCATCGGCAGCATTGTCACGGACGTCAAAAGCTGGACCAAGCCTTTGACGCCAAACGACCGCGTTTTCGAGGTGGTGAGTTTCGACGGCACTCGTGGAAATACCAGTGTAATATAACACAGGAAACTAATGCAAGGTTTGCAGATTGGATCCTATGCCTACCGCACGGGCATGTCTGTACTACAGGGAAGCGTAAACCAAGTCAAGGGCAATCTCATGGGCCTGGAAAATCCAGTCGACCTCAAGCGGCTCAGTGCAAACCTAGCTAAAATCGCGTCAGGCGCTCCGGAGGCCGAAAAATTGGCTGAACGCATCATGACGGCGCTGCAGTCCACGCCGGCTGTATTCAATTACATAAACGACGCCGGCCTCCAACCCGCATGGCAGGCGTCGACAGACCTGTTGCACAAGCAGCTGGTGTACACGAGTGAATACATTCCCGGGCTGGAAAACCTCTACGACGCGTGGCTTGAGTTTGAGCCGGACTACTACAATGCAGTTGTGAACCATTCTCGCACGTTTCTCATGCTTGCGATGCGCGAAATTAAAAATTATTACGCGAATGGCGGCGATCTCAGCAACCCTTTGATCAACAGAATGTTGTTCCAGATAGCGGGGCTTACTAAGGCAGCGGCCCAGATTGAGCTTCCTAATTTTGTCAAGAGCAACATAAAATGAGCAGGAAAGTGCGAAGAGGGAAGTGGCTTGGTTAGAGTACTGTGCTAACTAATCGGTATGTATATGCTTCGGCATTTACCGACCCTTATGAAATCATCCTACATATGTTGCCGAACAGACTAGGCCAGAGTGAATGTAAAATGAGGTCTTGTGGCGCAGGATGTAAAGAGACAAGTACGGTAATGAACTGATTGCTTACTTAGCAGAACTGCTGGTTGGATTGCTTATGCATATATCTAGAGAGGAGGGTGAAACTCTGCATAGGGTAAGTCCCTGAATAGCCAATCAGGGGCCGCCACTATGTCACGTAACTATATGCTTACTTAACATACGGAGTATACTGTGGATTTCCCCGAGGTCACCTGACTTGACCTCGGCCGCCGAAATTACTAGATAAGACGAAGCCCTGATCTGCGCGCATACTGCGCACAGTCTGGTCTTCAATCAATGAGTCCACCGAACGAAATATCATCACTAGATCTTCTGAAGGCCTTAGAGCTTACTACGATACGTGCAACTGGTCCGGACGAATATCCCACAAGGATTACCGTACGGGTCTTACACTGGTGATCACGCAGAACCTGCGTGACAGACTAGTGGTGCACGGAGTAGAAGCCACAATACTAAGCCCCACCTAATTAGTAGGGGATTTCATGCGCGTCGGCATATCTCGGGAGTATACTCCGTAGAGTACGGAGTACGGAGTAGCAACATATAACAAGATACCATGCTTACCGGGCGCCTATACTTTGATAATAGTGCGCATAGCAAAGATCCATGGCGTGGTGAGCACTTCTTATGTGAAAGAGGGAAGTGTTCTAGTTGAGTATTAGGTGAAGCAGTCTGTATGCGTGTATAGCCTATACTAGGTAAATGTATCTTGCACAACAACGGAATACAGAGTGGTAGACTTTCAAAACAACTCAAACATGTGATTTCTGTACTTTTGTACGATAGTACTTTGTACTCTGTACTCGGGGCAGATTTACAAAAACAAGGAAAAGCAAAAAATAACAAAGAAGAAATACCTGTTGTATAGTGTTTGTAATACCAATTGGTCACGTGGGCCGTGGTATAAATTGGTAACATCTAGAATGCGTAGTGGATGGCTCTGTTTATTTTCTTGCATCCTGCCATTCACTATGCTGAGCAACCGTCTCGTGTTTTGGCACGTGGCCAGAAGAACATGGTTTCCCCCGAGGGCAGTGTTGCAGCCTCCTTCTCTCATCCGTCAGACACGATGTCTCCGCGCCGCCTCGGACAAAGCTGGGCCGAAGAAACCAGAAACATCCACACCCACGCGCCCCTACATAATTGAAATTGCGCCCAATCTGCCATTTCCTAACCACGAACACATCCCGGTCTTGCCATATAAGGATTTTGCCAAATCTGGACTCGAGAGAGATTATTCCACAATCATAGCTCGGCTTACTGCTTCGTGGGGCAAACTTAAGATGGGCTCGCCCTGGGGCTATGTTGTTATCCGCGCCGTCTACGGGCCCGGTACCGACGAACCGTGGCAGCGCATGCTGGAGAAAGTCAAAGAAGACGTGCGCGAAACTTTCGAATACTGCCCCAACGCGGGCATCTTACCTGAACGCCATGTCTTCACGACCATCGAGGATGCGGCGCGACTCGACGGGGCGTCCTCGCACGAGGTCCGCGACGTTTTCATGGAATGGGTTGTCGCCGAGAAGAAGATCTGGGCGAAGCCGCCGGATGTTGACGACGCACATTGCGGCACGCGGTACAACTTTTGCCTGTTTTTTGACGCCGCCTGTCTCAAAAAGATGGAGCATAGTACTTCTCTCCAGGTGAAGCTCCTCTCGAAGAATGCAATGTACCTCGAACCCGATGAGCGCAACTACGAGATCTATCCGGGCTGGGAGGACGGCGAGACAGAGCACGACGAAGAAGACGTTGGGTGGATGTACCTGGTGTTTGAGGGTTACGTCGACTCGTACGCCTCATTGGACGACCCGTCATGGTGGCATGACATGCAAGTAAGGGCCCCTACAGATTCTCAATCGCATAGTGACGTGACATGGAAGAAAGAACTTTGTGCAGTGGACGACTCGTGAGCCGAGAAGATTGTGACCTGCGAGTGAGGTACGGCAGATGGATGCTACAAGTCTGCATAGGCGACACTTGACCAGGTCAAACTTGAGTGTTACCAGCCTTTGAGATAGTAATTGCTCTCTGTGTTTCGTTTATTTGAGTAGGTTTCTGTCCCTTTTATGGGATGCCCAAACCGGATCAAATGCAACACCAATTGGGTATTCGCCCACTATCCTAGAAAAGCCGTTTACTCATCGTCGCCGTCGGGGTCGGGGAAGAAGGTACGGACGCGGCCAGCCTCGACGGTGAGGGCGACGCGAGCACCAAACTCGAACGGGTTGCTCTCGTAGAGCAGCAGGTCGGCCGAGGGAGGGAGGCCGAGGGCGATCTCGACGTTGCGCGACAACAGGTCGACGGCGACGGAGAGGTTGTGGTAGGGGCTAGCGAGCCAGCCGGCCTCCCAGAGGCTGTTGCGCACGTGGTTGTTCGCGTCATCCCAGCTGGCGATGCCGACGATGACGCCTGCATCGAGCAGCACCTGCGGGCCCCAGCGGTCGACCAGCGGCGGCCCCGGCAGGCAGTGCCGGGCGTCCCAGCCGAGCGGCTCGCAGCCCCAGAAAGGTGCCACTAGCACCGGCACGCGTGCTGCCGCCAGCTCGGCTGCCAGCAGGTGCGCCTCAGCGCCGCCGGCGATGACGATGCGGGCAGCCGGCACGGCGCGCTGCAGAGCCACCGCGTGGCCGATCACATCCTTGTTCTGCGTGTGCACGACCACCGGCAGCTCGCCGCGTGCAGCCCGCGCAAACACCGGGTGGGCGCCCACGGAATCCGGCTGGACCAGAAGGTCGTGCAAAGTGCCGATCTGCGCAGAGATGGAGGGCGTCCGGGGGCCTGCGAAGTTATGTCAGCATTATGTAAGATTACATAAGCAACAAGAAAAGAAGCACAGCAACATTCTATTCGTATCACCCACTCTTTCCCTCATGACCAATGGTAAAGTGCAGGGCGACCTGCGAGTCTGATACAGCGTTATCATCGAGCACACTGGTGGCGCCGGGGCGGAAGCGGGCACTGATGCCGTGGAAGAAGCCGTGTGAGAGCGGCGGGGTGACGATGCGGGTGATGCCGGCGCGATGGGCACGGCCGAGATGGAGACCGTCAAACTTGAGCCCATGGCGGGTCTCGGGCGGGTGGTGGGCGGCGTCCCAGTTGTCACCGGTGGCATGACCGTCGGTCGTGGAAGGCTCCTGGACCATCTCGACGAGGCCATGGTGCTTGGTCAGGATAGTGAGGCCGGGAAGCAGGTAACCATCGTGAACATGAACGAGGGGGGCATTCAGGGTGTGGAGGGCTTGAATAGACTCGAAACACACAGCAGAGTCGCCGATGCAGACGAGACGACCATCGCGGATGACAGCCGTCAGGTTGGAGCCGGAGAGGGGAGTTGGCAAGCGGTTTCCGTCGGCGGCGAGGAAGCTAGTCGAGATGCCGTGGATGATGAGATGGGGAGAGCTAAGAGGCATCTGACTTAGGCTATTTAGATGAGGCAGCGGGGTGTTGTGCGTGTCCTGGATGTTCTGGGTATCATGGATGTCGTTCAGCTCGTTCACTTCCACCTCCACCTCCTTCCGGCTCCCCGGAGCACTGCCGACATATGAAAGTGACTCCGTCCAAAGTGAATCGCTCGCCCGCACAGCCGAGCGGCCGTCGATAAACACTTGCAACGGCGCAGCGCCGACACGAAGCGGGTGGCGATCCCAGACGACCACGTCAGCATCGTAGCCGGGCCGCACGTGGCCGACGCGGTGATCCAGGCCCAGCAGACGTGCTGGCACGGCCATGATGGCGGCTAGAGCATGTGTACCGTCCAGGCCAAAGTGGTGGGCAATCTGTGCCTCGTACAGCAGAAACTGGCCGTGGAGTGCCGGATGGTCACGCGTGAGGGCCAGGGGCACACCGCCGGCCGCAACCACGCGTGCCGGGAAGCGCGAGCTGACGCGGTACAGCTCCTTCTTGTCGCCCCAGGAATCGCTAAAGGCGACCAGGGCGATGTCACGGCGCCGCAGCTCGTCCAGCACCACGTCCGCGTGTAGGGCGTGGTGCCAGGCCGTCAGGCCAAAGCCGAACTCGTCCGCGTGGTCCAACGTGGCGAGCAGGTCCTCGGTCTCGTAGCCGTGGGCGTTCACGCGGATGTCACCGCGCAGCACGTCCACCAACGTCTGACGCTCGATCGACGAAGGGTAGGGGCGTGTAGGCGTGTGGGTGGCTGTGTGGGAGGTGTGGTCGAGAGTGTGGCTGTGCATGTGGCTGAGATCGTCACCCGAACGATCACCAGCCTCACTTCCATACGCTCTGCACCAGCGGTCCTGCTCCTGCATCAACGTCCGGGCCTCTTCAAACACCCGGCGCACCCAGAAAGACGAGCCCAGCCGGGTCGAAGGCCCGCCCGGCTGCCCCTGGAACTGCCGCTTCTGGTTCTCGCCCATGGCCATCTTGAGATAGCGTTGTGGCTTGGCCAGCGAGCTGTTGGCCGGCTGCCAGCCGCCGACACCGCTGCCGGCCACGTCCTCCACAAGCATCTCGCGCACCGATGCCGCCCCGCCCTTCATCTTAATCACCACGCCCTCGCCTGAGATCAAGTTCTTGGCCCCCGTCAGGACCAGCGATGTCGTCACGCCACCGCTGGCCACCACGCCAAGCGCCTGGTCCTGCGGCTTCAGACCGTCAATCGCTCGCGCCCATGGCGTCGCTGCCGATGAGATTTCTGTCACGTCCTCCGTCGACCACAGCTGCGGCGTCTCGCGCACGCCCGCGTGCGAGTGCGCGTCCACCAGTCCAGGCGTGACGATGCGGCCATCCAGCTGAACGATCGTGTCTGCCTCTGTGTCAATATCTTCGTCGGCCTCGCTCGTCGGCCGCACGGACACAATCAGGCTTCCTTGCATCGTGATCGTCACGCCCGCCGTCTCCGTCCCGTCTCCGTCTAGCAGCGTGGCATTGCGCAGAACCGTGCGCTTTCCTGGCTGCAGCTGCGCCAGCCGAGCTTCCGCCAACCCGTAGTCCACTACCGGTCGCTGCCCGTTGCGCTCGCACTGCGCCAGCCCGTATGCCAGCTCCTCGGGCGAGATGGGCAGCTGTCCGGCCACTGGTGCGCTGCCATCATGGCGAGATGTCCCGATCGGCAGCGTCAGCCACTGGCTCGCTAGAAGCAGTGTCGTTGCTCCGGCCAACAGGCACGTCCACAGAAATCGGCTCTCCAGCCGCACAAGTGCCATTGCAATCCGTCGCTGGCGTGGCTGCCGCTGCAGCCAGACTTTAGGCTTTCCGACTATGCTGTCCATTTTGTGTGTATCATGGTACGTCTCTACGGAACTAAGAACGAATCGCAGTCGTAGGATATTGACCCTCAGCTTACACTGCTGCTCGCTTTGGAATTTCCCAATTTAGACTCGCATCGGCTGGCCCACATGGCCCTCCCTGATAAGCAGGACCCATTGTAAACACTGGTCGCGAAACAGAGTGGGCCGGCTCCCTTCTAGACTGAAGACTGACACGATACTTCACTATGAATGCAATCCCATGTAAGGAAACGGACTAAGCAATAGCGGGTGACCTATACGAGCAAGACTGAGACATAAATCGTCTTGCAACAAGACCGTCTTTCACACTCTCGCTAAGTGATTCAGGCATTTCTCAGAAGTTGATTACTCTCCTTGCGGTGAGTCTTTTTGCCGATTCTTCAATATCAATCTTAATCCTTTCGTCTTGAAGGCTGTCCTTCAAGTTTTCGATGTACTAAGCCAGCAGAAGAAAAACTTCACCAAGAGAGGTGTGCGTGTCTGCGGGGTTTTGTGGAAGCGTATGCCGCGGTCTTGAAAACAAGGGGAGTAATTTCTGTTTCGTCTATGTAGTGTCTTTGCAGGAGTGAGCAACGTCTAAAATTCGTAACAAAATGCCAGCCTACCCGTGGCAGCGATGTTTATCGAGTCCGCGGGGGTACTGATGCGAAAAAAGCTAACTGATCGGTGACCATCTCCGGATGACGTGGCCGACGGCGGCAAAACGTTGAAGGACTGGGATCGATGATCAGAACAACAAACAGGAAAAGACTGCCTCGACGGCTTGGGGGAAAACGTGCTTGATTTCACTAAGTCTACCCTTCAGAGGAGGGGGTGGACGGATTCTGAATTCCGTCTGAAACAACGCCACCATCGTAGACCACTCCCGGTTCGCCGTTGACAAACCCCAAATACCATTCTTCTCTAGCAGGCCCTTGAAGCCCGACACGGAAACAAACCTTCCGTGTCTGTTCCTTGACCACGTCGGTCTGTCCATCACACATCCTCACAATATAATTGTCAATGTCTTCGAGGTACTCATCTGGGTCTTCACCCCGTCTCCCTCCTGCAAAGGTCCCGCGAAAGTCCGACATGCTGGCCTTTTCCCGGTCTACTGGCTCAAATGTCACGGTGTCACCTGATACACTGCTTCTCGATCCCTTTTTTCCGCTCGCCCTCTCTTCTCCTTCAGATGTATGTTCGTCTGTGTACTGCGTAGTACTTATAAAACCTTCCTCCAAGCTCGCCAGCAAGTCTGCCCAATGTTGTAATTGCCACAGGCGTGACCTTTCGTCTTCTACTTGGTTCTCCAGTGTGTGCTCTTGTCCCGGACGGTCAAACTCTGTCATTCAGAAGAAGGGTAACTTTCGATGTGTTTTGGTCAGTCAATGTAATGGGAAAATGGAAAGTAGAGAAGCAAAGGGTACGACAGCAGGGAAAACGACTTGGATCCCTGCCTGGATCGCCAACGTCCTCGGGGCAACAACCAACCACATAGATGCGTACATTGGCAGTGGAAAAGAGATGAAATTGCCATCCTAAGCTAAGACCATACAATTGATAGAAAGATTGCTGCAATTTCATCCCGTACAGCAGTGAATCTAGTGTTTCGTGTGTGCCTATATTCTTGTGTTATGTGACAGCTTGTACATGCAAAGGCATTAGTTAAAGCATCGTTTGTGGCGCCTCCCTTGCACTATAACTCACTGGACCGATGTGCTGGATGAGTATGCTGGATGAGTACGTAGACGTCTACGCGTCCGTTCATTACTAATACAGTCTTGTTATATAATAGTTTTCTTCACTTTACTACTTCCCGTCGTTTGTCCTTACCAATTCGATCAATGCAGCGGCAACAAGAATGGCTAGAAATGGTTCAAGAACGCAAGCGGGGCATATATTGCCTCTCTATACTCCCAAAAGGCGAGCCCTGGAAACATCAAAGAAAATACGCTTTGATGATTCCGGTAATCCATGCTGTCTAGAACCACGTGGGAAGAGAACTTCCAAGGTGCACAAGGATTAACCAAACGTTGCCCAGAAGTTCTCTAACCTCCATACAGATACTGTAGATCTGTGGCTGTGTCCATTTGTTATAAATCTATATGTACAGCTTAGCCCTATGCCCTCGACCCCTACATCATGTACCGGAACACGAGTTTCTGTTGCTTGTCTGTCAGGTCGAGGAACTCGTCGTTGGTCCCGGCTGGTGGCGTCGGCTGCACAGCTGCTAGCCGGTCGCGCCGTTTGTTCTCCCATATGAGGTAGAAGCGCAGCAGTGTGCAGAGCACAATGTTGAGCCCGAAACAGATGAAGGCGGCGCGGAAGGCAGTCTCGTAGGCCGGTGCCTCCTTTGTCAGGAACAGCTGCGGTGCCACCACCTGGCCGACGCAGAAGGCGACGTAGCACATCGATGACGCAGTGGCCTTCTTAGTGTAGCCAGCAAAGTTGCTAGAGACCAGCGACATGGTCAGCGTTCCGACGATGCCGTGAGTCTGAACGATGTAGTATGAGCCCAGAAGGCCGTTGCGGTTCGACCGCGGCAGGGTGTAGAGCAAAACGGCGCCGATGAGGGCGGGGATCTGGCAGCCTGTGGTCCGTTAGTGGGAGATGACACGTATAAGAAAGGGAAACGGTAAGAGAATACAAAGAAACGCGAAAATGGCTCACCAACTACCAGCCACAGACGGGCGTTGCGGAAGTAGCGCGTCATGAAGCCGCCGAACAGGATGCAGATGGCCTGGATGATGCCGAGCGGACAGAGCAGCAGGGTAGAGTAGAGCCGACTGAAGCCGAAGCCCTTGACGACGATGCTGCCAAAGGAGCCGACGCCGCCGGCCGGGATGTCGTCGAGAAAGAAGGTGGCGACGAGGACCCAGACCTGGACGTCTAGCATGCACTCGACGAACTGCGACCACTTCCAGGTGTGGTTCTCGATCGTGGTGCGGTTGGCGCGCACGCGCTCGACGGCCATGGCACGCTCGCGCGGCGTCAGCCAGCGGGCCGTCATGGGCGAGTCGGGCAGGTAGAAGAGCAGGAAGCTGCCAAAGACGATAGTGACGGACCCAAAGATGAGGAAGAAGAAGCCCCAGCTGGGCACGCTGGTGCGGTGGATGTGGGCGATGCCGTAGCCCAGCAGACCGCCAAACACCTGACCGATCGAGTTGCCCAGATACCAGAACGTGATGCGCAGCGGCTGCTCCTCGCGCGTCCACCACTGCGACGAGATCACGATGAAGGCCGGGTTGATGCACGACTCCAGACAGCCCAGGATGGCCCGGATCACCATCAGGCTGGCAAACGAGCGCGACGCCGCCATCGTCATCAGCACACCGCCCCACAGGATCGTGGCACAGCCGACAAAGCGGCCGATGGGAAACCGGACGATCAGCCGGGCGACAAACGGTTGCGAGACGAGGTAGGCTGCTTAGTCAGCATGGCAGAGGAGACAGGAGACTGGGGGACACGGCGACTGACTGAGGTAGAAGACCGAGCCGGAAGCCCAGCTGTACTGCTTGCCCCTCAGGTGCTGTCTTGATCAGCTGCTGGCCAGGGTCACGGAGCAGAGGGAAAGGCGCATACATTGTCCGTGATGAGGCCAAAGTTGGCAGAGTAAGACATGGTGTTCTTGTCCATGAAGTTGAGCGTGTACGTGATGAGCATCTGACCTGTCAGCGGACGTGAACCAATCGACCAGCTGTGGTCTCCGTTCCGTTTCGACGTACCAGTGGAACTAGACGCAGGTCGATCTTGCGCAGCAGCCGCTTGTACTCGGCGTCGCTGATGGGTCCGGCATGGTTCTCTTTGGCGAACTCGTAGGCGTTGTCGACGGCCTCGAGGCCGTGGGATGGCACCTCGAGCACGTCCTTTTCCACACTGACGGCCGCGGCGAGGCCCATGGTCTTCTCCATCTTTTCAGCCATGGTGGGCAGAGAGCTGTCTGTAAATGGGAGAGGACAAGATGAGGAGGGAAGAAGAGTCGAGAAGGACCGAGCAGAATCGGCCTGGCGATCACTCGATATTAAAGGAGAAACAAGGCAGCGCTGGCTAAGGCAGACAGGAGGAAAGACCGCTCTAGCACGAGCAGACACGGAAGACTGTCATGCAGCAGACCGTCGAAGAGCCAGAGAGCCGGCCGAGGGGACCAGATGCAGGCTTATCAGCTGCACGGCAGGGCGTTTGCATGGACAGGACGGCATGGCACAGGGCGGGCACGAGAGAGGCCGACAGGACTCCTCAGCACTGACCAGGCCACTCTCCAATGGAAGAAAACGTATATTATGGTCGGCCTGTGCATGGAAAAAATAGAATTTGGTAGCATCGCCGCTGTTATCTCGCTGCCGACACGACTGCCGCATCGAGCAGTAGCGCACCTTAAGTGGGCCGACTCTCCAGGGCGTGGCAGCGAAACGAGAAGGCGCAACGAGAAGCAAGAGCGACGGTGGTGGTGCCTGCTTGCTGGATAGCCCCACCATCCGCCATCGAGTCTCCATTATTCCCATCGCTTCTCCATCCGGCTTCCTCTGGATTGTGCCATTTCTTCGCCTCGCTTGTGAGCCGCCACATCTGTCGACGGGCGGCCGCTGTGTCGAGGCATCGTCCAAGCCAGCGCCAGCGCCAACGCCAGCGCCATGCCTGTTCGCGCTGCGCGCTCCAAGACGGGTAGGTCGCGTCCACGACCATTTTTGGTTCTGATCTCCGACCTCTAACCTCTAACCTCTACTCTCGGACTCCACAGGCTGTCAGGCCTGCCGTCGCCGCAAAGTGCGCTGCGACGAGCAGAAGCCCGTCTGCGGCGCCTGCACGCGGCTGCAGCTGCCCTGCTTCTTCCAGCCCGGCACCGGCCCGGCCGTCGAGACGCCGCGCTACCGTGTTCGCTTTGTGCACTCGCCGTATTCGCCAGGACAAAACGGCAGTGTCCATGCCGGCAGCAGCAAAAACGACCAGGGCAGACATGATGTCGCGGGCTCGCGCCTGCGCACTGCCAGTGCACCCATCTCGTCTCTGCTGTCGGGCCCGTCTGATCATCCAGACGACTCCGTCCCGTTGCCACCACCACAATCACAACCACCTTCTCAGCTCGATGCTGCCTCAACGAAACTACAGCGCCTTGATGGAGCCCGTCAACAGGTGCTGCCCTTGACACCTGACCCGGCCACGCCCCATAGCGTCTCGCCCGTCCAGTCTCGGTCTGTCGTATCTCTCCATCGCCAGACTCAACACCCCCACTCCATGCACGGCCTCACCTACGAGAGCCACTCCATATCTGCTCCGGCACCTATCATCGCTGAGCCCTTGGCGGCTAATGCCGATTCGATAGTTCAGGCCGGTCACGTGCCCACCTTCTTCGACCTCAACATGCACTTTGACCTGCTGGAAGAAAACTGGATGGCCATCGACCAGCCTTCTGACCCCTCTGCACCCGACCTGGTTGCCATGACCTACACAGACACGCTGGCCGTGCATGCCACACCCGACTCCAGCTCTAATCCCTCCTCTGCACCCGTCTCGACTCCGACATCTGCCTCTGCTTCCCTCGCACGCACACCCACTCCAGCCACTCCCCAGGTTCCGGTTGTCATCGACACCGACGACCACGTGCTTATTCAGCACTACCTCAACGTCATGTCGCAATACACAAAGATCCGTGGCTCCGGCGACGAGAATATCTACACCCAGATCTTCAGCAACATGGCCCTCTTTTATGCTCCACTCTACAGTGCCATTATGGCCTGGACCGGGCTGCATCTTGGCCAGCGCCAGGCCGAGTCGCAGAGCTTGCCGCAGCCGCAGCCAGAGTCGGCTCGCATCCGCCAGGCCGAGCGTCGATACGACCGCGCCGTCTCTCTGCTGCACGATGACCAGGATGTGGCCCACCATTTTGAGCTCTCGCTCGTGACCATCTGGTTCTGCCTGCAGTTTGAGCTGCTAGCTGCTCGCGGTATCGAGTCGTTCTGCCACCACCTGGAGTTCACCGCCGACCTGGTCGATGCCCACCGTCGTCACCACCGTGCTGGGGGTGCTGCCGTCACCCTCAGCTCTGTGGGTGCCCGCGTGCTCGTGTGGCTCGGCACCTACGACGCCCGTGCCACGTGGATCGGTGGTTCGGGCCGGTTGCTGCACAACCTCGAGCTGTTTTCCTACGAGCACGACTTCTTGGCCGCCGCCTTCCCTCTGGCAACCGACGGTACCGGAGACGGCAGCAGCCAGGCATCACGAAGTGCCTCGATCGCAGCATCGGATGGAGGAGGTGGAAGCGGACGTGGAGGAGCAGAAAGAGCAGGAAAACGGAGTGATCCACCTTCCACATCACCGACATCATCGTCTCCGTCCTCGCCGGTATCCCTCCCGGACTCCTCGCCCTATTCGTCGTCGTCGCTGCAGACATGTCTGCGACTGACGATCCAGTTCGACGCCGTCGACAGCCGTATCGCCCAGCTGCACCAACGCTCCGTGCCTGCGCCAGCGGCTATCTGGCTGGCCCTGCAGTCGGACCTGATTACGGCCCAACAGCGGCTGGAGAGCCGGCCGGCCGTGGCGCCCATCTTGGCAGCTATGTTTGGCAGCGACACGAGTCCCAACACGGGTGCTACCGTCACATCCAACACACACACCCGCACAGTCCGGCCGCCCAGCAAGATCACCACACACCAGTTTAACGATTTGCTGCTGTTGTCGGCCTGCTACACCGGAATCATCTGCTTCCACCGAGTGCTGCCAGCAGTCGTGGCCCGAGACATGGCTCCGCAGCTGCGAGGACTGCTGGGTCCCCAGGCAGCGGCTACGCGTGTCCTGCGCATAGCAGCATGGGTGAACCGACTGCGGGCGCCATCACCACAGAACATCTGGCCGCGCATCCTTTTCCTGGCTGGCATCGAGACCACCGACCCGGTCTACCAGGACTGGGTCGTGCGCACGCTACTCGAGGCCGAGCAATGGGGCGGTAACATGGCCAAGACGCGCACGTTGCTGCAGCACATAATCCGTCTCCAGACCCACGAGGGCGGCCGCATCGATTTTCTCGAAGCCATGCGGCAAACGACGGGGCTGTTTATCATCTGACGATGGGCGAAAAGTGCTGACGGAGTGGGGTATCAGCATATGCGTGTGGGGTGGATGACCTAATGCGGAAACCATCTCGCTTCTTATCTAGACTACAGCATCGGCCCCAGTGGACACTGGGTTTTGTTTGCTGTACGAGAGTACTCCGTACCAGGACGAATTATACGTACACACAGACACGAACACAGACACACGCAAACTCTCTCTCTCACACACACACACATACTCACTGTCACAATCAAGCGCTATGAGAGAGGGACAAATATCGCTGCCGACTGCGGTGACGTCACCGAAGAAAACGATGCGGCCGTGGCCAATGCGAAAAGCGAGTGCCGCCTGCTTTCTCGGCCTGTTGGGATTTGCCGGACTCAGATTCATGTGGATGTCGGCGAAGGATAGTCTGCCGGAGTCGGGCGGGCCTGGGCTGCCGGACGAGTCGGCAGAGTGGTGTCCCCTGCCGCCGGTGGTGGCGGCCAGCAGCGGGGACGGCCTGCTGCCAAGCGAGCACCTGATGGAATCGTCCCAGCTGGTTCTGCAGGTGAAGCGGTTGGCGGCGGCAGTGCGGGTGCCGACGCAGAGCTTTGACGATAACGGCGATGTCGACGAGGACCCGCGCTGGGCCACGTTTGCCGAGTTCCACCGCGTGCTGGCCGATCTGTTTCCGCGGGTGCACGCACGATTACAGCTGCGCAAGGTCAACCGCTACGGACTGCTGTACACGATGCCGGGCAGCAACACGACTTTGAAGCCGATCGTGTTCATGGCGCACCAGGACGTGGTGCCGGCCGATGTGGACGCGCCCTGGACATATCCGCCGTTTGCCGGCCACTATGACGGCACGTTTCTGTGGGGACGCGGCGCAGCCGACTGCAAAAACGTCCTAGTCGGACTGCTGTCGGTGCTGGAGGACCTCCTGGCACAGTCGGCGTTTGCGCCGCGGCGCACCATCGTGCTCTCGTTTGGATTCGACGAGGAGACGGGCGGCCAGCGCGGGGCAACGGAGCTGAGCAGGGCGCTCGAGGCGACCTGGGGGGCTGACAGCATGCTCCTCCTACTAGACGAGGGAGGGATGGGAGTGCAGAAGGAGAGCAGCATCGAGCGAAGCGAGAACGAAGAGAGCGAGCGAAGCGAGGGAAAGAAAGAGAGAGAGGAAAAGCGCCAAATACTGTTTGCGTATCCTGGCGTCGGCGAGAAGGGATACCTGGATCTGCAACTGACGCTGACGGTTGACGGGGGCCACAGCTCGCGGCCGCCGGCGCACTCGGGCATTGGCATGATGGCGGACATGATCCACGCGCTAGAGCAGCCGGCGAGCGAGCAGGAGGACCGACCATTTACGCCGCGGCTGCCGGTGACGTCGCCATTTCGGCGCGTGCTCGAGTGTCGGGCTCGCCATGCACCGGCAGCCGTGCCCGGATGGCTGCGGCCGGCACTGCTGCACGACAGCGAAAAAGACATTGCGGCACGGCTAGTGGCGGCAGCACAGCAGCAGACAGGCGAGGCGGCCGATGAGCGCTGGCTGATGCAGACGAGCCAGGCCGTCGACGTGATCGCTGGCGGGATCAAGGTCAACGCGCTGCCGGAACGGGTCACGGCAGCGATCAACTACCGGATCGCGCTGCACGAAGGACCGGCAGACGTGGTGCGGCGAGCCGAAGAGGTGTTGGGGGCGGTGGCAGCACGGCATCGGTTGCGGGTAGTCAATGAGGTCGATCTGACGAGTGAAGGCGAGGAGAGTACGAGAGGAAGCGAGAACAGCAACAACGACGACAAAAGCGACAGCGAGAACAACAACGACTACAAAACGAGCGACAGCGAGAACAGCAACAACGACAAAACGAGCGACATCGAGAACCAGAAATACGCAGGCCTTCTCTCCATCTCCACGTCCCAGAATCTCCCGGTTGCTCCCCTCTCGCCGACAGGACTGTCAGACGGCGTCTGGGCGCGGTTTGCTGGCACGCTGCGGGCCGTCTTCGAGACGACCGAGACTGGACACAACCACACAGTCGTGCCGGTCGGCAACATCATGACGGGCAACACGGACACGACACACTACTGGGCGCTCACGCGCAACATTTACCGCTTCACGCCGTCGCGCGAGGGCACGCGCTTGGCCGCTCACGCCATCGACGAACGCATGGACATGACAGCGCATCTGGAGGGAATGCGGGTGTACTACAGTGAGTGCTTGTGTGCTTTGATGCTTGTGTGCTGTGGGTGACAGAATTTACTGACCAATAGATCTCATCCGAAACTTTGACAGCTGGGACGAGGAGTAGACCTCGGCGAAATAGTGCATATTGTTATCAAAAGTACAAGTTCCTATTCCGACTTTTTACGAGTGAAAAAAGGAACCTATAAAACAAGCTGCTTATTACGTGCCTTTATTGCTGATGTACGGAGTATTAGTGGTGACTAGCTGGTGGTGCTGATGAGGTTGATGCCTGTATGCAGGATCCAAAGACTTGCTTCGACTGCCCTATGCATACAAGGTGGGCCCATCTGAAACTAGGAAGACTTTCGCGGTGAAGACGTTGGCCATGACTCAACAGATTCATTATACGCAGTCCTGTATGAAGACCCACTGCTCGCAGAGACGTTGTCGGAGACGATCCGAGTCGAGTTGTCTTTACTAGGTTCGATTTGTAGAGGGCGCTGCACGTCAAAGCCTCCCTGTTTGCGGACATTATTATACTTCCCAGAGCACCTCTTTAGATTTAGGCCCTAATCATCGTTCTCCAAGTCAGGCCGTTCAAAAGCGGCGTCAAGAAATACACTAAGCTATCCTAAGAACCGACCCTAGAAGTAAACTGAAACTGGCATGCATTTTCTTCACTTTGTACAAAGATATCTTATTTATGGTCTCTATCCGATTTCGTTTCCAAGGCAATGCCGTCAAGCGATTGCTTTACTACGATACTACAGGATTATCCCACCCGCTTCCTTTAGGATAGTTGCAACACCTTTATGGCCTGTAGCAAACTCTAACGGTGTCATCCCAAAATAGTTCGCATTTACGTCGGCGCCGTTGCGAATCAATATGCCGACGATCTCTTCGTGACCTTCCTCTGATGCGCAGTGCAATGCTGTTTTTGCACTTGCATCATCTGCATTGACATCAGCGCCATTACTGACCAACATGCGGACAACCTCTGCATGACCGCTGCTTGATGCGAGACATAGTGCTGTTTTAAGACCTGCTTTTGCATTCACGTCGGCGCCGCTGTCGATCAGCAATCGGACGATCTCTTCAAGGCCTTCCTTGGATGCGCAGTGCAATGCCGTTTGCCCTTCGTGATTCGTTGCGTTCACATCGGCGCCGTTGCTAACAAGCATGCGGGCGATCTCTTTATGGCCACGGCTTGATGCGAGGTATAATGATGTTCTCCCACCGTGATCTTCAGCGAACAGATCAGCGCCGTTGTTAATCAACAAGCGCAAAACCTTTTCATAGCCGCGCAATGATGCGATGTGTGATGCTGTTTTTCCAGAAGGATCTCTTGCGTTCACGTCAGCACCGCTCTCGAGCAGTAAACGGAGTACGCCGACATGACCTCCCCTCGCCGCCATTATCTGCGCATGACGGCCGTTCATTGTGTGAATGTCGGCGCCGTGATCAAGCAGTATACGGACGACTTCTTCGTGGCCCTTTTCCGCAGCTACTCTCAAAGCTGTTCCGTAGATATCGTGTGCTTGAATGCCCTCGTTCTTTTTTTTGGCTAGTGTGTCTCTGACTGCCTCTTTCAAGTCAAAAAAGCTTCCCAGGAGTAGAATGGCCCAGTCAGTCCAATTTGTACCGAAAACTTGACTCCACTGCGTTGATAGATGCGTCTCGTGCACAGCCATCCAAGCCTTTTTCTCTCCAGATTGCGTACATTGACAAAGTCTCGCTGCTGTCTCTCGGTTGCTGTAAACCAGAGATGCTTCCTGTGACTTGTAGTGCAGAGGCCAGTATACACCAGCATAAGACAGAAACGGGTCAATCCGTTTCCTTGGCGTGTCAATCTCTGGCAACAGTAAGTAGTCGGAACACGCTTGGAACATGATCCTGTGCGACTCTTTCAGACCGAAGTGGCCCTGCCAGCCTCCCCGTTTGTCCTTGTGTATGAGAAACTCCCGCGCTGTCTGGTGTATGAACGACAATTTGTCGTCTTGGATGCTGATGAATCCACAGAGATCTTTCACCACAGATTCAAATTGGCCTGGCTCCCACATTTTCGGGAGACTCCCATCCTGGACAGTAAGTGCAACGCTTGCTTCATCGAGACGAAGAGGCCTCTTGGCTGCAAGAAGAAGCTGGAGAAGTTTTTGCGCGCGGCGCTTGTTTAGCGTTTGACTCAAGATGCTATCATACGCATCGAAGACATCGTTTGGTATGCTGGACAACAGCTCGTCCACGTCGCATCGTCTGTTATACTCTGCGGGATCGTCCTCGATGGTGTCAAATATGATCTTCAGCCAAAGATATGTGCGGTTCTCTATACTCTTCAATTTAGCCGTGATGTCTTTGCAGTCTTGTGCGGAGAGACGGTTCGCAATGTCGTTCATTTTGTAGTCGATGACCAGGTTGACCTCTTCGCTGATGTTCCGAAACTTTCCGTCTCCGTCAAAGTGAACGAAGCCGGCGGTATCCCCAAAGGTAGAAAACGACTCGTGTATGCGGCTGTAGGGGCGACTAGTTATGATAAATTTGAGCTTGCTGGAACTCTTTGTTCCATCAACGGCTTTGTAATAATCTCGCAGCTTTTCGATCAGCAATTTTCTGCTTGTTTTTGAACACTCGTCCAGAGCATCGATAAGACAGATGATGTTCCCAGCATAGGGCGACTCCACGCAGGTTTCCAGGATGTCCCAAAGCTCATAGAAATCGTTGACCACGGCACTTCCCTGCTTCTCATGCTTGGCAACGGCAGTATCAATGAGCCTGCCGCTCTGGTCCTGAGTGAAAATTTGGTGAAGCAGTGCGCAGAGTGCATTGGTTGCATACATACGCCGTCCATCTCCGTCTTTGAAGAAAAAGTGGCAGATCGTTGCTGTCGGGTCTGTGGATAGCCGCTTCTCGTCAATAAGAGCCCGTGACAGCACTGATTTTCCACACCCAGGTCCGGCAGATACCCACAGTAGCCTGGATGAATCCGAGTCTCGCCACGTGCAGAACCGTCTATCATGGAAGAACCATTCACAGGTGCCTGGCACCCTCTTTGGGTTAATGTTTTTATATGACTTCAGGCCCGACCCTTTGTCTGGTGACCACTGCTTATCAAGGGACCGGTCTGTGAAAGCTGCAGCAAGGTCCTGGAGAAGAAGCTTCTCATTCTGCTGTTCATAGTTTCTCTGCATCTGTTTATGGCCTTCCTCGGTAATGGACGTGAGTTTGCTTAGATATGCCTGGGATTCCCGCATTGTTTTTAGCGCTTTGTCCCAACGGTCACTGACCACCCGCTCTCGGATAGGGTCGATGAATCCGCGGCAGGTCACATTAAGGCTTTCAAGCTCCATTTTACTCTTTTCCCAGACACTTTGGCCCGTCACGTGTTTCCAACAACGGGAGAGCTGAGCTCTGGAGAGGTGGCAAATAACTCGAGCTTGGTATAGGACGATGCAGGAATAGAGCTTGGCCAAGTTCTCGCTGAACTCTGTGTAGTTTTGGATGCTCTCACGACTCAAATAGACGTCCTCACATAGTTTCCAGTACGCCTGGATGCTGCAGGTCGTGTTGAAACCTCCCAGCATGACCTCATGCTGGCCGGTGGCGTTCTTCAGCAGCTGCAACGGCGACACTGGTAAGTAGGGTTGCCCACGCGTTGGAGAGATTGCTACGTACAGGAAGAAGGATCGTAACACTAGACCATGCCAGCTGTGCAAAAGGCTGTGTGTAGAGCGCAGGGCTGACAATCTGGTCGGACCAAGCAATGAACCGTCTCAACCTGTCTACCTGCTCCCGGATTTTGACATCGCAGCCGCCGACTTGAACTCTCCACTGTTTCTTTTCTCGCTCTTCTGCAAGTACCTTGACGGCTTCTTCGACCAACGGAGGGCGCACAAACGAAACGCCGCTTTTCGAGACCCCAGTCAGTGAACGGAGATGTGCTTGGTAATCTTTCATCAATACTTCTTCTTGCTTTTCGGCCAGTTCGAATGCTCGTGCCCACAGACCGTATGCATCACCGGTCGATGAATCATCAGAAACAGACTCCAAGGCAGAGTCGGATGCTGTCAGGGCTTGAGGCAGGCCTTTCAGGTCCCAGTTCAAGGGATTGTTGGCACATGCAATAGTGGCACATCCGACAGCTACAGCTGGCGGAAACGCTGCCTTGAAAAGAGACAAAACTTCGTTATGCTCCTGCGCATTTTTCCCCTTCACCTTGCTCTTCAACCAATCTATTACATCCATGATGTTTGAGGGTGGCGTGTAGCAGAACAGGGTGAAAAGTCGTCCGAAGTTCATACGTTTATTTCGAAATTTATGTTCGTGATGTTTGAGGAGGGGTAAGTTGGGTTTCCTGCCCGACGATGCCCGACTGTTACCCTACGTACGGAATAGCATGAACCTGGCGACCGGCCAATAAGATAGGCCTGCAATATCAGCCGCATTTATATTTCATTTTCGGGCATTTGCCGTGTTTAGCCTGTAGAAGACCTCAGACGTCTCGTCCACTGTCGGCTCATCCAGCAACAGTAGAACAAGCAGGTGGTTGGCTTTTTCATGGAGTTGTGGCGAAACAGCTTCCGGTATTCGACGAGTAAGCTCCGGCACATCTCTCTATCACTCTTGACGACCCAGGCCCCCTGTCCCCCTAAATATTTCCCAAGACACTGTAATCGGCCGGTACTTCATACGTGTTGACCAACAGAGTATGATAGATGGTCCTAGGTGACGGTACGGCGGCGCAATATTTTTCCAGAAGAGACGTACGAGCGCTTAGACCATCTTTGTAAGGATATATATCTTTAATAGGAAGTGCACCTACAAACCTATGCAGGTAAAGCAACCAGCGGCTGTCTCCTACTGCTTAGGTCACCTGCCCTAAAAAAACAAGTTAGTATTCGGCAAGGCGACGATATAATTACTGACATGTAGAATCCGGCCATCGGCTGGCGACTACAAATCTGCAAGTCGAAGTACACGTCTACAGTTGTATATTTCTGTAAAGATCTTTATTATAGAAGCACTAACGTGAAAACTGCTGGATTAAGTTCGACTAACGTGCCCCTACTTATAGGCTCATCTTTCATCCGCCTTAAACCAGACCCTAAATCAATGCAAACTTTCTTACTTTCGCAGTCCTCGCTTAGTACGAATAGTGTCACCAAGATTTAGCATTCACCAAGACGTTGGGCCACTAATCTAAGGACCGCCTCCACCCTAGGCAGCATTACTTTCCTCTCCTTAACATCAGTTTTGCATTGCCGTTTCGTACAGTTTTCCACAATCCAAACATCTTCGAAACCGCTTTAAGCATAAGTTAGTGCCAGGCCCAAAAAACATGGCAGCGTCCACAAAATGGAATGGGACACTCGTAAACTCTGTGTCCCTCTTAGCCACAGTTCCTGCAAGCGATCTTTGGACAGTTTGATGTGCGTTGTCCACGTTGCTCGCATGCTCGACAGACTGTACCGTACTCCTTAGGCTGGGGGCAATCTGTCGCAACGTGCCCTTCTTCGCCACAGCGGCGGCAGGACCGGCTTGGCATGATCGACTTTTTCGAATTTCCTGGCTTGTAAGCTTCACAACGGTAGGTAATGTGAGCGCCAGAGCAAATAGAACAATTCGAATCCTGAGTGCACGTGAACGAGAGATGGCCAACAGCGCTACAGTTCGAACACTGAAGATCGGCCTGACATTCGTTTGCGGAATGTCCGAGTTGGACACAGAGCACTTTTGTGTCCTTCAGGGGATTGGCACGAAGTCCGTTGACAAATCTCTTGGCTGTAGTCTGGGACATCTTTGCAGTTGTTGGCCCCGGAAACTCGATCACCAGTCGACAGCTTGGAGATGGCTTGTCTTTGTAAAGCTGATAAGCTTCTCCCGAAAGCCGCTAATGCGTCTTATTTTTTGGGGGGGGGAGGGGGGGGGAAGAATATTTTCTGTAGTTCGAAGCGTTTGTGCTACCGGGTTTTTTGACACTCCCTCCCGACTCCCCCGCTGCGTAGATTATGCTATTTTGATTCGGTGCAGGTTCGAACTGTATAGCGTGCTGTTGTGTTTGTAGGTGTAACCAGTCTTTTGATTGTTGACTTATCATCCCCCCCTGCGCCATGGTGTACAAGTAAGGCGGGATCGATACTTTCCATCGTGGTAGCAGGGTTATGTGGCCAATTATGATTTCAGCACTATGTATACTCCTCAGTTTGACGTCAGAGAAAATGAGTCCAATTGTCTGCGTCCCAGTTTTCTGAGGTGGCCAGAGTATAACCAAAAGGCAGGCTACCCCCCTCCTCAGTATACATTAGTTAGCTCGGGTAACTAGGGTGTTAATGTTCTCGTTCAAAGCTGCAGCAAAGCCCATATCCACGATCACGGCTGAAATCAGCTATCAAAAAAGACAAACTTTCGACGGATACTCCTAGCGGATGCACCTAACCCCTGCGTTGCCGAGTGTTTTGTAGAAGCCTAAGAAGATCAGTCGACTATGCTAGTAACTAGCAATCCGTTTGCGTCTACTCGGTCATTCTACATACCGTCAAGCTGTAAAGCCATCGCAGTATTTTCGGACGCACGGGTCAGCATGTTGCATGAGTCCCGTCTTCTCTTATCACTCTCTGGCCACAACGCAGCATTGAAAAAGCCCGATACAACCACTAGTATGCCGCATGCTGTGCTCATGATTCAGCGACAGCTTTAGTAGCAGCTGTAGCGGTGTGAGTGGCCTTGGCGGCAGCGGTGACGGTATCGTCAGTCATGTTCTCTTTGTCTAAGACAGAGTCCCTGAAGGATGGCAGCAGCCACGACAACGAAAGCCTTCAAATAATATTAGCTCATCACCTAAGCCAGTGTTACTAATAGAAGCGACCGAGCCTCGTCGAAGCAGACCTTTTTTCGATGGAACGTTCTTCAGGAAAATTTGTTTCTGTAGATGCCTAGGAAATACGCAAATATCACGCTGTATACGGCTGTCGGCTGTGATTCTGTGAGTTTCGAGATAGATAGCCTGTCGCGTCCTGTCGCTATGATTGCGTCGACGAAGACTGCCATTGTTTTGATTTGATGGACATTTGGCAAATTTCTCCAGGGTCCACAAATCGTCAGCTGAGAATCAGATCCATTCCTTGAACGATATTACAATCAGGTCATCACTTTCGGCCACTCTTCGGGAACCGCTGCCAAAGAGGCTCGCATTTGCGGGCGAAGATATCCGTCACGTTCATTTTGTTAGTGTGGTGAAGTGAAATAAGAGAAGGTGATAAGAAGTTTAGAAGAGCAATTCCCGGTAATTAGGAGCAAGTAAAAGGTAATCGATAAATATATAAAGAGAAAAGCCCATTTGGCTTCCGTATTGCTGTTGACGTTGGCTTTCTTAATAGTGATGAAGTAAGTTCCTAATCTGTGAACAGAGAAAGTGTATAACTGAAAGCAGAGCAAACCAGCGCAGGACTGCGGCAGTGAAAACTCTGTTGGGCGAAGACCGTTATATTCAGGGAAGAGCTATCTGAAGCCAAAGAGGAAGCCGAGCTGAAAAGTCTACCAAGGTACTCTGTAGTCCGTGCAACACCAATCCGTCCATTGTGACCCACATAGTCACGTGCACCCCAGTCCTAAAGCTGACTGAATACGTGATCTCGTTAATGAAGGACGTTGTAGGAATAAAGCTGCAAGCGATTTATCAGCCCTACCGGGCTGGCTACATGCACCTCACGGTCGTTATCAGAACTATCCTGTGGATAGGTTTGCTACACTGCCTGCTGGAACTGTAGATCCAGTTTCCCTCCTCTTGGACCAGCAGTAAAGCCTTCTGACAGGGTCATATCAGGCGAATTGACAATAACGGTGCAGTAGTTTGTGTAAACGGAAGCGATGCCGAATTTCATGGCTAGGAGTTTAGAACTGGACGAAGCAACGAACGCAGGATATATTCAAAGAAAGACTCACAATACGTGGCAAAGTTGCTGCCGATGCACATGGCGCCCCCGCTGCTCCAGGCCCAGAACCAGCGCCGCATGAGGGCGAGCTTCTCGGGAGTCTGGCCCATCCAGCGCTGGGGCTGCCAGCTGTCGGGCTCGGGGAAGACGGCCGGGTTTCGATGTAGAGTGTAGGCCTGGGCCTGGACGCGGACGCCGCCGGGAATGTTGTCGTAGCCGGCCAGCGAGCAGGAGGACGTGGGTGTGACGCGAGGCTGGCCGCCAGACACGGCCGACCAGAGACGCAGCGTTTCTTGTAGGATGGCATCGAGCAGCGGAAGCTGGTCGAGGGCCTTTGGGTCGGGAAGGTCGACATCCTGGCCGGGCAGCCGGGGGTAGACGAGGCCGCGGCCCAGCGAACGCAGCTCAGCGCGCAGGGCATCTTGCAAGACAGGCCGGCGCGACAGCTCGTAGAAGAGGTATGTCAGCGTGTTGCCGCTGGTCTCGTGGGCCGCCGCATTGTAGTCGTACATATCGCTAGCGATCTCGAGCCGGTGGACGTCTGGCCGGGCTGGCTGGGATTTCTGGGCCAGCTGTCGAGGCCGGCTGCTACTGGGAGTTTCTGGGTCATCGTGCTTCGCAAAGGCAGCACGCTCATGGCCAAAGACGACGGGTACATCCTGGACGGACACGGTGCTGGCGGTGGCCATGCGCGCCTCAGCCCGGTCGCAGAGGGCCATCTGCCAGGTCTCAAGATCGGCCGAGTCCTTCGCGACCCAATGCGGCACCAGTCGGAGGCCCAGATGCTGTGCCCAGGCCGTCAGACGTGGCAGCTCAGCCCTCCAGAAGGCCCACGGCTGGCGCTCAGAAAAAGCGCGAAGGTACCAGCGGCGTTCGTCGGTGTCCTGCAGAAAATTGGTGCCGCCGGCCAGCCCGAACTGGTAGCCGGTAAAGGTGTCCATGGAGTAGCTTGCGAGCAGCGAGAGCACCTCGAGTGGCTCGCCCGCGGTGGCGGCAGCGTCGATCAGCGGCAGAAGACGTTTAAACAGCACGGTCCGCACGACAGCCAACGCCGTGACGTTGGCCAGGATGTACGATTTGGAAAAGACATTGGACATCATGCGCTTGCGCTCAGCGTGGGCTTTTCCGGACATGGCGAACATGGGGTCGACACTGCCAGGGTTAGTGCAAGGTGGCGAGGTGCCATCAGAGCAGGGGAAGAGTTGACGAAGGAGCAATAATGAGCGGATATGCAAATCGAACACCAGGAAATATGCAAGCCCAAAGAGCAGAAACAGGCCTCACCCATAGTTTGCAAACCGGTTGTGGTAAAAGTCCGTCTTGTGGAAGCCGCCGGTGTAGATCGTCTGTATCCCGCCCTCGAAGCAGTTCACGCTCAGCTCCTTGGGCGCTGTCCGCACGATCGGCCCCAGCCGTTGGTGCAGCGCATGGATCGTGCTCGTCTCGACACCGCGATACCGCACCCAGAGGATCCAGAGCGGTGTCACGTGACATAGCGGGTGTGCCGCCGGGATGCGCGCCAGCGGAGACAGCAGCGCCGGGACGACGACGAGGCGGTAGAGCAGGACGGCGATCCCGGCGACAGCACAGAAGATCAGAGTCGCGGGCTTGCCTACGGCCGCTGCCATCACAGCGGCTGCGCGCATGTCCAGCTCACCGAGCGGCGGTTGCATGTGGGCCATCTTGGAGATGAGGCCGCCAATGGCCATAATGGGAGACGATTTCAACAGGACAGAGGGAGGAAGGGGGGTAAATAAATTTTGAGGGGTCTCTTGGATGCGTCTGGAAAGTCCGGTGCTCATGTCGAGATATGGCTGCCTTGGTCGACAGAACGTTGCGTTATCTAGTCTGCAGCCAAATGTCACCACGGCATGGCCACCATCCGTTACAGCCGGCAGGTTGTTTGCAAGGCAATTGCGTGTTTTCTGCTCAACCCCTCTTCAATTTATCCGGACAAATCGGAGATATGAGATCCGGCTGCATGAAATCGACATGATGCAGGAGATTGCCGGATGTCCCAAAAACATATGCTGACATAAGTCTTTCTTACAGAACCATCATCTCAAGTAGGAGGTGTTGCTGTATTTCATTCATAAAATCCTTCTTCCACTGTTACTGTTATTGTCGAAGGTTTCTACTGCAGGAAGGCTTTGTGGACGATCATGGTAACCTCGTTGTTTCATACCGCTCGCTACCAAGAGCTATTTCCAGGCTATGGAGCGCAAACCCTATCATTCCATCGTCGCCATCGGCTTCTCATTGACCAACTCATGTCTCACCGTGGTGGCCGCTGTCTTTAATGCACCCGCTAATTTTCTGGGCGGCCGCCTGTATGGGATGCCACCATTTGAGTCTTTGTTCTCACTCACGATTTCTTCTGAACTGCCTCATCAAGCCTCATCTCAACCCTCACTTTTACCTCAACTCCACCAATGGCCGGCCCTACCACCCTACTCCATAAAGCCAAGCTCGTCTCAAATCTACCAGTTCGACACCCTCTCGTGCTTCTAGCCGTCGCCACTGCCTCAGTTTAGACTACTCTGCTCTCTTTCCTCGTCATCTTGATCTCCGTAATGCCTTCTCGTCTGGCCCTACCTCGCCTAAGGCCGACTAATTTGCTCAAACACGCAAAGCTGATTCATGCCGTCATCAAGCTTTGATCTGGCGGGCCCGCAAAGGTAGCCATATGCCCCCGCTGGTGCCTATCAAAGTAGAAATAAAAATAAAAACAACGTCTCCCGTTAGTCAAAGATATACGCTTTTCTCCATGCCGATTGGTGGGTTGGCTTGCCGATGCTAGGTGCCAAAATAGGAAGTAGCCTCGCTCGGTCATGGTCCACTTTTCTCTCGCTTCCCTCGGGCGATGTCCCGTTGGTAAACCGGGTCGCTGGCTGCGAGGAGCCGCAAGTATCTCCCATGTTGTAGCTTTCCGAAGGCCGCAAAAAGAGCAGTCCGACGTGAAGACGTGCTGATTGGAGAGATAAACGTCTTGGCTGGCCGTTTTGGCGAGGAAGCCTGCCGTTACATTTGCAGTCTTGTGGTCCTCATTTATTTCCTATTCCAGACAGCGAGAACATCAAGGACGGCATGCCATCTTAAGCATGTACTGACGGCCTGCCTGTCCCTTTTTTGCACTCTGACCAGCATGGCGCATCTACAGATACCACTGCAGTCTGCAGACTTTATACCGGACGTCAGCCAGCCGTCGCAATGGCCGAATCATGTGGCTGCTATCATCCGTTTCATCGCCAGAGGTGACCTCTTCTTGGCTTGCGCGGGAGTTTCGGTTCTTCTGCTGCTACTATATTTGCATTTGTGGACCGTCCGCAATAAGAAATTATGGCGGCAGAAGACGCTGCCAAAAGCCACCGATACCTCGGATGACCGATCAGAATTCGAAGAGCTTCTCTCTGCCGATTCATCAGTCTCCGAGGACGACACGCTGCACACGTCTTCCTCCACGCCAATAGAAAATGAAGGCAGCCTTTTGTCCTTTTTCGCCGTTTCTCTTTCACAGATCGTCGCCGTTGCCGTGGCATTCGCACTATCCGTCATCAGCTCGGCCAGAAACTCATCGCCTGGTGCCGCTTGGAAAGAGCCGGTCACTCTAGGCTACCTGCTGCTGCTGTGTGTTATTCAGTTGCTGCTTGCCAGCAGTCGTCGTGGGTTCTCGCTTCGTCATGTCTTCTATCACCACATCAACGCCGTTGGCACCGCGTTGACCGTGCTCAAGGCCGTGTGTCTTCTGTTGCCGCTTGCACTGCGAGGAACGCACGCACGATTGGGCGCCGTCCCAGGTGCTAAGTTGGCCGCCCTGTCCGCCGTTCCGTTGACAGCGTTTGCTGCACCGCGAGATGGTTCTCGTGTCAATATCTCCGCGAGCTTTGGTGTTTCTGCCAAGAGCAAGAGTGATATCCATGCAGACCAGGAAAGTGGAAAGACGGCCGGCAGCCTGCCTCTTTCGCCGGAAGAGTCGTGCTCCTGGGCGTCATACTACCTCTCGTACGGGTGGCTCACACCAGTGATCCTGCACGGGTGGCGACGAGACCTCGAGCTCGACAACCTGCCGGCACTACCGTCATATGACGCCCCTCTGAATCTGCTGGAGAGAATGGGACGGCAGAGACAGCGGCAGCGGCACAGACGAGGAACGCTAGCGACGCTATGTCTGGTGTTCCAGGGGCACATCAGACGCATCATGATTTGGGGCACACTGACAGCCATGGCTGAATATGTGGCGCCGGTAGCCATGTTCCAGCTGCTGGCGTATCTGGAGGCAGGTAGCAGCTCTGCCATTCCGGTCCATCCGTCTGTGTGGGTCGGGCTTCTGTTTATCGGTCCTATGCTGCGGTCAGTATGCTACCAGCAGTCCATCTTTCTCAGCACGCGGCTGCTGGTGACATGGCGGGCGTCGGTGATCCAGGAGGTGTTCCAACGGATGCTGCGCTTGCGCGTGGACGGCTCTCCGGCCCAGCCACGGTTACAGCAAAAACAAACGCAATCCTCTGGCCAGAAGAACACAGTCAAGACAGAAAGTCTGGTGTCATACGACGTAGACATGATCTCCAACTCGTCAGACATGTTCTATTCGTTCACGGCCAGCCTGGTGTCGACGGCGCTGGCGATGACGTTCCTGTACCGACTGCTGGGCTGGCCTTCGCTGCTTGGGGTGGCCGTGCTGGTGTGCCTGACACCGCTGCCGGTGGTTTTCTCAGGGCGGGTATCGCGGCTGCACAGACGGGTGATGCAGGCGACAGACGCACGGCTGGCGCAGGTGGCCGAGTTTCTGGGGGCTGTGCGCACGCTCAAGTACTTTGGATGGGAGCCGGTAGCGGCAAGAGCATTGAACGAGGCCCGGGCGACAGAGCAGCGGCAGATCTGGCGGCGCAACTTAACGTCGATGCTGGTGGCGATGACGGGCGATATGATGTCGCTAGTCAGCCTGCTGGTGATGTTTGCAGCAGTAGTGCTGCTGGCAAGACAGCCGCTTCACGCACCGGCAGCCTTCACGGCGCTGTCGATCACAGAGACGCTGCGGGCGCAGTACGTCTGGATGGCCAAGGTAGTGCAGTGGGTGGCGCAGGGCAGAGAGTCGTTCCGGCGCGTGGACGGCTTTCTGAGCGGTGGTGAGCCGCGGCAAAGACATCCAGTTGGGCCGCCGAGCTTTGCGGGAGCGGATGTCGTGGTGGGGCGAGAAGAGAGTGAAACTGCAAACGCGCCCTCGCAGCCACCGTTTTCCCTCCACCTCTCGGTCAGCTTCCGCGAGGATGCCCTCAACGTCGTGACCGGGGCCACCGGCAGCGGAAAGTCGACGCTTCTTCTCTCGCTGTTGGGCGAGACGGCTCTCGTGGCTGGCACAGTGACCTGTCCGGCCGACGTGGCGTTTGTGCCGCAGACGGCCTGGCTGCTCAGCGGCACAGTGCGCGAGAACATCGTGTTCCACGGCACGCACGACGACGTCCGCTACCGTGCCGTCCTCGCCGCCTGCGCCCTCGACCGCGACCTCGCCGCCCTGCCGCTCGGCGACCAGACATTCATTGGAGAGCGAGGCGCTGCATTGTCGGGCGGCCAGCGTCAGCGTATCGCTCTCGCCCGCGCTCTGTACGCGCCCCCGACCGCCCTGCTGCTGCTCGACGACGTATTTTCGGCTCTGGATGCCCACACGGCCGTGCAGGTGTACCGAGGTTGCTTTGGAGGTGGTGGAATGGGAAACCAGGACAGCAAAAAACAAACGGTCTTCTGGCTGGCCGTACCGTCATTCTCGTCACGCATATGGCGGCGGCCATAGCGGCGGCTGATGTGGTCGTGCGGCTGGAACACGGCCGGGTGGCGTCGATGACAGAGCGATGGAAGAAAGATGGAGGCAGACATGTCGAGGGATTTGTCGAGGAAGAAGATGAGGATGTTGATGAAATTTTGGAAGAAGAAGTAGACAGAGGGGAAGGTGCATCTGGGGAAGGTACGGCGGAGGAAAGAACGACCGAGGAAGGCGTCAAAGCCTTCGCGTCCGATCATTCCAACTGGTCACCATCCATCACGGAAAAACGAGCGTCTGGTCGGGTTCCACGCTCCATGATTGTGCAGTACATGCTGTTGTTTGGCGGCGTGCCCAACGCGCTGCTGGCCATGGCCGGATCACTGATGGTGCAGCTAGCCTACTTTTCCATTACGCTATGGCTATCAATATGGACCAGCAAGGAATCGTCTTCGTCTTCGTCCTCGTCGTCCTCATCCTCAGCCCATCTGCTCGTCTACGCCGGCACGGTGCTGACCTTTGTCGGTCTGCAGCTGCTCAACAACTATCTCTTCCAGCGGGGCGGCTGGCGGGCGGCGCAGACGATGCACAGCCGCCTGGTCACGGCCGTTCTGGCAGCACCGCTCAGCTGGTTTGACCGCACGCCAGCAGGCCAGATCCTCAACCGGTTCGGGCTCGACACGCAGTCTCTAGACGCGGTATTGGTCGACTGGCTGCGCATGACGCTCGACAACGGACTGCGGTTCGGGCTGCGGCTGGCCGGCATCGCGTCCATCCTGCCGGTCTTTGCGGTGCCGGCAGCCGTGTTCTGCGGGCTCGGTTTTGCCACCGGTGAGCTGTACTCACGCGCCGAGATTTCCGTCAAGCGACTCGTGGCCGCACACTTTGCCCCGGTCCTGTCGCAGTTTGCCGATCTCGATGGCGGCGGCAGCCTCGACAGCGGCCTCGCCGTCGTGCGCGCGCGTCGCGGCCTCGATCGCGTCTTCCGACAACAGCTCGCTGACCACGTCTCCGACCACATGCGCGCTGCCGAGGCACAGTTCAACTGCAACCGCTGGGTGTCGGTGCGGTCCGACCTCTGCGCCGCCACCATCGCCGCCGCCGCCGGCGCCATCGCCTGCTACATGTCCACAAGCAACAACGGAAATATTGGACACAGCAGCAGCCGCGCCGGTCTTGTCGGCTTCTCGCTCACCAACGCCATCGGCCTCAGCCAGACCATCCTCACACTCGTGCGCAACATGAACGAGCTCGAGGTCGAGCTGAACTCGCTGCAGCGCATCGACCAGTACACCCACATCCAACCCGAGAAGGACGTCGAGATGGCCGGCGACGACATCCCAACCGATTGGCCAACAGCAGGAGAAATCTCCTTTGACGACGTGACGGCGACGTATGAGGCAGAGGACGGCAGCAGTGACCCCAGAAACAAAAACCCCACCTCCACCAACAGCAACATCCTTAACGAAAACTCTTCATCCTCTACTACCACCACAACATCCTCTCCTCCTCCTCTCGGTCACGTCTCCTTTGTGGCTCATCCTGGCGAGCGTCTGGCCGTGGTCGGCCGCACCGGAAGTGGCAAGAGTACGCTACTACGCACTCTACTGCGATCTACCCACGTGGTGCAGGGCCGAGTCTCCGTCGACGGCATCGACATCCGCCGCGTGCCGCTGCGCCGCCTGCGCCACGCCGTCTGTCTTATCCCCCAGGACACGCTGCTGCTGGCTGGCGACGTGCGGTCGAACCTGGACCCTGAGGGTGACTGCACGGACGAGGAGCTGGTCGAGGTGCTGCGGTCATGTGCCGGCGACACCGCCAAGACGGTCCTTTCGCTCTCAACACCCGTCGCCACCGGCGGTACCAACTTTAGCAGCGGCCAGCGTCAGGTCCTCGGGCTCGCCCGCGCCCTCTGTCGTCGTGCCCGTGTCGTCGTTCTCGATGAGGCCACTGCGTCCGTGGATCTGGCCACCGACCGCCGCATGCAGCAGCTGATCCGCACAGCATTTGCCGGCTCGACTGTCGTCACGATTGCGCACCGTCTGCGCACCATTATGGACTACGACCGCATCCTAGTCATGGCTGAGGGACGTGTCATTCAGTGAGTGCTTCTTGTTCTGTGTGTCCCGATTTCATTCTCGTTTCAATTGCCTATTTTTCTGTTTTTTGCTGTATCTTTTTTATTTTCTTCACCTCTTTGGATTTTGTCTTCCTTTTACTCATTTACTAGAATCGGCTCACCTCGCGAACTGGCCACCCGCCAAGGCGTCTTCTCCGACATGCTCAAGAGCACGGGCGAGTACGAAGAGCTGCTGGCCACGGTGGGCTTGAATGCAACAACACTGGAGTGATATAGACGTACGCGTAGAATATAAATGTATATAGAATTGACAGCCTTCTTGGATGTCCTCTTCTGAGTGGGGCTTTCTGTATTGCTTAGCTTGTTCCCGATTGCCTATCGCATCGTTCTGTCTGTCTTCACCTGGCCTTCACCTATCTTTCAACTCCATTTCTTCTCCTGTCTTGTACACATCTTCTCCCCTCACTTACTCTTGTCTCTCTCGTCTCTCTCGTTTCTCCTCATCTCTTCTACTGCTTGACAAACCTCCTTCTTTCTACCTACTATGTCTAAACCCCGCGTGGTTGCGCTCGGAAATCCCCGCTTCGTCGGCGATGACTTTCTGACTGCCTTCCGCGAGGACTTCCGCTTCTCCGTGCTCGAGGCCTACACCCACGACGAGGCCCACGCCCTGCTGCCGCGCGATATTGCCGAGCACGGGCCCATCGACGCCTTTGTCATCCGCATGGGCACGCCACCCTACGAGCCCTTCGACGAGGCCTTGTTTGATATGATGGCCCCGCGCCTCAAGATCGTCGCCTCGGCGAGCGCCGGCTACAACGAGTTTCCCGTCGGCCACCTGGCGCACCGCGGCGTCTATTTCTGCAACACCGTCGACGGCGTCGCCGAGGCCACCGCTGACATGGCCGTGTTCCTGATCCTAGCCGTGCTGCGCAATGCGAGCGCCGCCGAGCGCTGCGCCCGCGCCGGCCGCTGGCGCTCCGATCCGGGGCTGATCCCGGCACGTGACCCATCCGGTCTGACGCTCGGCATTGTTGGTCTGGGTGCCATTGGCAAGTACATTGCGCGCAAGGTGGCCGCCTTCAACATGCGCATCGTCTACTACAACCGCACGCGACTGCCAGCCGACGAGGAGGCCACATACGCGGCCACGTATGCCGGGTCGCTGCACGGCCTGCTCGCGACAGCCGACGTCGTCTCCGTCAGCTGTCCGCTCAATGCGCACACGACCGGGCTGATGGGCCGTGCCGAGTTCGCCGCCATGAAGGACGGCGCCTTCTTCGTCAATACAGCCCGCGGCGCCGTCGTCGACGAGGCCGCGCTCAAGGAGGCCCTGCTGTCGGGCAAGGTGGCACGCGCCGCCGTCGACGTGCTGTGCAACGAGCCCGACGTCGATCCTTGGTTCCTGGCCCAGGATAACGTCATCGTGCAGCCGCATCTGGGCGGCCTGACGGACGTGGCCTACCGCCGGGCCGAGCGCGAGTGCTTCGAGAACATCCGCGCGTATTTTGCCACGGGCGTGCCCCATTCGCCCGTGCTGCCGCTCTCGGCTGAGAAGTGAGCATGGAGGGTGGAGTACGGAGTACGGAGTACGACGTACGGAGCAGTGAAGAATAGTCCGTATCCCTTACCCGTACCACTGGCACGGAGTATGTAGCAAAAGGGAATGGGGCCGGGTGGAATGCACTGGGCCGGCCAGGGACACACGCTCAGGGGCTCCAGACGGACTGGCATGCAGACAATTTATAGTACTTTTTTAGATTGGATTCACGGGATAGAGGATACCCAAATCGGCAAGCTACTCCCTGACATGGGCCCTTGCGGAAAAGAGCCATCTTAGAAAGGCGGGTCTGGCCGCTTCGGCTCGAGAAATGCATCTTGTTCAGGTCCCCATGACCTTCACATATACCGAGTCATGCTTCGGTTGCATGTCAGATGGAACGTCCGAACCGCGTGGCCGATGAAGAACCGCGATGCCGCCAAGGTCTGCCTGTTTGTGCACAGTGCCACAGTGCAGCCGTCTCCCTTTCTGCACTGGGTACGCACCATGTGCTCGCTAGCCCCGCAGAAGAAACACACTTGCTCCTGAACGGGTGGGTATCGAGCCCCTGCCGTTTACAGCAGGCCCCATCGAGATCAGCCACACCAAGAAACAACTTGCGTTTCTGGCATATTTCTGAACAGAGAGGCTCGGCTTCTAAACTTTTGTTCACCGATCCTTCTTCTTCCTCCTCCTCGTCCGTCCTCTTCTTCCCCCCTCAGCTTCTGTGTAGCCCAGAAAAGAAGACCCGGATACCCAGTGACACAGAGTACCACCCGGTTTCGTCCTCTCGGTCCCCACCGTCTCTCGCTTCTCGCTGTTCTCTTCTTTGCAATCCGCCCTCTCTCTCTTCATCTTCCCTTTGTTCTGGAGCCCGTCTTCCGGACTCCCCCCTTTTTAGACCAGCTGTTGCCCCTTTCTCCGCCCGCATTTGCTTCTTCTTTATCTTGCTCTGAGACTGTTTCTGTTTGTGCTACCGTCTGCTTCCTCCTGCCTGCTTTCCAACCGATCCTCGACGGCCAACAAACATGTCCAGCGTCAAAGACGAGCCGCACTCGCCCGAGGCCGCTGCTGGGACAAGGGACCTGACTTCAAGCGATTCCGGCTCTGAACGAGATACGGTACGTCCTTGCCCAATTTTTGCTGTCCGACGTACATCTGTGGCCACCTGTCCGGACGTTACGCTTTCCTTCTGCCTGACCTTCATTTGTCCCCCGACGTCTGAGCTGCAAGGATGAGACAGTTGTAATTGCATGATCTTCGTCGACCCGATACAGGTGATGCCCGGTGGGGATGAGGCCACCGTCTTTTCGGACTTGACACGCTTTCCACACTCCCAACATCTGGTTGGCTAACGCTCTGACACGCAAACAGGACACATTCGAAGATGCCCCCGACAGCGCCTCCATCCGCTCGCTGACAAAGCGGTCCCTCCCATCCCAATCACCACCACCACCTGCATCTCCCGACAAGGACGAGTCAGAGTTGGAAACGGAGACGGAAGCGGAGGTAGCCGCCGATGGCAACGAGTCAGAGAAAGAAAGCGGTGACGAAAAGGACCAGGATCAGCGCGTTGAGGAAGATAGCTTCGAGGAAGTCAACGTGCCCATCGCTGCAGCGGCAACGTCCGACACCACACCGACAGAAACCCGGAGAGTCCCCAATATTGACATCGACCACGAGCACGATGATGAGGATGACCATGACAACGAAAATGATCTCGACACCGTCACCCTGAGCGACGACTCAATCATGTCCGACCACCCGCCGGCTGTTCCCGAAAAGGAGTACCCTTCCAAGACTTCGGCCCTGGGCAGCTTTCCCTGGTCTCCCTCGTCGGCCACCAGCGAGCCGACGTCCAAGCCCGTTCCCAATCCTCCGAGTTCCGCCCCCCTCGGCGCCCCTCCGCAGCAGCTGACGCGGAAGCTGACCAGCCCCTTCTCGTGGCTCTCCCGGGGCTCCGCACAAAAGGAGGCGTCTCCACTACCCACACCGTCTACCTCACCGCGGAGAAATACTGCCAGTTCCGTGACCACCATGGCGAGCAATCCGGAGATGATGCTGAGCAAGCTGGATGAGGAAGGTGGTGTGAGACGAAGCATTGGCCGAAAGAGCCTGAAGGACCGCTTCAAGATCATCCGCATGCGGGAAGAAGCCGGCATCATTGCGCTGCCCGACGAGCTAGGCAACACGACTAGCGATGCCGTGTCCGAGTCGGGCAGCCCGCACATCAGGATCACCACCACCCGGCTCAGCGTTCCTGTCGGGTCGGCCGATGACTTGCGCCCGGCCTCGCCCATCCCGACGAGCCCGAATCCAAGCCTGGCTCCGGGGACGGTGTCTGGCGTGACGGCGGGGCCGTCCAGCAGCGGCGATGCCAGCGTCGACTGGGACATGTGGCAGTCAGTCATCTACGAGGGCCCGGCGGCAGTGGCGCGTTCAAGCCCAGAGGAGCTCAACCGGGCCATCGCCACCGGTATCCCCAACGCGATCCGCGGCGTCATCTGGCAGGTGCTGGCCCAAAGCAAGAACGAGGAGCTGGAGGCGGTGTACCAGGACCTGCTCGTCCGGGGCACCGATCGTGAGAAGCAGCGTCTGAGCAACGGGCACATGAACGGTGCCAGGGAGATTGTGACCTCGTCGTCGTCGTCCATCCACTCGGGCGATTCGGGGTCCGGGTCGGCCTCGAGTGCGGCCAACGGAACCCTGTCGACTGGCTCGGCCGAGAAGGATCTCGATAAGGCGGCCGAGCGCAAGAAGAAGGCCAAGGTCGACGCAGCTGCCCTCAACAAGCTGGAGAAGGCGATCCGCCGCGATCTCGGCGCGCGGACGAGCTACTCTAAGTTTGCTGCCGCCCAGGGCCTCCAGGAAGGCCTCTTTGGCGTCTGCAAGGCCTACGCGCTGTTCGACGAGGCCGTCGGCTACGCGCAAGGCATGAACTTTTTGATCATGCCGATCCTGTTCAATGTGAGTGATGCGTCTTGTTTCCGTTCTTCCTCGTTTACTTACACATCGTCTAGATGCCCGAAGAAGAGGCCTTCTGCCTGCTCGTCCGGCTGATGAACCAATACCACCTGCGCGATCTCTTCATCCATGACATGCCCGGCCTGCACAAGAACCTGTACATGTTCGAGCGTCTGCTGGAAGACCTCGAACCGGCGTTGTACTGCCACTTGCACCGCAGGGGTGTATCGCCACACCTGTACGCGACGCAGTGGTTCCTGACGCTCTTTGCGTACCGGTTCCCGCTGCAGCTAGTGCTGCGGATCTACGACCTGATCCTGTCGGAGGGTCTGTCGGCGATCCTCAAGTTCGGCGTGGTGCTGATGCAGAAGAACGCGGCCACGCTGCTGGGCATGTCAGACATGTCGCAGCTGACAACCTTTCTGAAGGACCGGCTCTTTGACGTGTACATTGACGCGAGCCCGAGTGCGGGCAGCATCCTGGAGAATGGCTTCTTCGGCAGCTCGTCGTCGAGCCTCGACAAGGAGGTGTACCGGGCGGATCAGTTTGTGCGGGACGCGTGTGAGGTGAAGCTGACGCCAGAGCTGGTCAAGGCGTACACGGCAGAGTGGGAGGAGAAGACGCGAACGGAGCGGGAGCGAGAGACGGAGTTGGACCACCTGCGATCGTCGAACGCGAGCCTGACAAGGCGGGTGCGCAAGTATGAGGAGCGGCTCGAGTCGGGGGACCGGGAGCAGACGGCGCTGGCGACGGAGCTGGTGCACACCAAGGTGCAGAACGAGGAGCTGCGGGACGAGAACGAGAGCCTGAAGGGACAGGTGCGGGAGCTCAAGGTGGTGATCGAGAAGCAGCCGGAGGAGCTGGAGCTGGCGTGGCAGGCCGAGCGAGACAGCCTGATGGAGCGCAACACGCGCGTGCACGAGGACAGCCTGCGGGTGGAGAAGGAGATGAGCGAGCTGGAGGAACAGCTGGTGCAGACGAAGATGCGCTATGCAGAGGTGCGTGGTTGTGCCGGTCCTTTTTTCTGACATTTTTGACATTGGCTAATTTGTTCCAGATCAACTCCCAGTACGAAACTCTCAGCCGGAAATGGTCTGACCTGAAGCGGCAGTTTGCATGAGACGGTGCGGCTTCTGCTCTCAGCCCTCACGATGCTGGCGTTCAAGCGGAGGGAGCACGAGAAGACCAAGCCAGAAAGAAGCGGTTCTGCACTTTTCAGACGAGCCACCAGGGCCGTTGCTTTTACGGCGGCGGCCTTGCTTTGCGACATGCTTTGCAGCATCTTGATTTTCTAGCATTCCACTTTACGGCGACACGACCCTTTCCATTCGTCCTTTTTCCTCATTCGCTCCTCATTTTGTACCTGTATCATAGAAGTGACGGGAGATGGCGGCAAGAAATATCCGCGGACCTGGCGCCAGGCCGAGGGATCAAAACAGCCGGTTGTGCCGCCGAGCAGATGGACGCAAGGAACCGGATCCGTAGCATGATGGTAATTTTTCTGCAGGGTAGCACACATAAAATGTCTTGGCCCCTTGGCGTATGTCTGGCTGTCATGCGAAGCGGTGTGGTGTGCCTCTGGCGGGTTGCGAGTGGATGTAGTTTGGATCGGGTTTTTTCATTTGCAGAGATCACAGGTAAAAAGCAGGCAATCGATAATGTGGACATGGGCTGTTTCGAGACCACGGCTTGACTTGTTTGAGGCTGACAAGAAGTGATTTGTGTAAATGTTTGGTAAGGGAAGGAATACCCCAGTTCCTGCGGTAAAAGGCGTACGAAGTACCTGCTGTATTTGTTTTGACAGTTCAAACAATTCACTGCATCATATATTAGTCATTTAAAATGGCCATATATGTTGTCTTCGTTACCAGACTGCACTGCACTGCACACCTTCAGTCCGCTGCCCACGAAAACCTTGGTTGAAGGATTCTTCATGTCCTTCAGTAAGTTTGAGCCAGAACTCTCGTACAAAGCCCGCTCTCTCTAGGAATCCTCGCAGACCATCCCACAGGCGGAAGTCCTTCACCTGCGCCACGATCATCATTCAAAGACGGTGGATGAGCGAATGTGTGCATATTCTGTGAAGGCAAGGCGGCAGCAGAGGAGGATGGTAAGATGCAAGTTGGACTCTTCCATCTCTTATGCTTCATCTGTCCTTGACTTTTATCTTTCTTCTAGCCCTTTTGTCTTTCCATCTTTCACATTTGTTTCATCTGGTTTTACTACCACCATGAATTCGTAATTATCCAGCAACTCACAAGTTTCTTGAACATCATTTCTTCTCTTTCATTGATTCTGTCGACGCTTCTTTCCTACAGTCTAACTAATTCTGTACAAGCCATTACGACCAAAGTGCCAAGGTGCTAAAGACCTTCCAACTCGTTCAACATCTTCTCACAACCTGTTCTCCAATGGCAGGCCGCCAAAACCACGTCTAAAATCAGCGATTTCACCCCATCTAGAGATCCCCCGAAGATAAGCGACTTGACTCCCGATTTTCCGTCCGAGGTAGCAGTCGTTAGATAAAACGCCGATCAGCTCTGCTCTCCGACTGCAGCCGCATGCACCGACAAGATGAAGCTTCACAATATCGTCTTTCCGCGGCGCGAGGACAGCGGGGCGGCCGGCAGCAGCGGTCCAATCGCGCGGTGGGACGTGGAGCTGGTTGACGGTGTGGTTCGGGCGATTGCGCCAGCGGCGAGCAGCGACGACAGCCATGCCAATGTGGCCTCTCGGCTGCTGCTGCCGCCACTGTGCCATCCACACCTGCACCTGGACAAGACCTACATCCTGACGGGCGGCGGCTGCTGTGGAGGGCGTCGGCCCGACAGCGACGACGTCGACGCCGAGCACGCCGAGCCCGAGCCATCGTACGACGACCTGCTGCCGCAGACGGGCGACTTTGCCGAGGCGCTGCGCACGACGGCCACCGCCAAGGCGCGCTTCACGGCGGCCGATCTGCGGCGGCGCGGCGCCCAGCTGCTGGCGACGAGCTGGCGTCAGGGCGTCACGGCCGCGCGGGTGTTTGTTGAGGTGGACGCGGGCGCTGCCGGTGGTGGCCGCGTGGCCATGGAGGTGGCCATGGCCCTGCAGCGCGACTTTGCCGGTCGGGTGGCCGTGCAGATCTGTGCCTTTGCCCAGGAGGCCGTCTTCTCGGGCGAGGCCGGCGCTGCCAACCGGGCCGCCATGGAGGCCGTCTTGGCCGACCCTGTGCTCGCACCAGCCGTTGCAGCGCTGGGATCGGCGCCCTACGTCGAGGCCTCGCGCGCGCTGGCGCTGCAGAACCTCGACTGGGCCGTCGAGACCGCGCTCGCTCACGGCCTGCACCTTGACCTGCACCTGGACTACAACCTGGACGATCCGGCCAGCTCCGGCCGAATGCCGCTCCTCTACGACCTGCTCGACACGCTCGAACGCCGCCGGTGGTGTGCCCGCGCCGCCAGCTCTGTCGGTGCTAGCAATCCGGATCGTGGCAGCCGCATGCGTACCGTCGCCGTGGGTCACGTGACCCAGCTGACACGTCTCTCGGCGGCACAGCTCTCTGCGCTGGCTGCGCGCATCCGGCAACGCGGTCTGCCCGTCCATCTCGTGGGCCTGCCGACCAGCGACATGTACATGATGGGTCGCGGTGCGACAGCGACACCAGGGACAGGCGTGCCCCGCGGCACGCTCAACGTGCCGGCTCTCCTGCGCCACGGCCTGCCGGCCTGTCTGGGCGTCAACAACGTGGGCAACGCGTTTACGCCGTACGGCACCGGCGACCCACTGCTACTCGCCTGCTGGGGCGTTGGGCTGTACCATGCAGGCACGCCGGCGGACGCGAACCGGCTGTATGGGGCGGTGAGCTGGGGAGCGCGAGCAGCGATCGGGGAGGTCGAGGACGAGCGAAGCGAGGAAAGACAAGGCATGAAACGAAGCAAGAACAGCCAAGACATCGACCAAAGCGAGGAAAAAAGCTGGTGGGACGTCGAGCCGAGTCAGCTGCTGGGTCGCCATATCGGGCCGGTGTTGATGCTGACTAATGAACATCACGTGCAGATGTCTGACGACGACGACGACAAAACGAATGGACGGCCGACACTACCGCCAATTCCGGCACGTGCGCGCACTGGTTTCCGCGACGTCGTGTGGGACCCGCCAGACCTGTCGTTACGACGAATTGTAGGATGAAGGGTAATACATATATCACGGGAACTACGGCAAAAGCACACAGTGTTCACATGCACAACATATTCATATTCTCTCTCTTGCGATGGCTCTCAGCCAGCGGAGGCGTCGTCGCAACAAATCGACCAAAAATTACAGGCAGCAAATGCAGCAAATGCAGCCGTGCGGCATAGCCAGGCCATCTGGCCGGCTTGGCTGTCCTGCTTGTCCCAAACAAAACGCCCTCCGCTTCTCCTCCGCTCTAATGCAGATTGTCGTCTGCTCGTGTCCGAGCACGGGGCCCCGTTCTTCTTCCTCCGTATATACATCCATATGCTCTCCTCTCTGCACCCTGAACGCCACGGTAATGCAACAAAAGACTAAAAACAGTAGGGAAACATTCAGACTAGATGGGGGAACATGTCCCTACTTCTGCTATACTAACCGGCTTTCCAACATGGTCCTACCACATCTCAAAACGCAATCTTGCTGCCGTTGCCCAGCCGTAAGGGCAGCTGCCCCAACGGCCCCGAACTCAGCATCGACGACGGGGTCATGGAACCTTCGGCCTGTGACGAGAGCAGGCTGCTGTTGCTGTTGCTCGTGCTCGTGTTGCCAAACGAGCTGAAGCTGGCCGTGCCCGACAGCGAGCCGTATGCAGACCCGGGCCCGCCTCGCACCATTGAGAGGCCACCCGTGTTGATGAGTGCGTCCGCCCGCTCAAACACGTTTCCTGAGAAGACGTGAGAAAACGACGCGCTCTGCGGTGTCGACGGCACTGTCGCCTGCACCGCTGGCCCCAGCGCTGCGCTCTGTGGCGTCATCGGCAGTTGCGTCAGATGTCCGCCATCGATGCTGCCCATGCTGCCCATGCTAAGAGAGCTCACAGAGCTGGCCGAATTGCCGTTGACATTCATATGTTGGCCGGGACCTTGGCCCTGCCCGTGACCATGGCCGTGTCCTTGGCTCTGCCACTGTCCCGGGTGATGGTGCTGCTGCTGATGCTGCTGTTGTTGTTGTTGTTGCTGCTGCTGCTGATGCTGCTGCTGCTGCTGTAATCCCGGATGCTGTCCCGGCTTCCCCGGCTGTCCCTGCTGCTGCTGCTGTTGACGGAGCGCGTATGCCCAGGGTGACCGCATGATCAGCACGATCGTGTCCTTGACGCACTGATATAGCGGTCGCATCCGTGGCCTCGTGTCGGCCGGCAGCTGGATCGTCTTGTGTGACTCGCGCACCGCTCCAGCAAAGTCCAGCCACGCCTCCAGGAAGTTGCTGCACACCGACCAGTACGCCCACTGCGACCGGATCCCCGGCTCCTTCAGCTTCACGCTCGACAGCCGACTCTTCAGCGTCTCCGTGTGCTGGATCGCTGTCGCACACTTGGCCAGCAGAACCCGCCAGCACCGCGTCGTCTGCTCCCGCGCTCGCTGTGCCGTCGCCGCCCGCAGCGCTCCTGCGTACTGGCTGCTCAAACCCGGCAGCAGCCGCATCGCCAGATCCGTCGACTTCTGCAGCGACAAGAAGATCTTCTCAAACATCCGGTCCTCTTCTGTGAACTCGGACGTGATCACCCCCCCGCCCCGGCTGCTCGATGACGTAAATGACTCGCCCGATCGTGGCGTCACCGCCATGATCGTCGCCGTTCGCCCGCTGCCGTTGATCGTCAGCCCGGCCAGCCCTGCTGGCGTCGTTTCCGTCGTCACCCGCAGGTTTCCCAGGTTTGGTGTCACAAACCCCCGCGGCTCGCGCAACCCGGCTCCTGGCCGATCGGCCGACGGCGTCACCATCACCGAGCCGTCTCGCAGTGGCCCCATCATCGGAGGCATCGGCCGCACCGTCTCACCGAGCCCAGCCGCATGCTTGATCGGTGTCCGGCCTGCCGTCGAGCTGTCGTTGCTGTGCGACACCGCCTTGTTCATCGTCCGCGGCGCCAGCGGGCTCGTCGACGCCACCCGCAATTCCATGATGCTATGGTATATCTGCAGCAGCAGCGTGCGCATGTATCGCGGATCGCCATTGTCCAGGAACAAGTCCACGTTTGCCTTAAGCAGCGAGCAGATGTGGTCGTACGCGTTCAGCAGCGTGACGCATGCCCGGTGCACCGTCTCGTTCTCGCGACGGCCCATTTCGCTGTCCTCCTCCGCCAGGTCGTGGCGCTGGATCTCCCGCTCAAGCTGCTCCACGTGTGAGTTCGTGTTATAAAACACAATCTCCAGGCTCGAGTGCCGCGCTGTACCGTCGTTTGCTAGGCTTAGCAGCATCTGGATGGTCGGATGGATCTGGAAGACCGAGTAGAGGATGCCCTTGGCTGACTCGACCACCGGATCGTAGAACTGGGATTCTCGCCGCCTTTCCGGCAGGATTGACAGCCGCCGCACGTAGATCGGACGCTGCAGCGAGATGTCCGACACAGGGCTGGCTGGGCTCTTTGTTTCTGGCGCCACCGCCGTCCCCCCGTTGGGCGCTCCCTGCATGGCCGACCCGTGGCTGAGGCCCCGGTAGTGGCTGAACCGGTTGGCATTCCCGTTGCTCACCTCGTCCTCGTCCAGCGTCATGAGTTCGTGCGCCTTCTTGGACACGATGCCCATCCGCCGAGACCGGTCGCCCGACCGGTCGTTGCGCGGCGCCGGGAGTAGCGTCGTCTCCGAGTTGCTCCGCATACGCTCGTTGGCGCTGCTGATTGTCAGCGGCATCACCCCGGGTCGCCGAACCGCCGTGCTCTGCTGCGAGAGCCCGCGGTAGTGCGACCGTGTGGGGATCGGTGGTGGCCGTGACTGCGGCGGCGATCGGAGGTCGCCTAGCTCGGTGCCGTTGACCTTTATCGGAAACCGGCCGCTCGTCACCCGTTTCACCGGCATAATGCGCGGCGCCTCAAGCGTGTCAGACGAGTCCTCGGCAGCCGAGTCCGATGCTATGCTCGACCCGGCTCGCTGTCCAGAGAATAAGCCCCCACCGACCAGGGTGGCAAGAGGCGTCGCCCCGACAGGCCCAGCAGCCTCGGCCCGGTCGTTTGCCGCCGCCTGCCTCAGAAATCGTCGGATGTGAGATGTGATCGTAACTTCGGTAACCTCGTTGTCCTTCAGATAGCCCTCGTTCGGAGGGCTGCTCGCCTGCACCTGAAACACTTCTGGTGGCGGAAAGCGGATCGGGTTGCCCGTAAGTTTGATCATCTGCAGCGAGGACATGTCGGCCAGGCAGAGCGGCAGCTCTTCGATTCGATTCTTCTGTAGCGCAAACACTTTCAGGGACGTCAACTTGACGATTTCCGGAGGTAGTACTCGGAGTTTATTGCGGCCCAAATCAAGGATTTCCAGCGAGCGAAGGTCGCACAACTGCAAGAGGACAACACAACGTCAGACACCGCATACAGATGACAGACAGCCAAAAGGGGAGGGGAAGGGGGAGGGGAATAATTACCGGCAAGGGGAACTCCCGAATGTCGTTCTCGCGAACATTGAGGTACCGTAGCGACGAGCACTCGGAGAACCGCGCCGGAAAGGCCGACAGCTTGTTATGGGACAGGGCGAGACTATCGGTAAGAATGTCAGCAGGGAGATCAGCAGAAAAACCAAACCCGACAGACAGGATAGCCGCATGCAAACATACCGTTCCAGCTTGTTCATGATGATATCCACCACCTCGTCGGGGAGTCTCTGGATGTTCTTCCGGCTGAGGTCGATCGTGAGACCGGGTGCGAGCTCGTTGCTGACACCGCCATCTTCACCCGCTTGCTGGTCACTGTGCCGCAGCGCCTCCTTCATGGCCTCGCGTGCCAATACAATGACCTGACTGGGCGAGATAGGAGCCGAAGCCGTCAGGCTCGAGCTGCTGCTTCGGGGCGCCATAAGGGGTGGGGGCAGCGGTGGGGGCAGGGCGATGTTCGCGCTGGACGCCAGATTGGACGTCGCGTATGACAGCGGTATGGGAGGGACAGGAACGGTTGGCGCAGGCATCGGTAAGCGTCGTCCTTGGGCTGGGTTTTCCGGCAGTCCGCGGCCGGCGGGTTGAGTGGAGGAGCCAATCCTTTCCATCATGGTGAAAAAAGAAAAGAGTGGTGTACGGGGTACAACCCGTCAACAGTGGCCTTTCCGCCGGCAGGATGTTCGATATGTTCGATGGCTGCGAGGACGATGTCAAGGATGTCGTGGATCTCGTCAGATGCGTAGCTCGTCGACAGAAGCCCTTTTTTCTCTCGCTCTCACTCTCGATCCCGCTGTAGCTAGCCGAAGGCTGCTCTGAACCCCTGTGCGGCGGTGTGCAAGCCCATTCAAAGGGCAGAGACGGCCTCAGATGACGCAGTTCCGTCAATGGGCTGGTCGGTCTTATCGAGTTCGGTGGGACAGCCGATCAAAGTAGCAATTAGAAAACGGCAGAATTAAGAGCTAGCGAGCGTCCGAAAACATCAAGGGGATCAGTCATGGAAAGGAGAAGCAAGAACAAAAAAACCGGGGCAAGAAAATCAGCGAGACATGACGAAGAAAAAAACGGGTGAACGGCTGGATTGTAGTCGGCGGGAGAGATTGGTGATGATGTGCCGGCATCAGCAGCCAGAGGAGTACGGAGAGAAGAGGAGGTGTGCATCAGGATTTAGGACAGAAAAATCCTATTACGAGAAGGCCATGCGAGCAGAAACCCCCTGAAAAGAAGGGCGGGGTGGGCCAGACCGCCACAAGGAGAACTGACACACCTAGGCCAATGGCCGTGGTGCTTGTTCAGGCCTAGCGCCCACAGGCGTCCCACTAATCGTCGACTCCATGACAGTGCGAGCAGCCAGGATACGATAGACGAGGACACGAAAGTCCGCGCTCTTTCCCCCCTCGTTTAGCGTGCCGCGGGCTTTACTGCAGGTACAGCGTCCGGAGCACAGTGTTCCTGCACACGCGTGTGGCAAGAGGAGGGGTGCCAGCCATTGATGTCTCCTTGCCGACCGACCTCCTGAAACCAGAGCGTGGATTGGCTGGCAGACCAAAGTCGGCTCGACGAGATTGACAGAGCACGATCTCTGCCAAGGTCATAGCACGCCAATCCTCGACCAAACACGGAACAGAAGCCGAGACGACGCTGTCGGAATATTGATCCGCTACGACTCGCTGCAAGGTACCCGAACCCAGTGTTTTACGGCCTTGCTCCGGCGCTGAAACAGACCTAGGCGGAAAACGGCAGCACTTGAACACGTTGGCGCCTCTGTCTCTTCCAGCAACGGCGTTGCAGCGTTACAACGGCCCGAACGTGGCAAAATTGTTCTCATTACTGCTTTCTCGCAGGGACGGCAAAAGAAGACATTGGAAGAGCTAGACGTGATCTAGAAGGCGTCCCCTTGCCGACCTGCCTTCTGTCGTTCCTTCCATCGGTGAAGCGAAAGCAGCTTGCACAACTGTGTCCAGACCCGATCTGGAAAGTGCAAGCTGTAATACACGGCTATGCAAGCATTGCAAACAATACAAAGTTTTCACCCCAACCTTGATCCAGAAACACGGCCTGGCCCCTGCACACACCAGTATGCTATCATGACGCCCCCACACCGTCGAATTGGTCCGTTCGTGGACGTGGACTTTGCCCTGAGACGCCAATTCAACAAGACCTCTTTCCGGTATGTCCCGTGCTTCGTCAGCCAGAGTCCAGGGCAGCGCACTGACAGACAAGGCACCCCCAACGAGAAATCATCGAATCTGCACTGGAGGGCCACGACGTGGTCGTTTTGGCGGCGACGGGGTTCGGGAAGAGTCTGTGCTTTCAGCTTCCCGCAGTGATTAATTGCGGAGGTATGTGGTCAACAAGTCTGCAAACACGGGCTGAGTCCTGCTGACGGACCAGTCACAATCGTTGTATCTCCGCTTCTGAGTCTCATGGTAAGACATGCGAGGCACGGCAAGGCTTGAGTCGAATTAGCTGTGATGTTGACCCAGACAGATGAACCAGGTCGGGGCTCTCCGCAAAGCGAACATAGACGCACGCACCCTCAACGGCTACACGTCGGCCGAGGAACGCACGAGCATCTACCGCGACCTCGCTTCGGCCCACCCGCGCATTCGTCTGCTCTATGTCACGCCCGAGCTCTGCTCGAGCAGCCGCTTTCGTCAGCGCATTCACCTGGTGCACGAACAGTGCGAGCTCGCCCGTGTCGTCGTCGATGAGGCACACTGTATCTCGGAATGGGGTCATGACTTTCGCCGTGATTTCGTCAAGCTCGGATGGTTCCGCCAATCGTTCCCGGATGTCCCCATTATGTGCCTGACAGCGACGGCCACGGAGCCCGTTCTCGACGACGTGCTGGAAACGCTCGGGATCGGCGTGCAGAACACACTGACAGCACGGAGACGAGCATCCCAGTCACAGCATCTGAAAATATTTCGCCTCTCACCGTTTAGGCCCAACCTGTTTTTGGCCGTGCAGTTTGTGTCTAGCAGCGAAAAAGGAGAGCAAGATCGTTTGACAGATTTTGTTGCGTGGCTTCATGGTCTGCATCGAAAACCGCTGAAGCGAAAGAGACGTCTTCTTGTGCATGCGTCACAGAGCCAGGACACCGAGGTGACAACGGTCCCATCAGTGCCAGGAATCATATACACGCTGTCCAGAAACGAGTGTGACTGTCTGGCTTCGGCCCTGAGGCAGAAAGGCATCGGCGCCCGTCCTTTTCATGCACAGCTGTCTCGTCAGGTCAAGGAAGAAACAATGGCCAAGTGGCTGAAAGACGAGCCGGGATATGCAGTCATTGTGGCGACAACTGCCTTTGGCATGGGCGTCGACAAAGAAAATGTGCGCTTTGTCGTGCACTGGCGCCTGCCCAAGTCTTTCGAGGGGTATTGCCAGGAAATCGGACGCGCTGGACGCGACAGTCGCCCCGCCACCTGCATTCTGTACTACAGCCGCGGAGACGGAGAGCGCGTGTCCAATTTGGTGGCCAGAAGTGGAACGAGGGCGGCAGAAACCAACCACCAGGCCGCTAGACGGGCCAGTCTCAGCAAGCTGATCGAGTATTGCGAAGCCGCTGACAAATGCCGGCATGCAGCTGTATGCCAGTATTTCGGCCTCGAATTGGACCAGCCATGCGACTATGCCTGCGACTGGCATAGGGACCCTCAAGGCGTCAAAAGGAGGAAAGAAGAATATCTGTCCAAAGAATGAAAGAGTTTCGATTGCTACTCGGACATGTTGATGGAAAACTGAAAAGGTGCGCCGTCCCTCACTCTTGAAGCTGACTTGAGTTCAGAAGATATTCGGTGCCTTTCTCTCTTAGATTTTTCGTGTTCTGATTCCATTCCAGCCAGACGAGGCCTTGCGTAACACAGTCGGCTAGATCGTCGATCTTGCTTAGCTGTATGCTGGGTTGAGAGCTGACGTCCTTTGGCTTTCTCCTTGTTTTCTTCTGCTTCGCATCCCATCGGGCCAAATATGCAGCGACCATCTCGCTAACATGACCGTCCACGTCGTATGAAAGGAGGCGATTTGCCTTCCCAGCACCCGGGCGCAAAAGGGCGGCCACAATTGCCTCTTTGATATCTTTGATGTCTTTTTCTTTTGTTGCCTTGGTGGGGACGGATACGGAGGCTGGAAGCTTACCAGCCAACCCTCCGCGGACGACAAATTGGGCTATCCGTCGTGGGCTGGCAGCTTCGACAGAGCTCAGAGATACAATGCCGCTGTCAGTTTCGGTGATCTGTCTGGCAGCGAAAATGCCGTGAAGCATGGCTTCAAGCGAATTGACCCGAACGGTCCACTCGAGTACGGCAGCAGCACCGCCAGATCGAAAGCGCTGCCGCTCTATCACGACATGTGAAGGCATCAAGGGCAGCAGGCGGTCCTGAACAAGACGAGCGGCAACAGCGGCCATGGGGCCGGGGGGGAGTAGGGACAAGGAGCAGGAGAGGAATCGGCTTCCGTGCTATTCTCTTCCACCCCCGACTTGTCGTCGTCAATCAGAGAGAGCCTCTCCCAAGCCAGGAGCCTGGGGATGCTTTCGCCAGGACTGACATGCAGCAGACAGTATGCCAAATTACGGACGCCCATATCAACGGAGAGAACACGATAGCCATCCGACTTAGTTCCAGCTGTTGCCTGGATGTTCTGCAAGTCGGCAAGCAGGACGGCCTTGGTTCCCGACGTGTTGCGACCACAGAGCAGCGCAAGGTCGCGAAGCTGCTGGAGAGAGAATTTGGGCACGGCAGTGCTGCGACTGCTGGTGCTTTTTTGCCTGCTATGCCGAAGAAAACTAAGTGTGAATGCACTCGCCAAAAAGAGAGGACGGGCACGAGGTCGCATAGTCAGCTGCAGACCTCGCATCAAAGCTTCGGCGATGCGACCATTCAGGTTCAATGCATACATGGCCCATGAGTAATCCCACCCGGTGGTGTTGTGATTTGGAATACGGAGTAAGAATGGTGGAATTTGCACTGTCAAAGTGGAATTTCATTCTAGCCGCCTCGCAGAACGTGCAGAACCGGCAGGTTGTTGGGCCGTCCAGCCGCACAATAGCCACTAAAAGATTCCTCAGCGACCCACCTATTCCTAGCGGCGCAAGGCTTTCCAAGGCCGAGGAATACGGGAATGACAAATGACTTGAACGCGATAATGCGTATGCAAAAGGATATAAATACCTTACAAATGTCGTCATTGCAAGCTTGTGTACGCCGACAGTTCTCTACACTGCATCGTCTGCGCAGAACAAATACATACGTAGCGCACACTTCGTCTATGAGGGCATTTTCTTTACTCTCACGAGCTTCAGTTTCACGTCCACGACAGCTTCTACCGTCGGCCCCGCCCCCACCTCGGTCTCGTTTTGCAGCACTGGCCTCGACATCCTCGACCTTTGCTGCCTCCTCTCGACTGGCCTCGCTCTCCAGACAGTTTTCCTCGTCGGCTTCCACCATGGCTCCGATTAGCAAGGAAACCGACTACCTGGTCATCGGTGGCGGTAGCGGCGGTTTGGCGTCGGCGCGCATGGCCAGCTCGAAGTACGGCGTCAAGGCAACAATCGTGGAGGGTGCCAGACTTGGCGGGACTTGCGTGAACGTGGGTTGCGTGCCCAAGAAGGTCACATTCTACGCGGCATCGATCGCCGAGGCGATTCACGAAGCCAAGGCATACGGGTTCTCGGTCGAGCAGACAAAGCCTTTTGACTGGACGTCGTTCAAGAACAAGCGCGACGCCTACATCAAGCGGCTCAACGGTATCTACGAGCGCAATCTGAACAACGACAAGGTCGACTATGTGCGTGGCTGGGGCAAGCTGCTGAGCCCGACAGAGGTTGCAGTGACGCTGGACGAGGCCGATGCGGCGGGCAACAAGGAGGTCATCATCCGGGCCAAGAAGATCCTCGTGGCTGTGGGTGGCCGGCCGGCCAGCCCGCCAGACATTCCGGGCGCCGAGCATGGCATCAACAGCGACGGCTTCTTTGACATCGCCACACAGCCCAAGAAGGTTGCCTTGGTCGGTGCCGGCTACATTGCGGTTGAGTTTGCTGGCATGTTTAACGCACTCGGCACTGAGACCCATCTGTTTGTCCGTCACAAGACATTTTTGCGCAGCTTCGACCCGATGGTCCAGGAGAGCGTCACGGCCAATTATGAGCGGCTGGGCGTGCACCTGCACAAGGAGGCCACTCTGACGCGCGTCGACAAGGACGCGACGACGGGCAAGTTGACGCTGCACTACGGCGATGGCAACACGCTGAGCGACGTCGACACGCTGATCTGGGCCATTGGCCGCACGCCGCTGACTAAGGACATTGGTCTTGAGAAGGCAGGTGTCGAGGTGAACGAGAAGGGCCTGATCAAGGTGGACGAGCTGCAGAACACGTCTGTTTCCAACATCTACGCACTCGGCGACGTCACGGGCCCCGTGGAACTGACGCCTGTCGCCATTGCCGCAGGCCGGCGGCTGGCGCACCGGCTGTTCGGGCCGTCCGAGTTCTCAACACTGCACCTCGACTACAGCAACATTCCGTCGGTGGTGTTTTCTCACCCCGAGGTCGGATCGATCGGTCTGACGGAGCCGCAGGCGGTGGAGAAGTACGGCAAGGACAACATCAAGGTGTACAAGACTAGCTTCACGGCCATGTACTACTCGATGATGGAGCAGGAGGAAAAGGGGCCGACGGCATACAAGCTGGTGACGGTTGGGCCAGAGGAGAAGGTGGTGGGGCTGCACATTCTCGGGCTGGGCAGCGGCGAGATGCTGCAGGGCTTTGGTGTGGCCATTAAGATGGGTGCGACCAAGAAGGATTTTGATAACGTAGTAGCGATCCACCCGACGAGCGCAGAGGAGCTGGTGACGCTGAAATAGGCAGAGCAGACATAAACAGACCCAGAATATCAGCGACATTGATGCATGAACACGAAACGTTGTGGAACTTATACGGAGTACGGCACGACCCACATATGCAGTTAAGCATATACCGTCACACGCCAATCCCGGCCTCCTGTGCGCCCGGATTCCAGGGTCCATCCACGTCAAGCTATGCAAGCTAGAAGCGGAAGCACAAACAGCCACCACGACGCCTCGCAGGCGATGGTCTGATCAGACATAGACGATAGACGATAAACGACAACGGTTGACGACAAACAAAGCGACGATGGACGGCCCGACGGTCAAGCTGGCGGAGCTGCTGCGGCACCCGGACGACCTGGAGAAGATCTCGGCGCTCAAGTTGGAATTTGCGCGCAAGAAGGCGGCGGTGGACAGTCAGCTGCGGGCGGGACTGCGCGACCAGCTGGAGACGACACAGAGCGGGATGACGGGGCTGACGGAAGGGCAGAAGGCGGTGCAGCAAATCAAGGAGGAGATGATGCAGATCGACAAGCTGTGCTCGGAGAGCCAGAACATGATTAAAGATTTTGCGACGATCAACCTGGTGTCGCAGGCACAGCGCAACTTTGCGGCGGTGGAGGCGATGCGGCACAACCTGGAGACATTCAACGAGCGGCTGGCAGCGGTGGAAGTGATGCTGCGGGCAGACGACGCGGACGCGGAGAACATGCCGAACCTGCTGGCGATCCACTACGAGTTGACGCAGCTGCGGAACATTCGGGACGATGCGATGGAGCAGATCCAACGGGCAGAGGACGCGAGCCTGCAGTCGACGTTGGAGGACTACTTTGAGCGACTAGACGGGGCGATCGACTGGTTTGACGAGCACGTGGGCCTGATTGCGACGAGCCTGATCAGCCTGGTGACGTCGGAGAACAACAACCTGGTGGTGCGATTTGCACTGGTGATCGAGGCGGAGGAGACGAGCGACCAGCGGGTGCAGGCGCTGCAGGACGCGATGCGGGACCACAAAGAGATCGCGTCTCGGTTCCAGGGGATAGCAGACGGGGCAAAGGCAGTGCGGGGATACAAGGACAAGTTCATGGAGGCAATCCGGGCGTTTGGCGAGGCGCAGTTTGAGCACAGCCGAGAGGCGTTTCTGGAGGACCCGAGCCGGCTGGAGAAGGAGCTGCGGTGGTACTTTAACGACCTGAACGCGGTGCGACTGGGAATGGTGCCACTGATGCCGAAGAAGTGGCACATTATGCGGACATACACGGGCATCTACCACGAGCTGATGCACGGGTTCCTGATCGGACTGGTGGACGACCCGGAGACGAGCACGGCACACACGCTGGAGATCATCAACTGGCCGGACAAGTACTACAAGAAGATGCAGAAGCTGGGATTCCCGGCGGACGACGAGGTGTTGACGCCACACGTGCTGGACAACCGGGCAACCGAGCTGGTGCGTGAGTTCCGGCAGCTGATCATCAAGTTCCTGGACGAGTGGATCGAGCGGATCGGGCAGCAGGAGCGCAAGGACTTTGCAGAGCGGGCGACAGCGGAGGCGAGCGGCGGAAACAACAGCAGTGGCAGCGGAGCGGGCTCGAACCTGGACCAGGATGAATACGGGTATTTCCGGACGCGCAACCTGGTGGACCTGTGGCGGATGCTGCGGGAGCAGATCGACGTGGCGGCCAACTCGCAGCGGGCGGACGTGGTGGAGGGCGTGGTGGATGCCATGTTTGAGCGGCTGCGAACACGACAGCAGACGGTGCAGAAGATGCTGGAAGACGAGGCGGCACCGTACGAGGCCGGCCGGGTGCCGGAGCTGGACGGGTTCCAGCCGCTGCAGGACTGGCTGGTGGCGACGGCGAACGACCAGATTGCGTGCATTGACGACGGCGAGGATGCGGTGACGGGTGCGGCGCGGCTGGCGTACCTGTCGAGTTTCCGGGACAAGATCGAGCCGCTGGTGTCGGCGCAGTTTATGCAACAGCGGGTGGACGTGGAGATGGCGGCGCTGCGGGACGGCTACGTGGATCTGAGCACGTGGTGCATGGGCCGATTTTCGGAGCTGGTGTTTGCGGTGGATTTCCGGGGCGTGATGCCCGACTTCTTCACGGCGACGCGATGGTATGGCGGCACGGCGATGAAGCAGATGGTGGCCACGCTGGAGGAGTATGTGGCGGGCTACCGACAGGTGCTGCACCACTCGCTCGTGGACGTGTTTGTGGAGATCCTGTCGGACACGCTGCTGACGCGCTATCTGCTGGCTGTGCGCAACAAGGGCGCCAAGCTGCGGCGGACGGACCCGTTCCAGGACCAGATCTTTGCCGATGTGGCGACCGTGTTCGAGATGTTTGACGCGATCGGTGCCGGTGGCAGCGGCGGCAGCGAGCTCGTCGCCGGGCTCAAGCAGACGTGGCGCGTCATGGAGCAGTTCCTCGCCCTGCTCACGACGCCCAAGGAACAGGTCCCCGAGACGTTTGCCGCCTTCAAGACGGCCTACTGGGACCTCCAGATCGGCTGGGTCGAGGCTGTCTTGCGCGTGCGCGACGACTTTGACCGCAGCATGCTCAACGCTGTCAAGGCGCGCGCCGCCCAGATCTATGTCGAGCGGGGACCGGAGACGATCATGAGCAAGGTGAAGTAGGACGTCGTGACGATTGTGGTGTAGCTTTGTTTTTTGGTATCTGTAGAGCGAAATGTCATTCGGCACGTGAAGAGTCCAACGTTCCTTCTGTTCGTCCATGCTACTACGTTCCTCGCTCCTCCCGTAAATGGAACTCTGCATTCTTTCCACAAGTGTACAAAGGGGTATCAGTGAGAGTCAAACTCCTAGAGTACAAAAAGCCCGAAACGACTGGAAAGACAAAAAAAACAACAATCTGACATGGACATTTACATGTCTCGACAAATCCACACTCTATCTCCATCACATTCCTTCTCCTCTTCATGTTCCACGCTCCGCTCTTCCTCTCACGAGTCCACGCCGGCTGTCTCCATCCCGTCGGCAATTTCCTCCAGCACGTTCTCTCTCGCCTCGACAGCGGCAGCACGCGCACGTCGAGCAGCCTGGACGGCCTCGAGAGCAGCGGCACGCTCGGCGACGAGGACGCGGTCAGCGGCCATGGCGCGGGCGCGGCGGACGTCGACGTCGTCGCGGCGGACGAGGCGGCGCAGGGCCTCGGACGCCTGGACGAGCCCGTCGATGCTGATCGCATGGTTCGTCATCTGGTGGTTGATGTACGTATACACGGCCGCGGGCGTGTCGCAGCGCAGCAGGGCGGCCTCGTTGAGCTTGAGCAGGGCGAGCGCGACGCTGAACAGGAAAGCGCTGCCATCGCCGAGACAAAAGACCACGTCCCAGACCCGGAAGAGGGCCTCCGCACTGAGGCAGTCGGTAAAGACGCTGAGGAACCAAGGAAACGTCATGGTCTCGAGATCGATCGACAGCGCGTCCAGGTGCGCCGACAGCCGCGGCAACACCTCGGCCACGAACCCCCGCAGCACCTGCTGGTCCGCCCGGCTGGCCGCCAGCGAGTGGTCATAGTAGCCTGCCGGCAGGATCGTCTCGACAATGCTCGCCAGCAGCCAAAAGGCATCCGCTGCTGATGGCGTCACCAGCAGCAGGTTCGCCGCAATCAGGTTCATGCCCTGACAGTAGCCCACCTCTGGGTTGCGCCGTGCATACGCCAGCAGCACTGCCCGCAGCTTCGTTGCTCCCGGCCCCGTCCGGAAGAAGATGTTGTCCGTCAGCGTTCGGTGGATGTCCGCCTGAATCTGCACCAAAATGTCGCCGTCCACTCCGGCCTCGTCTTCGCCCGGCTCCAGCGCCTCATACTCTCCCGGCACCCGCAAGCTCGTCGCTCCCGTGCACTCGGCCCAGATCTTCGCCCGCAGTGCCACCGGAATTCCCCCCAGCACCAGCGCCCGGAACTCATTCCACTTGGCCCGTCCCAGCTTTCCTTTGTTGCCTAGGCCAGCCACCCCCACGATCTCGCCGTCGGCCAGCCGCGTCTCTGGCATCACTGCTGTTGGCCGCAGGAACCGCGACTCTGCCACCGCTGCTGCCGTTGCTGCTGCTGCTTCGCTCTCTCGTCGTCGCTCGGCTCGCACCTTGCGCATGAACTCGTTCCACCGCAACGTCCGCTCTTTTTGCAGCGCGTCGTGTAGCTCGCTCAGTTGTTGGAGCAGCAACCGCACTGGCTCCACGTCCTCCTTCACCAGGGTCGCCGCCTTTCTGTCGCTCTCTTCCTGCTGTTGTCGTCGTTGTTGCTGCTGCTGCTCAGCTGTCGTCGGTACCGTCAACATCTGTCCAGATACTGCTGTGGTCTGGTTTGCTTCCGACACTGTTGAGTCGCTGTCGCCTCCAGTGATCGTCGTCGCCGTCGTCGTCGTCGTCGTTGACGGCGCAAACCCTCTACCGTCGGCTGTCATCAGCCGTGGTGACTTGGGCCCCAGCTCGCTTATGTTGGTTCCGCTGGCCCTGTCGTCGTCGTCGTCGTCCGTGATCACCTCCACATGCGTGTCGCTCATGGCTGGAGTGTGGGACAGCAGCTCCGTCGGGAACGTGGCAATCTTTAGGTAGTCCTGCCACCGCTTCGCCGGCACTTCTCTGCCGCTTTTGCCGTCCTTGTCGTCGGCTCCATCGCGCAGGAGTGCCTCGTCCAGAACGGTTGTCGGACTGTTCGATCGCCCGCTCTCGTCAACACCGCCATCGACTCCGGACTCCACCACATCGGCAATATTCACGTTCTTTTTGCTGACGTAATCATCGTCCTCGTCCTCGTCGTCCACATCGTCCTCGCCATGCAGCCGTAGCGAAGCCGGCGTTGACCGCCCCGAGCGGCCCATGCTGAGCGTCTCTGAGTGTCGACTGCGCCGCTTCATGTGGCGGGCCATCTGGGCAGCCTCACGCTGGCGCCGCTTGCGGCGCTGATCATAGATGAAGCCGAAGCGGTCGATCAGATACCCCTCGCTATTATAGCGGTGGTACATGTGCGTCAACGTCGGCGGCTGCACTTCCAACGGCAGAATTGTGTCCATCTCCACGGGTCCGTACGTCTCCGGTCGTGCGAATCCGTTAGTGCCAGTGCCACCGGGACTTGCTTCATTCATCTCGCCCCAACGCTCCGCCACTTGGCTGCGATTGGCCCCGGAACCACCGTTGCTATTGCCGCCACCACCGCGAGCTCCGGGAATGTGCTGGGGCGTCGACACGCCACCACGCACCGACAGCGCCGATGCTGTCCGCCGCATCGTCGTCAATGACCGAGGGCCAGCTTTGGAGGACGCCCCGCCGCCTTGCAGTGTGGCTGCACGAGACGAGCGGACAGGTGAGCGGACTGTCGATGGCGCCTCTGTGGTCGTTTTATTGCTGTTGCCACCGGCGCCGACCAGCCGCAGAGCCATGCTTGCCAGAGACGGTTTCCGTGGCGGCGCATTCCCGACCGCTTCACCCTCACCCTCAGTTGTGATGGACAGCGGCGGCCGGAACACGTCGTCGGCAAGGACAGTGCGGCGATCACTGCCGGTTGGCAAACGGGCTCGCACCACGGTCGACTGGCCGGTTTGCTGTTGTTGCTGTTGCGACGAAATAGACGCGTTGTCTCCATTGACGCTGCCGGCCTGGCTGGACTTCTTGGTGGTCCCGCCACCCCAGAGGTAGTCCTTCCAACCCTTGGTCGTGCCGGTATTGGGTGCCGACGTGGTCGTGGCTCGGCTTGCGCTGGTACTTCTGCTGGTAGCCCGGATCGTTGCCATGCCGTAGGGCGCAAAGGGGTCAAAGCAGTCGTCATCGCTGCGGCCAGCCCTAGCTTGATAGAGCCCCAGGCTGTTATCGTCGGCCATGGCGTCGCTAACCAGGTCAGACACACGATGTGAAGCCAGGGAAGCAGGTCTGGATGTGTGTTGGGTATCAGCACCAGCAGCAGCAGCCTGGCTCAGCAGTCGTGCTTCTTGTTCCTGCTCCATGGTGCGAAAGCGCGTTTCCACCTCGAGACTTGACAGGCCAGCACACTCCTGCAACAGCTTGCGCAAGAATCGTTCGCGGTCAGCGGCCCGCGCTCGCAGCGTCGTCACCTGTGCATCACGCGCCGCCAGGTCCTCGGCCAGCTGTCGGACCAGGGCCACAGCTCCGTGCTTGCCGATCAGCCGGGCGAGGTGGGCGTCGTCGGTCAGGTGTAGCGATCCCGGAAGCACCCGACTGCTCTGGAAAGGTGGCGTGTCATCGAAGAGGGCGCTGCGGGCAGCGGCAAGAGAGGACGAGGAGTGGGAGGAGGAGCCTGAGGCGGAGGCAAAGGCGATGGAGCTGATGGTCGGTGCAGAAGCCGACACCATTGGCGGTGGTGGCAGGCCGCTGCTCAGCAGGCTGTCGACGATGGAAGTGTTGGAGGAGGCGACGCCGGCGAGATGTCGTTGTCGGCTGGCCGAAGACAGGGGAAAAGGAGGCAGTTCGGGCGAGAAGGAGGGAAAGGAGGTCAGCGACTTGTTGTCGTCCGAGGTCACGCTGGCGCTGCCGCTGGACGTCGTCGAGCCGGCGAGGCCTGATGGCAGTCCAGGCAGTCCCATGCGCACGCGACTGCTGCCTCGTTGGCTGGCCGTTCGTCGTGACCGGTGGCTGCGGCTGGACGTGGTCGATTGCTGCGAGACGGATCGCGACAGCGCTGTCGGTGCGATCGTCCCTATGGTCGCGAAAGCAGCTGGCGAAGCCGTGGCCGTAGCCGTGGTCGTGGTCGTGTTGGCGGCGACTGCGACTGCAGCTGCGGCTGCGACCGCGCTCGTTGGACCAGCAGTCGCAGAAGAGATGGAGGCGTCGTCGCGATCCATGGCCGTAGCAGCATGGCTCGTCGGCACGCGGCTGGTTGGGCAGGCGGACGGCGGTTGGGCGAAAACGGAGACGGCGGGAGAGAGAACAAGAGAGAGAAGAAAAGAGGGGAAGACGGAAGAGCTGATGCTGCAGCTATCGATGGCTGCTGGAACCAGGCCGATCTGCAGGCGAGTTCATCTGACGCGAATTCGTGGTCAAACAGGTAAGAGAAGGACAGGAAGAAAAGGGAAAGAAAACAAGAGAGGAGAATGACGGCAAATAAGAATAGAGCTCGAGCTGCGCCGAATGGAATGAAGAGGCGAAGCTTCCGAGCGAAGGGGCATTTGCCAGGAATGAACCTCAAGCCAATGGGTGATCATCTCCCAGGAGGCACCAGCACTAATTTTAGTGGTCGATGATGCGGGTCACGTGTTCAAGCACTAATAATATCCCAAGATTGCCACCAGCGGAGCAATGCAATACAGGGATGAAACGTGTGCACTGCGGCCGGTCTGTGGGGTGCATGCAAGATGTGCAGGTGTGCAGGTGTGCAGGGGGGAATCCTCAACCAGAACGACAGGGCTCATGACCAACAGGATGTCGGTCGAAATGACCAGATGGAGAAGCCGTTGGTGACCTCTGTCACGTGACTGTAACTGCAATCTTACCTCTCGTATTCCGGCACGGCGTTGTGTGCCGACGCATCTTCTTCTTGTACTCCGTACTCCGTATTTAGGCGTCAGCCGCCGACATTCTGCCACGTACGGCCATAGATACTGGAAAACACGGGATCCCGTCCGCTCTCCCCGAGTTAAACCAGTAATCGGCGGATTAGTAGTTGGGTCGGTGACGACCAGCGAATACTCGCTGCTGCACGTTTTTTTTCTTTTTTTCTTTTTTTCTTTTTTTCTTTTTTTCTTTTTTTCTTTTTTTCTTTTTTTCCTTTTTTTCTTTTTTTCTTTTTTTCTTTTTTTCTTTTTTCTTTTTTTCTTTTTTTTTTTTTTTTTTTTTCTTTTTCTTTTTTTTTTCTTTCCTTTTCGGGATTACGTGTTTCGTTTTGCGTAGCCGAGGAATTTGGTCGAATTTTCACAGGTGCTTTGAGTTCTTACACTTGTTTCAGAGTAGAGTAGAAGAGCAACAGAAATAGGCAATATGGCTGACCGACAAGCAGAGGTTGCAAATCTGAGCAACCTGCAACTCCGAGAAAGATGACCGTTACGACAGAGTCATGGCAATATCCTACGCAAGAAGTCCAGTAATAAAGGGTCGAGAAGCACAGTTCCTTGCATTCCCCCTTCGATGCACCCGTCTACGCAACTACCTTCTGCGCTGCCTTCACTTGCTTGTAAAAAGAGATCATGCTTTGCGCCCTAATGCGCTTTTACCTAACGTGGGAGAACAAGCGCGCGACCGGCTGGCCGGTAAGCAGCCGGTGCCGCAGGCAATGGCTAGCGATGAGTTCTTCGACCTAACGGATAAGTAGCAGAGGAACGTTTCTAGTACATTTTCATTTTTGGTGAAATATACGGGTGGAAGAATGAGGAACAAAGCTGTGGTAGTGAGATCTTCAGCCATGAAAAATACGTGCTATAAGTAAGTTGGTCTTGAAAACTTGACAATCTGCAAACCGTTACCCTTCCCTCCCCTCTCAAGCTTCTCTCACTGTGACAAATTGCAACCGTGAGGCAAGTACAAAAAATATCAAAACAGCCCAGCAAAACGACTACAACACGAGGGAAAAGAAGACTCGTTAGATAACGACACTGGCCCCTTGGTCCAAAAGGTAGCGAGCAACGTCGATGTGGCCAGGTTTGTCTCCCTGCGAAGCTAGGAACAGCGGTGTGACGCCCTCCTGCTCTTCGGCGTACACGTCATTGGGGTTTTCCGCCAGCAGCATCTTAATCACCTCCAGGTGTCCATTTTGTGCCGCCTGGTGAACCGGCAGCCTCCGGCCAGACCTGGTCAGGAACGATTTTGCGCCGCGTTCCAGGAGCATCTTGACCACCTCCGAGTGCCCTTGCTGGGAGGCAATCCACAACGCGGTCGCGCCGTCCTTCTCCTCGGCGTTGACGTCTGCACCGTTCTTCAGCAGCAGGGCAATGATCTTGGTAAAATTGTTCTGCGCCGCTATCATAAGGGGTGGCCAGCCGTCCTCCTCGCGCGCGTTGACTTCGGCACCGTGCTGGATGAGGAGAGCCACTATGTCGACGCAGCCGTTTTGGGCCGCCTGATGGATGGGGAAGCGGCGGGCCGGGTGAATGCAGAAGTCCACGTTGGCGTTGCTGCGGATCAGCAGCTTGGCGATCTCGTAGTGGCCCTGCTGCGCCGCCAGCCAGAGCGGCGAAGGCGTCTCGTCGTCGTAGCTGCCGACGCTTGGCTCGACGGCGGCACCGGCCGCCAGCAGCATTTTGATCACCTCCAGGTGCCCGTTTTGCGCCGCCTGGTGGATTGGCCGCCGGTTGCCGTTTGCCGATGCGGCCTCGGTGTTGGCCTGCGCGTGGATCAGGATCTGCACGATCTCATGGAAGCCCTGTTGCGCTGCACTCCACAGCGGCGTCACGTTGTTGTTGTCATGCGGGTCCGCCGCCGCGCCGCCCGACAGCAGAAGCCGCACGATATCAATGTGGCCTTCCTGCGCGGCCTGGTGGATGGGCGTGCGCAGAGTCTCGATCACCGGCACGTCCACGTTCACGCCGCTGTACCCGAGCAGCAGTCGGACCACTTCTAGGTGGCCAGCCTGGGCGGCCAGCCCGAGTGCCGTAGCCCCATCCGTGCCGGCCAGTCCCGCGCAGGCCGGAGCCCGCTCGAGAAGAAGACTCACCATAGCAAGGTTCCCGGATTGGGCCGCCTGGTGGATGGGCTGACGTAGCTTCGTGCTGGTAAGGGTGCCTAGGTTCATGGGCTGGAAGGGGGCAGGGCAGTAGGAGATGTTGAAGTCACTGTCTCTACCATAACCGATTTGATCAAAGTCAATGTTGTCCACCAGACTGTTGGAGAATTCCAGAGGATTCTGGGCAACAGGCAACGGCTGGGAATCTTCAGCTGCGACAATCTCTGATGTCGTCGGCGGTGCTTCAACTTGATCTGGGAAAAGCATCTTAGCAGACTGTAACGAAATTTGCGCCCAGTGTTATCGAGGTGTTCATCCAGGGGATGATACCTAGATGTAGGTCTGCTTGACCAGTCCTGTTCTCCCGCGTCCCTGCCTTCTTGTACTTAGATATTCCCCAGTCGTTAAGCTTGATTTTATACTGCTGCTCACTGTTGAGTCCATGATGAGTAAGCACTGCCACTGATGTCTGTGTGCGCTCTGCTTACCTGGCTTTGAAACCTTTTTCCTCCATAAATCTCATGACATCTTTGAGCGTGTTCTTCTTCGTGATATAAAGGTCTTTGATGGTTTTTTTGTGATTTTCCCACTCACGTTTCAGCGGGCCAGACAACCGAGAGGCTGGAGTTACCAACATGTTCAAGACCTTTGTGCTGTTAAAAGAGTAGAGACACTAAAAAATACCGAGGAGCTTAAAGTCCTAATAACTGACCTGCACCAGAGGAAGCATGATGGTGGAACAGCATGGCCTTTATATATGTCCTAGAAAACAAACTTTCTGTTCACCTTCCATCTACAAAGTTCAAACTTTCCATCAATCGTTTGTTTTCTGATCACTCCTGTTCTATTTTTGCGGTCTTCCATAAGCCACCTACACAGCCATATCAACAAAGTTTCGCCTTTTCGAGTACAGCCCAATCAATGCTCACTACACCTGGAAACTTTTCCGCCCGAAGCTGCCCGAGACATTTGTGCACATTGTTATGTATGTAAGAAAGTTTCCTGGCCCCTGTCAGTTTGGGCCAATGATCGACGTTTTCAGCCCTCAACAAACGTTTGGGAAAATACGTCAGCAAGGCCTCCCTACGCGAGGCGGATTGCGTCGAGCTTCGCCTCCTTTCTCATCCCCGGGCTACCACATCTCGGCATCAGAAAAATGTGCAAAAACGTTTGTGCTCCTAGGGAACGTTTTGAGAACTTTCCCCCGCCCAGTTCTTGCCATTTGAACAATTTTAAACCTTGCCAGAAACGGGTTGCCTACCTCTGGTATATATAAGGTACTTCTCACCCCTTCATGCTAGTCCACAATCCTCTGAGCTAAGTAGCCACAGACCAAAACAGTACGAGGCTAACGCATACTTTACCCAGCACCAGCTCAATCACACCATGGAGCCACTACCGAGCTTCTCCAGCATATATGCTGGCGACAATTTGATTCCGGAGCCTGTTAGGAACACGGAAGCTCAAACAGAAGAACCGGAAGTGATCATTATAGATGACTCTACCCCGACTCAAGCTAGCATCGCATCCCCCAAGCGGACTAGAGAGTCCTCTCTCGACATGAGCGACGAGCGACCCAGAAAGTCTCCGTATAGCTTCTTTTCCTCGGGCAGCCTTCGTGCAGAATTTCTTTTGCAGCCCGTTGATATCGAAAAATCACAAACAGAAGAACCGGGAATGGCCATCATAGATGCCTCTACGCCGACTCATGCTAGCAGTGTCCCCCCCGAGAGAACCATAGTATCGCCTCTCGACTCGAGCGAGGACGAGTGGCCCAGAAAGTCTGCGGTTGACGGTTTGCGACGATTCATTGTTCATCCCAGTAAGTGCGCCGAAAAGAGCGTACAATGATGCGTCTTTCTAGAGCAGCCCTGGTGCTGACGGACACTTCTCAGAGACGATCCAAGTGTCCTTTGATGACATTCACGTCCATTCGAACACGATCGAGGCTCTTGGGAACCTCACCCTGGCGCTCGACTATCCGGACGCCTTCAGCTACGGTATCTTGTCCAAGGGTGCCCCGCCGTCAGTACTGCTGTATGGGCCACCCGGGACTGGCAAGACGCAGCTCGTCCGCGCCCTCGCAAAACAGGCCCGCTCCAAGATCTTGGCCATATCTAGCGCCGACATCCATGACAAGTATGTCGGCGTCGGTGAGAAGATGATCAAGGATTTGTTCAAGCTTGCGAAACGGGAGCACCCTTGCATCATCTTCATCGACGAGGCTGACTGCCTGTTCCGCTCGCGCTCGAGCGAGTCCAACAAAAACTACCAATCGTATCTCAACGAATTTCTTGTGGCCATGGATGGGATCGGCTCTCGGGGCGCCAGGAGCCCCACCATCGTGGCGGCGACAAACCGGCCGTTTGATATTGATGAGGGAATCCTGCGGCGCCTAGGCCGGCGCATCATGGTCGGCATGCCAGACGCGGCGGCACGCGAAGAGATCTTGAAGATCCACGTGCGCGGAGAATCTCTGGCTCCCGACGTGAGCCTCTCCGACCTGGCAAAGGTCACTCCGAACTACAGCGGCTCCGACCTCAAGAACCTCGTGTATTCGGCCGCCCTGAGGGCCCTGCGGGAAGAAGCAGACCAGCCCCAAGCTCAAAACTTGGCATCTGGTGCCCCGGCGGTGGATGACAGCTCTGGCTCAGCGGAAAGATGCAAGATTGGCTGCGGCCGCGTCCTGCGCAAGGAACACTTTGCCTACGCCAAGCGCGAGACGCATCCGTCCCCGGTGGCGGATACGGTGGCCAAGATTCAGGAGTTCCACAACAAGCATGGCGATACAGTGCAGAGAAGCGGCGCGAGCGGCCCAGTGAACAAGTCGAAAGCGCCTGTCTCATGCTGAAAGTTTGGGGGAGGATGATGTTTTTATAGTACGACAAGGTACTTTTCTTTCTTTTCTCTTTGTGTACTTTGCGAGCGCTCGCTCCCCTCTTATTCTTCCCTCTCTATCTACTCTCTGTATATATAATATAGAACTAGATGATAGCGGAATAAACACACTTTGCGTGCGCTCTATGCTGGCTTTGAGACGTCTTAATTAAATGATACATTTAGCAGAGTTTTCTTCCAAGCGATACGTGAGGTCAAAAGGCTGTATATTGGATGATAGGTAAAGATAGCCACCAAAGCTTTCCTTTTCGGGGTTATGCTGTATCTAGGTTGCATGTTTCCTTATTTCGAGACGGACTAGCTGCACCACCAAAAACAGCTGTCACAACATGAACAACTAGGCCTCACCGATGAGGGACCACTCTAACCGTGACCTTTTCACCCATCTTGCTTCACGATCCTTATTCTAATTTCCACAGTCCATGGTCATGGCTCACTCGCCGGTATTCACCCATTTGTCGTTGCACACGCACTCACCTGCAACTTGTCTGTGCAAGCATGACTTCCTGGCCAGCTGAAATTTCAGGGTATAAATAAGGAGATAGAAAGACTCTCCTTGAATATCTCTTTTTGACAGAATCGTGCCAGATCCATCAACAAGAAACTACAATCTGCACAACCGAGACAGCCTCTACTCGATCGAAGTATACATTATGGCCGCCCAAGACCTATCCTGCGACCTTGTTCCCGTTTTCGCTAGACTAGAAGAGCCCAAAGCCCGTCCTAAGCCGATCCCGACTCCTATGCCGGCGCCGAAGTAGAGGCGGATCGACAGGCTTCAACAAAAAGGGAATCTTACAGTACTTATCGCCCGGACAACAACATTATCCGGACAGTGAGTGGAAGACAATGTTGAGCATATCGACGATGACTGTGTATTATGATGCAGCACGTTATTAGACAGTCTTCTTTTAATTGAACACAACTTTACATGAGCGTTCTATCTGCATGATCTACCCGAGGTGTACGAACAGTTACCCGCAGCAGACCGTCGTCTCCTCTATGCCTTTTATACCTTTGTTCCAGCTGCCCTCTCCGGCATCCACCCGCACGACAAGCCAATCGCAAAAGAACTTTCCGAGGCCTGCGCCCACAAAGATGCTGATGATGATATAGCCATTGAAGGACATGCCCAGCAACATGACAATGTATGCACCGCCGAACGTGATGGCGTGTAGGATGGCACGTGCCATCTGCTGCAGCGCACTGGCGCGGATGACAACGGTCATGGGCCGTGGGCCTACGGCAGCGGCCTGGTGGTGGAACTGGCGTACCAGGAGACCGTCCAGTTCTTTGCCGAGTCGACGTGCGAACTCCACCAGGACGACCAGAAGGATGGTGCCAATGCTGGTGGCCGCCATCATACCATGGTTCTCAATGTACCACGACGTAGAGATGTAGCAGGTGCCGATGGTGTCCCAGTTCCAGAACATCTGATAGTATTGGTAAGCGTCCACAACAAATAAGATATATGGCTGCAAAGACACACCGATGACTGGCAGGAAGAATGTCCGCTCATGCTGTCGTCCATTATGGCACCGATGCAGGCTGTAGAATTTGTCAAAGGAAAGAATTGCGCAGATTGGAAACACACGTTCGAAAATGGTTCTTCCTCTTTGATTGAGCAAGTTGTTGGTGTGGCCAATGGAAGCCGTAGAAACGTGCTCAAGGTCCCTGCTCGCAGGCTTGGCAGACCCACGACAAAAGTGTATTTACATCTCCAGATATCCTCTGGTATATTCTGCACCGGATCCTTCCCGACTCACAGAAAAAAATGGCCATTTTAGGATCAGCATCCGCAGGCTTCGTCCGCGAGCCTCGCCACATTCAAGACTACGGCCAGGCCAACACGACAACAGTGAATTACTGGGGATATGCCAGCCGCGTGCTTCCCTGCACAAATGATGCCGGGTCCTGCGCGTACCTGGACGTCGTGTACAATGCCCACGTCGCCGGCATGCTCTACTCGGGCATTCTATGGGCCACAATCTTGGGCGTCTTGTTCGTCTGGGCCGTCCTTCACTACAGCCTTGGCGCGTCCTCCTCGGTGCCGTCTTTGCCGACGAGCGATGCCATATCAGCAGCCGCCGACGAGCCGCTGGTCGGACAGTCTCGTCCCCGAACCGGAGGTCTACAGAAGCTGCAATGCGCTCTCTCGGCCTGGAGCACCCAGCTTCTGCAGCGAGAGGCCCCGCTCAGCCGCATCTTTGGCCACGCCACGCGACTGCAGGTGATGGTCCTGGCCGCACTGGTCGGATACCTGGCCGTCTGGTCGTTTGTCGGCATCGTCTATGACACCTGGGTGACGCCCGTGAAGCAGCTGGCGGGCGTCTACAACACGCGGACCAGCCTCGGTCCCTGGGCCGACCGACTCGGCGTGCTGGCCTTTGCTTTGACGCCGCTCTCGATCCTGCTGAGCAGCCGCGAGTCGGTGCTGTCACTGCTCACCGGTGTGCCGTACCAGAGCTTCAACTTCCTTCACCGCTGGCTCGGCTACCTCATGTGCGTGCAGGTGGCCTTGCATACCATCGGCTGGACCGTCATCGAGGCCCGGTTGTACCAGCCGCAGCCGCGCGTTGGTGCCGACTGGATCGTCCAGCCGTACATGGTCTGGGGCCTCGTCGCCGTCGTCCTTCTGGCCCTGCTGGCCCTCCTTAGCACACCCTGGGCCGTTCGCCGAACCGGCTATGAGCTCTTCCGCAAGGCCCACTACGTCCTCGCAGTCGTCTACATCGGCGCCTGCTGGGGCCATTGGGCCAGGCTGCGCTGCTTCTTGCTGCCGTCGCTGCTCTTCTGGGCCGCCGACCGGCTGGCTCGCCTCTTTCGCACCGCTTTGCTGCACTACCGTCCGCTGCCCGAGGGTGATGGCTTTGGCTTCCGTTCTGTCCCGGCACGTCTTCGCCTCTTTCCCGACGATCCAGAGGCCGGAGACGTCGTCCGGCTCGACCTGGAACACAACCAGGACGAGTGGCACCTCGGCCAGCACTTTTACCTCTGCTTTGCCGACATCAGCATATGGCAGTCCCATCCATTCACGCCGCTCAACAAGCCGACTGTCCGCGGCGGCCGTGTCGTCCATTCGTACCTCATCCGTGCCAAGGCTGGCGAGACCCGGAAGTTGGCCGCCCTGACAGCCCAGAAGCTAGCCCTCCATCCCACCACCGATGCTACTACCCCCGTCATCATTACCGGCCCCTACGGCGAAGACAACTCTCGCCACATCCTCTCTCCTGCCGCCGAGAAGAACAATGTCCTCTGCATCGGTGGCGGCACAGGCATCGCCTATGTTCTCCCCGTGCTTCTGGCTATAGCCGAGCGCAGCATGGCCATGGGCTCCTCTTGCAGTGACCGCATCGTGGAGCTCGTCTGGGTCATGCGCTATGCTGACAATGTCGAGTGGGCGCGTCATGAGCTGGATTTACTGCAGCGCGCCACCCAAAGCGAGTCATGCAGTCTCCGTTTGCGCATTCGCCTCATACACACCCGCTGCAGGTCGGCAGTAGAAGATGCTTCAGGCTCGAGCGATGACGAGAAGGCGAAGGAAAGGGACAAAAACGCCTGCTGCTCTTGTCCGGCAGACTCGCCACCCTCACTGGACGTCCAGGTAGGCGGCGACGCCAACTCGTCCGATGCCGCTGCAAGGCACCCCGATATCGCCGCGATCGTGTCTGACTTCGTCGACTCTACAACCAGCGGGCCTACCGTCGTCTTCGCCTCCGGTCCAGGCGGCATGATCAGCGACCTCCGGACGGCCGTTGCCAGTTGTGCATCCGGATCCAAGGTGTGGAAAGGTGATGCCCGTTACGACATCCGTCTTGTACGTGATGACCGGTTGGAGTAATAGTATAATAGAAGCAGAAAGTTGATAATTTTCGGTAGCCAGTAAGGTTATAATCAGATCGATTACAACCAGAGAATTTCCAACTTGTTGAGATGGCCCTACACGTGATATAAACATGCCCACCTTTATCTTACCAGTAGAGACCCAGCATATAGAAGCGCGCTATTCTGTGGCATCCTTGGTTGCTATAGCCCGTCCCGTGGCAACAAGTCGCTCTACCTAAAATATTGACAGTCGAGCCTTCACAGCAGATGGGTCTAAGGCAATCGCTGGGACCCAGGAAGCAATCAGAACTGGCGATGAAGATGATATATTCCGCCATCTTTACGTTATACAGCTCTTTCATGATCCGCCGCGTCATTATCTCGGTTGTCAGGGGCGCTTGAACTTGGCCACAGACCCAGACACAGGCAATACTTAGCTCCACGTGGCTGAACACGGCCGGCTCTTTGCGATCCGCTACCTTGCTGGTTTTATGAGCACTCGGTTTAATCCCTTTCGAAAATGGAAGTACAACTATCTGGTCTGTCAAAATAAAGCCTGAAACACGGCCATGCACTGTAGTGTGCACCAAAGCGATCTCGACGTGGTCCGAAACAGCTACCGGATGTCTCGCGGTTGCTGGATTCCTAGAGACGAGGAGACGGGGGTGATAGCAAGCTACTGGAAGACGAGACGAGCGACTACTTAGACGAGCATTGCCTGGATATGGCTGTGGTGGTCTTGAGAACGGAAAATGCACACGGACGCACTCCTGCTTTGGAAGCGCGTTGGTGCGAACAAGAAATCAATGCGGACTTTTACGAGACGATCCTTGGTAGGATCGATCCCAAAGGCAAGCATCAGTCCGATGAAGCAGTGGAGGGCTACAGGAAGTACCTGTGTCGTTTGAAATACGTCGAGGAACCCGCACAGTAAAGGCGGTCTAGATGGAAGTATTGAAAATCCAAACGTTACAGGATTTTTCATACGTGCTGTCGGGTGTGTTTGTAGTTGCTAAATCAAATTGAAATAGCCCATGGAACAAAGTAAGCGAGGGAATATTTCTCATATAAGCTGCAGGATAAGAGGCTTTGAGCAACTTTAGTTTCAAATTCTTCTTAGTGGCCGAGCTGACTACTTATACGCCCCCGGAACGAAGATGGAGAAAGCTCAAGTTGACCCAAATCATACGGATATGAAATGTGTACGGTGGTTCATCGCATCGCTGCATGTAAAAACTTTGTAGTAGAAAGTGTAAAATTTTTAAACAAGATATAAGCTAACACAAAGAATTTACCGGCCTACTTCAAAGATACTGTTTGAACAAATGTAGACTTGACGATGATGCCATTGATATTATCCTCGGAGCCGGAGCCAGACGAGCGTGGTTTACCAACGGTCGAGCCGGCTGTAGCTTGGTTGGTCAGGCCAATCTCGTCGTCAGAGGGTCCCAGTTTCATCATCTTGTCTCCCCCAAAGGCGAATCGAGAATTGCTGCTGTAGGGCTGGGCGCCCGTAGACCGCCAAGGAGTACCGGCAGAGTTGGCGCCTGACTTTTGTCCGCTAGAGACGTTTGTGACCTTGAGATGGAAGAGCTTCCAAAGTGGCGCCAGATGCGGCAGACAGGCGCATACGATACCGATCGAGGGCTCGATGGCAGACCATATAAAAACGGGACCCATAACCCAGGTCAGGTCTGTGGACGAAGAAAAGACAGTGAGGTAGTATATGCGGAGGGCGCTGGCAACGCATACACTAAGAGAAAGACATGTCAATGGGGATAGGAACTGAGAAATATAAGAAGGGATACGTACAAGCCCCCTAGAAGCAGAATACCGGTCACGGCCACTTTCTTCCGGAGAGAGAGCTGCAGGCTTAGAATCAGAGGAATTGGAATGGACAGAATAATGACGTCGTTGAGCATGTTGATGATGCCAAGAGCGAGGAAGAACTTGTTGACATCAATGCATTTGCCCTTGGCCCCGCTGAATTGATTCCAATAGTGTGACAGAGGCTTGCAGCAGTTGGCCATTGTCACCCAGATGATGAGGGGGTATGAGAAGGATAGAAAGTAGCCAACCATGACGGAAAGCCTAAAGGCCGTGTTGATGGAGGGAAAGATGCGTTGGTAAAAGAGAAGGATGGAGATTTTTGTCGACGCGCAAGAAGCCGCATAGATGTACGTGTATGAGTAGAGAATCTGCTTGCTGTCAGTCAAGCCCCCGTTACGAATTGTGCTGAAAAGACTGAGAGCAGGCGCAATCACCTTGAAAATGAGTGTAAGCTGGTCCATGTCAGTGGCCCAGATGTGTTTTCCAGCACCGATAGCTCCGCCTAGGACCCCGTTAGCATGCAGGACAGCTGTCACAAGGGGAATGGGGCAAACGCACCGGCCACACTCATGCCGACAGTACCCATGACAAACAGCTCCAGAGAGGCAATCAGGTTAGCCGAAAGAGGCCTGCTTATGTAGGCTGTAGAGCGTCTCTTACCAGAGCCAAGATAATCACCCAGTCGTCACGATTGATAGGAGCTCGCTGGATGGAGCGCGCAATGAACCGAAATATGACTGCAATCAATGCCAGAATGATTACAGTAATAGCAGCCGCGTCGTTCTGGACGGCTCGGTTTGCCTTGAGGTTGATGCCATCGGGCGCCGACCCAAAGACGGCAAGAATGGCTGGATCCATTGTCTGCTTGCTCACATTGACTAGCAATGTGCTGCTGAAAGAATGTACAGAAACGGGACGAGCAGAGTCTCTAGGACACATGCGAGTCTGCTGATCTAGTATCCTTAGAATCTCATCAGCGCACACCGACCGTCTGAAATGGGGAATAGGGGGGTTTCCTTTTTGGGACGCCGAAACTGTCCATCGTAAGTAATATGTGATCAGATACGTACAGAGAACGGTATCACATTGTGAGAGCCAAGGTACATACAGGGCCCCGTATCAACCAAGAAATGTTGGAGTTGTCCGTAGCATCGTGGAAATACTCGTACTCGGCATCAAGCATTCGTGCATAGGACTTTTGTTTCCGGCCCGTGCTAGATTTGCTCCTCTTACAAGCAGACCAGTCGGAATCCTGTCCGGAGCCGAGGCATTGGCCAACGGATTGTGGTCCACGGTACCTCACGGCATATAAAGAGCATATCTTGGCAGGATCCGTCGTAGTTTGGTTCCTGGTCTTATCATGCCCAGTTGATCAGTCCAGATATGGTGTTGGCACTTGACATTGCTCCCAAAAGCGGCAGTATGGCCGTCTGCCGATACGATGCAAGCCGTTCGGGCGAGTAGTAGCCCGTATATCCACAGCACATAGGGGGTCGCAATGGTGCAACCTCAGTCCAAAGCAGGGTTGGCGAGCAAATTTCCTCCCGGTCAAGACCCCACTCGGCACAATCAGACATACGACTGGACTTCTTTGCCCTTCGTACGAGTACACAAGGACCTTATGAAAGAGAGCATACTACGCAGCAGGACCCTTCTTTGGATATGGGTTAAGGAGAACTGACCTGTCGAGTGGAGCGTATATCAGGCAGGCCATCCTCTGTCGAGTTCTTCCTTGACCTTTTCCCTATACCCCATCCTATTCTTCGAGTCTCTTGTTTATTCTGATTTTGAAAACTACTACCATCATGTTGCTGGAAGACAAGTCCAAGATCCTGTCCCTGACGGCCCTGGAGCGTGTCGGGCCCAAGGGCTACCTCCGTTATGTTTTTCCATTTGAGCTTCCTGAGAACTACGACATGGCCGAGGTGGCCAGAGTGCTCCAGTCTGGCTACAACGGCCTGATCCAGAAAATTGCGGTTGTGGGATGCGAGGCCGTACCGGACAACACGACGAAGCAGGCCGGTGTGATGATGCTGCAGGTGCTGGGTGAGGATGAGCAGCAGCTGGTCGTCAAAGATCTGCGGGCACCGGGGGCCTTCTGCATGAGCTACGCCGAGCTCAAGGCGAAGAACTTCCCAGTATCCGCGTTCGACGGCGAGCTGCTGCTGCGCCGCTCCGTGTGGCCGAGCCCGGGCGAGGAGCTGCCGATCTCGCTGGTGCAGGCCAACTTTGTGCAGGGGGGCCTAATTCTGACTTGGTGCATCCTGCACATGGTCGGAGACGGTAACACGTTCTTCACCTGGACCAAGGTCTGGGCCGAGGAGTGCCGACGGGCCGGTGGAGACGAGATTGCAAAGCCGCTGAAGCTGGATCCGGCCATCTTTAGCGATCGCAAGCTCGTCATGCGATCGACCGGCCGTCACCCCGGACGGCTCTCAGACCACCCCGAGTACACGCTCATTCCCTTTACGCCGCAGGGGGCGCCACCCAAGATGCTGTCGCAGGACCACCGCGGCCAGGTGTTTTACTTCTCCCCGGCCTCGCTGGCGGCTCTCAAGGCGGAGGCCTCGCCGGTCAAGGCTTCGAGGGCGCACCGCCAGAAGTGGATCTCGACCAATGACGCGCTCTCGGCACTTCTCTGGCGCACCGTGATGGCGGTGCAGTCGCCGCTAGACTCGCTCGAAGGCGACCCCGTGTCGGTGTTCAACATTGCCATTGACGGCCGGCTGCGGACGGATCCACCGGTGCACCCAAACACGCTGGGCTGCTTCCTCGAGTATGTGGCCGTGTCGGCGCCGATCCGGCAGATCCTGTCGAGTCTCAGCCTGGCCGACCTGGCGGGGATGGTCCGCAAGGCAATCCTCCGGGCTGGCAAGCACTTCACTGGCGACGTGGTGACCATCATCGACGGGCTCGAGGACGTCGACCGACTCGTTCCGACGGCCTTTTTGGACGTGCCCGGCAACCACTGCGTGCAGTCGTCCTGGGCCAATTTCGAGCTGTACGGCCTCGACTGGGGCTCGGGCCTGGGCATGATCCAGTCGGTCCGGTGCCCAGAAGTGGGCGTGATCAATGGCCTGCAGGTGGCACTGCCCACGCTGCCTGATGGCGGAATGGAGATCCTCGTGGGGGTCGAGACAGAGGCCCTGGACAGGCTGCTGCACGAGCCCCTGTGGACCAGGTTTGCCGAGGCCCGCTGATATGGTGCGGATCTTTGTTTTTCTTCTTCCGATGAGCGTTTCCTTTGAGCCGAGAGGTTGAGTGCTTGCCCCTGTTCGTATACAATGTACTATCTTTCTGCGAGTATGTTTGCATAGATTGAATCGAGAGCAGCATATTCGCATCCGTTCCCGCGATCCTGTACATGTTCATTTGAAACTAAAGCACCTGCTTCGTATTCTCGGCCGAACCATGGTCGAGGCTGGGGAAGGTTGGATACTCACTCGTATGACGAGCAAGTCGGCGCAGACTCAACATTGGTACTCCGTATTCCCGGGCGTCTATCCGGCCTTCAGACATCTGATCGCCGTGAAAGGTCCAGAAAGGGGTATTGATGCAACATTGCCAGTGCTGGGGACGGCTTGGACATTCTCCTTCTCCGTATGATGATCGCAGGGGCAAAGACGGGACGGAAATGGCTGCGGCAGCTTCAATGTAACATCAGAGTTACGCGGCTACCACTGCTATACGGAATACTCCGTACGCGTACTCGCAAACCGATCGGTCCACACGATATGTTGCTGATATCTTCGGCGCAATCTGCTTTATTGGGTTACTCTGTCGATCTGATGGTCGTGTTATAACCGCCTTTTGCCGATCATAAAGTACCGGGGTTTATCCGAGTGGGTCCAGGGCTTTTTCCATTTTATTGCGTCATTAGTAATCTTCGCTTGCCGGCCAACATCGGGAACTGGCCGTCTGAGACCTGGTCTTCATCTTCGCTCGCCCTGTCACCCCCAACCCCCTCGGAACGTTCCATGTCTCTGCACGTCCTCTCCGACGGCGACGTGCGCAGCCTGCTGGCCAGCCTTGACGCGGCCGCGCTGGAGGACCTCTTCAGCGCCCTCGGTGACGCTTTGCAGGCCTATTCTGTCGGCGACGAGAAGCAGTACCAATGTCATCGTCAGGGTGTCACGCGGCCAGGCGGGCCGACCATGCTGTTCATGCCGGCGACGCTGGCTGATGGCGTGTCTGTCAAGGTGGTTGGTGTGCCGCTGCCCGCGCCAGCATCGATGCCAGTGTCATCGCCATCACCATCACCATCACCATCCACTCCCAAAGGTCTCACCGGCGTCGTCCTCATCTGCGACCAGGACGGCCGCGCCATCGGTCTGCTGAATGCCGCCGCCTTGACCGCTTTCCGCACCGCTCTCGGCTCCATCCTGCTGTATCGCCACCGCGCCACCACCGCCCGGATCGTCGTCTTTGGCGCCGGCAAGCAGGCCCTCTGGCACATCCGTCTGGCCCTGGTGCTGCGACGCGCCGACATCGCCGCTGTCACTATCGTCAACCGGTCGGCCGCACGCGCGGCTGAGCTTGTGGCCGAACTGCGCGCCATGGACGAGGCCCAGCAGGGGAGTGCCGACGCTACGCTCCACCACGTCGCCTTCCGGGTGCTGTCCCCCGAGGCCGCCGACGTCGAGGCCGTCCGAGAGGCCGTCCAGCAGGCCGACGTCGTCTTCTGCACCACCCCGTCGACCTCCCCCGTCTTTCCGGCCGCATGGCTGACTGGTGCGGCTGTCGAAGGAAAACCGAAGACCCGCTTCATCTCGGCTATCGGCTCCTACAAGCTCGATATGCAGGAACTCGACCCCGTCCTGCTGCATACCATCGCCACCGACGACATATTTCCGGCTTCCTACAGGCCACCCACCGCCATCGACGTCACCGGCAGCACCATCGTGGTAGATAGCCGTGATGCCTGCGCCGTCGAGGCCGGCGAGCTCGTCAAGGCTGACCTCCCCGACGGCCATCTCCTCGAAACCGGCGAGCTGCTGCACATGCGCAGCACTCTGAGTGCCTTAGAGGATCGACAGCTCGCCGCCTGGCTGTGCGATGGAAATGTCGTCTACAAGAGCGTCGGCATCGGCATCATGGACCTCTCTATCGGCCGGGCCCTCCTCGAGCTCGGGGCAGCACGCGGTGTAGGCACGACGATTGCCCACTTCTAGACGACCTACAACGAACAGAAGAACACCCAAGTGAATCATGACTTATGAGCATAGGACTTCGCATAGCATACAGATGCCTCTCGTACAATTACGCGAGCCTCTCTTCATTCTCCAAGCAGATAGTAAGCAGGTCGATGTTTTCCCAAATAAAACCGGTGGCCACCTGTGCTTTCCCTGTACTCTAGAGAGTCACGAGTCCCCTCTCGGAAAACACCTTTTTATACACTTTTCTAGAGGTAGAGCTGCCCTCGACATGGAGGCTAATATATTTTGTCTCCACAGGAATGCCGTAACCACCCAGTGATACATTGATGTAATAGACGTAGTTGGCCTGTGAATCCGTGTTCCCATAGACAGCACAGATAATGCGCGTACCCGGATTCGGAAAATAGCAACGGGCTCCGAAGTACAGTGTCCGTGTTTGCTCCATTATGCTATCCACGCAAGCGTCGAACGGCGTGGTCGGGTCCGGTGGCAGCCGTATATGGGCCATGACGGCACCTTGCACAGACACAATGAAGACGACAATGCCAGGTTGGCGGACACTCGTCCCTATAGCTGCCCGGGACGGGAAATGCACAAAGCACACGTCGCCTAAGGAGACCTTCTTTAGCGCCCCGCTTGCCAGCAGATTATTGAAACGACTATGGCTAGACAAAGACATGAGGGGTCGTATTTGGGGCGACAAAACGCAGTGTTGTTTGCAAGGCCGTGTATCTTCTTCCTAAAAGGTGTGATGTTGTGTGCGCCTTTCCCTACAAGCAAAGGTTCCGCATGCCGGCAGCAGAACCCATATTTATAGCATGCGTCTGCCGTGGGAAAAAGGACGTGAGCAGCTGAAAGGACCCTTGTCATGGTAATAACCAGGAGAGGCATCTCACAAATTTAACTAATATGTCACTCCAGCAGCTAGTATAGCAGCTCACACCTATATACACTTTCACCAAGTCACTACAGTGTTCACAAACTGTCACGATGCTCTCAGCGATTCTTCAGATTGCTGAAACCATATACGTGGCCGCACCTGTTCTTAACCATAAGAGACCAGCCTTAACTCCCGACTCGCTCTATCCTTTCGTTGTCCAAATAAACAACTCCCTGTCCGTTCTCCAACAAGGTGAAGGCCAGTCCCGGTAGATTGGGAGCACCCGCATGCGGCCGATATACATGCACTTCTGGAGAAAGGAGAATCCCGAGGAGCGCATGTTGCAGCACTTCAGCGTCCGATTCAGGGCTGTCCGGCAACAGCCACAACCCGCAGATGGTGCGCGTCCCAGGGACGGGGAAATGTGTTTCTTTGTGTCTGCTGTGCAAGCTCATCAGCTGCAGCATCTGATGCCCTAAATCAAGTCGGTGCAGCCCATCACGATCGATGGTCAGGTTGATATACGCGAAGATGGCCCCTAGGTCGGACACGATGATCACTGTCGCGGCTGGACGGAGCACAACAGATGCCCCTACAGCTATGTGAGGCTTTCTGCGAAAGTCGATAAACGCCATATATCCCCGCCGCACTCTGCTCATGCGGCCTTGCGCGCTCAGGCTGGAATACGTTGGGGGGGCGTGAAGATTGCCGGATACATTCGGCAGCTCGAGCATCTCGACGTCTCCAAATAACTGTGACAACGAGTCCGCGGAGATGTAGGTGGGCGGTGCGACTAGCTCGTGTGTGGTATACTCGTATGGCAGATAGCTTGCCGTGGTAGTCCCGCCCAGGTAGGGCACGACATGCTGGCTGCCTTGATCTTCTTGGTGGTAGGGGACGGTTGAGTAGGGCTCAGAGCTGTCGAGTGGTCGTACTGCCGGGTTGGTTTGGTCGTGGTGCATGTTTGGAACGACATCTGTTACGTCGTTGCTCAGGACGTCCTGGCCGACTGCTGTCTCGCTCGACTGGGCTGCTTCGGCTGAAGAGCCATAGTCTGTTTGCGGATCTGTTGAACTTGGCCGTTGCATTAGATTGTCTCGAAATTTCCTTGCTGGATAGTACGACCAGTGAACCTTTTATACGGCTGTATCAACAGAACTGGCTCGCAGAGCAAAGCCGTGCTATATGGTGATTACTGCAACCCTCCGAAAGTGACCAAATTCGCCACTCTGAAAAATCGGCATATTTGCAACTGTTGTACAGTATGTCGTTCACCACCGCACGCATCGCCTCGAGACCCTAATTGGTTGGGGCTTGGTGAATCAGTGACAGCAGCCGTTGCATCGAGGCCATCAAATTACACATGCTTGCCTTACTCTGTTTGTAAGCTCCCGATCATAATGTCATAAACTTCTCCTTTCTGTTACGCATTACGTTATTGTAGCAGATCAGCGCAAGGCCCCCGTTTTTATACCACGGCTACAGACTGACTACACATGATCTCGGCGCCAATTCTCTTCTTTCATATTATCTAATCCATTAAACCCGTGGTTCATTGCACCCCAACTTTTTCCCTTCACGCTTGTTGCTGTTTCCGTCTCACACGTGCTTCGCCTTTCATAGAAACCTCGATGATACAGCCCTCAGCCGAAACATTTAGCTAAACGATGTAGATCAACTCTCCGGCCATGTCTCTACAAAGTTGACATACTAAGATTAGTTTTACGAATTCCGTACGCACTTAACCTCTAGCCGCAGGTCAGCGTATGTGGTCGGTAGATTTGAAGTCGAGAACAATACAATGTACAGGACACGTTTGCATGATTGAAACCCAAAGCTGGCAATACTAGCAACATACCCGCCCGCAGCGGTTTCATGCAGGCCGGACCGCCGACTCCGGCTCGTAGAATTAACATATCGTCTAAAATCTTTTCGGCGGAAACTCCACTGTCTCATTGGTCGATAAGCTGTCTGGTCAAGCTCTATGGAGTACTCCATAGGCGTATCTTTATACAAATTAGGTTAGGTTGGACTGTCGACATGGACGAGAATAAGGTAACTCCCAAGGCAAAGATAACTAAAGTACACTTTTCAGCAAATCAGCGAGCCGATCAGTGACCATGTTATTGGCCATGGGCCTCCACTATAACATGCCCCTCTACGATAGCTGTTGCGCTGACGGCTGTGAATCGCCTTTGGGCTCGAAGCTGCGGATTGCATCCACTGGCTCGCAGCCAATCAAAGCAGAATTCATTTCGGGTATATAACTTCTCTTATCGCGCCGCATATGTAAACTCGGACCTGAGGATCGTCCTTGGCAACGTATAAACCGACGAAGCGAATGCCACCCCGCCATTGACTTAATTCCATACTCTTGCATCCAAAACAGACAGCATCGCACCATGGCATCTCCATCTTTCATCACTATCCAGGCCAAGGCTCTGCCGCTGGGCACGGCCGAGTTCGAGTCCAAAAAGGCAGCCGTGCTGGACGCCTTTGCCAAAAAGGTGCCGCGCGAGTATTGGCTGCCTGAAACGCTGATTCGGAACCCGCCCACGGACGTGTCCGGCATCCCGGCAACGTGCGGGATTCTGAGCGCCGAGGAGATCCACATTACTGAGGACTACGATGCCGTGGCCCTGGCAGCAGCCATTGCCGAGCGCAAGCTCAGTGCCGTGGCCGTGGTGACGGCCTTTGCGAAGCGTGCCATCATCGCGCACCAGCTGACCAACTGCCTGACACAGTGGTGGATGGACGAAGCCATCGAACAGGCCGCAGCCCTGGACAAGTACCAGGCCGAGAACGACGGCCGCACTCTGGGACCGCTGCACGGCGTGCCCATCAGCATCAAAGACCATGTCCCGATCGCGAATACGTTCTCGTCGGCCGGCTGCCTCGCCACCGTCAGCCTGGATGCGGAAGACTGCCAAATAACGGCCAGCTTACGGCGGGCTGGCGCCGTCTTCTACTGCAAGACCAACCAGCCCCAGACGCTGATGCACCTCGAGAGCGACTCGCTCTGGGGCCGCGTACTGAACCCTTTCCACATCGGCCTCTCGGCCGGTGGCTCCTCCGGTGGCGAGGCCGCCCTACTGGCCATGAAGGGCTCTGTCCTTGGCCTTGGCACCGACATCGGCGGCAGTGTCCGCGGGCCCGCCTGCTTCTGCGGCATCTACGGTTTCAAATCCACCTCCTATAGGCTGCCGACGCGCAACTTCTTGCCCACCACTTCCGCTGCCGAGCTCAACGTCGTCGCCTCTACCGGTCCAATGGGCCGCAGCATGCGCGACCTCGACCTCTTCATGACCGCCGTCCTCGGCCCCAGCGATGCTCCAGCCCCTCACCTGCTGCTGGATCTCCAGCTCGTTCCCATTCCCTGGACCGGCCTGGCTACCCCCCGCGGCCCCAAGCCCCTCAAGGTCGGCATCATCGCCCACGACGGCTTCATCACGCCTCAGCCGCCCGTGACGCGGGCGATCGCCTGGGCCCGCGAGCGCCTGGCCGATCCCAGGCTGGCTGGGCTCATCGAAGTCAAGCCCTTCACGCCGTTCGGTGCGTCCGAGGGCTGGAACCTGGTTCGCAAAATTTACTGGCCTGATGGCGGCCAGGCCAGCCGTGACGTCATCACATCCACCGGCGAGCCGCTTCACCCTCTTAGCGACTGGATCTGGAAAGACGAGGCTCCAGACGGCATGACCTCTGCTGCAGCCGTCAACGATCTGCGCCAGAAGCGAAATAAGTTCCGCTACGACTTCGCTCAGAGCTGGCAGGACCAGGACGTCGATGTCGTCCTTGGGCCTGGCTTCGTCGGTCCTGCTAGTGCCCATGACTCCAGCTTCTACTGGACATACACGTCGCTGTACAATCTCGTCGATTATCCAGGCGTGTCCATTCCGACACCTGTCAAAGTTCAGGCTGGCGAGCACTACGACAGTAGCTATGTGCCCCTGAGCGATCCTTGCAAGCATGTGAAGACGCTCTGGGAAGCCTCCAGTTTTGAAGGGGCGCCCATTGCTCTGCAGTTGGTGGCGAGAAAGCATCGCGATAATGAGTTGTTTGGCGCCATGGCTGTCTTGAAGGATGCTCTTGATCTACCTTAGTCACGGAATTTGTAGTTGGCAGATGAATTACATTATTTACTACCAGAAATCGAGCAGTTCGCGTATGATTGTAACCCGATCAACCAGTGAATGTCAAGAAGAACTTGTCACAATAAATCGCCATGATAGCGTACCGTTGATTGTGAATTCTTCAGCGACAGACAGAAGAAGCAGACTGGCCCTACAGCTACTGCCTCTGTCTGTCTCGCTGCTGCCTTTGTCTCAAACCCTCTGCCGACAAATAAAAGTGCTCTGATGGCAAAGCATTTCACCAAGTCGGCCAGCGGTCGCCACTGTGATAGTACGTAGCTAAAGCTGCGCGTGCTCGACAGCCCAAGCTTTCCCTGCATCAGCTCTACCAACCGCGCGTACTTCCTTCGCCCTGTATCCCCAACAACGCTGACTTCTGTGAACAGCGCCTTCAGCGCGGCCTTATAAAAATAAGAAACGTATAGCTACAGTTTTGTCTGGGCAATTTCTACACACTGCTTGCAGTATTACGGAGTCAAATTAGGACTTTCTTTTTTTGTGATTGCCATCGCTGTCCTGAAAAAGGCGAATTAAGGAGACAATGGCTAACTAATGGAGACACCACACGAATATACATTCCTTCTAGAATATCCCTCCAAATAAACAGTAAATAGTTTGGTATATAACACATCAAGGTAATAAGTTCTTTAAATCCTTGTGGGGCTACGCAGGGGTAGCGAAGGGGGTGTGAATATATCACTATTATAGGTGTATTAAGTTGAAGAGCGAGAAAGCTCTCTGAATAGGAGGCTGAAAAGCCTCCTTATATACATGAAATAGACAGCGTTGCAGGGGTCTGAACACCGTCGGAGGATGCCGTAGATTATGAGAGGGAGGCGAAAGTGAGGCTTTTCGGGAGCAAGTGGCGTGATCAGGCTCGGGATGCTAATAATGCTGAAAGGCCTATGTCACGGGATGTACAAGCGTGACGTTGGAACTTCTTTTTTATTTCTCAACATTAGGCGGTAGAAGAGGCTCCTAAGAAACTCTGTTGGCGATGCTGGCGGCCGACTGAGAGGGGTTTCCAAATGTGCTTGGTTTAGTAAACAGCATCTGCCCCTTTTTAAGCTAGCCCAGGGGATGTTTTGGTAATAGCTGGAGTACCGATGGTTGGCATTTGGAAGCCGTCGCAGCCTGGGCCGCCGGGGTGGGTGACGGCGGTGCCTCGGCTGGGGGACGGGCCAGGAATTGCATGAGGAGGCTCTCCTGTGCCACTAATTTGGCACATACTTCTTCTTAGAACACATCAACCTGGCGCTCTTGGGCACCCAGTCTGCTCGTGATGTCCAGGATAGTACCTTTGGCCGTTGTTATAGTGTCAATATCGTCCGTGTTGTTGCTCTTAGAGGCTCTGGGCTGAGCGGCGGCTGAAGAACTGTTATGAGGCATGGTAACAAAGTGTGAATAATCGTATGAGTACTAAATTCGTTGGAATCGCGTTAAAACGTGTATCTGGTGAACACCGGTATGAAACATCGATTTCTTGTGATTTCTACTTATGTACGTCTATTTTGCAACGTGAAGGTGGTGCCTTTGCGTCGTACTAAGCCTGACGGTAATCTCTGTGAGCTATACATCCGGATAATTGTAAGCCTTGTAGTACGCTCATAGACCTTTGAGAGCGACTATTGTTCGTAGGTAGATTGATGGATTCCTGACTGCGAATGCGGTGCTCGCCGTCAGAACTCAATCTAATCTGGTGATGGATCTTCTGGGGAGGTCGGGTGATCCCATGAATCTGCAGCTCGACGATGATAACAAAACCATTGTGAAAGCTTCGTGGGGCCAGGCTCGGGAGAACAGTCGGGTGGGTCATTCTACGCACAACCCCTTCAGAAGAACACATTGAACCGTGCTGCAAACCACACGCCAGGAGGATGAAGTTGTACGGGTAAACACATCACTGCATAGTATGAGATAAAGGGCAATTTTGTTTCCCTAGTTAGACGACATCCCCTGCATTCCATTTTTTCAATGTGTTGCCGCAACTGTATATAATGAATCAACGATTTTGTTCGCCCTACCTCGGGATCCCGACCAAAAATTCCGGACACTCCTGGGAGAGAAATCCTAGGCTCGCTTAGCTGTGCATTGACCAATCAACAGGTCCAGTGGCCAAATGGCAAGGCGCTTGGCTACGAACCAAGAGATTGCAGGTTCGATCCCTGCCTGGATCGGTATTTCTTTTTTGCTTGTACCTTCACATCGAAGAATGCATTCCGCTCAGAGGAAGAGTTTGGGCGCATTACTAAAGTATAACAGGTCTTGTAGAGATAGCAACTTTTTTCTAGTCTATCCCAACTGTCAATTTTTTGTGACAAGTCTTTTAACATGCTACTTATTGCCCTGAATAGTGTACAAGAGTTTGGTGTCTCTTCCCCGGTTTTTACTGCTCACTTGGCGAATAAAGGATCTTCTATATATACTCTTCTTCTCAAAATAAAAGACACTTCAAGTTTCACAAACCGTATAACCCTACCTACCACGACAGAAGGTGAAGGGCCCCTACTTTTGCCGCTCATGCAGGCGGTCTTGACATTTCAACAGTCCTGGAGATACAAGAGACAGACATGCGCGTCTTATACTTTGGGATCTTGTAGCTCCGTTATTAGAAGCGGGGAAAGCAGTTGATTCTGCATTACATTTCACAAAGCGGCATGCGAGTACTTATATATCTCCTTCATGCCATTAAAGCAATGGCAACCTAAATGCCCGCCTGCGTCTTATAGGGAGAGTCAGGTACCTCCGGCAAGGTCTGCAGCCACATTTCCCTAGCTGTCTCGAACTATTTTATCCCGAAGTTGGCCACAGCTCTCTGCCGGTTCAGCTCCAATCTCTCCCAAACAGGCAGATACGCATCCTGCGCCTCCGTAAGGTTGTCTGTTCTCCATCCTTGCGCTATGTAGATGTCTCTCAACCCGTATTTCTTTTCGTCATACACCAGCGTTTCATTCCACCACCTCTCCCGACCCGGAGTCTTATCCTCCCATGGATATGGAGTATCTATGGGGTTTGGCGGAGGCAAAAAACCTTCCTCCATGGGAATGTTCTTCAGCGACAAGAGGTCGTGAATCCACACGTAGAGTGGGTTCTGCAGTGACGTCATCGGGTATGCCTTTGCGTCTGACCAGTCGCCCTCGTCCATGTCATGCCATCCACGTATTGTTTCTTATTTATGTCAGTCACTTCGTGCAGCCTCAGAGACAGAGAATTGAGATAGCGTACGCTTGTCTAGGTCATAGATCAGATGCGTGCCGTAAACCCAGCCGCGGGTTAAAAGAAGCGCTTTATTGCGAGTCCAGAAGTTGTCGTTCTCCACAAACGTCGGGTCGTGAGCATACTCCCACGGATCTGCACCCTCGCCTTGTGGGTCATCTACGTCTTCGGGCTTTGCTGATTCCGACGTCGACAGTAGTTTTTGCTCCTCCAGATTTTGCAGTCCGACCTGGTTCTCTTCTTGCTCCCCATTTGCCATATCACCTTCTTTTAGATATTAAAGCGCTTCGGTATTATAGTGCAACATAGGATAGCCGCCGATAACCAGATATGGAATACGGTACGCTAAAGTGATGACATCATCGTTAAACCCGTTCGCAACGGCAGCAGCACGGTTGATGTTATTCGCAGGATGCTCCCATATTCCTCCATCTATGTCGAACAAGGAGAGAAGAACCAGAGCAGACGGCGGCACATGACCCAAGTCAACTAAGAGTTTGTAAAACGTTGTTAAAGTCGCGATGAGTGGTGCATGCGAAGGTATTTTAGACTCATTATAGCGAGTGATTGCATTATAGAGGAGCAAGCTGAATGTTACAGAGAAGACCGCGATGACCGAGACGCGTGAAGACATGGTGCAAGACGCGTAATGTTTGTAGTCTCATGGTCAGAAAAATAGAGTAAAAGGGACTACATAAGAAAAGGACATCAGAGCTTATGTAACCGTTTGTTATTATTCCCGGTCTATAACCCAGCAAATACTCATGAGGAGGGGTTCGCTAATTTAAATTGTGGGCCCAATTTATCGGTAGCTGGGTGAATCAACGATTGACCTGCAGGGGTGGCCAGCCTCCGTGGTGCCAAAAGCAAGATATCTTGTGCATCACCGTGGTCTCCAATTGCGCCAATCTGTGTAGGTGTTTCTTTCTCATACTATAAGGTACAGAAACTTGAGTACTAAGAGATCTTACAGCAAGCTGATTGTCAATCCTCAGCTAGTGGCACTAAACTGCCGCTGGACGAATACCGGTCGCTAGTCAGGTAGAAAAGAGCCCTAGCGCCCGCTTCGTCGACGGAAAGGGAAAACAGGCTGACCAGGGGCTGGACGATGCCGGCCATCAGCAGGCGCTTGATCCCAGTCGATCCTCTCGACAAGAGAGGTGTCGCCACCACGCCCGGAAATGCGTGCACGAAGCTGATGCGCGGATTTTCGCGAGCGAGATGCTCAAATGCTAGTGTCAACATGGTTGCCGAGTGATATGCTGCGTTTGCGATAGAGTAGTTGCCGGGTTTGCGCAGGTCCAGATCCTCGTCGTTCAGCTTGACCTCCTGCCCGCCGGCGAGGATCGATACCACGCGCGGGCTTGAGGCCTCGTTAAGTAGCGACAGCAGGCCTTGTACAGCGCGCAGCCGGCTGTAGTAACGCGTCGACATGGAGGCATCGAGGCCCTCGGCCGTTTCCTGACGGCCCGAGAAGGAGATGAAGCCGACCGACTCGAACAGGAGGTCTAGCTTCGTCTCGCGAGTCTTGACAAAGTCAACGACATCGTCGGTCTCGCGGATTAGCGATACGTCCTTTTCAATCACGGTGTACACGGCCTCCTTGTTTTGCGCACGGAGCTCCTTCAGCATCGTCTGTCGCGGAGGCGTGGCGGGCAACGATGTAGATGTGGGGCCGCACGGCGTATCTTGCAAACTGGAGCAAGGCGCTTTGGCCAATGCCGCTCGTGGCGCCAAGGAAGAGCGCAACAAGGCCCCCAGGAAGCTCCGCAATGCGGACGTTAGACGCGCGAACAGTTTGAATGGCAACCATCTTGTGATTACGAGTGCAATGCAAGTGGTGTTTCTGATGACTTTGAAATAAAATATACGGATATAAGGCGAACTGTCCTGCCTTTATAAACTGCTCATGCTTACCAATGCTCGACTGTGAGTGAAGATCCGCACTGCATCTGGGCACTTGCTTATTAGACACCGGCGTTTATTAAGCCGATCTTACAATGCCAGATCGGTGAACCTAGGTCCCGAGCTCCGTCGACGAAGGTGATATAAGCAGAATGTGTACAATTGTCCGTACCGCATTTTACTGTAGCACTATCGTTTGTTCCCGTACTTTAAATTTCGCCGTTTACGCAAAGAGGACTGTGTACCAGCTAAGCTTTTAGGCTGGCGTTGCTGTATCACGAGCACAATATCCAGCACAAAGCGAATGGGACCGTTGTAACGCCTCAAAGCCTGGAATAACAGACAATAGCGTGCATGTGACAGTTCGCGTACTACTTTAAGATGAAAAAGCATCATTGATCGACTGAAGCGTCCCGGAAATATCAATCTTATAGTGATCCTTACCAGGATCTCATGTCTTCCATGTCCTCGATGCGGCCCATCGACTCATCCCACCGCGTTGGCCTGCCATGCATGACCTTTTGCCACGCCGGGCTTTTGGCCTTGTCCGTGGCCCAGTGCTGCAGCTCCTCGGGTACGAGCTCCGAATTTTCGGCGTCGACGCAGCGCAACACGAGCGGAAGTAAATGGCTGTCAAGCACGGTCGGGCCAACCTTGCTTCCAAATATCCATTCATCAGAACGTCCATAGGTGCCATTCTGCCTGCGCTGCTCTACAATTTCTGCGAAGATGGCCTGCAGATCTGTTTTGGCTTTGGCCACGACATCGGGGTGGAAAGCCACGCCATTGTTCTCATTGTGACTGGGGTGTGTTGGTCAGAGTAGACAGACCAATAAAGGCAGAGGGGCTATTTACAATAAAAGTTTGGTCTCAAGAGCTCTGCGGTATTCTGGGCTGAGATCGGTCCTCTTGAGAAAGCCCTCCACAGGCGAAGGGTTATGCTGCACCATCGCGGCTGTCGGTCTTTTGTTGCTGAACGATTGACCATGGATGGAATGGAACTGGTCGAGAAGGCCCCTGATGACAGCTGCATGCTGTATCGGTAGCATGGACGGGTAGTGTTTCTCGGCCAGGTGGAGTGAGATAGACTCGCTGTCGGTCAGAGGTTGCTCAAGCACGTTGCCTGTCATGGCCGGCACCTGACCTTTAGGGTTCACCCGGACAAGGTACTCCTCGCCCAGGTTCTCTTCTCTCTCGCGATTTACAAATCGGAGCGCGATAATCTTAGGTGGCCTTGCGTCAAGGGTTGTGGGGCCAAGAAGGGCTGTATGCCTGGCCATCTGAGAGTAGAGGGAAAAGGGAGAGGAATAGAGTGTATACTCTGCCAGACTTAGATCAGTCATCGTTGCGTTACGATTGAACATGAGAATATTGAATGAGGCAAGAGTCAAAAGATTCAGGAACGGATTTGGGAATTAATTCTTAATCGTTGAAATGCTGTGGATTTTTCGGCCATTTGAATATCCCGATCTGACGCTGTAGAGGCTGTAATTAGCGGGGTCTAAGCAATACGGTATAACACGTGCACTGACACGTGTTGTGATATTTGATTGGTAAGAGCAGGACGTTGCCGAGCACGCCTGTTTCCTTCAGTAGGATTGCTAAATTTGCTGGTCTGGGGATTTGAATGCAAACGTATATAAAAATCTCTGCCTAGCATACTGGAAAAGAATTCGGCATTGGTACTGGTTTCAACACTGTCCCTGCAGACAGCTCCTCACCTCGGCCCTTTTATACATTATCCCCCAGCAGATTTCTTCTATTATTGCCACATTGGCTAGTGCTCATTCTCGTTCTGTAAAGCTGACTTACTGTCGACCGGTTCTCTCACCAGTGCTTGCGGAATTGCATAGCGCGTGTAGATCAAGGTTGTATCACTATTTTTGATAATGAATGATTCTAGAGTGGCTTTGTTCTTTTCTCCGAGCAGGGATAGTTTTCATGAGTAATGAAACACGATATGGTACTCGTGCGAAAGAAAATGAACACTACGACGCGAACTGGTAACAAAATAGGAAGGACCGACCGAAACACCGAGGGCTGAATAGGCAATACAATACCCAGTCTGACACAGGAAACATACCGGTATTAGTTCGTTCTATAATGGGAAGGAACGACTTAATAAGGTCCGAACAGACAGCATAATGCCGAGGTTTGATTGACGAAGTCATTTACAAATTAATTTGATCGCTAACACTAGTAAGAGTCACTTAGAATATTTATATCGCCGAAACATATTTTTGCCCCTCTTCTCTTTTTACCTCACCATCTTCTTTTTCATCAACTCTTCCTGCCCAAGAATCTTTTCGATTCCATTTATCGTTCAATATCGTGCTTCTTTTCTAAGTACCCCTACAACTCTCTTTTATTATCTCCCCGGAACTCTGAGAACTTGTTTTGTCTTTGCAATTCTCAGATCCCCGCCGACTTGTGTTTCAGCTTGTTGAGTGCTCTCGAACTATAATCGGAGCTTTTGTTGAAATCAGAAGTAGTCATATATAACCCTGCCTACCTTAATTAGAGGTATGGGATCCCTACTTTTGCACGTGGTGCAGGTGGTATGACAATTTAACAGCTTTCATCACGATGTCTGAGGAGTACGCAATCCTGTCTTCAGAAGACGAGAAGAGACAGGCCCAAAAAGGGCTTGTCCACACAAGCAATTAAGCAGGGATTGTGCGCATCCATCGGAGACTTCTAAACGTTCTAGCGACAGTGACAACCAGAACATACCGATTGATGTTCCCGAGGAGAATTATTCTCCTTCAGAACATGTCGGGTTCGCCAAAATTCCCAGACATCTTATTTCCCCTCAGACAGTCGTCTATGTTGGCTTTAATACCGACAGCGCTCGGAAAATTATTGACATATGGGATACATGGCCTTAAGACGGGCCACAGCGAGAGACTGATCCTGACGACGGAGGGCTACGGGTATCATTTCTGGACTTTCTCGGGCGAGTTTGGAAGATGAGGGATGCATGGGAAGATGACAACTAACAGTGGCTCGAGTGCCTGGAAAGATGCGGCATCGCACCGTCTATCAAAGAAGAAATCACGGATCATATTTTCCGCGACATCCGGCTCTCACAGTCTTGTATTTTCTGGACCAAGGATACCATCAGGCAGCGCTTTGCGGGGTTGGAAGAAATACAGAAGCAGTCAAAAGAGAGAGTGCGCGCATAGTTATCCTCAATTGGATCAGGCCAATCAAGCCACCGAAAAAACTCGTCGACAGCTGGTCCCTCCCAATCATAGAAATCATGTTGAATGGTCATACCACCTGCACCATGTGCAAATGGAGGGATCCCATATCTTCCATCAGGGTAGGCAGGGTTATATATGACTGATTCTGATTCAACAAATCGACACAACTTTCTTCTGTGCCATACGCAACGGTAAAGGCACTCGCCTCAAGGTCGACTCCTGGGTATACAAATCTGTATAAGGGTATCGATGAGGCCAGGGTATCGGGTCTGTTCGACAGCCATGGCAACATCGCTGACACCACAACATTGTGGTCTCCCACCTCTTCCGATTTCAGTGCTTCATCTGCCATGTTCTACTTTTCCCCTGACCGCAAAGTTGCTGAGTACTGTGCTGCATATGCCCAGCATCGTGCGCAGTGCGAAGCAGTAGCCATCGTGTACAAGATATTCCGAACTCGGCAATCGAGTCCTTACAAGAGCCTTAGATTCGCCGCTTTTACTGGCCTTCTGAAGATTGGAAGCGAATCATTTGGTGCTGTCGAACAAGACGCCGTCTGCCGCCGGCCTTTCTGAACACTCAGCAAGCTATACTCACCCTTTGCCACATCGCCAAAGAACTAGACAATGTGTACCATCAATTAAACTTTCCCGACGATATTGCAAGACAGGAAGCTCAACTGTAGGAAAAACGACAACATCCAGCCTCGACGGCAGACTCTCTCCCACCTCGCGGTGAAAATTAGTCACTTTGTCTACCACTTGGCGACGATCTTCCTGAGGACGGAGTCTGAAATCCGTCTAGAACAGTGCCACCATCGTGAACCACTCTCGGTTCGCTGTCGACAATCCCAGATACCACTCCTCCTTGGCAGGCCCTTAAAGCCCGACACGAAAACGGACCTTTCGTGTTTGCTCTTTGACCACTTCAGTCTGCCCCTCACACATTCTCACGACATAGTTGTCGATATCCTCCAGGTTTCATCGGGGTCCTCCCCCCTTCCTCCCGCAAATGTACCTCGAAAGTCCAACATTCTTGTCTCTCTTCGGTCTTCTAGTTCAAACGTTATAGTATTACCCGTCACACTACTCCCTAATCTCTCTGTCTTACTTGTCACGTCTTCTTTTTCCTCAGATGTAGTCTCGTCAGTGTACTGCGTAACACTTGTAAAGCCTTCCTCCAAGCTCGCTAGTACGTCTGCCTAGTGCTGCAGCTGCCACAAACGCAACCTTTCTTCTTTAATATACTCCTCTAGTGTGTGTTCTTGTGTCAGACGGTGAAGTGCTGTTATTCACAGGGTTTTGTCGATTTTCTCTAATGTGGTTTTGTTCGGTTGGAAAGAAAGAAAAGGAAAAGAGGGGGTGCTTCAGCAGGAAAACAACTCTCGAATCCCTGCCTAGATCGCTAGTGAAAGACGGGAAGCTCAACTGTAGGAAAAACGACAACAAAACCAGCCTTGACGGCTACTGGTAAAAACGATGTTGATTCTCCCAAGTTTTTTTCCTAGAGAGAGGGACTGGAGGAGGGGTAGTTGATACCCCTCCTCCTCCCCTCCCTCTCTCCTGCCCTTTTCAGGCCTAACAATATCACGAACAGACACCTGCTTACAAGGGGTGGTTCTTTGTCGGTTCAATATGCATTCTCCGCAAACGAGGAAGGAAATGGCTTTTTACTCACCAATGGGGCAAGCACTCTGCAGTGCTTTTCGTTTTCGAGCTCTGATGTGGTGGATTTGCTGGCAGAACAATAGGAAGGGAATATATGCTAGCATTGCACGGTAACGTGACACAAAAATACTGTTTTTAACGAGACTACTCCGTATACACAGAAAAATACTCCGTAGCAATACCGTTCTCACTCTTCTCATACATACCAAATGACGGATTTGTGTCAAAGACGGGAATGTGCCACAATGTTGCCTTTCTGGCAAACAAATCCATGTGATCCTGTGATTGGCTAAAATGCAGAACAGTGGCCCTAGCACGAAACAAATTCTTAAAAGGAGCGCGCTCGAGAGAAGTATCTTATTTACTCTGTACATGCGCAGAGGATTCGAGAAGTCAGCCGAGCAGTAGTACGATATTTTTTCATACAAACAACGGTTGTTGGTCACGGGGGAACTTCAATCATTCAAAAATTATGGGGCACACATAACGGCCATACTATTTTTTTCTTGTTGTCGACTTGAATACCTTCATATTTCTCCCTACTCGTGAAACTTATCTTTTGTCCCGCATTTCACTTAGGACACAGACACCCAAATGTGCAAATCAAAGAAAGTTAAGAAGGCGCTATCTCCTTCCAGGAACCATGAGTCAGCAAAAACCACTGCTACATCTCCATCTCTTTTATCCGACGGTATCGATGAGAGCAATCCCCTATTCTTCTACATGCCCGATGCCGCCCACGGAGAGTTCTGCCAGTGGTTCTCAGCCAATTTCCAAGTTTCCAGAGAAAAAATTGCAGTATTGATTGGCCAGAAACCCGATGACCAGCCTGCAGAGACTCACGATGACCTCATCACATTCAACTGCGCGGAGCAGTTTATGATGATTTGCAAGGCCGGCCGCTTTGGTGACCGCGAGACCCAACGGCGAATAATGTCCGCTGATAGCCCTAAGGAGCAGAAGAGAATGGGCAAGCTGACTGAGGGTTTTACCAGCTGTCACTGGGATCCTGTTAAGAGTGATGTGGTGGTGGCCGGCAACATTGCCAAGTTCGGGCATAACCCAAAGCTTAAAAACAAGTTGCTGGCAACAGGTCAGCGACTACTGGTAGAGGCAGCGTCACGGGACCCGGTTTGGGGCATTGGTTACACTGAGAAGCACGCCATGCAATTCCGCAAGCACTGGGGGGAGAATCAGCTTGGAAAGGCTTTGATGGCAGCAAGGCAGCATTTACGAAACGAGAACGAGCACCAGCTAACATGGCATTAAATCCATCAGCTGGGAGATAACGTACAAGATGCTGAGATAAGGAGTGAATCAGCAGGGACGGTGTTAAGATGTGTAAGCCTACAGCTAAGGCGCAGGGTTTGTAAAGATGTAATGCACTTTAAGGAGCAGGAGGCCGAATAGGGTAAGGCGGGAGTAGACGAAATGCTAAGGAAGAAGTAGATACATCCCGCGAGAGCGATAGACGCCAATAAACACTTGGGTTGAAATACAAGTCGGTCTTCTAGCATCACATGCGGACATCCCGTAACCTAGGCCTGTCGGTATTGTAACGCTAGCATCCCGAACCCGATCACGCTACCTACTCTTGAAAAGCCTCATTTTCGTCTCCCTCTCATGACCTTCGGCGCCCTCTGACGGCGTTTGGACCCCTGCTACGTCGTATACTTTATGTACATAAGGAGGAATTTCAGCCTCTTATACAGATAGCTTTTCTCTCTTTAATTCAGTTTAATTTAACCTTATGACGGAGATATATTCACTCCTCCTTCGCTACCCCTGCGTAGCCCCACTAGGATCTTAAGACCTAATGCACCAACGATGACGGCAGTGGACCTTGTTTTGGAGTTTCAATACTTTAAAGAGCACCGCTACCGGCCAGGCCGTCAGGTCCAACCCTAGTGCTCAGTTGGTCAGAGCTCTTTTTCCTCCTCGCTTGATCCCCGAAGACTATCCCAACACCAACTTCCGGGCCACATAGTCATAGGGGACGACCCTGCCCTCTCTGAATCGTACCAGCGACCCAAAGCTTCCGAAAAAGCTCCAAAAGATCTAACGAGAGCTGTGGCAAGAGCAAATCGATTTCTCGAAGTGGTGCCTATAAGCCGGTACCAGCTGCTCGGTGGCGTTTGCAGGCCTTTTTACGTGGCCGGGGGGTGCTGAATGGTAGCACTTCGTCTTCGCCGTTATATCAACTCACGGCTTGCTAGAATACGTCTAGGAGAGAGATTCTGCCACCAATGTAACCTTCGATGAACGCGACCTAGTTGGCTGCATCAACAACTTGTGTAATCAAGTAACATTCGCTCCCTTAATGCACAAGGGGCCGCCAGCGCGCCTGGATAATGTCAATAATATACTAGATGAAGTTGACAGAAACGCCTTACAGCATATGCCAGAGCCGTAGATCGATCCCAGCGACACGCCGACCGCCTCTGGGTAGAGCTGAGTAGAGGAACTCCGAACGAGCCTCATTAGTTACTACGTCGACGAAACCAAGCACTTCGCCCTCCTCTCCTAAATCGCCATCGGCTTTTGAAGTCCGCTTAGCATCGCCCAGTCTACTTTCTGGTGCCAAGGTTTTCGCGTGGCCAGGTCCATTATAGAGCTAGCGTTAGTGCCCCGATTACATCATTATTGGGCTTGTGGTTTAGTGGTATAATACTCCCTTAGCATGGGAGTGGTCCAGGGTTCGATTCCCTGCAAGTCCAATTTTTGCTCACCGTTCTTTCTCGCTGCTTACCTAATGTTCAAACCACATAGTAGGTAGATTCAGTCGTCTAACTTTGGCTAAATTTACACGTCTTATCAATGCTGCTGTTCGTCAATTGTCTCTAGCGCCGAGGCTGTGATGAATTGAAAGCAACGAGGAAGAAAGAAGGTTGGTAGCCGTCTACCACTTCTTAGACAGAAACTATCTAAAGTGTGTACATGTCTTCTTCGACTTTCCAACTTTTTGCTTTTCAGATTGCGTATGTCTGGAGGCAGGGGTCGAGAACCGCTGAAGCGTGACGAAAGAGAGTAGCGCTGCCATAACGAATAACAGGCAGTTTGTGGACAGGATCGAAGTCCGACATCCCAGTGAAGCCAACAGATGGTATGCCGGTCCAGACCTCGGCTTCGGTCAAACGAAATTTGAGAGGAACAAATTCCCGCACCACCGGAGGCTGGCCAGGATTTGCAGACGGAATCGAGCGCAAGTGAAGACTCATCTGATCACTGTCTGGGAGAGTTTGAAGGCCGTGAACTTTCTTCTGCGGTTTAAACCCCAGCTGTACAATCTTAGCCCCGACGGGGCGCTCAACATAGCCGGTATAAAACCCGGACGGGACACCCTTTGTGGAGGAGGGATCCCAGACCACATTCCCAAAGACCTTGGGGATGCCATATTTCTCACGACCGGAGAAAATGGCACCCTGGTTGTCGAGAATGAGCTCCATCGTCCAAAGGTACTTTTTGCCTTCCCATCGCACCTCAACCTGCTGGACGAACTCGGTGTACGCTCCGATCGGGGTGGTCCCATACTTGAAGAGATTGAGGATAACAAGGGGCTCGTCGTCAATCTCCAGCTCTTCAGGAATCATAGGAGCAAGAGCATCTGCCTTTGTGAAATAGCTTATGGACAGACAATCGATATCTGAAAACTCGTCCGCTGTATGGGGATATGGTGGAGAATGTATGGGGATTCCATGGTTCACCTCCTTAGTCTTGATGTGCCCGAAAGGCATATTTTTTTTTTGCCGTTTCTTTTCCCGTTGAAAGTCGATCAGCTTTGTTGGTTAATAGCTGCCTAAAAGGTGAGCTTATTGTGTATGATTGAAAAAATGGCAAGACAAAGGACAACGACAGAACTTCGCTGTTTATAATGTTTGCTTCTCCATTCATTGCACTGATCTACTATCTTATACCCGCGATTCCGCATGGCACTAAAGGCAAACGTCACCAATCCAGCCTGCGACAGCCGAGCTTTCCGACCAGAATTCGTACACTTGCTCCTGCAAATATACGTGTCAAAAGCGGCTTATTGTGGGGTTGGGTGTGAATACATTCGTGTACCCTATACTCCGTACTTGTATTTGTAGCGCAGGAGCTTGGTGCTGTGAAGGCACACAGCCTCAGGACATGCTTTTTGACACAGGCCATCTTCACAAGGGATATGCCTCTGCGAGACATAGCAAAATCGGGTAGGATTAGCATCCTAGTTTAGAAGCACAGTTCTAAGCTTACTCTGAAGAAGAGTAAGTCAGCTCGCCGCTGCAGTGCTGATCTTGAAATCGACATAACCATAAGGAGTAATTTCATAAAATGTATCCACCTTAAAGACCGGAGTACGGAGTGCAACATAGTATTCCGAACTCCGAAGTAGGTCTCCATACTGTCGTCATCGATGGTCGGAGTACGGAGTGTTAGCTAGATCCGACTGCTACAGTAGGGAAACGAAAAGCTATGCTCCGTGCTCTCCTGGAAACGTGCTATCCTCAACTGCTCAGATATGTCTATCGTATGCATGATTGGTTACTCGCGTCGTCGCAACGTTTCTCGGTCGCCTTGATCGCCTCTTTGGCCGACGCCCAACATGTAGCATCAGACATTCCAAGCCCTACTGTCGAGGCTTTTGTCAAAAAAAACAAGGCTATCATTCTGGGATCACGAAGTGATTTATGCACCATGTGGAATATATTGCTGAATTAGGTAAGGCGTATGGGCGTGCTCGCTCTAGCACGGTCCGCTTTTAAAATGTAACTGTCGGTTAGGCTACGCCATAGAGTCCCAGCGCCGGGGTTGGAGGTATCGTCGGTTTTCATAGGGAGGCCGTCCGTGATAAGCCAGAGGTTCTGGCCGTGCTTCTTGTGGGTGACGTGGAGAAGCGTGAACCTTTCGGGAGCGAATCCCTAGCCAAGCAGTCGAAAAGATTATAAAAGAGCTGGTAGAACGGTAATGCGATCTTGTCGTTTAACCTTAGTATGAAGTAAGCATGTATATAGTCAAACTATGCTCGCTTCTAGATTTTGCGGATGCAAAGTACACGGATTGCCAAAACGATCGTAGCTATGCTAGAGGAACACTCTGAATGAACAAAAATTTTTGCAGACCAGAGCAGAGGCAGCACAGACACGCTTCTATATGATTAATGACAAAACCCGTGTTCTTTGTTGGGCTGTTTATGTCGGATTATCCAAGAAGAGGTTGGGATCCGCAGTCACTCAATCTCGTCTTACTCGCAGTATATATACCATTTGACAGATACTCTCCGTTTCTCCTTATGCCCTCCCGGGTTACCAAACTGCCCATAATCACACATCTTACAACCCGTACATGACCCCAACGCGATAAAATCGTATACAGTGGCTGACATTACTGTGGCGCCCCTCGACCAGAAAACAAACGTATGCAAACGGTGGCCTGTATACTATCCGCCCAGTTAGGTGGTACCGTCAAGTACGTTGTCCGCGGTACGTCTCTCACCTCGTTCGTAAAGTCTGTTATATGTAGCTAATGAATTCTGGATTATCTCGACCACTCCTCCGATTGGCAAGGCAGCTACCATGCTGTAGCAGGCCGAACATAGGGGTAGAGTATTTCTCTTATAAGCACACTGTTTGAACCTCAAGTCGTATCTTCCGAATCTACATCGCCCCGTACTCCTCAATCACGCTTCGTGGCTTCACGTACGTGCCCAGGGCCGTGTACGGAATATCGTAGCCAAAGGCAGCCGGCCCGCCGATCTCGAGCCCCTTGGCCGTCTCGGTCCAGCGCGGCGAGCAGACGATGCCGATAACGGTGACGATGACGCCGTAGCGAAACTCGGGCACGCCGAGCGCGCGACCCGACTGGCTGTCGATGACGGAGATGAGGTCCGGCACGGTCGCGAGGTATGTCTGGCGCCCGTCTTCGGCCGTGTGGAGGGCGTAGAGGTTCTCGTTCTTGAACGGGATGGTGACAGAGCCGCCGGTGGCCACGGCCGCATGCTGCGTCTCGGCTGTCGTCTCCAGCTCGCTCTGTTGCATCTGCTCAATCCGGATCTCGCCGTACGAATGGCCCAGGTGCAGCCGCCGGTCGACAGCAACAATCTTGCCGCGGAACAGCACCTTGGCCGCGTCCGGGCCGCCGCACTCCTCAATCATCTGCTCGGCCACCGTGCTGGTCGTGTTCGTCGCCGCCGCCCGCGCAATCGCCCGGCCCACCCGCCACGCCAGCGACAGCGTATTCGCTACAGCACAGCGCTCGATCACTGCCTTCGTCGTCGGCCGCGCTGCCATGCCGACGCGCGAGCCCATCTGGGCGCACGATGCTCGTAGCGCCCGGTCCACAATCTCGTCGCCATTGGTACGTGTCATTATTATTGTGATCCCATCTCCTGACGAGATCGCGCACGGCACCAGCGCGTCATCTTCGTATGCGCTCAGCGTCGTCTGCCAGTACGTCGGATATGCGCGGCCTGTGGTGTTAGTGAGTCACGTGATCAAAACACCTGTACATACACCTCCACTCTCACTCACCCATAAAATCAGCATCCACCGCCGGACAATCTTGATACTTCGTCGAGCCCAGCGTTAACGCCTGTAGTCCATTGGCACCTCCAATCTCCAAATCAATAAAGGCGTCGATCTTGCTGTGGCCCAGATACGCCATGAGCTCCGCCACGGCCTGCTCGGTCTCGTCATTGGCCAAGCGCTCGTTCGACACCGCCGGCGAGCCCATGTGGCCGCCCCAGTAAACGACGGCATCGTCGCGCAGCGAGGACGCGTCAATCACGCGGATGCAGTGGCCTGCCCGCAGCTGATCTCGGATCCGCAGAGCGTCGCTGAAGGGAGTGCCTCCACCGGCACAGCCGAGGACGTAGCAGCCGTCGGCCAGCCAGACGAGGTCCGTCTCGGAGATCAGCCACTCCTGGATGCCACTGCTCGGGTTCTTGCGCACTGTCGGACAGTACGTAAGGGGGTCGCTGGCCGTCTCCGTTGTGATCTCATCTTCCACCATGTCTAGCACGACCTTGTCTGCTTCTTGGCCGACCTCCGTCTCGTTCTCCTCATCCTCCACCTGCTCGACTCGTGCCACTCCTTCAATTCCCTCGAGAGACAGCTCACCGACTGCACGGACAATCACGCGCACCTGGTTGGCCACGTACTGCAGCGGGATGACGTCGACATCGGCAATGTAGATAGACTCGGGTCGGGCACCAAGAGCGACGGCACGCTCGATAGCAGTGGCCTTGGCCTGGTCCAGTAGCTGGTCTGTCGTACGATCGGCCGTGCTCTGGATCGCATCAACGGTGCCAGCAACCTTGGCAATGGCCGCACCGACCGCATTGGCCACAGCGTGAAAGGGCGGGCAGACAACGCGGCTGACGCCCTTTAGTATCGCTGCTGCTGGTGCCACCACAGAGCCTCCGCCGACAAGAAGAACTGGCAACGGCGCCGGTGACGTCTTCATCTTGTCGATTACGGCCTCCAGCATGGCCTGGATGCGAGCCTGCGCCGCCGCCACGACGGCTGGGCTGAGATGACGCACGAGGTCGGAATTGCCAATCTCGTTCTCCCCGTCGGCCTTCTTGCCCGCCATCTGGGCAGCTGCCACAGCAATGTCTGTGGCTGTCAACACATCACCACCAAAGACGGTTCCCTTGGTCGTTAGCTGGTAACCGACCGAGTCGGGTCCAACCGTAACCTTGACCGGGTCTGAGCTACCATCACCGGCTACTCGCACGACAGAGCCGCCGCCCAGGCCGATCGACTCGATGTGTGGCATGGCAAAGTTGATGTTGACGCCGGCCACGGTGACATAGGCCGATGCCTGGCGTGGGAAGCCCGACGGCAGCAGCACGCCAACGTCGGCCGTGGTGCCGCCAATGTCGACGACAAGCGTGGCCGTGGCCTCGTGGTCAGACAGCCCGAGATAGGCCGCGCCACGCATCGAATTAGTCGGCCCCGACGAGAAGGTCCGGATGGGCAGCCGGGCCGCTGTGGCGGCATCGATGAGCGTCCCGTCGTTCTGCGTCAGGTAGAGGGGGCAGTGCAAGTCGAGGCGGCCCATGGCGGCGCGGAAGCCGCGAATAGTGCGTCGGGCGAACCGCAGGATCGATGCATTCAGGATCGATGCGTCCTCGCGCTCGAGGAAGCCGAGCTGCGACACGTCGGCCGAGCAGACGACGTCGGCCCCGGGCAGCTCGCACCGGATGATGTCGCGCACCCGCTGCTCTTGACGGAACCGGTCGTCGATGGGCGAGAACACGCCGGCGACCACGATGGCGTTCAGCCCGCGTTCCCGGATCGTCGTGCATGCCTGCACCACCTGCTCTTCGCGCACTGGCGCCTCTTGCGCCCCGTCAATGTGCAGCCCCCCATCCACGTGCACGCAGCAGCCGCCGTCGAGGATGCGCCGCAGCGCTGGCGGGAAGTCGGAGAATGGTGGGACCTGCCTCGTAAACGACCGCGACAGCCGCACCACAGCCACCTTGGACAGCCGTCGCGCGTCCTGCTCCACGATGGCGTTGATAAAGTGCGTCGTGCCAATCGTCAGACAAGCCACCGCAGACGCTGGTACGCCCGAGTCCGTCAGCACCCGCCGCACTGCCGTCTCGATGCCGTCCGTCACGTCCGGGCTCGTCGTTGGCGTCTTGTGCAGCGCCAGCACGCCGCGATCTGCCGATTCTCGTGGTGCCAGCGCGTCCAGCATCACGGCGTCCGTGTTGGTACCGCCAACATCGACGCCGATACGGTAAAAGTGCGCAGCCATGGCATCCGTGGTCTGGGTGCGTGCTGGGTGATGTGTGTGCTTGCACAGGTTGCGCATGTGCATCTGTAGAGGACTGACTCTCAGACGATACCATCATTGGCGACACCCGCCCTTCTAGAGGTCCGTCCGCTGTCGTAAAACCATGCCGATCATCGGTCGGACCTGATTGACTACTGATGCAGATTGGCGTCGCGATAACGGCGAGCCGATGGCATAGGCTTGCGCGCATTTCCGTGCTTGGCTCGTCGTGAAGATGTGGAAAAAACGGCTTCGGGTCCAAGCTGTCACCTTTTTCCATTTGGTCGATCTGGCCTGTTGAATTGACTAAACGGCAGGTACGTCTCAATGTCAGAGAAACAGGCAAAGCCACCGATTTGCCTTCGGTCCGGACACGCACCTGCCGTTTGTCTGCCGGCCGCTTGTCACGTGGTTATTGCAACTACGGAGTACTCCGTACAACATCCTCATGCGCCTTCTCGGCTATCCGTTTCTACTACGCCATAGCCCTAGACAAAGCTAGCCGCACTAACCAAGTGAACCGAATACTCTGGCAGAACCTCTATTGCTCCCTTGTCTCGTGTTACTCCATAGTCACCTTGGATCTGTCTTGTAGAGTGTATAGCCAAGGGATGATGTCTGTAGGATTGCGATAATAGTCTTGACCTCTATTCATAACAGTTCTCGTTCTAACTATCTTACAACCTGCGTAACACGCTATCTACCAAAATGCCCTGGTCTCTCTACTGCTTCCCAAACTCGGTCTAGCCATCTAACAGGCAAATCGTCGCATCGGTTTCTGCACCAATTCTAACGTTCGTACTCTTGATAGCTTTTTTGTTTGGGACAGACGTTCTGTAAACGTCGTTCTCCGTGTGAGACTTTGGATTTCCACGTCGAATATTCGTTGATGCCCGCTTCCTCTACTTGCTTGAGCTTTTCATCCATCCAACGACCGAAATCGAGACTGGTTGAAGCATGCATAGCAATTTTTCTTGCCGTTTCTTTTCTGTCATTCCATTCGTCTTTCAATATGTGGTCCTCCGCATATGGTTCACATTCGCTGAACCTCTGCCACCTAAGAACTGTTTCCCGTGCCACATCTTCATCGACCCGAAACCACTCACGATGTTTTGTGCTGCAGCACTTGGGCGGGGACAGATTGCAGTTTTCGACGTAATATTTGTAGGCGCGGAGCTCGGCGTGGATGAGTGACTCCATCTTGAGCGCGCCATAGGGCATTGCGTAACTGAACGCATGTTCAACCTCATAGCCACAATCCTTCTCGCACTTGGCGTATCTGCGCCTGACTTCCGGCGGTGGCTCGTGTGGGGGATGTATCTTCGGCTTGCTGTAAATCTTGTCTTTGACTCTGAGCACATCGGTAGCTCTGTTATAGATGCCGTTCTCCTTTATCTGCGGACACTGTGCGTATCCAATTTTCAAGTAGCTGTCATGAGCTTCTTCCTTGTGGCGGTAGCAGTAGATGTAGCCCGGAGCCGCTGACTTGCCTATTGTTTCTCGTTGAAGTACTTCAATGCCATGGACAAATAAATTATACGGGCATTCAGCCTTCACAAACACATGAACCTTACTCCTCTTTTCGCAAGATAGAGTCTCACTCCAAGTGCTTTCCTCCCGTTTGACCTTGAGTATATCAGTAGTTCTTCTACCCGTATGAAGGTCCAAGTATGGCCGTTCTCTATTCTCTTCATGCCGTGTTTCTGCTGGAGACTTCTTTTTTGCTGGAAATGCGGGTTGCTCTTCTTCCCCATCGCTATCGGACGAGACCCAGTGTCCTGTATCGATGGCAGAGATGGATATGGGTTTCGAGATGCTTTTAGACTTTGTGGGAGTCTTGTAGACTGTGTCGGTATCAGTTTCTTCGAGACGCTCCCGCCGGGCCCTCGGTTTCGATTGGCGACTATCATCCGTCCGGATAGTATAGCCGGTAGAGGGCGTGGAAACGTATTGGCTACTTCTGTCAAACAGACTATTGCCGTCACTTGAATATTACGATGTGGGTGACAGCAAATTGCTGTCCCATTGCGGTTCTTGCTTCGTAGGTCTCTTTTGCTCCTTCGCATCGCCGTTCCAACGTCTCCCTGGTTTGCTAGCCTTGCTAGAAGTAGCACGCTCGGGGGTTGTGGGCTTGGTTTCATCCGGTGGCATGGCATTCAGCTTATATCCCTTGACCATACCATGGGTACCTTTGTGAGTGTGCGCTTTCCTCGGGTCGCAGAACACATCGCTTTCGTAGTCATTCGCCTTTCTTTTCCATTTTTCGCTGGATAATAAGGCGACGCAGAATTCCTGGTCCCGGAAAAGCTGTGGACAAGCTTCTGTAATGCCCAGAGCTGATGCTCCCATTCCGTCGTATCGAAATCTTCAGGCATGAACCTGGCCGTATGTTCTCGGCCCAATCCGTTGGCCGCCGTGTATTCGCACCATATCCTCCTTCTCCAATGGGTAGCAAGCTCAGAGCAGCTCTCAAGGTCGTACTTCGAGCAGTATTCCGAGTCTAAGTCCCGGTGGCCTTTATAAATTTGGCGACGCGCGAGCCCTTGTATAAGGTGATCTGCTTCGGCAGAAGGGACGTTGGTCTCGGCAAGATCAGCAAGGACAGCCAAAATATTGACACATTTGGTGCAGTTGGTGCTTCGTCGAGAGATGATCTTGCCCTCTCGAAAAAGACAGGTGGGAGAAACACCCAGAGAGACTGTAGGCTTTCCGTCGATCTGAACGAATAGAGGCCGGGCTCCCTCGACTTTACAAGGTATGAATTCATGTTTTTTGTTTGTAGTCAACTGCGAGGAATGAAAGACGAAGACGTGTTACACGTCCCATTCAAGCTACTTAAATATCATGGCAATCGATCACGTCTCCCATACAAGCTGGCTGGGGATACAGATCTCTGGCATCGCCAATTGCACGAACCCCGTGTCGAAACAACCTCTTGTATCTACAAAAGGTAGGTGAATGTATCTCGCACCGCAAACACGTCCGTGGGCTTATCTGCCAATGGCAACTGTAACACGGGATGGCCGAAGGGGCGTGCAGCCTGATGCGAGACATACGGGGTACGTTTGGGAGAGTATCATCGTACGAGATAATGCCAGCCGCTTTTCCGAACCATGCTTAATTGAGCCTTGCTAAGCCGTGTACCTTCCACTTATGACCACGGCCGCTGTCGTCGCAAGGCAAAAGCACATTCTCCGGACTATCTCCAGGCTGCACGTCCTGTATTTCTTCCACAGAAGCACAACGTTTTCCGGGACTTTGCCTTTACAAGTTTAGTTTGTACTGTTCCGTACTTCTTCTCCACTTGTTTGCGACGCCATAGCCATAATTAGCCGCCTACCCAGCCTCTTTCCCACGCTACCCATTTCTTCTCCGTGAGCCATGTGCCACTGTGACCGCGGTACGTTGGCCCGGAACAGACAGTCGGGCGCAAAGCAGTGGTAGCAGTTCAGCACGCCGCCGGGGTCCATGGCCTGGCTCCAGGCGGTCATCCACGAGGGCAGGCCGGCCACGGGACGCCATCATCGCCCTCGAATGGGGCAGCGACCGCGAAGGCCCCAACTTCGACCTTGGTGTGCACGTTTTCACCCTCGCACGTACTGCCCGCTCGGGTAGCCCTGGGATGTTGCCACTGCCGGTTGCAACCCGACTGAGGCAGGCGGCCTCATCTTTGACGGCCACCTTGATGTCTGGAACCCGTCCATCTTTTGCCATCGCTACCTAGCCGTCCGTCCGGCAACTTCTTGGCAACGCGAGCTGATCAAGGCCTTTTGGAAGTCTTCAGAGATCGGTGACTTTTGTGCGGGCCATAATAGTACAATACGATACGGCACATGAAGATGAAGCCAAAGCAAACTGATTTATTAGGGGTTTTAGTCTTCATGAAACCATAGCTTGTCTGTGTGTGCCAAAAAAGGGTTAACTTGAAATAAAGCCCCACCGCATGAAAGTACGGGCGCTTTCGTATCTAGCGAGTGCAAGAGACATCTCTTAAAAGAAAACCTCTGTGATGAAGATTCTGTGATCCGTGCCACTGAACTTTTCTATTTCGGTAGTGTCTTGATAGCCACAACATCAAGACGTATGCTACTGCCACGAGTTCCCCGTCCGGAACTACTTCGGTACGACTTGTCCCAGAAGCTAACCGGCCATTGGTCAGTGCAGCCCGGACTTATAGTGCCACGGCACGTCAACATGATGATGGTATTGGCTATTGGAATCTCTGTGAGTTAACCAACCCGCTGTTCCGGTAAAACTTCGTCTTGCCCAACCTAGCCCAACCTCGCCCAACTCTGCCGACCAAGATCAGACTCTTCGCTCCCCAACTATCACAATCGCCAAAACATTCCGCAAACCGATATTCAACGCTTTCATGAACACGAACATGTCTTCCAAAGAAACTTCTTCGGGTAGCACACCCACACAGAAAGGTGTTCGTCTCACGCAAGTCGAACTCCATCGGGACGATACAAACACAGACATCGACATCATCGCCATACATGGTCTCGACACGACGTCGAGAGACACATGGACATGGAGAGATTCCAAAGATCTCAAGAACGAAGCCAAGTGGGTCAATTGGCTACACCCAGGCATGCTTCCAGACCAGGTAGCTCGGGTCCGGATCTTTACATGCGACTGGCCTGCCGATCTTCATCAGCCGAGAGACATGGTTCCAAAGGCCCTCGACGAGTGTTCTCGGAGCCTGCTCGAAGGTATCCACGTGGAGCTCTATAAAGACAATGCAAGACGCGACAGGCCGATTGTCTTTATCGCGTCATGTTTCGGGGGTATCATCTTAGCGAGGGCTCTAGTGCTGGCAGATTTCAAAGACAGCAATTATCATCAATTCAGAATTGCCGTGCGTGGCATCGTCTTCCTTTCAACGCCGTTCCGAGGGACTTCCTTCCAAGACATCGCTGCTTGGGCAGAGCCGGGTCTCCGGGTTCGGGCTTTCTTGAAAGGCAAAGCATTGAGCAAGCTGCTTGGGAGTGTAAAGGGACCAACCTTTGATCTCCAGGAACTCGTCCGCTCCTTCACTCGGCTCTGCCAAGACGAGGAACACCCCTGCAACGTTTTCACCTTTTCCGAGCAGAAGGTGACGAGCCTGCCACACAAAGCATTTCCTTGGCTGCCACCTCTGTTCCGCCAAAATAAGCCTGTAAGCATCACAAACGCCAATTCTTGCTTCTTCAAACGACTAATGCTTGTTCAGCTCGTCGGTGATTTCGAGGGAACTCTTGACATCGTTCGTGAACCGACGTCCCTCGATCGATCCCACCTCTTGATGAACAAATTCCACAGCCCTGAATGTCCTGATTATAAGAAAGTCGCCGGAAAGATAAGCGAGATTGTCGAAAAGATTCGTGTGGGAAGCCCACTTGAAAGGGCCGACGCCTGGATACGGGACAAGCACTATACCGGGAACAGGCTGAAGATCGAACGCCTCTCCGGCGAGTTACTGTTGATGGATCGGTGCTACATCAATCTTTCTATTGTGGAAATGTCTGAACAAGAAGCAGGTCGCCCAAAGGAAGAAAAGGCATCCCCGTTCTCAATGTGGTCTCGACGGTGGGTCTCGACATCCAGTGAGACGACTCAAGTGGAGCTGGCGACACTCTTTGACTTACGGAAGGGACGCGAGGGCCAGCCAATAAAACCAAGAAAAATACTGATTCGAGGGCGGGCGGGAGTTGGGAAGACCACCTTGTGCAAGAAAATTATTTTTGAATTCACCCAAGGCACATGGGCAGGATGGAGCAAGTTGTTTGACCGCATACTTTGGGTACCTCTGCGCAATCTGAAACTGGACGAAAGACGTCGTTCGCCGAAATACAACCTGGAAGATCTCTTCAACCACGAATATTTCTCTCTCCCAAAGGACATGCCGGAGCTCGCAAAAGCATTGTACGAGGCAGTGGAGACCAAGAGCGATAGAACTCTGTTTCTCCTCGACGGCCTGGACGAAGTATCTCAAGACTTGACAGGCGATGCCGCCATGTCCCGTTTTCTCAACACTCTTTTGAAACAGCCCAACGTTATCATCACGTCCCGCCCGTCTGGAACCCTTCCGGCCGACATACCTATTGACCTCGAGCTGGAAACTATGGGATTCTACCCAGATCAGGTAAAGGACTATATCGAAAGAGCTTTCAGCGATTCAACGGGCAACATTGATTGTCAAAAGACCAACGAGGTTCAATCATTTATCAAAGGCCATTGGCTCATCGGGGGACTCGTGCAGGTCCCAATTCAACTTGACGCGCTATGCTACACCTGGGACGACCTGGACCAGGGCACGGCACCAGATACAATGACTGGCATGTACAAAGCGATCGAGCTGAATTTATGGAAAAAGGACGCCGTGCGGATGAGCAAAAAACACAACGAGGAATTCGTGACATCTTCCCAGATTGGATCTTCAGACGTCGAGGCCATTGTCGAACATGAGATTTGCTTCCTTGAAAATCTTGCTTTCAATGGACTGGTGAACGAACTCATCGAATTTTCAGAACAATATCTTAAGTCCATGCCAAAGATGTCCAGGGAGACAATATTACTCAGGAAGACACTACCATGCCTCTCCTTTCTCCGGACTTCTGACGCTAGAAACCGAAGTTACCACTTCATACACCTCACCTTTCAAGAATACTTTGCGGCGCGGTATTTTGTGCGACAATGGCGTACCGGAAAATCTCTGGAATACCTGTCTCTCGACAGTCAAACACACGTGGATACATATCCTGTCAAGTTCCTCCAGACGCACAAGTACACAGCACAATACGAAATCATGTGGCGATTTGTTACTGGCTTACTTGACGCAACCAGCCATGAAAAGCAGTTCCTCGACATGTTGGACCAGGAACCACTCGACCTGTTAGGTCCTGCACATCAGCGACTAGTCATGCAATGCCTGAGTGAGGTTTCGAGAAACTCTACAAGCAGGCCGGGCCTGGAACAGCGGCTGGCCAAGTGGTTTCTATTCGAAAGCAAAGTCTACAAGAACGAACGTCTAGCAAGAGAAGTAGAGGCTCCGGACGCAGCACTTGTAGCTGCTCTATCCCATGCATTAGACGAGGAGAAAGTGGTACTTCTTGGTGCAATAAAAAGTCGGCAAACGATTACGCCGAATCTTGCTAAGCAGGTAGCTTGCCTTCTTAATAACGGAAATTATGAGCTGCAAAAAGCAGCCGCCGCTGTCCTAGAAGTTCAAGCAAAGACCGTGGCGACGGTGCGAGAAAACGCAGATTTAGGCGTCCAACAGGCCGCCGACAACGCCGCCGAATTCATCCCTAATAACCTGTCAAGGAAAGAAAATCTCGAGGCTTTGGCAGCGAATATTAATAATGCAGATGCGGGTGTGCGAAGTGCCGCTTTTCGTGCCTTGGGTGATCAGGCAAGCTTACCAGAAAGGATGCTTGAAGCTGTGGCGGCAAAGCTTGAAGATGCAGATGCAGATGTGCGCGAGGTTGTTATACAGGTTTTAGGTGAGCAGGCGAGCTTACCAGAAAGGATGCTTGAAGCTGTAGCGGCAAAGCTTAAAGATGCGAATGCACATGTGCTCTACGCCGCTGTAATGGCCTTAGAGAAGCAGGCGAGCTTATCGGAAAGGATGCTTGAAGCTGTGGCGGCGAAGCTTGAAGATGAAGATGCATATGTGCGACGGGGCGCTGTAAGGACCTTAGGTAATCAGGCGAGTTTACCGGAAAGGATGCTTGAAGCTGTGGCGGCAAAGCTTAAAGATGCGGATGTATATGTGCAACAGAGCGCTGTAAAGACCTTAGGTAAGCAGGCGAGCTTGCCAAAAAGGATGCTTGAAGCTGTGGCGACGAAGCTTGAAGGTGCGGAAGCATATGTGCGAAGTGCCGCTATTCGTGCCTTGGGCGAGCAGACAAGCTTACCGGAAAAGATGCTTGAAGCTGTGGCGGCGAAGCTTGAAGATGCGGATGCATATGTGCAACGGGTCGCTATATTGGCCTTAGGTAAGCAGGCGAGCTTACCGGAAAGGATGCTTGAAGCTATGGCGACGTTTCTTGAAGACGACAGCGGGGTAACGCGACGGGAGGCCGAGGGAGCATTGCGACGACATGAAAGCTTTTATCGCAACCTCTTTGGCGGACCCTACGCCGTATCGCTATACAATTTATTTTTACAAATGAGCTTCTATGAACGACAAGTTTGGTATATTGATGACGGCCATCTTTGTGTCAACACGCCAGAGAAGACTTTGAGGATCCCAGATCGCAATCAGCAAGGTGGCTTTAAGGCCTGGATCAACGAGGTGCGGCCAAAAGGATTGCCACCAATAGGCGGAGGAAGTAGTGAGCTCGGATGTTCTTCTGAGATCCTTGAACAACGAGCTTTATGTACACAGATGAAATACGATGCATTTGCTCCTACACCACCTTTCAAATGCGACCTGCTATCACTGTACATGTATATAGTCCAAGATTTTCATAGGTGACCGAGTAAGGATACAAAATAGTGCTGGGAGATGTCCCTATGTCTAATTACCTTGTGTTACTCGCCGTGACGCGTTGTAAACAAAGTCAAATCAGTGTATTGTGTCTCTTCTGTTATAACTTTTTCGCTTCTGACGACAACGTACGAGTCAACGTAACAATGCAGAAATTATCGCTGTCTGTTTCTTGACAAATACTACAATTAACTAGTCCAATCAGCTTTACATGCCTTTCTTCGTCCGTCTATATCAAGTCCAGGAAACAGATGGTCTACAAGAAACGCATCATGTCGCACACATCAGAGACCGTTTCCGGTCAAAGAAGCACCTAGTATCCGTTCAGCTTTCCCTTCAGGCTGGTGTACTTGCCAATATGGCAGTACTCCCGCCAGTCCTCGAAAAGCACGTCGATCATGAGGTCGTAAAACTTGTCCTTCTTGATGGAGTTGACAATGGTCGCGTTGCCGGTGCGGTAGCCGGCCGAAGGCGCAAACTCTGAGCCCCAGATGCGCAGGTTGCCGTAAAAGGGCGAGTAGAAGCTGGTGTCGACCGCCGCCTGCACCGGTGTCGTCGATGTGAGCAGGTTCGGGAAGGCCATGAAGGCCGACACGACCTCGTCCCAGAACGGCAGGATAAGCTCGGTGTTGTTGGCGTTCTGCGAGTAGTTGCCGCTGTGGACGATGTCCTGCAACGCGGCAAAGTAGCTGTTGTTGTTGATCACGTCCAGGCCGCCGGCCTTCTTGATGATGCGGTTGTACAGCGCCTGCGAGGGCACCAGGTAGTTGGTCACGTTGCCGCCAATGTAGAGCTCCTTCCAGCCGGCCGTCAGGACGTTCTGGGCGGCTTCGGGGTCCTGGATCAGGTTGATGTCCGTGTTGACGTCGACCTGGAAGGCGCTGCCGGTCGCCTGGGCGTACTGCGTGTCGATGTAGCCGCCCATGATGTACAGGCCGGCGGCCTCCTCGACCAGCTTGGGGTAGATGCTGAGAGCCTGCGCGACGGTCGTCATCATGCCAGCAGCCCAGATCATGACCGGATCGGTGTCCTTGTTCGACCGGACGGCGTCGATCAGAGCCAGCGCACCGGGCACGTCGGCCGAGTAGGGAATGTCGCTGATGTTGTACGAGTCGGTGTATCCGGCCGTGAAGGCGCCCTCCCAAACAGGCGCGCCGAAGAGCGTGTTGTGCAGGTGGAACGTCTCGTTGGTCTGGATCAGCGGCTGCTCCGCGCCCAGATACAGCGGGATGCACGACGTCATGTTGTAGGTCGTCAGCACGTCGTAGGCCGAGCCCAGTGCGTCCGCGCTGGACGACGAGCCAAACGACATGGACACGCCCACCACGTCGTAGCCGCCGTAGATTGGGAGCAGCAGCTGCAGCGCGTTCAGCCCGTCGTTCTCAATAAAGACCTTCTTGGCAGAGACGGCGCCGAAGCTGCCGGCAACGGCCGCGAGGACGAGACCGTTCTTCATCGTGACGGGGTGGGGAGGCGATAAGGAGGAAGAGGAGCGAGGAGTCGTGATGCAGTTCCTTGTGGTGGAGAGAAAAGCCCCAGGAGCCACGATCACGGACACGACTACATATACCTACTCGGACCCAAAGCTGGGCGCAGAAATATGGATATGAGGACTTATCTCTGGGCAAAAAATAAGTCTCCACAGGCCCACCACCAGCTCATTTACTCGTACCTGTTTCTTTTACTAATTACGACTCTGCATCTTTCATTATCGAGGCTAGTGAAAAAAGGAAGAGATGCATCATATTCGCGCAAGGCCAAGCCCCGGGGCCATGGTCTCCTGCTAGATTCGGACGACGCCGGCCGCTTCTCTATACTCCGTACGTCGTACTTACTCCGAACATGTTATCGTCCTTTGTCTCTAATTTGTCCACTTACGCCCACTACTGATATCTCTCGCGTACTTACATAATGTAACCACGAAGCCAAGTCCGCTAGAAGCGCGTTAGTTCTGGGGACCCCGGCGCTCTGGGCAACGAAAATTTCGTCTCCACAAACACCTTCTGCATCCCGTCTTCCTTCGCGTCAAAAGCATGGTACACGCTGGCCAGGTCGTCCAGCCGGAACCGGTGGGAGACCATCTGCAGCGGATCCAGCTCGCCTTTCCGGATCAATGCTAGCAGATGGTCCCAGTACTTGAGCACCGGGGCTTGGCCGTTGCCGATGAGTCGTATTCCGCGCTGCATGACGGACCCAATCGCCAGGTGGTTTGTCTGCATAGATAGGCCACGGTCAGTTCCGGCGATTGCCATGTGCCAAGTGGACACAGTAGTATTGCATGACCCACATAGCCAACGTAGATGCCGGTGATGCCGCAACGACCGTAGTTGCGCACCCCTTCGATCATCTCGTTGAGAATCTCGCTCGTGTCCGTCTCCATGCCCAGCTGCATCTCCAACCAGTGCGTCCAGCCTTTGGCGTACTCGCCCGCCGCACATTCAAGCGCGCAGTCGGGGCCGCGACCTCCGCAGATCTCCTTCAGCTTGGACACAACCGTCTCCTTGTTCGTCAGGCCCGAGGAAAGGCTCTTGAAGTCGACGAGCACCAGCTTGTCCTTGTGTGCTGACGGCCACCGGCTGGCCACAAACGACAGCCGCGGCTCCGTGTCGACAAAGATCACCTTGGATGCCCCTTCTCCCAAGGCGAAGATGCCTGCCATTTGGCCGATCGGCCCGGCGCCGAAAACGGCGACCTCGTCGCCCGGGTACACGGCCGTGTCCTTGACGCAGTTGTACGACGTTGCGAGAACGTCAGAGAGATACAGTGCTGGCCACGAATGTCAGCGACCGTGACGTCGTTTGTTCGTACCTCGTACTTGGTGCCAAGCTTACCCTTCTCATCTGGGACGTCATCCGGGATCTTTAGCAGGTTGACATCTCCGATCGGAACCCTGACATATTCGCTATAGTGGACTGTCAGCATCTATTCTCAAATAATTGTACGCTTGGGACTTGGATTCGTTGTTCCTGCCTTTGCCCTCCGGCGAACCCCCCGGTGAAATGGCCAAAGCCAAAGATGCCAGCCGTCTGCGATCCGTACATGGCTTTTCCCATGGAGTTGGAGCTCGTCTTCTCGCACTGCGATGACAGCTTCTTCTTGCAAAAGAAGCACTGATCGCGTAAAAGTCAGCTTCCACAGGAAGAGAAAACACAACATCTTCATGTACTGACGTCACCACAGGCAATCTGAAAAGAAGCCACATATCTTCCGCCAACGTCGATATTCTTGACAGCGGGGCCCACGGATTCCACAATGCCACAGAACTCATGCCCGAGAATATCCCCCTTCTGCAGTTGCACAACAGTACCTTCATCTGTCAGCTTCGAATCAGTCGAACCGGTTGTGTGAGCTTGAACTCACCATGGAGCAGATGCAGGTCGCTTCCACAGACCGTAGTGCCTGTCACCTTCAGAATCACATCTCCATCTTCAATAATCTTGGGTTTGGGAACTTCAACCACTTCAACCTTGTTCTTCCCCTGCCACACCAAGGCCTTCATCCGCTGGTTACCGTCACCGTGACCTGCATAGTTCGTGATGTCTTGCTGTATCACGGCGCTACCATCGTGGCCAATCGCCTTTTCGACTGCATATGCTGCTTGGGAGACTGCCATGATAGTTTTTGTGACACAGGATCTCTCTAATGAAGCAAATATCAATACAAATCATGTTTCCAGGTGTTCATAGCGTAGCAGATTTCTTTATAATCTTGCATATCTACGCTATAAGATCAGACGTCATCGTTTTAGTGACACTTGTACCTTCGTAATGCCGATCGCCACAAAGCTTTACATCTAGAAGCTCTAGAGGAGATATATGACGTACGTACGGTGTCTCTATACCAGTGTGTAAGCTTACCAACGTGCTATTCCTTTCCATCACTTTCGCACTATTTTTTTTCTCATCTATCACGACGTCATGACAGGAGCGGAGGAAGGTACTCCGTACTCCATATAGCACAAAGACCACCACGTGATCCATCCCGTGACCCTTGCCTGTGGGTCTTTTATCTTTCCTATTCTTAACATTGCATATTTGCCGTCCCATGCATCGCAATTGTTCGCACCTATCGTAACAATCTCGTGCACCTTTCAACGCCCCAAAGCAGATATGGGCGAAGTCGAAGATCTCCAGCTTAAGATCGCCAAGCTTCAACGTGAAAAGCAAGAAGCCCATGATGTCATCTTAGGCCTCCAAAAGGAGAAGGAGGAAAACACGCGCATGCGAACCATCAAGATACCAAAGGACATACACGACACATCCTGCTTGCTAACCCTGACCCGCCTTGTCTGGTCTGGCGTCCACTCACTAATCACACCTAGATCAAGCGCTAGGTGACTACCTCGCCAGCATACATCGCGTCACCTTCCACATGAAAGGCCTTGTCCCAGCTCCCCGAACAATTGCTATACCCCAGACGCTCTCCGAAGGTTCAAAGTCCTCGGCAACGACGTCCGGCCGCACCAGCATCGTCGGCAAGTTTTATCCGCAATAGAAGAGCTTCCCAGCGAATTTCTAGGCTCTGAAAAATTCCTCAATGAAGCCAAGACATCATACTTTCTGCATGAGACGCTGCAGAAGCCAACTCAACGAATTCTCAACGCGTATCTGCGAGCCATCAAGTGTCCCAAGAAGCTCTATTTCGACAAGCGCACCGTCGGATGACGACCTCCGCCGAGCGACTTAGCCAACGCGGTTGAGGGAGCTGATGCCGCACCCGTAGTAGTCCCCGCCCGACCGCCACCAAAGACTCAGCCTGACTGCCTCGTGCTTTGTGCGGACATCCTCACCAGCGCAGCCGAATTGGAAGCAGCTGCCGAGACGGAACAGGCAGAGCAAGGCGTCGACTGTTTTGCTGACCAGGGCGACGACGTGGCCGCCGAGCCAGCCAGCACAGTCCACCATGTCCATCGCATCTCCATCGCCGAGCACAAGGCCGTACATCGTCTACGCGCCGCGGCCGTTGCACGCTACGCCCGTGGGACAATTTCCGAAGATTTTATCGGCCAGCTGGCCCAGATTGCACGGTCAGCCACGGCCTCGGCGGCGACGACTACCACGGGTACAGCAGCAGAGCCGCAGGACGCAAACGCCATAGCGATGGTACAAGAAGACGCGGTGCGCCAGGCAGAGCGTGGCCCACCTGGGCAGGTCTTCTTTGCGCGAGCCTTGACCCAGGCCTTTCACTATATGGTGGCCTCGGGTCTCGAATACGGCTACATGGCCACCGGCGAGACGCCCTCCCTCTTACGAGTGCCGAAAGACGACCGGACAACACTCCTGTACCACACCGCTCTTTTTCCTCTGTATACCCGGCTGCAACTCGGTGCGGATGGCCAAATCGCGGCCGAATCGGACACTACTTTGCCACCCTCGCCAGCACTAACCGGTGCCAATGTGGACGCCACCCAGCTTGCCGTGTCTCTGCTTACAGCTCTCAGCCTGCTAGCGTTTGAGTCGCAACCAGAGCCGGTGCGCCAACGAAGCATCAACATTTCACAGCTAACACGCTTTCCCAATGCCCCCAAAACGATTGCCCCTCAACCGACCAGCCGACAGAGCGGTCGCAAGCGGCGAAACGATGACGATGATGATGGCCGCGGCAGTGATGATGGCAATGACAACGACAGCGCCGTGGGAGACATGTGCAGCCAGAAACGGTACTACAAACGACAACGGGTAGGACGACAGTACACAACATTGTAGGTCCGACGCAGCCAAGTTCGCTAGACCCGTCGACGTTCCGCCCGATTCGGCCCTACTGCTCGCAGGCATGTCTTTTAGGCCTCATGCGGGGCAGCGAGCTGGATGTCAAGTGTCCCAACCTAATCCTGCACCGGCAGGCGCTGCAGCGTGATGGTACGGACCTGCGCACGCGGCCGACGGCACATGCGATCACGGCGACTGAGCTGCACGAGCTCGTACGCCTGCAGCTGCTGGCCAACGCCGAGCAGGACTGCCACTGCTTCCTCGAGCAGGGACTGAGCGGTGCCATCGGCTGTCTCTTCAAGATCACCATCACGGGCTACGGCTACACCTTTTCCGCCAAGGGTGTCGAGGAACACTTTAGCGGCCGTCTGCGTCGCGAGGTGCGTGTCTATGATGCTCTGGCGCCGCAGCAGGGAAGCTCCCTGCCAGTGTGTCTCGGTCTTGTGGAGCTGCTGCTACCGTGGCCTATGGCTAACGGTGCGCTGGTCACGCACATGCTGCTCATGTCATACGCCGGACGGCCGCTTTTAACACCGGCCTAAGGCGTCTCGTAGTAGAGAGCCTGTTATTAGCATGAATCGATTATGAAACGACAAAAGGCAAACACTGTTGGAGGTAGACTGGTGTGCTTTTTTACATGAACTAGCGAATACCCAAGTACTTTTTATTGTAATTCATTTCTAGTCTTATAGGAAAAGGCAACCCTCATTATGGGGTTTCGATTTATTCTTATAAAAGGCTTTTTGTCAATTGTGCCTGTCGGTAGACCGGCTACATCGCCCTTATATTGCCTTTAGTGATGGGCCCTTGTTTATTTTATCTCCCTCCCAGAGTCATGTTCATAATTTCCGTCCCTACATTTGCATCATTGAGAAGTACAGAAGCGCCGGGAAGGTATATGTTACTGATGTGCAAGACCAATGCTTCTGGGTGGAGGCTCAAAAGCTGCTTTGTATGTCAGTGGTAATCAATTGATCAGCGAACCTAGTTTCGAAGTAATGTACACTTCTAAACGTGGTTCCTATCTTGTTGTAGAAACACACCTACTGGAAACATCACGATCTATCTTGTTCAGCCTCTGATGCTTCTAGAAATAGGTATAGCAGAGATCAATGCACTTGACTTTATTTGTGTTGCCAAAAAAACTATTGCCCGGATAATATATTTTCTCCTACATTCCATCCATTCTGTGACTACAGCAAGAAGCGGAATCCTTTGCTGACAGTCTCTCCCGTCACCAGACGCGGGTCGGCCGAAGAATCCAGCTGCTCCTGGCGCTCTAGCTCTCTGTTCTGGCGGGCCAGGATCGAGCGGAAGACGATGCAGCCGCAAATGGTGACGCCGAACATGGCGGTGACGATGCCGTAGCTCTTGCGATAGCCGTCGTCTCGCAGGTTCCAGACGTACGAGCCGGCCACGTTACCGAGCTGGCCGAAGCCGTTGATGATGGCGATGGCCACGGCGCGCTTGGCAGGCGGACGCGGGAACGAGCTGATCAGCCAGCTGTAGGTCACGACGTAGCCAGCATACGAGGACGTCTGCAGGAAGAGCGCGACGTAGCGGGCAGCCGTATTGAGTGTGGACATGCTGATGACAAAGCCGACAAGACCGCCGCAGATGGGGCCGACGACATGCCAAAACTAGTGGGAATTGTCAGCAAAATGGGACAAGGGTGTCGGGATGAAGACGGGGACCTACTCTCTCCTGGGTCCTGTCCGCGTGCAGCGAGACGAGCAGAGAGACGATGCAGGCGGCGACCCACGGCGGGGCGCTCATCAGCAGCGTGGGCGTGGTGGCGAAGCCGAGAGTACCGGTCAGGGTAGGGAAGAAGGCGTTGAAGGAGAGGCCGATGATGTAGGCGATGAAGAAGATGAGCATGACGTAGATCTTCCAGTCCCGGACGGCAAGGAAGAGACCGTCCAGGACGCCCATCTCCTCGGAGTCGATGTCGGCCTCGCCAACGTCCTCGGCCATGCGAAGCTGGGCCACCTGCAGCTCCTCGACCGTGAAGCCGCGCGAGTTGTGCGGCAGGTCTGGCAAAATGAAGGCGGCCAGGATGGCGATCAGCATAGTAATGGCGCCCTCAATCCAGAACATCCATCGCCAGCCGGCGTGGCCGAGGACGCCGTCCATGTTGGACAGGATGGCGGCCGCGAGCAGGGAGGAGAACGCGTTGGAGATGAGGTTGCCGCAGAAGAGGATGGCGTTGCGGTAGGTCAGCTCCCGCCTGGTGTACCACCGCGACAGGATCATCAGGGCGCCCGGCAGGAAGGCGGCCTCGACGAAGCCGAGGCAGAAGCGGACGGCCACCATGCCGCCGAAACTGTGGACGTTGCCCGAAAGGGTCGAGATCATGCCCCAGAGCAGGACGGCGACGCCAATGTACACAGACGGCCGCGAGACCCGGTTGATCATCACGTTGGACGGGATCTGCATCAGGATGTAGGCGACGTAGACGATGCTGAGACAGGTCGCAAACTGCGTGTCGTCAATGTGCAGGTCCTTCTGCAGGCCCTTCAACCGCGCGGCCGAGATGTTGTTGCGGTCAAGATAGTTCATGATGTAGATCAGCACGAAGAGGCTGCACCGGGCATCCAGCTTGCGCTTCAGCCGCTTCTCCACGGCCGCCCGGTGCGCCGGGTCCATGTGCACGGCCGGGTTGTCTGCCATGCTAAAGATAGGGCAGACAGCAGCTGTGGCTGCAGTCGCAGAGGGCTTCACATCGTCGCAAAAAGACTCGTGGCGAAAAACAGCCTTTGCGGCTTCGTCTGCTTCGGCCATGGCGGAAACAAATGGAGAGAACTGGTAAAGAAACAGAAAGAAGAAATAAGGTTCAGACCACATCCAAACGGGGGAAGGGAAGTCACACGGGTCTTAAATAACACGGCTTCGTACAAGCTAAATCTGCTTTAAGCTGCGCTTGTGAGTGGCCTTAGCCTGGTGACTCGCGACAGCCATGTAGCCGATACTTCTCACGCATGGGCCACACCGTACTGTTCCCCGTACTGGGTACGTGTAGCAGCCCATGGGGTCTGGGGTACTCCACACAAGGACAAGTCTCGGAGATGATCGTCGTCTTGACGATACTGCCTAAATGCAAAGACTGCTAAAAGCGGCTCGTGCGCCGAACGTCGTATTTACACATGACAGTGGGGCCCTGAAAAGTACAGGTAGTCATACGAGAGTATGTACTACGACGTATGTGATGCCTTCCTGAGTTCAAAGTACGATGTAAGATGTGGGTACGTGGGAAGACAGCATCCCAACTGCATCGGTTGTGGCTTCTTCTCCGTCTTGCACTACCCTGAAATGGAAGACCTAGCGTAAGATCCTAGTGCTCGTCTACAAACTGGGTTGCAACGACGGCAACATGCTGGAAGGCCGTGCAAAGATCATGACTGTATCGTACGGAGTACGTCGTACTCTGGTTCACAAATCTAGCCAAACAATTACTCAACTCAAATCAGTAGTGTGCGCGGATCAGGGCTAGTCTTATCATTCGGGGCCGGTGGATCTCTGTGGATCGGAGGTACGTCGTACTCCGTAAAACCGCCTAAATACACTATTCCGTACTCAGCTAAGGATTTCTCTGCAAAGGGCTAGCAAGGAGCTTGGGTAAAAAAAGAAGTGATTTGATTGGGCAGTGACCGCCGACTTGCTGCATTATGAAGATCCACCGGAGTAGAGACGACGAGATAACAGTACTGTATAAATGCATAGGATATGTACGTAGGCCGATTACTCGATGGTCTCGTATCTCTTGCTTCACATCAGCAGAAATTCGGGAGACTTCAGGTCAACCCATCCCAGGTTTGGCTCCGACTGTTTCCAGCCTAGCCGATCTTGCACAAGCTTGGAGTAGGTCATGACGTCCTCGATTGGGTAACTGAGGAACGGGATTTCCTTCCTGCACGTCAGCACTGTGGCTATTGACTGTCCGTAGAGCAGAGCGTGCTTACCTCCTGGCGATAGACGCCACTGCACATGAACATGATGTGCACCGTCCGACACCCGGTCGACATGGTATATTTTCCGGCGCCGTGGTAGAGGCTCCCCAGCATGACAAACGCCTCGCCGCGCTTTAGCTCTGCATCCTCTACGCCGACGTCGCCGCTCGGTCCAAAGTCGGGCTGGTCGTCGCCCCAGAGGTGTGAGCCCGGCACAATGCGCGTGGCCCCGTTGGCCTGGAAGGTGTCGCAGGTAGGCACGAAGAGGCCGAGGAGCATGTCGCGGCCGTGCGTGTACTTGCTGGCCGCTGTGTGCCGGGCGTGATGGTTCTTGTCGTCGCGGTGAAGCAGCTGTGGACTCGAGCCCGGCTGCGAAGACATGGCAATTGAGATGGACAGAAGCGGGTCTGACCTATGGACAGCCGGCTCGCCTCCCATCCAGACGGTCGTCTCCAGGCCAAGGATGTGGTCGGCAAGCGCCTGCACAGCAACGGTGAGCCGAGTGGTTCCGTTTGGATCGGAGGCTTTCGAAACGTCAGACTGCGGGTACCTGGTACAGGGGGTCCGCAAAGAACTTTTCGCGAACGGTCTTGCTCCGGCCGATCAGGCGCGTGCAGATGGCCGTTCCGCCGTTCAGGGCACCCACAGTGCTCTTGGCAGCTTCTGCGGCTGATGCGTCGAGATACGGCTGGATTTCTCGGACCGATGTCGCAAGCGACTCCAGATCAGTAAAGTCCTGGATCACGACACAACCATCCTTCTCGATAGCATTGATAAAGGCCTGCAAGCCGGTTGCTCGGGAAATCCGCTGAACCATTCTTTTCTTGTCTCGTTTTTGAAATGGCTACAGTCGCCGGTCTGGTCAATGGATCGTCGGAATTTAGAAGCTAGACTTATCCGATGGCCGCGTTCGGTTTTCGGACCTGTGGCGGTTGTAGGCTATGCCAAAGTCGGTCCTTGTGTTGGTGGGTCGCCACAAGTTCCATATAGTGGGTTTTCGGTCAAACCAATGCATCTGCTGGCTATCCAAGCGTTCCACGACAACATCTCTTAAAGCGTCATATTTAGCTTTTATTCAGGCTTGCGATAGAGGCCACAAATACGTCTTTAAACTAGGCGGTATAAGACTCTAGTTGATGGTTTTAGATGGTGTCTGACAGTGTACAAACTAGTAACCTTAGACTTTATATTTTTTATATAGTAGCATAGTATGTCTAGACCCTAGAGAAATTTATGAATGAGTTGCTAATAACACTTAGGTACGTTGTATAAGAAGATACATCAGGTACAGCAGACGATTGATATACAAACAGTATACAAAAGCTCAGCAAGTTAAGCATATTATGCAACACGGTCAAAACAATGCCATACTCCGTATAGCAGACGAATCTTCCAGGTCTCTTAGCGGAAACTTATATATTTAATGCTTACCATTTACGCCGGAATCAATAGACAGGCGAAGAAATGGTGTAATTAGGCTGAGTGTATCAGGACGGGGGCGGTAAATAAGAGACATCTGATTTACCTTGCTACTTTGCTTACAGTTAAGCTGTTAGCAAGAAAAAATAGTCATATTGACAAGTCTCTTTCTTGAACATGAACATAGACGTTTGTCGAATTCTCGAGGAGACAAACAGCAGTGCAGTTTAACTTTGAGAAAGTCAGATTACTCGTAGCAATCAATATATCACCCACACTTGCATTGATTTACTTAAAGAGCGCTTAACAGTTGTAAACATACGAATCTCTTTCTTTTTAAGTATGTGTGGAAGAGATGTAGATAGATAGGTTAAAGAATGATCAGAGACGAAATACTGGCAGACTATTTCACGCAAAAGAGGCTTAGCGTTTTCTTTGGATGATGGGCATGCGCAGCATTCTCGCTTACCTTCAAGACAGCCTCCGGTGAATAGAAAGAGAGAGAGAGAGAAGAGTTACATTTATACCAGTCTTCCAAGTCAGAAAGAACGGTGTCCGTTGTGCAGCGCTTACTCGATCATTAAAGTTTTCGGAGCAAAATGCAAAGACTATGTACATCCAATTGTATCCATTTCTACCAGCAAAACCACAATGGATGGCTAATCGCGACTTGTTATCTAGACCTATCTTTAGAACTATGACGCATTGTGCAAGCGCCGAGCCATTTGATCGTCCACGAAAGCGCTTATCGACCCTCGCCAGAATGGATGGGAGAGATACACGCCGCATGATTCGCACAGTCTCTATTGCGACGGTACCCAAATAAAAGACCTATCTTTGGCAATATGGGCGTACTTTTGGAGGCCGCTTCCTGCAGCTGCCCCCCATTCGTTGTCTGCAGGCGGAATCACAAGCGACAACCAGGTTATATGATGAAACTGCAGGGGATGCAACTTTCCTAAACAGGCCGCCTGGTGGGAAATAATTGCGCAGGCGTCAGGCTGCCAACGTGGAATCGGAAGCATAAAAAGCCGAACCCAACCTTTTTGTTTCTGCTGGTTTCCCCAGCTCTGCCATTCTCTTCACCCTGCAATCACCCGTCTGCACCTTTTGCATCATCCACATCCACCTCTTTTGACCTCATTTGACATCGCTCACAATGGCCTCCAAAGCCAATGGCCAGCAGGCCGGCCTGCTGAACAGCCCTGTCCTTCTACGCAAAATCGATCAGATGCGCGAAAAAAATGTAGGACAGTACCTGCCACTGCCCCAACTCGTGGCTGTCGGCGACCAGAGCTCGGGCAAGTCGTCGCTGTTGGAGAGCCTCACAGGCATCTCATTTCCACACGCACAGGAACTGTGCACACGTTATGCCACGCAGATTACCCATCGCCGCGACGATTATACACACATTGATGTCAGCATCATTCCCGGGCCGCACGCCACGCCGGCGGACAGCCTGAAACTGAAGGCCTACGGCAAACGCCTCCAGTCAGGAGCAGAGCTTACAGCCCAGTTCTCTACAATTCTCAGTGAGGTAGGCAATCTGAAGTCTCGTCCAAACCCCGGCCACTTTTCTCTAACTCCTGCGTTTTCTTCCACAACAGGTCAATACGTTGATGGACATCAAGACAACCACCAATCCAAGCGGCAGCAAAACCTTTACCGAAGACACACTGAAGATTGAGAAATGCGGTCCAAACGAAGACTACCTGACTGTCATTGACGTGCCGGGCATCTTCCGCACCACGACGGCCGGAGTCACAACGGCAAAGGACCAGGACCTCGTCCGGAACATGGTCAAGGAGTACATCAAGAACAGCCGGACCATCATACTTGCCGTTCTGCCCAGCAACGTCGACGTGGCCACGCAGGAGATCCTGACTCTAGCCGAGAGCTACGACAAGGCCGGAGAGCGGACGCTGGGCATTCTGACTAAGCCCGATCTCGTGACCGAGCGCAGTGCTAAGCTTTCTGTCTGCAGCCTGGTGGAGGGGAAGAAGAAGCCCCTCACCCTGGGCTACTTTGTTGTGCGCAACCGCGGAGGTGATGACGAGGACGAGGACGACGAGGATGACAAGAAAGGCGGCTCCTCGTCCAACCTGTATCAGCGGGAGGCCATGTTCCAAGAGGAGCCATGGCGCAGCCTGCCGGACGATCGGGTGGGCATCTCTGCCCTGCGTGAGCGTCTGCAGGAGCTGCTGGGACAAATCACGCACCGGGAGTTTCCCAAGCTGCGAGCCGAGACGCGGCAGCTGTTGGAAGAGGCCCGGACGCAGCTGCGCGAGTTGGGTCCCGCACGACAGACAGAACGCGAACAGCAGCAGTACCTATCTTCCATGGCTGGGCGATTCCAGAGCTTCGTACGGGCTGCCCTCAACGCCGACTACTCGGCACATTCGGCCTTTGAGGACGAGAGGCTCCGACTGATCACGGCCGTGGCCAACATCACGGACGAGTTTAGCAAGGAGTTTCGCAGCAAGTCTCGCACGTACCTCTTTGAGACAGAGGACACAGACACGACGACCGCGCCGCTGGACCCTGCTAGCAGCCCTGCCGGCTCCGACAATTCGGGCGAGATCACGCCGGGCGGGTCTAACCGATCCACGCCAGACGAGTTTTCCGACCTGGACGGCATCGTGACCGAAGACACACCGGTGCTGCCACCCATGGAGGGGATCAAGTTGTGGATCGAGTCGGTCTACCGGCAGTCCCGGGGCATCGAGCTGGGCACGTTTGGGCTCGCTGTACTCACGAGCGTGTTCCGCGAGCAGTCGGCCAAATGGGGCCCGATGACAGAGCAGTTCCTCAGCCGGATCATCCGGGTTGTGCACGGGTTCATCTTTTCTGCGCTGGAGGTCGTCTGCGTGGACGAAAAGGTGCGTGAGGACCTCATGGCAGCCATCATGACCGACCTCTGCGCCCGGTACCGGGACGCGATGGGGCAGGCCAAGCTGCTGGTGGACGTCGAACGGCAGCTGAAGCCCTATACGCTCAATCATTATTTCAATAGCAACCATCAGAAGAGCCAGGGCCTGCGAATGGCAGAGACGCTACGGCCGATCGCCCATTACGGGTTTAACGACAATGGCAGAACGCTCCATGTCGACTTTGACAAGATCGCCACCACCGTTAGCAACAAGAGCAACGAGGAGCACGCGGTCGAGAACATCCACGACATTCTGCGGGCATACTACGGGGTGGCCACCAAGCGGTTCGCCGACAACGTGTTCCAACAGGCGGTCGACTACAAGCTGCTCTCGGGGCCGAGCAGTCCGTTGAATATCTTTTCCGAGCAGTGGGTCCTCCAACTCAGCGAGGACGAGCTGGCAGCCGTTGTTGGAGAGTCCCGCATGACCAGAGACCGTCGGGGGAAGCTGAAGAAGAAGATCGAGGACCTGGAGGCTGCGGTGAACATTCTACGCTGATTGGATGTGATGTAGTGCGCATATAAGACGGTGTGAAGGCCGCTAACACAGAAAGTGTACGGTGATACAGTTTGGCACAATTAGAAATATGACGGTCTATAATGAACCAGATGGTTTAGTTCTGCCATAAATGCACGGCTTGGATTTATCAAAGAAAATTGTAGTCGGAACGCTCTTTTTCGAGTGCCATTGTCACAGAATGATAAGCCAGGCATGTCTCTTAAGATGCCGACTTCCACTTCCTCTCCCATTCATCCAACTTATCTTGCGTCTTGGTCCGGGTTTCAGGTTGGCTTGGGGCCTTTCCGCCTCCAACAAGTCTCTCAGACAACCCATCATTTCCGTAGATGAAGGGATGCAGCATGCCCGAGGGTTCGGCCGGCTTCGATCTATATGAAACTGTCAATCTAAATTATTGGCGTCAAACGTCTGGGGCTGTCCTACCCTGTCTGGTGATCCTTAGTCACCGCAGCAGAGGGAGTGGTACTTTGAGGCATGATAAAGAGATCCTGAGCTTGAAGATATGTATTTCTTTTGTCGTATTTAAACCTGGTCGTTAATATCTTTGTATGCTTAATTACAATTCTTTGTGACTCTCCGACTTGCGCTTCCTTCTATTTATACTCATTGTGATTCCCCTTCTCCTGCTAGCTATTTAAACTCATTTATGTTCTCAAGTTCGATGCATATGCCGCAAAGTCGCGACCGTGTATTTCATCGAGAACGTCTTGCCTTTGTGTCTAATATCAGAAAACCGGGGTTGCACACTGCGGCTGAAAAACTCTCACTAGTCGTCTCTATTTTATTAGCTTACCACGAGCAGTTCAGACCGCAAATGTGTTCTCAGTCCTGATTGTCTTATAGGTCGGGACAGTGGGGCTAAGCCGCCTACCCTCGCATATAAAAACAAGATAAAAGCCCGTCAACTTAAAATTTGACCTTTCCCAGTTTTATACGAACAAAATCTATCGAGGACACTGCTACGGTTTTTTTTTAATGGGCTTGAACCATAAACGCAATGCCCAACAAAGACAACTTGTCTCCCAACGCCGGTATCATTGCTAAGCAATGGCCAGGGCCATCTCCCGCGGCGTCAAAAGCAGAAAGGGATACAAACACTATTTCAAATGAGCACTTGAAGGTTCCCGATGGTATGTCTATTCAGTTACAGTCCCATTGGCGAGGCTTCTCGGCAGGTCACCAACTCTACAGTCCAACTCGTTGAGCATGCTGCTAATTGCTATATGATGCGACAGGAACCGAGTATGCGACGCACAAGCACAAAAATCTTACGAGAGGCACGACCAAAGTTCAATCTTCTGAATTTGCTTGTCCGTTCCTGAAGTATGATCCAAAATTATTTCATAGTTGCTCTCGCTACTGGCTTGAAAATATCACCGACGTCGAACAACATTTGCGAGAGGACCATTTCGCTCATCTGTATCTGAATTGCTTAAAGCCCTTTCACACTCATGACGATTTAAAACATCATATACGGTTTGATTCTTGTAGTCGGTTGTTTTCAGTAAACGGCGCCACCGATCATGTCCGGAGAGGGCTTTGCTACAATTTCACTTTTGGATTAACAAATGAGACAAAATGGTATATTATCTGGGATACACTGTTCCCAGACCGAGCACGGCCGGAGACACCCTATTTGGACTCCGAGGACTCCGAGGATGTATCATTCCAAAAATTCATTATGTCGCACGGACCGGCAATACTTTCGCCCATGCTTGAATTTGACAGCCCGAAGCAAGGACCTTACAACTTGGAAACCACTCTTCGATCTGGGCTAGAGTTGATCAGAGATGGATGGATTCATTCTATATCACCACCTTGCACTATTTCGACGCTTTCGAAGCCTGGTGAAATCTCTGACATCCTTGATCTAGGCATGAAAGTAATTAAACCCACGCTGACCCAACTTTCGGCATTTTCGGACGATAGCGGGTATTCAGGCTCAGTTCTAGACGGATATGAATATGAACTACCGATTTCTGGTCCCGTTCTCGAAGTGCAAAAAATCGACACACATAGTGAAGAGAGTATCACCAGCGAACCTGGTCTATGTGAAAGCGCAGACTTTCCCAAACAAGACACCGTGAGTGTGGCTCATCATCTTGTATCTCCTGTATCGATATTTATAGAAGGCGAGAACACTGGTAAGGGACCAGAAAACACTTCTGATTGTCCATCCACCACGACCGAGGACAAAACGAAGCTGAAAGACGATGAAATGGGATCTCTTTCTAAGATGACCTATTCGGTTTCTACTGTTGTCCCCAATTCATCACCAGCCAGCCCATCCTTGCAAAAAGCTTTAGCCTCTGATCAAAACGAGGCAACCAGCTCTGAAAAGTCAAATCCGGGTTTCGAAAAAATGATGCTCGAACAAGAAACAACGGATGGAAGTGATAGCGATTCGTCTGTATCAGAAAGCAGTCCATCAGATACCTCCTGGATTTCAGCCGTCTCTCCTGACTATACGCTTGATTCATCTCACCCATACCTCAGCATTGAGTCGATTGCAGTTGATCGGATCGTTTCTGCCTACAAATCGTGGGTGTGCGGCACAGATAGTCCAGAAGACACCCCTTCCTCAGGGATAGGAGAGGACGGAACCGATAGTTCACAGATCCAGGATTCCTCTGCCTCATCCCAGACACTCCCATTGTCTCAGAGTTCTGATCCCAATTCCGGAGAAAAACGCTCTTCTACTAAGCGACCCCGGGACAATGCTGATGATGCTGCCACACCGCAAACCAAATTTCAGCGGAAAAAAATTCAGAAGGGGGACACAAGGCTAGCCTGTCCTTTTCAAAAACAGTTTCCGTGCAAGCATTTCCGGTGTGGTGAAAGAGGCACAACTCCAGGATTCGACACAATCGCTCATATGAAGGAACACATAAAGCGGCGTCACTTGAGGCCTCTTCACTGTTGTTCCATATGCAAAAAGGTATTTCCTAAAAGCAATGAGTTGTACGAGCACAATATAGCCGCTCAAATCGCGCCGTGCGAAATCCGCTCTTTCACCGACGAAACGGCTCTTCCTTGGGACAAGGACGTGTTGCAGGCCCTCGGTAAGCGAGCCAACAAACATTTAGACATTTGCAAGCAGTGGTATGCTGTTTGGGATAGCATATTCTCTGGAGCTTCAAAGCCCCTGAGCTGTTACATTGATGATGAATCATACCAATATGCGTATGAATATCATCAATTCCAAGTCAGTCGAGGACTCGAGGTGGCTAGGGCCATTGTACAGGATATGAATATGGAAATCACGTCTCAGATGGATATCGTGGCCTTTGTGGAACACGTATGCACCAGGGCAGCATCTCAAACATTTGACATTTGGAAAAGCGAGAGAAATGAGGGCAGTCAACAACGACTTCCTTCCTCCATAACAACAAGTGTGCAGACCCCAATATCTCCAGAAAACTCCGTCCCATCGGCAAATGACACGTCTGATCCTAGCCATCATCTTCCACTACCAACAACCGAGCCAGTTCCCCCGATCTTACCGAACAACACGGCCCCAGCAGGAGGAGAGAATCATGGGAGCCCGAATTTTTGGGATTTCTTAAATAACGACGAGTTTGACTTGGAGAACCTATTCGATTGGGAAGAAACCCCTAACACAATGGACGACCTGTTAGGTGTAGAGAGTTATGTTACAGGACAAAATGAGGGGCGTCTATAAGCCTTTGAACCTCCTTTTCAGGTATGCCATCACCTCACACCCAGGTCAATGCGACTTGTTCCTGGACAACTCCTGGCGACGAAAACACGTCTTCAAATACCGTTGCAACTTCTCCAATAAAACTCCAAGCTGCCGAATTGCGCCAATACCTTCAACAATCGCGGACAGAGTGAAAAAAGGAACGGCAATGCTGCGGAGGGCAGTTGAGATTTCTCTTTTTCACGGCCTATTTTGTTCTCTTGTAGTCTAGCTTGGGTTTATCATTTTCCACTTTTATATTTAGTTCTTATTTTTGAGTAACAATTGCGGAATAACAGCCACTTGACCAATTATCCAGAATGGGAGGGGTGTGCGGGATTATGCAGTGTGATGAAAGAATACATGTACTGTGTGGCGCAAGGGGCTATTTAGTACGTGTTTTGACGCACGTCTGCATATCCTAGAAGTACCTAACCATAACAATACATCTCTGTTTACGGGGCACACATAATTCGTCAAAGACGTCTCCTTGCTCACGGGCAAATCAATGCGTGAACTAAATGCGCAGTTATTGCTACTTCGATTCGTACGCTGTAAATCAAGGTTAGAGTGAAATGGAGAACAAACGACCGTATCTCTCCGTCTTTCGATTCCAACTCTGTTCCTGAAAGATTGGTCTTGGAGCTTTCCGTCTACGACCAAAGCGTAGGATGTCGAATATTGCGATAGGTCATCTTAGTCATGCGTACCCAATAGACCAATCATAACACTGCATTGCGCTACAAGCCGAAAGATGCTCCAAAAACCGGTATAACACTCGGCTTACACGCCCACCGCCACATCGCCCAACGTAAGCAAACACAGACAAGGCCGACCTGCTCCGCTCCCGCGTCCTCTATCTTCTGTTCTTCTGTCCTCCTCCCCTCCCTCCTCACTCCTCACGCGTGTCCATGGCCTCGCCGGCCGCCCCGCCGGTCCCCTCGAGCTTCGCCCGTGCGGCCGCGATCCGGCCGGCCTTCCAGTCGTCAATCTGCTGCTTGAGCGCGACATCCGGCACGACATCATCCATGGTCATGGGCTGCCGCGTGAACGGGTCCTTGGGGTCGGACAGCAGGTGCTGCGTGATGGTGGAGCGGTCGACGGTGTGGCGCGAGGGCAGGATGACGGGATCGCGCATCAGATCGCCCATGATGGGGTCCTCAAACTCGGCCGGGATCTCGCCGAGATCAGTCTCGGCCTGGTCGGCCAGCTCCTTGGTGGAGGCAAAGCGGGCCATCAGCGCATCCCAGGCCTGCAGCTTGGCCGGGTCCATCAGGCCCTTGGTCGCGAGGATGCGCGTCGCGTTGGAAAAGATGTCGGGCTTGTAGGAGCGGCCGTCGGCGGCGACGGCGTCGACAAACGACTGCTTGTCGCCCAGATTGAGATACAGCTCCACCAGCTGCGGCAGCAGCACCTTGGGGTTGAAAAAGTACTTCTCCGCGTTGTCCACCTTGAGGTTGCGCGACGCCGGTCCGGCCAGCGTGACCAGGTTGTAGTCCAGCATGCCGGCCAGCCGTGACACGATCTCCGGCATCGTAAACGCGTCGCTCAACGCCTCCGTAAACAGCTTCATCATCGCCACCGTCTCGTTGGCCAGCTGCATGTACGACTGCGCCTGGCTCTCGGCCTGCTGCAGCTCTGTTTCCTTCTGCTGCCGCACCTCCGGAGTCAGCTGGCTGCCGCCCTCCTGCAGCTCCTTCTGCAGGTCGTGGATCTTGGGAAACTTGGACAGCGCCTCGTCCAGCACGTAGGTGGCGTCGTTGAGCAGCATGTTGACGAACCGCACAAAGAAAGACCGGTTTGTCCTGCTATGTTAGCAACGTCTGCTCGCACCCGCTCACATCCCCCAACTCACCGGCTCTGCTGTGTCAGCTGCTGCTTGTACAGGTCGTTTGGCCACACGGCCTTGATCACCTGGAAGATCTCGTAGCGGATGTTGAACTTGTCGTAGAACTGCGTGTGTGCACCCGTGGACTCACACTCGATATAGAACTTCATCAACGCGTGCAACAGGTGGCGGTTCGCAAGCTTGCTGTTGGCCAGTGCGTCGCCCAGCACTCCGTTGGTCAGGTGGTACATCCGCCACGTTCCCGAGTACAGCAGCGACACCAGCGACGACTTGAGGTACGGGTTGCGGATGTAATCGGACGACTCCAGGAAGGTGATGCACAGCGCCACCATCTCATCGCCCACGGCCGACGGCAGGATCCGTGGCACTCGCCGGAACAGGAACTTGAAGTGGTCCACCACGTTCTGCAGCGCATATTCCGGCAGGCAGCTGAATGCCTCTGGCTCGTCGCCTGGCAGCGGCAGCTGCAACTCCTTGTCCGGCGTGTAGTCCGATCGGCTGGCTACCCGCAGCAGCCACACCGACACGTACCGCATGAACATCAGCGACCGCACCTGCATCTTCTCGTCCGACAGCACTGCCTCCAGCGCGTACTTGTACGACACATGTCGGTCGATTGCCGCCGTGTACGTCTTGAGATGCTGTTCCACCAGCACCATCGCCCGCGGGTTTGCTGCCGCCGTCGCCAGCAGTTTCTTGCGCTCTTCCTCCAGCATCGCCAGCTGGCCCTCCATGTGCTTGATTTCCCGGTCAATGTCCTTGTACCGCTGACCCGCTGCCCCGCTGCCGTAGTGGTGCGACGCCATGTTGAGGAAGAACAGCTCGCTGACAAACTTATTCTCTCCGCCCGCCGGCTTCCCGTAGAACGCATCTGATTGTGCCTGGTCCGCGTTCAGCTTCGTCTCGTCCGTGATGTTGATCCGCGGCTTGCGCCGCAGGTAGTCGATGTCGATCCGCTCCATCCGCAAGAAGTTGGCCTCCATGAACGGCTCGCACATCCGGTCCAGCACCGCTGCCACGTTCATCATGAAGCCGTCCGAGGCCACCTCCTTGCTACTGACCTGCATCGCCCGCCGCTTGTGGTTCATGTTCATCGCGTACGCAAACCAGTCCAGCAGTCGGTTCCGCGGCCCGTCGCCCGCCCGTGCAAACGCCATCGCGATCGAGTGCAGGTTCGCCTGGTGCGTATTGACCGTCATCTGCAGAGCGCTGTACACCGTCTCCTTGCGCGGCATCTCCACCTTGTGGTGCCCGCCAAAGTACGCCGTCGACACTTCGTGCTGCAGCGGCGAGATGCGGAAGAACGGGCCCAGCAGCGTGAACCGCTCAATGTTGGGCGCCGACTGTGCCATCTGGAAGGACGGGTGTCGTGCCAGTGCTACCAGCAGCGGCTTGAACCGCGAGTATGTCAGCAGCACCTCAATGTAGGGCAGATACTCGTCGTTCATCGTCATCGTCGCCAGCTTCGAGCTGATCTCTACCATCGCTCGCGTGAAGATCTCCTGTACCTGCCCGTCATCGTCGTCGTCGAACCGCGCCACCGCATCCGTGATGAAGTCCATGTCCAGGCTCAGCACGTCGTCCGGCCGCACGCCGCGCAGCAGATACGGCACGATTGTGTCGTGCTCCCGATTTGGTTCCCGGCTAACACGATTATATAAGCATAACCCAAATACGTCACACGATGCAGCAAGCTCCTACCCAAAGTAATCCGGCATTGTCAAGGCGAAGACGATGTTGCACATGCAGAGTCGTTTGAGCTCGTGCAGCACGGCAAGCCGCTCCGTGCTCGTGACGCGGGTCTTGAGCAGCCGGCTGGCCGCCTTGTAGCACGGCAGCAGGTAGTCGAGCAGCGGCCGCTTGTGGTTGATCTCCGTCGACGCCTCGAGGATGGCCGGATCGATGTCATCGATGGTGAGGCGCAGCGGTTTCTTGGATGATTCGGCCTTGTCGCTCTCGGTCTCGCCATTGCGCTCGAGGATCTCGCTCCGCAGGCCTGGCAGGAACGCGACCTGGTGGCCGTGGCGGTCGCGCGTCCGACTCGACTCGATGGTCACGCGGAGCGTGCTGGATATGACGTGATCGGTCCACTCGGCCAGGGCGTCGGCAGGGGAGAGGGTGGCGGGAGTCGGTGTCGGAACGGCTGCCGTAGCCGGTTTCGAGGTCGCTGGGGTTGTCGCTGGGGTTGTGGACGCGGTTGCGGCACCCGGCCGCCGTGCCGGCGGGTCAGTTGGGGCGCCAGAGGGGCTCGCTGCAGCTGGATCAACGTCGGCAAGCGACCTTTTTGTGGGGTGGCTGTGGTCTCCCTGCAGAGCTGCAAGGCAGACGTGGTCATCATTACCTGTTCCCGCTGATGCGGTGGCCGGTTGTCGCGTGGATGTGGAGGGAGAGGTCGACGACGTCGACGCTGTCGGGACTGTGCTGTCGCCGGCTCTGTCTGTGTCTTTCGGTGTGGAGGACGGCGTGGTCGCGCCCAGCTTGGCAAGACGCCGTGCCCGCATCTGCAGGAGAACGAACATGGTCAGCTGCCCGGCCCACCAAGCTCCATCATCCGACATACCTGCTCCTGGCTGGGCAGAGTTGGCTCCGGCGGTGGCTGTTCTTCGTTGGGGTCCATCGTAGCTCGGGTACGTGTGCGTGTGTGTGTGTGTGTGTGTGTGTGTGTGGTCGACGGACGGGGTGTTCGCTCTATGGCACGAATGGACGTCGAGCAGAGCGAATTCGAGTCTCTTTGGACGATCGATGGAAAGTGCAAAAGGGCCGGCAGCTCAAAGACCTCTCAGTTGGATGCAGTGACAAGCAGGTCGGCACACACAATCGCCAGGTCGGATGTAATCCCAGACACGGAAGAGAATGGAAGAATAGCAATAGTCACGGCCAAGCTGTGCCTGGTTCGGGTCCGGGGTGAATTATTACGGCTGTTGGACGCTGCCTATTTCAGTTTCAGCCCCGCTCCGTTTTAGTACTCTAGCTGCGCTCTGAGTGTTGTGGCGGTGTCCTTTGAATGGCTGCTAACCCTCTCTGTCTGCCCCGCCGTGTAGAGCTGGACAGAAGCAAAGAGAAGAATACCAATTACTAATAATTTGCATTACAAGATAACAATCTTTCCCTTATCGGGTATTGCGGTGCTCTTCTTTTGACCGTCATGTCATTCCCTCCCATCTCTACCTGCTTCCTTACTTGATACATTCCCATCCCCTCCACAGTTTGATAAGGCATTGCCTTCTCGCCTTCCCTTTGTGTATATCACCCCATGCAACGAATGGCAGACAAAAACCCCCCGAATTCATGCTCCTAGTAATGTCCCGTCGTGAACGCCTCTCAGATATACGCGTAAAACCATTCAAATAAACTCGCATCTCCCCAGCCCCGATTTCACAGGCGAGGAGGATTCCCCCGATCACTCAACCGGCGACCTGGAAAAATCGGCCCGTTGTAAAAAGAGCGCCGTTCCGCATCCTGCTTCAGTGCCATTGCAGCAGCCATGGTGTTCATTGCTGTTGCCGCAGACCCTGCAGAAGGTGTGTGCGCATCACCGACCTCGCCGCCAGATTTGATCATGGTCTGCCGGAATGACTCCGTCATTCGCCGTACGTGCATATTCATGAGCCCCAAATTGTTGTATAAGTCCACGATCTGCTCCCTGATGGGTGCCAGTTCATTCATTGTGTGTAGTGCGTGCCGTGTGTCCACACCACCCACAAATCGTTCCAATATCTCCATTCTGGCATTGAAGGCTTCCAGATCCGTCAGGAGATGGTTGATCTTGTCATCACCGTTGAGACCATCCGTCTGTCTAGTATTTGCGTCGTTGGGCGGCGTCCCAGGCTGGTCACCGGAGCCGTTTGCCATCACAGGCCCGCCAGGTACCGCTCCATAGATTGCCGACTGTGGTGAGACTGACGTGACTGGCACAAGGGGCTGCAGTGTCGGTTGAGATAACGGTACGGGCGGCGTCCCAAGCCCGCCTGTGCCCATATGGGGCTGTGTTGGTGGGACAGGCAATGCCCATTCCTGGCCAACCGGTGGTCGCGCAGCCAGCTCGTACTCGAGGCGTTGCACTTGGTTCCGGGACTCGTTCAGGGTAGCCTTCATAGCTTCCATGTCACTGTCGTGAAGGCGCTGCATCCTGACGATCATGCCGTGCAGGCACGTGCGCTCATGCTCGACAGAATCCTTCTTCTTGATCACGGCTGTGCAGCCGCTGGTCTTGTACTGGCAGTCCACCAGGCGATCCGGACAGTTGGCAACGTGCGTACCGTACCGATGCTTCGGGATGGCCGTGAGACAGCTCTGGCAGACAATCTGGTTCTGCTCGCAGCCGGTGTCGTAGTGGTCTTCCAGGCCTGCCAGTTCCACCGGCCTGCTGCAGTAGTCGCATTCGATCAGTTTGTGCATGCAGCGACCTCCCTTCGTAGCGTGGCGCGCCACAAGCTTTCGACACGTCCTGTCGGGACACGGGACTCTGGTATAAAGGCAGTCTTTCGTGAAATGGTGCTCGATCAGCGATCGCCCGCAAACGTAGTCGCAGCGAGCATTCGGGCAACGGACTCGGAGATTGTCCAGAAGACTGGTGACCATGGGCGGTGCCGAACAAAAGAACACTGGGTTTGGACTGTCCTGGAACGGCTCGAATGGTTTGCGGTCGAGCGGACAGCGATCGTCCTCCAAGAGCATCTGCTCAAAGCACTCCCGACAAAACGAGTGAAGGCATTTAGCCATCTTTGGCTCTATGAGCGGCGACTGGCAGATGGCACAGTCGAGATGCTCATCGTAATGTCCAACGTACTCGAGCCCACGCCAGTCCAGTTCGGGTGCGCCGGTCTGCCCTTCCTGGCTGGCAGGCCGCAAGCATTGAACGGGTCGACTGCGACGGGTCTCGTCGTTACTGTTAACTCCCCCATCTTCGATTGCGTTCGCGATCTCGTCCGGCTCGTCCGTCTCTCCCAATTCGTCTAATTGGTCCAGCATTCGGTTGTGGCGTGTCGGGATATCGTCGTGCGACAGCAGGTGATGCTCATCCGCTGCGACATTGTTGTTTTGGTCGCCGACAGGTAAGGAAGTTCGGATGCGTATTGCGTCTTCTCGCAATAGCTGCTCTGTGTGCAAAGGCATGACTGGGTAGGGGTCTCGTTAGCAGGCCACGAGCCCGTGACACGGTGATCAAATTGTTTGATTCGATGGACAAGAGAAAGTCTGATGGTGATTCCGTCGGGTTTTCAAAGTGTCAGGCATGACCCAAAAGTGCCCTTCTGCTTGAAAAGGGCTGGAAAGCCAGCGATGTCTGTGGAGAAGGGCGTCCAATGAATTAAATCGGTGGACACTAACAGCTCTATAGCCGCCAAGTGGCAATTCACCAAGTCGTGCGTCCAAAGTATGGGCCGTTGCTACACCACACGGCGACGATAGTATGGAAATCTGAGCTGAGGGACAAAGGTTGCTGTTGGATTGGAGCCCTCGATAGGCACATTTATGGAGTGCAGCAAGTCTTTACTCCGTACGTCGTAGGAAGCGCGCTCGCGTAACGCGCTGAAGCTCGAGGGGTAATAGAACGGACAAGGTCCGTGCGCGCCCCGCCTAACAAACAATGTTAACCCCACGATCGGGGCTTGTATCTTAACTCCGTGTCGACTGTTTTCTTACTTCTTCAGACTGCGTTAGGATTTATCAAGAAAGGCAGGTTGGCTATAAGCCGAAATACTGTTAATTCATACAACGCCAACCTTTCAGGAAGTCTCATTGTAGTCTCTCGGTATTTCCGTTCTGTTACGTCTCTTTCGTTGCATCCTCATCCTCCTCGATGGAGGGTCTTAGCTCTAGGTCACCGATATTTAGAAGTGAGAAGTTGCGTCTAATCGTTTCTTTGAGTCTGCCTCCGTCGCGACATCGATCGCTCAGCCTGTCCGCCAAGAGAGTCCACTGCCTTACGCGGCCTTCTTGTCTCTGAGCGAACCAGCTTATACCCTCGTTGAATGCCTTGATGGCCAAGTACTGTATATCGTCTTCTGGCCAGCTTTGATCCTACGTCTCGGGAGCCGTTGTCAGCTGTGTGCACTCAAAAACGGATGCTTGCCGGATTCATTACCATTCCAACAGTAGCATTCTGCAATGTCTCAAAAATCTCCTCCAAGATCCGGAAAGCAACATCATTGTCTCGGTAGAGCGCACCCTGAAATAGGCAGCGATAATATTTGACGAGCTTTTCGTAGTCGAATCCGCCGACCTGGCGAATTTTATCGATTAAGAAACGCAAGGTTGACAGAAAGTCTGTTTGCCGCGGGTCAGTAACGGTATATGAATACATGACGTGGGGGAGAGCTGACTTTGGGTAGGCACTCGTGCTTGTGACTGTAACAGAATGTCACCCAGGACGCGAAATGTATCAGGGTTGTTGCAAGCGGCTGCCTTCTCACAAATTCCATTAAGCTCGTCCCAGTCTCCAAGACCGATCGCCCCCTCAAAGTCGAACACAAAGAGAGCAGGTAGCTTACTAGAGTAGTGTAAATATGTTTCTGACGTATTACTGGTATTTGCAGACTGCCTCAACTGCACCTGAAAGGCCATAATATTCTCACGCATGACACGGTAGTCTTTGATGACCTGTTCCTCTTGAATTGGAACTTCCGGCTCTCTTGCCAGTGCCGACAGAGCTGATGCAACCAAGAAGTGACAGTTCAGCGTCTTCGATGCCACGTCCGTTGAGGCTTGGGATTCCACATTTTCGGGAAGCAGTTTGATGATTTTCCTCCACGATATGAGAATTCTTGCAATGCTGCGAAGATCTAAGCATCTGGAATACTTGAGACTCTGGTTGTATGAGGCCCTGCAGAACCAAACCAGTTCATCTGTGCTGAATGCTCTCGTCGCCGTATTTACGTTGGCGTTATAGCTAGCCTCGATAGCTTCGACCACTGAAATAACATTAGTTGATGCACGGTAGGGAAGAGGAAATCATTATGTTGTTTACCTCCTTCAAAAACGGTCGCCAGGTCACGAGATGCAGATTCCACGATGCCGCTTACATCTTCCGTGTCTGCGACGCTTTCTTTGATTATGTCCTCAAGCATCAAAATTGTACAACGAAATAAAGCAGGCGTGTGGAGAGGACTTTGACTGTTATAGTCAGCTGTATCAGCCAGTTTCTTCAAGGCCTGCACGGTGAAATAAAGGGCCTTAGACTTTTTGGCATAGAGAACGCAGGCATAGAGAAACTCTCTTCCATCGGCGGATAAGCTAATGTGTTTGAGGCACTTCATTGCCATCTCCATATCGTCCAGTCGGACGGAAAGCTTGAAAAGCAGATACTGCGTCATAGTGTCATCTCGTGTTGATTCTGGCATAGATTCGTATGTTGCCCGTGCTGTTTCCAGATCACCACTTTCGATGGAGCACGAAAGAAGTCTCCTGAAAACAGTTAGCGGCAATTAGAGTATCTCTCTCGCCACGTTTACATAGCCTACCTTTCAACCAGAGCTCTGTTGGTTCGGCCGCCAGCTTCAAATATGTGGCACATCGAGAGGCGGCACCACCGGATAGCTGTAGCATACTGCTTTTCTTGGTAGCCTTGCTCGATCTTTTTCCACATCAACTGGTACTGTACGTCAGCATTGAGTATTGTTTGTGGAGATTCAAACACCACCGTGACTGCTCACTGTTTGGGCTGCCGCGGTTGTGTCTGCACTGATAGATGTCCTCAACTTCGACAGGACACGCTCAGCAGCATCAATTCCTTCCTGTGCTTCTCTTTGCTGAACCAGTAACCACACACGTATGATCACGAGACTTTCGATCCATTCCGTCGAATTCGATTCGCGTAAAGCCAACAAAAAACTGTCCAGTACTTCGCAGCCAAGGCCTGGGCTCTTGTTGTGCAGTTGTTGGATGTAATGGCGAAGGTGCCGGAACTCTTTGCTCGACCCATCGAAATTTTCAATCATATTTAACAGCACCTTTGAATATCGAGGCGCATCGAAGTCTTCTGATGTTGATGCAGCAATAAGCTCCAGGCTGACAATGTTCACGCACAGACAGTTTGGGCCAAGCTGTGCCTCTATATCCTCAACAAGCTCCTGTGCCCTCTTGCGTCCGTGGGGTGTACACAATCCGATTGAGGCCACTGCGAGTGCATATGTCACATTGTTTTGGCACTTTTTCATACTGTCCGAGATCTGAGAAATCTGGCGAAGGCGGCCAACAATTTCAAGACTGCGATCGAACCATACGATGGATGCCAAATATTCCCGTTTTTCCATCAAAGTTTTACCAATGTCATGAAGAAAGGAAACAAATATCTCTGCAGAATCGGAATACTGAGGCTCTATAACGGACAAAATCCATTCATGGTCGTACGCCATTTCTGCAGCTTCTGGTTTGTGTTCCAGCCAGAGCTGTCCAATGTCAGTTACTGCAATAAGGGAAAGCGCCCCAGTCAAGCTCCTTACCTGTACTGTTCTGGAGACAATTATCTGAGCCTGCAGCAGACGATACTTTTCCTTAATTCTGTCCGTATCCTCATTGACTGGATAGCGGCCGAGCTGCAACAGGATATTTTCCCTGTACGTCGAAGCCTTGCCGAGAGCAATACTTCCAAGCTCGGTGTCTCTCTCTCCTGGCACTGTCAGCTGCCGATCGTGGCATGACCTCAACCCAGTTTCACGTACGGATGGATCCACTAGCCGCGTGGGAACACATTTCCAGAAGCCACAGCACTCGTTTCAATGGCGGGCCTGCGTTTGGCTTTGTGTGGATTTTCCACCCGGCCGAATGCACGGCCAGGAAAGCAAATGCACGGCCATGCAGAAGCAGCCGCTTGTAGGCCGGTGACGCGTTCCCGGCAACATATCTTCCAAGGCTCAGGACCAAATTCCAGAGCTTGGTGCCAGCTTTGAGGACAAGAGAGTCGGAAATGACACTGTTTTCTGTCGCTGCAGTGGCGCTGCCGACAGAACCGCCAAGAATACGCCTCCGAAGATCGTCGGCCAGGGCGGCCGCTGCGATCTCGTCGGTGCGGAGATAGGGAAGGCGACGCTCAAGTTCTCCGATTTCATCTATGGTAATATCAGTGCCATGCGCAAGAAGTCTCATCGTATGAGAGTAGTGCCTGGACACTTACCAAGAAGTCTGTTCCCGATTGCGACTGTGCAATGATGACCTAAACTCCCGGGCTGGTCAGACATGGTTGGAGATGGAAGAACGGTATCATAGCAGAGTCAGGTAGCAGCTGAGGGTTAAGTCAAAGAAATGAAAAGTGAGAAACGAGGCATGTTTTGCATATTTTGAGAGCCTCTGGAAAGAGTAAAGGCAGACAGAAGGCATTACAAAAATGGGAAGCCACGAGCTGCACTTGAGGCGCTCGTGAACGGAAGAGACGTTACATTGGGCAGCTACGATGACCGCACCTTCCCAAAGCCTTACGCTCACATTGAAGGACGTAAGTTGAAAGACGGCTATTTGGGAGCTTTAATTTTGCATGTTGAAGATACAGGGTGAAAATATGAATGCTATTGATGGTGGCCTGGCTTGAGATTTGCAACTGTCCACCGACCCAATTCGGTGTCTGCCTAAGGCTTTGTTTGAAGATGGAACGTATTGTCGTATACAATGAATTAGAATACAGAAAAATATACAGAAACACAGACAATAAAGGTAGCCATACAAAATCTCTGGAAATGGTAATTCACGAATCGTTTTTGAGGCGCGTAGTCAACCGTGCCGTAGAAAATAGAAGTACCCAACTGCTTCTAAATGATTTTCTAAAATAAGAGCAGACTAAAATAAGAGCAGAAATCCAACATCTCTACCAGACACAGTTTGCCTTAGAATATACCAGGTCGTCTACTTCGACGGTAAAGTCGGAATGCTGTAGCCGAGAATCGGAATCGGGGACGGTATGCGGTTCGCCAAGCGTGCACGCAATCTAGAAACAGAGGGGGCTTTATCGGTGGGTTAGCCTTGGATGCAGTTTCTCTGTGTGTGTGTGGTAGCTCCGACCGTGTAATGAAATGACTTCCCAAGAGAAATCCAAGATCAATTGTTAACGTATACTCATTCCAAGCTCACTCTTTCCCGATACACAAACGTTTTCAATTGTTCTCTCACACAAATAGTCGCAGCCACCATCAGCATACCATACGGGACCACTTTACAAAACAACATATCTCGATCATGGAGCTATTTTACTGGCAAATTCTTCGTATGATTGTGCTCGCCGACAGCGTGCAGCAGACACAAAGTATAACAAAAATTGCTGGGAACTTGCCATGTTTGCATTTGTACGAGATAAACATGAAAAGGCCAGTAGGAATGCCAAGCAACAATGCAGATAAAGCTCTAGGGCTCGAACAGTCAGACGAGATGTACTACGACACCCTAAGTCCAATCATTTGCATGACTTCGCACACGAGTCGGTGGGCTAAATTAGGGTGTAGCAAGTGCCGGGGTGCGCGGAAGAAGAACGTCGTCCCTGGCATGACACTGAGGCTTTGTGGTCCTCACCAGGCCTTCTATGGATGCCATCCGTATCGACATATATTTCGGTCCGTAGGTTTGGGCAGGGTAAATTGGAGCCGGTGTTGTGATAGGGACAGGCTTGGTAGTAGGGGTCAGCTTCGGAGCAGGTGCCGGGGTAGTCTTGGCTGCGGCTCAACTGGCGATGGTTTGATAGCAGGTTTAGCCGCGGGCTTAGCCGTGGGCTTGACTGGCGACGGCTTGGCCACAAGTTTGACTGCAGGCTTGACTGGCGCTCTGGCGGCTGCCTTGGTGGCTGGCTTGGCTGGCGGTGGTATCGTAGTGGACTTATTGACGGGTGCCTTGGGTGCAGAGGGGGCCTTGTTCTTGTTGTCTGATGCCGTGCTGTCACCAAGCAAGTTGTGAGAATGCTTGCTAATCGGTCGGTGAGAGACTCGAGAGAATAAAGAGCGCGCGGGTTTCCGGTATTTCCTCTACCGCTGGGATTGGCGCCTATGCCAAAAGCCCAGTGCATGAAAGAACATAGCCCTCTGCGAATGCTTTCTTTACATTCATAGGTAAGAGAAGACAATTCATCGAGATAGGGCGCAACCATCCCATTTCTTTCTCCTGTATAGATCTCATTAGAAAACTCTATTTTTACAGAAGCGCGCATCAAGTAGATCAATACACATACGCTATACATGGATGATACGTCGTTCAACTTGCTGAACAACAGGCAAAAAGGGCGAGTCCTAGAATGAGTCGTAGCTGGAGAGATGGGAGATTACACATAAGAAGAATTGCGACAAAACAAACATGCTGTCTACCAAAGTTATTGTAAACCGTACTAAGAGCGGCACCTTTTTATGGAGGCCAATTACTTGTGCCTCATGTACTCACGTTCTTAGTAGATACGTTACGTGCCGGCTACTGCTAATCACGAGGCGTCTCTTGACACAAGTGCCCGTACCTCCCATTTTTGAATGCCTCTGCGCCACAAAGGCTAGCCTCTATGCGAGTCAGTGAGTTGACGGTTGTTTCGCCGCACCAGCTGAGTAGAAATGCTGGCTGCGTATGCCTTGGGGCGGTAGCGCTTGGCTCCATAGACGGTCATGAATCGGGCTGAAAATGCGATCCAGCCGCTTCGCTAGTGCCGTCTGCGAGAGGTGAATCTCTCGTCGTGCATGGCATGCAGGTGTGCAACCATCTGCTTTGCGAATGCCGCCTTTCGCATTGTCTGCCGAGAACGAGAGGTCGGCTTTATCTTCTCGGAGAGTTGTGTCGTTGTCGAGAAAGTTTTGGCGGTGTCAGTGTGAAAAGCAGCTGATACCGCCGTGATGTCGTGATTAGGTTGAGGTTGGTCGTCGAAAAGTGACGATTTGGTTTTGAAAGTGGAAGAGAAGCTGCCTAGGTTCTGGTATATATATATGTTTTTTACATGGAGGCTGTACGGCAGGGAGCAGAGGTAAGACGGAAGGAAGGGAGGAGATAGAAGGAAGCAGGAGAGGAAAGATAGAAGGAGGTGGTAACGATGTGGGCGGTAGCAGACTGAGCCAAAAGTCACAGGCCTCTCAGGGCGGACCATAGATTGGAGTAATCGGATACACATATGCATGTAAGGGGTATATGTGTGTATCAGCAACTCCTCAGTGCGATAACGGGTCGTGAGGAAGGAAGTTGCCCACGATCAAACTTGGGCTAAAACGGGTTAACTTTCTTTGCTGTTCACCTGCGATCGGTCGGGATACTCACATCTTGTGTTCGTCGCGGCGAATCTTGAGCGAGAAGCAGCACTTGATGACGCCGCCACCGCCCTGATCGAGGCTCTTGATGGAGCAGGCCGTCAGCAGGGTGTCGTGCTGGGTGTCAAAGGCGATGGTGCCAAACTCCTCCCAGTAGCGGACGACGGACTCTTCGGTGAGGATCTCGTGGATGGCGATCTTGCCGTCGCGTAGCTTCTCGACCGGCACGTGGATCAGCTCAGCCATCTCCTTGTTGCCGCGGAAGATCTCGCCGGTGCGGCGCCAGCAGCAGGCCGGCACGGCCATGCTGGCAAAGACGCGGTCGTACTCCATCAGGGTCTTGTCGAACCACATCTCGACATAGATCAGCTCGAGGTCGGTCAGAGCCTGCATCTTCTCGCGGAACTTTGGCCGGAAGCGGTCGAGCTGGCGCTGGATCTTCTGCTTGGAGCCGAGCGTGATCTGGTGGCTGTCGAGGTAGGCACGCAGCCGGGCGTAGCCGTTGACGTAGTTGAACGGCTTCAACAGCCCGGCCTCATACTTGGCCTTGAGCAAGTCCGACATGCGCTGTTCGGGCGTGTCGTTGCCGGACGGGTCGGCCGCCGTCAGGTAGTAGTCGCGCGTCTTGTCAGCACTGTTAATGCTACCGTTGCTGTTATTAGCAACAGCAGCAGCAGCGGCAGCGGCAACGGCAGCAGCTCCACGTAGCGGTGTGCGTGGCCCGTTGCCAGCATTGTTGCTGTTGCCCATCGCGCTGTCGAGCACGCTCGGTGGGAGCATGGTCCCAGGGGGTATCAGGGAGTTGTTATCAACATTGTTGCCGTTGCTGTCCAGCTCACGGCTGTCGCCTCCACCACCGCTCTTGGTGCCGTCGTTGGTCGTCGGGCTGGTGAGAAAGCTGGTGGCCACGTCTGGCGGAGCGCTTCTCAGCAGCTGGGCGTTCTGGTCGTCGACAAAGGCGGCGTCATCGACCATGCTGCTGTGCAGGAAGTCGTTGAGGAACTGCAACTCGCCGCTGACCTCGGGGACGATCATGTAGCCGTTGTGGTTGTGCATGTCGAAGTGGTTCTGGGCCGTCAGCCAGGCATCCGAGAAGCCGCCGACTGGGAGAGAAATTAGATACGCTGGCAAAGGCCCTGGACGTGAGACTCCCCATAAGTAGAAAGAGGAATGATTGCGAGACTGGTTGAGAATGTGAAGGTGTTCGTTGCGTTGAAATTGTGCAAGCAGGAAAGGGGGTTGAGAAATATTGGCGATTGCGTGGGACTCGAGTGACAGTCATAAAGGGGGGGAGGAGGGACACGACGGCGGGAAGAAGGGCAGAGGACCTACACTGGCTCACGTCACTGAGATTGGGTTGCATTCCAGAGACCACGCCTGGTCGCACAAGCTGCATTGGGTTGGCCAGACCTAGCACAGGTGCGTTGAAGGCTGGTTTGGCTGCGTCTCTAGCGCTGCCGGCATCGAGGGACGGCGGCGGCATGGCGTTCACATTCGTCTTCTGGTCGGTAGAGGCGCGTCGGTGGGCGTTAAAGTCTTCAGACTCGTCGGCCACAGAGGTGCCGACGACACTCTTGGACTTGCGGGAATCCGAGTCCCTGGGTTCGTCATGGCAGAGATGGCCGATATTGCGCTTAACACATCGGGTGCAAGGCCGTTCCTGGAGAAGTCAGTAATGGGCTGAGGTCAAGGGGGGGGGGGATGGAAAGGCGGGAAGGGGCAGGGAAGGCGAGAGGGGAAAGGAATGGGCATGTAGAATACGCCGTGGCTTGAGCGTACAGGACAGAGCGAGAGGGGGTGGCGGGTGTGGGAGGACAAGGGAGGGGGTTGAAAAACAGGGCGTGTGAAGATGTGAAAAAAAAAAAAAATACAAAGAGCATCTGCATTTGTACGTACAAGATCGCATGTCATGTGCTGTGCAGCAAAAATCGAGGTTAGCCATGGTCCGAGAGAGGGTAAAGTGATCCAGGACAGCCAAGAGTCTCTGCATTTCCTCGTGCAGCAGATACGGCCATGCCTGCCTGGTCGGAGCGCAACCAGGACACAGCCGACCAGGGGTAGGAAGGAGGAAGCATGCTGTGACACAAGTGTCTGTCTACATGGCGGGTACGATGCAAGCCACGAGACAGCAGAGTACCCGATGCGACCTGACGGAACAGGGCTTAAAAACAGACTTACAGATCGACGACAGTACACGCAAGCTGTAGATGTATGTCAGCACTTGAGACATGAATGAAACAATCAGAGAGTAGCGGAAAGGTGCGTCTGGAAAAGAGAACAAGAAAGAAACAGGGCCAGCAGAGGATTGTTAGTGCGGATGTTGGCACGACGGCAGACGGCGTGACACCCGACCTGCAGCTGCAGCACAGCACAGCAGGCAGTACAGCGCACCACTTTACAACATTGTACAAATCGGCACGAGCATGGTGAGAAGGGGAGAGAAAGGGAGGGGAGAGGAGAGAGAGAGGAGAGAAAACGACAAATATGCAAAACAAGACTTATCACAGACAGCAACCACACACACACACACCCAACACCTGGACATACCGTGGTTCACCTTGCGACGCTTCTTTGGCGTGCCCGAGCGCGTGACATCGCTGACGTTGGTGTCGGAAGCGGCCACGCTGGCCGCCGTCTTGTGCTTGCCGAAGCCGGTGCTGCCGTGTCCGTGACTGTGGCTGTGGCTGTGACTGTGGCTGTGGCTGTGACTGTGGCTGTGAGTATGGCCGTGGCCGTTGCTCTGGTGGCCTTCCGTAGCCGGAGCGATGCGGGGGGCCTTGTCCTCCATGGCCGTGGGTGGACTGCTGCTGTTCTCCGCTCTCTGCCCTGTTCTCCTTCCAGTCTGTCCTGTCCTGCTGTCCTGCTGTCACGCAGACTCCATCGGGCCCAGGCCAACCCTGGCGCCTTTCGACAAGGTATGGTTACGCAAGATGTGAGGAGAGAGAGAGGAGAGAGAGGAGAGAGAGGAGAGGAAAGAAGAAAGAACAAAGAAGAAAGAAGAAAGAGGAGTGAGGAGAGAAGAGAGAGTGTAAGGAGTAGAGAGTACAGAGTAAAGAGACAAAAAGGCGCAGACGGCGCAGCGCGTGAGGCCACGCAGCGAACCGGTCGCGTGCGATCGTGTGCGGTCGCAAGGCGATCGTTTCGTCGACACGGCGCGGCTGCGACAGGAGCACCGGTTGTGGGGAACCCAACAAGGGCTCGTGGACAGACGAGACGGTCCGATGCCAATTGGTCGTCGCAGGCGTCGGCGCAAGACGCCTGCCAGGAAAGACAGCTGGTCAGACGCAAGATGCACGCAAGCAGGCAGAGAAGGCGAAGGAGCACAGACACAGGTGGCGTGCTTGGGGTTGCAGCTTCTCCTTCCGGCGGCCTCTCTCTCTGGACTTTCCCTTTGTGGTCGGTGTGCGCCCGCGGCAAATGAGCAGATCGGCAAATCGGCACGTCAGCAAATCGGCAAGTCAGCGCAGGTCAGAAAAGACGTGAGCATGTCGGGCGGGCCGGGCGACAGGCAACGGGCGACGGGGTCATCATTAGGTGCTCGTAGAGAGAGAGGGGGCTCAGCGGGTTGAAAAACTACTCCGTACGGAGTACACAGCGAGGATGGGCAGTGAAATACGGTGTAAAAACTAAACGAAAGAAAATTGGTTTAGCAAAAAGAGGGGCCATCACAAGTAGGTTAGCCTCGCCACATGTGGTATATACAGCACGTGATCAGGCAAGATTTAAAGAATTTACGAAGTAGATCCTAAACCATTCACCTCAGTTCTAACACATGAAACTCCGTATTCACCGTCCTCCGACCCTAAATCTTGATGAAGAAGTCCTTCTCGCCTGCCTTCGCCTCTACCCGCGCCTGCTGCATGATTGGGTCCACGCACGCCAGCCGGATGCGTTCAGCCGTGGCTGGGCTCTCGAGCTGCAGCAGGCCGCCAACGTCGTCGTTGTCGCCCACGCGGGCCACGACGCCATACTCGGCGCGCGCTGCCTTGAGGGCGTCGCGCAGCGCAAAGAAGACGCTGCTGCCCATGAACAGCGGCGGCTCGCCGACGCCGCGGCTGCGCTGGATGGTGCGCAGCTCGGCCCATTCGACGCCGCGAAGCAGCTGCACGTTGAACTCCTGGGGCACATCGCGGAATCCGGGGATCTTGTAGGCACCAGGGCCACGCGTGAACGGATGTCCGGGACCGTTGGGGCCACCGCGCAGCCACAGGCTCTCCTCCATCGTAAACAGGCCCATGCCCTGCACAAAGGCGCCTTGGATCTGGCCGTAGTCGATGGCCGGGTTGATCGACTGGCCCACATCCATCAGCACGTCGGCACGCAGACAGGTCCAGGCACCCGTCAGCGTGTCGACCTCGACCTCGGCCGCAGCCACACCCTGCGTGAAGTAAAAGTACATCTTGCCGCTGTTGTGCTCCCAGCTGTAGCCGATCTCGGGTGTCTTGTAGAAGCCCTGTGCCGACAGGTTGACCCGGTCTGCATAGGCTGCATGGGCCAGCTCGCGCAGTCCGGCCGAGGCCCCCAGCTTCTTCCGGTATGGCGCCAGCCGCTCGTTCAGCTGCTCGCACGCGTTCTGAACTGCATAGCCGTTGAGGTCTGACGATGCTGACGCCGCTGTGGCCGACGCGTTCGCCACCGTGTTCGTTGCCGTCTCGCTGATGAAAACAGTGTCGAGCGATACGCCCAGCGCCTGTGCTGCGATCATCGTCATCTTCGTGTGCAGCCCCTGGCCCATTTCCGTGCCACCGTGGGCCACCAGCACCGACCCGTCGTGGTACACGTGCACCAGCGCCCCTGCCTGATTCAGCCACAGGGCCGTGAACGAGATGCCAAACTTGGTCGGAATCAGAGCCAGTCCGCGCTTGCGCCACCGATGTCCGGCGTTGAACTGTGCCGCTGCCGCCATCCGCTCGTCGTAGCCCGTCTCGGCGCGCAGCCGCTTGTACATCAGCGGCACGTGAAAGTCTGTCGTCAGCGCCTGGTTGAACGGCGTCAGCTGCCCGACAGCATACATGTTGCGGGCTCGCAGTTCTTCCACTGCGATGCCGAGCCGGTCCGCCACCTCGGACATGTAGCACTCGGCCACGAATAGACCCTGCGGCCCGCCGAAGCCGCGGAATGCCGTGTTGCTCATCGTGTTCGTCCGGCAAATGTGGCCACGTACTGAAACGTGTGGGATAAAGTAGCAGTTGTCGCAGTGCGTCATCGCCCGCTCGCACACGGCTGCCGAGAGGTCCCAGGTCCAGCCGCCGTTGCTATACAGGTCTACCGACAGCGCCTGTAACCGGCCGTCGCTGTTGATGCCCACCTTCCAGCGCGCCAGGAAGGGGTGGCGCTGGCCCGACGTCACCATGTCCTCGTCGCGCGTCAGCATGCAGCGCACCGGTCGCCGCGTGAGGTGGGCGCCCAGAGCCACGATCGAGCTTAGCTGGAGGGCCCGCGTCTCCTTGCCGCCGAACCCGCCGCCGAGCCGCTTGACCCGTACGTTGATCTTGTTAGCTTGGACGTTGCAGACCCGGGCAGCAAAAACTTGTCTGAGAGTGTTAGTAGTGGACGATAAATGATGTATGTGTATATGCATGTTTGCATAGTTGCATAACACACAACTCACGTTTCATTTGGGTTCTGCGTGCTCGAAAACAGTTCCATCTCGCCATCCTCTGGCTTCGGCACCGCCACCGCCGCGTTCGTCTCCAGGTAAAAGTGCTCCTGGCCGCCCATGCGCGACTCGCCCAAAAACACGTGATCACAGCCTGCAAAGGCATCCTCGATCGCGCCCTCGCCACGTTGCAGCGTGCGCGCGAAATCGAAGAAGCTGTTCTGCTCAATGGCCTCCTCGATCGAGAAGACAGCCGGCAGGTCCTCGTACTGCACACGCACCGCCCGCGCCGCCTCGGCCGCCTTCGCTGCCGTCGTCGCCAGCACCATCGCGATCGGCTGTCCGACCGTGTGCACTTCATCCTCTGCAAAGAAGACTTCGTCAAAGTGCGGCGGTCCCCAGTGGTTAGCCGCCTCGTTCGGCATGCTGTGTCGGTCAAGCACCTCCACCACGCCTGCCAAAGCCCGCGCGGCCTCGTAGTCCACTGACACCACCCGTGCATGTGCTCGCTGCGACAGCACCAGACAGCCGTGCAGCTCGTTTGCCAGCGGTGGCATGTCGTCTGTGTACTGTGCCACACCCACTGTCTGCTTCAGTGCTGCAACGTGCGGCGGCGCCTTGCCCACCACCTCCTGAATGTAGTCGGCCGCCGCGTCGTTGTCCGTCGCTCCAAACGACACGTCGCGATCGATTTCCGTAAAAGCCGAACTGTCCGTTTCCTTCTTTTCCGAACTTTGCTCGATATTTTCCTTCTTGACCTCGCTTCGCTCGATCTTGCCCTCTCTCTCATTCTCTTCCTCCATCACCTCGTGATAGAATCGGTAAAACAGACTCAACGCCAGCGCCCGCCGATACGATGCCATTCCGCCCGGCACCGAGAAGGCGAGGTCGAAGTCTGTCCCCAATGCTCCCATTGCGCCCTCCAGCGTTCCCAGCTCAGCCAGCCGCCGACCCACGAGATAGTCGTTGGCCCCCTTAGCCGCCACCGTTGTCGGTGCCATGCCGCCGTACACGAGCCGGCACTGCTCCACAATGCCATCTTCGTCCAGCCGGATCCGCATCGCTGCCGTCACAATCGCAATGTCGTCATCCTTGCGCTTCGCCTGCTTGTACGCCCGGAAGTATTCGCGCTCGGCCGTCAACGGGATGCGGATCGACGCAAGAACCGCATCGCTCGGCAGCGCCGTCCGCCGGTAGCCCACAAAGAAGTCCGCCATCGGAATGTCCACCGGCTCCGTCCCGTTGGCCGTGTGTGCCTGGATCACAGCCTCTGCCGCCATCAGCACCGGGTTCAGATCCGAGATCGGCGATGCCGTCACCAGATTGCCCGCAGGCGTGCCCACGTTGCGGATCTGGCGCCCGGCAAACACCTGCAGCTGCTTGCGCATCGCCGCAAACACCTGCCCGCGCTGGCTGCCGTACCGCTTCACCGCCTCAGCTGCGAGGTGCTCCAGGTCCGTCAGCGTCACCGCCCCGCCCACATCTACGTGCTCGTCCGCAAAGCTGAACTGCCGCAGGTCTGCGACGTCGCCCACGTACACCGAAACCGGGTAGCGCAGTGCCTTGAACTTGATCTCGATCTGCGTCTCCGAGCTGCCACCAATCAGCTTGGCCTGCGGAAACGCCCGCTTGATCTCCTGTAGCTGTGCCAGCGACACCGGTCGGAACCAGCGCTTGCGCTTGTTGCCAAAGGCCAGCGGTCGAAACTCGTGGTGTCGCAGTGCCGGCGGGAAGATCAGCTCGGTCTCCGGGTCGTAGGGGATGAGCCCAGGCGGCGTAAAGCGTGTCGAAACGCTGGACGCGCTGTCCGAGATCGTCCCTCTCTCGGGAGACCCGCTGTCAGTCGTGCTGCTGCTCGAAGAAGCCGTGTCCGTGACGGCAGCAGTTGAAACACCCGCAGAAGTCCCGTCACCATCGTTGTCGTTGCCGCAGCCTTTCCCTCCGGCTTCCATGCAGCAGCCGCCGGCACGTCCACACCCAACGGACGCCTTGGCCGATTTGGCCGCCTTGGCCCCTGCCTCCACCGTGAAGGTGTTGGCCGCGTCCAGAATCGTCCGGTAGCCCGTGCATCGACACAGATTTCCGTCAAACGCCTCCTCCACGTCACGCTCCGTCGGTTGGTCGTTGTTGCGTAGCAGCGCGTACAGGCTCATCACGATACCCGGCGTACAAAAGCCGCACTGGCTGCCGTGGCCGCGCGCGATGCGCTCCTGCACTGGATGCGGCGACTTCACGTTGCCGATTCCCTCCACCGTGATCACATGTTTACCGTCGACGCTCACCAGCGGTGCCAAACACGCATTGACGCTAGCATGGTAAATCTTCTTGGTCGTCGGGTTGAACTGGCTCACAACGACAGTGCAAGCACCACAACCGCCCTCGCCACAGCCACTAAGGCTCTGTCAGCAAAAAGTTGATATCGATAGTCTGCAACGTCCGGAATACGCACAGTTTCGTCCCTGTCAACCCAATCCCCCGCAGATACTCCAGCAGTGTGACCTCTGGGTCAATGTCATCGAGCACGACCCGCGTTCCATTGAGAAAGAACCGCAACGTGTCGTCAAACGAGGTCGTGAGGCTCGAGAAAGAACCTTCCGCACCGGCATCGCGCTCAGGCAAAACGGCAGTGGGAGCCATCGTGTCCGGTTGGGCGTATCGAAACCCAATGCAGCAGGTATTTGGCAAGCCACTATCCTTTGTCTGTATGTCCCAGTGAGCGTTGACGACCGTTTGGTGAGTTTCGCTCTTCTTCTCGTTGTTCTTCTCGCTCTTGCACAGAAGAGGGGAAAAGATCAGAAAGACAATCGTCGTGCTGCAGATCGGAGGCGACAGATAAGAAAGCTTCTTACAACCAACTGTTAGCGCGAGTTAGGCGCACTGTGATGCAGCAGCCTCCAATCACAGAGCAGCTCCGACAAGCGTTACAGTGGCCACCGTCGGCATCCGGCGATCCCCCCGCAGCAGCTCAGATGCAGGGGCGCTGAAGGTCACGTGGTCTTTGTCGAGCATCCGGTGAACTTGGACCTTTGCCCTTACTCCTTCCGTACTCGATCACAGACAACCTTTTTCACGCGCCCTTGCCCTGCGATACATCCGGGATACGCAGGCCGGCTGCTTACACGGGCTCCTCCCATATGGCCAACGTCCGCTGTTTGCTGCCAAAGCTCAACGACATGAATTCAGCATGCCTTGATGTATGGAGGGCCATTGCCGTCCTCCACGTTTTCTTGAGAAGTAGGCAGCTCTTGGGGCCCATCGCGTCAGAGACTTCCATATAATCCTTGAGACTCGTGGCATAACTATATTATGGGGGCGCCTTTGATGTCAAAATGCGAAGATGAAGTGAAGGACGGAAGAAAAGGAGGGAAAGAAAATAGAGGGAAAGAAAAGAAAAGGAAAAAAAGAAAAGAAAGAAAAGAAAAGAAAACAAGTCTCTCCTCACCGGCTGCTCCTGTCGTGATTCACCTGCCGTGTTATACCGTCGGGGTAGATGGACCAGTCGGCCAGGGCGGCGACGTCAACGACTCGCCAAAGTCATAGTTGCGGCGATGGGCATGCGCTCCTCGATGGGCCGCTGGCCGCAACATACAGCTCGTTCTGGCCAGCACGCGTGTGGTGGATGGTGTCTGAAAGGTGCGACAAGGAGAATTCCCGTTGTGAAAAACAGGCAGTCACCGACGTCGCCTGTCCGAGACGGAAGAGCGGTCGGTATAGCAGTTGTGAGGGTGTCTCACTCTGAGCTGTCTCGGCCAGCGATCGTCTAACGTTTTGAGCGTTCTGCTCTCAAACAAAACGTTGTAGTGTCGAGGGACAACGTTCAGTCGTCTGCCAGACTAAAAACTAGAGATCAGAGAGGGGGAGGGGCAGAAGTGGTCTGCCATTGCCATTACCCGGATGCAGACACGGCACGCGGCCTGCCTGCCAGCTCATCAAACAAGCTTCCCCTGATACATATCCTGGCTTGAAGCTGCAGGACGGGTGGTAGCGCGATGCGGCTATGGTGGAGAGAAAGCACGAGCTAGCCAACCGGGACCTGGATCCGATGTCGAGTGGGCCAAGCCTCGACAGACTGGTGGCTGTGATGTCGATGCACTGGCGACGAAATACTTAAGCGTCCTCGTTGGGGATTGCTGTCAGGGCTGTCGACGAAGGGACTTTCTTCAGAGACATAGAGGCACTGACAGGCTGAAGAAACGCTCACTTCGACCCTGCGAATTAGTTTCGACTCCTTTAGCAGGAACAAGAAATAGCCAGGGCAGTCACGCCCAACAGGCAAATGCAGGAAATGCCCGCACTGGACGAGAAGGCACGCCCTCGGTGACGCTAAGAAAGGAAGCTGCACCCTTTAGGGAAGGGGAATTTCCCAAAGGGGCAAGATGCGACGACAGGATCTGGTGATCAGGCCCCTCTTCAACACCTATCTAACGCAAGAATGCCCGCGACTATCGGCTGTCTGCAAGTAGCTCGTCTTCTTTTGGCGCTCGCACAACCCCCTGAACACACAGTACTTTGATGTATACTCTGCGACGCCGACAAAGATGATGGAAAAGACGCATTCTGCAGAGGCCGTCCCAGTAACTGCCTCGGCATAAGCAGACAAGCAAACAAGCCAGGCAGATAGACAGGTGGGCAGCAAACGCCTTTACCAACTTTACATTTTCCCTCTAGCTGTCACACCACGTAGAATGGGCTATCCATCACTAAATGCGTCACCAGAGCCGATAACCAGCCTGTCGAAGCGAGCATTACCGCCGACACAACGGCCAGCACCGTTATCGAGGTGGGGGAAGACGGCAGACAGCAGCTTGGTGGACGAATCGTCGAGACGAGGGCGAGGGCCTTGCGACTGAAATGGCCCTGGCTGCGTCGACGATGCTGACATCGAGCGCATGAGCACGTTTATGAGAACAAACGACGTTACCAACAATACCAGGAAAGTCGTCACTTGCTGCCCAACGACGAGCCGGAACGGGAACAAAAGAACCATGGTCAGTGTCTCGGTCCCTTCCAGACTAATTGGGTGCCGCCCAGTGTGCGCTGGTAGACGATGCTGAGGCCGACTGGCTGTTTGGGTCCAACACGTTCGACTACGTGCACGCACGCTTTGTATGCATCACCATCCGGGACTGGCCGCAGCCGCAGAGCAAGGCAACGAGAACGTGGTCCAGTGCAACGACGGGATCTGTCCGCCTGACTACGGCTACTCGCGCTGCTGCGACTCACAACCGCGCCTTGTGCTCGATGTCCTGTAAAGTGTTTCCGTGGCTCCGCTGACCCGCGGGCTCAAAGGGACGCCGGCCGAGGTCGAACTGTTTCGGGTTGAGGTGCGCCAGTCGCTACAAACATCTCCGTCTACGCCTACCACACCTTTCACTCCGTATACGGCCAGAAAGCGGAGTGACAGCCGATCGATCGCCCACCCCATCGTGGACCGATCGTGCACCAGGCATTTTCCCGATATGCACGATTCTATACGGAGTACTCCGTACATGAAAGGGGTCCGTGAGTCGCAGCTACGGATTTTGCCGTCTAATTTGTTTGTTAGCGTACTCCGTAAATCTGCGGTGAACTTCTGTGCCATTCGCTTGCAGACGGCCGCACTTGTCCCCGTTTTCCCCTGGCAACGGCTAGACCGGTGCATGATAGCGTGCAGTACTCCGTATTACTCCGTAGATCACTACGGATCTTACTCGTTTCGATAAAGGACCCTTTCCGACGTCGATATATTGGCTCATGTTTAATTATGCTGTACTCCGTACTCCGTACTCCGTAGTATTTTGTAACCTGGTTTTGTTATGTTTCTATTTTGGTTCGTTTCTATTTTTGCACGGAGTACGGAGTAGTCTACGGAGTACGGATAGAAAGGCGAAAGCCCCTGCCAGTACGGAGTACTTCCGTACGCGCAAACGATGCAAGTATGTGCATGTACGGGCTTAGTCACGTGTGATTTAGACCAGCTATAACTCATCTAGATGCCTTTTCGCAAAAAGTTATATATATCATGTCGATTAATCACTTTCGCAAGACTGTCTTTTTGCACCAGGCTGTTGATAATAGATTGGGGCGGTACTGAAATCGCGGCAAGGCTTTTTATTTCGTCTGCGTACTTCGAAAGGAGGGCAAGCTTATCGCTTTGTAGCATAATATTCTCAGCAGCACCATGGTTATGAGAATGCTTTGCCCCTGATATAGACCAGCCGTTGCTTCCATGCTGAATGCTAACGCTGAAAGGGCAGTGCGTCATTTGCGTGCTGGTTTTTCGTCGTTTCTTAGGGTGCGTGTCTGTTATACAGGGGCGTTGTTGCGGCTTCTTGTACTTGTAACAGACGTAGTAACAAGCTGTGAAGCTCGTTTTCGAAGGCCGAAATTGCTTGATAACTAGTCGGTAGCCATTCGATGTAGCATGCTCATGAATAGCTTTATTAGCCTCTTCAAACGTCTGATAGGTTGACGTAGGTGGCGGGGGGCCACAAAGCAATGCCATTTCGGTGCTAAATTTTGTTGTTGGTGATTAAAAATTCACGATAATTTTTAGCATAACACGGAGTACATAGATTATGGGAGACTATTCGGTACAGGCTTCGGTAAATGGGGAGGCTGGACAGCGTTGTCCGCAAAGTACCCGCTAATAGCGGAGGTTTCTTTGTATTTCGATGTTCTCCGTACGTCGTATCTTGTCGCTCTTGTACACTGCTTTAATGGGGCGAGCTTGGGGGTGGTATAAGCAGTCCCATAACGTATTTGGGGCCTTATAATCAAATATCATTTTCAGGTGTTCGGATTTTGACTGTCTAAACGGGTACTCAACTGTATCTTAGCAGCAAATTGAAAACTTCAAACACTTTGAATAGACACGACAGCTAATTACATAGTCCCATGTAGAATGCTCATCGTAACTCCTCCCCCGTCTGACCACATCGGTAAAATGTTTACCGTTCGTGCCTTCTCGACTGGGCGATTTTGTGGTCACGTGCTCTTGCTACATCGGAAATTTAACACATCGCGATGCTTTGCTGGAGCTCCAAAGCATCGTGTGTCCAAACACGCCATGATGCAGACTACGGGTGCCGCGACCAGCGACATTTTCGAGACGGGGGGCGTGCGTGTTGCCATCGAGGGATGTGTGAGTAAGCCGGCCCGGTCGGAGGCCGACAGACGGCGTGCTGACCAGAGTCTGACATGTTCCAGGGCCATGGCACGCTTGATGCCATCTACGCGTCGGTGGAGCGATCGTGCACAGAGCGCGGGTGGGACGGCGTGGACTTGCTGATCATCGGGGGCGACTTTCAGGCGACGCGCAATGCGGCCGACCTAACGGTGATGTCGGTGCCGGCCAAGTTCCGGGAAATGGGGGACTTCCACGCCTATTACGGCGGCACGCGGACGGCGCCGTATCTGACGGTGTTTGTGGGTGGTAACCACGAGGCGGCCGCGCATCTTTGGGAGCTCTTCTACGGCGGCTGGGTGGCACCCAACATCTACTACATGGGCGCAGCCAACGTGCTGCGGTTGGGGCCGTTGCGGCTGGCCGGCCTCAGCGGTATCTGGAAGGGCTTCGACTACCGGCGGCCACACCATGAGCGCCTGCCCTTCAACCAGGACGACGTCAAGAGTTTCTATCATGTGCGCCAGATCGACGTGCGCCGCCTGCTGCAGGTGTGCGAGCCCGTCGACATCGGCATCAGCCACGACTGGCCGCGCGGCATCGAGCGCCACGGCGATCACGCCCGTCTATTCCGCCAGAAGCCCATGTTCCGCAGCGAGTCCGAGGAGGGCTCACTCGGCAGCGTGGCCGCCGAGCACGTCATGGACCGTCTCCGGCCGCGCTACTGGTTTTCCGCCCACCTGCACTGCAAGTATGCCGCCATCAAGCAGTACGCCCCACCCGACAAAGTGCTGCCGGCTGTCGACCTGGCAAGCAGCAGGACGGCCATCGCTGCAGAACCCGTGGCTGCAGCAGCAGTCGACAATCCGGACGAGATCGACCTCGACCTCGACGACGACGGCGACGATGCCAGTGCCGGAGCCAGCAGCAGCAAGCCTGTCGAAACAGCACCCCAGATTGCGCAGACCAGCGTGCTCGGCATCCCGGACGACGTGCTCGCACAGCTGCCCGCTTCGTTCCAGCGCTTGCCATCGGCACGGCCGCCGCAGCCAGGCCAGCCAGTGCCGCCCACCATCACGAACACGACGGTACGCTTCCTCGCGCTCGACAAGTGCTTGCCGGGCCGCCACTATCTGCAGGTGTGCGAGATCCCACCGGCCAGCACAGAGGCTGCCGCTGCAGCCGCAGCCGTAGCACCCACGAGCCATCCGGGCCGCTACCGGCTCGAGTACGACCCCGAGTGGCTGGCCATCACGCGTGTCTTTGCGAACGAGCTCGTCATCGGCGCCGGCGCCGCGTCACCGCCTACACCCAACGACCGTGGCGAGCTCCAGTACCGGAAGCTCATCGACGAGGAGCGCCGCTGGGTCGATGAACATATTGTCGCCAAGGACCGACTGGCCGTGCCGGCCAACTTCGTGCTGACGGCGCCCGTGCACACGCCCGTTCCTGGCCGACCGGACACGCACGCCAGCGGCCAGCCGGTAGAGTATACCAACCCGCAGACGGCGGCGTTCTGTGCGCTCGTCGGCGTGCCGAACCTCTGGGACGCACCTGAAGCGGAACGGGAGGAGCGCCGGCTGCGTGGACCGGCGCCGTCTGAACATCCGTTTCATCAGCGCCGAGGTGGTGGCGGCGGCGGTGGCAGAGGCAGAAGGGGCTTCCACAACGGTGGCGGAGGCGGCGGTCAGTGGAGAGGAGGTCGCGGACGTGGACGCGGTCGCGGTTGGTGATGAACATGTCTACGACGGACGGATCTCAACGACATGGAAAAAACAAGGGCATATTTTTGTTATTTTAGGCGACGCCTCGACAAAGGCACAAGGTCCAAAAGATACTACGGCGCAGGCAGCTCGGAGTTGTCTTGATACCCGTTCTTAAATAAACGCATTGTTCGTCTCCGTCAAGAATGTGTCCCCAACTGAAAAAGCGAGAGCTCCACGGTATGAAAAAGAGTCAAGCAGAGTGTGGGGGACTGGTGTTTCCTCTTCCGTCTTCACACGACAACCAGTCCACGGAGACAAGTCTCGCCAGGACTGCTTGCACATTTATAGTGATCCAACGGTGAATAAAGCAGTTGCGGCATCCATCTATCACTGGGCAGAGAAGCACGTTTTGCTTGCGCAAACCAGTGGGCACATACTGCTCCTGCACGTGCCGATGCATCGTGTGTACAGCTCTCTCGCGTCTGTTTCCGAAGAAACCGGAGAACTCTCCATGCTCGTGACTTTCGGAACAAGACGGAGAGAACCGGGGCATGGGAGTGTGTGAATCCTTGTACTCATTGTGCGATATGTCAACGGTTCATACACAGTTTTACTACGCCAGTTCTGTGAGAGAAAAAGGCAACGGTCAGCTGATCCGGTCTGACAAAGAACGTCGTCGAGGAAGAAACATACTGTCCAGTCCAAGATAGTCCGCAGCCATCAGCAGCTCGAGACAAAGCTCGGTTGGAATCTCCATGTCCGGCACGTCCTCCTTGTTCTGGTTTTTGTACCAGTACTGGAAATACTCGACAACTTTCTCGAGTACGGGGGCACTGCAGTGAGGAGGCGGGAAAGTCACGTGCGCACAACAGTCAGCAAAGCAAGCGTCTTGTTGGCCGGGGGAGGGAGCAAGCCGAGACAGGTTGTGTAGATGATCTCAGATCAAGTGTAGATGGAAATGCTCCCACGGGGAACCCAAAGGACAGCGTGTCTCATGCAAGACCGAACGCGCCAGTGGTTCCGGTCGAAAGCTTGGGAGCCTCTTTGTGTGCAATCATCACAGACCGTAGCCGACAGACGGCCGCAACGCGCTCTCGCAGCCAGCAGGGGAACGGGCATACCTGATCTCAGGGAACGTGCATCGGCCAGACTGGGCCTCAGCGAACTGGCTCTTGGGGTCAAGCATGCGCTTGACCACCGGACTGATGTCCGTGGCCACACGAGAGACGACAAACTCAAAGCCCTCTGCCGAGATAAGCGTGACGTACTTGCCCGCCATGGCACGCGTGGAGTGCGAGAGATAAGAGAGGAGCCGAAAGAGACCAGAGGGGTGGAGGGTGCAGACAAGCTGGACCGGAGGCAGATGGAAACGAATGGGAAGCAAGAAACGAAAGGGGGGGGGGATTTATTTTTTATCATCTTACTTGGAAATTTGAATGGCACCTCGACGCTGACGCGTGCACGGGCCACCTATATTAAGCGCAGCTAACCCCACCAATCCCTTGGTCGATCACCCACCGCAACAGCAGCCAGGTTGCCGGGCGAACGCCCAACCCCAGGCCTTGCAACAAACCGAAACGGGCAGAAAGTCAACGCCAACTCCTCAGGCTGCCCCTTCCATTTTTACCTCCTTCGCTTCCCTCTCCAATTCTCTGATCATTTTCCTCCATTCCGCGCAAAACATCCAGGATCCCCGTCCACCACCCAACCCTTTCGCCTCTTATCATCTTTTTCGCCATTTCCATTGCCGGCACGGCCACGCAGCCCAACCGGCCGTCTCTCCTTCCTCACTTCCGCGCGCTCTCTCCCTCTCCCTCTCCCTCTCTCGCTGCTCCCGTCTTGCCCATTTCTTTCTATCAGCCCGCAAGGCCCTCTCATCCCGCCTCGGGACATCAAACACAGCCGCCTCCTCTCCCTTGCAACTGGGCGGGCCCCGTCTGTTTCGCTTCTTTGGCTTGCGTTCCAGCGTCGCCCGCGAGCTCGTCCTCGCCCTCTCGCCGCACCCCCCAATATGGCCACCCAGTACCGCAACTCTCAGTACAGCCAGCCTCCCACTCACGAACAATACGACGGCAACCAGCGACAGCCCACCAACAGCCGCCGCGGAACGCGGGCCGCCCGCTCAAGCGAAGGCACCGTCGTCAGCACAGTCTCATCCGCCTCGTCCGGCCGCGAATCGTCCGGCACAGCCATGACCGAGCCACCCTCTTTCTCCAAGAAAATCGTCGTCGTCGGCGACGGCGGCTGCGGCAAGACCTGTCTGCTGATCAGCTACAGCCAGGGCTACTTTCCAGAGGTAAGACGGCCAGCCCCTCGGCACGCTCGGCTCGGCTCGGCTCTGCGCAGTCTCGCTTGCTAACCACAGCCATCCTCAGAAATACGTCCCCACCGTCTTCGAGAACTACATCACCTATCCAACACACCCACCTACGGGCAAGACTGTTGAGCTCGCTCTCTGGGATACGGCTGGCCAAGAGGAGTACGACCGGCTGCGGCCACTGTCATACCCGGAGACAGACCTGATCTTTGTCTGCTTTGCCATCGACTGCCCGAACTCGCTTGAAAATGTCATGGACAAAGTAAGCTACCCTCTTCGCTCATCGTGTCTGTTTATCGCTTCTGACTTTACCAGTGGTACCCCGAGGTCCTCCATTTCTGCCCATACACGCCGCTCGTCCTCGTCGGGCTCAAGTCCGATCTCCGCAACAAAAAGGCATGCATCGATATGCTCAAGACCCAGGGCTTAACACCTGTCACTGCCGATCAGGGCATGGTCGTCGCCAAGAAGATGGGTGCTCAGTACATGGAGTGCAGCAGCAAGGAAATGAAGGGGGTGGACGAGATCTTTGAGCAGGCAATCCTCACCGTTGTCTCAAACGACCGCAAGAACCAGGAAGTGCAGGCTGCCAGTGTCAGTGGAAAGGGCTCCAGCAGTGTCGGTGTCTCCTTCAGCAGCGGCGGCGGCAGCAAAGGCTCGAAACCAGTTGCGGCTACCCCCATGAAGCGGAAGAAGAGGCGGTGCATTCCTTTGTAGAAGGGAGCTGCCGCCGAGGTAGTGGCAGATGCCGGTGGCGGTGTTGCCAAAGCCAAGATGAGACAAGACGTGAAGACGTGAAGACGCAAAGACAGCATGCACACACAGCCGTTAACGACGACGAAACGGGGATGGCGAGCCGCAGGCGAGCAGCTTCGACGGAGACATCAAAGTAATGACCCATCTCTGCATGATATGACATGAACCACAAGGGGTTTATTCTTGGCTCCTGCCTGTTCGTTCTCTTTTTCTCTTTTTACTGTTTTTATTTCTACTTTCATTTGTTACAAGTGTATTTCTTTTGGACTGGACTATACAGGATGGGCAGAAAACCAAGGGTCTTTTTTGTTAGATTGAGCGAGAGAAGCATGTGCGCCGATATTCAGCATCCGGCCAACAACCAAGTTGTGCGATATATTGTCTCTGATACTGTTTAGTTCTACACTTATCTTCACATCATACAAACTCATGTGTCACTGCGCATAATAACGTCCAAATCAGACAAGAAATACAACTGTTCAATCGACAGGCCCAATGCAAGTAGATACCGAATAAAACTCTAGTCATATTTTAAATCATATGGAAGTCGTAGTGTCACCATCCAGTCAGGCAGTCCTAATAAAACAATGCAACCAAAAACGTATAGCAGTCCGATTATCCCAAACACAAGAGATCGTAAACTTTTTCCTCATAAATATCGTTATGCATCATTGACCAATCGTTCCAAAACAATAAAACAAAACAACATCGTGAAAAAGAAAGAAAAAGAAAGAAAAAAGAAAGAAAGAAAGAAAAAGAAAAGAAAAAAAATGAGAAGAAAAAGAAGGAGAAGTGACCCCCCGGAAAGACGCATCCGATAAGCATAAGCGTCTCACTCCACCAAGTCGTGCACATTGCCGTCAAAAAGATTGGCAATGTCTCCTGGAAGGTAGGCAAGCCATTCTTGAGGCATTTCATCTGGCAAGCTGACAGAGCCAATGTCGATCTCCTGGCTGTTGAAGGTAACGATATTTGTATTTCCGCCACCTGTGATGTACGGGAAAGAGCTACCAGCCAAGCAGTCGCCGATGGAATCCTGGCGATACAGTCTCGCCTCATCTGTAGCCTGATTCATGTATGCCCCATTGCCGGCATTCTGCCCGGAATCCGTAAGACTGCTCGTCGCTGGGGAGGTGCCACAAAGAGCAGGCGGTTCAAACGGGGACACAGTATGGGACGGTGGCGAGGTATATGGACCGGCAGTCACGGGTTCAGGTCGATACGATTGTAGCTGTGGCTGTTCCATTTCCCTACCCTGCATGCTGTTATAGGTGCCTTGAAGGTGCGAGTCCTCACGCGAGTGCTGACGGCCATGATTTTCCTGCTGTCTGTGATGGGCATTGCTGTCGTAGATATGGGCATCCGACTGTTGCCCATACTTTTCTGCGAGAAAGTCACACGAGCGTCCCTGGCTAAACTTGTACTGCGCGGTAGTTGGCATGTCTGAAAGGCTTGGCAGAGACGATCGCGCCCTGGGATGTTTGTGCCGTGGAGAAGGATGGGCAGAGTACCGAACAGCCGACTCGGTTGCTTGCGAATACGCAGGCGTGAATATGGCAGGTATTTCTGGTAGACTCTGGCGAATAGGATCATATCTCATATTTCCAGGCGAAGAGGTAACCGGTACAGAGTGTAGCGACTGATGTGGCGGCTGCTGTTGCGGCGGCTGCGGCAGCTGCTGTTGGGGATGCCTGTGATGGCTCTGATGTCGAGAATGTCCCTGTCGCTCATTTTCAAGGTCATTCTGCATCTTTTGCAGCTCTTGACGGTGATCTCGAGGACTATGCGGCAACCCATTTATGTTTGCATGACTTTGGAATAGCAGCGTCAAGCTTGGACTAGACGAGTTGGAAGTTCCGGTAAGCGACCAGGCGATCGGAGGAACGCTTGGCGAATTGGAATTTTCCAGGGTGGCCAGCTCACGGAGAGCGGAATGGCGAGGTGGGGTTTTGATGCTCTCATACTCTTCGGAGGTGTAAGTCTCGCAGTCCCAGATCCCCTTTGCCTTCTGGTCAAGCGCGGTCAAGATGTAACGTACGCCACCCCAGTAGGTCTGCATCTGCTGCAGCGACTTGTAGCACCGCTGATAGTTCTGATTTGCGTTGGATGCCAAAAGGGCGTGCTTGGAAGAAGTCGTAAACTTTGCAGCACCAGGATCCCTGCCGCTAGAGCGGTCTCTTTGCTCGGTTTCGGGCAGCAGATCATCGGCGGACGGCGAAACATACTCTCGCGAAGCTGGGAATGTTACATTGGCAGCTGACTCCATCAGAAAAGCGCATGCGGCAATGTACATAGGCTGGGAAGTGAAAGGGTTGCCAATGAAGCTCTTTGGATCAATCAATTCAGCAAAAGCCAAAATATCAGCGATTGTCTTGGCGCTTGACATGGACAGCACATGGCTGTTGGCCAACAGCTGGTGGTCTCGTGGAAAGCCACCGAATGGGGCTAATAGCGTTGGTTGGTGTAGAATGATAATAAGAGCGTGGAACCAGAAATGCAAAAGAATGAAGTTTGTTCCCTGTCCATCACGCACATACTGCTGAAAGTTGGCCGCGTTGAAATTTAGGCGTGGATCTTGTTTCTGGTATAGTTGGGTCAGGTCAGCTTCCATCTCGGCAAGCTTTCGCATCTTGTCTTGGGTCAAGTCCTCTGCGTTGCGAATGTTGTTGAGCACGTCGGAGACACGTCCGTATATGTGTATTATCTGGACCAATGTCGGGAACGGTGCTGGCCAATTGCTAGCCGGGTCCAAGGTTGGCTCTGGGAAGGCAAGTTCAAGGTCGTCATCTCGAAAGGTCACCGGCCGACCGGTGCCGGAAGATGTGACCCGGTCCGCGAAGAAGAGAGTCCAGAACGTGTCCGCCCGCTCCTGCTCAATGGCGCGCAGTTCTTCAAGTCTGAAGGAACCGTTTTCTTGGCCGTCTGTGTGATCCTCAGTCGCTAAGTGTCGACCACCTCCTTCGTCGGTATCGCCGTGACCTTCGTTGCCACTGCCATGTTCAAAAGCCGAGTCTCTCGTGTACAGTGGGTCAGTTCCGGTCTGGTACTGAATACCGACGATCTTCTGGAGCCCAAGGTCGACTGCCATACGAATTGCAATTCCAAGATACATCCAGAGAGTGCTGTCTTGGTCAGCGCCGAATCCTTCATATGCCATGAGGATGAAGGCCTGAACAGCACCAATAGTAGGGCACGGAAATGTGTCTACAGCGGCAGCCTTGGCGCGCTGGGAAAACGCATTACCGTATTCGGAACACGACATAATCTCCCCATCATCATTTGTGATGGTAAGAAGGGGGTCCGAAACCCGAGCAGCGAGAGCACACATGGCATCAACCAGGATAGGCTGCAGTCGTTTTTCGGACACTGCTCGCAGGATCCGGCGTTCTTTGAGAAATGGAAAATTGCAGCCAAGATGAACGAAAAATGTTTTGAGCAGTGTCATGATCAGCGGATGCACAGGCTCAGAGTCGTGGGGATCATAGACGGGCAATTCATCGACACTGTCGAATACCATATCGGGTCGGCTTGGGAAATTGTTTCGCACACCACCGATAAGAGGGGAGTTCGAAGAAGAGACCGAAAAGCTGCCGCCACGGCTCTGACGGCGATCGCGTATCGACACGTCCACCACCATTTGCTTGTAGCCCGGAACTATGGCAGTGGGGCCAAAGTAACGGAAGTATGGCACTCGGTGGCTTTCTGTGTGATGCTTGTGTTGTTGGGCGGGTGAGTGGTTGCTGGGCTCGGAGCTGTCGTCATTGAGAGAGACAGAACGCCGATAGTTAGACCTGCGTCTGCGCTCATTTTGCTGGTGCCATTTGTGCGTCTGTGTCGCCGGCCTCCGGTCAGCAGCAGAGCTTCCTGTTCCCGGTCTTGATGTGGGAGTTGCGAGGCTCAAGACAGGGTCACGCTGTAGGTATGATGGTTCTGTCGTCCCAATGGTTGCATCTCTCAGTCTGTGGGCCAAATCCCCCTCACCATCGTCCCGGTCGACAAAGTCGCGGTTGGTATCGATGTCCACTCTTCTATTGCTGCGGGCCTCGTCCTCAGCAAATTCGGGTTCTTCTTGTTTGACAGTACCCTCCGTGCTTCTCTCCTGGAAGGCTGTGCGAGGACCAGAAGTAGGATGAACATGGCTACTGGCACCGTCTTCGCTGCTGGCACTATCCTTTTTCTCAACGAGATCTGGATATCCCAGACATTTATGGCCGTTCTTCTCACACGTTGAGCAGGCCGGCCGTTCGCCAGCACATCGGGTTTTCCTTTTCCGGCACGTCAAGCATCTGTACACGGAAGCAACAGAGCATTGGTTAAAACAAACTCTTCTGTCCGGAAGAAGGGGCGACACAACTCACGCAGCATTGATTCGCCGTCGTTTAGACGGGGGCTGGCCCTGGTTATTGACAAAGCGAATCTGCTTAGGTGCCGGAAGAGGGGGCTGGGTCAGGCTGGTCATTGCGGACTAGTAGCCTCACTTATGGCAATACCATGATGGATTTGGTCGAAAGAAGAGTTCCGGCAGCCGCACTTAAAAGCTGGGGAAAGCTACGTTGGCGAGCGGGGTTCTCTTTGGGTGTTATGCGAATCCTCTGGTAAAACAGCGGGGAATAGAGCCCCGGCAAACAAAAGAGAAAATTGCAAAGACAGCAGAGCGATCACACTAAAGCCACAAAAAGAAATATGAGGCAACGATGCAGAAACCACAGGGGCTGCCAGCAAGGAATGCACGGTCAACCTTCATAGCCACTCATGATAAGCAAACAACAGCAGCACTATCACTTGCATTCGTTCATCGGCGCTGGTCAGTGCTGGTCAAAGATGCTTCGTTTTGGGAGATGGTTGCGAAGTCGAAAAAAAGGGTCGGCGAGGAGAGGGCTTAGGTGACTTTTGTGAGATCGCTATGGATCAAGGCTGAGTAGGAGAGAGGTGACAGCTATAAGGAAGGAGCCACAGAGAAGCAAATAAGTGGAATGAGAAAATACGACAGCCAAGTGAGTGGAGGAACGTAGCAACGGGTCAGTGTACGGAGTAGACTTTGGGCAGGAAAGCGGGGCCAGAATTAGGCGAGAGCCAGGGGGAAAGAAGCCTCGTGCAAGGACGTGGTGTGGGGCTTTCTCTTTTCGAAGAAACTACGATACGAGCTTGTCGTGAAGTCGACGATATACACAAGGAAGTGGCAACACGCGGTGTCTGGGTTATGTCCAGATTTCTACAGGGAAAGAAGTGAAAGGGGAGCCCGGTCAGCCTGCCACAGCAAGAGGTAGAAAGTGGGGGAAAGGGAAGTGCAGTCCCGAGCTATGCTACGCTTCGTAAGCGCATAACACCGGCTCTGTGCAGCAACAGAAGTTGCGGCCACCCCATTGCAAAGGATGGGGTGCAACATCTGCACTTCCACCGTATGCTGGCAGCACCGGTAGCATGGGAAGAACAGCGCACGAAGCAAGCGTGTACAGAAGTGATGTCACGGTGACGTGTATCTTGCAGGCAGTGCAGCTTTGCAGCATTGGCAGCATTGGAGGTATTGGCAGCATTGGCAAGCAGCAGCGCTCTGCTCGTCGTTGTATCGGCTCTGTTGCCGATGCCACGGAGGAAAGCTGACATCCCACTTTGTAGGTCTTAGCTAGCGGAACGGCAGCGGATGGCAGATGCCGCTCTCCGCTTGTGGAGCGTCTCCCGGTGTAGATCTGCATAGTTAGCGCTATAGGCGTTGAAGGATGGCGTCTGGCGTCCGCTGGAGCGATGTCGCAAATGGGCGCTGCGTTGATGGAGAGGAAAAGGGCGGTAAGGAAAAGAAAAGAATAAAAAAACGGGATAAAAAAAGGTAACCAGAACGAGGAAAGGCTGTGGGCATTTCGTCAGTTTGGGCCAGGGCAAGTCGCCACCCCCCAACGCACGCGCGACCCAGAGCAAACACCTGTCAAGCTCTGCTGTCGTGTCAGCTCGTACGTGACTGCTATGCGAGTGCAGCCAATGGCCTAATCGAGCTCTGTTCGATGCAGCAGGTTCCAAGAGCGGCATTGGAAGAGTGACGAACATAAGACGTAATGGCGTGTCGGCTCTTCGGAGAAATTGGACTCTCGCGCTTGCTTTGACTGGCGACGGCACATCCGGAAGGCGAGAGGCTTCGTGGCTCAAGTAGAGAGAGCCTCTGGCGAGGACAAGCAGCCTGTTTTTTGTCCAGCTAGTGACCCAAGTTTGTGATTTGTCGGTGTCGTCGCTGTCGTTGTCGTTGTTGTTGTTATTGATCTTTCTTTGCCACCTTCTGATCTCTTCCGTCTGCCCTGTTCTCTTAATTTTACTCCCATCCTTCATTTATCCTCCCTATCCTCCCTATGCTTCTTACATATACGAGTGACAGACTGTATCCACTGCAGTGATTTGCATCTCCGTTTCTATTTTCGTAATACCAATGTGAGACCATTCTCGTGCAATAGAAAGACTGTATTTCCATTGCCTCTTCATATGGGCCCCGCCTCAGCAGCAGAGGCCTAGACGGGCATGCAATCCCAAACGCCTATGCGTATTGCGAAATGTTCCAACTGCTTGGATTGACCAGGCACGACTGCATCAAATAGCTGTTTCCAATTCGCGCGCACAACAAAACGCAGCCCCTATCCATCCCGGCCAACTCCCAATCAGAGCCGTTCCAGTGTTGTATTGAGAAGAGTACTGCCAGCCCACCTGTGAGAAATATTGGCCTAGGTAGGGATCGTTCTCGAGACGGAATAGGAACTGCAGTGCAAATCATACCGGAGTGCCAGATAATGTTCCGAAAGGCACTAGTTTTCTTTAGCCGCCCAATGGGTCGAGTTTAAGCACCGGACGCTGCCGAAGTTTGGTATAACTTGGGTCAAGAACGACAGGCATGCGTTTCAATTGCTTTCACTTTAGACTGACAAATGGACAAGTTCGGCCATACGGCAAGTCCCCTTGTGCTGTGTGTATCTACCCCGGCAGTTTATCTTGGAACATCCTCACCGGCCATTAGCTGCTATGGACGGAAAGCCCGTCCCCATACGCAACCTCAGTTTGCCGTTTACCCGTCCATGGAGCCACGAGGCAGACGATTTTTGGTACGCACTTTGCCAACTACTTCTTAGCGGACGGCGGCCTGCTGTGGGACAGCAAACCACGTCAGCGTCTTGATGGAGCGTTGGGCACAGCAACTTCGGCCTGCATGCCGGCCGTGCTTTGACAAGCAACCGGATCCAAGTCTGGTCCCCATCCCCCCACAGCCAGCAATTAATCAGCCCTGCCCATCTCCCAAAGAGTGCAGGTGGGGAAGTAAGGGCGTAAGGTCACCCTCTAGGAGACGGGACCGAAGCCGCTTGGCTCCAAAAGCATCATGGCGGGGGGAAGTGTAGTGTACTTGTGTTTTGTACATAGTATGGAATATGCACACGCACCTTGCTGGGCCGATGATTCTTTCCCAACCCGGGCGTCCCCCAACAGAGCTCCGAAATTTATGTCTCTTATTGCTAAGAAGATCAGAGACAACTGCCAACAGAAGGGAAGTCCAGCTCTCTTGGTTTAATGGCAAAGTATGATCGCATCTTTGCAGCATTACAAGTTCCGTCTTGTTCAGGGGGCTTGAATCGGGGCTGTTCGACCGACTCTTGCAGCCGCTCAATGGTCAAAAGATTGCTCAGCCACCGCGAGTTGCAGGTTCTAAGCGCTTTTTGTTGAGGACCAACGTAACGTACCACTCGCTAATCGTCGACCAGCGGCAGTCCTCCTGAACTGACATATTTTGCCAGCATCGCAAGTTCGAATACTTGTACGCGTACTCACAGACGTTGCAGTGATAGCGTTCGACAAAAGCTGATTAGTCACTTTCTTGCCCATCAACTTGAGTGAAAAGCATAACGGGTACGGAGGTGGGCCTCGGTTTGCATGTAAAACTATTATGATGCGCATCCCGAGCGAATGCATCTAGACAGCTGAACTGAAGTCTCTTTAGGTCACTCGTACCGAATGTGGGCCTGGCCGTCTACGACGTACATTGCCCAACCAGAATTAATATGGGCTGGCGGCACTTGCATGAAGCTTGCAGGTATCCGGTGGATTTGAGAAGGCCAGCTGAAAGCACACAAATCATTTTAATTAGTAGCATAATGTAGTGAAGCAAGTTATATCTGCCATAGCTGTCTCAACACAATGGAGTCTATGGAGAGTAGCCATTACAGCAGATGCTGAGAATCTTGGCGGTGAGGACACCAAGTTTCGCATTGTCGGCCATATGTCCGTAACTTCAGCATCACTCATCCGAGAGGCTTCCACGTCGCCGTCCCCATTCACCCAGGCCAATCCCCAAGCTTCAGAAGATGGGAGGAGCACGGTTAGGCTAGGCGAGTTGGACAGCATACATTTTTGACGCATTGACGCAACATTGTTCGCCGTTATGTTTGCTGGCAGTTGTACTCCATAACCAATGAGCATACCTCTCGCCCGACTGCGGTTGATTTGCCGGTGTCTCTTGATCAGCCAATAGAAGCAGCGGCAGGCGACCCTACATTTCCCGTCTGCTACTAACGACGGTCCGACACCATGCAGAAGGCAGTTCGTCGATGAACAAGCCCTTGCCGACAAGGACATAACTTGTGAAAACCCCCGGCAGGCAACTACCCCTCAAGCAACAGAGAACAGTGCTACACTTGGCTTCTGGCAACGAGGGAGACGCCAGCCAATCGCCAAGGCGTCTTTTGCTGCCTCACGGCGATGGATGCGGACGTTTTGGGCGATGAAGATCGTGGTGGAGGGTGACGAAGGAATGTCGTTGGCCAAACAGGCCCGAAGGCATATGCATGATTGCGGCCATCTTGCTGTCCCGGGCAAGGGGATATGATACTATGTACTCGTATGTGTGCATGCGGTTGCACTGTAGCTGTTCCGCTGCATTCGGCAATAATCGACTGCCGTCTTGGACTCTGGTCAGCTGGCCGCAATTCTCGCATTTCTCGCATGAACTCTTCAAGACGGTCGGGAAAGACTTTTGGTGATCTACGACTTGTCATCGCCGCCTGTCTGCGGCGTTTCGTTTCATTCTTTTTCTTCAATCCCGCTCATGTTTTCCATTGCCTCCGTCACATTTCGTACTGGGTAGAGGGACCTGAGTTAAACCAGCCTCCCACGAACCCATATATGTGCCTTCGTTTGCTGATCGGTCTGCTCCTTCCCTCCACCCCGCGGCCCAACTTCCAGTTTCGGCGTGTGGCCGCAGCCCTACGGCTACGAAGCGACAAGGTCCATAGCCTCTTAACTTTCAGCAATCCTTCCGCCAATACGGCGCACTTTTAAATACACCAGGTGTGTCATCCACCGCCAGCGTATGCCTTGTCCAATTGTGGGCATATCTACAAGAGCGTGGTAAGCTTGCAATTGGGCAGTAATACAAGTGGTGGGGGCGTCGTCGTCGTCAGTGGCCCCAGCCACGATGCAAGTCTGGAGCTGACAACGGTGTCAGCATCCCTCCTAAGCCTTCTTCCAGTCCGCGCCGCAATGGTAGCAGTAGCCTGCTCTTTGTAGGCTCTGAAAAGTCTGACCTCGACACTGCTACGTTCGAGGTTGTACCGTCAATTTTGCACCTGGATCCGACGAATTGAATGTTGCTAGACAAGTACTGCGACACTGAGGCTCCTTCTTCCCGTCGATTCTGCCTTTGCCATTTTGATCGCGCTCTCGTCAGCCATGCCCTTCTTTCCCTCCATTTCTCTTTCCCCTCTTTTTCTCTCGTTTATTATGTGACTCCTTCCTCTCTCCAGCGCTGTGGGACGGCTACGCATGAGCCTGGACTCGAAAAATTCCATGATTTCACCACTCTATCCACAGAGGACACCCCTCGCAGCGAGCCCTGGAATACGTACTGATTTCCATCACACATGCAGGCATGCCTCGGACAAGGGTTTGCTGGCCAACATGGCATAGCGGTCTGCTTTTGGCCTCCCTTATCGCCCCGCTCGCTGCTATGCCCATTGGCGCTGCCAAAGAACACCCCGACCTGCACTCTACCGTATCCGAAACCCTCTCCAGAGCTGTGCCAAGAGACACATTGGCATCTTCTACTTCGTCATCTGAGCTTACAAGCGTGCAGATCGGCGGAATTGTCGGCGGCCTGGTCGGCATGCTCGTTGTCTGTGTGGCGATTACCATCTGGGTCATCCGACACCTGCGTAAGACAGCCGCAACACGTCAAAATGCATCCTCTCGACGCAGCGCACAAAGACGGTCAGCTCATGGCTCGGGTGGCGGTGGAAGCGGCGGCAGCGGTGAATACAGTGGCAGCGGGATCAGGACATCACATCACAAGATCGTGCCGACACCGTCCCAAGTCGACCAACTCGACTACGCCGATCTGCTGGAGAGAGAGACAACGGCCACGTTGGCAGGCGGCCACACGCCATCCATCTCGGGCCTATCACATACCCCAACAGTGGGCAGCTCACACGCCGTGGTCACTCCAGTGGAAGAGTCGGCCCTCCCAAACATGCTTGGGTCTACCATGAATAGTCCAGGCCAATCCATTTCTGGAGACAGAGTCGGTTCTGGCGCAGTCAGATTTTCCAACTTGCCCCATCGTTCTCAGAACAGGCCGACATGGCGATCTTCAAGTAGCGTGGGAGCCGACTGCAGCAGCAGCGTCGATTCTTCAAGCCACCGTCGACAATCGGCGTGGCAGCGATTGCGGCAAGCACACCTATTGAATGGAGGCAGCATCAGCTCTGCGGCCAGCTCAAGCAACAGAGGAACATGTCGTCGGCCGGCAGAGCTCGGCGTCGATGGCGGGTTCATACCAGAGCTTCCAGCTGCCTCGCAAGAGGGAGAAGAGGCCATGAGGGCAAGCTCCAACTGGGCGAGCTCTACTTGGACCAGATTTGCACCAGCGGCCGCAAGAGCGCACGCCGTCAGTGGTGTCAGTGCCATCAGCGGCTTTTCAGCTGCGAGTGTCGGGATGCAGCAAACGCCAGATTCGAAACAGTACAGCGGCTACATCCCGTCGCCGATGCACAGCCGTGACCATAGTGGAAGCTCGGCGAGCTTTCACCAAGGCTCGCCAAGGCTCGACATCGTCACAGAGAATCTGGACCAAGACTTGCACGGCCACTATGGACCGACACACGCCGTTGCTGGACAGACGCTAGCAGGCAACATTGTCAATGTAGACATCAGCACGCCGATTGACCCTTGGTGAGCCGGCAAGCATGGTCGGGCCAAACTGCTCGCATTGCAAGACGGATAAAAAAATTAAAGAAAAGATGACGAATGCAATCAGCGAGGCGTTCAGGGAAAGTGTGAATTCCAAGTACGGGAAGTTCGGAGTCCGGAGTCTTGAGGCTAAATTTGGGATTAAAGTGTGGAGACACGAAACTTTTCTATGGGACCGCCTGAAATATGATGGTAGGCTGCATGAATATTTTTATTACTGGGAATCCCACACGTGCTTACAAGAGAGATATGGCTGGCCAGGGAATCGGCAATGAGCCCCATGCACGGCATCGAAAGAGATGCGTACTCCGTAAGATACAGATGTGTTCGTCTGGTCCGAGTGGGCCAATCGAGAGCTAGGATCAAGAGCACAAAGCACGAGATGTATTCGAAATCTCACTGCTGGCTGCGGTGGTGAGACCAGACAAGATCAGAGCAGAAAGGGACGGCGTGCGCACTCGCCAGCGGCAGGGTGCCAGCGACAAGAGCTGCCACGTGGGACAGGCAGCGGGCGATTCATCGTGGGATGTTGGTGATCTTGACTGGATATGTGGACATGCTCTCCAATGTCGCACTCGGAGAGGACGATACGGCTGGCATCGCGTAATCAATCACGTCTGGCCTACGGAGCATTGCAGAGCCGAATGCAGCAATACGGTGCCTCTTGAGGTGCTGGCTCGGTCAAAACTTCGGACTGGTGAAATGCTAGTACGGAGTACGTCGTAGGATTTCTTCCATTGGGGGACCTCGCTTTAGTCCAGAATTCGGCCGGCTATCGGTCTCACCAAGCCTTCTGTTGGTGTCCACGTGCCTTGCATTGAACTCGACAAAGGAAGGAATGAAGACGGGAAATCTTGGCCGACTCTGGAGGGGGCTGACAGGGTTCTCTTATGGGCCCACCTTGCCTATCCGGATCAGACGGACAGGACGCCAAGCTGGCGTTGCAGGACGGAAAGTCGTAACTAATCTAGAACCATTCAGATTGGGCCAGCTGGCGGTGTGCTATTCCTGCGTCAGAGCGGCTGATGCGATGCAGGCCGTCAGCCTTCAATATTGTGATGGTGCAGAACCCGTTTGATTGCAGCGTTGTCGGGCGTCAAAAATATTGGAAATAAATAATCGTCCAGTGCAACAGCGCCAATGCGATCCTACTCTGTCCAGCCGCCAAGGCGCACGTCCATCCTATTCACGAGTATTCTTGGAAACAATAAAGTACGGGTTACGAGTCAGATACATACGTCGTGGTAGAGTACTGCCTGCCACGTGTGTGCGCATTGCTGTGACTGCGTCCCCTCTTCTCCCCTCCCTCTCCCTCTCCACTTTATTTGCTCTCCATATACTCCGTACTCCGTACTCCGTACTCTCTCCTCACTCCATACCCTCACTTAATTTCGCAGTCATAATCATCCTCACTCCCTCGATATCCTCGGCTTCGCACTTTCCTCTCCTGTCCAAGTTGCGTACTACGACGTATAGCAGTACCACCTGCCCGTTCGCTTCGCAACTAGAAGTACTTGTAAACGGGTTGGCCGTGCCCCTCCCACTAGTCCCAACAGGGCGTCACCCCCTGTATGATAAAGGTCTGGTCCGCCTGAAAGAGTTAAAAGGCTGGAGCTAGCCCAAAACGAAAAATACTGTTCCGTTGCGCTCTCGACCGCTGCCATAGGCTGGCTGAACGGTCCATGAAGGGGGCGTGCGACATGCAGACAGAGCAGACGCCACACTGCATATTGGACGGACTCCGGCTGAGTTCTGCCCTTTTTTGCTCAAGCTCATGTATGAGACTGACTTTTTCGGCTCCCAACCACACCCCCCCCCCCCCCTCCGACAGCCAGCAAAAATACTCCGTACAATAGTCTGCTTATATTTTCTTTTCGGTTCCCAGGATGCGGGCAGCCCTTTGCCCACCTAGCAGCCGCTTCGTATTCCTCCGTACTCGTATGTAAGATACCAGCAGCCGCTGGGGGATCTGTGCTCCGTCATAGATACCAATGGGCCACCCATGTCTGGGAGTATATATACCGCGCATCCCTTCCTCTTTCTGCCCCAGCCTTGACTTGAATTCTCTTCTTTTGCGGATCTACCCCGAGCGGATCTACCCCGACAAGACCATCTTTCAAAAGCTAGCCTCCTTCGTGTCTCCATCTTCCCTCCATTCCACTCCAGACCGACTGCTCGTCTTTTGACACCGAAAAACAAAGCTAGCCAACATGAAGGTCTTCGCCGTTCTCTCATTCGTCTCGGTCGCCTTTGCCGGCATCAACGTCTTTGAGGCCCGCAACTGTGCCGGCAACAACTGCAACCGTGCCATCACCGGTACACGTGCCGGCCTCCCGGCCACGTCCCTCCGTCAGTCAGACTGCTCCAGCTTCATGCTGACGGTCGTGACCCCATCACCGGTGTAAGCACAAGACAAGACAGAAGATTGAGGAAGTCATCATTAACACTGGAAAGCTTCTCTACCACCTGGGTTGAGGCTCCTGCCAACGGCAAGGCCAAGCGCGCTACCACCGCCGCTGTCACCGCCGCTGTCACCTCTACGCCCACCGCCCTGCCCACCTACGCTACCCAGTGCTCGTCGGCCGCTGCCTACGCGTCGGCCTGCAGCTGCTGGGGCATCACCGCTGGCCTCTCGACCGCCGCCGTCCCCACGGTCACGGTCACCAGCACCTACGACTACTGCGACCTGTAAATGGCACGCGTTCGCTAGTCGAACAGGCAGCAGGAGGCCGGGTGTGCTTCTGGATGAGATACCGGAGAAGGAGCAGTGGCAGTGTCGAGGAAGTGATGCCGGAAAAGGAATCGGGTCACTTTGTATATACAGCCCTAATTATAATGGCGCCCTTGCTCGCGAGAAACGGACCTGAAAAGCATTGAATGCATTACCTGGCATCACAATCAAATGTCCTCTCCTTGTGTGCACCATTTTGACTAATACCCGGCGAGTGAATCCAATGTCTCGGCACCCGCTAGACGGTATGTCTCAAGGCGCTACACAAGATCGTAACCGATTGGTAGGAGATAGGCCTGGTCTCATACCGCATTTGTGGATCGATGTGAGAAGGAGGGTGAATGAACGAAAGGCTGAGAAGAAAACGATGGGACGCTCGAAGGTCGCATTTCTGCTCAGCGAGGGTTGCCCAATCTCAGAAGGTGCTCGTTGTATGTATCTGTGTGCGATTGGTGGGAAACTGAACGGTAGCAAATACCGCATCTTCTGATGCGAACTCAATTAATTCCGCAGGGCGGCTCATTACCCCGACTTTTTTTTTAAACTTTGCTTCGTAATATTAGCGATCGTCGCGATCAGCACAACCACGCCATTTCACCCATGCACGGGCTCCTCTTTATTGTGTCAATGGAAGCCTTCTCGAAAAGAGTATTTTCCCTCTGAAGGGACCTCCTGATCAGGTAGATAGATCTCCGCATCTCTGCGGTTCTTTTGGGAGTATTCAATTGCTTTTGCAGGCCTTCCCAAATAATAAGATGCTCGCTCTTCGGTTAATTTTTTCTGTGGCGCATCTTTTGTTTTCGCACCTGTTCTAGTTTCATACCCTATCTGCTCTCGACCATATCTTGTTTTTCTGGAATAAATACAAATCTGTTTCTAAGAAAGCCGTAATGTGCGAGACATCTTCATCTGTTAGATCGCTGCTGCCTGCATGTTGATTGACATAACCATTACATTACCCTTCTACTCCTGAATGATTTCTTTTCATCGGTCAGGCTGCAATTGGTTTTTGCAATGAAAGCAGTGGCAAAGCCGCTTATATTGCTACCGCCACCCTAGCTAGTCGACCGGCTGGCTGACAGACCGGGCGTGGTTCAGCAAGATGGTGGAACTTGAGAAGTGGCAATTTTAGGAGACATACCCAATCCCAAGAATGTTGCATTCCATGTGTTCATCTGGAGTGGCACTGGTGACTCAATAGCCAGCCTCACTGTAACCTCGCTTGCTTGCCAACTCGAGCGCCCAAAAGCAAGAACTAAATACACAATACTTCGCACCTTTTGTGATCAGAGGCGGATGATGATTGTGCGTTCTCGTCGCCGACGACGTCTCTCCACCCGCGCATCAGCTGCTATTTTGTGCTGCCAATAAGTCCAGCGAGTTGAAATACCGAGGAAAGGATATTATTTGACCAACTCTTATTCAGCGCTTCAAGTGACCAAATGTAAGTACCAAGTGTAGGCGAAGCAGCAGGCTTAAGTTTCGTTGCTAACACAGGCTACCCTCTGCGTCTACGAAGAGGATAGACGCCGGTAAAACGGTGCCCCCGGAGAAAAAGACGGCAGGCGCACAGCACAATGATAGACACGTGACATTGGTATTCTGGGGAAGCTGGTCTGTGTGTGATTTAAGGCGGCCGCGTTTTTAGTCTCCGCTCCCATAGTGCAAACGTCACTGTGTCGCTATCTAAAGCTCTCATTGTATCTTACATAGTACAGTAAGAGCTTGGAAGAAGCCCTAATAATGATACGTCATATTGGGCGCTGTTTTATGTAAGATACAAAATACAGAAATCCAACTCCCAAGTGTGCACAGACCGGCTATTCGAACAGATTGCAGTAAAGCTACAGCATAAGAAGCAGAGATTGAGTGCTGGTTGGGCTAGCTAGTTAGTGTTCCACGGACTTGTATGCGCGTCATTCGACGTCGGAAGAATGAAGGGCGATAGAACACTGGCAGAGTTGACGAAAACAGCGGGTGCAGCACTGCAGCACGAGTTCTCGCGAACCAAGATCCGGAACTTGGTCCCTGCAATGCTCTAGTGAGAGAAAAACAGCATCAGGCTGCGTTGATCTCGAATAGCCGAGCCAAGGGCTCATTCCATCTTCACTTTGTACTTTTCACAGCTCTCATCTCTGGCCGCCCATTCAGAGCAATTGGGGTTTCGGCTGACGAGTGGATATACTTGCCTCCTTTTTGTTCTCTGGCGTTCATGCATCCTGTAGCTGCACCTTCCACCCCTCCCCCAGATTGTGGTTTTTGACTTGGCTAGGAAAAGATGGGGGATTTTTTTTCGTGTAGAAGAATTGCACTGCGCAAACCGGCTTTTTCATACAGATGCGTTGTAAGATAGCTTTTAGGCTGTCCCCCCTTTTAGTCTTTCCCCCTCCTTCCACATCCCACAGTCGGTCCATCCCTCCTGCCAACCCACTGCCCGTTTTATCTTACGTTTGGCCGCCTAGGATCTGGCCACTAGCAGCCGTCCACTGTTTCCTCAACCAGAAACACACCCATTCCTCTCCTTCCCTCCCGTCTCTTTTCTCCGTTCTCACAGGGCAAACTGAAGCACTATTACGACCACTCGTACTCCGTGCATCTAGGCAAACCCTGTCCCACTGCCGCGACCTATTGCTGCGTCGAGGCACCGGAAAGCAGCAAAGCTCAGCCATAGCAACTGCGCGTTTCCGCTGTTGCGCATGCTATCACCCCGCACAAACACACACAAACACGCACACGCACGAGCAGCTTCAGGCTGTGCCAGCTGATGTTGCATATTCAAATTCTGTCGGTTGCTCTTTCCTCTATACGGAGTACGACGCCCACAAGCTTCGATCTGGCATTGGCCCACTTTTATCCTCGAAACACGAGACACCTCTCTTTCCCGCCGCTTTGTCGTTTTCTCACTTTGTTTTTGCACTGTGCCTTCCTTCGCTCAAGCCTAACCACTCAACGCCCAGTCTCACCCACTCTCTCCCGATCGCTGTCCCTTACTTATCTTTCTTCGAGCCTTTTAAAAATTGACGACCGAAAAAATACATAACGTTCAACGAACAACGGCACCTCCCCTTCACCACCACATCCCCTCTCCTCCATCTTCTTTCTTTTGTTGTCGTTGTTACCGTTATTGTTCTTGTCCGTGTGGTGCTTGTATTCTCCTTCTTCCTCTCCTTGCCTCCTTTTTTTGCTTTGCTTTTTTTAATCGGCAGCAAATAAAAGGAGAAGGGCGGAGCATCCACCTTTTATTCTTCCTTTCGTTGCTGCGCTTCCACAGTCGCACCTCTCATCCGCAACGTCGAAGCCTCGGCTTCCAATTCTTTTCCTCGATTATTGCCCACTCGACAAGGCCATTAGACGGAGTTATAGGAAGCTGCATTGCCCCCCCCCCCCCCCCCCCGCAGCATATTTGAAGCTCCCCGGCTTCCTTCTCAGCGTCCCTCTCGATTCGATATGGACATATCCATCGAAGCGCTACCATCGTTCGATTTTTAACCTATTTCGCGCCATTTCGAGACAGCGGATAGATATATCAGGGTCTCGGTATCATTTCGACGGTCGCCTTCAGCTCGGCGAATCTGCGGCTTCCATACCGGCCACCTTTTCCAGTACAAAGAAAAACCATCAAGGGCACAACTCCCTCGGCCTTATCTGACAATTGCCTTTTTGACGTCGGCTGGTGCCCGTTAACGTCGCAAATTTGCTTCTACTGGGTACGTTTCCACAAGTAAACCTTGTGCCGTCACATTCAGTGAGGTGCACTGCTACCAAGCACATGCAGCATCAGTACCGCACAATCCTGCCCCGGCCTTTTGCGCGGGGTTTTGTACTTCCAAGGCGCCGGAAACTCATGGACTAGGGCTAATGTCTGTCACAGTTTCTACGAAGTTTTCCGCTTTCATCAACAGCGCCCAATCGCCAGCATTTATGCTAGCACCCTCCCCAGCGGCTCAACGTTCAACCTGAAAATGGTCCAGCCACGACGAACGCCTGGAGAAAACTTAAACGGAACTGCAAAGCGAGACTCTGCCAACATGTCCTTTCAACGAAAGGATGGAAGCAACTCCGCCAAAGGAGATGGAAAGACACAGAATGGTAAGCAATGCCCTAGACCGTTTACATATGTTGGGCTATTGGGCATACAGGTGAAAATTTGCTGACAAGCGATGTTTGTCCCAACAGGTACCCGTTCTGGATTCCGGACAGACACTGCTATTTCAAACAGCCGCCCTGGAAACGAGCGTGTTCTCAAGCGGTGGGTGCCCGAAGCTCCCGGAGATCTCGATGGACCTCTTGAGAGGGCGTCGTCGAGCAAAGGGGACTGGGATCAATTTGCGGTGAACGAACGTCTGTTTGGTCTTAAGACAGATTACGACGAGAACTTTTACACTACCGCAATCGACAAGAACCACCCTAAGTACAACGAGCGCCTGGCTTCCGCCGACAGGAAGGCTCGAGAGATAGAGAAGTCTGCTCCTACCACCAGCCACGTTGCCGAAGAGCGCGTCATGGATTTTGGCGGGACCGATAATGGAGGCGACGAAGAGGACAAGTGAGTACCTGTTTTGCTCGTCCTAATCCAGCACGTCTCAAGTACAATTGCTAACATACCCCCTTTAGATACAGTGGCGTTCGCCGACAACAAGACTTTCCTCCGCTTTCCTCCGGCCGCGACAACAAGTACACACCTCCCGCTCGGCGTGCCCCTACCGGCCACACCACGGTGGTTGGCGCTCCTGTCGACCCAGCCATCATCATGGCACAGGTCAAAGGAGGCCCGGGCCAGAGCAATAGAAAGCAATTGACCCCGAAGCCCGAGGACCAGAAAAAACTTGTTTCCGGCGCGAGCCGGCCATCATCGGCTGTAGTGACACCGCTTGTCATGACTCCAGAGCCCAAGAACGATGCCGAGTTCCCAACCTCGGATGCTAAGCAGCCCGAGGCGAAGATCGGCGGCTCGGGGCAGCCCGAACCTGCTCAACCGGTCCAGCCGACCAATGAAAAGAGCAAGCCAACTGCTACTGCTGGGTCATCGTCATCTTCTCTTCGTCCGGCTGCTGTACCTGGGCGAGCGGCCTTTTCGCCTAATGCGAAGCCAGCCGCATCAGTCACTTCATCGGCAGTCAACAGCCCCGCGCCACCGAGCGCAGCAGACGGCGTAGAGAAGGCCTTGCTTAAGGACTTCAAAAATTTCGCATCACAGGAGCGCATTGCTACAGAGAAGGCTCGGCAGCACAAGATGAAGGCCGATGCTCAGGTCAAACTACAGGAGCTGAAGAAGTTTGCTACCAACTTCAAGCTGACGACACCGGTTCCCAGCGATCTCATTTCGATTATTGCGAAGGATCCTGCCAAGCAGAAGCAAATTCAGGAGAAGGCTTTACAGAATGTCGAGGAGATGGCTGCCAAGACCAAAGCCGAAGCTAAAGTGAAGGACTCGACAACGACTTCGCCTTCGGCCACTAGCAAGGCTTCGAACACCCCACCGAACTCCAGCACAGGACCTGCTCCTGCTTCTAAGCCCGCGACAAACACGACTTCCGGGACCGCTCCGTCAACTGCAGCTTCTGGCGCAGCCGTGGAGAAGCCAGCGCAGGCAAACAACCGGGCACACGGGCCTGTGCACGGCGGCTCTCCGTCCGTGCCTGGTCGGCATCCAAACTCCCGTCCTCCATACATGCAACAAAATTATCGCCAGCAGTCACAGATGTATCGTGGGGACCATCGTTCGGGTGGCCAGCACATGTCTCAGGGACCCAGCACGGGCCATCTTGCGGAGCGCCTTCGTAACAACATGGACCAGACGCGGTACCCAAAGCAGCCAGCGCCTCATGCACACTACAACGCCATGGGTGATATGCGAGCCCCCCCTACAGGCCCGGCGAATTCGGTCGACCCCAACTACTCCCGTCGTATAAGTGCGGTCCCAACTGGTGCGCAGAAGCTCAACCCCACCACTCATGAGTTTAGACCGAGTCCATTTGCAGCATCGTTCAACCCGGCCGGTCCCAGCACCAGCTCTAGCCCTCAGTCGGCCATCAACAACATGTCGGAATCAATCCATCCCAGCGGAGCGGCCTCAACAGCACCGACCATTGTGACAGCCTCGTCGCCGCAGACATCTCCCAGGAGCCCGATTCGACGGAAGGTGAAGGCGGTTGATGCCAAGAAGTGCCAGATTCTGGACCACATCCGCACGATTAAGCCTCCACAGGGCAGAAAGTGGGATGACAATGACGGCTTGCGGCCATCCTATGACACCCCCCCCACTTGGCGACAGCCACAGGACGACGAGAAGGCAGACTCAACCATGCGACTGACTTACAAGGAGTACTTTGAGCGTGTAGCCTTTACGGCGGCTTCGATGGTGACGCCCATTGTTGGACATGCGCTGCCACACGGGATGCCGCAAATGGTTCCGCACCAAATGCCCTATCACCTCCAGCAGCACGGTGGCCACATGGCTCCACGGCCGTCGCATATGCCGCCAATGCCGATGCATGCAGGAGGCGGGCCGCATGGACCAGCGCCGCACATGCCGTACAACGGCAATGATGATCACCGGATGATGCATTCGAACTCTGCACAGTCGTATGCCTCGCCTCGCATGACGCAGGTGCCGATGTACGCACAGCAGGTTGGTGGGACGCCGCAGATGGCATATAACCAGCCGGTGATGCCGTTCATTCAGGGCACTCCACAGATGAATAACTTCCGCAACTACCCGAACAATCCACAGCAGTACATGCAACCGCAGTCTGGTCCGATGATGTCGATGATGCAGCCTCAGCAGTTTGTGGCTGTTCCCGGAGGCATCTTGCCTCCGGGCCAACAGATGCCGGGGTATCCGGGCCCCCATCCTTCATACATGCCGCCCCCCGGTGCCGCCGGTGCAGCTGGTGGAGTGCCGCCTCCGCAAGGACTTGGGGCGAACGGTTACCCAAGCCCGCGGCCGGTCCCTGCGCCGATGATGGCCCAGCAAGGATCCCAGCAGGGACAAGCACCAATGTACGGAATGAGCCCCAGCATGCAGTACCAGCAGCCTGCCTTTGGTCCCCAACACCCGGGACAAGGTGGTAAGCTTCCAACTATTTCTTGAGATGTGCTTGTGGATGTCAGTGCTGACGTTTTAGCAAAAGGGCCCATGCGAGGCGGCTATAACAATCCTGGCTCCCAACAATTTGGAACGAGCCCACAACAGATGCACCAGTATGGGCCACCTCATCGGAATGGCAGCGGGAGCTACGGGGGCAAGAATTTTCAAAATCACGGGCACAACTCGCATCAAGGGCCGCCTCCCCACCATCTGCCGCCACCTTCTTCCGGACATCAGAGTCGTGCGGGCGGCGAGGGCGAGGAGACCAAATGAGGATTGTCTCCAGTGACCGTGCGGAACAGCGAAATGGGGTGCTTGATCTCCTGAAGCGAGTTTTGCTATTGGCCCGGCTTCTTGTAGTAAAGCACGGCCTCCCCGAACGATTTTGCAGTTTGGCTCTAGCACCTTAGCATTACCTTTGACGAAGCAGAAATAGGCAACTGCTCTGTGGGACAGACCAAGGATGCAACTCACTGCACGTCCAGTTTCCCTTCTGTTCGATCTCGACCCCATCGGGGGCAGTCTTCGCTTCGACAGTCTATTTTTGGCCCTTGGCTGCCATGACAAAAAAAAGTCTGGAAGCAGGCACCGAAGACTCAATCAGTTTTATTTTTCCTTATAAGCAGTCTTTGCCTGGCTATTTCCGGGCTCGTGCCTAAAGACCGACTGTCTGGAAAGACCGGTCCGTCGGCTGCACATGTCCGTACTCTGTTTTGAGGTATGCAAAGACGGGCTTGCGAGAGAAAGGAATGTTTGACGCTCTGGCGATCTCTACGAGAGATGGTCTTCCGGGCGAATGTTCTGACCAAGAGCCGAGAAAGAGAAGGGTGGTGAAGGGTGGGGTAGTGATTCTTGTTTGTGGGCGGGCAAGTGTGGCAGGTGTATGGATGACGGGGTGGGATATTGGGATGGGGTCAACCATGTGAGGCGGTGTAATAGGGAGACAAGTAAGGACCAGCAGACGATACCGAGTCTTGTTGCACCATGGTGCTTGTTCTCTATGGGAATGAGGCGTTGATGTGCGATCTGTTTGATGGGGTGGGTAAGAGGGGTATGGATGAACGGATGGAAGGATGGAAGGATGGAAAGGATGGACGAAGGTCCGGATGAGGGCAGATGCGAATTGGACGAAGAAAATCGGTGTGTACATTGTTGAGGGAGGAAGCAAGAGCTAAGCCTACCGACTCGGTCGAGAGCAGGTCACGAGAGTCGATGAGGGGCAGACTTGCAGACAGAGCCCAGCCATTACAATACGAGACTCCTCGACAGCCAACCAAGGCGGCATGCAATACAGCGTAGACGGGTGATGGCAGGGCTGGAGCAATGGTAGATGTAATTTAATTTCGTTTGAGTGTCGTGACAAAATACGCTATAGAAAGTGAAAAGAGAAAAGGTACAGAACGAGAACGGATAAGGAAATACCAGTGAGAATGAGACCAGCGAGAGAACAGCCGCATAGCCATGCTCAGGCCTTCTTCCGTCTTCCGTCGCTACTATCCTACATGACGACACATTCGCGATCGCGTTCCCTCATCTGCGCCTGCTGAAACTGCTGTTGGTGGTACTGCTGCTGCTGCTGGAACAGCTGTGGCGGCAGCAGTGGTTGCGGCCGGCCGATCAGTGGCGCTCCTTGTTGTTGCTGCTCTCGTTGCTGCTGTCGTTGCTGCTGCCGTTGCTGTTGTTGTTGTCGTTGTTGTTGTTGTTGCAGGAGCTGCTGCTGCTGTTCGGACGGCGGATGGTACGGTGCCTGCTTGGCCGCCTGTTCGTAAGACGGCGGAGCCTCGTCGTCGTCCTCCTCGTTGGTCGGCCGATGGACGGGCGGACGAGGACTGGTGGCCCGGAGGGAGACGGAGGAGGTGCTGCCGAGCGGCGGCACCAGGGGCCGGACCTGCTGCTGTAGTCGCAGCGGCAGTTGTGGCGGCAGCTGCAGCTGTGGCTGTGGCTGTGGCGATTGTGCTTGTGGCTGTGCTTGTGGCTGTGGCCGAGGCGATCCCGACGTCGGCTGTGTCTGTCCACGATAGCGAGCCGGACTGGTGACGGCGACACTGCTGCTGCTGTTGTTGCTGTTGTTGCTGACGGCAGCCGAGCTTCGTCGCGGCGAGACGGCCACCGACTGCTGTTGCGCGCTGCTGTAGAGACCGCCGCCGGCTGCGTTGCTGGCGGTCGGCCGGCTGCGACTGGGACCAGATCCAGATCCAGGGCTGCCAGATACGGTCTTTCCCTGCTGCTCGATAAACTGCTCCGACAGCTGGCTCTCACGCTTGCGGCGCTCTGTTTCGGCCCGTTCGCGCTCCTCTTCTTCTTCTTGCAGCTGCAGGGCAAAGGCGAGGTCCCGGTCCTCCTGCTCGTGCTTGGAGATGGCAATGGCAGGCAGCCCTTGGTGGCTGTCGTCGTTCTGTCCGCTCGACCGGTCCTGGCTGCTCTGTCTGTCTGGCGACACCATCGTGGCCAATCCAGCTCCGGCTCCAGCTCCAGCTCCGGCTCCGGCTCCGGCTCCGGCTCCGGCTCCCACTTCCATCCCCTGCTGGCTGGCCCCGCCGACCAGCCGGAAGTCGCCCGAATAGAACTCGGCACGCTCGCCGTTCACATCGACCAGGGTTTCCCAGACGATCTCGTCGTGGCCGGCATAGCCGGCGTCGGTCACGAGCGACAGCAGCTGCATCGTCTGCGGGTGTCGGTACAGGGTCGAGAAATGGTCATTGCGGAAGAGGATGGCGATGGCACCCGGCTGCATCGACGCGGCCAGCACCTCGAGCCCCGAGGCCGTCAGCTGCGTGGCCGACGAGCGGAAGAAGGCTTTGAGGTGAAGGATGTCCTGGTAGAGCGCCTGCTCGTCGTCCGTCAGTCCGTCGCCCGTCGCGCTGCTCAGCTTCTGGTCCAGCTCCTCCTCGCGGAACAGCAGGTTCTGCGCGCTGTCGTACGAAGCCGCGTGGCGCTCCATCGCTCCGTACACCGGCTCGTCGTGCGAGGGCAGCCAGCCGTGCACTAGCGTGATCCCAAACGTCGCGTACAGCTGCATCTCGCGCGTCTCCTCAAACGTGCCCGGCATCGGCCGCTCGCTGCGTCCGGTCGGAGTCACGTGATCGGGCGATGTGCGTCGGAAGGCCGCCGTTGCCTCTGCTGTCGGGATGAAGCGCGGGTTCACGTTCATGCCTGTGTGTAGTCCCTTTAGAAATCCGTACAGCTCGTCCACGTCCGGCAGCGAGCCCGTCGCCGAGCCCCGTCGCGCAAACATGAGCTCGTCAAACACTGCGTCTAGCAGCAGCCCCAGGCTGACCTGCTCGCGTGACCGCAGCGTTTCCACCAGTGCCGTCTGCACGTCTGCCGGCGTCGTCAGCGTCAGCGCGTTCACCAGCGCCACCAGCGGACACGGTCCATTCCGATTCTGAACCAGGATCGGCGACACTCGCGGATTCTTGCTCGCCTGAGCGTCGTGCCACCGTACCTTTTTGATCTGGTACGTCTCTGTCTTGTCACCTTCTGCTGGTCGTGGCGGTGGTGGTGGTGGCCCTGAGTCGTCAATGTCCAGCAGGCTTCTGACCGGACCTTGCACGTGTACTTTCTTGACCACCTCCGCTGGCGTGATGCTGAGTTCCGGCTGCCCTGCTGTTGCTGCTGTTGCTGTTGCTACTGTTACAGCTGTCGATGTTTCTGTCGTGTCCACCACCTTTCCCTTCCTGCTCTCGTTTCCCCCCTCTTCGTCGTCCGTAAAGTTCTCCCATGTGCTCTGCCTCGAAAGCTGCCCTGGTCCGACCTGGTCGTCCACCATGCTCCAGCCCTCTCCGGCAGCCTCCTCTGCCCCCGCGAGAGGACTCGCTACAGCCACGGCTGTCGTCGCCTGCTTGCTACCGCCCACGTCGTCCCACGCATGACGGCTCTCGTATGCCTCCTCGCTCTCTTCGCCGGCCTTGCCGCCAAGCGCGCTGGTCGGACGCAATGGTGGTGCCCGCTCTGGCGGAAGGGCCGTCGAAGCCACCGAGGCCACCTCGTCCCACGCCGCGCGCTCCGTTTCCTCGCCAGGCTCGAATATGAGCAGGTTCGACTCGGGCCGCGCTGCCTTGGGCCCCAGCGACGGCTTGCCTGGCGGCTGTCCGGACGCGCTAGGAACCGATCCCCAGACGCCGCTCACGCCACCGGCTGCCGTGTCATCCGAGAGCACGATCTGCGGAGCCTCCACGTTGAGCGTTCCAAGGCTGCAGTTGCGCTCATCTTCTTCGGGCTGCCATGGATTCGTGCCCGGCACCGGTGCCAGCAGCTTCTTCTTGAACGGGTTCGTCTCGATCAGGACGCCGGCATCGCCGTCGGGGGGCAATACTACAGGCACGCCTGCTACGGCAGACGATGCCATATCGTTATGCTGCTGCTGCAGCTGCTGTTGTTGCCCCATCGCTCTGGCTGGCTGCTGCTGCCGCCAGGCGTTTTCTTCCTCCTCCTCAAAGCCCGAGAAGGCGATTGGCGATGCGCTCCGCTCGCCGTCCGCGCCACCAGCAGGCTTTCCGACGGCCGGCCGCAGATTTTCTGGCAGGCCGTCCGATGTGCCGCCGCCCGCGTAGAACGAGCTCGGCACAGGCTTTCGGGTGACCATGGTCGGCAGAGAGAGGAGATGGCGCGGGGAGGCTATGGCCGGCGCAGTCAGAGTTGATGCAAGGGAAGGGGGACCGCCGACGGGCAGACTTCTTCGCTAAGCCGGAGAGAGCGGGTGGCAGGCCGAGTTCATTCAACCGCTTGCAGATCGTGATCACGGCTCTGCTGGTGATGGTCGGAAGTCAGCCCGCGAATTGCGTCACTCCTCACACGTCCTCGATCGGAGGGCGGGTCTTTTTTGCGGGGACGACAGGTGAGCAAGAAGCTGGGACGCTGAGAGACCGGCCAGAAGACGAGAACGGGATTGCGCGAAAAAAGAGAACAGGTTCTCAGCGTTGAATTCAGGCAAAGGAGCCGTTTGCACAAAAGACCACAGGAAGGCTTCTTCGCTCAACACGGGATTACGTAGCATTGCTGTGTTACGGACTCGAGTAAACAGCTTATGTAAGGGTGACGCGCGGGAAGGAACGACGCTGGCGCCCTCTTTCGCTGTGGCGCCTGGAGGCAAACCAGTGGCCACTCAGCACAGCCCAGCCCAGCTCGGTGACGTCGGCCAGCGCTAGGCAGCAGCAGCAGGACAATAGGCCCAAACCGGACGCTAGACCGTCCGTTAAATCCAATGGCACTAGTCTCCTTCCGGATACTCAACTACGATATCAAGACGCAGCAGGTAAAAAGACTGAAGAAGAACCCCGGGCTATGTACATTATGCGAGGCAGGGAAGGATGTAATCTGGAAATGCCAAGTAAAAAAGGAGAAACAAAAAGTAGAAAACAAGCAGCGAGTCTGTGAAGAGAAGGCAGCAGAAATGTTGCTCTGTGGGTTTCCCCAGAACGTCGTCATAAAATTACGCCTCCCAAACGCCCAGCCACTCGCTCCCTGTGTTCGCTCTCTCTCGCCCTGACTACTCGTACGCTTCTCTCTCCTTTTTGTCTCTGTTCGGTTCGTCACCCACCCCCTCACCACAGCCGACCCCGTCCATCATTGTCGCACCACATAATTCATCCTCTCGAGCCGATCGCACGCCCGCATCTCGAGCCGGTTGGCAACCTCCATCTTGTCGGCGTCCTGGAAGATCCAGCCCTGTGCCTCCTCCTTCAGCCGCTGCTTCTGCAGCATCTCGCGTTCGCACTGCGCCCGCAGCGTCCGCACCAGCGTGACGTCGGCGTAGCTGTCCAACTGCGACAGCTTCTGCGCATTGTCCTGGAAGGGCGTGAAGTCGCGTGGGTCCACGTAGTACTTGACGTTGTTCGGTGTCCGCCGACCCAGCGTGTATGGCGGCTCGGCCGCGTCAAACACCATCCGCGGCATCGCCGGCTGTGACGTGCCTTCGCCCGAGAAGAGCGACGACAGCAGCGGCAGCACAAACAGGATCAGGATTGGCAGCAGGCCCACAACCGTCGACCAGAGACTCTGATCCTGCTGTGGCTGCTGCGCGTTGTTGCCAGCTTGTCGTGGCCGCGTCCGTGGCCGCGCTCCACCAAACTGATGCACCCGGAACCCGGGCCCGCCGCCCATGTTGAAGACAAACTGTGGTCCGGTGTCGAAGCCTGTGTGTGCACATGTCAGCGAGAGAGACTTTGCAAAGGATCTGACGCCTTGGGGCTGCACTGACCTCCGAACGGGAACCCCCCACCGCCACCGCCGCCGCCAAAGAACCGCCGGAACATCTCCTCTGGGCTCATGTCCTCCTCCCATCCGCCGCCCATCCCGCCGCCTCCTCCACCGCCTGCTCGCGATGCGAACGGGTTGTTCATCCCCGCCCCGCCACCGCCGCCACCGCCGCCACTGCCAAACCGCGAGTCTGGGTCCGTGCCGTACCGGTCGAACTTCTCCCGCTTCTCCTTGTCCCCGAGTACGCCAAAGGCGCGCGACACCATCTTGAACGCATCGTCCGCGTTCGGGTGGCTGTTCTTGTCCGGGTGCGTCAACAAGCTCTGCTTGCGATACGCCTTCTTTACCTCGCCACTCGTCACTGTGCGCTCGATATCGAGGATCTCATAAAAGGCCGTTGCCTGGCAGCGACGAATCCGCAGCACCGCCGCCTTTTGCTCCGGTGTGTATGACCGGTCTTGGTTGCCCTGGTTGTGCTCACGGTGCCGTCCACCACCGCTAGACGAGGCATCGGCCCCGGATGCGGTTGCGCTGGGCATAGAGGAGGAGTGAGGGGGGAGGTGGAGAGGGGGGCAAAAAGAGGGTGGAGTTGGAAGTCGTAGGTGGTCACGTCAAATAGATGACACCGGGTCTACCTCCTGCCAAGAAGGAAAGCGAAGCGTAGACGGCAGGATTAGCTGGCTTGTTCGTCCAGGTGGTTCTCAGGCAGATACCACTGTTCGTCTAACGACCAATGCACTTCGTCTCAAGTCGTTGCTCGACTGAGCAAATGGATTCTCTGCGTCGCAGCCAGAGGATCAGATCCCCGAAAAGGACAGATAGTCCAGTCAGTGACCGTAGTGGTGGAGGAGGTGGTGACGAGGTCGAGCGGCCAGCGAATGTCTGGTGTCGGGTGTCTGGTGTCTGCACGTGTGAGACTACTGCGATGCGATGGCCGATGCGTCTGACGTGCTTTTTTTGATCGTAATAGGGGTGCGACAAATCCTGGCGTCGAGACGAGCTTTGATAAGCTGCTGCTGGGTGGCTAGCGAAAACGGCTGGAGTTGGCACGGGCGGACAGCCTCCAACAGCGACGGGCAATGGCGATACTAGAAGAATGGACGGCCCTGGCCTTTACAATAGGGAAGACGATAAGAGTATACGAGTAGGGAAGAAAGAGCCCTGGAGGCAGAAGGAAAACGTGGCTCATCTGATCGATTGTGGCTGCTCTAGTCGTCTCCGTAGATAACTGTTACTGTTCCATTTTTTATTCCCATTATTAAATAAAAAATTCTCTCTCCTTCCTCAAAAAGCACGCGGCCGGCGCGACTGCTTAGTCATCGCTCGAACCTGCCCAATTCGTTCAGTGTAGTGGAACGACGTCACTGAGACCTTTGACGGGAGAAAATTTCCCGTCCCGTGAGAACTCTCCTCGCCCGGTCTGCCCACACACAACGCTCTTGTCGTCTTCGAAGCCCGGTCACGGATACGGAGGAATACGCAGACGCGTCCGCACGCCATGTCTGCGCCAGACGCGCCCGCACCGCCTGAAGTGCCCGCAGAAGCCAGCCAGTCGACCTCGCTGCTGGCCAAGCTCGATGCGTGGGGGTGTAAGTGCCGCGTTTCTGTTCTTTGTTTTTCGGTTGTCGGCCGTCTTCTGACGCTCTCCCGCTCCAGCCTCGGCCATGCCGTCGATGGGCCTCGCCACGCTTGTGGCTGCCCTGCACACGCGCCCTGTCCAGCCGCTGCCGCTGCTCTTTGCGCCCGCGCTGCTCTTTGCCGGCTACGTCAACGTGGCCGGCTATGCCGTCGATGCGGCCGGCATGAGCGCCGCCTGGAGCGGGCTGTACGTGCTCCTGTCGCTGCGGCGGGGCCGCGGTGGTGGCGGCGTCGGACCCGGCCTGATCGCCCGCGCCTGGACACCGTCCTCACAGCGCACGTCCACGCGCCGCCTGCAGACACCGGCTCGTCGTGCTGTCAGCGCCGTTGCCGTGGGCCTCGCATCCGTCAACTGTGTGGCCGGTACGGTCACATACAGCATCACGGGCGACCGGGCCGCTGAGGCCGAGGCGAGACGCGAACGCGACCGCTGGGGCGCTGAGAAACAATGAGCTGGCAGCTGTGAGCTGGCTATGGAGCTTCTCGCTCTCAAATCGTATGGTAGTGTCCAGGTAACAGAGGGACTCGACGGGGACATGGGATGGCAACTTTACGGAACAACCCAAAAAGCAGGCCTTGAGCCAAGACGGACTTGTACGATCGACAGAATACAAAGCCGAACACAATCGGCGACATATAATATATCAAATTAACAATATCAAGTATGCCTTGAATTATGTACTATATATCTGTACTCTGTAGATAACCCCCAATTTCAACGTAACGCCAGGGGTGATGCATCCATGCGGAAGAAACATGACGTGTCTAGTTTGCAGTCCAAATGAAATGGAAAAAAGAATGAAATAAGAGCACCCGATTGCTAATGTCTGTGCGTTTATCAGAGTGGAATGAACCAGGGGAAGACGTGCACGAAGGCGCAATACAGCTGTTCAAGCACCACCCAAGAAAGAAAGAAGAAAGCCAGTTGCACTCCAGTACCCCATTTCCCAGTCTCTACCAAGACTTCTCAGCTCTTGATAAGTCTCCCGTTTCTTGTACGTATAAAAAATACCGAGTACCCGTGTCCCGTAAACCCAGTTCCGAAAGTAAGAAAGAAAACAACAAGGAAAGAAATGATGTCTCTTGGCACGGTGTCCATTTGTGTCGGTCAATGCCGTCTGTGGTGCTGCTGCATCTTCGACCCGGAGATCATCCAGATGAACAGCACCGTCATGGAAACAAAAGCGGCACGAAGAAAGTGTGGCACGCGGAAGCCAACAGCAGCTGACTGGGCTGGGCCTTCGTCCACATGCAGTGTCTCGTCTGCGACCAGCGACGCAATGTGCGACAACTCAAAGGCACGCATGTACTTGACATCACAGTCACGCTCTTTGATGCCTGCGTATGTCCGGTACTCGTGCACGATCCGCTCGTTGTTCCAGCCGCAAATCTTGCGCACCACAGCCACAACGCATCCTGTCCGATGCTTTCCGTGATTGCAGTGAATCAGAAGCGGGTAGTTCTGACGGTTCAGCACCAGGCGGAGAATCGCCTCCATGGTCGAAAGAGGGATCTCCTCCTTCTTTGTGCCCTTCATGCCAAACACATGGTGCTGTATGTTGTTGGCACTCATAAACTTCTGATAGCCTTCCGTGAAATTCTTGTCCACCAGTGTGCTGTGTTTCTCGTTAGCGCCATGGCGCGTCAAGAATCTTTAGCCTGTTGGAAACAAGAAACACATACACAATCGTCTTCAGGCCCAGGCTCTTCAGATAAGCGTAATTCTCCGGCTGGGGATAGCTGCTCCGGTATAGGCCTGAGACAACCTGGCCAAAGTTGAGCGGTGCCCCAACAGCAATGTTCGCGCTCTGATGGGGAGACGTAATTTCTTGTATGTGTCAGCAGGTGTTGACAGGGGTAAGTAGGGGTCGAGGGGCGGGCTAATTACCTTCCGCAAGCAGACCTGAGTCCGCAGCGCTCAGAAAAGCTTCGGATGCGTTGGACGAGGCAGAGGAGTACGCCGACGATGAATAGCTGGCACCGCTGCTGCTCTTGCTGCTAGACAAGGACGTAGTGCGTTCCATCGTAGGCAGGTTCACGGCGATTGGCAGGTCGTCTAAAGCAGGACTGCTGCTGCTTGTGCATGTTCCGTTACTGGTGCCGTGGATGATGCTGTTGCTGACGTCCTTTTCTGGGAAGCTCTCCAGTAGGTTGGGAGTGCTGCCCTTACGAAGAGCCGCACTCTGTGTCTGGCAGAGCTGGATATCGCGCTCGTCAGCAGTAAGCTCCTCGGCCACGAAGGAGCGAGTATTCCGTTTAGTGACCATCTTCGCTGCCTTTTTCTTTCGAGCAACAGAGAAGCAAAGGTGCAGTCGGTTTTGAGATATGCCTTTAACGAGGCTGCAAAGGTGGGCTAGGAAACGGTGATGGCCGGTGGCATATACTGCCAAAAGGAGATCCAGGAAAAAGGTATCCTCAGGTAGATATAGCAGCCGGGGATGAGGGCAGCCGAGTACCAAACGATGTCGGGAAAGGAGTGTGTATAGCTGATTTTGTCTGCGTGTTGTGTTGTCGCTGATGGGGGTGATATTGGACGGTAGATGGCCGGCTTGCAATACAGGCGTTAAAGCGTGCCTTTGGGGGCCTGTGCAAGTAAGTCGAGCGACTGCCCACCTCTTATTAAAGAGGATTGCTCAACGACGCTGTGGGACAGATCATCTTGCCGATGTGTGCAGACGAAAAGTGGCAGGGAGGCTTTGTGGAGAAGGCGGAGTGTAATTTGAGAAGAGGACGAGAAATTCAAGGCGAAAGTAAAACGCTGAGATCGAAAGCTACTTCGTAGAAGTAGATGAAAGAGAAAGAAGGCCGAAGAGTGAGGGCAAAAAAAAGGTGGATTCCTTTTCTGGTGTGGGCTTAGGGGATTACTGGCGGCGGTCGGTGAGGAAAAGTGGAAGCAACAGGTGCTGATAAATAGTGTACAGGCAGTCAACAGTGCGCGAAAAGATGACCCAGAAAGGACGTCCAGCAGTGTACGAGTAAGGATTAATGAAACTATCTTAATACTTGTTCATTTATTTATGATGCATTGGCAGTGGGGGAAGGCCCCGGCCGCGAGGACAAATCTCATCCCGTAAGAGGAAAAGTGACATAAAAGTAAAAATAATACGGAGTACACACGACACAACTTGTCTATGCTCTATTCGTGAAAGACATCTTCAAAGAGAGGAAAGCGTGGATTCTTAGTGGGGAGATGGCCGTCATTCCACCATACAGAGGAATGAGGGCACAATACGAAGTACGGGGGACTCGTAGACTGTGGCCTAGGCGCATTCTGAAAGCAAGGCAAGAACGATCGGCCTTGGGCGAGTACCAGTACTGAAGTACTCCGTATTGGGCACCTCGTGACCACCTCAGCAGCCTAAGGAACCTAATTTGCCGCCCCCTTCCGAGTGCTTCAGTCACGCCATGGGTATAGACGGCACAATCCGACCGCTTATGTAATGCTCGCAGAGGCAAATAAGCTGTCAACAGGTAATTCAAAAAAGGAGGTTTTGTGCACCGTTGCGTTGTAAGACGTACGAGAAATATGGAAACCTTGTTTTCTCGTAAACCTCCAGGACGCGATAGCCGCCGCGTGCTCGAACCAGATCGGTGCCATTTCGGCAAGCTCTTGCACACCACTGTCTCGTATTAGGTCAGCCTGTACGGAGTATTAAATTCGAGCTCTTTGTAAACGCCGAGGCCGACGATTAGAGGTCCGATTTTACTGACAAGCTAACTGGCACCGACCATTTGATCAAAGCCTGCTTTCGCACCAGGTTCGCCTGCGAGCAAAGAGCAGGAGCAGGTTTTCGGTATGATAGTGTGGAACGGGTCAAGGAAGAGATGCATCAGACACACAATCGGTGGGGTAACATCTCTATTGGATCTAAAGAATGGATTTCGTCGAATGCAAGACCGATCCATTTTAGTCCAAATGTGCCTGAAAATAGGCATACCTCCGTGCGTCTACGCACGGTTCAGTTTCTGGTATTGGCGACAGCGGAACGGAGCGCAGCCTGCATGAGCGAAGGCCTTTTGAGTGTCAGGTCGAGCCGGAAAATGCATCCCTCTGACTGTGCACTCTCATCATCACGCAGTCTCCTGTGTTGAAATCAGGAGCAGTTATTGGTTTACCATCTTTTGCTGCTGCCTGGTGCTGTCATTGCTTCTACAACTTCAGTCCAGATTCGGCTCCAGACGTGGTGCCAGAACTAAGACAGATGTCGAGCCTTGGTCTAATTTTAGAGCTCCAAAGAAGCATACGTGCACTGTCATCGATGTCTGACTAGTGCCTAGATCTACAGGAGAGTGTAGGCAGCAGGTCTTGTTGCTGCAGTGTGACTTCTAGTCGTACTCGCATTATTGAGGTTGCCTGCTAGCGATGCGCAGCTGTCCGCTTTGTGTGAAACAAATGTCTTCAAACCCCTGGCCTGGCGAACGCTATACTGTGCTTACTATGGTGGTAAAAGTTGGCGACTGTTTTGCATGGTAGTAAATGTTGGAGAAGGAGCATTATCGAGGCTCACAAATGCGGTGAAATCGAGGCACTTGGCTCGATAGCATTTCTTGCGATGCTCATACTGTCTTGAACATAGAGTCCGTACATTGCTGCCTCCGCAAGCATTAAAGAAGATACCGATTGGCTCAATCAATGGCTCAGAGCGTGTCGAGGTCATTTTCCAGCCACCTCTTTACTCCAGGAAGCCATGGAAACGGGCACCGATGTATTCTGCGGAATTGTGCTGGTTTGCTGCATAAATCGGATGTTACACTCCCAAGACACGTTCCCCAAACGCGACCATTGCATAAACTGTGTTTTAAGTGACCAGAATACACAGCTGGGTCATCAACTTGTTGCGAATGTGAAGGTCGGGAATTCAGAGCTCTAGTTCGCCGGTGGTTCCCTCGTTGGTATCGACTGTCTTTGGGCGGATTGACGGGCAAAGAAATCGAGCGCGTATTGACACATCGCCGGGATGGTTTTGTGTTTTTCGGCAGTGAGCAACGGAGATATCGACCGAGATGAAATGCTACTGGTGGATGAAAGTAAGCGGTAAGGCAACGTCAGGGTTTATTTCAGGAAGAAGTTTGTCAACGGGAACGACTCGAGATACCGGCTGTTATTTTATTGTCTCGAGAATTGGCGACAGTCTCCCAAACGGGACATCATATTATGAAGAGGCCAATGTCCAATAAGGAAGTACCTCTCTGAACTGCCGTCCCGCTTTCCAAAAATTACAGTGATCACGGCCCAAGACTCGACAGAATAACAATGTTTAGTGGACTGGCTATGTATAAATAATATCCAACCAGGGCAGAGCATTCTGCATTGCCGGGCCCGATTCCAAGCACAGCAGTAATAGTGTTACAATGATTTCGCCAATGCATTATCATGCATCGTCGTCCTCTTAGTCGCTGCCACAACCCTCCTTTCGCCGATTTCTGGCTGGGGTTCCGTGCTTCGTTTCCAATCCCATACCAGGGTGTGTGTCTCCTGATTCTCCTCCCTCCTCCCTTTTCCAGTTCTGTAAGTACTGCCTTTCCTCTCCCCTCCTCATTACCGAAAGGCGTATGGTCTAGAGCGAAATGCCCAATTGCATTTCTGTGATACCTGGACACAGCACATTACCTCTTCTCTTCCCCCATCACCCCAAGACAGACAATATAACAGAAAATCGACAAAAAACAGCAATGCGGCAGCCGTCAAATCAGGACGTCGTAACGAATATTCCGGTGACTCATTCCAAAATCGACAATAGGAAATAAACAGCAACGCGCTAGGAACACCGCTACAGCCGCAACTCCTCCGCTATCACAGTGCCGACGACGCCGTTCCGCTGCGAGAACCGTGATTTGAGTATGCGGAACGACAGGTCTTCAGGATGCAACAATTACAACGTACATGGCCATAGTGAAAAAGGCAACATGACTTATTGCCATACAATCAGGAGGATGGCGCGACTCCCAGGAAATAAACGTATGAAAGATGTGGAAAATCACGAAAGCCGCCTGGAAAAAGAACACAGATATGAGGAACGCAAAAGCAAAATGGAAAACAATAGTGGTACATGAGATGTCTCCACCTCTGGGGGTATTGGTGAAAGGGTGAAGATATGGGGTACAGTGGAAAGCTTCTGTATGATGCGTCGGCTGATTAAACAGAATAGATGATAGACAACGAAAATGATGCAGAAGACAAGATTAGGAGAAGAGCTCGAGGTCGTTGCAAGACAGACCGCAATGAGCCCTACATCTGCTCGATGCGCGCACTCGGCATCTGTATGCCCGCGGTTTCGAATTCGATCTTGGCGTCGCCCCACGGATCATACACCGTCGAGCCGTAGGCCGAAAGCTGCGGCATCTGCGGCACCTCGACCGGCTGCTGATACGGCACCCCGTTGTACCACTGCTCCTCAACCACATGTGATTGCGGCTGCGAGTGTGTTATCTGCGGTTGTGGCATCTGCGATTGCGGCTGATGGTGCTGTACATATTGTTCGTGGGCGCCCGGCGCTGTCTGGGCAGCAGCATGATGTGCCTGGGTGCCTTGCTGTGGTCCCTGATGTGGCGGGTAGTGACCGAGCGTGGCCTGGTTCTCGATCGGTGACGCGGAATGCAGCGCATAGGTTGCTGCTTGTGTTGCCTGGTGTGTGTAGAAGCTGTCTTGGGTGGACGGGCTGCGACCAGCAGTAGAGTAGCTGCTAGGGCTACTCTGTATAGATGTAGCCAGGCCAGGCGTCGTCGAGTACGGGATGTCCATGGCCACACGCTCTAGCGACTGTCGTGGCATCTGGTGATACTGAGCCGTGAGGTGGGCATTCGGATTCATCGTCGCAACGCCCGGGTTATTCTGATCAGTCACATAATACGGATGTTGGGGCATGCTGCCCGTCCGGTGCAGAATCGTCATCCCGGCGTTGTGCGGCGCCATGGCTGTAGAGACAATGGCGACACCGGCAGCAGAAGCGTTGGCGGCATTTGGATGGTGCACTGGTTGCCCGTTGAAGTCGTTTGGCGCAGTCGAAATGCTGTGGCGATGGGCCGAGGCGTATGGTGCCATGTCGTAGTTAACGTGCTGGCCGAAGTCGGCAAAAGATGCCGCACGGTGGACGGCATGGCCCGGATGCTGCACCATAGGGCCAACGGCCAAGCCCTGCGGTGGCGACCAGTACATGGTATTGCTCTTGGGCGTCGATGGCGACTCATCGCTGCCAGATTCCGAGGTACAGTCGTCCAATTCAGACGAGTGGATGCCGCGCTGGTGCGATCGCCGTTGGTGCTTAACCATAGTCGTCTTGCGGCAGAAGCTGAGACAGTTAGAAAGAAAAGCAAACCGTGTCAGGGTGAGAAACTGCTTACCTCTTCAAGCAGCCATCGTGGGCACACTTGTACGGCCGCTTTCCGGTATGAATACGGCGGTGGCGAGCCAAACTCGACGACTGTAAAGTTGAGGTCAGCCACAGCGTTTCGAAAAGGGCATGTATAGCTGCGCAAAAATAGCGTTGGGGGCACAAACATCAGAGAAGCGCTTGTTGCATCCAGCATGCTGACACATGTGTGGTTTCTCCCCCGTGTGTGTGCGGATATGGACAGTCAGAGCACTGCGCTGGATGAAGCTTTTGCCGCAGCCAGGCGTGTTGCACTGGTAGGGCCGCTCATTGGTGTGAATGCGGTAATGCCTTTGCAAATCCGACTTGCGATTGAAGCTCTGCATGTTGTCAGCGGTGTTCACGGAAGATAGGTTGCACCTGGAAGTCAAGCGAGCTCACCTTGTTGCATGTTTGCCAGTCGCAGCGAAACGGGCGCGGTGCGGGATCGTGATCCACCAGCTCCATGAGTTCCATCTCTATGGTGATACTGTAAGATGGTTTGACGACGTTGAGAAATCGACTATCGACAGGCACGGAACGAGGCGTCAAAAGATGTGAGAAGTCGGTAATATGTATCGGGTTGTTTTATATATGCTGGAGCAAATATATGCGTATCAAGGGCGGGAAAAGATAGCCTGTCCTAGGTCGCTCTACAACCGGTGACAAGGATGCGAGAAGAGAATATTAAACCCTAGAAGAGCCGTCTGGAGAAGGGGGGTAGTATAGACGAAACACACTCGCTCGAAAATGGCGTGGAAGCTTGATCGACCTTTATGCGCTCGGAAAACTATGCAGATTATGGCGGGCTGCTCAGGACACTTTCCAGGCAATAAAGATGTCTAAAGTGACGGGAAGACCTTCGAGGAATCAGTTTGAAAGAACCAAAAGTGGCACACAAATAACAAAAGGCTTGGATGTGTCGTCCAGCACGTCCACTTCTCAAAATGACGTTTCGAGCTCGGCCAGAAAGTCACAATCGAGGAACAGGGGGTAATAAATAATTAAGAAAGAGAAGCAGGGCGTGTGTGAATGTAAGAATGTAGGGGAGCACCGTGCCAGATGAGGCAACGCAAGGGTATGTGCTGTGTTCAAGCGTGTCGTAAGACTTGTGTGAACACACGGCGACAGTGAGGCTCAAGTATGCCGGCTATATCAACAAGGTGGAAAGATAAAGCCGACAGCAGACAGAACGGCAGGAGGGTAGCAACAGGGAAGATATATCAGAGAGGGGAATAAGCAAACTCCATGGGATGGTGGAAATGGGAGAGAGGAGTGAGAGGTAGTCTCTTTATGAATACACCAAGTCGGGTGGGAAGGAACAGTCCGGTAACGACTGTTGGTGTGAAGATTGAAGGATACTTAAAAGAGAGAACAGAGCGAAGAGAAGAGAGGGCCGGGAAGGACAAGAAAAGCTACTTACCAAAGAACACAATGACCAGGGGGGTTGCTCTAGGCTAGGTCGTACGCACAGGCACGCTTTTTACTCCCACGAGGTTTTCAGGCTAACGATCAAAAGCCGTTAGGTGGTTGCGACAGGCTGACTAGGCCAGGGACGCCTCGCTAACGGCTGCTGTACGTGGTATAAGTTTGAAGGGGTAAGCGCCAGTTGTGGGCCTCTTTCGGAGAGTTGCTCGTGTTGGTGGATGGTTTGGTCGAGGTGCTGCAGGCCTGGTTGGTCGGTTGATTCCTTGTTTCGAATTACTCGTAGAGACCCTCCGTTTTCTTTTTTCCCTCTTATTTTCGTCCTTTGCCCTTTTCAGAAGACCGTTTCGCTATATTACAACCTACACAATAGCATGCGGAAGCGGTTGTGGATTCGGCCAGATTTGAATGCGCCCACTGGTTGTTTTTTGTTTTTGAAACCTTGCAGTTTGAAGCCAGTGAATGTTTACCGAAAACGCGTCGAGTGATGTGTGATTGTCGTAACGCAGGTATAAGATCGCAATGAAAATTGGGCCTTGACGGGAAAAAGGTCAGTTGTCGTCGCTTTTTCCTGGATGTCCGTAGCCAAGCTGGATGGTAGAGCATTAGAAGAATTCAGGGGGGGGGGACAAAGACAAAGGCAGGGGGCGTGGGTGGACAAGCAAGACATATATACGGACAAGCATTCGATTTGCGCGATCTGCCTCGAGAGAACAAGAACGAGATCAGATGCAGGAACAGGAGCAGGAAACAAAGACCCAGGAAGAGAAGGGGGACGAGGTAAAGGGCGAGTATTGGTAGGTGAGAAGCAGGGACAGTAAAGGTGCCGGTGATGCAAAGAGATATGCAGAGAGACATGCAGACGGTGCAGCTGGAGATTATGGGTCGCAACGAACTCACCTGAGAGGGTAGTAGGCGTTATTTGGCTGATTTAGTCTCGCCGTTTGGCTGGTTCTCACAAGCTTGCAATTGTGCTTCTGCTGGTTGTGGTGGAGAAGGGTCGGAAAAAGAGCTAAACTGAAAAGAATGCTCGGGCAGTCTGCCGCGTGGAAAAGTCGAAACGAAGGAGCTCTTGCGTTTTGGCGTTCTGCATTTAACATGCACCTCGTCGCAGTGGATGGCCGTTAGGGTCCTCTCCAAAATAGCCAATCGGTTTGTGAATAGGTGGAGCCAGCTAATAGGCCAATTCTCGTCAATGTTGACAAGAGGGACCTCCCTCCGAGATGCCTGAATGCTGGCTGAGCGTGTTGTGGAGCAGCGATATGAAGCTTGTCGTTGGGCGCGCAACAACTGACCAGGAGCTTATCGAAAAGTGCCCAAACAATGCAAGAGAAGGTGAATGCAAGAGAAGATATATGCTAGTGCAAAATGAAAGGACAGAAATGCGGAGGACGACCAGGACGACCGGCAGGTGTAGAAGAAGCACGACAGTGAGAAGAAGCTGAGCCAGATGTAGAGAGGGCTAGAAAGGAAGAACGGGCTCGATATATATTTGCACACGAATCAGATTAACGAACGCAAAGCTAAGACTGGTTACCAGGGTATACCCGGGAGAGGCGAAGAAAGGAGAGAGAATATGGGGTTTTAGGCGGCAATCTTGGTCGAATGTCAAGAGGTCGAGACACAGGAGGACAATATGTACCGATTCGTACGGGCGTTACGATACATGACAGATGAGAAGACAGGAACAGCTAGGATGTAAACGAATGCACCATAACTTTAGGGTGAATAGAGAAGAGAGTACGAGGTTATAGATATCCACTGCGGTCAGTCCTGGTCATGGCCTCTGGCCAGGGGTGGCCGTTGAAGAGAGAAATCGGCTAGTGAAGCTACCCCTCGACCCTGTACTGAACAGGCGGAGGAAGACGCAGCAGGCAGTGACGAGGGATAGAGACCACCCGCAGGGGTGGTAGCGCAGGTACCGAAGAGGGTGACATGGGAGAGGGAAATATACTCCGCGAGACAGTGAAAGGGTATGGGTATGGATACTCGTCGAGAGAGTGAGAGGGACAAGCCGGCGGGCCCTGCCCGCCTTTCTGTTTATTATTCCTCTTTTCAATTTATCGTTTTTATGTATTAATCGTTTTGGTAGCATCGTATTTTCCTCGTGGTATCTGAATGTGGTATGTAAGGCAGGGGTGGGCGGAAAGGGAGAGTCGGGGGAGAGTCGGGTAAGGTGCGAGAAGGCTAGCCGTCCGAAAAGAGAACAGCGTCGTGGGCTAGAGAAGGGGAGCAGCCCCCCTGCTCCTTTTTCATGGTCGAGAGAAGATACTCGTACACCCTTCCCCGACCAATATGTCATAAATGGCAATCTGATGGAGCTTCCGGGGCCTGCAGCAACCGCATGGTCTCCGTGTGCGCACCCTACCCTTGGCGAGTGAGAGAAAGAGAATGACGGGTATTTGAGGCGGACCACACATCCCGGTAAAAGCCAGCGCAAAGAAAGAAAAAAAAAAACGTCGAGACTGGGGCTTTGAGATCTCACCCCCCTTGTCCAAACCACATCCCTGTCACCACCGTCTCCATTTATCGTTGACAGAAGCGATCCTGGCAAACCGTGTTTACGCTGCTCTCGAGCGAGTCTTGACGGCCATTTCGTCTTTTCTCCCCTCCCTCTCCCTGTCGCTCTCTCTGTGCGTTTTCGTGTCTGTCTGATTGCTCCTTTCTCGTTGTCATGCAAGCATATTAAAAACCAGGACTGCTGGGGACGCCACTAAATGAACATACGAGCAGACCGGCTATGCCGTCCGTGGAGCTACGCGCTCGTCATGTCTGATCGCGATGATGTCGACTTTGCTGCTGCACATGTGGTCGTTCTCAGGTCCGGCGCAAAAAATGCGGGTGGAATGACAAAAGTGAAGGACCGCGGAGCACACAATATCGTGCAACGACGTCCTACATGTCTGCTTTGCTCTTTCTAAATTTGGCAGTTTGGGAGCTTTTCCCCGTCCTTAGTCGAATGAATGGCCGTGATTGGCAGTTGCGGCCGAGCCATAAATTATCTTAGGCTGACTAACTGAGGGGTGAGCCCGACCTGGACACGCCATAAAATCTACGAGGCGGCGTACTCGTATACACAATTGCTTGATTTGCTTTGCACAGACCGTCTTTGTATATGGCTGAGAGGAGAAGACGGAGAGGACAATAGAATGGCCAAGACAGCTTACACGAAAGAGAAGCAGCGATGTGCGGCGAAACGGAGGAACCGGCGGTAAGAAACTCAAAAGGCGGGCTGCAGGCTGCAAGAAAACGAGACAAGAGGGGTGCAGATCCCCTCGCCAAAGTATCTTAAGATGCATGCTCACATGCTCATACGTAGTAGCATGCAAGAGTCGGTCTATTATGTGCGGAGTATGTATCTTGGCCGGCGAACGCGGGTTGGCGAACGAGACGGCAGGGGTGAACAGAGGTGAGAGGTGAGGAAAATAGGGCAGCAGCCATCCTAATTGACAACCAAGAGAACCAACAGAAGCCCGGAAAGGAAGGGGGGCGTGTGAGAATGCGGCTGGTCACGATGCAGGCAGCTGCTTCGCCGGTGCAACGACAGAGTGGCTGACCAACTGGCAGACCTGGACTGCAGACCAATGGTGAGTCGGGCACGTAGAAGCGACCAAATGGAAATTGAAAGTCAGTCGGCCTGAATTGCAGCAAGACATCATCCTTGGCTATGCTGCAGACTGCAGATATACAATGTATGACGGGAACATCTGTCAACGGTTTGATGCAAAAGTGGAACACGAACTACGAGAGAGACTACAAGGGTCCGGTACATAGTAATAAAAATAAAAATAAAATAAAGAAAGCAAAAAAGCCACGCCTAGACACTTTCAGGACCATCATGGCTGAATGACAGCCTAGACACGCTGTGGGCTGATTGAAGTTGCCGAGAACCCGTGAACAGGCAACGAGCGGCCAACATCCTCACTCTTTCCCCTCGACTTTTTCGACATTTCCCTTTGTCTGGCTTCTTAGCCGTCGTGACCTTCATGCCCAAAACGGTAGGTAGACAACAGCAGTTAGAGCGAACCAAGACGAACCGGAGAAAGAAAAACAACGAAAACAATAGATGCGACGCCAACGTCGCATGCGCGTGAGAGCAAAATAACGAAACAGCAACAGGCGAGAACACGGTCCAGGGCTTGGAAAGTCACGTTGCAATTTCGGGGTTTCCAACTCGTACTATGTGGTGTCTATGGTGGGGGGACAGACGAAGCCAGGCTGGGGCGAGGCGTTGATACCGAGACGTTCAAATACAGGCAGAGCTGTGCGCTCACGATGATTTTCTGGGCGACTAATTTTACGAGTGGACACAGCAATACATGCTAAGTCTGAAAGGAGTCGAAATCGGGCGACAGCCTAGTCACCTTCGCAGCAATTGCTCGTCCATCCCAGACTAGGCAGCAAGTACATGATACGATGGTGATTATGAGGAGGATGAGAAGAATTGCAGCCATTCCCCTGCAGCAGCCAGAATAACAAAGCTACCCCAACCCTCCCAAGATCGAACAGGTTCCTGCCGTCAACCCCTGATCCCGGACGGTTCACAAGACGCAAAGTGCACGAAAGGATACATCATATCAGTGTTTCGCCCCCCTCGAGCCCAAGAAGATCAGCCCCTCCTCCCTTTGCTGGTTTCAAACACCGGCGCCCGCAGCCGTCACCGACCGGCCGACGGCACCCTAATAAGCAAGTCATACCGGGCGCTGGAACTACGCCACCTGGCTGGTAGCTCGCAAAAAGCCTCGCCCATTGTTACCGTAGCTCTGCAAGCTTGCATTCTATTAGCAAAGCACGGAAGAGCCGGCCACTGCTCATACCCTCCGTGTTCTCTCGTCATTGCCATTATCCGTCTCTCTCTGGACCAATCCCAATACTCCGTAGACGTGCATCCAGCTATTTTAGACGGAGTCGCCGAATTTATTGCGTAAGATACGCAATATGCCGAGAACGATGCACAATATGGTAACCTACGGGAAAGGTGGGGGCCAGATTAAATCAGCGTTCAAGTGCGATACGGAGAAAGATACGCCATTTTAGGACACGATGTGCTATGCGCTGCATGCTGGAGACTGTCTGTAAAATGAGTTATCCGTAAGTCAAAGTCAACGCATGCTTGCCTACGGAGCACGAATGCATTGCCTGAAGGAGCAGATCGGAGAGCCCGCGCTCCTTTCCATCCTGGTTGCCCCTCTTTATTTTAGGGGAGAGAAATTTCGCATTTACGAGCATTATGTATTTCTCCGTACTTTCAAGTATACGGAGTACGGAAACATAAAAGAGCAGAATCGGCCGGGAAACTCAACGAACAGGAAACCAGATCGCCGCCTCAGATGCGTCGCCGTCAATACGACGTAAATTAATGCCAGATAGCGGTATACGAGGGTCTATAGACCGCGGCAGGCAAGCTGCTGCATGGAGCCTCTTATCGCGAAGTGACTACACCGCAAAGGCAACCCCAATGCTCCGTACTGAAACTGAAAGGGGACCAGAAAAGCCGGCCGTCTAATTTAGCTCGTGGCACTATCGCCCTTTGCCTTCCATCATCACCCGTGTCTTGGACCAAACAGTCTGAGGCTTTCCGGTAGAAGACATGGGGACCTCGGAAAGCATATTGACCCGGACAGCGAGGAACGGAGCCGTCTTTCTTTTCTGGCCACTATATCGGACACTACTATTGATTGCCGACCTTGCTAGGAGACTGTGAACGGAATGGGCGCGGAAGCTGTCCGCATGCTTAGCCTATCTTACATACACATACTCCGTACAACAAGCCAAAAGACCACAAAGAATGCCGCTATTGCCCGCTTTCCTGCCTCTCGCCCTCTGTAGCCGTGCCTTGTCTGTTTTTGTACAGGGCCGAGCACTAAGGCTGAAAGCAGGATAGCTGCTATTGACGGCATGACGAAAGAAAAGCAGCAAATTAAAAGCTCTGCTCCGTACAGATCCCCGGAAAGCTAGATACCAACAGACAGCCAGCCTGAGGCCAGATCTACAGTGCCATCACTCTCCATAAAATGTCGTGAGCCCGTGGAGATTTGGTGGAGATCCGTTGAGTGGAAAAAATCATTGTCAAACAAGATACTGCTTGCAAGCTCCGGTCCTTCTCACGGGTGTGGTGCTTTTTAGCTTGCAGCTTCTGCTGGATTATCCGATCAAATGACCTTGCGTTCCTATCTTACGGAATGCATAACAGTCGTGTTTCTTATCTCGCGCCAACCTGTTCCATAATCGTGCGTCTGTTCTCAGGAGCCGGGACAGCCCTTGGATCGCTGCCGAGCTCCTTTCCCTGTCGACTGCAAATCATTTTCTCTTAGCACTGCACCGGGCTCTATTTTGCTAGATCGTGTCTTTTACTACAGGTACTCCTTTTGGAGCCTGACAAATCGCCCTCTCCCTAAAAATTAGGGGAGAAAAAGGGGGAGAAAAAAGACATCGCGCAAACAAAGGTCCAGCCTCCTGGGCATATTTTCGCCGGTCGGCTGTCAAGCTCATTCGCAACCGACCCCTTGCTTAGCCGTGCTCGTGGCTCTTAGAGACAGGCTGTCAGTGCCGACCCACAATAGGTCGGCTCTTTTGAAAAAGACATTAGTCGAACTATAACACGCACTAATAGGCGAGAACCATCACCTGTGAGGATGCCAAGCACGCTAAACTTGGCGTCGCAATTCCTAAGCTTTTCTTGCCACTACGCCGCATGGTTGTGATATCTTACACGTACTAAGGAACGCTTTTATTATCATATTTTATATAGCTTCTTAGAGCTCTGTAGTCAGCATTACGTTAAGACTTGACTGGCTTTGCAGTCGCTCATCTCGGTATTTAATGACTTTTGGCAATACGAAGCAGCGCGCTCGTTGCTGAACTGGCTGGCGATCTCTCAGTTTCAGCAGGAGTGCAATCGCTGAGGCGACCGAGCTGAGTTAGTGCTTAGTGCTCTTATCGCCACAATTATGTCTCCCATTGCGGCCGAATAAAAGTATCTTACGACGTATACCAGCGTATCACTGCCGATCGTGATAAAACAAACCACAAAATTCGGGGCGCTGAAATGGCGATAAAAACAGGTTCCCTAGACTTGACGCGTCTAAATGCGGCAAGGCTTAAGTTGATGTGTTCAAAACTGTTGGGGTGTCTCGTGATCACGAATCCTACTCTCAAAAAGGGGAGTCTGAGTAAGGATGGTCCAAAAGTCTTCCCAATAGAGACAAGTGAAGGTGATGGCTTGCATGCAGAGCGCGCATCCCTATACATACGGAGTAGAGCGAGCCCATATGCTGCCACATTAGTCCGTACGCCGTATCTTACTACGACGTATGTAGACGGTGAATGCGCGGAGTCCACACAAAGTCCACATGACACTGATCATGGGGGTTTCTTGTTTTGCAGCTGCACAGATAATGAGCTGAGAGCACGTGTGAAGCAGTATCTTACGATATGTACTCCGTGCTGCCTTGGACCTGCAGAGGCTAAACAGTTGCAGGCGGCAAAATGGAAAAGGGTGGGGGTAATGTGAATTTCAGCTTTACGGAGTACTAAGATACATACTATGTAGTAGACGTCTGCCGTAGAGGAAGCCAATGGCTGTCGACATGCAAGGGCGGGAAAACACGGCTGCAAAAGGAGCACCTATGAAGATAAGCAGGCTGGGGTAGGGGTTGTTATCGTGGGGAAATCTTGGCTTTGGCTTGTTCCTCCCTCCTTTCCTTAGCAATCAGTTCTCATAATCGGGACTGCAAATCCCCCAAATTCAAAATGAAGAGGAAAAACAATTCAGAGAAAAAGCCGGCGGGACGGCTCTGGCCGCACTGGAAAAGCCCCACTAATTGGAAAATTTGGACCTACGACGTGTCTTATGCAGGATTAGTGAGTGAACAAGGACAATCCGCATGAATCCCGACCCCCTTTGATTTTCATAGTAAAGTGCTCACCGCCTCGCCTGTTCCCTGCTACGACGTATAGAGGACCTGTTAACACTCTGGAGTGACCTGCGAAGTTCTCCATAGCGCTCCGAACATGACCGACGGAGCCGGTATACGGGCCTTGATTGTACTCCCATATCCCGCAATCTCCCGACATGCTCCTTTACGCAACGGAAACTACTTTGTACTGTTTGCAAGCCAACTGCCTGTCAATGGCAACTGCCCACCCCAGAAGCTCATCCGCTACAGCCGAGGCGGCGGTAAGGACGAGGAGATATGTGTACTCCGTACTCCGTACTCCGTAGTTACTTATTCTAGGTAGTATTCCAGGGCGGGCTATTAGCGTGGACGGCAGACATCGCAGATGGATGCTTGTCTTGTCGGCATCATTTGGTGCTTGCTGATAAGGAAGCAAACACCGAGACAGATATCTTACATAGCCTTTGCCGGCAGAGAGTCCGTGCATCGAGAAGATACACACGATCAGTACTCCGTTACGTGTACACAGACGTGTGCAAGGACGGCAATGCCGCACAGCAGTCAACAGACAGGGAGCAAGGCAGTAACGAAAGGCTGCCGCCTGCGAGGATCCTTCTGAAGTGAGGCCGCAACGCAGCCCACTCTCTGCTAGCCACAGGAGTGGCATCCTATTCGACCGCTGGCGGCTTCAGACGTGCGGCCACTTACGTCTGCAGGGGGATCCCATCATGCATGCGTGCGTCCTCTCCAATAAGGGCTGTACGGAGTGCGGAGGATGGAAATAGACTAGAGCGTGCTGTAGCGCCATGGTGAAGAGAGCGTATCTTAAGATACGTCACGGTTTCCGATAGAAGCCGAGTGCCCACCAAGGCGTCTTTGACAGCGAAATGAAAAGGATGGACGAGAAAAATGCGAGTGGGATACGGAGTACTGCAGCGGGATCTCCGGAGACAGGCATCGAAAATGGCTAGCAGCTGGCCCACTCCTTCCATTTTGGCTTCGAGAACTATTATAGAAGAATCCTTCGAGCTGCTGTTTCTCGTGATACTGAGCTCCAGTCCACTTTCCGGCCCCGTTCGCTTCCCTAAGCCTCATCTGGCCTTCTGTCTCGACTCGCATAGTGGCACTATGGACTAAAGAAAAGAGAAGCGTTGCTCGATGAAGAGCTGAGAGACTCGGCCAATCTAGACGGACCCACATGGGGGCGATTGACCCTTGGGTACATATGTACTCGTACGAAGTATCACGTAGTATGCGAGCTACGGCCGACTATCTCGAACCTGTCGAGTACCTCGTGCGATGGAGAGTTAGACGCGTTCTACTCACCGTCCGTCCGTGGACGGCCGAACGAGTGAAAGGCGATAGCACCGGTCCAGCAAGTCAATCTGCCAACGTTCCTGCGGCGGGCCGTGTGTTCTCTCGATTGTCTGCTCCGTACTCCGTACTTTGTATCAGGCCTGCAAAGCACTGACGCATCAGCTCCTGCATGAACAAGCCTCAGGTCTGCTGTGCCTCTCTGTGCGTGTGTTTCTCTTAGTGCAGCAAAGTGTCCCCACTGGCTGGCAGCCAAGAATCAGTTGCGCATGAAACTTATCGCAGACCGGACAGGTAGACATCTTACGAGTGGCGCAATGCTGTCCCGCTCGGACGTGGACGATCATGAAAAGTTTGGCACCCGCTCTGTAGTAGAGCGCACCGGTAGAGTGTTTACTCTGTATCTTGCCTGCAAGCACACCAGCCGTCCACTTCACTGCAATCTGCACTGGCCCAGCCGCAGTAGCCGCAGCAAACTGTGCTAGGATAACCCCTACTGAGCATATGGTCCGGCTGCTTGGCAAAACAGCACGTACTATGTGTCTTACATATTAGTATCTTACCTAAAAGGATGTACATGCGAATAGCAATGAAGATAGAGCGACCTAGACCTTGTTATAGACCTTGCGATTAGCCACAAAGGCATCCAAGCTTCCCATAGCGGCTTTCCGACAATCTTAGTCAGGAGACGGCGACACTGCCTATTTGGGCCATGTACCGCATCCACGAATCATGTGCTCACAAGCCATATACTGCGTATTGCGTATTGCGAGAGCTGAGTTCTCCACACGCGGAAAGTGCTTGCAGGACTTTGCTGGATTTTTGGTCTATCAGAAGCTCGGCGTCGCCAAATCGGACACTCTTTTGCATATTATTCGTCATATGGCATGCGACATATTCTCCGTATGCACAAGGAAGATCTGAAACGGGGCCGAAACTGACGCTATTGGCGCCAGTGCACGCCCATAGTGCCCCTAAGTGTATGAATCTTACGTCTTGATCTGTGTATTTTTTTTTTTGCTGTCGCTGCAACAGTACGAATATGGCGTCGTCTGCCCAGACTTACCTGAAAAGGGCGTATGCAGGCATGATTGGCATGGGTATGTTGTCCCATGTGACTACAGAGTCTATATCGCATATTTTAGAAAATAGGAGTGTGTAGGGTGAGCATAGGCGAGAACGGGCGCGCATGAAAATCATCTCGGCAACGCATCACAGACCAGGTGTTCGTTATCCCACGCAAAACACTTCAGGCCAACCACTGGTTCGGTCTAGGGAAGATTGCGGACAGCAGAGGAAGGTATGAAGAAAAAGCGGGAAGCGGATGGCAAGTTGAAAAGAAGGCAAAGAATTGTCAAAGTGCAGGAGACGAAAGGAACGAGGCACTAGCTAATACGGAGTAAATGAGAAGGGATAGTGAAAGGCGGAAAAAAGCCAAACATGGCGTATATCGCCCCCTCTTTCCAAAACGTGGCATATTCTCCGGCTGACAGGATGGGACTAACGAACAGCGAATGATGATATGTGCCAGACAGTTCTAGCGCAAACGTGCAGAGTCTCTGTACGAGTAAGCATTGCGCCTCTTGCTTGCAAGATACTGCGTCGCAGCATCGCTCCTTCCGCCTCATCCCCCATTTGCTTCCTCTTTTGGCATTTTCATGTGATTCCACGCGATGGAGGATGGGGTGGACCCGGTCGCCCCTTCCTGGAACGCTGCAGGAGATGTGACATCACAGGACTTAAACTTGCTCGCCCACAGTCGACTGTTTGTGCGTACGAGTATTAGATCCAAGTCCGGAAGGCACTCAGAGACACGGTACTATGTAAGATAGCTCATTGGAGCAGTGCAAAACAAGACTTGGGCCATCCCCTGCTAGGAGGAGGGACTCTGCAACCCTGACGCTTTGACTTTCATCGTGGTTCCTTTCTCATCTCCTGTGTCCTGAGCTTTTTATAGCCTGATTGCGCACACTTCGAACCCTGCTTGCAGAGAGACGCTAATGTATGAACAGGGTGTCTTCTCGTACTCCGTACGTGGTACAGTTGCCCCCCTCCAAATGCAGGTACGAGAAAGTGATGCAAAAACCTTTCGACATTATGATCGTGGTCACTGTCCCGCCCACTCTCCTCGCGAGAGACAGGGGAAATTGAGAGCCAAGCTTGAAGCTTTGCTCTGATCGTCGCCACAGCCCTGTATCGACCACCTAAGTTCTGTCGATCACAGGCCGCCGGGAGACGACCGGGATAAGGAAAGACGAAACACTAAGTAACGGAGCCTGCGGCGAGCGAGACTGTTCTCAACTCTGCACCGTTTGGCTGGCTACGAGCACGTCCGTAGAAGGGAGGGGGGCACCCGGGGAGGGTTATGTTTGCTGCAGCTGGCCGAAGCAGGAAAAGCGTCGGGATCTTGACGTATTCCGCACGGCCGTGCAGCGACGGTGAGAAAAAAGAAAGCAGTGAGCGAGCAGGCCTGCCGACGGACCCACAGCACCAATGGCCGGAGAGGGGAGAGGGGTTACAAGATGCTACGGAGCAGAGACGTTGACGTGCTGTCGTACCTCCGTGCAGCCCAAGTCCGCCTCCGTCCTCTCTCGCTCTCATTCTTCCACCTGCTGGCGCCCCATCACACCGCCAGAGGACGGCAACTGCATGTCCGCTCCCAACGAATCTTACAACATACGGTGTGCTTCTGAGAGACGCTGTCGGCCTCCTGGCAAGCCGTCTGGGCCCTGAAGATGGCTGGCTACATACGCGATCAGGCTTCCACGACAGTACCCTACCCCGCTCGCAATGCGTGACGATGTCCTGTGCTTCACTGCCCGGATCAAGAGGGGGAGAAGAGAGGAGGAGAAGGAGAGAGAGATATAGCGAGGGAGGGGCCATCTGCTCTGTGCGCAACCAGAGTCTGGATGAGTTTGGCGCCCTCCATCTGCCGCTATGTTTGATGGCCCCTTGTCCCTGTCGATTGTCTGAGGGCTGCCTGTCTTCGGGGGCGTGCTCTCTGTTGGTCCCGGCCGACGTCGCACTGGGATGAGCGCTCTGCGATATACAGCAGGAAACGCGGCGGGCAGTTGTTGATGTGTCTTGAAAAACGTGATTGTGGCCACCCACCGGCGAGAAGCGCCATCCGGCCACGGCGGCTGCAGCGTTTCGTAGAGCACCGCGTTTGAGTGCCAGTGTGAGTACTTCGTACTCTGTCTGGGTTACGAGCATGGAACTGGCGCACGCCGCAGGCCTAAGAGACGACCAAAATAAACACATGAGCTAACTCACAAGGGAAGAAAAAGGTTAAACCTTCCACTATGTACGGCGCCCTCTTCAGCTGTCGTCCCTCGGCCATCCACCGTTCCTGAAATGCCGCAGATCTACTGGGCCCTGGCTAGTGCTGGTGCGTGAGACGGTGGGATATGAGAGGGGAATCAGGCCATTGGCCCGTTCTGGTGCCAACTCCCTGCCCCTTTAGCACTCCCTTGGATGGAAATTGACAGCGGGGCAGCGGACGAGAGGATCCAATGGGCAGCGAGACGGCGGGTATTTTGGAGCGGCGTCTGCAAGGATAGCTCGTATCGTGTCTACATGGTGAGTATACTATGTACGACGTACGCCTTGCCTTACTGTGTTCTCTGGCGCGTTCTGCGCTCTGTATCAAATCCCCCGTCTTTCCCCCTCTATCTCTGGATGCCCGTCTAACCATGTATGCAGCATTCTTATCTTTCCGTCTCTATCTCGCTCACTCGCTCGCGCTCTCTCCTTCTGCACGTCGCTCTAGCACCAGAATGTGGAGTATCAAAACCGGGATACTGGAGATTGGCAGACCAGAGGCACCCCTGTCGTCCACGAGGATGTGATGTGTGTGCTGGAGACGTCTGGCCATTGGGTGAGTAAAACATGCCCTTGCCCGACCGTCCAACAGAGAATAGACCTGCCACTGCTACGTCGTACGTCGTACATACCCAGCCCCCCCAGAAACAGCCTGTGCCCTCCCGTCATGTCACGGGGGCTCGCCGGCAGACAAAATCGCCGATTGGTCGGCGGCTGCTGTGATGTAGCAGTGGCTTCCTGCACCTGGAGATGAAGCATCGTGACATCAGGCCGTTCTTCTCCGCAGCTGACCGCCGATTGCTGAAGGCCGATTTTTGCGTACAGCAGCAGGAAACGGCCCTGACGGCCCTGAACAAAGAAATGCCGGTTTCGCTTCAGCCAAGCAGGCGCGCTCTAACAGAGAAGATGGCGCCTTTCAGCTCGTCTCGTGCCTCTTAGACGGCTTGTTCCCTGTCCGGTCCAGCGGCTCTCTCACTCCACTGTGGTCCGTACGAGCGCTCCGTACTCCGTACAGCTTCGTTTTTCCTCTTTCTTCGGGGGTCAGGGCTTTTCAAATGCCGGCTTAGCCCGGAAGTCAGGTAGCAATGATGGACAGCGACCGCAACAGGCGTACTGTGTATGGAGATGGCTGGCCAAGGTCTGCCGGCCGACCAACTAATTTCCGAGTACGAGTTGTACGAGTATGGCGCAAAAAAGCAGCGGACAGGCCAGGCGCACAGGCCAGAAAGAGGGTAGAGCTCCTCACAATGAATTACAGAACCCACATAAACAGGAAGCCAGACGGCCGAAGCAGAAAGCCGGCGGAGAAAGCTGCTCACACCTGTTGGAAAGGACGGGCGACAAGTGCTGGACAAAGCCGCTCTGTCGGAGCAGACGAGTGACAAGGCTGGACAGGCAGACCAGCCGGACGGGTGCCTAGCAAGGCGTCTCGGCGAGTCGGGCAGCGCTGAGCTGCGCGAACAGACCCTGATGATCGGCGGCTGCGTCGTTTTGCGGGCGATGGGCATGGACTGAGGAAGCCAGCGAGACGCAGGCGGTTTAGCGCAAAACCTCGCTCCTTGCGTGCAAGATACGGAGTGCGGATTACAGGCGAATGTGGGGGTGTATCGTGCTTGAGGCTACGGTACGGCGCCACAGATATGTAAGATAGATACTATGTATGTACAGTATCTTACACATTCTCGTACTCGGACGGAGCAGATAATGATGGTCCGGTGCATGCATCCGGCGGCCGGTGAACGGTAGTGTCTCCACAACGAGGACGCTCGTGGCCGGAGATGCGGAAATGCATCTTTCTCGGCGCTATGTACAGTATCTGTTCCTGGAAGAGATATGCATACTTCGTACGCGCAGAGAGCGGCCGATCATGAGAGGCTCTTGCCAGCCCGAGACCAGTCGGCAGTTCAGGGATCGCCCAACCCAATACAAAGTTTTACGAAGTATTTGGGAAGCGGTCCCGTCGGAGGTCTTCGTACGGCCAGATTGATCGTCGTGATCCTTCTTGTCGCTGATCTCGCGCATGTTGACCCCCATTCCCCCTCGGGTTCTATCTTACTACATTGTATGCATCAATTCCTTGGCCTTGTTCTCTGCTCACCTTCCGCATTTTCTCTACTTAGTCATACGTCCCTGTCCAACACCGGGCCGTCTTCCGGTTGGCGTTCGGGAAAAGCCCTATTTCGCGTGAAACAGCTATGACCAGGCCATCTTGTCCTTTCACCACTTGTACGGAGTACAAACTATACTATATGCTGTCACTTATCTGTTTTTCTATCAGCCGTGTCTGATTTCCCCGCACACGTACCAGACTTTGGCCCGTACTAACACCAGAGCACGACTTCTGAGATAAGCCAGACAGGAAGGGGTGGGGGGTAAAGAGGAAAATCACTACTATGTACGACGTAGAGTCCAAAAGTCTGATACCAAGCTGTGATGGGAACGGATAGACGGGGCCCTTTGCTCGTATCCAATGCAGGGGGGGCTATTTTTTGGGTTTGGAACTGAAAGATGCCGGCATGAGCTGCGCCTTAGTGCCTCGCAAGTCTACGCAAAAGGAAATATATCGCGCCTTCTGCACAGTCCAAGCACGACTAAGCCGGCGTCCGTTTTTCTGCAACCCAGCCGTTCGACTAATTCACACAGCCCCTGCCAGCCTGAGTGTGTGTGTCAGACTGGAGGAGGGGCTACCCGTGTTTTCGTTCGGAACCCGGCCAACCTTTTCACTTCCCCCCATTGGAGCATAGTGTTGGCCTGGCTTTAGTTGGTTTCCAGAAGAGGTAAGCATAACAATGTACGGAGACCCGACAAGCCAAATGGGCGAGCGCATTGTGCTTGGACGCGCAGGAACGAGGAGCTGCCAGCGGCTGTGTGGCGGTAAACCTGCATGAGCGCCGTGTTGCTTGAATGCCCTTTTGGTCTTCGGTCAGGCCTCAAGGCATATGCTCGAAAATGGCTCGTCCATCTGGCGCTCGGGGTGTGATACGGCGCGTGGGATGGCTTCGTAAGAGCGGCTGTGGCAGCGTGATACGAGGAGGAAAAAAGACTGAAACGGCCGATGACGAAAAAAAAGGAAAAACAACAGGACAAAAAAACAGTGTGCATCCTTTTCGCGTGGTAACGCTTCGGAACTGCTCCCGACTTCTCGTGTCTGCTATGCAGTGTCCGAATGGCCGACCGCGTACGAGCAGGCCCGTTTGGGGAGACTATCGAGGGCAGAGCGCATCGTCAGCTCTGTCTACATACCCGTTTTTGTCTATATATTGCTTCTGAGAGGCACCCAGCTTCGCCCCGCCTGCTGACACGCAGCTGAAGCGGAATGCAGCCGCTGGTCACGGCCGGTGATGCAGACGTGGACGTCATATGTGTCAGGTAGCCGGTCAGACGGCGGCCGACGACAGACACGAAAGGAAGGAGGACCAAGGAGCTCGCCGTGCTCGCCCCATATACATTCCGTTTTCGCCCAGCCGGTCGGCGTATTGCCAGTCTGCATTGCTGACGGCGGATGTTGGCCGTTCGCATGCAGGGCCTGAAATGAGGCATATTCTTGACGTTTGTTTTGATTCTCTTACCGGTTCAGTCACCGATCTTCACTGTTCCCTGCTTTTCCCGTTGTTCCAACGACCGCTTCGCATCTCTGACCGCTTCCGGACGTAGAGAGAGCGCGACATAAGGACGTCTAGCAGAGGGGGGGCGTGTTGTCAAGGACAACGGAAAGGATGGAGCTGTCACACGGCACGAAAACGACGAGGAGGCGTCCCCGCCAGGCCGGTCGGGCTCTCATTTCGATGACGAAACAATATATTGCCTACAACAATACAGCGCTGCGAGGCTGTCGTCACAGGAGCATCCATCACATGGCACAGAGCACAGAGCACAGAGCACAGAGCACAGAGCACAGAGCACAGAGCGCAAAGCACGGCCGATACAGTCACCATCACCATCACCAGACGTCATTATGTGATCGGGCAGCAAGGCTTTGTCGGGCTGAGCCAGAGCACACACAGCCGCTCGGAGAATTAGAGCATGGCACCGCATTCGTCACGTCGGACAGCAGACGACTCCGCAGGCCGGCTGGCCAGACGAGGCGCCCTTGCCCTGCTCGCTTCTCGCTTCTCGCTTCTCGCTTCTCGCCGCTACGGAGCCGCTGCTGCCACGTCCTCTTGTCTGTTCTGTGTCCCCACGCGCATCTGCTTCTCCTAGGGCTATACTAGCAGCTTCCGCGCCGTCTAGACTGGCTTTCCAGAAAAACCTGAGACACGCCGGCTGGCGGGCGCAGCGGCCAAGAGAACGAAGCCCTTCAGCCTTCCTGTCAGATCCTATGGACAAGTGCTACGGAGTACGTCTTTGTCTCTGGACGTGTTAGCCTCGGCGAACGAGCCTGTTTCGATACCGGCCAGCTTCTCCAGCGGCCGAGCTCGACTAGAGTGACACAGAAGATCCACCTGGCGAGCTGTCAGGAACAGCTGCTGCGCCGTGCGAGCTCCTCGCCAGAATAGCCGTCCAGGGAGCGTACGTCTGAATGTTCACTGTTTTGGATGATTTTATTTTACTAATTTAATTTATTTCCATTATTTATTCTGGGTCTCTCATTTTCGCATCGCCTCGGCCGGCCAGAGAGTCGGATCCCAGGAGGATCCCAGAGGATCATCATGATGGCACCGCCGAATGACGCACGGTGGGCGGAGAAGAACTTCTGTGGGCTGGCAGAGCACGCCAGAAGAAAATAAGAGACGACCCCCTCGTCCAGGGTCTGCGCTAGGCTCTACATAGTAGAGGCTTTGCGGCTGCGGTAAAGCCCAGGATAGAGACGAGATGAATACGACATCCATCCGACAAGAGAGGAACTCGATCCTCTGCCCCTTCCAATTTCGCCAGCTGGAGGGGCCCCGTTTCACTAGAGCAAGCAAAAAAAAAAAAAAAAAAAGGTGGCCGGTCCAGAGCACAGCGGATAGGACGGGACGGATATGGCGTATGGCGTAGCCTGGAGCTCAGGGGAGTTACAGGGGACTTAGGGGCGAAATAACGTGCAGAGACGCAGCTGCAGGGCAGCTCTGCAGCGCTCGCCCTTCTTTCTCTCCTTCTCCTCTTTTGCTCTTCGCAGACGCTAAAGTTGCCTGATCTAAAATTAACACGAATAGCCAGCGGCCCGACTCCTGGATACGCAAGAGCGTCCACTGGGTCCGATCCAGCAGATACTACGTACATAGTAGCAGCCAGACAGGCTGCCGTTTTGGCCGATCCGCCGTTGACCTTGCAAGATAGATACGCTTTCTGCCACAGCAGAGACGCCCCCTTTCGCTTCGCTCTTCTTATTTCGCTTCCCCGCCCCTCTCAGAGGGAATCGTTCTGAGCTGGGCTGATCGTTCCTCTGTGCCCAAAAGGCTCTTTTTTTTCTTTTGTTTTTCTTTTTTTTCCTTCATTCTTTTTATTCTTTTTCTTTTTCTCGTAGCCCAAGTGGGCTCCGACAGGATAGCACGACCCTTGTCTGGCGACCAGGGTTCCACACACCCTCCTCTCAGGCATCTTCCGCCATTGCCAACCTGCCAGTGCCAGACGCCTGCACACAGCTGAGCGTTGTCCCTGGCGGCTGGGGCATCGCTACGACGCTGACCTGCCATGGAAACGGGCCCTGCGGTCTTGGTGGTCTTGGGTGAGCACAGCAAAAACCCGCTGGCGGTCTCTGCGTGAGTTTCATCGCACGATCGGCCGCTTGCTGATCGCGCTGTGTCTGCGTTGGGGCTTGTGTGCGTCTGCGTCTGCGTCTTCGTCTGGACAGTGTGCCTCTCTCTCTCTCTCTCTCGCTCTGTCCCACTACGGTGAAGGGGGTGGCACTGCTCGCGTACGGAGTACGCGCTTTGTCCCTGCCGGAGCTATATGTGAGGCTCTATAGGCAAAGCTCAACGGCCCGCCTGCTATATTTCGAGCAAAGAGGAAGGATCAGCAGCTGATCATAGCACGATTTTGCTGCTGTGCTGTCACATACCACCTCTCGTCCAGTCGTTGATACCGAGGCCCAGTTTCCCGTCCATGGCTGCTGTCCAACTGCTTTCCCGGGCCAGCGGCCGGGAAATGTCCAGCACGTCGTCAGGCGAGTGAGCCGTGGCCGTCTAGGTCGAGACGCATCGCCAGAGCCCGACAACGTGCTTGGCCTGCCGAGATGGGCGTGGCAAACGCGGGTGGAGGACAGACAGAGCAGAAACAGAAACAGAAACAGACGGTCAAGCCTCTACCTGGCACTCTGCCCATCTCGCTTGGCCACGCCAAGGGTGACGGATATCGGGACTTTGCCACCGACGAGTCCTCTCAGAGGAAGACAGAGTCCCTCCCCTTTCTTCAGGGGAATTACACGGAAGAAGAAATCCTGTTGTCCTCGCCATGAGTCCGTCCTCTTCTGCCAGCGAGCACTATCCTCTTTCAAGGGGCTGCCGCATGGACGGGAAATCAAACAGAAGAAAATGAGTGGCAACCAGACGATCGGAGCGGTGAAAGAAGACGAGACCTTAGATGACCTCGTTTTCTCATTAGGCACCTGCCGATGAGACAGGTCAGATACACTCCCCCCCCTTCTCTCTCCGCTCCTCCATCCCCTTCCTCGACCCAGCTCGGCTCTTCTCGCAGGGTGACGATCCTGGATATCCCACATCGTCACCCATGGTCCGGCATCCCCAGCTCGCCTTTTCCGGGAGTCCATTTGCGTCATGCGTCTGCCATCATCTCGTTTCCGCAAAGCCTCCCATGAGGTCGAGAAGCTCATTCGTACTCGTACATATGGAGCAGCAGATGCATAGTCTGGCTTTGATTAGCCTTTCTCGCCCGCTCGCAATGAAGATCTCATCTTACGTACTCCGTACTCGTACATGGTAGTGCAACCGCAAAAAGCCTCGATGCACCCCCCTTCCCTTTGGGCAAGCGTCGTCTGAACGCATGTCTCGATCGGTCAAGACTAACCGCAACGGATACCAACTCTGTACCACCTTGTCAGGGGAAGACGACCGGTCCTGCGTGTACCGCGCACATACGAGTACGAGCAGGAGCAGCAAATGCCGGCCAGACCGTCCGTCCCTGCTTTGCGGATGTGATACGATGTTGCCTTGTGATGGATCGTTGCCAGCCAGTGACCGCGTCCCAGCTACCAGGACGATGGCACGATGACACAACCTCTGCCTGCCCCTTCTCCTATATTCCGCGAGATGGAGAGGGGTTTCCACGAGGTTGTCGTCTGCTTGGGGCAGCTCTGCAGCTCGGGAGCGCTGAAGCTCTCGATCCCACTCGAAACGGAATCCAGGAACGGATGAGAGCGTCGGGTAACGGCCAGCGAATGCCGTCCAGCTGACATGGGCCAGGGGGGGTGAGCGTTCTCTTACGAGCATGCAAGATACCGCAGACATGTTCGATCTTCCTTCCTGGAAAATAAGACCGTCTGGTCGCCGCTCCACGTCGAATCTTGCAGACTGGGGGAAGCTAATGCAATCCGTCCTCTCCTCTGCGGAGTAGTGCCGGCCTGCTGCATGAACTGGATGGCATGGGCGAGATGACAAGATGACCACCAGTACGGAGTACATGGTTAAGAAGAAAACCAGACGTTGCGGGCAGGCTCCGCCGGCATATAGCCTCTGCCGTAGCTCTGTTACCGACCGTTGCCCGAGCCGGGAAATGGAAAGGCGGTCTGTCCGCACAGGGGGGATGCCAGGGGGGAAGGAGAAAGAAGGACGAAGAAGGAAGGGGAGCGAGCAGGTCGACAGCCATTGGTCCTCTTCCCTTCTCGAGGCTGGGACACGCATGATGTGTATTCCCGCAGGCACTCCACCGCCAATCTGCCAATCTGCCGCCTTTCCATTCTCCCTTCTACGGCGGTGGAAATCAAAGGTTGTGACAGGTCTCCTGCGGCGAAGCGAAACGGCCATGTTGCTCGTAATAAGATACATGGCAGCGAGACGGCCGGACGGCCGATCTACGGCTCGCTTTCTTCTCATGATGCTTCATGTGAGACGGCACAAGACCGCTTTGGTTTCCTCGTCTGCTCATACATTGTACATTGCACGATAGCTGCCCCCTTTTCTTCCCTTTCTCTCCTGGTACATGGAATACCACGACAGATGTACGAGTACACGACCTGCATCCGGCTCCACCGCGCTGCTCCGCAATCATGTTGTGTGAAAGAGCGTCCAAGCGGAAAAGCCCACGTTTTCTACCCGTCCGCTGTTCGTATTGCGGCGGGCTTCGCCGTCGTCTGAGTTCGCGGTGGAGATGCATGGCAAATTGACAGACAGAGAACGAGAGAGACCGGTTCGACGGACGGCCATCCCTCTCTCTCTTTCTCTCGCTCGTCCGAACAGCTCAGGGGACGTTGCACTCGCACGTTCCCTCCACCATCTCGTCGCTGGTCCAAGGCACAAAAGACAAGAAAGGAAAAAAGCAAAGAAAAAAGAGAAAAAGAAAAAAGGAAGAGAGAATAAACGGAAATAGCCGCAGCAGCAGGCAACACGGCACGAAGAAAGAGGTTCGGCTGCCAGTATCACGCTCGCACGAAGAAGACACGTTCGACGGCACCCTGGTCTAGATCCCGCTGTATCTTACACTCCCCCTTCCCCGGTCCAACCAGAGTCCCTTGCAGCCTCGTCATTGACGGACAAACCCCAGCGATGGGTCTGGGCGGCTTACATCATAATTAGCAGCTCATATGTCGCAAGCACCCTTTCGCTCCCTGTGACAACGGCGTTGCATCCGGAAACAGCCAAGCTCCCCGCTCGTTGACACCTCATTTTTCTTCCTTCCTGACACGTACCATTAAGCCCACCCCTTCCCTTGCACCCCTATATCACGCATGGTGTTATGCATATAACCCCATAAAACAGATTGTCGGACCTGCAGGCTCGTAGCCTCTCGACTATGAACGTGTAGGAGTAGTGCGAGTACATCCTATCTCATTACTTGTTCTCTCTCCTCTCACACGAAGCGATCCTATAAGATTGCCAGGAAACCGCCTAGTCTGAGCACTTACCCCGTCTCCCTTATATGTGTCTCCTGCTATTGTTGCCCTTTTGGGTAAGCTCGTAAAAAACTAACAACTAACCCTGACTAAAGCGCAACCCCTCCCACCTCGTCTCCCAAATATCTCTCGACCTCTGGGACTTTGGCCGAGCGAGGAATCTGTGCTTCCGGTTTCGTCGGAGAGATTTCAAGGGACGAGCAACCACCAGAAAAGGAGTGATGGAGCCCGTTCGGCACTACTACCGGTCTAACCGGTGCCCAGAGTCCTGAGGCTTCCCGTTTCGGGGCCCTCTTATCTTCCTTCCGTCATCCTTTTTCCTATTTTGGCTCCCACGTTAATACTACATACGAATCCAACCGGTGTCGTATCTACATGTCCCCTTACCGACGATACCTGCTCCCCCAACAAGTCTCCCCCGTGGAGACTTTGCTCCCGGGATCTGAAGCGGAGCTCCCATATCGTACTCACTAGCTGCCACAAGAGAACATTCGGTTTATTCTAGGCTTTCTTTCTCGCCGCCCTCTCCTTGCCATGAGTGGGAAAAGTCCCGGCCCCAGTTTCCAGTCGCCACGCACAAGACGGCTGCGGACTGTTGTCATGTCGTACGCCATGCGGATAATGCGCGTACGAGTACGAGCATCTTGCCAGCTCCATACTATGTACCCACGAACACGGACCGATCTCTCCTCCCTTGTAGGCCGCGTGCTTCATGCTTCCGGCATTGTATCATTGCACATTGCAGGAGCAGCCTGGTCATCACTGCTTCGTCTGTTGGCTGTTCACAGCTCTGCATCTAGTTTGCCTCGTTTGTCTCGTTTTTCCCCTTTGGGCCTCGTTTACATAGTAGTCGCTTTTTTTTTTCGTTGGGGAGGAAGGGGGGGGCTGGCTATCAAGGCTAGGCTTGTTGTCTGACGTGGGAACAACTATATCCACTCTCCCGTTGGCTGACAGGGGCCTTGAGACGAGACAGATGAAGGCAGATATTTGGGTGCATGACAAGAGGAGCTAAGATGAGATCCGGAAGAAAAAGGAAAGAAACTGTTAACAGACCGGCACTATCGGCCAACGATGGACAGTTTTCTGCTCTACTGGACATAGTTGCATGGGACGACTGGCAGGCCGCCTCTGTTTCATCACCTATCTTCCGGATATGACTGAAATCCCCCGGTGCTTACCAGGAGAAGCAGCTATACGGGGTAGTTTCGTAGCACCGTACGACGTACAGAGCACGCCGACGGCTTCTCGCTCGCAAGGACCTGGTGTGATGTGATGACGGCGGGTGCAGGAACCAACAATCACATTGCACATAGTGCTCTGAACCTGTGACTGATATTGCATGCGGATGCGTTGCCTGCCAGAAGGAATGGCTGTTGGCAAGATCACAGGACTGAAACCTTTGCTTTGTGTCTGACACGAACTTGCGGGAACAACAGGCCAATACACCCGTGTTCTGATCCCCCTTCCCGTGAGAAGTTGGATAAACATACTGTGCCGTTAGGAACAGGTTGCAGTAAGACAGTCGTTTTGGATACCTCATTGATTCCAGTATCCAATGTGTCCCATGTATCCTATTACCTTGCTTGTGGTAACAAGTTCTTTTCAAAGAAACACAAACAAACAATAATCATATGCAATCCGGGCCCAGTTAGCCTTCCCACGAGCCAGTCATGATTTCAGCCGTCAAACAATAAAAGGAAAAATGCACATTAGCTCTCTGGTATCTCGGATGATGTAGAGGGTGCGTATAAAGCCATCCGGCTGTGAGTGTCAATGGCCTTCCGGACGGTCCGACTCGAGCTGTCTGTGACTGTCGAGTATACGGACGCTGGAGACGACGGCGTGGATAGCACTTCGCTTGGATAGCCCAAAACCCCCGTAGACTTTGTCGTGGACGCAGTTGCTGCCGATGAGAAGGACGACGTGAACGTGACACCGTCGGCAGCAGCTGTCGAGGCGCTGCCACTTTCTGGCAGCTCTGTGGACGTATTAACCGGCCGGTATTTCTGACTGGCCCATGCCTCGTCGTTCGGATCACCATCCCGTGTCAGCATTACACTGGAGTCTCTCGGCTGTTTCGGTGGCGAGGTCGGAGGTGATTGCAAAGGCAGTGGTGGCAGAGCACGATCGGGAGGTGCACAGAGAGAGAAACGAATGTCGCTGTCACTGTCACCTCTGCTATCCCGGGTTCGGTCTCTGCCTCCGCTCTGCGAGGCTGTGGACGAGAAGAAAGGCGACGAGGTCGATACTCTGGCTGTTTTGGTATAAAAGGGGCCAACTGGTGGTGGCGTTCTTGGCATGATGAGGTCAGGAATCTCGAGTGGTGTATCGTGAGGCCGTGACGGCCGGCTCGGGCTCATGGGAGGAAAGAGAGGACGGGACGGCAGTGGTGCTGACGGTGGCGATGGCACACCGGAAGAGAAGTTGCGAGCAGACAGGGCCGACGCCGGCGACACAGACGCTGGACCACCTCCGTCACTGTAGTATGGAGAGACAACTGTAGGCAGTACAACCATGGGGTCGACGGCGTCGGTAGTCAGTGCATGGCCGTAGATGCTCGATGACGCCGCTGGAGAAATTGGAGTAGACGGAGAGCAGGACTGCACAGCAGCGCCTGCACCGATCTTTGAGGGTATCCTGCCACTGTTGACAAACGAGGATCCATCATCTTTAGACACCAAAGCTGCCACGGATGGCAGGGAGAGCGAGAGAGAGATGAGAGAGCTGGGAGGAGGAGGCGGTGCGGCTCGGCGGGAGCTGTGGAGGATGTCGTGGCTTTTCTGTTCTTCTTCTTCTTGTTGCTGCTGCTGCTGCTTCTGCCTCATTTCTCTCAAGTTGAGTCTGGCGGCTCTGGGCATTGGCTTCGCCTCACGGCGTGGCTCGAGTCTGTTTGTTGTGGGAGCACAGCTGGGCGAACTGGGAAAATAGTAAGGGATGGACGTGTCAGTGTAGCCATAGAAGCCCCCGGCTCCACCACCACCACCGCCGGTTGTTGGACTTGGTGGTGGCGACAGAGATGTCAGTGGTGGTGATGTGCCCCGTCTGATGTCTCTGCGAAAAAGCCTTGCTGGCAGGAATCTGCTGCGGCCGCGTCGATGGTCACGCGGCGGATGGGACGGCCAAGTCTCAGCGGTGGACGAGCCTCCGCCATAGGCTCCATATGCAGCAGTGGCAAAAGTACCAACCCCGCCATTCAAAGACGACGGCCGTGCTGAAGATGCGGCAGAATTGCGTGAGCGTGCTGGCGAGATAAGCGGTGTCGGAAGCTCGCCAGCTGCCCCAGCATGCTGCTGGCTGTTGGGAAAGAAGTAGAGCTGGCTCTGCTGGAGACAAGACTTGATACGGCTGTTGCTGTTGCTACTATTGTTGCTGTAGTTGCTAATATTTCTGGTATTTCTGTTGTTTCTCCGGATATTACTGCCGTTGCCACCCCTGCTTTTGCGCCGTCGCCAGAGCAAGAAGACGAGCCCGGCTAGAAGAAGGAAGCCGACGATCACGCTGACGACAACGGCTGCCTTGATGCCGGGTGACGGGCCAGATTTGCTGGATGTGGCGAGGCCGCCGCCAAGCTGCGATGTCCCCTCAGTACTGGCTGCAAGAAGAGTGCTGCTGGCAGTAGTGCTACGAAGTGACGCTGCCGATGCCACTGCTGTTACGGTTGCTGATGCTGTCAGAGCGGGCGATGGAATACTAATGAGACTGGGGGCCATTGCCGCTGCCGGGGATGTGAGAATACTGCTGTCCGATGTGCTTGTTGCGGATACTTCGACCGTGTTCCAACATGGGTTGCCAGCTGAAACAGCCATGAGCAGGCTGCTACAGGAATAGTCGGATGCCGGCGATCCTGGATCGTACACGGACGAGTAGCCGATGCTGTGACGTCAGCAGGAGTGCTGAGGAAATGGAATTTGACTGACATTTTCTCACTTTTGACACTGATTTATGAGGCGGTCGACGTTGGCTATCATAGCCAGGTCAGTGCGCAGCATCAGCAGAGGACAGTTTTGTTTACAGATTGGACTCACGATCCTGTCCAGAGGTGCCGGCCTCTATCCAGACGCCGCAAAAGGCCGAGTCGCACCAGTAGAGTTGCCAGAGGATGTCGCTGATACCGTCGGCCGAGAGAAGCGAGCAGACCTCTGAAGGTGTGGTATCGGTGCTGTCGTCCTCAGACGGGGGCGTGTCGAGCAGCAGGCTAAAGAAGCTTTCGCGACAGTTGTTGATGCAGTCTTGGGGATCGCTTCCATCGTAAAAACCAAAGGTCTGGCGACGAGGAAGATCGTGGACGTGTTGCAGTTGAGGTTCTATGCCCCTGACGTTTTTCCTGTCTGTAGCGAGCGTGGCGGCACCATGACCATTTGGGCAAAGACACTGGCCTGACGTCTCGGCTGTACCCATGGTGGCCGGTCCTGACAGATGCTAAAAAGGAAACAGAAGTGATAAGATGATCGAGGAGAGCGAAGATAACTTTGACGCGATTATTCAACGACGGAGAGAGAAAAAAACAAAGAAAGGATCACAGGAAGTGGAAAGAGAGGGGGTGGGAGGGAAAGAAAGAGAGGGAAGGAACGAGCCGGGTAGATGCCAAAGATCCATGCCCGAACGACGGACTTGTGCACGAACCGGCAAGCAAGCGAACTCTGTATCCAGTGTGTAACAAGACCGAGCTACGGACTATTGCACAAAGGGGAGATAGACGGGAGCAGGGTTCACAGGAGCTGTGTCGCTCTGGACGGTTGCTTGAAAGCAGAGAAGCCGCGGCCGGATTCTCCTGCGAAGCGGAGAGGAAGGCGCGTTCCTGCCTTTCCATGCAGAAGCTGGTCTCCCTAATCAGTGCCCCTCACAGATCAGCATATGGAAGGCGCAAGAGACTGTGACGAGCCGTAGAGACACAGCAGACAGCAGACAGCAGACAGCAGACAGCAGACAGCAGACAGAGGAGCTTTCACATAATGTTGTGAAGCGGCGTGCCACGAAGACGCCTTGGCCGATCCCGAACGCCTCAGCAAGGGGCTGCTGCGTCTGTCCAGGCAGGGGTTGCTTACAAGAAGGAGAGGCCGGTGATGCAATAGTCCAGAACAGGGCAAACAAAATGAGAGGAGAGTGTGCGTGAAGGGGGGGGGAGACACAATGGGTGTAGACAGTAGGGAAAGTAAAAATAAACATATAAAAATAAGAGCAAAATAAAAACAACTAATCTGGTGCGACACGGCCCGGTGCAGCCCCTGCTGTCCGACGAGAATACAAGTCTTGCTGGTCAGGCTGGAGGGGGGGAGGGTGATTTTCATATATTGCCTGTCTTGGGAAGACGAGGGATTGGCTTGGCTGTGAGCAGGCGTGAGGAACCGGATCTGCAGCCAGCAGAGGCCGAGCGGTGCTGTGGCCATGCGGCGACAGGTGAAGTGCTGAAGGCTGACGAAGGGCCTCGCCACGAGAAGGAGGAAGTGCAGCTGGACGAACGGACAGACGAACAGATGAATGTTGGAGGAAACGATGGTCCAAGGCACCCATACACACATACATACTCCTCGCCAACACGTGCCACAGAGGCCCATCAGACGGTGCACATGGACAGAGCGACGATGCGGCGGAGATGGCAGAGCGAGAAAAGGCCTGCAGACGGTCCCAGACAGGAGGCAGACCGAGAGAAGCGGCCTGTTTGCCCACCAATCGTTGCTGTCTACTAGGCGAGTCTGGCACGCACAAACGTGTCTCGTAAGATATACATGCAATGGATGGCCCCCCAACCTCGTGTTGCCGTGTGACCCAAGCCGCAGACCGACGCCAATGTCCGTTCGCCCGTCTGTCTTTTCGTCGCGGATCCGCGCAGCTGCCAGGAAATGTTGGGCCTGTTTCTCCTCCTCCGTACAAACGGCGCTGATGCCCCGAAGACGCGGCCCCTCTTGCGTTTGTGTTGTATCGGTGGCGACGACTATATAGGATGTGCATGGAGAAGCAGGGAGAAGCATGCAGCGAATACCATGGCGTCGTCGCCCTCCTTCTCTCGTGCTTCTGCGTCGTCCCCCTGTCGGGTCGTCTCGGTCGGAGACAGATCATTGGTCATTGGACGAAATTCGGGCAGCGCAGCGCACCCTAATAATGCGTGTCGTCATCTCCGGGGGGCTGTGACGGACAGCCGCAGCGGCTGGTGGCCGAGTCTTGGGGCTGTTCTTGTCACCGACTTTCTTGTCCCGGTTTGGCATCGTTTTCGGTGCAACCGCACCTTGTGCTGGCGGTGAGCAGACGAGCAGCCGAAGAGTCACGTTTTTCCTCTCCTATGGAAGCGTGATGCGCACGTCAAACACGCAGTGCCAGACGCCCGGTGCAAAGGTCTTGACGAGCTCGACGTGCTCGACGCAGGCCAAGGTGAGCTGCCCGGCGACGCCAGGACTGTCGGCTGCCCACGTGGCCATCAGCTGCTGGATGTCTTGTCGCCTCGCATCCACATCGGCCACGCCCACGTTCTCGTGCAGGTGCAGCCAGGCGGATTCTCGGACGGACCCGTTTTCCCCGACCCCGACATCCTCGGCCACCGCATCCCAGGCCGTCCGCCAGCTGTCCCGGCTCGTCGGCAGCATCCCGCAGTTGACGTGGGTCACCGACAGGCGGATGTGGGCGTTGCGCAGGGCTGCCAGCCGTCGGGCTGCGTGCCGGTTGTCCTCGACAAACACAACGATCTGAATGGCGTCGTCTGCGACCGCGTCGAGGGTCTGTCGGCGGAAAGACGTCTCCTCGTCCTCATCTCCGGCTGCGTTCCCCTTGTCTGGGCCCACCACGCGCACCTGCCAGCCGTTGCGCACTCCTCCACGCCGCAGTGCTTCGGCGCTCCACGGGTTGAGCTCCCAGCAGAGCACGCGCAGGCCGCGCCGGGCATATGAAAAGACAAAGTAGCCGATGCCCGCATAGAGGTCAACGGCCCAGAGATTCTTTTCTCTTCTTTCCCTCGCTCTGCTCGTCGCTTCTTTTGTTTTTTCCCTCGCTTCGCTCGTCGTTTCTTTCGGCGTGGTCTTCTCTTCACTTTCCCTAACCTCTTCACCCCATGCTAGCAGCCGCGCTTTCTCCTTGATGTTGCCCCGGCTGAACATGGACCACCGCGGCGCCCAAGTCTGCAAGATTCCGTTCTGCCGTGTCGACACCCACAGCGCGTCCGCAAAATCGGCCTCCGAAGGCGCCGAGCCCATCGCTGCCCCGGCTGGTCCAAAGTCACCGTACAGTGGCCGCAAGCCCGTGGGACTGCGCAAGATGTTCTCTTCACCGCCACCGCTGATAGCACCGGCATCCATGTGTAGCGGGATGCCCTCGTTGATGGCCAGATGAGTCAGCCGGCCGCAGCCGGGCGACAGCGCCGCCAGGATTGCCCGCCCCACAGGGCGTCTCGCTGGACGGCCGAGACAGCCACCAGCAGGCGGGGCCACGGGGCAGACCCGAAGCTGCCTGTCGGCAGTAGTACCATGGGTTCGTAGACAGTCCACCGCTTCGGTGCCTGGCTGACGATCGTCTCCTCCGACAGCGGCGAGACTGCATCAGCAGTGTCGACTGGCAGCTGCGGCAGCACCGCGGCCAGCCAGCTGCGCACCGCCACAGAGACCTTACTCTCGGCCTTGGCCTTCTTGGGCCGCGTGTCCTTGGCGCGATCGGGACGCATTGCTAGTGATGGTGGTGTCGTATTTGGGGAGTATTCTCGGTTGGAAAAGTCGAGCCAAAAACCCCCCAAACTCCAATCTTAGCGTGCCTCGGCGCTGTCCACCATTGTGGGGAAGTGCTGCGTCAAAGCTGGGGAAAGCACGACCGGGCAGAGATCCCTCGGCTTGTTTCTTATGTGAGGGGTTGCATCTTGACATTCCCAGACTTCTTCATGAGCAGCTCCTCGTTGGTTTTTTGGGAGTTTCTGCCCTTTTCTTGATTATCTTGCTCTGCTTCTACTTTTCACATTCGCCTACCATGGCCAACTCGGCACAGAAGCGGTTGGACGCTATTAGCAAACAGCTAGGTGCTGCGGCTGCCACTTCTTATGCTGATGCACCGGTCTTCGAAACAAAATCATCACCCAAAGCCGATGATGCTTTCCTGCCTCCAGTTCAGCAGGTAGCCCCGGCGTTGACGGTGCCTCGAGCCAAAGACAAGGTTGTGATTGTGACAGGTGTGGTCTCTTTTCTTGTTTGCTCCTTTCTCCCATCTCCCATCTCCCGTTTCTCATCTCATACTCTGCTTCGTCCATCCTCCTCCCCCTTCTCACAACGGTCCAGGCGCCAACTCACTGCTCGGCATCGGCCGCGCCTCCGCCTACGAGTTTGCCCATGCCGGCGCCCGCGCCATCTACCTCTGCGACGCCGTCGACGACCACCTGGCAGCCCAGCAGCGCGACCTGCAGGCACGCTGTCCGGCCGTTGACGTGCACTTGCGGTGCTTTGACGCGGCCGACGAGGCGGCCGTGAAGGCGGTCGTGGCCGACGCCCTGCGGCAGTACGCCCGCCTGGACGTGTTCTTTGCCAACGCCGGCATCGTGGGCCCGCAGGTGGCCTTTGGCGACGTCGACGCGGCCGCCTTCATGCAGACGCTGCGGGTCAACACGCTGGGGCCGTTTCTAGCCGCCAAGCACGCAGCACCAGCGATGCAGCAGACGTCTCCGGCCAAACCAGCGCCCGGCGGCAGCATCGTCCTGACGGCCTCCGTGGCCGGGCTGCGGTCCAACGCCGGCGCCACGCCCTACTCAGCGTCCAAGGCGGCTGTCGTGTCGCTGGCCCAGACACTCGCCTTTCAGCTCGCCGGTTCCGGCATCCGAATCAACGCCGTCTGTCCCGGCATCGTCGAGACCGCCATGACGGCACCGACCTTTGCCGCTGCTCGCGCCCGCGGCACCATCGCCCGCGTCGGCCAGCTCAACCCGACTCGCCGCGCCGCCCACAGCGACGAAGTCGCCCGCGTCGTCCTCTTCCTCGCTAGCGACGAGGCCAGCTACGTCAACGGCCAGGCTTGGGCCGTCGACGGCGGCCTCAGCGCTGGTCATCCTTTTGTGCCTGGCAAGCTGTCGTAGGTTGGCTGTTGTGTGACAGAATCGGCTCGCTTCCTCTACGTGCATCTACTCTGCATCTGTCCATATCGCGCTATTGCATCCATTCATGCGTCTGGCAAGTCTGGCAAGAAAGTGATTACGCATATACACATGAGATCCCATACTCTTTCGATTTCACAAGCCGTTTTGCCATCTTCCGACCCCATGTCGGAAGACCTCCCCCCCCTACAACACCCCCGGAATGACAGCCCGCCGCTTGCCCACCCGGTCGGCACCGAATCTCTCAATGTACCATCGCTTTCCGCTCACGGCGCGTGGCAACATAGCCGCCACCTCGTTGAGCAGGAACATGCGAGCCGGCACGCAGCCCCAGCCGGCCGCCATGTAGAAACCCGTCCACTCGACCCACTCGGCAAAGTAGTGCGGATACAGCATGTATCGGAACAGGCCGGTGTCTGGCAGCAGGTACAGCTTCTGTACCGCACTGCCACTGCCGCCGTTGCTGTCGCTCGCATTGTCGTCTCTCTTCAGGGCAGCCCGACGGCGGATCTCCCGCAGATCGTCGTCGCAGATGAAGTTGACCGTCAGCCCCAGGTAGAAGACCGTGATGCCCACGACGAACTGGAGCGTCGGCCAAGGCGCCAGCTGCGTCCGCCAGTCCGCCGCCGTGCGCGGGCCGTAGGCTGCCAGAAAGCTGCCCAGACATGTGGCATTGACCAGCTGAAATATGACCCCCATGCACCAAACCAGCACGTGCATCGGCGACATCGACGGCGCCATCAGCGGGAAGAGGATGGCGCGGTATATGTAATGGATCACCTGCACCTGTCAGGAGAGAGAGAGGGAGAGGGAGAGGGAAGAATCATACAAACAACCCCGCAAGAACCTTGTTCTGCCAGGGCAGATCATCAATGCCCTCTTGCTTAGTCAGCGTGTTCATGATGTACATCAACGTCAGGAAGCCCGGGCATTCCATGGTCAGCCAGCCGATGCGGCCGGGTATGTTAAGAACGCTCTGGACTGACGTCTTGCCCATGCCGTACCATTTTATGGCCCATTGCAGCGAAGAAAGCTGGGGACAGGTCAGCAACGGTGGTCGTGAATTTAGAAGGGAATTGCGCATTTACCAGCGGGTAAAACTGCCACAGAAACACAATCCAGTCGTAATGTTCCCGGCTCGGAGGCATCCAACCCTGAATGACAGCCATGCTTGCAGCCGTAATACTGGATCTCAGAAAGACCTAGACTCGTCTCCCCTTTCAGTTGGTGAGACACACACGCAAATCCAAAAGCGGCGTCTGGGGAAATTCACTGTTTTTGCTGTGGTGAGAGGCCGAAACAAGCTTGGTCCACAGCCGTGGGAGAAGCCCACTAATACTGGGTTCTGTACGGAGTACGATAGTTCCGTTTCACTTCCAAACTACTAATACGTACTGTCTACAAGCAGTCGCTACAATCACTTATACTCCGTACTCTTTACAATTCTCTCTACACATACTCTACGCGATGAAGTAAAGCTATCGCCACACGTGTCCAGTTTGCTGCGCCAGTAGCCAGCGACGTCGGACGGCCGGCCAAACATTTTTGCGTCCGTTACCGCCTCTAATGCGGGACACGTGATTGAGCAGATTCTGGATTCTCCGGAACATCTCCCCAAGGCCGGGCAGGCTCCAATAGGATGGCGTCTGTTCTCCCGCCGCTGTCGCTTCTTTTTCCCAACGCTTCCCTTTTCCCATCCTGCACTACACGACATTGCTCCCCCGGCAAGACGATGCACCGCATGCCGACAAGTGCGCGTCGGCCGACCATCATCATCTGCAGCGACCCGATAGAGGCGACGGCCAACGGACCGAACTGAGAGGTTCAGCCTCAACTCGATTTCTGTCCGTTTTGCCACCAACCTGTTTTGCACGGTTCTAACGTTGCCCGGCATCCTTCGTTTTTCTTGCATCGTTCCTGGGCCACCGCCGCCCGTTTCTGTACTTTTATACATAGACGCACATTCCCTTCTTCTGGTGCCTTTCTGAAGCCTTTCACTGCTGCTTCGGTGTCGGTGAAACGCCTCATTTAGGCCGTTGTCATTGCATCATGACGTTTTATGCCCCTGGTCTCCCGGTACGTTCTTTTTGCACCACAGCATACATATGAACAGCTTTTTCGTCGATCACTACTGATCCTATTTTCTTCTTCTTTCTAGAGCGTGGCTGCAGCTACCACCGACCTCCTACCGTCTATTGGAAGCATCGGAAACACATTGCTGATCCCATGGCGAGGCATCACAGCCCCGTCGGCGCCTTCGTCGTCCTCCCGGACAAATGTGGCTGCCACGGACGCGACTTCTGCGGTACCTGCATCCCCAACGACCGTCCGGCTGCCTGACTTTCTGGCCACGACTACCCTGCCGCGCAGCTTCGCCTCGCCATTTGCCCACGGTCTCCAGCCCACCGACGCACGGTCCATCTTTGCCAACATGCCACAACCGTCGCTCATGGCAGCGAATCCGTTTCTGCATCTGATCTTTGCCGGCCGCGCTCTTGGTGGCGCGTCAAGACCGCAAGCCCGAACACTCTCGACGACCGCCTCTGTGAACCGCCTCTTCTGGCCGGCCGGCCAGCGGCCGCGGTTCTACGGCGTGACCAGCACTTCATCACTCGCTGCCTACCGTACTGCCATCGCATCTAGCATCCGCTTCGCTTCTCCGCGACGGACCGTTACCTCTGGCAGCATCTCTCGGAACCTCCTCGAAAATCGCGAAGCGGCTGCCAACCGGAATCCCTCGAGTGCCACCGCGCAGACTGCCTTCTACCAGGTGCTGCTCAAGGCCAACATGCCCATGATTGTGATCGAACGCTACAACTCGGGTCGTTTTGCCGCCAACGAAGCTACGACAGAGGCTTACCACCGCGCCCTAGGCATGGTCAGTGCCGCGCCCACCGCAGCAGCAGCAGCAGCAGCGGCTGCTTACAACGACGGCACTGTGGCAGGCGGAGCAGGAAGCGGCATCGCGGCAAATAACACGCACCTGACGCCAGCACAGCTGCAGGCGGTGGGACAGGCAATCGCGGCGCAGAACCGGGGTGCAACGGTGGCCGTGGGCAAGAGTGCTCAGGGTACCGGAGCTAAGGACGCACCGATTCATGTGGTTGTGGACCAGCCCATCAGCGACGTGCTCTTCCGCTGGGTCAAGTTTGTTCTCTGGTTCTGTCTGTTCACTTACTTCAGTCTGGTCGTGATCACGATGTTGATTGAGGGGCTCAACACGTTCAAGCGGCCGACAGGACGCGCGGACAACGAGGTCAAGGCCGAGAGCCAAAAGACGCGCTTCACGGACGTTCACGGCTGCGACGAGGCCAAGGACGAGCTGCAGGAGCTGGTCGACTTTCTCAAGAACCCGGCCGGCTTTTCGACATTGGGCGGCAAGCTGCCCAAGGGCATCCTGTTGGTCGGTCCTCCGGGCACGGGCAAGACACTTTTGGCTAGGGCGGTCGCCGGCGAGGCGGGCGTGCCGTTCTTCTACATGTCAGGCAGCGAATTCGACGAGGTATACGTGGGCGTGGGCGCCAAGCGGGTGCGTGATCTGTTCACGGCCGCGCGGGGCAAGTCACCGGCAATTGTATTCATCGACGAACTGGATGCCATCGGCAGCCGGCGCAACTCACGGGACGCGGCCTACGTAAAGCAGACGCTCAACCAGCTGCTGACGGAGCTGGACGGATTCGAGCAGAACAGCGGCGTGATCATCCTGGCGGCGACCAACTTCCCGGAGCTTTTGGACAAGGCACTGACGGGCGACCAGGCCGGTTCGACCGGTTGGTGCAGGTGGACCTGCCGGACGTGCGAGGACGGCTGGCGATCCTACAGCACCACGCGCACAAGATCAAGTCGGCCAAGGATGTGGACCTGCAATCGATCGCGCTGCAGACGTCGGGGCTGTCGGGAGCGGAGCTGGAGAGCATCGTGAACCAGGCGGCGATCCACGCGAGCAAAGCCAAGGCGCTGTCGGTGACCAAGACGGACTTTGACTGGGCCAAGGACAAGGTGATCATGGGGGCTGAGCGCAAGAGCATGGTGATCAGCCCCAAGGAGAAGGAGCTGACGGCGTACCACGAGGCGGGTCACGCGCTGGTCAGCTACTTCAGCCCGTCGTCGCCGAACAAGCTGTACAAGGTGACGGTGCTGCCACGTGGTGGCTCGCTGGGCCACACGTCGATGCTGCCGGAGATGGACAAGTACTCGTACAGCGCCAAGGATTTCCTAGCGATGATTGATGTTTCGCTGGGCGGGAAACTGGCCGAGGAGATCAAGTACGGCAACGAGATGGTGACGGGCGGTGCATCAAGCGTGAGTGTTTGTGTTATGGGCATTTTGTTAGGAGCATCAACTAACACAACCAGGACCTGGAGCACGCGACATCGATTGCTTACCGGATGGTGACGCAGCTGGGCATGTCGGAGAGGGTGGGCCCAGTGCAGATGTGGAACCGGTACGACAAGCTGAGCTCGGAGACCAAGGCGGTGATTGAGTCGGAGGTGCAGAAGACGCTCACGGACGCGTACGAGCGGTCACGACGGCTGCTGCAGTCCAAACGCAAGGAATTGGACCTGCTGGCGGCAGCACTGCTGCGGTACGAGACCCTGGACAAGGACGAGGTGCTCAAGGTGATCTCGGGGCAGAAGCTGACGGGCCGTATTGCCGTGCCGGAGGGTCCGATGCTGGTGCCCAAGCCGGCCAGCTTGGATGACGACGTGCCGTCTGACCTGGCCGACGAGGACACCAAAGCGCCACCGCCAGCGCAGCCGGAGGCTCCATAGAGAGGACGCTGAAGGGAGGGTGGTGGATGGGGGACAGGGATGGGCCGGCGGAGGACATTGGAGTAATAGGAAGGCAAAATCCAGGACACACTCTCCTTTCACAGTTGCAGAGTGTATGTATGTATCTTACGAGTGGGTTGTTGCACAGTGGCAATACAGTATATGCACTCGTACTCGGAGACGGAATCCACTAGACACACGGTCGACCGCTAGGCCTCCTTACTACGGAGTATGCAAGATCTTGTCATTCTGCCCTCTGTGCGGAGACGAGCAGATTACGAATCGGGTGTTGCGTATGATGACATCGGCGTTAGTGCAATCATTGCAAGGTACTTTAACGCCGATTGAGGGGCTTTAGAGCGGATCTTTGCGATAGGAAAATGGCTGGCCCGGGTTAATTGCTCGCAGATTGTGGCGACGGAAGTATAAGAACCAGAGGTGGACGGAGAGAGAGACAGGCTGCCGGAAGAGCAGCAGCCGACTGTTGGAAGTTTCACGACCTGAACCGTTTTTTATCAGCCTCTCCAGCTTCAGCTTCAGCTTCAGCTTCGACCAATCCGCAGCCATGACCAAGGTTTTGTTGACCGGTGGTTCCGGCTTCATTGCCAGTATGTGATCTGATCGTGCCGTCCTTGGCGCCGTTCTTGTCTTGCTAACGCCAGGCCAGCCCACATTCTCGACCTGCTCCTGAAGACGGGTCACGCGGTGGTGACGACGGTACGGTCGCCCGAGAAGGCGGCGCCGATCCACGCGGCGTACCCGGACGTGGGCCCGGAGCGGCTGCAGACGGTGATTGTGCCGGACATTGCGCAGGAGCAGGCCTTTGACGAGGCCGTACAGGTGCCGGGCATCGAAGTGGTGCTGCACACGGCGTCGCCCTTTCACTTCCGCGTGACGGACCTGAAGCGCGACCTGGTCGACCCGGCCGTCATCGGCACCACGGGCATCCTGCGGGCCATCGCAGCCCACGCGCCGCAGGTTCGCCGCGTCGTCGTCACGTCGTCGTTTGCTGCCATCGCCGACGTCAGCAAGTCGGACGATCCGACCACCATCTTCACCGAGGCCTCCTGGAACCCGGTCACGCTCGCCGACGTCACCGGCGCCAACAACACCGTCGCCAATGCCGGCACCGGATACCGTGCCTCCAAGACGCTCGCCGAACAGGCCGCCTGGGCCTTTGTCCGCTCCCAGAAGCCCAACTTCGACCTCGTCACCATCAACCCCCCCATGGTCTATGGTCCCGTGCTGCATCACGTGACTGGCGGCATCGCCGCCATCAACACCAGCAGCGAGATCTTCCGCGACGTCATCACCGGCGCCTGGAAGGACAAGGACGAGCTGCCGCCCGTTCGCGTCGCCAACTTTGTCGACGTCCGCGATGTCGCCACCGCCCACGTCGCCGCCGGCTTCCAGAAGGACCTCGGCGGCCATCGCCTCTTCACCACCAGCGGCCACTACGACAACCGCACCATCCTCGAGATCGTCCGCGCCCACTTTCCCGAGTACGCCGACGTGCTCCCGCCCAAAGACATCCCCGGCGGCGACCTCCCTGCCGCTCACTACGGCTTCGATAACTCCGAGACCACCCGGCTGCTCGGCATCACCTGGATCCCCCTCGAGAAGTCTGTCGTCGATGCTGTCAAGAGCATCCAGCCGCTGTTGCAATAGACGCTGTAGATTGATAGAATAGACTGATTTCTGCCTTCGTCTGTCCATGCTGTATGACCTCTATGCCGTCTTTGTCTTTCTCTTCCTACTCTCCTCCTGTTCTCGTCCCCTCCCTCAACCGCTGCAACATCTCTTTCTTCCAGTCGCCATAGTCCTGCCGTCGCGTCTCGCTGAGCAGGTCATACCGCTCCTGGAACATGCTGTCGGACCGCCATGTGTGCGTGGGAATGGCCGCATCGTCATCGTCATCGTCATCGTTGTTGTTGTCGTTGCTGTCGCCCCCCTCGCTGTAGTCGCTGCCGGCCACGTCTCGCAGCTGCTGGATGTCGCGGAACCAGTCGCTCTCCAGCCACTTGCGGTCTGACACCGCCAGCAGCGCCTCGCGGAAGCTGTGTCGTGTCAGGTCGTGCCAGCCAGTCTTCTCCCAGACGTCGCCGGCGCCGCCCTCCAGCTGCACGCCGCCCTCCCGCGCCTTCTGGAACACGTCCATGATGGTCCGCTCGTCTGTGTTGTACTGCGTCTTGTCCATCGGCCCGACATCCTGGCTGGCCTGCCACGACTTGATGCAGTAGTAGTAGAGCGTTGCCGCCAGCGCCGTCAAGCTGCCCGCCACCCAGGCCGGGCTGCCCGGCTCGGTCTCGCCGTCGTCAACGCCGCTGCTGGCTGTCTTTTTGCTCTGCTCGGCTGCCTCTCGCAGGATGGCCGACAGGCCGGCTGCCACGGTGGGCGCCAGGCGTGCGTGGCCGAGCGTGCTGCACACGAACCGGACCGTCGGCCGCAGCCAAGGCGGCGGCACGGACACCAACACAGACACCGATGCAGGGCCGCCTGGCCTCTTCTGTGGGCTGTAGATGGTCGTGCTGCCTTTGGCCGTCGGCCGTGGCGTCCTTGCCGGCCGCCGCTTAGGCGTGGCCGTGCGGAATGGCGTCCCGACAGCGACGTCCCGTTGTGGCCCGTCTTTCCGCGGCGTCTGGTTGTCTCGCTGGGCCGGTGTCGGCTGCAGCACCGTGTTGAGATGCGCGTACAGACGCTTGTACAGTCGTGGCTGAATCGGTGGACGCGGCTCGATCGGCGGCAGGTTGAGCACGGTCTTGAGCCTGTCTCGCGTCAGCCTTCATCGCCCATCGTCCACCACGCGCGGGCATCGGATACGCACCGGTCACAGGCAATGTGTGCACATGCATACGGTCGCGCAACCTCCTCGTCCGCCTTCAACGTGCTGACACGGTGTCGCGACTGCGCCAGCAGCGAGCCGGCCAGGTCGGTCAGCTGCGGCGAAAACGTGCCGTTGTGCGTCGGCAGCAACGACTGCAGCGACTGGTCCGTGGAGCGGTTCATGACTGCGTGCGTGCGTTTTCGAAAGGCCGTGGCCGCTGTCGTTGTTCAGCTCTGGCTCAGGATCGCTTTTGCCTGACAGACGCGATGCGCTATGACGTAGCGACGTGTCCACTAAAGCCAGCGCTGTGCAGCCTGCCCCAGGGGCAATGGGAAAAGTGTCCCGAAAAAGCAGGAGCCAATCCGTATCTTTGCACCATCTCAACAAGAGGCGTATATGTATCTTACGTAGTCTACATATATACGTGAGCTGCCAATTCTCTTCTGTCGCCATGCTCGCAAAACGCCTCCTGTTCTTCTCTGCCGGCGCCGTGCTCGCGGCCACCGGCCTGGCACACGGCAGTCACGAGAGCGCCGGTCAGAAGCCTGTCGTCGACGATTCGGCCGACTGGGCAACAAAACACATGGCAGGTGAGTTGCCTTTGCTCGCCATTTGTCCTCTCTCTCTCTCTCTGTCCCATCCGTCTTTCTGACCCCCACAAGAGGAACACCACATTGCCGGCTTCGACCCAGCCTCCTTCTTCACCCTCCACGACTTTGACAACGACGGGATCTGGTCGCCCAACGAGATCGAGCGAACCTACGGCCTCTACGACCCGTCCAATGCCGAAATCCTGCAGAAGCGCCGCGGCCAGATCGTTGACAGCGTGCTCGCCCTGTTCGATGGCAACCGCGACGGCCGTGTCAGCCGCGACGAGTGGCGCTCCGCCCATGCCGCCGGCGTCGTGCTGCCCGACCTTGGCACCGGTCCCGGCCATCATGGCGACGACGAGTACGAGTACGAGATCCACCACTGGGAAAAGTACCACGACGACAACACCAAGCTCGAGGACCTGACCCACCCCGAGGACATTGCCCACTTCAAGCACCACGAGGAGCTCGAGGCTGAGGAGGCCCGTCTCGAGGCCCTGAGTCGCCTGACCATCGTGTTCGATAACGTGCCCTCTCTCTTTCGGCGGCAGTGACAGGAAAAGGCGGGTCCGGTATTGGGACAACAACTTGCTAGAATGATATGGCCGCTATCTATAGAACGGGACATACAGCTCCTGTTGGCCCAATGTTTGCACAAGAGTGTTTGGATATTAGAATACACAGTCCCCGACGGAGACACATACACGCACACACACGCACACACGCAAACTAAAAGAAAACATGAAATCGCAAGATCCAGCGCCCAGCCCGTTCCATCCAGTCGCGTCAAGATGCTTCTATGCAATAAGAACGGATTGTGTCCGTCAAAGCAGGCCAGAAGGAAATGACGGCGATGAAGAAGCAAAGAACCATGAGCCCCATTCCCCCTACCAGTCCATACATGAAAGCGTTCTCGCATAAGCCAAAGCAAGAGTGGAAAAGAGAGAACAAAGAAGAAGGAAGGAGGAAAGAGAAAAGAGGAAAGAGGACGGAAAGAAAGCACCAGCGAACCCCCGCTAGAGGAAGTAGTCATTTGGCCCCCGTCGGTCGAATGGCGTGTGCCGGAACTCGTCTGGCACGGCCGAGAAGATGCGGAACTTGGACTCGAGATTGTTGTCGACCGTCATGATGGATGCCACGTTGCCGCACCGGTAGCAATAGTTGGGTGCCGACCAGACGGTGACGACGGACTTTTCGGGGAAGTGAAACTGCTCAGGTTAGCAGGATGCACGACAGCCCCAGAGACCACCCCCCCCCCCCAAAAAAAAAACCGACCTTGTAGCCCTCGTTAACCAGCTGATGCGCCCGCGCAATCGTCGTCAGTCCATTGACGTGGTTGAACTCGTTGGCCACCTTATCGCCAAACAGCCAGCCGGCGCCGCGCGGACTGACGGCCCACGTCGCAATCTCCTCGGGGTCGCTCCAGACCAGATCGCAAAAAGCGCCCTCGTGCGGGATCTCCTGCGCCCGTGCCACCACGCGGATCTGGTCGATCGTGCGAATCTCGGGCGACAGCCCACCGTGCACACACAACACCGTGCCGTCCACGATCGCCGCCAGCACCAGAAAGTCAAACACCTGGCAGCACGCCTTCCACACCGACGCGTTGCCGTACTTTTGCTGGCACTCCTCGTAGAACCCGTACACCTGTGTGATCTGTCGCGACTCGTGGTTGCCACGTACCAGCACGATCCGGTCGGGGTATCTGGACTGTTAGAAGGTACAGGGGGGAGCCAAGAGAGAACAAGACGCACCTTGCTTTCAGGCACATCAACAGCGTAAACGTCTCCAGGCTAAAGTACCCGCGGTCGACAAAGTCGCCGAGAAAGACAAAGCGCGTGTCGGCCGACTGCGATGTGCCCGACATGCCCTCGGTCGTGTTGCCCGTGTGGCTGTCCCCGTCGCCGGTCGCCGTCGCGTCGTCGTTGTCTGCTGTGGATGCGGCCCCGCCGCCGTCCTTTAGCTTCCTCCGCAGCCGCGGGTTGCGGATCTCTGTGGGCGGCTCGATATCTTCCGACGTGATCACCGACGTCATCGTCTTGGGTGCCTGCACGTCCGTCTCGCCAGGCATGCCGCCGGCTACGCGAAAGAGCTCGAGCAGGTCGTAGAACTGGCCGTGGATGTCGCCGCAGATAGTCACCGGCGTCGACACCGGCTGGATGTTGGATTCTGGCGCCGTCAGCAAGTCGTCCAGCCCCAAGCGGGCGCACGCCTGGTCTTACCCTCCATCAGCACCTCCTTGACCATCTCGCAGAGCTGCTTCATGACCGGCTCGGGCAGATAGTGGCACTGCTTTGCCTCTGCAAGCCAGTCGTCAAGTCCGGCGCCTGGCCACAGATTGGCCGGCCCGGGCTTTGGCACGTCGTACATGGCCGGCATGGATGCGAGCGCCGTATTCGGCCGGTTGCCGCAGTGGTGGTAGTGGTGGTGGTGGTGGGGGGCGGAGAAAATGGAGACACGCCGCAGCTCTGCCACGATTGGCGGCTTCTCGCGGATAGAATGGGCACCCGGATGATGGAGGAAAGGACCGTCGTGCGCGCAGACCGGGACCAGAACGTCACAGGGCCAAAGGGGTGTTTCCGGCCGTTTCGAAAATGAGACAGCTTTCGTCTGCAGAGAGTCGACTGGATGCATCTTGCTCACTGGTCGGCCAATTGATAATCCGGCCGACCAATCTGCGATACGGCTCGCCCCACCACAAATCGACTTTCTTCGCTACATGTTCAACTAATACGCTCGACTCTGACTGTCCGCGATCAGTCGGACCCCTACAGCTTTCACCGTCGCTGTCACGCACCCAAATAATCCGGTGCCAAACCGGGATCGATTATGAATGTTGCCCGTCTCGCCGGCAGCATAGACACCCCACTCTTCTGCTAGTGCAAGGCGAGAATAGACAGAACGGCATCCGGTCGCTCAGCAGCAAAACAACAGCGAGGTTGTTCGCTTCGCGGGCATCCGAAATCATGGCCGCTCCGCAGGCTGTGTTGTCGCGGAAGTTCAACGGGGTTCTTCCGGTTCCTGCCAGCGCCACAGCAGTATCGACCGTTCCGAGGGCAGCGGCTGCCGATGCCACCAAGCCAGTAAAGGCGAAGACGGCCGTAGAGGGTGACAAGTTTGTCATTCGCCGGCTTCCGCCCGGCCTGACCGAGGACGAGTTCTTCACCATCCTCGGCGACGAGTGGAAGCAGGGTCGTGGACGAGTCGGCTGGCTGTCCTTCCACGCCGGCAAGATCTCGAAAGAGTAGGTTGCGCCTTGTGTGCCAGCAGTCCTTGGATGTTGTGGCCTGGCCGGCTAACCCACGCTCTCCCGCAGCCCTTCCAAGCCGTCCCGGCCAGCATTTGCGGTCCTCCACGTGCTGCGCAACGAGGACCTGGGCCTGCTGTCGGACGTTGTACGCAGCGCATCGTGGGTCGACGCCAAGGAGTCGTGGACCAGCCCGGTATTGGTTGGGCCGCCCGTGGCGGAGTTCTCCCTGTACAAGAAGGTGCCGAGCGGCAAGCGTAGGACCGACAGCCGCCAGGGGACGATCGACCAGGACGCCGAGTTCATGGCGTTCCTCGAGGCGCTGGCCAACCCGACCAGTGCCAAGGAGAGCGCTGCAGCAGCGGCCAACGGCACCGACGGCGGCCAGACAGCGACGGCCACCAACGGTGCAGCAGGCGGTGCTCTGGGCGAGGACGATGCGGCCAAGACCAAGACCAAGGTCACGTCGACGCCACTGATTGACTTTCTGCGCGAGAAGAAGGCGAACAAGAGCAAGGAGACGGCCAACGGGAAGTCCGGTAAACAGGGACGGGATAAGGGCCGAGGATCCGGCACTCTGGACGAGCCGGCCAGCTCCAAGAAGCGGGCCAAAGGCGATAAGGTCGACAAGGCCGACAGGGACAAGGAACGGTCGGGCAGCGGCAGGTCCAAGGCGTCGGTTAAGATCCTGACCAAGAAGGCCATTGCTGAAGCTGCCGAGGCAGCGAACAATCTGGCGGCAGCGGCAGCGGCATCGGCAGCCGGAGGAGTGTCCGCATCGGCCTCGGGTACGGGCAAGGAAGAGATGCCCAAGAGTCGTCGCGCCGGCATCCTGGCGGCTGCTCGGATTCTGCAGCGCGATCTGGGTCTCAGTCCGGGGCTGGCCCATAGGAAAGCCAGGGCAGCCGCCGCACAGGCTGCACAGACTGTAGGCCAAGCGGACAGCGACGCGCCCAAGGTCAACGGAAAGACAAGAGAGAAGGACAGCAGCAGCGCTGTGGCGGCGCCAGATGGGCATTCTCCCAAGACGGCCACAGGTCCTGCGGCAGCGACATCTGCGGCAGCAACAGCGACAGCCGCCGGATCCAAGAGAACGACACGAGGCACAGACGAGAACGGTCCGTCGTCCCGTGGATCCCGTGGCAAGAAGGGCCAGGGCGGCGACTCGGGTAGGGGCAAAGCTGCGACAGCAAACAAGGGAGAAGTCGGTGCGAGCACGCCTGCCAAGATCCTGTTGAAGAAGCGGGAAGATAGCTCGTCGGGCGCGACGGCGACGACGACGACGACAGCAACAGCTACAGCGGCGACGAATGGAACTGCGATGGCGATCCCTTCGGCAGGTCCCAAGGCCGGTGCAGAAAAGACCAAGTCCACGGGCACGAGGAGGGGAGGAGGAGGGGGGACCACGGGAGGAGCAGGGGGCAATGGCAGTGGCGGTGCTTCGGCTACGACGACGACGACGACACCGACACCTGGTGCAACACGGGCGTTTGTCAAGCACGCTAACCCGTCGCAGGGCGTGACGGAGGTGCTGCTCAAGGAGGCGATGCAGGTCTTTGGCACGGTGACGCACGCAGAAATCGACCGGCGCAAGGGCTTTGCGTTTGTCGACTTTGCCGACCACAGCAGCCTGGTGCGAGCGATGGAGGCCAGTCCTATCAGCGTGGCTCAGGCGGCCGTGCAGGTGCTCGAGCGCAAGGATCGTGAGCCGAAAAAGAGCGGCGCCGCACAGGGATCGACAGCAGGCGTGGCAGCAGCAACGACTGCGACGGCCTCTACGAGCAATGCAGCGTCTGCCAGTTCTGCTACTGCTGCTGCTACGCCGGCAGGCAAGCCGTCTGACAGCGTGGCCGGAGACAAGGCACCGTCTGTTGCCACCACAGCAGACGGAAAGCGGCCGGCCCGACGGCGAGGAGGTCGCAGACGGGGTGGTGGCGGTGGAGGCAGCAGTGGTGGTGCGGATGGCGACGGTGGCGGTGGAAAAGAAGGCACCAACGCCGGCCGACGAGGAGCAGCAGCCTCTGGAGAGGGGGGAGGAGGCGGTCCAGCGCCGACATCGGCTGCAGCGTCTGCTGCTGCTGCTGCTGCCGCTCCCAACAAGACGACCGGATGAAGGTGTGCACCTTTTTTTCCTTTTTTGCCACATCTGCTGTTGCAAAGCCTGTCACGTCATCCGTCCCTCTCTCTCTCTGACCGCCAGAAGGAGAAGGCGGCCTTGAAGCTTGGCCGTAGGGGGAATGAATGGATGGAGGGGTGGTGACATGCGTCCATTGTGCGTCCAATGTGCGTCAATGTGCGTCGATGTGCGTCAATGTGCGTGATCTGCAGTGACGGGCAGAGTCGTGCGCACATGCGCGGGAAAAGAGCGGAGAGGTCGGACAGCATGGAAGAAGAGGAGGGAAGAGGGGGGGGGTGTGTCCAGCGAGCTGAAAGCAGACGGCTGGCGACAAGACGTGCGAAACGGCCAGAACGGCTCGAACGGCTCAGACGGTCGGCAACGCTGGCTACACCGCAACCGTGCTCTCTCTCGATGGTGGATCGAACCAGACGACAGTGTCGCTGAACACGAGCACGAGCTGTGGTCGACAGGGCTGCTGCTCGCTCGGCTCGAGGTGCGCAATAGCCGGTAAAGCTCTCTGGGCGGATGGCAAGACTGATGAGCAATAAAGCGTTTTTATTATTAAGTGTACTTACGATCGCATGTGTGTCAGTCCACGCTTACGTATCGGTCACGGTCAGCCCAGGTGGAAGCAGGCAGAACAGAAGGACAGGGAGGGAGAATTGTGCGGAAACATGCAAGAATAAGCAGAAACGAACAGAAACAAACAGAATCAAACAGAAAAGGCAGAGCCTAGGAAAGCCACACACTGCAAAACTGCGCAGCCGGTGAGGGGCAGCATGGCTGCCTAGAGACTGCTGCTATGCCCATGTGATGCGGCTTGCCACAGCAGGAAACACTGCAGCTGCCAGACAAGGCTGCATGCAGGCCTCTGCAAGTGAGACATACAAAATAGCAAAGTGCACGTGGACAGACGCGGTGCGCAAACGCTGAAGTTGCCTTCTATCTAATAGTATGCTGTGCTATTTGCCCTCATAAACATCCATCCGTGCTCGAGTGATCTGCCCGGGGCCACTTGGTATCTTGCAATTCCACTCTCTATCGACTTTTTGTCCTTCCCTGTCGTCGCCATACGTGACACCCATATACATGATTCCCAAACCCTGTCCTGCTTTTTCCTTCCTCCTCGTAACGTACATTGCGCTATACAAAATCGGAAGTTGAAGATGGCAAGAGGAGATACTTCTCCCAGCTACCATCTCCAAGGCTAGGCCTCCCAATTGTCGACATTGAAGTAGAAACGCCCGGATCCATCTCTATAATATGCTTTTCCATCCCTCGTCTCGTTGCAGAAGGGAAGAAAAATCAAGCGAAAACACGAAGAAAAAGGGAACAAGGAGAAATGAAGAGGAAAAAAGGAAGGAAAAAAAGGAAAATAGGAAAATAGGAAAATAGGAAAATAGGAAAATAGGAAAATAGGAAAAAAAGGCAAGGACACAAATGGTACATATGAACAGGCTTGCCAAGACCCGCCCCAAAAAGCATGTCGCATGCAATCGGCTGCCCAACTACCAATCAAGTCGAGGAGTCGCTGGTGTACTGTTCCTGCATTTCTATCCGCATCCTGATTCGCAGATAGCGACCATGTTGCGAAGTGCAAGATACGGAAACAACCCGTGCCATCAAAACGGATCTACCGAGGGTGGCGTGGCCGAGGCGGGTAGTAGTTGTCGCCCTGGAAGGGGTAGTCGCCGACAGAATCGTCGTAGATCATGACGGTCGGCCGGATGCCGTCGATCATCTTGAGGTCCCCGCGAGGCGTGACTAGAGTGTTCTGCTGGGGTGGGAAGTACGGCTGCGGTGCCGTGTATGCTGGGAACACAGCGCCAGCAATGGCCCCGGGCCCCGACATCATGGGAGGACCAGCACGCGGAGCCGCTTTGACGGCAGAGCCAGCCGTAGCCGCCATCAAGATGTTGGGACGCGAATGGCCGCCGGGCCCAAAGGGCTCAACGTAGCTCGCCCGACGGGCACGCGGCTGACGAGGCCCGCCGTTCTCGATGCTGCCGTTGCTACCGTTGCTTCCGTTGCTGCCCTGGCGGCTGCTGTGGTGGTTGTTGCCGTTCGCGTTGTTGGTGCTGGCGACGACGGTGTTGTTGCTGCCGTTGGCACCGATGCTGCCGCTGACATGGTGTCGGTGAGACGACGAGGAGGTCGCCGACGAGGAGGACGCGTTGCTGTCGCCGCTCTTGGAGCCGTTGCCGCTGCCGTTCTCGTCCCTGGGGTCGAAGCGCTGCGACAGCCGCTTCTTCTGCTCCTTGGCATTGTCCTTGGCACTGTCATGCTTGCTGTTGGACCGCGACAGCTTGACGGTGCTGGTGGTGCTGCTAGGCCCTTTGATTGACGACGTCCGCTTGCTTTCGCGCGATCCCGAGCCGCTGCCAGTCTTTGCAGCCGACCCGGATGAGGCCTTCTTGTCCGGAGTTCGGCCTCCTCCATTCGTCTCCGTCGCCCCGCCGTTGCCCGGGCTTGCACCGCCGGCAAAGGGAGGCGCCACGTTCAGATTGCACTGCAGCTCGTTGCAGCGGGCATTGGCCTCGGCCAGGTTCTGGCGCAGGGTGCCGACTTCGTCCTCGAGCTCATCGATCCGCTCGGCAGACGTCTCGGCAGCGGCCTTGGCATCCCGCGACAGCTTCCGGTTCTCTTCCTCCAACTTCTTGATCTTGTCCTCAAACTGCTTTCTCTCGTCTTCGGCCTGCTGCTTGAGCTGGCTGACGGTCTCGTGCCGCTTGGCCTCGGACACCTTCAGTTGCGCCTCGGAATCCTTCAGTTGCGTCTCGACATCCTTCAGTTGCGCCTCGACATCCTTCACTTCCGTCTCGGCATCCTTCAACTCCTTCTCCAGCTGGTGGACATCCGCTTCCAGATCCTTAGCACGACGCTTCCACTGGTCCTTGGAAGTAGTAGCTCCTTCATAAGCCTTTTCTAAAGTGGCAAAGTCGTGCCACTGGGGCTGGACCGCATGGCCATGTCCGGCAAAAGTCGTCCGGTCCGAGTTGGAATAGCGGCTGCTGGCATTGCTGCCGACGCCGGCGGCACTGCTGCCAGGGAAGTCGCTGATCGATCCAGCGCCCGAATCGCTGGCATAGCGAGACGAGGTGGCGCTGGACAGCGGCGACTCCCGGAAATTGACTCTCCTCTGGTCGGACATCCTGGGCCGTTGTGGGGGATTGGCCTCCTTAAGTGTTATGTGTGAGTGTGCGCGGATGCGTGTCGAAACTCGCTTCGACGCTCTCTTGCGTACGGGTTTATCCTCTTTGGGATGACCCTCTCCGGGCGTTCCCTTTCTCGTATGCTATGCGCTGTAGTGTGCTGCAGTATGCGCGTGGGGAAACCAGGAACTGGACAGCTCCGATCGTGGTCTGACGAAGCGGACGAAGCGGGCAGTCCAGAGGGGAAACAAAAGAATCGAAAAGGTATAGTGCTTTATGCAGTATGTCGTGGTTTTTACTGGATCGAGTGGGAAAAGAGGAGGGAGGGGAGAAGTCAGGACTGGTTGTCGGTGCTGCAGCGGTGCCCGAGGATTATAAGGGGCTGCTTTTCAATGCAGCGGCCGGTTCGCAGGTTCGCAAATTGGGATCGAGCACAGAGGAATGGCAGCGGGAAAGAAGAGAAGAAATGTGGGCTTTTGGGTGCAGATGGGTCGGTGCAGTTGGGCTCTCAGCGAATGCAGCAAGGCTGCGTGGAGACAAACTGGTTGGGCTCCAACGTTTGAGACAGGGTTATTGAGCCTAATAAAGAAAGAGAAAAAAAAATCGGATTACGAGGGGGGGGGAGAAAAGAAGGCGGGCGACGCGTATTATTATATTTATGCCGTTTGCAGGCGGGGGTCTGCTGGGTGTGCTGAAACGTGCCAGACAAAGGGGTCTGGGTTGCGCTTTCTGGCGGCAGAGACGGTCGTTCGATGAAGAAAGCGCGTTCGGGGAAAGAAGGAGAGAAGGACAGGGTAAGGGTGAAGTGGGCGAGGGTTATATGCGCAGATGGCAAATGCAATGCACGCAGGCGGGCAGTGCTCTGACAGGGATATGGGATATGGATGGGGGAAGCCGGGACAGATTGACACGGCCCAGAGTCGCCTTTCTCGTCTCCTTCTGGCCTCTTTTCGCCTTTCTGACAGTCCTGTCGGTCCGGTCTGACAGTCCTGTCCAGGCTGCCAGGCACACCAATGTGCTGATGGGTGGCAGTGCATCAACAGAGGATGGGCGTCTGCCTATCACCGTGCAGAGGCCTGATGTTGCAGCCAGAGGAGCGGAGAAATGTTGCCAGGGGCTTGGAATGTGTGGTGTTGTCCCGTGAGAAGCAGGTGGCAGAGCCGAAAAAAGAACGACAAAGGGTGGGTGGATCGGGACAATGCGACCAAAGGCGCCGGCCACGAGCCAATTGAGTGGCCAGTCACGCCCGCTCGCCGGTCTCTCCTTCCTGGCCGTCCTGGGTACATGAGTCACAGCTGCCAGTTCTGGCCGCTCGTCGCATGAAAAGAGGAAGGAGGGGGGAGGACAAACGGCCGCCCTTGTCTTTCGTTTGGATTCCTCCCGTTTGCTCTGGCTCGAATTTCTAAGCCGCCTTTTGCTTTTCGCTAAAAGGCTTTTCGCTGAAAGGCTTTTTCCCCTCCACTCCAATTGTGCGCGCAGGGGTATACCTTCCTGGTTGAGCGGCCGACTTTCCCTCCGTAATTCTTCGCCAGATCGTCAGGTTGCTATTTCCGTTCTAGGTCTGGTGCGAGGGTTTGTCCGTCCGTCCCGTCACAGAGTCCGCCGTCGTCGTTTTAGTGGATGGCCTGCAGGGCTGATGGTCGGTAAGATTTCTTGCTTCAGGCAAATACGGAGGTTAATTTGCTGGAGACCGCCCCCTCTCAACGTTTCTGTCCGTCGCTCGTCGCGCAACAGTTATCCTTACTAGCGGACAAAACGGAACGCCCCACCTGCCACCCCACACCACAGGGTAAGGGCATAAAATACGGAGTGCGTGTATTGAAGCCAAAACCCATGCAAGCTGTGGTATCTTTTTTTTTTTTTTTTTCAAATGCCGGAAGAGCAAATACTGTACACTCACTATGTGCGCTCCTGTCTTCCATCAGCGGTGCGACTTCACCGACATTTCTTCATCCTGCCGGGCAACAGAGGCGGTCGGATACAAAAAGCACAATAGCTCAGACATGTGCGTTCGGCCAATTCGCCAGTCTAGCCTGAGTTGCTATCTCGCCCCTCGAGTAAGCTGCGAGCGAGCATGAGCAAGCAGCGTGGCCTATCTTGCAGTGGGCCGACGCCGGCGTGGGGAAGCAGTATGCACCTGTACTAGGACCAACCAGCGGCACGGGACGCGATCCGGATCCTCTTGAAGTTCGCCCAGCTCTCCCAGTTTACGATAAAGGACGAGGTAAATGACTCAGGACCATGCCGCTCACGAGGACACGTCGCTCAGATGGAGCCGGCCGGCGCTTGACGAAACGGACTAGGTGGCAGCCACGAGCCAAAGGACGGCGTCTTCCTGCTCAGTAGTCTATCACGGGTCATGGTGAGATAGGAGAGGAGGTTGGGGGCCGGGCTGTGCCCTGTTTCGTTTCCCCCGTTCTTATTTTTGCCAACTGCGCAAAACAGAGGAGCCCCGTCCGGTCGTATTCGTAGACCAATCGACACGCAACACTGGGCCTTTGTCTTCATGCATCGCACCCCCTCACACCCTCTCACACTCTTCACACTCCTCACCCCTCCCTGGTCCTCCCGGTCGTCCCCCAGTCGGTCTCTCCCTAGTTTCCGTCGACAAATGCATCCAGCTTGGCTTGGTCGTAGACGTCAGCCTCTACGAGCTTATGCCATTGCTGTGACGTGTTAGCAGGAAGGATCGAGAATTTATGCTGCGCGCGCCGCCGGATTTCATTCTTACCCCATCGCTGGTCACCTTGAGCAGCGTCGGCAGGTTGGTCACGTTGAACGGGCCTTGGCGAAACGGATTGTCTGTCCGTCTCCATCTGCACAGGTTCAGAGTCAGAAATCAGACGGAGGGGAGACAGGCGTCTGGCTCACTTCTGCGGGTCGCCTGCGTAGACCACCTGAGCGTCCTTCTGGGCAAATTTCCTTTCCAGATAGGGCTCGGCCGTCCGGCAGTCGCCGCACCAGCTGCGACCGTTGATGAGGCCGGCATAGACGACGAGATACGCCGGTGTCGATCCGGCCTTGGCGTCCTTGACAAGCTGCTGCGCGAGCGCCGCCGGCGAGAGCACGGAGTTCTGGAGCGGCATCGTTGCTTCTGTTCGGTCTGTTCGGATGCTTGTCGTAGTGATCGTCCGGCTGTCCGGCTGTCTTGCATTCGTAGGCGAAAAGATTGCAGACGGAGCCTTTTGACGGCGAGCGATGGTGCCAGAAAATAGTCGAATTGCTAGCAGGCGCTAAATGACGACAGCGGCTTCGAGGCCGCATATGGCAGGTGTCCTATGTCGGCCAATAGCAGGTTTGTACTTTCCCAATCTGGAACATCCAGTTTTTGGCCACCGGCTCTCCTGCATGCAGCCCGAAGACTGCAATCCTCTCCTCTGCCTCTGCAGCAGTCCATCGATCAGCTTGGACCAATACTATGTGACTGTTCAGCAAGCCCACCGTCCCGGCTGTTTGCCGTGCCTTTCCCGCGAGCTACCAACGACAATGCGCGCTTCATTGGTGGGCCCTGCTGCCGCTCTCGTGCATCAAGGTGGCATCTTTTGTTTTTTCTATTTCCGGCTCATCGCGATTGTACCATGTGCCTCTGTTTCTTATCTGCAAAACTGGACATGTTTCTAAATATCGCAGGGTAGCGGCGACTTCCGGGCGCCTTGCTGGGTTTTATCTTCCAGCTGACACGCGAGTACGACTGGCAATTTGGTACATTGGACAAAGCCTCCTGTTCTGATAGATCATCTGCATGCATCACATGGTCTTTGATTTGAAACCAGAGCTTGTTTTTGATCATCTAATGAGTTTTTCCACCTGCTGGAAGCTGCATATATCCTATCCCGCACTTCTGATGGCTCTAATGCATGCAGCTTCAACAAAAAACAGACTGAAGTCGAGCCAAGGGAAGATTGAAAGCAAAAAAAAACAAAGGGAAAAGGAAAGAGATAGACGGATGGAAATATTCAAAGATGAGAACTGACCTGTGGCCGACTCTTCTCTCACGAGTACCTCACCTCCACCTCGACACGACGCGAGCCACCCGCCCGGCTGTGCTTGCTTGCCCGTCGTTGCGTATCCTCGAGGCTAGCATCCTCGATCCGGGCGCTATTTCGCCGCTGGATCGCAGCGCGTGGTGACCGTTCATAAGCATCATAGTAGGTGTTGTCGTGGCCGGTCTGCTCGTGGCGGCTGTGGCCACGGTGCTCTCGGCCGCTGCTGGACCGCCCATAATAGTCTTCATCCTCGCCACGACGCCGGTGGTGACGGCTCCGGTCCTGGTCCTCTTTCTTCGAACGATGGCTGCCACTCAGATAGGAGCCCTCGACGTTGTTGGCAAAGCGGACATGCTTCTGTCCGGAATGCCGCCTCGACGGCTCGGCGGACGGAACGGGATCACAGCTGCTGTGGCGGAAGGCGTCGGCCGCAGTTCGGTAGCTGGACGTATATCCCTGGTGGCTACGTGAGCTGCGACAGCTCTGACTCTGACTCTGGCCCTGGCTCGGCACAAATGAGGCTACCCGCGGCGGCGGTGTCCACGGGTCGCCCGAGACGGTGCGCGAAGAGGACGATGGGTGGTATCGGGATCCGTAGTAAGCGCTGGACCCAGAATTGACACCGACGGAATAGGACAGAGGGGCTGGTCGGCTGTAGCTCTGACGACGGTTGGATGAGCTGGTGCGGACGCCGTATGAGACGTAGTCGCGGCTGAAGGTCCCAGATCGGCTGGGCCAAAGGAGGGTGGATATTCCCCAAGAACACATGGGAGAGACGATGATGGGGTATCTGCTGCAAAGGCTGGGTAGAAGCAAGTGGTGGATATGTTTTGTGTGTAGCTAGGACTTCTTCGGGAGCTGTGCTTGGAGAATTTGTTCTGAATTACATTGATTAGCTCCTATCCAAAGAAGAAATGAGTTGCCTCCTTATTTATTCTCGGGGGGGCCTACTTCTTGACAGGACATGAACAGGCGACGAAACAAAGAGGTTGCGGATAAAGTGAAGCTCGAGTAGTGAAGGACTCAGAAGAGAAGTTTTTTGAAGCTTACAATAGCCTCCCTGTGATGAAGGAATTCAAAAGACTCTGTTTCGAACGGCTTGGCCTTTGTTTCGACGTTCTCGATGGCCAGGGTGGGTGCTATCAGTTTCTTTGTTGCTTTTGTTTCTCAACTCGCAAGGAGCTGGGCGAATAAGCAATTTTTCTTTTGAAAAACTCGCAGTATAACAGAAAAAGACATGGAGAAAAGGAGAGAGGAGTAAGGAAGTGAGGAACGCAATAAGAGCAGGCACCTTCCCTTAAGTACGTCTCCTGGCGGACAACAGACACTAGACATGGCGAGGGTTTTTTTCACAAAGAGTCACAAAGAACCAAGTCAGTAGGTGAGTGCCCCCTGACGTCGGAATGGGGGCAGGAAGGGGCTGTACGCTCAGAAGTCGCCGGAAGACGAGAGAAGACCATTGAGGCCGCGTGGAGTGAATAGGTTGCGCGGAAGGCGGCAGAGAGGGTAAGCTGTCACTTGCTCAGCTTCCGAGCTCAGGAGGGGGTGACTCTGCTCTAGGAGTGACAACGTCTCTTGACGACCCCCAGTCGGTAGGCGAGTGCCAACCTAGACGGTGGCTCACACGTACGTCCTTCATCGTCGCCCAGTGGCGACATCAAGGCCAAGAGGCTGAACGGGAAAGGACGCAAAGACGGGACAGCGTTATCGACCTTGTCTACTGTAGACAGCCCGGCCGAGTGCAAAGTAGGAAGCAAGGGGAGGGGGTGGACAGACACGACACCGAGGAGAAGGGAAAAAAGGCGACGTACGGCAGGCAAGGTGTGGTACCCATGACGTGTGGCAAATGGGCCGGGGCAGCAGAAAAGAGAGAAGCGGGACGGGAATGACAGAGCATTGAGCAAAGCAGACAAAGGGGACGGGGGAGAGCGGGGGGGGGGGCAGACACAGGGCCTCTCGCTTAGGTTGGGTGTCTTCACAGCCTCGTTCGGCCAAGGCCACCAGAGACGGCGACCTGCCACGGTGGCCTAGAGAGGTGAAGAATGCCGGAGGACAAAGGAAGGACAAGGACAGGACAGCAGCAGTGCGATTTGTTTCCGAGGCAGCCAGCCCGAAAGCCAGTTTTCGTTTTCGTTTTCGTTTTCTATTTTTATTTACTTTTACTCTCTCTTTGTCTTGCATTCCCACCCTCTTTCGCAAAGACATTCCGTGAAGAAAGAGAGCAGAGAGGGTGTGGTGAAGAGAAAAAGGGTGGTGGCTGATAGGGAGGCCTTATTAGTGCTGTTTATGCGCAAGGCTGCAGCGTCGATCCACTGCGTAATTTTTGGTTTTCGTCTTTCCCGGGTGGCGCTTACTCTGCAAAAAAAAAAAAAATTTACTCTGCAAGGCACCGCACTGCAGTTGGTCCAACGCTCTCTGGGGTACATGCAGCTTGCAGACAGAATGACGCTGGGGCGATTGCGTCTTGCCAGAACGGCCCCATCACGCAGCTTCTCATTTGTCGGCCCTATTTGCACGGCAGCCGGACCTTTCATTTCTGTAGTTTGTAATCTGTAATCTGTTGTTTCTTTTTTTTTACTTTCGTTTTTCCATTTCGCTTTTGTATCAAGGTGACTGCCCGCGACTGCTTCCAGAGCAAAGTCTGTCAGTTTCAGTTCATGTCTCGATGGATCATACTCGCTTTCCACAAATCTAAGATACAAGACCAGAAAGTGCTCGTCTTTTTTCCTATCACATATCCAATACTCCGGAGCCACCCATAGACGCCCGTCGCGATGCCATTTCCTCTGACGTGCGGCTTCCGCGGCTCTTCCTCCCCCGTCGGCGTGGCCGTGATGTCGTATCGTGATCGTAGCAGAAGACCCAAAAACGCAGTAATCAAAAAAGCAAAGCCTAAGATGCTTTATCGGGGGTATTCGTCGTCCATATTTCCGCTGTTGCTGTCTCATCGGTTTGCCGCCACCCTGGTGCAGCTACCGTGCTGTCAGCCATGCAACGCCTCGTATATAGAGGAGGAGCATATCTCGGACTCGATGGTTCAGTCGACCTGATAACGACGGAAACCTGACAGGCCAGGACCATCATCGGCCTCTGCTGTAGTGTCTGGCTCGAGGTCACGGTGGAAACACGTGCATGTGCTTTCAAAATATGTGCTTAAAGATGTTTGTAGCTCATTCCAGTTCCTTGAGCCTCATTATGGCCTCTTCGAGGCTTTCCTGCTTGGGAGACTGGGGTTCGGCCTCTGCTTGCCCTACAGGCTCATGAAGCATGTGCTGGGCCGAGGCAGAGTCCTCTGTCGAGCCGTTGTGATTCTGTTCAGCCTGTGGTTCAGCCTGAGGCTGTTGTAGCTGCTGCAGCTGGTGCAACTGGTGAAATTGTTGTGCTTGGCTGGGAGAGTAGGTCTGGGGTGGCGAGGGGAGATGTGGTGACGCTGGTTGTTGCGTTTGCTGCTGCTGCTGTTGTTGTTGTTGGTGTTGTTGTTGCTGTTGTTGGAGCTGCTGCTGCAACTGGTGCAGTGGATGTTGAGGCTGCATCTGGCTTGGCTGCGCCTGCTGCTGGACTGCCGGCCTGGCCTGTCCCTGTTGCTGCGCCTGCTGCTGGTGAAGAGGCCTCGCCTGGTTTGCGCTCTGGGCCATCGGCTGTGGCGACATCGGAGGACGGGCTTGCTGTTGTTGGTGTTGTTGTAGACGCTGTAGTCCGCCAGGAGTGGTGACGCCCGGGGCTCCAGCAGCTGGGAGGCCGGCTGTGATCGGCCTTGTAGCATTGCCTGCCTCGGAGTTTGATGGCGTGGCAGCACGACTGAAAGGTCCTGGCCGTCCAGACCCTTGTGGTGTTTCTGACGGCATTCCACTAAGGGGAACGATATTCCGGATCGAGTCGAGGGCGGCCTGTACCGCTGGCAGCTGTGAGGCTGCCGTCGCCATTGGTCTGCCAGCTCCTGTCGTTGCTGACTGTGGTCGTTGTTGCTGCTGCTGGAGTTGTTGTTGCTGCAGCTGTTGCTGAAGCCGCTGCTGCAGCTGTTGTTGCTGTTGTTGCTGCTGCTGCAGCTGCTGCGGTTGCTGTTGCTGTGGAACGGGTTGAGCCCGCGCTGCGCCCGTCGTCCGTGCCGTTCCCAGGTCTGTCGCCGTGGCTGCACCGGTCTTGTTGTCCTGCAGGCCGCCGGCAAGCGTCATGATGCCGCGCACGCGGGCCTGCTCCTCCTCGTTGTTGGACCGCGCCCGCTCCTCGGCCTCTTTCCGGGCAGCCTGGCCGGGCGCCCGCGTCTTGAGCTCGCCGGTGACGCAGTGGAGGTAGTAGGGCATCTCCGAGTTCGTCTTGAGAAAAAAGAGCTTCAGGTTGCGGGCCTTGTCCTTGAGCTGGACTTGGCTGCGGTCCTTGAGAATGTCGGATATCGTGCCGTTGGCGCCGAACAGCTGCAGGATCTGCGACCAGTGCGGTCCCTTGACCATGTCGAGCCCGGCCATGAGGGCCTGCTCCTCGTCGGGTGTCCACGGCCGCCGCGTACTATGCAAGCCCTCCCTTCGGGCGTGCGCAGTCGTCTTTGCTGCCGCGGCCTGCCGCGCTCTTTGATAAAGGACGGCGCTAGGCGACGTCTGATTGGGTGGAAGCGACCCGTTTGCCCCACCAGGTGTCTCGGTTACGGGCGGCTGTATCGGCTGCCGAGTAAACGAAGGAGTCCGACTCTGGAAGAGAGCCAGCTGGTTCGCATACGTGTTCTGCATACTCGTAAGGGCGGCTACCGTGCCCGGCTGTCAGCAAGAGGGGGGAATGTCGGTGAGAGAGGGACTACATACCATTAGCTGCCGTTACGGGAGAATGCGTCTGGGCAGCCTGCGCGTTTTGCGTCTCCTGGTTCAGCTTCTCTCTCAAGAGCATGGTCAGACCACTGAGGTCTGCTTCGCCTGTGGATCCAGACGTGCCGTTCTCAGTCGCCGTCTGCGTGTTCGTCTGCGCGGCAGACGCGCTCTTCTGCACTGCTTCCTGGATGAACTTGCTCAGTCCTTCGCTCATGGACGTGGACTCTATAGCGTCTACCATGTCGCCGCCGTGCACAGCCGTGATGCCAGCTGTCTGTGGCGCAGGTGGCGCGGCCTCGGCTGGCGGATCCGTCTCCATTGCGAACATGGATGCGAGGTTTGCACTCACTTCGGCAAGAGCATCGCTCATAGCTTGCTCGTCCGACACAGACTCTTCCTCTGTCGGAATCTCAATGCTGTGCGTCTCTGCATACTTTAGCACAATGTCCGCGTTGGTTTCCAAGAAGGCGCTGAGCTCGTTGCGGAACGAGTCCAGCGGGTATTTCTCCGTCAGTTCATCTGCGGTCACGGTTAGTCTAGGCAGCCAAAGGAAAAGAGGGCTATGGAGATGCGTACTCCTCGACTGCTCCGTCTTTGCTGCCTCAAGAAGCAAGTCTTTTGCTGCCATCATTTCCCTGAGAAAGGCGAGCTCCTGATCCGACAGCGGCACGTCTGGATGCAGCTGCTTGAGCTGGTCTTCGAGGTCGGCGGGAAAGAGCCGCTCCAGAAAATCGCCTCGCTGCTGGTCGTCAGGCAGCCGCTGGAACTCGCCGGCGATGGTGCGGAACTTGAGGCCGAGAAAGAGCGTGGCGAGATCCTCGGTCAGCGCGTTGGACTCGGGCAGAAACGTCATCAAGAAGTGGTCGTGCATGTCGATCAGGGACACGTCGTCGGCATCGAAGACGCTGGCACAGATCGTCGCCATGTTGGCCATCTGAATGGTTTCCTGGTCACCGAGCTCCTTGATGTCCAGCTCCTCGGGGATCAGCAGGGCCGATGAGTCGGAGAACATCTTGCGTGCGCAGCAAAAGGTGGCCCGTAGAGCCCTGTAGCACCGGCCGGTCTCGGTGTCGGCCGACGTGAGGTTGCTCAGGCCCTCGGGCCGGGGCCGCTCGCTCAGCGCGTGCAGGATCTGGACGGCCAGACTTCCCAGCATGGACAGTCCCATAGACCGCACGATGTAGGTGGGGTTCTGGGAGAAGCGCATCTTGTTCTGCTCCCGCGACGATGCGCCGGCCGTGTGGCTGTCGCTGGCCGCCGACGCAGGCACCCCCGGCTTCGTGACACCCCTCTGCTCGGCCGTCGTGACCACTGGGGACATGTCCATCTGAGACATGGCCGACACGTCGGCCGTGCCGAGTCCGACCTGGTTGCCGATCGAGGCCGCCATGGGGGCCCCAGCCAGCTGGTCCATGGAGCCGAGCGCAGACTCCAGCAGGGCGCCAATGTCCCAGCCGGGCTCGTCCAGCAGATCGTCCTGTGGCTCGTCCTTGATCCGCTTGGCATCTGTCTGGCAGCCATCGGCCCCCATGTCGGGTTCGTCGGACCATTGTCGCTTCAGCGCATTCTGAAGGGATTCGAAGAGATTGTCTGCCAAGGACGCGTGGTCGGCCATGTGGTCGGCCATGGACTCTTCCTTGAAGTCTGCAGGGGAATCAACTACATCCTGGTCAGCTGCGCCGTCTCTACAGCACCTCATCGGCCCTGGCAGGACAAACCGGTTGATTGAGTCGGCATTGCGCCGATTGGAGGGGCAGCCAGCGCAGTGCCTGCTGAGCCCACCCCGACGTCCGCCATGAAGGAACGCCTGCGCCCTTTGCAGAAAATGGTCCAAAATGGGAAACAAATCCGGTGAGGTCTCCGATCGTACGTAATGGGAAAGGGTATCAGGGGCGACTGGTGAGGCGGTATACAAGCTTGATGCTGTGGTCAGTCATTGACGTAGGCGGAAGGAAGTATGGGACGGCGATTATGGGTGGCAGAAATCGGAAAAATTAAAAAAATAAGGATTTTCCGGATTAGTCCGAAAAATCTGCCCTCAAAACTTGCCCCAGTGAGATACCGCCTTTTGATACACAACTCGCGGTGCACTTGGAAAAACTAGATGTAAATGTGTCGGCTGGCTAAAATAAAAGTAGATTAATTTGCTTAGACGAGTCTGCTACGAAGAAAACAACGCGGCCTCTGGTCTTCTCGCTCGGAGCACTTGGCATCGTCTACAGAAGCCTCTGGGGTGTTTTTCCCTTCATTTTGCCTGAAACTGATAAGGACGCATGTCGGACACGTGCTTGTTCTGTGCTCTGCAATTGATCTGATTGGCTGGTTCCCAAGTCAGTAGTCAGCAGCCCAGTCAGCAGTCCAGCCGTGCTGTGGCGGTGCAGGTCGGCGCCGTAATGCGGGAATAAAGATTTTACGCGGAGTTCGTTACACTGCTCCGACTAATCTTTAAATTGTATTCCCCCGTACGGGGTGCCACGGGGGCTCTGCTTGGGCGGGCCTGCGGAGGCGATTCGTGTTTTTACACGCACTAGCGCCTCCACATTGACCTCAACCCCCCATCTGGGGACACTTCCTTGTCACCGGATGGTGCACGGTGGCTATGATACGAGCCCCTACTCGCACGCCTCCTGCTTCCCAACGCGCTCGGCGACAAGGAACGCACTCTCTCCAGTATAATTCGGCTTGGCGGAGTGTGACTGCAGGACGGACTTTACGCGGACAGCGATAGCGCCCTCAGAGACCGACGGGGCCAGCGAAAGCACGCTAATCTACAAAAGGGATAACGCAATAGTGCAGTGCTGTGGGGGAGGGGATTGAGCGCAAAGTCGGGCATTCGAACCGGCATATCTGGAGGCTTGTAAAAGGTCGCTCTGCAATGCCCCGAGACGACGAACGATTCGAGACAGCGCCAACAAAGGCAGGATATGGATCGCGACAAGCCACTACAATCTGACAGCGGGATTCATTATCAGCTTATCTTATTTGGGCAAATAATATCGTATATTACAGGTCAGAGACACGATATATAGTACGTCCACTAGTATGCCCGAAGCTACACTATGTGTACGGAGTACGATCAGGGGGGGTGTCTTGGCGTTATGTGTCCTCTTACATAGTAGGATGAGAGGAAGATAGAGAGAGGCGACAAGGAGCCGTTAGCCCGCTTCTTGCGCATCTGTTTCACTGGCACGCCCAGGGAAGAGAGGGGTGAGATGAGAAAGTCATGAACGTGTCCGGTGGCTGGAAAGTCTTGGATCTACAGATGATATGCGGGGAAAATACAGCCAACCGAAGGGATTTCATGCCGGCGTCAGCAGAATAGCGGACCACGTATGTACTCCGTACGACGTATATCGAGAGTGGGCCTGGTTGGTGCACGAAACTCCCATTGCGCCGAGATGGACGCTTCTTTTTCCTTGTCTCTAGGCGCTCTGACTTTTGCCCCCACTTTCCACCGAGCTCTATGACGTCCGCTGCTCATATATTTGGTCTGTCCCCCTCACTTCCCCTTCGTTCCTTCCTGCTGTTTTTCTGTTGTCATTCACCAGTCTGAGCAAGCTGTACAATTCTGATTCTCACTTCAATTTTTACACTCTGCTCATTAATTCCACTTCTTCTACCCTCCACCGCTTACTAAAGATACAATGGCCAATCTTTCGGTCAAGATCAAGACCCCCCTCACGGGCGAGCTGACGCTCCCTACGGGCCTGTGAGTTTCTGACGTGTTCTGGGACGAGTATAGGAGACCATAGGAGGCTGACCGTGCAGGTTCATCAACAACGAGTTCGTGGCCAGTGTCGATGGCAAGACGTTTGAGGTGGTCAACCCCTCGACAGAGGAGGTGATCTGCTCGGTGCAGGAGGGATCAGAGAAGGATGTGGACATTGCAGTCAAGGCGGCGCGCAAGGCATTCAACGGCGTGTGGCGCGATACGACGCCGCAGCAGCGTGGCATCTACATGCTGAAGCTGGCCGACCTGGTGGAGGAGAACAGGGAGAAGCTGGCCGCGCTCGAGTCGCTGGATAACGGCAAGTCGATCACGCTCGCACGCGGCGATGTGGATGCGGTGGCCGGCTGCATCCGCTACTATGGCGGCTGGGCCGACAAGATCGAGGGCAAGACGCTCGACATTTCGCCCGACATGTTCCACTACACGCGCCAGGAGCCGCTGGGTGTCTGTGCCCAGATCATCCCGTGGAACTTCCCGCTGCTGATGCTGGCCTGGAAGATCGGCCCCGCCCTAGCCACGGGCAACACGATCGTGCTCAAGACGGCCGAGCAGACGCCGCTTTCCGGCCTGCTGTTCGCTTCGCTCGTCAAGCAGTGCGGCCTGCCGGCCGGCGTGCTCAACATCATCTCCGGTCTCGGCAAGGTGGCCGGTGCGGCCATGTCGTCGCACATGGACGTCGACAAGATCGCCTTTACTGGCTCCACGCCCGTCGGCCGCGCCATCATGAAGGCGGCTGCGGCGTCCAACCTGAAGAAGGTGACGCTTGAGCTGGGCGGCAAGTCGCCCAACATCGTCTTTGACGATGCCGACATTGAGAAGGCCATTGACTGGGTCAACTTTGGCATCTACTACAACCACGGCCAGACCTGCTGTGCCGGCTCGCGCGTCTACGTCCAGGAGGGCATCTACGACAAGTTTGTCGCCGCCTTCAAGGCCCGCGCCGAGAAGAACAAGGTTGGCGACCCGTTCCACGAGGAGACCTTCCAGGGCCCCCAGGTCAGCAAGCTGCAGTTCGACCGCGTCATGAGCTACATCAAGGCCGGCAAGGAGGAGGGTGCCAAGTGCGTCACCGGTGGCGGCCGTCACGGCGACAAGGGCTACTTCATCCAGCCGACCATCTTTAGCGACGTCCGCCAGGACATGAAGATCATGCAGGAGGAGATCTTTGGCCCCGTCTGCGCCATGGCCAAGTTCAAGGACGTCGAGGAGGTCATCCAGCTCGGCAACGACTCCAACTACGGTCTCGCTGCTGCCGTTCACACCACAAATCTCAACACGGCCATCCGTGTCAGCAACATGCTGCACGCCGGCACCGTCTGGGTCAACTGCTACAACCAGCTTCACCACCAGGTGCCCTTTGGTGGCTACAAGGAGTCTGGTATCGGCCGTGAGCTCGGCGAGCTGGCGCTGCTCAACTACACGCAGAACAAGTCGGTTGCGATCAAGCTCCAATAAGAGGCCGGTAGCATGGCGATTGTCTCGAGACAGACGTCGGACAGAAGTGTCTATACCCCCGGTGCCCTAGCCAGAAAGGACTGAGAAGCTCACCGACCGACACACCCTTGCCTAGGCTTTAGGAGCAGGTTCAGGGACGCCAGGCCAAGTGGAAGTGGGAAGGCGGTACAGCTCGGTGAATTGTGGGATGTTATCTATGAGCGAAACCCCGCCGAGGCTATGATCATTGTATGAATAAAAGCAAAAACCGTCGACAGACTGAGAAGGTAGTGATACATCAGCTGTAACACCATCAAGACATTAGCTCTTACATGTCTGTATACCCCTATGAATCGTGCCGTCCCGTGTATGCATAAGCGCCTGCAAGAAGATGGTGTGGCACTTTCGTGTGCGACATCGCAGAGTATCTAGTGTGTTGTGGCGAGGCGCAGCGCTGCGAAATCTGAACCTGGTAAAAGAATCGCCGGCCGGGACTGACCTACCGTTCGCTGCTCTGAACCAGGCGAAGACCAATCGTAGTTAGCTGCCGTCGGCCATGACATGGATCAAGCATCGAATCGCTGCAGTATTTCCCTGCAATCTGATCAACATTGCGATCCGATAGCTGGTGCCAGCAGACCGGCGGCCAATGAATCACCAGTGCATTGGTACAGAGTACTGCTTGACCTGTCCCCGTTCTTGTTGGCTATAAAATCCGTGCCGTAGACTGTGGTTTGAACTCTCCTGCCGCCAAAGCGTTTCCACGTTTCGAGCGAGAAATCGAGCTCATATAAGTCGAATGGAAATGGCTACCAAAGCGCTTTTCGCAAGCCCTGGCGACAGCAACCACATCCAACCAAAGAGCGAAGTCCCTGAGCCAGCGGCCGTTCCGTTCCATCAACCTTGACTACGGGCCCTTCTGGTGAACCATCCGAACTATCAGACCATTATCAACCTGGAGATTAGCTGTACGCAGGACTCCTTGTTCCTCGAGCCCGACATGGAACTATACCCGACCGTAGCATTCCTGTTTCGGCTCCTACTGCTGCTATTCAGTCTGAAGTCTGAATGAGGGCGAGGTACAATTCAATCCTGACACCGAACGCATAGAATTGACATTCCGATGAAGCATGTTGTAAAGTTATTCACAATAGGAAAAGGTGAGTAATCAGTAGGAGACCCGGATCCTTTGGTTACCATTACCAGCAGAAGCACAACTACCTGCTGATGGGGTCGGACTGCAGATGAAGCTGCTTGAAGTTTACCAAATGATTGCATATTGAAAATATGCTAAAACAACTCGACTGTGTCATCTCGATGCTGACTGTCATCGAAAACTGTTGATCACGACCACAACCTCTGCTTGCCTCGAGGCCTTCTGTAGGCGTAGTGAAGACTGGGATTTCTAAGCTTGGTGCTGCGCTAAGGAACCCCCGCAAACCCCGCGTCAAGGCCAACGCGTCGCGTGGGAGCATGGCTAGCCCGCAAAGCCGACCGGTCAAACAGACAACGCAATCGACGCAGCGTCGCAGCGCCACCTGACCCGATGTCTGCCAACTCTCGAGCGCCGTCTGCCATGGGCGCGCGCAGTGCGGCTGCCGGCAAGCGATCGTACTTTGAGCAGCAGCGCGAGATTCTCGTCGGCGAGATTGCCATGGTCAGTGGCGTCGGTTTTTGTCCGTGATGACGTCCGCTTGCTGACGACCACGTCGCAGTCCTTTGAGCATGTGCTCGCCAACATCAACAAGCTGAACCGCTCGCTCGAGGCCGTGATCACGGTGGGTGCCGTGCCTTGTGTCCTGCCTGAAGGGGGGCTCCTTCGCTGACGCGTTCTCCCAGGTCGGCAACGAGTTCTCGTCCGTCGAGGCGCTGTGGTCGCAGTTTGAGGGCGTCATGGCCAAGGAGGAGGACGCCACCGACAGCGCGGCTGCAGCTGTAGCCGCGGATATCGGCGAAGACGGGAGCGCGGAGGCGGATTACGCGCACACAGAGCTCGGAGGACAGGAGGACGAGGCCGGTGCCGCAGGCTGGAAGGGCAGGAGGTGACTGGGTGCAGACGAGAGGACGTGCCGTCTGGTCTGCTAGACGACGCGACGACAGGAACGAGCATTCTGCGGCAGATTGTAGGCGCCACGAATTCTACAGCGAGAAAGGAGGCACCTCAGCCTGGAGGCAGTTCGTGTTGCAGGCAAGCAGACACCGGAAGAAGAATGATTCTATGAGATACAAAAAGAGATAGGATCCCCCTCTTCACAAATCGTCCTGGCCAGGCTTGCTCAGTTGCTCAGGTCCACGCCGATCTCCTCCTTGACGAGGCTGTTGAGCGAGGACCCGTCCTTGAGATAGATCCAGTTGCCCGCCGTCGTTGCCGCATCCTCGGCCGTCAGCACCCAGTCGTACCGCTTCGGCCCCGACACCGGCGACGAAAGCCAGATCTGCTTGTTGGGCGGCTGCTTGTTGATGACGTAGGTGCGGGCACCGGCGCCGGTGCTGTCGGCGGCAAACGAGAGCGTCAGGACGCCGGCCGAGAACTCGACGTCGACGTCCTCGCGCACGTCCTGCATCTCCTCGAGGCGGACGAGCAGGTCGTCGAGGTAATCGTCGGCCAGTTCGTGGTACTGCTGGTCGGAGAGGGAGGCGGGCTGGCGGTGGTGTGGCTGCGAGGCCGAAGAGGCCGAAGAAGACGAGAAGAAAGGACCAGACGAGATCGTCGTGACAGAACACGACCGCCATCTTGCGGGCGCGGAAACGAGCACAGCACCGGCTGGTCGGCACTGGTGGCAGCATCTAGCTAGCTGACGAGCTGTCGACATCTGCTTGAACGGTGCAGTCGTCGTCGATGTGGACGATTTGCGCAGTCGGACAAGCCGGACTGGAGCCGTCATGATTGGTCGAGGCATTGCCACGGTGGTCGGCCCAGCGCCTGTCTGCAGTCCTCTGCACTGGTTCGCGTCGTAGTGCCGAGAGTCGGTCTTGGACTATGCTGTGTCTGCACGTCTCTTTTCCGTATCTCGATTGGCGACTGGCAAAACTGCTGTATTCGGCCGGTTTCCCTCTGTATTTTATCCGGCCCCACCCGCGTTCCTGCCTCCATCACTAAGCTCGAAAGGAGCTGCCCCGCAAAGTCGACATTGCTCCTCTCTCTCTCTCGCAACACGCTTGAGCTCCGTCGCTTCACCCACACAGCCGCCATGATCAACGCCTTTCTCGTCTTCAATGGCCAGGGACAGCCGCGGCTGACCAAGTTCTACACGCAGCTGGTAATGACCTCCTCCTTCTCTCTTCTGTCCACCCGGACCTGACGGGCGTTCGGACATGTTGACTCGGATGTTTTGTGTAGGACACGAGCATCCAACAGCGGCTCATCGCCGAGATCTTTGCGCTCGTGGCCAGCCGCGCGGCCGGGTCGTGCAACTTTTTGCCGCTGCCGCCTCTGCTGGCGTCGTCCGGGTCGTCGTCCGGATCCGGGTCCGATCTCTCGGATCGGCCGTCGCTCGTGACCTACCGCCACTACGCGACACTCTACTTTATCGTCATCTCGACGGCGACGGAGTCGCCGCTGGCGCTGATCGACCTGATCCAGGTGTACGTCGAGTCGCTCGACCGGCTGTTTGAGAACGTGTGCGAGCTCGATCTCATCTTCAACTTTGAGTCCATGCACGCCACGCTCGGCGAGATGATCGTCGGCGGCGTCGTCATCGAGACCAACCTCGACCGCATCGTGGCCGGCGTGCGGTCGCAAGGGGCCGTGGCCAAGCGGCCGGTCAACAGCAGCACGTCCGGCCTCGGGCGTGGCGGTGGCAACGGCAACAGTATGTCGGCGCTGGGAGCGGCGCTGGGCACCAACTTTGCATGGCATGGACGGTGAAGTCCACCGAAACCAGACCGACAAAGGCGTCCTGCGGCTTCCAGAATCCCCTACGGCTGGGCCGGCGGACACAAGACAAAGACACATACGGATCAGCATGTAGAGAAGGGAATGGGTATTCTGTTCCGGTGGCAAGACGACGAAGGCCACAAACTCCAGATAATGCATTGGGGAGCCGGCGAAAACAAAACTACTTCGTCTCCGTCCGCGGCTCGGCTGCCGCACCACTACTCCTGCTATCCGAGTCTTTTCCGCGCTGCAGTGCTCCGCCCTGCCGAGTCCCCAGAACGTCCCAGAACCAGGCACGTAGCTGCCTTGTCAGCACAGAACAATGGGATATGATTGGATATAGAACAAACACGGGCACGGAAGAGGGAGAAAGAAGGCGTAATGAGAAAGACATACATCGTCAAACGGTGTTGGGCCGCGATCCCACTCCATGAACAAAACGCAATAGATGAGCACGGCTGCTGCAGTTAGCTTCTTTTTCATCCCGTCTCTTCCCCTCTCGCACGAACATACTGGTGATTGTGAACAGCTGTGCGAGCTTGACAAACTTGATCCAGCGCGGCCGTTCTGCCCGCAGCGCCATGCGCCGCTTGAAGCGCTTCTCGAAGCGCAGCTGCTCCTGTGGCGACAGCAGGTTGAAGTCGGGCGGCCAGACCTTTTTGGTCTTGTAGGCGCGCGGGCCGGCCAGAGGAGAGGAGGAGATACGGCGGACGGCGCAGATAGCTGGCGAGCCGGCAGCAAAGGCGTGTGTCGGCAGGGCTCGCGGCCGCAGACGGGCAGCTAGCTGGCGGAAGATGGTGTTCTGCATGGCTCTGCTGAGACGCAATGGCGATGCGAGGACGAAGAGACAATGAGGAGCTGCTGATTGGGTCATCCTCTGGTGGCCGTGATAGCTTTTTCAGCACCGCCACAATCGGTCTAGCCACAATCGGTACTTTTGCAAACTTCCTTTGTGGGGATTCTGGAAAGGCGTGGATTTTGGACAACAGGATGGATACGGATGGGTGGGAACAGGTCACGGCAACTTGTATGGCCAGCATCGTCATGCGACAGTGTACGGAGTAGGTGGCTGCCGTACGGAGCATGTAAGAGCCAAAATGGAGTACGCGATGATCTTGTCGCCAAGAATCGACGCAGCAGCTCTCTGGAGAGGATTGGATTGCCCCACTGTACTTATCTGATGGGGTTTCCAGCTCGTCTACGAAGTATGATGCATCCAATCTCGCCGGCTTTTCCCCAGGACGTCAGAATAGCACCACTAGGCTCACTACCCCGAAGACTGCAGCACTATGACACAATTTCGTGGGGTAAGGTGGCGCGTTCTCAGATCGAGAAGCAACAAGACGAGGATGGAGACACGGCCATTCAATTTCTGTCAGAGAGGAAGAGCGGCGAGCAGAGGCGCGACGAGTGCAGATGCTGTTTGTGCGAGCCAACTTTGCGCTCGGCTACGCCATCGTCATCGTGGCCGGTGCCGTACGGCTGCTAGGTCGACTGGCATCTTGGCACCGGTCACGTCCTGCTGGACAACGAGCTGGAGGACAGTCCGGCTGAGAGCAGGGCGAGCTGGTCAGAGCAGTGAGCGGCGAGACGAGATGTAATTTTTTTCTGTCGTTCTTTCCTTATCCTAGTCTCTATTTCCCCCTTTCTTTTTTTAACTCTTTTCTTGTTTTTTATTCCTTTCCTCTTTTTTCTAGTCTTTTCCCTCTTTCCTCTCTATCCTCTCCTTTCTCTCTTTCCTCTCCTATCTTTCCTCTCTCCTTTCTCCTCTGTTCACATGTGAATGCACTGTACTTCGTACTCCTCATTCGTATTAATGCATCTGAAACCCGCGTAATTACCGTCGTGACAAAAAACGGCCAAGCTGCCTGGTCTGGCCTACCATCCTGTAGCGTGTCCTTCGCTGATCAGCCCTACTAGGCCCCACCTTCCAGTGGACCGCGCATGCTTTAGCGACCAATTGGCGCAGGTTGTGCCGGATCGAACACGAGAAAAGCAGCAAGTCTCCCGATGCCATACGGAGTCCTTGTTTTTGTGCACGAAGCTGCCATTCGCGACAGTGCTCGCACACCTACTCATGCTGACTAATTGTTGCTATATTAAGACACGCTGCACAACGGATCTTGCATACTACGACGACGTATGCAGTCATCTTACGAGGCCTGGGAGCGGTGGCGTTGCCGGTGACGACGCACCCTCCTCCCACTTTTGGGCCAGACCACCGCTGTGGCCCTGGCCTCCACTCTTTCCTGCCACCGACTGTTCCTGGCCAGCATCAACAAACATCGGCCACGACACCAGGGCGACGCGCAAGCTTCCGCCACCTCTGTCCGGACGTGGAGGCTGGTCCCAATACGCCAGGGACCCCGTACGGAGTACGAGAGATGTGCCAGGAATAGTGGTTACTATGTACGCCCTGCTGTGTACTCGTACTACTCTGTACGATACGAATACGGAGTGCCATCAGCCGGCTCGCACACCACGTACCCACGTATCCACGGTCCACGGGGCTTCCTGCTCGCCATCGCTCTGCTTTGTTCCTCGCTCCCCTTTTTTCTTCTCCCCTTTCTCCTCTTTCTTCCCTGCTCTTCCTCCCGACCCTGGCCCGTTTGTGCTCGTAACCCCCGGCAACCGGACAGAACAGGTATATATTACGTACGGCCAACAGGTGCTCTCGTCCGTCCTCTTGCCTCTTCTCTTCCCTCTCCATCCAACTCTTCCTCCTCTCCACGCTGTCCTGTTTCGCTCCGAAAAACCCATCCGCCACAGCAGACATGAAGCTCTCCATCGTCGGCCTCACCCTCGGGCTCGCTGCCTCCGCTGCTGCCTCCCAGCTCGTTGGCACTGGCGTCACCACCAGCGACCCGCTCCAGACCTTGTCCTCCACCGCCCTGGGGGGCGTAGCCACCGTCTCCGCGCCCTACGCCGGCAACGGCACCACCACAATCAGCTCCAGCGCCTCCTCCACCGCCAAGACCACCAAGACCACCAAGACTGCCAAGTCTTCCGGCACCTCGTCCGCTACCACCTCCAAGTCGTCCAGCGTGGCCACGTCGGGCGCCGAGGCGCTGGAGCGGCCCGCCATGGCCCTCGTGGCCGTCCTCGCCCTGGGACTCTCCCTGGCCTAAGCGTGCCTAAGCCTGGATGGACGTGGAGCAGGGTGACGACCGACTCCGTGTTGTCTCGCTAGGGCACGGTCTGGCATGCGGAGCCGTCACACACCGACGCGCAGGGCTGCCAACCGAGAAGCCGCGTGGACACAACACTGAAATGGAATTGGGAAATGGGAAATGGGAAATGGGAAATGGGAAATGGGAGATGGAAAATGACAGAATCGGCGCCTGTAATCATGGATAGTTTTTATCTGATTTGCCAGTAATACTAGTATCTAGCTTTTCTATCCATCTCACGTCCTATTCTCTGCTTTCGGCTCACGTGCGCACGTGTAGGCGGCGCTGCAAGCTGCCATGAAATCAAATGACGAGCTGTACTCGGCTCGGGCAGCGGTGACACCGGAGTGTCTCGTTGGCCGACAGGCTCGTCTGCTGTGTTGCCTTGCACTGCTGTGTCGGATTCCCGGTCGGCGTGACGCTTGGCTCGGCCCAAGACGTGCATTCCTGGCTAGCGGTTTCGCTTCGACTTCGTCTTCCATCCTCCCGAGTCTCAAGCTGCCGTGGCCACGGCCTCGCTTTGGGGCACGTCTCCCGGTCCCTTTGGCAGATCCTCCTAGCATCGTGTCAGCGCACGCTCTGCTGCCAACAGCAAAACAACCACATACCATATCGTAAATCACCCGGATCATCAGGCTGCAGCTCGGACACACGGCAATGTCGCTGGACCCGTCCAGCAGATCTGCCAGCGCGATCTCAAACCGGTCGCCACAGGGACACGGGTAGTTGTACAGGCCCCGCGCTGCATCATACGTCATGTCCTCAATCTCGACCTCGTCGTAGATGGCAACGTCTTCGTCTTCGCTCATGGTCGCGGCAGTCCGGTCGGTCGACGTCTGGGCAAAAGTGAAAGTTGAAGCTACAAAAAATAAAAAAGCCCTCTTTGCCACTGGAAAATCGCGGGGAAAAATCGGTTGACTAACATCCCAAAACAGTAATACGCTAGGTGGAGCAACCACAACACCTGCACGCACAGCAACTTCCTCTCTCGTTTCGCAGCCATTTACTTGGTCTGATTCAATAGTCCCATTGTACCGATACATGAAATTGAAGCAGAAACAGGGCAGACTACATGTCTCGCCTGTATCTATACCTATTTCATTTCCAGCACCTCCTCGCAGCCCACTGTGTGCTACACCACATTTTCTCCAGCCCAAGCATATTCTAGACTATACTTTCATGCAAGACCAAAGAAACCAGACCGCTTCTTCCATCCACCCTTTTTGGGCCATGTGGGGTAGGACCACGCCGAGCTGGACGTGGTGGTAGGGTAGCCGGTCGTGGTCGGGTATTTGGTCTTGGTCGGGTAGCCGGTGATGGACGTCGTGGTGATGGTGAGCGTAGAGCTGCAGCCAACGGTGGCCGTGGTCGTGGCCGTGTCGGTGGTCGTGTCGGTCACGGTGATGTCGCTCGTGGCCGTGATGGTGACGTTGACCGTGACAGTGTCAGTCTCCGTGACGGCCACCGTGGTCGTCGTCGTGATGGCATCATCGACAGTGACCGTGGCCGTGTCCGTGGCCGTGGGGCCCTGCACCCGTAGACCGTCGTCGTCGCGTCGATCGTCTCGGTGCCGAGCGACGTGGCCGTAGCGCTGACCGTAGCTGTCTCCGTGACGGCCGGACCGGTCACGACGGGTGCCGACGTTGTCACAGTCGTCGTCGACGTCACCGTGACCGTGGCATCGGCCGTCGTCGTCACCGTGACAGTGCCGGTTGGGTAGCCTTGCGTGACGGTCGTCTTGGTCACACCAAAGCACGAGCAGGCGCTTGAGTACTCAGCAGTGCTGTTGCAGGCGCCGGCGTACGTCGGGATGTCCGTCGGCGATGTCACGCCGTAGGCGTCGGCGCGCACAGCCAGCAGACCGGCCGCATTCGCTGCGTCACGTGCAAAGCGACCGCGCCGCCAGCCACCGCCACCGTAGCCGCCATGGCCGTAGCCCTTGGTCACGCACTTCGTCGTCGTGGGGCACTTGTTGGTCACCGTGGCCGTGGCCGTCTCCTGGGCCGTGGCTGTGATTGTGTCTGTGTCTGTGACGAACGCGGTGTCCGTCCATGTGGCGGTGTCCGTCTCTGTGGCTGTGCTCGTGTCTGTGAGCACAACTGTGGCTGTGTCCACGGTCACGGTCACCGGCACGGTCACCGTCGCGCCCTGCGTCACCAGGACGGTGTCGGTGCTGCCGATGATCGTGGTCGTATCTGTGACTGTGGCCAGCGTCGAAGTCACCGACACCGTCTCCGTGGAGCCCGGCACCGACACCCCGCTGCCGGCTTCCACCGTGGTCGTGGCCCAGTCTGTCGCCGTGCAGGTCGACGTTACCGTCACTGTGGCCTCGGCCGCCGGCACCGTGAAGCTGAAGAAGGAACTGCAGTCCGACTTGTGCTGCGATAGGCTGGCTGAGCCGCCCGCCGTGCCCGTGATGGCACGCAGACAGTTGTTCTGTGGACGTCTGTCAGTTCTGATCGAGACGATGGACAGCGAAGGAATGCAAACATTCATACCGGTTCGCACGCATTGGCAGCAGCAAGCCCGGCCAGGCCGGCCAGGGAAGAGGCGTAAATGACAGTTTTCATTGTGAATTCAGGAACTTGGCAAGGCTAGACTTGACGAGACACGACGAGCTCAAGAAAAATGATAAAAAAAGAGAGAGAGAGAGTGAAGAAGGCGACCAGGTGGTATGACGGGATGGAGGCCGATGCTTTATACCTCATCCCTCGTGATACGAGTCTCGCCGAGAACGGCCAGGGAGCTGGGGCCTGGCCCAGATCTGTCATGTTCCGACTCGGGGAGCCGACTAAGCCTCAGAGAAGAGCATCGTTCCCAACAAGGAAAAAGCCCGCCGAGATGATCCACCCTGGTCTCATCTGTTGGTTGGCGAGTCCAAGCGGAGCGTCGGAGCGTGCACGTTGACGGCTGGCTGACTGACTGACTGCTGGCTGGAGCAGAGACGTGAAAAGGCAAAAGGCAAAGCCAGGCAGATGTGACGAGACGTGAGCCCGGACCAGCAGGCAACTGACTCCAGCCGCGTCCAGCCAGACAAAGGCGAGCTGACAGTGCTCGAAGGAAAGTACCTGTACTTTTCCCGCGAGTTCATGGTGCCGTCGCTGTGCTGGCGTTTCGCTAGTTGCATCGTTAGCCCATGACAATATTGACTTGTTCATGCAATACTGGGGGACTGATCCTGCATAAGCTTCCGAGAGAGGCTACCAAGGCGCCCGTGGACAGCCGCAGCAGAATTCTGGGGAGCGCGGGACGATCCCAGGGCGAGATCTCGACTCGACCGAAGCAAGAAGATACGAAGCGGAAAGAAAGCAGGGGGAAGGAGGCAAAAACAGACTATCCGTCGAAGACGCAGAAAACACCACCAAACCCCGAGACCAGGACGGAAAGGGGAAGCACGGAAAAGGGGAGGGAAGGAACACCACACGCATACCTTCCCTAAACCAGCGCGAGCAAGTAGGCTATGCAGCACGAGCTGAAAGCTGCTGATCGATTCTCTTCACGGCCGGTTACTCATTCTTTCGATAACAAAACGACAAGTGCCGACTGGCGACGCGCTGCAGAAGCATCGACACTGACGCAATCGCAGGCGACATTTGTCACAAACCCAAGGCGTCGCCGAGATCAGAGCTGGCAGTTGGCCGACGTCGGTTTGTCGACATACAAACAGCATCTGATGCACGACGCACGACGCACGACGCACGACGCACGACGCACGACGCACGACGCACGACAACGATTCCGAGCGGCCCCGGTCCAGCACCGACTGTTCATCCCTTGTCTGTACCACAGACCGGGCCTTTTCAGCCGCCTGGAGGGTGCAGCAGCGGTGCAGCACGAAAATGCGGAGGTCCGTCGATCCTTCTGGACCACTAGTCATCACTAGCCAAAAGCCAAGGCCTTTGCCAACAGGAACAAGGAACCCACAAGGACCAGGAGCGGAGAGCCCGTTGGCGAGACCGCCGTGTATACAGTCGCTGCATACGGAGTAGTGACGTCCTAAATTAAGATCCGGATGATCGTCCGCCACGAAGGCCTAGGCGTCTTGTCGCTCTGGCAGAGGCATCACGTCCCGTTGGCGACTTTGCCTGTCCTGCCTCCTCGGCCGTTTTCGCTTGTTTCTGTCCTTCTTCGCACCTGTCGCCTCCTCTCCTTCTCTGTCTCTCTCGTCTCCCGTATATGCACGCCGTATGCAAGCGGTCCCATGACCTGACCGCAAGACCTGTGTTCGGCTTTGACAACGCACACAGTCTCGGCAGCTCGTCTTCGTCTTACTGGACAGCTTCCAGCTTGCCCAAGACCTACCGGGTGTGCGCCACCAAAAAATTACAAGCCCGAGCGATGCCAAGCCCGCCCCTCGCAGTGCCTGACTGTTTCTCGGGCGGACCAAACAGGAGGAGAAAGGAAGACGAATTTTCAAAAGCAGGTACTTTCCAACAGCGCGCCTCGTCGCTTCCACTCTAGCGCCACGAGCCAGTACGATTCATTGAAAATAAACAGCCGAATGAGGAACCGTCCGTTTTCCCTATTCGGTCGGGCTAGCACGACGCAGCAGCTCATACATGCATGGTTGGATGCAGGAATACGAGCCTGCCCTCTGCGAGGACGACTCGCCATGCCCAGACAGTCTTTGCGCACGGCTCTCTGCGCCCTGGTGCTCAAACCGCCCGTGTTCATACGGCCATTACGTCCATCTCTGTTGATGCTCAGCCAACATCCCGGCCAGTTTGTAATACTCCGTCCTAGTCAGCTGAGAAAGAGAAAGGAACAAAGCGTTGACGTAGTGTCCCGCTACAGGACAAGAGAGACGGTCACGGAGAATGACTGACCCCTACCGAGAATGAACATCGGGATCCCCGCAAGTGCAAAACGGCAGCTGAGGCTGACAACACAAGGTGCAGCAACCCGGTGAGCACATGGCTAAACAGTCGGACAGGGTACAGGGGACAGAGGACAGGGGGCGCAATCCTTTTTTTTTTGGAGAAATACCCGGTTGTTATTTACAGAAACTAGAAATTAAGATTGGGCGTCTGGACCGGACGACAGAAGCGAGCAGAGAAAGAGCAGAAAGTCAAGGCGAAAAACAGAGACGAAAGGAAAGCAGAGCAGGTGGAAGCCTCGAATGAGCCAGGCCTGTTTGTCTTATCCAGATCCGGATGCCAAGAAGAGAGGCGTGAGATGGGTCAAGGATGGTACTGGGACAATTACAGGCCGTGAGTTTTGGACAAATAAAAAGGGCAGTAGCGTGTGGGCGGACAGATGCAAGGGGCTGATCGGAACAGACACAGAAAGGGAAGATGATAGGATATAGAGTAGGACTAGGACTGGCTGGCGAGAAAGTTGGCGGCCTGCATATGTTAGTGGAAGTCGAAGATGGGGAAAAGAAGGAAAGGAAAAAACAACCACAAACATACTCTGTCAACGTTGTAGTCGTATTTCTCGAGCGCGTTCAGCGCCTGTATCCGTGGGTAGCCCATGGACGTTAGTTTCTTGAGAAAGGGGTCATCGTGCTCGCCGTCGTCAGTCAGGAGCCGGCCAGGACCCGGAGGCCGGGCCAGCGTCTCGGGACCAGGGACAGCCGAGCCGGCTGTCTTGTCCTCTTTGGCCGGCGCCTCGGTAAAGGACGTGAACCAGTCGTTGCTGTCGCTCGTCGTCGTCGTCGTCGCGGCGGCCGTCTGGCCCGACGAGCCCAGGCTGCCAAAGTCGAAGCTGCTGTCGAGGCCAAAGCTAGACGCCGTCGAGTCCAGCTTTCCCGGCTGCTGCTGCTGCGGCTGCGACTGCTGTGGCGAGTCAAAGGCTGACGGGAACGTGTTGGTCGTCTGGCTGATGTTGGCAAAGTCGTCGTCGGCCGACTCTTCGCGCGCGTCCTCGAGCCCCTCAAACTCGTCGTCCAGGTCGTCAAACGACGGCTCGGCCTCGACTGTTGCCACTGTTGCCACTGTTGCCGCTGTTGCCGCTGCTGCCGGAGCAGAAGGAGCAGACGGAGCAGATGGGCTCGCGAAAAGGCCGTCCATGTTACTGCTAGCATCAACTGCCTTTGCCTCCGCCACGCCTTTGTCGCCCTTGTCGGCCTTGTCCTCGTTCGCTTTCGGAGGTGATGCCGGCGCAAAGTCGTCGTCAAAGCCACCGCCACCGAAGCCACCGCTCTCGCTCTCGCTCTCTGAATCGTCGTCCCGCGTCACCTCAGCAATGGGCGGAAACTCGCTGTCAAAGGCCGTGCTCGCCTTGGCCGCGTCCGCGTGCACGGCGTCGCTGCCGGCCATCGTTGTCGCTGCCGTTGTCACTGCTGCTTCTGTCGTCGCTGTCGCCGTCGTCGTCGCCGTCGTCGTCGTCGTCGTAGCTGTCGGCGGCGTGACCGTGCCGTCGGTTGGAAGCGCAAAGACGGCGTCGGTCTCGTCGGCCGATGCCTTGCTCGCCTTGAAGCTGGCAAAGGCCGACTCGAAGTCTTCCTTGGCCTTGCTGTCCTGTTGCCTGTCCAGCGCGGAAAACGGGTCGGTGAGGCTGTCGTTGTGCGCGTGGCCCCAGACGTTGGCCTCTTTTGTCTCTGCAGTCGTAGACTCGGGCACGCTGTTTCCAAAGGTCGCAAATCCGACCGGACCCTCGCCGTTCTGCCGTGCTTCGGTCGTCGGTGCCTCAGAGGCTGGTAATCCCTCCGTTGCCTCGCCGGTAAACGTGGCCTGGCCGCTGGCCGCTGCCGTGGGCGTGGCAGATGTCGGCCCGCTGAGAGCCGTGGTCGCCGTAAAGGTCGACGAGGCTCCGCTGCCCGAGGACGCGCCCATTGTCTGCGGCTGAACGGCGCCGGGGCTAGCGGCATCAGCAGCTGTTGCAGCGGCCGTTTTCGTCGTGGCAGCGACCGTCGGCGGCGGCCCAAACACATCGTCAAACGAGCGCTCACCGCTGAAAGGCTTCGGTGACTCCGACTGCGCCCGCGGCGACCCGAACATGCCCACGACGTCCGTGCTGCCGGTCCGGCGGAAGAACGGGTTTTTGCCCGTGCTGGACGCCACCGAGGGGCTGGCCGTCGTCGACGGCGCATTTGACGTCGCCTGGATCTGCCGAGACAGTTCCTCGTTCTGCCGCGTCAGATCCTCCGCCTCCGTCTTGAGCTTCTCGCGCTCACTCTCCGCCAGCGACAGCTGCTTCCGGTTGATCGCCACGATGCCCTTTTGCTGCCGCGCCTCCGACTTGAGCTTCTCGATCTGCGGCTTCAGCTGGCTCACCTCGGCCGTCACCGTCGCGATCCGGCCCTTGAGGCTGCCGTTCTCCTGCTGGTCCGCCTGCAGCGCCGAGTACACCTGCTGGTGCTGGCTCTGCATCTCCTGCAACGATGCCTCCAGCGTCGACAGCTCCGCCTGCAGCTTCTTCGCCTCCGACCGTGCGATCGTCAGCTGCTCCTCTAGGCCCCGCACGTCCTGCGCCTCCTTTTCGTATAGACTGCGCAGCTGTGCCAGCCGCTGCTCAAACGTCTTTTTCTGCTGGCTCGACTGCGCCAGGTCCGCCTGCAGCGTCGTCCGGTGCGTCTGCACCTCCTGCATGTGCTTCGACAGCGAGCCCACCTGGTTTGACAGGTTTGCCAGCTCCGCCGTGTCGCTGGAGATGTTCCGGCTGGCCTCGTCGTTGTCGCCGCCCAGCAGATCATCCTGTGCCACCGCTGGTGTCGCGCTGTACGGCCGTGGCACAGGTGTCGGCGCCATGGCCGGAGTTGGCTTCGAAAACGACGGCGGCGCTGATCCGGACGAATCGCCCGTCGCCTGTGCCGTGAGTGCTCGGCCAAACGACGACGACGGAATAAACGGCTTGAATGACGACGACGCCGTCACCGGCACCGGCGACTTTCTCGACGGCGAGCTGGGTGGAAGAGGGCTCATGCCGCCGCCACCCGAGAACGGATCGCTCAGGGCACCGCCCACTCCAGCTCCAGCTCCGGTCACGTTGGCTGTCAGCGCCGGCGTGGCCGCGGGTGACGACGGGCCCGAGTCCAGCCCGAATAGGTCGTCCAGGGCCGACTTGTGCTGTGGTGGCGGCGGTGGTGGCGGTGGTGGCTGCAGCACCTGCGGTTGCTGGATCGCTGCCGGGCTTGTCGGTCGCAGCGCGCTGCTCCGCATGCTCGGCGGGATCAGATTCGTCGGAAGCTTCGTAGGGAGAGCGCTGCCGCCGTCAGTACGCTGCCGCTGCTGCTGGATCAGGTACAGGGCCACTGCAAAGGTGTCGCTCGTCAGACGGCCCTCGGAGTTGACGTCAGCCAGGTCCCAGATCTGCGCCAGTGCGTCCTCGTTGAGCCCCGACCGTGTCAGGAATGGCACCGCCTCCTCGCCCGTGATGAAGCCTTTCTTGGTCTTGTCCAGGCTGTCGAATACGGGGTCCATCCGTGACTTCTCCGCCGGCGTGATCAGCCAGTCGCTCGCTGCCGGTGGTGCTGTCGGCAGTGCCGGCCGGAACTGCCCTGTCGTCTGGCGAACTGATGCCGGAAGAGGCGGAAGGGGCGGAAGAGGCGGAAGAGGCGGCACCCCAGGCGTGCCCCCTAGAGGACTCTGTTGGCGAACTGGGCTGGCCGGATTCGTCAGCGGAGCGCCGCCCGCCACCACCGCGTTGGCACCGCGCGTCGCCGCCTCGTACAGCGCTGCAGGCAGGGCCGACGGCAGGCCTCGCAGCGTGCCCAGCTTCGTCGACGTCAGCAGGTGCATAGCAATGATAAACTCCGTCTGCACAAAGGCGCCGCGCTGCTCCGTGTCGGCCAGCTGCCAGATCCGACCCAGCACCTCGTTGGGCAGCCCAGACCGCTCAAAGATCCGCTTCGCCCTCTCGCCCGCTAGAATCGACCCGCCCTGCACCTGCTCCCGGAAGAGCTTGGCGTACTGGGCTGCCTTGTCGATCGTCAGCGGCGGCACCCGCGCGCTGCCTGTTCCCTGTGCCACCAGTTGTGGCATCCCACCCGTCAGCTGGGCCGAGAGAGGCCCGGGGCCGCCTGTGGTGTGTTGCACCAGCGGAAGCGCGCTGACCGGCGCCGGCACGCCCTCAAATCGTGGAAGGGGCCCCTGTTGCAGCGCCAGCGTTGGTCCCGGCTCGCGGCCAGCCTGGGCATGGCCAATGAGGCGCAGGGCGATGCCAAAGCCCGCCGGCGTCAGGAACCCACGGTTCTCCGAGTCGGCAATCTGCCAGATCTGTGGCATGTCAGCGAGCGAGCCACATGGTAGACCGAGACCGAGACGGGGTCGGCTTTACCTCGCCGAGTATGCGCGAATCAAGGTGCGTCTTTTCGAAAAACTTGACGGCCACCTCGCCCATCACAATCCCGACACTCTCCGTGTCGGCCTGACGGAACAGCTGGCCATACAGCTGCCTCTCATCCGGTGTGAGATTGAGGTTCGGGCCTGGGAGCGCGTGTTTGTCTGGTCAGCCACCTTCTCGGTTTTTCTCCTTTCTCTCGTCTGCCATTCCGTTCGTTCGCCACGGCACTCACCAGCATCGTCGGAGCCGTCGGAAACCATTCTGAGAAGAGGCCCGAAGCTCGGTTATCGATAATCCCTCGTTCTTCTTTTCGATGACAGGTCTTAGCCGCGGCAGGAAGGCCAGAATTAGAGCTTCGAGAGCTATTCGAATCCGGCTGGTGATCTGACTTTTCTCAAAAGCGTGACGCGGCAGCTCGGGCAGCTTGAATTGGGGGGGAAGATGGTTTGACGATCAAGATGAGAGCCGGAGCCTCGCAGATAGAAAGGGTCAGCAGCCAAGGTCCAAATCGCATGCTCTCCGGGGGGGATGAGCTCAGGAGGGGCGATGGTCAGTCGGAGACGGCACGATGGGGAGAAATGCAGCAAGAACAGTGCAGGGTGCTCTCGTTTGGATTCTCGTCAAATCGACCTTGTTGTCGAAAGGGGGAGATGGGCGAGCAAGAGGTCGCAGATTGGTTGGAGGTATGCACGGTTCCGGTGGCTGGACGTATTGTTTGGGGAAGGCAGGATCGCTGTCAAGTCGGCAGCCGTGGCTCAACTGAAAATTAAGTCCTGGCCAAAGTGGGCCGGATGCTTCGCTAGCACCAAATCTCCGTAGCGGTCGTCCACGATGAAATACGGGCGGGGAACGTGCTGCCGTCCAGACGGAATAGGGGCGGTTGGCACACTAAAAGCTCGCTGCCGAGCGCTGCCGCACGTCGTTACAGGCCCAGTCAATTTCGCACTAGGTCACTCAGGCCACCACCTCTAACGGCAGACAGAGAAAACATTGTTCAGACACATCGTACGACTGCATATAGCTGGTCTGGCAACGGCAACACCAAACACAACGCAAAATCCTCGCCGAAATCACGCTTGCCAGTTCAACAAGAGTCGCGGCTGCTCGACTGACCCATGTAGTATTAAAAAGAACGACTATTTTTGGTGCAGAAACAGTCCTGCAATAAGGAAAAAAAAAATTCCCTCCGCCTCTCTCAGACGCCCACCGTTGCCGCTCGTCTTCGGTCAAGACTGGTTGGGAGACACGAGGCAACGGACGTAGCAACACTCAAACCCATATATTTCTTGTTACACGACCCAATCCAGTCAAAAAAACGGCAGACAGCCCCAACAGGCGTCATCGAGCAAGCGAACAACGTTATTAAAAAAAGGCAGAGGACGTTCAGGGGGGAATTCGATAAAGCCAGTCTGTCTCTCACTGCAATTACAAGCACTGTAGTAGTGGTAAAGGCTCGATGCCAGACTCGAATCTAGTACTCGGCCTCGGTGCCCTCCTCACCCTCCAGGGAATCCGTGGCGACCTCCTCGTAATCGCGCTCGAGCGCAGCCAGGTCCTCGCGGGCCTCGGAGAACTCGCCCTCCTCCATACCCTCGCCGACGTACCAGTGCACGAACGCGCGCTTGGAGTACATGAGGTCGAACTTGGCCGACAGTGCGGACCAGGCCTCGGCGATCGCAGTGGTGTTGGAAAGCATGCACCTAGGCTTGTTAGAACATACACATACAGGAGAGAAAGGGAAGAGATGCTATCCACGTACACTGCGCGGTTGACCTTGGCCAGGTCGCCGTTGGGGACCATCTCGGGCGGCTGGAAGCAGATACCGAGCTTGAAGCCGGTCGGGCACCAGTCGACAAACTGGATGGTGCGCTTGGTCTTGAGCGTAGCGACGGCAGCGTGGGCGTCCTTCGGCACGACATCACCGCGGTACAGCAGACAGGTGGCCATGTACTTTCCGTGGCGGGGGTCGCACTTGACCATCTGGTTGTTCGGCTCGAAGCAGGACATGGTCATCTCCTGGACGGAGTTGGCCTCGTGCGCGGCCTTGGCCGCCGAGATGACCGGGGCGTAAGCGACCAGAGGGAAGTGGATACGGGGGTACGGCACCAGGTTCGTCTGGAACTCGTTCAGGTCGACGTTGAGCGAGCCGTCAAAGCGGAGCGAGGCGGTGATGGACGAGACGACTAGATTTGGTCAGTCAAGAACAAGCAAGAGCAAGAGCAGGAGCAGGACGGGAGAAGAGTAGCCGTACCCTGAGCAATCAGACGGTTCAGGTTCTCGTAGTTGGGCCGCTCCAGGCCGAGGTTACGGCGGCAGATGTCGTAGATGGCCTCGTTGTCGACCATGAAGGAGCAGTCGGCATGCTCGAGGGTAGTGTGGGTGGTCAGGATGGAGTTGTACGGCTCGACGACGGACGTAGCGGTCTGCGGTGCCGGGTACACACAGAACTCCAGCTTGCTCTTCTTGCCGTAGTCGACCGACAGGCGCTCCATCAGCAGGGCACCGAAGCCGGAGCCGGTACCACCGCCAAAGGAGTGGAAGACCAGGAAGCCCTGGAGACCGGCGCAGCCGTCGGCGACGCGGCGGACCTTGTCGAGCACCTGGTCGATCAGCTCCTTGCCGACGGTGTAGTGGCCACGAGCATAGTTGTTGGACGCATCCTCCTTGCCGGTGATCATCTGCTCCGGGTGGAACAGACTGCGGTAGGGACCGGTGCGGACCTCATCGACGACGTTGGGCTCGAGATCGCAGTAGATAGTGCGCGGCACATACTTGCCCTGGCCTGTATAAAGTCAGCATCGGGATGGACGGGGAAGTCGAGCATGTGGCAGACGTACCAGTCTCCGTGAAAAAGGTGCTGAAGCCGTGGTCTGGATCGGCAGCCTTCCGCTCCTCCGTGAGATAGCCATCGGGCTAGAGCCAGATAGTCAGTACTGCTTGAAGAGCTGTATATGTATCAAAAATAAGGAGACTGCCGGGGGAAAACATACCTGGATGCCGTGCTCGAGGCAGTACAGCTGTTGTGGTCATGTCAGCGTGCTGTCGTAAGCCGGATCATCGAGACGCCGTCATCGTGATAACCCCCCCCCCCCCTCCTCCTGGATCCCCCCTTTTCAAGATTATATTTTTCTCCTCGAACTGCGTGGAACATACCTCCCAGCAGGAGTTGGCAATCTGGCAGCCAGCCTGGCCGACTGTAGCAGATGAATGTCAGTACACCGAGACAGCGAGTTTCAAGGGCAGCCGTGGTCGTCTGGAGCTGTTTGGCGCCACGATGCGGTGAAGGATTCTACCGGCAATCATAAGGGCCACGCGCCAGGCCGAACCAGCGAAGCGCTCCGATAGCACGAAAAAGAAAGAACAGGGAGGGCGAGTAGCGTACCGTTGATGCTAATGATTTCACGCATGGTTGCTTGCTGTTGTTATGATAGGGTTGTCGAGGTAGACGTTGATGGGAGGAAGAACCAGATGAGGAATCTCCAGATAAGTTTGTTTGGAGAAAAGGGCTCCCTTTTTTAGTATGACAAATGGTTGTGTCCTCTGTGTTTTTTTTTAATTGTCGTACTTTTATTTAATTAGTAGGATCGAATTTTGATGGGGAAAAGGGGGTGGGGGGGAGTGCAGGAGAGCCAGAAATGTGGAAGCCTGAAAGACCAGGGATTGATGCAGTTGCGGTGAAGTGGGGTGTTGAAATTGCTCTTGCTGCTCCTGGCCGTTCACCGTTGGCGCGTGTCGTGAGGGAAAGAGCGGGATGGGCAGTTTGCTTGTTGATAGAGCTTCGTCCCGTCCAGGAAAGGCGCGTGTGGAAAAGAAAGGGGGGCAACAAACAACATTGGGCGCGCGCTGGCCCGTGCGTGTCGGCAGCGAACGCGTTTGGTCAAAGCGCGCAAAAACAGGAATGCGCCAGCGGCGGTTTTCGTGTTGTCCCGGGTGCCTGTGATGTCACGTGGTCTTGCCCATCTCAATCAATCGGTCCAGCGTACGATGTACGGAATACGGAGTATGGCCGAACAGAAGGCTCTGCATATTTGTGATCAAGATCCGTGTGACAGAGCTCCGGGCTACGGCGGTACGACTCATACGGAGCACCTCAGTGGCCCGTGGCCGGAAGGGGAAAGGGGGCTCGCAGGCGAACACGTCGCATGACCTCCACACTTGCCGTTAAGCCTAACGATGAGCGAGAACGAACAGCTCGTATCTCGCCACTCCAGCACCGGCCGTTGCAGCCCGCCTGCAGCCACCTGCAGCCAGGGGCAGTTGTGGTGCACCTCACAGCCTGTACGATACTCGTTCGTACTATGTAAGATACAGCTCTGCAAAGCGCGAGCTCTCGTTGGCGATGAGCTCTCCAGGCGCCCCATCTTCGACCAGGGCCCCGGCGTCCATAACGGCCACCCGGTCGTAGGACGCCACGTGCGCCAGACGATGCATAACTGCCAACACCGTGCATCCGCGAAAGTCAGTGTCGATAATCTGCTGCACCACCGCCTCGGCCGAGCTGTCGAGGCTGCACGTAGCCTCGTCCAGCACGAGCACATCGGTCTGGTCCCGATACACCAAGGCCCGGGAAAAGCAGAGCAACTGCCGCTGACCCGCCGACAGTGCCAGGCCATCCACCTTCTGGTCGAGGCATCCACTGCTACTCCCACGGCCACGGCTGCCCTGCCCTTCCACCACCTCCCAGAGTCCCACTCGCTGCAGCACTCGCACGATCTGCGCATCCGACACGGCCGCCAGCAATGGGTCCATATTGAAGCGCAGGCTGGTGCCCGGCACTAGGAACGGGTCTTGGGACACTACGCTGACGCGACCGTGGACGGCAATACCTCCCGAGCGGACGTCCATCATGTGCAGCAGTGCCATCACCAGCGACGTCTTGCCGCTGCCAGATCGACCACAGATGGCCAGATGCTGTCCGGGAGGCACCGAGAGCGAGACGTGCTGCAGCACAGGAGATGCAGCGTCGGGCTCATAAGCAGCCACCAGGTCGTCGAAGCAGACCGTCCCGACCGGTTGCGACAATTCCGACACGGGGACCTCCTCTCCCGCTGTCTCTTCTGTCTCTGTCACAAAACGCCTCACACGCGCCACGGCGCCCACGCTTGGCTCTAGGCGTGTCCACGTGCGAATGAGTCGTGTCAGCGTGGTCGACAGGCCGAGAAGGACCACTAGCGACACGCCGACGCCGCCGGCGCTGATATCCAGACGGTCCTGCCAGCTGACGACGGTAGCGACGAGGACGACCACGAGAACGGCCATGGTCAGCGTCAATACAAAGTCCAGCCAGTGCTGGATGCAACTCTGGATATAAGCAGGCCGCTGCGACCGATCGACGAGGGCAGCCACGCGCGCCGCATATGCGCGCTGCCAGCCAAAGGCCCGAATGGTGATGGTGCCGGTGCCGGTGCCGGCTGTGCTGCCACTCCTTTCGCTGGCCGTTGTTCCCGGTGTGCCCATCTCGGAAAATTGCGTGTACAGGGGCGCTTTGGCCTCGATCATGAGCAGCCGCATCTGGCGGGATGTCTGCAGATAGAAGCGCTGCAGAGCGTAGAGAAAAGCGGCAACGAACGGCATGGCCACAGCGAGGGAGCGTGAGTAGATCGCAAGGAGGACCACCTGGGTGAAGCAGGACAAGGCAGCTGCAGTAAATCTCGTCAGCCTACCATCCCAGTAATAGGCACACATGGCCGTACTATCTTACTTGAAGTGTAATTCAGCGCCGTCCCCGGTAAGTCCATATCAATCAACTCCATATCTTCGCTAAACCTGGATCTATCAGTTTCGTTGTACACACATAAAAGGTACAGGGCCGTAGATCGTAGATGCACCTGTTGAGAAGCTCGCCCGTGTCTGTGTTGGCAAAGAAGCGAAACGGGGCCCTGGGAAACTGTTAATGCACGCGTCTAGTAGTTGTCCCTCGAGGAATTATATCACCAACCTGAAGGTGGCTTTGAGTAGATCCAGGTGCAGCTTGCTCGCTGAGTTCGATATGATGGATATATAAGCGAACCTATGATTTGTCAAGTTCGAGCACAATATATCCAGGGTGTCGAATATTAGAACACCTACCAGGCTGCACAACATGCGGCAGCAGTCCCAACGACGCCAACCATGGCGTAAATTCCCATGTACAAGCCCAGATTCCGGTTCGGATGCAGGTCGTTGGCCGCGGACCACCAGCTCACCCAGACAGCTTCATCGTCAGCGACTTTGAAGTTCTTCTTCAATACCCCACTTACTGGAGAATTCCGTGCAGAAAATCCAGAAAATCATGGACGCTGCGTACAGGGCGACAGCCACGTAGCCAGAGCTTCTGAGATAATAGGTGTAGATGGAGAGCTCGCAATTCTTGCGTCTGACATCCGTGTGCTCGGCCGTGGCAGTCTCTTGGCCGTCATCCAGGTTAACAGTCGCGTCAGTATCGCCAACGGTCCCCATGCCTGGTATCTCTTCCCTGGGCACGGAACCAGAAGCAGGGCCGGGATGACTCGCTGCAGTCAGCTTCATGTCGTTTTCTTCGGCTAGTTTAGAAAATCCAATCTTCCTCAGATACCCGCCTTTGTTTTGAAGCAGGGCTGTCGGACTGCCCATTTCCGTGACCTGGCCGTCTTCTAGAACAATGACCTCATCTACGAGCCCTAAAATTTTGTCTATTATCAGACGAATCAGTAACCGAGCCCATGTCAATGCCTTTGGGTGGATATACGCACGACTGTGGGTTGTCAAGATCACAGTCGTTTGCTCGTTCCGCAGCAGTCCCCCATGGCACCCAAGAAGGCGGGCTATCACAAATCCGGCCGTGTAAGCATCCATTCCGCTGAAGACGTCATCCAGAAGTAGCGTACGACGCCTGGAGTAGACAGCCCGAGCAAGAGCCTACCATGCTTCATCAGTTCAGTAACTTTTTAAGAGAAGGGACGAACTTACAATGCGCTGTTTCTGGCCATCGCTCAGATTTACACCTTTACTGCCCACATGCGTGAGGTCGCCCATCTCCAGCTGTGGCATATCTGGGTCGAGGCAGCAAGCCGTGCAGACCGTCCCATGCCATCTGCTATCCCATGGCGAAGCTCCCACAATACTGCGGCGAATTGTGCCGTTCTCGAGCCACGGCTGTTGCGCGCAGTAGGCCATGAGAGGTCTCCTTTGAGAGGTCTCCTTACTGCTGCTAGAGGCCTGGCAAGTTGAGGGCCGTCTTGATCGCACTTCTCTGCTACCTGGACATCTGCTTCTGAGGCTGATGGAACCTCATGCAGCTCGCCGAGAAGACCATGTAGTAGGCTCGATTTTCCACTGCCGATCGGCCCCACGACAGCAGTAAGTCTTCCACACAGAATTTTGATATTGATGTTCCGCAGAACTTTGGTTTCCATGTTGTATTTGCTCCATGCAAAACCAGCGCCCTGTAGTACCATTGGCTGCTCTTGGTCACAGGTGCTATCGTCTCTTACACTTCCAGGAGCATCCCCTCCCGTCTCGTAATTGCAAAACTCCTGTATGCGGCTAAAGTTGCCGAGGCATTGCACCACATTTGGCAGTCCTTGAATGAAGCTGATGACGGGAGCCGTTAGCAGCGAGACGAGCGTGAGTGAGGTAAATGCTTTGGTGGTCAGGAGTGTTTCATTCTTCCAGAACACGGCAACAACAGAGTAGACGGCAAAGGTAAGCACGGGAGCTAAGTTGATCGGGGTAAGGGCTAGATCTGATATCAGCAAGTCTCCATCATAGTGTGTGAGCACCGTTCACAGGTGACGCACACAACAGTATCATGACCACAAGGTTCTTCCTGAACCGACGGGAGGTGTCGATCTCGTCTCTTCGGAGCCCCTGGATGACAGGTACTACGACACTCGAGATGCCAAGCATCTTGACGGTTTTCATGTCACCAAGAACGGCCGCAGTGATGCGGAGCCGTTCCTGAATCTTCTCGATCCAAGCAACTTGCGTATCCCGCAGCCGTAGTGACACCCGAGATGTGGCGGCAATGAATACTATGGCAACTTAGCGACCAGACCCAAACCATACAGATCTCTAGACACATGACTATAAGCTCACCGGAAACAAGGAGGATTGGTGCTATACAGGCCAGAGACAGCTGCCTTTCGAGTAGCCAGCAGGCAAGACCGATTTCAAGGAGCGATGCCCATGCTTCATGCAGAGATGGCACGCCAGCCACAATACGTTCCACGTCTGTGCCCATCAGTGTCAGGCCGGTGATGCTGCCGACGTTGGCCGCCCGCGTCTGAAGCATTTGCTGGTAGACGAGGGCGATGAGGCTGCCGCGGAGCCTGGTCACAAAGCGGAAGCTCTGATACTGGTACACCGACCTGGAAACCTAGGCCGGGGTGGGACGATCAGATAAACGAGGTAAGAGATCCTGGTCGGGGATGCAGGCATACTTACTGCCAGTCCAGTGTAGACGAGTGCCCAGGCGCCGACCAGGCCTCGGCCGTAATCTCGATCTCGATCTGGCTGCTCCACGTAGCGGAGAGTTGCCGTGATTAGAAAAGGCTGCGCAAACGTAAAGCCCGTCTGGCACAAGCGCGGGATGACAGCTGACAGAAAGGAGGCAGAATAGCAGCCAAAGACCGCCCGGAGAAGGCTCTGGCGGCCGTGGCGGTCATCTGTTTCAGGCAGACGCACAGATACTCGTCAGAACGGAGTTCAGGTCAGATTGGGGAGAGCAGGCTACCACACGCATGTTCCCCATGACCGGGAGAGTTGTTCGCACATCCGTGAGCTCTCGAGGCGTCCATCGAGGGGCGGCAGATCGTCGACCGATATTACCCGCTTGTGACCGCGCCAGAAAGTGACCGCCAGCCAGGCGTACGCCGTTCGAGACCAGAAGCTGCTGCGCTGCTCGAGGGCGACGATGCCAGCTGCTGCTGACGTCTTGCGGCTGTCTAGCCCCATAGACTCCCACACGAGCACTGCCATCGACAGTGATAGTATGGCTGTCGCAAGTCCTGCGGCGACACGTCCTTCCACAGCACCTCAGTTGGCTACAAGCCACAGCGTGCGCACTCGGGCGACGCCCAGAAGCACTGTTGCCGAGAGATGGAGGCTGAGCACTGTCGACGGTCGCGACGCTCGCTGCTGGTACAGCACCAAGAGTGTCGTTGCTGCCAAAACAGCCAGAGACGCCAAAATGTCCGCAGGTAGGGACGCGCCTGAAGAGATGGCGGGCACGCGGACGCGGACGACCAGGAGGGCAAGCTGTGCCGCCAACAGGCTGGCCAGGGTACACTGCACAAGATATTGTCAGAAAGATGGAGCCGTTACCTGGGCGCGGTCAACATGTCTAGCACACACCAGCTTGAGGCTAACGATTCCACCTTGCCGCTGATACGCGACCGGCGACCGGACCAGCCATATCACATCTGCAGCTGCAAGGAGGAGGAAAGTTGCGGCAGGGAGACAGCCGAACAAGGAGTCCTCGAATTGAAGAGTGAAATCAAAAGATCGACACTCCGAACGAATCCGGGGCCCAAATGCGTAGTCACTGCCTCGCGGACAGTCCATTTGTAGGGTGTGATAAACGTAAAAGACGCATGTCCCCGTTGGTTTTAGACATTTCTTAGAAGAGGATGGTGTAGCTTTTATACCACCTGCAGACGTAAACGTTGCATACGCATGATATCTGCCTACAGCTCCTTTGAGGGATCACTCCTTCCCAAAGTTCGTGGCAATAATCCAATTACTAATTCTAGATAAGGTTGCCTAGCGCTTAACATAGGTTCTCGAACATAACCAAGATTCTCATCCTTATCAAAAGCTTAATATTGTGTTGCCGCGAAAGCCAGCGAGTGCGTAAACGGATAGCAGACGGTAACGCCTTGACGTGTGTGCTGATTTTGTCATGTGACGAATAAGCACAGGACACGCCTCGAAAGTGTCCATCACAGCAGTCGGCGAAGAATTGCTGAGAAGTATGTAGGAGTGAAAGGAAACAGGAAAAAGAGAGAGGAAGAACGCTGTAAGCAGAGTTGAACAAAACAGCTAGTGGAATTGGCAAAAAATAAAGCTTGACAAGACTGGGACTCGAACCCAGAACCCTTACGGATGTGAATGCACCACCTTGGAGGTGAAAGCTTAGCTTGAGTCACACGCCTTAACCATTCGGCCATCTTGCCTTATTGTTGAAATGTGTGGACGCTGCCAGTATATATTGCGCACTGCTGCCCCAAGCAACGAATGCCCAAGGAAAGGATTCTTTGCACAAGCTTCACCTCTTTCTGACCCGACCATCTCAGACACATGCATTTATTATTTCCAAACTATTTGCAGCAGCACTTTTGTCGGCACCCGTTCGAAACGGAGACAGCAGAATATAGTAGCACAGAACGACAACAGCAACATGGACCCTTCGGATATACGAACTGCGCCCCCAGGCGATTTGTCTTTTGCCTTTCAACGCCCAACATGCAAAACAACCGATTTCCGACGTTAGAGAACAAATCAAGAAGAAGAGAAAATGCGCCCGTCTACAGGTACAGAGACTGTGCTGCCACGATGCCGCGCTTGATCTTCTCCAGGCTCTGCTCAAACTTCTTTGTCAGCTCCTCGCTGCCCATCACCTTGCCGGCCTCGGCCATCTGCCGGAGCAGCTCTTCGAGCCGGCGGAACAGCCGGACCAGGGAGCCCTCGTAGGCGTTTGTCATTTTGCTGTAAAGTTAAGTTAGAATGTACAATTGCATTGCGTTCAGGGCTTCTGGGTGCACTCACCAGATCTCCGCAAACGACGCGCCGTTGGCCCACGACAGCACGGTCTCCATCAGCTGCCACTTGAGGCTCTGCACGTACTCGTCCTCGTTCACGTCCAGCTTGCTCTCCTGGCTGACCTTGGCGATGATTTTGGCCTGCGCCTTGATCTCGCGCAGCGGCTTGGCCAGGTTCTCCTTCAGGTCGGGCGCCTCGACCTTCTCGTCAAAGAGGAAGCAGGTCATGACGGACGCGACCACCTCGGGCGCGAGGTCGTTGAAAAACCGGTTGAACAGCAGCTCCGACAGCAGCAGCTCGTGGCCCTCGGTCGACGAGATCTGGCAGGCCACGCGCGCCTTCAGCTGCACCACGTCCTCCTCGTTGATGAAGCCGAGCCGGCGCAGCACCGTCTTGCGCGACTTGAGCTCGTCTAGCTGCGCGATGCTGTGTGCCTTGGCAATCGCCTTCTTCTTCTCCTTGACCCGCTCGCCCAGCGCCACCTTGCTGTCGTACTTTTGCCACAGCTCCGGCAGGATCGGCGATCCGTGCAGCGGGTTCGCCAGCAGCTTCGACTCCAGCAGCTCGATCTTGCGGATCAGCTTCTTGAACGACTCGTCCGTGATCTTCATGTTCTCGATCGGGTCCAGCGTCGGGATCCCGTCCGGGAACCGCCGCTCCACCTCCCGGATCACCTTGCCCGTCTGCTCCCGCCCGGCCTTTTTCGACACGTTGTCCGGCATGAAGATCCGCAGCTTGCTCATCGCCGTCACGCACGACAGCAGACACGGCACGATCTCTACGCGCACGTCGCTCTTGCTTGAGCTCTTGCTGTGGGCCGAGCTCTTGCCGCTCTTGCCGCTCTTGCTCGAGCCTTTGCCGTTCTTGTCGCTGCCCGAGCTCTCGTTCTCGTCCGCTGCCGACGCGCACGGGAACACGCCCGCAGCCATGTCGCCGGCCGGGAAGCCCGGCGCCACGTTCTCCGTCGACCGGCTGTCCGACACAAATAGCGCCACGTCCACGCTATACGACTCCTGCGCTGGCACCTCCTCCTCGCCGCGCCGCGGTGCCCGCCGCTGTGTGAAGCTCAGCACCGCGCCCCAGCCAAAGTCCTGGCCGCCGTTGGGTGTCTTGATGTGCACCAGCCGGCCCGGCTGCAGGAAGGGCAGACAGTACGTCGGGTGCTGCATCACCAGCACCATGTCCTTGCGGTACTCCTCGATCAGCTGCCGCAGCTTGTAGTACTCCTTGACCGTGTTCTCGTCCGGGATGATGGTGCTGTCGCGCTCCTGCTGCAGCGCCAGGAGCTCCTTCTCCAGCTGCGGCACGCTGGATGCGTTCTGGAACTGGAAGAAGCACCGCTCCAGCATGTACTCGGGCGACACCGTCTCGATCCGCTGCAGGTTGAGGATCATGTTGTAGCCCAGGTGGAAGGCCGAGTTGAGCCGGTCCTGCTTGCCGGCCACGATCGCCTTGGCCGTTTCGGGCTCGAGCTTGTCGTCCAGCATCATGATGACGATGCCGCGGTCATCCAGGCCACGACGGCCGGCGCGCCCCGACATCTGCACGTACTCGGACGAGGTCAGCGGCCGCATCGAGACGCCGTCAAATTTGCGCACCGTGGTGAAGACGACGGTGCGGGCCGGCATGTTGAGCCCGATGGAAAAAGTCTCGGTGGCAAAGAGCACTTTGATCAGGTTCTCCTGGAAGAGGATCTCGACGATTTCCTTGAGGATGGGCAGCAGGCCGGAGTGGTGGACGCCGATGCCCTTGCGCAGAAGCGGCAGCAGGTGCGTGATCTGCGACAGCTCCCGGTCGGCCTCGGACAGCGTGTCGATGGCGTTTTCAAACACGCGCGTCACCAGGGCCTGCTCTGACTCGTTGTTGAAGTTCATGCCCGAGATCTTGAGCGCGAGCATCTCGCACTCGCGCTTGCTAAAGTTGAACACGATGACGGGGTGAAAGTTCTTCTTCATGATCATGCGGATGATCTTGTAAATGTCCGACGAGGACTCGTTGCCGCCGCTACCACCGCCCTTGTTTGTCTTCTTGTTCTTGCCGTGGCCCTTCATCTTGGCGTTGATGTCGGCTGGGTCGGCGCCCTTGTTCTGCTCGACCAGCGCCATGGCCATGTTGAAGTTCTTCTCCTTAAAGACGCCACGCTCGTCGACCACCAGCAGGATGCCGTTGCCGCCGGCCGGGAAGCAGTAGTTTTGCAGCGGCGTGGGCCGGAAGTCGGTGTAGACGACGTGGCAGGCCTGGCGGTGGATCTTGGCAATCCACTCGGCAAACTGGAAGGCGTTCGGGATCGTGGCAGAGAGGAAGACGTAGTGCACCTTGTCGGGCAGCAGGATGATGGTCTCCTCCCAGACGACACCACGCGACTTGTCGCGCAGGTAATGGATCTCGTCAAACACGACCCAGGCCACCTCGCGCATGATCTCGGAGCCGCGGTACAGCATCGACCGCAGAATCTCCGTCGTCATGACCAGACAGCTGGCCGTCGGGTTGATGGTGACGTCGCCGGTCATCAGGCCGACGTCGCCAAACTCGGCCTGGAAGTCGCGGAACTTCTGGTTGCTCAGGGCCTTGATGGGGCTCGTGTAGATGACCCGCTGGTTCCGCTTGAAGCACTGGGCAATGGCGTATTCGGCCACGACCGTCTTGCCCGCACTGGTGTGGGCCGATACGAGCACGCTCTCTTCGCGCTCGATCGACGCGATCGACAGGCTCTGGAACGGGTCCAGCGGAAAGGGGTAGACGCGGGCTGGCTCGGCCGGTGGCTTGTGCTCCGACAGCGGGATGTACTCGTAGTTGAGGTCCGGCGGCAGGGCTACCTGGTGCTGGATGTTGTGCTTCAGCACGAGAGCCTCGGTCTCGGTCTGGGCCGTGAAGCCCGACGCCGAGGCCACCTCGCGAGACTCGGCCGTCTGGAAGGTGTCAGTCAGCACCGGCTCAGCCTCGTCCTCCTTCTTCCGCCGCTTGTTGTCATTGGTCTCGGCCGTGGCCGTCTCGTCCTCCATCGCCTCATCGTCGTCCTTGGTGGCGGCCGTATGGGCAGTCGCCTCCTTGTCGCTGCCATCAAATTCCATGTCGTCGTCCGACATGCCCTCAGCCTTGCGCTTCCGGCTCAAATCGATGGCCGAGAGCGCACCTTCCTGCCCCGTCGTCGGCTGGGGCTCCTGCAGCTGCCGCTGCCGCGGCGGCTGAGGCTCGTCGAAAACCTCAAACAGCTCGTCCGTGTTCATCGTCACGGCTGGCTCTGCGCGTAATTGAAATGATGAGGGTTCACAAGGGAAACCCCTCCATATACTTTCGCGTAGGGGTCACCCTCTGTTCCTGAACTTGTTTCGTCTTGTGGCCTTGTCGACCTGACAGGATTGCAGCCAGTGAAGCATGGAAAATATCTGTCAGGACAATAAGGAAAAAAAAGATATGCGAGAGTGGGGCCTCGCAGATACTGCCGCAAAAACAAGGTCGCCGAAAGGTGGTAGATTTGATCACGTGGATTGTGCGCACGGACCGCCGCCTTCCTCTCTGCCGGAAAAACATGGAACGCGAGCATTGCCGACTCACGCCACCAGTCGGAGGAGGGCAAAAAGAGATCACGACGAAAAAAGAGCTGTTTCTGCAGCTTCACACCACATCCACACCCCCGACACCAGAGACCATATTGCACCGTTACCGTCCGATCAAGGTTCGTACGACTCCGGCTGCGGCCAATTGAGCAGATTGGCCGATGAAACGGCGCCATTTCCACGGGATCCGCCTTGGCTGACTGGATACGTTTCCTTTCCTTCCTTTTCTCCTTCTGCAGATGTTCTCCCGCGCCGCCATTCGCAGCTCGCAGGCTGTTGCTGGCCGTCGTGCCTTCCACGCCACGCCGGCCCGCCTCTCGTCGCCGTACCACTACCCCGAGGGCCCGTACTCCAACCTGCCGTTCAACCCGCGGAAGAAGAGCTTTGGCCTGCTCTACTGGGGCGCGATGACCGTCGGCTTCTTTGCGCCATTTGGCATCTCCGGTGGGTGACAAGAAAGGGGATAGTCCGTGTCGGAGGCCGCCAATGCTAACAAGAATGACAGCCTACCAAACCTACAAGCCGAAATAAGCGGCTCGCTCAAGCGGCTCGGTCTTTGACGGCCTGGTGCAGTCATGGGATAGCGGGGAGGAAGGTTGGGATGTGGCCGTTGCCTATCATTTGCTATACAATCAAGACAACGTATACCGTGCGACGGCTCTGACCAAGGCATCATGCATCCAGTGAATTCGGTACCAACAGTGTCTATCCATATATATCTACAGCAGTCATGACAAGCGTAAGAAACATTAGGAATCGGCAAGCGTCCAGCTTGCCGTCACTCAAAACGAGCGGCTGCCCAGCTGGCTGAGCAGAGACAGGCGAGCCGGACGGGCGGTATGGCTGCTACCCCTGAGCAGGTTGTGCAGGAAGCCGATGGCGAAGTCGGCATCGGGCTCGGTGGGCTCCCAGCGCGACGTCAGCGAGCCGTAGGCCTTGAAGACCGACTCGGGCGAGCTGCAGCGGTCAAAGGCGCGCAGGACCCAGACGATCAGCCAGGTGCTGACGTAGAGCCCGGCGGCGTCTTCGTCGAGGGCCTTGAGCAGAGCAGCCCAGATGCTGCGCAGGCGCTGCTCGCTCCAGTCAGAGCCGGTGCCGTCGCGGCCACCGTGCAGGGCGAAGCCCTTGAAGAGCGCCAGGAAGATGGCGCCGTGCAGCGGAATGCGCAGCGTCTTCATGTCGCCGAGGAAGCGCGTGACGGCGGCCAGGTCGCCCAGCCGCACGGCGTAGTGGTGAATCAGGATCCGGAAGGTCGCCAGGTCCGGCCGCGTCGGCACCAGGTGCTGGTATCCGTCGCGCAGGTCTGTGTCGCCGCGGCTGACGCGTGCCAGCATCATCAGCACGTGCGTCATGGCCTTTTGGCTAGCAAAGCCGGAGACGTCAGGCAGTGAAGCTGCTGAGTCAGCATTTGGAACGGCATCGTCGGCCGTCTCGCCCTCTGCTGTCTGGGCGCTCTTTCTCGGCTGCAGCCGTTTCAGGTAGCTCTGGCGCATCTGCTGATACACGCGCTCGGCCGCGTCCTCCTCGCCGCAGCGCAGAAAGCCGGCGACGACGCAGTTCAGCACGACCACGTCGATCATCTCGCCGGCCTCGACCATCTCGCGGTAGGCGGTGCGCACGCCGTCGGCATCCATCTTGAGCCCGAAGAAGTGGATCAGGCTGACGTGGTGGTAGCGGTTGAAGCGCAGGCCACGGCGCTCCATTTCCTGGTAGACCATCTCGGCCAGGGTAAAGTTGCCGGCCTTGGAGGCGACGTCGAACAGGATGTTGAAGGTGACCTCGTTTCCGGGTATGTGGGCGTCCTGCTCCATCTCGCGCCAGAGCCGGACGGCCGCTTCGGTCTCGGTCGCGGTCGAGGAGCCGACGTAGCGGCTGGCAAACGACATGGCCGCGTTCCACTCGGCCTTCCAGAGGGCAAAGCCACCGTCCTTGACGTCGGCCACGACGGCAAAATACCGCAGCATCGACTGCGCGTCCTTCTTCTCGACCATGCCAAGCGCCTTGAGCAGCTGGTGTCGCAGGCTTGCGGGCACGCAGCTCATCCGCTCGGCTGCCGGCAGCTGTCGGTACCGCTCGTACACCTCGGCCGCGCTCATGCGGGACGGGTTGCGCAGCCGTGCCCACACTGTCTGGGCCAGCGCCCGCACGAGCTGCTGTGTTGTCTCGTCTGCCTGGCTGACGTCGTCCCACGTCGGATGCTCCGCGTCTTCGCGCACGTGCGACACCACCACTTCTGGTCCGTCTGCCGGCCGTGCATACCGCCGCAAGTACGGGTCGCGGATGAAGTCCAGGTGTGCGTCCACCGAGTCGCCATCGGCCGGCGGGTCCACGTACGACAGCAACTCCTTCTTGCTCGGCATCGGTCGCCGATGGCGCCAGAATCCCCCGTCGGTCACGTCGGCCATATCGGCCACATCGGCCACGTCTGACGTCGAGTCTGTGTGGTTGAAGCGGCGCGCACGGAGCAGGATGCCCGGTACCACCGCTACTGTGCTCGCTGGCAGGTGTGGCCGTCGGCGGCACACGGACTCGAGCAGACGCACCGTCTTCTTCATCGGCTGCCTCCATGACGGCGGCAGAAGCAGCGGCAGCAGCGTGCCCGCGGCCGGATCGGTTCGTCCGGCATCGCTGCTCGACTGGACTCCCTGTCTTCGGCTCCGCACCCTCTCGTCCGGGCTGTGCAAACATCGCGAAGACGCGGGTACTGGCCTTACCGGCGGCGTCGGCGATGGAGGGGACCGCTTGCCCAGGAGCGCGCCGCAGATCGACCGGTCGAAGCGACTTGAGGCTTTCATGGGCTGTCCTTCATGACTGCATCGATCCTCAGGGTGTTGTATTGTCGCTCCCCAGCACCGGCACGATCACAGCTGCCGGTTATATACTGATATTCGCTCTATCGGCTCGGTGTTTCTGGCAAAAGGCGAAATGAGCTTTGTGCAAATTCACAAATTTACTTGCTATCATCTTATCGCCGCTGTGCTGTCAATAATACCGCATACCTGCATAATCATGCATCTAGTTGGGTTTGCTGCAAGCTTCCGGAAAAAATCAGAGATGTTTGGCCCACTCTGTTCGACCTCTAACGAGAGAGGCCCGTTGCAGATTCCGCCTACTCGTGCACGGCTTGTCGGTATCGGGACTCTGAACTGATTTGGGAGCACTGGTTACTCGACACCGGACTCTCCCAGCCGGCAATTGGCGATCTCTGGGCAGCCCAACCATACACATCCCACACCACAATCACATACACCACACGACCACATCCACCACAATGGGCCGCCAGTTCCGCGCCGCACGTGTCGCCCAGACCGTGCGGAAGGGCCTTGGGATTCCCCTCACGCCGCGCCTTCGAGACACGGCGCCACCATGGCTGCACGTGGTCGAGACCATTCCGCCGGCCGAGATTCTGACCCGGACGATCCCTGTGGCGCATCATGCGCCCGATCCGCACATGCGCAAGCCACGGCGGACGTACCGGCCACAGCGCATCGTGTACGAGGAAGACGAGCTGCGACAGACCTTCTTCCGCGATCATCCGTGGGAGCTGGCACGGCCGCGGGTTGTCGTCGAGATGGACGGCAAGGATGCACGACTGTACGACTGGAGCCGGGGGCTGGTCCAGCCAGGACTGCCTCTAGGGGGAGAGTGGTGAGTTTTTCTCGTTTTTTTTCTGTCTGTCGCTGCTTTCGTCTTACACATGTCCAGCGTGGTCCAACGACAGCTCTGGATGATGCACAATGCCGGTATGACCAAGGAGCAGGCCTACGATGCGGCCCGCCGCGAGTTTTATGCCCTGCGCCACCAGGAGGAGGTGGAGCGGCGTGTCGCCCAGGAGGAGGCCCGCATGGTCGGCGCCTACTTTGGCAAGTCGGCCCTGCAGTTCGGCATGGACCTGGAGGACAACACGTACGAGCGCTGGAAGACCTGGGCCGCCGGCGAGACGGCCAAGATTGAGGCTGAGCGCAGCCGTGCGTACGTGACGTTTGGCACCGAGGCTGCCGAGGATGCCGACGCGGCCGAAGGCGATGCGAGCGCAAAGCAGGCCGAGTAGGGACGGCCGATCTGTGTATTTGTATTCTATGAATTCACGTCCTTTGTACATGTGGCGTATTGTTTTGGTGCTCTGGTGCTCTGGTCTTCTCAACGCGGCTGTCTGGTCGTCCGCAGCGTCTTCTTGATGCCCAGCAGGTTCCCGTGCTTGGCGACGTCGCCGACGAACCGCTGGCCCGTCCGGGCAGCCAGGGCCTCGTGCTGCACCACGTACATGTCCGCGATGCCGCTGTGGTAGAACAGCTTGCCGGTCAGGCTGAGCGTGCTGACGTGCGCCCACGTCTCGATGTACAGGACGGCGCACCGGCTGGCCGGCACGAGGCCGAGCAGCTTCAAGATGTGGGCCACGAGGCAGACGACGAAGCCGGTGCCGGGGCCGTTGGTGACGATCAGGTGGGGGAGGTTGAAGTCCGCCGCGTCCCGGACGGTCAGACGGTCACGTGACCGCCGCACGAGCGCCTGCACGACCGAGAGCGCGCTCAGCACGGTGGTGTAGCCGGTGGACCAGAGCGGCTGGTGGACGCTGCGGGCGCGGACGACACGGAAGACGTCCCAGGTGCCGGCAGGGCCGATGCCACCGTCGTCGGCCGACGGAAAGGCCTGCTGGATGCGGCCCTCGAGCTGGGCCACGGCGTGCTCCGAGTGCTGGTCACCCGAGGTGATGAGGTAGCGGCGATGGGACCGCGGATTCGGGCGGAACTGCTGCTTGACCATCTCGCAGAGCTCGCCGGTGTGGCCGCCCGAGCCGAGGACGTAGAGGAAGTAGGTGCTGGGTAGCTGGAGGGCATCGGGCACGCCGCCACGCCGGGCCGCCGTCCAGGCCTGGTCCATGGCCGAGCGCCCGCGCCGGCGAAAGAAGAAATGTCGGATCTGACTGGTCAGTGGGAGGAGGAAACGAGAGTAAAATGCGAAAGAAACTGATGACAAAAACCCCCAAAAAGACAGATAAACATACCGTCAAGAATGTCAAGAGTACAGTCACGATAGAAGCTGTGATGGCCGGCGAGACCAGCAGCAGGCCAGCTCCTGTCCCGATCGAGACAAGCAGGACAGTGCTGAGAACAGCCAGGGATGTGAAGCCCAGGGTCGACGACTCTATCGTCTTGGAGGCCACATCCGCAAGGACGGGTTTTGTGTCTATTGAGGAAAATCAGATCAGCGCCTGAGGCTACGAAGAAGAGGGTCATTTACCCATTGTGTCCTTCGTTCTGGACCGACTGCTAGAGCGCGGTAGACAATAAGCTTTCTGTGAGCTCACTTACAGAGCAGCTTCATGGATATGCTGCTCTCGGCAGATGAGATGTTGCGAGACAGTGACTATGAAATCATATGTGAAACCCCTCCTCTTCCATGCACCTCAAAATTCCCAGTGCATCTCCAGAAGCCTTGATGGCTGAGTTTATCGGTACGATTTGGCTGAAACGGCTGCTGACAGGAGCACCGTGTTCTGTTCAGTATGAAAATGCATGTATCGGGTTGCCAGCATACTGCTAGCTGTATCTCAACGGGAGCTGAAAGCGACCCACCCGTTGTCCAAAAGCGCCTCACCGCCCGGCACAATTTCCGGGCTTCTCTTCACCAGAATTGGGTCCATGTCAACAGCCGGGAAAAAAGCAGCGGCACAAGGACCAGCAACCGGAGGATCGAGATGCGCACTCCGCCCCTTTCACGAGCCCGGACCGACACGTGCAATGTTTGATCCGAGGGTGTGTCTCGCCGTGCCTTTGGATTCTTTACAGTACCAGCAGCCATGGCCGGCTTCCGACGCACGCGTTATCTCGCCTGCTTCTACTGCGGGCGGCGCACTTCCATTCGCTATGACGGCCACATGCGGCACTTTGAGTGTCCCAACTGCGAGGCGACCAACTATCTAGACAAGGTCGGTGCATCCGGGAGCCCGATGGACGGCCGTTGCTGATACTCCGCAGGATGGCGACATTACCGATCCGCCCGTGGCCACGACCACATCAGCCGAAGCGATCTCGTCGTCATCTGCCTACGCCAGCCAGCAAGGCTCGCCGCAGCGCCACCTCAGCCTTTCACCCGGCGGCAGCAGCCAGGAGAGCAGTGCCGTGTTCTGCACGAAGTGCCTCAAGAACCAGCACCTGTACGTGTCCTCGCTGGCGCAATACTTCCCGCCCGATCCCGACCACGCCGAGTACGCAGAGCTGGAGTGTAAGTATTACCATTTCCGCAAGGGCCTCGAGCAGCGCTACCCCCAGGTATGCTCTGACTGCGAGCCGGCCGTGCTGGAGCGCATCCGCCAGGCAGGCTACACGGCCAAGACCGACCACCTGCGGCGCATGGTCAACTACAGCCGCCAGGTGCGGCTGACACGGCCTACATACCTCGACGCAGCCCACCGCCTCGGCCGCTGGCTCTGGCGTGCCGGACTGCTCTTCCAGGCCCTGTGGCAGCTCGGCCTGCTGGCCCGCTGTGTGTCTGTGTCTGTACCAACAGCTGGCCGCCAGGAGGAGCAGGGTTTTGACGACGACGTGGTGATCGGGCTGTCCGACTCGCCAGACGCGGCGCTGCCACCATCCGTGGACGTATCCTTGTCCCTAGCTCCGCTGGCACACGCGCTGCTGTCTTGGATCGCGGCCAGCACCGACCGGCTGCAGACGCTCTGTGTTGGGGCCACGATCGCCGGCTGCTGGTGGAACCCCTACTTTGTTCAGACAGTACGTGGCTTCACGAAGCCGTTCATCGGCATCCCGGTCTGGTACACGTACCAAGTAACGCTGGTCTTTGTCCGCGTCATGCTGGCGGCCGTGGCTGTGCGGCTGACACCCAACACACACGAGGACGGGGCACAGAGTCAGAATGTGCGGCTGCCTCCGGCGATGCTCGGGCTGCATGTCTTTGTTCTCCTCTTCACGCTCTACCTCTACGCCAAGGCGCCGCGGTCAATCCGCAAGGACATGCGGCCGCTGTTCGCCAAGACGGCCGACACACCGCTCACATCACATCGGCAGCGGCCCCGGACTGCGGAGGAGCGGGCCGACAACCGGCGGCGCGGTCTGGAGACGCTGTCGGACGTGCTGGACGAGATCGCAGCGACGTCGCCGACGCCACAGGGGAGCAGACACCTACACGTGGCCGACGACTCACCACCGGAGCAGGACGTGTTTGGCAGCGGTGGCTGGAGCAGCGGCAGGTCGCCGACATGGGACCGTAGCCGCAACAGCCACAGCCGACCGAAGAAGAGCGACTTTGAGCTGGGCGGGATGCGAATCGCAGACGACTATGGGTCGGCGCAGCCGCTGTCGCTGTCGCAAGAACGGGAGGCATACTACGCCGAGGAGATGGACTGGTCGCCGTCGCAGCCGGCTGAGCCGATAAAATCACCGTACCGGGCGTTCAGCACGTATAGCGGCTCCAGCCCGATGCGGCCGGGCCAGTCGTCGACGTTTGGGTCGGACAGCAGCGGTGCCTTTAGCCAGACACCAGTCAAGGCAGGCCACGGACCGTTCTGGTACAAGGTGCCGCCAGCGCCGACGAGCATAGCCCAGCGGGTGCTGAATCCGACGATGCCGCGGTTGAGACAGCAGCAGCAGCAGCAGCAGAAAAAAGACGTTGACGATGTGTTCTCGTCAGCCGTTCCTGGTGGGTTTTTTGGTGGCGACAGCAGCAGCAGACAGCCGACAGCAGCAGCAGCAGCAGCAACAACAAGACCGTCGGTAGAGTTTGCGCAGCCACGGTTCTTTGCTAGCAGCGCGGTCGGTGGCAGCGGCCAGGACGACGAGGCGGGCAACTCGCTGTCCGATCTCTTCAGCCAGTCCTTTACGCTCGGCTCGGGCGAAGGTGGTCAGGGCGGCGAGCACGGCGATCAGCCAGAATCAGGACAAGGCCGGCAACACGGGTTTGACGCTGTCGGGCTGCTCGTGCTCGCCGTCTCGCTAGGCCTCCTGCACAGCCTGCGTGTCGCAGACGGCCAGGTGCCAATCCGGCTCGACGCGTACCGGCGCCTGATCGCCCAGCTGCAGCCGTACGCCAAGCTGGTCGAGACGGCTGCCGTGGGGCTGTGCGCGGCCACGACGATCCGCCGGATGGGCGAGTCGCTGCAGCGCTGCCGCTGCGCTGCCGACGGGCTGGCGCTTCTCTGGCCGCACGTGCTGGGCTGCGTGCTGGGCCTCGCGGCCGCGGCGCTGGCCGGCCAGATGGCCCTGCAGCTGGGGGCGGTGCTGTCTGGGGGCGGCCCAGAAGGACGGGCGGTGGCGCTGTCGCTGCCGTGGCAGTGGTGGCAGGTGGTCGCGCTGCACGGCGTGGCGATGGCGCACCAGGTGTGGAATGCCGTCTTGCTGTAGAAGGCAACGGTTCGGTCGGCTTGGCTGGTTTGGTTGGATTGGGTTAGCATGGGATGGAGCATGAAATGAATCGGATGACTAAGCAAAATACAGAATACAGAAGCGGGGCTGGCATTGGCTGAATTGGGGTAGCTGTCCGGCCTACGCTCTGATGTTGGCGAGCGCTCTGCTTGATGTGCAGAAGATTGATGCCGTTGTCGCAGCTCACGTCACAGTTGAGAGCCTACGGTCATTGTCAGCCTGCTAGTCGATGCGTTTGTAGCCGCGAATATATTTGATGATTTCCGCACAAGGATAGATGACCTCAGCGGCTTATTCAAGAACATTTGGGCTGTGTATTTGTCTGTTCAGGCACTGCTAGGGCCTTTGTCAAGCACCCAGGAAAAAGAAAGGGGCGATGTAGATTTTATACATGCCTACCTTTCTGCAGCGGGAACAATCTACGTTTGGGCCACCAACTTGCTTCTGGCGTTTATCATCAAGCACATTGCGTCTGAATGGCGTCCTTCTCCCCTCTTTATAAACTTTGAAATGATCATATGACCCTGCCTACCACGATGGAAGGTATGGGATCCTTACTTTTGCACTACGGTGCAGTGGTCTTTCCCCCCCTCGGTGACGTACAAGAAAGCTCAAAGGCTTGGGAGTATTAGCAAAATACCGAAAGGCACATAGCTGAACTGCGGCTATGCTGCCAGAAATTGCATACGCCGCATCACCTGCCGCGGCAGGCCTACCGCGTCCACTTCGCAGCGTTGCGTTGACCATCAGCCCCATCGTCATCTCCATCGTCATGTCCATCTCCACCATCAGCATCTAGATCCTTATTGTAACCAGCCTCACTCGAGGAGTCGTCCAAAACACTGCCCTTCCTTGCATATTTGGCGTAGAATGGATCGAGAAGGTTTCGGGCATACGCTGATCCCACATCTTCCCACTTGTAGAATTCAGTCCACTTCCCCAAAGGATATTCGAACAGGCTGCATATGTGGTCCACTGAGTTGTGCTCCTTCTCTTTGGCTGTGGCGTTTTCCCCTCTTTCTTCCACAAAGTGGTTAAAGGACGTTCCAGCCGTCCTCCAGGACCTCCAGAACATCCAGTCAGTGCATATAGTAACTATTCATAGTCGTCCAGCTAGACGACTTAAGAAGTACACCAAAAATGACTGCATGCTGACGGCGTGAGGAAGCTCACTAGAGGGCTGGGAGACGTAGTCGAAGGTAATTAGAAGACTTGGGGCCTCAACCATTTTCTCAAAATCTCCGAGGATTGCAGGCACCCGATTGGAGGACACCGACCCATGTATTGATACACCGTAGGCCGCTTTCAGGCTTCTGGAGTGCCCGTAGCAAACGCTAGGACAGGCTCACTAGGCTGACTGGTAAGTAATATGCTGCAGTTCTCCAAAACGGAGATGAGGTATCTTATCAACGACGCCACAAGCGTCTCCGCCAGTTGCCGGGAGGTAACGTAGAAGTTGACTCTGTATGTAAGCAACGAAGTTGAAAGCGTTTGTCTCCGTTGTTGAGAAATGATGTCCACAACAGCCTTTTATGAGAGCAAATCTTAGTAACCAGTTTTGCCGATCCACCAATGTCAGTTAAATCATCTGGCACGAAAACATTCCATGTGTCTATCTTATAAACGGGAGAAACCACAGTTCTGGTGGCCTGTTTTCGAGAAGGGTCTGCTGCGAGTGATGGTGTGAAATTGCTTATTCTGGAAGTTGTGTCGAGCAAGATGACAATAAAAGCTTGTCGGCGTCCACACGAATAACACCAGTAGCTATTCCGCAAGGATCGGAAGGATAGGTTCTCCTTATCGACTAGAAGCTCTCGCGCTTCGTCAAAAAAGTTTATACACGGCGTGTCTTCCTGAGGACTAAATCCCAGCCTGCACGGCTCCAAGTTCTCAAAATGTCCCACTGGAACATTCGTGCACTCGGCAATGCTAACCTCCAGATCGACATCTGTAATAGCCACTCATTGAAGAGCAGTTTCAAATTTCTCGCGCTGGGCGATAAGATTGAGTCCGCTCGAGCAAGCAAAGAGAACCGACCAGCTAGCGTTATCTCTTCTTTCATGCAGGCTCTAAAAAGGCGGAGTGGCAACCGTAGAGAATCCTTCCATACTTCTGTCACCCTCTCACGGCCCAGATTGGCCAATGGAACCTTTCCCATGACGACCGGACGAGGGTAGCAAATCCGCTTTTGTAAAGCCAGATCCGAGTACACAACAGAGGCCCTATGCCGGATAGAATGTTGCTTAATGGTGAATGTTTTCCCTATGCCAGAAGGCCCGATTATAGTCGTGTACGGGCCATTCAGCTGAGTTTGACGTCCGCATACTGTTAGTATAACTCCTGGACGGAAGATGCTGTATTCTGTGTCGTCAATGATCGCGGCAGTGGGCTGTGGCGTTATATCTCGTCTGGCCATATGTTGCATTGAGTCTGGGTGGCGAAGGTCGCTGATATTGTGGTAGTAGACAAAACAGTCGGCGACACGCCGGGGAAATGCCTAAATGACTTTGCCGATATTCATTTCATCGGATAGAAAAATGTGAGAAAATCCGTAGAAGGTGAACATTACTTCTACCACAGGAACTCCAGGAATATCGGCATTGAAGTAGGCAATAATCCGGGCTGTCAGTTCGCGCAAATCGCGTTCCGATATGGAGTATTTGTTCTTAAATGACTAGATTCTCAAGCACAATTTAACTTAAACTTTCCCAGTCGTGGGCTTTTCTTGTGATGCTAAAGGCACTCGACCTCATTTCGATCTCCTGGGAGCTCCAACTTCCGTTCTTGCTGCTCTGTGCTGCGTGCTTTTTCATGATAGCACTGAAGTTCGGGGATTCCGGCACGTATTTTTTTTAGCGTCCGCTAGAAAATAGACGGATGTGTTCTGGCAAAGATTCGCCAGTGCCATTCTCAGTTCCGAGCCGAATTAAAAGATCCAAACCGGTAGTTACAAATATCTCCTCAGCTGAGAAGAGTACTCTCCACCAGTGTCGATCCACACTTGGTGCCAATATTTGCGAGCGATATTGAAGATGGCGTGGAAAGCCAACGGTAAGAAAACCGTCCTCCTTGCCTATTTCGCCACAAGTGATGCCTCTCTTCACGAATTGATGATAAAGAGAGAACAGACCTCGACGGTCAAACGGGGTGCAAACGCGTGTGCAATGTAGTGGTGAAAGTTTTTTCAGGAAGGAGTGAGAGAGGTGCTTTGAAAACCCCTCTCTCGTGTAACTCATCACCCCTCCCTCGCACCTACAATTTTGGTGGCCCAACAAAAGCTTCAATGACAATGCAGCAAATGGAGAAGTGAAAAGAGAGGGGTGCGAATAGTGAAACGAGAATTACAGTGGGACTGGGTAGGGGTATCCGTAAATTACCGCAGGGGCGAAAGGTTCTAAGCGGGCAATACTATTGCATATTTGGAGATGTAAGGCGTAGCGCCAGCAGAAGCAATTGGCGATCTTAGGTCCCAAAAGTCTTGATCCCTCACCGCTTTTCCCATTATAGGAAAGGACTCTGTATCTTGCTATGTATGTACATAATACGGATTTTTCTGTTGCGCCTAAGACATTCTCGGATAAGGACACGTAAAGCACACTCTAATGATAGATGACATAGGCTCCCTGATTCCTGTCCTAACTCCGTAGGAACATGATAATGTCCATACTTCGTACTCCGTTCTGTTTTTTATTCGCTATGCCTACTGTGAAGGTTAAAGGAGGCTATACGTGGCGGTCATATAACGTGATGCACTGTGAGGAGCAGGAGGCTGAATAGGGTCTAGTGTGGGCAGAGAGTGTTGTGTACTAAGGAAGAAATAGGTACATCGCGACCCTTCTGGGGGTCCGTATTAATAGTAGTGCCAGGCTCCGCTTTTGTGCCTTCTGACCAATAACAGGCCTGTACGGCCAAGTGGGGCGGAAGGTCTACAGTGTGGCGGATTCCAATGCTTGACACCTACATAGTACTCCGTTCTCGTACAAATAGTAGTGCAAGCCCGAAAAGCTTACATGTCACACTTTACCATCTAAGTTTAACGCTGTGAAAGGGGCCTTCGGGCCGAGATTATCGGGGTTCTTAAAACTCCCGTATTGTCCGTTATACGAATAATCTAACCAACGAGCTTAACATAACCTAAACCCCCCGATAAATACAGAAGGTAGACTACAAGCACTCGACAAAGGGAAAGCAAAGGAAAAAAGAACAACCGTAAGGAAGTCGCAGATTGACGGCACACATTGGGCAGCAGTAACAAAACAAGCATATGCTGCTGAAATGATTTAAGCCCACTCAGGATCGTATGGGTCGACCTAATCGGAAATGTAACTAGTCACATACATCATCTCTTATTACGTTGCAACACATCGACATAGTGGAAAGAGCACATATTATTAAACCTAGAGGGATGGCTCCTTTCTGCAGTAGGGCCCTTAACTAGTTGGCTTGTCCGAGCGGTGCTTATAGGCCCAGCTGTACATCTTGTCAAAGCTGCGGCACTTGTGCGTTACGCCCATGCCATTGATGCCCGTCTTCGTCACCGGCTCGAAAGTAGAATCACCGGCACACATGATACCCTGACGAATAAAGTCCAGGCAGTGGTCACGGTGCAGAACGATCTGATCGGGAGTCAGATGTGCTACAGCCTCGGGGGTGAAGGCGGAGTGCAGGAAGTTGAGGCAGTGTAGTTGGTGGAACATAGAGATGCCGTAGACTGTGTGGGTTTCGGGGTTGTGCGGTGCCGGACGGGACGGCCGAAGGCCTGCTGTGTATTCGTTGGGGATTTGAACAATGCCATCCCCGGGGGGACTCAGCCGCTTCCACATGCTGTCAGTGACATTTGTCGACTGGGCGCCATAGACGGCATAGGTCTCAAAGGTCACCGGAGTATCATAGGCCACTGAGATGTTAGAACTGAAGAGAGATTGTGTGGGAAAATCAAGTCCATACAATCAGGCTCGAACTTGGCGGTCTTCGTGTCGCACGTAAACTTCTTGAGAAGCATGTTGATGTGGACCCAAACACCCAGTCCTGCAGCAAGGAAGAGGATGTTGAAGAAGAAGAAGACGCGGCCGGCCGTCAGCCAACGACCACGTCGGTTTTGCCTTAGCAATTTTGAGCCGTGGATCTGCTCCAGTAGGCACTCTTTGTCCTCGTCCATGGTGGATGATGAACGAGTTGAGTTGTGCGGAGGGGAGTCGACCATCTTGCTTATGGCGATGAAGGCAGTAGTGAAGAAAAGAGGGATTTGGGGAGTGGCGGAGAGGGAGGAAAGATGCAACGGAGAAAAGACAGCACGCAGATTGAAGAATGCACAAGATAATCCTCACCGAGCCTAAATACTGATTTCCTGCTGGTGCTCGCCATTCCCGAGTTTACCGCCAGGTAAAGACCAGCCCCACATCCCAGAGGTCAGGCAATTTCATGTTGCGAAAGACAATTTCTAGATAAACTTACCAAAGCCGAAAGATGCTGTGTCAATTGCCGTTACCGAGTCGAGAGCGCTCTGCCAACAAACACCGAGATAGAGGCCCTAGCTGAAAGCCCGTGCCTTACAACCCAACTGTGACCGTGCTTGGGCCCATAATAAATCCATAGATTGTCGTTGTTTGGCTCGTGATCGACATAGTAGGGGTCCATACACCTCCTCGTACGACGGTAAGCCTTTTTTCCAGTAGCTGTGGGGGCACACCAGCAAATATGCATTCCTGTACTCCGTAACTTGCCCCATATCTTGTAACCGACGCTTCATCGCTGCCAGATGCGCATATGTCGAAAAATACCGTCGTATCCTCTCTGATGAACCCGGCCTTGTGGGGCAGAAGACCTGGATCGTTTCTGCGGAGTACGTCGTACCTGCGATAAGGAGATAGTATCATAGTGGATCTCGCGGCAGTTCTACCAGGAAAGTAAAAATAGAAAAAGCTTTGGTAGTACGGAGTAGACCACACTCTACGGACAATCAACAATTTCACTATAGGAGATTTATCTACATCTTTCAGGAGCTTGCTGGTGGAACAGAATGCATTGTAGAACTGGGTTACGATGTAGAACAAGGAAACAGCCGCCAAGACGAGGTCACAGCGGGGAGTGTACTCCGTATGACTGGGTTTGCACTTTCAGCCGCGAATTTACATACAAAGTCTACTATAATGCAGCTATAGTCAGAACCCCAATGTTCTTAAAAGGCAGGTAGTACTGGTGCATGTGCGTTTCAGCTCCAGGCATCTTGCATAATGATTAATTCAACAGCCCTTGCAGAACTCTTATCATGATCTTTGCGTTGCTGTCTCTTGTTCGAGGAAGACAGACGTTCACTCTCGTGCCCACCTTTGCCGGTCCATACAGACATTACTGGCGTAAGGCAAGAGGTGAAAACAGGGGTTAGATAGTATCTCTATATTCCATTGGGTAGAATCAGTAGATGTCTAAGCGGTGAATCTTGTTGCATCATGATAGGCATCATTGTCGGCGTCTTACTATGTACATTTCGATAGTGCGCTTCAAGTATCTTGGTTTTTGTCTTGGCTGCTTTTGCATGTTGGTCGATGTTGGTCTAATAAAAAAAGGCTGTTGACTCTATTCAACGCGTATATAAGGCCGGCCGTTCTTCAAATCTTCGAACGTTCCAAATAGCTCATCACTACCATCATTACCATCAGCCTTCAAAACCTCACTCACAACCTATCCAACAACCCAAGCCTCTGTTGACCTGCTGCAGAAACATTGTCCTCCATTTATCCAGTAAGTCATCACATTGCCCGCAAACTACACGAAGTCAACCGAAGCTGTGTTCTAATAAAACGGTACATATAGACAAAATGAAGTCCACTATCATTGCCATCGGCGCGCTTGTTCTCCCTGCTGTTATGGGTGCAGCTCTGCCCGTTAGACAGGAGACAGCCACACCAGCTGCCAAGCGAGACATAGACGGCATTGAATACGTCTGGGGCTCCAAGGATGGTGAGGAGCGCAAGCGTGACACCGACGGAATTGAGTACGTCTGGGGCTCCAAGGACGGTGAGGAGCGGAAGGCCAAGCGCAACAGCGACGGCATCGAGTATGTCTGGGGCTCCAAGGACGGTGAGGAGCGCAAACGTGACACCGACGGCATCGAGTACGTCTGGGGATCCAAGGATGGCGAGGAGCGCAAGGCCAAGCGGGACACCGACGGCATTGAATATGTCTGGGGTTCCAAGGACGGCGAGGAGCGCAAGCGTGACACCGACGGCATTGAGTACGTCTGGGGGTCTAAGGACGGAGAAGAGCGCAAGGCCAAGCGTGATACCGACGGAATTGAGTACGTCTGGGGCTCTAAGGATGGTGAGGAGCGCAAGGCGAAGCGGGACACTGACGGCATTGAGTATGTCTGGGGCTCCAAGGATGGTGAGGAGCGCAAGCGTGACACCGACGGCATTGAGTACGTCTGGGGGTCCAAGGACGGAGAAGAGCGCAAGGCCAAGCGTGATACCGACGGAATTGAGTACGTCTGGGGTTCCAAGGATGGTGAGGAACGCAAGGCTAAGCGCAACAGCGATGGGATTGAGTATGTTTGGGGCTCCAAGGACGGCGAGGAGCGCAAGGCTAAGCGCAACAGCGACGGCATTGAGTACGTCTGGGGCTCCAAGGATGGCGATGAGTAAATTCGCCTTGGAGATTGTTTTGGACAAGCCTTGAAGGACGAAGTTGATTTTTTTCTATTTACAAGATAGTTTGTTTTTAGACTTCGTTTCTTCGGGGGGGTCTAGAATAAATAAGATGTTTAAGCCGAGCAAAAATCTATAACTGTTCCTCATAAACAATTCTTGCAGATCTTTACAACTTTACCATAAACGTTCCCATATAGGACGCAAGATACGTAGAAATCTTGCTTACTATACACAATACTTTGATGATATATGACACGACAAGAATAAGAAGCTTTTGCTTAATATAGTGCAAGTACAACAATATCACCTTTCAATTATACGCCATTCCGTCTTTGAATATCGTTTTTGTCTACTCCGTATTACGGGGTACGGAGCTGAAAGGGGCACCCACTTTTTTTTATTTCTGTCATACTAAGTACGGAGTACGAAGTACACGCACCTATCAAATCTCCCACGTGGGGATGGCAGGTGGCGGTCCCGCTCGGGATGCTAACGATGCCCACTTTTCTAATCCCGTAAAATGTGATAGTTCATCTTTTCATTATCGCCTATAACTCCGTAGATTCAATTAGTTCCCTATACTCCGTAGGAAGTGTGGGAAAGCACGGTGCAAAGTATAAAACAAGTAATTGAACTGTTCGTGAAATATAGTAAATACAACACATCACAGTTGGAAGCGTTAGACCACTCAAATTGGCTGTATGTATTCTTCGAGATAAACTCCGCATACGGAGCACTACTGCAGAAGACTGTAACCTTTCCGCACTGGCTTTCTCTTACTCTCTCTTTTTCGTCTGAGCAATTTTGAAACTTGAAATCAGAGGCATTATAGAACCTCCTGCAATTATTAGATAAGTAGATAGTTGGTACATTTGTTTTAGTCATTCTAGCCTAAACCCGACCTCTGTTACAGCATACCTTTCGTCAAATTACTATATTTTGCTATAATACCGGTTTGTGACAAACATGCAAGTCACCCCCAAGCTCTACATCAGCCCCTTGGATGCTTTCAACTGCACTGCCTGCCAATACCGTAGATTCTCCCAGTTCACACAATTCTTTGTAATGCCCCAACCGAGTGGGTTGCCCCATTTGTCAAAAGCCTCCGATGAGGGTGTTCCCGGTGGACTTCCCGGCTCCAGTGTGAAATTGTCGCCGCACATGATGGACAGGCGCAAGTATTCAACGCAATGCTCAATATGTACAGTCGCCAGGTCAATGTCGTCGGCTGTAAACCCCGTGATATTGTGAATATCTTGGAAGGCAGCTTGGCGGACAATGTTCTGCGATTCCGCTCGTTAGCTGATACTGATTGGCCAGGTATGAGGAGGTAAACCATTGGCAATGCAAACTTACTAGACAGTGAACTTGGTGGAGGTTGCTGATGTGGTAGAGCTGGTACTCGCTGTCGCTGTCTTGAACCTTTCGAAATCCAGGCTCCAGTCCGTACTGCTCCGGATTGAGAACCCAGACGTCTTCTAGACCTGTAGGCTCAAAGTTAGCACAAATGTGTATATCAGAAAAGTGATGGATGCGGAACATCGAGAAAGTGCGCACCCCGAATCAGAGTCTTCCAGTTATGGTTGACAAACGGGCTCCATCCAACGTAACGTTCATCGGGACGCATCACCGTCGGCAGCCGTGGTGAGAAGACACTGGAAGGAATGGGTGATGACGGCAGCGTCTTCTGCGGCTCTGGTCTGTTGACAGCTGATGCCGCGATGATGATGCCCAAGAACAGGCTGAGAAGGGAGAGGACAGCATGAGAGACGATCAGTCTTCCGTCCCATGACTGCCAGGTCGGCAACCGCAAATTCCACCGACCTGCATTCCAGGCGTATTGCTTCACATCAAAAGTGTTCTTTTCGCCCACCGGCTCGTTCGAAATAGGAACCGCGTGGTATTCCGTAGACGGAGCCATTCTGATTGCAGCAGGAAAGAAGTAAAAACGAGATAACAATTTTGAGTCCCGCCGCCTTGTAGCTGAAAGAAGGACTTTCTAGAGAGTCGGCTCGAGCTCTACGTAGCCTAGAGGACAGAGTTCTGCACCTTCGGAATGTCTGGTCACTCTCCGTTACTTCTTATCTCTCTTTCGCTATGTCCCACCTGTAAAATGTAAGATAGAAACTTTATCTACTTTGACTCTATCTAATCTATCCCCGGAATTGACCGAGTCCACAGCATCCTCACCGCCATAATACAATCGGCATAAGATATGCTTGTTTTAGAATGATCGTATTATACCCCGTACGTGCCGGAAAAGAAGAGGAATATATTTTGTCTAATAAGACCTGCCGGATCTGGTTTAAACTCCTTGCAAGATTAAGCACGCAAAGCATGAACGAAGGATCTAGCTATCCTGCAATCAAAGCGGGGGTGCTGAGTCGTCGTTACCCCCTGGGCCAGAGCGCATATTACGTCGTATGTAAGCAGGGACTCTTTGCGGAGATTCTTGCGTCGTAATTAGTAGGCAGGGTTAATGCGGAGTAAGTAACTCTTAATTCAACCAAAGGACGATATCTCCGTGTTCTCAATAAAGTGGAGCGCACCATGATAAGTACCCTGCCACTCCATACTATCGTACCATAATACGGTTGTTTCTTACGGAGTACTTACTCCGTGTACGAGTACAGCCAGGCTGTGGGCCTTTTAGCACATCGACCGACACTTCCGGCCCGCTTGAGCTCCGCAGCTTAGCCTGCTTACATACTACGTCCACTTGTTTACTCCGTAGCTTATCAGAATACTCGCTGCCGTGTCAGAAAGCGGGTTCAATATCGCCAAGCTTCAAGATACCTTTTTCCTTCTGCTTTTAGGGACAGTCTGTTCTTTCCCAGGAATCCCCCTCTTCTTCATAATCTCAACTCTCAGACTTCACTGTCATTTTAAATTATCGTGAATTACCCTCGAGATGGAAGCCAGCAAGAATGCTCTAAAGGACGAGGAGGCCAATTCGTTCATCGATTCAGATCATGAGCTAGATGACCATATGAACGGACACCAGAGACAGCAACGGCTTCTAGTATGGCTCTGGAATGCTACTCTTCTTGTCCTTGCGTCTGGTTGGATTATACCCCTTCTTCAACGACACAGCATTGTTGTTCACAAAAGCACAACCGCTGCAGACACTTGGGGACGGCCAGACAACACACCGCTGCCGCCAGAAGTGTTCCAAACAGTCAAGAAAACGTTTTTCCGTGATGAGCGCTATATTGGCACCACTGTGGAAGTGCACCGAAATTGGGATCACATTGTTGCCGGTCACGATGCTCTGTACATCGAGAACCCTGAAGCCTATGGTCTGCCAAAAGGGACTCATCCACCATTCGACCACCCTGGAAAGGTGGGAGAGGGCCCGCCTGTCTTCTATGTTGTCACTATCCTGCACGAAATGCATTGCCTGGTAAGCCGGCGCAGCCTACTCCGGATCTCTGCTTCATATTGCTGTCCCAGAACAGCGCTAACGAGACATTGAGAAGAACATCATCCGCTATCGGTACTGGGAAGTAAAGGGCAAGGCCTCACCGCTGCATGATTATTCAGACGCGGCGTGGGATGCGCATATTGACCACTGTTTTGAGTATTTGAGGCAATCTATATCATGCGGCTCGGCCTTTCAAATTGAAGGTGCCTCGCCTTTGAAAGTTCCGGGTGAGAAGGGCAAGGCTTCGACGGTAACGGGTTGGGGCACTGAACATAGCTGCATCAACTTCGAAGCACTCAGGGCATTTCAAATCAACCAGGAACGACGCTATAATGCGACCTGGCACGAGTAGCTATACTGTGGATAGATTGTCGTGGAGGAGGTTCTCGTTGGTAGACAAACATCTTTCACTACATAAATTGCGGAATATCAGAGCTTGCAAGAAAAATGCGAGTCCGTGCTCCTCTTATTAACACTCTTAATCGGCCCCATTACTCCGTACAAGCAATCATACTGACTCTGCATCCTCCCACTGCCCTTGCTTAGCATACATCGCCACCGGCCAATCTATACTCGTTGACATGTCCAGGTGCTCTAACGTGCCCGCCTCTTGATCGAGCCATGATTCTGGCCCAGGCTATGGGAGGCTGTTCTTTCTCGCCCAACTCCGCTCTCACTCTGTGTGTTAGGGCTGGATCTAGATGAGAAGCTCGTAGCAGAGCTGGCAACTTCGTCACGCGCAGACTCTGCATATTGCTGCTCCTCTAGCCTGAGCTGTCGCGCTCTTGTATTGGCCGCCTGAATGAGCCAGTTGCGGAGTTTCTGTGCAAGGTCCCTAGCATTCCTAAACGCCGCTGCGCCTTTCACAAAATGCTCACGGCTCCCAATCATACTCAAGCTTTCGAACAGCGTCATGTGGTAATAGGGAGGCCCCCCGGGCGCGGTCGGTGCCGTGATGTGATGCCCGTACAGTTGGAGCAAGCCTGAGCCCGCTTGGTAGATCGAGCTGTAGCTGTAGGCATGTCCGTCAAATTCGACCTCGTCTTTGCCGTAGTTCTGCAGGGCGTGCATCGCTCGCGCGCCGACGGCTCCGTCATGCAAGGCTTGTCGCAAAGCAACACCGAAGCTTCCACCGGGGCCCTTGACCTCCAGAAAGAAGTTGGGCGCTACGGGAACACTGGCGTGCTTTGTGGGAGTGATCAGCTGGCTCAGATCATCTCTCACGGCCTTGTCGATGCTTTCCGGCCGAGCCCCATCGAAGAAGTCGGGAACAGGTTTAACAGTGGCTTCTTCGGTCATTGTGTCGGTATTCGTGAAAGGGGGGCGTCCATCATTCGGGATGGCAGAGTCTCCAGCGATCATCGAAATCACATTGTACATCAGAGTGGATTCAGCCACGGCTAAGTTTTTATTTCGAAAGTCATCAAACCTTGACTCGGCGAAGCCCGCCTTCGAAAGCGAGGGCCGCCTTGTTCTAAGGAGCCGAACAAAATCCGAAAGATGAGCCGGTTTCGGCGTAGGGCGGTTATCGGGGAAGACGTGAAACGGCGGATAAATATGGCTGTCAATCATATGCTGCTGGAAAGCAGGATCGTACGCCGAGCTCCGTTTGGTTGTAGAAGAAACTTCTGCTGCCTCTGTCGACCCTGTCTGCGTGTCTCGGCGACTGGAAGATGCAGGGCGGTGGGAAGTCATGTTCCGGTCCGTTCTTCTCAGTGCAGGAAACTAAGCCAACGTCAGTGCCTCTTTTGTCTTTTGCCAAGAGGCCTTGTAGCCATACTCCTCGCAGATGGCGAAGATCTGCGCCGCCGTGTCGTGCAAACCGAACGAGATCGGCCGTGGATGCTGTAAGTTCCGCCGGTCCTGGTGCACCCCGAATGCTGTTCCGCCGGTCGAGTTCCCCTAGGGCACGGCGCGTGAGAGGAACTCTGGACAGGCTGTCCCAAAAGGTTGGTGGAAAGTTTCGGCGATACAGCTGGCCAGTTCTCTTGGGTTCCTTCTGTGTATAGTGGCCGTTCTGAGATAGGCCGTCTGTGAGCCCTTTTTGTTGAAGTCTCGTTCTCGTCATCATTGGTTATTGTGAAGCTCTAGAATGGAGCGCACTGTGATCGTTCTGACTAATGCCAGCAACGCGGCCTCTCATTGGTCAGACAGATAAAAATGGGGACTAACCCCAGTGAAATCTCTGCACCAGTGAAGGCGCGCCATGTACCCTCTCCTAGCTAGTTACAACACGCAGATCATCAGCCACATCGTGAAGACCCCATACAGTGCACCGCTACCCCTGCCATAAGCATCAGTTGTGACAGTTATTCCTAAAAGTTTTAAAAACGGATTCTGCCTCAAAGGAATTGGCCTCAAACTCAGGAAGTGCGGCTACGGCGGCGTATTATATAAACCACACACCGCGGAGCGGCACATTGTCAGGGTGGGGAAGGTCCTTGAGCTATGAATGCTATCAAGTACACCTGGCGTGATCTATAAGCACGAGGCTTTGTTCAAGCCTCGTCTGTTTGCGGCGGCCGCCGTTTGAGCGGCCACCAAGCCCAATTCGGAATCAGTACTTAGATTTGCTAGCAATTACTGAGGAACTGAAAGTACTTTTGCCGTACATCACCCCAACAATCCGGATAATCTTGAAATAAACATTTCTATGGCTTATAGTGCGCAGTTGCCGCCCTGTTATGAGTTATCCTGCGTGAATTCTCATCCTGACTTCACCTGACTTTACCTCGCGAGCTTCAACAACGTTTCAAGATGAAGGTACAGATCTCTCTTGCCCCCCCTTCCGACGCATGTCTGCAGCTGCTCACATACCCTCTCTCTCTAGGACATTCCCATTGCTGACAGGTACCGAGTGGATCGCAAGATTGGCGCCGGAGGCTGTGGCGCCGTGTAATCCGGTACGATGCCGTATCTCGCTGCTCCAGGCTGCTCCGGCCGTGGCTGACTCGAGCAGGAACCGATCTCCAAACGGGCGAGGAAGTCGCTATCAAGCTCACATACATAGCAGATGGCCCCGAGATTCTTCGATGGGAGAAGCACATGTACGACGAGCTGGCTGGTGGGGCTGGAATTCCGCGCGTGAGGTTTTACGGTTCAGAATGCGACTTCTACGTCCTGGTGCATGATCTGCTCGGCCCTTCTCTCGAGGATCTGTTCAACTATTGCGGCCGGAGATTCTCGCTTAAAACTATCCTCCTCATCGCCGACCAGGCCATCTTCCGTATTGAACATATTCATGCCAAGGGCATCATCCATCGCGACATCAAGCCCGATCACTTTTTGATGGGGCTCGGCAAGCACGGGAACACGCTCTACGCGATCGACTTTGGGCTGGCCAGGTGTTTCGCTGATTCCCACAAGGATGTGGAGGGTCTTCCGTTCGGCGGCACTCGACTGTTCGCCAGCATCCGCAACCACGGCGGCTGTGGTAGGTGCTCTCTCTTGCCTTTTTTTTTGTCTCCTTTTCTCTCCGAGTTTCAGTCAGTCGCTTGCTGACACGCGAGAAGTCCAGTCTTGGGGGGACGATCTGGAGTCGCTTGGGTATGTCCTGCTGTATTTTGCGCGCGGCTCGCTGCCGTGGCAGCATTTGGAAATCTCAGGGAACAAGGCCGACGACAAGCAGATCAAGGCGATGAAAGAAAGCTTCTCGGGAGAAGCGCTCTACCACGACGACCTTCCCTCACCTTTTGCCACGTACATGGACTACGTACGATCCCTGGATTTTGGCGAGAAACCCGACTACGCATACCTTTGGGGCCTTTCCCGTCGCTTGTTTACTGCAGAGGGCTTCAAATACGACAAAGTCTTTGACTGGACCGAGAAGAGGTTTCATGAGATCTGTAGCTAAACAACAGCCGTCGCTGGCAGTTCGCCGTACAAAAAGCCGCAGACACGGCGGATCCCAAGACCAAACAGGGTGAAGGGAGTTCAATGAGGTTTTTCCGCTGGCATATGTGACTGCCGTGACAGGGCGATGACGCTCTGGGAGCTCAAGATCTAGGTCAGAATACAACAGAGTATGGTCTTTCAGCTTTGTCTGAGACGTGAGGCAGCGGATTGCAAGTGAAATAGTGCGATTACCGCTCAATTTCTCTAAGAGTATAGGTAGTTATGCTGGAATTACAGATCTAGCTTATATAAGCAAATAGAAGAACCCTACACCGTAAAGGCGCTGCCCAAGAAGCTCATGCCACTATCTATTTCAAGGTCGCGAGCTGGCAAGACGAATAGGATGCACTTGTAAAGTAGACACCGGAGTGGCCTTATATTATGGAGGTCGTGTAAGAGGATACAATAGTAGTAGATAATTCTTATGACTGGGAGTGGAATAGGCCACCTCGGAGGAATATTTTTATTTTTGCTCGTGTTAGCCGCCAATAAACTCGGGTCATCAAGCACAGAGCCGTGCTGTTAATCCCGTTTTATATTCGACACACGCAGCGTGTGTTATGGCAGCTGCCGTTTACGACGTAGCAATCGGAGCCAACCGGAACACAACCACGAATACAGGCACCAGATCCTATATATAAGATAAGCTACATTTCTTTCTATCTTTACAATTGTTTTGCACGGCCTCGAGAAAAGTTCACGTCTTTATCGACCGGAAAACTCCATACCTTGACAGCCAGCATGGCCTGCCCAGCAGATTTCATGTTTGGCGCCATTTTATCCTTCGACGACCATTCGGTAACGTGCCGCAACTTCGACTTCCGCATCATCTTCGAAGATGCCTTACTGGTATTGACACCCAGCTTGGCTCTTCTTCCCACTGTTGCCATGCGCTTTTTTTCTATCGTTCGAAAACCCAAGATCGTGGTGTGGCAATGGATGCAGAAGCTCAAATTGGTTCGTGTTGTAGAGCTCATCTTTCCTGTCTTATTAAGGCCGCTATTGCCACCCTCTCGTATCATCGCTGACCGTGGCAGGCACTCTATGCTATTTTTGGCATCCTGCAGCTGGCAGAACTGGGCCTTTTCGCTTCTGGAAATGACTACACCAAGACAAGGCTCACCGTTCCCGCCTACGCCTCCATGTTTGTTGCAACCGTCTGCCTTGCCCTCCTGTCTTCTCTAGAACACGGCTCATCTCTGCGACCATCTGTCGTCATTCAGAGTTTCCTTTCTCTCACCCTCCTATTCAATGTCGCTCTCCTGCGTACTAGATGGCTTCTTCATGGCGAGCAAACATTGGCGGCCCTGCTTAGCACCGCCTTTGCTCTCCAGTGCGCTCTTCTGGGCGTGGAATCTCTTCCCAAGAGCTCCCATATCCTTCCGTCCAAGGCCGCAAGACTTTCTCCCGAAGAACGGGCTGGCTTTTTCAGCCGGAGCTTGTTCCTCTGGCTTATCCCGCTGTTTCGTCGGGGCTATTGCAGCCCACTCCAGGAGAAGGACTTGTTTCCTATCGGCGACGAACTGGCCTCTTCAAAGCTTACTGACAACCTAGATGCTGCCTGGCAAAACACAAGCATCACTTCAAGACGTCGGCTTGCGCTTGCTCTGACAAAAGCATTTTACAGGCAGCTGCTTTTCCTCCACCTCCCACGCCTTGCGCTGGTCGGCTTCGCCATCGCCCAGCCTGTGCTTGTGCAGTCTGCACTTTCATACATTACCCACCACGCGACCAGGCCGACTCAGTTTGGATACGGCCTCATAGGAGCGTTCGCACTAGATTATATCTGCGTTGCTGTATCGACCGCCTGGTACCAGCATCAGACGTACCGCTTGCTAGCCATGATCCGAGGATCCCTGGTTGGTATGATCTTCAAGCATAGCCTACGTCTGCCGGCATCAGAAGATGCTGATGGCTCTAGTGCTATCAGCCTCATGAGCACTGACGTCGAGCGTGTTGTCCAGACCTTGCAGTGGTCGCTGAACATTGTCCCTGACATTGTTCAGGTCGCACTTGGCTTGTGGATTCTTGAGACGCATTTAGGTGGCATCTGCATCGCACCGCTGATTGTTGCTACTGGTAAGTTGTCAGACCTACGTTTGCCTTGATCTTCTACGTTTTGTTCCGTGTTGTTATTTAACACACCTTACAATAAGTGCTGTTGTGGCCGGAAATGTAGGAAAACGCACTCCTCCTCGGCAAAGGCGCTGGATGCAGGCCATACAGAGTCGTCTTAAGGTAACCACCAAGGCCGTTAGCGAGATGAAAGGCATCAAGATGTGTGGCCTCACCGACATAGTGGTAAAGCAGATTCAGGGCTTACGGGTGTCCGAGATCAACGACCAGAAAGCGTTCCGCAAACTGCAAATCACCAACATCGCCGTCGGAAATGCGCCTGCGATGATTACTCCGGCCATTACTTTTGCTACATTTGCCATCGAGCAGAATCTTTGTTCAGGGAACAGGTTCGACGTCGTCAGCGCTTATTCCTCACTGTCTCTGCTTTCTATCCTTACCAATCCTATCGCTGAGCTTGTAACTGCTACCACTAGCCTGGCCTCTGCCCTAGGATGTCTTGATCGTATCCAGGAGTTTCTCCAGAAAGAAGCACAGCAGGATGGCCGCATACTTCTGCCCGCTGCAACTGCCAACCTCGAAGACTCTAGTATCGCATCTACTACCCCCGGAACAGAGTTGCAGCCTGTTGGTCACCAGTCGCTTCGCTTCCAATCAAAGAGCCGTGGACCTATCGCTATCATCCATAACGGGACGATAGGCTGGGTTCCTAGCCAACCAATTCTTCGGGCAATAAGCCTCAAGGTTTTAGCATCGACATTTACCATTATCATTGGACCAGTTGGCTCAGGAAAATCCACATTGTTGCGGTCTCTGCTAGGAGAAAGGTGCTTAATTTCTGGCAGCGTGGAATGTGTCTCGCCTAAGCAGACAGCCTACTGCGATCAGCAACCATGGATCCTTAACATCAGCCTAAAACAAAACATCCTTGGTATCTCTGACTACGACGACGATAGATACAAGATGGCCATAGAGGCCTGCCAATTACAGCAAGACTTTGCACAGATGCCAGCGGGTGATTCAACTCTTGCTGGCAGCAAGGGTGTGTCCCTTTCTGGGGGTCAGAAACAGAGGATTGTAAGCAGACATAGGTCTAGTTTACCCACTTAGCTATTGCTGATCTAAATATGTCTGAAAGGCTTTAGCCAGAGCGGTTTATAATAGAAAACAGCTTATCATCTTAGACGACAGCCTTACTGGTCTGGACTCCGATACGTCTTTGAAATGTTTTCAAGCACTTTTCGGAAAATCAGGGCTCTTTCGGCGCGATGGGATAACGGTTGTATTTGCAACAAACAACAGTACGTATATGCACAAGGCAATAACTCTAGCAGTCTTCGGTCCGAACTATACTAACATAAGATCAGTCCAATGGCTCCCATTTGCAGACAACATTATCGTTTTGGGGCCAGAGGGCCAGATAAGCGACCAGGGTACTTTCCAATTTTTGTGCGAGTCTAGCGAATATTTAAAACAGCTGCAAAGTACACAGAAAGGGCGATATGACATCAAGAGCGACCATGAGATAATGCCGTTAGAACTAACCGACATGCCAAAGGCGGCCCTCAGGACTAGTGCTGTTGCCCTGGTGGCTTCGAAAGCATATGACAATAGCACGGATGAGAGCAACACGCAACAGAAGGAACGGAAGAAAAAAACGGGAGCTCTCTTATATTACATTTCGTCCCTAGGCTTTGGGGCCATATGGGGATTCTTTGCTTTAGTGACAGCTTTAGTCGGATGCAACGCCGCACAGAGTGGGTTCCTATATTCTTCTTTTACTGGTGGGCGTTGTGCTAATCTATCCTTGTTTCTACTAGCTCTGTGGCTCAAGTACTGGGTAGCTGCGTACAATCACCACCCGAACGAGAGCTTAGGGAAGTGGGCAGGAATCTACGTGTTATTCGCTGTCGGATCTATTCTTTTCATTGCTCTTGACACTGGGTAAAGCTGAACAGTCTACCAACCATCATCAATCCTGTACTGACCTGGAAGATAGAGATTTTCTGCTATTTCTTGTCCCTCGATCTGCTACGAACCGGCACCAAAAATTGCTCCGTGCGACTCTGGGGTACGTTGATACCATTCTTTACATAGACTTAGGCATTGACTGACAAAATCTCTCGCAGTTCACGGCTCTCCTTCATCACAGCTCAGGACACAGGCACTATTATCAACCAGTATGTTTTATCTCAAACTATCGGCACCAGATGCATCTAGACCACCTTTAACTTACCATACTGACCTGAAACAGCTTTTCAGGAGACCTCAACCTCACCGATCTTGCCCTTCCGCTAAGCTTTATCCTTACATCTGAACGACTTCTCTCTACAGTCTCGGAGATAGTCCTAGCATGCCTCGCATCTGGGTATCTAGCTCTAAGTATTCCAATCTTGGTGCCGACTCTCTACATCTTGCAACGCGTCTACCTCAAAACGTCTCGCCGGCTGCGTACGCTCGAGTTAGAGTTAAAGGGCCCGCTGTTCGGCAACGTCATTAGCACGCTCTCTGGCTTAGTTACCATTCGCGCTTTCTCGTGACCTCGACCGCGGAGAGAGAGAACATGGAGCTTCTAAACAGCGCACAGCGGCCCTACTACCTGCTGTTCTGTGCGCAGCGCTGGCTGACTTTGGTCCTAGATTTGGTAACGGCGGGTCTAGCCACACTCCTTATGGGTCTCGCTGTGGCCCTGCGGCACAGCATAGACCCTGGATTTCTCGGTGTGGCGCTGGTTAGCGTGATAAGCTTCGGGGCGATCGCAGCCGGCCTGATCCAGAACTGGACCAGCTTGGAAATGTCCTTGGGGGCTATTACCCGTATACGAAACTTCATTGATGACGTACCCGCAGAGGCTCAAAGCAGGGATACGGAGGCAAAGATCCCTGCAGACTGGCCCTCGTCTGGAGAGCTGGTGCTTCGCAACGTGTCTGCTTCGTACGATAATGGAAGCCACAAGGTCTTGAACAACATCAGTCTCGCCATTCCGGCGGGCTCCAAGGTGGCCATTTGCGGACGAACGGGAAGTGGAAAGTCGAGTCTTCTATCACTCTTGCAGAGACTTCTAGATCCCGACAGTGGGAGTATTAGGATCGACGGCGTGGGCTTGTTTGATATACCCCCCAACAGAACGCGCACGTCTCTTGTCGCGCTACCGCAGGATCCGGTCTTTCTCAGTGGTTCGATTCGACTAAACCTGGATCCGTTTGAACAGCACAATGGTGATGATGGGCCGCTGCTGCAAGCGCTGGAGAAGGCTGGTCTTAGCTCTTTGGTGGCCGACAAGGGCGAGCTGGACGCTGACCTCAAGGTGGACCAGCTTAGCACTGGTCAACGGCAACTCTTTTGTGTAGCCCGAGCTATGCTGAGGAAGAGCCGGATCTTGCTCTTGGACGAAGCCACAAGCCAGTAAGCAGTCGATCATTTTTACTCTCAAAGAATACCAAATCAGAACTACATGTTAACTGTCATTAGCCTGGACGCGAACACAGAAAAGCTTATTACATGGCTGATTAGGACGGAGTTTCAAGACTGGACGGTGCTCGTCGTCACCCACCTGGTTAAATCCGTGGCCGAGGCCGACTCCGGCTTCGACGAGGTGATTATCCTGGAGAATGGGAGAATTGTCGAGCAGGGCAACCCAGCGGTCTTGCAAGAAAGAATGGCGTCTTTCGGGAGATAGCAGATATGTGCGAACGCCAATTAGAGAGGCCATGGTGACAAATGCGGGGCATATTTGCAAGAATCATCAGCGTCGGTGGTTTAGTGGTAAAATCTGTCGTTGCCATCGACAGGCCCCGGGTTCGATTCCCGGCCGACGCAAGTGATAGGGTCTCTCACCAAACTTTCCTTTTTGCCACTTGGCCATATTGTCAGAGACATACGTCTTGTTGTCTTGTCTTTTTGCCTTTGTAATGTTGGATTTCTAAACGAGTACGCTCCCAAAACTACTAGTGAGATACAATCTGCAATGGTATATCAGACAGTCCTCCTGCCTCATGTCTCCCGCTCTTGGCTCCTGTCCCCTGCTTCCAGCCTCTTCCTTCCTGCCTTCTGTCCTCACTCGCTCATCCGGCAAGCGTCACGTCCATCTCGGTGACGGACCGTCGGGCGGTCCGGACGGGCAGCCGCTCGAGCGTCTGCGTGGCCATCTGTAGGTGGGTGCTGAAGCTGTCGAGCAGCCGCAGCAGCTCGTCCTTGATATCGTCGCGCGTGGCCACGCCCTCGAGCACCTGGCTCGACGGCGGTCTCGGCGCCAGCGGTAGCGGCACCATCATGTGCGGGGTCGAGAACTCGGGAGCCTCGGCCAGCTGCGGGATCATCATGCTGCCCCTCTGGCCGCGGCCACGGCTCCGGCTTCGATTTTGGTTCCGGTCTCGGTTCCGGTCACGGTTCCGGTCACGGTTCCGGCCGTAACCGAGGCCGTGGCCCTCGACGTCGCCGCCATAGTTGTCGTCCTCACTCGGCGGCTCAGCAGCGAGAAAGCCGATGCCGTCGGGCACGTACATGGACGGCTCGCGGTAGTGGTCGACGTCGGTGTCGGCGCGGGACGGCGCCCGGCCAGCGGCGACGACACGAGATGGATAGTCCAGGCCAAAGGGCGTGTCCTCGGTCTCGGAGCCGGCCGCGGTGTCTTCCGAGAGCGCCGTGGACGGTCGGCGCGGCTCGTCGTCAACGATGCTCATGTCGAGGTCGATCAGGCTCACGGTCGAGTTGCGGTTCGTCGGCGAGGCCGGTATGTCGAACTGGGTGGCATTTCCGTTTCCGTTCCCGCTTCCGTTTCCACCGGCTAGGTCCAGTGGCGGCAGGTCGTCGGCCGTGGGAAAGGTCCACTCCTGGGTCAGACGAGCAGACCGGGGCGGACGGTCGTAGTCCTGGTCGCTGGTCCAGTCAAAGGACGGCATGGCCGGCACGCCGTCGGACGTGGACGAAGCCAGCGGGGTGGCGGCCGGAAAGGTCCAGTCTTGGGTGCGGCGGCGGGTGAGGTCGAGCGAGACGCTGGAGCGCCGCGGCCCGCGGATGGTCTCCTCGTCGTTGGGCACGAGCGAGGCGTCGAGGTCGATGAGGGACTCGCGCACGGCATACTTGGCGTCCTCGCGCAGCGGCAGGTCGGACGTCGTCTGGGGCGACGAGGCCATAAAGGCGACACGGCCATACATGGCGCGCGCGTTGTCCTGGTAGCTCGTGAGCGTGTTGGGGTTGAAGATCTTTTCGAGCGGCACCTCGAGCCGCTTGATGTTGGGTGGTGGCCGCCGACGGCGACGTCGCGAGAGCGTTGCCGACTCAACCGTCTCGCCGTCAGCGGTTGCGGTGGCCGTGCCGTCGACTGAGGGCCCGTAGGCAGCATAGACGGTCTGGGCATCGGCGGCGTCGTCGGGCGCGAACCAGGCCGCATCCTCGTCAAAGTCCTCGTCAAAGTCCCAGTCGGGCGACCGCTGGATCGGCTCGAGACTGGCTGCACCCTGGGCGCCTCCGGCCGAGAAGAGCGACAGGCGGCCACCGCCCCGTGATTGCCACAGGCGGTAGGCGGCCATCAGAGTCGACAGCGACTCGGTAGGGTATGTGGCCGCGGTGTTGGCGATGTAGGGGTGCCGCTGGACCTGTTCGATGGACGGGCGCTGGGTCGGATCGGCCACCAGGCAAAAGGCCACCAGGTCCTTGAGCTCCCGCGAGTACTGGCTGCCCTCGAGGCGCGGGCTGTGCTGACCCAGGTAGGAGCCAAAATCGGACGGGTCGATGGCCACACGGGCGTTGGGCGGCAGTCCCGAGGCGACCTCAAAGGCCATGGAGCCGAAAGCCCAGATGTCGACTTCGGTGCCGTAGGAGACGTTCTGGTTGAATAGCTCGGGGGCCATCCAGTGCAGCGTGCCGGTGACGGTCTTGCGCTTGTCGAACTTGGACTCGACGATGCCGGCCACGCCAAAGTCGCACAGCTGGATCCCACCGGCCGCCGTGATCAGCACGTTGGCGCACTTGATGTCGCGGTGGATGATGCCCTGGCGGTGCACCCAGAAGATGGCCTCGGCCACCTCGCGCAGGATCGGGATGATCCAGCGCTCCATCAGGAAGCCGGTCGGCCGCATCAGCGTCGACACGCTGCCGCCAGCACAGTGTTCCGTCACGATCCATACCGACTGGCCCACCAGAAGCGAGTCCAACACCACGTTGATGTTGCGTGCTCCCGCCTGTCCCAGCAGCTTGAGCGTGTTGACTTCCTTCATGATGTCGCCAAACGTGTCGACCGCCCCGCCCGGTCCCAGCGCGTCGCCCTCCTCGATGTTGATGATCTTGACCGCCACCACCCGTTCTGGCTCGCTCTTCTTGTCCACCGCCTTGTACACCCGCCCGAAGCTGCCCTTGCCGATCAGCTCCGAGAGCTCGTATGGTGGCAGCTCTTGCCCCGTCTCCGCGCACAGCGCCGAGATCGATGCCTGTGCCTTCTTTGCATCCTCAATCGCCTTGATGCTGGCCGCGGCCGGCACCGCGAGACTGATGCGGTCGCCCATCGTGGCGCCCTTTCGGTGAGCTGGCTGCTTGCTTTCGGGGACGGCGAGACGACAGCGGCGGCGGCTGCTGCTGCATCCCTTCCGAGCTCGATCCTGTCAGTCAGTCCGCGGCTGGCTCTTGCGTCGAATTCACACAAGCTGAGAGGCCGCTCCGTACGCTCCAGACTGCCGGCAACCTTGAACGCGCTTTGGTGGTAGCGTTGCTAGAACCGTTCTCGGAACGATGTTTCGGATTTAAGTTATCGCAGGAGGATCACGTGTCCGGTGCATGGTCCACCAGATGTGCATGCATAGCGCGTAAGGCGTGTTTTAGTACAAGGTGGAGTGCTCCTACACAAAGCTCTGCTTACGTAGTCGTCTGAGCACGCAATCGTTCACGTGTCATCAAACCCCACCGAAGGCCCTTGTACCGGATAGACAGGTATGCAACAGTACGTCCACCGCGATGTTAGTCGGGGACGGGTCAATTGTGGCACTGCTTACTCCCTCCTCGACGTCAAATCGGTCGCCGACCCCCGGTAAGCACTCCTTGGCTTAAGGGTCTACCCGCACGAAAGCTTGGCAATGACCTCACTTGTCCAACGTCGGATGGCACATGCATTCAAAGAACTAATCGTATTCACTGAGCTAAGCTACTCCAGGCAGCATGGACAGAGGGCTCCTCCTCGACATGTGTCCTCCGGGCCTCCCATTTACGAGCTCGACGGGCAGAGGTCGTAATAGCCGTTCGCGTTGTTGCCCCACCAGGTTGGGAACGGCTTGGACGGACCACCGGCGCCGAAGACGGCAAACGATAGGATGAAGAGCACAAACAGCGCGGCACCGTCAAAGGCACCGGTGACCAGGTACACGTAATTCTTGAAGATGGCCGGTTTGTAGCGGCGCAGGTAGAGTTGCACGAAGAAGCCGGCAATCAGCTGGCTCCAGATGACGCAGGTCTGCGACGCGTTGTATGGAATAAAGCCGGCGAACTGGATGAACTGGGGCATGTTGATGTCCCTGAGGTCCAGGCCGCGGATCTTGGGAACGAACTGGCGGCATGTGTCAGCAGGACAGAGCGAAAAATAAAAACAAGAGACAGAGAAGAAAGACTCACCCGGACGACGACCCGATGCAGGACGACGACGCCGGCGCCAATGGCCAGGCCGATGGGCACCATGGCATACGGCGCACCAGTCTTGTAGAGGTACTTGGCCATGGCCCAGGAGGCGGCGTTGGTATTGTAGGACTGGATGGTGGCGCCGCTCCAGGACGAGCTACCGTTGCTGTTGACGAGCAGATCGCGGTGACCGTTGACGATGGAGATCATGACGGCGTAATTGATGAAACCACCGAGGACGGTGCCGTAGATCTGGGTCAGGAACATGGTGCGTGGCGGGATCTTGAGGTACTCGCCCAGCTTCAGGTCGTTGGACAGGTTGACCGTGTTGACGATCACGTTGTGCGACCAGGCGGCAAAGTACATGTTGCCGACCGGACGGCCGGGGATGGCCAGACCGGCAATCATCTTGGACAGGTTATTGGTCGCGATGCCGTTGCCGTAGCGCGCATAGAGCAGCGTGCTGAGCGGCGCGATGAAGCAGCCGAGCAGCAGCGACACGATGTAGGCCCACACCGGCAGCGAGATGTCCTCGTGCACGACCACGACGATGCCCAGCACGAAGCTGATCACCAGCACGGCAATGTACCAGTACCACGGCGTCTCGCGGTAGTGCTTGGTCATGTGCGTGTGATGCGGGTCGTCGTAGCGGCCAGCCCGCGCGCTCGCAAACGCCCGCTTCACGTCGCCGCCCCAGAAGAGGAAGCAGTGTGCCACCAGCGCGCCGATGGCCGCGTTGGCCATGAACATAGCGTAGGCAAACGAGCCCGCTAGCCGCGGCACCCCGTACTTGGCCAGCGCCGTCTCGTCCAGCACCCCGTTGACAAACACCTTGGACACGGGGTAGCTGCCACCGAGAACGGTGCGCAACCGCGTTGACATGAACGGCTGGATCCGCGAGTTCCACGCGTTCGAATAGTAGATCGCCAGCATCACGGCATAGCACACAATGTAGCCGGCCAGCGAGTGCAGCTGCAGCGACAGGGGGAGCGACGTGTTGAACGAGGTGATCTGGGCAGCAAAACCAAAGTCAGCAGTCCAGTCGGAAAGGTACATCGAGCTACATCCAAACCACTCACATATTGCCAGTCAAACGAAAAGTTGAGCAGTCCCAGTCCCTCGTTGTTGATGGAGCCACCAAAGAGGTTCGTCACGATGTCGGCCCGGCTGCCGTGCGTGTGCATCGCGGCCAGACACGGGATCGAGACGGAGTTGAGCCACGGCCAGATGTAGGCCGGGAAGAACTCGTACGCCGTCATGCCGAGGAAGCCGTACCAGAACACCCGCAGCGGCCGCGAGTTCTTGACGTCCTGCCAGTGCAGTCCCTGCAGCGTCTTGACCGTCGGCAGCGTGCTCCAGTAGACCGACTCGACGTGCCACACCGTGATCGGTCGGAGCACGCCGCAGAGCCCGTAGCCGAAGAGGCCGATCGAGATCGTGCTGAGGATCACCGTCACCGCGCTGACGTCCATGCTGTAGAAAAGCTTCTGGGCCGAGAACACCATCACGCTGGCCGATGCGTTGGATGCCGACGTCGCCGTGATCGAGCACACCGCGTGTTCCTTGAGCGACCACGGTCCTGGGTTGAGTAGTACGAGCGCCCGGATCCAGAGCGGCGGCTTCTCCTCGGCGGCCGCAGTCGTAGCAATCTGGCCGACTGCATCGGCATCGGCATCCGCGGCATGTTCGTGGAAATCCCCCGTCCGGACCACGGCCGCCGTCGGTGGCAAGCCCTTCTTCTCCCGCCACAGCGCCAGCTGGTGGTCACCACGCGGGATAAACTTGGCCCAGGCGTTGCCGACAAAGTAACCGATCAGCACGATGAACGTGCCCGAGATCGTCACCGCCGTCGGCTTGAACGTGTAGATCTGGCTCATGACCGCCTGGAAGGCTGCCAGGCCCGACGCCAGCACCATACTGCGCACCGTCAGCGCGCTGTCAAAGTCGTCACGCATCGGCAGCAGATGCACTGCTGCGTCGGCACCCGTTCGAATCACAATGTTGTCGCTGTCCTCGCCGCTGTCGTGTCTGTTCAGGCCCGCCGCCTGCATCTCCCCGCTGATGACTCCATCCAGTCCGAGCTTCTCGTCATCGCCCACCACCGGCACCACCTTCTTTTCCGAATATGCCTCAGCCATCGCGTCTGATTCGGAAGAGAAGAGGGCAAAAGAAGAGGGAGAAGAGGAGACGGAAAGAAAGAGAAGGCTGAGAAGGACAAAGGGGAAAGGTGAAGCGGAAAGGGACAAGGACGTTGTCTTTCAGTGCCCCTCCGGAACCGCTCTGAATCACTCAGACCGTTACTCTGCAGCTTGGTGGCGAGACAAGGTAGCCAGTGCATCCGCCAGCAGCGAGACGATGCCGTCCCTATCCTCCATATTATACACACGCGCTCGTCGCCTCTCGCCGATGGTGCAATCAGTGATACGCTCCACTTCGAACGCAGTCCACGTCCGCCTCCCAGCAACCCACTACGAAGCGACCTCTAGCTGATGCATTTTAGGAAGGCCGGAATTGTCCACACAATGGACCCTTGTCGGGAAACGTGAATCCATCTGTTCCCGATTAGGAAGGTCCCTTAGCGCAGACAGGATTTGCTCGTCCGCACATCGTCCTTTTTCCCTTCTCTTTTTCCTTCTACCCTCTTTTTTTTGTCTAACAGTAGCACCAAGAGCAACGGCCTGCCTTAGGATGGCTGCCAACACGCCACCGCCCGTGGTCCAATCACGGTCGAGGCATCACACATCCCAACTTGTAGATCCCTAGCGCATCGACAACGGACGGTTGTGGGATGAGTAAATATGGCGTGTGCAGTTGCTCTGTCCTTTCTATTATACGATTGATAAAGCTCATGCAATTCTGTCCCAATGCAAACATCCCAGCTACCCTATCCAATTTAGCCTTCTGCTGATTAGTCCGCTCTGCTCAATCACGGAGCCCAGTCTTTAGATTGCACCATTCTCTGGCCCACTGTAGTGATACATACGGGGCAAATTGTGGCGACGTGCTACCGAAACTTCTACACGCCCGGGCCCTCTGCCTTTCTTCGCAATGGCCATGTCCACTAGCAAGGCCTACCGGTCTAGAACTCGAGCCGCGATGCTTCGAACGGCTTTACTGCAGCGTCGAGCATGCTGGCTGCTTTGATCGCCTCCCGTAGCTGTGTCTCCGTAGCAGATCGACAGTCTCATGGCCAGGATGGCCCGCACACGAGAACCTACCAGTACATATATAGTGGTAGTATGCAGCGTATCCTTGCATGTGCAGCTTTCCTGCCCGAGGAGCTGGATTGCGCGATCCTCGGCCACAAATGACTATAGATTCCATCAATTCTCATTCCTCAGCCGTCCAACCGACCTCCCCAATTCAGCTTAGGTACGATGGTGACTACAATCACATCACATGCATAGGCAATTATACGACGTACACATCTGGGAGCTTCTCGAAATGGCATATCGCCGCCATCCTAACACTGACAGCGCTTGGCTTTTTGCCCCCTACCTAACACACTGTCTCGCGTCCGGCAGGCTTGCGGGATTTGTCGCGAGGCCAACCAATGTCTCGTAGTCTCTATTTGTTGGACATACGGAGTATTATAATCACAAACAGACATATCTAGCAACAGGCCATTCCCCGCCTACAATAATCCCCAGAAATGGTCCAAATATTGACGGTGGGGTGCTTTGGTCGAAAACTAATACTCCGTATATAAGACGAATGTGTAAGATAGGATTCATGCCCTTGGACACGCTAGGACCATGAAACCTTTGTTGCCATCGTATCTCGCAGCAGGCCCACCGGTCCGGTTCTTATCGTCCGAGCGACTGGCTTTCTAGCGTCCTCGTCTGTCGACTCTGGCCGCGTGCAAAGCCTGTTCTTGTGGCCCGTGCGGACTGTCAATCTGCTCTGCCGCACATAGCTCCATTCGCCAAGTATAGCCGGGTTGGCCGATGTGTGCGCTCTCTCTCCAATATATTCAGACCACAAGCACCTACCAAACTAGGTAGTGCAATGCGGTAGGCGAGCATGTCGCTATTGTCTTGGCAGTGAGTTTTCGAGTCTTCCTATAGGGTAGCACAAGGTGACCGCAAGCAATACGAACATTTGCGCCGTAATATCTGCAAAGCGTAGCATTGGTAGCTCCACATTCTGTGAGGAGGAAACCCGTTAGAAGATAACGAGCCGGGCTGGGGCTGCAGGTTTATCTTTTCGGGAAACGATTGTCACGCCTGAAGAGAGTGGAGAACATCCCGTGGAGTATATCAGACGGTCCCTTGAATAGTATTCACCGTCAAGCGCTTGTAAGAAGGAGAGCAGAGCGCTGGCACCGGCACCCCGGCTTTCGTCTTGGCTATCCATCAGACTGAGCAGGAGCTTAGCTTATCATCTGTCCCGGGAGGCGCAGCACAGCCATTGTCTCCGCTATGTGCTCTTTTTTCCAAAAGGGCGTAGCTGTGCTCTGTATAGAGAGCTAGCTTTTCGCACTCCATAGTCTTTGCTTCCACCGCAATCTAGCACGTACGGCCATAGATACTGGAAAGCACGGGATCCCGTCCGCTCTCCCCTAGTTAAACCAGTAATCGGCGGATTAGTAGTTGGGTCGGTGACGACCAGCGAATACCCGCTGCTGTACGTTTTTTTTTGTTCTCTTTCATACGAAGTGCTAATCGTGCTCTTTAGCGAATCAGTAGTGATTGGATCGCAATTTTCCATCCTTAAAGTAAAAGGGTCCCTAATAATTTTCTAATCATATATTAATTAGTTATCGGCTCAGGTCTCATCAATTCTGTCTTGCAGATTGCGTATACTGCTTCTAATAGCAGTGGCGTCGTCGATCCAGGCTTTGATGTGCCTGGCAACTAGCTCGCCATCACAATCCTGCACTGCAGCGTCCAAAACTCTCTGTAATGAGCTGTTGTTGAAGATGTGCACCCATTGCGGCTCCAGCCTTGTCATCTCTTCGAGGACAACACGTCGTAATACAGTGAGTTCGATGTCCATTATGTGTTCCCAATGGAGTTCTACGGGTTGTCCGTCAGCTCCGTGCTGATACCTAGCCTGGTCGGGGGCTTTGTCTCTGGACCGGCCTTCCAGGAACGATGAATAGTAGCACGCCTTCTAAAGTGGTAGAGCTGAGACGCACCCCCAGTCCACCACTCCAGTAAGGGTACCCTCATCGTCGACGAGTATGTTGTGTTGGTTGAGATCGTCGTGAAATAGTATAGACGGCTCTTCACCTGACTGGCCTGGTTGAAAGATCTTGTCCACGAGAAGCAACAGCATTTTGATAATCTAAAGCGTCCGTTCGGCGTCATCTAGATCGGGTTATCGTCAATATTAAGGGCACGTTTTGTGGCGTATCTATTAATGACCACATGGCAGTAGTATTCGCTGAGCGCCAGACGTGCCTCGATCCATTCCCTACCCGAGGAGAAAGGCCCGCGCTGTACGTTCTGTTGGATACGGTCGCCCCAGAAGAAATGCATAGACACGATGCGGTCTACCGTGGGTGAGGATACGGTGAAAATATTTTCGATGCACGTCACTTTTTGGGTAGAACAGACAACCCGAATGCTCTGCAATCCGCTTGACGAACCGTTCTTTAGCCGGGAACGGCAATAGCTTCCACATGTCGGAAAGCGTCTTCCCAGGCAACTTGTCATCAATATACGTCGTACTGCGTACTATGTACACAGTACTTCTTGGGTTTCCAACGCAAGTACTTTCCTTGCCTCCACGCGTTGGACATGTACCAAATATTGGACGTGAATATCCTAGTCACCTTGAAGCTCTGGCAAAACCTTAGTTAGGGTATCCTAACCAATACCTTGAGACGTGTGCCCAATGCATTTTCGAGCGTGGTATACGCTACATTTTAGACCAACTGGGTGGTTTTGCACGATCATAAGTCAGCCCGAGCCGTGATCAGGACACTCTGCTGATTCATCCGGTCAGGTGCAGGACGAAGTACGAGATTGTATCGGGTGCCTACACGAACACCCGAATATTGAGCATAATTTGGGGGCTGGCAGCTATGCTTCTTTGAATTCCTGTAAACAAAGAATTGCTGCTGGAGGCTGACGCGGCCAACGAAAACTCTTGGCTGCAAAGCTGGGGTCTGGAGCTGGCATTCTGGGTCCTCTCCTGCCATGTTGCGGTTCAGCTCTAGGACCCGCGCAGGATGCAGTGGCCTGGTGGCTTGGTGGCTTGCATATATCGGCTTGCCGTGTCGCACAGTTTCTGACTGCGCACAGCAACGAGGACACACGATAGGACAGATGAAGAGTCTCCGGAAAGTGCTTGGAGACTGTCCGGTTTTACAGCTTGAAGTCTGGCCTACGTCGCCCCACCCGTCTGTACCTTCCACGCCTCCAAGGCGGCCTGGTACCTTTCTTCATGTGCAGCAGGACCTTGCATGGGAGGCGAATTTTATTTCCAGACCAGGACTAGAAGCAGGCCAAGCAATAGAAAAAGCAAAACCCCAGGAGGTGCCCTCATAATAAGACGGTCCCAAACCTCTCTCGTCTCTCGAGTCCTGTCCATCACAGCCGAGAGAAGTCGTCCGTTTGCTGGCAACGAGAAGGAATAATACATTGCCTTGATTCCACATCCAGCTGCACGAGCCCGCCAACACTAAAAGCTATGTCTCTGATCGTACCCAAGGCAGCGCCGGCCATCAGCGGCCTCTTACCGCGAGACACTGTCAATCCGTCCTGCGTGAGCTCGTGCTCCAGCGGCGCCATCACCACGTCCGATCTGTGCAGTCTGGGCATCGCCGACACAGCCTTTGGCGCCTGCGTGAAGGATGCCTGTGCTTCAGAGGACATTACAGGTATGCTCTGTCTTTGGATCTGTCGTTGTTATAGTATTGCATCGACCTGCTGACACGGCCCACACAGCATTTTTAGCTACGGTGACGGCATCCTGTGTCAGCGGTGCCTCCTGGGCGTCGTCGGGCTGGTCGTCCGCCACCATCGCAGCGACAGCGTCCGTCACGTCAGCCCCCGGGGCCTTTCCTAACTCGACGCTGACGGTGCTCCCATCCGGTCCGGCTAGCTCGGCAGCGGCTAGCAGCAACGCGACGACGGCCAGCGCCAGCCTCAGCAGCCTCAGCAGCCTCAGCAGCGCGAGAGTGGGCGCGTCTTCGGCTGTGTCGGCGTCGACTACTCCGAGCTCGAGCCGGCCAACAGACGCGTCGGCAACGACGTCAGCAGCATCGAGCACGGCAACCAAGAAATCGGCCGGCACGCGGGCCTGGCCAGGCGTCAGATGTCTGGTCCTGGGGCTGGTTGTCGGGGCAGTGGGCACATGGATCCTCTGAGAATGGCGCGCGTCAAAGGACGGTTTTGTGGGAAATCTAGCATACGGAGTACTACGTCGTATGTGATGGCAGGTGGAGACATGGAGACAGAAAGAGAAAACATGGCTGATCAGCAGCATTGATGCGCAGACAGAAGTGCGCCGACTCGCTTTCGATTGCTATTTTTACTCTTCTTGAATAATTCATACACACTACCAAAACTACCCCCAAAAGGCAAAAGCTTATTTAGCACGTTTATCCCGTTCGAACAAGTGTTTCCATGGTTTCCACGGAAAACTGGGGCGGCCAGAGGCGCACGACGTAGCAGGCCGATGGATTTTTGTAGATTACCTAAGGCAGAGTTAAGCCACATAGGGTCAACGTGGTCCCACTTTCAGGGGCTGAGGCGGGATGCATATCGTTTCTCAAACCCTCTTCCCTCCTGCGAAGCCGCTTTTCTTTCTGGCCAACCCCGGCAAGCTCCGCATCTGTACGTATGCTTGAACGAACGAGTTTAGCCCAATACACCTTTCCGACTCGGGCATACACACCTGCGCATATTCCAGCCCACCTGCTTATCGTCCAGAGCCTTTTCCCGAGCAGACCTGCCTCAGCTACTGATCATCTTTGCCTTGCCGCGATTGCCGACGCTTTTTCTGTTGCCCATCCTTTGTCTGCCCTCGACCGTTTGGCTTGTCCGCGCGACGTCTACGACCGTTCCGCTTTCTGCCTGATTTTCGCCGGCCGGTCGAGCCCGCCGCCGGTCTCTCCTCGCTCGGCGTCGCGTCGCCTGCGCTCGCGCGCTCCCAACCTTTTCCAGCCATCGACGACACAGGCTCCGGGTCCGATGCAACGGCAGCAGATGCACCGCCGCTCGCCCGGCACGGAGCCTGGCCCGGGAGGCCCGATGCAGAGCATACCCGGACGGAGCATGCCGCAGGCTGTCGGGGTCGGCATCGCCGGACCAGTGTCGTCTCGACCATCCAACGCCTCCATTCGATCGACAGGCGGCAACAGCATCAACGGGAGACGGGCTAATGTAAGTTTTCCTTCTCTCTGTCGCGTCGGTTGGGAACGACGTTTGGGTGGCGCATCGTTTTTCGTTGTTAACGGTTCCCCGAAAGAATGCAAGCACCTCCGGCTCCATCTCCGGCTCCATCTCCGGCTCGAGCTCCAGCGTGCCTCTCTCACAGATCGAAAAGAGCGTGACCCATCTTCTCGTTGCAACGAAACAGCTGCTGGAAACACTGACACAATGGTCGCGCGGACAGGCGACGGACACGCAGGTGTCAGATGTCTACGTCCGGTTGGGCTACGAATTCAACATGGCCTGCCGCGCCTTCACGGCTATTAATGTGGACACGTCGGATCTTGGGAACGTGCCGGAGCTGTTGCGCAATATCCTGGAGGCCACACTGAGCCAAGAGGCCAGCAGCGAAAGCCTCGACAAATACCTCCCTCGCATACGCGACATTATCATCAATCTCCTGCACGGCCTCAAGCGGAAACAACAGAAGCTGCGGCAAAAGCAGGCGCGCGAACGAGATTCTGGGGTTCCAGGCGGCGGCAGCGGCGGCGATCCCACACGAACAGTCAGCGTCAGCACGATTGCCAGCTCTAGTTCAGGACTGTCAACCATGTTGAACGAAGGCATCGACAACGGCTATCGTGGCGACGGGCCACAGCCTCCGCCACAACCACCGGCTCCACCAAATCGTGATGGCGTCAATGGCCGGGGAGCGTCTCCCGGCCGGCGATACGTTCCTCCGCGAGACTCATCGCAGGCGTCCATGAGCCCCGAGCAGCCCAGCCTGCCGAGCACGCCCAAGCAAAACGGCCCGACATATGTCAGCACGATAGAGAACCCGTCGGGGCCGAATACGCCGGCCGGCGAGCTGAACATTGATGCCTTCCCTCCACCACCACCGCCCAAGTCGCAGCAGAGCGCGCTGATGGCGCTGCAGCGCAACGGCGACCATCTGGAGCGACGAGCGTCACGGCGGTACTCTCAGTACCACATCCAGAAGCACCTCGGCAGCAGCTTTTCGACGGGCGTGCCGCTGCTGCCGTCGCAGAATTCGCCGATTCCCAACCGTGGCCGCGCCGATGTGCGCGAGTCGATGCGGGCAGTGCAGGTGCGGGAGGGCGCGACGCGGTCGAGTCGCAGCGGGTCGTCGCTGTCGCGAAACGGCTTCGACCTGTCTGCAGCACAGGCGGCGAGCCAGATCGCGGAAGAGCAGAGTGGCAGCGAGAAGGAGGTGGTGGTGGCGGCCGGCGAGACGGGGCGTCGTGGCGACAGTCCGATGGCAAAAACGCCCGACGACTTGTACCCAGAAACAAGTGCAACGCTCAACGGCCCACCGACAGACCTGATGCCAGCAATTTCGGCGGAGGACGAGGACAACTACCGGTCGTCGGTGCCACGACGCGGACGTGCCAATTCGAGATACGGCGGCGGCGCCGTGGCCGAGATGCCGGCGTCGACACCAACGGAAGCATCGACAAAAGCGGCCATGTCAGCAGCAGCATCGACAGTGTCAGCTTCGCCAGGCGCCATGGTGCAGTCACCACCGACACCGCCGCCACAGCCGGGCGAGCCGGCGTCCAAGGAGCTGACGCTGTTTTTACAGTACAAGTCCAAGGTCAAGAAGTTCATGCTGCCAGAGGGCTACAACGAGCTCACGATCGGGCGACTGCAGCTGGCTTTTATCGAGAAATTCTCGTGGAACACACAGCAGAACGGGGCAGATCTGCCGGAGATCTACATCCAGGACCCGGTGTCAGGGGTGCGGCACGAGCTGGAGGACCTGGCGGACATCAAGGACCGGACAGTGCTGGTGCTGAACGTGGAGGCGCTGGACGAGGTCAAACGGCACATTGACGAGGGTCTGGGGTCGCTGAAGCAGATGGTGCAGCAGGTGAAGCAGAACGTGGACGAGCAGGGCGCGGCACTGCAGCGAGTGTCGGACCGGCAGCAAGAGGCGGCCAAGGAGATGACACGGTTAGCAACAGCAGGGCCGACGCATCCGATGACACCGCCGGCGGGCTCACCTCGGGGGGGCAGCAGCAGCGGGGTGGCGACATCAGGACGGGGCAGCAGCAACAGCTTCAGCGGCAGCAGCCGATTTTCATCACAGCAGCTGGGCGAAGTGCGCAGTCTGCGACGAGACCTAGCAGTGTTGCGACAAATGTACTCGAGCTTCCAGTCGGACATGGAGAGCTCGATGACGGCAGTGCGCAACAAGGCAGCCAATGTGGCCCTGGCAGCGGCCAAGGCAGTGATTCCGGATGTGGAGGACGGGGGCGGACAGGCGCTGGTGGCACAGGGCCGCAAGACGCTCAATGCAGAGTCGGACCGGCTGGTGACCAAGGTGGACGACCTGCAGGACCTTGTGGAGGACCTGCGCAAGGACGTGGTGCACCGGGGTGTGCGGCCGCTGCCACGACAGCTGGAATCGGTGACGAAGGACATTACGCAGCTGGCCAAGGACCTGAGCAAGATGGAGGAGACGATGCGGCGGGAGAAGCCGCTATGGACAAAGATCTGGGAGAAGGAGCTGGAGGAGGTGTGCAAGGGGCGGGACGAGCTGCAGCTGGCAGAGGATCTGCTGGTGGACCTGCGAGACGACCTGGAGAAGGCGTCAGAGACGTTTGCGCTGGTGGAGCAGGCGACCAAGGAGCAGATGAAGGACACGGGTGCGGGCGGCAGTGCTGGCGGTGCAGGCAGCGAGAACGTCCTGGGCGGGGTGTCGCTGGTGGCGCGAGGGCTGCGGAGCATCGGGGACAATGCCGGAGTCGATCCGAACGCGGCCAAGGAGGGCGTGCTGGGGGAGGTGCGGGCGCTGCAGCCGAACCACGAGAACCGGCTGGAGGCGATTGAGCGGGCGGAGAAGCTGCGGCAGAAGGAGCTGGAGAGCCGGCGGGTGAACCCGCTGATGAAGGAGCTGTCGGACTTTGTCGACGAGGGCCGGCTGAAGAAGTCGGGTGGATACGAGGAGGTGGAGCGAGCGCGACGGGCCAAGGATGAGCAGATCCGGCGACAGGTGTGGGAGCGGCAGAACGGCATGATCTTTGACGAGGCCGACATGGACGGACTTGAGGGCGAGGAGGGCGAGGAGGGCGAGTACCTGGAGGGGGACGAAATCGACGACCTGGACGGGCTCGAGGGCGACGAGGAGGACGGAGACGTTGAGGGGGTCGAGGATGAGGGCGAGGGCGAGGGCGAGGGCGAGACGTCGCTCGAGGGCGAGACGTCGCTTGAGGGGGTGGACGAAGATGGGGAGGTCGATCTGGACGCGTTGGAGGGCGTCGAGGCCGAAGGAGTCGAGGCTGAAGGGGACGAGTCCGTGGTGGCCGACAGTCCGGTATCGGTCCGGTGAAGTGAGATGAGGTGACGGAGGTGCCGTCGACTGTCCTTTGCTTTCTTTTGTCGTTGTTCATGTATTGCTCCACGCGACACTGCTGCATTCGAGCGCTTGTGCAGGCCTTTGTTTTCTTTGTCTTTGCCATTCTGTCTTTGCATTCTGTCTTTGCACTGTTTTTATTCTTCCTTCCTCCTGCCTTCTGTCCTTCTCCTTCTGTCTTTCTCCTTCTCTCCCTTGTTTTATCACTTTGTCTGGGCACGAGAGAACGAGCTGGAAGGGAAGATATGATAACATAATCGATTTCGTATATACAACGAGCGACGAGCCGCTCTAGCAATACAAGCTAAGCTGCCTACAGGTTGCCGCTTTCCGCTCTGTGGCCCATTGTGGCGTAGACGTGCTCTTCCCAGGCGCGCATCAGCTGGCGGCCCTGGACGTCGGCCGAGGGGAGGAAGTTGGCGGCGAATAGGGCACAGAGGCCGGCCTGGCGATCGACAATCCACGTGAGGTTGACGGCGCCGCTCCAGAGGAGAGCAGCCGGCCGTCGCCACGGATGGTTTGTTGGCTGCGTGACCAAAAGGCCGCCGAGACTCCAGTCATAGGCTTCCGTAGGCGGAATGTCCCCGACCATCCAGGCCGAGTGAGGTGGCCGCGTGTTGTGAAGGAGGGCAGCGCGTGCGGCGTCGGACGGGAGCTGGGGTGAGAAGAGGAGGGCGGTAGAGGACAGCAAGCGGCCATCATCGCGTAGCAGTGCCGTGAGCAGGCGCATGAACGCGGGCGCATCGCCAAAGAGGCCCCCTCCACCGCTGGCGGTGCCGGCAGTCCGGCCGAGGGGATCGGTGCTGGCGAGGAGCGGCGACGGCCGGTCGACGACGGCGGAGCCGGCAGTTCTGCGCATGGGCAGCGATCGCACCAGTCGGGCTTCTGTTGTCGGGTAGCGCGCGGGATAAAAGGTGAGGGCACCGGCAGGGAGGCCGAGCGGCACGAGCACGTCGTGGATCAGGAGGGTTTCGAGCGCGGTGCCGGTCGCCCGTTCCAGCAGCCGGCCGGCCCAGTCGACCCCGGCACCGTAGACCCAGCCGGCGCCGGGCTGGAAGAGCAGCGGCGCCGCAAAGCGCTGCTCGATCGGCAGGGTCTTGTCCAGAGAGGGCATCGTTCGAGGGGGGGAGCTGCTGCTGCTATTGTATTGGACATGAGCGGTCCAGCGCAGCAGCTCGGGCGACAGAAAGTCGTAGCCGACGCCAGAGCTGTGGGTCAGCAGCAGCCGCAGCGTGATGGGTGCCGTGCGCGGTTCGAGCACCGGCTTCTCGTCGTCGTCCCATCCCGTCAGCACGGCTTGGGCGGCCAGCTCAGGCAGCAGAGGAGCCACGTCGGCGTCTAGCTGGACGAGGCCGCGCTCGGCCGCCCGCAGGACCAGCACGGCCGTCACCAGCTTGCTCAGCGACAGGAGGGCGAAGACGGAGTCGAGACGCAGCGGATCGGCCGGCGCGTCGGCGGCCAGAGAGCCGAAGCCGAGGACGTTTTCGTAATGGGAGCCTGCAGGTTCGTCCGGTCAGTCGTTTCGGCCGGGAAAAGACAAAGAACAGAATGGAAGAAACAACAGACCCTTGAGATCCTCGGCCAGCAGCACGACGCCCGGGATGACACGGTCGGCCACCGCGCCGGCGATGACCTCTTCAAAGGTCGACATGGCAAGGCGTGGTCACGTAGACGACAGATGTGGACGAACAGAAAAGGAGTACGGATAATCAAAGAGGACAAAAAACACAGACAGGAGCAACGCAAACAGCAGCGACGACTAAAGCATGACGCTTGGCATGCGCTTTCCTAGACAGCTTCGTCCCGAGGCTGTGCGGGGTAGGAGCGAACGAGATACTCCGCCATGCCGTTTATGGTCAGTGGTTGCTTGTAGCGTTCTCTCTTCTCATCCATTCATCTCGTCTGCATCCCATTTCTCTTCGCTCATATGTATCCAAACGATGTATCAATTCTTCTGACTCCCATTTATGTCGACATTATAAAAACACTACTTGAAAGAATACAATAGAAAACAACATAACAAAACAACACAACACAACATGTACACTCCATCTTATACAACCGTCGAAGCAGCCTCCTTCAAGATCACCTCGCTCGCCTTCTGCGACACCATGTACAACGGCAGGGCAATATAGAAGCCAGGGATGTACGGGAAGATGCTGGCGTCGACAACACGCAGCCCGTCGGTGCCGCGCACCTTGAAGTCAGACGTCAGCACGGCATTCTTGTCGTCGTCGGGACCGATGGCACAGGTACAAGATGCGTGGTGGCCCCAGGCCTCATCCTGGAGAAAGTCCTTAACGTCGGCCTCGGCGCTGACGTTGGAGCCGGGCCAGACCTCGGCAAAGCTGCCATCGAGCGGAATGAGGTCCTGGAAGACGCGACGGCCGAACTGGAAGCCTTCATAGACGGCCTGGAGGTCTTTGGCAGCCTCGCCGCTGGTGTTGACGCCTGTGTCAAACGAGCGGAACCGAATCAGCGGCGTGTCACGCGGGTCGGCCGAACGCAGCGTCACCGTGCCGGCATTATTGCGGCTGTGAGACTTGAGCACGATCCAGGCCCAGTGCTGAGCATCGGCAAGTGACTCGGCCGCATAGCCAGGGAAGTAGCCAGTGAAGCGGGCGGGCGCACCAGAAACGAGCAGATCAGGCTCATCATCTTCGGCCACCGACGATTTGAGCACAATGGCAATAGCGATGCCGTTGGTTCCATAGACGCCACGCGTGATCGGGTCAATTCCGGCGTCGTACTGCTCGAGACAAGGATCTGGAAGCGTCTGCAGAAAGGTGCACTTGCTCGTGATGACAAAGTCACCGACCGTGTTCTTGCCCACAACCGTGGCCTCGTAACGGTCCTGCATGTTGCCACCGACACCAGGCAAGTCGACCAGTGTGGTGATGTTGAACTGCGCCAGCTCAGTTGCCGGCCCGATGCCGCTGAGCTTGAGCAGCTGCGGTGTGTTGAAGGCGCCTCCAGCCACGATGACCTCGCGCCGCGCATCGACGCTGCCGGACCCGGTGACGGTCGCGTTGGTCGCCCGCGGGTCTGCCCGGTACAGACTAGCACCCTCGAGATAGTCGACGCCAACTGCACGCGGCTTCGTGCCGTTCTGGTCGAAGCGAATCTTGGTGACGAGCGTGTTGAGCCGGATGTCCAGGTGGTACTTGCGCGAGCCGTTGGCAAACACAGCCGAGGCCGTGTCGAGGATCAGGTCGCGTGGGCCACCTCGTACATTGTCCGACATGGCCAGCGGCACCTGGTACAGGCCTGTCTGGCTGGCCTGGCCGGGCGCATTGATGTCACGCAGCAGAACCTGGCCGAGCCCCTCGACCGTCGACAACACCAGCCCGACAAGACCCTGGCCCATGGCCGTGGCCGACGCGATGATCAGCGAGAGCAGCTTCTGGTCCTCGACCACAAGTGAGAGCGACGTCAGTGCCGTCGTGAGCCAGCCACTGAAGCCGTGACCAACAAGCGAGCTGGGTGCGTATTCGTTGCGCTCAATTCGCTCCATGTACTGCTGCATGTTGGCCGCAGTCCACGAGTCGTCCCCCGTCAGGTTGGCAATCCGGTCCCAGTCGCGGTCCTGCGCCCCGATCGTGATGAGCGCATTATGGCGCGAGCAGCCGCCCAAAGTGCCGGTGCGCGGATACAGGATTCCCAGCGGTTCCGCATCGACAGGCGGCGATAGGCCTACATACAGGCTGCCGTCGGCCTGGCGGTATGTCATCTTGGAGTCCTTCTTCTGCCGCTCCACGTCCTCGTAATGCTCCACGTAAAAATTCCACCGCGTCTCCTCCAGCTCGGTCGAGAAGAGGTGTAGGGCCGGCAAGCTCTCCGTCAAGTCGGTGCCCGAATCGCCACCCGCGTCAATCAGCAGCACCTTGTAGCCGCCCATGGCCAGGTTCGCTGCCAGCGGACCGCCGCCTGGTCCCGACCCGACCACGATGTAGTCGTACTCGACGTCGGCCCGTCGGTCCACGCTCTCAAAATGGTCCTCGGACGCGTCCGGGCTCGGCGGAGTCATGGCCGCTCGTCGTGGCGACACATGGCTGTGTTTGTCAGTCCCGGAAGGTGAGGCATGAGAAGGGAATTGGATGGCCAGGAAAATCGTACCTAGAAGTTGCTGTCTCTGTCAAGACAGACAATACGGCGAGGGCTTTCAAGACATGCATGTTGTAAAGGAATGAGTGGAATTGAAAGCGCTGTCGATAGAGACAAGAAGACGACCAGAGGCGGGCTTGATCAAATATATACTGCTACGGCCGCCTTGAGCAGAGGTGCCACTTTCGTCCAGTTGGACACCGCATATTGGCCTTGCGGGGAATTTGATAATAAGAGCTGCTGCCACGGAACTTACTCGTAATATTCCGCGGCACCGGGTCAGAACGCAATTTTCCATCAATAGTTGCGAGGCCCAGAAGAGCATCTTCTGTACTACTGTTCTCCAAATTATAGAACAGTCAGAACCGTTACAATGGTTTTAATGAGTGTATGTCTATCCTATGATGTTCTTCACCATCCCTAGAGCTGTACGGAGCATGAAACCGCAGATGCAAAATATGCTACTAAAAAGTCAAGACAGAAGGTAGTCACTTTGATAAAGATCATCCTCACCCTTGGATCCTACGGTAGCATCCGTCAACATCCCGGGGCCCGTTTACATTTTTGGCTAGCGCCGGTCGAAAAGCGTGCGAATCCCTGCAAGGGTGCCCCACTTCCCATCTTACTTTAACGTCGCATCGCGGCTTTCGCCCGGTCTCTCCTTCTATCTGAAAGGCGGAGAGTCCGAGAGGGAGAGGGGACGAAGGGAATGTCACTTCCGTCGTGGGAGCCCTGCCGGTATGAAACGCCAGTCTGCCTGCCCCTCTCCTCCTCCTCCGGAAGATTCGACATGGTAGGGCCGACTGGACCGACGGGACCTCCACAACATACGGTGTACATGCCAAGTAGCAATCATCCTCTCCTTTTTTGCGCCTTTCCTGCAGGGGTGATGCCAGGGTATCTGACCAGGCATGCAGGACGTCCGTCGAGCCTGTCCGGAGTGCAGGGCAGGCCTCATCACAGCCACGGAGCCTGGCGCAGGCTCGGGTGGCCTACATTAGTACAGAGGCCGGCGTGGTAGGAGGAGCGACGATGGCCTCACTGTCTTGGCTGCCTCGTCTTGCCCGTCAGACTGTATCCTCACCACTGGCTCGCTCGTCCGCCACGATGAGGACCTTTGCTCTCGCTGCTTCGCTTCTGGCCCTCCTTTCCGTCCGGCAAGCAGCCGCTATCTCGCTGCTCTCTGACCCGAACCCGTCGCCTCCAGCGTGCGGTGTAAGCCGTCTCGTCTCTTTTCCGTTTGCGGCTGTGGCCAACGTGCTGATGCTGACACTCGGAGCAGCTGTCTTGCACGATGCACTACGTGCTCGAATCCTCCTCCTGTTCCCTCACAAACATCAGCTGCATCTGCGACGACGGGCCACTCAACGACCTGGTCACGCTCTGCGTGACGCAGAACTGCACTGTTCACGAGCAGCTTCGTAAGCATTTGGAATGCCTCTTTCTGTCCTCTGCCACGGCAAGCAGCTGACCCTGGCCAGAGATGAAAAACTACTCGATGACCAGCTGCGGCTATCAGACACGAGACCGCTCCACGCTCATCTGGCTCATACCCGCCATCTTCGGTCCGGCGGCCGTCATCGCGTTTGGCTGCCGCATCATGGCCCGGGTCCTCGTCAGCTTTGAGACCTGGGGATGGGACGATACGATCATGGTCGTCACAATGGTGCGCGTCCACACTGCCCGTTCACACGTCTGCTTCGTCGCTGCTGACACGCGAGCCTGCCAGTTCCTTGTGATCCCGCTGCAGATCTTCAGTGGTCCCCGTGAGTCTGGGCGACATATCCCGTCTCCTGGTGCACATTGCTGACACGGAGCCCAGTTTCCCAGCTCGGCCTCGGGCGCGACATCTGGACCATCACGCCGAAAAACATCACCGGCATTCTCTATGTGCGTATGCCCAGCACACCCGTCAAGCTATGCCTGTACAGAGCGCCATACTGACAGGCCAGTTGTACTATTGGGACGAGCTCCTCTACCTGGCCGCTCTTCCCATGACAAAGATCTCCATCCTCTTATTCTACCGCCGGATCTTTCCCAGCCCGTTCTTCCGCCGCGCCGTCTGGCTTCTCATCGGCTGCAACGTCGGCTACCTGATCGCGTTCAACATCGTCTCGGTCTACCAGTGCAGCCCGCTGGAAGGTGCCTGGAAGGCCTGGGACGGCACCGTCCAGGCGCACTGCCGCGACATCAACGCCCAGAGCTGGGCTGCTGCCATCATCAACATCGCCCTCGACCTGGCCACCATCATCCTGCCGCTGCCGGAGCTGTCCAAGATACGGCTCTCGATCGCGAAGAAGTTCCAGGTGCTGCTCATGTTTAGCCTCGGCTTTTTGTGCGTACGAGGCCTTGCTGATGCGTCCCCCGATCTCCCAGTTGGCTGACTAAGCAGTGTCACGATTGTCAGCGCCATCCGGCTCTCGTCGCTCCAACAGTACGGGACGACCACCAACTTCACCCGTAAGACAGACCAGAATCCGCTTCTGCTGTTAGCACAGACAAAACTGACCATGCAGAGGACTATACGGAAATCGGGTACTGGAGCACAATCGAGGTGGCAGTCGGCGTGGTATGCGCATGTCTCCCGGCTGTCCGGGCTCTCTTTGGACACATCCTCCCCGGCGTCTTTGGCACCACCGTCAGAGACAAATCAGAGTATATACAGCAGCGAGACGTGTTCTCGACACAGCGCTCCCGTCAGGCAGACATAGTGGTCAAACAGCAGTGGACTGTTTCGTCTAGAAGCCGGGAAGAGTCATCAGTTATCGAGCTCGATGTGATGCCATCGCTGGACGATCAGGGCGAGGACAGTCACGTAGGAGAGAAGAAGGCCACAATACCACGTGAATCGGTCTGATAGGCTCCAGGTTTGGGTCGGTTGACTACTCCATACGCTCGCTTCATTCCCTTTCTTTCCTTTGTCCACCTGTTTAGAATTTCTAGCCCATCGCTTTAATGTAACATCACTCCGCACAATGCCTCAGCAGTACATCAAGACCTCTCGTCAAATATTCCAGTGTCCGGTGACATGTTCAGGTGGGTCAGGACTACTTACGTCGTAGTAGCAAGTGGGTTAAGCGAGAGTAATTACTTACCAACAGGGTGGTCCTCTTAGCAGTTGGGCCCTGGCTGCAACTACGCGTACTCCATACTTCCAAATACGTAACTCCTGGCCTTGATCCGACCCAAGATTCGACCGAGGTGAGAGGTAGTACTCCGTATTAGGCTAGTGGCGCCAATTTGGCGTGTAAAAGGGGGACTTGTGGAGGCAGACTAGATATCACGGTCACAACGCTCGAGCCAAAGCTCCATCCAACGTCTTTGCTCCACCGCAGCAGTACGGAGTCCCTATACGGAGTATTCCGTGCAAGGCTATTGATAGGGAATAGGGGATATCAGACTGCCGGCCGTTAGAACTCAAAAACAGTCATCTGTCACATGTGAAGATGAGGACGTTTCCACAGCCAGCTCCTGAAGCCGATCCCAATTGCGACGCACCGCGAACCATGTCGGGAGCGATGCTCGCACACCGACCGTCCAGCGCGACGACGACGAGTATATGGAGCACAACATCGGCCCTTTATCTGGGATGCGGATTCTCCCATTCCCACGCTTTTTTCGTTTTCCCATCCTCCCTTTTCCATCTGTCCACTCCACTTTCCCGTTGTCATCCCCGACCCACACGTTTTCGGCAACATGCATCTGTCTGCCGCTCTGCTCGGCCTGCTCTACGCAGGCAGTCCTGCCGTCCAGGCCTTTCCCGATCTCTTCTCAGGACGTTCCTCGGACCGTAGTCAAGGCCCGGCTCTAGATGATGCATCACCGCTGCCGTGCAAATGGTCCATCACGGCCACTGCTGCCGTCCGCCGGACCAAGAAGAAGCGGCTCCTGTTCGACCCGCTGACGACGCCGATCGAGGTCACTGGCGAGCACGTTTTCATCGCGCCCGACTTTGCTGCCGGCGACCAGCGGGGGCCCTGTCCCGGGCTCAACGCGTTGGCGAACCACGGTTACATTGGCCGCAACGGCGTCACCAGCCTGCTCGAGGCCACCGCGGCCATCAACGAAGTCTGGGGCATGGGCATCGATCTCGGCGGCGTGCTCGCCCTTCTGGGCACCGTCTTCGTAGGCAACCCGCTCTCGCTCGACCCCGGCTTCTCAATCGGCAACACCTCTTCGGCCGTGCACAACCTGCTCGGCGATCTCGACGGCCTCCTCGGCACGCCGCGCGGCCTCGACGGGTCCCATAACATCATTGAGGGCGACTCATCCGCCACGCGCGCGGATCTCTACGTCACTGGTGACGCCTCCACCCTCGTGCTCCAGCAGTTCCGCGGTCTCTACGACCGCTCTACCGGCGAGGGCGACTACAACATGGACGTCCTCGGCGCCCATGCTGACGCCCGTTTCACCGAGACCGTCGCGTCCAACCCGCAGTTCTACTACGGACCCTTCACTGGCATGATCGCCCGCAACGCCGGCTACATCTTCTCTGCCCGCATGTTTGCCAATCACTCCGCCGCTAACCCGACAGGACTGCTGAGTAAGCAGACCGTCCGATCCTTCTCACCCGGCAGGACGTCTTTGCTAACGCCTGTCGAGCAGACAAGAAGACGCTTATGAGCATCTACGGTGTCGAGATGATCAATGGCACGATGGTGTACAATAAGGGTCACGAGCGCATCCCAGAGAACTGGTATCGCAGGCCAGTCGACTACGGTTTGGTAGAGCTCAACCTCGACATTGTCGCTCTGATACTCAAGTACCCGCAACTTGCTAGGTAAGTCGAGCGTCCCTTTGGTTTTTGATTTTCTGGAAGCCCAGGCTAATGCGCACAAGTATCGGAGGCAACGTAGGCACGGTCAATAGCTTTGCCGGCGTAGATCTCGGCGATCTGACCGGAGGTGTGTTGAACGCCGCCAAGCTCCTCGAGGGAAACAATCTTCTCTGCTTCGTTTTCGAGGTGGTCAAGACGCTGGCGCCAAACTCTCTTTCCTCCCTGTTTGCCACCATCGAGGCACCTCTGCAGCTTTTGCTGGACACCCTCGACACAGCTTTGCTTAACATTTCGTGTCCAGCATTCAAGGACCTGACCATAGGGGGTACACCCTTTCAGGATGCTCTTACCAACTTGTACCCAGGGACGAACGTTACTGGCTCTGTGTTGTGAAGCTGCAGTGCTTGGCAAAGGTTGTGAATTGTTGTTGAAGTATATTAAAAATTATTGTTGTTGAAAGTAGCTGTACTTCGTTGAATATACTTAGAAGAAGTCGGGCTTTGCTGTGACTTAGGCCAGGCCTTGTGGCAAGGCCCAGCTGACTCGTCACGTCAGTGACTGCCATTCTTGATGGACCTAAAAGGACATATACAATGCGATATAACCTTCCGACCAGTAGGCCTCAATGCACTCGAGAAACAGCTTGCATAGGCCCATGACTGGCAGATATACCCTGGTATTCACTTTCGTAGCAAGTTCAAAGGCGCACTCTCCAATTCAGTTCTATATACGATACGAGTAATCAAAAGAATTCTAGTAGATGGTATCCAGCTGAATCTTTACTGCTTTGGTGGACAATGCCAACTCCTTTAATTGTCCAATCCCATCAACATCCACCGCCGTTTTGTCGATGTTAGTCACTGAATAAGGTGTTGCATCTTCTCAAGTGGGTATGAATGCCATCTGTGTCTTCCTTATGCGCTTCTACTTTGCTGCTCGTTTTAAGTACTCTAGTCTAATATGAAAAGAAGTCCGATGTATCCTAGCTAGTGTTTCGATACAACGCGTGGTAGAAATGCCGTAGGAACTTTTCAAAGTTGGGGTCATCGGATGATTGGAACTTATTGAGTCCTCGGTGGTCGGTGTCAAGGAACACATTCTCAGCGTACCAAAGTGATCCGGAGTCTATATTCACTGTCTATTACATGGTTAGTAAGGTGCAGGAGGCAAGCAAACTTCTTGCAAGGAAGAGCCCACTTGTCTTAGAGAGAGCGTTCCGAATCTCTCGGGTCTCATCTCCAAGAAGTTGCATATATAGGGCGCGCTGTACTCGCACATCTTTCCCGGCCGTGAATACGCCTCGTAGAACTCCTTGTCAAGGTTTGCGACAGCCGGATTATTTTCTAACATATACTCTAACATGGTTGTTGATGAGCCTCTCCAGTATGCAGTGCAGGCGAGGAGGGACGCGAGGAAGGCCACTCTCGTTCCGTGATGGGGAACACCAAGGAAGAAGATGCCTCTCGTCATTTGAGAGATATTTCTAGACCGTGTCGTCGCAAGTACTAGGGTCTACAGAGCAAAATTGTGTCAACCGCAGACTCAGCGACAGCTTTAAAGGGGTTGTTAGAGAGAAGAGGGAATGGGGTTTTACCCTTTTGAGCAACAACCCTCCGAAGCTGTGAGCGATGAAAATGATTGGTCGGTTTTTCTAATTATTGTTAGACGGAGACAACGACAGTAAGATAAGTGGGAGGTCGCCTCTGACCTGGTGGAGATACTCAATATCATCCAACAGCATCCCAGCAAAGATGTCAAAGTCAAATTCTGGGGAGTGTGAGTCCCACCTCGTCTGGTGGTTGAGCATGGTAACTTTTAAGTTGGCAAGTCTCTTTTGCTTGGGCAGCAAATCACTGAGCCAGCATACATCTGTATCGTTACCGATATGTGTCCAAGCTCTTGAGGGATTGGAGCCAAGGCCGTGTATAGCGAAGACGCTGTACGAATCACGAGTCAGAGCCATCAAAGAATAAAAACTGAAAAGGAGGAAGAAGTGCTGCTTACTCGATGATGCCAGAGTGTAGCCAGTTGCGCCAGTTGTTAAATCCACTAGGATCGTGCAGGACCTCAAAAGATCGAAAAGTGGGATGGTCGGAGTATTGTGTCCAGGCATCTATAAGCGTTGGAACAAATATGTGGATTGGACTGATCATGATGCACCAGCTGATCAAAGCCAGTAATCCCAGATATTTGGCAGAGCCCACAACACGCCTGCGGAAGCGCGTCTTGGATGGGGGAGACTGGTCTTGCCCACGCGAGGGCACTTTCAATTCAGAAAACATAATGTTCGAGTAGATCCAGACAGTTAAGATGCTTAGCGAAACTACTTTGTAGTAAAAACTCTCACAGGCGTATGTTGCTGCGAGGATGAAGATAGTGTACAGTAGAGGTTGACTCCATTCACCCTCTCGACTGCTACCGCGCCGGTCTTTGTTGACGGAAAAGGGGGGGATGGCTCCTCCGGAGTTGCGGCCTTGCTTCCAACGTTTGTTTGGCGTAGAAACGCTGGAGTAGCGAGCAGAAGAGCGGTCGGAGGAACTCATCTTAGTTATTAGCTTGCTGTGTACGGATGACTGTGAGAGTGTGTACTTCGTAGAAATCCGGTCTACACGCACGAGTATTAGGAAGCATAAATCCGCCTCTATTGCTCACTAGAGAATATACTTCTTGTACTATCACAATATGCTGGTGCAAAAAGGTTGTGGGTATATTTTAACACTACGCCGTATAATATATGTATTCGATTGTAATACTTGTCGAATAAGCCGTCTGGACCAAAATGGGAGGGGCGTGCACGATTATGCAGTATGATAAAAGAATACATGTACTGTGTGGCGCAGAGGGCTATTTAGTACGTGTTTTGACGCACGTCGGCATACCTCGGAAGTACCTAACTATAACAATATATTCATGCTTACTGGGCACACATAATTCGTTAAAGTACTAGTACTAGTATAGTACTATAGTAGTACTTGAAATATTAGTACTAGTACTAGTTGTACTAGAGTAGTACTACTAGTACTTTTCCCAACCCTAGCGCCACGTATAGCCTCCTTTAACCTTCACAGGTTCTTTTAGTGTACAGAGTACTTTTCTTGTAATAATTCCTACTATGCAAAACCTGAAACGCACGCGCCCAATGACAATGCAAGTTGCATGTTCCTCTACGCGCTAATCACAATGCAGGCAGATAACAAGGCTGTAACCCCGCCTAAATGGTTTAAATCGGGCTGAGCCTTCCATAGCGAATGTCGGTTACGTTAGGCGAGCAGCGTTCCTTTTGCGAGAGAACTATGTCTCAACAGCACACGTTCTTCCCTCCCAAGGAACATGATATCTTTAGCAAGCTGACCGATCAAATCATCTCCTCCGATGCTGCTCTCATGCTCTCCGATGAGCTTTCCTGTGCTGTACTTGACAAGTTACATCCGCACCTTGATCTCTTCGCGAAAAAGTCCAGCTCGCATATCGATCCTCTCCACGTCCACCTTTATAAAGGACGAGCCGTGACCATTGTCGAACAGGCCCGGCTCCATCTCGTTTGGCGCTCGGACACAATCTACCTTAAACCGCTCCCGACATGCCTGCTAAGCTCGGATTTTTGGCGTGACCACCTTACGCCGGAAAATCCCACCCGGCCTCAGGCGCTGGGCTTCATGCGGACATACGCCCACCTGATCCGCCACCGATCTGACTTTCTCATCGCGCAGAAGGAAAATCTGATCCCGCCGTCCGAAAATCTTACGTACGGAGAGTTTAAGGCTTTCATCCGATATTTTCGTAGCGTCTCAGATGACCAGGTGTCGCTGCGGTGGAAGTTTGGTCAGATCCGTCTAAATTGGCTAGACTGGGCCGTCAGAATCTTCCAGCCAGAAGTCCCTGGGCAACAAGGGGGCATATTACGAAGATTGTTCTACGAGGAGCCTTACCAACAGACGAGGCAGTATATCCGCGAATTCGGGGCTCCGTTTATTTTCATTTTTGCAGCACTGTCGTTGATCTTATCGGCAATGCAGATTATCCTAGCGGCGCGGCCCGACAACCCATGGCCGACGTTTAGCTCGGTTAGCGCAGGGTTTTCGGTGGCAGTTATTATTCTGCTAGTTGCTATCACGATTATTATGTTTGTCGTAGCCACAGTTGTGCTTATAGGGCAGTTGGGATTTGCATTACGATCTCGGAGAGGGTGGACAACTAAAGCGCCCAGACAGAATCTTCGTGTATAGAAGCTGTTTGTTATATATACGTGTTCAGTCAGATATTAAACAGAAAGAAGATTAATTAATTAGGAATTTCAGCTGATAGAAGCTTTCAGCAGGCTTAACTACACTGCGTGCACTTTATTTACAGCCTTTACGTTAATGGCTATACCTTCCCTGTATTTGCATGAGCGACCTAGCTGCTCCTGACTCCTGCACATGTTTTTAGACCTAGCTTGGCACCCGTAGTCCACTCAGATATATTGCGGCTGTAGCAGGTCTTTGTTAACAATGCCAATGCCAGCTGCTACATCTTCTTGGAAGAGCGGATCTAGGCAACGCTTCCCTAGTGATCAAATCTCTGGAAGTCTGTTGCCATCAGCTCCGTCTGGTAGTGCATGTATTTTGTTTTGCTATCTGTAGTATTTGCAAAAGGAGTCATTGCTTAGCAAAAAGGCAGAAAATTGAATAATAGGACAACGAGGTGATATTGCAAACAAAATGGAGATACTATAACATAATTCACGCCAGACTGTCAGCATTTCTGAAACTCGACAGCCTCAGCTTTCTACATCTGCTACCAATCGTCCTCCGTGCGCTCCAACGCTGAGAGCTGCGGCATCATAATGTGCCGGGATATATAGGATAGTGCGTTGTATCTCAGCCCGTGATGTAATGTCCGTAAGAGTTCTACGTGGCATATTCTCTACAATATACATCGAAATTTGAACTGAACACGTGCGGCATCGCCCTTTGGTAGAGCACCGCACAATTCCACATACTGCTGCGCAGACGTATCTTACGATGGCCCAGCAAGCGCAAGATGCGTCGCAACTGTATCTTGTGTCGCCCGCCGTGGCTCTCTCCTTGTCCATGACACTTCCGAAGACGAATGCTACACATGACAAAACCAGACAACAAATTTGACATAAAGACCTACACTGTTACCTGGTCTCCAAGATTCTGCAGCAATGCCTGTACGTTGTTCTCAGGAACGTGACTGGGTTAGCAAGTCCCGCTCTGTCTCGTAAGCTGGCCCAGCAGGTGCACAAACAGGTGCACAGAGCACAGACTATTCCAAACTGTTTCAGACGATCCATCTACGCACTTTTTCACCTGAACCTGTCCAATCCAATGGTATACTACAATAAAGACTAAACCTACTAGCAAACGTTACGGGATTACAAGAATGAGCTAGACATCATAATTCCACATCCCTGTCCTCTGGTCTTCCCTTTCCTTCTACCGATACCGCCCGTAGTCTTCCTGCGGCCGCAGCTGTCGGTTCCGAGGGTCCCGCGGGTCCCGCGGGTCATACGATCCTGGCGGCGGCGCGCCGCCATCGCCAAGCGACTGTGGCTGCTGCTGCTGTGACGGAGGTGGTGGCGGCCCGCGCGCATCGTAGCCCACGGGCGTATAGCGGCCGTCCCGCTGCTGCTGTTGTTGCTGTTGCTGCTGCGGGGGAGGTCCTCCTGGTCCGCCTGCACTGGTGGCGAAGCGTCCGTACGGCGAAGACGACGCCTGCACCTGCTGCTGCTGCACCTGCACCTGCTGAGGCGGAGGTCCGCCCGGTCCGCCCGGCTCGGCCGACCGTGGTCCCGGCGATGGCTGGTGGTATCGGCCGCTGAGCGAGTGCGAATGCGAGTGGGAGTGCGAGTGGGAGTGCGAGTGCGCGTGGGAGTGTGGGCTCGCGTGCCGCTGCTGCTGCTGCTGCTGTACATGCTGCACGTGCTGAGGATGCTGGGGATGCTGAGGATGTTGGGCCAGCTGGGGATGCTGGCTGTGCTGCACATGTTGAGGATGCTGCACGAGCTGGGAATGCTGCATGTGCTGAGGATGCTGCAGGTTCTGGGGATGCTGGGCAAGCTGGACATGTTGGGGATGCTGCAGCAGCTGCACATGCGATGGCGGCAGCAGCTGCTGCTGCTGTTGCTGCTGCTGTTGCTGCTGTATTCTTGGGTCGCCATATCGATCGTCTCTTTGCGGCGGTGGCCCTTGTTGCTGTTGCTGTTGCTGTTGCTGTTGCTGTTGCTGTTTGCTGTTGCTGTTGCTGTTGCTGCTGTTGTTGCTGCTGTGATCCTCCTCCTCCAGCGCCCCAGGCCGGGCTACCTGTGTTGCTGTAGCGCACAGGCTGCTGTTGTGGGGGCACCTGTTGTAGTCCCTGTTGCAGTCCCTGTTGCAGTCCCTGCTGCAGTCCCTGCGGTGGTCCTTGCGACATCCAGCCCATGTCTCGGCCGCCTGCCATGGCCGACGGCGGTGGCGGTCCATCTCGTCGTCCAGATGGCGGTGCTACGTGGCCCTGGTACTGGGATGATGGCGTTGGAGACGGTGCGTGCGGCATCTGTTGTCCGTAGCCAGCGTACACCATACTGCCCCCGCCACTACCACTACCACCACCGTTGCCTGCCACCGACTGAGACTGCTGCTGCTGCTGTTGCTGTTGGTAGCTCAGCGGCGGCTGCTGTGGCTGGTATGGGTTCCGGCTGTAATAGTCTCGGTCTGAGACGGACGATGGCGGCACACTAAGGCTGTGCACCTGCACCTGCGGCTTGAGCGACGGGATGATGGACGACGGTGGTGCCGTGGACGATGGCGGCTGCGAAGACACCGACACAGACGACGGCGGCGGCGGTGGTGGTGGTGGTCGGTTGCGCGCATACGGCGAATATCCGCCGCCGCCGCCGCCGCCTCCACCTCCACCTCCACCTCCACCTCCCGCTCCACCGGGCGGCGTTGAGGATGGCCGGCTCATGCTTATGCCAATGGCCGACACGTCGGCCACCCTCTTCGGCTGTGGTGGCGTCGACATCGGTGCCGGCGCGTCGTCGTTGAGGAGGGCAAACAGGTTCGACTTGCGCTCTGTCGGCCGTGGAGGGGGCAGTGCTGCCGGTGGTGCCGATGTCGGTGGCGGAATGGCTGCTCCAGCTCCTGCTCCCATTCCGCCGGGGTAACCGCCGTGGACCAGTCCCATCGACCGCTCGCTGGCTGTCATTCCCATCGCTCGTTCGCCTCCCATCCCCATCGGTCGCTCGCCAGCCGCCATCACCTGAGGCTGCACCGGCTCCGTCAAAAGGCTGCGCATTTGCTGCTGCTGCTGCTGCTGCACAATCGAGGGCGGTGCCACAGCTGCGTGGTTGTGGTTTTGCGACTGCGTGCGCGAGTGCGCGTGTGGCCCGTGACCGTGACCATGGCCTTGACCATGACCGTGGCCGTACGGCTGCGGCGTCGACGAGGCTGCCCGCATCGGCGGTTGCAGCGGCAGGTCGCTTGTGCGCAGAGGCGGCACCCGGCTGTTCGGGCCTGGACCCGCCGACAGAAAGCTCTCGTAGTGCGGCGGCACGTCTGATGGCTCCTGCTTGAAGCGCATCGGCTGCGACGATGCTGGTGGTAGGGGCTGCTGTTGCTGCTGTTGCTGCTGCTGTCGATCGCTGCCTCCATGGGGTGTTCCCTCTCGCTGCTGTCGCTGTTGTTCTTGCTGCTGTCTCGTTCGCTGCTGTGCCAGCGACTTGAGCCGTGCATCGACCGGCTCGCCGGAATTCTCCCAGGCCGGCACCCGCTGCGACATCATGTCTACCGGAACCGATCCTGCACTCTTCTGCTGTTCCACCACCGTCCGGTCGAGATAGCCGCCTCCATACGACATTCCGACTGAAGGTGGCACCATGATCGGCCGTGCCGATGGCGACATTGTCTGCTGCATACCCGGTGACATTGTGTGCCCTGCGTGTCCTGTGCGTCCGTTCTGTCCGCTCTGTACTGACTGTCCTGTGCCCGTCTGCTGCTGCCGAGCCGATGGCCCCTTTCCGTGCTGCGCTGCCAACGGCTGCACATTGGACGCCACCGCCACGCCGCACGCCGGCTTGCCCCCCTGTGCCGGCAGAGACGGCTGCAGATGAAGGTGTGGCAGAGGCGGTGCTGGCGGCGGTGGTGCCTGCGGTGCCTGTGATGCTGCTGCTGCTGCTGTCAGTGGTACTGCCTGCGGTGCCAGCGGTACCAGCGGTGCCTGAGGCGCAATGGCCAGCGGCACAGGTGTCTGGAACCGCCCAAACGTCGGCTGCGGTCCCACGCTCTCGGCCTTGATCCCCTCTGCCGCCTCCGCAGTCTTGGCTGAAGCTGCTGCGATCGGCCGAGGGCTTGGTCCCGATCCCGTCGTCTGCATCGTGTCCAGCCGTTTTCGCGGCATCGCCGGCGGTGGTGGAGGCACAGGCGTCTTCTCGTTTCGCTGAATCTTGATGTCGGCCTCGTTGGCAATTGCTTCCCACTCGGCCTTCTTCTCGTTCTTCTGCCGCACGTAATAGTTCTTAACCTACGTAATGTTAGTGCCCTGTACGCTTATGTAATCAGGCGCCCCCCACTCACCATCACTGCTGTCTTTGTCTGCATGTGTGCTGCAATTGCATTCCAGTCTGTGCCAAAGGACGACAGCAGCGCCGGGAAGTCGTTGCACTCCGACACGCTCCAGTAGCTCGACGTCTGCTGGGCCACCCGATAGCGGTCTGGGCCCATCACCCCAGCATCAAAGTTGGAGATGCCAATCTGCAGCGGCGGTGGTGGTTCTGGCCGAAGAGACGGCGGCTGCAGCATCTCGCCAATGTTGCTCGGAAGCGAAAGCCCGCCCGAGTCACTCGCCAATCCGTAACTGTGCCGTCCGCCATCTGTCGGCACCCCTCTCAGGTCACCGCTGCCGACACTGGCCACCAGTCCGGTCACCTGTGCCAATGGAGGCGGATGCATGCTGCCGCCTCGACCACCAATTCCGCCGATGGCCCCTTCAAAGTGTGGAGGCAGTCTAGATTGTCCACCAGAGGGACCAGAGGGACCAAAACCGCCAGCATTGCCAGCACCGCTCAGAATCCCTCCAGCTGCGCTCGTTTCCTCTTTTCCAACCAGCTGCTGCTGCTGTTGTAGCTGCTGCATGCCCTGTAGCTGCTGTGGCTGCTGTTGAGAGCCTGGCTGAGCACCTGGCTGAACACCTGGCTGAGCACCTGGCTGAACACCTGGCTGAGCACCTGGCTGGACCCCCTGCTGCATCCCTTGCTGCTGTTGTTCTGCTGTCGGATGTGGGCTGCCCTGTGCTTGCGAGCTGGATCTTGACCGGCCCCCCTTTGGTGTTGGCGCCCGTGTTGTCTTTCCTTGCTTTCCGTCCTTGCCTTCTTTGCCGTCTTTGCCCTCCTTTTCCTTGGCTTCCTTGTCCTTGTCCTTGGCCGTACGCCGCCGGTTTCTGCGCCCGTCTGCCTTCTCGCCCCCTTCGTTTCGCACCCGACGTCCTGTTCCGCTTGCTGCCGTGCTGTCCGACTCGGCTGCTGCCATCTCAAAGCCCCATGTCGGTGCTGCTGCTCGTCGAGGTCGTCGTCGCTCTCCGTTCTCTCCTGCTTCTGCCGCTGCTGCCGCCTCGTCCACTTCTGCATCGCCCAGCTCCGCCGCCACCCCGTGACGCTGCTTGGCTCGCGCCTTCTTCCGCCGCCGCGGCTGCTTCTTGAGCTTCTCCTTGAGATGCAGCTCTTTCTTGACGCAGTAGTAGTACTGGATACATGCGTGGAAGTCGCGCGTTCCCACACTCTCCGCAATCCGGCCCCACTGCTTCGGATACTCCAGATATGCCTTTTCGAACTTCTGTGCTTCTTCCTCGGAGAAGTTAGCCAGAGGCGGCAACACCTGCCATGCTGACACCATCTTCTCCGGCGCCAGGAACCCGGATCGGTCGATAAACAGCTCCCGCTCCCGCTCGTCCTCTCTCCAGTACATTTCCGGAATCTCCGCCTCCTTTTCGCTGCGGTATCGTTCCTTCTGCGCCCGCAACTCGCGCTCCTTCCGCTCGTCCTCTTCGCGCATCGATGCCTGCAGCACTCGCTCAAGATCGCGCTCTGTGGCAAATCGTCGATTGGTTCCGCGGCCCCCCTCGGGCTTCGCTTCTGCGCTGGGCGAAATCCTCGTGCTTGATTCCAGAGTCCCGCTGCCGCCCAGATATTTCTCCCGGCTCTTGGCAGCAACAGGGTCATCCGACCTCGTAAACTCCAGATAGCTCACGTAGTTGTCCCGGTACTGCTGCTGTCCTTTTTGCGTCTCGGTTTCCTCGATCGTGCCTTCTTCCAGTATGCGACGTGCCACGAATGCGTCCACTGCCGCCAATGGGACCGAATCCTTCAAAAACTCCGGATCTTGGTCCCACGACGGACAGCTGTAGTCTGGAAGATCCTCCAGCGGTGGCGTTTTCGAGTAGACGCGAATCGATTCCAATAGCACATTTTCCATCTCCTCGATCTCCGTCGCGTCGTCATCCTCGGCCTGCGACGGACTCGATGGCTGCGAGACACGCGTCGGCTCGAGGCCGGGAGGGGAATCCGAAGAAGCATTGGCGTCGTCCAGCCGGAATCCACCGGTCGTAGCTTCAGACGTGCCTCGCAGAGAACGAGGCAGGGTCGGTGCTGCACCCAAATCCGTAGGTCCAGTGGCCTCTTCCATCACTGTGTCATCGCTGTCTACCTCTTTGGAGAATTCTGCTGTAGTGATCACAGTCGTAGGGGCCGCGGCAGGAGCTTGAGCCGGAGACGTGGCGGTAGCCATAACCCCTTCCTGCTTGATGTTCGGGCTTGAAAGGACCGGAGTTGTAGTTGCCGGCGCAGGCGGAGAATCAACGTCCATGTCGTCTGTCTCTGCCGTGCTCTTCTGCAGAGCTTCGCTCGAATTGTGTTCGACTCGCTTCTCTGCCGGGGCATTATCAACCGCGACGTCCACTGGCGTTGCTTTCGTGTCGCTGGTGTCAATACCCCGGTCGGCTTTCTCAGGCGCAGGGCCGACGATGTTCGAAAAGTTGAGTGGGGACTCGAGAATCTCCAAGGCGAGAATGGACTCCACCAGTCCCACGCGAACCAAGCCGTCCTTTGGCAGAGCGTCTGCTGTTGCCTCCAGTTTCTTGATATCGGCCTCGTGCTTCTCGATCTCCTCGTCGAAATAGCTGTTCATGTCTTCGTCTTCCGAGTCAGACGCGCCATCTTGTCTTTCCGAATCGAGCAGATCCTGGCGAATCGAGACCATCAAGGCAGATACGGTGAGAGGGATGGTCTCCAGGTCTGGTTTGCCGTTTGCACTATCAGATGTCGTCGCCGACTCCTTTGCGCTCTTGTCCTTTGCTGTCTCAGTTGTTTGTGTGGATGGTACTTTGGCTTCCGCCCGCGTCTCCGTTTTGACATCCGGTACAGTGTTGACCACCTTGTGAGTTTCCACCCCTTCCATAGCAACCGGTTCCTGCAGTGTCTTGGCTGACTGGCGCTTTTCCTGCTTATCATCCACTGCAGTCCTCTTCAGCCAACCAGTCGGCTTTCCAGCGCCCGCCATGCCACTATCACCCATGGGAGCCTTTTCTTTCCTGGCAAAGGGTAGGGTAGGGTTTGTCTTGCTGCCGTCCGCCTTGTTGTCGGAGCGCTGACCGCCGTGGGAGTCCTGTTGCGCCCGGTGATCCCTCGGTCCGGGAGCATGTGAGTACACCGGCGAGCCTTCCGTGATCTCGCCCGGTTCGCTTTGTGACTCAGCCCTGGCCGTGTCGATATACAAGTCCGACTTAGCATCACTACTGCCAGGCCTTCTCGCACCACCAGAATCGCCAGACTGTCCGGAGCCAGCCGACTCGGGTCGTGGAAGGAAAGGGCGAGACTGCTGGGTCACAAAGCTCTGGGACCGGGCAATCTTGGGAGATACAGAGGGATTTCGTTTGACCGCCGGTAGGGTGTTGGGGTTGATCCACTGTTTGCTTGACGCCCGCTGCGTCTTTGCCGGTGACTGCTGGGAACGTGGGCCGGTGGGGATGATAGCGACCACACCGTCAAGTGGCAGTGCTTTGAATGGGGCCGGTGCGTCCGAGACGGTTGGGCTCTGCAGGTTGAAAGATGACGGTGGTCTCTCGTCTGTCGCCGATCTGGGACCGGATGGGAGAGACCTGGCAGCCACGGGCTGGATCTCATACGACGACGGTTGTCGCGTCTGGACAGACCCAAAGGCAGGTGCAGAGGGAGCAACCGGTGGCGGCGATGCAGGTGCTGGTGCCGGATCCCGGGGCAAAGAACTGCGGTCTGCCGGTTTCGGCCAGGTCACCTCGCGGCCACGATTGTCTCGGTCATCTCTCGGGTCTCTCGATCGCAGGTCACCTTCACGATAGTCGCGATCGTCGCGCTCATTCCGGGACCAGCGACCTTCCTGAGATCGGCTCCTGGGATAGCGGTTGTCCCGGTCATCATACAGGCTTCCAGGTCTCGGCGCCCGGTTGCGGTCCCAGTCGACGGGACGTCCTCGCCCTGGAGCTACAGGCCGGCCGCGACTGGAGGCTCCGCCTCGGTATGACTGGGCGCTGAGGGCGGGATCGGACGACGAAGAGCCGGCAGACGGGGGTCCGTCGCGCGAGCCCCGTCTTGGACGGTCGGCGAGATCATTGCTTAGCGGTGCGTCTCTGTCCCGCGGATCACGAAGGTCACGTAGATCACGTGGGTCTCTAGGATCTCGCGGGTCTCGTGGATCGCGAGTCACATCTCGACCCATAAGTTCTCGTCCAGGCGACCGAACGGCGCGGCCGGGCGGTGGTGGCGACGGTCGCCGTCCCCGGAAGAGATCGCCGCGATCGCGCCATTCTCGCTCTCTGTCCCAGCCGCGGTCATCGCGAAAGGGTGGTTCTCGCCGGAAGTCTTCGCGGTCCCGCAATCCCTTGTCTCTGCTGTCATCTCGGGCCCAACCCCTGCCCTGGCCGGCCACGCGAGATCGTCCGCGAAAGTCGGAGGAATATCCGCTGCCCCGTGGACCGCTAGGCAGTTCGGTCAGCGCCTTGGGCCCACGCGGAGGCTCGCGTGCGATGGGGTCGCGGAAGTCGCGATTCGATTGGAAGCTGTTCTGGCTGGGGCGTGTGTCACCCGAGAGACGGCGCCGCTCGCTATCGCCATACTGAGAGCCGCGGTCGTTGTACCGATCATTGGGTGAGCGTTCTCTTGGTGATCGCGAACGGCGATCGTTGTAACCGTATCTTGTCCTGGATGGCAAAGAAGAGCCAGTCAGTATCGACGGCGTACGACGCGCAAAGACCTCTCGCAAGCAAGCATCCGATCATGACGCTCTCGTTCCAATACGAGTCCATGGTGGAAAGATGAAGATGACACCCCAATGAACTGTGACTGCTTCAGACATACATTGAATGACTTCAAAAAACAGGGAACACGCCCTGGGAGCCTTGGCTCCAATCGCGGCCGGATACAAGGACGTCAAAAAGGGGTTTGTCTAGATACTAAAAAAATGCGAATATCCAGTCGGTAACGCTGTTTGTAAAAAGGCCGTAGGATGCCCTTCCCCTTCGCCAGAGACGGGGAGGCGCTGTTGTTGTCCGAGGATCCAGGGGTGGGACAAAGCGCTTCGATCGGTTTCAATGAGAAAAGCGTAGTCTGGCAGACGAGCCGCCGCTATTTGATGTCTGTGGCCGCTCCCGGAAAGCCAGGAGCCGACCGTAACGATAAAAAGACGCGTTTCGAGATTGGTGAAAGAATGTGGTGGTTGAATAAAAAGTGGACGTTGGTAATGACTGTCAGGGAAATTCGAGAAAATCGAGACAGATTTGGAGGCTTCGCCCCAAAGTCGCTTTGCTGACTGGACCAATGACAGGCGATAGGGCCCTTGCGCTCCGGCTGTTGGAACGGGTTAACCTTGCGCGTTGTGGCGTCTGCACTATTATCCAGATCAGGAAGTGGGTACCGCCTTGTGGAACACGTCCAGAAATGGCCACTGAAGCATTCATTGGTAAGGTGACGTTCCAGCTGCCCCATATTTTATGCCGGAGAGAACAAGGGCAGAAAAATTAGAGGTCTGCATTCGCAAGTCGGCTGTTGAAGATCTACACTTTCTCGTTCATGTGCATACACGGCCATTCTGCACCGCAACACAACCGCTCGTGCATTTTCCCCGGCATCTGCCACCATGGCGTCTGTTAGTGGACCGGAGGCGACGGCGGCAGCCAACAGCCATGCCGCGAAGAATGCCAAGGAGCTGCCACCGGCTCAGGCCACAGAAGCCGTGCTCGTAGTGTCGGAGGAGATGCCGGCCAACGCCCAAAAGGTCGAGGAGCTGGACTTCAACAAGCTCAAGGGCCGTCCCATCACGGTCGACGATCTGTACCAGGGAATGAAGAACATGGGCTTCCAGGCGTCGACCATCGGCGAGGCTATCCGCATTATCAATGATATGGTGATTTTTACCTCTCTTTTTCTCTGCAATTTTCCTGATTCAGGATCCTTTGCACACAACTGACACATGACCCCCTATCAAGAGAGCGTGGCGGGACCCCGAAACAGGCGACGGCACCACCATCTTCCTCGGCTACACGTCCAACCTGATCTCGTCCGGCCTGCGGGGTGTCTTGCGCTACCTTGTCGAGCACAAGCACGTGTCCTGCGTCGTGACGACGGCCGGCGGGATCGAGGAGGATTTTATCAAGTGCCTGGGCGACACGTACATGGGCAGCTTCAGCGCAGATGGCGCGGACTTGCGACGCCGCGGCCTCAACCGCATCGGCAACCTGGTGGTGCCCAACGCCAACTACCGCGCGTTTGAGGACTGGATCGTGCCGATCCTCGACACGATGCTGGAGGAGCAGGAGGCGGCGCGGGCAGCCGGCGACACGGAGTTCCACTGGACGCCGTCCAAGGTGATCCACCGGCTCGGCCGCGAGATCAATGACGAGCGCTCGGTGTACTACTGGGCCTACAAGAACGACATTCCCGTCTTCTGCCCGGCCCTGACGGACGGCAGCCTCGGCGACATGCTGTACTTCCACACGTTCAAGTCGTCGCCGCAGCAGCTGCGCATCGACCTCGTCGAGGACATCCGCCGCATCAACACGCTCTCGGTGCGGGCCAAGCGTGCCGGCATGATCATCCTCGGCGGCGGCGTCGTCAAGCACCACATCGCCAACGCCTGCCTGATGCGAAACGGCGCCGAGTCCGCCGTGTACATCAACACGGCGCAGGAGTTTGACGGCAGCGACGCTGGCGCTCGTCCGGACGAAGCCGTGTCGTGGGGAAAGATCAAGATTGGCGCAGACGCTGTCAAGGTAGGACACGCTTCCGTGTGTTGTCCTGTGCTGGCTGACAATGCTGACAACCGCCGGTCAGGTTTACATGGAGGCCACGGCATGTTTCCCCCTTATTGTAGCAAACACGTTTGCAAAGGAGCCTTGATTGGCCAAACATTCGCTTTGAAGTCCGCCCAAGCTGAAATGTTCTGTAATTGTGACTAAGTCTCTGTCACGAAGGGCGCAAACACACAGTCACCCGGCTCTGGCAAGCTTGTCGGCCAAGCTCGCTGTGCGCAGTGAGAGCAGATCTTACTAAAACCAGTTGGCCAGTCGCCTCTCCGGCTGGACTGTCGTCGACGCCATATCTGTCTGGTCGCGATCCGTGACCATTAGCCCATAGTCGTGCCGCACAGCCACGACCACACCATTCCGCCGCCAATATACGCTGCCGATATCTACGAGGCGTCTACGAGGCTAAGGTGTCTGCCCTGTACCAAACGTCCGGTCAGCCGCTGGTCTGTCGTAGTCTTCCTCAAAGAATGAAGCACCAATCAATTGGCTCGTTCCTACAGTACACAATGTAGGTGAGATTCTGAGTGCATCTTGCAGAGCTGATGCTGCCTGCCCTCTGCTTATGCTACGTCATTGTTTATGCCGAAACACAGTGGATTACAGGCCGGGTCCACTCCCCACGGCCGCTATTGTAAGACTCCCGCCAATAAGCGGGTGTCGTCACGTGGACACGTTCGCTTACAGGGAGAGCGGGCCCTTTTGGTGATGCACCAACTCACCTGACAATGGTCACGGTCAACGACGTACAATGAAGCTCCCCACACGGCCAATCACACGATTATCGAAGCGCTGCTGCGCGCGGCTCCCGGCGGCGTGCCGGTATGCCACGACACAAACGACAGCAGCCGGGAGTGCGCCGGGGTCGTCGGGTCCATCGCCTTCGTCGAACCGAATCAAGATTGTCGAAGTCGGCCCACGCGACGGGCTGCAGAACGAGAAGAAGTCGATCCCGCTGGCGACCAAGATTGAGCTGATTGAGAGGCTGGCCAAGACAGGCGTGTCGACGATCGAGGCGGGCTCGTTTGTGGCGCCGAAGTGGGTGCCGCAGGTAAGAGACCGATGGGCCGAGCAGGAGCCTCACGGGCGTGGTCTAACGGAAGGGGGGATCAGATGAGCAACTCGGCCGAGATCCTCGAGCATGTGCTGGCGCACAGGGTGGCGTCGCGCGAGCCGATCTCGTACGCCTTCCTGGTGCCCAACAGCCGGGGCCTGGCGGACGCGACGGCGATCCTGCAGCAGCACGCGGGCGCGTTTGTGGCGTCGCTGCCGACGGCCGGTAACGCAGGTGGCGGGCCAGAGACGACATTGTCGCCGCTGCCGGCGGTGGAGCTGGCCGTGTTTGCGGCGGCGACGGAGACGTTCTCGCGCAAGAACCTCAACTGCGACGTGGCCACCTCGCTGGAGCGGTTCCGCGACGTGATCCGGACAGCCAAGGAGACGCAGGCAGCAGCTGACGGAGCACCACTGCGGGTGCGGGCATACATCTCGGTCGTGCTCGGCTGTCCGTTTGAGGGCTACGACGTGGATCCGCGGCGGGTGGCAGAGCTGGCGACAGACCTGCTCGAGATGGGGGCAGACGAGATCGCGCTGGGCGACACGACCGGCATGGGAACGGCGCCACGCACCAAGGAGCTTCTGCGCTGCGTGACGGCGGCTGGGATCCGGCACGAGGACGTGGCGCTGCACCTGCACGACACGTACGGCCAGGCGCTGGTCAACACGGCGGTGGCGCTGGAGCATGGGATCCGCACGTTTGACAGCGCTGTCGGCGGCTTGGGCGGCTGTCCGTACAGTCCCGGGGCCACGGGCAACGTGGCGACAGAGAACCTGGTGTACTTTCTCGAGAGCCTGGGCATGGACACGGGCGTCGATCTGGACGCTATGGCCGATATTGGGCAGTGGATCACGGCTGAGATCGGCAAGGCCAACGACAGCAGCGTGGGTAAGGCCGTGCTAGGGGCACGGACGAGGGAAGGGTGAGAGGGGACGGTAGAGCTGGGCTGGACTGATTTGATTGTGTTCGTACGAAGTACTCTGTACTATGCATGGAATGCACAGCCAGCTTACAAAACCAATGCGTCGGCAAACGTTTCCCGACAGCTAGCAGAATTTGCCGACGAATGCCGGAGCTACCGCTCGCAGGCGGGGTACGATCTTCGCAGCGTGAGAGTTTTCCGAAAGAGGCAACTGCGCTCCACAATGTCGTGCTGCTTTGTGAAGTTTTTCTACAGGTAGCTCGAGTGTCTACAAAGTTGTTTCTATCAATACTGCCCTTCTTGATTATCTTCTGCCGACTGTGTCTGTCAGCTGTCATCTGCCTGCCGTGCACACACAAAGCGCTTGCTCACGTCCCAACTACGATGCCGGCCATTCGACTGGGCACCTGCTCGCCGGCGACGGCCGACACGCCGGCAGAGACGCTGGCGATACTGGAGGACTTTACGAAACGGGCGGCGGCGGAAAAGGTGGACATTTTGCTGTTTCCCGAGGCGTTTCTGGGCAGTGGGTATCCGCGTGGCGAGGATTTTGGCTGTGCCATTGGCAGCCGAACGCCGGCCGGCCGGGAGGCGTTTTTGCAGTACTTCCGGCGGGCGGTGGACCTGGGCGACGTGGTGGGCGATGCGGGAGCCGGCGGAGGACGCGACTGGGTAGAGCGGCGAGGCCGGTTTGCGGACGAGGCGGCGTCGTCGGCGGCAGGGACGGCGGGCGACGGGACGCGCGAGACATTGGAGCGGGTGGCACGCGAGACCGGCGTGTTCATCGTGTCGGGGGCCATTGAGCGGGCGGGTGGCAGCCTGTACTGCTCAGTGGTGTACGTGTGTCCGAAGCGGGGGATGGTTGGGAAGCGTCGCAAGGTGCAGCCGGTGAGTGGGAGAGGGGGGAGATTGATCTGAGGAAGATGAACAGGGATGGCTGACACAAACAGACCGGTTCGGAACGGCTGATCTGGGCAGCGGCCGGTCCGGCGACGCTGCGGGCGGTCTCGACAGTGATCCGCGGTGTGCGCATCAACATGGCGGCGGCGATCTGCTGGGAGAACTACATGCCGTTGCTGCGCCAGTCGCTGTACGCGCAGAACATCAACCTGTACCTGGCGCCGACAGCAGACGGACGCGATGCCTGGCTGGGACTGCTGCGCACCATCGGCACCGAAGGCCGCTGTTTCGTCGTGAGCTCCAACATGTGCACGACGGCGGAAAGCACGGAAAGCCTGGCAGCCGACGGCACTGCTACCACCACAGCAGAAGCAGCAGTGCCGGCAGAGGCCCGTCTCTCGCGGCTGACGACACGCGGCGGCTCGGCCGTGGTGTCGCCGTTTGGCGACGTGATCGCGGGCCCGCAGTGGGACGACGCGCGCGGTATCGTGTTTGCCGATGTGGACTTTGACGACTGCATCCGCGGCCGGCTGGACATTGACATGGGGGGGAGCTACTCCCGGTGGGTTTCCCAGACTCTTTCTGCTTTGTTTCCCGTTCTCTGCTGACCTCTCAGGAATGACTCGTTCAAGCTGTCGGTCGAGGGTCTGGACCTCAGCCCGCTGCCGTACTGAGATAGCGTAAACGGTAACAGTTTAACGGTATAATTTTTATTGGGTCTTTTCTCCTTTATTGTTTCTATGTTTCATTGTATCCCCTCCACTCCGGCAGGACGGACAGGAACTGGCGAGCTGAGACGCGGCCAGCCATGGAATCGACGATAGGACGGCGCGGGGACGGTACAGGGTCGTAGTAGTCCTTGGCGAGGAGGCTGCCGTAGGCGGCGGTGGTTGGTGATGGCGGGCGACTTGACGCCGACGGGAAAGGAGATGGGCGCTGTTTTGCTGTCTTTCAGGCTAAAGTGGAAGCGGTCCGTGCAACATAGCGCACCTCCAATTCTGCCAGACTACACCGCTGTAGAATCCACCGTCGGCAGCATCGTTCCCGAATAGGAAATGCCTAACAAAAGTCAGGACGACTGCATATCGCCACGTTCTCGGAGGGCCTTTTGCATTGTCCTTTTCCATCACCCTTTTGGTCCATGATTGTGCTGCCGGTACGGCGGCCATGTTGGGTGCTGCCACGGGTCGGTATAGCAACAGCTGCCGCCACAGCTGCCGCTGCGCGACATCACTCGACCGCCTCGCTGGCAGCCGTGCTGGCGGCCGTCGAGGCGGACGATAGCGGCGTGCACGTGATCCGGTCGACGGGCACGAGCCCGCACGCGAATCTGGCTGTCGAGCAGCGCCTGCTGGAGCGCAGCCGCGCGGCCAGCCGGGTGTTGTTCCAGTACCACAACGGGCCGTGCGTGGTCATGGGGCGAAACCAGAACCCGTGGGCCGAGGTGGCCGTACGACGGCTGCGCGCGCGCGACGTCGCCCTAGTGCGACGGCGCAGCGGTGGTGGTGCCGTCTATCACGACGGCGGCAATGCCAACTGGAGCGTGCTCGGGCCGTCGGCCGGCTTTGATCGGGATCGCCACGTCGTCATGGTGGCACGGGCGCTGCAGCGGCTGGGCGTGTCGTCGGCGCGGGTGAACGAGCGGCATGACATTGTTGTGGGGGGCGTGGAGGAAGACAAAGACAGCCCGGACAGAGAGACCGCCTACAAAATTTCCGGCTCTGCCTACAAGCTCACCCGCCATCGTGCCCTCCACCACGGCACCTGTCTGCTTGGCACCGATCTCACTGCCGTGTCTGGCCTGTTGCGCTCTCCTGCCGCCGCCTATGTGCTCGCCCGCGGCGTCGCCTCGGTCCGGTCGCCCGTGCGCAACATCGACATTGCGACGCGCGACGGCATCGCGCCGGCCGCTCGCTTCGCCGCTGCTGTCACCCGCGAGTTTGAAGCCCTCTACGGCCGTGCTGCCAGTCACAGCATCGTCGACGTCGACTGCGAGGCTGCTGCCGGCTTCGCCTTTGACCCGGTGTTGGCGCGGGGATATGCCGAGTTGATGGTGCGTTTCGTCTTTCTCTTTTCTGTCCCTGTCGTCTCGTCTCGTCTCTCATTTCTCTCGTCTCTCCCCTCAGACCCCAGAATGGATCTATGGCCAGACCCCTCAGTTCTCCTTCTCGACTCATCCCTCTGACGAGGATCCCCGTGACCGCCCGCCACCACCGCCTACTGTCCCTCCCAGCTTCCGACTCGCCTTTACTGCCCGTCACGGCCGCCTGCACGACGTCGTTCTGTCCGGCTTGCCCTACCTCTCGCCAGGCGACGATCTCACTACCGCAGCCGCTGACCGCAGTCTCGCCGCTGCCCTCGACGGTCGTCCGCTCTACGAGATCTACAACTGGCAGCATGTCCTAGCTCAGGCCAGCATCCAACCCCTGGACGCTGTCGCCGTCGCTGCCACGGGCGCTTGGCTGGACGGCCTGTTGGGCGTCGCTACAGGCGGTACAGCAGCTACAGCATAGCATTAGTGAGCGTATATATAACAAGATCACATGACCACTTCACTCAAAGTTTCTCGTCCTGATCCTCTGGCTCTGGTGCTACTTTCTGTCCTTCATCTCGTCCTCCGTCCTCCCTGTACATTCCCCTCTTCTCCAACGTCCCTGTCCTCTCAACATCTCACTCTCTATCCCCCCTACTCTCCCATCCTCATCACTCCCCTCTGGAACCAGTCCGCCACCGTCCCGAACCGATCCTCGCTGTTGGCCAGCTCTGCCTGAAACACGTCGTGCCGCGTCGCATACTCCTCCTGCTGCCGCCGGATCGCCCGCACTGTCGCATTGTCCTGTCCACACAGCGGACACTCGACGTCGTCATCGTCGTCCCCTTCCACCCCCCCTCCACCACCTCCACCGTCCAGACAGCGCTGATGGAAGGAGTGCTTGCAGAGAAAGTGCACCACTGGCAGCTCCAGCGGCAGCGCGCACTGGCTGCAGCGCGTCGCCTGGAACACGGCCGGCTTGGCCGCCAGCTCGGCCAGCTCGGCGCGTCGCTGGTCCGTCTCCGACCGGAACGCCGCCACCCGTCGCCGGTTCGCCGCAATTTCGCGCCGCTCTCGCTCAATCGTCTCCTGCAGGTACGGCTTCAACATCCCCATCGTCGCCACCGTGTTCTGGCTCAGCGTCTGCACCACCTGCAGCGGCGCCATCAGCCCGTCCCGATGAATTCGTTGCAGCACCGCCGTCAGCTCGGCCGGTCCGGCCTCCTCCAGCACCCGCCCGCTCGATGTCAGGTACGACAGCGCCGCCGTGTACAGCTGCGGCTCCTCGGGCCCGTACCGGTGCAGCGCTCGCAGCGCCCCTCGCGTGTCTTGTGCTGCCGTGTACGATCGGAAGATGTCGAACAGCAGGCCTGCCTGCTCCTTCATCAGCGTCGTCCCCTCCCGGAATCCCGACAGATGCGATAGCAGCAGCACGTTGGCCGGCTCGATCGGCTCCGACTCCAGCTCCGACTCGAGCCCGCTGTCTTCGTGCGACCCCGATCCGGCTCCGGCTCCGGCTCCGGCTCTCCCACCCTCCACAATCAGCCCCTTCGCCTTGGCCTCCCAGCCCTCCCGCTCCTGTACGCCCTGCTGCTTCTTGTCCGACGCCTTGCTCAGGTACATCTCAAACAGCGTCGTCTTGAGGTCTGTCCGGTCCGCCGACGACACCGACGGCGCCTTCAGACACGCCTCCAGAAACACGATAAACTCGTCCGCGTGATCGATAAACGACGAAAACGCTGTCCGTGGCGCCGGCGCCTTGTACGTCATGCTCGCTCCGCCCAGCAACACCTCCTCCTCGGCCTTGGGCTTGTAGCTGTCCGTGTAGTAGTCGATAAACAGCTGTGTCGTATCTTGGGGGCAGTTCTCGATGAGCACCCGGGCATACTTCATCAGCGATGCATGTGTCTGAACTGTTAGCTGCTTGGTCTTTTGTCCTTTTTGTCTTCTTTGGTCTTCCACTCCCCTACTCACCGTCTTCGGATCCAGATGCCCGATAAAGGCCAACGCCTCGTCATACTTCTTCGCGTCCTCCACCAGAATGTCCACAACCAGCTCGTTCTCCCCGTGCTGCTTCGCCAGGTACACCGCCTGCTCGTAGTACCCGCCCTGCCGACACACCGAGATGGCCGTGTCCAGGTCGAACTTGAGGTCGCCCGGCGACTTGATGAACCGTTCCAACTTGTCGATGTCCTTCAGCATCGCGTAGCAGTTGAGCAGCAGCGTCGTGTGGTCCGCCGTTGCCCGCCCGTGCTCGTGCAGCTGCTCCAGGTACTCAATCAGGTTGTGGATCCGCTGCGTGTCTAGGAACTTGCGGATCACCAGCGACGGCTCCGTGCTGTCGATCGCCCGGATGTACTGCGCCATCGCCTCGTCGTAGCTGCCCTTGCGGTAAAGGTAGTCGCCGAACCGCCGGAAGATCACGTTTTGCTCCGCCTCGTCCAGCCCGCACTTGCGCGCCAGCTCGATCGCGAGGTGGTACAGGTTGCGCTGGTAGAGCATGTCGAGCCGCTGTGCCAGCGTCTTCTCCGCATACTGCCGCACCCGGCCGTCCTGTGTGAGCACGCAGAGCCGGCCCCAGATCGCAAGCACGCTGCGCACCGGCGACAGCAGCGTCTCCGCGTGTGCCACCACCTTGAGGTCCGTCTCCAGCACCGACAGGGTCGTCGTGCTGAAGAGCGCGTCCGCCGACGTCGATGTTCCGCCCAGCCGTCGCCGCTGCTGTCCGCCGTTGCTGTTGGATCCGCTGCTGCCCGGCGACACCAGCGCGACGTAGTCGCCGTACACCACCACCAGGCTCTTCGGTCCGTCGTACGCCCGCGGCGCCCCCCGGCCCTCGAGCGAGTACGAGTAGATCGCGTCGTCTCGCGCCACCACAATGTCGCCCGTCCGCGGGTCGACTGTCATGCAGCCCACGCCGCAGCCGGCATCCTCGACCGTCTTGGCCGCCTGCGCCTTGCCCTTGGCCAGGATTGGCAGCTTGAGGATCCGTGCCGTCGTCGCGATGAACAGTGTCGTCGTGAACTTGTCGTCCACGTACAGCTCCACTCCTGTCACCGGCTCCTCTGACTCGTAGATGATGCGCTGTCGCGTGCCCGTGTCGTTGACCAGATCGCCTCGAATCAGCGTCACCGCCCCGTTGGCAAACCCGACAGCCAGCTGCGAGAGGTCGGCCGTCGCCGTGAACGCCGAGATCTTCCCGCGTCAGAGCTATGAACCACGCTCGCTTCATAGTCCCGCCCCACAACTCACCGGAAACTGCTTCTTGCCGTTGTTGACCTCAATCGTGCTCAGACACGTCGGCACCCCCGTCTTCTTCACCGGTTTGTCCAGCGCCCACACCTTGAGCACCGGCTCCGTGCTCATGTCCTCCTGTCCCGTCGTCAGTAATCACGTCCGTCTCGGCACCGCCCGCATCCATTTCCCGAGAACCTACTGCCACTGTCACGAGCAGACTCGTTCCCTCCACCTGCCGCATTTGTGTGATGCTTCCCGCCTCGTGTGCGAGGAAGCTCCGCACCACCTTCCAGCTCGGTCCCACAATGCGCACATATCCGTCGTAGCTGCCAAGAAACAGACTTTCTGATCCGGAGCAGACGCTCGATATCTCGTTGCCCTCAAACACGACGTCTGTCTTGTCTTCGCCGGGTTTCGCTTGGCTGACATCGAAGAAGTCAAACGACTTCCACTATTGGGGTTAGCACATCGTCCCACGCATCCACCCTCCACGCCATAGAAAGGGCAAGCCTACCGAGTTGGCCATGGTCACATTATCCTCGCCAATTTAATGTTGTCCCAACGGATGTTCCGCGACAGCGCAGTAGCCGTAGTGACGTTGATTAGCGTAATTTATCACGTGTGGCTGAGCGTGTGGCGTAAAATGGGCCTCTGCTAGACATGTTCATTTAGGCCTAATTCTATTACAGGGATACTCTTCTAAATCGTGAAACTCGTACTCTTCTACATCCCGGAACCGCAATCTTCTCTTGACGAGCTGCCTACCGGAAACTCAGTGCCCAAATTAAGAAGTGGCACTAGGGATGGCCTTCCGTGTGCGCACTGGAACGGAAAACGGCACTGCAGCAATCTCTGGAGCAGGTCGGAACATTGGGAGTGGGACAGACAGTCGTTAAACCTGATGGCACCTGTCATCTGTCAATTATTGCCCATATGAACGGAAGATGTAAAAGATTGGTAACATACTATGACAGGCTCTTGCATTCAGAAGGTCCAGAATAGCACGAGGACAGCTGAGAAACCGAGATAGCCATGAGGTGCTCATCCTCGTCGCCTCATCCAAAGTTTGGCTGGATCCCAGCAGATGAGCTGACTCGTGACGTGTCCACATTTCCTTCCGGATAAGCTCGACGACCAGCCTGCTCTCGTGAAGGCATCTCTCATGAATACTTTCGGGAAGCCTGTGCACCCGCAGCGCCACCACGTCGTCTCTGTCCGCGGTAGCCAGAGTATACACCACGCCCCAGAAGTGGAAATGGCTTTGCAGCCGTTCTAGAAGAGGCCGCTCATGGGCGTCAAGCTCGAACTGCAGCGTCTGTTCCAACGCAGTTGTCCGGGCTTCCAACACGCTCTCTTCACCCGGCGTGTATACAAAATACTCCGTGAGCAGAGCCTCAATGCGGCAACGCTCGTCTGCGGCATGCTGGTCAATAAGAACCAGAACCTCGCCCTTCTCTCTACTACCTAAAGGGTCGGGGTTTCCATCAAGAGCCGGGACTTTGACAAGGATGAACTTTTGGTCCACCTGGCCGATGACCTTGGCAGCAGCGAGGCTCTCTCTCGATATGCGGATGCTACCGCTCGAGAAGGAGTTGCCGTCCCATTCGGCTGTGCCACTGGCTCGACACCCTTCATCGAGTTTTGTACTGATTGCGCCACCAAAGAACTTGCTTGTAGTCTTGGGCGACGAGAGGGTGGCAGGCTGCGCGCTTTCCAGCTCTGCGCCTGAAATCAGTGTGCCGTCCTTTGATCTGTTTCTTTCAGCTCCAGGCCGCGTCGCCTTGACCTTTGGCCAGGACCGGAAGGGCGAGTGTCGTTGCAACATTCTGGTTGTTTTCCGTTTCTTAGCAGGGGGGCCAGTTATGCTGGGGCTGCCAACAGAAGAAGTGTCCTCGCAGAGCAGAGTGGTCCGCCTGTACAAATTATGCTTCTTCAGAAACTGGACAATCATCGTCCGAAGCAGGGATCGGACAAGCGCCAGATGCTGCCGTCTGTCGTCGAGAACATCATCAACTTCTACTGGGGCCGACTCGGTCAGGTCTATGCCAATGATGAACATCGGCCACCGATCAACTCCTCTTCGCGCAGCTGTCGGCCGTTGTACCGCCGCCACCAGGGCAAAGAGCGAGTCGGCGAACAGCTTGTTTATTTCGTCGTAAAGCAGATCTGCATGGTGCCTCTCCGAGAGCGGCTCGACGCCTATTCTGATGAACTGGACACGCTTGGAAGCAGACGGCGTCAAGCAAACACAGCCACTGACTGTGATACCGGGAATGGACGAGCCGACGCGGACCCACGACGCCGCACTGGCCGTATCGCAAAGCCCTGCCTGTGCCAGCAGTGTTGTCGTCCGTGCTATGGCGGGATGCTCGGCAGCAGGTGGTGCCGCAGCACGGAGGGTGACGGCAGGAAGGCGGCCGTGACCAGTCCCACTTTCAGCTCGGAGACGAACGACTAGATCGTGTGGCCATGCCAGAAGAAGAGCGGTGACCGAGCGCACGAGCTCGTCCCAGTCGCGGCTCCAGGCAGCGAAAGCAGAGGCCGGCCGCAGATGTAGACGCACCGGCATGCAGCCAAAGAGATCGTGCACGGCAACACGGGTGCCATGTGGCGCAGGGCATGCGTGCTGCTCTGGCGGAGCAGGAACGTGCCGCCGCAGGACCGTTGCATTGTGCATGGTCAGCGCGCTGGGAGACGCACGGCCGCGGCAGCGCGAGACGACCGACAGCAGTGAGAGCGAGGCGACCGAGGCCAGAAAGGATCCGTGGCGACCGTGCAGACAGATGCTGCGCGGATGCTTGGATGTGTGGTGCAGCTGTCCGAGGCCACCGTCAGGACGAAACGCAGGCGGTGGGATTCCGATGCCGTCATCCTCGACCACGCAACTGCCATGGCTGTAATGCACGGAGATGTTCACGTTGGAGGCGCCAGCATCGAGAGCGTTGCACAGCAGGCCGCAGACGGTGCCGTTCAGAGAAGTCACGATAAGGGAGGCCTCGATCTGCACGACCACATCCCCTGGCAGGCGCTGGATGGCCATGGTCGGCTCTCAGCTGTCGCACCATCGGACGGCGAGCGTAAGATATCGTACAGTATCAGGGGGTGGCGGAGTGCTGGAGCCAAATTGCAGTGGTGAAATTGGGGGAAAGGGATATGCAGTCACGTGCGTGGTAAGGTGGGCCGGGGGTGTAGTGATTCGTCTCGCCATACCGCCCCAGCGCGCAAACTCGCAAGACCTTGCCTTGCCCCTCTAGTCTCTAGTGCAGACGTTCGGCGTCAGGCATGCAGACGCGACACCGACATCCGAGCATATCTATCCGTGCCGACGAGTACGTGGCCACCATAGGCACCTGCCAGTCATCGCCTGTCTATAACTTGACTTTTGCGCAGCGCAACCGGCCAGCACCAGTCGCTGTGACAGTCTCTTGGCAACCGTACCCCCTGTCCGAATCGAGGAGGCAATAGCACGTACACACGACGACCGATGGCGATGCCAGAAGCCACGCCAGGTACGCTTGCCCCTTTCTTGGTCTTGGTCTTGGTCTTCCAAGGCTTCCTCGTCTTCTCTCGATCATCTCTTGTCCTCTCGTCTCTTCCCTCCTTCCCCTCTTCACAGCTGACGAGATTCTTCCAGACCATGCCGATCGGCCTGGCAGACGACGACCGTTCACGACGTGGGTCAAGAAGCTCGCACACTTCAAGAACAACGGCTCGAGCGACGGGCGAACGCCTGGGTCAAAGCGGCACCTGACACCGATCAAGATTGCGCCCAAGAAGCGAGGGCCGACGAGCAAGAAGAACAACCCGTATCCGCTGTCGGGCTACCGACCGGCCACGGATGGCGGCATCAGCAGCAGCACCCACCACAGCCTTCAGGGCAGCAGCCAGATATCCTACACAACGTCGCTAGACCGCAGCCGGCGGAGCAGCTCGGTGCAGACGGGCAGCGACGACGGCGACGATGAGCACGGCGACGAGCACGGTGACGATGACGACGACAACGACAACGACGACAACGACGACGCCCACAGCAGCGACGACGACAGCCGAGCACCGCCGACAGTCGGGGCGCTATCGATGGCGCCGACCGTGTCGACCGAGCGGCGATCGATGCTGGCGCCATCCAACGGGGCGGCCTCCTCGGTGACGGGCACGACGATCCGGACGCTCAACGGCTACAGCTCGCGGCGCGGTGGCGACAGCACATTCTCGTCGCCAGCACCATCGCTGCAGTCGCTCGCCACGACGCTGACGACGATCCAGTCGCTGCAGGTGCCAGGGGGTGCTGGTGGTGGTGCCCATCACGGCCACGGAGGCACGAGCCTGAACGGATTCGGCAGCAACGCCGGCAACGGGACCGTCAGCAGCGTTGGGTTCGGGTCGCTACACACACACCACGCGACGCCGTCCGCACAGATGAGCGTGCTCTTCCACCAGCCGTTTCCCAACACGCCGGCGTCAGCGATCCCGTCCCATCTCGCAGCGCCCGGCAGCGGCCATCCGACGACGTACTCGACGGCCACGGCCAACAACCTGCTGACGGACAACGCATCGATCCTGACGCTGGCCTCGTCCAGCAAGCGGCGACGACGACGGTCGCTCGACACGGACGCGTCCGTGCGGGCGCTGGCGCCGTCGTCGCTCTTTGGCGGCAGCCGCGAGAGCCTGCCGCTGTCGGTGCTGTCGGCCAACATTGACGGCGGCAACGGCGGCGGTGGCAGCAGCATGCCGACGGCAACCGGCATGGCACTGCACGGGTCGGGCAGCCGCATGAGCGTGGCCGAGCGCACGAGCATCTACAGCACGACGGGCATCCTGGGCGATCGCAGCAGCTTCTACGCGCGCGGCGGCAGCGCCGTGGCAGTGGTTGCGCAGAGCGGTGGCGGCAATGGCAGCGGTGGTGGCAGCGGTGGTGATGGGGCCAGCGTGCGCAGTGGTCGCAGTGGTCGTAGCGGTCGCAGCGGCCGAAGCGGCGGCTACCTCGGCCATGGTCGTTCCGACAGCGTCGGTGGCAGCCTGGCCAGTCCCCTGGCAAGCCCCTTGGCAAGCCCCTTGGCAAGCCCCTTGGCAAGCCCCTTGGCAAGTCCCCTGGCAAGTCCCCTGGCCAGCCCCCTCGAGGCAGCCGAGCCGGTCGCTTTGGAGCTGGTGGTCAAGGCCGAATGGATCGTCGCAGACGAGCAGAAGGACAAGGACAGGACACAGTAGTAGCCGGCCTTTTCCGTTCTTTGTCTTGATTTGTTTCGTTTCTTTTCTTGTTTTATTCCCGCTCTTTCCGTTGTCAGGAGCAGCATTAGATACCTATTTTCTTGTTTAGGATGGGCTTTGGTCATCGTGGGTTCATGGCCGGCATGGTAATGATATCTTGCATTGTCTGTACAAACGAACCTAGCCTGTTACGGCTAGCTTGCCCCGTGATGACTGTGCTACATCCATCCGCTCCATTGTTTTAGTTTCACGAGGCCGAGCAAAGCTACGATCTTCAACGACCGCTCCGTACGTCCCTTTCATTGGCATCGGCGCTCCAATCACGCACCTCCCGGCCGCGGATCCTCGCCAGACGAGCTCCAGACTCTAGCGTGCAGCTGGCGCACCCGATGGCCGTGTAGCCAGCAGCAGCAGCAGCCGGCCAAGACGAGGGCAGCGCAGGCCTTTCGCGATTTGTTGGTTTTCATTGCACGACGCAGCAGCCGACGATGTCATCGGGCAGCGGGACGCCTCTGCCGTCGGGGCAGCCGTCTCCGGCGACGACGACAGCAGCGGCAGGGCCTGGGGCGTCGCCGCGGGGGGGTGGCGTGCCACGGCAGTCGCCGCACATCCCCCTGATCCTGCCACACGAGCGGGTCTTCCCCATCCAGATCGGGTCGGAGCTGTTCAAGCTGTCGGGGGCGTCGCTCTCGTCGGACGCGCCGTCGTACTTTTCGCAGTGCTTCCAGTGCCAGATGAAGGCGGCCGAGGCGGCGGGCGAGGACCCCGCAGCAGCAGTGCGCACGCTCTACATTGACCGCGATCCGGTGACATTCCGGGACATCTCGCTGCACCTGCAGGGCTACCACGTGGCGCCGCGGGACGGCACGCACTTTGTGCGGCTTTTTGCGGACGCGCAGTTCTACTCGCTGCCGCGGCTGATCTCGCAGCTGTACGAGGAGTCCATCTTTATCTCGATCGGCCACCGCGAGTTCCAGATTCCGCGCGATCTCTTCCAGGACCCCGGCAACGCGCCCAACTTCTTCACTCTCGGCTTTGCCATCTTCTTCAGCAGCCCACACGACCTCTTTCCGGGCCTCGACCGCCGCGGCCTCATCCGGCCGCCGTCCATCCTGCCGCCGGCCGTGCCCAACCGCTCGGCCGACACCTTTGCCGAGCTGCTCCGCCTCCTGCGCGGATACCCCGTCGAGATCCGCAGCGAGGAACACCGCAGCGCCCTGCTGCGCGACTGCCGCTACTTCAACTTCAAGGGCCTCGAGCAGCGCCTCATCGCCCACGCCCGCACCTACAACCAGGCCCGCCAGCGCCTCGAGATCGTCCTCCGCCTCCACGACATTCTCAAGTCGGGCATCTCGGTCGTGGCCGATCCCCCTTTCGCGTCCACGCCCATGTCCACGACCGTCTCACCACCGGCTGCCGCGGCCATCACCACGCCCGCCTGGGTCTGCTATGCCCGCCCCTTTGTCGACGACGGCCCGGCCGAGCTCGTGCTCGAGATCGGCGCCGAGGACACCAAGCTGCACTTTCTTCCCGCCGGCCTTCGCGCCGAGTTGTTTCGCGACGCCAGGACCCGCATCGCTCGCCTGCTCGAGGTCGTCGCCACCAAGCTCAGCCTGCCGCCCACCACCCAGCCGCTCGGCCTGCTGATGGCCCGTGGTGGCGCTGCCGGCCAGCCACCCTCACCCGGCAACACCCCCCTGAGCGACGATCTCGTCCGCGTCGTCCTCGAGCCCGACACCGCCATCAGCCTCGACGGCCAGCCGTTTGTCCTGCCGGAACACGTGGCCGTCGCCGACCAGACAGACCAGACAGGCCAGACAGATAGCCATGACCGCTCAGCAAAGCGTCGTCGCGTGGACTACGCCGCCCTCGCCGTCTCGCCCGCCACCGCCACGACCGCCTGGATCGTTCGCACCGGCCAGTGGCGCCTGCGCATCCAGCCCGCCAGCCACGGCAAGAGCGCGGTCGAGTGCGTGCTCGTCGGCGTGCGGCTGGACGCCATCCGCTCCGAGCTGGCACGCAACCGCCAGCGCGGCTTCCTCGGTGGCGACAGCTAAGGGAAGCCGCAAGCTTGCCACCGTCTATTCAATCTTGTTTATGTTTGGTTTTTGTTATTTTGGGCCTGCATATGTATCTCATGTGTTTACGTACGGAGTATAGCAGCGGGGAATTTCACTGAATTTCGCAAACGATCTTGTGGGGATGGCCCGCAAAAAGCCGTCGGCCGGTCTCCATTTCGGAAGCTTGTGTGTACGGAGTAGATCGTCTTACTAGGTGCAAGTTTCAGATACACGAGTTCTATTGTCATCACGTGGCCCGTGCGGATCTTGAGCATCCATGGGTCTCAGTACCGGGTGTCTAGCCCTCAACTATGTAAGTGTAAATGTAAGATATTACGGAGTACTAGTTCTTCAATTGAGACACCAGCATTCGTCCTAGCCTTCGTGGAGACTGGCGAAATCGATCGTGCCGTCTTGTCCGGGCAGCGACCATGTCGGGACTTCCAAAAGATCGAACATTGCACCCTCAGTTTTTCCTACATTCCAACTAGTTGAGATAACAGCCCTACTGTCCGAGCCCAAAGAGAGCGCATGCCGCCCCTCCGGTGCCAGAATCCCTCACCGCCTCGCCTCCTTATCATCTGCCGTCACGGCCCATCGTCTTGGTCGCGATATCGGGCAGCGCCTAGAACCTGATTCCTGGCCCCGCCTAAGCCCGGGACGATGGGCTGTGCTAGCTGGTGCCACACACCCCCCAAAGTGCATAAAACCGACGGCGCCACACACTTCTTCTTGCACACACCAGTCCGTCTGTACGAGTACACACAGTTCGACACGCCCTTGACCGTTTTTGTTTCGGCTCTTGCAGTTTTTTCCCCCATTTTTCCTTATATTATTCTTAATACGCCATTTGCCCCCACGACGTAAGCCGTCATGTCCGAGAAGACGCAGCCGTGGAAGAAGGCTTGGCCACCGACCGAGTACCAGGCTGCTTCTGCTTCTGCTACTGCTGCTGCTGCTGCGACGCCCATCGACTTTGGCGTTGCAGAAGGTGACATCGTCGTTGTCGACGGCACGGCCGCCAACGTCAAGCCGGCCGCACCGTTGCGGCTGCACCGGTCCGAGAAGACACAGCCGTGGAAGGCGAGCTGGACGGGCCACGCCGCCTCTGCTGCAGCATGTGCCACCAGCAGCGTGGACTATGGCGTCGCCCAGGGCGACACGGTCGTGGTCGACGGCACGGCAGCCAGCGTGAAGCCGAGCGCCAAGGTCCAGGCATGACAGCAGACGTGGGGGCTGCAATGGCTGCAGGGGATGCAGGGCTGGGGACAGGACGGGGGTCGATACAGTACGAGTACATAAACGGGCGGACATGATGTCATTCGTTTGTGCAGGGGTGGGCCAAAACTGTCGGAGTTTGAAATTCCGTTTTAACGTCTGTAATTTGCTTGCAACACATCTTGTCGTATCTTACATCGCTGCTACCACACCACCAGGATGCGCATCTCGATGCTTTCCCGCCGGAAGTCGGTCTGTGTGCGGCGAGGGTTATCAAACGACGCATGAGGGACACCAGGTGTGGCTCCGGCCGGCTCGGCGCTGTCGGCGTTCTTGAAGACGATCAGCTCGTCGGGCATCTGGCCGGACAGGTAGTACCACTGCTGACCGGCATTGTGGTGCACCTGCGTGTTCTCAAACACCTGGTGTCGATCCACCACGTCGCCGGCCATGGTATCGCGAGCAAAGTCGACCGTCCTAGCATCGCACACGGCCAGCGGCCAGTCCACGAGAGGGCCACGCAGAGGATGCCAAGCACTGTAAAGGGAGAAGAATGAGAGGCGATCCAGGATATGACAACACGACAATCACTCACTTTACGAGCTGCCACCTCCGGGCCAACACAGCTTCCGCATCCACGCCGTGCGCCTCGCGGATCACCGCCACACCGCCCTCGTACGTGTGGTCAATGTGTGCCCGCGATGCCGGCTGCTGCGTTCCGTACGGTCGTCCCGTCGACACTGGCCAGGCCGCGTGTCGCCGCCGCACCACATAGTCGATCAGCTCGGCCGACGCCGCCGCCAGCGCCTGTCGTACCGCCGCCAGTACCTGCGGTGCGTGCACGCCCTCGATGCGCTCCGGCTGCGCGTAGTCGTCGTAGGCCATGCTCGTGCACAGCGGCACCACGGCAAAGCCGCAGTCATCGTAGCGCAGGTCTGTACGACCGCGCAGGTCACGGAACTCAACCGGCTGCTCGACCCGCTCAATGTTGGTCTGCGGGATCCCATCTTCGGGCGCCGGGGCATACCGCAGCGTAAACGGCTTCTCCGTCTCGTATCGACGGTCGCGCGCCAAAAAGTGCATCCGGCCCTGCACGCTGTCCTGGCCGCGGGCCGGTGCCACTGCCGGCTGCTGGAGGGAAGTGGCGTCGACGGCCATCCGAACAGTAAGCGCAGATGCGTCTGATCTGCCTATTGTGCGTCGGGTCCTCACATAGCCCCTGCCAGCGTCCGCTTCTTTCCCTTTATCTCGAGCACAAGCTCGGTTGTAATTTGCTGCTTCTTCTTGGCGTGTCTGCCATGTTTGGAACGTTTGTCGGCTGATTCGGGCGGCTCGTATTGGTCGTATACCAAGCATGAGTACCGTAGCTTGGCTTCGCCACGTCACAAGTGCAAAAGGTGTGGGAGCGAGCGGTATCGGCCAGCACTGCCTCTCCCACCAGCCGTCAGCCCTGGTTTCGAGTTGACTCAGAGATAAGGCAGCCACAGATGAATATTGGCCGCATTTGCATCTCCATTCTTCGACATCTAAATTGATCCCGTCGTCAAATTGTCGATGCACGAAAGAAATGCAATTTGAAGTAGTTAGACATCATGAGACCGGTCGTGCTTTCCTAATCCAGTGTAAACGTCGTTTCCTCGTGACAAAATATTTTAGACAATTAGATGAAAATAAACGCAAAGGCAGAAGCTTCCAAAGTACGCAGAAAATACATCCAGTAATGCTCCAAGTAACCCGATCAACAATCATCGCATGATTTACAGACATCAAAGAAATCCCAGTATTATCCAAACACCCAATTGTTCGTCGCATCAGAACGTGGCGACCGGCATGTTTCCCCAAATGGTAGAGTGGTAATCTCGCAGCGGCTCGACGACAAACTGCTCGAGATCCGACTCGAATCGTCCCAAGTCTGACTTGAGCACCATCAAGCCGTCATCACTGAGCACGCGGCAGCGGAGACACGCGTCGACCACGCACTGGTAGGCATTGCCAATCTCGTCGCGGATCTCGTTGCTCTGGAGGATGGCCATGGCAGTGGAGTAGTCGGCCAGATCCATATCCTGGCGGCCATCATCGACGACGACGTCCGTCTCGTCCCCTCTCTCGTTGTCTGTCCGGATGTCCGACAGCCGCCTGCCCAGGGCCAGTTCGATGAGGGCAAAGCCGAGCCGGACGAGCATCGGGTCGAGGTCTGAAAAGGTCTGCCAGAACCGGCTGGGCGCTGGCGTGAGGCTGTGCCGCGGCATGTCCATGGACCAGAACCGCTGCGTGATGACGAGGTGATGCGATGAGTCGTCCTGTGCGACCGAAAAGTTGCGCCACGTCCACGAGCTCTCGATCCAGGGCGTCGGGTAGAACTGCAGGATCGTGGACGCCAGGTTCATTGCCAGCTCTGCGCGCACCCGCCGCTTCTTGCGCTCGGTGCCGCACGATGTCAGCCACTGGTCCATCGGCACAATGCTCATCGGCACGTTCTGCCGTGGCGCTCGCACCGTGTACCGATTGCTGTCGTTGCCCAGCACCCCGTTCAGCTCCGAGATGCCGGGCGAGTTGGGAGGCGACATGCGCACCGTGTGGATCCACTGGCAGAGGTCGGGGATCGGCGTGAAGTTCTGCACCCCTCGGATCTCGCTGTACTTGACCAGCAGCGCCGCCTGCTCGCACGGCTGCGCCGCCTGACTGCCGTTTCGTGCCGGCGACCATGTGGACCGGATCAGCTCGCTGTGAGGCAGAGGTCAGAAAGAGACGAAACAGCCTGGGGGACCACAAGAGACACCGACCTCATATCATCCTCCTCCTCATCTGGTGAACAGGTTGGCGAACCAACTGCTGTGACGTCGCTCTCTATCGTATCTGACCGTTCTCGGAGCCGGAAACTCGACATTGCCCTCGTCAGCTCTTCGGCCTGGAACATTACAAACGTGTCCGAGACGGACAGATTTGCCTGGTGGCCTCGGGAGCAGTTGCATCTGAAGCTCTTCCCAAGCACTTCATGAAAGCCATTGTAAAATTGGGTGTTTTCTCCCCTCCGCCGAACTTCCTGGGACTGTCTTCGGTGATGGGTCCGGGCTGTGGACGGCTTCGCATCAGCATATGCCGTGTTCGAGCAGGATTCGAGGAGTCTTCGGAGCGAATCGTTGTACTGTGCGAGACTGGTGATGCCCTTCTTGATTTCGTCCTTTCTAAGCACGCGTTTGACGCCTGTCATGATCGTGCTACCGCTCTTTTTCTGTCATGTCCAAAGGCGGGTCAGCACACGAGCACAGAAAAGAGGGCAGTGTAGAGCACGATTGCACTCACGGGGCCTTCTGTCTTTGAGGGACCAACAAGCTTCTGGAGGCTAGCTACCATCTTCGAGATTTGGCCGACTTGATGCTTGATCAGAATGCACATCTCAGGATCGAGCCGGCTCTCTAACCGGCTGCTAAACTCTGCATCTTTCCAGAGGCTCTCAAAGCTCTTCTCGCCGTTGGCAAGCCCGGCACGGTCCTTTTCCGAAAGATCTTCGTCACTTTGCAAGAGTTTGAGCACACACTCCTTGAATATTCGCTCTTGCACCTGGATAGTCAAGGCCAAGCTTTTACCCGTCCCGCCTTTTGTAACATCATACAGCTCTTTCATAGCTCCCACCACCGGCCAAAAGGCAAGGGCCAGTCCTATCACCTCAATACCAGACATGATTCGGTTCGTTGGAGTGACAAATTTCAGTGATGGTGGGATAAGACGCAGAAAGTGGTAGTGAAGACCAGGCGGAAATCTGGTGGCTCCGACTGTTAAGGACAAACCAGACGCATCCCCCACGCCTACAGAGCTTGGGGTTATGCTTTTTAGCCTTGAAAGGCGCAAGATCGTTGCAACAGGTCCGACCAATTAACATAACACGGTCGAGAGGAGTATGACAAAGGTAACATTGCTCGTCTTACCGATGGTATGACGCTACAGTAAAGGGCAACACAAACCGAAAAGAGAGCTGTTCCGGAACTGAGAAGCGAATGCTGATTGGCAGCTCTGACCGAGGATTTAGGCGACATTTCGACGACCTTACGAAATACCGCACAGCTGTGGCATGGGAAAACATGCGGGCTGACATGGGTATTGTCGGTATAGGACACACCAACAGATCCATCGGTCGACATGATACCCCATCCCTCGGTCGGCTGCTTTAGGATTGGTACGTCCTCCTGTAACTGCGCCCCGTCTGTTCTGGAAGAAGTGGGCGGAACCCCGCGTCAGCAGGACGTTGCCCAAGGCCGTGAGTGGCCGACGCTAGGCACACCTTGACGCAAGCTGCGTCATTCTCACAAGCTAGCAACGGTTCCCCCCACATCGCCCGACGATGAGGCTGATTTCCGCACCAATGCAGAGGTGCCTGCAGGTCGGCATGTTTTTCTACCGTATCGCCGGCTGACCAATCTTTGGCCAGATCAATGTTATCCTACTTTTGACTCCGTTATCTCCAGAGACCCTGGAGCCTGGAGGGGGAAGTAGGCTGTGCTCGTGCTCTAGACGCGTGAGCATGGCGAATAGACAGCCTTGCTTTCTTGCTTGTTTTAGCCGTCTGTCGCCAAGACTCGCCGACTTCCTTATCACTATTGGTTCTGCTTCTGAAACGCATTGATGGCCACCGGATGCCCCTCCCACTTTCAACCTGCCTCCGTGAGTAACATCGCTTTGTCCACCAAATTGCCAGGTCTCAGAGCATTCGAGGTACGCCAAGGAAATACAGCCTGAAGCTGTACTCCTACAATGTCGAGCTCTCTGAGTACTGGCATCGCCAAAGCTACCAACATCATGATTAAGCCGACGCACATGTACGACTCCATGGGGAGAAGGAAAGAGGGTGTGGTGAAGGCTGTTGCCGCCGCCCGTTTCGAAGACGCTTTGCAAACATTCAACAGGCTGTGCTCGAGGCTCCTGTCATTTTCCCACCTGATCACCGAGACCGAAGCAATCAAGCAGCTGGAAGATGTCTATGCCCGCTTTTCGACTTGGGGTCACGAGACTGGCGCCGAAGACCTATCATTGGACCGGAGGCTTCGCAAATCTAAAGAGCTACATGAAACTGTCATTGATATATTGCATGAACTCCAATCGGCGCTGGATGATGGTGAGTCAGTGCAGAGTGCGGATTCTTTTGCTGGACAACGATGTTCTAACACTCAATATAAGGCATGCAGTTAGTGGAAGAACAGCAGTTTGCGGACTGGACGAAACAGCTTATCGAGCAACAAGACTTTGACCCCCCTGCAATCATAGAAGAGATGGCACAAGATGAAGTCGACCCTAGGGACACTGGCCCCACCGGGCCCCCTGTTGATGACGCGCAAGCAACTGTGCTTATGGAAAGACTCCTGGAAGCGGTCGACGAAATCAGCGGCAATGTCGACAACCTCATCATGCTCGGCCCCAGCCTTGAACGGCCCTACCCCCAAGATATTGACGCATACGCATCCAGTATCAGCAATACGAGCGATATCAGTGACAGCATGGACATTGAGAGGGCGTGCCTGGAGTTTCCTATTGCTTCAAGCATACTCCAGAAACGACTGGGCCGCGCAAACTGGAAAAGACGGATCGCACAGATGGTGGTCCACGAGCAGAACCGGAAAGACGGGAAGATCCATCCCCCCAGACAACGGACCAAGAAGACAGTTCGACAGGAGGTAGCCCAGGATGCCTTCAACTTCCAGCAGCCTACGCTTAGAAGGGAGAAGCTAGTGGTGGTACCGAAGTTTCTGCCTCTCATGTCGGTGACGGCCAGTACTGCAGAGGTGTCCGATACGGCGTCAGACCTGTGGGACACGAATCCCAGGTCTAGCACATCCAAACTCAATCGTGCTAATTCGGCCACGACGTTGGCAACAATGGCAACATATGAGTCTAATAAGAAGGTCCAGACTGGAATGAAAATGCTACAGCTGGCGGCGGCCAAAGAGGCCATGTTTCCAAAGACACCAGTGCAGCTCACGGAGATTCCAAAAGGCCGTACAGTGGCGTTCACATGCAACTTTTGCGGCTATGACCTTGAGGCGGGCGGGAGAATTCAGACAGAGGAGGACTGGAACCAGCACCTACTAGAAGATTTGGAGCCGTACCTATGCACGTTTGACAAGTGCTTCAGTGCGCAAGAAACATATGCGCGACGAGATGAGTGGTATCGTCACGAGCTAGAGTCGCACCGAGTTCACAAGGCATGGGTGTGTCCGGCATGCCGAGAAGAGTTCAAGACCAAGCAGGAGGCGACGGAGCACCTAATGCAGATCCACTGCTGTGACTTCAAAAACGAGAAGGAGGTGGTCATGATGAAAGCCATGTTGAAGCAGACGCTCTCCAGCCGGATTTTAGGGACACAGATATGCCCTCTTTGCGGCGAAAAACTCGAGGCTCGCCGCTGCAAAGAGCATATAGCGCGACATCTGGAGTGCTTTGCTCTACTCTCGATTGCCGAGGAGGCCACGTCTGATGAGGACGAGTCGGACGATATCTTTTCGCAGAGTGACGACGCGATGTCGGACCGCGGACGGAAGGAGCTGGTGCTGAGCACGTTTGTCAGGGAGCAGTTCAACCTCAATCTGGAGAGAGGTCAGCAGCCACCGGATCGTTTTATGGACGGAGGCGGTGGGCTGGATCTGCTGGAAGACATGTCTGAGTGTGGCGATTCCAAGGACTCGGAGCCGCGCATAGGAAATGCGCGGCAGCGGGAGTCGACACAGATGTTGATGGACAAGATGTTCCACGGCTACGGTGGCGCACATCCGACGATAGCAGCACGGAGAACGGCGACGACAACGGCAGAAACGTCCGGCAAGCGAGCAGCACGCTGGCCACAGCAACAGCAGCAGCAGCAGGTTGGAGGGCCCCCCTCGCTGGCATCATTGACAGAGAAGCTGCCCCTATTGCGGACATGGTCGTTTCCGCGAAACGCAGACTTTATGGGCCGCGACAGGGAGCTGGCAAACCTGTACAAGATCCTGTCGGAGCCGGGCAAAGTGTGTGTGGTCAGCGGCGAAGGCGGGATGGGCAAGACAGCACTGGCAGTGGAGTACACATGGCGATACGAGCAGAGCTACCACTACATTTTCTGGGTACAAGCTGAGACGCCGGTGGGGTCCAGTGACACGTTCTGCCAGATTGCACAGCAGATGCGGCTAGTGCCCGAGGGCACGGACCAGGAAACGATGATCCGACTCGGACGGGAGTTTCTGGAAGGGATTCGGGATAAGCGGTGGCTGATGGTGCTGGACAACGTGGAGAAGTGGGACGACATTGACGTGTACACGCCAACGAAGACGTCGGCGACGCAGGGGTCGATCCTGATTACGACGCGACACGAGAGCCTGACGGCGCCGTCACGGCCGGTCAACTACTTCCGCACGACGCTGCAGGAGCTGAGTATCGAGGAGGGCCGGCAGCTGCTGATCCACGGGCTGCCCGAAGACCTGCGGCCCAAGGAGATGTCCCTGCGCGACCGGGAGTACAAGGTAGCGGGCGAAATTGCCGGGCTGGTGGGCCTGCCGCTGCTGATCGTGTACATCTCGGGCTACATCAAGAATTTGGGCTGCACGCTGTCGGAGTTCTGGGAATATTGGAACGAGTGGCGGCCAAATGCCCGTCTGTCGGGAAGCGGAGGTGGCAGTGGCGATGCCGGTGGTGAAGCCGGGAAAGGATCCGGGGATGTCGAGGATGATGCCACAGAGGGGACGAGCAAACGCGACACGAGCGGACGCGAAGGGGTTTTTTACATGGCGCTCCGGGACCTGAGCACGGACGAGAAGAAGCTACTGAAGATCATGGCCTTTCTGGACAGCGACGGGATCCAACGAGAGCTGTTGGAGTGGAACGATGCTAGCCGTCCGGGGCCGGGGTATCTGAAGAAGAGTCGACTGCGGCTGATCATCAGCAAGCTCAAGGGCCAGAGCATCGTGACGGAGAAGCGGCAGGGCGAGCGGGAGACGTACAACGTGCACCGGCTGTTGCAGGCGCGACTTCTGCAGGACATGAACGGCAACCAGGCGGAGCGGGACGAGATCTTCATGCTCGCCTTCAGCCTGATTCGCAGCCGGCTGCCACGACCGTCTCTGGACACGCCAGAGCCACACAAGTGGAACGCGTTCAAGGAGTACCTGCCACATGTCCTGAGCCTGCAGCGGGCATACGCGAACCCGCTGTCGATCGTGACGGTGCGGCCGTTCCGCGGCCTAGCCGAGCTGTTCAAGGACGGCGGCGTGCTGTTGTGGCAGCGGTATGTGCACGGGGACGCGCTGAAGCTGCTGCACTCGGCCGAGAAGATCCTCGATCAGGTGCGGCAGTACAGCGACAAGAGCGACAAGAGCGACGGCGGCCATGATGAGGGCGACAGCGACGAGGACGAGAATCTGCGGGCCGAGGTCAACATTACGATCAACCTGCTGCTACAGTACTTTGGTATCAGCTTCCGCAAGGAGATCCGGGATCGGTCGGCCGCGATCTTGGCGTATCACGAGCGAGTGGCACGACGGCGAGGCCGAGACAAAGGCGTCGACGACGGTGATCATGGCGGCTCCGACGACTACGAGGACCAGCTGATGGTCAGCAACGCGCGGGCCGACTACGCCAACACGCTGCTGCAGTTCAACGACTTCCGGCAGGCCGAGCCGATCTATGAGGCCTGTCTGGCGACGTTCAGCGCGGCAGCCAGCACGAGCGCCAAGGACAACAGCGACAGCAACACGGCCTTTGCGCTGGCCAAGCTGCACCACCATCTGGCGTACTGCCGCATGTACCGGCACCAGTTCGACGAGGCGGTCGAGCTAGCCGACCAGGCCGTCCGCATCATCGAGCGGGTCAGCGACATGGCCATGGCGCTGCGGTATCGCTTCGACCTGGCCTGCATCACGCTGCAGTCAGGAAGACGAGAACAGGCCCTGGCCCTGCATCAGGGCATCCTCAAGGCCCGGCTCGGCTTCCAGGGACGGGCCAGCTACTTTACGCTGCAGAGCCAGTACGCCGTGGCGGCGCTGTGTCATTATCTGGGGCAGCTGGAAGAAGCCGAGTGAGTTTGATCCTTTGCTTTCGTCCTTTCTTGTTCTTGTTCTTTTGTTCTTCTTCCTGTCTTGTTCTTCCTCTCTTCTTCTTCTTTTTCTTTTTTCTTCTTCTTCTTCTTCTTCTCTTCTTCTTCTCTCCTTCTTCTCTCCTTCTCTCACACTAACATCCCAGGATGCTCATGAAATCGGCCCTGTCCAAAGCGGCCGGTCGAGGCGGCAAGAACTTCTGGCCAGACGCAGCAGTGGCGCGCACCAAGTACCACCTCTCCTTGGTAATGGCAGAGCGGGACAGCAGCCGGGGTCTGGTCGGGATGGATGAAGAACTTCGGACACGGCGGCAGGACGAGGCTCGTAAGCTGGCCTTTGAGGCCAAGGACGTTTTGTCGCGGATGCTGCCTTACGACCCAGAGCCGATCACAGGTGTTAGGGAGGAGGACACGCTGGCGCTGTTCGATCATCTGCAGCCGGTGTTTGGCGGTCGGTTCACGAGCACGAAGCTGTTGGGGTATATTTCATAGGGGAGAGGATGAGAGAAGGGAGAGCGAAAAAAATGGAAAAGAGGACACAAAAACGGGGAGACATGAGGAAGCGAAAGCGAAGCGAGACAGAGGGACAGAGCGGAAACGAAAGTGGCCGTGGCAGAGTCGGGCAACAGGCCTTTGACAGAAGGATTCAAGCACATCTGGCACACAGGACTCGGGCTGAATAGCCAACAAACCAGAATTGTCAAGCGGGATTTCAAATGGTTCGGATACCACACGAAAACCAAAGAGGAATTGGAGGCTGACCCATTTCGCCGAGAGTCGGAGCGTAACTGCCTTTTGTCGCATCGTCTCTGTGCCGCACAGCTCCTTCCGTGCAGAGGCTGCATACAAAACCAATAGTGCATGCAATCCCTCCCACTCACTTCTACGCCCGGGTTTTCGTCACAAGCTAGGCCAGACGAGAATGAAAAAGCAAACCTGGCCGCCAGTTGGGCCGCAGAGTGCTCACCGCATCTTTTGCCCTTCACTACTCATGCGCCTTGTCGCAGACCGGAGATTGAAGGGGGGGAAGGAATCGAATGGTTGGGAGTGGGCGCTTACAAGCTATCATGCAGGGCGTATCGCTTGCAGCAGACACACGGTCAGACGCACCAGTATTCCGATGGCGGCATAATAATGGCCATTCGACCCTTTATGAGGCTCTTTTTCCAGTCAATTTCCGCGCCTCACGACGCCTTGTCCTCTCTTCTTGTCCATTGAGCTCTCCGCGATCCAAGCTCACCATCAGGCGGCGGAAGCCCAACAACTCTGCATGATGACAACCTCCATTCTGGAAGGCACAAGGATTGCCAGAGGCGGTGTGTTTGAATACACATATACATGCGATGGGATCACCGACACTGAACCCGTCTTAGGCCAACGATTTCTTGATCTCTGCCTCTACAGCGTCTGTTCTGCTGCCTTGTCGTTTTTCTGAATATCTCGCTACCTCGTCTATCAGATAATCTTTGTCCACACCCCACACCCCTCTAACTTCCTAGGGTTCACGTGCAGGAGCCAGCTAGAAATCGGCGATCATGACACCGATGGCCATACGAGAGGAAATCGTCCCTGGGGGCGACGTTGTATTGCAGCTCCAGCGGCTGGTACCTGCTCCCATCGCTACAGCAGACGAAGAAGCTGATATCGTCCCACCAGCATCGCCAGCCACCACTGTTGCTACCATGGTCGAGGACGGAGCTGCCATCGGCTCGCCGCCGGACAGCCCCCTCGCCGTCCCGCACAAGAGCGCCAAGACAGCCCAAACAGTCCAGACGGTCGAACTCGTTGTGTCGTCCAACACCCTGCGGATGGTCTCGTCCGTTTTCGACACCCTTCTTAAACCTCTACAGCAGCAGAGAGACCCCATAACACCGGCAGCGACCCCAACAGCCATCACGAACATCCCTACGCCTCCTGCCAGCCCGACAGTCAGGAGGAAGAAGAAGGGCTCGCTGAACAACGATACGGCAGCAGCAGCTATACCCACACCACCTTTGCAAGTTCTAGACCCGCTCACTGCTGTCGCACCCTTCGTCTTAGCACTCCCGGAAGACGACGCCGCTGCGATGGAGCTGCTGATGCGACTGGTACACTTCCGACTCGGTGATATATACACCCCAGGTGGAGACGGTGTGCATAGCGGGCTTCCAGGGCCACGACTGCTAGAACAGCTTGCCTATGTGTGTGACAAATACCGCTGCGCGGGTGCGATTCAGGGCGTCAGCGACTCGTGGATCAGAGAAAACATGGAACGGCTAGCCAGCGCCATGGAACACGAGACAAGCAAGACATTCAAGGTCGACAGAGCCGACCGGGTCGAGAAAGGACCCAAGGCAGACCAGGCAGCGGATGCTACCCAAGCCTCTCAGATCCTTGATGGTTACTGCCGCCTTGTCGTGTTCGCCTATGTTGCCGACCAGCCGCGCGTCTTCTCCGACCTCTGTTGGCATCTGGTCCTGCACCACGGCGGTCCAATGACGACGAATCTGCAGGCGGGCGCCTGCTTCTCGGCGGTTCCGACGATGCCAGACGTATCCACTCCGGCGAACATCCTCGCAGACCACCCGCTACTGGCGCAGAGCGTTGCAGGTCAGTAGAAGTTCGCCTGCCCGTATTCCCTCTGTTCGCTTCTTCCTAACCCCTGACAGTCCTGCTCGAGAGCCGCCGACTGGCCAGCTGCAGCCGATTTCACACCGCTCTGACTGAGCCGCTCCGGTTCGACTGGAAAGGCACGGGTGATCAACCGCTCTGCACTGTAGGCCGCGAGGCCATGGGCGTTTATATCAAGACCATCACAGAAGCCGGCCTGCTCACCCACGACCTTGTCTATTCCGGCCTCAGCGTGCAGCAGCTGCTGGACGGCATCGATCGTCTGCCCCCGATCCGACCGTGCGACTATCCTATCAAGGACTCCTGCTTCGGCCATTCCGGTTCCGGTTTCGATCTCGACCTTGTAGCTAGCCTTCGAACTGGCAAGGACAGCATCCTGGGATGCCGCGATAGTTACACGTGTCTGGACTGCATCCGCACTGGTGGGCAGTCACAGCAGAAGCGCAGGTGTCGGGTCAACCATTCGTAAGGGGGGGTGGGGAGCTGAATTGACTGGCCAATATATCTATCGTATTTACAAATATACTATTTTTGGCCCATCCTACACGTAAAATGATTGATAGTCTCACTCATTTCGAGTTGCATATTTAGGGTTGAAGGAGTGCATGATATGGAGGTGAGGATGAGGCTAGCCGTGATAAGGGCGTATTAGCAACTGCTCAGCGACCGTTTGAGGTTAGAGTACATGCATTCAGCCTATATAGAACGCAATGGACGTTTTGCCTGTAAGACAAGTCGTTGCTAGGGCAAATAACGGTTGTGCCGCACTGCAAAGCTCTTTATTTGGGGGAATGCGTATGGCCTTCAGCCTTGTCTATAACGGCTATATGAGACCTAACGGCCGCCCTCCACTGAAGAGCAATTCAGCATGTCCACGTTTCGCGTCTTCCGTCTCATTTTCTGCACAGAACCTCGGTGTTTTCGAGTCTCCCCGCGATGGCATCGAGGCTACATCCAACCAGTGCGCGCTTCGAACACTATACAACGTTACAACAGCCAATTCCGTCTGATCGGCGCTTTCACCTTTGCTCTTCCTGCAGCGAGCCGTCCGCTTGAACGAGCAGAGATACGAGTTACTGTTGCGGCTGCTGCACCTAATGATCGACTCCAATTTGCATCGTCACGCGGCCTCTTCGTCCAGTTCGCTAGCCTAGGTAACGTCAGATCAGGCCACTTTATAAGTCATCCTTGCCTGCATTATGCTGACCGATCGCCTCGTGCCTTGCTGCCTACGAACTCGAGCCGCAATCAAACCAAGCCAACACGAGTCGAGTCTGACGTCCCCTTGCCGACCTGCCTCTTATCCCACCCTGCCCACACAAGCGAGCACCAGCCAGCAGACCAAGGGTACGGTCCGTATCCGGGGTCCCGTTCTTTTTGTGCATCCCGTGCACAATGGGGTTTCCTTCTTCCTCTCCGTACGCGGTGCTGACGACGATTCGAAAGAGCGAGTGAGAAGGAGAGGGGATCGTCCCTGAGGCATCTGATGGCTTGCCCGGCATACCCAACTCGTCTTAGGCACACACAACCTGTAGCGGAACTCGGGCTTGTCCGGTCCGTCTAGAGTACCCCAGACTGCTACGCGCTAATACCTAACAGATGAATGGGAACAATGCATTGTGTGGACGTTTAGCCCTCCGGCTCTGAAGACCAGGTTGTTGATTGGTGCTCGGACAGAGTGCATAGTACAGACTGGTTCGCCCAGACAAAACGCGAACCCGGGGAAGAGCCGCACCGCATCCTAATTTCATTGGTCGTGCTTACCATCCCCAGGCTAAATTTGTACTATAAGATTTGTTTGTTTGCTGTCTATGCTGTCTTGCTCGACCTCTCCGCAAACGTTCCCATCTATCTCTCCTTTGGTGCCCCAATTCCCTTGCTTCCTTTCCTACGCGGTGCTGTATTTTTGGTAGATTTCGTCTACATTACCGACCTTACGAACAGTTGTGCTTTTTTTGCAACCGTTCTGCATTTTGATTACGTCGTGCGATAAAGCACACCAACCACTCCCCAGCATTTCAGCCCACCGTGTGCCTCGTCTGTGGACACAAGTGCCATTTTTGCCTTGCCTCGTTCGAAAGCTGTCAGCCGTCAGTGTGTCAATGAGCGAAGACCATGTCGAAACGCCACTGGCGCACGTTGGCGGCTGGGCTTTGGACGTGCCCCTGATTGCACCGCTCGTCATCGACTTTCAGGATGACATCCTGTCCGACACGCTTCCAGACTGTCTTGACACTGGACTGGCTATGACTCACGCCAATGAACGGCAGCTACAGCAGCAGCCGCACAACGATGGAGACGTGGCCGACACGCCCCTTGACGGCGCAGAAGACAATGTCGCCGTTCGCATCTTAAACACTGCCGACCAGGGGTCGGCCGCTGAGAGGGCCAAGTTCTACCGAGAACGTGCGATTCTGTGTTTGGGAGGGCTGGCTAGCAAGCTCGTCTAGTCAGCCGCCTGCACAGGTAGCTGTGGTTAGCGCGTATCGGGAACCAAACAGCCTTTCAACCAGGGCTTGTCTAGATTTCCCGGTTCGTTGGTGTCCAACCTACCTCAGGATTTTCTTGCATCCCAAGTGGCTGCCCAACCGAGTTCGTTGCCTTCCTGGTTCTTCCCCCACTCTCGTCTTAGTTCGTGCCCCCCATACACTCGCTCCTCTCTACCATTCATCTCTCCGGCCCGTCAGTTAGCCGCACCTGACAGCACACCACAGAGCGGTTGTTCCACGTTGGTTCGGGCCCGCCATAACATTAGCATCTCCTCCCGCATGTCGCACTCGGTCTCAGCAACGCCTTTTCCCGAGAATTGCCTATCTTGTGCAACATTACGTCACCTGGCCTATCTGTGCGCCTTAATCACAGCCACAGACGCAAGATCGTCCGAATCTGCAGCCGGTCAGAAGCACGTCTGTGTCCTACGTCCCACCTGCACGTCTGTCAGATTGTGCGTCGGCTGAATTGTCCGAAGCCCTGGAACAGCAGCCTTGCGCGGTTGTGTCTCTTCTGTCTCAGACAAACTCGATTTGATAGTCATGTCTGGGCTCACTTTCTCCTTTGTGAAATGAAGGATGGCACACTTTCCTTCCCATGTTAACCATGCGGTTTTATTGACAATCGTCAGAATTACATTTTTTTGTCTCCTACAAATAGCAAGGCTCCTACTATGTACGCCCCATCTACACTACACATGCTCCTGTACTTCCACAAGTGTACCTAACTGCCTGTTATTTATCTTTCAATTCACTACACTCTTTGGATATTGTATTTATCTCAATTCACTACCCTCTTTGAATATTGGATTTATCTCAATCCAACACCCTCTTTGGATATTTTTGTATTTATCTCAATTCACTACCCTCTTTGGATATTGTATTTATCGGCCATAGCTACAATAAAGGCTCGTAGCACACCCACGGCAACGTACGCGACCATGAACCTCCTAGCACGCCATCCGCTACATCACCATCGTCATATCCCGCGGCTCCGGCCCACGCCGGCTGCTCGCCACGGTCCACTCGTCCAGCAGGGTCGGCCGCTGGCACACGCCCAGCGGCAGCTGCTTGATGCTCGTCAGCAGCACGCGGCAAGCCTCGAGTCGACCGTACAGGGCGACGTCGTGACGCGCCCGCTGGCGGCACTGGGCATCGATGATATCGAGCACGCCGCGGCCAGCGGCATCACGCACGTGCACGTTGGCGCCGTGGTCCAGCAGCGTCGTCAGGGCGATCTTGCGGCCCAGCCGCGCGGCCACCAGCAGGGCCGTCTCGCCACGACGGTTGCGTCCGTCGATGCGTGCACCTGCCGCCAGCAGCGTCTCCAGAATCGCCGCCAGGCTCTTGGCCTTGTCCTCCTGGTCGTCTGCAATGTGCACCACAAACGACGTCAGCACCGTCTGGCCTCGTCGGTCGTAATGGTTCACGTCCACCACCGTCGGTGGCGATAGCAGCCCCTGCACCAGCCGCAGCCGTGTCGCCATCTGTGGCCCGTCGGCCGACGTGTGCAACAGGTTGGCCGACGACGTCGCTCCTCCGAGCCCTCCGAGACTGCCGATTCCTCCGATTCCCCCGATGCTGCCGAGACCCCCGAGAGCCCCCATCGGACTGCCCAGAAACATGGAGTTCGTCGGCGTCGTGCTCAGGCTCGGAGCCGTGCTCAGAGCTGTCGTCGTGCTGGCCGTCGTGCCGAGGCTCGTCGCTGCCGTGCTGCTGCTGCTGCCCGGACTCAGCAGGTCTGGCCCCCGCTTGTCCATCGTCTTCTTCTTCGGTGGCCGCCGGCCCGTGCTGATGGCGTTGCGGTGCTCGTCCATCATCCGCTTGTCCACAATCGCCTGCGCCAGGCAGTGCAGCCCGTTCCGGCCCTCGGGGTCCTCCATGCTCGGGTGGCTGTCCGATGCCGTGACGATGCGCAGGAGCGACTCGTGATGCCGGATGAAGGCATCCTCGCTCGCAAAAATCACGCTGCTGATGCCCTCATCCACATCGATCCCATCGCCCGTTGCTGCTGCCGTTGCCGTGCCGCTGCGTGGTGTCGGAGACCGTGAAGAGCTGCCCAGAGCACCCCCGCTGCCCTCTGCCGGCGGCGATGACTGCCACGGCGGCACCACGTCGTCCAGCATCACCACACCCCCGCCGCTGTCGCTCCCGTCCAAGCTGCTGCCCCCACCACCACTGCTGCCGCCCATCAGCGGCAGGTTGTTAAAGGCATCCCGACGAGACAGTGCTGCCCGCTCGTAGTGCTGGGCAATGCCTGCCAGGATCACCGGGTCGTCGACAAACATCTGCAGCCGGTGGAAAAACGACCGGCCGTACACGTCCGTGGCATACACCAGATGAGCCGGCGAGACTGCACTGCTGCCGCTTGCTGATGCTGCTGCTGCTGCCAAGGCCGCTGCCGCGCTCCCATCGTCGCCCATGCTGCTGCTGCTTCCCCGGCGGTCCCGCAGGTGTGTCAGCAGCTGCAGCAGCGGTGCATACGGCTCGTGCAGCCCGACAAACCAGCCCGGTGCCAGCAAGTGCAGAAACGTCTGTCCGGCCGTGTTGGCCGCCACGATGCTGTCGTCGTCACTGTTGAGCACCATCGCCAGCAGCTGCATCTGCACGCCCTCGCGTGCTGCAAACAGGTGCAGCAGCGTGTGTCCAAACCGGTCCCGTCGTCCCATGCTGTGTGGTGCCGTCTCGTGCAGCAGCGCCTGCGCCTCTGGTGCCAATCGTCCGTCACCCAGTACCCAGAAAGACCCGTTGTCCACTGCTGCTGCTGACACCGCCTCTGTCACTGCACACCAGTATCGCCGCTCGCGTGACTTCTTTTTATCTCGCCCACCCAACCGGCTGCCATGGATTCCCATCGGCTGTGGCATCCCGCCGAGACCGTCACCCTGCTGCTGCTGCTGCTGCTTCTGCTGCTGCTGTCGCCGATGGTGCGGACACGCCTCGTTTCGGTACCGGTATGCGTTGAAGAAGTCGCCCGGCAGCGCCAGCCGAGGACTGCCCACCCCGTCACCGCACGCTCCCAGAAATACCGGCAGGTTTCCCTGTGTCGGCCACAACTGCTGCTTGCGCTCATCGTCGCGCATCTGTCCCGACGCGTCTGAGCTGTCGCCTGTGCTCATGCTGGTGCTGTGGCTGTGGCTGTGGAAGCCACCACCGCCGCTGCTGCTGCTCCGTCCCGGCCCAAACGTGCCGTCGTATTCGCCGTCGCTCTCGCTCGCACAGCTGTTGCTCACCGCGCTGCTGTCGCTGCTCACGCTACCGCTCCGCGCCTTCTTCCGGCCGTTGCTGGTGCCACTGCTGTGGTTCTTGTTGCTGCTGCTGTTCATGTTGTTGTTCTTGCGCCGGTGCTTCCGCACCCGGTGAGGATCCGTGTCCGGCTCAAACACCGGCACGCCCGCCTCGTCCGAGTCGACGCTGATCGTAAATCGCCGCAGCAGGTTCGACACCTGGTTCGCATAGTGCGTCGAGCAGCCCGACAGTCGCTTCTTCAGGTCCTGAATTGTCTCCGTGCTGACGTCGGACGACGCCGTCGAACAGGCCCCCGTGCTTGACCGCCGTTCCCGCTGTTGTTGCTGCTGCTGTTGCGCATACAGTGGCAGTCCCATGCCGTTCGTCGGCGAGCTGCCATCCAGGGACACGCCTAGCTCGTGGTGCCCTCCATGGTGGCCCCCGTGGTGGTGGATCCCGGCTGTTGCCAGGGCCGCCGGTGAGTGCTGTGACAGGTCAAAGGGCGCACTGCTGATCGTCATGCGCGTTGCTGCCTCTACGTCGGCTGCGCTGGTACCCACCGGATGGGTCGGGTAAAATCCCGGCCAACTGCCGCCCACGTATGCTGGAACGTGGTGGGTCATCGACTGCATTGACAGCGCGTGGTGCTGTGACGGCGGTGGCGCCTGCTGCTGGTACTGTGGGTGGTAGAAGTCGGCATATGGCTGCTGGTGCATGCTGCTGGGGTCTGGCGGGTGGGGGAAATAATCTGCCGCCGGTTGAGTCGTTGGTGGTGGTAGGGAGGGCGGCGGTGCGTGCTGATGACTATGATACTGTTGCGAGTGGTGGAGGTGTTGTGAAAGCATCATCGGCTGCGCCAACTCCTGCTTCACCTGGTGCATCCCCATGCCGTTGCCGCCGTAGACGGGCGACTGCAGAGGAGCTTGATGCGGGTGGTGTTGGTGATTCGGGTGGTGCGGGTGTTGCTGGTGTTGTTGGTGCATCTGCTGGTGTTGGTGATGCGGGTGTTGCTGCTGGTGTTGCTGGTGTTGCTGGTGTTGCTGGTGTTGCTGGTGTTGCTGGTGTTGCTGGTGTTGCTGGTGTTGCTGGTGTTGCTGGTGTTGCTGGTGTTGCTGGTGTTGCTGGTGTTGCTGGTGTTGCTGGTGTTGCTGGTGTTGCTGCTGGTGCTGCTGGTGCTGCTGGTGCTGTTGCTGATGCTGGTGTTGCAGCGGTGATGGCTGCTGGAGCTCTCCATCACCATCCCGGTCCCTCGCAGACTTGCGGGTCCGCTGCGTCGACGCTGACAAAAGCTTGATGCGCTGGTTCATGTCCTCACGAGACTCGGGCCGCAAGTATCTCGGATCGTGGTCGAGCATGTTGTGGATCGTCTTCTGCGCCGAATTCTTGCGCGGCTTGAACACATCGTCCTCCAGCACCTTGAGAATCTTGTCCACCGACAGCGTCGTGTACATGTACAGCCGTGCCAGCTTCCGCGACCGCGTGCTTGTCCACTGCGGCGGCCGTCCAATACGTCCGGGCACGTTGCCGCCCTTACCGCCAGCACCCTCCGAGTCGCGGGCCGCCGGGTTTGGTGGCGCCATCGTGGTAGGTGGCGGCAGACAATGACCGACGAGGGCGGCGGGAAGAGATGGCGGCAGACGACCTGGCAGCTGGGAACAGAGCGGACAGAGACCTGGGTGGAGAGGAAAAATGACAACCTAGGACGAGGATCCAGATTCGAGGCGGCCCGGAACTGACAAAAATGACAGGCGCACAGAGAGAAGATCAAGAAGAAGAGAAAGTAATTAAACTAGGGGAGCACGGCATGCCGTCCAGAGGCTGGACACAAACTATCGGATAAGGTGTGGATGGGGCTATATATGAGGGGACGACGAAGCAAGAACGTAGGTTAGATAAAGCAGAGAGGCAGGCTAAGGAACGTTTGTGGGAGGCGGTGGGGGCCACACCCATCGTCTGTGAGCCTTAGCCCGAGCACTACTTTAGGCCCTGTTTCTGCAATGGGTCGAGTGTACCTGGGGTGATGAGGGAGCCACAGGCCAAAAAGAGAAAATAAACGGAGGCGAATGATGGCTGGGTATGGCTCTGGGGGGGGGGACGGGAGGGAGGGGGGGGGGGATAGTATACGGAGGGGGGTGGTTCAAGAAAAGACCAAGAAGAATGCTTCGTGGATATTTCTCGTGCAGGCAGAAACGAGATGAGAAGGTAGAGAGGCCCAGAGAAAAGAGAGCCCAAAAAAGAACAAAAAAATAAATAAGAAACTAAGAAAAAATGGAGACAGCATGACGAGGTCGAACCAAAAAAGCAGACGGTTGGAAAATGAGCCGGAATCCAGGGCCAGAGAAATGCTGTGGTGCTGCACTGCAAGACGGACTGAGCGACAGCTCATGCAGATGACTGCTGCCCAGGCCGATACAACGTAACGGCAGCCACTGCAAGACAGAGACAGGCAGCATGGCCGGGGTGTGGCGTTGCCCGTGCCGGTTCGCGCAAAGGCCCATGCATGCATGATTGGAGATGATCCAGACAGGAGGCCCAAACCAGGTCCCATGTCCAGGCAGCAGAGCCAGCCCAGCAGACAAGGCTACGCCCTGCGTTGACCCTGCCAGCAAGCAAGTGGTAAGACGATAGATACAACGGGGGCTGTGGCAGAGATGTGATGGCGGTCGTATACCGGTGCAGATGGTCGACGGTGTATACTGCTAGATGGTGTGTAGATGAGAGGCACGGCGAATGGGGATTTAGCACGGCGAATGGAGCTAGAGCACGGCGACTGGATGAGGAGACAAATTAGGAAGGGGAGAGGGGGAGGGGGGGGGGGGGAGGGGTGAAGTGAAAAGGTAGGAGCGACCCAGGGTGTGGGGGTGAGTTTAGGGCTGTTTCCGGCTATTCCTGCCCTACGCCATACTACGACTATGGTAGCAAAAAAAAGGTCATCTCCCAAAGAGGCATCTGCTCTATTAGGACTCGACCAAGCCTTTAGTCTCCACGATCTACGTCGTCGTAATGCGCAAATGCCGTGTACGCCTCGTACTCACAGACCATGCCATCTTCCCCGCCGCGACCGGCTGCGTGGGTAGCTTTATTCGCACATTCCTCGCCGCACGAAAGGCTGCAATACCGGCAGTCACGCTTGCACAAGCACAAGCACAAGCACAGACACAGAAAGGTGTATGGAGTGCAAGATCCCCGATGTGTAAGAGACGGATGCAGGAATGGCGGCAGGGAGAACGGACAGACAGGCGACAGCTTCAGCTGAGATGGCCGATAAATCAACCGGAAAGGCCCCGGATCTGGCCTTTTTGCTTCACCGGGAATGGGACCCGCTGGCACATACATAGCAGCAGTCCTGCGGCGAGATAAGCGGACAGGCACGGGAATCACCGTAGGGGGCAAAAATCGGAAAGGAGCCAAAAAAAAAAAAAAAAAAACACAAAAAACAATCACAAAGTGGTAGCGCGTGCTGAGGGAGGCGCTTCCAGAGTACAGACAGAGCAATGCTATACACTTTGCACTCTGCTGATGGGTACGCTCGGCGAAGACCAGAGGTGGTGGGGAGGGGATGGTCCGATGGAACTGAGCCGGGGCGGGTCTAGCTCCTTGCAGGGGGGGGGAGCGTTGAGTACGCAGTATGATGTGGTTCGTCAGCGTGGTGCCGGCCGGCATGCTTTACAACAAGAGACAGGCGTTCGGAGATGGCATATTAACGGCAGTCCCCCCAACAGGCGGCCACATGGAGCCACATGGAGCCACATGGGAGGGGCGAAAAGGAGACGAGAGAGACAAGCGGAGGAGGGGGGGTAGGGTACAGGCGCAGAGCCATCATGCCGTTTGTTGGTGCAGCAGCATCGTGCACAAAAGTCGGCGGTCCAAGGGAAAAAACGCAGTTCAAGGTATGGTAGAAATAATGACTAAAAATTGATTTAACCAAAAAAAAAAAAAAGGCTGGCCCCCAGAACTTGCCGAGATGAGCTAGCGAGCGAACCAAGCTACGAGAGTTACCGCGAAATGCGATTTTCTTTGTGTGGCCGATTGTCAGCGGCAAATCGGGTGGCAGGACAGCTGAACCAATAAGGTGAGATACGAAGTAGGGCCGGTCGGCAGACGGGATACCCGCTGTCTGAGGGTCCGTCCTGTCCCTGACCGACATCCGCCAGATGCGGTTTTGTGAGATAAGAATGCTATTTCTCCTTCTTCAGCAGCGACAGGCACGAGATAAAAAAAGACTCCGCCAGGCCGCCGTTCTCCCCGATTGGGGTACCCGATGGCGCGAACGGCGTTGAGACGGAAAAGGTGAAAAGCTAAAACTAAAGTGAAAAGTAAATAATAAATAAATAAATATAAACACAACACCAGTACGGAGTAAAAGACACATCAACCTGGTCAGAAACAGTCTGCTGGTTTCTTCCCGTTCTGTCCCGGCGCTCATGCACGTGGACAAACGCTTGCTAGTGTGCATATCTGCCAACCGATTGCGAGGCTGTCGGGATTTGCTCTCTCCCAGACGAGCATTCCACTGTTTCGCTGTTTCGCCGTCTCGTGTTTTTTGCTTGATTTTCTGGGTTATTTTTATTTGCTCTTGCCTTAAATTCAACCGACCGCCACCTCGGGCTTGCAAGGTACCCGCCGGACGGCTTAGCTGGCCGACTTGCCGGCTGTTTCTGCTTACGAGCCAGCCCTGCCTGCCCTGTGCTGCCTGGTGCTGTCCGCTCCTGCCGCTTGCTTGCGCACGTACCCCTTCCGTTCCCCCACTGACCGCCTCTACGGTGGCTTCTAGAATGCAGACGGAAGCTTTGGCGAGCTCGCAGCGCTTTTTGGTCTGCTCGGTTTTGCCAATCCTTCTTCTCGCTGCGAGCAGAATCTTCTTGCCAACAGTCACAGCACATACTCCGTACTTTGTATGTACTTTGGTTCGTAGCAGCTTACTTAGCAGTCATAGCACCACAAATCCACCACCACCACCATCACCTCAACTCGTACGTCGTATCCCTTAATCATGCGTTGCAGTCTCGCGCAAGATTTGGCATTGCGCGACCAAGATATCTTTTTTTCTCTCTCTTTCTACCCCTGCCGCTGATTTTCCCCGATTCGGCACCTTCCATCGTGCTTTGCCGCACTCCCTTTCCGCCGAAGTCCATCGCCGCTCCCGCCCTCCTTTATCGCTTCGACTGCTCATCCTCGCTCGGCCGCATATCCTCCTGCTCGAGTTGCGTATTCGACTCGCGTATTCGTCTCGCGTACTCCGTACTAAGCTCTGCATACGAGTACGCCCTCCTACTACGTACTGCCACCCGCTCGCTCTCCCGCACTCTCCCACACACACTCACCGGTACTCACCACTCGTATGTACATAGTATCGTGCTCAATCGCCAAGCGAGCCGCCCATGCTGCGCAAGCACATTTCTGAAAAACGTTGCGCCCGCTACCATTCCTTGCTATTGGCCAGCCACTACCCTCTGTCTCCATAATATCGGCCGCGCCACAGCACTGCCGCAAATCGCTCGCCATCCCTGTCCAAGTGGGCCTTTCCCTGCCTCTGGTTCGTTTCGTTGACTCGCTAGTTTAGAGCCTTTCCTGTCTGCTCTTTTTAGCCCAATTTTACTTGCTTGGCCGATTTTCTGCTCAAGCGGGCAAAACATACCTACCTGCCAATAACACTCATTAGCGAGGTCCACGCCCGTATTCGCCACGTCGGTAGATGCCCGGCCGAGCAGTAACCTGGCGCTTCCCGACAATGGCATGGTCAATACCGGTCTCCCGGTCGCCTGGTCTGCCTTTCTAGCTGGTCTCCTGAGCTGGTCGGTCCGTCTTCTCCTCCTCTCATCCCTCCTCCCCTAGTCCGGCTTCTCTGGCCTCCTCATCTCCTTTGTTTTCTGCTGCTATGTACTCCGTATCCTTGTCTCTCCGCCATTCTCCTGAGATGCCGGGCCCCACCTCCATCTCTTTTTCCCTCATCCCTTACTCTTCGTCTTAGAGGACTTTTAGATCTTGGAAACAGCAGCTTGCGCTAGTAAAACAGCCTATCGTACAATCGTAGCCGGCTACGTCGTATGTAACCCTCGCTCAGTCATCATCGCAGTGTCGTGGCCGTACGGAGTAGTTCGTGGGCGTGTCCTCCTAGCTGGGCCCAGCTCTCTTGCCTTAATCGTATGTTTGCCCATGCGTGCTTCGTTTTTGCTCCCATCCCCACCCCCCTACATATGCTTAATGTAATACACCCAGGATATGCCTGTACTTAACCGGCAAGTGCATTTAACACGCTTACGAGTACGACGTAGGCCAGTCGCATGACTTACATGCAAGCACATGACTAAGTATGTCGTCAAGAAGACTCGGACTACACTATATGGTCCCCAAGCCCAGAACCAAGGCCGACAAATGAATTGGTATAACCACGGATGCTCTGTACATATTTCGTACCTGCCCAACAAAAGAGATAGCTTGGCCGCTCATTCGAAGCGGCGCTGATCAGGGGGCCCACCCCCGTAAAGAAAAGGGAGGAGGCAGCAGGGAGCAGGAATTCGTCGAGGCTAGGACGCTGGCAAATCCGAGCGTCTGGTGGGTCCCAAAGGAGCTTTCCGTCCGTGACAAATAGGCCCTTTTAATATTATTGCGTGTGTTGTTTGGCGACGGCGAATCCTTGTCCTGTCTACCCCTCCCCCCTCCCCCCTTCCTTTGCCGGCCGATGCTCTTAATTTTGGGTTCGTGTCCCCAAAAAAGAAGGCCGAAAAAAACGGCGTAGCGTCAGGACGCGAGCACGTCTACTGCTACGACGCTGAAACGCCTCGCCCAGGGACCCTCTTCGGCCACAACCTGCGTTGCATTGGGCTGCGACCAAGCGGTGTACGGAGTACGGAGTACGGAGTACGCGTGCACCGACCAGTTATGCTATACGAAGTACGACGTACGGAGCACGATATGCTATTCCGCCCATCCCTGCCAGAGAGGTCCAGGGACGAACTATTCGGTGCGACTGCGTATGAGACTGCGATCGCATTGGTTACGCCTGTCACCTGCTGTGTTCGTACATGTACGGAGTACTCTTACTCTCCCAAGACCCCTTGACAAAGCTAAACGACCAGTCATACTAGACTAGAGCTAGCCTTCAGCCGGCCATGACAAGCCCAGTTGTCGACGACACCTGCTACATACATAGTACGCATCTGTTGCCTCATTAAAGCCCCTGCTGTAGATCAACGAATCGGACCATCGTCGAGAGAATCCTCGTATATTCGTAGGCAGATGCCGCATGTACTCCGTAGTCGTGCCCCAAGCGTCTCTGGTCGTCGGTGCAACAGCTGGGATCAGGCACTAAACACGACGTCTGCTCCGTAGGTTTGGCCGAGCCCGAGACCACAAGGCCAGCGTGCTCGACGGGTGGGATTCGGGAGAGATAATACTCCGTAGCTACGTAACTTACTCCGTACTGGCAAGGATACGTACTCGTAGGGCGGCAATCACAGAAACAAACGTAGCCCAAAACAGGGGAAAGGGGGCCGGTAAATGAAATGTACGAGTGCTCTTATGAAAGGAACTAGGGAAGTGAGGAACGACAATCGTGTCCAGCCGCAACAAGCGCCTTATCCGTTGCCAAAAGGCTGGGTGAAATTCTGCCAGAACATGGGCAAATTCCTCCATCGGCAGACGCATGCTGCCAAGTTGGGTTTATTGTACTTGTCCAAATTCTTAGTCAAGAGCTTGTGCGTAATGTGTACGGAGTAGTCACACGGTTGATTTCTCAACTACTGTACTACATAGAAAGAACTATGTAATAGTAGGGATAAATTCCCTACTATTAAAGTGCTTCGTACCACGTCTCCGAACATATTAGCGTCACACGTGCTTGAGCCCAGCCGACCCACAAATAAAGATAACATCCGATAAGATAAGCATTAAAAAATATCGATAACCATAGAAAAAATCCGAGTGAAAAAATACTGTGAATGTACCACCCCAAGCCTGTCGCAGCGAGAATCTGATCTATAGCCAAAATGGGTAAACGCAAGGTAGCCGCCCTGGAGAAGATAGATGCAGACTTGTGAGTGATGTGCCCTGGCAGCCCTGGCATTTCCGGGAAGCGAGCCGCCGCCAGCCAGCCGTTCACAGCTAACGATATGCCAGATCGAATCTCCAATACAAGATCCGTCGCGATCCAAAGTGAGTCGTCACGACACGGACGAGAGCCGGATGCGGTCCGACGAGAAGGACGTTCTGACATTGTGTCTAGGTCATACGAGGATGAGTTTCAGAGACAGTACGAGCAATATGGTGCGTGAAGAGCATTCTGTGAAGTATCTTTCGGCGAGTATCAAGTCCGCCCTCCCAGCTGACCGGCCGACAGTTTCGCAACGCGACCTATTCCTTACGTCGCCGGCCAACGCGTCGGCAGACCAGAGCCGGGCGTTCCATGACCTGATCGACCTGATCGCGCACGTGGCGGATTGCTATCCAGAGGCGCTGAGCGGCTTCCCAGGTGAGCTGGCGGCGATTTTGACGCAGCACCACGCGGTGCTGCAGCCAGAGCTTCGCGACAAGATCGTCGGCAGCATGGGGCTGCTGCGGCGCAAGGACGTGCTGGACTCGGCGACACTGGCGCAAACGCTGTTCCCGATTCTGGCCCACACGCCGAGCAAGACGCTGCGCACGCTGCTCTTTCGTCGGCTCGTCTCAGACCTGCGCAACGCCAATAGCCGGACGAAGAACCACCGGCTCAACCGGACGGTGCAGACGGTGCTCTACAACCTGGTGTCGTCGGACCGCACGACGGCGCGGCCGATCTGGGCTGTCAAGATCACGCGCGAGCTGTGGACTCGCCAGGTCTGGACGGATGAGAAGCCGGTGGACGTGATGCGCGAGGCCTGCCTCGGCGACAACGAAAAGGTGGTCGTGTCGGCCGTGCGCTTCTTCCTTGGCGGCGACAAGGCGCGCGAGGAGCTCGAGGACGACAGCAGCGACGACGGCGGCCGCGAGAACCGTTACGGTGGCGCACTTGGTGGCGGCAGCGGTGCCGTCGACCTGACCAAGCTGAAGCAGCGCGGCCAGCACAGCAAGAAGACCAAGAAGACAGCCAAGCGGTACGACCGGGCCGTCGAGAAGGTGAAGAAGACGGAGCGGAAGCGGAACCAGCCGCATCCGCTCAACTTTTCAGCCCTGGTAAGTGGAAGAAGTAGAGACGAAAGAGGAACAAGAATGCTGACAAATCCAGCATCTGCTGCACTCGCCACAAGAGTTTGCCGAGGCGCTGTTTAACCGGCACCTACTGTCGGCACGATGCAAGTTTGGGCTAGAGAGCAAGCTGCAGATCCTGCAGCTAGTGACTCGGCTGCACGGGCTACACAAGCTGATCATTCTACCGCTGTTCAGCTGGTTCACAAAATACCTGACGCCGCGACAGACATCGGTGACGACTGTGCTGGCATCGCTGGCGCAGGCGGTGCACGACCAGGTACCACCGGACGCGCTGGAGCCGCTACTAGCCAAGATTGCCAACGAGTTTGTGACGGAAGCATCAGCGGCCGAGGTGGCCTCGGCCGGCCTGGCGGCGATCCGCGAAGTGGCGATGCGGCAGCCTCTGGCGATGAACGAGACGCTACTGCAGGACCTGGTGCAGCTGCGCAAGAGCAAGGACAAGAGCGTGATGATGGCGGCGCGCGGCCTGCTTTCGCTCTTCCGCGTCGTCGGCGCCGAGATGTTGACCAAGAAGGATCGCGGCAAGGAGGCGACGATGGGACTGCGCAGCGGCGAGGTGCGGCAGCGGCGGTTCGGCGAGGAGGCAGGCGGTGGCGGCATCGAGGGCATCGAGCTGCTGGAGCAGTGGAAAGCTGACGAGAGGAAGCGGAAGCGAGCCGAGCGAGCCGAGCAGGCAGGCGAGGACGCAGACAAGGACAAGGACGAGGATGACGAGGACGATGAGGACGACGAGGACGACGAGTACTCGGAGGGCAACTCGAGCGACTGGGACATGTCCTACAACAGCGACGACTCGGGCGGCTGGATCGACGTGAGCAGCGACGAAGAGGGCGAGAAGGCACCGCCGATCAAGCGGCAGCGGAGACGGGCCAAAGAGGCGGCTGAGGACAGCGATGACGAGGCCGAGGGCGACGATGAGAACGAGGACGGCGAGGACGGTCAGCCATCGATCTCGAAACTGGCAACGACGACGATCCTGACGCCGGCGGATCTGGCAAAGCTGCGGGAGCTGCGCCTGGCGTCCAACATGGAAAAGGCGACAGGCAGGGGCAGCAGCAAGAAGGTCGTCGGCGAGGCTGCAGACCCAGAGGCGGCGGCTGAGGCGGCCGAAGCGGCAGCTGCGCGCAAGCGGGCGGCCACGATGAGCCGGTACCAGGCGGCCATGGCAGCGCGGCACACCGACGACGGGCTGACGGCCGCGCAGATCGAGCTGGCGGCAACACTGCGCAAGTCGACCAAGGAGGAGAGGATTGCACGGGCCCAGGAAGGCAAACCGTCACGTGACCAGCACCAGTCGACGCAGGCGATGCGCAAGGCCAAGAAGGCGGCCGAGGGCAAGTCGCTGACGAACAAGGAGAAGGCGCGCAACAAGAACATCTTCATGCAGATGGGCAAGGCCCGGCAGAAGAACAAGCGCAGCCTGATGGAGACACGCAAGGCCCTGACGGCGCACGTGGCACGGGCAAAGCGTGGTGGCCGTCGGGGCAACCGAGACTGAGCCGGACGGAGGTTGTTGGCACAGTGTCTGTGTGCCTTGTGGCTTGGCGGCCTGTGGTGGCTATGCTCAATGTATCGGACGAGTACGATGTAAAAGGGAGTGCCGGCCTCGAGCCCTCTTTGGGATAGGGCTGGCTAGACGAGAGAACGACAGGAAATGACGTGGCCGCTCCTTCTGCTCTGTGCCCCGTAATCCGTCGTATGTAGGGACTTACATAGAACGTATCTAGCCGAAAGCGGGAAACGAGTACTTTTGCGATAAGAAGGGGGGGTGGACGAGATGCGACAGCTCTGCCGACGGGAAGGCCCCAGTCTGTGTCTTGTGTCTGAGCTGGTGAGACAAGGCAGCGCACGTGCTTCTGTGAGTCCCACTATTCTGCCGCTTTTGCACTAGGCCCCTTGCCTACGGAGTACGGAGTATATTTCTGAGCACTCGTATTTTGCCCACCTCCCGGGCTGGCAGACCGCGCCAAAGCGGTGAGTATCCATGGCACTACGCACACATCTACCTATCCCGCTAGCATTCGTAAACGACGTGTAGCCGGTACTATGTACGGTGCCGTGATAGCGTGCAGTCTGGCCTGCAGGACAAGGTGGTGGCAAATGCGACGTGGCGCCCTTTTTTCCCCCGAAGCGATGATGGAATCGCATGGCCCAAACCAGGAATCACACCGGCAGTCCTCATCCGGAGAGGATTGGGCTACAGCATCGTGCCCTACGTGTACGACATACATACGCACCCAGGGGTGGTCAAAGCTACGTCCCGGGGCCTTCTCTCCTCCTGGCCATGCATACATAGTACTACGACGTATGTGGTACAGAAGAATGGGAAGAAGAAAGTTGGCACTAGCACACATGCAGCGTGCGTACCGGCGTACATTGTACTCTGTATCTTACGAGCACGGCGTACTCGTACAGAGTCTGCTTGCGGGCGTCAAACTCGGCCAAATTTGCTGGCTCGAAGCAGCTTGATGCTCACGACGAAACAAGCTAATCTAATCGACAAACTATTACATAGTTATGGCGCCCGGCAATCTCCGTGTCTGTACCAGTCGCACGGTCGATGGAGAGAAAAAAGGGGAACGTGAAGAGGGACAAGAGGGGGGAGGGGGGAGATGTCTCCCTTTTTCCACTTGCAACTACCGGCGGCCAAAGAGACTTGCTGGATGGAGCACCCGTATCTTACGTCGTACTACCAGACGCTGGCGTGAATTCCAGTACTATGTACAGTAGCACCATTTCGAGAGAAGCCAAAGCAGAAACGCTCGCTGGTCGTAAGAGAAATGCTCCATTCCTCGCTGCTCGTCGACGCTCGTCTACGGCGTCCGGCCGCCACAGAAAAGAATGCCTACGCTCGATGGCATCCCGGCTGGCTCGGCCAATGAGGCCAAACGAAGAAGGACAGCTGTCGATCTCCATGGTAGCGTCTTGGACTTCCCGTCCTGTCGTTGTTGTCATGGTCACTGCCGACGTCTGCATGATCAGACAGAATATCGTCGTGCTAAGATACTTACCACGTCTCTGAGCAACTTGTACGCCGAGAACGAGAGAGAGCATCGGAGCCGAAACCGCTAGCCTCGCCTCCGACGTGGATACCTCATTCTTCTATCCGGCCTCTCAGCCGCTCAGGGTTTCTCAGGCTGCCCACGTCGTTGTGTTTACTCTTGTCGTTTGTTGTCGGCCGGTAATTGGAATCCCATACTATTTTTCTTTACTAACATGACACGTTGCACAAGCAACTTCCCAGGACTCTCTTGTTTGCCTCCACTCCCGATAAAACACCGCGACCCGATACCCATTGGCCTTCGTCACCGGCCTCCCAGCAGAAACACAGAAAGAGCAGAGCTGAAGCAAAGGAGTTGAAAGCAGAGGAGCCGAATGCAGACAGGCAGAAGAGCTTTTGAACCCCACAAAAAAAAGCGGCTTATAATCCCGTTTAGAAACAAGACGAAAGCAAGAAATGAGAGGAAAAAGGGGGGAACAGAAGGAAAAAAGAACTGAAGAAAAGAGGAAAGAAGGAGGAAGGAACAAGACCATACTCCCGACATGCGCAAAACTCATGGCACGGGGGCTGACAGCACAGGCTCAATAGCACGCACCCCCAACCGGGCTCAATTCCACCGGTTGCCCCGTGTCCAGTCGTACACAGTCTCGAGGTAGTCGGACCAGGACTCGCCCGAGAGTGTCGGCACGTCGGACACGCGCTTGCCAGTGATCTCGTCGGCGCCCAGGAAGCTCAAGTCCATCTCGCCGGCGAACTTGGTGTAGTGCTTGTTGGTGAACTTGAGCGTGCCGCGGTGCTCTCCCGTCTGCATGTTGTTCTCCACCGGTCCGCGCCCGCGCCACCGTACGTAGAACTTGAGCGGCGGCCGACCACCGCCGCCTGCCGGACTTGCCGGCACGCTGTTGCTGCCTCCTCCACCGCTGCCATCTGCACCAATCGGACTGCCGTCCGGTCCGACACCGACACCGACGCCGACACCGTTGCCGCCATTGCCGTTCCCAGGGTCAGGTGTGGCAGTTCCAGGACCTCCGCTCCCAATCAGCGGTCCGAGTCCGTCGAGCCCGCCCAGACCGCCCGGACCAAGAGTTGGCATCCCGGACAGGCCTGTCATGCCCGACAGCCCGCCCATGGAGCCCATTGTGGAGCCGTTGGGGCCGGCGCCTGGGATCTGCGGCAGGGGCACGGCCGTGGTTGTCCTTGCCTTCTTGCCGGGGAGAAGTTGCTGCTGCTGTTGCTGCTGTTGCTGCTGTTGCTGGTGCTGCCGACTGACGACAGCGCCCTGGGGTGGCTGCTTGCGCTTGGTACCGCCAAGCGTGGCGACGACGTCGGTGCCGTTGACGTGGTGATCGGGGTCGTCGCCGGCATCCAGACGGCGGACATGGTTGGCGAGCTGCTTCTCGTCGGCCGACAGTATCATGACGCCAAGAATGACGCCAAAGTGGAAGGTGGCCTTGTATATGCCCGGTGTGGCCGTGGGGGCGACGTCGAGGGTGAGGTTGCCGTTAACAGACCACTGGTCCTGGATCTCTTTGGACGTGATCACGTAGGCACCGACAATGGTGGCCGGGATGGCGTCCTCGACTTTGCGGGTGCTGCCTTTCGGTCGGCCGCGCGGACGCTGTGTGGATGTGTCCTTGCGAGCTTCCCACTCGGCGGCCATCTCGTCGCGCAGCGTCTCGATGTCGTCGGCCATCTTGCGGAACTGCGGACAGACCGGGTCAGCCGGGAGGAGAGGAATGCGAGGAGGCGGAGAGAGAGAGGAAGAAAAGAAAGAGAGCCTACGTTTCCTGACGTCACCTGCTCGCGAAAGAGGTCCAAGACCTCGTCCGACGACGACTGGTACGGCGGCGGCAGGCCGTAGAAACGGAACTGCGCCAGCATGAACTTTCGCGTCAGCGTGCGCGTCGCTTCGTGCTCGGTAATCTTCTCCATCTTGGGCGGCCGTCCTCGTCCGAGCTTGATCTTCCACCTCTCGGGGTCGGTCGGGAAGCAGAGACGCAGCAGGTGCTGTGGACGCTCGTAGGCGACGCCGTCGATGGTGGCAAAGGTCCCGTCATACTGGAAGCCGCTGCGCCGGATTGGTTCCGGCTTCGTGTCCATCCTGCAGAGGAGAGGAGAGAGGAGCGAGGAGAGGAAGCCGAAGAGGGGCAGGTGATAGCTCTCTTCTAATAATACCTTTTTTTTTGAAGCAAAAATAATGGGGAAAATGTCGATACGCCTACATAACAAAGCAAATGAGGCCTATTAAATAATAAACGCAAATAAAAAGCAAAAATAAAAATAGTGGGTGGCAGAGCGATGTCGATTTTGGGGGATTTTCGGAATCCTGAAACCTGCTGACTTGACCAAGGTGGGGTCGGAAAATGAGATATGGGGTACAGTGCGTAGATGTGAGCAGTGCGAGCACAGACGGTGCAGACGACAGGGCTGTTTCAGCCGTGAAAACGAAGACGCATTTCTCTGTACAAAGTGTGCAGCTCTGAACAAAGTTCAGAGATGAGGCCAGACTGGCAAATGGAAGAAAAAGGGGCTTGATTCAGTGCTGGCGATATGTAAGAGCAAGAGCGGTGTACAGGTGCGCCCCTTGTAGAAGGAACGCGTGACGAAGGAGCTCCATTTTGTGCGGCAGGCGGCAGGTACGACATGCACATGATTCAATCGCTACCTGAGCAGTGCAGAAGCGAATGTTTGAAAAAAGGAAAACACCAAAGAGCGCCTGAGCTGCGATTCTGTTGCTGTATGCTTTTGAACGCTCCTCGAGGCTTTTTCGGTACAAGATACATTATACTATCAAGTAGAGATACAGGTAGATAGATACAAGAAAGATACAGAAAGCACAAGATACGATACAGTCACATTAAGAGTATTCAGATACGGAAGATGTCAATGTTATTGACGATAAAATTGTAGCTCGCGGAGCGGAAGCTGTCGGCGAGCAGGCTGGCGTGGTCGTTGAAGAACTGCATCAGATTCTGGCCGGCGGACCACTGGGGCCAAGCCATGAGCGTGGCATTGTGGCCGACGTTGGGATCAAGATTGGTGACAAAGTTGATGTAGTATGTCTGGATATTCTTGCTGGCATAATTGGGCAGGACGCCATAGAAGACCTGGAGCAGGTCGGTGGCGTGGAAGGTGCCGAGGATGGGGGTGCCGTAGTCGTAGGAGGCGAGGTAGGACCAAGACGGCACGTCGGGGCGGAGGAGTGAAGTGCCAGCGAGAAAGGCGCGGCGACTGAGATTGAAGGTAAGGTCACCGAGGATGGCGGCGAGCCGCTTGAAGCCGGGACGAAGCTCGTTGAAGACGCCGGTGCGGAAGGGCGAGCCGGCAGAGGGGTCGTCAGGATAGGTCTCGACGAATTCAGTAAGCTTCTCCTTGGTGGCGTCGTGAAAATAGAGCGAGCTGAGATACTCGACCGTGGAAGCAGTATCGGTGACGTTAATGGGAAGGATGGCAAAGAGTGTGCCCTCGTCCTCCTGGTCGCCGATGATCATGGGCACGGCGGCATACTTGTTGCTAAGCACAAGCTGGTCGGGGCTGTCGGTCAGGACGGTGCCATCAGGCCGCGGTAGATACGAGAGAGCGAGCGAGTTGTACGAGAAGATGGCCGGGGCCGAGTTGACGGCCTTCTGGAACGTGGCATAGGGGCATGCGCGCAGACAGGCGAGGGTGGCAGCATCGTCCGCCTCGGCACCGCAGCCCGACTCGGCAGCGACGCTGTCGAAGATGGCCTGGGCCTTGGAACCGTCGATAGGGTCTGCCGGCACGATGCTGCCCGAATCCATGATGGCGCCGCGAAAAAGCGGCTTGCCGTTGTACGTGTTGTTACCGCCGAAGAGAACCATCTGGTCGAGCACAGAGATGGAGCCGGCCGACTCGCCCCAGATGGTGACCTTGTCGGGATCGCCGCCAAAGGCAGCAATGTTGTCGGCCGTCCACTGCAGGCCGAGCCGTTGATCCAAGAGGCCGAGATTGGTCGAGCCCTCGGCCTTGAGGGCACTGCCGCCGAGGAAACCGAAGCCGTTGACGCGCGAGTTGATGGCCACGAAGAGGAAAGGCTGGCCGATCGAGACGCCCATGTCGATCAGGTCGCTGCCGTCGTAGATGGCATTGGACCCCAACTCGAAGCCGCCGCCGAAGAACCAGACGAGCACCGGCAGCTTCGCCCCAGACGTCGTGCCAGCCGGCCGCTGCACGTTGAGCGTCAGACAGTCCTCCTGCTCGGTGCCGACCTGCTCAAAGATCGGCACGTCCACCAGGTCGCCCAGAATGTCGAACAGCAGCTGGTTCGAGCCTGTCGAGATGAGCATCTGCGGACAGCTCGGGCCCAGCAGCTGCGTCGCGTCGATCTGTCCGAGTGGTCCGTCCGGCTTCAACGGCGGTCGCAGCCGCAAGTCGCCCACCGGTGGCTGCGCAAACGGAATCGCCCGGAACGAATCGATGCTGCCCACCGTCAGGCCCACCGCCGTGCCGTCCGGGTACGCCACATTGACCACCGAGCGCTCCTCCAGCGGACCGGGTGTCCGCTGCTTCAAGGCCGGGTGATCCGACAGCTCGCCAGGCGCCCGTCCATCTGGTGTCAGGGCGCGTTCACGCAAGGCCGGGTGCGCCGAACAGGCGCCCAGAAGGCTGGCCACCGCAACCGCTGCACAGAGGCCACGCATTGTCTCGAGCGGCAAAAAGGAACAAGAAAGTGAAGAGGCAGAGATTGTGCTAGAAGGATCAGAGAGCGAACAGGTGTCTGCCAACCTCTTCATCACACCGTCCGGACAGCCAGACGCTATATAAATGTACGTTACGAGATGACGCCCGATCATCACTCTCAAAAGTACTGCATTACAGCCATCATAGTGCCGTGCACTAGATTTGCCCATATGTCAGAATGGGGTAATAACCAAACACCATCTTGGACGAGGGGCAATCAAAGCGGCAGACTAGCAACAACCACGTCTTGAATCCTAACAACTTCGCGACGGAGGATGCTCTTGATGCGGCTAGTCGTATTGTCGTGACTGTTGCCTGGCCACCTTTATTGACACATCGCACTCTTCTCCTCTTTTTCCCATAGCATGTGAAAGACCAGCTGTCCTCCGTTTGCCTCATGGCCGGTCGGACTGCCTCGGCAGTCGTGCGGGAGAACTGCCATCCGCCTATCACGACGGCTTGCTCTACAGTACGTGAAGTATCATCGTCCGCGTTCTCCCCAGACCCCCTCATCTCATCTTCGTGGGGTAATTTAGGCTCACTAGAACGACGATAGGCAACGGACGGCTCCACATAACAATCTACTGGCAATTCACAATTCCGGTTATACGGCACATCAGCAAGATCGGTGGGGATGCAAGGGCGCCGCTTCCCTTTACGTCGTTCTTCCCGCTAGAACTTGAAGAGGCTCGGGGCCACCAACCAATCAATCAGACTCGTGCGGGGAAAACACTCTTACCATATTCCCCTCTCGTTGCAGTCACAAGCCGGTCTACAGTTTGCCAACACATGCCTCGGGCTGCTATCTTTATTTCGGCACTTCTAGCGCTCCGGGACACAGGAACGAGACCTAGGGGCAGCAACTGGTCGGACAAATTGCTCCGTAATGGTGATCTACAGATACAAGCCATAGGAACCGGTCTAGGACAAGTCGAATATATTGCGAGCAGCTGACGATTATTCTACGAGTTTTAGCTTGCTAGTTGTGGACGCAGGTCAAGACCTGCTTTGCAGCGTAAATTGAATATGTACAATGAAAACGAAACGAGGCGACCGTTATGGATCATCAGACGGTGGAAGAATGGGAGAACAGTACTACAGACAAGAATGTAAAAAGATGAGCGTTTTTCTTCTTTGTTTTTCGCCTCTGTTCGCTTATGCAAAGTTGGAGCTCGCCGTGGTCTGCGAGTCGGATGCGACGCTGACGCTGGACACCTCGATGGTGGTGCCCGACGTGCTGGTGATGCGCACGTCGACGGTGCTGGTGCCAAACCCGCTGGCATTCTCGAAAAAGTTGTAGTCCGACCGGGTGGTCGACTGCCACGTGGAGCCGCCGTCGGTGCTGACCTCGAACTTGGCCACGCCCTCGTTGGCGTTGATGACCTGCATCGAGAACCAGTAGGCCGACGTGCCGGACTTGCTGTGCAGCACAATGGGCGAGCTGATGCCGCACTCGACAAACGAGTACGACGTCGAGATGACGCCCTTGGAGATGTCGGCCAGCTCAGCAAAGGCGTTCTGGAAGAGGTCCAGGTGGCCCTCGGCGCACTCGGGGCACTCATCGACGATCATGGCCTTGATCGAGCTGCCGCTCGGGCCCGTCACCTGGACACAGCGGCCACAGTTGGCCGCGTTGTCCCACACCGCGCCGGAGTAGGCCGTGCCGAAGAGGGACGACGGCAGCGTGTAGGCCGAGAGGGAGCAGGCGCCGCCCACGACGTTGCCGCCGTAGAACGTCGCCTCGCCCACGATGGACACACTGGAGCTGTCGGTGGAGGCGGTGCTCTTGGACGAAGACGACGCAGCAGTAGCAGCAGCGTGCGCCGCTGCAGAGGTAGAGGAAGAGGTAGTAGGCACGGCAGCAGGAGTCGAGGTGGAGCTGGTGGTAGGCACAACGACCACGACGGGCGCGGACGTAGAGCTGGAAAGCACAACCGTCTTCATGGTCGAGGGCGCAGCCACAGACACGGAGGCGGTCGTCACTGCCGCGGAAACGGCAGCAGCCGTCTTGGTCTCGGCCGGCGACACGGCAGACGTGGAGGGCACCTGGACAGAAGACGTCGACGGAGTGTAGTCGACGTAGACCGTCCTCGTCTTGGGCGCCCGGGCATGGCCATGCTCGTCGGTCAGGGCCGAGCAGCTGTCAGCGCGGGCAAATGCGGCCAGGCTGGCAGTTAGAGCAAAGATGGCAGCCTTCATGGTTGCGGCTTAAGATCGACAGCGTGGGGATGAAATGTTTTGTCTGGGTGGAATGGGGTTGCTGATCGGCAGCAGGATGGAACGCAACAGCAGATCACAGTGAACAATGACAATACTTGTTTTCAAAGATAGGGCCGGAGTGGAAAGTAGGCTTGAAGAAGCGGAAGTAAGGATCGTGGGAACAGACTGAGGCTGTTGAAAAGGACAAGAATGAATGAGAAGCGCAAAAGAATGCAGGACTGAGGCTGGACTCGACTGGAGAGAAAGAGAAGCTGAAAAAGAATCGAGGTTGGGGATGCGAGGGACTCCTATATACAGGCGTCTCCCGTTATTCCTCCACTTATTCTCCTTGTCCGATCGAACTGCTTATTGTCAGGGGCCCGCCGTACGTCATACGGTTGTGAACAAAACATGTCCAGATGCGAAGGAATTTCCGCGCCAGGCCCGCCCACGATACCCGGCCCAGGGGTATGAAACACACCAGACTAAACATCTCAGCCTGGAATAAACTTTTCCGTCAAACCTCCTACGGCCGTCAGCTCATGCTTGGCTCATGCTGTCGTGCGCGAGTGGGCGTGACTGGAAACGAAAACACACCACAAAACGGTTATGCGCATGGTTTCTGGTGAGCGCACCAGAACGTGCTGCCATGGACGATGGCGAGTTGAGAACATTGCGGTGGTCTGTTGGCGGCCGGAAATGCTAGTCGTAGCCACTTAGACGGGACAAGAAGCCATTTAGAGTTAGGTTGCGGCCTAGGGTGCTTGACTTTCCGGCCATCTTATTGGCTGTTGCGGGGGAACAGCGGGTCTGTAATATAAAGCTCAAACGGTTTAGCAGAAGCGAGGCCATGCCACAATAGCCCTGAAGGCCGGGGAAATGAGGCTGCTCTGTGATTTGGGGACTTACTTGCTCCGGCAAGTGTGCAGAAGGGCGGACACGAGAGGCGGCAAGCTATACGGGGTAGCACCACGGCAGGACCGGCTCTTTGAACATAGTAATGCCATCCGACAAGAGGTTTTAGCGCCAATGAGCGAAGGGAGAAATGTGGATGATCCAATCACGGGTCCTTACGTGGCCGGCGGCTTTAAAAATCCCTTAAAATAAGGCATGGCGCCCGGGCGACAAGGATGGACGAGATGAAGGCACGGACATTCACGGAAGAAGATACGATGGCCGAGATTCCAGTATGCACAAAGACGTACAAGCTTAACAACGGTAAGCGGAGCCGAGAGAGACGAGTTGTGATCGCGTTGGTGATTAGTAAGCTGACAGCAGACAGGGGTTGAGCTTCCGGCCGTCGGGCTGGGAACATGGCAAGGTGGGTATGCTGGAGGATGGGTGACAGGGTGATGTGATCAGGGTGCTCAGCTGACCGGCCACAGGCACGTTTGGCAGCAGCGACGAGCAGGCCATGGTGGACTCGATCGTGCACGCGCTGCAAGCTGGTTACCGGATGATCGACACGGCGCAGATCTATGGGGTAGAGCGAGTAGTAGGCCGGGCGATCGGCGAGAGCGGCGTGCCGCGCGACCAGATCACGGTGGTGACCAAGTTCTGGGGTTACTGGCACCACGACCCGGCCGCGGCCCTGGCGATCTCGCTGCGTGACCTGGGGCTGGACTACGTCGATATCTTCCTGATGCACTGGCCGCAGGCGATGACGCCGCTGCCAGACGCCGCAGTGCTGCCGCCGACGGCGAGCCCGACCATCACGCAGACGTGGCGCCGCATGGAGGCCCTCGTGGGTCCGCGCTGCCGTGCCATTGGCGTGTCCAACTTTACGCAGCGCACGCTCGGACAGCTGCTCGACAGCCACGTCGCCGTCGTGCCGGCCGTCAACCAGGTCGAGCTGCACGCGCTCTGTCCAAACCTGCGGCTGCTTCCCTACTGCCAGCAGCACGGCATCCAGGTCGTCAGCTGGAGCACGCTCGGCGGACCGGCCAGGTCCGACGGCCCCGCGAACCCGATGCTCCAGCACGCCCTCTTCACCGACATCGCCGCCGCCCACAACATCAGCCCCGCCGCCGTGTCGCTCTCGTGGGCCGTCCAGCGCGGCGCCGCCGTCATCCCCAAGAGCGCTAGCACCCGCCGCATCGACGCCAACATTCGCCTCGTCACCCTCTCCGACGCCGAGATGGCCACCATCAACAGCGCCCACGAGACACTCGGGCTCATGCGCCTCTCCGACCGCTCGATCTCGCTCGGCGTCGTCGTCGATGGCAAGCGCACGCTCCTCGGCTGGACCAACGTTGAGATGGGCTGGCAGGACGAGGAGGGGAATTGGCTGACATAGGTGCCGAATATCGAGCTCGTTGGTTCTATATACTTTCACGTGACTCTGTGTCATCACGTGAACTTTTTTTCACTGCCATCGACCCCTTAGAGCGCACGCCAAGGAGCTCGACCAGGTTGACGGAAAAGAGGTAGCCTACACATGGCAAACGACAGTCGAGAAGAAATCGCATTTCGTGTGCCGACTCAGCATCGCTTCGGTGATACAGCATCTGCCCGTAGCCATCAACACAGTCTGAGCATCGCAAACATGAGGGCGCTGCCTCTAGCCCAGATAGACAACTCTTTCTCGTGCAGTACTTTAAGTAACACGGCAGGAAACCGATTGTCAGCCTCCTGCTGGCCACCTTTTGTTGTGCCGAAGTGGCCGATGACAGAAACACCGGTCGCCTCCATTTTGTTGCTTACGCATATTTTAATGTCGTACGAATGTCGCACAAAGAAATTTCAGATCTCAATGCTTGAAAAGACGGAAGTTTCGCTATTTTCCACCGGTCACTTCAACCTCTCATTTCTCTACCCACTAGCATCAGCATCCGCTCAACCATGTCGTCCCAGTCTCTTGATCCAGGCTGGTGGTATAAAGTCTCCTGCCTCGAAGAATTTTGCGATCAGGCGAACCTGAGTCCGAATGGAAGAGCCAACTTTCTTAGCAGTGTTGAATCCTTAACCGAAGAGGACATTGCTTCGTTTGCATGGCAAGTTGTGATGAGCTCACTAGGACCAAAATCGTCCCAGAAAGTCTTTTTACAAATGCAAAAAGACACAAATTTCATCATCAAGGCATTTCTGTTTCTAGACAAGAACTACGCGAGCTTCAAGCTTTCTGCGACAGAGAGAATAGAAGCTTCTGGAAAGCTTGAGGCCTTGATCACAGCTAAGCATCGGATTGCACCGAATCCCCCGAATTTCAAAAAAGCTGCCGTTGCCTTTGAAGCCCTCGAGCAGCCGACTTTGAAGGGGCGGTATGCCAGCGAGGAGGTCTTCTCATTGCTGATGCGTCAACACGCGCAATACAATGACCTGTACCTGTCTCCTTATACCACTATTGTTGGTCCCTCTGGGATAGGGAAATCCTTCTCGATCAAGCAGCTAGCTACTCGCTATGGCGTCTATGTCGTCTACTCCTGCCTGGCACCTAAGAACAGTCGAGGGTTCCCACGTCCGGTGACTATGGGAACTGCACCTGTAGATGGGGAGCAAGATGACATGATTGCTCAGTGGATGCTGTACCTTCGCAACCAGCTCTTGATAGCCGACTGCTGCAAGAGCGCTGGAATAACAGCTCCTGGTCTTTTTAATCTCCTTACTTCCGACAGTGAGGAGATAATTGCTGCTCGACAGAAGCTCAGGGCTCTTTTTCACAATCAGAACGAAGTCAGCGCCACTGCGATACATGAAGAACTGCTTGTGGCCAGGGTCGTTCTTGAAAAATGGGACTTGAACAGCACTCCAACCATTCCCCAAGAAGACGCTCGGCACCCAGTGATCATTTGCTTCGATGAAGCCAGAGCCCTCCTTGATGGACTAGACAATTGGGCTTTTCGCAGCCTCCGACAGGCAGCCAAGAAGATGATCCAAGACAGCGAAGATAGTGCAAGGAAAGAAGGCAGAAAGGAACGTAAGGACGCTGGCCATCGCGAGGACAGGGAAACTGTATCCTTCTTCATGGTTCTCCTGGATACAACATCCAAAATTAGCGACTTCACCCCGCCTAGCCGATACGATCACAGCGCAAAGGTCACAAACCAGCGTATCTTCCGACCGATATTCCAGATCGACTCACTAGACACCTTTGCCCCTGAGGCTATTTCAGATCCTTCGGGAGAAGAGTCTGCAGTAAACAGCCTGTTTTGTTTCGGTCGGCCTCTTTGGGGGGCTTTTCTCAAGGCGGGCCATTCATGGGATTCCATACTGAACTTGGCTATCGACAAAATCTCTGGATACGAGGGGCAAACAGTTTGCAACATTGCGATGTTGAGTTTTCGCATGAACTTTTACATCTCATCCATCATCTTGGCTAAGGACCTGGTGGCGTCGATGATGCGCTGTCTTGTTTCAGTATCCGTCGATCGAAATGATATCATCACCACGCAGCCTAGCGAGCCGGTGCTGGCATTTGCAGCATCCAAGCTTCTGCAGCAAGCTCCGACCCGCCTCGCATGCATCAGGTCGTGGATCGGCGGACTGCACTCGGGTGCACTGAATCCAGGAGATATTGGCGAACAGGTCGCTTCGATGATCCTCTTATTTGCATTCGACTACGTCGAGTTTGGCGTTGCTACAGAGCAGGACATCACCCCCCATGCAGTCCCCCTTCGTGAGTTCTTAGCGGCGCTACTGGGAAGCCGTGCGTGCGACGACCTATGGCGCTACCATGCCGACACAACGACCGGGAACCTCCTCAAGGACGGTGCCGTCTTCTTTAACCATATTGTGCGCGCATCGACCGTCCCGACCTACGAAGTCTTAGAACATGCATACAAGCGTGGTGCGGCAGTTTTTCTCCCGACCAACTTCCCCGGAATGGACGTTGCGATACCCATCCGCGCGTCTGAGGAAGGCCCAATGGCGCTCCTCTTCATACAGATCAAGAACCGCAAGGGGGACAGTAACACGCCCGGTCTCAGACTGTCTATGAAGGAGGACCTTTGCAAAGCCATTGCGCGACTGAAGCTACAGAAGCTTCACTCTGTCATAGGTCTCGTCATGTGCTTGCGCACACCGGGCAACTCTCAATTTGTTGCCATTGAGCCAGAATCGGGATCGGACATTCCAGGGCCCTTGACCAGGTCCGCAGCGAGGGCGAAAGGAAAGGGTACGAAGAAGGGAATGGGGAAGGCTGTTGAGGTTGTCGAGGGGCCGGAACAGCAGCCAGACAGCCTCCTTCTGGGCATATCGTTTGGTCTCGATTCGACCGTATACCCTTGTCTAAAGGCACCAACCGGGTCGAAGCTGTCGAAGCTTTCGAAAAATCGTAAGAGGTCAGCTATTTTGAGCGGAGAGGCCTCCTCAAGACAGGGCCTGGCAGAGATGGAGGAGATTTGTCATTTATTGGGGGGTTTGTTGGGGACGTGGCCGAACGCGTATGCGGAAGAGGACACAGAGTCAAGGTATGCGAAGAGACTCCTCGATCCCTTCTTTGACCTACACGGCGACGAAGGAGACATCGAGGAAGAGGGTTAGAGGAAGCGCAGACTCCGGAGACGTGGAAGTGCACTGGGTTCTTGTGCTAGGACCTGACAGCCAGGAAATGTTGAGCTGCGTTTTGATATTTAGAGTGATAGATGGACGCATAACGGCAGTAATAGTGTATCTGGAGATCGTGGACGCCGCATCTGCAGGTGCAAAATTGCAAACCTCCTATTATCCACCTCCAAAAGCTGCTGGCCCGACCACCTTCTCGAACCCACAACATACAGCAGGTTACCTCCCGGAACCTTGTGTTCATCACAGGCAGCTCGCCCTCGGCCTGGGAGAGTCCAGACCGGCCTGGTCACAAGGATGAAAGGGGAAATTATGATCGTCGACCTTGAAATCTTGTGTAGTGGTGGTTTCGCAAGCCCGGGTACAACGATAGCTCTATACACCCGCATAGACAATGCATCACACACGCCAGCCACAGAAGGACGAGGCAGCTAGTGCAAAAAGCAAGGGGAAGCACGTCAGCAAACAAACGCGCACTCTGCAGCAGCCACGATGCTTCTATTTTGGAAGGTGTACTCGTGGTACTTCACGGCTTCATGTCCCGAATAGGAAACCAGGGAGACGTAGCAGATGAAGATGGGACTTAACAAGCTCGATCTGGTTGCCCCACCCTTGACGTACTCGTCCGAGGGAGGGTTCATGCTGTACAGGGGCTCCTGAGCAGTACCGATTATCTCCCGAGTTGGCCTGCCACCCCGGAATGCCTGGCTCATGGTAAATGCCGTAGGCGCCTTTCTTCCTCTTTCAACCGATTACGGCATCGATGGCAAGGCGTATTTTTACGAAGCACAAGCGGCAATTGGCTTCTGGCCAGTACGAGTAGCTCGCTGTCGCGGTCACATTGAGCCATGTTTCTAATATCCCGCTAGATCGAAGAAGAGTTGCGTTTTGTCCACGAAGCATTACGTGGACGTTATGGATCTACGGAGTAAGTGCTGCTGCCCCTGGATAACTGGGCCCGACGGGTTACTACTCAGTATATGCGCCAGAATCAGTACGTGGGATAGGTGGAGAGGATCCATAGCTATTTTTGCTCGCGCGGGTGGCAGAAATTTTATTCCGCAGTACGGAGACATGCTCGCAGCAAGAAAGTGAGGAGCAGCAAAGAGGCAATGCATAATGGCAATCTGGTTGTATCTACAGAGTACTCCGTAGGCGTGTCTTGCTTCGACATGGAGCGATGCTTTGAGCAGCGATGTGGTAGTGGATACAACCCAGCAACATCTGTAGGGATCACTACTGTTCTTAACACTGCTAGCCACTCTTTCTGCTGGGCTGATCGGGGGTTCCCCAGAGCGTTTCATGGTCGGACGAACATCTTAAGATATCCCAAGATACTTTGACGTACAGAACGTCCTAGTAGCCCCTGCGGGCCACGCACGGCGACGAATGTATCTTACTTTGTAATACTCGAGCTGGCGTGAGGCTGTGCATAATTTCACGGCTGAACAATTTTAAAGCGAGGTATGTACCCTACGCTAATCAATGGGGCTATGAAAGTACTTTGCAGATTATCTCGTCACGTAGCCGGGCTGATAAGGACCGGTGGCTTGCGCAAGGGCGGGAACAAAGGAATGCTTGATCAAAATCGCCAAATCATTACTGGCCCGAAGGCAAGAGGAAAAAGTAAACAGGACAGGGCAGCACGGCGTGACGAATTGGCCAGGCGCATTGAATATCGTATAGTATGAGGTAAGAAACAGGCAAATACGGCCGGCTATCTTCTCGTATTGACGGCACTATGTAGCTGAGTAATCGTGCATGCAGAGCACTGTCGGCGGCCAAATATCGCCGATTGTCCTAGTCAGCCTCCGACCTGCCCTAAACGGGTCTGGAGCAGAAAGAACTCGTACGGAGTACGCCGTGCGCTGCCTCGAATGCTGTTTCTCCGGGATCGATCAACATATCGTACTCCGTATCTTTTGTACGGAGGACTGCACGACTGTGGTCTCGGCGCAGGCATCCCTGCTCTGCCGGGGTCGGAGGTGATGGCTGCTTTGGAGCATTCCCGAGCACCCTGAATGTCCTCAAGCGCCGGCCTTGCGCTCCTTCCCAGCGCCCCTTCCCCTGTAGGGAGCCTGCAATATAGTGCACCCGCATGCTATGGCCCTTTGGCAGCAGGGGACTTTCGGTCGCTCCCCCCTCCGGCGCCTCGCAAATTAAGCCATCAGCGAGGCAGTGTCGAAAAAGTCCAGGCACAGAGCGAGGCCGCGTCATCTGCCGGCCCTTCGTCTCTACACCCCTCCCCCCCCCCAGCCTGTAACCCCGGCCGGACCGTAAGGCCTGAACCAACCAGATCTTCCCTGCCTTGCGGACAGTCCACAAACCTGTGCTTCGCTCGCCCCTCTTTGCCGCCCTCGTTCCATCTCTGCCCAATCGTCGCGCCTTCGCTCTCACATTCTGCCCACTTTTTGTTTCTGCTCGCTCTTTGTGGCCCCTTTTGCTCCTCCCCTTTCCATACTCCGGGCCCGAGCTTACAGCCGCCCCGTCTTATTTTTCACTCCGCTCACCCCCCCCACCAACTCTTCCTGTGCCAGGCAGCATTATTTTCATAAATCCTCTAGCGAAACGAGTCTCCTGTCTCCCATCTCCTCCCTTTTCCTATTCCAACTCAGTGCCATACCCACTATTGAATCTCTAACACGTTTCTCCTCCACCCCTTCTTCCTACCATCATCGCCCACATCTTGCTTTTCCGAAATATCACTCTTTCCTGCTTCTCTTTTTTGGTCTGTCGACCTCCTCTCTCGTTTTGCTATTCCATCCCCATCTCTGGCTATAAGCTTCTAGACACCAACCATATTCAATCAAACCCTGTAAACGCTCCTCGACAACAAGGCCTCGACTTCTATTTGCATCGGTACTCCGGTTTATGTGCTTCCTATGATGAACACAAACATCAAACAAGAAGGCGACGCTCACAGCGTCATGACCGACAACATGTCCACCACATCAACTGTTCCCCAGCAGGGTCTCATGGACCCTATCGACTCTCTCCTTGACTTGTCGGACTACGACAACGTCCAGCAATACAACTCACCGACGCTTTCGCCGGCAACGTCCAAGAACAACTTTGTCCGCGCTACCGCGGCCTCGACTCCCTCATCCATACTCTCTGCGACGCAGCCGATGACCGGTCCCAGTCACCAGTATGACCAGTACAAGCAGCAGACCGGCTTCGTGCCCGGCGCTCTGGCAAACACGTTTGCCGTCAACCAGAACAACGCCCAGATGGGCACCACCTTTAACAACTACGACATGAGCTACATTCCCGTTGGCAGCAACGACGAGATGTTTGACTTTAACACTGCTCCTCACAATGCGTCAGTCAGCCCATCGGATATCGGGCTCGACTTCGAGTCGTCCTCAACCAACGGCAGCTACTACATCGCAGATGGTAACACACCGATGAGTGTTATTCCCGGCCAGGCACCGCAGGTCATGGCCATGCCATCAAACCTTGCACCGAACAATGGCCAAGCAAACACCGTTGGCCGTCTCTGGCCCGGTATGCATCAGCAGGCCGCCATCGCCAAGGCGCAGGCTCAACAGCGTCAGCAACAGCAGATTATCCAGCAGCAGCAGCGGCAAAACCAGGTGAAGCAACAGCAGCAACAGCAGCAGCAGCAGGGCCAGCGCCACAAGTCTGCTCAGCCCGCGGATCCTATCGTGGAGCAGAAGATCACCGAGCTGCTCAACTCCATGCGTCAGAAGTCATCTTCGCCGACGGATGCTAACGGCATGCCAATTGTGAACATTGGACGGCCAAAGAAGGACGAAGACGACATGGACGAGGACGAGCGTCTGCTTGCCAGCGAGGAGGGCAAGAAGCTTTCTAGCAAGGAGCGTCGCCAGCTGCGGAACAAGGTTTCTGCGCGGGCATTTCGGTCAAGGAGAAAGGGTAGGTTATCACACCTGACAATGACGTTCGTCAGTAGCTTGACTAACATACCTTAGAATACATCTCCCAACTCGAGGCTGAGATTGCCACCAAGGTGTCTGAGAACGGTGACTTGCGGACACAGAACCGGTCTCTGATCGAGGAGAACAAGCGGTTGTCGGATCTTACGCGCATGCTTTTGGGCTCTCCGTCGTTCTCTGACTTCCTTGACCGGCTCAGTTCCAACCCGTCGCTGATCCCGCAAGGCCAGGCCCAGCAGGCGCCGCAGCCGGAGCCGAGACAGGAGCGTCAGGCGCCGAAAGACAGCAATCCGTATTCGGCTCAGCAGCAGATCGGCATGGCCATGATTCCAGAGCAGCACGTCGACCTGTCGATGCTCCAGCTGGACGAGCCGACGTATGCCTTCCAGCCTCAAGTCTTCGCGGTGCAGAGCCTGGATATTCCTGCCTGCATTGATGCATCGATGTTGTCGGGCAAGACGTCCAACTTTGTCGGCTGCAGCGTCTACGATGCCGACGAGGAGAAGATGGATATGCCGGTCATTGCGCATCCCATTGTGGAGAAGAGGGTTATGGAGACGCATGCCACTGTCCCCGTTGACGAGTCTTTTGAGAACGACCCCGCCTTTTCTCTGTACCACGATGCGCCCACTACTGCGGCAGCTGTTGTCACATCAGCTACGGAGTCGTTCAAGCCCGTTGAGCTCAACAACGTGACGATGCCCAATGTCGATGTCTTTGGCGGCATCGACTCGGAGAAGGCTCTGGCACGGTACGAACTTGTTGATGTTGTCGATGGACGCGCTGGCGCGGTGTCAGAGGAGGTTGCGATTGCTAGGATAAACCTGCTTGCCAGCAATCTGAAGGGGATATCTGCAAGGCTGGACATGCTCGTCCCCGAAGCTTGAACGGGCGCTGGAAGTCCGGCTGCTTGCTACCATCTTTTGGCTCTTTTTTCATTTGTTCAGTGTCGCCAATTTTTGTTCATATTTGGCCTGCCGCATCTTTTTTCTTGTGCATCGGGGAAGCCCTATTTTTTTTTTGTACACACCCACATCTTTTCACATGGCGTAGATCAGATTTGGAGACATGGGTAGGATTGGATGGGAACGGTCGTTTTGCAACCGTATTTGTTATCTCACATTAGATATGCCGACCGTGGAAGCGGCCTGGCAGATTCAATTTGTTTATGATTATGACATTTTCAGCAGATGCTTTGCCGCGATATTTCTAGATGCTATGCTTTGTCCTAGCTTCGGACACGTTCGTGAATACATAAAAGAGTGGGCCCACTTTGGGTTGAATAATGCGTTACATAAAAGTAATTCAGGCGGTGTGCAGTTTCCCAACGCATATCGGCAATACGGGGTACTCCGTATAGTGCCAAACATTCCAGCCCGTCGCACCGTTAAAAAACGGCTGCTGCCAAGCAGAATTCCAGTGGTATTTTAAGATAAAAAATTGTGGTAAGGCGGTCGGTGCAAGCAGATGGGGCAGAAACGGTCGATTGCATTGATTTGACTGTGTATGGAGTATAGATGCGACCGCGTTGCAACGAGATAGTGATGGGAGATGTGATTGGCAAAAAGTCGGTGCTAACTGGGGCTCACGTGCAGGATTGACCTGGCAACGGTGGGCTCACAGTGATAAACAAAAGAGCTGGCCTGTCTGCGACGGCCTCAGTCCGCTTCAAAGCAGACAGGGATCCTAGTGGCAGACGACCAGAGCGATCCGGCCCTTTATTGCCGCCGTTGCTGCCGCCCCTAATTTCTTCCCAACGGTTGAGACGGCAAGCGAAGTTGGTTTCCTTTTATTTCTGACTTTTTGAGCACGCACACACAGGCCACCGAGAGGATAGATATCGCGGACATCCTGCCAATACAGGTACACCAGACACGATCAGTCCTTGTCCATACTGTCAGCCGTCTGTCCATCTACGGCAGACGACGACTAGACTCTGATGGCGATGCCGAGCACAGAAGCGGCCGTTGATGGGCAGGAGGAGGCCAAGTACGAAGGATCCGCACACGAAGATGCGTGGACGCGCGACGAACGAAGCTATGAGGAGGACGAGCAGGGCCACGAAGTAGCGGAGGAGAGCTTTTGTGATGACGGCCCACGTGGCGATGTGCATGGGAGCAGCGATTCCGAGCGGGAGGAGCACAGCGGCCATGACCACGACCACAACGACGACCACAACGACGAGCACGACGAGCATGACGAGCATGATGACGATGTGTTCAGCCAGCACAGCCAGAGCGAGCGCAGTCCGCGCAGCTCGCTCGACGGGTCTCTGGACAGCCACGGCGGCAGCTCGGGCAAGAAGACAGCCAAGGCGGACGAGAGCTACGAGCAGCACGAGGACGGCTACGACGACAGCGTGCATCATCACCAACGGCTGCCGCGACTGTCGGGCATGTCGGCGGGGTCGGGCTTTTCGCAGGGCGGCGCGATCTCCAACATGTCGCAGTACCTGGAGGACTCGACGGCGGACTCGGGCCACGACGGCGGACAGAGCCAGTTTGTCGCGCGAGCGGTGTCGACGTCGATCGGTGGCAGCGGTGGTCGAGGGGCGTTTCGGACGCCATCGGCGGTGCGAGCGATGCAGATGTCGTCGCCGTCGCCGTCGCCGTCGCAGTCGCCGTCGGTCATGTTTGGGATGTCGCCGCGATCGGCGCGACAGCGACGACGACAGCAGGAGCAGCAGCAGGGCCAAGGCGAGACATGGATCGCGTCGCCGCCGACACGGACGGCATCCCGGTTCCGGCCGATCCAACCGGAGCCAGCGCCGCTGGTGTTGCTGCACGCGACGCTGATGCCGACGCGATGGGCCTGGGCCGACGTGCTGGATCGCTGGGGCGAGGCAGCCGAGGAGCAGGCGGGCGAGACCGAGCACGACGCGGCCGAAGGCGAGAACAGCGAGGGCAGCCCGGGCAGCCCGGGGACACCCAGCCGGGCCTTCCGGCGGCTGCACACGGCCTGGTGCCGGCTGCAGTCGTTTCTCAACGGCGAGACGGTGTCGGAGCGTGGCGTGCTGCTGCCACACCCGCAAAACGACTTTGAGGTGCTGGAAGAGCGGCTGCTGGAGGCGCTGGAGCTGCCGGTGCGACGACGGGCGCGCATCCTTGAGTGCGGACACTACCTCGGGCCGGTGGACGATGACGACGACGACGGCGATGATGGGTACGAGGACGAGGACAGCGTGGCAGGCGAGGACGAGGACCTGGACGAGGACCACGACCACAGCGAGACGGACACGGCGCATGGTGGCGACAGCAGCATCAGCCGCCACAAGGAACGACGGCACTGGTGCGGGATGTGTCGGGCGGAGATCCGCTACGAGCCACTGCGGGCGGAGCGGGTGTTCCGGGTCAAGGTGTACGCTAGCAACGGGCTGATGACGGCGGGCGCGTGGGCTGCGTGCTGGCGCGAGATGGAGCGGGTGGACGTGGAGATTGAGCCGGTGGTGACGGACGCGGCGCTGCTGCGAGAGCTATCGCGAATCCGGGCAACACAGGAGGTGAGAGAGGTGAGAGAAGTGGGGGATGAAGAGAAGGAGAAGGAGATGAAGGAGAAAGAGGTGAAGGAGGAAGGGCTGAAAGACGAGACAAGCGACATGCTTACGGAAAAAGTTCAGACGAAGACGAATTCGGCTGGATGGAAGCAGCAGCACGAGTCGGCTTCACTGACCGCTCTCCTGATGGCAGCTGGTCGTGTCATTCTGCGCGATCACAAGCGCATGGCCATCACGGTTCTGAGCGGTCTGGTGATCATGCTGGTGGCGCTGCGAACGGCCACGGCGCCACTAGAGGTGATCGTGTCGGCGGGGATGCCGGGTGTGGTCCCGCCGGTGGTGCCGGTGGTGAGCGCAGAGGCGGCCGTGAAGGCAGAGCCGCTGATGCGCGAGCTGGCCGTCGCTGCAGGCAGACAGCCGGTGACGGACACGATCGCGGGCATGGATGCCGTCCCGACGACGACGACGGTGGAGACGGTGACGCAGCGACAGACGGTGCAGGTGTTTGAGACGGTGACGGAGCGAGTCACGGCGACCGAGAGGGTCCGAACGACGGAGACGGTCACGGCGACGGAGTCGGCCAACAAGGCCAAAAAGGTCTTTGAAATCGAAGCGGCGCGGACTGTGGCGCAGATGGACGTCGACAGCGTGGCGGCCGAGTACGGGCTCGAGCTCGTCGCCGACAAGAAGAGCACGGCCGGCCAGCCAGGCTTCAGCCCCGTCGACGCCAAGCCAGAGTACATCGTGGCCGGCAGTCTTGGCGGGAGCTGCTGCGATCGGAGCAGCTGCTGCGACCGAGATGTGGCCCTGTTCTGATCTTCTTTGCTCTTGGACTGCATCGGTCCATCCATTTCTGCATCAGCCCCTCCTTCTGGATACCAGATAGCCTGCGCCTTGAACATTTCCCAGCACACCTAGACGCTAGCGAGCGCGCGAGTTTGTCAGTTTGCCCGTTTGCAGCTTGCCGTTTGCCGTTTGCCATTTGCCAGCATATTATGGACGGGAGGCGGTGCTTAGTCAGCTGTCCTTGTCATAAGAGAATGTATTAAGTCCTGATGCCTATGGAAATTCCGTGTCCAAACGCCATTTTGTCCTGTCCTGTTGCCCGTAAAGCAAGCGATCCGGCTTGATTCAGCACCGTCCACCCTACCACTCGCCCGCCAAGGACTTGATCGTCCCGAGCACCAGGCTCAGCGCGACCCCAAAGCTGACAAAGACCTGCCACTTGCGCGTCCAGAGTCCGTGTTCACGGGCCAGCCAGCCGACGGCACCCAGCGGGAAGACGAACCCGACCAGCATGCCGCGGACCATGACGTCGAGCAGTCCGGGCATGCCGGCGTCCTCGTCGGGTGGCAGGGGGCCGTCCGTGTCGACGTCGGCGGTGCCAGACGACGCCCCGTAGCCAGACGCGGTCGTGGTGCCGCCGCCGCTACTGCCACCGCCATCGTCGAGCCAGCGGTCCTCCATGGCCCGGAGCGTGTCGGGCGACGGCATGGCGTCGGGCGTGAAGCGTGTCGCCTGGATGCTGCGGAACTGCAGCCGCAGCTGGTTGACCTCGGCAGCCGAGAAACCGGTGGCCAGCAGCCGGTCGAAGCCGTGTGGCGCTGCCAAAGTGGAAGTGGCTGTGGCTGTGGCTGTGGCTGTGGCTGTGGCTGTGGCTGTGGCTGTGGCCGGCCGCCTGGCCGATCCCGGCAATGGCCAGGCGAGCCGTCGACTGGTGGCCGTTTCCGTCATGCCTCCTTCTCTGCCTTCTCCTCTGCCCGGTACCATCACCGTCGCTGCCGTGCCGTCGTGCCGCACCACCATCGTCGCATCGCTGCCGTCGTCGCCCCGCATCGTCGTCGTCCGCGTCGCGGTCCCGCCTTCGTCACCACCAAAGAGCGACAGCCCCGTCGTCGCGGCCATCACCTCGGCCATCAGCTCGTGGTCCGGCTGCACGTCGCCCATGCTGCAGTTGATGTATATGCGGACCGGCGCCGCGTCCGCCGACGTTGGCTGCGTCGACGAGCGCCCAGACCGTCCAGACCCGCCGTTCCCTCCTCGTGCTCGTGGTGGTGGCGGCACCATCATCGGTCGCAGCGCCCGGCTCAGGATCGCGTCGTCCGCCAAGATCTTGCCACCGTAGATCAGCCGCAGCCGTCGTCGATGTGCATCCCGCAAAACATCCGCTCTCGCGTTTGTGTTTCCCTTTCTGTCTCCGTCGCCATCTTCTCTCCGTGCTGCCGCTTCCGCTCTCGCTGCTCGCGTCGCCTTGGCCGCTTCCACCTCCATATGCATCAGCTGCGCCCGGATCAGCGGCTTCAACCCCGCTACCGTCATCCGGTGCGGCTCTGCAATGTCCAGCGGTACGTCTGGCACCGACAGAAACCGTATCATCAGCCGTAGTGGCGCCACGACCCCCGGCGAAGACGTCGCCGCTCGCTTGCTCGTCATCCGTCCGCCACGTCGCCTGCCACTGCCATCGTCCTCTGCTCCGTAGTCGCTCATCGTCGCTGTGCAGAAGAGAAGGCTGTGGCGCTACCACATTGGAGCTCTCAACTGCTTTCGGCAGGCCCCTTATCTGACGTCACGTGCAGCTATCTCTCCACTGATGCTTTGTCAGTACAGTATGGCGTACAGTACAGATTACGGAGTCTTGCACTCCTTCTCGATACACGGTACAAAGTACAAGTACAGTATGATTTCCTTGCCTATGCCTTGCCTACATATGAAGACCTCCCTTCCAAACCAATATATAACCGTTACATAGCGTACATTTTCCTCGTGTCGTGGTTCCAAAAAAACGCCTACTCCTTAGAGTTTTGAAAGAGGAAAAGAGATCGGACCCCGTCGGCAATCTTGGCCATGCCCTTGTCGACCGAATGCTCCAGCCGGAACCGTGCCATCTTCTTGTCGCGAAACTTCTGAAGGTCAACGCCAGACCGCAAAACGTAGTCAAACAAAGCATCCATCCCTTCGCAGGAACCGAGCGAAGAGCACTCAAAGTAGCCGTTGCAGCGCATCTTTGCCGCAGCTTCTTCTCCCTGTCGTGCGTTAGCGTGAGCTGAAGACACGTTAAAGCTCCATAGACTTACTTCGGCAACGGATACGGGGACCGCATCCTCGTCGTCGAGCGACATGTGAAGAGGAGGAAGGCGATGACGAGCATCCATTTTCAGTCCTGCCAAGACGACGACTGCATTTTCCTCGTACATGGCGATATCATTGCGGTACTGTCGACCGAATCTTGTCAGCACGGCACATCTTTCCGAACAGCAATACCGCTTGATCGCTCACACACCTTTTGCAGATTCTCGAGGCTGCTCGGTCGTCCGACATCAAAACAGAGAACAACCACACTGAACCAGCCCAGAGCAAGGATGCTCGGCTGGCCCGCATCGTGCCCACTGCCAGCCTCCGAGAGGTTCAGCTGGACACGGACATCGTCCACGGTCAGCCGGAATGTACTCTCGTGAATGTCGCTTGGCACGTAATCCTTCGGAAAGGTGCCGTGGACAAGACGTCTGCGCCCTTGTTAGCGTGCATTCGCAAAGACAGTCCAAGCGAACAAAGTCGTACCGAATCAGAGCGCTCTTCCCCACAGGGCCGTCGCCTATGAAAGCGACATTGACAATCATGTCCGGCCGGTCCTCGTGCCAGACAGCAGCCTGGCCGGGATGCGCACCAACGGCTGGCTTCTTCATCATTCGCCGAAGCGCGCCCGAGCCAGACGCACGCAGTGAGCCGGGACGCTTGGACAGGGATGTACGGAAGCTGCTTTTTCGCCGCTGCGGCTTGGCCGCCTGGCTGAACTGATACGGCTGCTCGCTCTGTTTGGCCGCGTCCTCCGACGACATGGTCTCGCTATGTCTCCGCACGGCAGCCATCTCGACGAGTTCTTCGATAGCCGGGGCCAAGGCAAGCGACGACGAGACCTTTTGGGAAAACCGCCGGACCGGGTCGAGAATCTTGGTGCGCTTTCGCGCCAGCATCCCGTCCAGCTCCTGCTTCTGTGTCAGTAGCGCGCTCCAGTGCATCGGTAGGGTCGGTTAGGCAACCAGATAGACAAACCTCCGAGTTGTGCCTCTTCTTGCTTTCCAGAGGAATCCAGCCCGGGACATGGTCCACATTTTCTTTGTCGTGGTTGTCGAGCTTCACATGTCTGCCCTCCTCGCCGATACTGACAAGTCGGACCTGGCGGGACGAGGGCAGCTTGAGCGGTTGGGGGTGCAGCGGGTGATTGGTTTTGGGGTTGAGCCCCTGGAGGTATCGTTCCTGTGGTGACATGGGTAGCGGAATGTCGGTCAGCCATTGCTGCATGCGGGCCTCCCGGCCACGAGGCCCAAGCGACGAGCTGTTGGAGCGAATGCGGTGCGGTGGCGACGGCGGCGTCTGTTCTGGTGTTGGGAGAGCTGCTTCTGCCGCCATGCTCTGTCCGCCAGCAGACAGGAGGCCAGCCGACTGGAGCGGCGTCATTGGTGGCAGCATGTGCGACGTGTCTGGAGAAGGGGGGGTACTCTCCGACGCCTGGGAGTCCTGAGGTGTTGGAGGTGTGACCCACGAGGTGGCCAAGACATGGGTTTGCGAGGGACATTTTGGCGTGAAGGCGCCACGCAGCGGGTGGGGGAAGTTTGCAGCCATGGCCGAAACGGACGAAGACATGACAAGGTGAAGATAACGAGAAGACGTGCAGCGTGAGCATGCGCGTGGAAAGAGTGTGAGAACAGATGAATACGACCAAATGCAGTGGACGGTCAAAAGAGCGGATGTGGGAATACCGAAGATCACATCTAGTCCGCCGAAAGCCAACGCAAGAATGCCTAGTTGGCAGATCGGTGGCGGTTGTAAGGTACAAAAAGATAGTTGGCGGCCCGAAGCAGCAATAATCAGCAATGTCCGACGTTGGGTAGTTCTCCAATCTCCAACAGGCTGCAGGATACTATGTAGTAGCGACTGGAATGGAGGCAGGCCTCCGATGTCTCGATTTGGCGGCCCGCTGCGAGACTGTAGGACAAGAGCAAAAAAAGAAATGGATCGGCCGGAGAGGCTGGAGACGGCGCCCTGAAGAATTGCACATGGACTCTCGTTGGGATGCAGGAGAGGAGAGAAAAGAAGGAGACGGAAAGGACGGTCAGCGACGCGTCGTTGTTGCCGTTCCTGTAGCGACTTGACGCGTCTGAGGCCGGGAAGAAAACAACGCGCGCGTCTGGAAAGCAAGCTCAGCCTACGCGCTGTTCGTTTCCCTGTTTATCGTTCAGCGACAGGGTTCCACAGTCCAGCGCCCCTTGCGTCTAGAGGACACGAGGTGGCACAAGCAGCAGATGCTTCCATGTTCTACATAGCAGAGCTTTTGTGGAAGTGCTGCGATTTGTACGGAGTACCAAGGTCTGCATTCTGGATGATGGCTGTGTCGATCGATCGCCCTGTGCTTGTGGGCCTTGCGGGGTGAAGATCAGCTCGGAGAGTACTCCGTACTCCGTAGAGCCTCCTAGTATGTGCTGTACTGAATACGTGAATATCGGATAGTTGAATTACAGAACACGTGCCAGCGATGGCGTAACAGCGACGGATAACGTCGTCATTGAGCCCTGGGCGGGGCCCCGAGGCCGGCGCAGAGAGCAGCGATGGCGATAGCGACAGAAGCAGACTAGAGGCCAAGGACGAGATAAAATCCGAGCAGCCCCTCAGTCCGGGGCCAGCGCGCATTTTTGGTTGATAACGTCCAATGCAGCGCCAGACTCTGCGGCCCATCGTGCAGCGGTTCCTTGGATCGTCGCCCTTCGTCTCGATCTCGATCTCGACCTCGACCTCCGCTCTGCGTCTCTTCTCCTCCGGCCGCAGCAGGATGAGTGCCAAACTCAAGCCGGCGTCGCGGTTCTCCGACAGCCGCAAGGATGTGTGGTCGATCATCAACGAGGCGGCAGCAGCGTCGCCGAAGCAGCCGATCGTGAACCTGGGGCAGGGCTTCTTCGGGTACAACCCGCCGGCGTTTTTGCTGGCAGCGGCCAAGGCGTCGCTGGACCGGGTCGACTGCAACCAGTACAGCCCGACCAAGGGACGGCCACGGCTGCGCAAGGCGATCGCGGCGGCGTACTCGCCGTTCTGGGGCCGGACGCTCGACCCGGAGACGGAGGTGACGGTGACATCGGGAGCCAACGAGGGCATGCTGAGCGTCTTCACGGCCTTTGTCGAGGCGGGCGACGAGGTGATCGTGTTCGAGCCCTTCTTCGACCAGTACATCAGCAACATCGAGATGCCCGGCGGCAAGGTCGTGTACGTGCCGCTGCATCCGCCGGCCGACGGCAGCGAACAGACGACAGCAGCGTCGGCCTGGTCCATTGACTTTGGCGAGCTCGAACGTGCCATCACGCCGCGCACCAAGATGCTCGTGCTCAACACGCCGCACAATCCGGTCGGCAAGGTCTTCTCGCGCGCCGAGCTCGAGCAGATCGCCGCCCTCTGTGTCCGCCACCAGATCATCATCCTGTCCGACGAGGTCTATGACCGCCTCTTTTACGTGCCCTTTACCCGCATCGCCACCCTCGCGCCCGAGGTCGAGCGCATCACCATCACCGTCGGCTCGGCCGGCAAGAACTTTTACGCCACCGGCTGGCGCATCGGCTGGCTCATCGGTCCGCCCGACTTGATCCAGTACGTCTCGGCTGCCCACACCCGCATCAACTTCTCGTCCGTCTCGCCGCTGCAGGAGGCCTGTGCCATTGGCTTCGAACAGGCCGAGGCCGAGGGCTTCTGGCAGACATCCATCACCGACATGAAGGCCAAGATGGACCGCTTCAACGAGATCTGGAAGGAGCTCGGCATCCCCTACTCCGAGCCCGATGGCGGCTACTTTGTGCTCGTCAACCTCAGCAAGGTCCACTTGCCGCCCGACTATCCTTTCCCGCCCGATGTGGCCAGCCGGCCGCGCGACTTCAAGCTCGCCTGGTTCCTGATCCAGGAGCTGGGCGTTGCCGCCATCCCGCCCACCGAGTTTTACACCGCCGCCAACCAGACCATTGCCGAGGACTACCTCCGCTTTGCCGTCTGCAAAGACGACGACGTGCTGGAGAGCGCCAAGGAGCGGTTGCGCGGCCTGAAGAAGTACTTACGGGAGTAGGCGGAAGATGTATTTCCCATATGACAGTAAAATAGACATTACTCATCCTACCTTTGGCCACTTGGTCACGTGCTTTTAGAGTACAAGAAAATGCAATGGGTATCGTACATGCCTTCTCCCTCCTCACACAGCCCACCGGACCAGGCCGACGGCCAGGGCGATGACCAGGCCCAGCAGTCCAGCCAGCACGACCAGCAAGCCTGTCGGCAGTGGTGGGCGGTGGTTCTTCTTGGTGCCACTGCCAGCCGCCGCGTCCAGCTCGTCGTAGATGCCATCGATCCGCGCAGCCATCTGGGCGCCGGCAAACTGGGAGCGGACACGACGGCGGCCGGCAGCAGCCATGCGGGCGCGCTGGGGATCCGGGATGCTGTCGACCGCCCCCGGCAGGGCTCTGCTCATGATGGTAGTCCAGGCGGCCACGTCGGCGGGCGGCCGCAACCAGCCGGTCTCGTCCTCGACGACCGTTTCGGTCGGGCCGCCGGTATCGCAGGCCAAGACGGGCAGGCCGGCCAGCATGGCCTCGAGTGGGACGATGCCAAAGTGCTCGCGGGCCGGCGTGTAGACAAGCAGACGGGCGGCCTGCAGCAGCACCGTCTTGAGCGCGGACGGGACCGACAGCAGGAAGAGAACGTCGACGTCGGCTGGCACGCCCAAGGCCGAGACCATGGTCTTGGCCGTGGCTGTGCGCAGGCCCAAGTCAGTCGCTAGCCGGTCGAGCTCGCGGTGGTACTCGACGTTCTCGGCCACGCGAGGATCATAGCCGCCTGAATTCGAATTAGCGGGGAGAAGAAGATAGGAGGTTGAAATGAAGAACAGAAGAACAAAAACTCACCTGCTACTACCAGACGGCTGCCTGCTCGTCGTCCGGCCGGCAGCCCGGCAAAAGCCCGCACGGCCAGCCCGACGTCCTTTTTGCGTTCGAACCGGTTGATGCTGAGCAGAAACGGCATGCCGCCCCACGGCAGCACCGGCTCGTCCTTGTCCCTTTCTTCCTTGTCCTCCCCCACCTCGATGCACGGATACACCACCTGCAGGTCCGTATGAGCTGCCAGCTGCGGCCACGTCTCAGCCACGACGCCGCGCGTGAACCGCGAGTTGACCGCCACCGCGTCCGCAAACCCCATGCTCCACTGCTCCAGAGCGTCAAAGGGCATGCGGTAGAGCCGTTTCCACCAGCGCTGCCGGCCTTGCACCAGGAGCAGGTCCGGAAAGTGACAGTAAAAAAGAATCTTTTTCTTGTTTTCCTCGCTTCGCTCGCTTTCTTTTTTTTCCTCGCTTCGCTCGCTTTCTTTCTTTTTCTCGCTTCGCTCGCTTTCTTTCTTTTTCTCGCTTCGCTCGCTTTCTTTCTCCTCGCTTCGCTCGCTTCCACATCGACTGCTCACCCATCGCAGTAGTGGAAGCCCGGCTGAGAGCTGGTCCACAAACAGGGCCGTCGGCCGCAATGCTGCCAGCTCGCCCGACGCCCAGATCTGCACCAGCAGATGTGTCTGTCGCGCGATCGCGCACACAATCGCCAGCCGGCCCAGCACCGTCGGCGGCACCACGCTGCCCCCGCGCACGCGCACGTCCAGCGTCCCGCTGCCCGGACGCACCTCGTCAAAGCAGTGTGCCGGGTCGCAGTGGCTCGTAAAGATCACCACCCGGTGTCCACGCTTCTGCAGGCCCACTGCCGCGTCCACCACCAGCCGCTCCGCTCCGCCGATCCCCAGGTCCGGGTGCAGAAACACCACCGTCCGCGGCTTCTCCGCTGTCGTTCGCGTCGTCGTCCGCGTCGTCGTCGTCGTCGTCTCCGCCATGGCTGTGTGTTGCGGTTGTTGCGTTCCACTTGGCGCGTTCGCTTACGTGACGTGTCTAGAGGTGTGGTGCGAGTACTGTATTTAAACTGTGGACGGCACTGTCCTCGTAAAACTATACGATCACTCCGTACTCCGTAGTGCTCCATATACTCCGTACACTGTACCATACACTGTCTACAGCACTACACCCTAACATACCAAAACATATACTCGTAAACGTACATCCAACCCGTGCATTCATGTCCCATCCCCCTATGCAAACGTATCCTCGGCTCCCCATCGACTTCCGTCCGTCGTCGTGCTTGCTCTCCGGCTCATTCGCGAACTCGTCCGCTCGCTCGCACACTCTCTCGCCCGCTCTCCCATAATGCCCTTCGCATTCAACGCCTCCCACACGGCATCTCGCACTTCGCCCAGATCCCGCCTCACCGGTAGCCCGTCCAGATGCTTCAGCTTCCGGCACGCCTCGCCCACCACCTGCTCGTAGACGCGTCGCCGCATGGCCGTCGCCAGGTCCAGCCTCTGGCAGTATGCCTGGTCCTGTGCCTCGTCTGCAGTCGGAAGCGAAAACGGCTCGGTCGGAACGTCACTGCATACGCTCCCCAACACGCTCCCCGTGACGCTTCCCAGCACGCTGCCCGTGACGCTCCCCGACACACTCCCCGAGACGCTCCCCGAGACGCTCGACACCACCACCTGCACCGGAGGCGGGTAGAAGCCCTGCGAGAGCGGATTGTCCCGCAAATCGGCCTCCACGAGGTGCGCAAAGCCCGCCAGCACCTGGATGGCCGTGTATGCATGGGCCAGCCGATTGCCCGCCACCTGCAGCTTCTTCAGCCGCGAAATGCCCTCGAGACAGCGCAGGTCTGTCATGCCGTTGAAATTGACGTTCAGCTTGCGCAGATTCGGCGTCGTCAACCCAAATTCGTGCGGCAGCGCCGTCAACCCGCAGTTGGCCAGCTCCAGCAGCTGTAGGTTCAGAAAGTCCACGGGCGGATCAAACTTGTCCAGCCGGTTGCCCGACAGGTACAGCTTGCGGATCTCGTACGCGTGGTATAGTGACGAGAGGCTCAGACGCTCCGATGATGCCAGCCGCTGTTCCCGCAGCGACACGCTGTCCAGACGCGCCGTCTTCGAAAAGCCGCGCACGCTCGACAACCGGTTGCGGTCTGCGTGCAGCGTTCGCAGCGATGGCAGCCCTCGAACATCCAGTGACGTCAGTCGGTTGTCGCTCACGTTCAGCGTCCGCAGTTGTGGCAGCACCCAGTTGACATCTGCTCCGAACTGCCGCAGTCCGTTTCGCCGTAGATTCAGTGTTGTCAGAGCGCCCAGCTGCTCCAGCCGCATCGCCGTCTCGATCTCGTTGTCTTCCAGATCTAGTTCCACCAGTCGCTGTAGCCGTGTCCCCGAAAAGTCCACTGCCCGGATCTGGTTGCCTCGTGCTCGCAGCGTCAGCAGAGCGTCGTGGTACTTGATGCCGTCCAGGTCCGTCAAGCTGCAGTTGTCCGCCTTGAGTCCCCGCAGATGCACCAGGTTCTTCAGCCCTGCCAGCGTCTTGACCGCGTTGTTCGACACGTCCAGATACTGCAGGTTCGCCAGGCTCACCCACGACGTCAGCTCCGACAACTGGTTACCCACCACCTTGAGATGTCGCACCGACACGGGCACCCCATTGAGGTTGCGCAGCGCATTTCCTGCCGCGTCCAGTGTCACCAGCTGCGGGCAGAACTCGTCTAGCTTGTGCAGACTCTCCAGCCGCTTGTCCTGCACGTCCAGTTCCTCCAGGTCTTCCCAGAACGGCTCTGACGGCTCTACCTCTGCCAATCGCTTCACCAGGCTCTGCAGGCTCTGCGACATCACTGCCGTCGACTCGTCTCCCGTCACCAGGTGTCGTGCCCCACGCACGTAGCTCGCCTCGAGCGCCAGAGACCGGTCGTGGTGGATGGTGAATTCGGACATCGGACTGAGCGACATCATCCCCACGTATTGTGCCATCACCTCCTCGTCGTCGCCTCGTCCCGCCAGCGCGTCCATCGTCCGATCGCCTGGGGTCGTCACCAGCACGCTGATGTTTGTTCGTTGCCGCCGTGGAGTCCCTTGTTCTTTGCTCTCGCTGCCTGTTTTGGCTTCATGCTGGTCAGACGTCGCGTCGAGTCGCCGCTCTGTGCTGTCTTCCTCTCTCTCTTCGATTCGCGAAATCGGCCGTGCCACAAACGCTCGTCCGGCCAGCGAGAATCTTCTTGACGGCCCCCGCGATGTGCTCCGCGATCTGGACGGCGTGTCTGTGCGCTTCAGCTGCACCGAGACAGTCCGTTCCCGTCCACGCTGCACCGCTGGTATTGATCCGTCCTCAGTCGCTGTCGTGCTCTCGTTCCGCTCCGCTATGCCTCCGTGTCTGCAGTCGTCCTCGTCCTCGTCTGCCACAAAGTCCTGGATAAAGGACGCTATCGGCGACGAGAAACTGATCGCCAGCTGCCGTCTCTTCAGCGCCATCGACTGCGGTCCACGGCCTTCATCGATGCTTATTTCGTGTTCGACCGCTCCGTCATCCCCGTCTTGCAACGGTGCGGCTGCAAAGTCAGACTTGGTCACGAGCGTCGGCCCCGAACGCCTCGTCGGGCTCTGCGTCGGTGTCGTAGACATGCCTGCGCTTTCCTGTGCCGCCGATGCAGACACGCTTCTCAGGTTGTGCAGCTCCATTGTCACATCCACCGAGAGATCGGGAATGTCTGCAAACGGGTCGTCTTCGCTGCAATCCGACGGCAGAGAATGAAAATTGCCCGAGAACTGGCTCGAGCTGCCGTTCCTCCTCTTGATCCAGATGTTGTTGTCCCTGTCCAGCATCATGTTGCCGACCTGGTCCGGAATCAGGTGCGATACCTTGTCTGGCGCGATTGTCTTTCGCGACTCAGAGCCGTGAGATGATCCCGACGGAAACGATCGCCTAGAGAAGTCCGACCCCACAGATCCCTGTGACAGCTGCGATGTCATGCCGTCTCGCAGACTAGACTGCGCACTCGGCGACTCGCTTCGTCGCCGTCTTGGGCCCTCTGATATTCGCATATTCGGCGGGTCACTGATCGTCTCACTGTCAAGATGGATAGACCGCGTCGTCGACGACACGAGATCGGCCAGGTCGCTGCGCTCTGCGTACTGCTTCAGTCGCGCGATCACCTCAGGATCCTCCTGTATCCTCGTCACCCGCGGCACCGGCTTGCCCTCGCGGCTCGGTGGTCGTGAGAACGGCTCCTGTGTCGACTGTTGAGATGAGCCGTCAGAGTCATCATCCGCTTTCTCTGCGATCACCGGCGTCTCCATCTCCGACTCTTCCAAGCTTGCCAGTCCGCTCTGGATCCCGCCCCCACGGTTTCGCAGCATTGCCATGATCTTGTTCGCTTCGTTCATAAAGTCCTCCGTCCTAATGGATGGCTTCCGGTCGCTATCCATATGGGCGCCTGTCGCAGGACCCGCCTGACTGCTGTTCGCCGAACCCTCCCAGTTCTCATTGGCATCCATGTCGGCACGCGAGTCGTCGTCTTGCCCGTCGGCATCTGCCGAATTCTGGCTTGGATTCGTTGATGTCCTTCCGCTAGACGAGGGTGCGAGGGGCCATCGGATCTGACGATTCGCGAGAACATCGGGCTCTGCAGACTGAAACTCGTCCTCCTCGCGAGCTTCCCGGCGTTTTCTCGCCACAGCGGACTGCGTCTTCGCATGTGTCGCACGCACAGAGCTCAAAGCCGTCTGCGGCCATTCGATCCCAAATGCAATATCCGACTTGTGCAGCGTGCGTCTCCGCTTGGGCGTAGAATCTTTAAACGGCGACGTCCGCAGCCTCTTTTCAGACCCAGATGCAAATCGTCGTGGCGTTTCCGGCGATGCCCGCAACTCAGCTAGATCGGTCGAGTGTGGTCTTACAGAGCTCTTCGTTCCGCTCACTCGCTGTCGATGGACATGCAGTTCGCCTTCGCTCTCTGGCAGCGCACCCGATCGTCCCACATAGAAAGGCAGCTTTGGAATTTTCTCGCGAGAAAGCTTCATTTTACGGATCGGAACGGCCTCCTCGTCCGGTCCGTTTTCGCTGAATGAAAACCCGTCCAGCTCGCCACTTCCGAAGTGAGCTGAGCTCTGTCGGGACGCCTGGGTAGGCTCCATGTTGAGCCGGTGTGGACTGCCGCTGATGACTGACGACATGTCTAGTTTAGACTGATCGTCTGCTTCGCGAAAGGCCGAGAGGTCGGCAGATAATTGGGAGCCGTTGGACAGCTGGTCTTCAAATTGGCTGATCCTCCGCATCAACGTTTGATTTGTAAACGTGTCGTACGGCCCAAATAGCTTGAGGGGACTGCCAGAAGTTGAGAAGAGTGACTGGGGTTCGCTCAACGGCTTCGCTGGGCTTGGATTGGGTGCACGCGGCAGCATGGGAGTGTGCTGCCTCTCCAATGTTGTCTTCTCTGACCGGATGCTAGGAAACTGTTTGGGCGTGCTGGCTTGGAGAGACTCCTCGGGGAGCATCTCTGACGTGTCTGCCTCCAGAGATGGACTCAGCAGACGGATGCGAAATGAGCCATCGGAAGACCGGCCACCCCTCCTAAAGTTGATAAATCCACCCATTTTCTCGTACTCCTCCGTGCTCTCTGGGTTCCGGAGCTTTGTATCCAGGCCGATAGACTCGTCATGCGCCATGTTCTCGCCAGCCTTGTCCGTCAGGGCTACCTGGTTCCAGCGCAGATTCTCCAGCCGCCGCTTCAGTTCGCCGGGCGGAAGCTCGACTTGCCCAAACACAGCGCCACTGCCGTCCTTGTCCCCCTTTTCCGGCGAGATGAGAATAGCACTAAAACTTTCGTTGCGAAGCACACTCTGCCCACTCGTAAATCTCGACTCTTGTTTCATCGGCATGAAAACGTGGTTTTCCTCGGAAACTGCAAGCCCTCCTGTTGTGTCTGCTTCTGCCGGCTCGCTCACATGTTGGCCACTTCTGTCGATGCCAGCATTCCGGTCACTTTGGACACTATGGGCACTACAGTCTGCCTCTTCAATCACTGGCATGTCGCTAGGGTCCTCTATTCGTAGCATAAATTGCCGGGGCTGCTGCGGAAGTTCTGGCGCCGGACAGCCATCAACGCTATCGTAGGACATGTCGTAGTGCCGCTGACTCACCGGCGGACTGGACGGTAACGTGGTATCGTGTCGTGACTCGTCATGTTGGGGCTCTTGCCCACCAGCTTCGACTACCTTAAAATCTTCGAACGCCTGTTCTGTTCCTCTCTGCCCCTCATCCTGTTGCTCTTCTTCTTCGGCCGCCACAGACACCTCCACTTTGGCGGGAGCTGCTGGTGGCTGGAAGATGTTCTCCAGGCCCAAGCGCGTAGGGCTGAATAGGTCTCGCTGTTCTCCAAATCCCAAGGCACCCTCGACGAGTCTCCGCCTCCACTCCGGAGTGCCACCCTTATTCGGAGATGTGCCCGACGGTTTGCGCTCGACCGTGTTGTGCACCACAGATCCTGCCGCAGACGCCGATCCTGACCGCTGGGAGAGCTTGTCTTGGTCTTGGACTTTCAACTCTCCCGGCAGCTTCGACTGCTTGGGGCGCGAGCTGAGTATGTTGATTTCATTTGCGCTTCGTTGGCTGAGAACATTACTGCTGTTCGCAGGAGACACCGACGGGAATTGTCTGACCGAACCGGGTGAAGGGCCGGGGCTTGACTGAGTGCTGGATACTGTCTCGTTCGGCTTTCTGGAAATCGTGGTAGACTCTACGGCTGCGCACTGCGATGTGTCGGAGCCATTTTGGGACACCCAGTCCTCAGAGAGGGAGTCAAGCCAAGCATGGCCCATTGCGCTAATATGGGTAAGAATTGATCGGTCGGAGACGTATGGGCGGTGTTATTTTAATTTTATTCCATATAGCACTAGGAAGATAGAGGTAAGAAATGTCGTCTGCAAGAGGTAGACGATGTTGATAATGTTTTGGCGGGGATGTGCTAATGTTTTGTTTGGAAGACTGTAGAGTTGCCGGCCATATACAAACGCTCAATAGAATAATTCCGGATAGAGAGAATGGGGGATAATAGTTTCGAGGCCACGAGACGCATGCGGGATGAGGGCATGCGCACAGCTTTTGTATGGTCGCGGCGGTCGACGTTCAAGGTTATTGCGTCTAGCTTGCGATTTGTGATTTATCAAAACGGAACCCAATCGCGTCTGCCATATCGGGAAAACAGATAAACATGTGGATATTGTTGCTGTGACAACAATACTTATCCCCCACTGGACCACCCTAATCCGTAAAAAAAAGTCAGCGACAGAACAATGAAGTCAGCAGCTATTACCCGTAGTATCAAATTCTTGTACAGGCTCTGTCTCGTGCATTCGAATTTCTATTTTGCACTTAACTTCCATGACCATTCGCATTTTTAGACAAATCTTCCAGGAATTTTCGGATAATAGACAGCGGCGGCAGCTTTGGAGTATATATTTGTCACGTGATGTGGTTTAATTGATTTACGCGAGCGCGTCTCCCAACGCGTCAGACGTACAGACGTGACAAGGCAGGTACAGCCCAGCCCCACAGCTAAGCGTCCGAGCTTCGAATGTTTCTGAGTAGCACCCAATCTAATTAAAACTCGCAACGTTATCTTACTAAACAATCACGATGGTCGCGGCGGTGTGGTGACAACATACTCGAAACTGGCAAGCCAAACCCCTCATTGGCCTAGGCCTAGCTTAACATCGTTATTGACCTACAACGAACATGACGTCCGGTCGCAGGAGGTTGGGCAGAGAGGCCATGTTTGAGCTGCCCAGCTTCGGAAACGAGCCAATATTCTTCGAGCCAACTCACTGCCCCGACGACATTTTATACTCCGGCTCCGAAGACGAGTACTACGACAGTCCCTCTGCTCGATCACGCTCTTGCGAGGACCAGGCACGGCTGTTCCTTGAAGGGAGACGACCCTTCCTTTTGTCAGCATCCTTAAAGGGCCCCTTTGATGGGGCTAAGGGCTGGAACAACCCATGGAGAGGAAAAGGTGGTGGAGTTGCAATCCCTCAAGCCAGGCGGTTGAGGGGTCCAGAGTCCAGTCCCCCGGCCATCGACATCGCCGTTGTGCCGTCTGTGGATAGCGCACCACACTCAGAGGTGGCTACCTGGAGAGTGGATGCCAGAACACCGTTTGAGTCGGAAAACAAGCTATGGCGATCGCCTACCACAGAAATGGATGCAACAGACCAAGTTACGAATCGAAGCTGGCTTCGAAGAAGAAACCTTAAGCGGGCGAACCCAATCGACGACGATGAGTTCGCAGTGTCACCAACTGCGACTGTTCACCGTAACAAGTCCAGGAAACTGGCCGGCGCGGCACAATGTGCTTCTTTGTTACTGGAAGCTGCTAGAGGTCAGGGTTGTGCTGAAGGTGATATCCTTGGGAAAGAAAGCCCGCCAGAGCTTCAAGAACCAGCATACGAAACCTACTCCCGAGCACCTTCGCCAGATTTAGAGGCTTCTCGGACGACCTTGAAGCCGAACGGCAATCTTGAGGATCAACGGAACACAAGCCCCTATTGTCAGAAGGGCAACAAATCAAATATCGTGAAGAACGACAGAGCCTCAAGTATCACCTTTCAAGAAAGTGAATTGGCCTTAAGATTCTATACCGACGACGATGCCGTATCGCCGCGATCACCAGCACTTGCAACTGCGAATCAACCAGAATATGTGACGAGCAATCCATGGAGCAGCAATAATTCTGCCTCGGACAGTTTAGCAGAGAAAGGAGCTCTCGAGGAGAACACCATAATGCACGATACCCTTAACATGACTGGCACCGCGATTTCACAGCCCGGCTTCTCCGCTGCCTCTCCTGGCGGCTTGGAGGCGCTTTCGTCTGATCAGAGAAACACGTCATATTGCGATACGCTTATACGGAACCCCTTCAGCGATAGGCTGGGTCGGTTGAATGATGTGGTTGACCAACTATCGGATGTCTCTGGCGGAAGCGTCGAGAAGCTCAATGAGACTGATTTGCCTATGGAGGAGAAGAATGGACATGGCTCAAGAGATGTGCTTGATGAAGCTGGCAATGTGGAAGCTGAAAAGAGCTGGCTGGATACGCAGGACCAAAGTCCTTGGGCAAAGGATCCGTCCGTCATGCCTAGCACGCCGAGAAAACCTACAGCTGAAGTCAATGCAGAGGATCTCGAGGGGGTCCCGGATCTTCGCGGCGTGGGAACTGAGCCAGACCGACTTCGAGTGAATGAAACTATTACGAAAACGGCGGTCCCCATCCAGACACAGAGTCCATGGTTGAAAGAGATATCATTGGAGCCGAGCCTTCTTGATTTAAATCAGCTGGTCCCGTCAGCAATAAAGGACGAAGAAAAGTTGCTACCAACGGACACGACCAACAAAGACATGGCCGTTACGTTGGATCAAAACCCCTGGGTGGACGAGATCAGTCATACAGAGGAATCTCTTCCCTCGTCACTGCCACAGCTACCTACTTCCCCCAACTCGCCTAGCTCGCCTGGATTCGTCTCGCAAACGGCATGGGAGCAGCAGCAGGTAAAAGGCATACCTGGTCCCTCCGCCGCTCCTCCTCTGCCGTCATCGGTCATTACACCTTCCACGCCAGAAATGAAACGCTCCAATTTGCCCTCTCCAGACCTTACAGTCTCTATCAAGTCCTTCAGAAAATTCCGGTCGCTTACACCGACTCCACCCCAGCGGCGAACAACACAGCCAGGCGGTCTTCGGTCTGTACTACTTCCACCCCGGAGCAAGCGAGATGCCCGTTCTGGAAAACATGATCGCCGGGTCTGCTTCGTTTTCCCAGAGCAGGAAGACAACAGTGGCTTCCCCTTTACGTACCTCTATGATGTTGAAGATAAAGAGGAAGGCCAGGACGATAAAGCACCCACAGGAGGGCATACGCCCTTGCAGTCAGCCCATGGCGTGCGAGGAGGAGGAGTTCCCAGCTCGTTGCAAAGCCGCAGCCAGAGAGCTACATCGCCACCACCACGACAGTCAGTAATGGCCGAAGCCCTACCAAGCGAGGTGGAGAAATTTCAAGGGCATTTTGCCTCTGTGGCCAGTCGATGCCACCCAGGACCGGCCGGCGAGAACCCTGTTGGCTGGGCCACAGTCAATGGTGCAAGGCGATCTCATTTTCGACAGACTGGACTCAATGAGCTCGAAACAGTCGTTGTGGATGTTTTTGGTAGCAGTCCGTTGTTTGGTAACATGACCGAGACATCCAAGACTTGTAAGGCATCGCAAGGGGACCCGGCTGTTTGTCGCTCTGCAAACTGTACAAAACACGGTGGATATGACAGGGACAAGGAGAACATGTGGGATCAGCCCACGGATTCAAAAGAGCGGTCTGCAGGATGCGACGACCACGCCGTCGACGATGTCCAAGAGGTTCTGGAAAACCTTGGAGACTTCCTTGGTATGTGGGATGTAGACACGGAGCTGTCGAAGGCGACAACGGGTGAATTATAATAGTATATGGGAGTGAAAGCCTGCGACCGATAGGATTTGGCTCGGTGTCTCTTTCAGCATACGGCTGGTGGCACGGCGTGTTTGCCACGTTGTACTAGACAACGTGATGCGGGCGCTGGCATTGGGTTTGTGGTGAGCATGTGCACAAATAATTATTTGAAAAAACAACTAGTAAATCGGAAACAAAGGCTCTGATATTCAAAGGGGCCGTATCAAAGAACAACGTGCCGAAAGCAGACATATGCTGCAGAATCGAAGAAAGCAAACGAACCGGCATGCCAGTATACAACCTGTTATTTTTGGTTCTTCGAGGTTTTATCATGGTATTTTCATACAGAATTGCCTCTAGTTTTACTCTTCTCGAGAAACACATGGTCAGACATGTACCACTTTTTAGACATCTTAGAAGGTAGAGGATACCAACGTCTTGTATCGATTAACGACTGTATATACGAAGCCATGAAAAGGGGCAAGCAGGTGTGCCGCAAGCAGTATGATATGAACGCTCCGATGCTCTTCACGATCTATTAGCTCTGCATCGGGTAGGCTGGCTTTCCCTTCACCGCAAAATGGCCTCGTTCAATGAGTACCTCATTACCTGCGCAAATCTAAAGGCATGGGCCTGTGTGAGTATGATTGCTATGATCAAGGGAGTATCTCACTTGTTATAAATACGAAATCCGGGGCCAAGGCTGAGGTCTTCCCTTGACCAAACAAGTTCACCCAGCCCCCACACGTGAGGGCTTAACCCATGTTCAAGTGGGCGCCCGCTTTCCAGGAGTGTATGTGTGTGTGTGTTTAATCCGCTATTACCTAGTTCTACATACGAAAGTAGATAACGATATTATATCCTGAATATACTGGCCTGAAGTGAGCCTAGAACTCTGAGGAAAAAACATATAGCCGTGGTAGCTTTCCAAAAGCACATTGTGATACTTGAACAACTCAACCACTCCCCAAAGTGATCTACGATTGAGCGACTCAAAACGTACCACAGAATGGTAGCTCGTAATTGAAGAAGACCACACATCGGGCAGAATTGCCCTGTCGTTGATCAGCCACGGCAGCCTAGTTCATTGGTACTTTTTATTTTCTATTTGAAAATGCATTCATACAATCTGCACATGCCACAGACAAGAGACGGGGAGAGCTCGGCTGCTCCGAGTCTCGGACGTGGATTGCCGAAATCACCTGTTGGGTGCATCCATTGGCAGCGGTAAGAACTGCCATTGTAAGATATTTTAGTATGACGGGGAAAGGGGGACAGTCTTATACGAGCATGGAGAATGCACTAAACAGCTGAGCTCATGGTAGCGGTCCGCAAGGCGGGAAGTGCACGTTCGGTGTTGATTGGTGATGAGGCCCTGTTTGGCTGCATCGGAGAGCCGTTGCAGGCGAAGAGGATCCCCTTTTTTCCCACTGGGGCGATCCCACGTCACCCAGCTGTAAGCGGTCTGGCTAATGTCGGGCTGACTCTAATAGATTCAGCCGTGTATCTTTGTAGCATTCCTGTAGCCGTGTTTCGATTCGGTGATGATATGCCAAATTATGTCTCATTTTGAGGGGAAGGATAAATAGCTTTTGAACCTGGGATTACTGCCGCATGAGACACCCATCCCGTGCATCTCAGGCCTTGCATGTCGGACCTTTAAAGGCCCTTTCCATCCTATGCACCCTCCTGCTCTACATGTGCACCTTCTGATATGAAGTCATAGCAGCCAACTCGTAAGATTCATGATAAAGACGGATCTGCGGAACGGCCTAGCGGAAGCGACTTGCTGCTATTGTTTGGTACTGTAATAAATCAGTCTAGCCATACTATCGTGAGCGACAGCTGGAAGACAAAGGACAGCGCCGATCGCTGTCCATTCAAACGTCAAATGCAATTAGGACGTCGATTAGTCCGACCATCTCGATCAAACTAGTCACTGACCTAGGCATTAACTGATTGAGGAACGCTTCGCTCCCTCACAAAATCTCCCTTGAACCAGAGCCTGTATTTCCAGCACGTTACTGTATAAAGGCCCTAGACGGAAATTCCACCACCTAGTAGCCATGGCACAGCCCACGTGCCGGCTTACATACTCCGTACGTCGTACGTCGTACATAGTAGCAAAAAACGCCCGGACCACCCAATACTAAACTGTTTTTATCGGATTTTATTAGCACTATTATTATTTGGCTGCCCACCGAAACCGCACTTTTCTATTCCCCTCCAATTCGGAATCCTTTTTTACCATTCACAATCACTTATTTAGATACTTCCCCCCACAACAGAACACGGCGGCCGCACCCCATCCTGCCCACCACACGAGCGCCGGGATTACCCAAACACAAAAGCATAGGTACTGGAGCGCTTTACCCCTCTCAGCGGTCAACTCGACTTTTTTGTTTATTTCCAAAACGGAGACGCTCCGTGAGGGCGGACTCTACAGATTGTTCGAAAACTGGCATTTGCATTGGCTATTGGAAGCTCTGTGCAGCGATATTTAACCGACTCTCATGGCAACGGCTCGACAACCGACAAACGGAAGCAGCAGCAGCAGCAGCGGCCGCTACAGTGGCAGTTCCGTTGGTGAGACCGGGCACAGCGGTCAACCTTTGCAACAAGGCGTTCAGGGCGAGCAGAATGGCGACAGCATTGATTGCTCAGGACAATCCCACGAAACCGCCCAATGCCACCAGCCGGGCGTCGACCCTCTGATACCGACGCGCTCCGTCCTGCCAATGTCTTCCCAAGCCTCTTCGTCGTCGACGGCAACTACTGCCGTCGAGATACCCTCGGCTAATTTTGTTGCGCGTCTTCATCACCCCCATCAGTCAGGTATCAATGCGAAACAGGCACCTTCCTCCCAACCTGATCACAAGGTCATATTCTCTGTCCCGGCTCCTGCGCTAGAACGCTCCTCTGGCCGTGGGTATTTCGGTGGCGGAGCCCCATTAGACGACACAATGGCCCGTGATCTGTTTGGGGCAGCTGAGCATTCTGACGGCTCAGTGGCAACACCGTCTGCCGATGATAGCTGGCAACCGACCGACTATCAGAAGGCGGATGCTAGGCGAAATTCGCACGCCGTGGCTGGCTTGCCAGCAGGGCCTACATCTCACCCTCAGACCACTGGTCATCATGCAGATGGGCGTCGAGATTCCGACGATAAGTCCGATGGCAGTGCTGACACGGCTGTAGAAGCCGAGGATGGGGAGGATTCTGGCGAGGAGAAAATATCGTCGGCTTTGTTTGTTCCCCACCAGAGCGTGGAAGTGGACGCGTTGCCAACGCCCCTGCGCGGGAGTTCCTCCTGCGCGAGCTTGAATTCGACAGCACCCTCGGTCAGCACGCGAAAATCCTCTCGCGATAACTTCCACGACTGGCACCCCGCCGAACATGCAAATCACATGAGCCCGGAAGAGTTGAGTTTGGAAGAGTACGGACGGACGCCTCGTCCAGCACTCAGGGACCACCAGTTTGCCATCAAAGAGCAGCTGAGACAGGGGACACAGACAGGTCTGATCTCAGTAGGGATCGACAGCTCAAAAGGGTCGGCACAACCGTCGCGACCTGCATCACAGTACTTTGAAGAGACAGTGCAGGAGCCGGAACCCATTCTACACCAGCCACTAGACGCAATCGAGCTCATCCCGTACAAGCACCAAGTCGGAGGTCATACCACCTTGTGGCGATTCTCCAAGCGCGCCGTATGCAAGCAGCTGACCAACAGAGAGAACGAGTTCTACGAAACAATTGAGCGTTACCACCGTGACCTGCTTCCTTTCTTGCCGAGGTGAGTGATGGCTTACCTCCCCTTCACGGCCAAGCCCTGAATGCTGACGTCATAGATACATCGGGGTCCTCAACGTGACGCTACACAAACAGCCGCGACGCAGGTCCACGTTTAAGAGGGACGACAACGCAGCGACGGACCGGAAGCAAATAAGCGAACTCAGTACGCAGATCAAAGCCAGCGGTGGAAGCGGATCGTCCTTGGCTCAAGACGAAACCCGAGTAATTAGCCAGTCTCTCCAGGCTTCACAAACACAGGTGCCTACAGTGACGTTCATCGACAACCAACACATCCTACCGAGACACCTGTTACAGCCGGCAATCGGCACGACCGGCGTGCCGAAATATTTATTCGGGGACTATTCTATGGAACAGGCCGAGACGCCATCCCATCTGCAGTCGGTAAACGATGAAGGGCCACACGGGTCTGTACGCTCGGGGCAATCTAGTGCTATGATGCAGCGGCCGGTTCTAGAGGAACGCCATGCTAATAGCTGGGGAGCCACCATGGTGAACAAGAGATTGCGCAACGAGGTGTTCAACGACGCCTTCCTGAAGCAGCCAGTCGACGTTCAAAAATACCAGAAAGCGAGCACTAGGGCCATCCCTCGCAAGGCGCTACAGCATATACTCCGTCAGGCCAATTCTGAAACCAGTCTGACAGTCCAGCGCGAGGACAAGGAAAGCACGGATGCGCCCCCTGCGAGCGGGTTGTCGCAGGCGCTTCTGCTGCAGGACAAGGGCGATCTAGGGGTGGTCGACCACATGGACGAAGAAGTCATCATTGATGGCGACGCACCCGAAGACGTGACTGGCACTAGTGCTCCGGAGGCTCATGTTGTCGCCGACCAGCTTCGCCCACGCCATAAACGGCGGCGGTACTCTGGCACAGGCCTTAGACGGAGACCTAGGAATGTTTCCGACCCCAGAGGAGACCTAAAGTATTACGAGGGGCCAGATGAAGCTGCCTACAAGGCTGACATTGAAGACATGACTGCTATCAATACCAACACCAATACCAACACTAGTCGATCATCGTTTACCACGTCGGTGGAGGCTACTCCCGGAGAACAGTCTCCTGAAATCGACCAGACAGCACAGGATTGGACAGCCACGGATGGTAGCAACAATGTCAGCACGAGCAGCACAACTCCGGCCCTTGCGATTAAAAAGAACCCACTGCGCAGCCGGGGACACAACGATGCCACTCCCACTGCAGTCACGCCGTATCGTGCTCCTACTGCATCAGCCATGTCACCGACACCGGCTTTTAGAAAGATTCCGCGACCAGTCAATCCCAAGGAGGCGCAGAGACAGACCGGTTCCAGACAGGAATTCTTTTTGTTGCTAGAAGATCTCACGGCGGGCATGAAGCGGCCGTGTATTATGGATCTGAAGATGGGCACCCGGCAGTACGGCGTGGACGCAACGCCTAAGAAGCAGCTGTCGCAGCAGCGCAAGTGTGCCACCACTACATCGCGCGAGCTCGGCGTGCGGGTCTGCGGAATGCAGGTCTGGGACGTGAGCAAGCAATGTTACCTCTTCCGAGACAAATACTACGGGCGCAACGTCAAGGCCGGGCAAGAGTTCAGGGATGTGCTGCGGCGCTTTCTGTGTGACGGCAAGGACTCACGGAGCGTTCTTCGACACATTCCTAACATGCTGCACAAGTTGGGTCAGCTGGAGGCTATCGTGCAGCGGCTTCGCGGATACCGGTTCTATGCGGCGAGCCTGCTCGTGTTCTACGACGGCGACCAGACTGAGCCGACTGACGAGATGACCGAAGACGAGATGGCCGTGGAGGACTCGACCGATTTCTTCACCGACACGGAGGACATGCGCGAAGAGCTCGTGCGGCGGCGCCGACATCACCACCGAAACAGGCGCAATATCGACTTCAAGATGGCAGACTTTGCCAACAGCGTGACGGCCGCCGATCTGGCCAAGGATCGGCCGTGTCCACCGCAGCATCCGGCCGATGTCGATCGCGGCTTTTTGCGCGGCCTGCGGACGCTGCAACTCTACCTTCGGCAGATTCAACGCGACGTCCGGACAGAGCTTGGCCTCGCCTGCCAGCTGCGCGAGATGGACGTTGGCGAGCTCTCGCTGGAGGACTCGGCCGACGAGAACGATGAAGACGGCCTGGTCAGTGCATAGGCTGATGTCGACCGGATCTCTTCGTCTGCCCATCATCTGCGGCTGTTTCCCCCTCCCCTTTTTAATATTTTTAAAACACCTCTTACTTTCTTCTACTACATCCTTGTACGGGTTTGCGCTGTTTGGCAGTCTAGGGTGGGGTTTTTATTCAACAGGAGGGGGGACGGACTGGTGGACTGGTGGTTATGGCGGAGCCGGCGTTTGCGGTCTGCGTACTGTTGATTATAGTCTCTTTCTTTCCGTCTGGTCTGTTGCTTTGCTTCTTTTCCGGGTTCTCAGAATGATGGCAGTCGGAGGGGGAACTTGGGGCGCAACGTTTCTTTTTCTCATACCCCTTTTTGCCGCATTACTCTGGCGTTTTGCTTTGCCTGCTTGTCTTTGTTTTATAGTTTGTTTATTATTTTTGTTGCCCGCTTTTCCTTACAGTTCACACACGATGGGAACGGATGTCATGGGAAGGGCAATGGAATGACGGGAAAGGATACAACGACCGATAGAATGTGTATGAATGCGACATGTGTCGTGGCCGGGTTTTCAAATTCTCTCTTCTTTTATTCGTAATATGTCTGTCACAGGGCGGATGGGAAAACGGAACACGGAAGGGGGGATTGGAAAATTAGAATGTATCGTCTTTTCTTGTAGACAAGGCAAAATCCAAAGTAACCGATGCGTGCGCCGAGAATGTGACGTTGATGCGCCTGGAGCATTGGGTCTACCGTCTGGACGAGCCAGAAGACTGGACAAACGCGAATGATCTTTTTACTATATATAAAGACAGATACGATCCATCCCTTACCCAATGATAAATCTATGATCGAATCGGACAGCAGCAGGCGAGGAGATAAGACGGCAAGGACGAGCAGACGAGAAAATCAAGAAAAAGCACACAGCAACACCCTGCCAGAACCTGTACGCAGTCGCCAAAGAGGCAAAAGCAAAAGCAAAAAAAAAAAAAAATGCAGAAAGCAACCCAAACCAAAATGCGAGGCACAAATACGAGTACAATATCCGTCTCCAGCATCACGGCCATGCCTTCTAAGCGAACATGTCCGTGCGTTTTTGCTCTCTCCTGCTTATTCTTCTTCTCGTCTCGGCCATGGCGTCTGCCCATCCCGTCTACACGGCGCTGTATCCGCCACGGCTGCCGCTGCCTTGCAGCGTGTTGATCAGCCGCCGGACCCAGTCCCTCAGCAGATAGGGCACGTCGCGTAGGGTGTCGCCGTGCGGCAACAGGTCCCAGCCGCGGGCGCCGTAGCGGTTGTAGTTGAGCCACGACCCGAAGATGAGGTAGGCTGCGGTGGCCAGGAAGACCCTTTGCAGACGATCACGGTCAGTCTATGGAGACGAGTCCCGAAAGAAAATAGGGGAAAATAGGATTACATAAGCAACGTACAAGATGACAAACCAGGTGAAGAAGCCCCAGTGCTCGCGGACGCGGGCAGCACCCTCGCAGGCATAGCGGGTGTGCCAGGCCAGGCGGAGCGTGCCAAAGGAGCCGTCGGTGTCGTGGACGTCGTAGCCCTGGAAGACGAGAGCCGGCTCAGCTTCGCCGTCGCGCAGCAGCTGCTTCTCAGCGGGGCCCTCCTGGGCGAGCGAGAAGCCGAGGCCGGCAGCAGATGTGGTGGAGTTGGAGGGCGGGTCAGCTGGGGGGGCGCTGGAGCCAGGAGCGGTGCCGTCGCGCTCGTATTCGTCGGCGATCCACTCGCCTTCGGTGCCTTCGCGGGTTTTGTCGCAGAGCAGCTCGACGATGACGCGCTGGTTCTGGCGGTCGCTGACGGGACCGTCCAGCGGGTAACGGCCACCCTGCAGGACTAGACGGAGGCCCTCGCGCTGGGCGTCCGCGTTGGAGTCGGCCGTCTTGAGCCGCGTCGCCGTGTGACTGAGCGCGCTGCCGCCCTGGTCCTCGAGGTTTCCGGCGAGCGGTATGACCTGGCCGATGCCGGTGACGCCTTCGGCGTTGCGAAACCGTCGTATTGCGCAGGCTGGTGTCCGATGTGATCAGCGGGTGCACGAAGCGATGGGAGGATGGGCAGATGGGCAGATGGGGCATGAAAGACCAAAAAAACTCACCCCAACTGCCGTTTGGACACTCCTCCCCCTTGGGCACGTCGCCCTTCCGCTTGAGCGGCCCGCAGAGGTCTATCGTGTATGTCGTGTTCTGGTCGGTCGGGGGCGTGTGCTGCGTGGTGAGGACCGAGTGCGGCCCCTTGAGAGCGCTCAGGTCGAACCTCTGGCCGTCTGCCTGGATGTGGCCGCACTGCAGCATAGCCGCGGCCGGCTGAGCCGTCAGGGCGCCCAGGAGGACCAGCGAGGCCGACGATGCTGAGATTGTCCACTTCATGGCGGCAGCGAGGACGAAAACAGAAACTCCGAAATAGCCGTGGGCTTTTGTGTGTCGCGTTGACGATCGATCCAAACAGGGGCAGGACGGGGGGGGGTTCAGTCGATGAGGGCAAATCCGGAACTAAGGTAAGGAATTGAGACAAAAAGATGGCACGGGAGAGATGGTAAATAGACTGCACAGCTCGGAGACGAGAAAAGGAAAACTGGCAGAGAAGGCTCCTGGAAACTGTCTGTCAGGGGAAGAAGACTGCGTCGATGGCGTTGCGTTCCCTGCTCGTTGCCTTCTCGTCTGCAGAGTTGAGTTCGGAAGAAGGTCGGGGAGGTATTGAGCTCCCAACAGGGCAAGCGTGGATTATTAGAGTTTATTCCGTCATAGGCTCACGTGCTGTATCATGTGACCTTATGAACAATTGCTACGGCACAAGTTCTATTACTAATCTGAACACGGAAGGAGCGGTTGCGGAAATGAGTCAATGCCGAATGCAAGATTACACAGACTTTGTCAGCTAAGTTCCACCTAACCTCATTATGTCAACTAAGAAACAAAGATTCGAGCAGCGATGCACACGACGGCGACAGTATTTACGCACAATCATGCTTGATACCTGTGGAAATGCACAAGACCAAACGTGCAGGCTGGAGGCGGACGAAAGCCAGATCATGTCTTATTCTGGCAATGGCGAAGAGCTGCCAAAGCAGAGCAGATCTTCCTGGGGCAAAGAGAGTCGACTCTAGATGGCAGCTGTCTTGTGCAGACCCGCAACTGCCCCTCTTTTCCCCAGAAAGCCACAGGGCCCAGGCCTTTCTTGGCTTTGACGGATATATCCCACATCCGCCTTGTATTTCGGGCCAGTTTGGCCGCGTCTCTACTAATCGTGTCCTTTTATTTCTCGCATTCCCTCTCTTCATAGGAGCGTTGCCTTTATTGCGCAGTGTATTTTGAGCCGGGATCGAGACGAAGTCTATACCACGAGACCAGCCTCAGCCACATGTTCCCCAAAGACTCCATCCACGCATCTCCGACTCTTTCCAGATGGACGAGTCGACCGAAAGCAGTTGGCCGGAGCAGCCGCTACGAGCATCGGCAGCGCCACCAAGCCTACCGCGGCCACAAAGCACAGTCCCTGTCCGATCGGGACTAGCGATGCCCACCGACACGAAAGACCGCAAGTCGTTTCTGACAGGCCTCGTGGCGGGCCTGAGTCTCAACGAGATATGGATGCTGCAGGCGCAGCTGGCCAGGCTCGATCTGCGCACCGATGTGTTTGGGCGGCTGCCGCCGGAGCTGCAGATCCTAGTAGCCGACCAGCTGGGGCCGGCCGATCTGGGCTGCTGCCTTGACGTGTCGCCAGCCTGGCGCCAGGCGTTTCTGCACGAGTCTGTGCGGCGGGGCCAGGCGCGGCGCTGCTTCCCGGGCCTGCTGGAGTACGCGAGCGCGGTGGAGCAGGCAGATGCCAGTGCCGAGCAGGTCGACCGCGCGTTTGCCGACACGGCACGCAAGTATGCTGCACGTGCACGTGGCCGGTTCCGCGCTGCACTGCGACATGTGCCCCAGCCGAAGGCAGCGGTGCTGGCCGATATGGACGACGCGACATTTGACGGGCCCGAGTATGCGTACGGCCGGCTCTTCTGGCAGCTGTACCACGACAGCACGACACACATCCGCGTGGACGACCTGCGCAGCGGGCGGCGGCAGCACTTTGCGGTCAAGGACGATATCGTGCGGGGTGAGCGGTTCATGCAGAGCTCGTTTGGCGACGAGCTGGTGGCGATAGCCTTTAGCGGCACCCGTCTGTAAGTGTTCTTGTCACGGGCGGAGGAGTGATGTGGTCCAGGCTGACGCTGTCCAGACTGGCGTGGAACTTTCGCACGGGCGAGCAGCACAGCAAACAGATGCCGGCGCAGATCGATGTCACGGCGACGGTGGGCCGACGGGTGTGCGTGCTGTCACAGGGCAACATCTACGAGTGGGAGGTGGGTGGCAAGATGCGCGAGGTGGACCTGACGGGCCTAGATGGACGGCACCGGCTGCCGGATCTGGACGGCCGGCTGCCGAGCTTCTTTTTGTTGGATCCGGTGCGGCCGGACGTCTTCTTCCGGGGCAACTTTGTGGTGGAGATGGCCGAGAACGGTGGAGGTGGAGGTCCGGCCATGGCGACTGGCACTGCTGGCACCGGCACGCTGTGCTTCTACGTGCACGAGTTCCGGGGACGGCGGTTTGCGCAGACGTTTGCGTACCGGCTGCCGTTTGTCGGCTATGCCTTTCCGAGCTCGCTGATCGATACGACGGTGCGGCGGGACACGCGCGGGTCGTTCTCGCTGGCGTCCTGGCGGGTGAGCGGGTCGTTGTCGGGCAGCGAGGCAGAGGGTGCACAGCCGGCTTGGACGGCGGCCAGCGTCCGCGGTGTCGGCTCGCTGTCGTTCAACGTGTACACGCGCACGTTTGCGCTGTCGTTCTTCCGGCTGCCACCGCTGGCACCATCGCTGGGCCGCGACCGACCAACGGCACTGCGTGTGCATCTCTGGGACGACCAGCTGCTGACGCTGATCGATCGCCACCGCGAGGCCCACGGCGGCGGCAAGATGCGCAAGGCCGATCCCATGCTCTTCGCCTTTGACGACGCCTACAGCGAGGCGGCTGCGTGCTCACCGCCACCACCCTTTTCGGCCGTGCCGGTCTATGCAGCCGAGGACCACACAGGACACTCAGGACAGCCCCGGCTGGAATCACGCCGTCTGACGCACTTTGAGCCGGAGCCGTCTCGTTCCGGCAGCTGGTGCGTCGACGACGCCGACTGGGCCAAGAACGGCTGTCTCCTGCGCTACATCCTCGACCTGGACACGCAGCCGGTGACGCCGGACAAGCCGGCCCACATTGGCGACTACCACATCATGGGCGACGATGACTTTGTCGTGGCCGTCCACCACGGCGAGCACACCGTCTGGATCTTTTGTGCGGACGCTCCAGGCGAACGGAAGACCGGCGATCATGACGACAGCAACGACGACAACAGCCACAGTGTTCGTCCCGGAGACTGAGCCTGGCAGCCCAAAGCGGACTGCTGGCCTCGGCGGAAGACCCGACTTGACGAGATGTAATGGGCACTGTAACCCGCACTGTAACGAGTTCGGCCTTTTGTCGCCCGCAGCGCTGTCGTTGGTGTCCGCCAGCCCGACAGCCGCCTGTGGCCAGGGCCAAAACCCCCACAACCCCCTGTAGCCGTGCTTCGGCCAGCGCTCACGCACGGCCAACAGCTCTCCACATAATACGGAGGAGCCAGGAGGGAAGAGCTAGCGCTAGCGCCTGCTAGCCGGACAGCCACGACCTGCCCGTTCACCCGAATCCACCCGAGATAGAGAGGCACGACAGCGCGCCAATCGCGCGCTCGGCTGAGTGCGCCCTAGCTGCCCCCGGCGTTAGGGGATCGGAAAGCGAGGCACAGGCACGTTCGGCCAGCGTGGTAGCCATAGTGGACAGGGCGCTGGAAGGGTGCACAAGGCGGGCGGCCGGGCAGCCAAAAAAAAAAAAAAAAAAAAAAAAAAAAAAAAAAAAAAAAAAAAAGAGGAAAAACAAAAAAAAGGCGCTCGCAGAATTTTTGGTATTTTTTTTAATTCTCCATCCATTGGGCTATTTCGAAACCGAAACTTTTCCCTCCCTCCTCTTTCCGTTCTCCCTTCCCGACCATCTTCCCAGCATCGTCAACCGATTGCGAATTAATAATACCCCCCATTACCACTCCACTCCCTTCTTTGTCCTCGTTTCGTCTCCTAGCTCTCTCCTCTCACCCGTCCATTTCTCTATTCACAATGGCTGCTGTTGACGTCAAGGAGGCCGTGGCCTCCAAGCCGGAGGGCTTCAACCTGTACTCCCGCTTCGCCCTGGCCGGCGCTGTGTGCTGCTCGGTCACGCACGGCTCGCTGACGCCCGTCGACGTGTGAGTTTTGGCATTGGCGTGTTTCCGGCTTCCGTGCTTCCGTGCTTCCGTGCTTCCGGGCTTCCACGCTCTCTCGCTAACTGTCCGGCCAGCGTCAAGACCCGCATCCAGCTCGAGCCGGAGGTCTACAACAAGGGCATGATCGGCAGCTTCCGCCAGGTGGTGCAGAACGAGGGTGCCGGCGCCCTGCTGACGGGCATGGGCCCGACGTTTGCCGGGTATTTCCTGCAGGGCGCCTTCAAGTTTGGCGGCTACGAGTTCTTCAAGCAGCAGAGCATCAACCTGGTCGGCCTCGAGAATGCGTCCAACTACCGGACGACCGTCTACCTGGCCTCGTCCGCGGCCGGTGAGTTCTTTGCCGACATTGCGCTCTGCCCGCTCGAGGCCACGCGCATCCGGCTCGTGGCCGACCCGACGTACGCCAACGGCCTCGTCGGCGGCTTCAGCAAGATCCTCAAGACCGAGGGCGCCGGCGCCTTCTACGCCGGCTTCGGCCCCATCCTGTTCAAGCAGATCCCCTACACCATGGCCAAGTTCGTCGTGTACGAGAAGGTCGCCGAGGCCGTCTTCCGTCAGTGGCCCAAGAAGGACATGAGCGACTCCATGCAGACCGTCGCCAACCTCGGCTCCGGTCTCATCGCCGGTTTCGCTGCCGCTCTCGTCTCCCAGCCGGCCGATACCATGCTGTCCAAGATCAACAAGACCAAGGGCGCCCCCGGTGAGGGCACCACCACCCGCCTGATCAAGATCGCCAAGGAGCTCGGCCTGCGCGGCTCCTACACCGGCATCGGCACCCGTCTGTTCATGGTCGGCACCCTGACTTCGCTGCAGTTTGCCATCTACGGTATGTCTGGTCTCGTCTTGTCTTGAGCCTGTGGCTTTTCATGCTGACTAATCCTATCAGGTGACCTCAAGAAGGCCCTCGGTGCCACCGGCGGTGTCGAGATCTCGAAATAGACAAACAACCACACGAACTGGGAGGGACATAGACCGATCGGCCGGGGGCGGCACGGCCGTGGCGGACATCTAGAGCCTGTTGGGGCTCGACAGGCTGGAGTGTACCAGTAGCATCGAGCCGAAATCAACAAAGAATAGACTTTCCATTAATATCCTGGACTGATTTAGACGAGAAGAGAAGTACGCAGCAGTCTGGAAGCGAACGTCTGGATACCTGCCTCGTCGCCGGCTCTCTTCTCTTGGTGCCATGTACATATCACGCGGACAGCTACGAAACGAAGGACGCAGGGGCACCTGCGAACGATAGGAATAGTAGTGCGAACAAGACATCTCCACTCTGGCCGTGACGATGCGATGCGCACATGTTGGAAATCGGTACATTGCCATGTTCTCGTCCCCGTTGCACTTGACTCGTGAAAATACATGCCAGCAGACAGCTGCTCCGCCTTCCCCCCTTTTGACCTGCTCGAGATAATGATGAACCAAAAAGAAGAGACCCTGTTCAAATCGCGTAGCCAGCAGCAACCTGCAAGGAAAAACACAAGTGTATCGAGACGAGGACAGAAAAAGTACAAGGTCATGAGACCCACAAAGAAAAATGTGCGAGAAGGATGAGAGAGGTAAAGGCGGACAAAAAGACAAGAACAGAAAGAGGCGTCCAGACCGATGACACGTCCGACCACCTCGCACGTCTCCAGACCCCTTCAACGCAAAAGCGAGCGGCCCGGCGGGAACCAACCGGATGGAAAACAGACCGACCTCTAGAAATATGAGACTGTTTTTCTTATTCATCCATAGGGGTCCATTGAAGAGGGGTATAGCATCCAAACCAAAACCAGGTAATAAACGACAAGGGATAAAAGGAAAATAGAAAAAAAAGGCAGAAAGAGGCAAACCCGGCACACTCCTCCAGAATAAGGATCATTAAGAGCAAGAAAAGCAAAACAAGGAAAGAAGCAAACAAGACGCCAGCTGAGAGAGGAAGCCTCTCGACGCCATCAACACGCAAAAACACAAAGACAAACCGCTCTCATGCATCGCGGCCACCCCGACGTCTCCGCGACCTCTTCATCCGATAAATCAGGAAATCCTCCATGAACAGCGAGCCCGGGGGCCGACAAAACGCCCATGCCGGATAATCGACGCCCCACCACTATTGCAGGCCTTGTGGCATCATGCCGCCCAGGCCGCCCATACCCTGAGCCATGCCCTGGGCCATGCCCTGGTTCATACCCGGATTCATGCCCGGATTCATGCCCTGCACCATGGCTTGCTGCATCCCCTGCTGCATCCCCTGCGACAGGCCCTGCACCATGCCTTGATGCATGCCTTGCGGCATAACCTGTGCCATCCCCTGCTGCAGGCCCTGGGCCATGCTGTGAGGAATACCCTGTGGCATGCCCTGTGGTATGACCTGCGTCATGCCCTGCGGCATGCCCTGCGGCATGTTTTGCTGCATCATGCCTTGGTTGATGTGCTGCTGCTGCTGTTGTTGTTGCTGCTGCTGCTGTTGTTGTTGCTGCTGCTGCTGCTGTTGTTGCTGCTGCTGCTGTTGTTGTTGCTGCTGCTGCTGCAGCAAAGCCTGTTGTCGCCGTTGTTGCAAGTTTTGGAGCGTCTGACTGACCATCTGCTGCGCCTGAGCCAGGCACATCTTATTAAAGCGGTCGAGTTCCTCGGGCGGGATGTTCTTTTCGTTCCCGCCATACCGTGCCGCCACTCCGCCAATATTCTGGCCATAAAGTCTGGCTCTATGCGCTTGAACCTGCTGCATCAGTGCGGCGCCTTGCTGCTGCTGCTGCTGCGTATTCCGCTGCTGTTGCAGGTGCTGCATCTGGCTGATTTGGGCCGGCGAGAGGTTCATGCTGTTAGCCGCCGCCATCAGGTTCTGCCCGTTCATCATCTGCCGCTGCAGAATCTGCTGCTGCTGTTGCTGTTGTTGCTGCTGCTGCTGCAACTGCTGCATGTGGTTTTGTTGCTGCTGTTGTTGCTGCTGCTGCTGCATCTGCATCTGCATCATCGCATGCGGATTCTGCTGTGCTGCGGCGTTACGCATCTGCATCTGCAGCAACCGCTGCTGCTGTGCCAGCTGCTGCTGTGCTTGCGGGTTGTTCTGCATCATCGCATGCATCCGCTGCGCCTGCAGACGATGCTGCTGCTGCTGCGCCGCCGCAATCTGCGCTGCCGTCGGCACGTTGCCCATCTGCTGTGTGCCCATCCCAACGTTCGCCATGCCCTGCTGTATCATGAACTGCTGCTGCTGCGGCGTCAGCATTCCCGGCTGTGGACTGCCCTGGGTCGCCATCCGCGGCGTCTGCGCAAGCTGCTGGGGCCGGCTGATAGGCGTCGCCACCTGCTGCTGCATATTCGGCGTCGAATGGGGAATCCGCGGCGTCCCTGCCGTGTGGCTCTGCTGGCTGCCGCGGGCAGACATGGTGACCGACATTGGTGCAGCCATCGGACCATGTGTCTGTGCCACCGACGGCGGCCGTGGTGGACTGCCGGCCATGCTGGACGTCGACGCCTGCATTGCCACCGGTCCCACCATCGGCGAGGACATGGTCTGCGGCGTGTTCTGTCGGCCGCCTGGCGACGCTGTCGGCTGTTGTTGCTGGGCCGCTTGCAGTCGGGTTTGCATCTGGGCCGCCTGCTGCGACGTCATGCCGTTGGGCATTCCGGTGAAGCCGTTCGCCATGCCTGCATGAGCCTGACCCATCGCCGCAGCTGCTGCCTTTTGCGCATGAGCCTGAGCCTGTGCCTGTGCCTGAGCCTGAGCCTGAGCCTGAGCCTGGGCGGCGGCTTGCTGACTCGGTGTCTGGGGTCGGCCTTGCATGGCTTGCGCCTGGTGAGCCTGAGCCTGCTGCAGCTGTGCCGCATGTGCTCTTGCCTGTGCTTGCTGGATGGCCATGGTACGCCGCTGGGCTTCCTGCTTGGCCTGCTCGCGCGCAGCCTGCTCGCGTGCTGCCTGTTGAGCCTGTTGCTGTTGCAACAGCTGCTGCTGCTGCTGCTGCTGCTGCTGCTGCTGGAGTAGCTGCTGTTGCTTGATCCGCTCCTGTTCACGTTGCTCCCGAAGCTGCTGGTCGCGGAGGGCTGCCGCTTGCTGTGCCGCAGCCTGCTGTTCGGCCTTTTGCTGTGCAAGATGGCGTTCCCGCTCAACCTGCTTGATTTTCTCCTGCTCCTTACGCTCTTTGTGCTCGCGCTTGATCTCCTCGATAAGCTTGAAACGCTCGAAGCGGGGCTCAAAAGCAGCAGCACCGCCTTGGACATCGCCGTCGGCGCCGTTTGCAACACCTTGGCCACTCGATCCGCTTGGGTGGATACGCTCGTCGAGAGTGAGCATGTACCGTTCCAGGCCGGCAGCCAAAGCTTCGTCGGCCGCCATTTCGGCCACCGTCCGCTTCCTCGTCTTCGGCTGCGGTGGCAGATGGGAGTGATCGGGATGTGCCTGGGCATCGAGCTTCCGAATCACGTCCTCCACGCTCTTTGCCGGCTCCAAATCAAGCTCGGCCGACGTCGAGAAGATCACCCTGGCCTCAAATTCTGGAATGTTGCTGCCGTCGAGCTCCATCCGTTCCCGCTTCTGCCGTTTTGATGCCGGACCGCCGGGGGTCGGTGGTACTGCAGTCATCGGAGTGGGTGGTGGGATGTATGTCATGCCATTTGCATCGCGCCGCGTCTCTGCACCACGAGGCGTGACTGCTTTCAAGGCCATGTCTGCATGCAGACTTTGCGCTGTCGGATGCAGGACAACCGTGAAGATCCGGGGCCTCGCTGGCACCTTGTTCTTTTGGTCCTCCAATGCCCCGTTCGCTGCAGCTGCGTTATTTATGTCAGTCGTTTCTTGCTGCGCCTTTTCCTTGGGCTTCTTGTCAGCCGCGCCCGCCGGACCGCCTTTGGCATCTGGTGTGACGTTCTCTTTCGGGAAAGGAGCATATGGTGATGGTGTAAGATACGGACTGAATTTATGAATGGAAAACGGAGCGGTGTCGTTGGTTGGTGTGGCTGTAGTGCGGACTGTATCCTTCGACTGCACTGCAGCCTTGTGGTCGTACACCTGGACTATCAGGCAGCCCTCATAAAAAGGAACACCGCCTTGTATAAAGTATTCGACCAGGTCATGTGGGACAGTGCGTGCTTTCAGGTGTTCGAGAAATACGCGCATGGGCGACTTGTACGGAAAGATGCCGTCCTGCTGGTCGAAGCGAAAGTGTGTCGCGTGCATGTGCACCACGAGTGAGGGTGGGTTTCCGCTGTACTTCTTCAGGATGTACACATCGGTGACGACTAACGTGATGGTCAACACGGCAGATGCACCAGAGAGCAGATGCAGCAAAATGAATCTTACCATAGGGACGAGGCTCAACGACCAGGGCTATAGACGTGTCCACGGCAATGCTACCGGCGCGCATGCCGGCGACGGCCTTCGCATTGCGAGTAGCGCCACCCTGGGAGATGGAGTTCTCGCGGCGCACCGGCCGGGTTGGTGGCCGGACTGGCGTGACTGTGATGGCTGTTGGGCCGGTCATGACCGATTTGGCCGTTGCCGGCGGCTTTTTAGACGATATGGATGGCGAGGGAGATGACCGCATGGAGTTAATTCCATTGGTCTGTATGCCCGAAGGAATGGGGCGCTTGATCTTGGTCGGGATGGTGGGAGGGGGAACTGCGGTGACAGAGATGGGCGCCATGGTGGTGGTGGGCATATCGTGTGCGTATTCAGTTGCTTCGTGTGTTGTGCGTGATGTTGCAGCAGCTCTTTAGCGTCGCCGCGTGGGAGCCGGTTCCCGAATCCGCAACCCCCGACTCGAGGCCTCCAAAGAGTTACAGCGCGAGGCGATATGCGCACCTGGCAATCATCTGTCCGGACGGGTTGGGCGGCCGGGGGGGAAGAAGAAGGAGAAATCGCGGTTTGCGTCCCGATATACGGATTTAGGGGCTGGAGCGAGGCGAGAGATGAAAGAGTGGCAGTCCGGCGCGTTGGCAATCAGGCGGCTGTTTTGGAAGCCGGGACGCCAGCACAGGGCGATTGGATATTGCGGTAGTAAGTGATTGCGCCGATGACGATGATGGTGATGTTGCTGTTGATGAATTGATAGATGGCAAACGAGAGGAAGAGAGTAGGTTGACAGGCCGGCTCTCGGTCACGAAAATATTAGTTAGTCAGCCGAAACTGATTCAAGGGGTGACAAGGAGAGGCAGCACGACGACTGCAGATGGGCAGGCGGCTCGGGTGGCGGCAAAACAAGGCCAGATCCCAACGAGAGACGAAGAAAACAGATATCGCGATGCGCAGGAGATCCGTAGCCCCCGGTCGCGTCCTTGGGCGTCTCGGGATGGTGTGGGGTTGAGGCCAAGCGTATACGACGGGACTGAGAGAGATTGGGAAATTCCTGGGCACATCAGCCTCAAATGTGGCTACATACGTGTGGCCGGGTCGGTACGATAAGTCACGTGACTTTGAGTTGTGTTGCAGCGCAAAATAAAAATACAAGAAAAAGCAAGAAAAAGATCGAGAAGCCGATTCGAGTAACGATTACATTCCGGCTGGAGAGCCGCGACATCACATACACTGTCTTGCAAATCATGAAACGGGTCATAAAACCAAGCCACAAAACGGCGCAGACGAGCAGAGGACGTGATGTTGCACACCCCCGTCGTCTGGCGCAAGATCAAAGATAAAAGAAAAAATACCGCCAAATCTCATCCCCACATCGCGGCCAGTCCCTCCCTCCACTTCCCTCTCGTCCTCCTCCTTTTTCCCTTGCCACCCTCTAGTCCCGGCCCTGCACGCGCCGGGTCCAGTCGTCATTTACCCGCTGGCTGTCGACCACGACGACGCCGCGGCCACGGCCCACACGGTCCTCACGCTGCCACCACTTGGGCGCCGGATCGCTGGCCGACCTCTCGGCCTCGGACTCGCTGTCGGCCAAGCCGCCGTGGCCGCTGTCGGCGCCGACGACGACGACGACCTCGTTGCGCATCCACGACTGCAGCTGGTTGATTACGGCGCCATTGTGGCCGGTGAGCGACTCCTGGATGTACACGACGTCGGGCTCGAGCAGATGCAGGATGTGCGCGTGGCCGTTGGACGACGTGAACGGGATAATGTCGCTCTCCTTCTCGACCAGCGCGAGGGCCTGCGCGTTGACGGCATTGAAGGCGGCGTTGCCCGACGGCGGCGCCGCCACCGCCAGGGGCGTGTCGTCGTCCGCCTTCTGCGACTGCGCCTGCTCGACGCCAATGTTGGAAAAGGACGAGCTCAGCGATGCGGGCTGGCCGTTGCCGGCAGGATCCAGGCTGGACGACTCCTTGAGACCGGGGGCGTAGATGAGCACGAAGATCCGAACCCTGAAGAAGTCATGTTGGCGGGGGATATAGGAGAGGATGGACTGCCACGGCAGCTGTCAGCACAAGACGACACGACAAGAGAAAACAGGCAGACACATACGGAATATTCGTGGAAGCTGTCGTCGTCGAAGCCGTCCAGGTCGCTGTCTGCGGCCACGACCAGGGCCACCGTCTTGCGCTTCCGGCCAGAGGTGCTCTTGGACGCGGAAGACGTGCGTTCCTTGCGTGCGTCGACCTCCTCAGACCAGGTCTCATGGTCGGCGTAGGCGTCCTTGTCGCCCTCGCGGATCGAGGCCAGCGCACCACCGACGGCGGCCGAAGCAGCGGCCACGCCGGCCGAGACGGCCTTGCTAGCACTGCCCACCCACTGCTGGGGCGTCGAGTTGGTGCCTAGAGCGCCCGACATGCGTGTGCTCCAGCCTGCAATTGACGGAGGCCCCCCCGAGGCCATGGATACATCCGTCAGGTTGATGGCAGCGCCATCAGGACCACCGCGCGGCGGCGGACCGTGGCTGTTGGCCACACCATAGGGAGGGTTCTCACCGTAGTCAGCGTGGTCGTAATCGAGGTCGTTGGGCTGGGAAATCAACGTCTGGCCTGTCGGCGTCTTGGTCTCGTCCTCGTCATCCTCGTACTCGTCGTCGCGGTTCCGCTGGCTCCAGGCCCAGGCCGCCACGCCGGCCGTCGCGATAGTAACCGTCAGCAGCAGCGGTACCCAGTGGGACAGCACGCCCCGCCGTCGGGAGGACGACCCGCGGTCGTAACGGTCCGACATGGGGTCTCTGATCGATCCCTATCTCTCTCTCTCTCTCTCGCTCTGTGAATAGTTGTAGGGGGGGTGGATCACATCGCCCGGCGGGCAGCACGCGTAGTCCTCTTCTGGGAGGCAGATGTGTCAAGCTGCTCGTCGTTTCCGTCTCAGGCCGCGGTGGCTCCGGGCTAATTGCTCCACGTATCCGCGCGAATCACACGTGGAATGTCAGTCGAAGTCGGGAATGACGTACAAACGTGTTCAGGGCGCAGGCCGATTATCGGGGACAGAGGCAGCTGCAGAAATCTAGGAGCGTGGTGTCAAACGCAGGAAAAGATGTGCGCAAAAGGGCATCTTACGGACGACCGAGACGCTGTGGCCACCAGGGACCGCAAACCTTTCGTATATCGGTGGCTGGTTTGTTGATGCCCCAGCCTTTTCTCCCAGAACAGCTAAACACCGAGGCATAGTCGATTCTCTATTGGTTGTCTGGCCAAAGGCTGGCCAATCAGGCCGCTTATGCTTGCTGCATAATTGCACGTGATTATGCATCTCGGTGAAGATGAAATTTATGCACATGCACAAATGTGGGGCAGACTCGAGCGAAGGCATGAGTCAAAAGCCTTCATCCAACCGTGGTGAGAGCTTGACGATCACGAACCCTGTGGCCGCTACCGGAAAATCAGTTGCACAGCTCATCTCTGTGACGGCCTCATACACCGGCTCCATAGAATGAGAAAGCCGCATACAGAACACGTATAGAATCAGCGCGCTGTGGGATTTCAAAAAAGCAACCTAATACTTTTACCTTATCTCTCACATTTCTTCACATCTTTCATCGTTTGTTTCCCACGCACCCACGCTTTCTGCTTTTGCCTCGGCTCACAATGCCCCACGCGGTGCCAAAGGGCATGGGGCTGCAGGCCCTGATTCTGTGTGGTCCTGGATCCTCGTTCCCAACATTCACAGCCAGTCCGGATGAGAACCCAAAAGCGCTGCTGCCCATTGCCAACCGGCCGATGGTGTGGTACCCGCTTGACTTCTGCTACCGGGCCGGCATCACAGGTGAGTTTGCGCCGGGCGAGGCTGGCTCTGTCGATGCTGCATGCTGACTGGGGGCAGACGTGACGCTCATCTGCCCGCCCTCGGCGGCCGAGGCGATCAAGACGGCCCTGAAGACGAACCCGTTTCTGACCAGTCTGTCTGCGCCGACGGTGGTGGCGCCGACGGAGCTGTACCACACTACGGGCACGGCTGCCATCCTGCGGCTGCCCGAGGTGCGCGCCGTCGTGACGGCCGACTTTGTGGTGCTGCCGTGCGACCTGGTCTGCGAGCTGGGCGGCGAGAAGCTGCTGCAGGCATGGATGGTGCGGGCAGCCTCGCTGGTCGACATCCTAGGGTCGGACGAGCCGGAGAGCAGCTTCCTGTCGGTGGCCTCGGCCGCTGCAGCCTCGTCGACAGCCGCTGCAGCCGGCAGTGGCAGCGCTCTCCACAGCGGCGGCCTGGGCGTGTGGTACGACACCCGGACGGGCATCCCCAACGTCAAGAGCGAGGAGAAGGACTTTGTGGCCACGGTGCCGCTTGCCGGCTCGACCACGGCGGCGCCGGTGCCGGCGAAGAGCACGGCGTCGCTGCTGCCACGCCTCGAGCGCGTGGTCACGGCCATGCCCACAGACTCGCTCAACGACCTGATGGAGGAAAAGGGCGACTACCCGGTGCGTCACGGCCTGCTGCGGCGACACCGGCGCGTGCGCATGCGCACAACCCATCGCGACGCCCACATCTACGTCTTCCCGCAGTGGGTCATGGACTTTGTGCAGGCCAACGAGCACATGGACAGCATCGGCGAGGATGTGCTCGGCTGGTGGGCCCGGGCCCAGTGGCAGCCGACACTGCCCAAGAAGCTGCGCCTGCACAAGGTGCTGCAGACCTACGGCGACCAGCTACACGACGCAGGCGGCTCCTCGCCACCGGCCACAGACTCGGGCGATGTGCCGCCGTCGGTGGACGGAACAGCCGCGGCAGACCTGTCGGCAGCGGCAGACGCGGTGGCAGCTGCAGAAGACATCACGTTGGCAGCAGCAGCCGCAGCCACAGCGGCCGCGGCTGCAGGCGCTGCTGCAGAAACAACTGCAGCTGAACAGCAGGTGCCGCCATTCCTGGCCTACGTGCACCCGTCGGCGGCCACGGCACCGCTGATCCGGCGCGTGGACACCTCGCAGCTCTTGCTGACGGTGTCTCTGCAGCTGGCTAAGCTGCCGTCGGTCGAGGAGGTGGCTGCCGGCACGGTCGACAGCAGCACGGCGTCGCCCTTTGCACACACGAAGAAGGTGGCCTACCCAGAGGGCGTCAAGTCGCGGACGACCATCACACGGCAGGACAGCCTGGTGGCCGATAACGTCACGGTGGAGGAGAAGGTCTCGATCAAGGAGTGCGTCGTTGGGGCCAACTGTCAGATCCATGAGGGCGCTAAGCTGCACCAGTGTCTGCTTATGGAGGGCGTCGTCGTCGGCAAGGGCTGCCGGCTCACACGCTGCATTCTCGGCAAGCGAAGTGACATCGGGGCCGGCTCGGTGCTGACAGACTGCGAGGTGCAGGAGAATCTGCTGGTCGAGCCAAAGAGTGAGTTCCCCCCTCCTTTTCCCCGTTCCCCCTCTCCCATCAGGTTTGAAATATGTGGATATTGGCGTGTGTGTTTGTGTTTGTGGCGCACACTCGCTTCACGGTCAACGGCTCGTGCTAACTGCAAATGTGATCCTTCAGCCGAGGAGAAGGAGAACAACTTTATGAGCTCCAAGGGCCTGGAAGCGACGGCCGAGGAGATGGACGAGGCGCTGGAAGATGACGAAAACGCGATTGCTGAATAGACAAGGGGCGCATTAGGGTAGCAGCTAGCGCATCTGCCAACCGGAGGAGGTTTCAACGCCTCTCGATGGGTTCCGACAGTGATAGTCTGGCCTGCCAGCGCGAGTCAGGGTTCATCCGGGCTGCCAGCTGTAGAGGCTGGGTAAAATGGGCTCTGGCCTCAAACATGCGTCGTCCAACTCTGCCCCATCTACTACGTACTCAATACGTGTTTCCCTGTTGTCTTCTTTGCCTCTGGCGGGAACTCGTCAGGGGGCGGATTTTGCCGTGGAACGATTGTCATTTCCTCTTTTAGACCCCGAGCATTTCGCCGACCTGTCAGGCCCACTGGCAGAGAGAGAAGAGGAGAGAAGTGAGCGAGCGGACTCCCTTTCGTCAGGTACAGCCGCAGAGCACGCGTTCTGGACCTTGATGGCTGTTGGCAGGTGGGAGTCTCAGAACCCCTTTCGACGCAGGCAGGATGCGAGAAGACGATTACGCGTACGCAGGAGCCATGTATGGCACAAACACGTGAGTCTCAGCGAGTACGAGTCTCGTACTCCGTATACTTACTCATATGAGCACAAGCACTCCGTGTCTGGCAATTCTCTGCTGCCAGTACGTGACCCCCTTCTCTGTTCTCTGTGCCTCTGCTCCCCTACAGGCGGCCTGCCCTCATCGCCGGGCCATCGTCCCCGAGATGGCGCAGATTGTGGATGTCACAGCTGCTGCTTCTACTGCTGCTGCTGCTGCTGCTGCTGATCGGATCTTCTAGCTCTCGGCCCCAAGCCTGCAAAGCCACGGCTGCCAAGAAATGTGGGTGCGGGGTCGAGGCGTCTGGGAAGCAGACGGAGCACTTGCCCTTTTGGGCCCTGCCTTTTTATATATACGTGTATTTCTCGCCTCCCCGTATCCAAATCCGATTCTTACCGTCCATTTCTGGTTTGTGGATGCAGTCTGCCGGCCGGCATCTCAAGAGGCTCTCACAGACGTCCGGCCGATTGTTTCCCCCCTAAACGACCAACTCGAACTCGAATCCTCGTCATCTGTTATCTCGATCGTGACTCTCACTGGCGAAGAAAGTAAACCACGCAAGCCCCCCCCGAAGGCTCGGCCAATCTCACCTTGAACACGGCCAGCTGAAAATTGGGCACTACCGAGCATTCGTATTGCTTGTTTCTCTCGGTGGTGCGACCCTCTTTCGTTGCTTACCTCACACTCACCTGATCTTGTCTGTCAATCCTACAGCACCCCCTTTCCCTTTTTGCACCCCCTTCTCCACTACTCTCTAGCCTCTCGAGGGCTTGCTGCTTGTCTCGGCTGGCTTCTATGTATTCACTTTTATCCGAGATCGTGTCTTGCCCGGATGCCCCTTGCTTCAGCCTTCGTCGACACGGCGAGTGAGCAGGCTGTGCTCCGTGCCCACAGATTGCCAATTCCAAGCCCGATCGAAATATTGGTCGGAAAAGAAAGCAGGCAAAGGAGGGAACACGCTGGGAAAAAGCAAGGAGATAAAGCGGACGAACCGCGGGAAGGATCGTGGTACGGCCATCGAAGATCGCAGCGCACAGACCATATCACGAAGAGACGCTGTCGAATGGTACCTCAGCACACGGCGAGAGCTCAGGGTGACAGCGGCCCCGCTGGCCTCCTGGCGTCACATCGCATCAGTTGTGTCAGCTCCAGTACGAGCACGCATCATTCCATCGCCAGCAGTAGCACCACAGGCATCCTCGGACGGATGGGCTGCTTGAATAAAACTCGGACTGCGAGCAGATTGGGGAGGTCCAGGTTTTCGGACAATGGGGTTGTTCCTGCAGCCCCAGATGTGAGGTAGCGTTGTCTGTGCCTGTGCATCCTCCTCGACTGTGGTCCAATACACCATTGCTACCATATATGCGGCAATCTTGGCTCGTCCCCGCCGCCGGGACGATACGGAAATGCGTGTGGCCCGGAGCTGCACCATGACAAACATCCTATTTTGGTCTGTTACGTGGCCTCTCAGCCCCATTTCAGGTGCAGCTGATGGATGCTGGGTAAATCCCAAGCTTGATCAAAATGGTGCAAAGAGACCCTAGGTAGCCTCGTATGCGGCATCAGCCCTGCCGCCAGCGGTACATAGGGCCAACTGTACCGATTACAGCTACAACGACTGTTAGCCCGAGAGTTCTCCGAGCATTTTGCAAAGTACACTACTTGTCTTGCTAGGTAGGCTCCCGAGCCTGGAGAAACACGGGTATACCGGATAGAACGAGATGGCTTTATTCCACATCGCCGCGCCAAGGCTGGGCTTCAACTTTTTCGAATCGCTCTTCCGGCATGTGTCAGGCAGGGGTCGTATCCGTCGGGTTGCGCCTCTGGCGCCATCCCGAAGTGGGCAGAACGGTCTCAATAGCCATCACAAGGCCAGCGACCGCCCTTTGCTCCGGTCGAGAGTACGCGTAGTGTGGCACAGGACGCTGAATGATAACGGGCGAGCCTATCAGAAGAGCTTGGCGTCGAGCCCGGACATCATGGTGGCCTCGTCCGATGTCTCGCATCGTATTGGCGTGCACTGTCGCGTTTTCCAGTTGCCGTGGCTGCCCCTGGCTGCCCTGGTGATGATTCGCACGGCGCCTGTCCAACAGGCCCAAGGGAGGGTCGGGGGGATTGACAGCAACCCAATACCCGATCTGTCCCTGCCCTACGCACCAACGGGAAAACCTGGTGCGATTTGTGGTTAGCCTCGCGTTCCCAGCTCTTGGATCGGCCGCGGCCGCGTCGCTAGCAACTGCACTTGCACCCTGCAGTTGCCAACGTGTTGGAAGGCCAAGGGTAGGCGATCAGGTGGAGGGAAGGGATGCGGCACGAGAACAGTAGACAGGCAGACGTTGTCTTAGTGTCGAGTTTCTTAGTTCCCAAAAAACCAAAAGCCGGCATCGACAAGACAAAAAGTACCGTGCAGACACACTTCACGATTTCCCGGGACTGCAGGAATCACTGACAAATGCTCGTCCCATCTCGAGAGTCCAGCCAAGGGCGCCGCTTCCCCTGATGATCACCACGACCAGGGATGGCTTCGAGCCTTTTGGAGACGCGTTGGAATGTGGAGAGAGGCTTGAGCTGTCGTTGCCAATTGGCAAGGCAAGAGAGCTTCTTCCTAGAGCACCGGCACGCCAGCGAGAGGGTGGATGATGGCCAGGACGAGGGCTACCGACACACCGGCCGTGCAGTCGACCGGTTGGCCGAACAAGCACGGCCATTGTTCTGTCATCCGTGGCTATTGCCTTCCCTGCCTTTGGTCCTTTATTCTACTGCCGGCAGACTTGGTCTTCCTTGCGTCGTTCCGTCCATATGAACTATGATGGCAAAGGTACGAGAGTGCATATTATGACATAGATCAAGCAGATTAGGAAGGCGAGTAGATTTGCGATTACGTGGGCAATCTCGTATCCGAAAACCATTCTCGTGTATGCGGGGGGTTTTCCCTGTGGCCTTACTACGCGGACCGAAGGACGGGCTGCAACGTCACTACAATCGTGTACTATGTCGGAGGACGGAGTACGAGAGGCATGCGCTGTCTTGGAGGCACGATCGACCCAGCCTTGTGCACAAGGATTACCCAGCATACGGCAGCCGGCACAGCTGGGCCGTATGCAACGGACGATGCGCTGGGACTGACATGGGTCCCTGGCTGGTTGGTCCGTGTGGCCGGCTTTCTTTTTTCCTGGGTGCCCCGCCGTCCAGGATTACGACTGCCGTCTACTCGTAAGACGGAAGAATACGTACATAGTACGACGTACGTCGTACGAGTACAGAGGCGCAATAGTTTGATTTGAGGATGCAACTGGGACTGCCATCATGCACGCAACCCGAAAAAAAGAAAAGAAAAAGAATCCTGGCCGTCAGGGTCACCAGGCCAGCAAGCATGCTGTGCGCAAAGGAGCAAATGAACACCGTAACATCGGGGTGCTCGACAGTGCGAAGACGCGTATCTGGACGTGCAAGAGCAAGAGTGCCTAGACACGTTGAGCGTACTACGAACCCCCCGGCCCACCGGCCAGCTTGCGACGTATGGCTGTTTCTCTCGTTATGGACACTGTGGATAGGCCTTGTCTTGGAGGTATGTAGCTGCTAGGATCAGCCTCGCCGCTCGGTATAGCCCGGACATGGGGGATAGATTATTAGTGCCCTTAGGCGGTGGATGATCACTGAACTACAGGGAACATTACTCTGTACGGAAGAGACGATGCGACAGAAGACGAGATGGAAATACGCTGCGAGTGCTAGAAAGAGGAAAAACGGCAGGCTGGAGCAATCAGAAGGCCGGAAACAGTATTCGGCAAGAGAGCCACTGTCAGAAACAGGTTTGATCAATAAAGCCTAATGAAATTAGAGTGATAAAGCAATATAGCACTAAAACAGCAAACATGCGAAACGAAACAGATCCTAGACCAGGACTTTCAGCCGGTGAGTGTGTCCGGTCGCAGATCCTCCTCTAGACAGCTCGACGAGTGCACGGGCAGGAAAAGTCTTGGCGAGCGTGCCGCTCAAAGGCCCAGCGCACGGACGGTACGCCAGGGCTGGTGGACTGATGCTGAATATTGAGCTCAGCTGGAATCTTGGCGCACTTGCTGGCCCCCTGCTCTCCAGGGAAGCCGCCAGCCAGAGGATGGGCATGCTAGCCTGTGCCATAACAAGTGTCTTGCAAGTAGGACGAAGCCGTGCCATGTAAGAAGCCACTAAGGCCCAGGATCGTGGGCAGGTCTTAGTGGAAGAACGCTACAAGCAGAAAAACAATGGCACGAGAAGGTGCAAGCACTGTATGGTGACGACAGAATAAAAAAGTCGGGCGCCTTTCGATCGGGCACGCCGTGATAAGAGACCCAATCGTCGGGCATAATCATCCGCACGTCTCCATACCACTAGAGCATGCCGTAATCTTCTGTTTAGGTAAGCTGGTCCCCTGTACATCTTGCCATTGATCTCGCCAATCGGCTTCGGCATTGTTGATTGTTTTGCATGCATTCTGGCTCCTATTTTCCCACTTTCCCATTTTCCCGTTTCATCTAGATTGGCTAATTTTCACCTGCAGAGCGTCTCGTCCAATCCTGCGCAAGTGCTCGTCAGATGCGTCAGTTCTCAGTTGACGACGTCTTTCTTTTGGCCCGTCCTGGAGGGTGAGACGGACGGTGGCGCGCGATGCCACCTGCCAGTGTAGTATCGCGTGTCCCCTGCAGCGATGGCAGATGTCATACGTCGTACATCTCTTGCCAAGGCACAGCGCCGCGACAAGGCTCAGCAATGCCAGCCCGGCCGTGTTGCTTGCCACCCGACCGTCCCTCTGGCCTCTTCGATCTCTGGACGCGCCATCTTAATTTGCTCCCTACGGCGCACATCTTTTGGCTAGCGCCGCTCTTGCCAGAGCCAATTCGTATTCAACCGGTGAGCGGTGGGTCTGCATAGTATCGTAGCTGCTGCTAGCTCTTTGGTGCCATGCAGCTGCGGCTTGCTGATCGCCTTGATAGCCGGAACGAGTTCTTCCCTCTCTGCTTCTTATCCGCAGCCGTGGCCGTGGCCGTGGCCGTGGCCGTGGCCTGGTCTTTTCGGCACGCTTGTAATTATGCCTACATCGTTGTTTGCCACTGGCCTCTGGCCGGTAACGGGAGATTGCTTGTTATCGTACCGGCACCAAAGTATTGGACTTTCTTCCGGATGCTTTATGGAACCTCGGAGCATGGCTTCGCAGCAGGATTTTGACTTGCCCGGTCAGCTGCAGACTCTGCGTGGCAGGGTAGGTTGCGGGCCGGCCTGCATGGATGGCGTAGGACCTGGTCCTTCGGGCTCTTCCTATTGGCATTCTTATTCTGTCTGGACACCCATTTGTTCATTTGAACCCCCGAGAGTGGAGGGACAGGGAAGCGAGAAATGACGGAGAGGAGAGAAGGGACACGGCAGGGTCGACCCCATACGGCATACGACGTGTCCCATGCTACAAACCGGGAAGTAACCGGGGCACGTACTACAAGATCAAGCAGGAAGTGAGACACACAGGAGAGCCAGTACAGAACAGGAAAATGGATCTGATCAGAAATCATACACGAGCCAGCACACCACCTCTCTACCTGGCCGTTCGGTAGAAGCTGGGTTGATTTCTTTTTCCATCTGCCGAGTGCCAATTTCTGAGATGAAGTTGCTTTTTCGTCCCTCTGGTCCAGCTCTGTTCAGCTGGAGACTGCTGTTCGTATCGGATGGCGTCGACACGCCTGGCAGTCCGGAGCGCAAAAGAAGAAAAATAGACGAAGAAACAAAATAGGAAACACCTCTCATACGGAGTGCATGGAAATGAGGAGCCCTCTATTTCTTCTTTCAGACGCGTTGACGAACATGTCTGGGGAAGGCTCGGGCGTGAGGGCGAGAAAGGGACGGAAGTAGACGAGAATAGAACAGACTGAAATAAAGGAAAAAAGGCAAAGTGCAACCCACCTGCGAGACATGCTCAAGCGGAAGCAATAGACGGAGGCTTGCTGCCAGCTGTCTAGCTCAGAGGCTCGGTTGGGGCTGAAAGACGCGAAGAATGCCAGGGACAGGGACAGGGACAGGGACAGGGAAGGCCTGTCGGGCTGGCGGCGCGGCGCATGACTCTTGTCAGCTCCGTCCGAGCTGGACAGCCCAGGGACACCAGAGTCAGGAACAAGGAGGGCGTGACAGACTGGGCTGCGCACTGTGTACTGTGATCTTTCGATATGGAACGGTCGTGCAGATGCCAGCAAATAGGGCTCCTCGATCCCCATTTCCTATTGCTTTTGGCAGAGTCCCGTAATCTCTTTCCCCTTCCTCTTTCCCCTTCGCCTTCCCCCTTCTCTCGTTGCCGCGATAGATTGCCGCAATATCGTAGCCTGCTCGCTCCCAGAGCAATAAGCCCGGCCCAGATTGCCCTCTACAGTCAGCCTGGGCCTAGTGGTACAGCTTACCTCCGAGACCCGACCTCTTAGAAGGTCTCGGTCAAAACTGGGCTCCGTGCTTTGTGGGGGAGAGCAGGAGGGGATGGGAGGGGCAATGCTCGTACTAAATACGACGTACAGACCCAAGATGCATTCGCAGTGGTGGTATCTAGTCCTGCTATGGAGCCCGGCCGTGCGAGCATCGCAGCGCGCACCACACAAAAGACGGCCTATCCAGAAGGAGCCTGCAGCTCCAGACCGTCAAGGACAATCTGGCTGCGCCCAGAACCCGCTGGTGCACTGACCATAGTGGCCCCCGGGGCAGCTTTCTTTCCGCCTCCACTGGTAGGAAGGGAAAAAATAGGGCCAGTGTCGCCCCTCCAAGACTTTTTCCATGTAGCCCAGAAACACGCGCGTCGTCTGGCCTCTCGCCTGTCGTCAGATAGGTCCCTCCCAAAGAAATTATGTGCTAAGCAGTCCCCCACAGAGGGCATGCGTCTGCCGAACCCTGCTAATGTGTGTTTCGTGCAGCATGGCGGATGTGCCGGCAGGCACAGTCCTCTGACGAACCGGACATGAGCGAGAGTGCGGTGGAGTCTCCGAGACCCAGGGGCAGCAGAAGCAGGAGCAGCAGCAGCAGGCTCGGCAGCTCAGGGCCGCTCGGGGGTTTGGTGTGTCTCTTCCGCTGTCTCGTCTGCTCGCCAGGCTCACTCGCAGCAGACAGATACATAGTAGGACTGTGACGCAAGACACAAAAAAAACGACAGACGGTGAGCTGTCAGATTCTCTTTGTCTGTGCCGGCCACGCTGAAGGGACGGTGCCGCTACCGTACCTGCTTTGGGGTCGTATTTGCGCGCGCAGTGAGCGAGAGGCTATTGCTCCCCCCTCCCCCCAGAAAATGGAGAGAAAAGACGAAGATCTGGGCTGGACCGGTGTAGCGTATCGCGCTAGTGGTGGATTACGCACTACGGCCACAACGCTAGCTCTAGTCCAGCAGTGAAGCTCGCAGGCTAGCGGTTTTGGCTTACGACTGGCTGACTCTGCGCACTCGCCTCTTGCCAGACACGCTTTCTGGCACTCTCTGGCACTTTCTGGCTCCTCCGTCTCTTTCAAGCTCATCACGCAGGCACGGGCTACTATGCATTCTGTGCAGATTGAGTCTCCGATCTGTCCGCTATACTCATACTCGTCCCTCCCGCTTACCATTTCCTCCCGGATCCGCCTTCTTCGTGCTTCGAAATCCACCCGGCTGATTGCGACCTACTGTACGGAGTAGTATGCAAATCGTACCTGCATACAATTAATATCGTATCGCATGCAGCGTCACATGGCTCCAATGCACCCTCTTCCCACTGCCTGCCCATTGTTCATGATGCTCATATCATATGAGCTCACTCCGAGCTCTTGGGCCCCGTCTTCCGCCTGCTTCCGGATTTTTGTCGTTCACATCGTGTCCTCGACCTCCCTCTCTCCTCTGTGTCCGAGATTGCAACGTCACCGTCCCGAGTTGCTCGCTGGATGTCTCCCTCGTCTCCCTGTGCCGGCTAGTTCACGACGCGTCCCGTGGCCTAGAATCACCAGGTTGGAAAGCTGCCCGCAAGAATGTCGTGATGCTGCACGCTCGGACGCGTCAAGCCCATTTAATTCGAACCTTTTACCCGGCCACTACGAGACTTCCTCCCTCCCTTCCCTGTCTCACTCCGCAGACCAACAGAAAAAGGTACGAGCAGCGAGCGGCGAGGGCGTGGAGGCAATACGGAAAAAGCAAATCCCCTTCCGAGAGTCGAGGAAACCTGAACCCCCTCTCCGCCTGTGCCTGGCACAGCTCCCCTTTTCGTATTGCCTCCTCCCTTCCCTGCCGTTACCATGCCCACTTTTCTCGTCCCTTTCTTTTGTTCGTTAGGAAGCTCCCACTGCCCCGTTTCGTCGTTGCTACCACAACGGTCGCCCAGACCGGTTGTGGTTCATCCGGCCCGGCGACCTGCCCATCGTCTTTCTGCCACCTCCGCTGCCTCTGGCCGTTTCCCCCCTGGTTAGTCGCGTGTATAGTGGTTCCTGCATTCTTCACGGGCTCAGGCGCGAGGGAGGGATCGAGCAACAGGTAAGGAGGAAGGAAAAGGCCCAAAGAGGGTCGAAAGTCCTGGGCCGTAGTCGTAGCCGTAGCTTGCTTTTCATACAAGCTTGTACGGGTCGGGTCTGGGCGGATATTCTGCTCGGAGGATGGAGAGGATTACATGCAGTCAAACAACGCATCGTAATGGCATTGCCAGAGAAGGCGAGGGCAGAGGGTAGTCTTCCTTCTGCTGCCTAGACTACGTACGCCTCCGCGGGTCGCTCTTTCCCTGTACAGAGCATATGTCTCTGCCTCGTGCCTGCTGTATGCCGATACGATTACATGCATCCCCCTCGCAACTGTCATTGACCATACTATCGGCAATCGCCTGCTTGAGAACAGACTTGACACACATTGCGAGCCGCACGTTGCATATCTCCCCTTGCATGCTTTCCTCTCACCATCGCTTGCCTGTCATCCTGGAACGAGACTCATCAGGCAAATCCAGGAACAGAAACTTGCATGTGAGCATGCACACCATACGCAATCCCATCCATCCAACATCCGCCCATAATATCACAAACCGCCTTGCAGGTCGATCTCTTACTCACACCCCCCTCAGGCCTCTCCTCTTTCTACCCAGCCAACTGCACACCCCACCCCACCAGTTTCGTTCTCTTGCAGCCCATTGGGCCGTCTCCCCCATGCTGATTAGAGAGAATAGTGGCCATGGGTACTGTTAGACGCACTTTGGTCTACGGCTAGCCATAGCCATGACTGCACAAAATAAGAGCTGCAGCTGCGGCATACCACGACACATCCTGCATAATGAGGAGGATATGATGCGGCATACATACGTTTTCCCGGGCCCGCTGTTGCTGGTTACCCTATGGCCTCTGTTCCTCTGACCGGCCACCGCAAAGTGGGGGAGCACTGTGCATAGTAAGACGGTGGTGGATCAGAGGGCCTCTCGCGTATTCGGCACTCTCTGGCCAGCCTGACCAAGCATTCTCTACTTGCACTCTGTACCTTCCCCTGCTAGTGCGTGTGGGAGTCACTGATCTCAAAGGTTCTTCCAACACTGTATGGCGTAATCGGCCCTGCAAGTGTGACAGAAAAGCAGTCCGGACAATGCCTGTACTTCAATGCGGTCATGCATGCCGAAAACAGAGGAGGCCACGCAAAGTGTCAAAATTCAGAGAAGAGTAGCAATGACGGGCTCAGGCTTGCAGGCATCAGAAAGAAGGTGGTGGTGTGTCAGTGCTTACAGGAAAGGGTGTGTGCGTATCCTGCTATTTTAGCGCGACTTGACTTTACTTTTGTTCTCGTTTTAGCATTTTGGCCATTTTGCCTCCCCCTCCAAAACGTAGCTTTCAGTTTTGGCTTTGATACCAACGACTGCGAGACTGGTCTTGTATTGTAGTTTGCTTTCTTTTTATTTTGGTAGTGGTGCACTAATGTAGCGCAAATCTCACCCCCTCTGCTTCTAGTCAAACTCTTCACCCCCCCCCCCCCCCCCCCTTTCCCCAAGCAGATTTTCCTCCACTCTGTAATCGACTACAACGTGTGTGCCAGTTGGAGAGACCATTCCATGAAGCGGCTCACTTAGATATACTCGACAGTCTGTAGGTATAACGCGTTAGATCTCGCGAATGGCGTAGGCTCCACAGTAGATAGACCAAGTACTCTGTCCTTGAGTACTTAGGTACCTGTTGCCGCCCTTCCAAGGGGGGGCTGCTTGCACTATTAGGGTGAGTACGGAGTACAAGCTCAGATCGACCTCACCTTGTTGGTTTACAAAAAAAAAAAAAGCAAAGAGTAAAGGAAAGAACGCTTTTTCATCCTCAACGCTATTATATATTCCCCTCCTTCGTTCCTCGCCCCTTCCTCTCTTCCCTTTCATTCTTCCTCCCCATTCCCTTCACCATCCTTTAAATACCGCCGACATCAAAACTCTCTTTCACCCAGACAACGGTTGGCTCCCTTTTGCTTCATTTATCACTGTTCTTAATATCTCCCTCCCACCAAGAATACTACAGCTCCATTCCATACTCCCGTCTACTTTCTTCCCCTTGTCCCTTTTTCCAATACACGTACCACGTACGTGCAAGAAAACCGTTTTCATAATGGACATGAAGCTCGACTACTGTAGCCTGGTCGATACCCAGGTTCGCCAGGCACACTACGGTCCTTCCGTTCATCACGACAGCTTTTCGTCGGCTTCTGCGTCGTCTGCCAGCTTTGGCCCATTTTCACCTGCTTCAGAGCAGACATCTTCTAGCGACCACCGACTCGGATCCATGGGATCGTGTAATTTCGAAGCAGGTACGTCTGCGGGTAGCTTTTCGGGCTTGCCCATGGTCGATCAGCTCGAGACAGCGCCGTCGTCTTCTTCGATGCCCAACTTTTTCGCCTCGCTTGAAATGCAGCAAGCTCAAGCAAACATGGTTGCCGCAGCGGCTACTGTTGCACCGCACATGACTTCGGGCTACATGTCGACATCGGCTTTCCCGCAGCCGCCTGCTACACCCGGCCGCAACAGCAGCACAAGCAGTCATAATAGTAGTCCCATCACGCCGGCTAACATGCTGTCATCATACCCTTCGTCTGTCACGACACCTGATTCGGCTTCACCTCACCATCAGAACATGCTGTGCGGAGCGGGCTCGTCTGATGCATACTTTGCCGACATGCAGCACCAGAACCATCGTCACCAGACGATTCAACATCACGGTGTTCACCAACAGCAGCAAGCATATCATACAGCTCACCAGCAGCATGTTTACCGCGAGCAGCAGTCTCCGGTATACAACATCATGGCGACCCCGTCGCCTGCTCACTCTTTGAGAATTGAAAACAGCACTTCCCCTACAGATTTTATGTTCAATGGCAATGGACGGGTGGAAAGCCCTATCAGGGACTACTTCGGTGAAAGATCGGCTAACCTCCCGCCTCTTCCGCCTTCTGCTACACTTCCTTCGTCGATCGTTAAGAACGAGCTCGTCGAGAGGTACAGCTCGCCTGAAGATGCTGATTCGACCAACCTGGCCCGTCGCTATTCGACTGCCTCGTCTGTTTCTTCGTATGCTAGCACAAACATGGCTATGCATCGTCAGTACAGCCGGATGGGCGATGTCCGTCGCAACTCAGAGGCCCTCCAGCGGATCAGCAACCGCCAGTACGACTACTCCTCGTACGCCAACGGCAGCGCCTCGCCCGCTGCTGGCGGCGGCCACCTTGTGGTCCGGAACGGTATTCGGGTGTCGAGAGTGGCATCGGGTGCCTTCAAATGTATTGTTTCGGGTTGCCCATCTCGTCCGTTCAAACGGTCTGAGCACCTGAAGCGTCATGTTACAACGTAAGCTGCTTGCTGAGTGTCACCGAACGAGTTACTTGGATGGCATGGCTAACCAACTTTAGGCACCACGAAAACAAGGATACTTTCCCATGCGAGTTTTGTGGTCGCAGCTTTAACCGCAAGGACAACTGGCGCTCTCATCTGAAGCTCCACACGATTTCTCGTGGCAAGAATGCCCGTACCGACTACTTCGCCAAGGCGGTTCAAGTTTACAACGAGGAGATGCGCAAAGTGAGCAAGTGCCGGCCCCGGAAGGAGAAGCTGGTACATGACGAGTGAACGGTGGGGCTCGAGTGCATTTTGCCTGCTGCCGCCCTGCAGACCATTAATTCCCTATTTGATTTGCTGCTCGATCTGTTTTTCCTGATTTTATGGCACTGTTTGCCTCTGTGAGTGCGGGATCTCTATTTCATTTCATTTGATATCACTCGGTTAGGGTCCAGTTGATTTTGTATGGCGTTGGGCTCGGAAAGAAACCTCCAAGTGAGAAGGATATGGCCAAGGCTCGGAAAGTGCTTTATTACGTGTTTCATGCATCGCAGTTTACGCAGTTTTCATGTATGTAGCAGATCAGCCTGTCTGGTGCTATTTGCACTTTGCCCGCCGGGATGGGGAAGTCTTGGTGGAAGACTCATGAAGAGAAAAGGGCGGTTATGTTGAGGCTCTATGGGAGCAGAATGGCTACTGGCAAATACGGAACACAGTAGAAGATGACAAAATTTCATTGTTTACATATTCTTTTCCACAATGTGTGATCCTGTAGTACAAACAGAAGTATCAGATTGGTGGCGTTTTCATAGTGAGCCAAAAGGGGCCTCCAGATCGACCAAATCCAATCAGCTGAAGCTAGATGTCAAAACAGATCAGTTGTGCAATTTCCACACCCACTATCGGCTCCGTGTCAGCAACGGAGCAGAAACGGGACAATAGCATGACCTCAGCTCTCTGCGAAAAGGTGAAGGAATACCTCGTCACTACCATGTACGATTAATTTCTCCTCCTGGTGCCGTACAAGGATCCCAATCTCTTCGGCAGCTTTCCGTTGATTCTCTACTATGAAGCACTGCCTTGTAGGATTTTAGCTCTGAGTCTATTGAGGTGGTAGGGATTGTATTGTTGGTCTTCTATTCAAGCTCTGTGCGACTTTCAAGACATGCAGTGACGATCTCGTCTTGTCAATATTTAGTAAGGTGTGAATCACCCACCCATGCACGACACAATATCTTTATTGCCTGCGGTGTACGGAGTATGGAGTATAGTCGCACTCCCACAGCCTGGCGGACGAATGACGTTAATGGGCATATCACATCGGGCATTCAGCTAATTTGGCCGCCATCTGGAGTGAGACGCCTAGCCCTTCTCTAGCTAGTCTCAACTGTTGGTTAAGAGCTACTACTCGTATGTACGGCTGCTCGCTTGTTTGGACCACTGCCCGAGAACTGGACCTGCCTGTGAAAGCTGCGGGCCCCGCACGCTCAACCTATGCCGTTTTGCCGACAGATCCCACATATCACAAGGCCGAGACCAATGAAGAGAGTGCGAGATCGGCAACTATAGCCAGGAAGAGAGCGGAATCTGACATCGAAAATGGACATGCTTAGATTTGTACAGACCTGCAGAGCATCACGCAGAGCAGCAGGACGGACCAGCTGCCTCTTTGCTATAATTTGTATCGTCTACGAATGCGTTTTGTCCCGGGAATTAGCCACTTGCTATGGATCAACTGCCTCGCTTTTTGAGATAACCCTGATTAAGCTTCAAAACAAGGGATCAGATTGACCACACTGCCCATTCTCGCAATCCGGAGAGGCTATAGTGGGTCAGGCATCGTTGGATATGGAAGGAACAATGCATCCGAAGTATAGAGGCGTCGTAAATGGTGAGGAGTAGCCAACCCTTGTCCCCTGGGGCCTCCACAAGCAGAAGTCGCTCAGGGCACCCCCCGCAGACCGGCTGCTTTGGCCTTGTCGATCTACATAGTAAGCCTCTCGGCCCACACACTACGACGTATGTAGCAAACGGAGTTAGACTTGGAAGTAGGACGGAAGATCGCTGTGGTCTTCGAGTGAACCGGAGAAAGTGACAAAAGCAAAAGGACCTTCCATTATAAGATACTATGCAGTGGTATGAAACGCCATTCACTTCAAGACGAGACTATCTTTAGAGACACACCCCACCGGTTCGAAGCAAACGAGCTTGCAAGCTAGCAAAAACAAAAGCTATGACGGAAAGCAGGCGATATCGTTAGTCTCCTGAATAACTAGGTCCAGACGCGAGAATCTGCGTCAGAAACTACGCCATTCTTCCGTCACCTGTGCCTTTTTTTTCTTTCCTTCTTCCTGACCTGCCTGCCTTCTCGTATCCAAATTTGTCTTACATGATATGCGTTGCTCATTGCAGCCTTAGTATCATCATTTTCTGCTCTCTTCCCCTCTGTACCTCGCCTGCTGTCAGCTGCTCCCCCTCACAAGGCGAAGGATCAAGTCTGTCTTAGCAGGAAAGGATCAATGATCGGCTATTCGGACCGTCCAAACTTGTAGTGAAGGGGGCTATCTCGCTTTCCGCTCTGTTTTTATTTTATTTTCCCCATGTTGGTCTGCCGGCTTTTGTATATTCCCCTAGTCCCCTTTCTAGCTTGCTGTGCTAGCTACATAGTAACAGCCAGACTAACGCATTGTGCCCGCGGAAGCCCGCGGCTTATCTTCCATGTCATGACGGATGACAGCGACACCGAGGCGAGTTTCGATCGCAGAGATAGCAGCCCCATCAGCATGCAACCGGCGTTGTTAGTGCACCGAGACGATAGGTACCGCAAAACAGCCGTACTCCGTATGTGACCGAATGGCCGAGACAGCGTGGTGTGATGGAAATATGGCAGACGTGGAGGAGCTATGCAAAAGCCGGGAACAAGGCGATGGATGGTTTTGTCAGAGCAGCTGCATGCAATTAGCCTGGCCTGGGGCCATTGGCTGCCATGCGAGCTTAGAAATAGGCTTGCGCTGCTATTACGTATAGAGAGGCTTGGCACGTCCTGGTGCAGAGTAGCAACCCACGAATGCGCTAAATCCTAACGGCATTGACAGCTGCAATGCAGCCTTGGTACGCTTGATGGCAGATAAGGACGGGGAAACCTACCAATTCGCCGACCTCCTTGAGCTCGTCGTATGGCACGCCGAGTCAGAAAAGGACCATCTACGAGGAAAGAGGGAAAAGGAGGAGGCGGTGGGATGGGCAGAGTAGGTACTCCTGGCCAGATACGACACGGAGGTCGCATGGCGAAGTTACGCCCGGCGAAGCCTAGTCGCCTGTCAATGCAGCTGACAGATGGAGGAAGTACCGGGTTTGACAGCCCACCACGCCTCCTTTGTGCGGATGCGCAAAGAACAAAGGAATAAAGCAGGAACAAAAAAGGGACCTTGCAAAGTTGCGGCTCTAAGGAGTATCTGGAAGTATACTCTCGCACTGCCACGTTCACAACAAGCGACCTCGTTTCATCAGATGCCATTCGCTCATTGTGTGGAGTCCACCACGAAGCGCACGAACCCAAAAGAGAGTTGGGTGGCAGTGTGACGAGAGACGACTGAAGGAAAAAGAAAGCATACTGCTATCACATCGTCTGCCAAAGAGGGTGGGTGTGAGAATAACTATTGCTATTAGACATGTTAGCTCCCAAGGAGGCAGTTGGAGTGAAAACGTCGGCGATTTGAACCTTTTTTTTTGTTTTTATCGTCGCTCTCGTTGGCGGAGAGTTCTTTGTGTCGTCGTCACTGCACTATGATCATCGCCCTTCTCGGCTCCCGTCTATTTTGGAAAGGGGGACGATGAGGTAGTTCGGCCTCGAGAGCGTCGCTTGTCAGAAGAGCAAAAGGGAATACGTGACCCGTCTCCAAGCGAATCGTTAAACTTCTTTCTTTTGAATTGCCAAAAAGCATGTGTGCGAGTGCCACATCAGAGGACCCTGCCATTGCGGTATTATTGAATGGAAGCCGCTGGACGGAAGAAGTAGCGGTCTGCTGATGCAACAGTTCCCAAGCGAGCTTAATCACAAGCACAAGTTTCTCTCAGCACCAAGGGCCATATGCTGTTGGTCGTGAACGTCTGCTGTCACGATGCCATGCAGTGCATGGCATATCGCCGAATGCATCTCCCCCCCTGCTTTTGCGAGCCCGTTACCGCCATGCCGGAAGCAGATTCCCGTACCAATGATGGAAGAAAAGCATTGGCGGTAAGCCACATATTTTCCTCTGGTTTATGGTTACGCATACCCCACCATCTCTTACCTCAAGGATGATTCTCATCCTGTTCAATCATGTACAACTTGCTGTCGTAGGCAGTATGGCTCCTTGGCTTGCCTGTTGACCTACCTTGGGATAGACTCGGGATGATGTGAATCGTCAGTACCCGAGCGACTAGCCATCGGTCCCGAGTTGACCGTTCACACCCTCCTGTCCCCGCGATGGGGCTTCATCGTTGGAGCACGCATTGTGCTCCAAAAACACAGCCGAGCTTTAATTCTGACAACTATCCAATCTACCGCATACATAGGGAAGGGGATATGTAACCTGCCTGCCATCTCTGTATCTGCTTTCAATCTCGATGCTACTCGTGCTGCACTGAGTGCGGGAGACGATGTTGTCACACCAAAAACCCTTGCCCGCCTTCAGTTTTCCCATTCTGAGCCACAGTTTCTGTCGACCGGAACCCGGGTCCTGGGAGTGTCCTACCCGTTTATTTCTGGATTTGCGTCCAACAGCTGCAGGGGTTGGAATTTCCAGCCCATGTTCCTGAAGTTGTGTGGAGCCCATATGCGACAAGGGTGCACTCTTCGTCACCTCGGGCTACCTCGTGGGTTCTTAACAGAAGCAGGCTACAAGGACTGCATGTAGGCGAATTTCAGTGTCTGCACGGGCTGCTGCTTCCGTGGGGGTTACCTAACTTTCACAGACAAAAGAGACTGACAGGGCACCAACTTCGGTGAGGCCGCCAACAGGGCCTGCCCTGCAGCATACAGCATGCATGCACGTCCAGGCGAACAAGAAGAAAGAAGAAAGAAGATGGCAGCAGGAAAGCATGGCGTAGAAGTGGGACTATGACGGCACTTCCATTACCACTTTTCGTCTATGCATGTCAGTGCTCATGAAGCCAACCGACTTTCTACCCGGTTCTCGGCGAGCCTCCCCGGTCAAGCTGACACTGCTGCCAGACACACCTGACTAAGAATAGCAGCGATAGTTCAAAGTGCTCACGGATGCGGCCACGAAACTTTCCCGTCGCTATGGCTGCTGTTGGCTGCTTTTTTCATGCGGCCTGTCAAGGGCCAACAGCCAGGCGATCGAAAACAGAAGCCTTTGCCGTTGTTCTCTGGCCCCGCCACCCTTTCACCCATCAGCAGCTTTATCTCCATGACACTAGCCCAGGCCTAGGGATTTGTCTCCTTGTTTTGCAGTATGTACACTTGTCTTGTGGACCAGTGTAGCGTGCGCTCCAGACCGCCGGGTCCAACCGTGCGTCGTCGCCGTTCAGACAGGAAGATAGGGATGGGCAGCAGCAGTTGTTTTGTTAGGAATCTTGCTGCCGCTCCATCCCTGTATTTCTTCTTCTTCCCGTGCCATTTACCTTACTCCCCTCGCGCCTGTGTTCGGGTCCGATTTCTCATTGGCTGTCTCGCGTCTTGTATCTTGCCCCAACGCTTGTTGAGGTTGGTTAGAACCGGGCTGCTGTTGGCCACGATTCTCCGACTCATCAGCTAAGGCTTTTAGAGCTGTCTCTTTCACGATCAACTAAGTTGTGCCGTGGCACTTGACTTTATATAGGTCTCGTGGCTGGTGTTTCATGAGTATAGGCATTTGCACCAAGTGACCTAGTAGTTTGCAAATGTCGTTCAGTCTCTCGTCTGTCTTGTCCTGCTACCACATTCTCGTGTTTTCGGTAGCATCTCTTATTACACACCGTCCATTCAGTTTCTGGCAGGTTCTGTCCTGCCGTTGTCTAGGTTGGTTCAATGCTTTGTACTCTGTATGCGATATTTGCCTTACTTAAAGAGGGAAGGCTGACTGTTTTTGCAGTTTCTGCGTTCTGTCTAATGCATTAGCGCAAGCCCTGTATGCCATCACAAGGAAAGCGCGAGTGTGATGGGTGCGGGGTAGTTTTTCCACAAGACGATCTCTTATTACGAGGCCGCCTAGGCTATATCTCGTGAGTACGTAAGATACACGGGGAAGGCACGAGGTGCTCAACTGAACGCAAAACAGAAGGAGCTGCTTATCTCGCGGAACAGGCACGAAGAGCTCGGAATTCGTGCCTGCATATCTTTTTTTGTTCTCGTATTTAAGCCTATTATATTCTTGGCTGCCCGCACTCGACAGCCGGTCCAACAAGACAGCAACGAGCAAATAGAGAGGCAGGCACCGAGACTAGCACACGCATGAGTATAGAAACATGTCAGCGAGGCGCAGGCAAAACTGCCAACGCCACCAACAGCTGTCCACGACGTAGTGGCAGCTCCAGAAGCCGACTTGACTCAAACGACGCTGTCCAGCCAGCCCAATAGGATCGAAGAGATCCCTGCAGCAGTGAAAAGGAAATATATGTGTTGGCTTCTCTGCGTATAGCAAGCGCTCAACACAACCGCTATCTAGCAAAAAGCAACAAATCTTCCGCAAGCGAACACGACTAGCCTGACGACACAGGTACGTGGCTACAACGCGAAACATCCTTTTATCGACATTGTCCAACTTCCAACTGCACACCCCCCCCCCGACGCCCCAACAATCTCTGTTCTCGGCATGCACATGGCCCGTCTTCCATCGTATGGAGAGGCTATCTCGGGAGGCCATTGGCTCGACCTAGTTGCTCCTTACGTTGCCGTTTGCGACTACGCCAGGGCTTGTCGTGTATCGTGCGTCTTCTACAATCAGTTTGCTCCCCGGCTCTGGAACGACCCCCTGCAAACTTTCAGGCTCCTTGGCCTGCTGCCCCACCAGGGTGAGTATCAGAACCAGCCTTTTCTTCTTCTTGGTTAGCCTATACGCAAGATGCAGCTCTCCGTTCTAGCTTTGTTTGAAATGCCGAGCCTGGGCTTCTGGCAGCTCGAATCTCCATGTCTCAATTTCCTAATCGACTGCCGCGCAGGAAGGGCCCCTGTACTTGAGCAAATGGAAGCACTTGCTGTCAATGGTAAAAACTCCAGCTGACCAGTTGTCTCCAGATCTGGACTGGTACTTTTTTTTTGTGACACGCCATTGTGAGACAGTACGCGCTGCCACAAGACAGCTCGTTACCTCCCTGGACTTCAGGGGTTTTGTCTCCGGATGCTCAGCTCTGATCGATTATCAGGGCTTCTCAAAAACCCTCCAGCTCTTCAGAATTCGGTTTCCAGCCATCCGCTGCATCGTGCTGGATGGGCTCGTGGACTACAACCCAGCTGAACTCCTCCGGCCTCGGAATGTAGCAGACTTCTGCCCCGACGGATCTGTGCCCTTACCGTTGGTACTGAGTCTAGGCCACTGCAGTCTGCCATTACCAAACAACTTCTTCCTGGAGGGTTACTGGAGGCAGTTGGTTTACCTCGATGTGTCTGATATCCCGGGCTCTCTGCACGGCCTGACGAGCAATGCGTCCATTCATATTGTCTTGCCAAATCTCAGAATCTTAAAAGTTCGGGGACGTGAGATGAAAGATGAATCGTTAATGTCAGTTCTCCATTCCTTTGGAGACTGCTTGTGGAGCGTCGACTTGAGCAGAAACAGCTTGACAGATGCTGCTGTGCGGCTTTTGGCCTCCCGATTTTTGTCCCGTCCAACTGTACAGACCGATGCGTACTTTGCGACAGAAGGAAAAATTTCCGTGATTAAAGACGCCGAGGGCAAAGTTGTCCGTTCCAACTCGTTTGGAGATTTCATCTACATTTCCGAGTCATCCTGGAGCAGTGCATTCTCCCACCCAGAACGCCATCTTGCGGATTCCCCGGCTTACGATCCAAATGCCCAGTGGCGCCTAGGAGGCCACGAATGTCTTCGAGTTGACAATGTGGAGGATGCCAAGACGTCTATGGCTGGAGGTGTCGGCAAGCCCATCCCAGATTGGAACGACGTGCAGGCCACCGAAAACGGCCGGGGGCCTGGTGTCCTGACACATCTACATCTCGGTGGCAACGCAAACTTCACAGTTAAGGGTGTCAGCCAACTCTTTCGACAGGCCAATGGGCATCTTAGACATTTCGATTGCGAAGCGCCCTCAATCTTTACGTCTGTGAAAACCCAAACCAGGCTTTCTGGTGCTCTGGGTTGCTCCCATCTCTTCCGCCCAGTCATGGCCTCAAATCTTCAGAGTCTTCGAATCCACCACTCTTTGGTAACGCAAGCACCAACAGTGAGAGATCCATCTATGAGCGCCATGGAATGCGTCTTGTTCGCCGAGACGGTATTGCGTGAGCGGGCAGAGATTGCTTTTCCGATTGCTTTTATTCCAGACTTGAACCCGAGGCTGCAATCGTTGACTTTGACCTGCTTGCCCCGTATATCTACTGGTCCATTGATAGACCGGTTGATCCGCTTCCTCCAGCTTGCTGCTGAACAAGAGAAAGCCATACAAAGCACTGTTGATACCAACTCCCGTCGAAGTCCTACAATGTTGAGAGGCCTGAGGCACATAAGACTGGAATTCGGCGCTACACCATCAGACAATGAGACCAATGGGCTTGAGGATTTGGATACGGGTGCCCTGCTCCGCCTATCTAAAGATGACTTCAGCTTCTTTGGAGAGGGAGGCTGGGATTTAGAACGCAACCACGTGAGAGCAGATGCCGATGACAGACGCGCAAAGCGCATTGCTGAACGCTCGGGCTCGCCAATTTCCATCAAGATCGAGTCAGATGATGCTTCCCAGACAAAGCAGCCAGTCCGACTAGCCCATTACCCACTACCTGCAACGGTGGACGTGGATGGTACACATGAGCACGTTCGTGCCACTGTACAGTGGGAAGACAAAGCAGTGGGAGTATATGTATGGGTTGGCACTGGCATCCTAGGCGTTGATCACGCTGTTAATGCTTACATGTCCAATTTGGCCAACCACTCGCTACAGACAGACATCGGCCCAGCCACACCAGACCAGACGGCAGCTGGTGTTCCATCTGGTGTGTGTGTATTCAATGCTGCCTGGGATGCGATCCTGTTTACAGAGGTGAAGAAGGACCCGCTGGGACGTGCGCCGTCACAAGAGTTACGTGATGTCGTGCAGGCGATCCGCCAATTCCGCATTGGCACCAGGGCTGCTTATGCAGCACGCAGGCGCATTAGAGGATCATCGGACGAGGGGGGAAATTTAGCAAAAGTGCCGCTGGTCCAAGATCACTGGTCGGGCAATCTTGAAATTCTGCTAGGAGGCTAACAAGGCTGATGCTTGGTTCAACGGGCGAATGGCGTGCGATGGCGTCAGGGGTGCGGCTGTTCTTACTCACGCCCGTGATCCAACATGCAAATTAACGGCATCCTAGGCGCCTTTTTACGGCTCTGTTGGCGGAGCGTTCCATGTAATCCAACGCGCTTTTGTGAGGCAGCAGACGCATGCACTTAGTAACACCAGCAGCAACTGCCGAAGTTTTCGCAATCGGTGCAAAGTACCTCGCGTACGGAGTACAGAAGGCATCACGTACATAATCACCAGTGAATGCACGGTATACTTGGACCGTACAAGAGAAGGGTGTGTGCCTATACGCAGCGCTTTACTCTGGCATTTGGCAGCTGGCAAATTCGATGATAGCTCTCTTCACCCTGTCGTATCAGCCGTTGGGTCGGATGCTGTTCAGCATGGGCGCCGGAGTAGCACAATCTATTAACTGCTCGGTACGCAACGCTATATGATGGCGAACAATAGCGAGAAATACGCCGTCTAGAGGGTGGACAAGGCCAACACAGCAAGATGCCACGTGCACATGGCAGCGGCAAAACAAATGAAAGGGCAATCTAGCAGCAGCAGCAAAGCAAATACAAAGGGGGGAATTAAGCGAGTGATTGGGCGAGCGACTGCCAGAGAACGGTTGCCTGGAGGATTTTCCACATTACATAGGCAATTTACATGGCATCGGCCCGTTCTGTCAGATGACGATTTCCCTCTGGGACCAGCCACGGCGACCCTTCCAGGCAAAGAGGACGAGGCCGCAAGCCAGCCAGACGCTGACAGACATGGCCCAGAAGGTCGATGCATAGCACTGGGTGCCATAGCACAGGCCAGCGGCGCCGTCTTCGGGCGCACTGCGGCTGGCACCGGTCTGGTAGACGGCTGAGTAGACCAGTCCCCAGAGGGTGGCACCGAGGGCCGGGAACATGGCGACGATGCCCCAATTCGTGGCAAAGTTCTCGACGCCCCAGATGACGGTGATGATGATGGGCGTCAAGCTGAAAACAGCACCATAGCCGGCGCCCACCAGAGCCGAGACGAGCCAGAAGCGTTCGCCATGACCCTGCATGGAGCCCGAGGCCAGGACAACGAATCCGGTCGACATGACCAGCGCAAAGGTGAGCAGGAAGGCGACGCGCGAGATGGACGGGCGTTGCGAGAAGGAGGAGCCGGGGGCAAGACGGCCGGCAATAAGTGCATTGTTCTCGGCCTCGCCGGACAGCAGCGAGCTGGACGACGTGGCTGCCGACATGGGCCGAGACGATGAGGGCGATATATCGGCACCAAAGCCGTCACGACCGCCTTGCAGGTATTGGGTTTGCGGGCGAGGGGCCAGCAGGTCTGTCAAGGTGCCGGTCAGCAGGCGCACGACGGTGCTGACAAGACCAACGATGGACACATGGGTTGCTGCCGTGGTAGGAGCGCCACCCAGCGTCTTGATGATGGTGCCCATGTTGTTGATAAACGCCTCGCCCGGGCCGATCATGAAAAAGAAGCCGAGGGCAAAGAGCCACATGGTGTGGTCGGTGAGGAAACGACGGGTCTCAGCGTTGAGCACCCACTGCTTCTTGAGATGGGCGCGCTCCTGGTCGGACTCGCCAGCCTCATCTGCATCTTTGCTGGGGTCCAGCAAGCAGTTGGCGAGCGCGTCGTCTTCGTCGTCGTCGGTGCGGTGGGAGTAGGGATCCGACCGGGCCATAGTGCCGTAGCCTTTTCCGGAGCGGCCACTGACGCCAGGACCAAAGTGGGTGACCCGGTTGTTGTGGGAGGAGGAGGGGGCCGAAGCTGACGGAGGCGAGGAAACCGAAGGAGCCGAAGGAGCCGTCGGAGTGGACGGCGAGAAGAGGACGCTGCTATCGAGAAGGCCACTGCGCTCGAGCTCGTCGACAGCCTCGTCAATCAGCTCGTCCTCGTCGATAATGCGCAGGGTGAAGGCGCCGAGCAGACCGACGATGGTGAGCAGGACAGCCAAGAAGAGAAAGAAGACAAAGACGTCGACATCACCGCGTTGCACAGGTCCCCCAGGCTGCAATGGCGGCAGGCGCTCGTACAGTACACGGCTGGCCAGCTGGCTCTGCCACATGCCGCTGAGACCATAAGCGGCGATGGGCATAGCCAGGGCGAGTCCCCGGTGGCGGCCACGGCCAAAGTTCTTGGCGCATGTAGCCACGGCGCTGAGATACATGCCACAGGTGGCCGTGCCGATGATGACAAAGGCAGCGACCATGAGGGCATAAGTCCAGGAGGCATCGTCGCCAGCGGGACCGAGAAGGCTGCCTGGGGCGTGAGCGGCTGCCTCACTGGCTGCCTGGCGGTAGATGAGGGCAGCCAGGCCATATCCGAGACCGAAAAGAATGCCGGCCAGCAGAGAGAGTGGAGCTGGTCCGGCTCGATCGCAGACATAGCCCATCAACGGCACGGGAAGGTAGCAGGCGATGCTGGCAGCGATAGCGACACCGTTGACCTGAAACTGCGAGTAGTGCAGTCGCTCCTGGAAGATGTGGCCGTACAGCGAGAAGACGGTGACGGAGCCGGCACAGAGCGCCGAGAGGACGGCCGACACAAACGCAGCCTTGCGAGCGATCTTGTTGTTGGAGGCAGAGACCGCATTGCGGCGGCGAAATCGGTCGTCGGGCGACAAGGAGCGGATCGACGAGGTGGCGGAAGAGACAGACATCATAGCAGAGCGGAGAGGGGAGGAGGCGGAGGATATCAGCGAGTCTGCACAGGAACGGCTAGTCTTAGGCTCGTTCAAGAGGCCTTTGCCGAATCATGGCTTTGCGGGCTGTATACCTTCCGAAAACAAGATGCGATGCACCGCCACCCGTCGTCTTTTTTTGTTGGAAACGCAGTACAGAAGCGGTCTCAGCGCGTGGTGGCGCCGGCCAGATGGGGAGTCGGGACAAGGGAGTCGAGATTGTTGATGCAGCCGTGTTGATGGAGAGAGAGCACGATATCGGAGACGCGTGCTGCTGCCTCCTAAAACAGGGCTAAGCAAGGCCTGACAAATCAGGCGTCAACGCGTGTGGCACGCACCTGCCTTACCCCGCTAAGGAAGCGCCTGCCCGAATGGGCGGATCAATTTTGCTATTCAATTGCCTTTTTTTCCCCCACTCAACGGACAAAGCTGTGAGTCAGATCTATCTCGAACAACCGGTCTTTCTCATTCATCTTTCTTTCAACCTCTCTTGCAGACGCCACGCCTGCCTCTGCGTCCTCCGCTTCGTCTGCCCTCATCCCCAAGGCATGCGCTTGGCCCCGGAATGCAGCTTGGGCCCACGTCTGCCAGTGCCAGCAAAAATCGACGGATAATCCTGATCGCACGCCTTTCCGTCCCAGCGACGACAACGACACGCCGACCGTTTTCTTTTCCTTCAGCCGGCCAGAGACGAGAGCCGGTCGGATCCTGTGTACGAAGCCGGTTATCAGCCTCTGCCGCGCCGTTTTCGATTTCCGCAAGCCCGTGCCGAGACGTGGTTTCCCCCTTCACAGCCGACCAGCTGCAGCGAATGCGAATGGCGACCAAGGAGAAGCAGGAGAAGCAGGAGAAGGCCAAAGCGGCGGCCGTGCAGCTCAAGGTGCCCAAGGGCACGCGCGACTGGACGGGGGCCGACTCGATAATCCGCGACTCGATCTTGTATGCGCCGCCGGGTGGCGAGAGTGGCTAGAGTCTAGAGTAGCCAGGCCTGCTAACGTTCTCTCTTTCTCTCTGCAGCCAGACGGTGACGGATGTGTTTCGACGCCACGGCGCCGTCGCGCTGGACACGCCCGTGTTTGAGCTCAAGGAAGTGCTCGCGGGCAAGTACGGCGAGGACTCGCGGCTGATCTACGACCTGGCCGACCAGGGCGGCGAGCTGTGTGCGCTGCGCTACGACCTGACGGTGCCGTTTGCCCGCTGGCTGGCCATGAACAAGGTGCAGCAGTTCCGGCGCTACCACATCGCCAAGGTATACCGGCGCGACCAGCCGGCGGTGGCGCGTGGCCGCATGCGCGAGTTCTACCAGTGCGACTTTGACATTGCCGGCCAGTACGACCGCATGATCCCGGATGCCGAGATTTTGCGGGTTGTTCACGAGGTCTTTGCCGCACTGCAGCAGGACATTGTCGTCAAGCTGAACCACCGGCAGATTCTGGACGGCATCTTTGCTGTCTCGGGCGTGCCCGACGACAAGATCCGCACCATCAGCTCGGCCGTCGACAAGCTCGACAAGCTGCCCTGGGCCGAGGTGCGCAAGGAGATGGTCGAGGAAAAGGGACTGGCCGAGGTCGTCGCCGACCAGATCGGCGACTACGTCAAGCACAGCGGCGACATCGCGACTGTTGTCGCTCTGCTGCGTGCCGACGCGCGCCTAGCTGCCGATCCCAACATCCAGCAGGGCGTCGCCGACATGGAGCTGCTGGCCACGTATCTCGACGCCTTTGGCGTGCCGTCCAGCCAGATTTCGTTTGACCTCTCGCTCTGCCGCGGCCTGGACTACTACACCGGTCTGATCTTTGAGGTCATCGTCCGGCCAACGGCCGAAGAGGCTGAGGAGGCTTCGGCCCAGGACCGGAAGAAGAGCAAGAGCAAGAGCAAGGCCGCCGAGGAGCCGCAGGTCGGCAGCATCGCCGCCGGCGGGCGCTACGACAACCTTGTCGGCATGTACGGCAAGACCCAAATTCCCTGTGTCGGTATCTCTTTTGGCGTCGACCGCATCTTCACCATCCTCAAGGCCCGCCGCGAAAAAGAGGCCGGCCGCCAGCGCGTGCGCGAGACCGACGTTTATGTCATGGCCTTTGGCGCCGGCGCCGGCTTCACCGGCCTCCTGACCGAACGCATGCGCATTGCCCGCCGGCTCTGGGACGCCGGGATCAAGGCCGAGTTCGTCGCCAAGACAAAGCCCCGCCTGCCCCAACAGTTCAAGGCCGCCGAAGACGTCCCGCTGGGCGTCATCCTCGGCGAGGACGAGCTGGCCCAGGGCCAGGTTCGCCTCAAAATGCTAGGCACCGGTGCCGCCGGCGAGGCCGACGAGAAGGACCGCGGTCAGCTCGTCGCCGAGGAAGACCTCGCGGCCGAGATCAAGAAGCTGCTGATCTAACAAAGGGGCAAAATCATAGAATGTCTTCCGTCTGGACGCGCAGCTAAAAAAATATATTCTTATAAATAAACAGAAGTATAACAATTTCACCGATTCGGTATCAAAAGCTCTGGACATAAATACAACAAGCAAAAGGCAAAGCAGGACATTCGTCACCCGTAAGCCATAATCATAGAGGACGAAGGAGCCGTTACAAGAAGAGACAAGGACAGAACGAAACGAAACGAAACGAACCCTGGCAAAATGCAACAAGTAATCATAAGAGGACACACACAACAGCCAGCTCAGATGATGTTAGCGATGCTGATGCGTTCCTGGCTGGCTGTCTTCCCGGTGACCGGGACCGGAGCTGGGGCCAAGGCCACGGCGGATGGCTCTAAGCTGCCGACGCCACGCAGCATCACCGCTCGTGGACTCTCGTCCTGTGGCTCTGTCTTGACCGGGCCCGCGCCACCGTACGGTCGCGGCGGCACCTGTGTCTGGGTGGTGTAGTGATAGGGCGGGCTGGAGTAGGCCGTCAGTGTCGACAGCGAGGATGGCGATGGCAGTGGCTGGTGTCGTGGCTGGTGTCGTGGCTGGTGTCGTGGCTGATGGTATGGCTGTTGTTGTTGCTGTTGTTGGTGTTGCGGCTGGTGCTGCTGTGGCTTGTATAGTGGCTGTGTTGCCAGAGTCCGCAGCCGGCCCTCCAGGATGTCCCAGCCGCCCCAGTCACGCCTCTCGTCCTCGGAGAGGCCACCACGCATGCTGACGTGCAGGGGAGTGTACGTCGTCGTCGTCGTCGTGGCCGAGGCAGCAGTTGTGCCGGCCGTCTCGCCCTGCCAGACCCAGGCGCCCTCAGGTGTCGCCTGCAGGTCGGCGCTCGCATACACCAGCAGTTCCTCGTCCAGGAGGAGCAGATGGGCCGGGTTACTGCCGCCTGCATTTCCAAATGGTCGCGCCCCATACTCGGCACGCTTGAAAGCTACGCACGACGCAAAGAAGTTGAGAAAACGACCGCAGGGCGTCGCCAGGCTGTCGCGGCAGGTGCCAGCAGGCGCCGTGGCAGCAGTGGCCAGCGCTCGAACCAGCAGACTGGCAGTGTCGTTGTGGCCGGCGAGCATGGCAAAGAGGGCACAGCGGAAGAGGTGGGCCACGAGCAGGTTGGTGCACGGTCCGGCTTCTGTCGCGCCCTTTCGACCGCCCTCAACCTGACTGCCCACCAGAGAGGCCGTCTCGAGGGCGACTCGCGTGCACCGCTCCACGGCGGCTCGGCGGACAGACTGTGCGCAGGCCGGCATCAGGTTGGCACGGTGCAGCAGCAGCTGTGCATGTAGCACGTAAGCCACCGGTGCCAGGGTCGCGAGGTAGAGGGGGGGCTCGTCGCTGTTGCCACGACAGTCTGGTCGCGGAAACGTTTGCAGACAGGCGGCAAAGTGCTGCTCGAAGACGGCCAAGTCGGCAGCCGAAATGCCAAAAAATGGCACCGAGAACGACGACGACGCGGCGTAAGGAGACGTCGGCGAAGAGGGTGTCGACGCCATGGATGAGGACGAGGCTGGCCGGTCGTCGTGCGGTGAAAAGAAGCGCGTGTCCCGTCCGTCCCGGCTGTCCTGGCTCTCCGAATCGGCCGCTGGAGCCGCTCGCAGCATCCGTCCCAAGGCCGTATAAGCCCGCACAACGTGCAGCACCGCCAACATCGGGAGCTGCTCATCCACGGCCGTCGGCAGTGCCACGTCACAGTCGTCGTCGTCGATCAGCGGCGGTCGGCCCAGCTCGATCGCCAGGCTGCGGTCCAGAATGTACATGGACCACCAGATACGACGGCGTATCTCAGCAGCCAGCTGCAGCTGCTCCTGCGCCTGTGTTTGGCCGTCCTCGCTGCCCTCCAGATGCAAAACCAGGTCCTGGCCCACGCGAACAGCACTGCCGAGCCACGTCCACGCCGCCGACTTGAGGTGGCTCTCGTTGAGAAAGACGGCCAGCAGCAGGCGTGCACGAGCATCGTCCAGCGTTGGCACCGCCGTGCAGCCGCCCCAGGGGTCCAGCAGCTCGCGTGCTGCCTCGGCCAGATCGGCTGCGCCAAAGCCCGCGTCGGGGTGCGGCCGCGCGCAGAAGAGACACCCGACTGCCAGCACAGCGAAGAGGACCGCCAGAAAGGCTGGCGACGGCGGCGGATATGACGATGGTGACCGCGGATCGCAGTGGTAAAGCCCTTCGACATCCTGCACGAATGTTGGCCAGTGCAGGATCGGCAACATCGGCTGCACAAAGTCATAGTAAGCCCGCAGCAGAGGCTCGGCTGTCGGTCGCGGGGGAAGGTTAGAGTGTGGAAAGGGCATCGCTGTTGCTGTTGTCGTCGTCGTCGTCGCCGTCGTCGTCGTCGTCGTCGCCAGAAACAGAGCTGGTGGCTGCCAGATGCCCTTGGCAAACATCTGTAGCTTGTGTCTCACCCGGCCGAGATCCACAGCCATTGACAGAGGCATCTCCGAGCCGCTTCCAGCGTGGTGGCCTCCATGGCTGAGGCTCGCCTGTTGCTGTTGCTGTTGTCGTCGTCGTCGCCGTGGGCTCGATCCGATCGTCGGCAGCTGCAGCCCGGTGCTGCTGGGCCCTGAGCACTGTCGATCCGCCAACCCTCCGCTCTGCTGCTCCGGCTTCACCGACATGCTCTCAGCCCTCATCACCGCCGATCCCCCGTCGTGCAGCAGACGCCGCAGCTCGCTGTTCTCCCGCCGCATCCGGTCCATCTGCCGCTCCAGGTCCTGCATCTGCTTCATCGACGACATCCGTCGGTTCGTCTCCTTGGTGAACTGGCACTTGACCTGTCTGTTGGCGCATTCGGAGCAGCTCGTGGTCTCCGTCGCATCACATTTTACCTTGCGCTCGCGGCATGCATCGCAGCTCGGGTCTTTGCGTCGCTGCCGGTATGCCCGCTTGACTTGACTCTGTGTGTGGTGGTGGTGCTGCTGATACGCAGGCGACATCGACGGTGACATGGCCATTCCTCCTGCTAGGCTACCACTGCTACTACCACCACCACCTCCTACTCCTACTCCTCCTCCGCTACTGGGCGGCAATGGCATGTACCCGGGGTTTGGCGTGCTAACGGCCGACTCGCTGCCTGATGGCATGGTCGACCCGCCGGCCGTGTAGGGCTGGATGGCGTGGTGGTATGGATGCGGTGGTGGCGGCTGAGATGACGTGCCTGCCATGTGGGCGTAGGCCGGGTACGGTGACTGCTGTGGGTAGGCCTGGTGGCTATGATGGCCCTGGTCCTCCCTCAGGCCTAACTGCATCGACGGCGACGGCGTGGGCAGCATGCTGCCGGTCGATGTCTGTGGACCCGGGGTCACTGCAGTCAGCCTCGCACCTGTGCTCGTGCTCTGTTGTTGTTGCTGCTGGCTGTATACCAGTGCAAGGAGTCTGGGTGACGTCGCAGATGACGTAGATGACGAGTCGTAGGATCTTGTGGACGGGTTGGGAGAGTGAAGATGCGAGTTGTGCAACGCGGCCGCCATGGCGATATCAGCGGTGTTTTGACCGAGGCGGCACCGTCAGGAAAAAGAAAAAAAGAGTGAAGGAAAAGGGGGGTAAGAAGGAAGAAACACGAGCAAGAAAAGAGGTAAGAGTGAGAAACAAAGAAGGAACCAAGAAACCCAGAAAAAGAAAGCAGTCAGAGCTCAGAGTCCGCAGGAAATACACGGAAGAGGGACAAAAAGCGAAGGAGAAGCCCCGAGCTGCAGATAGCCGTCAGACACGGCGATAGATGCAGATGCACGGTCGATGCGTACGAGAAGAGCAGAGACAGGTGTGCCGTGCTGCCCTGTGCATGCAGGTGATCCTGCGTGTTGTGCGTTGTCGTTTTTCTATATGCTCCGAATGCTTTGGGGTTGTGTAGGCGTTTGTGTATGCGTGTATGTGTATTGGGCGTATCCCCCTTATCCTTGCCTCCAAAAAGCTGTCCCTCGAGCTTCTCCAATGTGTGGTAGTGACCTGCGTCGGTCTGGCCAGCAAGTGTTGGTGTTGGTGGGGAGCTTCGTCCTCTGCTCGTCGTCTCTCCTGCTTCTGCTCTGGAGGACCCTGACGTATAAAGGAAGACCGTCAGGTCCTCCAGCCTCCCACACTCCCCCCTGGTCACGCTCCCTGGTCTTCTACACCCCCCCTGCTCGGTTTAGTTTCTCGCCCGGCTTGTCGTAGATCTTACCAACGATGGGTGACCACCTCTTGTTAATATCGTTATTTTTGAATTTCTGAGGTCTCGCGCGTTTTGCCCTTCTCTTCCAACCCCCCCGTTCCAGATTCTACCATCCGCTGCTCTGCTGGGACGGAGGGACACCGGCCAACGCATGTATCTGTCGATCAGGGCCGACAGAAGTTGTTTCAAGTCCACACCGGCCCAGGTGGAGGGGTGGGAATAGAAAAAAAGTCCAATCTGTAAAAAGACACGCGAGGGAAAAGACAAAAGAATGGGGGCCGGCTTTTAGGGAAAAGCCGTTATGAGCTGGGGAACAAGGATAATGGATTAATTAAAGAAGAAAATCCCGGATGAAAAAGGCAGGACGGGATAGACGGAACGTAAACACACCAGCCTCCACAACGGGTTCAGAGAAAGTACACAGAGGCAGAAGTCTTCCTTCTGGCCCGATGACGATCTTCGGTATTTCCCAGATTTGCACATAGTAGCGTCGTCAGGAAGAGAACCAAGACACCCACAAAAGGAGCCACTAGAGTAGCAGGTGTTTGTACGACACCGCGGATGTGCTTCAGAGGCTGTCTAGCCTAGTTCGTGGTGTTGGAGGGGCGCCGAGCACGCCTACTTGCTGGCCGGGGGCCGGACAGTACGACAGGGTGGCATCTTATGTCGTATGTGCTCAAACGGGGCAGCAGGGTGTGAGCAGCGCTTCTTTCCGCTGGGTGTGTCTGGCAATCCTGGGAGAGCCTTTCTGTGCCCGGTTTGAGCGGGGAGCAATTCGGCGTACGTCGTAGAGGACTCCTCTTTCTCGCAAGAAAGGGGGAAGCGAGGGTCACCGGGGCCGTTGGCATTGCAGGGCCTGTTGTGATGACAGGTAAATCGGAGCTTCCGAGCTGGAGCTGTTTTGACGTTGGTGTCGTTGGCTCCACGATTACTGCACGAAGGGACAGACTCTCTTGCTACAAAAGTATGTACGAGCCGGACGGCTAAAAGGAGGAAGGAGGCAACGGCTGGCGGCAAGCGGCAGAAAGAGCTGCCCAAACAGGGAAGGAGCAAAGCCAGCACCGAACACCAAAACGGCCCGTAGTGTGGAAGCTTGGACTAGCAGTGATGCACGGCTTGTCCTCGTTCCTGCTGTCGAAGAGGTGTTGGTGCCAGTCGGGAGATTTTCGGTTGTCTGCCCACAAGGACGACACGGCCTTTCCGAGCCCTCGGCGCTTTGCAGAATCCATTGACGCTGGGCAACTTGACGTGTCTCGAGCATTGGGCCCTGGGTTCTTCTCTCGGACTCCCGCTAGCCAGCCCATGATCCCTGCCGCAGAATTTAAAAAAGATGTGGAGAGAGCGGTTCGTTCTGGGACTAAGAAGGGCGAGCTAGCGACGAAAGAAGGAAAAAAGAAAGAAGGGAAAAGGGAAAAGGGAAAAAAGAATACAGTGTGTAGAGTAGTATCTTATGTACGCTTGTCGGGAAAAAGGCGCATAATACATAAGATACATAGTAAAATGCATCGGCCGGGTGCAAGCAGTCTGTTCCGTCTCACGGCGCAAGAGCACTGTACCTCGTTTTTTTATCTATTTATCTATTTATCTATTTATCTTCTTTCTTGCTGTGGTGCCAGCTGGACGAATCGGGCTGTCCCCTTTTCTGTCTGTTCTGCTCAGGTGCCGATCGCGCACAGAAGACGACGGCGCAAATCTGCATCTCGCTCGCACTGCCACCCTTCTTTGTCTTAGGGGCTACATATCTTACCAGACTGCATGAGCACCAGTGGCAAGAGCACAACTGTTCTTGCCAGCACCGCGTCCACTGACCGGCTGCATCGCCGCACACGATCGATGCCGTCATGCGGTGATGACTACGGGAGAGGAGGCCGTTCTTGCGCCTGTGCCCCATGTGCTTGTGCTCCGGCGCCTCGGCCCTCAGCCTCCCGTGAGCAGTCTCGTGCCATTGTACGGAGTACTTCGTACTTGGTACTCATGTTCAAACTACATAGTACGAGTACACAGTGTCTCGCTCCCTCTTCCGTTCTTCCCAAGCACCCGCACTCGTGCGCACCCTATTTTGCGGGATGCGACGGCCAGTACGAAAAAGGCATGGTACCATGCTGTAAGCGAGGGGAAAGGAGCAATGATGTGCAGTTCGGAAACAAGCCAGCGGTCCTGTCATCAAGCACACGCCCACGGCCGCGTACGACGTACAAGTACTCCATACGAGAGCTCACAGAGTATAGGTACATGTAAGATACGTCGTATACACACACTCCAATCCATCTCGTCTGTGGGGAGGTTAAGGCTGGCTGGATGTCTGCATGAACACCTGTTTCTTCCTTGGTGCCGTCATTCGGGCCCGGCAAGCCGCGGAGCCAGCCGACGCCATGGCCTGACCGACAACGTACCAGACAAGGATCCGCCGGCCGGCTTGCGGTGCTTGTCTGTATTGTGCAGCAAGAGGGAAAAAAGAAAGAAAAAGAAAAAAAGGGAGAAAGTGGAAAGAAAGGAATGAGAGAGAGGACCCGCACAGAGACACCCAGGAGCGGCTCGTCGTATGCATGCTGCAGCAGTGGAGCAGCCCCCCCTCGGACTGCTGGAGGAGGGGGGCCAGGGGACCGGAACCCGATGGTGTCGAGCCATGCTCAAGCGCGAGTGTACCTCGTGCGTGTACGAGTACTCCGTACGTTGCGTATCCCACATGTGATATACAGTAGCAGCGGTCCATATGTTCTGCACTACGTGTATGTACGAGTACGAGCATGTACGCGTGTGCCATGTAAGATACGATACCATCTCGCCTACCTGTTCCTCCAGATGCCTCTGGGCGTCTGCCACTGCCTGTCGGCAGCAGGCTCGTTGCACTGCAATTGTGTCAATAACAAAGATGAGATGCATCGTCATTGCCAAGAGAGCTGATGCAAACCGGTCTGTCTGTCCGGGCGAAATGTTCAGCAAAACTAAGATAAAGCGGCGTGATAAAAATAGGAATAAAAATAAAGCAATGCTCCGTACGACGTAGCAGCCATGATGAACCCAACCCTTTCACACACCCCCGTCCCCACCAACAAAAAAAAGAGGGCCGGCCCCGAAACATGCGCTGTCAGACGCCGCTACTACGGAGTATGTATCTTACTATTGCGTCCACCGATACTCTTTTTGGGAATGCTTTCCTGCTGCCGCGCTTCCGAACTATCATGATCAAGACCTCACAATTGCAAGATGTGTAATATTCGTATGCAGATCCGTGCGTGGTGTGTGAGCGAAGACCGAGGCAGGGGATGCGAGCTGGAACCAAGGAACCAGATAAGCAGGGAACCAGACAATCACACAACCGGGCAATCACATACATAGTACAGAGTACTCCGCACTCCGTACTATGTAGTCGTATCTTACTATGTAGAGCTGGCCAGCCGGTGTCGTCCCGCTCTGGCTGCAAGCCACAGGCTCGCTGAGAGCCTGTGCCAGAACCGGCTTGACGATCGAGAGACGGCTGAGAAGCGAATGACACCAAGAACAAGGCGATGGCACCTTAGGGGGAGTGCCATGTAGAATAAAGCCGGCAAATGCATACTCGTACTCCGTGCTCCGTCCAGGTGCGATGGCATCCTTGCTGCTTATGGAGTACGGAGTGCGGTAGCGTGCTTTTTGTTCCTTGTTACTCGTGGTTTCATGCGTGCATATATGCACATGGTCCCAATGCAATGTGCAGCCAGAGCTATACTGTATGAGCAGACAGCCGGACGGAGATGCCCGTTTTATTACGACGCGAGAGAGGAGAGGGCAATACTAAAACCGAAATGATGTGGCCGCCCAGTCCGCCGAAGGATCGCATTGCATGCGCACCAGCACGAGCTCCCAAATGAAATATAAAAAGCAAAGAGCGAAAGAGGGAGACGAGCCAGCGAGCAGGGATCGGGACACGGAGCTGGGGTCTGGAAGCTGGGACCTGGGACCAGGGACCTGGAACCTTGGGTTGGGGGGTCGAGAGCATCGACCGTTCTGAAAGCAACGAGGCGTTTGCAGATACAAGCAGGCGTGGTCGTGAAGACAAGAAAACGTACGAGTCGTCATGGGCGTGTTGCGCGCCTTGCTGTCTTTGGTTCGGTAAAGACTGCTCGGTACGATGCGCGAGGGTAACCAAGAAAGCCGTCGTTGGGAGCACGGCAAGTTTCTTCCGTGCTCTTGACGACCGACAGAGTGGGGGCAGCCCAGAAGGAGAAGAAGGACGATCCGAAGCAAAGCAAGCCACGAAAAAAAAGGGAAAAAAAGAAAAAAAAGAAAGACGGCTCGGAAAAGGAGCCGAACTCGGAAAAGGAGCCGAACTCGCCGGATGCTGAAGCAGCGGCCGGCGGCAACGATCCGAAAGAACGGGGGGAAAAGTGTGGATTGAACAGGACGGACTCGTATCTTACGAGCCTTGCGCATCTTACGAGCGACGATGGTGCTCGCTTCTTCTTTTTTTTCTTTTTTTTCTTTAAAAAAAAAAAAAAAAAACTCCGTACTCTTTCCAGGCTCACCTTTCCATCGCCCACCCCTGTCTCCTCTCCCTGCTCTCTCTCTGCACTCCTGCGCTCGCTTCTGCATCGCGCCTTTTCGTCCTGCATCTCCCCTTCTGCTGCCTCTCCATGGGCTCCTTCCTGGTGGACCACGGCTACGTCCGGGGCGGGGAGGGTGTGGCGCCCTGTTCTCGCTGCTACTGCGACCGTGTACTCGTACTCCTACTTCGTACTACATACATACCCGTAGTCGTGCTCGAGGGACGAACACGTACATACATAGTAGTACTATGTAAGATACGCCGCTGGCTGCTAGCCGGCTCTTGTCGCTCGGGCCGGGCTGGACTACTGTGCAAATCTCGGACTGTTGATTGTCTTTCCTCTCTCCCCTTCCCGGCCTCTCGTTTTCGGAGGTTCTTCTAAAGCGACGGCAAAGGAGCCTAGCGTGGGGCCCCTCTCTTTCTCTTATCTACAGGGGCGCCGTAGTATTAAATGTGCATGCAGGCCTGTCTGTAGCGACCGGCCCCTCTGTATCTCACGGTTCTTGTCAAATCCTCCGTATGGTCGTTTTTTACTCCTCGTCTCTTACTAGACATGTACAAGTACGGAGGTGCTAGCAAGCCCTATTCTGCCGTCTTCCGGACCCTCTCCGGCTCTGACAGGGATTGGGGAGAGACTGGGATCCAGAGGGTGTGCTCCGGACGTCGTAGGTGCCATGCTGCGCTGTGCTGCAGCGCCCAGCCATCGAAGAGCAGGCTATGTCTTGCTAAACAAGCCCGCTAAGCTGGCGGCCATGGCTGCCAGAACGGGACCAATCGCATCTCTTCCCGCCCCAAAAGAGCGCTAAGCCAGGACACGACACAGGGCCGAAAGCCTCACCTTGCCCTCCGAGACAGACGAAAAAGAGCAAGAGAGGCAAGAGAGAGGGCCGCCCAGCGAAGAAGAAGCAAAGACGAGAATGAAAAGATGGGAGAAAAGGGCCAGCACATCTTTAGATTCGGTCGCTCAGCCGCAGTGTCACTCGGCCGCCAGAGGCAGGACAACTTTCTCGGTCAGGGACCAACAATTTCTTCACGTGGAAGCCGCGCCGCTATCTCTGGCCTGTGCCTCGCTCTCTCGTCTTCGTCTCTCCCTCAGGACGACAGACGAGGCGTTGTCGGTCGCTCTGGCCCAGCCTCTTTCCCCTCTTTTCGGCCTTTCGTCGTTTTCCCCTTTTCTTCCCTGCTTCGTCTTCTCCGTCACATGTCTCTTTTCCTTCTTTCTTCCTTTCTGCTTTTCTCTCCTCTCCTTTCCCTTCTAGCTCCTCGGCCCCAAGACGGTGTCTCAGCTCTAGCCTACGCACTACCTGACGTTGCTTCTCTTTATATAACGGAGGGAAAATGTCCGTCCTGTGTGACAGCATCCCTTCCCCCGTCCCATCAGGCCATTTCCAGTCCCAGCATCAGCGTCTGGCATCGACTCCCCATCCTCTCTCTACGTCGTATATTCCTCTTGCCGATCACTCGAGACCACTCGTCTACGCTCAGCTGCTCTTGCACCGCATACTCGTCTCCTTCCCCTTACTCATGTTCATTTCCCATTTTCCCATTTCCCATTTTGCCCGCCTATCGCTCTGTATTCTTTTCTTTTTCCCCTTGCTCGTACTCATTCGTATGCATCACCCCTGTATTATCGCCACACCGAGCCTACACAACTCTGTGTCAACATCTGCATCCGGCTCTCTGGCCTCTCCCCTCCCGGGAACGGGAAGTTAATTTAAAATTAAACTGCCCACCCAGTCTGACTGGCCCGGCTACATAGTACGTTCAGCCTCTCCAAGAATGGCTCATCGCTTGTCTCCAATGTGCCCGTCTGGCAGAAAAGGCGCTCTGTAAACGGCTGAGGAGGCTTTGTGTGCTGCCGCCAGGATGATGTGCTGGATCCTTTGCTCTGCCCATATTTGCAGAATACGAGTGCCCGCCAGGAGCTGTTGAGCTCATCTCGGGCGACGACAAATGGCCAGTAGTCAGCACAGAACGGCGAAACGGAGTATGTGTTTCAAAGGGGCGGCGCACCATCCCCTCGTCAGGGGATCTCGGCCCTAGGGAACGCCATGACGCTGTCTGTGTGTCTTCTCTCTCCACACGCATGTGTCGGTAAATAGTTTCTTGGAGACTTTGCATCATTGTCCCCCCTGTTCTCTGGGCTAAGCGCCCCATAGGACGGAGAGCCTGTGTGCTCACTAAGCGATTGCTCGTACACAGTACTCCGTACATACTCCGTTAAGGCAGACAGGCCGGCCGCATGGGAGGGTAGCATGGCGAGAGAGAGCACGGACCCAGCCGATGGCGAGGTATAATGCCCACCACCCCGGCCAGCTAAGAACAGGCCGAGAGACGGCCGACTGCCAGATAAGCCTGGAAGTCTCCATACATGGCAGAGCTGAGGCACATGGTCCTCCTCTTAGTCTGTTTTGTGAGACCAGATCAAACGACGAAAGTGACCGTCTGAAGGGAGAAGGCAGAGCCGACCGGGGCGGACGGGAGGACAGGCAAGAGAGCAACTGGAGCCGTGCTGCTATGATATCGGTGTACGACGTACTCTGTAGTCTCGTCGAACACAGCTGTGTGCAGGCACATGGGTAACCACACCCGGGCCAGGCAGGCATGCATCTTGGGCTGAGGCACAGAGAGCGAGCACACCCTCTCGATGAGAGAACCTCTCGATGAGAGAACCCGTCCGACCGTGTCGTCTTTCTGGCTGCTACATAGTATCGCTGTTGGGTCTGCCGTGCGACGACCGGTCGGCTGTCCCCCTCGACGAGTCTGTTTCGCATTCTCACAGTGGCCCCGCACACACAGGCTGTCGCTCTCTCTCGCCGAGGGCCCTGCTTCACATTGGCCAGCCTGGGGCGAATATGTGCGGGTAACCAGGGTGGCTACATAGTAAGATAGAAAAGGGGGTGTGCCCGAGAAAGTGACGGGTCATGTTGCCCAGGGAGTGCTCACCTCGTGCTGTTGGTCGCCTGCCTCGCATTGAGAAACCAAGATGGGGGCTATTGGAAGCCGCACCATCGTCATCTCCCGGTGCCGTTCCAAACAGCAGGATGCCATGTACACCGTCGAGGAGGCAATCTGTCAGACGCGCGTTTCCAGGGAAAAGGTCAAGGACAGGCAACGATAACCGTGCTTGCAGGGCCAGGCTGCAGCCGGTTACATGGAGTGAACGGCTGGCTGTGATAGAGTATCTTACAACCGGTGAGGCTCCCTTGCGAGTTTCATGATTTACGTCTATTCTAATTGTGGACATCCCTGCCCGAGCTTGAGCTTGAACCATCTCAGCAACGCAAGGAGGCGAGAGGCGTTGAATGAACGGGGGAGCTGTTGTTTCCATGCTGCCAACGACTGTTGGTTCTCGTCCCTCACTCGGTCCGTCCTAGCCTCCTCTGCGGCCTCCTCTGCGACACTGGCTGCTGCTATTCTTATACCAACATGCCACATGTCGATGGTCACATCTCGTGTCCGATCTGCAACGAGACCTGTTACAGGGAGCCGGAGGGACGGTGGGGGGTCTTGGCAAGAGGCAGATGCGAGAAACAGCGCAGCCGGCCGGCAGGCAAGTAAGCCGAGCTGTCGTTTCGTCCATTCGTCCAGTTCCGGGGGGTTCGTTTTCCCCTTTTCTTTCATCTGGGCAGATTGCACGTACAAGCTCTCGCACCGGTGCGTTCTTTCTCTTCTTGGCTTGGGCAAGGAGTGGGGCTGATGTGTCAGCCGCGCGGCGGCGCCTGCAGAGCCTTTCGGTGGTGGAGATAAAAGTCGAGATTTTCAGTCGGTTATCGCCGAGCAGCGAAGGCTGGCGGGTGGGCGCGGCTGGCTGGCCCGCACGAGCGCTGGTAGAAAAGATGAGGCGAGAGGCGAGAGGCAACAGGAGCTGGCCGGAAGAGGAAGGAGCAAGCAGGGACGAGGACAGCAGACCAGACCGCCTTCCTGCCCACGATCACGGCTAAAAAGTTTGTGCTCTGATCCAAACGCAAGACTTCATCCAGCTTCACGACCCGATCTCGACCCAGCTCAAGACACAAAGCACAGCCCCAAACAGCCACAATGTGTCGCTCGCCCCTCCACCCGCTTCTGCAGGCGCTGCCCAAATGCGAGCACCACATGCACGTCGAGGGTTCGCTCTCGCCCGAGCTGCTCTTCACGCTGGCCAAGCGCAACAACGTGACGCTGCCCGAGGATCCGGCCTTTGCGTCGGTCGAGGCGCTGTATGCCCGCTACGACCAGTTCTCCTGTTTGGACGATGTGAGTTTGTAGTCGATTGTCTCTTGCCTCTTGCCTCTGGCTCTCTCGCTCACAGCCCAGTTCCTGCACTACTACTACATCGGCATGAGCGTGCTCGTCACGGCTGCCGACTTTGAGACGCTCGCGCTGGCTTACTTTGAGCGGGCACACTCGACGCGCGTGCGCCACGCCGAGATCTTCTTCGACCCGCAGGCCCATCTGGAGCGCGGCGTGGCCCTGTCCGAGGTCGTGGCCGGCTTGGACGCTGCCAGCCGGGTGGCTGAATCGCGCTGGGGCCTCACCAGCCTGCTGATTCCCTGTCTGCTGCGTCATCTTCCGGTCGAGGACAGCGGTCGGGTGGCCGAGTCGTTGCGGCCGTATTGGCCCTCGACCGCAGCACCGGCCGACAGCACGCCGCTCGCTGGTCTCGGCCTCTGCTCGTCGGAACGGGACCGTCCCCCGACTCTCTGGTCCGACATCTACGCCGACACGCGCAAGGCCGGTCTCGCTACCCGCTTCACAGCCCATGCCGGCGAGGAGGGTCCGGCCGAATACGTCTCCCTCGCGCTCGACCATCTCGCCGTCGAGCGCATTGACCACGGCAATGCTGCTGCCCAAGACCCCGAGCTCATGGCCCGTCTTGCTCGCGATCGCGTCATGCTCACCGTCTGCCCCCTCTCCAACGTCCGGCTGCGCGTCGCTCCTAGTGTCGCCCATGTGCCTATTCGCACCTTTCTCGATGCCGGCGTTGCCTTCTCTGTCAACTCCGACGATCCCGCCTATTTTGGCGGCTACATCCAGGAGAACTACTGCGCCGTCCAGGATGCCCACATCCTCGAGCCCAAGCACTGGGAGATTATTGTGCGCAATGCCGTCACCGGCAGCTGGTGCGATGACGATCGCAAGGCTGTCCTGCTCGCCGAGATCGACTCCGTCTTTGGCCACTGGCACAACGGCACTCTGGCCGTCGAGGCTTGAGAGAACAGAATCGCCCAAAACACACAACACAACACATTCAACATGCTTTACTAGTCGGATACCTTCTGCTTCTTGTATAACAATAGCGATATAGAACTGCCCGTAGGATCACAACATAGAAACAACTTAGAAATAGACACAAGTCTCAACTACTCCTCTGTGACCCCCGTCAGTCCCCCCACAATGCCCTGCATCCGTCGTCCCAACAGATCGTCTGAGCTGGCCAGCTTCACCAGCTCTCTGTCGCCGTTGCTGCTGCTGCTGCCTCCTCGTGGTCTCGCCGTTTTCCCTCGCTTCTTCTTTGTCGAAGCGCTACCGGCATTCGTCCCCTCCACCAACGTCGTCGAACTCTCCCGGAACGGCTGCTCCTCTTCCGGAGCTGGTGATCCTCCGCCATTGCTGTTGTCCGTCTTGGCCGGTCCCTTGGCCTTGGTCATGCGCATCATCTCGAGCGGGCCCTCGTCGTCTCCGCTCGACTCTGTCTTTGCGTGCGTGCCGCTGCCGTTTCCACCTGTGACGTTCGGAACTGTCTGCACCGTTTCCACCTGCCCTGTCTGTCCTGCCTTTTCTACCTTTCCTGCCTTGTCTCCCCTTTCCGCATGGACGCGGCCACGTCCGCGTCCGCGTCCACGGACTGCCGACAGACCCGAGCTGGCCCGTCTTGTCTCTGCGTGCTTAAACACGTCCTCGATCCAGTGAGCTGTCCGCTCAAACCATCCTCTGGCTGGCGGGTAGATGGCCGGAAATTGCAGAAATCCGTGGCTCACACCGGGCACCAGCACAACCTCAGCCACGTCGCGATCGTCAAAGCCCATCTTGGCCAGCACGTCTGCGTCCGACTCGCGGTACTCGAGCCGCCGTCCGCCTGACGCACAGAGCGCCGCCTGGATCCGCCGTAGTCGTCCCGCAAAGATCACCGTGTCGTCCACCAACGGATCGCGCTCGCCCGTCAGAAAGTATGTCTTGGGAAACCGCGCCAGCAGCAGGTCTGGCGCCAGGATCGGCGACAGCAGGTAGTCTCGCGCAAAGTCTGGCCGGCTGTGTGGTCCCACGTACAGAATGATCATTGCCCGCATCATCTCCGGCGTCAGCACCCGGTCGTTGAAGTACGAGATCGTCGACGACGTCGTCAGCCGCGTCTGCAAAGCCGGCGCTGGCACCGGTCCTGCCACCAACAGTGTCGACTCCATCGGTGTGATCGGCTGCACCCCTCCAGAGGTCGATGAGGCGTCACCTCGGGGTGTGCGTGGCCGCGCCTGCAATGTCTTTCCAAACTTCGCCATGTTGACATGTGAATACGCCGGCTTGGGTCTCCGCGCATCTTCTCCCTGAGACTGTGCTTTCTCCTCATCATCCTCCGAACTGTCATCGTCATCGCCGTCGCTACCGTCGGCCTCCGCCCTCGCCATGCTCGTCATGACTAATGCTTCGTCGCCAGACTCGTGCGGTGTCCCTGCGATGTCGTTGTATTGGCTGGTCTTGCGGCGGATCACATTCTTGTTCGTCGCCCGCATGCGTCTGTCCTGGATAAGGGCCATCTGCTCGTCCGACATCCAGCTGCCAATGTTCATGTCCAGGGCCGGATACGTCAAGATCAATCCCTCGGGAAGCGGAAGCTGTTGTTGGTCCTGCTCCTGCTCCTGTCCATTGCCTGCATCCTTTCTTTCATGCATCGACAGGAGTGTCGGCGCAGATTGCGCTATCATCAGCGTCGTCGCCGTCGCCAAATTGCCCCCAGCACTGTCGCCCGACATTACGATATGCGCAGGTTCCTTGCCAGCCATTCCAATGCAACGACCACGCGTGTTGACCAGCGTCGAATATACATCATAGCACTCGTACAGCGCATAAGGAAACGGGTGCTCCGGTGCTTTTCTGTAATCCAGACTCAAGACCGGAAGCCCCGTATGGACGGCCCAGGTGAAGAGTCGGTCGTCGTTGCAGCGCGGATCCATGGCAACAAAGCCCCCGCCAGGAATGTCGAGGATGACACGGTTTATACCAGATGCCCGCAGGTGGTCGATCGACCCGTCGTAGTAGAGCCAGGCCATCACCGGCTGATCCTTGTAGTCGCTTGTCGCCGGCCGGGGAATGCGGATGTATCGTGGTGGCCAGCGCGTCAGCCGAGGCCGCGTGAGGCCCTGGATAAAGTTCAGGTACGGTGTTGTTCCCTTGTTCCAGCTGACACGAAGGTGCTCCACCGTCAGGTTGCCGCGCACCTTGCGCACCTTTTCGTCGGCCTGCTCGGCTGCCACGAGGTAGAAGCCCGAGAAGACAATTCCGGCAATATCACGCAGCCAGCGGGAGCGTATCTTCATCGCCGTCCAGAAACCGGCGTCCAGCGCTGTCAAGACCCACGTCGCGCGGAAAAAGGTCGCATCGTACATGTTTGACAAAGGGTCGGGGCTCGCGAGGCCAACAAGAGTGCTGAAGTTGCGGGCCGTGTAAAGGTACGTCATCGTGAGCACGACCATTTGCCAGGCCGTCAACTTCTTCGAGAGGAGCCGGGAGAGTGTTCGTGTGCCCAGAGGGCCATTCTTGTTGCCACTGCCACGGTTGGAATCAGCAGACCGCGAGAACAGCACATACACATCGCAAGACGCAGCACACTTACCGCGCGAGATATGTCAGCCAAAAAACCAGCACGGCCAGTACTTGGAGCCGGCGCGACTTGACCGACGGTCGACCCAGAACGTGATCAAGCATGGTGACGGTAAGCCACAAGGGAGTAACAGGACGGGTTTCAGTAGCGCCCTAGGCCTGATGCACTGTTCGCGCAAGCACAAACGCATATATTGTTGAGTCTCTAGTTTCCTTGCTTGGCGAACTCAGGTGTCTTAGGTGCAAGTGCAGATACTGGTGCAAATACTAAGTCAGTCAAGAAGCCAGCAAGAACAAATTGCTAGAGCGAAGATCCTGTGATGGACCCTCCAGCCTGTCATCCATGTAAGACAATTCTTTCGAGGTCATGGGAGGCGGACCAATTCCGGTTGGCGATCTATTTGACATGTGAAAGCTGCTTTACCGGTAATACAATAAGCGCATGCTGCCGCTAGATGCTGTGCGGGGGTGGTCCACAGTGTCCGTCTTTCGAAAGCTCGGTCATGATTGATAAATGCACCAGTTGTGAGAGAAAGCCCTAGAGAGGCCAGGACCTATGCGATAGATGAAGAAACGGTTACTGCAAAGTGGACGCGCCCAAAGTACATGCAGGAATTTGGGCCGAAACGGGAATAAATCGTAGAAGCTACAAGAGACCACAGGAATTCACATGCAAAAGGGAGCAGCACAATATCCAATTGGACACAGGCAAAATCGTATAGATTGGCACTGCGCTAACCAAAAATAAGCAACATAAGACATAAGCGTCGTATGGAACCCTATCCCTGAACGGCCGTTTCAACTCGTGATGGCTGATGTCGTAATTTGGCAAATTTAGCAGACAGCATGGGTTTTGCCCGTCTTCCCTTGGAGCGAGTGCTTTTCTTTCTATAGGCCAGAGACGGCCGGTCAGCATAACGCTTCTCGCAAATAAAGCCACAGGCATATTAGGAAGGGGACCAACGCGGAACTTTGGATGGTTGTGCACGGAGTGGCTACCAGCCGTGTGGTGCTTTTGGACAAATTCGTCGATCTTGCGGAGCGTCGCTTTGTCCATCTCGTCCAGATACGTCATGCTCAGCTTGACGTCAGCAATCAGCGAGTCACATCGGTTCCAGGTGAAGTCTTCGCGGACGACAACACGGAGCATCTTCAAGCCATTCGTGTGGGGAGCCATGGTGTAAGCAGGCACCACCCAGCCGCGAACGCGCAGCTGGTGGGCGAGAGCAAACTCGTCGTATTCTCGGGTTTTGCTGGGCGAAAGACGGAAGGCAACGAGAGGCAGCCCTTCACCCGACTTCTTGGACATGATCACGAAACCGAGGGCCTGGAGCGAGTCTGAGAGGTAGTCGGCAGTGCGTGTCAGATTGGACATAATAGCACGGTATCCGTGCTTGCCCAGCCGGATGAACTGGTAGTATTGCCCGATAACCTGCGAAGCACCCTTGCTGAAGTTGAGCGTGAACGAAGCCTGGTCGGCGCCAAGATAGTTGATGTTGAACACCAGCTCCTGAGGGAGGTACTCGGCGGAACGCCACACAACCCAACCGACACCAGGGTACACAAGTCCGTACTAAAAGGCGTGTTAGGGTGAAAGATGGTGCTCGGTATCATGCTTAAACGCACCTTGTGGCCCGAGACGTTGATGGAAACGACGCGCTCCAGCCGGAAGTCCCATTCGAGGCCGGGGACAACAAAGGGAGCAACGAAGCCGCCGCTAGCAGCATCGACATGGATGGGAGTGTCCAAACCGCGCTCGATCAACAGGTCATTGACTGCCTTCACATCCTCGTATTCGCCTGTGTAGGTAGTGCCGAGAATGCAGCAGATTCCGATGGTGTTCTCGTCGACCAGGTCAACGACCTGCACTGGGTCAATCACATAGCGATCCTCTGAGCAGTAGACGAGCTTCTCGTCAATTTCAAAGTAGCGGGTGGCCTTCTCCCAGCACACCTGCACGGCAGACGACATGACGAGGTTTGGCTTCTCGTAAGACTTGCCCTCGGCAATGCGCTTGTTCTTCCAGCGCCGCTTCATGGCCAGAACACCCAGCATAATTGCCTCGGAGCTTCCAACCGTAGAAGTGCCGATAGAACCTCCCTCGGTGGTGCTTCCGACAGGCGCATTGAAGAGGCGACCGATCATAGAGACGCAGCGGTTCTGGATATCCGCGGACTGGGGGTACTCCTCATAGTCGATAAAGTTCTTGGAAAAGGACTCAGTCATAAGCTTCTCGGCTTCGTCCTCCTACACAAGTAACGTCAGTATAAGTAACACCCGTCTTGACTGTCAATCAGAGTTGACGAACCATGTACGTGGTGACGAAAGACGCCAGGCTAAAAAAATAAAAAAATATTGTTAGCTATTGAAAAGTAATTGGAGGCTGTTGCCATAAGAAGAACGGCTTACTTGAGCATGGGGTTACCGTCCAGGCTGAGATCATCTTTGATCATGCGATACGCGACCTATGTAGGGAATTCGTGAGTACTCTGTAGACTTGAGTCCAGCTACGGGGGAACTTACCTCCTTAGGCATCTCAGTCTCTGCAAGTTCGTGCTGCTGCTTGTTAGAAACCCCAGACTATCGAAAATCCGGACGTAAATGGAGGAGAGGAAGGGTGACGCACTCGAGGCAGTTCGATCATGGCAAATCTGGAACCATAAACGGACGTGGTAAAACAGTCATCGTCATTGGCAAGTTGCAGGTGCGCCTTCTTCACTTCGCTGACGAGATCCTTCTCAGTGGTAGCATCTCTGTGCTTGATCTCGGTGAGGTGACCCATTTTGGCGGTAATAGCTTCTAACTGGAGAAGAAGAGAAGACGAGTTTTGTGAATTGCTGAAGAGCAAATTCTGGCTTGGTAGAGGCAAAGTATGTTTTGGTAATTGGGAGAGGCTGCTTTTATAACTGTTGAGGCTGAGTATGCTTTGGAGGGAGCTCAAGGTTAGCACAAGACACAGGACGGGACATGGATCTTGACAAGGATACAACTAGGCAGTTCTGAATAGCTCTGTTCTGCCCCCAACTACAGCTTCTGGAAGACATCTTTAGAATATCCCAGGGCAGGGTCCCTGGGCAGTCAACGCGGGGGTCAGGAACAGGGAGCCGGGCCCCTTTTCAATGGGGTGAGGGAGGCAAGAAGAAAAGCAGCTGTTGGGCGTTGGGGTAGGGAGGGGGGAGCATGGGGGTACAGAGATTGGTGAAAAAAGGGCAAAGCCTCACCGAGTATAGTTCTTCTTGCGGGAGAACAACAGGAGATGAGTGAATTAGATCGTGTGGTGAGAAATTGGTAAGTTGCAAAAGGCCAAGAGGACTGGGTTAATCTTCAAGTACGAGCAAAGAAGACGAGAGGACGAGGGATGGGGCCCAATTTGAAAGAAAATGACCAAGGAGGGAAGCTGCGAGGGAGGCGGGCAGCAGCAAAGCCAAGCACCACCACCGCCTACCTTACCCCAGTTCCTCAGGAGGGGCCGAGAAGATGTGGATACGCTTGGAGGGGCATTTGGTACAGCGTACGGAGTAGTGTTCAGCAGCACTACCACCGACAGTGACGACGCAGCTGCAGAGTGTACGAGATGTTCGACCGGGGTCCCACGAGCAGGGGCTTGTGCTGGCAAGCCCCACCACCAAAAGCTTGTCCTCCCAGTAGTGTGATGCTCGTGGACAGCACCCAATCAGGGCCGACAGGCTGAGCCCAAAGGCCAAATACGACACAACCCAACAGCATCCCACTCAACACGCGATTTCATGGGATTTCTCATTTCCGGCCCCCCAATACGAGTGCAATGATGCGAGGAGAAGGGAGAAACGAGGCAAATCGCATCCGCCAGGAGGCCCTCCACATGCATGCAGGATGTGCAGCTTCGAGACGTTGACCATGCTGGTCTGTGCTATGATGGATTTGGCTACCAATGAGGGCCCGATTGTACGGAGTACGGCAGACAGACCCAGTCGCTAAAGCCGTGGGGGTCGGTCTCGATTCCCGTGGCTGTGTCCTCCATCCGGACTGGCCCGACACTCGTGCAGGTGGGCAGCAAACGGTTTCTGAAGCCCTTTTCCCGTGTCGAAATGCCATCCATCCTGTGCCGTCTTTCTGACTACGTAACATCTGCAATGCAGCCTCGAAAAGACCAAAGGCCTGGAGGGTGATCCAGTAGCCGTTTGTCAGCAACGATCATGAATGCGGACAGCGATGTGGCCTTCTGAGAGCCACTTACGTCGTATGTAAGGCTAGGTGGAGACTTTGACCGCTCCGGCCTGTCCGAAGTTGGCTTTCGCGCATGCGCCGCGCGATTAGAGGCTCCACGGAACGACTTTGACCACTCAGGTCTTACCAGGTGTTTAACATGATGAAAAGGAAGCGATGTGTGTGCATTACGGGTACTCGTACAGAAACACAAAGGAGGTGTGTCTATGTAGACAATACGCCCTAGCCGAGGCTCTGCTGAATGCCTAAGACATTGCGTGTAAAGGATGGTCATGCAAGCAGTTGCCATTCAGTCGCCATGGAGTCGCCATCCGGATACCATCCGGTCGCTGTCCCCTCTCTGGCTGTGGCGCGCTCATGGCTAGACAATCGGATGACAATCCACCAAATCCTGGGGTATTGCGCGCAAATGCCTGTTCTAGCAGTTTTGGTAATATTTAGGGCTTGGGTCTCCATGTTGGGTAGCATGGGAGCTACGGTCCGGACTGCCTGCACCAACCATGCCAGCCAATCTGGAACTGCCGTGTTTTGGTACTCATTTATCCAGGATCATGTCTCGTTTCCAGCCTTCATTGGTACGAGTACACGGTGTTCTTTCTGGCTGCACGTGTCTCTTGCCTCGTTGCTTTGAAAACCTGATTCCCCTGCCTTATTACGTACGTTTAAACCAGAAATAGTTCTGCCAGGCTATGCGTCAGCCGTTGCCAAGACTGACAGGCCTCAAACATGCTGCAATAGTGTGCCCCCCCTTATAAAACACCAGCTGTATTGTTTACCAGACAATTCGTTGTGCAAGACACGCGTGTCGGTCTCCCGCCAAGTTCTCGTAAGATACCACGCCAATGTCCTTTTGGCGGTGCTTGCCTCAACCCAAACGGAGACCGAACACACCGTCTTGTGAAGGCATCATCATCGGGTGAGACTGTCGTGACTCTGCGAACATGTTGCTGTCGAGCCAGGAAACTTGTCGAAACGGTGTAGAGCGCGAGCAAGATGCTGTGTACTCCGTACGAATACGCGTTAAACTCCGGCTTGTATCATCTATCTGTGCATTTTCTTTCTCGGCCGAGAAACATCATTTCGCAGAAATGTATCTTCCTCTGTCCAGCGTTGTCGGAGTGGACAATCTAAACAGCTCAGACCCCACCGAAATTTTTGACTCACGCCTCCCTTATCGATAAGAAATTTCGGTCCATTGTCCTCTCTTGGTTGCAGTTGTCCCGGCCGTTTCCCCTTCCCCTCTGCCATTGTCAGTCGTCTATCCTATCCCAACCAGGTTTTCTGTTCTTCTCGACGATGGCCTGGCAGTGGTGCGCAAGAAGTGCAGTGAAGGGCACCCGGGCCCTGGCACTGGCTCCTACACGGCCAGTAGGCATTTCCCGAGCGCCGCTATCCGTTTCGGCGAGGCTCTTCGCCTCACAGGCTCCAGCAGCCGCTGTTGAGACCCATCAGGTTTGTCTCCAAGCTTTTGGCCAAACACAGACAGCTGTCTAACAGGTGCCCCTGCTCCAGACCTTCAATGGCGCGCACAGTGAGGACGTTGTCGCCCAGACGGCCCCCTTTATGCTGGCGACCTATTCACGACCGACAACGGTCTTCCAGCGCGGCTCCGGCTCATACCTGTGGGACCTCGAGGGCAAGCAGTATCTCGACTTCACGGGCGGCATCGCCGTCAATGCACTCGGCCACTGCGACCCCGGGGTCACGCGCGTGCTCGCCGAGCAGGCGGCCACGCTGATGCACGCCTCGAACCTGTACCACAATCCTTGGACGGGCGCGCTCTCGCGGCAGCTGATCGAGGAGACGCGAGCGTCGGGCGGCATGGCCAGCGCCGAGGCCACGGCCGTCTTCATTGCCAACTCGGGTAGCGAGGCCAACGAGGCGGCCATCAAGTTCGCCCGCAAGGTCGGCAAGACGCTCGACCCATCTGGCAAGAAGATCGAGATCGTCTCGTTTGCCGGCGCCTTCCACGGCCGCACTATGGGCAGCCTCTCGGCCACGCACAACCCCAAGTACCAGGCGCCCTTTGCGCCCATGGTGCCGGGCTTCCGCTGCGGCACCTACAACGACGCTGATGCGGCCGTGCTCGAGCAGCTGATCACCCCGGCCACCTGTGGCGTCATCGTCGAGCCGATCCAGGGCGAGGGCGGCGTGCACGTCGGGACCGACGCCTTCATGGTGGCCGTGGCCCAGCGTGCCCGCGAGGTCGGCGCCGTGCTGATCCATGACGAGATTCAGTGCGGCCTCGCTCGTACCGGCGGCACGCTCTGGGCCCACGCTCACCTGCCCGCTGAGGCTCATCCCGACGTCATCACCACCGCTAAGGCTCTCGGTAACGGCTTCCCCATTGCTGCTACCATCGTCAGCGCCACCGTCGCCGATGCCATGAAGGTCGGCGACCACGGCACTACCTATGGCGGCAACCCGCTTGCCTGTCGCGTTGCCCATCACGTCCTCACCCGCCTCAGCGAGCCCGCCCTGCAGGCCAGCGTCGTCGCCAAGGGCGCCGTCTTCGTGCGTGGCCTCCAGCAGCTGCGCGAACGCTTCCCCAATGTCATCACCGAGATTCGCGGCCGCGGCCTCATCCTTGGCGCCCAGCTCACCCGCGATCCCAACCCCATCGTCGATGCTGCTCGCGCCCATGGCCTGCTCGTCATCACGGCCGGCAAAAACACCTTGCGGTTTGTCCCCAGCTTGACCGTTTCCGAGGCCGAGATCCAGGAAGGCCTTGGCCTGCTGGCAAAGGCCATTGAAGAGACCAAGTAGTAGACACTGACGACATCACGCGTCCTCTCTCTTTAACCCTGTTTCTTTTTGGAATCTAGAATCGCTGGCCAGATGGGAGTCACGGGAGACGGCTCATGCTGTTCGAAAAGTTCAAGGGATACCTCTCGGCGTGTTTTCAACGTTGTTACGTAGCTTTCATTTAACCATGACACCCTTCCAATCTGTTGATGTCCAGCTTTGTCTGTCCTCAGTTATTCTCGTATATTTACCCACCTGTCTGCCCACTTTTGACATTCTTAGTCAGTGGACCACGCGTTCTGCAATCCCGACGGCTCCAGACGTGGGCCATTGCTGTCCTGGTGATTGTTGGCATCTTCCCTGGCCTCATCGGTGCCATCCACGTCATCCACGTCATCCGTATAAGCCTCCGCAACGCGATCCTCCAGAAGAGGCCTGCGCACACCTTGCTGCTCACCGCTTCCGTGCGGGTGATAGCTGAAAGATGAGGCCGGCCACTCTCTGACGACGAGTGTGAGAACCTGAAAGAGCGCCACGACCACGACCACCGCCAGATCCACGCCTGCTCGTCGTTGCACTGTCTGCATCCAGGGCACACGGCACGCAGTCGTGCGGCCATACGATTGCGCACACGTGGTGCTTCCGCTTCCGTGCGGAAACGGCCATGCCCGGTCGACAACACTGTTGAAGCCGCAGCAGTTAAGCGCGTCCTGGATCCGCCGTAAAGCAGCGGCATCGTGTGCGCTGTACAGCTGCTGCCATGTTGTCTCAAGAGCACATCGAAGGGTGGGGGATGGCGAAGAAGAACTCGGAGACCCCCCAGCGATGTTGTTGACTATGAGTATCGCCGCTGTGGCCACTGTGATGATGCCCTGCAGGAACTGCAAGACGACTGGCAGGCTAGGGAGCTGAACGCTTCCATATTGCACGCTCGTCCATAGAAGGCTCTTCGTTCTGCTAGTTTGAGATCGACGTTGGCGGCTGAGGATAAGGTAGATTGCATTGGCAATAGCAGCAACGGGCAACGCGATCGTAAAAGCGGTCAACGTGGGTGCGATCGGGAGGGACAAAGACAACGAAGCAACATGCTCGTAACTGTGCAAGAAACGTCAGCGATGGGATGACAATAATCAAGGGAAGTTGGCTCACATGGCCACAGCAAGAATTCCGAAGGTGATCTGCCTCATTGTCAGCCAGGCACCAGCATAACCAGAGTATATTGTGTGGACATACCACCAGCGGTAAGATGAGAGCCAAAAGACTTGAGATGGCCATGTCAGAGATGTATCTGATTTCGCTTTTACTTTACACGTCGAAGGTGATGCCGGAAAGCTATCAAGAAAGGCCAGACAAATGCCTAATGTTTGTGTTGAGCTTCCTCTGTTTTTTGTTCGTTGGGCAGAAAGGCGGGGAAGCAAACGAGCAATGTTTGGTGTTGATTGCAACCCTCCATTGTACAAGGCTGTGTAGCATCAGAACAACTGTACAGTGGTCAAGCGGATTTACACCGTGGGTTGGTTCGCACAGCAACATACGACGACATAGTTGCAGAACTTAAAGAATCTTTTTGCGTTTTGCATTCCCCAATTCACTGAGCGTCCGCTATTGCTATTGACAAGATCAATCCTGCTTTTAACTCAATGTGCACCGATTTTATGCAACAAAGTGGAAGCCAAAGTTATACGTCGTAACCGTTTTGCCAAAAAAACGCCAATTGGAGCTGTAGGATGGGCTGCCAACTCATGCAATCGTCGTCGTATGGAGCGAGTTTGAGTCAGAGCGATATTCGAGCTCGTGCATTCGATGCGCGATGGTGACGAATCAACAAACGCTAAGAAGTAGTTCCTCACAACTATGCAAAGAGACATTACGCATGGCCTTGCAAGCGTGCGATAGGGAAGATGGACGTCCGAACTTCCATATTGAGGCTTTGCTCGAGGTAGCAAAAGCCGAGGCTAAAGGGATCATGAGTTAAGCAGAGTACTCGTAAGCATGCCCAGACATAAACGCCGACGGGTTCTGTTGAGGCGTTTGCTTGCTAGCTTGTGTTGACATGTAAAATCGAGCCGGAGATAAATAAGATATCTTACGACTGCGGCGGGAAATGTAAGTTCTCATCACGGACGCCATATACGGCCCCCACGAAGCTCCATACCCCATTTGAATACGGAAGACGCCGAATGGTTTTCAACCCGACGATCGATGCAGTCTCCACTTACTATGTGGTTAAAATCGACCACATTACGGAGACATAGCTTTACCTCTTGTTGGGCTTTATGCCAGCCTGCACAATATGGACTTTAGACCGATGCTGGAACAAGCTTTGAGAACAAAGGCCACCCTATATGAAGAAATCGAAAGTACCGTGATCATCCGCAGCAGGCGTGTCGCTTACGGAGTACTTCATAGTAAGATACGTCGTATGCATCTCGGGCTCTGCTCGAACCAGATACGGAAGCTGTTCCCCGGTCGTATGTCGTGGCAATGGCATTTCCGTCACAGGGACACTATTTTCATGGCCATGTTGTTCCGGTAGCCGAGAATGGTATGCTGACTTACCATACAAGCCAACAAATGGATAAACCCAGAGTCAAATGCTATGGCCGGCTATGCAAATTTGATTCCATAAAAACACATGTTAGAATAATACGCCGACGGGGTTGAGAAAGGCATACGCTGGGCCAATTAGAGGAGCTGGCTGACCAGCATTTGCTTGATGGTGGTTGGCCGAGCACCAAAGCTTTCCCCATACCTGAGTAATGCAAGCTGTATAATTGGTCAGATAAAGTAAGCTCTTGCCTCCCTGGCAGAGCTACAAAGCAAGGAACATCGGTAGAAGCGTGCTTTTTCACTGAAGGTTCTTTCTGTCGAGCAAGTATTAAATGCAGCCGGCGCGCCACCAGGCTTTGCTTTCTTTCTCTGGTTCATCACACTGGGAATGCCGGCACCCTCGTTATCAACTTTTCGCATCTTACCTCCACGAAATTAGTGCTGCATACTAGTGCACTTTTTCCGAAAACTTTCCCTATTCAGCCACATACTACAAATCTGAGGCATCTCGAGCGACAGTTCTCTGATTATCTTACGCAGACGACACAGCTACAGAACGTTCTTGTCAATCCGACTTTCCATACGCTATCACAACTATGTCTCCCACACCTTCTGCTTACGGCAGCATCGGCGAAGTGGAGCCTTTGATCGAGCGGCGATCGGATAGCAGCTTGACGCGTGTGTCGACGTTGTCTGGCAGTACCTCGCATTCGGAGCGGCACAGCGACAATGGTGATCTTATCCGCGACGTCATAATAGGCTTTGCAGATGGCCTGACGGTCCCCTTCGCCCTCACGGCAGGCTTATCCAGCCTTGGCGACACCCGCCTCGTCGTCATGGGCGGCTTGGCCGAGCTCTTCTCTGGAGCTATCAGCATGGGCCTTGGTGCCTACCTGGCTGCCTCTACCGAAAAGGAACATTACGAGAGCGAGGAGAAGCGGGAACGTGACGAGGTCGAGCGTATGCCGGACGAGGAGCGCCAAGAAATCTATGACATCCTTGCGCAGTACCACATCAGCCAAGAGGCTTCCGCGCCTCTTGTGAACGAGCTCTGCAAGAATCCAGAGATGTGGGTCCGCTTCATGATGGATTTTGAGCTGCGCCTGGAGAAGCCCAAGACAAGCCGCGCATGGTTGTCGGCAGTTACCATGGGCATGAGCTACTTTATCGGCGGGCTGATCCCCATGATCCCCTATTTCCTGATGGAGACCGCCATGCGCGCGCTGATGGTGTCCATCTGCATCACGGTTGTCATCCTGCTGATATTTGGCTACATCAAGACGGCGATTACGGTGCACAACAAGGTCGCCGGCTGCTGGGGCGCATTGCAGACGCTTGTGATTGGTGCGCTGGCTGCTGGTGCTGCATACGGCATCGTGCGCGCACTTGACTCCGGCCATTAGGAGTCGTGACCAAATTTATGAACGATACGACAAATCGCGGAGGGGCTCCGCTGGGAAGGTTTATGGAAAGGGAATAGGGCCGGCTGGGAAAGACATCACACATCAACAAAGATACAATAGATGAGATACGTTTCATCTCTGGATTTGGCGTTTTGGTAAGCGCTGTTAGGACTCACAGCGTATAGGGTTGCTCCTGTCTGAAAAGCACGGGCTGTATAATTTCTTTTTTTATAGAAGGGCTGGCGAAGGGCATGCTGGTTTTCCACAAAGTTGCAATTTTTTCTCGTGATATCTTCATGAACGGATAGGCGGCTGTTTCAGCTCAAATTATGGGTTAACTTATCTTGCTGACTCATATTCTCTTTATGTTCATATGTATGTATTGTGGGGAGTACTCCCTACTCCGTACAGCACCATACCCCTGAGACCGTTGTGTTCAGTTGGCAGCTAGAGACGCTAATTGCAGCTGTCACAAATTAATCACTCCGTACTCGTAGAGAAATGTGACGAAACATGGGTGGCCATCAGTCACCAGCACACCAGTACGAGCATTTGTTCTGTTGGGTGACGTTTACGGAGTACGAGCACCCGAGTAGAGAGATACGACGCAAGTGCAACACTGAAAAAAATGTCACCGACAATTCTGCAACGATGCAGGAGGGCGCTCACTCCGTACGGGGTACGTCGCAGACCTGCCAGATGGATGATAGCTCGATTCCCGTATAACTCGACGAGCTAATCTGGCGTACTTTTTGGCGAGCTATGTATCTTATCTTACTGCTCCGTAAGAATTGAAAAAAGACTGCTTTTTACAGAGTACATAGCCTTGTAAGACTGTACACCAGCCAACTAATAATAGATGCCCACTCATTTCATCGCTGTCAACGATAGATAGTCCAAGCGTACGGAGTACTATGTAAAGTGGTCGTGACAAGGCTACACGTACGGATACGGCGCTACTTATTTATTCCGATACTACGGAGCACTTTAGTTAGATGCCTGCCAGGTCTGGTTGGACGGAACAACGTGGCGTGTACCGTATATTCTGCCCCAAATTGAAGGCCATTTCCGCGCGAAGGACGGTATGTTAGTACTATAGATTACCGAACGACACCCAAACAAGTCGATAGTCCCTGGCCAAAGTACAGTTTAGTGCAGCCCCAGCTTTATCCCAAGCATGGCCAATCAGCAAACTTATCCCCTAATGAGGGGCGGGACGGCCAGGGTACCTGAAAAGGAAGGAAGGGGAAAGTGCGACATTGGGATGAGGGGGCAAGTATCTTACTTTCAAAAGGAAAGAACGGGCTGGGGGCTGGGCAGTAAAAAAGAACCAGAAGCTACGAGAGAAGATTCCTCAAATCGCACGTCTGGATCTCGAAACACAAAAACAGAACAGTCTATGCTTCGAACGTCTCCATCTGCAGCAGTTTCGGATTTCGCCTTCCCCGGGTCTCCGTGCCTGTGCCTGGAACTGTCCCTGCCTCTCCACCCCGGTTATTTTAATATTTGGAGCGGCGATCAGTTCGCACAATCACAAACAGAAAAACGCATTTTGACAATACCGCCCCTGAAGCGACGACGCGCGACGTTGCCCAACTAGGGAAAACACGAAAAAGCAGAATCTGCGGGCCACTCCCCGGCGCTCACCTTTTCGTGCTGCCAATAGGATTTATGTAGGTCCAATCCTGCTGACGATGTCTTCGGCTTTGGCCACTGTGCTAACAAAAAGACCACCCGCCTCCACCGTTGCATCAACCCACCCGGCTCTAGAGCCACGTCTTTCAAGCTGCCTGACTAGCAGTACCAAACCACCAAAGAGGTCTAAGCTTCATTCTTCTCTCCCTACTCCGTATATCATCATATATTTGTCATTTCTTGTCCGACCGACAGACTGGGTACTGGCTTGCCTCGTCCCTACGCGTGCTTCCAAGCAGTTCTTTTGGCATTTCATCTGTCCTTTGTCCGACTCGATCTCAAACAAGTCCCAGAACCACCCCTCACGATCATCTACCGTCCTGTCAACGACCCCTGCGATCGCATGCATGCCCATCGTTTATAGCTTGTGCGACGATTACTATTTCCCGGCCGGTCCTTGAGACAAGATAATAACATCTATCAAACCCCCGCTCCCTCTCGACACGACGACTTCACAAACCAAAAAGCAGCAGGAGCCAGAGGCCGCGGTCTGAGAGCGCGGCGTGCTGTCTGCGCGCGCGTGTAGGCTGTGCTGGGCTTGGTATGCTTCTCGAATTGCATTGCTCCTTGCTGCAGCACTACCGAGGACGACCGTAAGACTAGGAGACGACGCGGCATAGCCAAGTTCGTCTGCGGCCCGAGGAGCTCACCTGGTTGGCCGCTACAGTCACGATGCCCTGGCAACCGCTCCCTCACATCGCTTTCGCTGTTGCGACCTACCCCTTTGCTGCTTCGTACCCCGAAGATCTTGTGCTCGAAATTGGCGACGAACTCTACATCATCGAAGAAACACCCGATGGCAATTGGCTTCGTGGCTACCTGCTCAAGCCGCCAAGCTTGCTGGCCGGTCTGACCTCTGTCAAGGGTCAGACCCTTGAGGCTCGTGTTTTCAGTGGCATCTTCCCCCGCAGTTGTGTCGAGGTGCGCGAGCTTCTCGGTGAATCTGACGACAGCGACGACGCGGACGAAGATGGAGATGCGGCCAACACTAGCGAGGACGGCGTCGTCTTCCCTTCTGCACATGCCGCTGCTCAGCGTGGCAGCGACTCGGCTAAGAGCGGTGTCGTTGGCGGCCAGCGGCGAAAGAAGAAGACTGGAAAAGACATCGTGCTTTCCATGGCCAATGGTGGCGGAGATGGAAACAAAAGCAGACCGTCCTCCTCCCGATCCCGACCAGCCACGGCCTTGAGCGCACAAGGCCACCTGTCTGTGCCCGTTGTGCGCGATCCCAACGCGCCAAAGCCTCAAGCCCCGGTCCCGATGCTGAAAATTGGAGACGAAACCCCGACTTCGGCTGCTGAACCTCTGATCGACGAGATTGCTTCATGTCTGCGCGAATGGCACTCGACGAACCTGCACGAGCTTCTCCTGTCTCGGCAATACCATAAACTCGACATCCTCTCCCAATTGATTACCTCGCTGAACCAAGCACGCCAGCAGTTCCTCCATAACGTATTGACAAGCTGGGAATATACAAAATTGCGAGAGAAAACAGTATGGGATCTTGTCCGTGTCAACAAGCTCTGTGGTGGCGAGGTGATTGTTCGGGACCCAAACGAACGTGGGCGCATTCTCACGGGTGATGATTCTGTTGTGGAAATCACACAGCTGCAATCGGTTATGAGCCTTCTGAACGAGCCACCACCACCTTCTGTTGAGCCAACCGCCTTGCATCATTTACTGGTTGATGTCAAGGGCTTCGCTGGCGCCTGTACGGAAGGGACCTCTCTTGTGCTGAGCCTAGTTGGGCGTGTGGGTGGCGAGCTTATTCGCTTATCCGAAAGCTTCACCACTGCGGTACCTTCTGGGATGATGGGACACCTGTTCAACCGTGCCTCAATGCGCACGCTCTTTTCCGACCTTTCCTCTTCCGATATTGGCGAGGCCCCCGCCGTCGATTCTGACTTGTTTCTTGTTGTTGTTGTTCGCTCAGTTCGGCAGATTGCAGTGGCTGGCCAACCTCAAGCAAAGCCGAACTCACGTTCTGGCGTCGGATCTGCTGGCTATGGTGGAGCGTCCGGCAGTGTCTCGGGAAGCAAGGAAACATCGCGGCCGCCTCTTTCTAGCGGAAACAAATCTGCACGGAGAAGCCTGATGTGGGGAGGTAAGGGCAGTCGCTCAGGTCACTCACGTGGAAGCAACAAGCTGGACTCTTTGAGCGAGACGTCCGAGGATCGTTCAATATCAGGCAGTGCACCGACTAGCCGAGAGGGCTACTCGGCACCACCTGGCTCGGCAGGTTCGAGAGGCGGCGGCGGCGGGGGCGGCCGTTCGCCGTTTGACTCTGCATTGCGTGTGACAGCTGATCGGATGACAGGCATCGGCGTCTTAAAACTGAATGCGATCATGAAGCGACAAGATGATGACGTGGAGCATGTGATCAACATCTGGGCACCGTCGGAACGCGCTGGTGCATCTGCTGATAAGCAGCAGACCGAGGATTGGGATCCATTTATCAAGGACTTGATGTTGAGCAAATCTGGCCAGTTTGAAAAGTCTAAGAGCTCTGAGCGCGTCCAGGTGCATCTACGCGCCTTCAATCACCCAGACGCAGACACTCTGATCAAGTCTACACCGACCTTGCTCTCTGGCATCGTCAAGACATGCAAGATGGGATTTTCCGGAGCACCGACAAAACCACGTTCTGATATATACCTGACCATCAATGATGCTGTACTGAGCCGGCAGGTACTGCTCTCCCGGTATGGCGCCAGCCCTGGTCCGTTTCCGAGCACCCTCCAAGGCAACAACCTGCAAGTGACCGTCGAGGTACGGCGATCGAGTGGTGACCGTATCGACGGGTGCATCTTCCCGTATTCAAATACTGAGGGGCTAAGCACTTGGCGATCGACGACAGTGGAACGCGAAGATGGATGGCGCCAAACTCTTCGCCTGTCTCTATCTCCCCCCGACGTTTCTACGTCTCACGTCGTCATGTTTGTTGCTGACATGCCAAATCCGCCATTTGCTGTTGCCTACATGCCACTATGGGACCAGTCTGCCTTTGTCCGGGACGGCTCGCACGGCTTGGTCCTGTACCGTATCGATGAATATACGGTAACGCCACAACCACCACCAGGGGGGGCTCCCGGCCGTGTTGGAGGCTACCTGTCACTACCTTGGAGTACGAAAGGTCGGGTTGAAAACCAAACAGTGGTTACGGGTGTACTGGCCAACTTGCGCGTTGACTCGTATCTCTGCAGCACACGCTTCTCCCAAGATCGTGTCGTGCTGGGACTTCTCAAATGGCGCGAAGGACAGAAGGAAGCTGTGAGCGGGTTGCTGCAGCAGCTCATCTTTGTTCCCGAGATTGAGGTTGTGAAGCTTCTGAGCGAAGTGCTTGATGCGCTATTCGCCGTCCTTGTGGAATACTCTGGCAACGACCAGTACGAAGATCTTGTGTTCACAGCTCTTGTGCGAGTGCTCGATATCGTCCACGACCGGCGTTTCAACGTAGGTCCTCTTGTGGACCACTATGCCGAGACCAAATTCAACTCTCCCTTCGCTACGCCTTGTCTGGTGCGATCATTTACCCGCCTGCTCTCGAAGCCGACAGAACCCGAAATTGCGCGCAAGCTCCGGGCCACGTTCAAGGTTGTTCGCCATATCCTCAAGTTTATCACGCACGCCCGCGGTCAACAGCGCGTTAAGGAAGCGGGCATTGGCATAACCTCTACTACACCGAACTTCACACGCCACATCCAGAGCATATTCAAGGCCCTTGAGGCAATGATGCGTAACACAGCACCTGTGCTTGTCGGAAGTCAAACACTCGCCGTCCAACACTTCCATACGTGGCTACCCGAACTTTCTGGCCTGCTTTCTACGGAGGAAATACTACACATCGCCATTGATTTTATGGATGCTTGTGCTGACGTCAAGGGCAAGCTTGTACTGTATAAGCTTGTGCTTATCATTAATTACTCCAAGCTGGATATTTTCTCGCACCCAGAGCAAAGAGCCGCCCTGAGTGCAAATACTGTTCGGTGGATCGCACCGCACTGGGGCCATTCGGATGAGGTGACCGACCAGTGGAAGAGTCAAGTACGGCTCTGCTGCTCCATCCTGGCCAGCCAAATAGACCACTTGAGCTCTGAGATCCCGGATTACATCCCCAAGATTCTGGACTCTTACCTGGCCATCAGACATGCAGCCGAGTCGAGCACAAAAACAGCAAAAACAGTTCGAAGTCGCCTGTCATTGCTCTTCCCTACGCAGTACCCCTTCCCGTCGCGGCTAATATCATACCCTGAAGGCCTAATGGAACCGACATTAGACGGAAAACCACCGTCGGCAGATCAATCCTCCCAACCACAGTTTGACGAGGCTCTCGTCGAGCTGTCTGCGGTGTTGTCGGCACTTTCCAATTCCGCCAGTGGAATGCAGCTTGAGATGGCTGACGGGGATCTTGCAGTGATTATTGAAAACACATTACGCGTTCATATGAGCATTCTGCGTGGCGAGGCCTTCCCGTCTACTTGGCTGAGTGTGCACATCTTCCATCACAGCTCAATCATGCGGACCTTGCAGTATCTGGCGAGCATCCTGCTGGACAGCTTCTTGCTCGATCCCGATGAAGCTGAGGAGTTTAACACGGAGCTGTGGAAAATGCTGTTCAGCACACTGCTTATGCTTGTCAGCAGTCCGTCGCTCGCATTGGAAACATTCCCCGAACAGAAACGCCGGGCGGTGTGGAAGATTGCTGGCGATGTGCGTGAGCACGGTGCAGAACTCCTCCGGCGCACCTGGGAAGCCATTGGCTGGGATACGGCAGCCGACGAGAGGCAGCGCTACAACCTCACGAAGATGGGCGGCTACCAGGTGCAATACGTGCCTGCGCTGGTTGGCCCCATTGTGGAGTTGTGTCTAAGCGTGCACGAAGGTCTGCGGCGAATGGCTGTGGAGGTGCTGCAGACAATGATTGTGAGCGAGTGGACGCTCAGCGAGGACCTGTCGATTATCCAGGCGGAAATAATCGATTACTTGGATCACTTTTTCAAGACAAAGCCACTGACGGAGAGCATCTTGCAAAAGCTATTTGTCGGCGAGCTACTAGACCGCTTTGCTGGTTTGGCTGGCATACCGGATGAGCCTCTCTACGCAGCATTGCGGGAGCTCATTGGCACTGTCGACGAGTTCCTCGATCTCCTGGTTGCTGTCCATGGCAGCGACGGTGGTGGAGTTTCCGACGTTGTTGTGGCAGGCTCCGGCTCTCCCGGAGAAGCTTCACATCTGATCAACCGGCTGCGGCTGATGGAGTTTCTGCGTGATATGCAGAAGGAGGAGATGTTTGTCCGCTACGTGCACCAACTTGCAGATCTGCAGGCAGCGTCTCGCAACAACGCAGAGGCAGGTCTGGCTCTGCGCCTCCATGCCGAGCTATACGACTGGGATCCGTTGCGGACGGTGCCAGCTCTGTCGGACCCTGCTTTCCCTGCGCAGACACACTTTGAGCGCAAGGAGCGGATCTACTTTGACATGATCAAGCATTTTGAGGAGGGCGAAGCGTGGAGCAGCGCCTTGGCCGCGTACAAGGAGCTTCAGGTGCAGTACGAGACGAACATTTACGACTTTTCGAAGCTGGCTCGGACGGAGCGAGCCATTGCGACCGTGTACGAGACGATTACCAAGAGCGACCGCCTTGTGCCAAAGTACTTCCACGTCATCTTCCGTGGTTTGGGATTCCCATCCAGTGTGCGTGACAAGGAATTTGTGTACGAGGGCTCTCCCAACGAGCGGACCAGTGCGTTTACGGATCGCATGCAGGAGCAGTACCCGGCAGCGCAGATCGTCGTGGTCTCGTCGTCTACTGCAGCAAACTCCCGCCTAGGCGGTGGTATCGTTGTCTCGGGAGCTAATTCGACAGAAGAGATGCTCGACGACATTGTGGAGGGCCAATTCCTTGTTGTCTCGGCCCTGAGCCCACACCGCGACTTATCTCACCAAGTCTTTCAGCGTGCTCGCGTACCCCAAGTGATCCGCGATTATTTGGTGTCGTCGCACCCACAGACGTTTTCGTTTACGTCTCGTCGCCACCTCAGCGGACCGGTCAGCGAACATTACGTGGACAAGACCGCTTACACGACGGCGGAATCGTTCCCAACGATCCTTCGGCGGAGCGAGATTGTGTCGGTGGCGGAGGTGCGCCTGTCAGCCAAAGAAGCAGCACTGGAGCGGACGCTGCGCAAGACGGCGGAGATCACGGCAGTGGAGAAGAAGATGGTCGATGGGGACAACTCGCCCGAAACAGTCAAGCTACTATTGGATGCGATCAGCATATCAGTGAACCCCGAATCAGAGAACAGCATAGTGGGATACCGACGACTTCTGCCGACGGCCCGTAGCAATGGGCACAACAGCGACGAAGAACAAGCAGGCGAGGGAAGTGTGCTGGAAGATACCGAAGACGCCGAAGAGACCGAAGACGTAGAAGATAGTGAGGCGCCGGAGCTCGATCCCCAGGAGATTGCGATCAAGATGGCCCTGGTGGACCATGCCATGGTGATCAGACGTTGTCTGGCCTTGGCTTCACGATCTACTAATGAGAGCTTCTCCGACTACGCCGAAGGTCTCACAAGGTGTAAGTTTTCACAGCTTTTCCCTGACTGAATCTCATTCTAATGCGTATGGCAGACTTCGAAGACACGTTCGCGCCCGAGATTGCCGTTTTCACACCACCACCCCCCGTGGTCCGTGACGCAGCAGCAACCTCGCCAACGTGGTCACGGTCATCGCCAATTGAGTCGGCACCACGACGGAGTCCTGAAGCGGGTACTGTCGAGCGTGGCCACGCTGTCGGTGCCAGCGTCAGCTCTGGCTTTCTCGGTGCAGATGTGGCCATCGAAGAAGGCACAGCTGTGCAACCAGTGGCGCTTCGACCGGGTCGTGGCGCTCGACTCTCCTTCTTGCCGGGCAACCACGGGCATCGGAAGCGGGACAGTATGCCTCTCTCCAGCATGGAGAATGTGCCGCAACAGCGGAAGGGCAGTACTGGTGGCGATGCGGACACGATGAGCGAGAAGAGTCATCAGAGCCACGGCCGGGGCAAGGAGAATGTGAACCGGCACAGTTTCTTCCGGCCCAGCTTGGAAAGGCCGCGCCTGCCGATGATAGAGACCACTGTGACAGCCACGGCGACGACGGAATCGGTCGGCAGGTCCAGCAGCAGCCTGCGGCGGCAGCCGACTGGTGGCAATGGCAGCAACAAGATGAACGACTGGTTCTCGGAAAGCGGGTTGCGGAAAAGCCTCGACCGGGGCTCGACAGGCCGGAAACGAAGCACTAGCGGCAGCAGAACGGTGACGAGCGGTGGCAGTGGCGTGGAGGCCGGTCGCGTCAGTGGAGACGGCGGCAGCGGTGGCTTGGCCAAGAAGAACAGCGTGCGCAAACGGCTAAGCATACTCAAGCTGGGCAAGAAGTCGAGCAAGGGCAGTAGCATCATGGTGGCTGTGGACGAGGAGTGAGTGCTGGCGGACAATCAGCCGGTCCAGCAGAACGCGGTAGACGTGTATGAGCATAGTGGCGTGTGGTTTCTTTCATTTTAGATATTTTTTGTCTCTCTTTCCTTTTGTTCTCTTCGTTCTTTTTCTTTCTTTTTTTTCTCTTCTTTCTCTTTTCCCTTCTTCTCCCCGTTTCCCTCTGTTCCAGTGCCTTCACTCTTCTTGGTCTTGTCTTACTCTGCATTATATCCCTCCTTTGAACCTTCTTTTCATACGTATGTCTAGCTGTATTACTGTACATGTCTTGTATTCCATTCTTCTTTCTTTTCGGTCATTTTTTCGGGCGTTCCAGTTATCATCACGAAGCGGAGAAGCCATCGATTTCCTATGTTGTATTTTCTGAAAGCGTATCATCGCTGCCTAGGATATTGGGCTTACAAAAAAGGCATGCGGCCAAAGATTGAAGATGCACTGCACCGAGACGTAGAACGGCTTCCTTCTTAGGCAGGCGGTCCGCCGATCAGTGAACGAAGCAGATCTGCACCAATTAAGCTCATAGCGTCCTTTTAGCCCTACATATCCACTGCAGCTGAACACGTACGACGTAGTGGTGCATATTGGACGAACCCCTGCAGGGTAGCAGTATATACGGGTCTATGGAGTATCGTGTACTCGTATATGTATGTCACAGAAACGTGTAAGAAAAAGGCAAGTAAAAATTGAGTTATCGGGTGCCATTCCGGCCAATCCCTCCGGCCGATCGCACAGCCCCTGTTGGCGCTCAGTTGGCGCTCAGCACCTGCAAGCGTCGTCGTCGCAGCAGGGGGAGAGAGCTTCTGTTTCTTGTCTTGTGTGCACGTACCGCCTGTGGCAAAGTGACGGGAGCCTTGACCATCAGCGACGAGGTCTCCGATCTGCTCGTAGATATTTTAGAAGGAAGCGCCGGCGTCTAGGTTGCAGTAGAAGTTCCTGCGGCCGTTGATGCCCAGTGCGGTCGTGGAGGCTACAAGGGAAACCAGAGACGAGAGGATGGTGAGCTTCAGAATGGCGACTGTACGGGTGCAGAGGGATGAGGACAAGACACGGCTGGTGCTTCCTTCCTTTTGCCTATCTCTACGACGGGCAGAAGTGGAAGCAGACAACTGACGACATAGGGATGTCGATCCTCGAGGCTCATGACAACTTCTCCCCTCTTCGATCAGACCATTCGGACGAGGCCGAGACACGGAGTGAGAAGTTGGCATGGAGAGAAGCTGAACCGTCTCTGGATCGAAAAGTCTGGTTAGGATCACGGTTTGCTGAGAGCGTGACCACCTTCCGAATAAGTGGCAGTGCGGGCAGCGTGGCCAAGCTTTGGAGCGTCGTGTTGTTTCTTTCCTTTTTCTGTCTGCTTTTGCTCGTCCGCTTGTTTTCCTTTGGCCTCGGTTGAAACAAGACGGGGGCCTTATCCACTGCGCCTCGAAGGATTGTAGCTGCTGTTAGCCTGTTATGTAACGTGAATATCATCTTGATCTCCGCATCTGTCTCGAGTAAGCAGGGAATAAGCATATCCGGCACCGGGTTGCCAAGCAGTCTCTTCCGAGTGAGACAGCCCTCCGTCGGCAGCTAACGCGGGTGGCACAGATGTAAGTGGAGAGGCAGCACGCAGGTCAGAAAGCACGCAGCAGGATGATCCTGCCTATGGGTCACCAGAACGCAATACTGGACGATGATCGTACGGGCACTATTGCCTGTTTCTGTTTCTGTTCCTGATCTGAGGGTGTTTTCTTTATTTGTCTTTTTCTTTTTCTTTCTCTTTTCTTGGATACGATCTCGTCCGAGCTGTTTATTCACCCGACAAAAGTCTACGGACAAGCACAAGGATATTGGACTCGTAGATATTCAACTGTTCTGCCTCTGACTGCTAGTTGTACAAGGACTGAGGTCACCAGTATTCCATTTCCGTCTCAGCCTTCCTCCACCTGTTCAACAGATGCCCGAGCACGGCGAGCTGACGTAGTTGACAGTCAGCTCGCCGTTGTCGACGTTGTTGCCGCTGCCCGTCGGCACAGAGCCGCACTTCTTGCAGCCATGGTTGCGCAGCTTCTGCAGCAGGGCGGACGCCTCCTCGGCCGAGCCGCTGGCGCCCTTCTGGAAGAAGGCGCAGATATCGCCCGAGCAGGCAATCTGCTCGCCGGTGCTGTAGTGCCTGTTCCGGGGCGAGATCTCATCGACGAGGGCCTTGAGGTTGATCAGATTGCCGGACGCACCAAGGGAACAGAAGCCAGAGCCGCGGCAGTTGATGCCCAGTGCGGCCGTTGAGGAGATGAGGCCGGCGGCCGCAGTGACCAGGACGGAAAGCTTCATTGCTGTGAGGGGGGTATGTGGGCGATTGGGACGGGAAAAGTGTGTGGCTAGGCAATTGCGAGGTTCAAAGTGTCTCTGCCAAACGGTCGAGCAAGCAGGTCTCCCAGAATGGCCGGTCGATCCTTTATACATGGCTGCAGGGCATTGTGTCGAGTAGCCAGACCAGAGACACCGGTGAAGAGGGTGGAGACGGCTTCTGTTCGGAGTCGCCACAAGTCCTTGAGCAATTTCCTTGAGCAGGTCATCGGTCCTACGATAGACGATGAGCCATGGATCGACATTGCCACCTCCCCTCTCCTTGCAGGAGCGGTGACTATTCTCTGGTCAGGATTGCCGTAGGATTCAGACGCCGATGACATGGTCAAAGTCTGTCCACCTTCTCGAAATGGCTAAAATGTCCACCTCGTGCGTTGGCCAGATGATGGATGACGACAGACGGCAGACAGAAATACGAGGATCGGGACAGCCGAAGCTTGGTTGTCCCGGGTCTGCGGAAGACAAGGTCGGACCAGCTGCAGCCGCTCTGCACCATGAAAGGGCGCAGACATTGCGCTCGTCCACAGCCGGGAGAGAGAGCGATTTGCTCTTCACGCGCTCCTCGCCTTTCCATCCACCAATCCCAGCCCAACAGCCAGCTCTTACCTCTGCAACGATGGTCTCGCCCAAGTCTCTCCTCCTCTTTGTCGTCGGTGCCTCGGCGCTCGGCATCAACTGTCGCGGCTCCTCCCTGTGCTCCGGCGAGGCCGGCGGCAAGCTCAGCAAGATCCTGTCAGAGGTCAGAGGTGTCATCAACCAGGGCCACGGCAACCACCGGTACAATACTGGCGGTGCGTAGTACTACATTTCTTCTTTCTTCTTTCCTCTTTCCTCTTTCCTCTTTCCTCTTTCCTCTTTCCTCTTTCCTCTTTCCTCTCTCTTTCTTTTTATTCTCTCTTCCTGCCCCTGCTGACACCCACAAGTCCAGATAGCCTGCGCCTCGGCCAACTTAGGCAGCTTCTGCGCCTTCTACCAGAAAGGCGCCAGCGGCACCGCCAACCAGGCGGCCGCACAGCTGCAGAAGCTCATCGATCACGGTTGCAGCGGCTGCGGCAGCATTCCCACCAGCAGCGGCAACAACGTCAACAATGGCGAGCTGACCGTCAACTACGTCAGCGCGCCGTGCTGCAGAACTGGAGACGCCTGTGCATGTTCCATCTGAGGGAAGCGATCTTGCGTAAACCCAATCGTACCAATCCTTAAGATGTCGTTCAGAAAATGCACGTGATGTTGGGATATCATTCATTGCTTAGTCACCACATCCGTAGACTAAGAACAAGCTCGCTCTCGCTCTCTATTAACAGCATATGCTGCTGAAAAAGACAAAAGACAGAAATACAATTAAAAAGGATAGTACAAAGAAATAAGAACGCCAGGCATTGTATGCACAACAGGCATCTGTTCAGCACTCACCGGCCTTTTGCCATTTGCCACCGAAACCAGACGCCCTTTGCCGAAAGCAGGATCCAAACCCGGAGCCTCAGCAAGCTTAGAAAGTACCCCCCTCATCGCCGTCGCACGCTGCCCGTTCGCCGCACAGGTGCACTGACGTCTCGTCGATCGCTGCCTGGCGTCACCGGCCGCCGTGGTGCGACCACCGGAGGAGCTGCCGACGCTGCCGACGCTGTCGAAGCGGCCGGAGCTGCTGTCGCTGCAACGGACCGCCGGCCACTACTCGACACCGATCCGCTTCTTGCTGTCCGCTGACTGCCTGCCACGCTGCGTGCTCGCCCGCGCCGCTCTCTAATCTGCGCCAGACACTCCTCACGCGACATCGTCGGCGTCAGCGCCGGAGTGGTCACGTCAAAGCTGCTCTCGCTGCCGACGTCTGAGTGGTCCGATGTCGACCGTTGTGTCGGTGTCCGCTGCGCTGCCATTAGTCGCTGTGCCAGGCTGGGTTCGGCCGTCTCCTCGCGCAGCGGAACCCTCGTCACCGTCGTCTTCACCGCATACGGCCCGTCTCCGGCCTCTTCCGCCACCGGCTGCTGCTGCTGCTCTGGCTCGACGTCCAGCTCCATATAGTCTTGCACGTCGGAGTGCCGGATCTCGGGTGCTGTCGTGTACGTGGCCGAGAAGGACCTCGACTCATCAGCCGCTCCCACAGACGATGCCGACCTCCTCTCACCGCTGTCGATGGCGTTCGCCAGCCGCATGAACGCCTGGGCCGTGGCGGACGTCCGCTGCCTCGTCGGTTCGACCGTGTCTGCCGTATCTGCCACATCTGCCGTGTCGACCATGTCAGCGGGAATGTCCGGTGCCACCGACGTCGTCGGCACGTGGAAGTGGAAGCCCGGGGTTGCCTCGCCACCGTTCCGATGCGGTGCGTCAAGCAGGGAGAGGAGAGAGGTGCGCTTCTTCGCAAGAACGGCAAACGAGGGAGGCTCCGCAGAGGGTGAGCGTGCGTACATGGAAGGTTCTTCGGCTGTCTCGTTGCCCGTCGCTGTGTCGATCTCGGCCACGACAACAGTCTCAGCCTTGTGCAGACTGGTCTCTGGCTGCTCTTCCGATCGTGTGCTTGCAGCCACGGCTGTTGTTGCCACCGACGTCACCGACGCCTCATGCGCATCCTGCAGGTCCTGCATCTCCTGTGACTCTTCCGTCATCTGTTGAGAGACTGTGCGAAAGACGCCGTCTTCGGGCGCATACAGGCTGCTGTCCTCCTGTCGCATCTTCTTTGCTATCGGCTGCATGTTCGCTCGGATCTGTGCTGTCGACGACGTGATGATGCTTGCCTTGTCGCCTAGGATCACGCGCTCGCCAACGTCCGCCTCAATGCCCAGTGCTGGTCGCTTCCGTGCCGACTCCAGCGTGCTCGACCGCGGTCGCTTGCGCGCACACGAGCACGCCCGCAGGTGGCACTCCGCCTCCAGGTACTCTACCAGCTCCGACGCTCGGTCTGCCCGCTGCTTCTCCCACTGCCATTGCCGCGTCAGCTCGTCGATCTCGGCCTCGCTCGCTGCAGACGACTGGATGTCCAGCAGCGATGCAGACGACTTGCACGGCTTGCCGCTCTTTCTCCGCGTCTTGGCCAGCGCCAACACCTGCTCGGTCTCGCTCTGTGCTGGCGTGTCGTCGGCCATATCATCCTCTTTGGTCTCTGCTTGGGCCTCCTCCTCGGCCTTTTCCTCCTCCTCTTTCTCTTGCTCATCTGGCGGCGGCAGCGGCAGCCGTCCCTCGGACGCGATCCGCACCATGTCTTCCTCCGACTTGGCCAGGCTCTTAAACGCGTCCCGTTCCTGCTCCAGCGTCTTGACCATCTGCTGCGCTTGTTGCAGCTGCTCCTGGCACCCCACCAGCTCGTATCGCGCCTGGAACGCCTCCTGTTCCCGTGCCTTGCTTCGTTGCTTTTCGTGCTCTAGCGCTTCCTGTGCTGCCTTGGTGCTGCTCCGTGCTGCCTTGAGCTCCTCCTGCAGCTTGACCACGGTGCTCTGCGACTTGAACGTCTCCTTGCGTGCCCGTCGGATCTCCTTCTCCCAGAGCGCCTGTGTGTGTGCGTGTGTCTCCTTGGACCGGCCGTAGTTCTCCTGTCCGCAAGAGTGAGCATGCCTTTCCCCCAAAGTGAGCCGATGCCACACAGAGAGGGGTCGCCTACCATTACTGTCTCCAGCCGCTCGCCCACGCGCCGCTCTCGATCACGTCCCTCTTCCATCTGCTTCCGCAGCTGCCGCACCTCATCGCGGCACCGTCGCATCTCCGCCTCCGCCTCCTCCCGCCCCAGCATGGCCCGCTTGAGTGCCGCATCGGCCGTCTTGCGCTCCAGCTGCTTCGACTGTGATGCGAGCGAGTTGAACTGGCTGATCTTGTCCGTGACCGACGCTGTACTGGACGAGAAGCCAAGGCTGCTGCTGTCCGCCGAGAACAGTGCCGATTCACGCTGCTTGTTGATGCGTTCCGGTGACGCCACCTGGAGTGGTGTCGGTGAGCCGGAACGGCTGGATTCGACATCCATTTGTGCTGTTGTGCTGCTCGTGTGCGTTGTCGATTTGCCTCGTCTTGGGCACGTCTCTTCGGTATGCCGTTATCTTTGGCCCCGGATTTGGTGATGGATCCGCCGTTGCCAAAGATGCGATTAAAGCCTGGGTGGTGTCTCGTTGCCTGTTTAAAAATAAAGTGGTGCACTCGTGGGTTGCTTGATAAGGTGCTTTGATGTTTATTGCGGGTCTGCACGCTGTTGCTCAGGCGACGCGTATCGTGACTTGCTTATCTAATACACCCCACCATTTGAAGCTAAGTAATGCACTTGTCCACATTGGCCAGCTCGTCTTTTGAAAGCTCGTAAATCGTCTGTTTCTGCTTCTCGTATTGCATATCATCTGGTGATTCGTTTAAACCACTCTTCGCATAAGATGTGATGGTGTCTTGATGTCCCCTCCTTTCTCTTACTCTTGACTTTTTTCCTTGCCTCGTTGGACCGTGCTTTCGTGCGAGCTATTGGATTTCTTTTCAAGCTGCCTCGGGCTTTCCCCCCTCTTATCTGTCTATACATTGTAATCGTTATCTGTCTTCATTATGACTGCCAAAGAGTCAACTGTCCGACAGCGGAAGCCGACGAAAGCCGACCCCGCCGATACCGAAACTGTGACGCCGACGAAGCTCGAATCGACCGTGACGCCGGCGGAGGAGACGCCCAAGAAGGCCGCCAAGAAGTCTCGCAAGGTGCGGTCGAGAATCGAAGAAGATGATGAAACTACGCCTTGGTTGGACGTCGTCCGCGTCATCTCCTTCCTGTTCGTCGTGTCGTGTGGCCTCAGCTACCTAATTACCAACGGGGAATCGTGGTTCTGGGGCTTCAAAGACCGGCCAGACATTCTTCAGACTTCATGGTGGAAGCAGAAATACGTACGATGCGACAGCCCATACATACTCTCTATGGTCAGGAAAACGTTCTCTTTACCCAGCGAACTGACGTGTGCCCCTCATTTCACCCTTTGCAGCAAGCCCCTACCTATATGACGCTCGAAGAGCTAGCCGCGTACGACGGCAGCGACCCAGACAAGCCCGTGTATCTGTCCATCGACGGCAACATCTACGATGTCTCAAAGGGCCGCCATATCTATGGCCCGGGCGGGTCCTACCACTGGTTTGCAGGCGTCGACGCCAGCCGCGGCTTTGTCACCGGTTGCTTCTCGACAGACCGAAACGGCGACCTTCGTGGTGTTGAGGACATGTTCCTGCCGCTGGACAACCCGGACATCGACAGCAAATACTGGACGGCGGAAGAGCTGGAGAAGAAAAGGGCTGTAGAGCTGAAGGAGGCGCACAGGCGTGTAAGAGCGGCGGTTGACAACTGGGCAAAGTTCTTCCATAAGAGCAAGAAGTACCATTTTGTAGCCAAGCTGCAGCGGGAACCCGGCTGGGAGGGTCCTCTCAAGCCGCTGTGCAAGCACGCACAGGATGGCCGGGAATTTCGCAAACCGCCCGGCGCAGAGAACGAAGAGTAGTCGGCCTACAGACAGACAAATTGTCATCTTAAGCTGTGTGTAATCACGATTACTAAGCATAGGCATGTTCGATTTCAAAAACTTCAATTGTACAGAGCAAAGCGAAGAGGCGTTAGCACGCCAACTGCCTACTTCCCTCACTCGTCTACAAAAAAGGTATTCGGTACTTGTCGTGCCCATCCGAAGCCCGTTTTCCTATTCCAAGAAACGCTGCCATGACAAAGACTCCTACCATTGACCAACGCAACTGCCATTACCACGAATTGAAACACACCGTACCCCCAAGACCAAAAAGAAACCCACTCGATGCTCTCGTCCCCATCCGCTGCTTACAGCAGGAAGTAGCTAGCGACAGCCACCATGCCGGTGACAATGCTGGGAACAGAGAGCACAGAGCCGCCGCTGGTAGTGACCACGGAGCTGGAGCTGGAGCTCGAAGAGCCGGTGGAGCTGGAGCTTGACGTGGAGGACGATGTGCTGTTGGTGGTGGTGCCCTTGGTGCCGCTGGAGGCAGAGCCGGGGACGATGGTGCTGGCCTTGGCAGCCAATGCCTTGTAGCCTTCCAATGAGCGGGTAGCGTTGGCGGTAGTGCTGAACAGTTAGCAAAATTACATAAATGGCGATGGAGGGCGGTGGGGGCTTACTTCTGGTTGATGACCATGACCATGCCAGCCTCACAGTGCTTGCCCTGGGCGCAGTACACCCAGATGGGCTTGGTGTCGTTGATGGTGATGGTGTAGGTGGGGATCACGCCTGAGGCGGCGGTGACCGGGATGAAGCCAGAGTGGAAGCCCACGGTCTTGGTGAAGTCGCTGATCGGCTGGCACGGCTGGTCGAAGGTGGACTGGGTCACGGTGTGGTTGCCTGCCTCGAACTGGAACTGGACCATGTCACCAGCTTTGGCGGTGATGCTGTCGGGGCTGTAGATGAGCGCGTTGTTGACATTGGCGACCTTGACAACGGTGACGCTGACGGCTGGGAATTGTTAGTGGGACATTCACTCCCAAGACTTTCATACTCTGCGAGACGTACCAGAGGCCGTGCTCAGGAGGGCGGAGAGGGCGAGAGTAGAGAACTGCATTTTGAAGTTTTTAGGTTGATTTTGAAAAAGTCAAAAGAGGGAAATCGAGAGTCGAAAGATTGTCTTGGAGAGCGGCTGGCGCTTGTTGTAGTTGGTTGGAAAATGGTATAAAAGGACTAGCCTGTGAAAGAAGTGAAGTGAATATTGAAAGGGCGGAAACAAACTTGAGATCGACTGGGGAGAAAGAAGAGAGGAAAACAGATGAACTGGCGGAAAGGTCAGCTATATATATGGACTACGGAGCCGCAAGCATGTTGACGGCAGTGGATCTGTCAAAGGCCGGCTCGAAGAGGAAGAGAGTAGGGAGTAAGATCAGCAAGCAGGGATGCGGTGGGGCAGTAAGACGCTGTACTATGTGAGCTACTATGTACGCAACAGGAGCGAAGAGTCCAGTGGCGGATATCTCTGAAACGGGATGCTGTTCCCGGAATGCCGTTTGGGCCTCTTCTTCGTATCTGGTGGTCCCCGAAAACAGACATGCACGAATTGGCGAGCGAAGGCAGCTGGCCGTAATTACGAGCCAACAGGCGCTCAAGCCAAGGCCCAGGCTAATGAAACGTGTCTGCACAGCCTTCCTCCCGTTGTGGATTCGGCATCATCTTCCCAATTTCTTTCATGGTTGAAATTGTCAGCAGTCTCCATCCGAAAAGTTGGCAAGCTTTGTCTTCTTCCGGAATTGGACTACGGAAAGGCCCAAAGCGGAGGCGTACGACGTAGTGCTGATCAACCAAGAGGCTAGTTGGCAGATGTAAAATGAGAGGAACAAAGCCAGTACTATGTACAGCCGACTGACTCTAGGGAGGAGCATCGATGGATATGGTGCTGCAGCCGGCGGCCTCGGCTGGAAGAGCCTGGGCTGGGCCAGGCTTCGGTTTTACGGCGTATGCAGTAACGTGTCTCTCGCCAATTTGTCATGACAGGACGGCGCCAATTCCAGAGCGGCCAGGCGGCCTCGTGTAAAGCGTTTTCCAGAAAGCCAAGGCGGCTCTGGACGAGAAGGACCGAGAAGGGGCTCAACGTTGCCAATTTTTAAGCTTGAAGGGAGCACGGGAAGCTGGCTAGCGCAGAGCAGGCGCCAACTCTCCTTGTGTCAGAAACAAGGAGCGAGGAGGGTCTGAAGACGGTCGCCGTTTGAGAGACTCCGTCAAAGATGCTTAATCAACAGGGGCCAATGGGAGGCTTCAGTTGAGCGGGGACCCCTTTTACGCTTGGTGGAGAATCCCCGCTCGGATACGCCTCAGGTCCAGTGTATCAAACACCGGTCAAACTGCAGATTGTGTCAAGTGCAGCGGCAAGCAAGGGGTCTGTGGACGGGCGCCTAAGAAAAGGGGACGAAGGGATGCAGATGCTGTGCTTAGTAAGCTGGGAACGTGTCGATTTGTTTCGACATGGTGTACCCTCCCGATGCACGTGACATGGCAGGACTAGCCGCGTCTATGCGCGTTGACACAGGATCCTCTTTGCGCACTGTGTGGGGCTTGTGCAAGTTTCTCGTGCACGAATTGTCGTTGGCCAACACACACGGCAAAGTTGTCCGGTAGAGAAGCCGAAGAGTCAAGCGGGCAGCTGAGGGGGAGCGACGATTGGGTGGGCATTGCAGATATCCGAAAGTGTGCTATTCGTACGTCGTAGTCGTATTAGGCGGCAGGTCCGCTGGGGCGGGATTGTCGGCAAAACACAGAATGCATGACAAGAGGTAGTCTTGCAGCGACATCGCTGATAAGATCGCTCGGAGCGGCGATAAGCATGGGCGCTTAGCCAGATGGGACTAAGCGCAACAGCCCCTCGTGGCCGCGATTCGGTCATGCAGCCAATCGTGTGGGCTAAAATTTAACTTTTTTCTGTTCGGCTAGGATTTTTACACGGCTTAAACGGGAAGTTTTTCATAGGACCCCTCCTCTTTCCTCCTCCTTTCCCTGTCCTCTCTTCCTCCTCTCTTCCTCTCTCTCGCCTTCCCTCACTCTCACCAACAAGGCGCTGTTTTGTTGGCCAATTCGTGTCTCTTTCCCCGACACGCGAGTTGCTTCTTTTGCGCTTTGCGCTATGAACTCGTGGACGAGCGCATCTGCCGCCAAGGGCCTCGATTAGAGCGACGAAGAGCCAAGTAGACAAAAGCGACAAACGGCAACAATGTGTGGAGTTGTGGGCCTGATCCTGGCGGACACGGAGTCGTACAACGTGGACGCGGCCGTGGATCTGCACGAGAGCCTGTACTACCTGCAGCACCGGGGGCAGGATGCCTGTGGAATTTCGACATGTGCAGACGGCGGACGGATTTTCCAGTGCAAGGGCAACGGGATGGCGGCGCAGGTGTTCTCGGAGGGCAAGCGGGTGTCGGACCTGCCGGGCTACATGGGAATCGCCCACCTGCGGTACCCGACGGCGGGAACGAGCTCGAGCGCGGAGAGCCAGCCATTCTACGTGAACTCGCCGTATGGCATCTGCCTGGCGCACAACGGCAACATCATCAACGCGCCGGACCTGCGCGAGTACCTGGACAAGGAGGCACACCGCCACGTCAACACGGACTCGGACAGCGAGCTGATGCTCAACGTGCTGGCCAACTACCTGAACGAGACGGGCAAGGCGCGGGTCAACATTGACGACATCTTCAAGGCGCTGTCGAAGATGTACGAGCGGTGCCAGGGTGCGTGGGCGGTAACGGCGATGATTGCTGGATTCGGTGTGCTGGCGTTTCGTGACGCACACGGGATCCGGCCGCTGGTGATGGGCAGCCGGCCGTCGAGGACGATCGAGGGCGGGACGGATTATATGATGGCGTCGGAGAGCATCGCGCTGCGGCAGCTGGGGTTCAAGAACGTGCGCGACATCCTGCCAGGCGAGGCCGTGTTTGTGCAGAAGGGCGGGGAGCCGCGGTTTTGTCAGGTGGCGGCGCAGCAGGCGTACTCGCCGGACGTGTTCGAGTACGTGTACTTTTCGCGGCCGGAGACGGTGATCGACGGGATTTCGGTGCATCGCAGCCGGCAGAACATGGGGGTCAAGCTGGCGGAGAAGATTCGGGCAACGCTGGGCGAGGCGGGCGTGCGGGAGATTGACGTGATCATCCCGGTGCCGGAGACGAGCAACACGTCGGCAGCGGTGGTGTCGGAACGGCTGGGCATCCCATTTTCGAACGGCTTCGTCAAGAACCGATACGTGTACCGAACCTTTATCCTGGCACAGCAGGATGCGCGGCAGAAGAGCGTGCGGCGCAAGTTGAGCGCGATGGAGTCCGAGTTCCGGGACCGCGTGGTGTGCCTGATCGACGACTCGGTCGTGCGCGGCACCACGAGCCGCGAGATTGTCATCATGGCGCGCGAGGCGGGAGCCCGCAAGGTGATCCTGGCCAGCTGCTCGCCGCCAATCCGGTATCCGCACATCTACGGCATCGATTTGGCCAGCCCCAAGGAGCTGATCGCCCACGGCAAAACGCGCCAGGAGATTGCCCGGTACATTGACGCCGACGACCTCATCTATCAGGACCTCGCCGATCTCTGCGAGGCCTGCACGACGTCGTCGCCCGATCGCGCCCGTACCGACTTTGAGGTCGGCGTGTTTTGCGGCCAGTACAAGACCGACGTGCCGGCCGGCTACTTTGACCATCTCAACAAGGTGCGCAGCACCAAGCACAAACCGACGTCGACATCCGTGCTGGCCGACTCGGACGCCGGTGGGCTTCCCCAGGCAGTTGGCGACGGGGGCCCGACCAACGTGGCCGTGCCGGACAACGGCGACAGCAATGGTCACGTGGCTGACGACAAGAGGTATGCGGAGAACCGGGACGACATTAGGTAAGCATTGCCTGGCTTTGTTTTCCTCTGTTCTCGCTAACCAGACAGCATACACAACATGGCGTCGGACAGGTGAGAATGCTCGTGGCTTTGAAGCAGCGCTATGTAATGTGATGTTGTACATATCCGAGGGGTCTTCAACCGGTTTAGAGGTGGTCAAGAGCAGTCTGAAAACAGAGTGGCAATACACGATAGATCCCAAAGTGACGGCCAGCGTCTGTCTATCGACAGGCCTGCAGCGAGTGCAAAAAGGCCGGGCTCTCGTAACCCTGGCGGACCTTGGCGATGGGTGTCTGGGCGGCCTGGCGGCCGCGCTCGCCGACGAGCTGCCGCACGTAAGCCTGGGCCACACGGAGCCAATGAGCACGCTCAGCCGGGCTGGCACCACGGCCCTCCCAGACCCAGATCTGACGGCCGCCGTCGTCCCAGAGGAGGACGTCCTGGCCGTCGAGCTCGTCGACGGAGGTGCCCGCCGTGGTCTCGCGGACGAGGTCAAAGGCGAGAGAGCCGGACGCGTCGCTGAGCCGCCAGAGGCGCTGCGGGTAGGCCGAGCTGGCGGGAGCGTTGGAGTCCTGTGGATCGTGGGCCGCAGCAGCCCAGGGGCGTGCAGACGAGAAGGCCTGGCCCTGTTGGCTGTCTTCGCCCCCCAGCAGCCGGACAACACGGCCGGCTCGTCCTTCGTCCTGGGCCAACACCTGGACGCTGCCGGCGTGTGCGGGCGTCAGCAGGTCCTGGGCCACGTCGGCGGCCCGCGCCTTTTCCATCGGGCTGCAGCGGCGGCCCTGCCAGACGTAGACGGTCGCGTCGGCCGGGCTGTCGAGCACGAACACGTCGCCGTCGTCGAGGCTGTGCCACGACGCCTCGACCTCGTGCACCACGACGCCGCCGTCGGCTGCCACGCCGGGCTGTCGGAACACGCGCAGCAGCGTGGGCGCTCTCCCTACCGCTTTGTCGCGTTCCCCCTCCACATCCACGTGCCGGAAGCCGGTGGCCACGCCACCTCGTCGGATCGTCAGTCGCTGCCGCGGAAACAGCCCGAGAAAGGCGGCCGATGGGCTCGCCTGCAGCTCGCGGTGCTGGGTCGCGGCGCCGCGCAGAAACTCGTCCAGCTCGACCGTCTTGTAGGCGGCCGTGCCGGCCTCGTCCTGCGACGTGTGGGCGCCCAGCCAGAAAAAGATCTCGTGGCCCAGCCGCGGCGCCTGGGCACTGCTCTCGTCGGCCGGCCCGAGACGGTACGAGTGCAGCACGACATAGCTGTCGCCGTCGTAAAAGACGCCCCGGTCGGCCGGCGGCACCGCCACCAGCTGGAAATCCTCGACCCGCCACACAAACAGACCGGGCTGCCGACTCACCACGCCGTCGTTCCAGGCCGGCTCCGTCGCGGCTGACGCGTACTTGACGCGGTGGTCTATCTCGCTGCCAATCAGCTCCACATTGCTGTCCTCAATGTCGTACTCGGTGCCGTGCATGAGGCCGTTGTGGGGCGCCATTGTAGAGAAGATTGCGTGCTGAGAAGGTAAAGAACTGGTGGCTTCGCGGCTTCGCGGCTGTCAGGTTGTCTGAACCTCTGGCCTGCTCGATGCTGAAACAGGGAATTGGAGGTGGTGGCGGAGTTACGCCAATTAGTGGCTTCGTCACCTGACTCGAGTGGGGGAACCCAGCAGAAGCGCTGTAAGTACGATCGACGTATGCCAACACTGCGAATTACACCATTTTCTCTACTCACAAACAAGAACGGAATATCCATGCATCGAAGTCAAATACAATTATCTCGATCTCCAGCGTTTACGGTTACGATACTGCTCCAGTAAATCTTGGTGCTTACAGTGTCACCACCACCTTCTGTGCCGAGACGCCCTTGCGCAGCACATCGATGCCATGCTGAATCTTGTCGAGGCCGTGACCGATCACATGAGCGTCCGGCTTGGCCTGCAGCGACCCGTTGGCCAGGGCAGCCGGGACGAACTTGCCCCAAACGCCGTCACTGATGAAAGCCAGCGCCCCTGACGTGATGTTGGATGCGCGGACTGTTTTTTTTTTTGGTCAGCGTCTTCCGCTCTCTCTCTCGTCTACCTGGTGTCCTGAAAGCCAAGCCACTCACCAAATTGAGGCTGGTACTGCTCCGTCTTCCGGTCTGTCGGAAGCACGTTGGCTACCGGGACCTTCTTGTCTAGCCGTCCGAGGACGGCCGCCACGGCCGCCGTGCTCGCAGCCAGCGAGATGGCGTCGTACACGCCCGCAAAGTCAGCGCCCTCGAGCTCCTTGGCCAGCTCATCGACGACCGTGTCAGCGTGGTAGTCAAACACCGCGTCGGCACCCAGTGCTCGGAGCAGCGCATGGTTCTGCGGCGACGCCGTGCTGACGACACGCGCACCCGACGCCTTGGCCAGCTGGATGGCCGCGCTGCCGACCGACGAGGAGCCACCCCAGACGAGGACCGTCCGGCCTGACTGCACGACCGCAGCCGGGTCCGCCACCGGGAGCGGCAGTTTCAGTAGAGTGTGGTCGTACAGGCCGGCTGCTGCGGTCGACAGCGCCAGCGGCAGCACGACGGCCTTCTCCAGCGCCAGCGACGTCGGCACCGGGCTGACGAGCCGGGAGGTGGCCGCAAAGGTCAGCTGGAAAGACGAGTTGGCCGACTTGTTCGACCCGAGCCCATCGGCGTAGCTGTGGAGACGAGTCAGCCGGAACGGCCGGAACGGCTGCAGATTGGCGAGACTTACGCAATCACCCGATCGCCCTTCTTGATACCCGTGACGTCGGCTCCGACCTCCTCAACGATGCCAGCACCGTCCTCGCCGAGGATAAACGGCTTGCTTGGCGAGTACGCGCCCGCGTCTCTGGTTGCTTTGTCAGCCCTAAAGCATCAGTGTCTGGCAGACGACATACTGCAGCTTGTAGTCGACCGGGTTCTGAAGATGTTAGCCATTTTCCGTAGACACCGTTCAGGCCAGACAAAAACGCACAATGGCGACGACCGCCGTCTTGATGAGCACCTCATCGGCGCCTGGCTTTGGCTTGGGTGCCTCCTTGACCACTAACGGGTGATCTGCATTGCCCTCGATCCAGGCTGCTTGGTTGCCCATACTGTCAGTCACTGTGGGAGTGGAAAGTCAAAGTGTGAGGTTGAGTGTTAAAGTGAACTTCATTCCACTTGTACTTCTGCCAACTACAAGTGCAGACGTTCTTTTATACCGTGAGATGTCATGCATGACAAATTTCAGGCTCGCATCACCACACTGGAGGCGTGCTGATTTAATTGTTAGTGCCGCAGATGGCGTGATCTGCCGGCGATCTGCATAACGGGTCTAAGCTTTATTTAGCATGTGGGGTTCCGAAAACCTATTATTAAGCTTCGTTCACGGAATTCCGTGTCATTGGACTGATAAATATCAAGAGCCAGCATCCACGGACATCCGTGAAAGCAAGCAGTCTTGCGACCTACACTGCTTCTCTCCTTTCATCCTCTGTCCGGAAGAAGATTGTGCAACTAGCGCATAAAGCGCCAATGGAGAACGAAGCAGGCATCCACCAGTGTCCTCTCTGCAAGAAGACCTTTCCTCGAGGTAATACGCTTGTTCGCGGCGCATACGTAGGCGTGACAAGGCTCCATTGTGCTAATACAATCACGCCAGAGTCTACACGCAAACGCCACTACTACTACTGCCGCACCAGGCTGGCCGATGCCGGCAGCTCGCGCAGGAGATCATGCACCACGTGCATACGTGCCAAGACGCGTTGCATCCGACCGTCCGATGCGGGCAATGCTGCTTGCGTCCGGTGTGCCGTCCGTGGGATCGAGTGTGATCTCAGTACCGCTTCCAGCCCACCACAACCGGCAGAGGTGCCGGACGAGACCGCTTTTGGTACTGTGAGCTCAGTGGCGGAGCAGCTGGTCGGCGCCATGACCCTGTCCAGGTACCACGGCCACATCGCGGCGTTCGGTACGATTGAGACTAGCTCGGTGCCTCCGGTTAGCTTCGACACTGGCGGCTCCGCAGGCGGGAACCACTACCCGCTGGGTCTCAACCCGATTTCGCAATACCCCGTCGTCGAAATCGATGCCGGCCAGCCGGGGACTGCGAGCCACAGCGAGGTCCAGTTAAGCACATGGAACTGCCTGGCCTCGAACACGCCCCCCTTTGGTCGCCGTACTTTTCTGCAACCACACAAAGGCCCGCTCGCGGCGCTGGCCGTGCAGATTATCTGCTCCTACCCCACCATGCTGCTGCGAAAAGTAGCGCTGCCGCCATTCATGAGCCCAGTCATGTTTGAGTGGGCACGGTCGGGAAGCACGCTCCGGCTGCAGGTCTGTCCAGGCTCACATCTCGACTGGTCCCGTTCGTTCGCGTCTGCTGACCGTGTATGTGGAAGCTAGCCGCTCGTTTCTTGCTTGAGCATCATCTACTTCTTTAGTACCTGCTCAGAGTCGCGCAAGCATTCTCCTTGGGATGTAGTCAAGATTGAGCAAGAAAACATATTGGAAAAGGTAACTTACGCATCCCTCCATGACCACGACCGACCTGACAACAGACAGTATAAACAGTTTGATCGCTGGGAGCTGCTGGCATCCTTCCAGGCCCTTCTAGTCTACTGCATTCTGCGCGTCAAAGACGCCCCGCCTGATCATGACAGTCTGGATGCAGCCTTGCTTCGTACTGTAGATGTGTGTCTAGATCTGAACTCGATTAGAGTCTCGGTTGGCTGCTAACATTCAAAGGCTGTCTTCGAAGCTATCGTCGCTTTGGAGGGTGGCATCGCAAAGCTAAAACTTCCTGCTTCTCTTGACAATTCATGGGCAGATTGGATATACAACGAGTCACTGAAGCGGTAAGCAGCCTTCTCGATCTTCAGTGTTGTCGTTTTCTGCTGACATTCCGTACAGTGCTATTCTCGTTTTCGACCTCCTTAATATCCTCGTCCGATTAACGGCAGATACATATGCATACATGACCGCGTGCAGACACATAATGCTTCCTCTCGCACGAAACGCAGGGATGTGGGCCGCTCAAGACCTGGAGACATGGAGATCAGAAGTGAAGAAGGTCACTGAAAAGAACTCAATCTACGCAGTCTCACCCGAAGGCGAGCTGGTGAAGGTAATGATTGACGAAAGCTGTCTCTCGACAACCACATCTAGATGGGAAGACTGGACGGCCGAAGTAGGCGAGATGGGCACACTAGTAATGACTGTAGGGGCTCTATTAAAACGTTAGTAGAAACTGTTAGTCAAACAATGGCACTATTCAGTATTATCAAGGTTGGGAAACTAATTTGTTCTACCGAACTGGTACCGGATGCTCTGGAAGAGCATCCGTATGATGCAGATCTTGCAGGCCTGATGTAAGATACAGCGTCGTGCTTAAGTCTCGGGCCCTCGTGGTGCACCAGGGCCAAATAACGGGGACACGCCACAATGACGCGCGCCCGTTCCAAAAACAATCCACGCTTGCCTAACAACACTCACTGATATGCCTTTCAACTTCTCCTTCTCCATCTCCTGCCCACTCCTCCTTTTCCTCAAGTATTGGCCAATCTTTTCACTACTGTACATTTGATTACCATATTCTCCAATGGCGTCTTCATCAGACTCCAAACCCAAAAAAATCCGCCCAGGCTGTGGCTATGGAAGCATACATGAGGCGCGTGGTTCACGTATGCCAAATTTTTACATTGGAGCAGAAACTGCATGTCAAAGATGACGACCTCTTAAAACAGTTGGCTATACGGCGCTCGACTGCGGTGCCGATGCCTACTACGTGACATCTGTCAAACGACGCCAGTTGATACCATGGCTTGAAGAGCGCAGGGAATGGGAGTCCATTGGCAAGGGGTATGACAAGATGCGGATCGCAGGCTACCAGAATGAGTGGTGGAATGCGAGCACAATCTGCAATGACATCACCAGATTCATCTAGGAGCATGTAGATCACGAAGAGGGCATTCTAGAGCGCTACTCTGGGAGTCCTGCCTTGACCGGTACATACTAGGTCGCAATACATACTGGCCGTGGTATGACATAGACACAGTTCTGTATCGCAGCTCGGAGAAAGTTCCGCACGTCCACAGCATTCTCGTGCAGGGCATCAAGCTAACCGAAGAGGATTTGACCTTGATCGAACTCTACACGTTGTTGCAGCCAACGCTACGACGCCTAGATGATGGCATGCTCGACACGTTCCCTTTTATTCCGGTACGTTCGTCTCTTCTAAGACGGCTACTTCTATGTTATCTGTGCTGACTCGTTTATCACTAGATAACTTTAATTTCCATTGGCGAGTGCAAGGTTCGTGTTATCCATGGCGCCTTTAACTCGAATGAAGGACGCGGCCATTTTCAAGTGTCTCGGCTGATGCACTTTGACGGGCCTGGTAGCTATGAGAATGAGGACTGGCTTCGAAGTACGTGCTGGCTGGCATAGTCACCTGTCTTGGCTATCACATTAAGAGACCCCATCCGGGCCCATAGAGGCTGTTCTTAAGATTAACGATCGTTGGTATGGTCGAGAGTTTCGCGCCGTTGCAGGTAAGTATTTACCACACACGCCAAAGAACGAAGACGCTTGGCAGAAGTTGGTGCAAGAAGGCAAGGCGCCATAAATTTTCAGAGACTAAAAATTGACGAAGCGGCGGAAGAGTTGCCTGTCCTCCCCTGCTGATACTACTCAGAGACGTGGGAAGGACTAGTACACTACGAAGGGGTCTTACAGCGCCAAGCCTTACAGCATTTTCAGCGAGAGACGAGAACGTACGACCGACTGCTCGACTTGCAGGACACATGCATCCCGCAAATGCTAGCACACATAAGCGTGGTTCGGCCACTAGATGACTGCGTGTCCAAAACTAACCAGTACATATGCATCCCAGGCATCTTGCTGCAATGCATCCACGGGCTCAGTCTATGGCGCCTGACAGACCACGTGGGAACGATCGCCCCACGGATATCAGAGGGCGTGGTGCAGCGTGCATCGGATATTGCGCATGTCATTAACAAGTGTGGCGTAGTCATGGAAGACTGCCGGCCGGAAAACGTCTTGGTCAAAGACACTACGGACTGTCCTTTTCTTCACAACTTTGCACAGACCTTTTTTCGCGAGGAGTGTCTTGTATTATGCACTTATTGTGGCCGAGCGCGACAACCGGGGGGCGATTGGCATGGTGATGACAATGCGAATCAAACGAGAGTAGCTCTTCCAAATAAATATTCAGTACTGGCCTCCTCTAGAAGGTGATGCATTACGCCTGAATGGAAGGCCTGCATGATCAGTGGAAACAAGGAGAAACGTATACAAGACATGTACATAAGGAAGAGGCGAATCGTCGCTAAATGGACTTCTCTGATAGTCGAAGAATAGTTGCTATAACTAAGACTGGTACAGAATACACCTAAATTGTTTTTAAATAAAAATGTTATTTTTTACTTGTAGCCTATTAACAACTTAATTTTATCATTGCTCTTCAAAAAAGTAAAACAAGAGAAAACATTCTTTAGCCAAACAACAGAACTTGGAAGCAGCAACTGGGCAGGCGGCTACTGGCCCGCTGTGTTTCCTATTTGGACGTTGACAGAGATTAAAGGAGCTAGCTATATAATATTCGAATCCTTCTTATTAGCTTAAGTACAAGGCATAATCTTGACAAAAAAAATTGTGCCAGCTTATGAAGTTCGGAACTGCCTGTAAGTACAGGCGCACCGGGAATTGAGCCCGATGCGGGGGTCGAACCCGCAACCTTAAGATTAAGAGTCTTACGCTCTACCGATTGAGCTAACCGGGCTGGCGTTATTTGTTGAATTTTGCACAGTCAATTTCGAGCTGTGATGTTTCTACACTGTGTCTCCATTAGTTCTCCACGAAGGACAGAGATAACATGTTCTCATATGTATCATTTCGACTGCATAGTTCGCGCCTTTGCTATGATCAACCTTGCCTGAAATGTACCATCTATATCTGTTTAACATTTTTAGGCAAAATGCCTCTGCTCTGTGCCGTGTATGGCGGTACACATATTTACATGGTGCCAGTGATGCCGCCGCTGACCGAGATGAACTGCGCGGTAATCCAGCGGCTCTTCTCCGAGGCAAGCAGCAAAGCTGCATCGGCAATATCCTGTGTTGTGCCAAGTCGGGCTGCGGCGCGTGTCTGCCCGAGCATGGTTTGTTGGGTGTTGGTCGGCGTGCCGTCCTTGTTTACGAGAATCGACGCGGCCAGGTCCGTGGCCACAGGGCCTGGCGCAATGGTGTTGACGGTGATGCCATGCGATTTGCCCAGCTCGCCAGCCCACGAGGCCGTCAGGCTGTCCTGTGCGGCCTTGGTGGCGGCGTAGAGACCGGCCTGTGCGAGGCCGAGCTTGGACGCAATGGTGCCGACGTTGATGATGCGGCCGCCGGGCGGCATCTTGCCGACCTTGACGACAGCCTGCGTCATGTAGATAGAGCCGCAAGTGTTGACGCCAAACTCGACCTGGATCTCCTCGGGTGTCAGGTCGGTGAGGGGCGTGCCAGCACCATAGCCGGCATTGTTCACTGCATTAGAGGGTCAGCTACGAGATGTACAAAGCAACACAGCTGTGCGACGAAGCAAGCGTTGCTCACCCAGAATATCGATGTGGCCGGTGCCAAGGCCCTTTAGAGCCCGTTCAACCAGGCCAAAAGCGGCGTCCTGCTTTGCCACATCGCCCTGCAGGACTATGGTCTTGACTCCAAACTCCTTGGACAGCTCGGCAGCCACCTTCTCGGCACGGGGCTTGGAGTTGTCCGAGTTGTAATGAATGGCGACACTGGCACCGTTGCGGGCAAAGACCGTGGCGATGGCAGCACCGATGCCGTTCTCTCTGGCAGAACCAGTGACAATGGCTGTCTTGCCCGCGAGTGATAGAGTGTCTGCAACCATTTTGCCTAATTAGCGTTTGAGGAGTATGCTTTTTATAAGAGTAAGTGATCTGAAGAGTGTGATATGGAGAACTACGACTATTCCAGACAGCTCGTCTATCATGTCTAGCTTTATATAGAAAAAAAAGGACAAAAAAAAAGCCGTGCTTCTTCTGCCGGGGGTCTCGCTGACCAATGCAACAAATGTTTACGGCTTTCCGTGAAGCGTTCACGGAATTACGCGTAAGCTAGTCTGACCAATCAACGTCCAAAAAAACACCGCAACGTCATGAACATTGTATTAATCAGCCCATTTCGATATTGGGCGTCAGGACTCGATCGGATGTCTAAAGTGGATGCATTTCAAATACACATTGGGTATAAGTGGATCTTACGGGAGCAGGGAAATGCCTTATTTCTAATCTGATGTAGATTATAAACCCTGATGCTATTTTGCGGCTATCCATGACTCCGGGCTTAGTAGTTTTGCGTGACGCTGAACTTTTCATTGTGCTTCTTCTTCAAGCTCTCAAACTCCTCATCGTACGCCCTCGTGTTCCTCTTGCGCCAACCGCGGCCGGCGCGCTGCCGGAACAGCATGAAGCCAATGACCGCCAATGCTACCACTACAATGGGCACGGTGATGACTACGGCCAAAATGGACTTGGACATGCCACCGCCGCCGCCGCTGCTAGTTTTGGCCTTGGCTTCTATGGTCTCAGCCTCGGCCGCTAGCGATGTGGTAGCGGCCGAGATGGTGGCGACGATGGAAGACACGGCAGTTGCGGGGGAGAGAATGGGCGAGGCCGTGGTGGCGGCGACGGCCGGCTTGCGAGTGACAATAGTTGCGAACGTGGACGTGGCGCTGGCAGACGACGCGGGACTGGGTTGCGTTAGCAGGGATCAAAAGCACGGAGCGAGTGACAGCAAGTCTGCAACTGACCTTGTCGACGCTGGTTCTGCGCTGGCGGATGTCAACAGTGTCGTGCTGGAGCTTGCGATTGTAGAAGTAGAAAAGGTAGTTGTAGAGGCAGCTGTAGAGGTGGCAGAGGAGGTGACCGAAGAGACAGAAGAAGAGACGGCAGAAGAGTGGGCGGAAGTGTTGCTGGAAGAGGCGAAAGGAGAGGCGACAGAAGACGTCGTAGAAGATGTAGTAGAAGACGTGGTAGGAGATGTGGTGGCAGCGGCGTTCGTAGAAGCAGACGTGGATGTTGTTGTCATGGCATCGGATGATGTTGGTGCTGATTGGCTTGAGATGCTCTCGGTGCTAGCAGCTTCTGAAGTGGTTGTGTTTGCCCCGTTGCCCTTTCCCTTGCCATTGCCAGCATTGTTGGTGAGGCCGCCGTCAGCGCTGGCTGTGATCCGGCTCGCCTTGGAGGTGCTCGTGGGATTGGTGCTCTCGGATGCGGCGCTCTCGAAAACGGAGCTCGCACTGGCCGTTGTTGTCGGTGGTACAACAATGCCGGGAAGTGCAGCTGTAAGCAGGTGCTTGGTTCCGTCTTCTAGATCGGTGGCAATGCCGCCCAGAAGGCCTCGTCCAATGATCATGGTGACGAAATGTTGTCGCAAAAGATGCGTTGAGGGGCGTCAGATGAAGTAGGTCCAGGGAAGATGAGGCGAGAGAGCAGGATTAGCAAAGGATAACGTGAGAATAGAGGCAGAAAAAAAAAGAGAATGTTAAGAAGCGAAACGACTGTCAAAGCCGTGCATAGCCGTCAAGGCCGTAGTGTAAAACGAAAGAGAAAGAGAAGAAAGAGACACGGAAGTTGATTAAAAGATACGTGCATGACGGCGAGAAGAAGCGCCCTTGGAGAAAAAAGGATGCGGCCGCCATTATACGTCGTAGCAACTTGAAGCGACCAATGCGGGATTGAGCTGCTCGGGCTGTCTGCCCTGCCGCTGGCGCGTGCCTTCTCATCCCGGTCGCCTAAAACGTCAAGCAGTGCGGCGAGGATCCACACGAACGGGCCAAAGGGCGAAAGGCTAAAAGCGAGTGTTGGGCTACGACCGGCTTGATCAGGACAGTGTTCTGAAACGGCCTGAAACTGCACGGGTCTCCTTCTGTCATATGTTGAGCCCCACAAGCATAAGTGAGGAAGGCGGAAAACGGAAAAGCCTAATAAAACGGCCAGGATTGATGGGGCCAACCAGAAGCCGTGCGCGACGAGGCGGGAAGGTGGGAAAGGAGGTGGACACAACGTGAGTAGGAGGCCTCCGTGCGCTCTCTTCGATACGCGCCATGGTCACTACTGATCAGAAGGACAACCGAAGCGGGAGGATACAGGAGAGTCTTTTGTTTACGGAGTTCGTCGCAAGATACCATCCATCCAGGCGAGGGCGGAGAACAGATGTATCGTACAGAGCAGACACAGCTGGCGACTGACGTGCACGGATTAGATTGGGGCCGATGCACGATGAAACAGTATGGCACTAAGGAGCTGAACAGAACTGTTCCAGGATCCATGCAGACGGCGGGAGCGAATGCAGCCCGGCTTGTGGAGGAAGAGAAACAAACAGGCATATGTGCAGTAGTGCTGAAACGGGGGGATGGACAAGCTTTTTGCAACGTGCGTTTCGACTCTTTCCCGAAGAGCCAAGATCCCGAAATAGAATCGTCAGACGCTGTTTTCCGTTGCATCAAGTGATTTCGTCTATGTAGGCAGTCTATTGGGACACAGGCCTCCCATCAGATGACATTCTTGAGCGGCTGGCCAGCGATGAAGCGGCGCAGGTTCTCGGCGATGAGGCGCTCGGCGCCCTGGGGGCGGCCACCGGCGGCATGGGGCGAGATGACAAGATTGGGCGTCTTCCAGAGCCGGCTAGTGGGGGGGAGGGGTTCCGTCTCGAAGACGTCGAGGGCAGCTCCGCCGAGACGGCCCTGGTCGAGTGCATCTGCGAGCGCTTCCTCGTCGATGCAGGAGCCACGGCCGACGTTGACGACCCACGCGTGAGCAGGCAGCAGGCGGAGACGATCGGCGTTGAGGACATGGCGCGTGGCATCAGAGCCAGGCAGGATCATGACGAGGGCGTCGGTGTGGGCCAGCAGCGCCGGCAGATCCGCCTCGGCGACGACCTCGACGCCGTCGCGCACGCCGGCGCTGCGGGCGACGCCGGTCACGTGAGCGCCCAGCAGCCGCAAACTCGGCACGAGCGCCTTGGCGATATTGCCGAAGCCCCAGACGGTCACGTGAGCGTCACGGAGGGTAGTGAAGCGATCGGCCGGCCGATCCGGCTGGGGGCCGCCGAGATGGCCTGGCCAGCGGCCTTGCAGCTGGCTGTCGCGCATCTCGTGCAGCCGGCGCGCGCTGCTGAGCAGCAGCCCAAGCGTGTGCTCGGCCACCGTGTGGTCGTGCAGCCCCGAGCCGGTCGTGATCACCACCTGGGTCGGGTCGAAGCCGGCGCCGAGCACGTCGTTGGGCCCCGCCGCCAGCGACTGGATCCAGCGCACGCGGCGCAGTCGGCCGGCCGCGTCCTTGAGATTCGTGTTCGTCCACGTCACTAGAATGTCCGCGTCCGCGTGCTCGTCGGGAATCGGCGCGCGCACGTCGTACGGCACTAGCGCGACCGAGAAGCTTTCGAACGAGCTGACGTCCAGCTTCAGCGACGTCGGGTACAGCAGCGTCAGGTCGGCTGCGTTGATCTGGGCCGGCGCCATGGCTCCGCTCGTGGTGGCAAACGGCGATCGAGAAAAGGACAGTTGGATCGGTGCTCTGGTCAGTGTGGCTGCGCGGGCTGGCTTCCAGGAGCGTAACGCAATGCTTGTTCTCGTCCACGGGCGCATCGACAGATACTGGTAGGATGGCAGGCTGAGAATTATATACACAAATGTGTCGTGCCGACGGGGTCGCAGAGGGGCTGCGGTGCCGGAGAAATCGGGCGGCGGGGCTCACAGACGGAAGAGCTGTCGATTGGATTTCTCATCAGCAGCTGACTCGGGGCATTGCTGGCCGACTCGGCCTGCAATACGCTAGACAGCATAGCTCTCTGGCGGGCTTACAGCGTGTAAGCGCTGTCCCCATCGCACTAATTATTTTCCACTTATGAACGCGAATGCGCCATATGCGCTGAACACACGCAATCGCAATCAAGTCCGGGGAATTCAGTCCCGTGTCCCGACTCCTGGATGACGAATCGAGCAACACATCTGAGACGAATCCTCCTAAAAAGCGCAACGTGAGTGCTTAACATCCGACGTAAGACGAATCTTAAATATCCCACTACCATTCATCTCACCTATCGACAGGAGCCGAGTTACCTGCCACCTCTAGGTGTCTTGCAAGGTCTTGGCCGTGTCGTCGCGGCAGGCCCGATTTCCTGCGTATCTTTCCATCTCATTTGCTTCGCGAAAGGGTGTGTAGTACTCTGTATTCTGCCTGCATCATCCGATTTGTGTGCTCGCTCAAGGCCGGAGAGCCAGGTAGTGTACTCGGTACCAACAACTGCGCCATAGCTGCGGGCGTAGGAAAGCGGCAATATAATACTATGTAGCAAAAAAAACAAGAACAGCATCAGATGCGTTACAGCTACTTTACCCCGTACACGTGCTGTACTCCGTTCATCGCGAGATACTCCGTACACCCCGTAGAGGTGGGTCAAAGCGGGAAGTGTCCGCTGCCAATACTGAGTACAGGGTAAGTTCGCCATATTTGACTTCTGTACTCCGTACGGAGTACGGAGTAAACTCAGGGGTCTATAAGGACGCAGCTCCCTATTGGATCGTTGACCCCTCTTGTAACCACCAAGTTTTATCCAAACATCGCACTGACAATCTTTAGCCCCTAGACCCTACTCGCAGTTGTTGTATCTTTTCTTACGACTATCTGCTTTTATTCGCAACTGGGTATTACTCTTTGCACCTTACGAAACTGCAGCATTTTGCTTGCTTGCAACCTTTTTCAGCACAGCGGCTGTTCCGACCGGTGAACAGTGTGCGCTGGTACGTCGTCCATGAAGGTCTGCTTACATAAGCATCCTTGTGCGTCACCCCGCTGCATTTTGACAACAAAAGCCTCCATTTACCGAAGCCTGGCTAAGATCCCGGGCGACTTCAGATCAATCAGCATCCCGGACAGAAGACCAACTCCCACTCTCTCGTATGTTTGATCTCCCATTCGCACACGCGATCCTCGAGACTGTACGAGCAGGACGCAGTAGGTCGACTGCTTGCCCGCCGTGCTGCCTTTCCGTAGCTTGCCCATGAGCACACACAAGATAGTTCCTGTGCTCGTTCTCGACGGATCAGGCGCATCATACACGATGTTCGCTTGAGCCACTTCCGCAGGCGTGGTGTTGGCGTTGACGTTGACATTGAAGTCGACTCGGAACTCGCGTACACGGATGCCGATCTCCAACGACGACTTTGCAAACTCGGTGTTCCAGACCAGGGCGCCAGAGTTGGCCCAGGGGCTGTAGACTTCGCTCTGCAGCCACTCGACGTTACCTAATGGCAGGTCAATATAGTCGATTCCTTCGTGGTACGCCATCCACGACCAGCTGGGCATCGCCCGGCCTGACCCAAAGTCGATCCTGGTCAGTGTTCTGATTTCGTGACCGCGTTGCCAGAGAAGGCTGTGTTGCAGCAGGCTTCGCCCGTCATCAAAGATGCCAAAGCCACCGACGGCGTCCAAGTCGCGGATTAGGCGTTGCTGGAGACCGGCTATGGCCACCGGACGGTCGGTAGCATGCGTAAATTGAAGCCGTGAATACTGACGGTACAGGCCTTCGTAAAGCTTGATCTTTTCTCCTCGCCGTGAGTTCGCACCGGAGATCGTGGAAGGGAAGTTCGGGTCCCCCAAGAAGGAGGCAAGTTTGCTAAATAAGAAGATTAATCATTAGTTTCGGCACTTGTAGTGCCTTCTGTTTTTCTTAACGGATTGTGATATGTCTAAAAGCAACTTGCTTGTCCATTTTTGTAAGAGTCTCGCAACGAACACCGTCTCCGCATTCCCAGTAGAGCTGTGTCTGGGAGAAGTAGACGGTCCGACGGGCAAGCGCTCGTTCTTGCAGCACCCATCCGCGGCCGCTAAGGTTTGACTGTAGCACGTCATGCTGAAAGTTATCGATAAAGTTGCACACGTATATCGGAACCTTGTTTATCTGTGCAAGCATCACGACATGCCGCTCCGGTCGAGGCGAAAACATGCCATCGCTCTGGCCTCGGGCACTGCATGCAGCCAGAACGCAGTAAGCTAAGCTAAAGACGTCCTCCATCTTCTGGGCTTCTTGCTCAAAGTCGCCACCAGGGCCCTGGATGATGCACAGGGAGTCGATCCAAATGTATCGCAACCCGATTGAGCGCGTAGCAAGTACAGCGTCCTTAAAAGTCGCTGGTAGCGTTTTATAGTCAATACCTTTCTTAAACTGCTCGATGTTGGACGGCAGGGTACAAAAATGTGGCCCTTGTCCCCATGGGTGAGACAAAGCAGCATATCTGACGTTATCCTTTTTCTTCGGCTCATACAGGCGCACATTTAGAGATCCGGGCTCACCCACATCAAGTAGTCGCGTGGGAAGAGTGGAGGGTTGCTTGCGAATAACACGACATTGCGGGTGGCTCTCGTCGCAAGTTCGTAACCATTCCTTAATAGTCCTCATGGCGGCAGGACTTCCCGCTGATGGAAGTCGGGGGAGGCCTATCTGTATCTGGGCTTCGTCATGCAGTCCGCCTGCGCCTTGTTTCTGGTCAGCCTTTGCTATGACTACAAACTTGTGTCCTAACGATGGCCAGATTACCAATAACGCGACAGATGGTAAGCACGTCTCTCCCATTCAACTTTAGTCGAGATCCGCTCCGCTCGAATCTAAATGTGCGTATATGACGCAAGTCCTTGCACAGCTTCCAGCGCATAGCGCAGAAGCCACAATTGGCACATCTGGCTTCCAGGTCTTTCCACGTGTCGTCGAAGCTAAGGGAAACGTGCTTGAAATCGAGTTCTCTGCACCTTTGACAAAGATATGTCTTTCTTCCCGAAGCCGAAAGTTTCCTGTGCTCGTGGGTTTGGAGAACCATGGCTGCAAACTCGTTGTCGAGGTGAAAATTCCACGCATCGTCGAGCTGATGCAATTTGTTAATAGGAGCAGCCATGACGAGCCTATGCTGTTGTCTGGTACAGAACCTACCTGACCCTATGGATACGTTAGTAATGACAAAGTGTAGAGAAGAACGAAGGCGCATACAATCTAGACAATGTATTTAGCTTCTGTTATAGTTAACAGTTTATTATATTACCTAGGTGAGAGCACTTGCAATCTGATGCAGTCAATGACTAGACGTTTTTAAAAGGCGTTGCCGGATAAACTAACGGTCTAATAGACGCATGAGTATAGTTAGAGATGAGGAGAGTAGGCGCAAAAACAATGACTAGAAAATGGCATGCTTGCTTTGCACCAGAGATGAGATCGCGATAGTCAACACAAATTAATCAGACAAGCATGCCCTTACCAATCCTACCAATGTTGTGGATAGCCACTGACAAGTTCCCACAACAGACTTGACCATCAAACATCAAGGATTCCCAAGGGACTCAAGAACCAGCTATGACAAAACAAATCCAGGTGTTCTGCACAACGACTTACATACTAATTCAGCGTCAGCTACGTTCTGTCTTTGGGCAAGAAATTCTACGCCATTTTATGTGCTTACTTCCTACTCGCACCATTAGCGCGGTGTGTCAGTGTGACTATTGGGCGAAAGGCCTACACTCTAAGATTGTAGGATTAGCTTCACGAAACCAGATACCGAAGACCCTGCAATCTCACTTGGGGGCTTACATGGTGCGTCTGACCCCGCCGTCCGCTATCGTGGGAGGTATCAGCGTTGGGATGCAGCCCGTGGAGGTCATAGTCATCCACAGTCACAGTCAGGGTTGGTGGTTTTATCTTGGGGGTCGGGCCCGGGGCTGGAGACGGCGTTCGAATCTTGCCCGTGAACCAGTAGTTACTACCACCATGTCCTTGAAGTATGAGGTCGAGATCTTTCACCAGCTCCGCTGCAGTGGCACGGACTTTAGACGAAGCCGAAACTAAGCCGGAGTTGGGAACTTCCAGGTTGGAGCCGAGATTCTGATTGATGTTGACGACCAACATTTTGTCCTGGATGAGTTGCAGGAAATCACCTATCGCAGTCCTCCCCTGGAACCCCGGGTCTTTTAGTATTGTAGTGATGATGTTGGAGACATTATAGTGGACTTCAATCCTGTCTGCTGCTTGGCTTGTTGTGGACTTCTCAAAGTATTGGTCCTTGACGAGCGACCGGTTGAACTGGTCAAGTCCCTTAGTGCCTCTCAGGAGCCAGATGACGAGCTCGATCCCGACGCACCCCATTGACCACACGTCGTACCGGCGGGTCAATCCGGTTTTGTCGGAGCGATATTTTGCTTCGGGCGGCCAGTACCGAGTGGTCGCTGCTTGTGCCGTTGTGCCGTTGCGTTTCTCGGTCGCTTCTGTATGACGCCGAGCAAGGCCAAAGTCGGACAGTTTCAGCGTCCCAATGCTTTCTGAATCCCGCCCGGGGTCTCTGACAAATCTGAGAATGTTGGCTGGCTTGATGTCCGTGTGCCGGAAGTGATGGTCAACACTTATATGATGAAGACTGTCCAAGCCGTCCATGAGGCCTCGAACCTGCCGGATGGCAGATTCTACGGAATCGCTGGACAGGTGGGGGGTTCTGGTTGCATTCCAATATGTCCCCAGGTCATGTCCATTCGCCCAGATAAAACAAAGGTAGTAATTATTACCGCGATGGATTGCTCCGATGTACTCGACAATATTTTTGTGTCTGATATTTCGAATTTCGATATTGGCCGATACTTCTTTATCAAATCCACCATTTTCGAAAACAATTTCCTTCAACGCAATTTCGCCCGTGTTCCTAGTATCCTGGATAAGGAGACAATGTTAGATTATACGTCCCGTGGCCTATACCACACTGAACCACATACTCACCTTGCAAGTCTTGTACTTCCTGAACTCCTTGTGTACGACGACTTTATGCACTGTGCTGAAGCCGCCGCTGGCCTTTTCCATTTCCACGTGAGTAAAAGGTAGAGGTTGTTTCATATCGAGTTCCAACACCCTTACGTCGTCATCGAAGTTCGGTACTAGAACTGCCCATTGCTTCTCCATGAATGTTTCGCTGATTGCCAAGTGGAGATCGCTGCTGATGTCATGATTCAGTGACATTTTTTTGTATTCTGAATCGGTGATGGGCAACCGCCCGTCGTGTAGCTTTGCTTCCCTAAACAGCTCCAAGCTGCTGCCCAAAACACTCTTGAGGCCATGCACAGCACAGATGAAGAAAATTTTCCTGGCCGGAAACTTTTTGTCGACAACAAAGTGGAGCAACTGTTTATTGTTTTGTCCATTGCACACCTCCTTTATGATTTGAGCAATTGTATCATCAGGAAGTAGTTTACCGATGCTTCCAGGAGGGTAATAAAACATGTTTCCGAAGTTGCTTGTCTGTTTCACACCAATGGTTTTCACATTCTCTCGAAGGGCGTCAATCGCACTGTACTTTTTTGAACCCGACTTTGCCTTTTGCGCTACTCCGGCTAGAGATCTATCCCTGATTGACAGCTGCGGCGGGACAGTCCTTTTAGCTCCGATGGAAGTCGACTCCGCAGCCGCAAGTTGTCTGTCATTGACTGTCCTCGAATTATCGCCACGATTTCTTCTAGCAGAGCTAAGATGGGCATTACTGCTGACTGATTGCGATTTTTTCCCTTTTCCCGGTCGGCTGAACCAGGCTGACATGGTCATGGCCGCCATGATGAGAATCAATGTGAAATATTTTGGCAACAATTTTCTTCTTTACCGAAAAAGAGAATAGTGGTTTTCCGAGGTAAGATGGATGAGCGGGTCAATTTGACAGAAATTTCGAATGGGAGGAGGGGTTATAATTATTTAGGGACATAAGCACCAGTATCACGAAGCGCTTAACCCTTTTTTAGGTCCGAGGCAGTGAGTCCGAGGCAATGAGACCCTTATCCCAGGAAGACATCAGAACTAAAAGTCTGGTGTGAAAGACCCGCTTGTGCTCGATTGTCTGGGCCGAAGCTAACCGTACATAGATTAGTTAAAGTTGCCTTCTATCCCGTCCCCGTGTGATTCGTCTCACGCTTCATCGGTCAAGCCTTTTGATGAAGGTGAATCGAATTTGTCCCTCCAGAACTGCCCTTCCGTTCAAGCAGCCAAACCGGGAAATGGAAACTAGAACGTGTACCAGTAATTGAAATGAGTCATAAACATGGACAAGGCTCGGCTTTTTCGGCGCCTAGATGTGTTACTCATCGCAGGCTACCTGAAATTGGCATGTTTGTCTCTTGCGGAGCAAAGAGTAAACGGCTTACAGATACTTCAAAATGTCCAGTGTCATATTTGGATGCCAGGAGAGACTTCAATCTCAGGTGATGCAGAGTTTTGCATGGAATGTCCGCGCTCACAACTAATTCAGAATTTGCGGTTCTGGGAACCGATTTCGCCACTCTCTCACGGCTGAAACAGACGACATTGCTGGATGGTTTTCGAGAAAGTCAAGCTTTGTTTTTGCGGATGTTTTTGCGGGACGCTTATCGAACTCATTGGAGGCTTAAAACAGGAATCTGAGAGCTGTAGAAGTTCTCTTGGCGCATCTAATCGTCATTAAAGTAGCCAATTCATGAGCGAGGTAGCATGTACATATCTTAAAAGACCTCACCGAGAGACTAAGCCCCGATCACACAGCTGAAACATGCAATGCGACGTCTTTCCTGTCACCTATTATCGTCCTTCCATCCCCTTAGGCTGCCTGCCTCCAACCACTACAAGACAGGACATGGGAATAATTGACGAATAACATGGCCACATGCCTCAATGCCTTAATAATAGTTGGTTACCAGGGACGCCCGATCACACCGCTTCGTACCGCAGCAGGGCGTCTGCTCTGTTGGCTGCAGCTGTTGCGCCCCGCATATGCTTAGCACATTTCGCCTTCGTGATGCTAACAGGCTGAACTTTGTGTAAGACGTGTGACTCCAAATGAAAATTTTCCGGACCAAGGATCACATGGCCAAAGCGAGTAACGGTCATGGCTTTATAGGACCAACCATAGCGATTTCTCTCCACGCTAGACGACCGCGTTCTGTCTCCATGACTGGCGAACCAAAAAAAGGGGCGTAAACAGCCTCACGATATCCATGGCATAAACGACTTAATCCCCGAATACGACCGCCTGAATACAAGTCAAAAGAGTGACTCATCGTTTGCCGGTGAATCGTACCAAGATGCTCTTGAGTATCAGGACAAGGGCAATATCGATGCCGCATCAGGCACTGTCGATGAGCAACTGGAATACATGGGCTCGGAGCTATTGGACCGAAGCTCAAGAACAGCCACGACCAGGACGGTGCAGCCGATGATCCACAGATCCTCGAGGTCTTCTGAGCGTGCGTACGCAGTCCTCTGTAGGGAACACCAAGGATCTCTGCGAATAAGTGGGCCCCTCGACTTAGCACATGAGCCAAAGGCACCCTTAAGTCCTACATTCCACATTGCCGTCCAGCAATGCCGTCCAGCCTAGCGGGTTTACTATGTAGGAGGGGCCGAACGACCCGCTAGCTCGATGCATATATAATGCGGTGCCCGATATCCGTAGCTGGCTCCCCGCCAACCTGCCACTTCTCGCCGCCTTGCCACCTGTCCTGCCTTTTTCAACATGTCCTTCCCTACTCGTCCACTCGGCCGCAACGGTCCCCAGGTGACGGCCATTGGCTGCGGCCTGATGGGCCTGAGCCGGTTCTACGGCGCCGTCGGCACCGAGGAGGAACGACTCGCCTTTCTGGACCATGTCTACGCGTCCGGCCAGCGCTTCTGGGACACGGCCGACATGTACGGCGACAGCGAGGACCTACTCGGCACCTGGTTCCGGCGCAACCCGGGCGCACGTGAGACCATCTTCTTGGCGACCAAGTTCGGCAACGTGGCCACGGGGGGCGTTCGCTCCGATCCGGCCTACGTGCGTGAGGCCCTCGCCCGGAGTCTGGCTCGTCTAGGCGTAGACCACGTCGACCTCTACTATGTGCACCGTGTCGACCAGGTGACGCCGATCGAAGACACCATCGACGTCATGGTCGAGCTGAAGAAGGAAGGCAAGATCCGTCATCTCGGCCTGTCTGAAGTCACGGCCGACACCATCCGACGCGCCCAGGCTGTCCACCCGATCGCGGCTTTCCAGATCGAGTACAGCCCGTTCGAGACGCTGATTGAGAAGCCGGAGAGTGGTCTGCTGGCTGTCTGCCGCGAGCTGGGCATCGCTGTCGTCGCCTACTCACCGCTTGGCCGCGGCCTCCTCACCGGCCGCTACCGCAGCACCGCCGACTTCCCCGCCGGCGACTTCCGCACGCTGGCTCCCCGGTTTGCCGACCCTGACAACCTCGCCCACAACCTTAAGCTGGTCGACGCCATCGCCGCCGTCGCCAAGACCAAGGGCTGCACGCCCGGCCAGCTCACCCTCGCCTGGCTCTGCAGCCAGGGTCCCGACATCTTTCCCATTCCCGGCACGAAGAAGGAGGCCTACTTTGACGAGAACATCGGCGCCATGGCCGTCCACCTGACCGACGCCGAGGTGGCCCAGGTCCGCGCCGCCGTCGACGCGGCTGACATTGCTGGCGAACGCTATCCAGCCGCGACTACAAAGTGGCTGCTCGGCAGCACGCCGGCTAGGAAGTAGGAGGATTGGGGCGGCGTTGGTTCTAATTGAGCAGGCTGCCATAGTCTATTCTGCGGCAGGATATAAAGAAAGCAAAGCAATTACTTTGACTATACAAGCAATAAAAATGACTATACTTCATTGCATTAATCTTAATATGGCGTATCTGCTGTGCAAGCCGTGCAAGAATTGGCAGTTGACCTTGCCAAAGATGTCTAGACATGTCATATGCTATGCTCATTAAGTGTCGATATCTACTTGCACTTACACATAATAATGCGACGACGAGAAACTGGTAGGCCGATAGCGCGGACAGTTGCGGCAGTGGCTTGACGAGCACTTCCGCAAGATAAAACGTAGCTAGTGCCAGCATAGGGTATGGAAGGATGCTAAAGATGATAGCGTTGAGGAAGATGCCCCAAGAAGCCACCCCCTTCTGCCACTGCGGCCAGAGCTTGTAGCCGTCGGTGACGACAGGGAGGCCGAAGTTGATGAATGAGCCTCAAAATGCCAGGAATCTTCGGTCGTGTCCACTATTGACTGATTAAAAAAAAGCAGAAAAAAGAGCTGTCGTACCTATACCCACGGCAAGATTTCGGTTTTGTATCTCTAGAAAAATCCAGCCTGGTCTCTTTCAGTAATTCCCCTGCTGCATTCTCGAAAACGTCAACCCGAATAGTCCAGGATGACGCAGCACTCAGATTGCTCCGGCCCCCCCTCTTCTCCTCTCTTTGTTAATGGTTTGAAGCTTTCCCCACACCTCGCACGAAATATCGCCCGGCAAATGCAAAGCTCAGAAGGCATTCACAATCTCTGCATAGGAGAAATTCTTGCAATTATCGATACGTGAGCAGCCGCCGAGTCTCATCTTTTCGCTCAAATCGAAAAATTCATTCTTACTTTGACCTTGCCATTCTTTTTTTGAACGATTGTTTCTACGCAGCTTGATCCTACAGCGATGCTTAGTCATCGATTTGCATCGCGGATAGCAACTCGTGCGGCATCTTGGAAGACCGATAAATGCTTGTATAATGTGAGCACTAACAGCTGAGTTTCCCGATTCCTCTGGTTGGACTTCAATCGAATGTGATGCTACACGAACCGTCTCTAGACCGAATTAGGAAGCCGTTTCAGCATCTATGCTCCACACGTCATCGGGCACCGACCATTTGGCCCCTGCATCGGAAGCCGCTCTTGGCAGATCTAGTGTATGACGAGCCGAGCTAGGATCTACTCCGTAGATCAACATGGAGTGACCCAGAACAAAATACCGCCGCACACGTTGTGGCCTGGTACATCAGCTACTACCCTTAAAATGGAACAGCATTAAATTGAAAATGGAATATCCCGCCACTAGAGTAAACAAGAAAAGTGTGCAGTGAAATCCTGCGTGTGCATGCAGCCACCAACCGAATCCGACTTGCAATGAAAACAAGAGGGGAAAACTGACAAAATTACCATACGGATCATACAAAGAGGTTCAATCCGATCTGGGCACGCATTCGTTGTGTTTCACCCAGCCAGCTAGCACCCTGACACTGGCCCTCAGATCTCGACCCGCAACTGGTGTCGCACGGCAGCGTAGTTGTCGAGGATGTTCTTGGCCCGTGCAGGTGAGCGCGCCTGGATGCTCAGCTGGTATGCTTCGGGCTCAAGGATGACGTGCGAGTTGGTCGCCTGCGTGTCGATGGGAACAGCCTTGCCGGTGACGGGACACATCTTGGGGGCTAGCTGTAGGCCCCAGAGCAGGCCGGCGGCACAGACAAAGATCTCGTCGTCGGCGATGTCCTTGCCCAGGCACGCGCGGCGACCCCAGCCAAAGGTGTGCATGGAGGCGCCGTCGCGCAGGTTGGGGTACCGTGAGAGCGGCTCCATGTACGTCGGCCAGCCCTCTTCCAGATACCGTTCGGGGTGGTAGTTTTCTGGGTCGGGATACCTTGACGCGACGCGATTGAGATTCCTAGGGATGTTAGTGTTATGTAAAACAGGGGGTTTGCGATGTTCTTTTCTTGGCATCTTTCTTTCTTTTTTTTTTTTTCTTTCTTTTTCTTTTTTCCTCTCAATTTCATTTCCACTTACCATTCACACGCCAGGACGATGGTCCCTTTCTTGATCTCGACGCCACGGTACACGTCGTCACGCTCGGCCTGGTGCGGCACGCCTAGCGGCACGCCGGAGCGCCAGCGCAGCGTCTCCTTGATGCAGGCCCGCACGGTCGGCAGGCTGGCATAGTCGGCCATGGTGGGCATGCGGTCGCCGCAGACGCGGTCGATCTCGGCCTGGGCCTTGGCCTGCCACTCTGGGTGCAGGGCCATGGCCATCATGAAGAACTTGAGCGGGCCCGAGATGGTGACGACACCGACGAGGTTGAAGAAGCCGATCATGCAGCTGGCAAAGGTCTCCTGCTCGAGCTCCTGCTCCAGCGCCACGTTGCCCGCGCGCTGCACCTGCTGGAAGTAGCGGTAGCCCCAGGTGTCGGCCGGCAGCTCGCCGCGCAGGTAGCGGGCGCGGGCCAGTCGCAGGTTGGCCAGCCACCAGCGCCGCTGCTCGGCCTCGCGGCGGATCTCGAAGCGCTTCCACGGGTTCGCAAACAGCGGCAGGTGCCACAGCGGCGTCATCGTGTTCGTGATCGGGCCCGAGACCGACATGCAGTGCAGCGTCTGGTCCGCGCTGTCGCCGTTGACCCGGCCCTGCGTCGCGTCGTCCCACGACAGCCGCGACATGATCCGGCCACAGTACTCACGCGTATTGTCCAGGAACTGTGCCGGGTCCAGGATGTGCATCGCCAGCAGCCGCGCCGTCTCTGCCTCAATGTGCCCGTAGAAGTGGTGCTTGTGCGCCTCTGCCATGGCCGCGTGCACCCACTTGCGCTGGCGCTGCCAGATGTCTGTCACATTAGCACAAAGAAGATGGGAGGGGGGGAGAGAGACTTACCATGTCGATCCATCAGGGCCGAGTAGGCCGGACCCTCCTTATGGCGAATCAGCGATCGGATCTGCGGACGCCCTGAGTAGATGTGGCCACGCTTGACCAACAGCTCCTCGGCAATCTTCTCGTCTGATATGATGATAAAGGTCTGGTCCACGGCCCGGGTTTGGTAGATAGGGCCGAACTCGTCGGCCCACTCTTTGAACTTGAGCCACAGCGAGAAGCGCGGCAGATCATGGATCCGCCCAACGATGGGGTACTGCTTGGGTCCTGGAAATGCCTGCTTGCTTGTCTGGATCTGGCTCATCTTTGCCCACAAGCGCATCTGCTGTAGAAAGGAAAAGAGCAGGCCAGGGATGGCCAGATAGAGTAAGAAGAGTGTAAAGTTCTCCATGTCTGCAGTCCGTTCTGGCTAATGCCTATCTCAGCCGATGGTGAAAGGGGTCTGAGAGACGAACGAGGACCAAATGACTTTGGCCTCCAAGTAGCTTCAACGAGCTTAGCCGAACAGACTACGACCAAGCCTCAGTTCTGAGAACTTTCCGTTCTAAACACGTGCCTGCCACACCGTAGAGGGACTGAAGAGTATGATGTGCAGTGGCAGAGATAAAGATGTCTTGATTGAGAGGAGTCCACGGTCTCGTAGCAGTCCGTTGGTGTTATCGGGGGTCTCTCTCTTATACAATCCGTTTCTGTCCGGACTCTCGCAATAAGCTGATGGACAGATATATGGGCCCCTCCCTCCCTTTGGCTCTCTGCCTGCGAAAGATACCCGGTGTGTTGCCCAATCTTGATACTCACCTAGGCCTCCTATCTCAGGCTATACTGGAAAGCCCGGTCACATCGGCTCCCCCTCCCTTCTCAGAAACCATACGAGTGCCACCGATGACTAGGGTGGATACGACCTGCGGAGTTTATGAGCTGAGATGAGCCCAAAGGGCAGAAACTACGGCTAACACAACGTGTGGGTTGATTCGATGAACTGCTGGCCTGGTCTGGCTGGGTCTCTGGGCAGCGGAGTGGGCCGGCCAACAAGCGAGAATGAGACAGGCTCTGCTCCGGATGTCGATCGACAAGCGACGTGCTCGCCATAGGATAGGCGCGGCTATACGGATCTGACGGCGTCTGGCACCACTGCTTGCTATGATGTTCAGTTCAGGTATCATAATCTTTGCTCACACGCGCACACCCCCTCGCACATCTGCGGTGAGATTTCTCGTCCTCGCATGTCCAGCTGCAAGTGCAAAAACCGTGGATACTCATGCATGTCCTGGTCCGTAGTACGGGTTGGTTTCATTAGTTCATTTGATTTACACGGATTTCCTTCCCGTGGTACTTGATTTTGTCGTATGGTTTTAGTCCTGCCATCTATACAGCATCGTTTCCGTCGTATATAGTCTGCTGACATAATTTTTCAAGGTTGTCACACAATTCGACATACCCTTTTCCTGGACGCTGACTGGCTGCTGGTTGGGTAACCACACCGCAACAGCTGTCAACGGCAGTTGCACTGCATGCGACTACCCTAGTGCTCTTTCCTTTTTCGTTTTCTTTTTTTCGCCCTCATCCTCTGACACCTTTCCCGCGACATCTGAGTTTCTCCAAGGGCCAACCACCCCGACAGTCATGCACTTTCCTGGTCTTGTACCGCGCATGGAGCGGCCAGGTTGGGTCTCGCTGACGAGCTCCGCAACTTTGCCGTTGGGGATGTCCGATGGCATAGGTCACCAGCGACAGCCAGAAAGGAGACAGGATCGCCACTATGACATTTCCAGGCCGCCAACCGTACAATACGTTGTTTCTTTCGGGCGATTGCAACCAACCCCTCTGGCCAAGTCGGGAAGAGACAGATGAACGCCAAGCCCGGGGGATCGGCACGACTGCTGGGCCGGCGATGCGATGCTGACAAGGGGGGAGCGAACAGCTCACAGACAGTCCTGCCAAAAGAAACGACCGAAAAAGTGGCGGTTGTCCCGTGCGATAATACGAGTTGGTCCCTTTGCGTCCCATTTCGCTGACAGTAAGCCGCCGTCAAGCTTCATCCTAGCTTTTGCGCCAAACGGACCCAAGACCGATCAACCAAGACCGAGGAGCAAAGACCAGACCAGGGACGCAAACCGTGTCATCTGGTCATGCAGCACGTCTGTAGCAAAGTCGGATACCGGCCTCATTGTGGCTCATGCACCCTGCCTCCTGGTCGCCCGTCCGCAATATCACTCTTCCCTCGTATCAGCCTTTTCCTCCCTGCATCTCCTTTCCCATGGTCCACCCTCGACCCTCCCTCCTCGAGACAATGGTCGCCGAGGACCGTGCCTAATAGCGGACTCGGAGACTACATATGCAGGCCACGGTCTTTCAACAGAGGGTCGTCTGACAACACACATCAACCTTGTCGGCCAGTCTCAGGTCGAAGACAGCTGGACATGCAGGGCGCAACCTAATGCCCACTTTCTGACCCGCCGTGGCCGAATGGCCAGAATTTCTCACAGTCCATATCTGATTTGCGCAAAGAGGCGTACGGTTTCTCGGTCTGAAGACGACTTTGTCGACTGCCTTACCTGACCGGGACTCACAATATTATGCTTAGAACTGCCCGATGCAACGTCCTTTTTCTATTTTTCTGGGATATCATTCTGCCCGCTGATCCGCTTATGCACTTGGGAAACACGAGCTGTACACACTCAAACACACTCTCACACACGCCGACAAGCAAGAGGCAGGAAAGAAGAATGCACAAACCTGCATCTCCTGCATAGCCTGCATAACCCGCCATTTAAATGGCACTATAGGTCTGAGCATGCCGATCTCAGCCGAAACGAATCCCCGACGATGGGTCCCATGTCCCAGGCGTCCTGTTCCCAGTCGCACTAGCACCAGGCATTTTCTGCTGTGACACTGACATGCTTGGTGTTCCGAACTGGATGGCAACTCCGGGTGACCATGTCTGCTGCTGTGGTGCTTGATTCTGCCGCTGTTGCTGTTGTTGCTGCTGCTGTTGCTGTATGGCCGGCGGGAACATGGCGAGATGATGGTGTGGTGGGCCGCTGGTGGCCCAAGACTGGATAGACGACTGCTGTTGAGGTGGAGGCATAGCACTCTGATCTTGCGACGATAGTGATGCATGAGTTGCATGAGATGCATGGGATGAGACTTGCTGGACCGTTGGAGCCGGCGCTGGTGCTGGTGCTGGCGGTGGTGGCACCGAGGACTGCGCTGACCGCTGATCAAGCGACAAGGACGATAAGACGGGCATGGAGAGTTCCCTAGGACAGATTAGTTAGCGGGTCCTAGGCAAGAAAAAGGAGGTAGTGGAAGAAGGAAGGAGAAAGAGGTGAACAAGCAAAGCAAACAAGATTGAACTTGATCGAGACAGACAGGAGGAAAGTTTCGGAAATCAAGACACGACAGGAAAGAAGGCACAAAATCCGCAAAAACAAGCTGCAGGAACACCCACTCTTCCAAACTCTGGGCCTCTGCCCGCCTCTGCTGCAGCCAAGTGCGACATTGGTCCCGGAACGAGCCCGCGATGCGACCGAGATCGTTGTAAAACTTGCGGCCCACCTCCACGTTCTTGACGATCTCCTTGTACTTGTAGTACGCCGTGTCCAGCTTCTGGAGCACCGCCTCGCGCTCGCGGCTGCCGCGGTCGCCGCTGGCCCGCTTCTGTGCCTCAAAGTCGCGGTTCGCTCGCGCCACGTCCTCGAGCAGCCTCTCCTGCTCTTCTCGCTCCTTGTCGACGACGCCCTGGTCCTCGCCGTAGAGGTCGCGCAGCCGGCTGGCGAAGAAGCTGTCAAAATGGGACGCCACGATCGGCGTGTTCGCGTACGTCCGCTCCAGTCGTGCTGTCTCCTTCATCATGTCTGGCTTCACGTCGTCGCCGCGCGCCTTCTCGTGCAGCATCTCCACGCGCTTCCGCCGCCGCGACTCCATCCGCAGCACGTCATTGTACACGCCTCGGAGCCGTCCCAGCGCTGGCTTTACCATCTCCGAGATGTCCACCTTCCGGCTGTTCGGCACAAAGTCTAGCAGTGCTCGGTCCGATCCCGCCAGAAGCCCCAGCATGTCCTTGACCGAGGCAAACATGTCGCGCACCACCGCGTCGCTGGACCCGCTGGAGCTGAAGTAACCCTCGATCTCGACTGCGTTTTTCCACAGCTTTTGGCCCTGCGCGTCTGCCTTGCCTTCTGGCCGTGTCCATCGCTCGGTGCCGTGCCGCTGTCGCAGCTGCGTGTCTTCGTCGTCTTCTACCTCTAGCATGGCCTTTCCTTCGTCGAATGTCGCTCGGTCGCTCGCCCGAAGCTTGTCGATGTCGGCAAAGCTGCGCTGCACCTTGTTCAGAACGTCGGCATACCGAATCTCCTCCGCATGCTGCGACAGCGTTCCGGGCAGCCCGAGCGGCCGTTCTATGGCCTGCAGAGAGCCGGGAAGGTTCAGCGATATCAACGATTCGTGCAGCTGCTCTGTCAACGCCTCCAGGTCGCGTATGATGTTCTGGTTCACAAGTCGGTCTCGTCGTTCTTCGTACACAGACACGGCGAGGTAAACTGCAAACGGCACGAGCTTTGCGAAGAGGGGAGTGCCGAATTCTGTGCCGTCGCCGAGAAAGTCCAACGGCTTCTCGACCTGTGGAGGCGTTCGGGAAAGGGCCATGCTGGCACGGTCGAGGATCCTCAGTTCTGATTTTGCAGGCACGACGTCTGGGATCGGTCAGCGGACGCCGGAAAGGAGAGATCAAAGCCGCCTGGGTCCACTCACTCAGATATATGATGTCGTTGTCTTTCTCTGCACGTTTGAGGTCATCCTCCACGCGCTTCTTCAGATTCTGGAGATCTTCCTGCACCGGTTTGCTCAGAAGGCCGCCACGGCCCTCCTTCAGACCCTCGGTCGCACACTGCAGCGCGTCCTGCAACCGGGCTACCTCCTCGCCATATCGGCGCTTCTCTAGGCAGTCGAGCGACGCCCGGTACTGTGCAGCGGCAGCAAAGTGGTGATGCTTGGCGCTCATATGGTGGATCCAGGCGCGGCTGATAGCGTCGCTGCGCACGGCAGCCTCGCCGGCGGCGTTGTAGAGGTCCGACAGGCGCGCGGCGAGCTTGGCGATCGTCGCGTCCTTGTACCGCTCGTTGACTGCGCGCATCCAGAAGCACTCCTGCGCCTGTGCCAACATGAGCTCCTCCAGCGCGTCAAGGGTCGCGGCGTCGAGGTCGTCGGGCAGGTTCGCTGCCGTCACGTCGGGATCAACCAGCAGCTTCTCTCGGATGTGCTTGAACACGCCTGCAGCCTGCACGTAGTAGCTAGCTGCAGCCTTGAGGCCATCTGCGTCCGTGTGGCTCGTACCGACTGCCAGCTGGCAGTAGAGGGCCGCAAGGTTGTAGAGGATGTTGATGATTTCGAACTGGAGGTTGTCCTCGACGATGGGCCGTTCGACATTGTAGCCGAGGGCAGGGTACCACGTAAACTCGGCGCCGACCTAGATTTATCAGTGTGATGCACAAGGGTGGCATCAGAGGCTTTTGGGTGAGTCTTCAACGCACCTCCACCGGGAATTTTCCGCTAATCCAAGCGAGCTGTGCAGCATACGCCTGCAGCTTTTTTATGCCGCTGGGATGGGCCTCGTAGACGTTCACGGCATCGTGGCGTAGCGCGTCGATAACGCTCAGGTCCTCGCGGAACACGTCGGGATGTTGATTGTACTTGTCGGTGATATACCGACAGAGCGAGTTCGAGAGCGAGAGGTGCGCTGACTGGCGAAAGGGAATGGAAAGCTGGTTGGACTTGAGGCTGAGGAAACAGTCAAAACAGGGTTAGCATGTAGCAGGAACGGCGAGGACAAGGATAGAGACGGGCGTCCAGGAATTCCTTACAAGGCCATTTTCGAGAGCTGCAGACGGGCGCACGTTGCGCGCGTGGACAGTACAGCAAAGCTGCTCTTTTGCAGCTCTTACTGGCATGACCTCATCAACAAGCAACGGAATGCAGAATCCCAAAATCATGAAGTGGGTCGCGTATGACTAATAGGTGGGGCTCCACGCAGCGCTGACATTTCGGGCATCGACACCGTGGGAGTTTGGTGAACCGTTTGCAGCACAATGTAGGATACTAATAAATAGGTTCATGCTAGAAAGTTTTTATTTTTGTTGCACTCTATAGTTATACAACATAATCAAGCACGGAAAGAAGTTTTTTTGGTGTAACATGCAGTCCCCATAAAACGGCTTTTCATTTTCAGCATATCAGGTAATGGACACATCCGAACAACCGAGCATGACTTACTTGACTTTGTCAGTTACCTTTCGAGGCGTGATAAAAAAAATTCCGGTTGGTTCCTCAGCAGAGAAAAGTAATTTCGCGAAAACTGCATTTGAACAATTTCAGTTCAAGGAAATTTGTTTGTCAAAAGTGAGACGTCACTTATCTTCATGCTTCGAGCTTCTGGCGGAATTTGGGTTTTTATTGCGCAGTTATATACATTCTCTCGATTTAATTTTACGTTTTTTAGAAGATAAAGTAAAAACTCTCAGCACAGGTCCGTGTTAGTATCTGCTACTCATACAAAATATATATCCAAGCGACGCGTTTTGCACTTTATTAAAGCAAGGCCTCTCTTTTCGCAAGCCAATTTGGAGTTCACGGTAAAGGCAGTCCGACACTGAATAGCACGTCCAACAGCCTAATACTACGAAGTATTGGTTCATACACCCCAGGCATTGTGACCCTTCTTTTGATGATCCTGACATCATGGTGGTTTACTTCTGGAGCCTTTGGATCCAAACCAAATGTCCATATGCTGACTCTCTGTCGACAATCGGACGAGATAAGGCGCATCCAGGGCCAATTGCGTTTCTTCTACCATGACTGGTAAGGTGGACGTGTCATCAATGCGGATTTGCTCGAATTTAGATAAGTGCGCATCGGTCGAGTTACACCACGGAATGGCAATCGCAACTACTCTTAGTTGTGTAGCTCTCATATACCTCTCTCCCCATTATTAGCCTGTGTCTTAATATTCATTACGACTCATCTTGGAAAGCACATGAATCGAACTAGAGCAGTAAAGCTCTGAATTTCGAGGCAAGGCGGAGATTTTGTGTCTTCGGAGCGGTACGAAGTGCTCTGTGCTCCGTAGACACGTTTTGCCCCACTAAATCCCCGCTTGAAGATACTACTCCTCTCTAACTTGCATCGACATCCTGTCCGGTTGTCACGCCAAGCTGGGCTATGGTGATGTGCTCCGATACAATATGGCGACATATTTCTGGGGCGTTAGGCAGGTCTGTGCCGCCACCAATTGTGGCAATTAAAGGCGACAGACTGATAAGTACCAGCATGAAAACTGAACAGACAGAAATATGATTGTCTCGATGATCTTCGTTTTCTCTGAAACATCCGATTGTCATGGCTACATGCACTGGCCCAGATTCGCAAGAGACGCTTGACGTATCCGGAGCTGCCGAGGCGACATGGAGTTCGACACCCCATGCGTCTCCGTCGCTGTCTTCCACGGACTCTCTACCCTCGCCTGCATCGTCGACAGACTCCGTTCCCAATCCCGACCTGACTATTCTGGAGAGAAATATTGACGATCCACGAACGCTGCGCGTCATTGTCATTGGTGGTGGCATTACGGGTGTCACTGCCGGCATCCTGCTACCAGCCAAGGTGCCAAATATCGAGCTCACAATATACGAGAAAAACAGGGACTTTGTGAGAGCCAGCATCGGCCCCATGTTGCCTTTGATCCCTCTCGCCCGCTGACATCTAAAACAGGGCGGCACCTGGCTTGAAAACACATATCCGTAGGTCTCCCCTCTGTAGCTACTCACGACGGTGTGCTGATCATGCTAGCGGCGTCCGCTGTGATGTCCCGTCTCACGTCTACCAGTCAACCTTTGCGCCCAATGTTGAGTGGTCCGACAAGTTCTCGTCAGGCGCTGAGATCCGAGACTACTGGCAGAGCACGGCACGCAAGTACGACGTCTACAAGTATGCTGTCTTTGGCCGCCGCGTCGAGGACCTTTCTTGGAACCCGGTCGAGGCCGTTTGGAACGTTACCGTCCGCAACATCGACACCGGCGATGTCGAGACGGCGACGGCAGACTTTGTGGTCACGGCCACGGGTCGTTTCAATGCATGGAGGCTGCCCGAGTTCGCTGGCCGATCCGACTACCGTGGCGTCCTCCGGCATGCCTCCAACTGGGACGGTGACTTTGACCTTGCGGGCAAGCGCGTCGCCGTCATAGGAAATGGTGCCAGCGGCATCCAGCTCGTGGCCAACATCCAAAAGACCGTCGGTCACCTGGACCATTATGCCCGCAACAAGACGTGGATCGCAACCTCGCTGACGGGCGAAGATCGCACCGTTGAGCCACAGCCCATCCCGGAAGCACTCAAGGAGACCTTTCGGGCGGATCCGCAGGCCTATCTTAAGTTCCGCAAGGAGATTGAGGACCGGAACTGGCGCCGCTTCAAGACCTTCTTTCGCGACTCGGATGAGAACAAGAAGATGAAGGAGGCCTTTGTCGACATTATGAAGCGCCGGCTTGCAAAGAAACCCGAGCTCATCGATGAGCTTATACCCGACTTCTCGCCCAACTGCCGCCGCCTGACGCCGGGGCCAGGATATCTGGAGGCACTGACCGAGGACAACGTCGAGTACATCCGGACGCCCATTCGCCGTCTGACCGAGACCGGTATCGAGACCGAGGACGGCCGCCACCGCGAGGTCGACGCCATATTCTGCGCCACCGGAGCAAACGTCGACATGATACCCTCCTATTCCATCCGCGCTGGCGGCCGCAACCTGCGTGAGGACTGGGCACCAGGCGGAAAGCCGGGCTTTCCCAAGACCTATCTCGGCAATGCAGCCCCCGGCTTTCCCAACCTGCTCTTCGTCCATGGGCCCAACAGCTCCGGACCCTCGGGATCGCTTCCGCACAGCGTCGAGAGCCAGGTGACTTTTGTGGCCAAGGTGTTGCGCAAGGTCTCACACGAGGGCATCAAGACCATCGTTCCATCAGACAAGGCCGCCGACGACTTCACCGCCTTTATCGACAGCTTTTTCAAAAAGACTGTCCTCACTGAGGCCTGCAGCTCCTGGTACAACGGCGGCCGTGTCGGGAACCGCATCGTTGCTCTCTGGCCTGGCAGCTCCAGCCATGCTGCCCTGGTCCGGCAAAACCCGCGATGGGAGGACTGGGAGTACGAATATCTGTCCGGCTCGGGAAACCGCTTCCTCTGGTACTTTGGCAACGGCATCACCAAGCGCGAGACAGATCCCAACGCCGACATGACGTCCTACCTGCAAGTGGCCGACGATGTCGATCTTCGTGCGGTACACGAGCTGTGGTGGGTTTAGGTTATCACGACCGCTTAGTAATACTAAAGTAGACATGAATATAAAGATAGAATTGAGTGCAAATCAGATTGAGTAGCTGGAGACTTCTAACATCTAATACGTTCTTCGTCATCAAATGTATCGCCACAACACAAACCGCTGCCCCCTATGAGACCAGTGTGAGTACTTCCAGGATATTGTGGTTCTCCAGCGCTACATTTATAGCTTTCCGCTCCATACGTCCGCCACAAAATCCACAACCTTGGTGAACTTGAAGTCTGGCAGCAATTTGTTCCACTCGTCTGAAACTTCCCAGGCACCTTTGGCACAGCCAAGAAGTATGCCCACAAGGACCGTTTCAAACATCTTATCTGCCTCCTCTTCTGAAACGCTATGGTGGCGAAACGCTATGGTGGCGCACCCCCAATTTCCAAGATGCTGTGAGCCTTCAAGCTTCAAGATCTTCAACTTTGACCGCCTGAACCGAAAAGGGCTCTCCTACATGTGTAAGTACTTTGTCAACAAGACACACCATTTGTTGATATATGCTACTTACCGCGCAAACGTTTGCCAACGTCAACGATTTCCGAGATAGCAAGGTTGTTTCCTTGGATGCCTCCGACTTCGGGCCACTCGCCTTCAAAGTCCACAGCGCGTGCCAGAACTGCCGCCATATCCTGAACTGTCGTCATGCTGACGACCGGGTCTAGCTCATCGATGACGATGGCGCGACGATTTTCAAGATCAGCAAAGGTGTTCAACTGTGTCAGGTACTCGGCTGTCCGGTGAGGAGTTGCGAGATAGTTGAGAAAAAGCCCGGGTTGAAACATGCAGTATTCCAGCGCCTGTAGTAGACGGAGTGTCAGACTATAGTAACAGAAAGGGCAGAAACGTTGAAAGGGCGAAGCCCCCACTATCCCACCTTTCCATTTCTGTTCACCAACTTCAGATACTCCTTGATGTCATCTTTTCCCGCCCAGAGTGGCATTCCGGTTCCATGGCTATCCATTGTAAGTTTCTTGACCGAATCTTGGTTGCTGGGAGGTCATCTTTCACCTTCCCCAGTCACTTGGAGCAAATCGCTTCACGCCGGCCAAAGCGGCCGCATCTATCAGATTCTTTTGTGCCGCACTACCTGGGTCATGCAGGGGCTGAATGAATGATAAGACAACATCGGCACCATGCAAAGCTCTCGTTAGTGCCTCTGTATTGTCGTAGTTGGCCTTCTGGCAGGAGACCCCATTCCAGCTGTCGTTTTTTACGACCGTGTCCTGTGTTCTGGTTAGACGCTGACATCGAGTTTGCCACTGGGAGCTTCACAAAAGTACCCGGCGACTGAAAATAACAATTTCGTGCTTTCTGGCAGCTACCAGAGCACTGATGACTTCACTGGCAACCTCTATTTCGAAAGCTAACTCGGGGACTGGAAAGTACGCCTTTATATTTTCCTCACCTCCGGAGCCACCAGCAACGATGATCTTCACCATAATGACGAGACAGATAGGTTTCTTTTCGTCAAAGCTAACATAGGGCTCCTATATGCACTTTGGATTAGATCCGTACCTACGGTAGCTTTATGTATTCGACCTAGAGTTGCGGCATATCAAGTAAAGCCTCTGGGAATATCTAAATGGACCGAACTAGCCAATTGGATTTTAGCTTCGGTATCCGAAACTCTCGATGGCCCGCTCTTCTAAAATGAAAACAACCCTTCTAGTAGCCAAAAAAGAGGGACCAAAGGCGTTGCAATACAAAGCTCTCATACATATGCAGGATTCGAATGGGCTCTAGCTGTAGTCTCAAAGACATAAAAGTGGCTACAAAGACTGAATGAATATACAACACGTTTAGCGCGTAGCGCATTTGCATGTTTCCCAGTGTACCAATTTCAAAATCCCCGTGTGGTACGTCGTAACGCCATTTTCGAGTCCCACATAATACCTTTTTTCACACCTTTGGTTTACGGCCGTATACCACGCGTTGCCGTATGTAACAATGGTATTCGCCCTTTTTGAATTCGCGGCGCAGGTGGGCAGTATACACCATAATCTGCTCCAGTGTCCAGCCGAGGGTGTTGGACATGAATAGAATCCAACCTTCCACGTCATTTAGGACACTGTACATGATCAACTCGCCGATTTCGCGCTGGCGCTTGTCTTTGGGCCAGATACCGCTAGGGCACTTGAAGTTCGTCACCTGTATGTCGACGAAACCGGCCGCCTCCATGGCCTTCACCTGTATGTCGTCCTCAATTACACGGGCTGTACGGCCAATCTTATCGCCGCCCTGGAAGAAGATAGGACCCCACTGTGCATTCGCCGAGTTGGCAGGCATAGAACCGTCGTCAGAGTGAGTCAAAGGCGACGACTCGAAGCTCTCGAGGTAGCCTCCAGGCTCTAAAGCGGTGTACGCCTCCCGAAACAAGGCATACCAGTCCGGGATGCTGCCGACCAGGAACTGCATGTGGACGAAGTCGAAGCTGCCGGGGGTAAAGGTCCAAGGCTGAGTGCAGTCCTCGATCTCGCTACACCATGTTAGTAAGCTGAAGAGATGCTATCATTTTCACAAGCTGTGGTACAAGCGGACATACAAGATAAGATTAGGCGGCACCCATGTAGGCTGGATAGGCGAGACATCTGTACCGATTACAATGGTCTCAGGGTGGGCGTCGGCAAAGTCGCTGTGCTGTTAGCGTATAAGCTTTTTTGCGTCAGATAGGGGGAGATATACATTGCCCAGATGCCTAGACGAATGTCCGTCAGTTTCTTGACCATACTTTGACGGCAATCCTATTTAGGCTTACCCGTCCCAGTACCAATGTCCAGCACTTTCTACAGTTGATTGGTCTATGTTAGCAACCATTGTGAGACACCTTCTGATTGTAAGAGCACACCTTTGGATTTTCAACGGGTGCCAGATGCAGTTTCTCGTCCAAGAGGAGGGAGGTTGCATGGTAGCTGAGTCGTAGAGTGAGTTAATGCCTGCAAAGGGCGGGCTCTGGTACAAATCTGAAGTTCTTACAACATGTCTAAAGAGTCGCTATGCCGGCCATCGTTGGATCCCCAGTACTGAGCAGTGCCTCGATCGCTGTGGTACGTGCGGCCTTTAAACGTCCTATAGTTCAGGATCGACGAGGTAATGGAGGCGGTCGAAGATTGAACATCATTGACCGCCAAGTCGTCATCGTAGTCATCCTACAAGTGTTAGGTTTGAAGTTTACGCAGTTTCAATGCTTACCGGGGCTTCATCCCAGTGTTCACCAGGAAGGACCGCTGCCACTTCCACCGGTACAGACGTAGGTTCTGTCTCCGGTGGCACGACGGCGGCAGGGGACGAAACGCTTGTGGACATGGTGTGGCGAAATAAGTTAAAAGAAAGAGTATGAATGTATGGTGCCGAACTTCTTACTCAGAAAGAAACAGAGAAGGGCAGGGAAAGCAGCTAAAGAACGAAAAATAAATTACGACAGCAAGAGGGGAAACATCCATAGCTCTATCGGCTGGGCCTGCGCATGCATTAAGAACATCGAAACGCAATATGGCACGAGCGATTTTCGACGAGGAGCAGGTGAGAAGACCCGCTTCCTTGCATTGCGTGTTCTTGGTGACTGTTTGTGCTGCACCAGACTGCATAATCAAATTCCTACGGAGTACGGAGCAAGGTAACATTTATTGAATGGAGCGGGTGGCCAAACAGGTCAGCCCATTCAAGCCCACTATCTGCAAGCGATGCTTGCATCTGGGAGTGATACGTCTGTTATCTTGCAGCGAATGCAGGGATGCAACCGTTGAAGCGAATAGCATCGATATGAGGGTTTGCATACGAGTACGTAGTATGATATGTGACCTGTCAAGGGTTAACAGGATCCCATGTATTTAACCAGGGAGGGCTCGGAATAGCACGGATTCGAATCCGGACCATCATCTCGTGTTTAGCTCGGTTTCTCCGCTCGACTCGCTCGACGCTTGCTTCGGATCCGACAATTCCAGTCTAGCCCGGGTTTCTGTCAATAATCACTAGTTCGCTGTACGATAACGAATGCTCGGATTACCACCAAGACCGGAGTATTGCCTTAACAGGGTGCATTTCCGTCTTGGATAAGCGGCGCTTGACCGAGCTTACCTGTACGAGCACGGAGTACAACTCGTATGTGTGCTACGAGTACAGTGCAGTCTAGCTTACTCATACGTCGGCACAATGTTCCCCCAGAGTTTAACCACCCGTCCGAAATGTGGTCGAATCTTGTGCAAACCTGATGCCCGCGTTGATCTCAAAATGGACACCAGGGCCCCAACTACCTATGCACGACGAGTAGCAAAACCACCAAAACTGCGAACCTCTTGCGATGCTTGCGGCGATGCCAAAGTCAGATGCGATAGTGGCCGTCCGACTTGCCACCGTTGTAGCGAACTCGAAATCCAGTGCGTCTACAGCGTTTCACGTAAGCATGGACGGCCGCTCAGAAGACCTTTACGTGCGCGGATGAGCAGCGGTGGACAAGCTGGCCCGATGGCTGGCCCGTCACGACAGCAGTCGGGAGTGCAATTTAGGGAGAGACTCGACGAAATCACAGCCCCAGAGTTCACCGCGACACGAGCAGAGACGATTATCCTACTCTAAACAAATCAGCCAGATCTGGGGTCGGGCCTGGCCCTTCCATTGAGTGGTGATCAGCCGGATCTCAGTCTCGATCTCTTTGGCCAAGAGTGGTCTCAGTTCGGCGTCATGGATGTCGGCATGCATATGCTGCCCTCCCCGGATGCCCCGACAGGAGATATTCTGATGAGCCGGGAGCCTGAAAAGATGCCTTGCACATCCCACAGTTGCGCCCGTGAGTCCTATGAAATCTTTGCGGACCTTATCTGCCCGGCGCCGGATCTCCACGCCCCGCAGACCAATATGGCCACGGTGCCGGCACAGCTGGACCAGGTACTTCATTTCAATCGCAAGGCCATCGAGCGACTTGACCAGCTTCTCGCGTGCCCATGCGCACAGTCCTGTCCACCGCATCATGGTGCACGCCGCCACCATCTCACGCATCCTCATCTGGTACCAACAAGCGGCCGGATGGACATGCGACATACCCGCCGAGTCTACGCTGGGCGATGCTGCCGTGTGCTCCTCCGACAGCTCGAACACGTCTTCCCCGTCGTCTTCTCCGTCACGAGAAAGCGCCCCCGAATGTGCCAGACGAAGCATACGAACCTTCCCGCAGACGACCGGATTTGTTGTGACGAGTGTGCCAGCAGCGCTGGGCACCTTTGGAATCGAGGACGAGAAGATCCAGGCGACTATCCGGCGGCATTTAGTGCTGAGTGAGCTGGAAAAGATGGGAATTCTTATCGACACCTTTATTGCCCAGTTCAAAGAAATATCACCTGTTGCGGGAGTTGTGGGTAACTGGCTGCTGAAAGAGTATTCGAAAACGGTGCGAGCCTTAAAGACAGACTGACTGGACTTTGGGTGGTCAGTAGTGACATTTGCTTAATCTCAGCATGGGCTATGTGACATTTGCTGGTAGTAGCTACAGACTCCTGGTAACCTACTCCTTATTTAGGAAAGTTGCCTTCCTGAATCAAATCTGAAGCCAAAATCTTTCGATCAACGTCTACTTTGATATAATAAAGGACATGGCAGCATCCCTTCCCAGGAGTTTTTATGACGCACGAGGCACGGGAAAATAAGGATCATTCCTGAGAATTCATTACTACAAATCAGTCCCCTACTTAGGCTTGTTACGCCTGCGCCGAAACCAACAAGCTAAGCCCGGTTAGCTCAATCGGTAGAGCGTGAGACTCTTAATCTCAAGGTTGCGGGTTAGTATTACAGAGTACCTTGACCGGAATGCACTACTAGTAGTCATCAATCTAACAAACACCTAACAGGTTCGACCCCCGCATCGGGCTCAATTCCTGGTGCGCCTGTTCAACAGGCTATTCGAAACCAAGATCACGTTTTTTGCAATTTTTGTCAGCGTTAAGCTTTATTGATGCCCATGCTTATACCACAATGTCAGTTTGAGCAGACTTGTGCCTCTGCAACAAGTAGAAACTGGCTACTTCAGGCGCGTGTACTAAAACGTTCTAAAATCCGGGCCTCACAGAGCAGCCTCCATCTTACGAACATGACAGGCCTGGAATAAATGGGAGGCATATGGGCGCCAAATTCAACAGTTTGGACTCGATTCAATCACTGCATTTTTTTTCCTTTGAAGGCTTTAGTACCAGCCATGACGATTTGATCTGAAACATATCTAGGCAATCCCGTCCTCCTCGTCGAATTCGTCATCTCGGAAGCTCAGCCGTTTGAAGCTTCCTGTGATTCTTTCCTCGTTTCTTTTTTGGACTTTTCCGGTATGTATCTTTGGTACCACCTCTTGATATAGTTTAACTTCCACAGCCCAAATCCGGTTAACCCGACGACAGCAAGGGTAACGACCTCACCAGTAGCTGCGACAAATTTAAATCGTTAGTACGGCGAGAGAGCACGATAGATAGCGATGGGTTAATATGCTTACCCATCCATTTAGCTGTCCACCCCGGAGACAGCCTGACACCAGCGTCGTCCCGAGGAAAGTAGTCGAAAGGAATGGCGAACAGACTTGTCAGAAATGACAATGGAGTCTACACATAGCACATTAGCCGGATTCAGACGCTTGGTGTTGAGGGCACGTACGAATACAATAGTCACCAGCGTGAACAGCATGATGTATCTGTTGAGGCGACCAGCCGTCATTGCCTCATCTAGAGCGCTTTGCGCTTGCTTCAACGCGACGAAGTAATCAAGCTGCGGCATAGTCCGTTAGCACCATGTAACATGTAACGCGCCGATGGCCGCCTGGTAAACAGTCGAGTCGGAATGCGGTTTAGGTAGATATACAAACCCCTTCAACCGTTCTCTGTGCATATCTGTCCAGATTTTTGACGCGATCAATCAAGCGTAACAATCCGCAATCTTTTACAAACATATGTTTGCCAAGGGTTTTTTCTCCCCAGAAGACGTCAGAAAACTTATCGACAACTTCATGTTGCAGCTCCAAGATTCGGCGAATCAAATGCAGCTCATCTCGAATGTCTTTGACTTCGTGGATCGATGCCATCTCCACTGATATATTCTGCGCTAGGTTGAGCTTCCTCTCGTCTGAAGATTTTTGGAAATCCCTGAAGCATTTAACCTCATCATTTGACTGATTCAAGACACGTAGAATACAAAGTTAGTGAGATAGCTCCTTATATACTGGCAACGCACAAAGCTCGCGAATCTTACGTACCTTTTTCGCCAGAGAGATCTCAAAGATGTCAAGCAAGTGAATACCCAACCCAGCGTTCCAGAACTCTTCTAAGAAGGTGACGCACTTGAAGAGTATATTTTCGATAAGCTCTTCTGGTTTTTTGTACGACCTTATGTCGCCCTGGCGAATAGTCTCAAATAGCGTGCTTTCGAAACCTTGATGGTATCGGTCTGGGAATGCCGTGATAACAGTGTCTAGACTTCAGTGAGCCCGAATATACAAAATATTCACATCCAAGTTCAAAAAGGAACATATGGAATTTGCTCACCCTTGTCAAGCTTCCAAAGCCAAAGTTGGTTAACCATTAACAATTTCTCCACGACGTTGGTCACCGGACTATCCTTTTCCGTACTGTCGCCCGGCTCATTCACGCTGTCGTCGTCCCGAGTCTCATTTTCGTAGAGAGATGATGTACCTGCTCAGTCATAGGACGTCAGGGCAAGTAAAAAGCTAGTACAGGGATTTTTTTGCTTTCTACTAGGGAGACAGAAAAGTGACTTACCGTCTTTGGACTCCATCGTGTTTTCAACTGCTGCGTGGTTAAGGTCACTGAACCATCTCATGACGACCTGGTCTTGATCACGTATTTTCAACTCTTCTTTATCAAGCATGTCGTAATACGACTGATCTAGAGTTTGTGTCTGATAGAGTCCTGATAGGCCAGAATACTCAAAGGACGTTTCCTCCAGTTGGCGCTTATCAACGAACCGGGGTGTTTGCATACTGTCCCGGTCAAGATAGTGCTTTGTCTCAAAGTCGATATAGGGCACCTAGAACGTTTAGTCTGCTGCTTATTGCTTGTGCTTTTTGTTTCTTCTTTGTCCGGGTTATCACAAGCTTACTACGATTGAAATCTTCTCTTCATCAGAAAGTTTCGACCCATTTCTCCAGAGCTCTCGCCTATGCAAGTTGGTAGCCTCGGAATTTTTGGGGATGTTGGAGTCTTCCGCTTTGTCTGAATCCTATAATTTTATCTAAATTAGTACAAGTAATGGAATTGTGCATAAAGCTTGGATCTTTCGATTCGTACTAATTGTGTCCCCATGGGAGGCAGATGGCTTGATGGGCTATCACCACTATTTTTTGAAAAGTCTCCCGCCTATTCTATATTAGCGTTGATTCCGCCTACCCTTTCTCAGTACCGAAACCGCACGCACTTACGTGAGGCACTCTCATATATGAGCCATGGCTGACTCCCTTTCGCTGTGCTATATTTCTGGTCAGAAAGTCCCATGCGTCCTTTCTCTTGCCAAAAGAAGGATCGTCGTCGTCACGGGTGAGACACCACACCAAGTCCTAAGAAAAGAATGGTTAGATTTGCGGATCCGTAGTAGCAGCGTTACACAGAAAAACGCACCGTGACCCAGGACATCTATTCCAAAGCGTTAGTTTCATTTGATAGCAAGACAACCGAGGGAAGCCTACCTGGTTTTCAGGGATGTGAATCCACTTCCATACGTTGCTTCGAATGTCGCTGTCGGTGTCTTTGCAATCTGGAAATTCGGTTTTTATCTTATAGACAAACGTGGTCTCCAGGTTTGTCATTGTCCGATTGTTGTCATGAAGAAGGTCATGAATATACACCGATCTGGTCCAGAAGTAGCTCTCTTTCCGGTAGAAAAAATGAATATATGCAAAGAACTTCTTGCAGACATCTTCCTTGGCGGTTTCACTTGCTTCTTTATCATCATCAGTGCGATATCCTTCGTCTTGTTCATTCAGCCGGTGTCCCCAACATGTCGGCGCTTCGTCGGGGATTCTAAAGTCGACTCGACGAGCCTTGTCCCGGGCGGACCTTCCCGTAGGTCGATCAAAAAGGTCACGGATTCTAGGATCAGACAGAATATGTAGATAATCCTGCGGTACCTTATTCGCAAAGTCACGGTACTCAGTATCGGCACCATAATCTATGAGGACCTCGATAACCTCGTGGTATGAATTTTTCACCGCATCGTGTAGTGGGCTATCACCTACGAGATGGGGTTTGACGAGGTCAGAGCATGCTCGAAACGAAGTAATGGCGATATTTGCAGACTCACCATCGACATCCTTGGTATTAATTTCGGCACCATTTTCCAGAAGCTGTTTTGCAATGGCGATCTGTTTCAGGTAGTCTATTTTTTTTGATAACAGTGAAACCATGTGTAGTGGTGTTGCATGTCTGTCGTCAAAGACATTGACGGTAGCACCGCTGTGTAGTAGGAGAGACGTCATATCTACAGAGCCGTGCATCGCTGCGTAATGGAGAGCAGTTCGTTTTTTTTTGTCGCGTACATTGATGGTGTTTCGGTATTCCTTCACTAATTTCCTTGTGACTTCATCCCTTCCATTTCGCACAGCTCGGTGTAGTGCTGTGCACTGATCATCGCCCCATCTGTAGCTGCCTTTGAAGTGTTTGCTGTCAATGAGAAGTTTAACGACACCATCGTTGTCTTTGTCTTTGCCAAGAACAGCAGAAAGTATCTTGTAAAAAGCCGTCTCCAAATTCTCATTTCCCTTGACTTGAACATCTTGACTGAGGAGTTTTTTTATTTCAGCGCGGCTTTCGTTCTCGAGCGGCTTCTCAATAAGAGATTCGAGTCTCGCCTTCCAGTCAGCCAGCTTGACTGACGTCATTTTACTGGGTGCTTTTGATGGCTGGCCTGTGGTTGCATTTCCAGGCTTGTCGTTGGGCGATACGCTGTCTTTCTTATTGTCAAACACTTCTGTCTGAACAATCACTGGGACCTGCTTGTCCGATGATGATGACGCAATGGCCGCCATAGTTTCTTATGCTCAAAAGTCGCATAATCTGTTAGTGGGAATGCTGATATATCGAGAACAACGCCCCAGCACTCATCTAAATATAAGCAAGCTCACCAAATTCAGAAACTGGAAGATTCCGTGTCAATGACACGGGATCCACGGTGTCATTCACTTTAGAAAACCAGCCGCAGTGTAACGCAAGGCGGCAAGGACCTCTGATAAGAGTAAGGCAGCGGGGGATGCGTGGTAGTAAGCTGCATCACGCATATACGACGTAATCCTTGTACATACTCTGTAGTAGCTGTCTAACCTCCTACGACATTGGGCTGGCGGTACATACGTGACTTTACTATAGGCTGTAGATCTCTGCCGTCCTGCACTTCTTATTGGCCAAATATGCTTCTTATCTTGTGCAATTTCAAAACACGAAACGGACCTGCCATTGTGAAGGCAGGCTAACCCTTTATTGTACAGAAGGCTGAACAGGTGTGCTAATTTGCTCCCCCAACCCCAACTAAGGTGTAGCCCCCCTCTCCCCCCCCCCACAAAAGGTCCGGAAAAGAAAGTATGGAGCATTTATTCCTAGTAAAATGTGGTACAATGAGGTACAATGAGGATCAGGCTCATTGTCCTCTATACTTCGTACATCACGTTGCTCGTAGTTCTGACGGGTTGTGCCGTGCCGCCAGTGACGGCTCATCACCAACGTTTTAGGCTTTCACTAAATACCAGCGACCATGATTATCTGAACAATATTACACGGCATGGCCTTGCCTAATGTATGTCTCCAAAACTAAACCTCCCGGCAACTTATTGTCCCGAGCATTCCGTCCCGCGTCGTAGGACACATCATGTTTTGCGCTCAAACATGCGAAACTTGCAGAAACTTGCAGACTTACGAATCCTCTTTATGGAAAGCTGCATTGCTCCCATCGTGATCTGGAGTATGGAGCTTTGGGCATATTGGTGGGACGTCGGTATGGCAGCTTCTTTACGCCGAGTTTTTACTTTTCAGCTGCTTACTTCTGCGTCTCACCTCTTCTTCGGTATGGCACCATTTCAAAAAGACGACGTATCAATTTTTATTTTGTCCACATGTCAAGCTAGAGAAGCACACACTTACGCATGTTTGCATGCTCGAATTTTTATTTCAGCTCGGGCGAGTTACCAAAAAGCGTCTCCATCATAATCGCCGGGTATCGGTCGCCTTTGGAACCGCCTACACTGTCGATGGTCTTGCGAACCTCGGCTTCTTCCTCCTTTGTGAGCGTCACATCGACGGCCTTGGCATTCTGCTCAAGGTATTTGAGCTTCTTTGTGCCGGGGATTGGAATGAAGTCGTCACTGTTCACGTCAACACATGCATGCATCGATGTAACGCGACAATACCCACTTGGATACCGGATCACGTATTTCAAGTCGTTGATTGTAATCACTTACCCTTGAGCCAGAACCCAGGCCAGAACCAGCTGTGCAGGTGTGCATCCCTTCTTCTCGGCAATCGCAGAGAGCTTGTCCACGAGTACGAAGTTGGCGTTGAAATTCTGCTCTGAGAACCGCGGATGGTTATGGCGGTTGTCACCGGCGTCGAGGTCAGCTCGGCTCTTGATGCCACCGGTCAAGAATCCACGTCCCAGCGGAGAGTAGACGACGATCTTGACGCCCAGTTCGCGCGCGGTTTGCAGGAATTTGGTCTGTTCCGATTCGATCTCGAGTGCAAAAGGTGAGAATTCCATCTGGGCGGCGGCGATAGGGTGGACAGCGCACGCCCTTCGCAGAGTTGCGGCGGAACACTCGGAGAGCCCGAGATAACGTATCTTGCCCTCGTTCTTCAGCTCCACCATGGCCTGCACCGTCTCCTCGATGGGCACGGCCGGGTCCACGCGGTGCTGGTAGTAGAGGTCGACGTGGTCAACGCCAAGACGCTCGAGGCTAGCGAGGCAGGCTTGGCGAACCCAGGCCTTATCGCCTCGAGTAGACGGCTTTCCGGTGGCGTCATGCAGGATGCCAAACTTGGAGGCCAAGAAAATCTCGTTCCGTCGGCCGGTCTCACGGAACCAGCGGCCCAGCAGCTGCTCGTTCTTGCCGAAGCCATAGACGTCGCTCGTGTCCCAGAAGTTGACACCGAGATCGGCGGCCCGGGTGAGCACCTTCAGCGATTCCTCGTCGTTGATGCCGCCAAAGGATGTGTAGGAAACGCTCATACCCATGCAGCCAAGGCCGATGGCGGAAACGGGCGTGTCGCCAATTTTGCGCGTGGGATAGTGTGCCATGCTGCTGTTTACAAAGTGAGTAATGCGGGGTAGAGCAGGAGAAGATTGATAAGGCGCGAATTCGATGTCCCATTTGTAGTCTCACAGAAATCCACAGGACAATGACGCATTTGTTAACGCCGACTCTATCGCCGGATGCAACCGGTACTCCGTACAGCATGACTTCTCCCCGAAGGCGGCTCGGCAGTTCTCGTCGATAAAACCAATGCGTCCGCGCCATTTGAGACATACGTCTACACTAATTACTCCACCTATTAGAGACAGTGTCTGATGAATATCCAGTCAAAGCATATTGACAAGCAAGTCTGGGAAGATTTAATGGAGGGGCACACGCGAGTGCCTAAAATTACGGAGTAAACTTTCCTTGATGCAGAACAAGCTCCTAGTCACGTGCAAGCCAGCGCGCACAGCTCAAAAAGTCCTGGCAGAAGCAGTGCTTCAGAATACAGGCAATACAGTGCTTATACTGTCCTTTAGGCCCACGTGGCCGAAAGACGGGGAATTATAGAGTAGCTTTGTAGTGTAGTACGTCATAGTCAATCTGGTTGATACGAATTTTGATAGTCACTTTCCTGTTTGCTTTCTTACTTCGTTTTTGACTATTGCTCGCGGCCAATCAACACTAGCCGACCTAATGACGCCCGAAGAGATGTCTATCTTGGGAGAGCTCGATGCAGCAGACCTTGAGAACAAGGGTTTACTCGGCCCTGGTACTACCACTGGCTCGAGACGCATCCACAAACGGCTCCTCAATAGCTCTGGCGAGGATGAATATCATGACATCTCTCTTCAGATCAACCTGGAATCTCCCGACGCTACCAATGCCTTTGCTACCATACCAGTCTCGCTGATCTCCCATGATTCCCTTGTTTACTTGGGGTTTTCAGCAGCCAAATCGGATGAGATCTGGAGCCAGTGGACCGACTGGCCTTCTGAAGGGCCTTCTCGTGAAATCGACCCCGATAATGGTGGTCTTCAGGTGACGTTTATCGATTTCGTCAGATGCCGTCTTCGTAACTACGAGGACACATACGAGGACAATGATGACCAATGGTGTCAATGCCTTTCCCTGTGCGGAATGAGCAAGGCTGTCCAGGATGCCATCATGGATCCACAATTTAAGCGCATCCGCCTGACCAATTCGTGTATCTTTTGGATCAGGGATACCATTGTCATGCGGTATGCCGGGCTGGAAGACATTCAAAGGGCTTCCCGTCAGCGCGAGATAGACTTGATTCGTGTCAGAGATTGCCAGGATGGAAGTGGAAGCGGTCGTGGTGCTCAAAGCCGAAATGGACGAGATGGAAGTCCCCAGCCAGACGATCATCAACAGGCCACGCCTTGGGTCCCACATGTGTTATGGAACTCCGCCACCATGATGGAGGTCCGGAACAATTATGGCCATATAGTTCTATTCAAGGACGTGGTTCACGCACAAGTCGCCGGCCTTTTCGACGATAGCGGCAAAGTTCAGAGGATTGAGAAGCTCCTCAGCCACAGTCCCTCAGATTTCAGTGCAGCCCGGTCTCTCTTCTATTTCACGCCAGACCACAGAGAAGCAGAATACCGTTGTGCCTACGCAAAACGCCGTGCCAATTGCGAGTCCGTTGTCATGGTCTGTCTTACGATCCCTCAGACAGCCATTGACAAGCTGAGAAGACCTAAGCTCCAACGCCTGTACTGGCCCTCTCCGGAGTGGAAGCAGGTGGTCTGGCGCTCCAAAACAGTCAGATCCCTCCCCTCGGCGCTCCGAAAGTACCGCGATGCTCTCCTTATAATCGGTTCTGTTGCGAACGGCACCCAGCGCAAATTTGAGAACATGAAGTCGTGGGCGGACGTAGCCGACGATGCTGTTTGTTGTGATGTGTCATCCGGGGATCCGACCGTTCAATATGTCTTTTCAAGCGAAGAAGAGGGCTGCAAGTTTCTTAAGAAGTACGGCAAGTTGGAGGTGTTCCCCTTCGCTGCGGCCGAGCTTCAGAAATTTCTAAAAAGAAATCCTTAAGATATATGTAGCGAAAAAGGAAAATGTGGCTTAGTACGGAGTAAACACATGGCATTCTCGGGTTATTTTGACTTTAAGCTACGTTTGTGTACATGTCAATAAAAGACGTTATTAGCCTGTATTGTTTATTTCCGTACTAGTCCGTACATGTAATATATAATAACCATAACGATGCTTTATATTTCATAGTCCTCAGTTGTTATGGCAGCTACGTCGTACGTCGTACTATGTCTACATTTTTACGTAACACAATGTCGCTTTTGTTTAGGGTAACGTTTAGGGGTCTAGCCTGCTTCGGTAGGATCGGTATCGCTACGGCGGTACGTGCCCGTTTCGCAGCAGGCAAGGTGGTGGGTGCTAGCGCTATTGTTGACTTTTTACCTGTAACGTCGCTGTTAACGTCTTGTGGCGCCTGCGGCGGCGTGCCTAGGGATTGAGTCCCTTCGTTGGCTATGCCGGCGAGGGGCGAGGTTGAGCTTGAAAAAGCAAATTTTGCTAGCGTCGTTACCGTTTTTGCTGGAATAACGTGCGCTACACTAACAGTAGCAGCTTAGTGCACGAATAATTCAGGGGAAGGTGGGAGCGCCGGCAATGCTCATAGCTTGGCAGTTCTTGGCATGTTTAGGGTAACCTTCGACAACGAAGCGACAACTGAGGCAATTTAAAAGGAGCTTTTAAAGGTACGATGCAATGCCCATAATAAGGGGGCATTTACGGGCGGATACTACGGCAATTGGCAAGAGATATAATCTGTACGTCGCAGTCAAAGGATAAGAACTGGGCGGACAGAATAAGCGGAAGTATGGCCTAACACCACGGCTTCTACGGAGTACTCCGTAGTACTCTGCACTTGTATCTAGACTTTCCGGGCTTTTTAGGCTTCATTGCTCACTGCCATTTTCGATTTGGTTTCTTGGCTTTGCCATAGCCTATGATTGTTACCTGCTATATCTGTAGATTGGTTGATATACAAAGTGGTGCCTTCTTTGCCTGCATCGACCAACGGCGACTTGACTCCTGATACAGATAGATGTCGGGTTCTTGGCTTGCCGTCATTTGTGTCCTGCTTTGTATAGTATAGAGCGCCCTTTGACATTAACATAGCTGTACCACAGAACACAAGAAAAACACACCTCTTCTAGCAACCAATAGACTCACCATATCTGACCCATCACCATCCTAACGAGTGGCCCCTCTTCTGTTTTACTCACTGCATCTGCACAACATACGTGGCTTACGAGTGATTGGTTCATCCATGTAGGTGCGGACAGCTTTTCTTCCCGTTCCGGCCTCATTCCGGGGGTCTGCCGATGTCTGTAGCAGAATATACGGAGTAGAGTGCGCTAAGCACTGGCGTTGCAGTCGCAATTCTGCTGTGCTCTTACCCTCAGACCGGACGGAGTAGAACAGGCCACTCTCTGCCAAGAGGCGACAGCAACAAGCGCAGATGCCAAGCAGGTTGCCAAGTCGGTTGCCAAGTCGGTTTACGAAGCATAGCGCCTGACAACCTTTGCGCCTTCCCTATCTGTGCATCGGGTCCCGAACCTCCACAGGGAAAGCATGTCCCAACGCAATTGCCTCTTTGATTGCACCGAGCGGCTCTTGTAGCTCGTCACGCCGACTGCTATATCATCTACCTTCTCGCTTGCTCTCTTTGTTCTGCATTTCTAGTTGCCTCACCTCATGCTCTCTGTTCTCCTCGACTGAACACTCCCGTGTCCAGCTCTCCGCGCCGCATCTTCTGTCCCATACCCTGTTCCTGTGCTCTGTCTTCGCTATGACTGGCTGGAAGGCACCCTTGGCGACAGCCCTGCTCTTGGGCAGCGTTTCGGCTGTTCCGCTTCTCGAGGACAAGCAGCAGCTCCACGATGTCAATGTGCGCGCGTCCAGTAAGCCGCTGGTCGACAGCGAATCGCTGCAGGCGAGCATCGCCGCACCGCAGCTGCTGGACCGCGCCAAAGCGCTCTATAGCATCGCCCAGGCCGGCACCAGTGAGTACGGCCACCCGACGCGCGTGATTGGAAGTGCCGGCCACGAGGGCACGCTGGACTACGTCTACTCGACCCTGTCCTCGCTCGGCGACTACTACACTGTGTGGAATCAGTCCTTCTCCGCGGTCACCGGCATGGTCAACAGCTCGCGCCTCGAGATCAACGGCACCGTGATGGAGTCGCTGCCGATGAGCCTGACGCCACCCACCACAAACAAGGAGACCGTCGCTGGCCCCCTTATTCTTGTTGCTAACACCGGCTGCGATGCCTCTGACTACCCGGCCAGCGTTGCCGGCGGCATCGCTCTTATCAAGCGTGGCAACTGCACCTTTACCATCAAGTCCCAGCTGGCCGGCAACGCCAGCGCTCTCGCCGCTGTCGTATACAACAACGCGGACGACTCGCTAGGTGGCACGCTCGGCGAGCCGGCCGCCTCGCAGGTCGCTACGTTCGCCATCTCCGGCGCCGATGCTGCTCCTATTGTGGCCGCTCTCCGAAACGGCACCAAACTTACCGCCACCGCCCTTATGGACTCGGTCGTCAATGTCGTTCAGACAAAGAACATCCTCGCCCAGACTGTCGAGGGCGACGCCAACAACTGCGTCATGCTCGGCGGCCATAGTGACAGTGTCGCTGAGGGCCCTGGCATCAATGACGACGGCACCGGTAGCCTGGGCCTCCTCGAGCTCGCCACCCAGCTCGCGAGTTTCAGCGTTAACAATTGCGTCCGCTTCGCCTGGTGGGCTGGCGAGGAGGAGGGCCTCCTGGGCTCCGATTACTATGCCGGGTCCCTGTCCGATGAGGAGAACCTCAAGATCCGCCTGTTCATGGACTACGACATGCTTGGGAGCCCCAATTTTGCCTACCAGGTCTACGACTCCGTCGACAGCGAGAACCCCGACGGCTCGCAGGCCCTGCGCGACCTCTAATTAGTTGGAGCATTACGTAAGCAATTGTCTATGCAGTGTCAAGACTGAAACTTGTACTCTCAGGACTACCATGCTTTGAGGCCCAACAAGAGCTACTACGGTATGGTTTCGCCCTCTTTTTGCTGCCCTTGTTCTCTGCCAACTAGCAGGTTTGTCCAGGCATTATCTCAGCCAAGGGGACGGCCATAAGCTGGTCGACGGTCTTTCCAATAGTAGCGACCACCGACTGTACATTGACAGCCAGGTTTTCGAATCAGACGACCAGCCCTCGGCCGGTGTGATGTCCTATGTTCCCTCCACCGGTCCAACGTCGGACGGCTTGTCGATCAAACCCCAGCTGTCTGCAACGTGCGCGTCGATTCTGTCGACGTGGCCCTCGATGGTTACGCCATCCTCAGACCACTCCGTATGTATCTGGGGCCTTGTCTTTGGTTGATTCACAATACCCCACATTAACCGGTCAGCAAATCCGCGAAAGGCTGCAGAGCAACTTCAAGACCACGCCGTACTATCTCAACAAGACGATTCGCGACTCTAGTGTACGGTGCTGTTTTCAACAAGTAGACTGTCTCTATATCCGAGCCAAATCTTGGTGAATTGGATTCTCTTGTGCCTTAAAATATTACTATTATAAGTGAATCTGGAAAGATGAAGACGTTTAGTAACTTTCCCGGTTCTTGTAATGAGGAAAAACACTTTATCAACCACAGGATGTACTCCGTAGTTATTACACACGAACCGGCAGGCGTCCAACCTAGACTTGCCAACCACGGAACTCATTCCTGCGGGAGAGTTCGCTTTTTTTACGGCCACCTTCCACCTCCACCTCCCGTATAGTGAGCAGCCTCGATGAGTCTGTCACGGCCACTTACCTCGGACGGCCTTTTTCTGACAGAAGGCTGACTATATCAAATTTAGCACCAACTCTAGCTTGAGCCTTCCTATGCTGCTTAACTCGCATTGGCTCGTTCGACTCAAACACCAGCGGCGTCGACCACCACTACCTACAGTGGGCTGACAGCGTTGTCTGTAAAGTACACCGCTGCTTAACCGTGCTACAACCCACTTCAACTGGAACACGAATATGTCGAATTATGGGTGCCCCGTAAATGCCGACGTGCATGGAAACCCTGCGCCAAACAGTACATGTATCTCCCCATAGCACGGCACAAACCTTCACAACCCACCCAATTTGGTCTAGTTCATTCGACAAATCAAGCAGGCGCAAATAAGCTTACACCGCTGCTTGTGACAAGTAGAGTATGTCGTACTTTGTAGCACTGCGTCCGGGTTTGCTCGGGTGGCATCGTGCGAGAACAAGCTTACCGACCGGATGGATGAGCTTGGGATATACGACGTATACGAGGCGTATGCTAGGAATGATGCTCTGAAAGCCCCCCTCGTCTCCGCTGCTCGCCGAGTATATGTTGGACGTCGTCTGCCGAGGTCGAGGTGGATGCTCTGGCAATCTGCTCCCAGAGCTGATCATCTAGGCATTCCGACCACCGATATATCGTGACCTCCACCCACGATGCTCAAGACGCTGCTGCTGGCCGCCACGGCCGGCCTGGCCCTCGCGAGCCCCGTCAGCCGCCGCGAGGTGCCCGCCACCCACACGCTGCACGAGCGCCATGCGCCGCACTGGGCCGAGCACTGGTCCAAGCGGTCCAAGGTCCCGGATGACGCCGTGCTGCCGATGCGCATCGGCCTGACCCAGCAGAACCTGGCCGCTGGCCACGACAGGCTGATGGAGATCTCGACGCCCGGCTCCGCCAACTACGGCAAGCACATGACGCCCGAGGAGGTCCACGACTTCTTCGCTCCCTCTGCCGCTTCCGTCGACGCCGTGACCGCCTGGATTACCGGCCACGGCATCGCCGCCGACCGCATCGGCCTCTCCGTCAACCGCCAGTGGCTGCAGTTCGACGCTACCACTGCCGAGGCTGAGGACCTGCTGTACGCCGAGTTCTACGTCTTTGAGCACGCCTCTGGCGCCAGCGACGTCTCGACCGAGGCCTACCACGTCCCCGAGGCCGTCCGCGAGCACATCGACTACGTCACCCCCGGCGTGCGCCTGCGCGTGCGCCGCACCGAGAAGACCACCACGCTTGGCAGCGGCGCCGTGCGCGCGCGTACCAACTTTGGCGGCGTCAGGCCCTTGAAGACCAAGCTGTCTAGCTTCCCGCACCCGAACTCGAGCTCGTGCTCGACCTACGTGACGGCCAACTGCACGCGGAGTATGTATCGCCCAGCTGGCCCATCCCTGTTGCCTGTTGCCTGTGCCGTCCTGTGCTAACGCCCTCCAGATCAGTACAACATCCCCGTAGGCACCACGGCCGCCAAGGGCAACGAGATGGGCATCTTTGAGAGCCTCGACGTCCACTACAGCCGCAACGACCTCGACGTCTACTTTAGCACGCTATACCCGTACGTTTTCTTATTTTTGGGGGGGGTTTATTTCTCCGGCTAACCGCCAGGCACATCCCCAATGGCACCTACCCCGAGGAGCGCCTTATCGACGGTGCCATCGGTGCCACTGAGGACACAACCGATTTCGTGCCGATCGAGCTCGAGGCGCCGCTAGACTTTGACGCCGCCATGCCGCTCATCTACCCCCAGGGCGCCGTGCTCTTCCAGGAAGACGACGAGTACTACGCGACACACGGCAGCACCTTTATGGGCTTCTGGAACACCTTCCTCGACGCCATCGACGGCAGCTACTGCACCTACTCGGCCTTTAACGAGACCGGCGACTGCACCGACCCGGCCTGCAAAGACCCTGTCTACCCAAACCCGAACTCAGGCGGCTACAAGGGTAAGCTGCAGTGCGGCGTCTACACCCCGACCAACGTCATCAGCATCAGCTACGGCAACTCTGAGGGCTACTGGCCCGACTACTACATCAAGCGCCAGTGCAACGAGTGGCTTAAGCTCGGCCTGCAGGGCACCACCGTTCTTATGTCTAGCAACGACGACGGCGTCGGCAAGTGGTGTAACGGCCCTAGCGGCAACGTTTTTGACCCCGACTTTGGTGCTACCTGCCCTTATATCCTTGCCGTCGGCAGCACCGAGTGGAACCGCGCCGCCGATGCTACTGGCTCCGAGGCCCCTAACGAGCCGCTTGTCGAGGTCGCCACCGCTCGTTTTGCTAGCGGCGGTGGCTTCAGCAACGTCTTTGATGTCCCCGACTATCAGAACGATTCCGTCGCCGCCTACTTCGCCCAGGTCGAGAGCTCTCTGCCCTTCCAGGGCTACAACCACTACGTCCATGACGGCAACTTCTCCAACGTTACCGACGGCCTCTACAACCGTGGCGGCCGTGGCTATCCTGACGTCTCCGCTGTCGGCGATCGCCAGGTCATCTACGCCAACGGCTCCTGGTGGCTCTATGGCGGCACCAGCCTTGCCGCCCCCGTCTTTGGCTCCGTCCTCACCCTTATCAACGAGGAACGCATCGCCGCCGGCAAGAAAAGCCTCGGCTTCATCCACAACATTATCGTGAGTCTTTTCCCTGCCCGTCTGAGCTATGCTAGAGGTCTCACACGCGTCCCAGTACAAACACCCCGAGGCGTTCAACGACATCACCTCCGGCAGCAACCCCGGCTGTGGCACGTCCGGCTTCCCGGCAGCCAAGGGCTGGGACCCCGTTACCGGCCTTGGGTAAGACTTCAGACTTTCTTCTATCCCACACACCTCTACCTGTATACTACACGAGGTTAACACCATCAGGTCGCCCAACTATCCTAAGCTGCGAGAAATATTGCTGGCTGCCTAGTGAAGAGACAGCATGATATTCTGTGTAGAATGACACTAGTACAATTATACGTAACTACTATAAGAGAACATGATACCCGTTTGCTTGTGTTTTCATGTGTACAGTTTAGGTGGGACTAGGACGAGGTCGACGATGTGGTTATGATCCAGCCGTTGCGGTCGCTGTCGTCGCGACCTCACTTTGGCCACCTTCGCTATCACTTGTGTTGCTGGTTCTGCCATGAGCGTGTACTTGAGCCACCGGCATCTGCTCGAACATGGCCAGCGACCGGTCTCACGGACTTGTTTGAAAACAGCCCTTACTAATAAAAAAAACTACTTGTATACAAATGTAAGGCAAGAATACAGCCAATTTTCTTAGTGTTGTTGGAGGCTGAAAAAAGGGGCTGCATTTCCAGGCGTTGCAAAATTAGGACAGGAGGACAGCCGGCCGATCGTGGCTTCCAAAAGGGGCGCGATGCAGAGGCTGCTCTTTCCTATAAAGCAGGAGCGATGTATTGGACTTCCTATTCGTGTTATCAGTCACCTGATCTCATCTGCTTTGATTTTAGGAGTTCTAAAACGTCTTTGAAGACTTGGGCTAATATACTAACTAGCCTCTGCTTTGTTTCTCGGCAGCATGGACAACATTATAGACGCGGATGACACTGGGTAGATGCAGCAATACAGTGCTAGACACGAGAGGTTGCCATGTATTCTTACCAGGCAAGCCGAACAACACAAGTAGAAAAGAAGCAACAAGCGTACGCCTTGCGTATAGTTACGCCCTATGCCCTCTTACAGGCGTGCGTTACATAAATTAGTATAAGGCTGTCGTTGTCGAATGAACCAGACCAGAATGGGAGGGGCGTGCACAAATATACAGTGTGATGAAAGCATACATGTACTGTGTGGCGCAGGGGGCTATTTAGTACGTGTTTTGACGCACGTTGTATGGAATCGCTTAGCAGTATTATCCGTTTTTTCAGCGACGCTGTCTTTCTGCTTCCATTCTCGTCAGCCTCCGAGTTTGCCATGGTTTTTAGGAAAGCCATAGGTACCGTTTCATCCGTCATTAGTTCCACCAGTTATGAACATAGGCAGACGCTTTCGTTCGCGTACTCTAAATTTGCCGAGGAAATTGCTACCAACATATCCCGTGGCCTATCTTCCATCCAGCAAGTACGGGATGCAACTGAATTAGATTGACCGGAAAGCCTGGAAATGGATAAAAAATGGCTTAAAGAAGAGAACGAAATAAACTTTTTCTCCACATATAATCATAAGAAGCTAGCTCATTCGAGGACCTGAACGAAGGATGCAAAAGATTACGACAGCATGACAACACGGCAGTATGAATATGAACTTTCTTGCCGCAAATCATCCATAACATTTTCCTCAAGTCTAGACCAATTCTTTCACCTTGGAGTCTGCCAGCAGTTCCGCTACAGTCCTGAACTTGACATTCGTAAAGTACTTTTCTCTCTGTGGCTTGTAGTATTCCTCTGGCATGTATGTAGCTCCATTGTAGAGCCACTCAAATACATCCAGTACGCTCTGCCTTTCGACATCATCCTTGTTAATCTCCATCTCTGCCTCTGTATACTCCTTTGTCTTGTATTGTATCTTGTTGAACTTGCGGCCTGTGCGCAGTCAGAGCCCGAGTCCGAAAGAGACAGAACAGATAGAGGCTGCTTACCATAGAACTCTTCCATCTGCTTGGTCACCTTGTTGAGGGTGGTGTTCTCTCCGACAATAAAGAAATAATTTTCCTAGTGCACAAGTCAGCCTTGGCTATCAGGTGGTCGATCGTGCAGCAAAGACATACCCATTTAGGCAATTTGGCAATCTCAATGGCCGCCTTCATGACGTCACGGCTCGAGGTCATGCCGACCATCTCGTCTCCCGTCCCCATCAGTGTGGCCACCCACTTCTCACGATGCCACGGGTCCATTTCGCCGTAGTCTTTGAGGTATGTCTGGTGGGACGGGACGACGTAGTCCATGAAGAAGCCGAGACAGATAACGGTCCACTCGACTTCTGTCTGTGCGCACAGCTTCTCGCGGATTGGCAGCCGGGTCTCTCCGTAGAAGCGCGGCGTGCGGGGAAAGTCCAGAGCATTTCCGCACCATTCAGACGGCACGAAGCGCTTGCACGACTTGGACGCGATGCAGGCGTCGAGCAGGTCGCTATGGACTTTGACGAAGACAGGGTAGTCAAAGGTGATGTAGAAGACGTAGAGGGCGACGGCGCCGGTGGAGTTGAGGAGCTCCGTCATGGACTCGACCGAGTAGTCGGTGATGGCGACGTTGATATTCGGCTTGTCGTACCATTCCTTCATCTGTTTCTGGTCAGTATGCGTTTTGTTCTGCGCGTGTCTGGAAGCCATCCTGACCTTGCTCGTGCACACAACGACATCAAACGTGCCGTCGGCCCATGATTCCTCGAGGAAGACCCTGGAACTGTTAACTACCTGTGTCTTGTTCCATAACGAGAATGGCCTATGTTTACTTGGCAAGATCGCCAGCTCCGGCCACAGCAATAACAGGTTTTGCCATGATCTTTCGAGGTGTAGTCTGGTATGCAGACAAGTTGCAGTGAAGATAATAAGCGCCTCGTTCGTCTTGATGGGCGGTACGTTCATTCACATATATCATTTCCATATCGATTCGCGTCTGTGGCCGCGTCGATGCTAATAATTCAATATACGGCTCCTCGCTGTTGCTTTCCACACCTTGGCCTTATCAGGTCTATTTACAGCAGCTCGCTGTCAGTTGCCAAAATCTTATCGTCAAACACAGCTGCCTCGGGAAAATACTGTGGGTCCTTTGAGCGTTAAACTTCTCCCACACGGCTCGGATTTTGGTAGCATGGAGTAGTTATGTGATATTCGTGCTCAGTCGTGCATGATGCTACATTGAAGATCTTGACTCTACGGAGAGATAAGATCCAAGGGTTCGTGGGCCAGCAGAAAACAGCAGCCGCTCAGAGGATCTACCGGCAATAAGATGATCTTTATTGTGATGGCATAGCGTGTACACTGAGGGTTTCAAGATTTTAGGGCCATTTATACTTGTTCTCGATTTTCCATAAGCACCCCAAATTATCTCAATTACCCTACTTTTCACTGTCCGCACAGTCTTCTTGTGGCGCTCTTGTATCGCTTCTGATGTCGCCGATGTGAGATGGCGGGAACGCAAGGCCGAATGCCGGGCCGAAGCTGCATGCCCGGCCCATACGACGCTGCTCGGTCTGGAACAGGTCTTCTTCTCGGGTCATGACCCTGTGCAGATCCTGACGTAGTGTAGCGGCCACTCCGTCGGCGCCGGCAGTGTTTTCTGGGCCGAACAACAGTTCTTCGGCCCGTGTGGTCGAGCTGCGGCTCCTGCGCCGTGTCTCGCGTGTGGGCGCCGTGGAGATGGAATCCAGGCCCAGGTCTTCCTCGGAAGCGTCACGGCGGTTCCGAAAGGCCATGGCAGCGTCGATGCGGGACTGCAGCTCGCGCTCCTGGGCCTCGTCGGCCAGGGTGGCGTAGTGCGAGCGGCGGTAGACGCCAAAGATGCTGCCGACGAAGGCGGCGATTTCCCAGGCAAACAGGACAGGCAGGGCGATGTGCAGCTGGGGGTTGCAGCCGTGTGACCAGATGTGCAGCAGGGCCTGGTAGACCTCGTGGGCCGGGAAGATGTAGCCGACGCGGTAGAAGGCGGGCGCGAGCTCAAAGGGCAGCAGGATGGATGTGACGTTCAGGACGATCCACGAGATCAGGGCCATGGGCACGTAGGCGGGCGGCAGCCAGATGGTGAAGACGTCGAGGGTGAGGAAGTTGGCGTGGGCGAAGAGTCAGAGGACCATCCAGGAGGCGCCGAACTGGAGGGCCTGGACGTCCCAGTGGTCGCGAAAGGCCCAGATGGCGCCGGTGGTGCAGAGGGCGCCGATGAGGGTGTAGCTGAGCGCGTTGAGGGTGCGGATCAGGAGGATGCGCAGGGCGTGGATCTTGCTATAGGTGTGGAAGGCTGTAGTGAGGGCATTGATGATGCCGAGATAGAAGAATTCCTGGATCAAAATCAGGATGATGACGAGCGTGTTGTAGATGGCGCGCGAGCCCTGTGGCGTCGGCTGGATGTCGACGGCCACGGGAGTCCAGGGGTTGGCCAGCACGTCGACGGTGGCCGGGCTGCCGAGCGGCCAGGGGATGATGCCATCGCTGTCGGTGGCGGTGCCGTTGGCAGCGAGGACGATGCGAGCGGCCTGGGCGAGCGTCTGGATGCTGCCGGCGATGAGCGCATCGACCACGACCGGATAGCGGGCCTCGTTCCAGATGTAGAAGAGCACGTCGCTGCGGTTGTAGTTGGACGAGACTCTGCTGCTGCTGCTGTTCAGAGCGGCCTGTAGTCGACCAGATGCGCCAGCCGACACGTAGAGGGCGCCCCAGTAGTCCGTTCGACAGACGGCATGGCGCAGGTCCGTGGCCGGCAGCGGGAAGTCGTCACGGGCGCGCTCGATCAGGGTCGGGAAAGCGGTTCCGGCCAGCGATGCGTAGGCCGTGAGGACGGCCTGGCCGATGGGCGAGGAGATCGAGCCGCCATCGTAGTCGACAAAGGCAATGGTCAGGTTGTGGCCGTGGGCCGACTGCTGGAAGAGCGAGCCGAAAATGTAGGCGAAGAGGCCGAGGAAGAGCAGCTGGAGCAGCAGAAAGTTCCGACCGGCAGCGCGCAGAAAGGCGACGATGACCGTGCTGAAGCCTGGATCGTGGAAGCGCAGCCGATTTTGCGTCGCCTTGGGATATAGCCGATCCATGCTGTTCTCGTGGGGGAGAATGTGTGAGAACGTGCTCTCGTCCGCACTGGTTTCGGCGGTTGTTTTTGTCGGTTGTTTTGGTCTGGTTTTGCCGATCAATTATCCCGGTCTCAGTAAGCAATTATTGGCCATGCAGCTCCTAGTTGGATAATCTCGGCTGCTTAAGACGGTGGGGTTTGCATCACCAGTCTAGAAGCGGTGCAACATTGGGACAGAGCAGGCAAGTTGGTAAGCAGCGGCTCGTCTTGAACAAAGGGGTTTAACGCTACGCGACAAGACGTATAAAAGATTGCCGGATAAAAAAGCGCTTATTGAAACTATAAAAAGCAAGTTGTATCTGCCGTTGCCGTCTTGTTGAAAGTCTATATTCGTCCTTGCAGAAAGCCTGTTTACAACGTGGCCGAGATGCTCTCGTGGGCAAACGCCTCGCCGCCCTCCAGCACGGTGAGAGCACCACCGATCAGGTGGAAGCTGCCGGTGATCAGCGTGCGGGTGTCGACCTGGCCGCCTCCAATAGCGCGAACGCGGTCGACGGCGTCCTCGACCGTCGGCGCAACAGCCACGTCCGTGTCTGGGTCGAGCGTCTTCCAGTAGTCTGCGAGTGTCTGCTGCAGCGACAGGCTCTTGAGCTCGGACGGGTCAACGTTGTTGTTGACAAAGTCTGGTGGTCAGCTTTCGGATGCATATGAAAATACAAAACACTTTGCTTAGTAATATACACACCAACTTTCCACGAGTTGTCCTTGTACGTGACATTGGTACAGAAGACGGCATGCTGGAAGCGCACACCCGCGCGGTAGACGGTCTCATGGACGACACGCAGCAGGTCGACGGCGTCGCGCGTAGACTGCTGGTTGAAGATGAGGATGGTGGGCGTCGTGCTGTCGGTCGCCACCGCACGGCTGAACCAGCGACAGGCCACGTCGAGGCTCTGGTGGTTGTGGGCGCCGTCGAGGTACCAGCGCTGGCGGTCGGTGGTCTTGCTCTCGCAGCGGCCGCGCCAGACGACGTTTTCGAGTCCGTCGACGAACGGCTGGGGGAGTTTGGTCCCATCGGCCCCATCGGTCGAATCGCTGCTCGCATGTCTTTCTGTCAGGCCCAGGGCCTCGAGGGCAATCCGGCCGTCGTCCACGCCGAGCCGCCGAAGCACGGTAGCGGCCAGAGCGACAGCGAGGGCGGCATTCTTGCGCTGGAACGGCTCGTCGGGCGTGATGCGAACGCCACGCAAGACGGCTTCGTAGCAGTCCGGCTGCAGGATCGTGAGGCTGCTCTGGCGCTCGGCGGCACGAGCTCGCAGCACGTCCGTCGGGATCGGATCATCCTGCTGGGGCACAGTCAGGGCCGGACAGCCCGGCTTAAAGATGCCGGCCTTGTGCCAGGCGATGCGGTCGATAGTATGGCCGAGCGTGACGACGTGGTCGATGCCGAGCGTCGAGACAGCCGTAGCGGCCGGAGCGACAAACACGTTGGTCGCGTCAAGCTCGCCACCCACGCCGACCTCGTATATGGCCGCGTCGACGCCCTCGCGCACAAACACGTGCAGCGACAGCAGGGTCAGGAAACGAAAGTACGACGGCCTGGGCGCGTCCGCATCACCAGCCTCGAGGGCCTGCCAGACCTCGAAAAAGTACCGCGCAAAATCGGCCTCCGAGATGGGCGCCGAGTCGATACGGATGCGCTCGCGCACGGCCACCAGGTGCGGCGACGTGAATAGGCCGACCTTGTGCGGACCAGCACTGCCTTTCCGGTCGCCTTGTCGGTATCGCTCCAGGATCGAGTTGGTCAGCGCACACGTCGTGCCCTTGCCCTTGGTGCCGGCCACGTGCACCACGTTCAGCCGGTTCAGATCCGCCGGCGCATAGCCCATGTAGCCCAGCCACCGGTTCATCTGCCCGATCGGGTCCTGGTCGTCCAGCTTGAAGCCATCGCGCCGCCGCTGCTCCAGCGTTTTATAGCCCGTCTGCGTCGAGTTGAGCAGCCGGATAGCATCCTGTGGTGGTCAGCATGCGTCCGTGCCAGCCCAGGACCGACCGGCCATCTGCACATGGTTCCCTCTTCCCGGACGTACCGCGTACGTCGGCGTGGTGGACGCCATGGATATCGTCGCCTTGGCTTCACTGATCCGATGCAGGTTGCGGATGGATGGCCGACCAATGCGACAGCTGTAGCGACGGAGGACTCCGAAAAAGGTCCCGTGCATGCCCCTCGGTCGTCCGAGACACGAGTCTGGAAATGAGCCGAAACGGAGGCTGCCTGCGTCTGGTTCTTGTTTTGGCGCAGCTGACGAGACAGACTGCTTGCGCCGATTGCGCTGGAGTCGATTTTTTCAGTAGTCTCGGATATATGCATGTGGGATATGTGCATACAACCAACCATTTGGCACCGAATCGGTTGGGCATTCATTCACGCTGTACGTGTACGGTCAATCGACACGGCTTATGTTCATTCTAATTGTATGTCTGTACAGGTGTATGTCTTTTACAGCTACTGTCGGTCGCGGGCATTTAGAACCGCGCAGTCGCCACGGGCGGCTTGTTGTTCAGGATGGTGTCGATCTCGTCCATGATCTCGGGCGTGAGCTTCTTGTAGATCTCGACGGCGCGGATATTTTCATAGACCTGCTCAGGGCGGCTGGCGCCCATGATGGCGGAGCTGACGTTGGGGTTGTGCAGGACCCAGGCGAGGGCGACGACGCTCTGGGTGGTGCCGAGCCGCTCAGCGATGGGCTCCATCAGGCGAACCTTTTGCACGAGGGCGTCGATGTTGTCCTTGCCGAGACGCTGCCAGAGGCCGGCGATGAACTCGACCTGGGTCTGGGCCAGGCGCGAGTCGGGCGGAACGCCGTCGCGGTACTTGCCGCTCAGCAGGCCGAGGCGCAGGGGCGAGAAGGTCGTCAGGCCGAGTCCGACCTCGCGGTACAGGTGGGCGAACTCGGCCTCGACTTTCTCGCGCTTGATCATGTTGTACTCGGGCTGCTCCATCAGCGGTCCGATCAGGCCGAGCCGGTCGGCGTAGCGCCACGCCTGCGCGATCTCATCCGCGCTCCACTCGGACGTGCCCCAGTACAGCGCCTTGCCCTGGTTGATGACGTGGTTGAAGGCCCGCACCGTCTCCTCCATCGGCGTCTGCCGGTCCGGCCGGTGCGCATACACCAGGTCGACGTAGTCCAGCTGCAGCCGCGCCAGCGACTGGTCCAAGCCCTCGATGATGTGCTTGCGCGACAGGCCCACGTTGTTGGCCCGGTTGCTGCCAAAGGCCGCACCCCAGTAGATCTTGGTCGAGACCACCAGGTCGTTGCGCTTCCATCCGTACTTCTTGATCGCCTCGCCCATCACCCGCTCGCTCTCGCCTTCTGCATACGTCTCGGCGCAGTCGAAAAAGTTGACGCCTGCGTCGTACGCCGCCTTCATGCAGGCGTACGTGCTCTCTGTCGCCATTAGCCGCTCGCTCGCTCTAGACTGAGCTCGTCACACCACACCCTACGCACCGCGGTCGACGTGACCACCGTAGGTCAGCCACCCGCCCAGAGACAGGGCAGACACCTTGAGGCCGGATCTGCCGAGGAACCGGTACTCCATTTCCGGCAGGTTGTCAGGCTTCGTCATGGTGATGCTGGAGGCTCGTGTGTGTTTGGAAACGCTTGCTTTCAAAAATCAATTCACTTGTAACGGCAAGAGAGGGGAAACGTGGCGAAGTCTGCCGTTTTATGTTCACTGCCCGCAGATACGAGAACCGGAGTCTTTATAGCGGACATTTCCCCGCCTAGGTAGGTGCCCATGCTACTGCCCCGCGTTAATTGACACCGACGTGGATCACGTAATCGTGCATGCTTCAGCGTCACGTGTGGTGACACAGTCGAGCATGGTTTTCGTGGGCCCACTGTTTCCTGCCGCGTCGGTGCCGAACAACGCGGTGAGCTAGGAGCCACGCCGGATATATCTCTTTTAACGCCTGTTGTCGCCGTCAGAGAATGGTAACGATCGAGCGAGCCAGAGCGCCATGGCCAGACGTATAAATGACCTTCTTCCGCGTCGGAAACAAGCTGGGAATGCACAGGACATCCGACCGGACTGACCATGGCCGAAAAGCATGACGAAGCCCACGAGGCTGCAGCGAATGCGCCGGACGAGAAGGAGAAGGAGAGCACGCGACCACCAGATGACAGGATAGTGCTGCAGCCGGCAGCCACAGACGGCGACACGACCGCGCAGCCGGTTGAGGGTCCTGCTTTCTCGGCCTTTTCGCGCCGGACCAAGCGGTTCCTGCTGCTGATGACGGCCTTTGCCACGTTCTTCTCGCCCTTCTCGTCGTTTATCTACCTGCCGGCCATCACGCCGATCGCGACGGCATACGGCCGCTCGATTGCCGACATCAACCTCTCCGTCACGCTCTACCAGGTCATGCAGGCCGTGGCGCCTCTCTTCTTCGGCGACCTCAGCGATCAGATCGGCCGCCGGCCCGTCTACGTGCTCACCTTTGCCATCTACCTCGGCGCCAACATCGGTCTGGCCCTCCAACACGGCTACGCCGCCCTGCTCGTGCTGCGGGCCCTCCAGAGCACCGGCAGCAGCGCCACCGTCGCCATCGGCAGCGCCGTCATGGCCGACTTCGCCACCAGCGCCGACCGTGGCGGCTACGTCACCGCCGTCCAGGCCAGCATCATGTTTGCGCCCGCCCTGGCCCCCGTGCTCGGCGGCATCCTAACCCAGTTCCTCGGCTGGCGCTCCAACTTTTGGTTCCTCACCATTGCCGCCGGCGTTTTCTTACTGATCTACGTGCCCTTTGTGCCAGAGGTCGGTTCCTCTGCTAAAGGACGAACAACTTTGTCCTTTTCTTTGCTGACGTAATCTAGAGTGCGCGCAACATCGTCGGGGATGGTTCGCTCCCACCTCCGGCACTGAACCGCAGCCTGCTGGCGATGCACATGCAGAAGAAGCAGAGACAGAGACGGCAGAACCCAGATTCAGAGGCGACGGCATCGACGGAAGCAACACCACCTACACCACCACCATCATCACCACTACCCCCTCGCAAACACAAGATCCCCATCCCCGACCTGCTAGCAGCCGTGCGGATCGCGTTCGAGAAGGACGTCGGGCTGCTGCTGCTGTTCATGTCTCTGTTTGTCATGGCCAACTACACTCTGTTGGTGCCGCTGCAAGACGTGATCCGACGACGATACGGTTTCAACGACGTCCAGGTCGGCCTCTGCTACATCCCGTTTGCGGCCGGATCCGGAGTCGGCTCGCTGGTCACTGGCCGACTTCTCAACCGCAACTACGCGCGTGTGGCCGCCAGCATCGGCGTACGGCCGGACCGCAAGCGTGGCGACGATCTGCGCCACTTTCCCATCGAACGCGCCCGGCTCGACGTCATGTGGCCCTGGCTGCTGCTCGCTGTCGCCATGACGGCCTCCTGGGGCTGGGTTGTCGACGCTGGCACCAGCCTGGCTGCTCCCCTGGTCGTGCTCTTCTTCGCCGGCGCCGGCCTCAGCGGACCCATGTCTGTTCTCACTACCCTCCTCGTCGACCTCTACCCCATGAACCCCGGTCGCGTCTCGTCCACCTTCAACCTTACTCGCGCCGGCTTCAGCGCCGTCGGCACTGCCGTCATCCAGTACATCATCGACGCTTGGGGCTACGGATACACCTACCTCTTCATGGGCCTCCTCGTCCTCGCCGCCAGCCCCGCCATTCTCGTCGTCCGCCACTACGGGCCGCGCTGGCGCGAGGAACGCTACCTGCGCTTCGAGCGCGCCAAAAAGACCCAGGCCGACAGAGTGGATGTCGACAGAGAGTAGCTGGCGGTTAGGCAGTTAGAACCAACTGTGTCACTGTCTTGTCTTTTCTTTTCTGTTCGTCTATTCCTCTTCGACTGTCTATATTTTTCCGCTATGTACAATAGATGAAGGTATGGACTCAGCTGTTCACTCCATGATATATGTCAATCACAATAAACCCTGCCCATCTCACGCATTTCGCGTGTACTCGGACCGCTGCCGCCATTTCTCGCCATGCCGCATCACCAGCAGAGGCAGCGGCACCAGCAGTAGGCTCACCGACGCCAGTGCCGTGAATCCCCAGCCGTAGCCCAAAGCGTCCACCAGCGGCACCACTGTCAGCGGTAGGAATGTTCCGCAAAGACAGCGCGACACGATCAGGCCCGTCATCGCCGACGCTGCGTACAGCCCAAACGCGTCCACCACGTACGACGCCAGCGGGATGAACGACAGCGGCAGGCTCGTGCCCAGCAGCACCACCGTTCCCAGCATTACCGGCAACGGTCCGTGCAGCTCAGCGCACCAGCCATAGCTGGCCACGGCCCCCGGCAACACCAAGCCGCACGCAATCGTCATCGGCAGCCGGAACTCGGGTCGACCGTGCGGCTTCCCGCTTTTCTTTGTGAGGTACACGTAAACGCGGTCCAGCGTCTGGTTGCAGATCATCACGCTGATAGCAGCGCCAAGGCCTGAAACTTGTCAGAAGGCAGCCAGGCAGAAGACAATGCAGGACAACTCACTAAACGCCAAAAAGGCAGACCCTGTCCCGGCAGATGACAGCCCGTAGCGCGTCTCCAGGATATGCGGCAACGACACGGACATGGTGTAAAAGTACGAGAACACGACAGCACCAAACAGCGACAGCAACGCCAGCACGATCGAGTTGGTCATCACCACGGCCGGCCGAAGAACGGCGTCGCGCATGTGTCGCAGACCGGACACGGAGCTCGCCGGTGTTGACATCGTTGGGTCGAGTAGGGTGGTCGTCAGCAAAGCGCCGCTCTCAAGGCTGGCCGTTGTCAGCTTGCCGTCGGTCAGCTCGAGCCGCAGCCGCCGTCGGCGCAGCACTGCTGGCGGATACGTCTCGCGGAACGCCACCAGGAACAGCACCGCACACGTCGACGCCAACACGGCGCTCAGCCACAGCACCGAACGCCAGCCCCAGGTCCCGGCTACAGCCCCTCCGATCGCTGGGCCCACAGCGCCGCCCAGTAGTGGCGCCATCTGCACGATCGCCATGGCCGAGCCGCGTTGAGCCGGTGGAAACAGGTCGCCGATGATGGCTGGACCGAGCACGTTGGTGGCCACGGCGAGGCCCGTGAGCCCGCGCGCAGCAATGAACAGCGACGTCGACTTGGCCATGGCTGCCGCCGCCGTCGCACCCACAAAGAGCAACGTGGCCGCATTGAGCACCGCATATCGGCCCCATGATGCCGTCTCCGACAGCGGCGCAATAGCCAGTGGACCGGCTGCTTCGCCGAGCTCCCAGATCGTCACAAGCAGTACGCTGGCCGTGCTGCCCGAAGACGATGGTGCGTTGCGCGAGTCGCCCGAGAGGCCGTCCAGCTCCTCCACAATGTGCGCGGCCAGCGGCACGATCGAGATGCACGTAAACGTCACTGTGAATGCCATGGCCGCTAGAAGCATCACGATGCCCCATTTAAACGCCTCCGGCCAGTCGCGCGGGTTGTCCGGGTCACCGCTGGGGTTGAACCCAATTCTCGGGTCCACCGATGTGATGCCTTCGTCGTCGTTGAAGCCGCCGCATTCGCCCAATGCCGCTGCCACCAGCGTCGGCGACGGCGACGCGCTGACAGCCACGCTGCTGGAGCCGCTGTTGTCCCGCAGAAGCGGCTGTCTCTCCGTGGCTGCCGACATCGTTGTGAGGCCGGAGGGGAGAGAGGGGCGTGTGGGCAGCACGAACGCGTGTCGAGTACAAATTGTCGAACTATGTAAAATGGCGGTCGGACTGCTCGGAAATCCTATCTGGGGACGGATCGTTCTTATAACCCACCCGATTCGCAGTGGAAGGCTTGGCGGCATTGGCAGCTTGTCAATTCCACGCCCTTTGACCCTTTTGACCCTCTGCCGATCTCCGTTATCTGGACCCGGCTGTCGTTTCTCTTTTCGGAGGTGGCGGCGCTAATGCAAGTGAGGACCAGTCGTCAGTGGCGGGGCCTTTGTCGTGCTACGAATATCTCCTCCATTTTTCCATATTCATTCCGCTGGCCGACCTCGGCGGATGAGCAGTTCTCGGGATCATGGCGGTCTGAGCCGTGGAGCTGGAACTTTGTTTCTTCTCCGCCTTTGTGTTCATTTATCGCAGCTCGATGATGGCCGAATTTTAATCGAGTAGCGAGTCGTTCAAATTCTGCAGATCGTCTATCAAAAAGGTATCTCGCCACCAACAGCGGGCCCATGCCTTTGCGATCTGAACTAATACTCCATAGACGGTAAAAGCTAGTGCTCAATCCACTCCGTAAACACGAGCTATTGATGAAAAGGTCGCATCCGCATTAAGCCCCATCGAAGCGCAATACGCCGAATATCGGCTCTCAGTGAAGGTTTGGGGCTCTCATTGAACAAGAAAAAAGTCGCTGGAGTTGTTATCATCTAGAATGAACTGGATAACTGTCCTAAAGGTCTTCACAACAGGAGTCGTCGAGGTGAGGTACAACTACTCCGTACAAACATGCATAAAATTGAGGATTCCTGAAAGGGTAGGCCTGACAAAAATTATGTAGGGATCTTGTGACGACCGTAAGATGTCAAGGAAACATTAGCCTGCAGAAATGCGTATAAAATGGATGAGTCACACCTTCCAAATTTCTCCTTAGAACGCGCCTTCTTCATGAAGATACAAACCTGTTATGAGGAAACATGCATGTGTTTCAGCACCTATGGTCCATGAAAACAGCTGGACTGTTTGACCGTAAGATTCGTGGAAGAAAGTATCTGGCTAAAGGTAAGAATTATATGTAACAAGGGTGGTGAAGACATCAACTCGGCCGATGCTCAATCCTGAAATAATATCTTGTAATAAAAAGATTGTTATTTCTTCAATAAAACAATTTTCTATACTACAACTCTGATGCCTTTATACATTCCATCCGCAGTCTAATATTTGTAGCTTGTTGTGTGGCCGTGATCAACATGTGCCCTCCCTTCGTATCTCGCACTGACAAGACTTCAGAAACATAGAAATAAAATAAAGAGCGTTTTCCTAAGAGAACTCGGGAATCTTCAGGCTCACAAGTCTACTCATTAAGCAACAATGAATATAGCTCCTGTTTCAGAATCAAGGCTCTTCGCAACCCTGCGGTGATTGAGAGGTTATGTCGACCTATTTCACAGTGCTGGTACCACCGTTGACAACCTATACCTATGTCATATCGACATCGTGACCTAGAAGCTAATAGGCCTGTTTAACCACTTTAAATTTCGAATAATCGTTAATCAACTCACTGTTTGAGAGCGAACGTCTTTGCGTTTAAGTAAAGACAGAACGACATTACTGACTACAGCGGCCAAAACCATCGACCGAGTCAGTTTGTAATAGCTAGGCCAAGCCAGTGAAAGAAAGCATGAATATCTGAGACGTACTATAGTGTGCTTGTCCTCCACGCATTCCCACTTAACTTATGTGTTTTCCATTTCATGTCCTCTTTCACTGTGAGGCCCCATAAAGACAGAATTTCCCATCATCAGTCTTAAGTTCATGCTAGCTAGGACTTCCAAGTCGTCTCCTTTGGTGACGGTGCTGTACGCCGCAACTGGTGCTAGCAGAAGCTGTGGACTACACGTTGCAGATAGTGGATCGCCGGCCCGTTGCGCAGAGGCGTAGCTTTCACGTACTCAGTACTCCGTTCCTCTACATATGTAGACTAGTACGGAGTACTGCCGACGCACTGTTGTTTTCAGGGTCACCACATCTTGGCAATACTTTAAATAGATCTAGACAATAACTCTAGACAAGGGGTCAACTTGCATTGTAACGTAGAGACGAGCCAAGAAATATAGGGCCGGTCATAGTATACAATCTATCATGAGGAGAAAAGATATTCGAACGAATAGATGAGAGCTATAATTGCTGTCACTTTGCCCTCGATATGTATAGTATACAGCGAGGCATATATGAAGGGTCATATACGCAACCTGTGTCAGGGCTGCCCTTGGGGCTTGCAAGCAGAAGTCGATGCTGTTTTCAAATAATTGCATTGAAGCTCCTCTATTGGCCGTCATCAATACCAGCCTCCGTTTGTACTTGGGAATATGCTTACAGAACTGCAGAAGGATATCAGTTTACGCACGCTACTACTTGTTTTGTCCACAACAGAGATTGATCTATGCACACTCTGCTCTTTGGGACGAAGGGAACACATAGCCACACATGGTCGAGCCCATCTGTGTCCAGCCTATAATCAGGGCCATATATACAAGAGCACGGTTGATGCTCCAGTACACTGTTAGTGCAAGCAACCCGGCACAAACTACGGAGTACGGGCTGTCTTGCACTAGTCGCAATTCAAGGGTGAGGCTTTCTAAGGCCTCACGGCTCGAGCTGCATCTTCCTGCGCATACTTTTTCTTTCCATTCTCGCAGATGTGTGGTAAGGCTTGTGCACACAATCATTCCACGCCTACCTCTGACTCACCTGGCAGAGTTCGGCATACGATTTCTTCATTATTGGTGGCATCTCATTCGGCTTTCAAATCCAGACTGAGTCAGTCTGCCGGTACCCATTCTCCGCGCGTCGTTCCACGTCGATATCCTGGGCATCGACCTCCATACGATGTCATCGTGAGTCATCGTAGGTGTCCGTTATCGGCAGCTGAAGACTCCCAATGCCTTGTCTTGCTGACCCTGTCAGGGGTATCAGTGCTCCATTGAGAATTGCGGATACTACCAGTCCTTCGGGTAGCGGTTCGAGTGGGTTAACCACGTTCGTATCTGTCCCCTCTCTCTTTCCGGCCAGTGGCAACCGCATGGCCGTTCGGATTATTTTTGGCCCTGTGATATAGGTACTCGTACTCCGTATATCGCATCTGTTCTTGCCGATGCAGGGGATCGTAGCTGGGCGATGTACTAACGCCCTCTAGCATTGCCGTGGGGGCCTTCGTGAACCCATAGGTCTAGTCTCAGAACAGCAAATAGGATCGAATCGCCGCAGACCTTCTGTGATGGAACTTTCTCATGAAAAGCACATAGGGATGAAAATGTCCGAATAATACTTTCGTGTCCATACGAGACTGTAGCCTCTCTGATGCGTTCATTTTCTTGCATTCCGGTTATCGCGCCTCCTGGTCGCAGTGGGACTGGTGAGGGGAGGGTGCTATATTCGGAGTCATATTTGTTGACCCGGGTGGCAAGTATTTCGCCATTGGGCTCAAAATTTCATCATACGGAGGTGTGAATGTGCCGCGGTTGGAACGAATGCTGGCTGGCCAGCATGGATGAGCAATACTGCAGCCGAGGCTGGTTGAGAATGGCGTCTTGCCATGGTTGTTGCCCATTTTTAGGGGGGGTTCTCGATTGTCCCGGTTTCGATTCGACGCCGATTCACATGTGTGGATGACAAACTCTGTGACATTGATGACATGGCGGAGTGTCTCTGCAGTAGATTACGTACATAAAAGAGAGATTCTGTCATAGATTCCAAATCTAGAGTCGGTGTTAGTCTAAGATAGCAGGCGGAGACTGGCAGTAGCAAGGATGAGTCCTAACGCCACAGCATGGGTCTCAGTGCGCGATTGGCGAACATTTGCGAACGAGCCCCCAGCGAAAACGCAAATCAGCCCATCGCCCGTAACGGTCGGTCGACATCCTTGTCGCCTTACTCCGTACATAGCTATGTAACCGCGGAGCGACCAGGAATAAGGCCGCATTCTTGTCCTCTCTTGTGCGGTAGTGGCATCCTGTCTGCATACCAAAAATTTGAGGCCTAACAATCTGCATACTTGATTGGCGGACGATATTGCTGATAGGTGCTGCCGATGACAAGAGACGGTTGGGGCTGTTTAACCGGAATGGCCGGAGCAGCGATGGCGGACACGTAAGATATCGAAATCCGCTCACCGTTGGCAAGACCGAGTCCTACTTGGGAAGAAAAGTCGGTAAACGGAGAGAGGTAAGTTGCTACTAGGATGCGGCCTTTCTTGCCGTTCGGTTCGGCCTTGGCAATCGTGGGAGGCGGTCGTCAGTCGGCTATTTCCTGGCAGCAGCGCAAAAGTTAAAATCGACAAAGAGGGTTCGGCTGATTATGGTCGGTCTATTCTACGTGCCAAGCAGTCGGCGTCTTACATATTTCTGGGCACAGGACATATCAGGTTGGAAACTACGACGTACATACAATTTCTTATCACCAAGCTGGCGTGATAATGTACAGAAAAGGCAAGAGCCTGTTCGAACGATGATCTGGCTGCAGTGTGGTTGCGTGGGTTCCACCCAAGGCTATCTTCAGCCCTCGGGCTGCAGGTCGTTATCGCTAATAGCTATGTAGCTCCTTACAAACACTTTTTACCACTTGAGAAGCGAAAAGTACGCAATTGTGCCAAGACCTCGCAAGTCCGGCACTATTTCCGGCGCAATCTAATCGAGGCGAGCATCTTGTCAGCTGCAAAGTCATTTATCGAGTCCCCTTCCGGCTGGCCTCGGCTTATTACCTTCCCTGCGCTTGATCCCACGGCCAGCCTTGGTGTTCACCGTGTACGGATCACCATATCCCCACGTTTGGTCGAGGCTTTCCCCCGCATCAAGGGCACGTTGGCCGGTGTCAAAGTCCTGCATGACCCGCGCCCATTACTGGTTGGGTTGCATATTTTGTACACTTGTACACTTGTACACTTGTACACTACGCTCCGTTTCGGTGCCGGCAGCACGCGATGAAAGTAGAAAGAATAGCCGTAGATCTAGTCGGCATCTCGACTACGTCGTAAAACGGCGGCTTCTGGTCACGGGGATCACTCGGGAATGGCGTAGACGCCCAATCACTGGCGTTTCATTGTTAACTGTTGGATAACTATTACACACAAATATTGGCGATCGAGGAGGCCGTTTGTGGGCCAGCAAACCCACCACAGCAGCGCGCTCAGCAGATTGTACTATGTACGAGTGCTTTGAAGTCAAAACACTCAGTATAAGCCCTAGTGCCGCAAGAGGAAGTTCAATGCTCCAAGCAGTACTCCGTAGTGCCATCCAATGCGACCGGCAGATTGGACAGGTCCCGAGCAGTAGAATATTGCTCCGCACAAACGCCCAACTTGTGGCCCTTTGTGTATTCCGTCTACTCGTCCTCCTGCCTCTTTTAGCAAAGCGGCTTTCTATATGGGGGTGGCTTCTTTCGGATTACTGCCTAGTTTGCTGGCTTGCTGGCTTGCCGCGGCTGTGGGGTCTTGGCGTGGTAAGTAGGTGAGCGCACCGTGCCTGATTTGGCAGTTGCCCGCCTCTGTACGAGTACTGCACCCCTTGTCAGATTCTCAGTACGATCTTACATACGAGTACACAGAAAGATAGTACTGAGAAAAAGCTGTGAGTATGTGCCGCAGCAGCGGTGGCGGAAAGGCGCATGGGAAAAGAGATATCGGTTACGGGCGTTGCAGATAGGGCAGATGCGGTCTTAATTTCGAAACCAGCACACCGCCATCTTTTCTTTGCCACCCTGCCATTCGTGTACAAAGTATTTTAAGAAGTACTCCGTACGCGTGCTCCGTTTGAGGATTGGAGCGTTGCAGGTGGCGTGATGGGCCGACTCGATTTCTGGTAAGATACTCCGTACGGACAACAGCTCGTCAGTGATGTAAGCTAGGAATTGCGAATCGCGTATGGGGCATGTTGATTTGGTTTAGTTGATATGATTTTTTTTGTTGTTCCATTTGTTCTAGGGGTGGACAGAAAAAGAAGAAGAAGAATAAGAAGGAAAAAGGCAGAAAAAACGCCACGTAAAAAAACACACCAAAGCCGCGCCGTCTGGATTTTTCAGATTATGATCTCCAACCTATGGTGCGCAACAGGAGATCTGGGAGGCTAAAGATTTCGGGTCTGACTTCCAAAAACCTTCCATTTTCCTTCTACCGCCACACGCTTGGCCGCGATGGGGAAAGACGGCATGAAAGAGGACGCTTGCCGTAGTCCTACTCTAGCCTCTGCCAGTAAAAGACCGGCGTTGACCGCGACAAGAAAGAAAAAGCCCGAAAGACTGATTAGGGTGTGGCGAGGCCTGGACAGCGCTTTGCAGCGTCAGCGAAGACATTCAGACGACCAGACGCAATAATTGAGAGGGGGAGCACGTCGGTTGGCGTGCTCGCGGCGAAGATCATCAAGCAATACGAAGCCCTTGTGCTTTTTTCTTGCCAGGGATTGGACGTAAGAAGCAGGACGGAGGGGTCCATGGCTGCTGGCACGTAACATTCGCCGAATGCCAAGCCAGTGGGCCTTACCCATTCAGCCAATAAGGGAGCTAATGCACGCTAATGTGTATGTGTAAGCAAATAGATAGCCGACTACGAAGTGTTCAAAAAGCAAGCAACAGCGGGATTACCACCTACCTAAAACGGAAATGAGGAACATGCAGCCACCAGACACACAGAAACAGCGCTCGCCGGGCCGCCCCAAAGCCCAGACCGTGCATACTCGTACGTAGGCAAGGATTGCCATCAAGCCGCGAGGAAGGCGATGTTTGCAGCGATGTTTGCGGCGTCTGCACGGGCTATCGCCTCGTAGAGTGTGCGGGCGCGATAGTCGTGCGATCGTGAGGGCCAGGCTGGCCCGGAATCCGCCACCGAAGCTACTCGTTTTGGCAATCGCCGTGTTTCGCAAGAACGGAGTAGTGCCTGTGGGCAGAGAGGGGCAACGACCTGGCAGTTATGGTCCCACCGTCCCTTTTTTTCACCTTCCAGTGGCCCTCCTGCCACTTTTCCCCACCGAATAAGAGTCGCCAACCAGGGCACAGTACGGAGTACGTACGAGTGCCCCTGCCGTATTTTGTTATCTTGAGGTCTGACACCTTCTTGAGCTACTGTACGTCGTATGTATGTACTCCGTACCCGGTGCTTATTTCCCACCACTGACTAGGGCAGGCGCTGCTGATAGCACACCCGCTCCTTCCTTCCTGCGTGTACTCGTATTGGCCGTGACGTGATCCGTTTATTGCCCCTCCCACCCTGTCCTTCAGTCCTGCCCGAACGGATCGCCGCTTGCTCAGACTTGTCGCAGAAGATCGGCATAAAAGACGAGCTGCTTCCGCCCACCTTGGCTACTTTTTCGTTTCCCAGGCTCTCTATCTCTTTCGACGTCTCCCATCTTGTCGCCCTGCTTGTTTTCGCTTGGTCCTGCAGAGGATCAATCACCGAAAACAACCATGGATCCCGGTACGTGTTTTATCATTTTCATCATTCTCTCTGCATGGGTACTGAATTTTCGGAACATCCAGATCCTGAAGTTGCAAACTTCACTTTCCACAATCACCCCAAACATAGCGACAATTACTGACCAGACCCAGCCAACGAGAAACATATCTCCGAGATTTCAGGGGCTGATCTCAAGCACTCCCTGACGCCACCAGGTGATCACCATGGCGCATATCTTGACCCCTCCATCATGGAGGCGGATTACGAGGGCAAGCCGACGGAGGAGGAGCTGAAGACGCTGCGTCGCGTCCCAGGAAGTCTCCCTCTGATCGCCTACCTCATCTGCATCGTCGAATTTTGCGAGCGGGCGTCATACTACGGCGTGCAGCCCCTCATCAGCAACTTCGTCAACCGACCGCTTCCTGTCGGCGGTAACGGCTGGGGCTCACCGCCCCGGGGCACTCAACAGACCGCTGGTGCTCTCGGCTTGGGCACTGTCACCTCCAATGCCGTCAGCCAGTCCTTCAGTATGCTCGCCTATGGCCTTCCCATCTTCTTTGGCTATCTGGCCGACGCTCGCACCGGTCGCTTCAAGCTCATCTGCTGGGGCATTGTCGTCTTCGGTATTGCCCACATTCTCATGGTCGTCTCCGGCTCCAAGACCCTGCTCGAGAACGGCAACGCCAAGGTCCCCTACTTCCTCTCCGTCTACATTCTCGCCATTGGTGCTGCCATGTTCAAGCCCAATGTGTCTCCCCTCTTGCTTGACCAGATGGTCAACACCGTCCCCAGGGTCATCGTCACGAAGAAGGGCGAGCGCGTCATCGAGGACCCCGAGGCTACCACTGAGCGTGCTATGCTCTGGTTCTACCTGATGATCAACATCGGTGGCTTCATGGGTGTCGCCACGTCTTACTCGGAGAAATACGTCGGGGTATGTACAAACCAAACCAAGACTTTTACCTTTTCAGATTTGAAGTCAACTAACCTTTATAGTGGTGGCTTGCCTTCCTCATCCCTCTTCTTCTCTACCTGCCGCTGCCTCTGCTCATGTGGTTCCTGAAGGACCGCTTGGTTCTGCACCCGCCAGCTGGCAGCGATCTGCCCAACGTCTTCCGTGTTCTCGGTGTTGTTATCCGCCGGGGAGGCCTCAAGCGCTTTGGCCGCAAGGGCTTCTGGGACCTGGCCAAGCCATCCAACATTGCTGCTTCTGGCCTGAACATCAAGACCGAGTGGAACGACGAGTTTGTCGAGGACGTCCGCCGCACGTTCCAGGCCACTGGTATCTTCTGTTTTTTTCCCATCCAGTACCTGAACGACAACGGTATTGGCTCTGCCTCCAGCTTCCTGTCGACCATGCTCACCACCAACGGCGTGCCCAACGACGTTATTGGCAACTTCAACTCGCTTAGCATCATCGCCTTTGCCCCCATCCTGAACTATGGTCTCTATCCCCTGCTGCGCCGCTTGAACATCCACTACGGCCCCATTGCCCGTGTCAGTACCGGCCTGGCCATGTCGGCTATCGGTGGTGTCGGCTACACCGTTCTCAACTACTATGCCTACAAGAAGTCCCCTTGCGGTCACTACGGCTCCAGCGACTGCACAGTTGGCACTGGTGTGGCACCCATCACTATCTGGTGGATGGCTATTCCCTACGCCATTGGCGGTATCAGCGAGCTGTTCGTCAACGTCCCAGCCTACGGTATTGCGTACTCTCGCGCCCCTGTGAACATGCGCAGTGTCGTGTCGGGTATCAACCTGTTTAATACGGCCATCGCATATGCCATCGGCCTTGCGTGCTCGTCTGTCATCACCGACCCGTACCTTACCTGGGACTTTGGCGGTCCGGCCATCACCGGTGCTGTCCTCAGTGTCATTTTTTACTTCATGTTCCGCAGCCTTGATAAGGAGGAGTACGTTCTTAGCCAAAACAAGGACTACCACATGGAGCTGGAGGGTACCGAAAACGTTGTCGGCACCAACGAGATGAACAAGTCGATTAACATGCCTGCCCCGATTCAAGAGAACGAGGAAATGATGATGTCTCCTAAGCAGTAAGGGAAAGCTGCAAAAATGTAATGCCAGGGGGTTCCTGGCGGCTATATACCCAACGGTCATCTTTCCGGCAGTATTGAAAACACCGGTTTTATTTACGAGAGGCTTCATTGCCATAATATAAACGCACTTCAAAATATCTGCACTGCTTCCAAGCCCCGATTTATCTCACACTAACCTATGACAAGCTTGATCAGAACTGACATTAGCTCGGGAAGTTGAAGCACTTTTCATCGTGAATGTATTTGCCCTCGAGAGATCATCGTTCACCTTGTAATGTGTTTCAGTAAATGAGCATATTGACCACCGTCTCGTCACGAGTTTAATGACGTAGTCTTCCTCTTACCAGACAAAGAGGCAATAAAGGCACGCACAGCGTGGACAGAAATTCATGATCCAGACAAGTTACAACGAACGAAAAATAAGCTGTAAAGCAAAAATAGAAACAAATGCCCACACACGGGATCGAACCGTGGACCTCAGCATTACGAGTGCTGCGCTCTACCACTGAGCTATACGGGCTAAAGACCGTATCCGGAAGTTTTGTTTCGATCCAGGCAGGGATCGAACCTGCAATCTCTTGGTTCGTAGCCAAGCGCCTTGCCATTTGGCCACTGGACCTCTTATTGGTTCTGACCTAATATTCTTGGATCTTGAAGGCTGACTCCCGGGGGCGGCCAGTGCGCTTGGCTTCGCAACCGCCTGGCACTCTAGCAATGGAGCCGCTATGATGTTGATGAGACGTAGCTCTACGACTTGTATGCTTACAGCCACTTCTGACGTCTTGACTATATAAATATGTGCTCATAGTAACTGCATCTGACTTGTAGTTGGCTACTGCACACAGTCCATTGAAAATCTCTCATAATATTAACTTACTCCTCTGAGACAATGGTTGGGATATCCAAAGCTTTCCAGTGCTCTCCGGCGGAGATATCAAAGGAAATGGTATCCATCCGAACACCAATTCTCCATCTTCCGCCTCCAGGCCAAAAGTTTTCGTGCCCTGTGACCACCACACCCTGCTCGTTCTTCTGACTCAGGTCAAACCATCCCACATGAGATCGCGGCGAGTACTGGTAAAGATCGGTCTTGGACCAGTGATCGGTCCCTACAAGCTCATCATTGCCAGCCCCAGCCCCACGCGGTACCGGAGGCTGTACGAGGGTTGGCTGGATGCCAATCAGCTTGTACAAGACAGTGGACGCGGGAAAGGCCGGCACGAAGGGCACCGTCTTAAAGGTCATCTGGAAGAAAGGCTCATCCTGTCGCTGCTCTGTGTCACTAGGAAAGACCTTTAGCTGGACCGCGCCACCAGAAAGGTCCTTCCAGTCAAACCGAGCAAGATGCTTTGGAATGTTCCAGTCTGCCACGAGCCGAAGAATGTCAGCTTCAAGGCATCACACTTTGGAGCCTGGGTCGTGACGGTAGCATACTATACCGCCCATTCCAGGCTGTGTCCTTCTGCGACACATAAATCCTTGTGATTCTGAGTGCCTTTTCTTGCCTCGGCTTTGACTGTGTCTTACAATCCCCTACCGTGGGATATGTGTATTGCCCCGGAAGGATCAAAATTTCGTCGTATGGGCCAACAGGTGTTTCTGAATAGCGCACAATCATAATGGAACATGATCCTCCAGTGGGCAGGCCAGCCTCTGCCGAGGCAAAGAACGACTTTGCCTCGAGCGGCGAGAACAGTAAGTCAGAAGCTTCTTTCACCTGTGTGGATGAGACAATGAAGGGAATGTTGTAGACCTGGGCCTTGCAGGACCACGGACCAGGCACTTTCTTGATGGAATCTGCGCTCATGGTGGGAGTCAACTTGAATCGGGAGAGGGGTAAAATGGGAGTTACAGGTCTGAGAATCAAGCAGTTGCCCATCCCGTATATATTCGGGGACAGACATCCATGTCTCCGCACAGTATATAAGAATATCCCTTAGCCTCGGGTATACTGTCCTTATATACTGCGTAAATTGCAACGTCATCACCTCCTCGTGGCGGTCCTGGTCAGTGTGACGGCCAGGCACAGCGAATTATATCGCAAGAACTCCCCAAGAGTTTTGTATGCCTTGATGCTTATCTGTACGCTTGATTGGTGGGCGCATCGGAATAGAAGCTCTGCCCATAAGATAGTCATTTTATAATCTGCCGTTACTTCATCTTAGCAGGAAAATCAATTGATCAGCCGGTTGTATATGCATGGAAAATCCGTCGCATGCCCTTAGGGAAGAGTGTTAGTTCTTGGGGAAACCCCCCTTGAATGGCGACGTTAAAACGTACAAAATTCACAAATACAGTAACCTTAGAGACGTTTGTACGAAATTAATTATGCTTAAATCAGTTGTGCTTGTATAACCAACCAGAAAAAATAAAGCACACCACTCTATCACCTTTCAACCAGCCTAGTAAAGTTGTTCGATAGCCTTAAATCGCTTCTAACGGCATGTACGCAAACGCATCCCACTCCTAAAGTCGACGCTCGCCTCAATAAGAAGGTGTACTAAGGCGACTTCGTTACACTAAAGAGCCCAGCGCAGTGGCGTTTTCCCGTCGTTATCTTTAGCCATAACATTGGCGCCCTTTTTAAGAAGCAAACGCATGATATTCTCCTCGCTTCTGTATCCGGCAGCGCAAATCAATGGCGTTGTCCCGTCTTTATCTTTAGCCTCGATATTAGCGTAATATTACGTATAGCATTCTTGTCTCTGTTTTTAACAGCCTAAATCGAAGCCCTTCTCTTGTCTTTATCTTTTGCCTCAATATCGGCGCCATGTGCAAGAAGCAAACGTGTGGCATCCTTGTCTCTATGTTCAGCAGCCCATATCAAAGCCGTTTTCCCGTCTTTATCTTTTTCCTCGATATCAGCGCCATGTTCAAGAAGCACACGTATAATATTCTTGTATCCGTATCCAACAGCCCAAATCAATGGCGTTTTCCCGTCTTTATCTTTAGCAATAATATCAGCGCCACATTCAAGAAGCAAACGTGTGACATCCTTGTCTCTGTGTTCAACAGCCCGCATCAAAGCCGTTTTCCAGTCTTTATCTTTTTCCTCGATATCAGCGCCATGTTCATGAAGCAAATGTACGACATTTTTGCTTCTGTGTTGAACCGCAAAATGTAGCTGTGTTTCCAGATCGCTCGCACTCCTTGCATCACTGTCGACGCTTTCAAGCAGGATGATAACGGCAATGCTGTCGTATTCTGCATTAATGATTGCAGAAAGTACACCTCGTTTTAATGAAAAGGTAACGTTGATCAAAGACTCAACAGCTGCATCCTGATTAAGTCTTCTGCATAGATCGTGAACCTGTGACGTTGGAGGCTGCTTATTCGCTTGGGCTACCAAAAGCTGTTTGGTTGCTTCATTATTGCCCTTACACAGAGCAGCCATAATCGGTGCGCAATACCACTCGTTCTCGGCGACAAAACAGGTCGTGTTCTCTGGGTAGCATCTGATGAGGTTTCCAGCGTCATATAACGCCAATATGTACAACAGGCTAGCTGCAGTGGTGCAGTGCATATAATCCGGTGACCAACTACTTGTGGAGCAACTGTCAAGAATGGTCCATTCGACAAGAATCTGCTGGAAGGTCTGAAGAAAATATTTTTGGGAGGTTGCATCACCTTCGGCTGCGTTTGCGTGGTAAATGATACTTCTGATAGCGTATATAAGCAATGGATATGAGCGGTCTGCCGTGAATCGATCAAAAGCCAGTGGATATCCGAGTTCTGTCGTGCTCACTTTTATATAGTTGAGACAGCATACTTTCAGTCGATCGTGACTTTCTCCTCTGAATCGGTCACCAATATCTGGCCAAATCACCCTCAAACCGTTCTCTTTGAGGAGGAAGTCCCTGACAGATTCGTGAATGAATTGAACGGTGGGTATGAAGCCTTTGGTGATCTCGGCGAGTCCTTTAGAAGAACTGACAATCAATCTCTCAATCGTGGCTGCTGCCTCATCGCCCTTCCCTAATTCGGAAAAGGCCTTAGGCTGATCGATGGAGAGAATAGCACAGTATAGCTCATTTGGACCCAGCGGTCTTCGTGCGAAGAGCACCCACTGAATGCACAAGAGCATATGGTCTCCGTAGTCGTCATCGTGGTTCAAAATACTGCGAAATAGCTCATGCAGGTCTCTGGGAGTCTTGTGTAGTTGCTTTCGGAGGTCTTGAGTTTGGCCGCGACTCCATTTCTTATTTAGGATGTCCACAACCAGTACTACCCACAGGAAGACGCCAGCTGCCATATGTTCAAGGTCGGCTCGAATTTGTCTCATGAGATCTCGGCTTCCGATCTTTAGTGATCTATCCAGGTACTGACGTATATCCTTGTCATGTCCCGCCTGATCCTCAAGGTTGAAAGTGAGGCCCTTGTTGAAAGTGATTTGTGGATAGTGTCGGCTCGAAAAGCAGACTTGAAACTTGACAGAAATAGTCGCTGCTTGTTCAGCGAGGTTTTCAAAAAACAACACCATATTCCAGATCTGGTCTCCATCACATTCGTCCAATGCATCTATAAGGCACAAGACGGATGAATTCCCAAGCCACCCCACAGCTTTTGTGAAAGTGGACTTTAGTGCTTCGACGTTCCATTCGTAGTTTTCGTTGATATCCCCTAGTATAAGGGAGACGCATTTGTCTTGGAGCTCTGGAATATGCGAGAGGAGCTGGAGCAGTAGCGATCTGTACATTCCTGTCGTGTTCTGTTCTAGGTCTGCCCCTCGCGCATTGAAGAAGAACGAGATTGGCGTTCTGTCTCTCATCCGTTTCTGCACATCTGCCACAGCAAACTTCATCAGGGTTGACTTTCCGGTCCCGGGCTTTCCTTTGATCCATAAAAAGCCGTGGTGTTCGTTGAGCTTGTTTGGATCGAGCCAGTCGACATACTCCTTCTTCTCCAACAGCCATAGGCAAGTCCCTGCGTGCGCATCCTCAATGGTCATGTGTCGAGCGTCAATTTGTTCGAATTTTAGCGAGTTCAGAAATTCTTTTTTTTTCTTCTCCGCGTTTTTCTTTTCTTCGTCGCTATTTTGGCGCGTAGGTAAAGGACGTTTGCCTGCATCTCCAGGGGACGCGCAAAGCTCTCTTATTTTTTCGAGGACAATTCGGCAGACTGGATCGCCTTTACGATACTTGACCAAGTCTGAGTGATTTTCGTTGATAGCAAAAACAGAGGATGAACCAACTCCAGCCAGGCCTTGAGTGGCAGATTCCGGGCTCACAAGAATCATTTCGTCTCCAATCCTGGAAAAAGAACCATTGTTTTGCTTCTGTGACAATTAACTTCCACACTCTTCACGGCGGACAGTTTAACTCACGGCAACAGTTGGGGCGGTTCTCGTCTCGTATGCCCAAATTCCTTTTATATCGTTTGAAATCATGCTGAACCTGTCTTGTAGGCGTCTCAGGTATTCTGAATTGACGGACAAATCGTTCACAAGGACCTGATTGGGCTGTCCGTTGACAATGGCTGCGAGGGCCTCGGTTTCCATTCCACGTGATGGCACGCCAAACAGGACAGCACCGATGATTTTTCTGCGCATCTCGTCGTCTTGAATTCTTAGAGTCACAAGCGCATCTATGAAGACAATGCCACCTAGACTGTGCGCCAGCACAAACAGTGGCCGCATCGCTGGCGGTCTCAGGACAGATGCTTTCAAATTCTCGATGAAAGAAGAAGCGATGTCGTGGATGTTCTGAAAGGAGTTGCTGTTTGGAAGTGCTGTGTCATATCCGAAGAGCAGCACTCGGGTGTTGGGGAAGGCCTTGGGCAAAGCATCTCTGACCCACATCCATGTTCTGTCGCTCTTATGTTGCCATGATCCGAATGGATGAGAAGCAAGCCCGGATATGGCAACACAACTGAACCTGTTAAAAAATTGTGCGTCACAGCCCAGGATGTAGACCTACTCAAAATCGTGGTCCTCGTCCGCGATGTCGTTCAACGCAGTCAGACCGTGAAAGTGTGTGTCGAGGATAAGGGAGTCGTTAGGTTAATTGTCGTTGATTCTCCACTGGTTGTTCTTCTGAATATCAACGGCCGATGGCAGTCGTGAGAAAGTCAGGGTTGCCGTTTTCTTGCGTGGCTCTTCGAGCTCGTCCGAGCTTGCAGCGAGCGAGTGGACCTTGATATCATTGGGGGCGACGTCGCCGAAGGCCTGGCTCAGTTGATTACGGATGTCCACATCCTTGCTGCCAGCAGAACATCCCCGAAGCCGAAAAGTGAGCTCGTTTGGCGACACCATCTTGCCAACGATGGACTCAGATGCTATAGCAGTTTGCGGGATGCAAACGTAGGAAGATGCAGTAAAACACATTGGGCAGGATATGTCGGGCGTCTATCAGCAGAGATAGGGGTGGACGGGGGTGGCCGTGCCATGTTGGCATGCTCTACATAATTGGACAGAAGAGTCCCTAAGCACTGAGAGGTTGTCTGTGCTGCAAGATCCCGATTGCCACCAATTGCTGCAGGATTCGCCGGGTCAATGTTGACAGTTGGAGTAGGCTGCTACGAACAACCATTCAGGTTGCTCACAAGGCAGCGATAAGAGTAGAGGATTGCCTTTTACAACTATATTCAAGTGTCTCTAGCTCGCCCAAAGAGAAGAGACTGGATGTCAGATACGGGTTCAGTTCTGAGGTACTGACTTTGGTCACCCCGCACCACGTGACCGTCCACATGACCTCGGCATAAGCCAACTGCCCTTATTCAACCAAGGTACGGAGTACTGCGAACACGACCGGCTCTTGTACCTCGACCCCACACTCCATACATGGGGAAAGACTACCCCGGGGGACCGAGATAAACAAAAGGAAAAAGGAATATCGAACGAGATGGACGCCATGGTAGAAGCGGACAGCCGCGCCGGAGGGGCGATTGGCCAATAGGAAGGCACGGAGCTCGGCGCAGGAATATTAATCCGAGCCGCGACCTGGACGAACGGGAGTTGAGCCACACAAAGATGGGCAGAGGAAGACTGAAATTCGGCTTGCGCTCGGCAACGCGACGTTAGCGCAGGAGGATGGAGGGAGAAGCTCTGGCGGGACGCCAACGTCTCACGTGGCGTGGCGTGAAGAGGGAAAGGGAAAAAGGGAGCAGCTGCTGTGATCCGATCGAATACCCCTCCCCGGCCGACGTGTCTTCTGTCCTTTCTTTCTTCCATCTTCTTCCCGGCATCCTCTCCGCTCTGGGCATTGGCATCCCGGCATTGGTCTCTCTGCCTGCTTGACTCGACTTTTGTCCTCTGACTCTCGCCAGCTGTTCACCATGGCTTCTGCCGCCCTCCGGACGCGCATCCGACGCGCGTCCATGCTGGCCAAGGTGTGCCAGCCGCAGGATCTGCTGCACCACTTTCCCAATGGCGCGTACATTGGCTGGTCCGGCTTCACGGGCGTGGGCTATCCCAAGTAGGTGTTGTGTGCTGCAAGCAGCCGTATTGGTCCGGTCGGCTGACGTGCGCAGGAAAATCCCGACCTTTTTGGCCGACCACGTGGAGAAGAACGGGCTGCAGGGCCAGCTGCGGTACTCGCTCTTTGTCGGGGCGTCCTCGGGGGCCGAGACGGAGAACCGATGGGCCGGACTGGACATGATCGAACGGCGGTCGCCGCATCAAGTCGGCAAGGCCATTGCCAAGGGCATCAACAACGGCAAGATCCACTTCTTCGACAAGCACCTGTCCATGTTCCCGCAGGACCTGACGTACGGCTTCTACACCAAGGACCGGCCGGCCGGCCAGCGCAATCTGGACGTGACAGTGGTGGAGGCAACGGACATCTTGGCCGACGGCAGCATCGTGCCGGGTGCTTCGGTGGGCGCGACCCCGGAGCTGATCCAGATGGCCGACAAGATCATCATCGAGGTCAACACGGCCCTGCCGAGCTTCGAGGGCCTGCATGACATCACCATGTCGGAGCTGCCGCCTCGCCGGAAGCCGTATCTGATCACGCAGGTAGAAGACCGCATCGGCACGACCTCGATTCCCATCGATCCGGAAAAGGTCGTCGGCGTGGTCGAGTCCGACTACCAGGACCAGACGCTGCCCAACACGCCCGCCGACGAGGCATCGGCCCGGATCGCCGGCCACTTGATCGAGTACTTTGAGCACGAGGTCGCCCAGGGCCGCCTGCCCCCGTCGCTGCTGCCGCTGCAGTCGGGCATCGGCAACATTGCCAATGCTGTCATCGGTGGCCTCCAAAACGCCAAGTTCTGGCACCTCAAGGTCTGGACCGAAGTCATCCAGGACACCTTCCTCGATCTCTTCGACTCGGGCCATCTCGACTTTGCCACCGCCACCTCCGTCCGCTTCTCGCCCGACGGCTTCAAGCGCTTCTATGCCAACTGGCCCAGCTACAAGGACAAGCTGCTGCTACGCTCCCAACAGGTCTCCAACAGCCCCGAGATCATCCGCCGCCTCGGCATCATCGGCATGAACACCCCCGTCGAGGTCGACCTGTACGCTCACGCCAACAGCACTTGCGTCAACGGCTCCCGCATGCTCAACGGTCTCGGTGGCTCGGCCGACTTCCTTCGCTCGTCCAAGTACTCCATCATGCACACTCCCTCCACTCGGCCCTCCAAGACCGATCCCCATGGCATCAGCTGCATCGTCCCCATGTGCACCCACGTCGATCAGACTGAACACGACCTCGATGTCGTCGTCACCGAGCAGGGTCTCGCCGATGTCCGTGGCCTCAGCCCCCGTGAACGTGCTCGCGTCATCATCCGCAAGTGCGCCCACCCCCTCTACCAGCCCATCCTCACCGACTATCTCGACCGTGCCGACGCCTACTGTCTCGCTCGCGGCATGGGCCATGAGCCCCATCTGCTCTTCCAGGCCTTTGACCTCCACCGTGCCCTTCAGGAGCAGGGCAGCATGCTCAACTTTAACGGTTGGAAATAGACAACTGTCCGTTCTCCCATTCGCCTACCCAATTCACCACCCCTTTCATCTCTCTCTCCTTCCTCTCTTCCTCTCTTCCTCCCAGGCATAGATTGGAGCATACAGTGGAATTAGACGGCTCTAGCCACCAGTTTGAATAGCAGTGCGGCGAAGTGTTGCCAGGATGTGTTACTTTTCAGGAAAGCTCAAACAAATAAATCCAAATCCAGTTCTGTCATCTTGCTTGTAGCTTGCTCATAGAATCAGACTCTTCATTCACATCCATCTACCACCTACTGCTTGCCGGAATAACGGAGAGAAACGCCATACCCATGACCGCCATCCGTCAAAAGTCTAGCCAATCCTAGACCCTTCATTTTGCCCACCAGTACAGCCCAATTCTCCCGATGCCAGCCGGCGCGTCCCCCAGGGATACAAGAAATGTAGAAAAGAACAGCAGAAAGGTAAAAAGCAGAAAATGGACTCCCGTATCGAATGGCCGCTTTTGGAATCTCGCGTTCCCAGGCCATTCCTTTTTACCCGGCAGAAGACAGCAACTAAAACACAAGATAAACAAACATCTCCCAAAGTAAACGAGCGCGAGCTCCTTCAGGCAACCTGTTGGACAGAATCTTCGCGCCTCTTTTGTTTCGCCTTCTCATCTTGCCCATCCCTTTTTTTTGCTCTCCCGCCTAAATAGATACAGAAGATGGTCTCTTGCGGCACTGACATGTCAGAGCAGATGGTGGGTGCAGTAAAGCCGTCTGCTTTTTCGCGAAATGATGACAAGTAGTATATAAAGTAGACAGAATCGAAAACAAGTGATAAAAACAATTCGGTAGCTCCATGATGCGGCCGTAAAATGACATGAAAAATCGTTGTATGCTTTGAAATAGCAGCTCGAAAGAAAATGGGCATGAAAGCCACTCTGCAAGGGTATCAAAAGAGGAGGAGGTGAGACTCCATAAAATATGAGGGTACATGTATGTGTTGTGAGTGAGAGAGAATATGTAATGTGCGTGTGCGCGTTGTGTGTATGATTGTGCTTGCACTTAGACGTTGCTCGCGCCGTTCGCAGCGTTGTATCCGCCACGCATCCAGGCGAAGAGATCGGCCCGGCCTGCCTCTTTGATCGTGAATGCTCCCGCCACTGCTGCAGCGCTGCCGGCATCCACCATCGACTTGAGCATCTGGGCCTGCGCCTCACGCGGCTCCAGCAGCAAGCTCTTCCGGTAGTATGACACCTGCACGTTGTCGCCCTGCGTCTTGTCCATCTCGCGCACCCGGCTGATCTGCTCTCCGATCCACTCCTGGATGTCCGGCACCTCCGTCAGCCGGTACGAAATCTGGAACCGCTGCAGCTCGCCGATGATCTTGGCCGTGCGCATGTGCTTGTCAAAGTTGACCACCGTCAGCCCACCGCCACCGCTTCCGTTCTCGTTGTCGCTGCTGTTGCCGTTGCGGTCACCTCCATCCTGGCCCGGAAGCTGCTTCGTCGCCGGATTGCCAATGTCCACAAACGTCAGGTCCGTCAGGTACATTCCCAGGAACGGAAGGCAAGGCGGCACGTGGCCGTTGAGCCGGCCACGGAGGACCTTGTTGTTCTGTGCCGGCTCGACAATCGCCTGCATCGTCTTCAGCATGTCACGCCGCTTCTGCGACACGATGTCCCACGTCTTGCGAAGACGGGCGATCGTCGAGCTGTTCAGGCTGCAGATGATGGCCATGAGAGCATCGTAGTTCTGCAGCTCGGCGCACTGGTGCGCAATCTTGATCCACTGCTTGATCACGGCCGCCCGCCTCTTCACCTCAGCGTGTGTCAAGATGGTGTCGGCAACCAGGTTGGAAAGGTCAGTCGTCAGTGCCGTCATTGCTTTCACGTTCGGTGCCCCGAGGCCGCCCTTCTTCATCCACTGCGAGCCCAGTAGCTCATCAGGCATGATCGAACAGAAGATGTTCATCTGCCGCATCGTCAACTGCCGGGCCATCTCCGTTGGGTCAAAGTCCATGATCGACGGGATGCTGCCGCCCATCTTCCAGTTCGCCAGACCGTTCTGTAGCGCCTTGGACATGAGCGTTGTCGGAAATGGCGAGTCCACCGCGTTGTGTTGCGGAATGGAAGTGCTCGTCTTGGCCATGGTCGACACCAGCCGCGGAACCAGAGTGGCGTCAGTATCGCCCACGCGCTCAACCAGGTCCAAGAGCCGCCGACCGGCCGACGGGAGCATGCTGCTCAATCTGACCTCGGCAAAAGGCTCAATCAGCACGAGAGCCTCGCGGTCCAGCTCGTCACGCCAGTGCGACTCAAGCCAGCCCTTGAAGGCGTTGTAAACACGCAGCCGAACGGGCGCTGCCATATGGGGTGACTCGCCAACATATTCAAAGCGGTCGATGAGCGCCTCTGCCAGCTTCACCGGACTGCAGAAGAGGCGGAAAGTCAGGTAAAACGTCGACACGAACATAGCATCCGGCGTCGACTCGTGTGTTGTCAGGCGCTCGACGAGGGCTGGCAGCGATCCGCCAGTGACCTGGCCCTCCTTGTTGAACATGAGCTCATGCGCATATGTGCGCTCGAGCAGCTTCGATTCCACCTCCTCCTCGGCTTCTTCGACGAGAGTCGAGCTTGCAGTCGTGCTCAACTCCGATAGCGACGGCTGGTTCACAAGCGTGTTGTCTGGCGTGGTAGCACGTGTTGAAGTCCTCGACACCAAGCTCGACTCGGAGTTGCGGCTCGCGTAAGTGCTTGTCGTGCCGGAGCTGTTCACGGTAAGACTCTCGGAGTGGAACGACGACGTGAATTCGCCTTCGTTAGTGGTTGCCTGCTCGACCGGGCTGTCACCCTCGCGAGGTATGTACGTCGACATTCGTGGCAGGCGCGGAAGCGCCGGTTGGGTGGATGACACAGACGAGGTCACGCTGGTGATCGCAGAGACATCCTCCATGGCATAGGAGACAGGTCGAGACGCCGCAGAGTACTGCCGGGACTGACTAACATCTTCAATCGGTGAGGTAACCTGAGGGACTTCGGGGAGCGGCTTATCAACAGAAAGATTGTTGAGGTGAGGTACCGCAGAGGACAGCCGACGGGCAGCCATGTTGTCGACATAGGGTATCGGGCTGACTGAGGGCAATTGCGTTTCCATCGCTGCAGGCCCCTGTGCATCGTACATGGCCGGCGTGAACGAATCTGAAGCGTCACCGTAGCCGACATCGGGATACGTCTGTTGCTCGGTCTCGTTGGTATGGGCGATAAGAGTCTTGATCGACACGGTGTCAGTTGCCGCCAAGCTCGCGGCGTCAGACATTACAGTCGCAAACGAAATGTCCAAGACGGAAAGGTCAACGTCAAAAGCCAGTGTGATGTCGTCGAATTCGTACTCAAAATCGCCGATGCGCTCGATAACCCACTTCGTCTTCGCCACGCACTCTCCTGTGGCCTTCACGCAGTTTGTTGCGGCGGTCAGAAGCCGACCGTTGTCATGCGGGACGATAACATCGTCAACATCAGTTACTTGATTAGTCAGGATGTCCCGTGCAAGATACACCAGCTCGAGGATGCGGTCAGACATGGCAACGCGCGAGTTGTGCAGAATCTCACGGCTCAGCGAGTCGTGGCCTGATACCACGTCGACCACAACCAACAATTGGCTCCCGGATGTGGCCGACTGCTTGATCGCCAAGGCCAGCTGCGGCCGAGACTGTGAATGGAGGTGCAGCCGGCCAATGAAGGATCCGAGATAAGACAAGAATGTGTCATGACGGTCACCCAGCCGGTGGGAGACCAAATTGTGAGCCTGTGACAACGGCGAGGGACCCGCCAAAGAAACGCGGTGAGACATGCTAGACGAGGACAGGCGGTTGTTGTTCACCAAAGAGCTCTTAATTCCGGATTGTGACAGCCGGTGTTGATAATTCGCCGTCAAGCTGGAGAGGCGCTTGTTAACAGGCGCTCCAGAGACTGTAAGCGACGAGGCTGCATATGCCCCGCTGGCGATCAAGGGATCGGATGCGGACAGCGATAGCCCCCTCCTCCGGCCATCGAACGTGATGCTGTCGGCGGGTGGCGTAGGTGGGATGGATTTCTCGTCCTGCACTGGAGTCATCAATGTTATCGGCTGCATGAGATGTTGAGAGGCAGACAAAGCGATGGCCTGTGCATATTGCTGGCGGTCCTCTTCGATGACGTCGCAGAAACGAACAGCCTTGACGACGATCTTGAACGCCTTTAGGATCATCTCGTCTACAATGTTGTTGACATTCTCGGTTGGGTCGGGAAAGCGCTGGTACTCCTGCAACCGCTTAGCCGACTTCACGAGGGACGACAATTCGGACAGCAGAGATTTCCGATTGCGCCTCAAACCGTCGTGACGCTGAATCAGAGGCGACTCGCGTGTCAGACATTCGGTGCGTTCCTGGAACGTTAGTCATGAGACTGGAAAAGGTAGACAATGAGTCGGCAAAGCATACCAGCAGGTACCGAACGCCAGCGATAATGCCCTTCATGAACTCCTGGTTGCCGAAAATCTCGTTGTCGTTGACGGTGGTGCTGCGCATCAGATCCCAGAAGTTCAGCAGAGCATTAAGTAAGTTCCGCATCTCGTCTGGCTCGTAGGCGTCACAATAGTTCGTGGGCAGCCAGCCTCGTGCACCAGACACAAGGAGGGTGCCATCAGCCCAGCCATTGGTATGAATGGAATGCACCAGAATGACATCGCCCTCGTTCATCGGCAATGTGACGGTCGAGTCGGCAGGCGAGTAGCTAGGCTGAAAGGCATAGTAAGCGCGCAAGAAGTTGTGAAATACTGGCGGTGGATCGGGCTGTGACAGAGAGCTGTGCATGTATCCGTTGTTATTGTTGTTGTGGGACAGGTCCTCCTGCGAGCCATTTGGGGTTGCTGGTGGCGTCATCTGGGAGTGTGCATAAAGATTTCCCCCGTGTGCTGAGAGGAGGGAAGACGATGATAAAGAGGTGGTGTTGTGGAGGGCCGTCAAGTAGGCATCGTCGCCAGATACTGCCGCGGCGTCGGTTTTGTGTATGGCGAGAGGAGCCACGGAGAGGCTGTTACGCGAAGAAATGGAGCTCAGCATGGCCGTTGCTGCTGAATGAGCAAGGTCGAAAACATGAGGTCCAGGAATGCGTCTAGTCTAAAAGAGCTCGCCGTGCTCAGAGACTGTGGGAAGGAGGTGCTTCACAAACGTCCGCTGCGGGTGGCGTAGGTGAAAGTCCGACGTGATTCGGAAAACTATCGCAGGCAGGGCTCAGAGAAATCCTTTTGGGGTCAGCGAGAGCGCAACGCGTCAGATCGAAGAAGGCTGGCGGGAACGGGGCGGGAGAATGCGCGTGGGTAGGTATGTTGGCAAGCGAGCATGGACGAGAGACGCGAAGGAATGTAGAGAAGGAGGGAAGAGATCTTGTAGGAGGCTAGATGGGGAGAGGGTAGTATGTAAACCAGAGTCATGGAATGCTGTATACTCCGTACGGAGTAGTGGGCACTAGAGGGCGATCAGATCCGAAGAAGGGTGTCTCATGTGGGAGTGGGTGTAGCGGTGCGTACACTATGTACGGAGTATGCAGAGGGGGTGTGGGTGTGTTCGTGCGTAGGCGAAGGGGTGGGGCTGTGGCAGTAAGATATGTACGAGTACGAGGACGGGAGGGCTCGTACGTGCATGCTGCACCGTTAGAGCATAACCAGGGAGGCCCCGGTCCCCTGGCCATCAGAGTTTCAGGCCATACATAGTGCTCCGTACCGATGACCATCTGCCACGGGCCATGCAGGGAGGCGAAGGAAGCAGGGTGCACGGGAAAGTTGAAGAAGAGGATGCCAAGGGGATGCTACTATGTAGATGCGAGCTCACCGGTCTGGGGTTTGTCGGTGACTTTTCGTCGAGTTGCGTCGAGTTGCGTCAAAAAAGAGGGCCAGGATGAAGGGCCCGTTTGTTTTGTATCTCGTACGGAGTAGAAGAAATACGCTCGAGCGGTGGCAATGGTGAGGACGAGAACGAGTCGGCGAGGCAGTCCGGAGATCCTAGCAGCGAACGGGCGGGGGCGAGATTGCAGATGTCGCGCCACGAGAGGGTACGACGTACTTGTATTGAGAGATTGATTATAGTTTGGAGGCAAGAGATCAAAGCAGAGATCGAGAGTCCCAGAGCAGATGGTCCCACGTCACAACATGTCGTAGGGGGAAAGTGGCCGGCGTCGTGCGAACTGTCCTCTTGCGTCGGGGAGGGGGGGTTTGATTGCAGATCCTTATGCTGGTGATGTCGTTCTTCCTGGCTTTTTCAACCGCCCAACCAGGATCTTGGATCCAGGCTGCAGGTGGGCGTTCTTCGCTTTTCGTCGGTGGGAGGTCAATGCGAGCCAGACGCAGGGTTCTGTTTATTTCGCACTTTACGAGTAAAGATCGTCAGTCGTTAATGGGGTTTTGCTAGCAAGCAAGGAGGGGTGCATGTACATGAACTCTGTGCTATAATGTCTGGCCTCCGGAGAGCAATGCACACGAGCAGGAAGAGGCGTGGGGAAGGGATATGGAGACAGAGAGGCCGAGAAGAGGGGCAGGAAAGAGGAATGCGTGTTGGAAATCGTCTTGGAAATCGTCTTGGAAATCAGGGCAAGATAAAGCAACATACGACAGGAAAGCAAGCTGTCCGAAAAGAGTCGGAAACTGGTTCGGTTGGGGCAAGGAAAGGACGAGCAAGCTGTCGTACGAACAGAGAGCACAGACCAGATAGGGAAAGTAGGCAAAGGCCGATTGACAACGACGTAGCAGAGGAGAGAGCGGAAGGATGGGGGCTGTCTTGTCTGCAGTGTCCTGCGGCCTGGCAATGCTCCTTCCCTCGGTGTAGCGTAGTGGGGGTGTGGGCCTGCTCTTATTTTCTCGTTTTATTTATTAATCATTATCATTAATCGTCTACATAACTTACCTTGTATTCCTACGGTTGGGCTGACCCGGGGAATACTACTGTGGGCGCACCATTCGCTTCACAAATGAGGGCAAAAAAAACCGAAAAAAGGAAACCAAGACTACGACGTATACTATGTAGCGGAAGAAAAGGCCCAGCCGCTAGCCTGGACGGGCATGGTGTCACCCAACCGTTGTCGTCGGCTAATTAGTGCTGTCCTCTCCCAATGAGCCTGCCAAGGCCTGCTTGAAGGAGCAAAGGACGTGTACGACATAAGATACTACAAAGTCTCTTGCCAACGTGCCACGGATGCGTTGCTGCAACGTTGCTAAGCCTCATGCGACGGCCAGAGGTCCCCAGTCCGTCTAGCTGCTTTCTCTGTGCTTCTACCGGGCACAGACACGCCCGTATTTCCTTTTTGCGCTTTCTTTTTCTTTGTTTATTTCGTAGTCGCCTGCTCTACGTATTCTGCGAAACGGATCGTGCTCGTAGTCCGCACGGAGTACGGGGAACGACGTATGTGCGCACCTCTGCTGACATAATCGATACTATGTCTTGCCCTCTCCACAGTTCAAAGCGCAGAGCCCCGAGCTCTGCACTTCCTCTCAACTTCGTGCCCTCTTCTCCAATCCCGAGACAGCAACGAGTCCCCCACCTGGACCAATGGATCCGCGGCCGGGCAGGGGCCCCTTACGGGTCACCTCGCAAGGTAGAGCCCGAAATGAATAGGGGTGTGTGCGGCAGGCCAGGCGGGAGAGAATAGAAGGCGGACAGCCAAAAAAAAAAAAAAAGGCAGATGCCTACGGAGAACGATGTACTCCGATCCAAGTATCCCAATAATAGCATGAAAGAGAAAACCGTGGCAGAGATTAAAAAAGGGCCGCAATTGGCCATAGCAAAGGAAGCCCAGGCTCCATCTGCCGCCGGCTGCTAAATCCCGGGACAAAGAGGCTGCTAATTGGGTACGGAGTATGGAGTACTACGGATAAGTACACTTGCGTTTGTCAAAGACGTCCCAAATATTGCCCTAGTCGGCACCGAGCCCATCTGCGCGATGCTGGTAAGATACACAGTAGCGCAAAAGTGATGAATAGCTCTAGCTACTATGTACCAAGCTCGCCGTACTCAATGCTCTTTGGGATCATCTCAGAGCGATGCCACGCTGGCCCACCGGCTCTGTCCCATCGGCGGCAATAACTGTCTTCCACAGATTGGATGCTTCTTGGATCAGTACGACGTGCAAGCCATTTGTCGCTCTGTCGGCGCGATGCGACGCGACTCGAGCAGCTGCCGCTGGCTCATGGACTCAACACGAACGACGCGAGAACAGGCCGAAGCATCGCTCCCGTCCTCGGCCGACATCTGCTCTGTGCTCGTGCTCTTGGCACGACTACGTCGAAAGCTGGCATCAGCCATCCTCCATGCCTGATCCCTGCCCTGACGATACCGGCTCTGACTAGCAGGCTTGGAGAACTAGTACGGAGTAGAAAAAAAGATCAAAAAAGCAAATAGCAAAAAGCCCACCACGTCGTGCTACAGAAACGATCGTCAACCGTCGCCCCTTTCCCTTCCCGTCTGACCTCTGGCAACCAGCTCCAGACAGCTATCTGCTGCTCCAACAGCCGGTACGCTAATATGCATATGTCGTAGCGGCGTCCCATACGCATACATGCCCTGCAGAGTTCTTGCTCTTGACCACCTTTCCGTCACCCCCAGCTCTCGCGAAACACCCAGTCACACAAGCTGGACCCGGGTATGTCTTCCGGCCCGGCCTGCAATGGGGGGTGCTCGTCCTTCTATCGCCAGCAGAGTTACCAAGCACTCGCCCTCGTACATCGTAATATCTTCTGTACCATATATGCAGCCTGGCAGGTCGAGATTCTATTATGTATGTACTATTATCTTACCGTACTGCTCCACCCTGGACAACCTAAAAAGGCTGACTAAACATGTCGACTTCGCCTCGTACGAGTGCTAGCCATTTTGCCGCGCAAAAGGCTGCCGACAGCCTAGACCCTCGGCAGGTCCGGTTGCATCTTGTGGAATTAATGACTGCCAGTCGCGCTTGTACCTGTAGGATGCGATGCTCTGCAGAATCCGGGAAGCACCAAATCCTGCCTGACAGCATCCTCCGTATGCGACGTATTACGCGGACACCCTGCTCGGAGGATTTCATCGTCTGCCGTGGCCGTCGGTTCCTGCAGCGCAACCAGTCTTCAGTCCGGTCACAGCGACCTGACCCCTGCTGCTACGGAGTGCACATACTTGTTTTTATGCACCGACTGCAAGCATTATCACCAGGCTAGTCCACATCTGGCCGCACTCTTCCGGACGGAGAGATATGAGCGTGCCGTAAAAGTGCTGCAGCATTATTGTGCAGACGGAGAGCTCCGCGAAGATTCCAAAGGCTACGTACGGAATACGGACAACACGGACGAAAACTGAGGGAAAACGCCCCGTGCAGCTTCTCGGCGCTCTTCAACGTTCTTGTCTTGTTGCTACTTCGCCCTGGCCATCGTCATGATCATCTCTCCCGTGCACAACCAAACTCTCATCTCGATCGTAAGAAGCAGAATCCCTCCCCGGCAAGGCACGTTTGACCGCCATTGTGCTTTCTCCCGCCACGCTCCGTACTATGTACTCCGTAGTCCTGTCGGCTATTTTGCGCTCTGACATCGGTGGCGTCTTGTCGTCATAGCTGGTCGCTTCTTAGCCGCTTGTTTCGGCCACCCAGTCACTGTCTCGAACAGCCTCGCAGATTCATGCCGCCCGGTGCGCTTATCGCGACCAGACCGGGGGTGAGGGGCTTTCGTATCTTACGATTCCCTGCTCTTGATTGAGACCGTCCTAAAGAGTGCCTACTTGGGACGTGCAAGGGGGCCCCCCAGTCTGCAATAAAAAGAGAAAAATCAACTCTCTCCAGACCAGGCTAGACCGTGGGGAAAGGCACGAGCCAGAGGACGCTAGCCAATGAGCAGAACCCAAATCGCCAGTCGTCAGATGACACATGAGATGTCCACGAAGTACTCCGTACGTACTATTGCGCATCGTCCTTCCTACTCCTATCGCATCTGGCAAACTGCCGGTCATGAGATGGAGCACGCTGGGAGTTTTGGACAGGTACTCTATACGATCGCAATGTGCTCCCCCACCATGGCTAATAATTTGTGGCGTTCCGTAAGTAACTCACACACGGTCCTTATCAATACTGGCAGACAAGAAAGTACGAGTCATCCTGGTCCTTGTCTCGCCCGCAAAACGGACGCGTAAGGACCAACAGCAGACTCGTGCCAAAACGAGGATCATCCATGCGCGAAAAAGGAAAGAATTCGCCTTGGCTTGCAAGCGAGCGAGCAGCTGAACTACCATATGGGGGACTACAAAGAAAAAGACGTTGCAGGTTTTTGAAATATATTGGAAATGATCGGAGCTCTCATTACAGTCCAAGTTCCCGCTGCAGAACCTCCAGCTAGTGACGCGAGAATGTGAATACCACCACAGACATATACGCCTCGACGCGTTACGCACGAAATATATGCGACCACACTCACATGACTAACCAAAACGGACGCATATGCCGAGGGTGTGGCCCCTAATCGGATGCGTGCTTAATCCTGCGGGTTCCACTGTATTGGCCTCGTAACTGGACCTGCTACGAGTGCATACACTGCCTGCTATTGTGGTGGCTGCCGCTTCGTCAACCGGCTCGGCCGGCGTTTGCCTGACCGATCACCACGCAGAACGAAAGCGAAGATGTGACACGCATACCATGCACGTTTAGAGGACTATCTGGCTGTCTCGGTTAATGGAGAATTCACGGCCTGCGAGCGGATGCGCCTGGCATGAAGATAATGTGAGACGGCATCCGGGTTGCCGACTAGTACTCCGTACCACAAGTGCACAGAGCCTCTTACTAATCCTCCTGCAGCCCTAATATGCTTGTTTCAAGCCTGCCAAGCATAGGAGAGCAAGTCGGCTGAGGTGCATGTCTTCTCAGCTCGGAAGAGAAACCACAAGCCCGGCTTTTCTGGTTCGCGTGTCCGTCTGGGCTCGTGGCTTGGATCTGCAACATGTCTTTTATTCTCCTTTTCGATCAGATTGCTCGAAAGGTGATATATGACGGGCCCTCGTCTTTGAGAAGAGATGCATCGCTCTCACATCGCTCTCACATCGCTCTCACATCGCTCTCGCGGCGGACCCTGTCTCGGTGCTTGAGTCCAGGTGCTCACTCTCCAACGGGTACACAACAACGCCGTCACCGAAGCGGGGTAAGACAGAGTGGCCCACGAGTAAACGAGTAACGATGCATTTGGCAACCGTGCTCCGAGACAACAAGGCAGAGTGAGCCTAGGTGCGGATACGAATCGCCTGCCGCTTATGGACCCTGTTTTTCTTTTATGCTTCCTTTTATGCTTTATTTTTGTGGCGGAGCTCGCTGCCATTATCTACCTTTTCTTTTTCCCTTGCCTCATTGCTGAAACAGTGCAAATCCCAGACTACTCAAACTCCGTACATAGTAAGATGATACGGTTGCTTTTCGACAAACGTCGTAAATCGGTTCGGAGTGCTCTCCCTTTTCGATCGCTCTCCGAGTCCTGAGAGTGCCACTTTTGTTGCTTTTTCTGTTTTGTGGTCGAGATGGAGGCCCAGGAAATTGCAATGTTTTCATAAGCTGCGACTTGTTGCTGTCGGCGCTGGAATGATGCGTAATACTCCGCACTCCGTAGGATACCTGTGCACAACTACAATGCAAGTCGGCGCCTCGTCTCCGCTGAAACTCGTCGCGTCTCCAGCCTCGACTACACACCCACTCCTGTTGTCCAACCACTCAGTTGCCCCAGCCAACTTCAGTTCGTTTTCAGCAGATAGGCGCACCGTGCACCTACGACGATCTCTCATCTTTGCTCAGGCCGTCGAGTTATCTCCGCGGGCCGTCTGCTCGCTGCAGACAGGTCCCGCCAAGTAACCTTTTTTCTACGTCGTATTTCCAGTGTTCGTGGTAGTCTTCTCGGGTCTTTAATCAGTTCGAAACGGTCGTGGGCTGGCGGTATGTATTCCAAAACGCAGAACAGGTCATCTAAGTTCTCGTATCTTGCAAGTCGGACGCGGGCAGTACTCGTAGTGGCGCAATGTTTGTGTCAACGCCAACGTCGTCAGAGTTTCGGGATCCTGCGGCAACGCCCAGCTGTACACTGTGCTCAACGGGGGTGCGAGCTCTCCGTGCGCTGCATTCTCGTGCGGGCGCATTTCTCCCTCCTAAGCGCACGCATGTGACGAGCCATACTCGTATGGAGTATAGAGGATGCGAAGCAACTTTCACACTTGACCGAGATGCGAGCTGAGCAGAAAGCAGCGGCCGCGTGATGAGTTAAGCTTGCGGCGGATTGGCAATATTGTGTGATTCGTAGTGCCTACAACTGTGATAGTTGGCTGGCTTTGGGCTGTCACACTATGACGTGGGGAGTAGCAGGGGCCTGCCAGCCATTGAAGTCCCCATAGGGATTGAAGTCGTATGCACTGGCGGAGGCTATGCCGATATTCTGGCCAGCGTGAAGAAACTGCACATTAGTGTTGCATGGGTACTTTCTTGGCGCGAGGAGAAAATCTCCAACGGCGTGCATCTTGAAGAACGCACGAAGTCAGCTTAGATGGCCGATTCAGCCCTTCGACAGATGAGGGCCCGAGGACTCATGTGATGGCGATTCAACGCAAAAGTCCCGTTTTACAAAGTGCCAGGCGCTTTATCCCGTCGAGCTATAAAAAAAAAAAAAAAAAAAACAGCTTCTAAAAACTCGTAAAACTTGGCTCTGGTTTGGGTAAAACCTCCGGGAGCCGGACTGACTTTTCAGGGGCGATTGATGGAGAGGACGCACCACCTCATGTTGGTGGAAGATCTTGTACTGCATGTGGCGAGGTGCGACCTTGGTCTGGCCTCCTATCTGGCCTCACGGATTCGGCCCGTAGACGTCGTTCGAGATGCGCCAGAGCCGAATGTGTTTAATTGGAAGCTGGTCTAGAAGGTGTGCAGATGCTACTGCAAGCATGGAGCTTTCAGCAGAAGCTGAATCCCTGCATAAGTGCAACAGTTGCATTTCAGCGTCAATCTTGGGAAGTCCTTTTTTTCGTACGAATCTGTATTAGGATGTGCCCTGCATGAGTTGGAAGAAGCAATATGTCGTATTTTCGCATCCCGTGTCGTATTCTCTTGCTGCCTGCCCTCACAAAAGGTGCGCTGTCGTGAGTGTCTGAGGTCGAGGATTCGTCGTTTTGTTGAGTAAGCCGGGTTGCCCATTCCAAGACTTCCTACATTTCTTTCTGTTGCCAAAGACGCTGGTCCGCACAGCTCGACAAAGGGAGCGCCGGTCGACAAGCCAAGATCGACGGCGTCCCCCTCCCCCTCCCCCTGGCTTCGTTTCTGGCAAACCTCGTATATGTGACCTCTCTCGCCATGTGCACGTAGTCCCCGGACATGATTTCAGGTTTCCGCGTCACCGCTTTTCTGTCATCAAGCAGCCAATTCCTTGCGCTCCAAGCAGCCCACAGACACGCAGACACGCAGCCATGCCCAGCAAAGGCGTCCAGGTATACACGTATGTTGCCGTGCCCGGCATCTCGATTGGGCTGTCAGTGCCGGGGCAGACGGTGCGGCGCAACGAGCTGCGCGTGTTCCACGATGAGAACCTCGAGGTCGACACCAAGCATATCCCGGGCCTGCTGAGCACGACCGGCCGGTTCTCGTTCAAGGTGGTGCGCGACGACGGTGGCGAGGTGCTGACGGAGCAGTGGATCGAGGTAAACGCGCTCACCGGTGACGCCGGCAGGGGAACGCTGCACAAGATATCGGAGACGCAGTCGGTGGTGCATGAGGCCAGCGGGTCGATTGTGTCGTATGGGTTCTATGAGTCTGGCACGGGCATCGCCGACCTGCCGGACCGACACCAGTGCTATGTGACGGTGACACCCAATTATGGCAGCTGGATGGGCCAGGTCGCGCCGGCTGGGTCGCCACAGGCGGAGCAGCCATTCCGCAAGCTGGCGCTGCCGGCGCCGCATGACGTGGGTATGAACAGCATGGTCAATTGCACGGCCGTGCTGGCGCACGCCGGCAGCGCCGTCATCTCAACCATGATCAAGGAGAGTAAATGGGCCGGCCACCTGGCCGACGTGGTGACCGGCAAAGCCATCGAGGCCATTGCGCCCAACATTGTCAGCAGCCTGGCCATCACGCAAAAGGACCCGTTGACGACGATCCTGCAGCTGGGCGCGCGCTATTTTGAGTTCCGCCCGGCACACTGCCACGAGGCCATCCTGCCGTCCAACGCGCTGCCGGACGGGCTGTACTTTCAGCACAGCGCCATTCCGGGCATGTCGTACGACGCCTTCCTCGACGACCTTGTCGGCTTCCTGCAGGCGCACCCGGACGAGATCGCTGTCGTGCAGCTACGCTGGGACGGCGTGCCCGACAAGTGCAAGCGGCCCATCGAGCAGGACCTCAACGACAGTGTGTTCAGGGCGCTCGCCCACACCGACGGTGCCATCGCCAGCGGCAACCTTGACGACCTGCGCAACTGCTCCATCGCCCAGCTGCGCGGCGATCGCAAGCGTCTGCTTGTCCTCGTCAACGTCGACTCCCTCTCGACCTACACGGACGAGGGCAATGCCACCACCAGCGGCGATGCCATCGTGGCCGGCTTTAGCAGCGCCCTGCATCCCGAGGCCGCCCAGGGCAAGGCCTTTGTCAACATCCAGGTCCAGGCCACTGCCACCAACATCCCGGCTGCGGTTGCTTACAGCGTGCTGTCTGCCAGTGCCTCTACCAGCTGTCTGCTGGCCACCAAGGCGCTCGTTGATTCCAAGGCCCTGCCGTGGGTGCGCGACAACACTGCTCGCACCTGCGGAGACGACACTCTGGTGGTCATCATGAACGACTTCTTTGACGGTGCCACGGCCGATGTGGCTGTCGAGTTGAGCCGCCAGCGGCTGCAATAGTGATAGAAGTAGGGGATCAGAGGAAATTGCTGTCTTGTTACTGGAAATTGGAACAGAGATAGAATAGATCAAGCAAGGATGCTCGGATGGGAGGTGTTTTGCAGCTTGCATTCGACGTTGGTCGAAACGTTGTTTGCTTTTAACATTGTGAACGATTTATAGCAAAAAGATGCAAGTAATCTCTCGAACAGGGACAATAGAAGTTCTGTGCACAAGAACGGAAGGTACATCCAAGACGTACTTACTGAAAAGAGGCGTTTTGTTGCTGACTTGGCAGGCTTGGAAGGCACAGTCGTCCTGGCTCCTGCTTTATTTATGCTAATTTGTACCCTTTATTTGGCACCCAAATCATCCATCCACTCACCCACCACCCATGTAATACTCCGTACTCCTATACGAAATACTACTCATTATACTACCAGCCTGTCTATCAGTCTGATTTGCTCTCATCTCGCTACCTGTAGTGGCGTCGCAACCTGTAGTTACAGCCGACCCAAGATTTCATGAGATATAACCACGTTACCGACGCCGGTCATCCGCTCAGCTGGGTTTGCCTACCGAGTAATTCAATATCTGCATGGCCAGATGCAAAGCACGATGAAACGTAAAACAAACATTGTACCCTGCTATCCACTACCCTTCTACTTGTCGTTGCTACCCTATTCCTCTCCCCCCTTACATACAACCAAGTCCTCCGATTCTCTTCCTATCACCCATCCCCTTCTAATAACAGCACATCCGGGCCTGTGCCAATGCCCGTATGTGTATTCGTTTCCACCGAATGCATGTATGGCTGACCTTGTCAAAGGAGCTCTCGTCCAGCTTCCTCGGTCAACAGCAGAAATACAAATGCCGAATGCCAAAATCACTAAATCCAACGGAGAAAAGAAAAACACCGAACCAGCACACCTGTCTTCACCTCTCTCCTGTCTCATTTCACCCAACTCATACATTAACAGTGCTTCACTCTCGAGGATGCTCCCAAGAAGTCTCCGAGTCGTCCCCCAACAGAAACGTCACCAATTCAGGTTAAAGTGGGAAAAAAGAAGCGAATAGGGAAACCACTATGCAATCCGTTTCGCCAAGTCTGGGTTGATGAGAGACGCGAGGTGTCCTGTGTAACGCAAATGGGAGCCGCAGTTTTAATAGTCTCGTTGTCGTTTTAGTGTCTGCAGACAGCAAGCCCGCGAGAAAATTGACCCGTGGGGGTTCCGGGGACGGAGGCGCCATGTTTTGCGGCCTCTTCTCCGCTCTCGGCTGTCGCGATGTCGAAATAAACACATGCAAGTATCGTGCCGACATGTTGTCGTAGCAAAATCAAGGATGTGTGTGGTGGGAAGCAACAGCCCATTTTCAATAATATTCTCCCAATCGATCAATTCTGCTTCAACCTCTCATTGTAGGCAGCGAGAGCATATTAGGGGCCGTGACTGAACTGTGTCGTTAGATTAGGATGTGAGGGTGTCTGTTGACTCTGCAGTGAGACAGATATGCATAGGGAGCCCGAAGGAGACTCCTTCTGATGTTGTATCCCCAACACGGAAAATAGGGAGGTAAATAATAAACTCTTTCATTGTCTCTTTTTTTAGTGTGGCCCCGTTACAGCGTCCAGTCGTGATAAAACGTCGATGAGTGGTAATAGTTGTAGTTCCAGGTCCCAGTAATGACTGCATAGAAATAGTCGTATCGTCTTTCATCGCAGCGTCCCCAGCAAGCGTCGGGGGCGTAAGAAGGCGCCAGTCCGGGGACGACATGTCATCCATCGTGCTGCGGGCATCCTCGGCACCGAGGAGCTCTTCAAAAAACGGCATCGTGTCCTCGTGTCCTCGTGCCCTCGCGGTCCAAACCGGAAGGCTGGGCATCGCAGGACATAAAACATAAAAACCCGATAACACATGGATGGGAAAAGCACATACAGGAAAATCCAACGCAAATATCCAAAATCAAAGACATTGTGCACAAAATCAATCAGGAACCAAAACTCCATCGACCGACGTTCGTACTCCACCTCTCGAAAAAAATAAACCCAGGACGTAGACCAGAGGCATTAAAACGAAACAAATCGCGGCAGGTAGGAGGGAGGCGGTCGATGAGATATTAATGTGTGACAAACCTGAAAACGTGTCGCCAGGGCCAGTGCTCAGTAGAGCGCGGCAGACCCATGGGTGGCGCCCAGACGGCTATCAGAAGAATCTGTAGAGCGGTCAGAAAGAGTTCAGCGAGGTTCCACAACGTTTATCAGGCGTGCAAGACTTACCACTGCCACGATGCATGTGACCGTTTGAGCGACCGCGCGAGAACCCGTTTGGATTCTCCCAGTCGCTGCCTGGACCGCGCGGTTGCCGCTCCGGAATTGATCTGTTGCCGCCGTTGCCGTTCGCACTGGGCCGCTGGCTGCCGATAGCGCCTGGCGTCTCGCGAGACCAACTTGCCAGGCTGTTGCCGTTACCGTCATACGACGACGAACCCAGGCCCAACGACCCCAGTCCGTTCACGAGACTCGAGGCATCACCCGCATTGGATGCCGGCTGCGGCGGCGGTGCAGCCAGACCAGAACCGGGTGTTGTCGGCGTCGTCAGAGAGGGTCCAAAGGGGCCGTCATTGGGGTAGTGCGTCATGAAGGACACACCACCACCGCCGCCGTGGCCGTTGGACGACGGCGCTGCGAGACCCCCACTGCTGACCATGGAAGGAGACGGGCTGGGGCTGAACGAGCGCAGATCCGCAAAGCTCTTCACACCCCGGAGGCTGTTCAGCCCGCCGTGCTGGTGATTCTCAGGGCTATTGGGGATGGTCAAGGTCGGGCCGCGGCCAACGGCGTGCACAGACGGATGTTGCTGCCGGTCGTTGAAGTCGTACGTCGCCGCACGGCTGAGTCCGCGCGGATGGCCGTCCAGGGTCACGCCCGGCTGCTGGGCAGAACTCTGATGTGTCCCAGTCGCAAACTTGGACTTGCTGACATGCACCTGCCGGTTCTCGCCTTCGCCAATAGATGTGTGCTCGAGACCCATGTTATGTGCGAGTATGTGGATCATCCGCCGGTCTTCTGGCGCTGTATCTGCTGGGAAGATGTGAACTTCTCGGTTGTCATCATTGCGGAACATGTACAGGTCGAGGTAGAACTGCAGAGTGTGCGGATCATTGAGATCAACGCGGCCCGAAATCCCCGGGTCTACGAAAGTCAGCATAGGCAGAAAATGGAGCAAAGATGAGAGGGGGCAAGACCCGTGTGGGCGAAAACATGGACGTACTGTCGTTCACAGGCGCTCTCTGCAGAGATGTCGTGGTGGCTAACGACGAGATGGAAACCTGATGCGCTGGCCCGCGGTGCTGTTCTTCCAGCTGGCCACGCTTCTCACGCTTTTCACGCTCGATGCGTTCGCGTTCGTGCTCCGGCAGCATCTTCTTGTATTCCACGCGCAGCTTGCGGCCCTGGATGTCCAGCCCGTTCATGCGATCGATAACGAGAGCGGTGTCCTGGGCATTCTGAAAATTGGCAAACGCAAGGCCACGGAAGATGCCATTGTCAAAGTGGTAGTTGAAAGCATACGGTTGGGGCAGATGCATCTCGATCATCACGGAAGTAAGGTATTCTTTTCGCACGTTGAACGGAATGTTCTTGATAACAATGGCAGTGGGAATCAGGTCGCCCATGTCCTTCTTGTTGTCAGAGAAAGAACGCATGTCGGGCTGACCGAACGCCTGGATGTTGACGGTCGGGGGTGCAACACTGTATGGGTCTGGGGAGCCGGAGTTTGGGAGTCCCATGGGCTGCCCGACGAGATGTTGCTGCTGCTGATAGTAGGAGATGCCGGGAGCGCCCTGGTTTCCCAAAGGAGCCTCGTTTTGATTTGCTGTCCACTCCTGCCAGTCTGTTAGCGGTTGCTTTCCTCGGCGCGAGCACGTACGTATACAAATACGTGTCGAAAGAAGATAAAGGGGAAGGATGGGGTACGCACGGAATGAAGAGGCGGTCGGCGGTTCGAATTGCGGATGCGCGTGCCGTCACCGATGGGGCCGTTCATGGTTGCCGCGCTGGAGGCACCGTTGTAGCCCCATGCTGTCTGGTTTGGCGCGTTGAACATGCTGAACGCATTCTGCAGCGAGGACGGGGTGGTCGTGCCGCGTTCAAAGCGTTGCGACGGGGCGTCAAAGGAGGCAAAGCGATCGTCGCTGAACAGGGCCGCTGCCTGGTTCACCGCATCGACCGACTGCTGCTGGTTTCGCCGGCCACCGCCTCCACCGCCGAGAGCTGACGGCACGCCGACGGTGGTTGCGTATCCTGGCCTTGATGAATTTGGCGAGTGGCTCAACGGACCGCCGCCGTAGCCGGGATAGAACTCGGTTTGAGGTTGCTGGGCATTCATCTTCGTGGTGAGCGGAAGCTTGAAAGTCTCGCGTTGGCAGGGCCAGCAGGTTGTGACGATTAAGGGGGTGAGGAAAGCGGAGATCGGCAGGCTCAAGGGGAGTCGGCTCGCGAAGCTATTATCGTCACCGCAAAGTTCGTCACTGGGGTGACCGTCCTGACCCGTCCTACTGTCGTTCCTATGCTATTGTTTTGTCGTCTCGGTCGGCAGGAGTGGAGAAGAACAGTTCATGCGTGCTTTTAGCTTCGTAAAAATTCAGGCTTTTCGGTGGATGACTCGTTGGTTTGTTCAGAAGCCTGAACGAGTGATGGGGTCAGCAAAGCAACAGTGTGCCACGATCGTGGCGAGAAGCACGGCCAGGACGCTGCACATGCGATCAAAGGGGCGGCGAATGGGAACGGAGATGGATGCAGCTGGCGAAAGTGCTTAGCTGGCCAGACAAATCCCGGCAGCCACTCATGGGAAAGAGAACGGGGTATTTTTTTCCCCCGTGCAGAATGGCGCAGCGGTCGAAAGCGGCGCTGCAAAAGAAGACAAGCTGGGGCAAGGAGGCAGATAAAAACAAGGCAAACAGGGCAAACAGGGCAGCAGAGACAAACGAGGCCGTCTGGGTGGCAGACTCGACACGGGAGATGGAAAGGATGGCCGGACGATGGCCGGACGGCAAAAGGGGGGAAGCGTGCGGTGAAGTTGGGGCTGATGCAGCTGACGGGAGACGCACCTTTCGAAGCCGCAAGCACAGCAGAGGCAAAATGATGCACAGACAACGCCGTATCCGGCTGCGTCGACGGGATGGAAAGATTGCAATGGCGTACCGTGCTGGGGAGAATCGCCGGCGTCGGCTGTGGTCGATATAGTCATAAAGATGAGGTTTATTATGTGTTGATGTTTTTTGGGGCTGCCCTTCTATTTTATTTTATTTTCTTGCTATTTTTTATTCCCTTTTTTATTTAGCTGATTTTTTGGGATCCCTATTTTCCTGGTATGAACCGCGGGATTGCTAGCTCGCGAAGGCTAAACTCGAGGAGGGGCGGGTGCGGTAGGCCGTATTAGGGGGCGTCTGAAGGGGCGGCCGCCCTGTTTCCTTGCACCACAACTGTAGATGCTTACGAGTCGTATAGGGGGATGTGGCTTTTACCGGTCTAAGGAATGGGATAGTGTCCCACTATTCATTATCCCCTACCAATGAGGCGTCGCCAAAGTGGCCCCAAAGACGTGGCAAAGCTCGACCGCAGGCATTCTTCACAGGCAGCACAACAAACGAAATGGTAAGCGCAGTCGAGGAAAGGGGCCGGGCAGCGAGAGGTAACTTGAGATACGACCACGGGCTGCAGGCAGCGACGAGGCACGGAGCCGTGACCCCACGCCAACTGTCACAGAATACGGTGCGGAAAGAAGGGACGAAAGTACGCACGGAGTACCTCTTTCGGGGGGTGGCTGTGTTGCAGTCCACATGTACAAGTTTGGTACCGGTATTTCACAAAGCTTCAGAGTGGCTATACGAGCACACGTTCGTCGACGAGTGCAAACCAACGCGTCCTGTGTCTTGTGTCTTGTGATTTGCATCAGACATGCGGCTGCTGACAGCTGGCACAAATGATCCGGTGGGCTTGATCACCATTGCGTCCGATGCCACCTCTAGGGTTGCATTCCAGCTTTCCGGCATCCTACTCGGTAAAGACCTGCTTGTCTAGGCTGTCTGCCTGAAAAATAAGCGTGAAATTGCTGCTTGCGGCAGGGGGAAGTGCGGTTGGAAGCTTCTACATAGGACCATTCTGTAATGAAAAGTGGGCAGCCTCTTGATTTGAGGAACCAATGTTGTCCTGTTCTTCCCTGTCGCCGTCCCGCGGCTCGGACCAAATCTCGACAATGCATAAAGGGTCTTATTAGATTCTGGGGCGAGTAATTGAACTTACCGCCAACAATGTCCCATCCTTTGGTTCTCGATGGCCCCTGTATAGGCGGATTGTGTTGAAGCCGAAAGTCATAGCTTTAGTCCCACAAGCTCACGAGACTGTTTACTGAAAAGGTCAAAATCATTTCGGGTAGATAGCGACTTTTGCTACGAAGCAGCTGAGCGGCCAGGTTGGCAATTTGTTCTGGTTGTTAAGCCTCCAGAAGGTAGGGAGCGCATAGTCAGATCGTGTCAGTCGTCCGATGTCGTAAAGCTGTAGGATCAGAAAGGAAAGCCGTTCCTAACTCGTATAGGCAGTATTATCCGATCTGCGAAATCTAACGCACATTAACATAGCAGACATGAACAATTGCCTTGCCTCATGTATTGCCTCTTACGATTCGTATCCTAGCTGTCTATATTGTTGCTCTTCCGCCGCAAGCCATACTGATCAGTTGCGCCTGTGTGCGATTTGGGCAATGGAAAATAGGATTTCGTACTCCGTATGCCACAGTGCTTTAGTTTACGTCCTTCTCCAATGTTTCGCAAACCCCAATGATCTGGTATATCCCGTTTGCAAAAACTTCTGAATTTGTAATTAGTATCATTTTATCTTGTTGCGGCTCCCGACGAGCCATTATGTAATGTAAGATCCTTCTGTAGTCCTCTTCTCGCGGGTATTGTATGTGTGCATAGAAGCCAAACAAATTCTGCTTCCGAGTGCGCAGTATAATTCGGTCTACCGTTGAGGCAGCTCGGAGTCTAGACCGAGGTTTACTGAGCCTAGGCCAAAGTGCACAGAGGGCTATGCGGACCGTACGCTTTGTATTTGTGGTTGCTGTCCGTTCATTATAGGCAAGCCACTGTAGTCAAAACTACGAATCTGCGAATCACAGTCTCATCGGATTAGTAATAGCTACTGCAGAGCGTGGACTGAGCACTAGCCGACGTGCTGCGAAATACCAGCACGTTGCCACGTGCTATACAAGGCTGTCTTCACGAAAGACCTTTGCCTCGTAACAAAAGTACTCCACCAGAGATGTAAATGTGCCTTGAAAGGCTAAGCCGGTGTGTATCTTGCTAGTCGAAGACGGTCGCCTTGTGCACAATCCAACGCGAAATCCGTTGTTAGGGGCCCTTGGTGATGATGCAGAAAACGTTGGCCTTGGTTGTCGCTGCACAGCCAAGCGCAGGCAGCTGAAGCAAGTCGCCAGGCTGTTCAACGATGCGCAGCAGCCAATCGTCGTCGCAAAGAACACAGCATCTACGGATAATTTAGGGCTTGAAAGCAATCTCTGACTAATGATGATCCACAAGAAGCCCTGAAAGAGGCCGTCCTTGTGTCTTTTTACGTAATTGCTTGAGAAAGAGGTTGCAGCCGAAATGGCCGGTGATATTCCACATCGCTATTGGTGGCTGTTCGAGGCTCTGCGCTAAGCCTTGACAGCCGTCTTTCCGCCGCTAAGACGTCGCATCCCCCGTGCAAGTGTCGCATAAATGACATAGCACAGAAGTTATTTCCAACGTCAGGGTCTCTTCCCTTTCGGGATTCGCAGGTGGGCTTTATGAGGTCACTGGGCAGCTAGTCTTCATTCACTGAAGCCGGTCACGAGTTGCCTGGTTCTAATATTCGTGATAATGGCATTTGCATGCAGTACGATGTGCTTCTTAAGTCTATATATACAGTATGTCCTCCTTTGCATTATAAGATACTTTTCAGTGGCCAAAAGAAGATTCGCCGTCCTCCTTCGGGTACTCTATCACGACTTCCCGACGTTGGTAGATCTTGAGCGGCACGGGGTAGTCCTGGTTGATTCGCTCTTGGCTATTTGAGCGGTCCAGCATAGAGTCTTCGCCTCTGACGGCAGAGATTTGGACATGACTGGGCAAGGTTCTCGATCGGAAGCCCGTACTTGGTCCATAGCGCGAAATGGACGAGTTCTCCGAGAAGGAGGTCAAATTCAGGACCCTCCGTGCGAGCGTCCAGGTTTGTGAGAGATTGGCCGTGATAAGAGCGGTCGATGACTCGCGGATGTACCAGAACACCCAGGCGGACCCAAAGGGGTCGTGGAAGGAATAGTATTTGTTGAGAATGGCAGAAATTATCTGCAGCGTAAAAGTCAGTCTTTGCTTCTCGGGCCCGTTGTGTCATCATGGGTGCGTACAGTAAAAAAGCCAATGGTGAAGACGCTGCAAAGAATGATCTTCTTTTTGGTAGAGATGCCGGCCTTGAGGAAGACGGGCATTGGGATCAAGATGATCATGATGTCGGAGGAGATATTGAGGACGGCGTTGGTAATGAGATGATGTGTTGCTGCAGAGCATTGGACTGATCGGTGTCAGTATGGACCTTGAACCTTTCTGGGAGCAGAAGCCGAAGCCTTGTGCGTGCTCCACTTACTGCTATCGGTAGGAACGGCCCAGTACTCGTGAAATGGCCGACACCAGACACCGAGGTACAGGACCTCCATAAGTATGAAGCCTCCGATGACGTAGCCGGCGACAATCTTGACAGCCAAGTTTTGTCTCAAGCTCATGCTGCAAGCTTGTCAGTACGGCAACATGGCTCAGCAGAAGTCAGGGGACACTCACGTCAGACGGTGGTACAGGATGAGAAGACAGAGCTTCACGGTCCAGGTGGTGAGGATCTGCATCTCTTCGACGACCAGGACAAACTTCGAGCCGCGAACCCGCTCCCTGATGTTCTGGGGCGTAAGCGGGGTGGTATCGTTAGGGTTGATCAGGTTGCTGCTGGTGGTAGCGACGAGGTTGATGCAGGCCATCAGGATCGTATCCGTCACCTAACAGTTGCGGTTAGTAGGTGCCGTAGGCGTGCATGCGGACAGCCCGTCAAAAATGATGCATCGTATCCTCTGCTTACCATGGCGAAGAGCATGAGCATATCATCGGACTGCAGCTTCCTCCAAGAGCCCTGTAGGAGGGTGCGGGAATACCTGGAGACGGTCAGTACGTGGGCCAGGAATGACAGCAAAAAGAACTGTTGGAAGAAGAGGAGCAAAAGCACGTGAAAGACGTACAATCTCGCCCCGACCACCAGCCAGGTTACGGAATACCACGTCCATGTTTCCGCCACGAGTGCCGTCATGGCAAATGTCGAGAAATCAAAGAAGAGTCCGTGTATTCATAAGGCGGTTGACTATCATCCAGTGAAGTCGTCGTCGTCGTCGCATGTTAGGGTTGAGATGGCCAGCTTGACACCCAAGATCGGAACGGGGGGGATGCGCAAAAATGGAGAAAGGGTGTCTGTTCCTTTTATGTCGACAAGCCCAAGACCGGTACAATGTACGGAGTACATAGTATGGCAGCCGCAAGTCGAGAGCCTAGAGTCCCATGCACTTGGCAAGGGTAAATCGGACAACCGCATTGCAGAAGTACGCTTGCAAGTGTTCCTGGTGGTCTAGCTCACTCCATAGGCACGGGCCTCCCTGTTATCTCAGAATCCTAGGCTGCAAGCTGACCCCCCCAACTCTTCCGGCTTCCTTCTTTTGCTCGTTAGCTACTACCCTACTGTGTAGGGCCGGCCGGCGCATTGGTAATAGCCGACCAACTCTCCTCCTTGTTCGCCAATGTTGGTCACAATGCCGCACACTGCTCATAGAATCCACTCGGCCCATCAGTCGTAGTCTCGCGAATTCTGGCCCGACGGCTGCGAATGCAACACACGCCATTCATACCTGATTTCCAGTCTGCCTTGGCCAAATAGGAGGGAGGCAAGAGATAAGGACGTCTCGCTCTGGGACGGGACGGGATACGCGGAAAGTGTGTGTGAGCACGGATCAGGAGGGCTCCGTATGGCAATACAGGATTCGAACTATCTCCTGACTACCAAGTCAGCTTGGAAGACGGGCAGTCATGACCGATCCACTCTCTCTAAGCCCGCGCGGTCGTTTACGATGTACGACGTATGATTTAGGACATTGCCCGCTTCCTCGAGCGAGCGCCCTAGGATTGCGCCGGCCGCTTTTGCGACACAGCGGCGACAGGGGCAGGCCCAGACTACCACATGGCATCCCACGCGCGGAGTATAGCTGCTAGCCACCTACCTGCTCCGTTTTGAGTAGCGTCCACAGCAATCAGCACAGCCCCAATCAGATCTCTGCTTCTTATCGACCGGGTGGGTTCCCTGCCGGATACCTGCCACAGGGGTCCCTGCGAGCTAGCCGGTTCCATCTGTTCTCGAAGAGATAAGTGAGTGCTGCAAGAGCATTCGCCCGTCTCGTAGTCCGTATTGCCTGCTTGGCCGCTTCTGCACACCGGGGAGATTCCCCCCCCTGAGACCAGCGGAAAGCGCTCCGCTGCGCCTTCAGCACGCACTCGTATTGTCTCAGATGCGAGGCCCTGGTCTCGCGGCTACATACTCCGTACACATCGTACTATGTGTACGGAGTACGGAGTACGGCTAGAGATATTCCCCGAGATAGTCCCTTTTCTAGAATGGGTTTCGCCTGCTGCAGTTCGCCAGACACGCCGTTGCGCGTACTTATGCCCAACCTAAATTGCGTTCATCTAGACGGACTGCGGAGTAGCGTGCAGGCAGACTCGGTCGTAACAAGTTTGACAGTTGACACGATGATCCCTAGACGCTGACAGCCCTGACAGGCATAGCCTGCTTACGAGGTCTCCGTGCTCGTAGCTGGTCCCCAGCCGTGCTTTGCCTATCAGCGTCTGTGGGCGTGTCACGGAATAGCTGCAACTTGTTGCTATCGGCGCTTTGGCCGTCGTCCGTTGTGGCGTATTGCTGGTCGAATGATTCTGCAAATATCATGCAGTCAGATCAAGACTTGGTACCGAGTTAAGCTACATACCTGCGTTTCTGATTGAAGGCGAAAAGGAACGACTAGAACGAATGCAATATGCGGCTAAGTCGTGCTCCATGAAAAGCATACTACCCAGTGGACCGGCGTCTGCCAACAGGAGCGCTACACTCCGTTGGAGCCTGGGCAGCTGGGTGGCCGTGAGGCTAGTGGGCTTGATAATTACTTCGTAAGGCGCCCTTGGAAAAAGCTCGTATCTGCTCCGGTTGAGTACGACATCCCGGTAGCAGCTGTGCCAGCCCCGGAGATTGTACTTAATCTGGCAGAGGTGGGAATCCAGTCTCTCTAGTGTGGCTGTCTGGAAACGCAGGAGGGCTGCGGCTAGAAGAGTGGTGTCTGTACGAGCGGTTTCATACGTGAGACTTGGCGTCCTTTTTTCTGTTTTATTTCTTCTTCCTTGTTTTTATTTCTTTTTTGCCGTTGACTGAGGCTATGTGCAAGCAGCTGCGGCCAGATGTACATAGAATGTACCATGTATCTTAAGAGAAGGAGTGATCGGATCTTGCGTTGCCGTTTACCCCACCTTCCATATCTGTCTACCCACTTTGGCAGTTCACCCGGAACGTCAGTAGCCATTCGGACACCCAAACTTGGCGCCAAAACGCACGAGCAGAGCTAAGAAAAGACTCTAACGGAGGCCCAAACACGACAGGCACACACGCATCAAGCTGAGGATACATTCTACGGGTACGACACACACAGGGACAGCATGGCCGCCACACTGACAGCCTCGTCGGGTTTCGTCCTGCCGGATGGCCGGACCATCTGCTACCGGCTGTCCTTTGCCGATGACGTGAAGCGACCGACCATTCTGCTGGCAGGCATGCTGGCCACAACCGGTGCTGTCTGGGCTCGCGTTGTCGACGAGCTGCATCGTGCAGGCTTCCGCACGCTCGCCTACGACCACCCGGGCCATGGCGGCTCGGCACCGCCGGCTGTGCTGTCGACCAACACCTTTGAGGCCATGTCGGACGACGTCCTCGCTCTCGTAAAAGGGCTGTTGGGCGGGAGAGGGATTGAACCACCTCAGAAAGAACTGCTCCATGCCTGGATCGGCTGCTCGCTCGGCGCGGCCACAGGCGTGGTCTTTGCTGCACGCCATCCAGGCATCCTGCGCCATCTCGTCGTCTGCGACACCGGCAGCCAGTCGCCGTTTGCTGCTGGCGGCCCGGATGCCGTGGACTCCTTCACGCCGCGCGTCCAGGCTGCTCGTGCTGCAGGCAGCCTGGCCGAGACGCTGGCCGGCACGCGGACGCGCTGGTTCGGCCAGGCCTGGCTGCAGAATCCGGCTCACGCCGACGAGGCCGGCCGGCTACAGGCGCTGATGGCTGAGACCACGCTGGACGGCTACGAAACCTGCATTGCTGCCCTGCTGGCGCCCGGATTCGATCTCGAGCGCCACGAGGCCCCGCGGCTGGCTGATTGCTTGCCGCCCGGTGGCAGGGTACTCGTGCTCGTCGGCGAAAAGGACGAGCCGCTGCCACCGGCGATGAAGACGCTGGCTTCGCTGATCCGTGCTGGCTTCGCGGCGAAATACGGCGCGGCCGCTGCCGAGAAGAGCGTGCGCTTTGCCGTCGTGCCTGGCGCTGGCCACGCCTCCTTTGTCGACGGGTTCGATGCCTGGTGCGCTCTCGTCCTGCCCTTCCTGCAGTCGTAAGGCGCGGAGGACAGGCCCAATGCACTCCAATTGTGACCAGGACGTTGGCTTTCTTCACAGGCTACTCAATATACTCTGTACATACGTTGTAGTATGGAATGCCCTAAATGTTTTACCGGTTGTGCATCTCTTTAGTGCAGGGGTTTGTGCGGCAAATTCCTGGCGACAAGATAGACGGCCGACTGCTAATCTCGTTCATAGCTTGCTTTACGGAGCCCTTGACCCTGCTAAAATAGTGGCTGCAACACAGGCCGTGGGTACCTGGGGGCCTGGGGCCCTGGCTATCTGATGGGGCTTTGGTTTGCCGAGGTTCATCATAAATACGGAGTACGGAGTAATAAGCAGTAGCGTACAGCGGGTCCCGCCTCAGGTCCTCGGACACATTTTCTCAGCCTGCATGATGGCCGTCGTTCTATCTTATCTAGCCGTAAGGGAGAGTATGGCCAAAGCGACGATACATATGTACGACGTACATTGCAACACTCTGAATCGATATATTAATGCAACTGCAACGCGGGGGAGGGGGTCAAGATCTGGAACAGCACAAGGCACATCATCTGTGCTAAAGCAACTGACACGTCTCTTTTTTCTTTCTTTTTTTCTTCCCTTCTCTCGGAGTTTTTTCTTTTTTCTTCCCAACCGTACTCGCACTCGCCCAGCTTAGAGGTCCCACATATCCCATCGTTTACGCGAAGAGCCGACCACGTTTTAGTGCCGCCCCATGAAGTTGCACTTATCAGCTGCTGATCTGCTAAATAGTCGCATTCGAATGCAACGGGGCCCTACAAGTATTGCTCCAAATATCTTACATAGCCTGCATTACGAAGTCTGCGATTCCTTTCCACAGTCATCGACTGATAGTAAGCGTCCGGAAACCCGGTACATTCTCCTATGCCGTCTAAGCGACAGCTCACGCGGCCTTGTACGTAGTAGCCCTCTGACCTACTATGGAGTAGTCTATAACCGAAATGAGGCGGACTCAGCTTTGCCTCTTATCGTTGTTGTATTTTGCACTCGCCGCCCATCCAGACAAAAAGCCATCACATAATGACTCCCAACTCGGTGCACTGTAAGCTCTCGTAATAACTAAGTCGTAGACCTTTCCTCTCCTTCTGTATGGCCATCTCTCAACTCTACCTTTTGATCCTGGAATGCTCGTCTTCCAAATAGAAACCACAACTCCCGGATAACTGCCATCAACTAAAAGTTAGCATCCACTTTTTATATTGGACACAAAACATCATGTCGGACCGAGTATCACATCCTAACCCTTTGCCATTTGGGGTCCACCCTGTGGATCAAATGCAAGCATGGACAGCAGGGCCACCTCCACCTGTGCCCCAACCTTGGGTATGGAGGTGCGTCAAATGCCAACGTGACTATAGAATCGGCGTCACCTCGCGCTGTCTAAGTTGTGGGCAAAGATTTGCATATTTCAACAAGGACAAGAACAAGAACAAGAACAAGGACGAGAACAAGCCAAAGAAACTGCACTGTGAAACTGACTTTGCTTATCAGGACTGGCTTAGATGGGCTCGATGGCGGGACATGGCAGAAGTAGAAAAGACAATGGCACAGGACGACCCTGACAGGCCGATGCTGTTTGAAGCCGATACAGCGCACCAGCTGTACTATGAACTTCAGCAGGAGCGCCGAATGAGGCTCATAGCAGGACGTCATGACTGCATCCGGGACTGCTCTTATATTGGTCAATGCCGTACAGAAAGGCAAGAGAGATTGACTCAAGGAGAGCAGTCTGACGACGATGAGACCATGGAAGACTCAGAGCCCGCGCAGCCCGTGGAGGAACAGACAGGCAAAGAAGGAGGCGGAGAAGGCATGGAAGTCGAGCAGTCCACAGACCAAGATGAACATGACACTGTGGCTATGACAGACGCTGCTTCCCTTGAAGCAGCACATCTACTTGTGAACTTGGGCCCGGATGTGAACATGGCCGTGAGCACTACTGAAGATACGGACACAGACATGAGCACGGTCGAAGATGCGAACGGAGACATGACAGTGGACGAGATCGTGCCGAAGCGTTTTTCTTGGCTGCGATGGTAGACAAATGCACAATCACAAACTTGGACATAAACATGTCGGACACGGGAGAACCTGACACAGATACGGAAACAGAGATGGAGATGATATCAGCACATAAAAGGAAACTGACACTAGATGGTAATCGAAACAGACCGGTGAGACCGAGTAGATTGGGTCGAACCAAATACAAAACAAATACAAAAAGTCGAATTGAGATAAACTTGGCAAGTGCTGGATGCAGAACAAGAACCGAAAACAGACACGTAATTGGGAGTCGAGCACCGACACCCACACCGAGTTCCTCCGATATATCGCCGACTTCCAGTAGCTTTGTAATTATTCTAGCTAGACTACGGAGTATCGAGAGCCGAATTTACAGGCGGTAAACATGGTCGAGCAAAGCAAAGCTGATTGACAAGCCCGATTGGCTCAAACACATAAAGCTGTCACTCCCAGCTGCATTTCAGAGGCGACGTCTCCATTCTTTGGCATAGTTCACTGCTAATGTTTATTGTTCGATTGCCCACGTCCCCCGTTGCCCAGTTCTCATTGATTCCAACGTTCGACTAGGAAAGATGGCGGAGTTGAAATATAGAAAACGTGTATGTTGTACATCTGAGGCGGGGATAATATAAAAGGACTAAAATAACAACCGCCCCCCAACCTGGTCGAATGCCCCGTGCGCGAGTCTGCTTTTTTTTCCTGGTATCTCATCGTACTCACGAACTGTCTGGTGGCGAATAACATGTCACCGCCAACATCAATATCCATGGCTGGCCGGGCGAGACCAGACCGCCCAAATACAGACAGGCGACGATTGGAAACACACGAAAAATACACAAAAAAAATGCGCGTATGGAAAAACACAGCTACGCAAAAAGACTCGTGGCAGCACGAGGGCGCGAACCAGGAAAGCTAGGCAAGGCCGACGCGGCGACTTATCCCACTCCGATCCTCTCCCTCAAACGCAGCCCCAGAACGAAACGTAGACGCAAGAACGTAAAGCACCAGAACCGTACCTGCCAATTACCAACTCAGGCGTATTATAAACCGATGACGAAGCAAGAGGGACCATGGAACAAACGCGGCAAGAGAAGAGATGGAAGCGCGGAAGCGCGGAAGCGTAGAAGAGGAGTAGAAGGGGACGGATGGAGAGGGAGGGCACAGCAATCGACGTGGCGCTGCCTTGAAGCCGAAGCCTCGCCCACTCATACCTCGATGGCCTTGCTCTTCTTCTTCTGCTCCACCTTCAGCAGCAATGCCCGGTTGATGTGCGGCAGGACGCCACCAAATGCGATCGTTGCACGAATCAATGTATCGAGCTCTTCGTCTCCACGGATGGCCAGCTGCAGATGCCGCGGCGTGATGCGCTTGACCTTGAGGTCCTTTGCGGCGTTCTGTCATGTGGTCAGCAGGGCCTAGGCCGAAGGGGGGGAATGAGGGGGTGGATGCTTACACCTGCCAGCTCGAGCACTTCGGCGGTGAGGTATTCGAGCACAGCGGTGACATAGACGGCAGCCTTGGCACCAACGCGCATCTTGTTCTGCGTGTTCTGCTTGAGGAAGCGCTTGACACGACCGCAGGGGAACTAAGAGGCGGAAAACGAAGCATGTCAGCAAGGCGATCGAGAAAAAACGGGCAAACATCGACCGAGATCCCTCCTCGAGCTGTCGGGAGAAAGCATCCACTCTGTGCCGTGTTTCTTCATAACGCCGTCCATCCAATCACATCTGGCCCGATCTTCGCGACCCATTGAGGCGCATCGCAGCAAAGCCTTGGCTGGCAGTCCGGGACATGCGCCGCAGTCGGCCCGGTGCTCGGCAAGGACGAAAAGGACAGCACAGAGGGAGACGTATCGCGACAGCAGGCGATGGTGTTGAAAGCACTAGTCCGGTCTTGCCTTGGCGAAGAGAAACGGGCACGTGGGGCAAAAAGGACGATTCGGGACGCGTGTTGACAAAGTTCGCGATGGAGGCAAGTCGATCGATTAAAATGACAAGACAACACGAAGATAAAAAGAGACATGATTGCTTACTTGCAGGCCGGCACGCGCCGAATGGCTCTGCTGCTTCTTGGGGCCGTCCACGGACGTCTTGCCGCCAGAGCTCTTGCCCCCCGACGATTTGCCTTTTCCGCCAGCCATTGTTTATCGCGAAAAAAATAAAATACGAAAAAGTCGATTTAGCGATTCGAGTGGATCGGTAGGGAAAGGCCGGGTCGAGAATGAGATCGCGAATACCGGTGTGGGCTGAAACGGTACCGATCTTCAAACGCGCGTCGAATGGTGGGAAAATTGGGGTTGTGGTGGTGATTTTTGATGTTGTAATGTATGGACTGTTCTGTGTTTTTGTTTTGTTTGGGGATTCTGATTCCTATTTTTTTAATGTAGGAGACGGATGTTGTAGTGGCGGGTGTTGCCTGGAATTGGGCTGGATGCGATGCTATTTGGAAGGGGCGGGAATGCAGGCAACTCGCCTTAGTGCTACAGTGGCGTCTTCTGTTGACCGTGAGCAAAAAAAAAAAAAAAAAAAAAAAAAGGAAGGAATTGAATCAAATTAAATTCAGAAGGCTGAAGGCATGGAACGACCCCTCCAAAAGAGAAAACAAACAAAGGCTGCCACCCCTCTGTGGCTAAGGAATTTAAAGGACACGCGCGCTACTGGGCACGGAAATAGCGGCCTAAGCCTGGCCTGGTTAGTGACGGACAGTAGGCAGCTCCCTATAAACAAAGAAAGCCCACTAACGAACTGCTTACAAATAAACCGTTTTTACAGAGTCAACTACTGTGCGTCATGCATGCAAATAGTCTCGGCCTAAGCTTCGGTTTTCTGATGCAGCGTTCGTATGTATCGAGCTTCCGGCTACGTATGAGTATGTGAGACGTGAGAAGGCAACTGCGCTCACGGCAAGAGGACTCGCATCCGTCTCTGCCTTTTCAGAGGGTTTGTTGCCTGCCAATTGCACTTGTACCCGCAACGATCACTGAGCTCCCTATGGCACACTGTTTGCGCTTGTCTGCCATTAAAGGTCACCCCAACGCTCTCGTATTCTCTGTGAACACATCGACAAATCCGTCGTCCGAACAGATGCTGATCCTACTCCTACAGCTTTCCGCATACCGGCTCAGAAATATATGCCCAGAAAAACGGCCCATGCAGCTCCATGACAGTGCCCATTCTCCAACCTTCTCCCTGAAGACCGCCCAGTCATCTCCTCCTATGCCGCCTCATCACCCTCGCCTCTGTATAAATCGGGCGGGCCACCAGCGTTGCACTGTGCGCTCAGCCGAATCGTCTGCCGCCTGGACCATCGTCTCGCCTGTAGGCCACGACTCCGGCCGCGGTTCGATCAACATGCCATTCTCCTAACGGGCAAATATCTTGACCACCCCGTCGCCTCCGCCGCTGACCACCCATCGCGCGTCATGGCTCCAGACCACAGAACAGACGCCCTCGCCTCGCATGATCCGGTGGGACGTGATCTCCTGTGTGCACGTTCGCTTCTCTAGGCTCCAGAATCGGAGCGAGGCGTCGTGTCCAGCGCTCACTAGCTCGCGTCCGTCCGGGCTGAGAGACAGGCTCGAGATAGCTGCCGGGTGTGCCAGCATATCGTACGTGCATTGTCCTGTGAGTCAAAATTAGTAACGGCAGAATCTACAGACAAGTGAGCTGGCCAGGTAATGCGTACCGCTGTTCGCATCAAAGAAGCGGATGAATCGGTCTTCGTGTCCCGAGATGATAACGCCTTCCACTCCCGATCCAGCCATGCCTCGTCCGCCACCAGTCGGGCCACCAGCACCGGCGATGTCTTCCTCGCCTATTTGCGGCTGCTCCAGACCCACGGTTGTGGCCACTACTGCGTTGACGCTCGTTGCCATTGTTCCGTTGTACGTCTCGAGACTGGCCATTGACCCAATCTCCTCACCCAGCCGCGTGTCGTACACTATGATGGACGCATCGGAATAGCTCACAGCAAATGTGGCACCGTTGTCGCTCAATGCTGTGATGCATGTCGGGCTTGCCTTGGAATTCGCCCGCAGAATGGTGTGCACCAACGTGTGGTCGAACGGGCTACTGCTGGCCGTTGTTGGCTGTGGGCTGCTTGGGAAGGCAGACCCGGAGCTCATCGAGTTTCCTCGGACGCGTCCACCACCAGCACGACGACCTGCAGCAGGAGCCGGCTGGGCTGGCGACGTAAGCTGTGGTGGCGCACTGATGGCCCAGACCCGAACACTTCCGTCTGCTGCACCGGACGCAAGCAGGATCCGGTCCGGCGATCCGTACGGGTTAGACTGTCCGAATATAGAGCCCAGCGTCGCTGGGAGGACGCAGAGCGCCCATACCGCATCGGTATGGCCATCGATCGTTGCCTTTGGATCCACCCGACCACGCTCCCACACACGGATGAAATTGTCCTGGCCGCCCGAGAAGATCCAGCCGTCGCCCTGTGCCCGTCCTCCAGTCGAGAAGTTGGGTGAAGGGGACCATGACGTTAGGCACAGCACCGCGCCGTTATGGCCGCGGTGTGTGAAGTCTGCCTGCACATCGAGATCTGATGCAGCACTAGTGCCGATATAGTTGGCCGTACGAGGGATGTGGAACCGCTTGATCAGGCCGTCATCGCCGGCCGTGCAAATCTCTGGCTCCCCAGGGCTGCCTCCACCTGAGAAAATGACTGAGCGCACGGTGTCTAGGTGGCCTCGAAGACCAAACCGCAACTTGAAGCTGCCGCTCTCAACCTTCTGAGACGACGAGTTCAACGACAGGTCATGATGATCCGAATTACGCCTGCGGGACATGCTGCCCTTTCGGCGATGTGAGCCCGCAAGTCGGTTTGGCGACTTTGATGCGTTATCCGCGGTAGGGAAGAGGTCTGTATCGGGCCGAGTAGTAACATGTTGCGGGGCGCCCGGCTCCGGGAATGATGATGGCCCGTCATTGAAATCCCATGCATCGGTCTCGGGTGCTTCTGGCTTGTCCCCCGTCGTCTCATTCGGCGGCATCACGGAATTATTCGCGAAGCCAGACCTGGCCAGATCAGCACCGGCCGCAGAGTCCTCGCCTGACCGATTCGGCGCTGGTGAAACCTGCGTCTGAGGTGTCCATTCAGGAGGCGCCGTGGCATACAATGACGGACCTGTTTCGGCGTTGGACCTGACCATGGGCGTTGGCTGCAGCTCGACATTCTTGCCGGGCGGATATCCTGTAGACATGGAAGGAGGTGCTGGCGCTTGCGGCACATGGCTAGCTAGTCCCTGGCCTTGTCGTAAGTTTGAAGAGCGCATCTGCTGCTGGCCGTATTGTTCAGACTGCTGATGCTGATGTCCCATGGGGATATAGTCCTCTTCCCGAAGCTCGTCGGTAGGAGGAAGCGGCGGGGACTCTCGTGGCGGCAGTGGGTTGGCGGGCGTTATCATGAGGTAGGCAAATTCGGCTTGACACTGGTCCAAAAACGTTCGCAGGTCGGATCGCCTGTTTTCGTCATCGGAGGCTGGAACAAAGGGTACGCCCTCGACCGGCACTGTCTCTTTTTCGACTGGACTTTGCGTTAGACATCAGAGAGATAATGAAACGAGCCCTGAGAGCGCAAGGGTGCCAACGACGATGAGTGAAGTGTACCTACCATGAAGCTTCTCCAAAACTCTTGCGGCCCGATCTGGCTGCTCTGCGTTCTCTGCCGGATCGGCATTTGGAGCAGACGACTTCAGCTGGGCCGCCTGTTCCTTGACTTTCTTCTGCAGAATGGCGACATATTTGTTCAGTGCCTTTTGCGTGGCGTCGGCTCGTCGTACAGATCCTTCCAGCGCAGCTATCCGGCCTTTCATTTCCTGCTTCTCAATCTCCCATGCGTTACGATCGCGTTCATGGCGATGCCACTCTGTCTGCAGGAAGCGCATAACACCTGGCACGCGCGCGAAGGGACATTATCAGTACAGCACAATGGCCAAGCGTAGAAGCCGGAAAAAAGGACGCACCTTGGAGAGTGTACTCGGTCGCGTGTGGCTGGTTTCCATTGCCCTGCGCTCCCGACATGTCGCCTCCCATGTTGCCTAGGCCATTGCCTGCATTCGACCCCATGTTGTTCTGGCCGCCCCAGCTCATGCGCGCGGTGGATGGGGGAGAGAAGAGGGGGAGAAGTGGCGGTCGGGCTGATGCTCCTTGCCGGTTTAGATCGCCGTCTGCTCGAGCTGGACGGGCGCTCGGACGGCGAACGTGGCCGTTATATCGTCAGGTGGGCAATGACGGGATGCGCGTGCATGTGCGGTATCGCCGCGATTGCAGAGTCGGGAACCGGAGGCCGTGCGTTGAGGGAGGGCCAGGTGCCAGCGATATTTGGCGTCGCCTCTCGATTAGGGTAATAAACAAGCGGGCAAAGGATATATAAAAACAAAACAGAAAGAGAGGGACGAAGAAGTAAGGGTATAATCGTACAGGTAAGGGCGAGGTGAACCTGCGCCAGCAATCACCTGCACACCACTGATGCGTAAATGCAGAGAGGGAGTGTGGAGGGTCCGCGTGTCTATTCTGCTGTTGTTTCGTGCTTCCGAGCTGTGATTCTCGCCCGGGACGAAGCTTTTGCTGGTAGGAATGAGGTGCCTGCCGCGCCACAGAGGTGTTGGCAGCCAATCATGCGGCCCGCTACAACTTCAGGCGCCAAGGCAGCAAGAAAAGACGCTAGTTCCATCCCGCTTTCAGGGGCTCATTTCAGGGAGGTCGCAGCGCATGATAAGGACACGTGATGCGAAGCAAAGAGGACAGGAAAGCAGAATAGCATTTTGCACGGTTCCTGGTTCATCGCATTGCTCCGTACCCGGCAAGCCCTACATAGTATGCTCCGATGCCGCATCTTTCCCCATATCTCTCTACTATGTATATCCAACTCGTATCTTACAGTAGTCTATTACATGCGACCACGTGTGCTGTAACCCTCCCCGCCCCTCTAAAATTCCAGCTCCTCGACCTCCATACCGCACGTGGCGCATCGCTTCACTGACATGCCCTCCTCGTTCTCTATGGCACGTCCCCAATCGTGCACGTGCTTACCTCCGCTTCCGATTGCATCACCAAAGGTCATGGCCTTGCCTTGGCCGGCTGGCGCCGCATTGCCCCCACCTGCATTTCGTCGGTACACCTCCGTCCGGGTCTTCTTCTTGAGCTGCAGCAGCTTCTCCTTAAACTTGGCCTCCTTCCGCCGCTTCTTGTCGGTCTCGCGTCGCTCAAACTCGGCGTCCAGGGCCTCGGCGGACCCCCACTTGTGTTTGATGGCGTACTCCTCCACCTGGCACCGCAAAAACAGCATCATGTCGTGCCAGTGGGACTTGTGTGGGTTCGGCTTCGAGAGGTGTGGCAGTAGTTCCTCGTCCTTAAGCTCGGCTGCACGCCAAAAGTAGAGAAAAAGTCAGTATGCATATTTCGTAGGCAACGCGTAATGCGTCATGTGCTGTAGCTTGTGGGTAAGAAACGCACGGTCGGTCAGGAGATAGTCCTCCTTGCACTCCGTCTTTGTCAGGAGGCTGTACTTTTCCGGGAACTTCTCCTTGCACGCGTTGCATACGCTGCAGTGAAGCACTTCCTCCCATACCCAGTCGATCTCCAAGCTGCCGCACTCGCAGCACTTCTTCTGCTCCTTCTTCTCCGACAGCACACTCAGTCCGGGCTCGTACGGACCCTGCTTCAGTCGCTTCAGGTTCCGGATCACCTGCATGCGCTCCCACTCGGCGACCGTCATGTGTTGAGGCCGCTGGTCGTTGCCTTGGTTTTTCCCGTCGGCCGACGAGAGCGCCTTATTCCAGGGGTCGTCCTCGGCGGAGAGAAAGCCGCCCTTTGTGTCCGTCATGGAACTGAAGTTGTAGTCCACAAATTTGGCAAAATTCCGGGCTGGCCGGATCTCGACATCATGTTGGCTGGCATCTCGCTGCGTAGACGGCAGATCGGTGGCTGCTATCGAAGAGTGCGGACGCTTCCTCTGGCCATCAGGCCCTTTCGCTACAATGTGGACATCGTCGGAGGCGATGAAGCCTGCAGGGGTCTGATTGCTCGTGCGCCGGGCGGCAGCGTCGCGCTGTCCTTGGATGGCTTTCGCTTTGAATCGGTTCTCCTCCTGCATCGCCAGGCGGCGATCTGGTTAGCATGCACCTGCTGACCTTTAATCTCCTGTTGATCGTGACTGACAATCTGTTTGGTTGTTTCGGCAGGCGTGGTGATTCTAGGCCCGGCCGCCGACTGTATTCGCGAGGCTGAAGTTTGATCCATTAAGAGTCGAAGTCGGAACGGGTGAAGGCCTGCCTCTGACGTTGCGCGCAAATCTGTGATGTAAGGCGAGAGTTAAAAGTCGCCTCACTTTAGCGAGTATTACTAATAATCAGCGCCAAAGCTCCAGGCAGTAATGCAGTGTGGGGTGCTTTTCTCTCTCTATTAATAAGAATAGGTACGGAGTACGGAGTACTGATAAAGATACTACAATGTCATAGGGCTTTGAGAAGGTTAGACGACAGCTAACTCGTACATAATATTGCCAAAACAAACGGCAACATTCTAAAGGACTTATTGAAAAGGTTGGTGACGTTGCCGATGCGTCTGTATTATTTTAATCTTTTGGCAGGTCAGTAATGGCATTCTTCCTAAGACCACGGTGACGGCAAAGGAGAAACTCCCAAACATTGGGAACTACTTTAGTATTAGGAGGGAAGTGGTTGTGTTAAAATGTGAAAGGTTAGGGCAATAGGGAGACAAGGCTGTGCTATCTATTCCAAGTAGTGGAGACACCGAGAAAACGTACAAACAAGATAGAGCCCATCTCTACTCCTCCTTGGCACCTCCCCGGCCAGACCGCTCGGCGGCTTCGACGGCCTTCTTGTCGCTCTGTGCTGAGCCGCCCTGGAGGCTGCTCATCAGACCACCGGCTGCCTTGAACGGGCGCTTCAAGTCGCCCGAGGCGGGCTTGCCGAAGAGGTAGATCTTGGCGAGGTTGGACTCGAAGGCGCCCTTGAGCGGGATGATGGACTGAATCAGGAGCGGGTTGGTGTACTTCATGTACAGGTGCATAAAGCCCATCATGGCGACACCCATCATCTGCGAGCGCATGAGCGTCTTGAGCTGTGCCTTGTCGTAGGCGTGGATGGTCGTGGTGACAAGCTTTGGCTCCTCGGCCGAGCCCATCGGGGCAGGCTCGACATACTTGAGCGTGGTGAGGTCTGGGAGGGGGGCAGGTCAGCAAGGAACATAGAGCCAGTGGTGCCAGATCTGGATCTGGATCCATATCGGACAAACTCACCCTTCTTCTTGTCGATCAGGCTTCCGATATACAGAGAGATAGCCAGGATGATCAGGTTGCTGGCAACGTAGCCAATGCGCACAATGTTCAGGACGTCCGGGTCATCAAAGGGGATCCGCTTCGACACCTGCATCATCCCGAGGATGATGACCAGGTTCGTTCTATCCGGGCACGAGTTAGATTGGCATTGAGACGAGGGGTTTACAGCGGGTACCCCGTCATGGGGTCGTCGCACACTTACACCTGAGGGCTGAGGCCGGCCATTTTGGGTGATCTCTGAATAGACGAAGCAGAAGCGACTGCAGGGAAAGGTTAAGAGATGCACAAAAGGCTCTGTTTGCTACTGGATGATAGAGACGGGGGAAAAGGCGAAATTGCCGTTATGCGAAAACATGCACTACCTTTACGTTTCCCGTGCGATAGCGCCTCCGGAAGAAGGAGGTACTGATGATCCGGCCTATTTGGGGGGGAAAAGGACACGTTCCAGCACGTTCTAGTGGGTCGAGGCGGCCAGCACAAGTCGTAATCGCTCCGTGCAGGCCCACACTGTCGGCCTGCGGAGCGAATGAAGCATGCGGGAATGGCGTTTGACGTGACATCCTTCCTCTTTCGCCGAAATGGTGTGGCAAAATCCGTCTTGCACTTTGCAGTTCACGGACTCGGCGTAAAGTATTCCATTAGGTAATTACGCTCCTGTCCCCGGAGCTGAAGTAAGATACAACCCGAAGGTACTTGCAAAGTGCTGACAACACTCCGTAGAGGTAAGCGGACTCTCCTTTCTCCAATTACTCGGCCGTCTAAGCCGCCTGCACAAGGCTGCCATTGATATAGTGGGACTTTATATGATTTTATGTAATGATGTACAGACACATTTACATACCTTTTGGTTGCTTTCTTTGACCACCACATGACTGTTCGTGAAAAGACCCTATGGCAACGATCTCGTCTGTCTTGTACGGTTACTTATGCTGAGACATGAGGTGAGAAGACAGGTAAACGTGAGGACAGTATGCATGTACGGAGTATATTGTCAGAAACTTCCAAATAGCCTGCCGAGATTAAAACAGTTCTCCGTCCTACATACGTCTTTTGTACTTCAGAACTGCATCTATTTAAATGATTTAAAGTCGGTCGTATTGACCAGCATCGTCCCCTCCCCATTTCTCTCAATGAATTTGATATTCCTGTCGATTCGAGACGGTTTAGACCGGATATGGTACCTTGTTGACATTGTAATAAAAAGTACTGGAGCTGACGGGTGAGTTAATTGCAGGATCTGTGCTGGTAGTTGGGAAGCAAACGATTGCTTCTTCAGTTCAGTGGCACTGAGTACTGAGAACTAGGCTACTGAATTGAATTTTCTCACCCAATCTACTTTATCTTACTTCCGACGGAGAAGCATGATAGAGGGTTATCGTGTGGCACTTCCCCTCCGAGATTTTGTGATGTTGCAATGCTCTATAGCTAGAGGTTATGGAGAGTGGCAATGTAGTATGACTGAGAAGCGGGCAGGAGCAACAGAGCTTGATATTTAGCTGTGCTCGCGAGAATGGAAGCCACGCCTTATCGAGAGGAAGGCGACGACGGTACTAACAAGACGACGATACTCTACGCAGCCGCCACCGTCATCTCTGCCAACTGTCGTCTTGCATTGAAAGTTTTCCTTCTTTTCTGAGTTATCTGATCTGTTGGTCTGAATCGGTAGATCCGTCCTCGCGATACCCTCGTGGTGCTGCACTGGAGAGATTCTTGAATTGATAATCGGTGTAAGTTTCCCAATTGGGAAAGAACTACGCGTCGTGTGCGCGATGCTGACAGCATGACTACCATTATGCCAACACAGCCGTATCCTCAGTGTTTTTTCCCTCGCCTCCTTGTCGCCCCTGACAGGATTCTCAAGCCAATGAACATGGATCGGGCCCTGAAACCTTTGTTGGCAGCCGATCCCTATTCAACACAATTGGATACGTGCTTCTCTTGATTTCCATTACTGACAGGTGTTCATGGCCAACATTGCCATCTCTAACAAAGACCTATCATGGACGAGTCATGTGTTGGTGGTATGTATTTCTTCGTTCATAGCCAAAATGCTTAAATTGGCAGAGACCCCGGACATTTTTTCCTGAAGACAAAGCCTACCACCCATCATATAATAACTCAGTTGACATCACCAATCTCATCTGTCTAAGACTGTTATTTATAGTACAAATTTGTCAAATTAGTACTTATTTCAACAAACCAACACATATTCGTGATGCCTTGCTATTGCCGTGGCTGCCGATGGCGCGTTGTAACGAATTTTTATGGACCAATTCCCACAGGGCCACCCATTGCAGAACAGCCCATAGATGATGGAAGAGAGTACCCCGAGGACGATTTAGAGGAACCGGATGGCTCGTGTCTTCTTCCGCTAGAAGAAAGTGACTCCGACACGGACGACGGGTTTGTCTTGGACGACGAAGAGCCTGTAGCAGATACCAACGCTACTTATATCCAGGAGCCTATTAACCCCTTTGAAGGTTGGAGCCTCGAAGATTATTTGTCGTACCTAGAGGCAATTGAGGCCGGCTATGTCGCTGGAACCGTGAATGGACGGGCTGTCATATATGTCGACAGCGTGCCGAACTATATCGCCGATCATTATTTCTACTGTGCGGCCTATGCAACTGCACCGGTGTATACATTATATCCCAGAGAGGACGAATCGATATTGGAACAGCAGCTAGATGAGCAATCAATTGCTCGTGGAGTACGCATTCGTGAACCACCATCTTACGATATGGTAAGCATAGCTCTTTCCTCATATCAGGTCGATTTATTGACACCATCCCAGGTCAGGGAAGAAAACATTAAAAATTGTGGAATTAAATTAATGGATAAATGGGACGTGATGACGGATAGAATGAAAGATTTGTGCCGTCTGGACTTTCTATACTGGCAGCTTCAGCAGCGCAAAAAGAAGTCAGCCGAAATGAAGGCTGCTTTGGAGAAGGAAGACGAAGTGTGGCGAGCGTTGCACAACGAGTGCATGCACCGAATGGCGCGCAAAAGAATATTGTTATTCATACCGCTGTACGAGAAGCTTTATCGGTGTTACCATGGACAAGGCTATGTGATGGGCGCGGTCGCACACGAGACTATGCTAATGTGAGTACACCTAGTCCAATCAAAGGTATAACATCAGCTGACATTTTTTTGCAAATAGTACGATGCCCTTGGGCGAGTTTAGCAGAGAGCCCCAGGCAGCTCCTCCAGGGTACTCGACGTTGTCCGACGATGAGTGAGAAGCGACAGACTGGGTCCCACTGAGTGGCCGTTGTTGTTACTTTTTGACTTTAATGTCAATAGACTGAGTTTCATGTAGACTAGAGTGCAGTACTTCTCAATATAGGTAGAATTCCAAATAGTATTGTTACAACACTTTTGTTCCACGATACGATGTGATCCGCGGTCCTGTGTACTACTCCTATTATTCTCTACTTTATACGACCTCAATCATGTTGTTAGTACTCCGTACAGGGTTCTTTAAGAGCGTTACTATTTGTACGATAATTTTTGGCTATCCGTACGATAATCCACTGATAAGAGATGCGGTACATTGGGTGGAGCTAAGCTATTCACCGCTAAAGGCCCACATTAAAATCTGCAGAGTAGCCAATTCAAATACACTTTATCTAAGGCTAGCGCTTGTACTCCGTACGATCTTCTGAATCACTATAGCTGTACTCCGTATCTACACTTTATTGCCTTAAATTTACAGAGATACTAATTTGATTTCTCTTGCTATATAATATAGTAAAACTTTAGCTATATAATACTTTTATACATTTTTAAAGGGCATTTTAATAGAGTAAAATTATCGTATAGCTACTATATAAGCGTACCTTATACTTCCCGGCAAAAATAAGCGTGGCATAAAAGTAGACGTAAGCTACATTTAGACTAGTGCATTTTTATGTGGATCTTGGCGGTAAAAAGTTTGGCCTACCCGATGTAACGCTTTGATCAACGAAATATCGTACGGATAGCCAAAAATTATCGTACAGTAACGCTCTTCTTTAATAGTGGCAGCACAGACGGATGGTGTACGTGACAGATATGCTGCCGTACATATTGTGTGGGAGGCAGCACAGAAGCAGGAGGCCTAGACGGCAGCCCGTGACTATTTGATGCCATTCGCCTGTTGATGACGTAAGCAAAGCGGTACCACAAACTTATAAAGCCGGGTCGTATGGGAAAATGCAGGCGGCGCAGAAATGAGTTGAAGTGAATGTATTGAAAGCTTTATGCTATAGGCTATCTCGGCTACAAAAAGTGCTCGATGGCAGCCCAGAAGGCGGATGGGTTTTCGTACATGGGCAAATGGCCGGCCTGGGCGACGATGCGGAAGTCAGCACCGGTGGGGCCGATGGAAGCACGGAAGCCTTTCATGGCCTTGGCGAGCTTGCCCTCCTTGCCGCCATCACCGGCACCGGCAACAAGCAGGGTGGTAGGCTTGAGGGTGGGAGCCTGGGCGCGCATGTCGTAGTCCCAGAGGGCCTGGCAGCCATAGCGGAAGCCATCGATGGCGTTGGCAGCGACCATGGCGGTCATGTGGGCGACGACCTGGGGGCGATGCTCGAGGGTGTAGGCATCAAACCAACGGGCGACGGTGGCAGGGGCGAGCGTGTGAATGCCAGAGCCCGGGCCAGAGCCGGCGTCGCTCTCGGCCAGGGCGATGCGGTCCTTCCAGGCCTGCGTGTTGGCAGGGCTGCTAGCGACGTTGAAGTCGCAGGCGACGAGACGGCCAGCAAGTTCGGGGTGGCGGAGGCCGAACTGCAGCGTTGTGGCACCACCCTGGGACACGCCGACGAGCGCATGCAGCCGTGGAATGCGGAGGGCTGCGAGCAGAGCCGCGAGGTCATCGGCGAGGCGAGGCAGCGTTGCCGGCACGGCGGCAGCGGGCGGCAGGCTGTGACGACCGCGAGCATCGTAACGAAGGATGCGGTATTGCGGCCGAGCGGCACGCAAGAGAGCGACGAGGTCGTCCCACATGTGCAGCGACGTCAGCAGCGAGTTGCAGAAGGCGATGGTGGGCGCATCGGCAGCCGGGTTGCCCTCGAGCACGTACGGGATCTCGAGACCGTCATGAGGCAGCGTGACGAATGAGTGTATGGCCGGCACGGTCGGAAGCGTCCTCGTCTTTTTGTCGGCCGAGCAAAAGGCCCGCGTTGCCGGCAAGGCAGCCAGCGAAGTCAGGTCACGCGGTGCCGGTCCAAAGATGTAGAAGAGGCCATAGGTGCGACGAGACTTGCCGGCGACATAGCGGGCAAGCAGGTTGACGCATCGTGGTGTCGCCATCGAGGCCGTGTGCTCGGGTCCGCCCAGCCCGTTGTCGCGGGCGTACTCGTGCAGCGAGAAGAGCCGGATGGCCGACTTGGCCGCGTCCGTGTCGGCGTCCTCGCCCCAGGTCCGGTATAGCCGGCTGCGCAGCCAACCGGGCACGCGGGCCAGCTGCGGAAAGTGCTCCTCCTCGTACCAGCGCTCTAGCGCGGTGGCTGCTTCGGCGTCGGCCGTGTTGAGCGTCAGCTCGACCGAGACCAGCACGCGGCCGGCTGCTGTGTCGTCGTCGACCGGCAGGTCCTCGGATGCCACAAAGCCGGGCGCCTGCTGCGTCAGGACCTCGCGGAAGAAGTAGCGCGTAACGGCCACCTGGCCGATCGTCTCGGCCTCACGTGGGCTCCGGTTCGCCCGAAGGTCCAGGTACGTGGCCGTGTTCAGCAGCGCGAGGTCGCGGACGTCATAGGCGGCCAGAAAGGGCGGGTCGAGCCCGTCGGTGGCCTGGTACCGCAGCCCGTTAGCAAAGATGGCCGGAAGGCGCAGGCGCGTCGGACCGTGCTCGTTGTTGTACCACTCGTGGAACTGGTCGAGCGAGAGGCCCGGCTTGGGCGCCATGGTGACGTAGAGCATGCCGGGGAGGGCCATGTTGGGTGGGTTGTGGGGGTTTGAGGGGTTGAGGGGAGTTTGGGGTTGGAAGATACGAAGACACGAGAGACAAACGGATCAGCCGTCTGCTGGTTTACCTTTTAGAGTCTTGCTGAGGAGAAGCCCTGCCGAGGACAGTCCTGCTTAAAATGCCGTCTCCGAGAGAGACGGCCGGGCGGACAAGTAAACGCTTGAGCTAGTAAATTACGGGCCAGAAGCCCTGCCGGTTAGCGAGCTCGGCAGCTGTATCGGGCGGGGCTGCGGCGGGTAAGAGTACTTCCTGCCTCTAACCGAATTAGTGCAGCTAGCAATACTGCTTGGTTGGGTGCTACGTGCAATGGATGCGTGTTCGTAACTACGACCGATATTCAGAACATGCCTGGGAGAGAATATGTTTCAGTTGGTTGGATTGTGAAAGCGGATTGGATATGAAGACAAGAATTCTCGGCTTTGCAGTGAAATTGTTTGCTGTGTCTGTAAGCATTGTTTGGAAAGCATTACTATTCGTACTTGGAGCCGATGTCTAAAAGGCTATCATCACACATATACAGAATTCAAAGATATTCCATAACACAAATTGCCCAATTTATCATAGCAATTGCCAAAGAGAGACTTACTTACATGTACACAGGCCGCTAATTTACGAGTATCTTGCCTAAACCATATATCACAACGCATACACGCAGGCTACGATTCAAAACTGCGAAGACATTGACGACCCTTGAAACCATATGCGAACACAAATCATTGTATAACAACGAGAAACGGTCGCTTTCACTTTGTCACTCGCCTGGTCACTGCTAGAGTAAAGACGAATAACATCGGGACCTAGTAGTGATATAAACTTCTTCGCATAGTATGGACAAATGTCCTTGTCTCCTCGGAGTTTGTCCACAACTGCCTCGTCCTTATACATAAGATCTACATGTCTCAGTCCGCCTGCAACTGGTCAATACCACTACAGCCTCTCCTAGAATGTCTTCGCCTTATCAGCCTCCTCCGCGAATCGGCTTAGCCTCACTTTGTGATATGCTTAGTAATCAATCTGCCTCCACAGCACCAGTAAAATCGCGTGGTCCAGCAGAAGGTGCACCGCGTCGCACTTTGTTCAGTCGTTTGACTTTGGACCTGCGAGAACGGCAGGAACGACAGCGGGGAAATTGGACCGGCACGGAAGGCGGTCAATATGCACGTCACGACCATTTTCCGAGATCTTCCAATCTGGTCCTAATCGCTCTATTCCCTGCCATAAACACTGCATCATCCCACCCACACCTTCTAGCTGCTGCCCGCTTTCTGTCCCGCACCAGTGCCGATGCGCAGCCTCGCGCCGTGGATATCACTTGACCGAAACACTTCCTGCACCCTGCACTCTGCTGTCTGCCAATCTCGGCGTCTCCCTACCCTCCCCTTGGTTTTTTTTTCCTTGATTTGTTGACCCCTCCTGCAAACAGCCCTTCCTTCACGTAACATATCTCCCGTTTCTCAGCGTCTGCAGCCGTGGAGGCCTGCATGGACACCAGATATCGGGTATTTATTCCTGCTGCTGCCCAACCTCTCCGGACACATCCTGCTCTCGTTCATCTCATATTTTAGATTAGTTTCGAATACCTTCCTGCTCATAACACTCTGCATTCAACACTTGGAACAATTGTCCACGACTCGCATCTGCCATGGAGGTCTTTATGACAAACCTGCCCGCGCAGGGCAACTTTGGAGATCGCGTGCTCCGCGAACAGCTCAAGCCTTTTATGAAAAATCTGGCCATTGCCGAGAAATCATTTAACTGCGAAAAGCCACTGAACCGGAAGCACGGCACTATAACCTTCCTCAACGAGTCCGACGGCCGCAAGTTCCTTCAGTTCTACGGCGAGTCCAAGCTGCCCCACGGCCGCACCGCCTCGCGCTTGAAAATCCTCGGTGCCAAGGTCTTGTGTCGGCTGAGCCAGCGCCAGCCAAACACCTTCACCCTGAAGCACCTTAGGGCTGAGGTAGACAAGCCTAACCGCCCTCCAGAGGAGCGGCGTGGCGGCTATGCGGACTTTCTCCCCTCATTTAAGCTTCATTCTCTCCAGTGCGGATACTACCGCTACAACCAGGGCCGCCTTGAGTACGTCCCTGAGATGAAAGAGGTTGGAGAGGGAGCGGTGACGTTCGGCAAGCGGTATCTGACCGTCGACATTTTCCGCGATTCTGAGTTTGTCAACGAGTCCAACCTGCTGTACATTCCTCTCGGAACCATCTACGAGATCGTATGGTCAGCGAACGGTGAACTGACCCTCACCCTCCAGTCCGCGCCGTTCATCTTCGTCGATACCGAGTTTATGCAGCAAAGTGGAAGGGTCCGCCAGACACAGCTGAGCCCCAAGCATGCTGAGGTCGGGGGCACCTGTCTAATCTACCGCATCAACGTCGACCCCGTGCAGCTGCAACGCAAAATGGATTACCTTAACACTATGCTCACCGTCACGCGCTACGATGTTAGCAATCGCCTGGCGCCGCCCATCGCAGACAGCCTGAAGAAGCTCCACGCCAAGCTCGCTTCCATGTTGACGTCCTCGAAGCTGCCCTTTTCCATTCTTTTTCAGCTACAAGCACTGGCTTGGAACGCCTTCCTTTACCCTGACACCGTCGCTGACCTGGCCTCAGAGCTCGTTGTGCTCCAGAAAACAGCACCTGTGTCTGTCGACGCCATGAAGATGCTATTTACCGATATCGGCTGGCCTACCCCCAACGACGCGGACCCCAGCCAATTCGAGGTTCCCGCGCTGGTCGCTCACCTCCTCAAGAAGGAGAGAGAGATCCGAAGCGGTTACGCCATTCGTGAGGGTCTTTTGAGCCCAAGTGAGAATTTGGCGCCCATCTGCCGCGTATCGGTCACGCCCACCCGAATTCTGCTGTACGGCCCCGAGTTTGAGAAGAAGAACCGAGTGCTGCGCAAATTTCCCAATCAACACGATTGCTTCATCCGTGTACAGTTCTGCGACGAGAATGGGGACAGTCTACGCCTCCTCGGAAGGCGTACCAGCTATGAGAAAGTGTACAAGCGCTTTATCGACATCATGAAAAACGGCATACAGATTGTGGGCCGCACATACAAGTTCCTCGGCTGGTCGCACTCTTCCCTTCGCGCGCATAGCATGTGGTTTACGGCGCCATTTATTGACGACACTGGCCGCCTGCAGACGCACCTAACCATCATCTCGACTCTGGGCGACTTCGCCGGCATCCGCTCACCGGCCAAATGTGCCGCTCGCATTGGTCAAGCCTTTTCGGAAACCCCCTATGCGGTGCCGCTGAGCGAGCACAAAATCAGTGTGATGTTGGTAGATGACGTCAAGTCAAAGGATGGAAAGCACGTTTTCAGCGACGGCGTCGGGACCATCTCGCTGGACGCGGCCGCCGCTGTCTGGAAGTACGTGCCCAAGTCCAAGAGAAACCCGACCTGCTTCCAGGTACGGTACGCAGGAGCAAAGGGCATGCTCTCTCTGGACACGCGCCTTCAGGGCTCGCAGATCCTGTTGCGGCCGTCCATGATCAAGTTCGAGAGTAATGAGACGGAAAACCTGGAGATATGCGACGTGGCTAAGGCCATGCCACTGTATCTCAACAGGCAGATGATTAAGATTCTCGAAGACATGAGTGTGCCGCGCAAGTGGTTCCTGCGGCTGCAGAACGACGCGTTGCAGCAGCTGCGGTTGATTGCTTCCAGCGCCTACAACATGGCCTACTTTCTCAAGCACCAGTCTGTCGGCACGTCGATCAAGCTGCATAAGTTACTGCTGTTGACTGACAAGCTGGGCTTGGACTACCGCACAGAGCCGTTTCTGCGGCGTGCCGCCGAAGCGGTGGTCTTGCGCGAGCTACGGCTGTTGAAGCACAAGGCACGCATTCCCGTTCCGTTTGGCATCACGCTTTTTGGCGTCATGGACGAGACGGAATTCCTGGCAAAGGGCCAGGTGTACGTGACATTCGAGACGAAGCAGGGCTTAAAACCACAGCGGTTCGAACAACCGCCCGGACACGCGGTGTACTTGCTGGTGACGAGATCGCCCGCACTACACCCCGGCGACATCCAGTGGGCTTGCAACATGATCCCGCCAGAGGGGCATCCTCTGCGCGAATTGTCGAACTGCGTTGTCTTCAGTGCCAAGGGTGCGCGTGATCTGCCTAGCCAGCTGAGCGGCGGAGATCTGGATGGCGACATCTTCAATTTGATCTGGGATCGAGAGGTGTGTCGGCCGGTCGAGCTAAAGACATATCGCGCCGCCGAGTATGCGCGGGTTCCGCCGCAGAACATCTGGCGAGAGGTGCAGACAGAAGACATTGCCCAGTTCTTTATTGATTTCATGAAGACGGATCATCTGGGCACCATTGCGACGCGCCACATGATTCTGGCCGACCAGAAGGAGATGGGGACGCTCGACAGCGACTGTATCGCGATGGCGGAGCTGCACTCGACAGCGGTGGACTTTTCGAAGACGGGCATCCCGGCAGATCTCAATGAGCTCCGGCGTGCATCCCCGTTCCGGCCGGATTTGTGAGTTGAAGCTGTGTGGGATGGGAAAGGGACGACGGGGAACTGTGTACTGACAAATTCTTTCTGCAGCCTGGCCCCAGGGTCGTTGGTCTATGTGCACAACAAGGCAGACATCGAGTTGGAAAAGTACGTTGCGAATAACGAGCGCGATGTGCACGCCGAAGCGCTGGATGGTCCGGCACACAAGTACTACAGGTCAGAAAAGGTTCTGGGAGTGCTCTACCGTGCGGTGGATGAGCGCAAGATCTGGTACACGGACATCCACAAAGGCGAGTCAGAAACGACAACGACAGACGGAACGGGTGCAGGCACGGTGTTGGACAAGCTGCGAGAGTGGGCACGGAAGCAGTGCGCAGAGCTGGGCTGTGACAGCTGGCATGAACGGCAAGAAGAGGCGGCTGGAATTCGGTCGGCGTACGAGGACTCGATCCGGTCGATGATGCATAGCAACTCGGAGAATCCGATGCAGCCCATCTCGGAGCTGGAGGTGTTTACCGGTGCACTGATCAGCAAGACGGGAGCGCAGAACAATCGACAGCGGGACCGATCGCGCAAGCTGCGAGAGGAGTTTGAGCGGATCTCGAGCTGGATCACGGGCCAGATGCGGCCGCGGGAACGGCAGCAGGCAGCAGACGGTCGCGACATGCTGGAATGGATGGAGCTGTGTCTGGCATGCGCTCACAGCCGCGAGGTGCGGGACGAGGATGAGCGGTGGGGGAACACGCGCAGTGATGCGATCCAGTCGTTTCCTCTGGTGGCGATGGCGGCATTGCTGAGGGAGATCGATTATGTGCGGAAGGTTCGGATGGAAGAGGGCGGCCTGGAGGCAGCGATGGGGCAGTTCTCGCAGATGGGGATCGGGAGGTAAAGGTGAAGAAGGGGAGCTGGAGGGCAGGGGAAAAAGGGGAGATTGGGGAAGCTGGGGATCAGGAGAGCAGGGGAGCAGGAGAATAGGGCGAGCAGGGGGGGGAGGGGGAGGGTCGACCGAGGGATTTTGGGCGTCAGTCTGCGGTGAGTTCTGGAGCCGGCAGAGTCGGAGGTGTTTGCGGTGTCGTGTACGTGGCAGTCTGGAAGCCTGGAGGAAGAAATACTATGTGTCACCGCCTGCAGGTGAGCAGAATGACAGCGAGATATGTGCCGGTGCAGCTGGATGTTACAATGGGTCGCAGCGGATGGCGGAAGAAGAGAGGTGTGAGGGAGCGAACGGGGCGGATCACTGCGAGCTGACAAGGTGTGCATCCGGTCGGATGCATCTGTCCCCCTTTTTTTTCAATATCGCTATGCAGGAGATGTCTGTGCGAGAATCGAGAATCGGGCACACATACATGGATGATGTTATAAGTATTCGACGTCTCGACTGATTGCCAGAAGCCCAATGTGATAGGTTCACGAAAACCGGACGTGATAAGCCGAGATCCTTGCTTCCGTGACGTGGACGTCCACCGCAACAAAAATTGGGTGTTCTTGTTAATGGAGAGGCTGCGGAGCGCAGCCTCCTCTAACATGCCACTGCATAATTTATACAGAGGTTATCCCCATCGGGGACCCACAGCAGTGTTCTCGAACACGCCGGCCTGCTTCGGGCCAGATCCTCCAGTGGCGGCATGCGTGACGAGACAAATCATGCCGTAAAGCCATTGTCGGTGGGCGATGGTGTCATGTGATTGAGGCCGTTCTGTAGACGGTTGCCGCTGTTGCGTGTCGGGCCTCGTGGCGGTCGTTCTTTCCCTCACCGTCGCTGAGCGCGGTTGTTTGTTATTAATAAGCATGCATTTGCCCGCTACTGCAGCGCAGCAGAACCAATATTGGTTGATCATCTTACGAGCCGACGGGGACGGCGAGCCGGCGGGGAGCCAATGAGACTGACGGCAGTTTGCGGTGGACAGCCATGGGCCAATCCAGCCACCGGCCAGTGTCCCATCAGAGGGCGAGAAACGAGAGAAAACCGGGCACAGGACAGCGCCGGCAAAGCCGCGGAAGCCGGAAAATCGACCCTACAGCGCAGGAGGACCATCGTGCAGACAAGCGGCGGTGGAGCAGGAAGGGGGAGTGGAGGCCGGCGCGTGGACGAGCGACACGATGGGCGATGGGCGATGGACGACGGGAGAACTGGGGGGGCGGAGAAAGGCGGCGAGGGTCTCGGTGCGAGCTGCGTCACGCAAGAGGTCCAGAACGTCCTGCCAGCAGTCGATGCCAGCAAGCCAAGGACGAAAGCCTCCTTGGGGGCGACAGGAACAAGGCGCTTCCCTCGGCGGAAAAGACGAGACGGAAACGGGCGAGAAGGGACAAGGGCAGAACGCGCGTGTTCGCACAGCGGCCGATGAGCAGGCGAACAAGACAAGAGACGAGGGAAAAGAGACGAGGGAAAAGGCAAGAGGAAAAGACGGTCATGGCGAGCTGCAGTGCAACAGTCGGTCGGAGGGACCATGGCCACGAGAGACGTCTGGCAGCAGGGCGAGACGGACGAGTAGATAACGACCGTGTGTCCCGGCTGTTTTCCAGTCGTCTTTCTGGGACGAGCAGCATCTCCTTCTCCTCTCCCATCCTCTCGTTTGCATATACGCATATATCGTGCATATACAGGCCAGCGGTCTGCACTGTCGTTATCACCACCGGCTCTTCTGTCCTGACGGATCTCTGATTCCAACACCTACTACTCCCTCTCGTCGATCCTGCTTCTATTCCGTCTCGAAATCTGCACCGCTTCCGTCACCATGGCACCGCTCCTCCACTTCGACCTGCTCGACCAGAGGCAGCGACAGCAGCTGCTGCAACAGGCACAGGCACTCGCACGCACACAGGCTTTCCAACACGCACACGCACCGCCGCCCCAGCAGCCTCCCCGGCTGGCCTACAGCCGCGTCTCGGCGTCCCGTCCGTCGCAGCAGCAGCTGCTGCACGCACGCCAGGCCACGGTGACGACCACGGCAGCGGCGGGCTCGCACCACCTCTCGGGTGGCGCCATTGCCGGCATCGTCATCGGCTGCATCGTCGGGGTCCTGCTGCTGGCCTGGATCCTGCGGCTGTGCCTCAACCCACCGCCGGCTTGGCGGCAAGCCTGGGTGCGCGATGACGTCGAGACAGCCACCAAGAGCCGCCACTACAAGAGCGGCAGCTACAGCCACAACACGAGCAAGAACAACAGCACCAGCACCAGCAATAGCAATAACAACGGCAAAAACAACAGCACCAGCAAGAACAACAGCAATACCACCAATACCAACACCACCAACACCAACACCAACAAAGACCACAACGTCCACAGAGACCAGCACCGTCACCGGTCTCCTGCACGTCGTCACCATCGCCATCACAGCGATCCTGGTGATCGTGTCGGCAAGCACAACAACACTGCCAACACCCACAGACACACTCGCTCGGACGCTCGCCGTCCCGAGATCGAGATCATCCAGAAGCCGACGCCGGTCGTCGTGCGGCGCCGCAGCACCAGCCGCCGCCGGACAACCTTTGGCAAGGCCACGTACGCACCGGCACCACGGCCATCGTCGTCGTCGTCGTCGTCGTCACAGTCGCCGCCACCACCGCTATCTGGCCGTCGCAGCACCGCCGTGCGGGCATCCCACGGCGAACGCAAGGCAGACGACGGCCCATCAGAAACAGTGGAGCGGGGCCGCAAACCGAGACGGTTCTACGAGACCTATAGCGGAAGGGCGTAGGTGGCTCACAGAGAGTAGGAGGGATAGAGCGATATACGGATAGAAGAATATGTATGAGACGGATGTGCTGGATATGTGGGTATGCTGGGCATGGGAACTACCGGCGTGAATGGGCAGCCGAAGAGGATGGAGCCAATCCTGAGAACTCTGGAAGGAGACAGGACCTCTGACCAGGACAGAGGAATAATCATGTATCAAGACTGGAAGCACGTAACGGCACCTGATCAAATCGACGGGTTGAGAGGACGAAAGAAATACATCTTGGTAAAGCTAGTGTACATGACGTGTCCTTTGCGCCGAGTATGTGGTTTACTTCCAGAGTTTGCCGAGAGAGACTGAGGAGTTAGCGTGTGGGGGAGAGAGAGAACATGTAGGAAAAAGAGAAAAAGAGAAAAAGAAAAGAAAAGAAAAGAAAGAAACTCACCCTCCTTATCATCATGTTTGTTCAGGATCTTGGCCGTGGCCAGCTCAAAGTCCTCCTGGGTGACGTGGACGCGACGTTCGCGCAGGGCATACATGCCGGCCTCGGTGCAGACGCCCTTGAGCTCGGCGCCGGAGCAGCCGTTCATCTTCTCGGCGATCTTGGTCAGGTTGATGCCGCGGGTGAGGTTCATCTTGCGGCTGTGGATGCGCAGAATATCGGCGCGGGCCTCGACGCTGGGCGGGGGAAACTCGATCTTGCGGTCGATGCGGCCGGGCCGGAGCAGGGCCGGATCCAGGATGTCGAGCCGGTTGGTGGCCATGATGACCTTGATGTTCTTGGTCGGTTCAAAGCCGTCGAGCTGGTTGAGCAGCTCAAGCATGGTGCGTTGCACCTCCGAGTCGCCGCCGCTGCTGCCCTCGACGCGCGACGAGCCGATGGAGTCGATCTCGTCCATGAAAATGATGGAGGGCGCGTGCTCGCGCGCCATCACGAAGAGCTCCCGCACCATCCGGCTGCCCTCGCCAATGTACTTCTGCACCAGCTCCGAGCCGGACACGCGGATGAACTTGCAGTCCGTGTGGTGCGCCACCGCCCGGGCCAGCAGCGTCTTGCCCGTGCCCGGTGGCCCGTACAGCAGCACGCCCTTGGGCTGGGCAATGCCCAGGCTCTCAAACAGCTCCGGGTGCTTCAGGCCGAGCTCGATCACCTCCTTGATCTCCTTGATCTGCTGGTCCAGCCCGCCGATCATGTCGTACGTGCTGTCCGGCACCTTCTCCACCATCATCAGCGACACCAGCGGATCGACCGACGATGGCAGCATCTTCTCCAGCTTGTAGCTGTCCGACAGCAGCGTCACCCGCTTGCCGACCGTCAGCTTCGCAATGTCCACGCTGTCCGCCACGTCGACCACTGTTCCGTCAGCACCAGCCCAGACGCCACACCATACAGACACTGCCCATCCACGCCCACTCACCGTATTTGCCCTCTGGATGCACCTTGACCAACACCTTCTTCGTGCCCATCACCTTGACCACCTCGCCCACATAGGACCCCGCCTGCTGCAGCAGCCCGAGCTCCTCGCGCAGCAGCCGCACCCGTGAGTTGTAGTCGTTCCGCTGTGCCTCCAGGCGCCGCAGTACGGCTTGGCCCTTGAGGATCTCCAGCTTCATCGCCTCGATCTTGTTGTGGTAGTAGTTGTCCAGCGACATCGTGGGCGAGGAGTATGGGAGGCGGGCCGAGGCGGCGGAAGAGTCGTTGGTCACAATCGTGTCGGCCCTCTGTCAATCAGCTCGCACGCTGCTCGTCTTTCGTCTGTCGGCGTTCGCGGTCGGGTGTCGAGTGCGGAATGGATGGATCGTCCGTTGTCTTGCGACTTGCCCTTCTTGCCAAGGCAAATCCCAAGCTGTAGGCAATAGCTGCCAACGCGTATGTGTCACGTGGTCTACGGCGATCGAGCTCCAGCCCCACATGCAAGGCAACTAACAACCACCCCGTACCATTGCCTAATTCAAATCATTGTACTATGTGATGCTTGCATCGCCTTTTGACGTGCCAGAACTATCTAACCCCCAATGTATAAACACGAAATGCCACAGATAAGAAAACGAGCCCGGAGCAGGACAAAATACGAAAAGAACGACTGCACGCCACTAGAAAGCCGCTCCAGCGCGGCCTTGGCCGGCCGTCTTGAACGACTTGCCATAGCGGACAAACTGGCCGTCTTGGCCGAGGGTGTCGAAGCGTCGCAGCCCGGAGCTCTCCATGTCGAGCGCGGTCGTGTAGCCGCTAAAGTAGAAGCCCGAGACGACGACGATGTAGCTCATCAGCAGGATGCTGCCCTTGAAGTAGTTGCTCTTGCCCTCGCCGTACATGTAGCTCAGCAGGAAGACGCAGAGGATGACCGAGATCATGTCCCACTGCGGGAACAGCAGCGAGAAGGTGAAGCGTGCTGCATCTGCGCCGACAGCCGGAAACGCGGCCGAGAAGAGCACCAGCGCCGGGATCTGCAGCAGACACACCTGCAGCGCGTAAGCCGACCCGATCTCCATCGACAGCGCAATGTTGCCGTTCATCGCAAACGAGATAGCATTCTGTCTTGTTAGCTTGTTTTCGTCGTCTCGTCTCCTCCCTCTCACTCACCAGAAATTCGGTCGTGTTCGGAACAAGCGCAAACAGCGTGATGCCTAGAAACTTCTCGTCGATCGCGAATCCGTCCAGGACAAAGTCTACTGAGTCTACCAGGATCTCCGCAATCACCGCATACAGCGCCGTAGCGCACATCAGGACCACCGACGACTTCATCCGGCTCCAGTTGGGCGCGTCGTGTCCGGTGTGGTCTCCGCCAGCGGCACCGCCGCCAGCTGCTACACCAGCGTCCTCGTGATGGATGAGCGGTGGTCGAGGGCCACCGCTCGCCGGCACGCTGCCCTGCACCGATGTCCGACGGGGCTGGCGTCCGTCCCGGGCCAACGTCCCGGCCATCTCGGCCACCTGCTGCAGCAGGCTGTCGCCGTCAGATGCTGCCGTCTTGCCGGCTGCCCCGTGCGATCCGGACGGTGCTGCCAGGCCGGCCTGCTTGAGTGACTGGCCGATGATGCGACGGTAGGCATGTGCGTCGCGCACGTCCGCCCCCGAAGACTCGCCCAATGTCGTGATCGTACCACCACCACCGCCACCGCCACCCGGCACGGACGCGTGCTTCTCCTCGACCTCCGCGTTCCAGATCACGGCCGCGTGCGTCCGCAGCGTGAACCACAGTCCGATGGCGTACGATAGGAACAGCAGGCTGGCGGCCAGGTAGCAGTACGGCCGCACGGCCTCGAGGTAGAAGCGGTCGTCGATGGCCGGCGTCTGCGAAAAGTAGCAGCGGCGGCAGTCGCGGCCGTCACCGTCGCCGTCGCCCTGCAGCCGGCCGACGCTGTCGACACAGTCGAGACAGTTGAGCTGGTGGGTGCCGTAGATCTGGTAGAAGAGCGTCGGGCTGAAGGCGGCAATGACGGCAAAGAGCAGCATCGTCGACGTGACGCCGGCCGAGCGGGCGTTGAACCGCTGCGTCTTCCGCTTGATAGCCCCAAAACACATCGACAGCCCCGGCAGGAAGAGGATACCGGCAAAGATGCTGCCGATGATGCTGCCCTCGACCAGTTGCGCCTTGCCCTGCCGCAGCGCCACGCAGTACAGAAAGACCTCGACGATGGTCGAGAAGAAGGCGTTGATGGCCGCGCCCACGCCCATGGACGACTGCGCCGAGATCGACGCCACCGCTTGACCGATAAAGTAGGCCAGCGGGATGATCGACAGCAGTCCGGCCACGAACAGAAAGGCCGACGACGTCAGGACGTTGTCCACCTCGAGCATGCGGTCCAGCACCATGTAGTCGAAGATGACAAACATCACCACCGCCATCAGGTTGATCAAAAAGATGTTCGTCCCGTCCACCGTATACTTCCAGTACTTGAGGCCCACAGCCCGGTACGTGCACACGATGATGGACGACTGCGGCGCTGCCGGGGCCCGTGCTGTCGCAATGTCTGACTCAAACGTCAGCGCCAGCGGATGGCGTCGCAGGTGGTCGAACAGCAGGATCGTCACCCGGCCCATCGGGATCCAGAACACGAGCAGCCAGCAGATGCCGGACGCGACGAACAGCGACGGCGTGATCAGCAGGTAGAAGAAGAGGAAGAAGATGACGCGTCCGACATTCCACTGCCCGCGACCAAAGAGCCGTCGCTTCATCCGTGGTAGATCGCCGTCCACGCTGTCCTCGTCTCGGCTCTGGCTACCGTGGCGTCCATGGCTGGGCCCGCCCGACCGGTGGCCCAGCAGGCTGTCCGTCTCGTTCGGCCGCTCCGAGTCGATGCTGCGTCGTGACCGTCCGATGATGGAGCGGCCGCGTTCCGGTCCAAAGAACAGCCGGCCGTACTCGAGGTCGCCGTTCTGCCACTGCTCGTACTCGCTGATGCTTCGGCCCTCGCCCTGGTCCTCGTCCAGGTACGGCTCCTGCTGCTCCAGCCGGACAAACTTGCCAAACGGGTAGAATAGGTAGCTGGCGAGTCCCCAGAGCACTCGCCCATATTCTCGTCCGCTCGACGCCGCCGCAAAGAGCAGACACACAAACGCGCCCGTGGACGCGATCAGCGCCAGCCACCAGCCAAAGAAGAGCGTCCACATGATGTTGAAGAAGAGCAGCCACGTGCTGACGTGGCCGCCCGGCGATGAGTGAATGTCGCCTTCTGCCGTCTTCTGCACCGACCGGTCCTTCTTGTACAGTGCCGGCTTCCACAGCCGGATCCCAAACGGGTGCGTCTCGTTGATCGCTTGCTGTCGGTCTTTTAGCGTGAAGCTCTCGGCATCACTAATGTTGCCATCGTCATCGTCGTCGTCATCTTCGTTCAAACCGACAAGCTGGGTCCCACCTCCTCTTCCTTCTCCTCCTCCTCCTCCTCCTCCTCCTCCTCCTCCTCCCAGATCCAGCTCGTCTTCCTCGACCTCGTCGTCCAGCGCGTCCAGATCGGTGATACCGTCACCCAGCTCCTCCAAGATGCTGGATGCCGCCATGTCTACGCCTGGCGTGCCGAGCGGCTTTGGCACAAAGGCAGGCGACGCCAACGCCTCGTCGTCCACGCCCTCGTCGCGGCTGCCGGCGTGCAGCCGTCCAAGGGAGAGCTGGCCGGGCGTTCGGCGGCGCGTACCCAGCGTCGGGGGTGGGTGGCTGAACTTGCGCTCAGCCTCGTCGGCCTCAACCTCGCTGACGGCATCGTCGACCGAGAAGACGCCGCCACGGTGGCGCGCCTGTGTGTTGCTGGATGCGCGTCGCGGCAGCGCCGGTTTCCGTGGACGGCCCCGGCCACGATCAGGGCCCAGCAGCGGTGAGCGCGTGGCCGATGAGAGGCTTGCTGTCGCGCCCGAGGGCCGCTGTTGTTGTGGTCGCTCGTGGGCCGGCGTGGTCGCGTCGGCTGCGGCCGGTGGAAGCATCTGGGACGAAGACGAAACTGTTCCTGTTCTCACAATCAGTCACGTGCTCCGAGACAAATTCGCACGCACCGCATCGACGACAGACGCACCATAGCCTGCGTCTGGCCGCCGCCGGATCGTGTCTGTGGACTGGAAGCTCTCCGCGAGACCCTCGCCGGCAAGGGCCTGAAAAGAATCGAGCCGGCTGGCCGGCGCGCGCGTGTCTGTCGGCGAGGTGGCCGCTGACGGGGCCGCCGACGACTCGCTGCGGATAGACATGGTGAAGAGAGATGGTCGAGAGGGGGACCGAGGCGGTAATCAGTGCGATAAGGACACTTTGGAGCTGCGCAGTCCGTCCATTGGGCGAGGAAAATTCACAGACAGAGGAGAGAGGTCGAGTAGGAGACGATCGTATGCTCCGCAAGTAAACAACTAAATTAAAGGGAGCAAACTAGAGGATAAGATCAAAAAGGGTCCGTGCAGCTTTGTCGGCAAACAGAAGGAGACGAAAGGACAAAGAGGCAGGGAGGGCGATCCAGGGAGATATGATGAGGCCTCTCGCTGCTAGAAGCCGCGTCTTGCGAAAGGATCGGGAAAATGGAGAGCGGCTGAGAGACCGGGAGCACTACCTGCACGTGTTGGGCAGAGCGGCCATGCAACAATATAACCAGAAAGTAGAAACCAAAAACGAGAATAAAAAGGCCCCCAAATGAGCGAAAGGCAAGGCGAAACAGACCTGGAGCAGAGGCCCTCTCTCTGCTGCTAGACCCCCCACTGACGCTAAGAGCTAGCGCCCATGCTACGTTCGCCTGTGGCCAGTCTGGGCAGCTAGCGGGCCATCGATGCCGATCGCTGGCCGCTTGTCCAAGCAGGCAGGTGGGAATCGTCACTGCGGCAGAGCACTGCAGCCATCGTACATAGTAGCAACGAGTACAGACACAACCTTCAACAAGGCCTGCTCCACATGACGCGGCAGCGTCGCTCCAGACGTGCTGCACCCTCCAATCCTGCCTGTGCCATGTCGAACCTTGATCGTGTGTCCGCGACCATGCGCCCGCCTGACTCACGCTGCACATGCACGTCTTACCTAGCACGACCGATCGAGGATGCGCATCTTACGACAGATATCCAAAGTGGACCGCCTGCTCTCACGGCTGCCTGCTTTTCCCGGGGTCTCTTTCGCCTCCCCTCTTCTCCTTCCTCGACAGACAGTGCAATCTCGGACCGGCATTTGGCATGCAGCCCCAAGACAGTCAGTCAATCAATGTGGTCAGAGACATAGGGAGACAGATCCGAAATTAGCTTCTGCTCCGCAAAACCTAACAAGGTCCGCTGCCTTCTCCACATGCCATCTTCCCGATCTTCCCGTAAGGCTACCTGCAAAACACGCTGCCATAATACGGACCACCGTCAGATGATCGAAAACAGGGCTCGTGACCTCTACTAACCTACGAGATCGCCGCCGCTCTCGCAATCACCCGCCTCAGAGTCTGGCATGGACTCGTATCTCGTACGGTACAGAGTACTCGTGTGAAATATGGAATACTGCGTGTTCATATTACTAAATCGACAACAATCATGAATAAACCAACAAGTACCAGGCGCCGTGTACATTACCCCAACCTTGTTCTGCCGACGTGCTTTCTTTTCCAGGAGCGCGCTCCCTTCCGTGGTTCTTTCCCGCTCCCTTGCCCTGGTCCTCGTCATCCTATAATAAAGATGTCTGTCCGTGCATACTCATTCCCCTGCCATAAACCACGCTCGCCAAGACAACCCAGGACCAACCTGGTGCGCTGGGAATGCAATGGTCGTGGCGACGATACTCGATGATTCTAAATGATGATAATAAAAACACGTCCAAACACGTGACCTCACGTTGTCTCAGCACATGCGGCCCCATGCCTCCCCCTGTCTTGCTCAGCCCTGCATTCGCACGCTCTCGCTTCTGGCCCGCCCTGGCCCTTTGGACCGCACGCTCTGGTGTTCTTGCGTCTTGGAGATCCATTCGGCGACCGTCTCGTAGCAGAGCACAAACTGCCGTAGAGACTGCACCATGCTGAGTCTCTGTGTCCGGAAGTCCTCGACCGTCTTTGCGACCAGGTCAACGCTGTCATTCTCGAGCCAGCTGATGTTGCCTGCGTCGACTGTATTTTCGGTCCTAGTCGCAATATGGCTCATTCCGTTAGTCGGGTCCTGACCCATCGTTGTTTTGTGTCCTTTCCCCGCCACTTGGTGTTGGCGTTTGATCATGTCGATCACCGCATCGACCGTGCAGAATGTACCAGTCCGTCCACATCCGGCCGAGCAGTGCACCAGCATGGGTTTTACGTCAGCGTCAGACTCAGGTTCGTCCATCCGGGGCATAGAAAAGCTGTTCAGCTTCCAACTTTCACCAGAACCATGAAGCCGGGCTGCCAAAGACGGGGGGGACATTGCGGCCGGGCCGTCCACAGGCGAGGATGGGCCCTGCATAGCATTTGCAAGCTGAATAATGGCAAGGAGATGGCTGGGCTGTGCTGGCGCTCCAAAATCTGGCCACGACGAATAGTGCAACTGCGTGACTTCACGGATCGGCTGGAATGCGTGGTTGCTGTGCGAGAGAGAAAACTTCCTGATGATCACAAAGGGAGTCTCGCTCTGATTGGCCGAAGCTCCAAGTGGGAACCCGGGCCGGGATGGGCCACTCAATGTTGGGGCTGCTGCGCTTCCTCCGACGCACGCGAGAGTGGTGGCCCGGCGACGGCCGGATTCTGCAGTCGAAGCGTCATCGCCGTGCGTCGAGCTGGACTCTGTCATGCCTGCCGCTGCCGCTGCAGGGCTGGGTCGCTTGTCCATGTCGAGGGATACCTTCCGTTCGCTGAGCATCCTGAGTCTGATCGGTCCGTACTCTCGACCTGTCCAGTACGGATGGCATTTGAGCTGACCGCCTTCAGACTCTGCAGTGAGCATAACTATGACTCGCACGTCCTGGTCCCAGACCACAGACCAAAAGTCCTAGTTATCTATGTTAGCAACACGCGCCTATTGAGACCGACGCATGTTTTGGGCTCCAAATCACCAACCTCGAATGTAGCAGGCAGCGGACCCTGGCTCGCAATGTATCGCTTTAAACTCCGTCCGGCCCGTATGTGGCTCGCATTGATATAATCGCAAGTGCCCTCAGAACGGCCGTGCAGCCGAACGCGGGCATGCTCAAAAGGCAAAATGTCCTTGTAGCGGTTCTTGATGCCCTTCTCGATGCCGGAGAGCTGCACCTTGCCAGATCCACCGGGGACGCCCACAGATGTGTTGAACACAGAATATGCGTTCTTCATCCGCGACTGCTCCGCCAGCTCAATCCGGAGAAAGCGCTCCGACACCCGGTTGCCCTGGTCCGTGACCTCTGTGGCCTCACGCAGCCACAACGGGAGCGTGGTGGGGTCCAGGCCTGCTGGAAGAGATACGCGTAGCCTGCCGACTCCGTCTGCGAGATCCATGTTTTGCCTGATGTTCGAAAAGAAAGGAGCCGGACTGATGCTCGAAGACGGCAGCATCACGCCGCCGATGATAGGTGCAATCGACATCCCTTTCTTGCCAGCTGCACCGAGTGACAAGGTAGAGCAGCCGGAAGACATGGAGGAAAGCTGCCGGTCGATAAACTGCGGAAAGGCAGCCTCAAAGGCCGCGAATCCGCCACGCAGCACATAGGCCTTCCCTGTGTATCCTTCGACGGTGAATTTCCGAAGCATGTTGGTCGCCGACGTGGCATCCCTCTTCTCCACGGAGCTGGAGTCATAAACAACAAGGTATCTGGCCTCCCGCCAGGCCGCAAACTTGGCTTGGTCCTCGCTTTGCGCAAAAGTCTGCTGCAATTTCTGCAGATTGAACGTCGCCCGCTTGAGCAACGTTGTCGGAATGCAGAGGTTCAGGGCGCCTCGAATGCGAGAAGCAGCATAGTACGTGGACACGCGGACATCAAGCAAGAGAAGCGGCAATGACTTTTCCACTTCGTGGGTCTCCAAAATGCTCTTCAGCTGAGCAGCATCCATCATTTCGGGTCCTTCCTCCACCTGGATGGGAGCGCTGTCTGCTCTCGCCACTGCCCCTCCTCTCATAGTGCACAAGCTTGACCGTCCCAGGGTCAAAGACAGGCGCGGATGACGATCCTCGACGGGAGACAGCGTCGATCTTGTCTCTGTTGCAGACTCCACTTGCGCCGGCGACTCGTAACGGGGAAGGTTAGGAAAGACCGAGGAATCCAATGGTGGCTCCAAGTTTCGGGAAGGAGTACCAATCGTTCTGGTCTCAGCGTCGACATGCATGGGCGATGACGGCACCGGGGAAGCCGCTGACCGAGCCATCTTTGCACCGTGCACATTTGTTTCCCATGACGGAGTCATCTTGTGGTTAGGTGATCGCAACGGCTTAGAACGCATGATCGGAGGCGTCCTGACATCTGTGCTCGTCTGCGGCGTTCCCACACCACCGAACGCAAACATTCTTCCCATCTGGTTTGCTTCCACCTGGACCCGAAAGGCATCATACGCAGGGTTCGCATCCAATGACATAAAAGGGTTCTGCATAGCGGCACCAAAGGACTTGACCGATGATGTGGGTGGGCTCCAATTGTCCCGGGGCGCGACGGCTGAGTCGCGGGGGTCCGATGCTTGCTCGACGACAAGACCAAAATAACACGGGCTGGATCCCTCCTGCACCGTCGACACGGACGGCGGGAGGGACGACGAGCAAGGCGACTGTTTCGGCGGGTATGGCTGGCCGACATTGTGGACGACCATCATGGGGGAGGACATCGGAGCTCCAGAAATGGAGCCGCGACCGTGGTAAGGGTTTGCATGAGGACTCGAGTGCGCGATAGGCGGCGCTGACCGTACGGCTGTCATGGTGAAATGCACCGTCCGTTCGCTGCCTCTCGGATCAGAGTGCATCAGGGCGGCGTGGGGGTTTCGAAGCGGTGAGTATGGACGTTGGTGGTGAGAAAGGTCGTGTCGGAGGTTGCCTGCGATGCTATTAACAAGACATATTGTTCGTGGTTCGGCAGCGCCCCTCCTTTTGGTTGGAAATATGTATGGTATTGTGATGATGAGATGTCGTCGCCTCTTCGCTGTTGACAGCCTCTGGCAAATTCTGCGTAACGGACTGTGGCAAAGGTGAGGAAAGTCGATAGACCGATAGACCGACTGGCCGATTGGCGAAATAAGGCCTGGATTATGGAGAAGGCGATGCTGCGCAGGATGGGGTGCGAGAGAAAGAGGCAGAACAGGCTCGATGGTTCGTGCTCCAAGAAAGATAGCAAATAAGATGCAAAACAGTCACACTACTTCGTAACAAATTATAATAATAGGGAGGACGGGGACGTGGAGGAGTGCTGGAGAGTAGTGAGGAAGGCAGGAAGAACCTGAGACGGAAGGTGGCCACCATGTGCCCTTTTGGACTTATGGGGAGTGTGATCGACAGGTTTCGCAAGGAAACAGGGCAGCAAACGAAACCTGCAGGCAGGTTAAACTTGGGACGTCCATCCTGAAAAGTTACCGGAATGAGGGTAGTCTCATTCATGCCTCCCCAACTAGGCTGGGGTCTGGCAGCAGATGGGGCCTGCTGCAGTAGTGAGGTACGGCGGATTGGCGGGCAGTGGCGCATGCTCGGCGACCCTGTCAAGTAGCGAGTGCGGATATTATGTCGTCATATCTCTGTCCCTGCGAAAACTGCCGAGAACGAGTCGCCTCACGGAGCGAGGCAGGTGATATGCGGTCATTGGTACGGAGTACATGGAACTGGTATGTGCAAATTAACCAGCACGCCGCTCTGCATTTGTCCCCTCTCCTTCCATTTCCCTCTTTGTCTCGCCGACGCGGCATCGCCTGTTTTCTGTTCTCGCCCGTTCTAAAGGGTCAACGGCGCGGCAACCAAGAAACGACCGCTGTTGGGGCTTGCTTGACCTAATCCTCGACACAAAAGAAAAGGGGCAGCGCTAAGTCGCTTAGCACCACAAGGGGAGGGAAAAACCCGCCTCCAGATCAGGCATGGTCCCAGGTCGCCTGCGGCACCGCTAGATGTCATTCCCTCGTGGCGCTGTGACAACGTCATAGTCGTCCTTTACCGATTAAGGCGGCAAGCCTCCTCAAGCCGCATTTGGCTATGCTCGCCTTCTGATGGCGCCTGCCCGGCATCTTTCGATCCATGCTCAACCTGCTCCGCCAGCGACTCGTCACGAGGTGACTTTCCGACTGTGGCTGATCTGGAGTTGCCCCTTCGAAAATACGAATATCGTTCTGGCCGGTAGCTGCAAAGATCATACATATCTGGAAATGTTGGCTACCGGCTTGAAATCTTGGTTATCTCAGACCACAAAACCGTGGCCTGGACCCCGACAGAACGTTCTAGCGGCTAACGGGGCCGCCCCACCAGCGAGCTTTTTCGCAATTATTCCAATTCAATGCACATACGACGTAGTAAGATAGATATGTATCCTTACCAAGATGCAAGGCCCGATAAGCACGGGAAACTGCTCTTCCCCGAGGGAAAAGTAACACTATCCTCCAAGTACGACGTAGTAGCCACCTCTGATGCTTTGCGGGCACAGGGTGGAAACGGATAGGAGCATAATACGGAGTAACAGGATACGAGTACGAATCTAACATGTCGATCCTTTCGTCATTCTTACAAATCATGAACCCGTTCACGTGCTGCAGTCTAAAATATAATTACTTGTCTAGCGTCTTTAATTCCACAATGTACATTCACGTGACTCACCCTGAGCACGCATCAAGCGAGCTCCACAGCACGCATCAAGCGAGCTCCACAGCACGCAATTACACTAAAACAACTGCTGAAAGTTTCTATTATTAAATCCCTGTCTCGTCACGTTGGGGAATTTTTCCTTGCTCATTTAGGCGTCGCACATTGCAATTTTGTTGTTTTCCACTATACGGAGTACGTCCGCTATGCTTTTCTGCATACTACAAGCAACATACCCCCATCATGGGCGCCGCCTGCAGCCCTGCAATAGCAAATCTCCGTGCTTGCCGAGTAGACAAAGAGTGTACGGAAATACGGACTACGAACTACGTAGTAATACGGAGTATCTAAAGTGATCTCCGTGTGTTTAAGGGACGCCCAAAGAAACAAGATGTTGAGTGCCATTCGTAATAGACGCCGTACAGAGTAATTTCCTAAGATATATCTCTCCGCATGTGACCATAGCAATAGTTGTGCCGATGCTTATTGCTTCTTGCACAACCTAAGTGATCATCAAAGACTGTTTAGGTAACAAAGACCAGCGGTTGTATACAATTACTATGTCAGCACTCGACGCTAGATATCTGTTCAAAGCCATTGCATTAACCCTGGCGGAAAGAGCTCGACGATGAAACGCTTCGAGTCGCGAAAATGAAGTCACAAGATAGTCTATGGCCGGCTGCTTAGGCTGGAACGTAACATAACTTTGGAGACCCAAAAGATCACACCGACGTGAACGAGAAAGCTGCCGTAAATCAGTCGAAATGGTGCGTTGTAGCTAGATGCCAGCTGCCCTCGCTTATCCAGCCTCCAACAAGCAGGCCATGATCCGGCTGTGCAATATACACTCTCAAGAAAAATCATAACCGAATGTTCACGTCCATGCAATCTATTCTCCATTCTCTCCGTCCGAGTAGGCTCCTCAACCACTCGATGCCAACACCCGTCCATTCCGCCTCAGCGTGCGACAGTTTCTCGGCCGTTGCGCCCGCCATCGCCGAGGCTGTCGTCTTGACCATATCAAACACGAGAGCAGCCGTAGGCCCGTATCCGTCATCCACCGTGACGGTCCCGTTGTAGCTGTCCGTTGACTGCATCGCAGCAGGCGAGTGTGTTATTTCTCGGGGTTCGAACCAGTCGTTGCTGAAGTCGAAGAAGCACCGATCGGACCAGTTGCAGCTCGTGAGAAATAGGATGAGGAGGAGAAAGGAGCAGTAGACGCACGGTCGATTAAGGAAGTATGTGCATACGAAAAACAGGAAGATGAACGTAGGCGAGGCGTTTGTGGGGATAAAGAGGAGCGGAAGCCAACTAGAGAAGGAGTCAGCACGTGTGCCCGATCAGATACTGGAAAAGACGTCGATGTGCTCAGGAATATGTCCATGCAACTTACCTCCGTAAGCAAAACATCTTGACGGCGTGAGGCGAATCGGTTCAGCCGTTGGGCAAAACGGGCGGCGAACGGTAAAATGCGGAACCCGTAAAAAATGCAGGCTACTGTTTGAGTGGCTGCACCCGCAGCGAAATTCACAAAAGAGCTCTGTGGCCGTCGCTATTGCCTCGCTAGATTCGTATTATGCGGACGGAAAGAAGTGGTAGATGAAATCGTTCGCAATGCCGGTATCGCAAACCACGTGTTGGAGATTACATAACACAAACAAATGTCACACGGCCTTTCAAGAAGCTTTTCAAAAAGCGGTGCGGAGCTCACGAGAGGGTTCCACCAGGCGTGCAAACAAAATCTGACATGACCTCAATGGAGACCCAAGCACAAGGAGCGCGTGTCTCAAGCTTTGCTCCGAGAATGAAGTGTTCAAGGTGAAAGTCTGTCGTTGAACAGGTCAACAAATACAGTGTCCGTGATTTTCCGATTACTGTGTCGGCAGCCTGACTGATAAGAGCCCAACCCAGGCCAAAATAAGCAGAACGGGAAAAAGAAAAGCAGAAGGCTCAGAAATTACGGCAGGCTTTTTCCAACTCAAATCCAACCCAAAACCCAACATCAAAACAGCTTCTAAAACCCTTTCTTACATCTACACAGCACACGATACCCATCACTGACCGTGCTGATCGTCGTCGCTGAAAGTCGTTTTGCGCTCTATCGCGCCCGTCTTGATTTTTGCGGCTCGATTTTATTTTTGCGTGCTTTTATCACCTTTTCCCCACTGCGCCTTCTGTTTTTTTTCGTCCCGGTATATCTTCACCGATAATTCGCTGTGTTGACGGCCATCTCTCCTTTCCCCTCCTTCATTACTGTTATTGCATCTGCATCTGCTTCTCGGAGCTTCATCGCCCATTCCTTTAACCACACATCGTCGCCATCGACGAAGCCCCGTTCAGATGTCAACAGACGGTAGCAACGGCCAGACGGCGGAAGCCGGCTCTGGCCTGGAGTCACTTTTGGCTCAGCTGCGTCGCAAGTCGAACCAGGACACCGCAGGCTCTGCTGAAGTGCCACAGACGCATGACACCTTAGCTCAAGTGTCCACCTTCCGCCCTTCCAACGAGCTGTACTATCCGCAGGAGCGGTCGGACTCGCCCAGTGCTCCTCCATCCTTTGCTGCACCACAGCCTCCAATGCACATCCCCCAGGGTGTCTCCAATTCTCTTCTTCCTTCTGCACCGACCCCTCCAGTCGGTGGATTTCCTAATGCTCAGTTCCCACCGTTCCTGTCTTCTATTGGCTCGGGACGGCCCAACAACGAGCGGGCGACTAGCTCTCACCTGCTCAACCTTCTCAAGTTCAGCGGACAACACAATGCTTCCAGCACCCTCACCCAGTCTCCCGCGGTACCCTATAGCGCGGATCCTCGCGAGCCCGACGTCCGGCACCCGGTCACGTCGCTCCCTTCCAGCATGATCCACGCGCCTGCCCCGGCGCCATCTGACCCTTCCGGTCTTCTCGCCGCCCTTATGCAGGGTGCCCTGAAGGATGAGCCGCCCAAGGCGGAGCCGCCAGCACCCGGCTCGGCGTCGTGGTCGTCTACTTCGCAGTCGAATGAGACGCAGCAGTACCTGCTAAACCTGCTGAACCGGCCGAAGCCCAGCCAGTCGAATGACACCTTTTCGACCGAGACATACAACTCCAACGGGGCGTCGCCCTTGTCCGGTGGTGGAGATACCCAGAACAGCCAGCGAAGTGCTTTCCATTCATTTACAGAACCCGGTGTCACGTCTGCTGAAAATGCGGCGTCGTCTGCTCCTGTCGTGCCTGGCAAGTTCTTGGAGTCTCCGGTCCCGTCGACCACAGACAGCGTTACGTCTAAGCTGCCGACAGCCACGTCGTCGACGACGACTCCTCTTTTCCACCACCATGACCCTTTTGATGGTCTTGGTGTCTCAACACCCGCCAGTCATGCCTCCAGATCTTCAGTTACACCTGGTGCCTCTGGCTACGTTCATCCCACCCCACCTCAGCCCCAGCCACCTCAGCACCAGCCAGTGGCAGCCGCTGCAGTGCAGATTCTGAAGAAGCCTACGCCGCAGCAGATTGCAGTTGAAAACAAAGCACAGGCCAACATTCTGGAGTCTTTCCTCTCAAAGCCCAACACAGCTGGCTCTCCGTCCCCAGGCAATGCGATGTCCTTTGAGAGTGCAGAGAATGATCCCAAAGACGTCGATGTCACCGATGCCGAGGACCAGCAGAAACAGTCTGTGGACAGTGAAGACGGCACGGCCGTTAACGGCGATGATGTCAGCGAGATTGAAGGCGGCAAGAAGCTCATCGAGGCGGACGAGAAGGAAAATGATCAGAGCCAGGATGCTGATGCGTCTTCGGATCCGGTTAAAGAGACTCCCGAGGCTGACAATGAGGCTGGCCAGGCTGCCGTGGCCGACTGCTGGGAGAGTGCCGATGCGGACGGAGACGAGGCTATTGTTGTCGAAGAAGCCCCTGCCCTCGTCAAGGTTTACAATTTCCCTATGAAGCCATGGATCTCGATCGAAGTGCAGGACGATGACAGGGAAATGCGCCCCACGTTTCACGAGGACTCCATCCTGGACATTGCGCGGCTCAAGAAGGAGTTCGACCAGATTGATAGGAACTTGGTTGCTGCCTCGGAGAACTACATGGCTTATGGCATGTCCAAGGCCGGCGGTCTTCGCGTCATCCGGCAGTCGGACGGGAGAGACGCGAAGCTCTTTACCGACACGAAGGACCGAATTTTCAACGTCGCTATGTCGTGCAGCAATCCGGATGAGGGGGCCGTTCCGAAGGACTCCATCATCGGTACAGGTATCAGTGGCACGGTGTACTGGGTCCAGGTCCGCGATGGTGACAAGGATCATCTCGAGTATGCCCACCCGGAGCTGTATGGCTTTGCCCTTCCGCCGATTGCGTCGCACGAGGGAGATGCGCCGGGAGGTGTTCTCAAGACTCGGGCTCGCACCTCTTCCAATCACCCGGAATATTTTGCCGTCGGCCGGGGCAAGTCGATCAACGTTGTGTGGCCAAGCTACATAATGAAGAACAACCTGTTCAAGCCGGGTCATGACCGTGTTGTCGACACGGAGAAGCTGGCGAAGCAGTGCTCGCTGAAGATCAACACTGGCAAGGCCGGGAAGGACTTCACATTCAGCCAGGACGACACCGTCGTCGTGTCTCTCGACAAGTCTGGCAAGGTCAAGTTCTGGGACGTCCGGGACCTTACTGCCACCAAGGAAGGGTCCGACCCGCGGAACCCGCTGCCGGCAAACACGTTTATGGAGGTTGCCGAGCCTCTCATGACGCTCACGACCACGCCCGAGGGCGAGAAGGCGTGGCCAACATCTGTTCTTCTGCTGGATAAGCTGAGGCCGTACCAGAAGGGCTGTGCTCTACGGTACATGATTGTGGGCATGAAGCAGAACCACACGCTGCAGCTGTGGGATCTTGCGCTCGCCAAGCCGGTGCAAGAATTTAATCTGCCTCACGGCAAGGAGTCGGATGCAGTATGCAGCGTCATGTATCATCCCCCCACGGGTATGATCGTGGTTGGACACCCGACCAGAAACTCGGTATACTTCCTTCACCTGTCGGCGCCCAAGTACGCAATGAGGAGCTTGTCGCAGGTTGATTACATCCAGCGGCTCACGGCCCACGACACGACAATTCCGCAGCCGGAGTCGACGGCTGTCATCAGCGGGTTGCGCGAGTACTCGCTGACCAGCCGGGGATTGCTGCGCAGTCTGGATATTCTCCAGAACCCGGCTTCCAACACGGAGGGAGACGACCCGACGCTGTTTGAGCTGTATGCCATGCATTCCAAGGGTGTCAGCTGCATCTTTATTCGGCAGGGCGAGCTTGGGTGGACGAAGGACAACAAGGTCATGAACCCGGTGGATGCTGTGGAGTCTGGCAAAGTTAAGATCGGAAGACTCAAGTCGCCACAGCAGCCGATGCTTTCCGCCGAAACCAACGGGACAGATGCAACGGCCACGGCGCCGGCCTCGGCCACGACCACGCCGGCGCCCCAGCCAGTGCCGCGGGTGATTGCGTCGCGTGCCAACGCTAAACAGCTGCTGCAAAACAACAGCCCGACGCCGCAAGCACAAGATGCGGGTCGCAAGCAGGCCGATGCCACTGCACTAGCGTTGGACCTGAAGACTGCTGAAGCCAAGGAAGAGGACGCGAATGTAGGAGGCACTAGCTCTGCGCACAAAACCGAAAAGAAGCCCCGGAAGAAGAAGTCGCCGGCGACGGGCGCAACGGGACCATCTTTGGCCGTTGCTGCTTCGGCAGACCGCGATGCCCTTGCCGGGAGCAGCAGCCTGTCCCACGGGCAGGCGCCGGCGAAGACATCAGAGGCAACGAGGGGCGCTCCTCCGTCGCCAGCTCCGACGGTTGGCAATGGGGCGATCGACTTGCGCATCAATGCGATGGAGGCGCGGATCTGCGACCTGGTGTCTAGCTCGGTACACACGGGATACGAAGACATTAAGAAGAATGTCAATCAACAGTTCCGGTCCCGGGATGCTGATTTCGAGCAGAAGCAGCGGAAGCTGCTGGAGCTAGTGTCGGATGTGCTGAACAAGAACACGGAGCAAGTTCTGAGCAAGATCGTGCGGGAGGAGTTTGACAAGCGGGTGGTTCCATCTCTGCGGGACAATGTGGTGCAGTCGATCACGGAGAACCTGGGCGGCAAGATCAACAACCAGGTTTCGACCGTGCTGCAGAGGGAGCTGCAAAAGTCCCTTCCAGCCCATGTGTCCAGCAGTCTCCGCAGCCAGGAGGTGTCCAAGGCTATCAGCGACAAAGTTGTGGTGGCGGTTTCGCGCGAGGTGGATGAGCAGATCAACCGGGTGGTGTCGAACCAGGTCATTCCGGCGATCTCGAACGTGTCCGCGCAGGCTGTGCGGGATGTGGCCCACAACCTGCACCAGAGGGTGTCTGAGCGGTTTGCCGAGCTGGAGCAGCTGCAGCTGGTGCAGGAGAGCAAGATGGACTCGCTGACATCGCTGTTGACTCGGCTGTCGGAGACCATCTCAACGATGGCGACGGCACAGACGCAGTACCAGAGCCAGCTGCTGAAGATGCAAGAGCGGTTCCAGAACCAGGCAGTACAGGTCGAAACGCAGGCACAGGCAAGCCAGGCTCAAGCTCAGGCTCAGGCTCAGGCTCAGGCTCAGGCCCAGCAGGCACAAGCACAGGCACAAGCCCAGGCGCAAGCTCAGGCCCAGGCTCAAGCTCGGGCTCAAGCTCAAGCCCAGGCCCAGGCTCAGATGCAGCAACAGCACCCGCAGTCGTTCCCACAGCCGTTTCCGGCTCACCCGTCGCAGCAGCAGTACCACGGCCATGGCCCGCAGCTGCAGCACCGAGGTTTCGACAGCGGAGCCAGCAGCCTTTACCACAGCCCGACGGGTCGGGTAGTCAGCCAGATCGCGGCATCAGGCACGTCTCCGTCGCAGCACTCCAGCTCGAGCCAACCACATCCGAAGGTGCCGCAGTCGCAACAGTCGCAACAGTCACAACAGTCGCAACAGGGGCAACAGTCGCAGCCCCGTGTGCTGTACGCACCGAAGTCGCAGGAAGAGCGCGAGCGAGCCGAGCTCGAGCAGGTGGCAGCGGTTATCGAGGACCTGCTGAACGCTGGCAAGTACGATGACGCGATGATGCGCTGGCTGCAGAGCAACGACAAGGAGGAGAAGCTGTTCCGCATGGTGCTCGTACACCAGCCGCCCGACATTATCAACAACTTGCAGCCGCTGCTGCTCCTATCGGTGGGCACGACGGTGACGCAGGATCTGGAGGGGCCGCTGTTGCCGGAAAAGCTTTCGTGGGTCGAGTTGGTGGTTCTGAATCTTTACCAGGTTGCGAACCAGCTGGTAAGTTCTCTTCGTTTCTATTACTACTCCATCTGCTTGCAGCTAATGCTAACAATGCGCAGGACGACCAGACGCGCGAGATCACGCCGACGGTGCTGGCACACATCCGGGCTCGCCTGGAGTCCATTCTCGGCAGGCTTCCTCTCGGCGACCAGAACGCAAAGAACGTGGGGCAGATGATTACGATCATCAACCGGATCATGGACGTGGCTCAATCGTGAGTGGGTGGTAGAAGGGGACGTGCGTGTCAGGACGACGTTAAAGAATCAGAATTTATTGACGCGGATGAAATTTTTTTGGAGGACGAGAGGACGTGAAGGACGACCAAAAAGGGCATCGTTATGGGAGGGACGGCCCATAATATGTTAATTATTATATTTCCTGGCCTCGCCGGCCGAAAGGTGGTGTGGTCAAGGACATGTTACTGTACGGTAGGCAACGAAATGAGTGTTATGTTCAATGCGCATTGAAAAGCACGGCCCTGTACTCCGTAGAATGTCTGTATCTGTAACGGCAATGTGCCAAAGCCGCTTGCCGTTTTGCATCAGCGCTAAGAGGCACTAATGCGACGCCAAGGAAGCCTATTAGCTAAGCTACTGTAACCTGGTCTGGGCTTGATTTTTTTTTTCGGGGGATCGAATGACGTCCTTTCGACCACAACGTTGTCGTCATGTCTTCAGTGGTGCAGCCGCACGGATGGGTAGGCCTAAAGCTGCCGTCTGAGCATGTGCGCTTTCTCGAGGTGATTCCTAATACGTGAGTGGTCGGTAGGAGAAGAGGACGAGGATGAGGAGAAAGAAAGAACAGAAGCAGCAGCATGTTGCGTAATACAAGTTGCGGGTTGCTGACAAGACACTCGCGACACAGGACGATATCACTGGGCAAATACGGCAGTTTTCCGAGCAACCTGATCATCGAGCGACCCTTCCACCTGACGTACGAGCTCGAGGACCGGCTGCCGGACGAGGATTTCTGCCGGCTGCGAGTGATCTCACCAGCCGAGCTGCATGCCGACAGCATCGCGGACGAGGCCAAGGCGTCGGCCGGGGAGAAAGGGACAGGAGGAGACGATGACGGCGTGGAGCTGCCGGTGCTTTCGGGGCAGGATGGGGTGGAGTACAGCCTGATCGACATGGAGAGCCAGGCGGTGATTGCACGATCGAACCGCGATGCGATCGATGCCAGCGCGCGGCAAGCGCTCACCACAGAGGAGATCGAGGAGCTCAAGCGCGAAGGCACGGGTGCGGGCAAGGATCTGATTGCTAAGCTGCTGCTTTCGCACGCGGCGCTGGACCAGAAGACGACTTTTTCGCTGGCCAAGTACAAGCTGCTCAAGGCGAAAAAGTACATCCGGCGGTTCACGGTGGTGCCGCTGGACGTGTGTTCGCTCGGCAACTGGCTGCTGGACGACAAGGACGTGGGGACCAAGATCCTGGGCCTGCGCGACGAGATGACGGCGCTGCTGGGCTGCTGGGCCAACGTGCACTACGGCGGGCCAGACCGGTATCTGGCCGAGGGGGAGGCGCAGGCAGAAGGAGAGCAGGCAGAAGAAGAACAGGCAGGAGGACAGGCAGAAGAAGACCAAAAAAGGCGACCGGCCCGGAGAACAGCAGACATGGCATCGCAGCTGGCAGGTGGTCGCTGGCTTGCGGTGGACGACACCGGCGGCCTATTGGTGGCGGCCATGGCTGAGCGGATGGGAATTCTGCACAAAGGCGAGGGTGTGGAAGGGGATGGATTTGAGTCGATGGATGTGGACGAGCGGATGGATGAGGGCGTGGGATCGCAGACAGAGGACCAGACGATCCAGCCGCCGATCCAGCCGATCCAGCCGACCCGATCCCCGAAGCACGGCCGCGATGACCTGAAGGCGTCGTTTTCGCTGACAAATACATTAACGCTGCTGCACGCCAACTCGCAGCCGAACCTGGCGTACCTGCGGTACTTTGGCTTTGACCACGCCGACCCGCATCACGGGCCCCATCCGCTGGCCGACCACCTGCTCTGTCTTAGCTGGCTGCAGCTGCTGGACCCGGCGAGCGACACGCTGTACGCATCGCCGGCACCGGTGGCCACGGCAGCCGAGCTGGCGGCCTGGAAACCGGGACGCCGGGGCAACTACTACCGCAAGCGACGTCGTTGGGCGCGCACGCGACATGCCGTCGAGGCCACGCGCGCCGGCGGCTTTGCCGGCCTCGTCGTCGCCACCACGATGGACCTCATCTCGACGCTGCGCCACACGCTGCCGCTGCTGGCCGGCGGTGCCCCGGTGGCCGTCTACTCGCCCACACTGGAGCCGCTGGCCGCGCTGGCTGACTGCTTCAGCGTCGGCCGGCGAGCAGCCTGGATGGCCGGGGGGGTGGGGGGAGTCGGAGGAGTCGAAGCTGCGGATGCAGATGCGCCCGAGACCGATGCCGGCGACGATCTCGAACGCTGGCCAGGCACAACAGCCTTTCCGCTCAATCCGATGCTGCTGCTCGGCACTACGGTGCAGACTAGTCGGGCCCGACGCTGGCAGGTGCTGCCTGGCCGCACCCACCCGCTCATGACGGCCCGCGGTGGCTCCGAAGGCTACATCTTCACCGGCTGGAAGGCCCTTCCGGCCGAGGGTCGCGTCACGGCGCGTGGCCGCTTCAAGCGACGCAAGACAGCCGACGGCGACAGCGGCTCCGTCGACACGCCGCCGGCATGCAATTAGAAGCACGGCAAAGAGACGAAAGACGAAAGACGAAAGGCGAAAGGCGATTGGCAAAAACTGCATCTATACATATGGGGCGCATCATACACACAAGACCGGCAGACAGACTGGGAACGGACACTCTGCTGTACAGGTAGACACGTAGAAGGAGAGGAAGAAGAAGGATGGGATTTTTCTACCGGACATGTACGCTCTACAGAGCCTTGCCCATAAACTTCCGCTTGGTGAAGCTGAGCCACCACTTGCTGGGCTTGCCGTCGCCCTCGGCATCGTATACGCGTGCGAGCAGCCGCTGAGCGAGTTCCTGGCGAACCTGTGAGAGGTACTGTCGAAGGACTTCGGACTCCTGTCGGTCTCGTGGCGGTTCGTACATCTGAAACGTCAGCATGGGCAGTGGAGAAGAGGAAGGAGGCAAGACGCACCTGGTTCAGCGGCCAGGCCGGGTCGCCCGGAATGGCAAAGTTGGTGTCGAGCGCCAGATTGGTGACGTCCTTGGTGGCCTCGCGCAGGCTGGCACCCGGCTTGATCTTGGTCAGGCAGTCGCTGACGAACCAGATTCCGTAGACGAGCAGCCGGTCAGCCGGGCCCTGGATCTCAAAGTTGCGGAAGAACGTGTTGGCGCGAAAGAGGGCGAGGATCTCGTCCAGGATGTCGTAGCTCTCGCTGTCTGGATCGGGCGCCTCGCTCAGCGGCAGCGGTGGCACCGCGGCCGGGAGCACGTAGGCTGGCCCGCGCGTCTTGGTGCGCAGCGGCAGCAGCGGTATGTTGCCCACCATGCGGCCCTCCGCAATGGCGGGATCGCTGTTGAAGACGGAGTTGTAGGCCTGCGGACGAGGTAAGACGAGGGGTCCAGCCAAGAGGGAGGTGGCTTCGACGAGAGCGAAAAGAAACGCTGCATCAACTCACCGGCATGGTCTCCGTTGGTCTGTTGCGAGGCGAAAGATGGTCGGCGACTGCCCGGTTCTGGTGGCGAGATGGCTGAAGCGCAACGTTGGTCACCGTGATGCTGTTCGCTTTGGCAGTTTGGGCCGTCTGTCCCCCCATGCCTGATTTGCTAGGCAGCCAGATGCGGGTACGGAGTACTCCGTAGTGGCCTGATGACTCATCGCAGTGGCGACCCAAAGTCACGTGCTTACGCGCGGGTTTCGCTCTCTGCCTGCGAGGCAACAAACAGAAAAGCCCCCCCTCCAGCCCCCGCCCTCTGCCTTCTTCGCGCCTCGTTCGCAGTGCCTATTTCATCTCCGTTTCCGCCCCAACGTGCACGACAGCCAGACAGCCATCTACGTCAGGCCGTTGTCATTCTACCGTTCTTATCGACGCAGCCAGCTTCCGGCTCGCGCCTTTGTGCTTCTTATCTGTTGCACTTTGCCGTTGATAGGGTCGTTTTCTGGCGCGTCACGACGACAGAACAAGGCATAGAGTTCCATCCACGGTCTACTCGTATACCTTGTGACAACACTTTCAGTGAGTACCGTGATGAGAACGCGAGAGCGCGTCTCTCCACCACGAGGCTGTCCGTGCTGACCGTCGTGGCAGAAAGATGATGGCCAGCCAGGAGAGCAAGAAAAAGGAGACGCGGCCTCGACGGTTCCGGCGGCGACATGCCGCGTGTCCCGATCCGGACTCGCTCTACGACATCATGCGCCAGAACTGCGGCACGTCGCTGTATGTCCTGCCGATCCTGTGGACAGATGTGCATCGCCGGCTGCTGAGCGTGGACTTTGTGGCCCGGGACCAGCGGCCGGCTGCGGCTGTGGACGCGACGACGATGCGGCCATCTGAGCTGGCCGAGGCACTGAGCGCGGACCTGACGTCGCTGCTGTCGCCCGAGGACACGCGGCCGTTTTGCAAGTCGCGCGCGATCAAGAGCGTGCTGGCCACGCTGTATCCGACCGCGCTCTCGCGACCCAAGAGCGTGGCCGAGCTGGACCTGCACTTTGGCGACCGCAGCTTTCGTGGTGCTGTGCGCGTGCCCGTCGTCTGGCAGAACGGCGTCGACGCGGCCGATCTCTCGTTCGACTCGGCCGTCACCCGGGCCATCTCGTCCTTTGGCCTCACCCAGAGCAGCCAGGCCGCCACACCGGCCGCTCCCAATGGACCGCTCATGGCCTACGTCAACCGTGCGCACCTGTCGATGATCCGCCAGAACCTGTTTCGCATCGTGCCCGGACCCGAGACCGGCGACTACCAGAACACGCCCGTGCGGCGCCTGCAGACCCTCCGCTCCAAGCACCTCGTGCCCGCCGACCCGGACCGCGACCCCTATCTCGTCAGCGTCTTCCTCGCCATGGCCCAGGCCAACTTTTACGACCCCGGCCTGTCGTCAGCTGCTCAGGCCTTCTGGCGGGCTGGCCGGCCGCGCGAGCGCATCGCTGCCGTCGCGCCTGACCTGCACGATATCAAGCTTCGCATCATCACCCACGACGACGAGACGATTGAGTTCATCGTCTACACGGCCACCGTGACCGAGGCCTTTTTGCGCCGCTTCGCCGCGCCCACCAAGGCGTCCTCGGCCGCACAGACGCCCGACGTCGGCATGCACATTGAACACGAACGCGTGGCCGTGTGGCCCATCCTCGGGCTCAAGCAGCGGCTCGGCCGTGCGTTGGGACAGGACCTGGTGGGCGACCTGCAGGACGAGAGTAGCCTGTTTGCTGCTGAGGCAGAGGCTCCCAACGAGACGACGGAACCAGTGCTGGAAACGATGCCGGAAACGGTGCCGGAACCCCAGCCGGATTCCCAACCAGAATCCGAGCCAGATACCCAACCAGAATCCCTACCGGAAACCCAGCCGGAAACCCAGCCGGAATCGACACCGGAACCGACACCCGAGACACAGCCAGAGACACGGCCAAAAACAAAGCGGGAGGCTGTATCCCCACGAGACAGCCGCAAGCGGAAGCGGACTGATAGACGGTCGCTCAAGAGCACGTTCAATGCCAGCCTCAAGGCTGAGAAGAAGGAGGCGAGCAGCGGCGTCGCGGTCAGCTCCCCGGCCCTGTCGCCGCACAGCAAGCGGCCGCGGACCCGGTCGTTCACGTCACTCGCCGTATTTTAATCCAGACAGGCGCAACGCCTGCTCTACTTGCATCTTATCCTGTGCACGATATGTGGGAACATGACGGCGTTCACAAAAGGTCTTCGGCGTGGCTTTCTTGCTTTTATTTACGCGGCGCGATGCTGTGACGGTTACGACAAAACAAGGCTCTCTCCTTGCTTTCTGCTAATATGTTTCAATTAATGGGTGCTGTTGTGATGCAGCACGTGACGAAGGCTCCGAGATTCTACGGGCAATGCTGGGTTATGCAGACGGAAGAATTTGTGTTTACTAGTATAATGTGCAGAAATGAATACTATGAGGCTGATTGAAACTGCGGCGTCGAAGATGAGGACCAAGAGTGAGGCTGAAAGGCCCTTGCAGAAAGGAGACACGAGAAGGAATGAGCCCAATTGGCGCTTTCGCTAATGGGCGACGATGAGTGGACGGAAGGACGGCATGGCCTAACAATATGCGCTAGAGGCTGTTAGCGAGCAGTCAGGCTAAAAAGGGACTTTCGGTAGAAGAACAAGGTTAAGACGATTGAAGTCGGTGCCAAGGGGGACGTGTTAAGGATCAATGAACGAGAACAGAGCCCAACGGGCATTGGGCCATATGCACGGAAGAGGCGCCAGCTCATTTCCACATGCAGCAGCTAGTCCCTGTAGCAACAGCCACATTGTATCTTTATCATGTCTCCCACATGCAATGTACAAACCTTCACAAAAGCCGGCAGACCGGCTATCGACCAATATGTCCGTCGTCTTCAGCAGCAGCTTCTCTCGAGGAGACAGGGTGAGTAAAGACGGATCCCTCCCCTCCTGCGCGATGCCGTTGTGGTTCAGCTGAGCAGCCGGGCTGGCCGCCCATTGGTGAGCGTGTGGACGCCAAGCCGCCACGAAATTAGTGTAGGCTGTTTGCAGGCCTCGTTGTCGGGGCTCGTACCCGTCGTATCTGGTCGGGGAGAGACGCTTGCTCTGTGGCCGACCAGGCGTGTCTGCTGCGCAGGGCCCCTTCGATGGAGTGTGTGCTGAGATGGAGAGATGCAGGGTCTGGGTCTCTCTGGCATAAAGGGTGCCTTTCGGTCGTCTTTCTGCTGGCCCATCCACGTTTCGTATTTGTCCGCATCTGTCTCTTCCTCCTTCCCACATGGCTTCCGCTCTTCTCTGCGCTGCCGTCTGGGCCGTGGCCGTGCCGGTGTCGGTGCAGGCGGCCGTGGCGCTGCAGCAGGCTCGCGCGACCGTCACGGCCGAGCTGGCGGCCGATGGCATCAGCCCGGTGCCGACGCCCGGCCCTGACCTCCGGGCACTGCTGCGACGGCAGCACAGCGCGGCCACGACGGTGTACTTTGCCGAAGACAACACGTGCGGCTTCCTGACCGGCCGCGAGGACAACGCGTACACGTGCAACGACCAGCTGGCGCAGTGCGCCATCATCACGGTCAGCCAGCTGGGCCTGATCGGCTGCTGCGACGGCCACGACTGCGGCGGCTTCCACCTCGACTGCGTCGACTTTGACTCGTACTGGAGCTCCGACGACGGCTGCGACAGCAGCTGCCAGACGGACATGCTGACGCTGAAATGGTGGGTTGGGGATGTCTTTCTATTTTTCTTTCTTTTTTTCTTTCTTCTTTCTTTCTTCTCTTCTTTCCTCTCCCTCTCTCCTCCCCGTTAACTCTTCAGCTCCGACGTCGACACCCCGTACTGCAACACGGCCAGCATCAACGGCGGCACCACCCTCCAGGTCTACGGCTACTTCTGCGATGCCCAAGACATCTCCACCGTCCAGCCCATCATGACGACCTATGCCGGTGAGGCCGACGACCGCTCCTTCTCGCCCTCTGTCCTGTCCGACGTCTCGTCGACGGACCCGTCAGACGACCCGTCCCCGAGCACCTCCACGACGCCCCATCCCTCGTCCAGTCCTTCGTCCAGTCCTGCACCCGCGACCAAGTCGGCCAAGAAGTCCAATGTGGGTGCCATTGCTGGAGGCACCGTCGGCGGCGTCGCCGCCCTAGCCTTGCTGGGCCTGGCCATCGCCTTGATCATGCGCAGCCGACGAAAGGACGTCCAGATGCAGACGCAAATGATGCAGCCACCACCACTACAGCCCCAGATGCAGCAGCAGCTGCCACCACAGCCGCCACCACCTGGCCCTTCCCCGTCTATGCAGAAGATGCCCGAGTATGCGGTCACGCCCCAGCAGCCCCAGTATCCCGGCTCGCCCGGCCTGCCGGCCTATAGCCAGCCAAACTATGCCCAGCCAATCTACACCGCCGCCGGACAGGTGCCGCCTGTTCGCACCGGCTCAGCCAGTCCGCTGTCGCCCGACTACAACCGCATGAGCAGCATCAGCGGCATGTCCACGGGCACGTCGGCCGTCGGCCCCATCAGCCCGCAGACGACCGGCCACACCATGGCCACGGTGGTGCCCAACGGAGGCGCTGGCGCGGGAGCAGGCGTGCCGCCGACGATCCATGAGGCGGGCGGCGATACGGTCGGCGCGACCAGCGATAATCACCATGGCCAGATGCATGAGCTGGCATGATAGATATAGGTTGGAAGGGGGAAGGGAGGGAGGATGTGATTGGCGACAGGCTTGCTGGACTCGTTGTAAATGACTTGAGAACTATTCATAATATTCTTACTGGCAGTAGAGATGAATGAAAGATCTGTGCAAGATGTGTGTTAATCAATGCTGTACTTTGCATCGAGGGCTCTGTACACGTTGAGCTTCGCTCTGTTTTCAGTGCTCCTGGCTCAGTTGCCTCCCTCACAACTCGTCTGGCGGCCGCACAAGACTGTTGCATCATATATACGGCGTAGATGTCTCTGCTAGTCATGTTCTTCGCCCTCAGGACGTGGCATTATTCAAGCTTTGGCTGGTCTATAGCTCTCTCAACAGATATTTATATTAAAATGCTCGCTTGTTTCACAATTCAGATATTCTTGTAATCGTATCCGCATCACAACTTATACTTATAAGTCTTGAACTTTTATCAACCCTTCACAGTTACGGCACCGACAGACTGACGCACGCCATCGTCGGTTACAGAGATCCGTCTTAAGTGAGCTCAGTGGAATTGGTGCGACAGACCCAGGCCAGATAGTCAGATGCTGGTGCGTCCACTGCTGACAGGCTCCAAGAGCACGAGACGCGGTATTGAGTCATCGTCCTGCCAGAAAGAATTTCAAGCACCATAGCTCTAGTCAGGGAAAAGACAGCCAGACGGGTGCCTAAAAAAAAGCTTCATAGCCGGCAAAGTGTGAAGGTTAAAGGAGGCTATACGTGGCGGTCATATACATCGCGACCCTTCTGGGGGTCCGTATTAATACTAGTGCCAGGTCCGCTTTTGTGCCTTCTGACCAATCACAGGCCCGTACGTTCAAGTGGGGCGGAAGGGCCACAGTGTGGCGGATTCCAATGCTTGACATAATGCTTAGTCATCTCGATAAGCTACAAAAGCTGCACAAATCGCTCTTTGAACACAAGGGTTCCACCCCGTTGACGATAATGTCGTGACACCCCATGCAAGCCCCCATTGCGACGTGCATGATCTTGATTGCCAAGACCTGGTCACATCCTGCAGCTCTCAGCCGCTTCACAACACTCGCACGGGAAAAAAAGATCGGTCTCTGCGTGCCATCGCCGACACACAGTTGGTTGTTAGATTATTGCTATCTGATCTTTTCTCTTTGGTAATTTCACGTAATTAGTATGTCTCATACGCCCATTATTAAAGTGTTGTATACAAAATGCCTCCCTGCACAAAGCTCAAGAAGTGCCCACCAGAAGACCGACATGATTCAGACCGACGACGCCAAAGCCCAATGCCTGCTATATAAATGCCCATTATTTTCATTCGCTATGAAACTGCATCATGTCGCTACAGAAGGGCAGCCGCGGCAATCGTGACGAAGAGACCGCACATCAGCCGAGATGCGCTGCCCAGAACTGCTACCGCCCCACTCTTGCTAGCCGCCGTCGTAGAGGTTGCGAGGGCAGACCCGGCATTTTCGGGCAAGCTGGCCGCCGTGGCCGTGGCCGTTGCCGAGGTCGAGGCAATGGTAGATGTGGACATTGACGACTTGGCCGTGGATTTGGTAGTTGAGGATGTTGATGACTTTGACGAGGAGGACTTGGTGGACGTCGAGGACGATTTCGATGCCGAGGATGTTGCTGAATTCGTCGTCGTCGTCCCATTGTTCCACGGAGCCAGCACGCACTCCTTCATGAGGTCGTTGTCGACGTACTTGCCGTCGTCTAGCGAGGGCGTCAGGCTGAGCACGTAGGACGTGGCGAAGTTGCCGGCGGCCCAGGCGACGAGGCCGACAAAGACATCGGAGTTCTTGTTGATGTACTCATTCTGCGCGCGGAAACGGGTCATGCAGCTGGCGTCGGAGGATGCGCCTGTCTCGCTGATGAGACCGAGACGGCCCTCTTTGCGCAGGTAGTCGGCCATCACGGTAAAGTTTCCGACGTTGTCGGTTGTGCACTCAGCATTCGAGCCCGAGTTGTCGTTGTCGAGGTACTTGTGAATGTCCAAGAGCAGATTGTCTGTGGTACCGTCTGGGTTGGTGATCTTGAAAAGGGCGTCGCCACTGCCATCGGTCGACAACGTGGCCGCGCTGTCAAAAAAGGTGCCAGGCAGCAGGATCATCTGTGTCGTGGCGCCGGCCTTGCGAATCGCCGTGACGGCGGCCTGGCACGTGTCCGCCCAGAGGCCGATGTCGAGGTCGTGCGGCTCGTTCATCAGCTCAAAGACCACCTTGGACTCGTTGGCGTACTTGGTGGCCACTGTCGTCCAGAAGTCGGCAAAGTCTTCGTTAGACGGGCCACCCTGACCGATGATCTTGTTCTCAAAGCGTGCAAAGTTGTGCAGGTCAATCATGCAGTAGGCGCCAGTGACGAGACACGCCTGCATCAGGTCGTCGTAGTTCTGCACCCGGTCAGAGTTGAAGGTGCCAATCGTGTCGCCGTCGAGGAGGAACTGCCATGAGACGGCTAGAGTGTGGCCGCTTGTGTCAGCAGAGTTTGGCGATGGCTATAAGGGGATAGGAAGGCTGGTTAAGACGCACGCAAGCGGAACATATTAAGGCCATCGTCGTCCACGAAATGCTTCATCTGGGCAGCACTATCTGCACCACCCAGAGAAGCTAGTGGCACTTCGACATTCTTAAAGGGACATATACCCTAGGAAGGTGAGAGCGGTCAGTCGAGGCTCGGCCTGGAAATGCTGTGCTGAAGCGAAGACACTCACGGTGATATCGCAGTTGAAATCGATGCCCGAAATGGCCATACCCTGAAATAACCGTTAGCGCTTATGGGCCGGACTTGGCGGGGAGAACGAGCAAGCGTCACGCACGAGGTATTTTGTCCCCGCCTGCACCGTGGCGCTGAGGCCCAGGAGAAGCAGAGGTGATCGAAACGTAGACAGCATGACGACTGAGGAGGCAATGAACACAACTTGTCAGACGAGAACCCTTCCCAGCAGCGGAAATTCGAGACGGGGAGTATTATTTTGAGACGGGTCGCCACGTAAGAAAGGGGAAGCTCGGCTGAATGAAAACGAAAGTAATGCCTGGAAAAGTGGGTATGCAATACTGAGTAGCGAGCGACGAGGCAACAAGTATTAAAAGAGACCACCACGAGACAGAAAGGACATAAGAAGCCCGAGGACAGATGATCACGGCAACGGGCCAAAAGAAAGGGGGAGCCCGACCTTTTGAAGAGGAGAAGGAAGAGGAGAGATCCAGCTCGGCGGTAGGCTAAGACGCACGTTCAAAAGCGGAAGGCACGATCAGCTACAAGAGGAAAGCATAAAAGTATGGCGGATTGATTACGAGCAATACGACCCCAAGGCGCGATGATACGAGGGCAGTTTTACACGGCCGTTTTCTCGTATTTACCCACTGGATCTGCCGATAGCAGAGTGGATCATGGCTGACACGGACAGGCATTTGGCACTGCGCCCAGCCAACGCCCCGTATACGAAATAGTATGTAAACCTGGGCAACCGCAAGTGGAAAACGGGTTCATTTCCTGCTTGCTTGGCTGGGCTTTACCCAGTCTTGGCTGTGGAATGCAGGTTTCTTTGCCATGGCAGCGGCATGGCAAGCGAGCTCGCCAAGAGGCGTCTGACAGCTGACTTCACGATGAAAGGTGTGCCACTTTCAGCATTCAGCTGTCACGTTACGATGTAGAGAGACTGCACCGCCGGAAATAAAACGCGACAGCTGTGTACGAGTAGTCATACGGAGTACTCCGTACGGAGTACTCCGTATGCTCGTATTATCCGACTAGCCCGATCTGCTCTTGCTGACGACCGTTTGAGGGTAGGCGCACTGACCTGCTTTACATGTTTTAGCGGTATGCTCCGTACTACTTACTGTATTTACGAGTACACACTGGTAGTACTCCGTACGGAGTAGCGCCTCCTGCTTGCTGACGGCCCGCTATTCCCCCCCTAGCTGGAGGAAGGATTATGCTTCTCTATCACATGGGGCAGGAAAAAGGAAGGAACTAAAGAAGAACAAATACAAAGGCTGAAGAGATTGCGGGTTAGGGCAGTGAAACATGCAAGACACAATCAAGCTCAGGAAACGCATCCAGTCTTCGGCCGTGCGCCGCCGCGCTTCGCCGGTTGAAATCGACAATGGGACAAAACCAATCGCGCTGGCCTGGAGGGCGACCGAGACATCCGCCGAGAGGCTAACAGCGCAAGGCGACGTAGGGAAATTGCGCGTCTGCTCGTATTGTCCGTACGAGTAGCTAGATATTATTAGTAGCGCTACAACGGGTAAAACTTGATCCTTTCCAGGTCAGCTGTTTTCCCAATGCATCATTGTTAACAGAGAAGTTGCCGCATTAGGTTTGTAGAGCAGTGACAGCCTGCATCGTCCTTTGTACCAGCACTGCATTCGGCGCATTGGCTTCGATGCTTGGCATCTATGGGCGCTGCATTTGCATGCTGCTGTTTTACCTTGGCAACACGTCAAGCTCACTTGCAGCAACCGGGAATGTATCGGGATTGCTTGCCCGAATTCGTTCTCGTGAACTGCCGATGACCAAGGCTGCTGCTCATACACAGCCACAATGCTTAGCCACAAGATCGGTCGGGGCGCCTCGAATTGCTGTGAAGAGCAACGATCGGCAACGAGCAATGTTGTGGCTGAAGAGCGCCATTGGTACGAAGTAGTTCATCCCCGAATGTGTTTGACAACGTTAACGCCCTTAGGTCACCAATGAGCACATGGCGGAAGAATGATAGAAGCCACTATCCTCACCATCCACTGAGCACCGCTCTTCTTCTGGTCTAGTCCTCATCGAGAACATACTAGCTTCTGTCGAAGGAGGATGGAGGACGGAAGAGGAGCCTCAACGACAGCACTGCTCCTTTTCTGCGCAATCTTGGAATATCAGCCACGCCTTTTCTGCAAAAGAAGGCCTGTATATTGGCCACGTGCCCGTCTTGACGCACGAACAAATCACGGTCGCTGCCTTTCGAGACATAGCTCTCTACATGTCGTGTACGCTGTTTGGCACGCTAGCATATCGATAACAGCGAGCTGGCGACCCTGGGGTTTGGACCAATACCGCAAAGCCTCTACCGCACGTGTAGCTGCGATGGCCCACCCATGGATCTTTTGCATGTGCCACTAGCAAATAAGCCCTTTGGTCACCCACAAGCGTTGCATTTCGTCAGAGGAAGGATTGGACAAAGTCACGCAGGGATCGGAAGAGATCTCCCAGACATACGGCAAAGAAGGAGGAGACAGAGGAGGAGAGGGAAAGTGCGTCAAGTCAGGACAGGAGGGAGGGATGAGGAGAGGACGATTTCTGGCAGGTTTGGCGCATCTCTGATGCAATCAAGCTTCGCAGCTTTCAATCAAGACTGGTGTTGGCCATATGCTTGAGTGTGCGGCACAAGAAGCCTCAGCCAATCAGCAGAATGCTTATTCCACATGCTGCAATGGAAGTACAGAAAAGGTCGTCTTGGCATCGGACTGGGGTGATGCTATAGCACGCGGCCACAGCTCCCACACGTGCAGTATGCTGCTTCAGGACGCCTCCGCTGCTGATCCTTGCTGGTTCCTTGCTGGTTCCTGCTGGCTTCCCGCCGGTCTCTGCTGGCACCTGCTGCCAGGCTTGCGCACCTCTTCCCCGGCTTCGATGGAGGGTCGCATTGGCATTCCTCTGGCTCGACTATATGAAGCAGTCAGCTCCCACCCCTTCTCCTGGTCTTCTTCCTGCCGTGCTTCTCTCTTTTTTCGACTGTCACGTCCCCGTCCAGCGTCCCTTCTCTCCCTCTTGCCTTTCGATTCAAGATGCGCTCTTCTCTGGCAGTTCTCGTGGCCGCGGCCGTTGCTGTCTCAGCCCAGACCCAGAACACGGCTACCAGTGTCTCCGCCGTCGACGCTGCCCGGGCCACTGCCATCTCGCGCAGTCCGGTCAGCCACGTCAAGGGAAAGGCCTTTGACCGCCTCGCCATCATCTGGCTGGAGAACACGGACTACACCCTGGCCGTGAACGACCGTGAGTCGTCTGGTGCTATGCGCCTCTCTCTCTCTTTCTGTCCTCTGGCTGACCGTCTAGCGAACCTGGCCTTCTTCGCCAAGAAGGGCATCACGCTGGAGAACTACTACGGCGTGACACACCCCAGTGAGCCCAACTATGCGGCTTCCATCGCGGGCGACTACTTCGGCATGAACAACGACAACTTCAACTTTGTGGACCAGAACATCACGACGCTGATGGACCTGCTGGACGACCGCGGCATCAGCTGGGGCGAGTACCAGGAGGACCAGCCGTATGCCGGCTTCGAAGGCTTCGGCTATGTCAATCAGAAGACGGGCGCCAACGACTACGTGCGCAAGCACAACCCGGCCGTCCTGTACGACAGCGTGACGCGCTTTCCCGAGCGCGCGGCCCAGATCAAGAACCTGACGGCCTTTTACGACGATCTCGAGGACGGCACGCTGCCGCAGTGGATGTTCATTACGCCCAACATGACGTCTGACGGCCACGACACGTCCGTCACCGTGGCTGGTCGCTGGGTGCGCAACTTTCTCGAGCCGCTGCTCGAGGACCGCCGCTTCATGCAGAACACGCTTGTGCTCATCACCTTTGACGAGAACGCCACGTACGCCAAGAAGAACAATATCCTGGCCCTGCTGCTCGGTGACGCTGTCCCCAAGGAGCTCGTCGGCACCGTCGACAGCAACTACTACAACCACTACAGCGAGATCTCCACGGCCGAGGCCAATTGGGACTTGCCCACCCTCGGCCGTTGGGATGTCGGCGCCAACGTGTTTCAGCTCGTGGCCGATCGGACCGGCGACACCATCCGCGAGTGGAACGAGACCGACTTTGCCGCCCATTACTTCAACAGCTCCTATGACGGTGTTTTTAACAGCGCTCCCAAGTACGGCGTCTACCCCAAGCCGGCCCTGTGCCTGGTCCACAACGAGCGCCCCGTGTCGCCGATCGTCAAGGCCACCTGGCGTGGCAGCACCCACTCGAGCTACTACAAGGACACCATCGAGAACAACGATGGCCTCAATCCGCCTGCCGGCTACGACTTCAAATGAGTCTGCAGTAGTCTGCAGAGACCGAGTGCTGGTTGTGCATGTTGTGTCCATATCGTAGAAGAGCAGAACAAATGGTTAATTGATTCCAGACGTACGATAGAAATGAAAACATGATGCAATCCGACTCCAATGTATGCAACAAAGTCCTTCGCTTCTGTAAAAAGCAACATCTGGCTACGTGCAACAATTGCATTGTAATTCCTGTTTTATTTTCTATTCTGATCCGTGTTGACCATTCACATCCAACCGATAGTTGCTAAAGAACTAAGAAAGCAGGAACAGCAGCTCTCAACATACGCAGCGTTTTCGAAGAACACAAAGTCAAAGAACGAAAGGCCCCCCAGATGTGGGGCAAAAAGAGCGACAAAAAATTTCGACAAGAACAGGATTCGAACCTGTGCGACCGAAGCCATATGATTTCTAGTCATACCCATTAGACCACTCTGGCACCTTGTCCCATGTTGTTGGAATGCTTTGTGGTGTCTCGGTATATGAGTGCAGCCCTTTTGCTCATGAACATTTCACTACCTACTCGAGATCGCGATGCTTCGCACAAGTGGGAACAAAAGCAATGCGCGAGACAGTTGACACAATAGGAGTAAACGAATGTATCTCGAAATAAATTGGCACAGCGAGAAGAGGTGTGAGTTGGGAATCATCTGAATAGCAAGCCGACAAGTAAACGATAGGAAGACCGATACCTTCTGCAATGTGCACCTCTTGGGCAGTCCCCGCACCTGTGCCGTTGTATTAAAGGTACGTCCTCCGCAGCCACGAATTGTTTTTGTAAATACTATTTAATAAACTGCAAGATATTTAGGTACACACTACGAAAGCTGTTATGCAAATCATTTGGAACCATTGAGCCCCTGTTGAAGCATTTCCTGCTCGACAGCAATTCCTGTGAATTTCCCAAGGTCACCTAACCTCGGCCGCCCGGAAGCACTAGATAAGACGAAGCCCAAATCTGCGCGCACATTGCGCACAGTCTGGTCTTTAGTCAACCACCCTACGAAATATCATCATTAGATATTCTAAACGTTAGAGCTTACTACGATACGTGCAACTAGTCCGGACGTATATCCTACAGAGATTACTATACAGGTCTTACACCGTCTTACATTGATTTTTTTGAATTGTAAAGCACTTCCTTATGAAAACAATTGAAACTCAAAATCTAACGCTATACTAAAAGCACTTCCTCGTCCTGCAATTCGTTTATATCAAGGGCCTCTGAATACATTATCCCATGCACATAACACTCTCCAACCAACTCGTAATAGACGGGACCTACGTGTACCCCCCCTCGTTTCGTTATCACAAATGGTACGCGCGATCCGCGCGGAATAAAAACACGGTCACCTGGCTTGGTTACGCCCGGCAGGATACCAACATAGCCCCGGCGGGTAATGCATACTGTCGCTTTCTGGATCCTTTCTGTGAAGGCTGCAACTGTTTTCCAGTAGCTGTTGATCGTGCGCTTCTCATGTTCATTTTTGCTTAGGAATGTCCAACCGTCTGATCCGGGTGGCACTTGCAGGATCTGGCTCTGATATCCTGCCGGCCACCTCTCGGCCGGTGATGTTGATGTTGCTAATGGCGGTGTTCCGGTCCCCTGACTAGCATCGTTTCGGAAGAAATAATTCCGGTGCTGCAACCAGACATGTGGTCCTGCGGCATCCCCTATCAGGCACCGGACAAGGATGTTGTTCCTCTTGTCCTTCCAGCTGCCCTTGCTCGTACTTGGGTCCCAGTGAGGGTATCCATTTAGGGGCGAGAGGATGTTGTGGAAGTCTCTTAAAGTGTTGCTGAAATGTATAGATTTGCTATCAATATGCATCCCACAGGTCTGGACCGTGTCGACCAGTCTTCCCATAATGGCAAGAACAGGTATGTCATAGTTTTGGGTCGACAACAGGGATGTCGGAGGCACTTCCAGCACGTAAGCCTGAGAAGGGAATCGATCCGCGCAGAATGCGTGCTGTTCGGCGCCAGACACCTGGATCTCACTACTGCACGATGATGGACCGGCAGCGCTCCAGCTTGAGATTGTGGGTGCGTAGCGAAGCTGGTTGTGCTCGTTGAAAAAGTCTGGTATCCAGGTGCAGAAGCGGCTGCTTCGGCCGCTACCGGCATGATGCAGCAGGTTAAGAGCGTGGTTGTCCTCAACGAAGGCCTTAGCGTACCTTGACAGTATGACAACATCATGGTTGGGGTCCGACAGATTGCTGTAGTCAGGATAGAAGCCCTCCTTGTCCACCGTTGTATCATAAGCCAGGTTGAGTAGGGAAAAGAGCCGGTCCCGTTGGTGTGTAGATTGGGCGTAGAAAAAGAGCTCTATAAGCTCAAGAAACGAGTACTTGAGCCCTCCGCCTCTTCTCCCGGACTGTACCGGTGTCCTCCCATTGTAGTACCGTCGAGTTGCGTTTAGGGCCAGAGCCGCGTCTGCATGAATGTTCGGGAGACGTTGCCCACTTGAAATCACACCGCCTATAAAAGTCTGCCACGGGAGCTCCGAGACATTCGACATTATGACCACCTGCGATCCGAATACGAGCTCCTGGATGGTCCATGCGCGCGTGAACCATGGACACTCAAGCAGGGCATTTATGCGCGCTGCGTCTTCGCGTGGTGGGGAGTGGAGAGTATCGGAAGACGTGTGAATTTCTGCGTTCTGCAGCTGGGACATCTTGTTCCACTGGTCGAGAGATTGGAGGGCACCACAGGTCTCAGAAGTCTCGTTTCCGGCCCATATCACCACCTTGTCAGCCTTGCTGTAGAAGATGCCCATGCGCCGCACCTGCATCGCTTTCTCAATGTCATCCTTCTGGTTGATGCAGATAGCATCAGCCCATACCGGAACCCTGTCTCCTGTAACCCGATGGCGGGCCCGAAGCTGCTTCAGACAAGCCCACAGGGAATCGGTGATGGGCATTGCAGTTCCGTTCACCTCGATCACGTGTCCGTCTTTGGTCCCCCAGACGTACGAGATGGCCCAAAAGCGCGTCTGAGGTGGCTGGAGCGCTAAGCAAACCAACTTGGCCCTCAGAGGTGCGTTGTCCTTGTCAATGTTGTCGGCCGCCTCGTTGTCGATCTCTAGCTCGAGCAGACGGATGTGCTTTCCGTCAACCGGGAGATCCCTATAGATGTCTGTCCCGGAGGCCCCCAAGTCGGTTATTGCACGGCTCACCTCCAGCAGAGCAGGGGTGTCCAGCTGAATACTACCTACATACGCTGCTGTCGGCTCAAGCGTGATGTGTCCTCGTTCGTGGAGACCCCAAGGGTCCACGTACAAGGCTATTCCCGGATCGTTGTTAAGGACGGAGAATACGCGAGCTATAATATAAACGTCGCTGTAGTCGGCTTGGAGACGCATAAGTTTGGCCTAAAATACAAAAGAAAACGAGATAGACGGTAAGCCCCCGTACACGAGATAAGAAAAGAGCACGGGGACAATATAAGACAGGAAAGTGGAGGGAAGCAAACCTTCATATATTGAGATATGGATAGTTTGAATAGGGCGTCGCGGCCAGCGTTCGTTGCGCAGACCTGGATGTGGAAAGTGCAAGAGTCGGGGAGGAAGTCATCGCCTAGACCATTCTTTTGCATCACAGCGGCTCTAAGCTTTCCACGGCCCTTTTCCTGTATCCGGAATGTGGAATCATCCGCCCGGTAAACATACACCCCATGTCCATGCCTTTGCCGCATAGGACTTGTCCAATCCCTTTCGGGGTTGTACGATTCCGAATCAAGAAACGAGGTAAGAAACCGCGACACCTGCAGAAAGTTTAGTACCGCCTGACCATCGGCAAAACTATAATAGAATAAAAAAAGAAAACTTGCGTATAGCTCTCCGTAATACGTTGTGTCTTTGGTGTTTCCTCCTCTGAATATCATATACGAGGAGGGTGTTGAGAACACACCCTGGCTCATGCTCATGAAACCTCGTTCGGATGTTTCAGAACTTCTCCTTTGTAGGTCTGCCTTGTCGTAGTCCTTAGCTCCGGTTCCCATCCACGGGATATAGTCTTCCGAAGAACTGGGAGATTCTGATCCTGATGATACAGATCGAAGTTTTTCAAAGCCACGTTTCTGGTCTTTAATGAACAGTGCATTGTCCTTTTTGCCGCCTGGCTGAGCTATATCATCTTCATTGAGGATCACCTGATCTAAGCTCGCAATCTGTTCACAGGGTGCTGAAGTTTCGATCAAGTCTGTAAGGAAAAGGGGGGTTAGCTCTGTCTTGATCCCCCCTATTGTCATGGTCGCATAGGAACTCGGATCGGTCTCAATTGCTGCGTTCGGTGACTTTATCGTTAGCCGTCTTCCAGACCCTCTTAGTTTTGATTTTCTTATTTCCCCCCAGCCGTTGCTTCTCATATGTGATGATCCCCTGGCCTTTTTTTGCTTTACTTTCTTTCCTTTCTCTTCATTGCTGGCTTTCTTCTCGTTCTTTTTGTTCGTTTCGTCCTCTGTGCTCTCTGCATCCTCTGTTTCCATTGAATCCTCTGTTGTGGTTGTTAGACCTGCATTTTCCAGTTTTTCCAGTTCCGGTCTTTCTGCCTGTGGTTTGCCATAGTTCGACTCGGCATATCCATTTTCATCGTCATTTACACCACACTGCTTTAGGTCTAGCTCAATAAGCTTCAGATTGTTTTGGGTTAGTATCTGTGCGAGCAGTGCAATTTTCTGGGACTCCCATATGCCGCAAAACTCGGCTAGAAGCTGAATCAGCTGTGATGGGACAAATCCCTCTGCGAGGGCGCCGTATTCGTTGATCATGTGAATGACTAGGCTCTTTTCGTCGTTACTCTGGTCCTTGATGCTAAGTGCCACTTGGCCATCGGTTAGGCGACTGTAGATTATCCGGCCAGACAAGCGCAGGCCCCACAGCAGTCTAATTTTCTCCGCTTCGAGTACCTCAATATTTTGCAGCATCTTCAATGTGGTGGCTTTGCTTCTTGCGGTTTTGGTCGGAGTCGAAATTAACCTGGTTTATGGATGTTTAGCCATATGACTACAAAGCCTCGACGACCAACAGACATCCCAAGCTTAACATACCTTGAAATATACAGAGCCTTAGTACAAATGCTGCTTGTATAGTTGTCAAGCCGTTTGCCACCCTCAATTTTGGTCGAGCAACCGGTTATCGATGGAGAAATGAAATGGCTTTTGAGATCCAATTTTTGGACTAACTCTGGAATTTTTTGGAAAATTTCAATCCGGAAGAATGACATATTCACTATCCCCAGGAAGGCCTCATGAAAGTGTGGCAGATCTGCAATGCACCACGAGTCCGATGCCGCCTTCAGCACTACATCAGCGTCACTAGATCCACCTTTCGGGATAACCGGAAACATTGGGCAATCCCGAAAGTCTGGTGTGTGAGATGAGGGCGTAGCTCTTCCGTCCAGTTGGTGAGATATAGTTTTCAGCACAGAAAGGACGTGACCGAGGTTGGAAGGGTGGAGATGTTGGGCTTCCATCTCTAACGTTTTGAGATTCGCATCTGAAATGTCCAACACTTTTCGGAAGAGAACGTCCTGATCAATGTAAAACCCCCACAGACGGGGAACGTGATGAAGACATTCCGGCCCCTGCCAAACCAAAGACTGGCTGCTATGCCACGTCCCTTCACCAAGGCCGGAGAGATTTTGGGTAGGGACGTATATAGAGTCTGCTTCGCTAAAAACCCTTCTGTTTATTCATTTCTCAACAAAACATCCCACAAGTGCTCGAGGTTTTGGGCGGAGGAGGAAATGCATTGAAATAGGAACTTGAAAAGGGCATACCTAATTGTTTCATCGTCCTTTGTTCTTTTCAGGCTGGACCTTTGTAGCCCCTGATACAAATCCTTCATTTGTTGGTGGGTTACTTTGGTACCGCGTATGTTGCGCAGATGATTGATGAACAAGTTTGTGTCAGAAGCAACGACAACACCAAAACTGCGCAAAAAGTCCCAGCTTTTCAAGCCGGGATCTTGGATACAAAGAAACCTATCAACAGGGACGGTTTCCCCATATGGCTGCTCTTGACGGTGACGCAAGTTGGATTTGGCGAAGGAGCATATCTCACATTCTCCTGTTAAGTTTTCGCAGGGCCTAAAAGATTCCATGTTACAGAGTGCGAGGAGGCCTTCTGTCGGCAAATATGTCCTCTGAAGCTCCACCTTAAGCCCGCCATGGCATAGAAATCTCTTCTTAGATATGAGAAGCCTTAGCCGCTTTCGATTATCACTGTTCAGTGATTTTGGCGCATCCTGTTTTGATATATCTGAAACAGCTTTTGACGTGGAAGGCGCGGTCTCTTCTTCAACGAACCAGGAAGAGTAGAACATCCAGCTGTCACGAAGGACTGTCAGTGCCGCCTGTGGATTCGTCTTTAAGAGAGCCTCGAAATCTGCGTGAAGCACAAACTGGCCATCGCTGGACGGTGTGGCGATTCGGAGCACTCGTCTCATACCAAGTTTGTTCAAAAGCCAATGATGTCCATGATGCAGCCTTTTGAATGTATCCACATATTGGTGGTGGATGAACTTGATAGAATGTACATTTGTATCATACAGCTTCGATACAAGCTCAATGGAATCCTGGGTTTCGTGATCGTTTTTGAAATAGAGAAGAGAGATGGGGTACTTTCCGCCGTCCTCTGCAGAACACCACAGGTCGGGCACCTTGTCTAGCGATGGCGGTTCCCAGCTAGCTTCGAAAAGGAAGACAATAAATGAAACCATTTCCTGCACGTCTAGGTTCTGAATGAACGAAAAGATTGTGGCTTTGAATTCGATCAAATGGCAAAGCATTTTCATTGTAGCCTTTTTTGCCCCAAGCCTCTGAAAGAGTAGAAAGCGATTGGCGCTGCTCATTCCCAGCCCGCCTAGGTCAATCTCGCCCACTTTGGATATCCAAGTTGGAAAGGGATATCTGGTTTTGTCGGTCATATAATAGAGAAACCCGAATTCGGACGATACCCAGTCCCCGTTCCTCAGGGGTATCAGATCCAGACGTCTGATTGTGGTCCAAAGATCTGATGGGACATAGAGGAGTGTCTCGCTTAGGCGATCGTGCCACGCTGAAGGCATTTTCTGGTATTCCGCTCGGGCCTTGGATATAAACTGCTCTAGGTGTGCCAAATATTGGGCACTGGATAATGGACAGATGCCGAGCCTTTTAAGATTTTCTCTAGCATCGACTGGATAGGATTCAGAAATCAATTTCCATGGGGAGTATTTTGAGGGAAGCAATATATCTCCGTTTTTGTCCCGGAAATCTTTTGGAACGAGCCGCAGCTGCCCAGGGCATAAAAACCTCCCCCTGAAATCTTGAAGAATTCTTTCACCGGAAAGGGCTTCGACTGTTTTCTGGGCAAAACTGCGAAATAGTTTCGCTTGTGGCTCGTGAAAAGGGAGCAATCGAGGCCACGTGTATTCAAATTCTTGCCGTAGACGAAACTGGCCAGCTGCAGCCGCAAAGGCCTGGGGAATCATTGCCGCGAGTTCCTTATTCCACTCGGTATCCTGGATTTCTTCACGACTTCCCACAAGGGTAAAATCTGCATGGATGACGAACTAGATTCTCATGCTTAAATTGTTGATTCGATGATGGCCTTGCTTTTTTCAAACATATATAAATATATATGTAACGGAACTTTTTGCTTACCTTGAAGCCGTATGTTGAGATCGGCAGAAAAGCGTACGTAGATTTCGTTGGAAGGTTTGTAGCGGCTGGGACATTGCTAGGAAAGGCAAGGATAATATCGGACATGGTCCCGAAACGCTCAGATGTGATTGGGAGCTCTGTCACTCGGTAGCGGAAAACGACGAAGGACTCTACGTCGTCGTCTTTATAGACTCTCACCGGAGTCAGTATGTTAAGCAATCTCGGGATTGCGTCGACCCGGAGCTTGGTGTGCCATGCTGTGTCTTTATGCCCCTGGGTGCAGTCTTCAATTTCGATGCGTTTGACCTTTCTTAGAAACAGGAGGTCTAGAGCCTGCAGGGCTTTGAGTTCTTCGACCAGAGCCTCCAGAGTATCTGCTCTGTCTCGAATAGGGATGTGCAAAAGTTTGGCGGTGAAACCATCTGTCTTCAGACCGGGAAATTGGGTGTCCCAGATAGGCTGGATCTGTCCCACCGGAGTCTCCCCGTCAAAGCGGAACGAGTAGTGCCCAGAACTGATCCACACTTTGTCAGCAGCAAGAAAAACAGATTTGAATCCAAGACCCTTCTCGCCAATCGACCTCTCTGTCGTGGCGGTGGCCGAGGCTGCTGGCATTTTCTTGCTCTTGGTACTTTCAGCTGCGCTACAAATTGACTCCACGTCGGCCTTGGTGAAGCCAATCTCATTAGACTCAATGAGAAAAGTCCGATTTGTCGTATCATAACGGATGCACACCCGGGGTACGTTACCGCCATAGGAGGCATCGTCGGCATTCTGGAGAAGCTCATAGATGAAATGGGTGCTTTTGCTGTTCTGTCCTTTGCTCGCCCTTTATTGTTGTTAGGCGTCGCTTGCCTCCGAAAACTCTGGAATTATAGGGGATAGGGAAGCTGTGGCTGATATTTACTCACAGATTAAGGAGACCTTGAATCATTCCATCACCGACATATTTCTGTTTTTTGTACCAGATAAAATCTATGTGTTTCTTGGCGTCCTCTGGGCCATTGGGGAACTCGGTCTGCGTCGAGCCTCCTGCTAGAGGTGAACGAGATGACGCCGCTTGTGACGGGATTCTTGTGGCAAATGATGGTGGACTTTGGAAGTCAGGCATTTTACTGAAAAAGCAATGTGCAGATATTGTCTGAAGGTAGCATATGCCTGTGTTGTCTTAATGACCCTGCTTTGGTTTGTAGTTTAAAGAAATTTACTATTTGTTACCCTCAGGCAGGGTTGGGCAGCATTACAAACTAACTCTATTAGCCCAGCCTAATAATGTATTTGCCAGCGGACCAATAAGACATCAAACATATATAAGGCGCAGAGGTGTGGGATTCCGGAGGTCGCCTAACCTCCGCCCGAAATCATACTATGTAGTGAGCTGCCGCCATGATCACGTGACGGCGCACGTCACTTAACGCGAGGAGCCAAACGCGACGCGTTCCAAAGCTTCAAGGGCCCAATTCTTCCAGAGCTGGCCAAACCGATCTCTCGTACAACCGTCCAGGCCGCAGCACGCAGCGCACAGCACCCAGCACAGCAATCACCATGTCGGACGTTGAGGATGCGATGGAAGTTGATCCGCAGCCGCGGACCGACGTCACGTTTTCAGCCGCAAGCTCCAAGGGCAAGCGAAGCACGGCAGCGAACCTGCCGGTCGAGGCCGAGGATTCGCTCCCATGGTAAGTGAGTAGGTGCTGTTGGGGATGGGAGTCGTGCAGCACCCAAGGAAGACGGCAGCAGACAAAATGGCTGACGGGCGGGTGCTTCCGGGCGACAGGGTGGAAAAGTACCGGCCGGTCTCGCTGGACGACGTGTCGGGCCACCAGGACATCCTGGCGACGATCAACAAGTTTGTGGACTCGAACCGGCTGCCGCACCTGCTGCTGTACGGGCCGCCGGGCACAGGCAAGACATCGACAATCCTGGCGCTGGCGCGGCGCATCTACGGGGCGGAGAACACGCGGCAGATGGTGCTGGAGCTCAACGCGTCGGACGATCGCGGCATCGATGTGGTGCGTGAGCAGATCAAGACGTTTGCGTCGACGCGGCAGATCTTTGCTGCCAGCAGCGGCCCGGCGCCGTCGCTGGCGCGCTACAAGCTGATCGTGCTGGACGAGGCCGACGCCATGACCAACACGGCGCAGATGGCGCTGCGCCGCATCATGGAAAAATACACGGCCAACACGCGCTTTTGCATCATCGCCAACTATGCCCACAAGCTGTCGCCCGCGCTGCTCTCGCGCTGCACGCGCTTCCGCTTCAGTCCGCTCAAGGAGGCCGATATCCGCGTGCTCGTCAACAAGGTCATCGCCGACGAGGACGTCAAGATCATGTCGGAGGCCGCTGACGCCCTCGTCACCCTGAGCCGTGGCGACATGCGGCGCGCTCTCAACGTGCTGCAGGCCTGCCACGCATCGAGTGAGTGGCCACCAGGCGTGTGGCATAAGGTGGACGTCCAAGAACACAGCTGACTGGCCATTTCTGGCTCCTAGGCACCCCCCTTCTCCCAAAAGACGCCCCCAAGACGGACATTGTCCGCGAGCTGATCACGACCGAAACCATCTACAACTGCATTGCTGCACCGCCGCCCGATGCCATCCGCGAGATCCTGCACACCCTGCTAGAGACTAGCGACGTCACGTCGTGCCTCGACACGGTCAATGCCCTCAAGGTGGCCCGCGGTCTCGCCCTGGCCGACATCATCACCGCCCTCGCCGAGGAGATCACAAAGGTCGAGGCTAGCCCCAAAGTCATGGTCACGTGGCTGAGCGGCCTGGCCGAGATCGAGCACCGCGTGGCTGGCGGTGCCGGCGAGACCGTCCAGACGGGTGCGCTCGTCGGAGTCATCCGTAGCGGCTGCGAGCTGATGGGCCAATGAAGAGTTTAGACAGACAATGAACGATTCACGGTTTACAACACTCGAACCATGAAGTGCAAGCTGATGCAATGCCAAGTCTATCACCTATATCTAAAGGATCCGCAAACCTTTCCATATACAACATTTTACATTCGTCAAAAAGAGCCGTGTTCACGCCTCGATCTTGGACTTGACCCAGTTCTCCAGGCCGCCACAGGCAATAATCTCCTGCACGTTGGGCGGCAGCTCGCCGACCTTTTGCTCCCACTTGGCGCCGTCCTTCTCGGTAACGACGACCTTGGAGCGGCGGACGTCCCAGCAGATGGTCCAGCCGGTGCGGCGGGTGAGCGGCTTCTCGGCCGCGTCCTTGTATGTCTCGCGCAGCCGCTGGACCAGGCGCGGCACTTCGACGCCCATGAGTGCGTTGTTGATGCTGTTGCGGCTGAAGATGTTGCCGAAGCTGCCGGCGACGACGAGTGGAATTTGCTTCGCCAGGATAGCCGTGGCCGCCTGTTCGCGCGAGGAGCCGCAGCCAAAATTGAAGCCGCTGACGAGAATGTCGCCCGCCCGCGCCGTCGTCCGGAAGGCTGTGTCGTAGTTCTCCATGCACACCTCGGCCATAGTCTCCTTGGACACGCCGTCCTGGTACGTGTACTTGCCTGGGTAGATGCCGTCCGTGTTGATGTTGTCGGCGTCGCAGAACACGATCTCGCCCTCGATCTTCTCGGGGAAGCCGGGCAGAATGTCTGTCAGGGTCTCGTCCTCGGCAGCGGCGGCAGGAGAGGATGAGCTGCTCGTCTCATCCGCGACAGAGCCCTCGGCCGCCGCAATTAGGCTCTCGGCCTCGTCAATCAGCCGGTCCAGCGCATCCTCGACGGACCGCGTCTGGTCTACCACGTGATCACCGCTGCCCTCGCCGATAATCACCTTTTCCACGCCCTCGGGCTTCTGGTACCATCCTGGGCCGGCAATCGTGCCCTGGAGAGCGCTGGCCGCCACCACCTCGGGGCTGGCGAGGTACGCCTTGGAGGACGTGGAGCCCATGCGTCCCTTGAAGTTGCGATTGCTGGCGCTGATACCGACCTCGCCGGCTTCGAGCAGGCCGGTTCCAAGACCAATACACGGGCCGCATCCCGACGGCAGCGTTAGGGCGCCGGCCTCCACAAGCACCTGCCAGTCACCAGCCTCCTCAGCAATCTGTTGCTCGAGGATGGAGGCCGCGGCAATGTAGAAGCGGACACCGGGAGCGACCTTGTCCGGCTTGCCGTCCTTGGCAGCATCACGGAAGACGCGGGCGGCGGCAGCGATGTCGGAAGCGCGCGAGTTGGTGCAGGAGACGAGGTAGGCCTTGTCTAGGCGGATAGCCTCGGCCTCGAGCGTCTTGAGCGGCGTGGCGATCTTGACCGAGTTGGGGCCGGCAACAAAGGGCGAGAGGGTCGACAGGTTGAGGTAGAACTCCTTGGCATACGTCGCTCCTGGGTCAGCAACGAGACGGTTTGCGGCCATTTCATCAATGCGCTCGTGGTTGATGCGCTCCTGGAAAGGGCTCTTGAGAATGGCCGCCGCTGTGGCCTTGGTATGGTACCAGTCGATAAGCACGTCGTCAACGGGGAACAGTCCTGATGAGCGGTCAGCGTTTGTGAGCGTCTAGCTTCCGCCGAACGTTTGCGTCCTCATCGCCTTACCAGTCAAGGCACCCCATTCGGTCGTCATGTTGGCAATGGTCAGGCGATCATCGACCGGGATGCTGCCCATGCTGAGCTCGGAGCCGGTGAACTCAATGGCGTGGTTGAGAACCTCGTCCTGGTTGAAGAGGCCGCAAAGAGCGACGATCACGTCTTTACCAGTGACGCCGGTCGGCAGAATGCCGGTAAAGGTGATCTTGGCGATGGGCGGGATCTGCCACCAGGTCCGGCCAGTGGCCCAGATGCTGGCGGCGTCGGTCCGGACAACAGCGGTGCCCTGTACAAAACATTAGGGCGAGTGATGGCAATGTCTAAGAAGAGACACTTACGAGACTAGACACAGCTCCGTACATGTTTGAGTGGCTGTCACTCGCGACGGTAACCGTGGACGGCCAGGCGTATCCTTCTTCGACCATGATCTGGTGGCCAATGCCCCGGCCTGCAGGGTAGAACCGCACGCCGTGCTTGCCGGCAAACTCCTCGATCTGGCGGTATTTCTTCAGGTTGGCTTCCGTCTTGTTCTGCACGTCGTGGTCGAGCGTCATGACCACCTGCCGGTTGTCGTGGATCTTGGTGGCACCGATGCCCATGAACTTGACGGCCACAGGCCAGCTGTTGTCATGCGTCATGCAGTGGTGCGGGGCCAGCGTGACATAGTCGCCGGACCTGACCTTCTTCCCGGCTGGCAGGCCGATGGAGTAGCGCTGGACGATCTTTTCTGTGAGAGTCTGGGGATGTGCGGCCGCGGCCGTCTTCTGGGAGGCGTGGAGGAGGGCGGCGGCATCGGGCGTGCTCACGAGCTGTGACTGGAAGGCCGACAGCTGTCGTCGGCGACTGGTCGATGTGTAGGCACGCAGCTGCGCCGCAGACGTCGAGAGGATTCGAGAGCGGGCGAAAAAGGTCTGTGAGTGCAGCCGCAAGGCGGCGGCAGCCGTGGGAGCAATCACCCTCCGCTGAGACAGATGTGAGTCGAGGTTCAGGGGTGAGGTCGTGATTAACATACAAGTGCAGCCATGACCGATAGGATCAGTCGTTAATGAGAGGCACGAGACCACTGCAGGAGGAAGGCAATGTTGTAGATAGCTTCATATTCGCTGCGACTGCCGAACGCGGAGCCCCATTGAAGTTTTTTTCTCGCGGGGAAGGCGCATTGGAGAGACATGCAATTGGGGGCTCGTGATTGGTTGATCTTTGATCACGTGCCGTGGCCGATCATGAGCTTGCAGACGGGAGAGGGTCGAGCATTCAGGCTGCACCACATTGCACGCACAGGCGTCCCCAACTCGCACTCGATATGGAGGTAGCCTCGCTTGCTGCAACGCTATGACTAAAATCTTCATCCTTGCACGACCGGAATACAACCAGACAATCAAGCAGCTATCAGCCACGGCGAGTCCACGTGGATTTGCGACTTGTACGATTCCGGAGAAAGCAGCCGGGGAACAGACAGAAGATAAAGCTAGTAGCCGAGGCATTTCTGACAAGGATGACGGCGAGTCCGAGCAGCGATAACTCATACGCAGGTCCAGTGCCTGATTGCCATGGTCACCGAAGCCCCGGCCCGACCGGGAAGAAGAAAGGACTGGCAGCGAGACAGGCACCAAACCAATGAGAAAAGGCACCCCACGTGCAGATTTCGTCTTGATCCGACGTTGTGCTCCAACGACCAATCTGGAAAAAGTCCCCCTGCAAGCCAGGCAGGCTAACCAGAAGAAAGCAAGGCGCCGACCAAGACAAGGAGCTCATTATCTCTGGACGGTCGGTTCCACCGTTCAAGGTGTGATTGGCAGATGGAGCTCCCCGTCGAGATGCGTGAATATTGAACTATCGATGGCCTGTGTACAAATAGTCGGCAGGCGAGCTGGTTCGTGCTCGGGTTGTCTGTCTCTGCTCGTCCACACGCGATTCTCTGTCGTCTGTTCCTCCTCTTTCCACCCCCCCTCTCTCCCTCACGATGAAGGTCGAGACGATGGCGATGATGGCCGCGCTGGCAACGTCCGCTCTGGGCAGCTCGCCGGTGACGGACTACAACGTGTACTCGCGGTACTGGGGTCAGCTATCGCCGTATGCGTCCAACGCGGACGACCTGTTCGGGGTCAACGACGTGGGCGTGCCGGCCGGCTGCGGACTGGAGCAGGCACACCTGCTGCAGCGCCACGCGCAGCGTTTCGGCACGGGCGAGTTTGACGATGCGCCCAACGACGCGACCTTTGGCGACCGCGTGGCATCATGGCAGGCGCGCCGGGCCAAGAGCACGCGCAACAGCAGCTGCTCGGCCTTTTCCGGTCCGCTCGCCTTCCTCAACCAGTACTCGTACACGCTGTCGGAGAGCGTGCTGACCGGCATCGGGGCCACGACCGAGTTCAGCAACGGCGTCGCCTTCTGGAACCGCTACGGCCGTCTGCTCTACGGCGCCGTGCCCGGCCAGGTGGCCTACAACGGCAGCTTCACCAACGGCACGGCCAGGCCGAAGCCGGTCCTTCGCACCACCAGCCAGAGCCGGATCCGGAACTCGCAGATCAGCTGGTCGCTCGGCTTCTTCGGTCCCAGTTTCAGCGCCACGCCCAACCCGATGCTCGACGGCTGGACCGACGCCTTTGACGTCGTCGTCATCACCGAGGGCGGCACCGAGAACAACACGCTCGCCGCCTACGACAGCTGCCACGACGACACCATCGAGCCGGTCATCGACATCGGCGACCAGGACCTCTGGGGCTACCTGTCCATCTACCTGGCCGCTGCCACCAAACGGCTGCAGCCCTTTGCGCCCGCTGGCTTTGTTCTCACCGTCAACGACACGTACGCCATGCAGAGCATCTGCGCCTATGAGACCGCCTACATTGGCGAGTCGCCCTTCTGCAACCTCTTCACGCTCGACGAGTGGGCCGGCTTCGAGAACACGCTCGACATCGAGTACTACTACGACTACACCTACGGGAACCCGACTGGCCGTGCTCAGGGCATTGGCTACCTCCAGGAACTCCTCGCCCGTCTGACCAACCAGCTGATCTACTCGAGCAACTCGAGCATCAACGCCTCTCTGACCAACAACGAGCACGACTTCCCCCTCGGCCGTCCTTTTTACGCCGACTTCAGCCACGACGACATTATCGTGTCCGTCCTGACTGCCATGTCGCTCGATTACTTCCGCGACCCGCCCTCGCTGTCCCAGTGGCCGCCCAACCCCAACCGTGCCTTTGTGCTCTCGCATCTGACACCCTTTGGCGCCCATCTGGTCACCGAGGTCTACGGCTGCGCTGATGCTGATCCCACCGCCGTCACTGCCCACCAGACCCTTTACAAGCTCTCGGACACGGGCTACAACGCCTCGGCCGCCCCCCACAAATTCGTCCGCATGCGCCTCAACGAGGGCATCCTGCCGCTGAACACCGTTCGCGGAGGTGCCTGCTACGGCCGCACCGACGGCCTTTGTGCTCTCGACTCCTTCCTCGAGAGTCAGGCCAACGCCACCGCCATGGCCAACTACCAGTACGCCTGCTTCGGCAACTGGACCCTGGCCGATCCGTTCAGCGGCGCCGACTACGATGGTACCATCTTTGAGTAGTGGGCCAGACGGTTGGTGATATGAAAAATGAGCTTATTCTACTTTGTTACCATTTCCTATTATAGTAGTACTAGTACTCCGTACATATGCATATCGATATATCAGACACATATCCTACAGCTCTTCTCTGTCTACCGTACGTCGGGCGTCCTACTTTGTTCTCTTTCCATTGATTATGCGGTCGGTGAGAAGGCCTCCGGCGGCGGCCTCGACGGCGTGCCGCTTCGACTTTACGTACGGGTCCTTGTCGCGAGCGGTGTCGATCACAGCAGCGCCCAGCGCCGCTGTGGCCACCCGTCCGCCTTTGCTGCCGCTGGTCCATGACCCTGGCTCGTTACGGACGCGGAAGGCCTCGATGGCACCGGCCAGCAGCGCTGTCTTGACCACGTGGTGCATCTCCTTTTCGTTGCGCTGATCGGAGATGGACCGCTCGCTGCTGCGGCTTCGGCGGCTTTCGTGGTCCTCGTGGCCCTCGTGGCTGCTCCGGTGGGTTCGTGGCCTGGAGTGTGACCGCGAGTGCGACCGTGAGTGCGACCGTGAGTGCGACCGCGCATGTCTCGGCCGCGAGGGTGACCGCACATATCTCGGCCGTTCCGGCGACGTGTACCGGTCCACAGACGTATACCGTGTCGTGAGTGCATACTGATCCTGGTCACGATCATGGCCATGGTCGTAGCTGCGGCTCCGGCTCCGGCGATGCTCGTGGTGGCTGTGTGATCTTTGACTATAATCGTATTCGTCCATGATCACTGGTTGTGTTTTTTTTTGTTGGCTTTGGCTTTGAAAATTGCTTGTCAGAGAAGCAGGAAAAGACCCCAGTATGGACTCGCATGCATTCCGTGCTCATCTATATATACACGTATAAGTGCCAAGTGCCGGTGGCAAAATACAAATCCGGTGCTTCCCGTGAGGTGCGTCAGCTGATGCAATATCTCGATTCTGGCAGCTTCGCACCCGACGTGACGTAATCGTGCATGAAGGCCAGTCCGCCTTGGTCGACGATGTGACGGTCTTAATAAAGAAGTACGGCGGCACAGCCGGGTTTGCCCAAAACGGCCCCTCCAGAGCTGTCACGTTGCATGTGGCCAGCAGGCATTCACGTAAGCGTTGTGCAGTAGAGGCACACCTCCGGCTACGTGAAGGGGGCATCGCACACGGGCAGATAACTGCGGGCACAGAAATTCAGACAAACTTGATTCCGAACCTTGTGACCTCTACAGAAGTAAGCTTACGGGACTATTTCTTGGAAACGACTTTTGTCGGGCACTCAGCTGATTTGCCCATATATCATGACAATAGGATGACTGTTATAGGGGTGTGACCAAAGCGTCCACCAGACCAGTACTCTTGGGCGTATTGCACTTGTTAAGTGGGCGGTAACAACTATGCTAAACCCTGGTTGTAATCTGGAAACAGGTGGTAGTTCTGAGAATATACGTTGTGATTCAAATGAATCCCGCTTGAATATACAGAAAATACAAGGAAGTTGACCTCTGTCATCACACAAAAGCACTTTTCAGTCCTGCATCCCATGTATATCTGGGCCTCAGAATATATGATCCCGTGCACATGGCCTTCCCACCAGTTCGTAAAAGGCGGGGCCGGCGTATCTCACCTCATTTCATTACCACAAATTGTACGCGTGAACCGCACCGGATTAGAACACGGTCGCCTGGCCTGGCTACGCCCGATAGGATGCCAACATAACCCTGGCGGGTGGCACACACCTTTGCATCCGTAACCTTCTTGTAAAGGCTGCAACGAACTTCCGATAGCTGCTGATCATGTGTTTTTATCTTCTGTTTTGTTTAGGAAGTCCCAATTATTTATTTCGGACTGCTTGCAGGACTTGGCTCTGATATCCTTCTAGCCAATGCTTAGACGACTAAATCGGGACGTTGATCGACGTTGCGTTGGAAGAAAGCATATATGTGCCGCGACCGGATATGTGGTCCCGCGGGTTTGTTACTGTGATGCTTTGCTGCTTACGATTAGCTTAACTCTTTATGTTTATGCTTTATTAAATAAAACATTGTATTTAGATATATATATGGCTAAAAGAACCGATCTTAAGAACCGAAAAAGGTGATAGCCCAAAGAAGAGGCATGCTAAAGGGTGTTCGACTGTTTATACAGGTTAGGACGACAATAATAAAGCCGTTATAGCAGATCTAGTAAATTTTCTTGCACCGGCTCTGCCAATTAAAAAAGAAAAATATAAAAAAGCAGACTCTTCCAACACACTAAAAGAACATCCTCTTCGCTCGTTCATATCAATAGCCTCGGAACACGAAAAATTATTTCCGCACACATAGCATTCTCTAACCAGCTCGTAATAGACAGGACCCCGCTTCTAAAGCCACTGCTCTTCGTCTCCATCCGTACCTTCCCGTTTCATTAGTACAAATGGCACGCGTAAACCGCGTAGGATAAAATCACGGGCACCTGGCCTGGCTTCGCCGGGCACGATGCCGGCATAGCATCGGCTTGTGTTGCAAACAGTGCCATCTGAATCCCGCCTATGTAAGCTGCAATGATGTCCCGATAACTGTTGATTACACGTTTCTTATCTTTTGTTTTGTTCCTGACATTTCACTCGTTCAGCCGGGGTGCAGCTTGCAGGACCTGGCTCTGGTATTCCTCTCCCAGTTCGGCAGGTGCTTTTGGTGCTGCTGATCGTGCCTTCTAGCCTATTTATTAACTGAAATCGGTTTGAAAGAAAGCACCCCGGTACTCCGTACTGCAACCTGATATGTGGCTATGCAGCGTCTCCCGCCAGGCACCGGAGAAGTATGCCATTTTCTTGATCCTTCGAGCTACCCCCAACAAGTAATCGGTAGTAGCTAGGACGAAGCTTGAGGGGGCTCTGACGGATGCTGGGCTATCACATTTTGTAGGAAAACAATTGAGGTAGCTCCTACTCCAAAGTGTAGAGATGTAGTTGTTTAAGGGAAGGAACGAGGGGGGTGATGGTACGACGTGAGGGAAAGAGCCACTTTCAGTTGCTCCCTCGCTCTTTCCAGTAATACCAAGATGAGAAATATCAAACTTGGGCGATTTATTTCGTCTGGTGCTCTCTTCCATCTCAAATTTAGCTTCACAGATTTTCGCAAGACTGCCGAAGCAGAAACAGAAACAGAAGCAGCAGCACCACCACTACCACCACTATTTCTTCCGTCCCTTTCTCCCCCACCTCCTTCTCCGCCCTCCCGTCCTCTCTGTCCGGTAAGATTAACATCTTTTCAAGAAAGGAGGCGTGTTGAGCAATGGCTAAGTTGAAATAGCCACCACAGGGCACGTTTTGGGCGGCCCTGCCCCCCCTCCCTCAGCGGCATCGGACGGTTGGGTTCGAGCATGTGCCGTGGGCACACTTCTGCTGGCCGTTATGGCTTTCCTCAGAATCGTGCTGAGCCTCTGGCACCTCGCGGCCCCCGGCTCCCAAGGTGCTGCCGGGCCTGCTGGCCCGACTGGTGTCGCTGGGCCTGCTGGCCAGCCCGGGTTCTCTGGCCCCACTGGTCCCCCGGGGCCCGATGGCCCACATGACGCTGCCGGGCCTGTTGGTCCGACTGGCGTTCCCGGTCCTCCTGGGCTCACTGGACGTGCTGATCCCCCGGGGCCTGCTGGCCCGACTGGTGTCGCAGGTCCGCCCGGTCCCCCGGGACCTCCGGGCCCTGGGTCTTCCGGTATAGAGTCCACCGCCGCCATCATGACCACCGCCGCCACAGCGGTAACTGTGGCGGCTGAAGCCGCCTTTGAAGCAGCGAAGAAAGGGGCCGGTGGGGAGGCCGTCAAGGAGGCCATCAGAAAGGGCAAGTTTGCCGGTCGGTATGCTGCCTCTCTCGTGACTGGCTCCGGTATCACCCCACCGCCGCCGTCGCAGACTGACCCGGCTCAGTAGATTGATAGCGAAGAATGTAAGGTTCTTTCTGTTCTGATTTTCGCGAATATATTACACTAAGAATCATGACTAACAAGTGAAAAAAGGGGAACAGTAGATTAAAGAATGCCCTGGTACATTAATGCGCCTTCCATTAATCGCTCCGAATGCTTCCACCGCTCCCATTGCTCTTTTTCTGGCAATTTAAAGTTAGTGGTCTTCTTCGTCGAAGTGACGCGTCCTGAAAGTCTATACTAAGCGCCGGCTTGGCATCCGTATACGCATGCAGCATTCATCTCCTGGTTGGCCACATAATTTTCCCTCAGAAAAGAAATGTTCAGTTTGTATCGCTTGCCCCGACACCATGTTTGCATGTACTTTTCCGTGTCTTTGTCTAGGCTATATGAGCGAGGATCCAATGCCTGGTACCAGCCGCATGGAACAGACCTCCTTCGAAAGGAGTCTCGGAGCCGAAGCTGGATACTGCGATCGCTCAGACGACTGCCACGGAACAGCCCCGGTGCCCAGTTTGGTGCAGGGTCGACATAGAACCCCTGTAAGCGAATGGTTCGGGTGTAGATCACCTTCAGACAACGCGTCCCGTCTTGACAATCGCACGATGCCAGCCGGACACGAATGTTGTCTATATCACTTGCGCGTGTAAACATCGGCCGTGTAACTTGGTGCTCACAGCACAAGAAATCGTCATAGCTGGCTGTCTTGCCAGTGTCTTTCTGGTCGGTCGAGCTCAGTTCCGAGCCCGGTTTCCCCCGCGATAAGCCAGGGTAGACGAGACAGCTGCAGCGGTTCGAATCCACACAGCGGAGCTCTTGCAGAATACCCGGGTGGTCTTTAGGCGCAATATATCGTGCCGGACTATGACCTTTTCGGAATTTCTGAATGCAGTCACGACAATCTTGGGCAGTGATTGCGTTGTTGTTACTGGGATCACCTAGCCCAGACAAATCGACGTGTGCCGTGTACGACCATGTAACAACTTTATGCTTCGTGCCAGATACCATCAGATCGTGGACAATAAAGGAAGGAAAGTCCGAGCACTCGGCAGCTGAAAAACGCTTGTATGGTGGTGGAGATGATGGTGGCGTTGATGGTGAGGCTGGATCAACATCATCTTCGCAATTGGTGGCATTCGTAGGGCTGTGGCGGTGGTGTTCCGGCATATGGCTTGGATGTTCGCAGACAATGCGCAAATTCGGGCCAGGCAAGAACGCGCTGTCTTCACTCTCTGTGCTGCTTAAAAACTGTTCGTATTCTTCACTGTTTGGGTCGGATCCGTATGCCCGCGTGAAATTATCTCGGAATTCGAGGTAGAAGCGTCGGTCGAGCTCCTCTTCTCTCATCGGAGGTAGCTTGTATTTGTTATCAATGCACTTATCTGGGAGACATTGCAGCACGGTAGCCCAGTCCACGGTCTTGTGCTTGCACAGGCGTACATGGCCTTCGCGAGCTACGCAGATGCGCCGGCCGTCCATGCTATCCTTGCGCTGCGCCGCAGAAAAGAGGCAGGTATGATGGTCGACGTCGCACGCATGACAGTGCAAATAGACGGACTTCAGGCCCGTATAAAAGGATGCACAGGGGGCATCATAGGACTCTCCCAGGAGTCGTTTTCCCATCTTGATCTACAAGGCCCGGTCCTGGACCGGCAATGCTGGCACCATCCAGGGAGCATAGAGGTCGAAGAGCCCGGTGTTGTTGTCGTGCAGGTGAGAGAACTCATAGCGGCCAAAGAGGCGCAGAAAGATGCGGCTGGTGCGGCGGATGCACAGCATGTCCAGCCAGTCCAGGTGGCCCATGATTCGGACGAGCATTTCGTCGGGCAGACGGCAGATCGGGCTGAACGCAGTGTTGTACATGCCTCTCAGAGCTAGAAGGTCGATGTCGCAAAGCGATACGGAGTTGCGGCGATGCTTCTTGGCGAGAACGGCGGCACGTGTGGGCTGTTCCCGGTGGCCGTGTGGGCATAAGGCCCAGAGCCGTCCAAATGGCATGCCCTCGTCGGCTGGGACAGAGTCCAATGGGTCCATTTCGTGGTGTTTGATCGATGAATTTTACCTTGGCAGAAAGGGGCAGATTAACAGAAGGGAACAATACAAAGCAGGGAGAGGCTTGGATGTAAAGTGAGAAAAGGGCAACAAAAAACCCAAACAACCGAGATGTATTATTTCTTCGCTTTGATTCTCGTACCCCCGCCCCCTCTTTTGTCACCATTTTTGCTCTACGAAATGACTACGTCAAAATTCGTTTACCTCGTTGCCAGCACTAAGAACACTCGGGCCAAATGTGAGTTGCACCGTCAGTAGATTTTGGTGATACTCTGGACAGCCGACCATCGCTCCTGCTGCTTCGTGACGCGCTTTTGGTGCTACCCGCTTCGGCTTAAGATGGCCGATTATCGGCCATCATCGCCCAGGACAGTTCAATCCAGTCATACAGACGGATCTCAGATCCAAAAAACACACACACGAATACCAAAGATGTCTTTATTTCTCTTTGTGAAAATTCGAACACTTTTCGGCCACACAAACAAGAGCCTCGCTTGTGATCTTTTCCATTTTCTACACTAAGATATAATTAAAGATGACCACGCATTCGAGTGGACGGTATCCCTATCATGGGCAATGTGCATCCGACAGAGTCCAACAGGTACAGCTATATAAGAGAACAACAGGTACCTATGCAACGATGAACGGTATTCAAGATTAGAAACCAGTGACTCGCCAACAAAGAACTGGGACTTCGCCTTAAGGAGCGAATGAGGTGGGCGATCGCTTGTACTCTTTCCTCTGGTAATCTCTCGGCATCCAGTGTATCATTGTCCATAAGTCTCGTGGCTTTTGATCTAGATGTACCCAGCATGATACGTAGCTGCGCTGGGAGAAAGATGTCGAGGCTGATTCCTTGGGCATAGACAAAGGTGAACATTGTGAAGAGTAGCTCGCTTCACGTCCACAAATCGACTACAGAGTTCCTAATTAGGACTGACAGGGCCGTTACAAAATTGCTACCGGTTCGATCGGTTCAGCAACTCTACTAAATATGGCCGCCTTTACAACATTGGATAGCAATGAATAGGCCAGGTCCTATCGTATTTGCAGGTGTGTGCCGGTGTTCTCCCAGAAATAGAGCTGAAGAACCTGACAGAGGCCTCACCTAGAGCGGTCTACGATCATCTACCCTGAATACTGTTGTACGATCTAGTCTCTGGAATATCTACTTCTACCTCTGTCTTCTTCCAAACACCGAACTCAAACTAACTGCTCATGCCGGCTCATCCTACGGCTGATCGTTATCCTCTGTTTCCACCTTATGTAGAGGCTTTTCGCCCAGGAGAAGAGAGCACATCAATGCCAAAGTTGAGAATAGCAGAGACACGGCTACCATTTGTCAGCTTGGATATCTCGTCTCGCCAATAAGAGGGGTACCTACTATGACTCCACCAGATGCCATCGATGTAGGCACTGACGGCGGCAGTCTTTACTGGTCCCATAAGGCCAGACACATAGCCTATATTGGACACGGCCTTGGATACGATCTGAAATCAGGTTAGCTACGTGCCTTCTGAGACCTGCAGACCATACGGGAAACAAACCTCTGCACGCTGAAAAGCATCGAGGCCCAGATCCAGAAGGCGGCGCCCCAGACTGACTTTGAGCATTGCCTGCATAACCATACTAGCAGAAGTCAGCCCGAGAACCGATGCACAGGTGCCGCCTAGGTAGAGTATGGAGATAGCTGGGGCTAAATGTATCGGCTCGACGACCACTTGCACGGAAATGAAAACCGCGCTTGTGGCAACACCCGTTCCAAAACCGCTGTCCGGGTTAGTAAATGTTCTGAAAAGTAAGTAGAACGAGGGACGACTGAGAGCATACCCGGGAAAGATGTACAACGCCTCCCACCAGTTGGTGTGACCGTGCCAGCGAAGCAGTAGTAGAAAGTACGACAGGCTCGACGATATGGTCGCCAGCCGGGTCATGTTCCGGTAGCGCCCGGTTCTAGTAATACGTGTCAGCCTCGTTGCGGGTTGATATAGGATAAATTGGACGCACTTCTTGATGTACAGGCCCGTGATGATACCGCCGATAGCGTTGCCGGCCACGGCTGGGAAGAGATGGGCGCCCGCAACAGTGCTGGACACTTCCTGCGACACCTTGAAGTAGAGTGGGACCGAGAACATTATCTGCGCATGTATATTAGAGACACAGTTATGACTAAGAGGAGTTTGACTCGAGGACATACGCCTAACTGTGCGGCCGTTTGTAACGTCTGGATGAGCAGAGAAAGGTTGACATCCCGGACACGAAAGATGCCCAGCGGCACGATCGGCTCGATCGCACGCTTTTCAATACGCAAAAATGCGACGAACAGTACTAGTGAGGCGGCAAACAACCCCGGAATGACCGGACTCGTCCATGACACTTTGATACCACCGATCTCCATAGGAATCAGGAGCGCCAGCAACACCAGAGCTAGCAGGGCGGATCCGGCAAAGTCGACACGTCGGAGACGAAGCCAGGACGAGATCTCACCACGGGAGGACTCGCTGTCCAGTGGCTGGCCTCCGCTATAATTCCTCGAGTGGTTCGGTAAGAACAGCATGACAAGTATAGTGGCCAGTAGCATGAAGGGGACCTGGCCGAAAAAGGACCAGCGCCAGCCGATAACGTCGGCCAGCCATCCACCGACCGGGCCGCCGAGACTGCGGCCGGTAGTAGCGACAACATTGATGTAGGAACGCCACGAGGCAACATCACGAATGGGAAGGAGATCTGCGACAAAGGCGAGGAGGTGAGGAGGGGAACCAAAACTCTCTGGGCGTTTGGCGGCACAACTCACCAGATACAATGATCGACACGAGAACAGTCATGCCAGCACTGCCAGCACCAGATATGACTCGGCCTAGGATGACTTGAAACATGGTCTGGCCAGCGCCTCTAAAACGGGGATTAGGAGGCGCACACGAGGCTAGTGTCAAGACAGAAGCGCAAAAGTACTCACACCAAGGCACTGTAGTGCATGTTAGCATGTGCTGTTCTTGGACGTCCAGGACACGTCTCTGACAGAAATCTTACCAGCCAGCGGTGAAAAATATGTAAGATATCAAAACAAGGATCTTGCGGCCGTAAATATCGCTGAGTTTTCCGTACTAAACAAAGAGAGGTCATGAGTATTTTCTGGCCCGCCCATTGCCGAGCGACAGGATAAGGCATGACCCACCATGGTCTGGGTTGCGGCTGCGGCCAGGATGAAGCCAGAAAAGAGCCAGCTAGAGCTTTCGAGGGCATCAAACTCGGACGCGATGATGGGGTGGGTTGCCATGATGAGGGAACCATCGACGTTGGAGACAAATACGCCGATCATGAGCACGAGCACGGCATGGACAACTGCGGACAGACTGATGCTGCTGCGCGAGCCCGTGAGGTTGCCAGCGCCATTTCGGCGAGGCGTAATAGTTCCATCGGTCACAGGTGTGGCAGCATCGGCCTCGATATCGGTGAGCAAGGACGGGTTTGTCGCGAGAGACTCTGCCGTAGAGCTGGAAATGGGGCGGTCGGCATTGGCACTTCTCTCGGAGGTCGATAGCAGCGGGGACCACTCATCAGGCAGATTCGAGACCGGGGCCAAAGCCGTGATACCGCTATCGAGGGTTTTTGCCATCAAGGTAAAGAGATCCACGGGGGAACAAAGGGTTGGGGGGGGGGGAGGGGGGGGAGAAGGTGATACAGGTACAAGGAGGAGGGATAGGGAGGAAGAGGAGCAGTGAGAAAAGAGGGAGAAAAGAGGGAGAAAAAAGATAATGAAGCGTCGTAGGGTGGATGAGAGATAGTATTCTCGTAGGGAAGTGAAATGATACTTGCAAATTGTGACTCGACAATTAGAGATGAGAATGTTCGCACAGATACACAGTAGGCAGTCGGTGACTCTTTCCTCGCCGGGTGTCACAGAGCTCTTGCCTACAGTGTGGACCCAATGCACGCGTTTGCCAGTGCGACCTGTTCATTCGGCGTGACAACGCGAAATCGAAAACGGCAGATCATTTAATATGCACTTTCCGAGAGCCAAAAAGCGAATTGGCAAATTGTTTGACCAAGAACCAATGCAGATACAGATGCTTTGACCGATCCGACTGGTGGCGCGAATTGGATATGCATGTGGTAGCACGCAAGATGACGACATCGGAATAGCCAGCGTTGCAGCGGAGCTTGGCGGGTGAGTTTGTGCGATGAAGTCCTCCGAGCACGCCATCGCGACTTTTCGAGCATCTCCACGTCGAGCACGAGGTGGACTAGGGGTGGACTAAGAACTGGCGGGCATCTGAACATAAATACGGTGGACCAGGCGGTCTGGAGATTTACATGCGAGCCCCGCAGCATCGCAGCATTGGCCAGGCCATGGTTCTATGCCGAAACCATGAAGCTTTCTGCTGCTGTATCCGTGATAGGTTCCATCGCTGCGGCTTCTTCTGCGGCAGCTGATGGTCCGGAGCAAGTTCCGCTCAGCGCTGGCCTGCTGGCGGAGCATGCGCCACGGCTGCCCGATGGACGGAAGCCGAACATTGTGTTCATCATCACGGACGACCAGGACTTGCATATGCAGTCGCTGGACTACCTGCCACACGTGAAGCACCATCTGCGCGACCACGGAACGCTGTTCCGGCGGCATTATTGCACGACGTCGCTGTGCTGTCCGTCGCGCGTGTCGCTCTGGACAGGCAAGCAGGCACACAACACCAACGTGACGGACGTGAAGCCGCCGCACGGTGGATATCCAAAATTTGTCAGCCAGGGGCTCAACGAAGCATATCTGCCTGTCTGGCTGCAGCAGGCTGACTACAATACGTACTACACCGGCAAGCTCTTCAACGCCCACACGATCGACAACTACGACAGCCCACGGCCGGCTGGCTGGACTGGCTCCGACTTCCTGCTCGACCCCTACACATACAGCTACCTTAACGCGACGTATCAGCGCAACGGCGAGCCGCCCGTCAGCTACGAGGGCCACTACACCGGCGACGTGCTGGCCGAGAAGGCCCTTGGCTTCCTTGACGATGCCACTGCTGACGGCGTCGATGCCAGGCCCTTCTTTCTCGGCATCGCCCCTGTGGCGCCGCACAGCAACGTTGTCGTGCTAGAGGGCGAGCCTGTCAGCAACGACTCGTCCCGGGCTGTCTTCTCGGCCCCCGTGGCCGCCACGCGCCATGCCCACCTGTTCGCCGACGTGAAGGTGCCACGCACGCCACACTTCAACCCGGCGCGACAGGCCGCCGGTGGTTCCTGGGTCCGGCAGCTGGCCCGACAGGACGATGCCAACGTAGCTTACAACGACTACTTTTACCGCCAGCGGCTACGGGCGCTGCAGTCAGTCGATGAGCTCGTCGATGAGCTGTTTGCTCGGCTCGACCGCCTCGGCCTGCTCGCGTCCACGTACGTCTTCTACACGACTGACAACGGCTTCCACATCGGCCAGCATCGACTACAGCCTGGCAAGACGTGCGGATTTGAAGAGGACATCAACATCCCACTGATCGTGCGTGGGCCCGGCGTGGCGGCTGGCCACGAGTCGCACGTTGTTACCTCCCACATCGACCTGGCCCCGACACTGCTGCAGCTGGCCGGCGTGCCCGCTCGTGCCGACTTTGATGGCGAGCCGATCCCGCTGCACCAGTATCGGCATAGCGGTGTCGAGAACGCCAACCAGCGCCACGAACACGTTACGGTCGAGTTCTGGGGCTCAGCCATCGCCGAGGGCGACTACTACAACCGCTTCAACGATGGCAGCTATTATCGATTCGTGCCCAACAACACCTACAAGGCTGTGCGCATCATCGGACGGTCATACAATCTGTACTATTCCGTGTGGTGCAGTGGCGAACACGAGCTCTACGACCTGAACACGGACCCCTACCAGCTGGAGAACCTGCTGGCAGACGAAGAGAACGGGCCCAGCAGCGCTTTGCTTTTTCTCGGCCATCCGGTCGCAAAGGTCGTCGCCCGATTAGACGCGCTGCTGCTCGTGCTGAAGTCGTGTCGCGGACGCACGTGTGTGCGACCCTGGGCAGAGCTGCATCCAGACGATGACGTGCACAGCCTGCAGGACGCGCTGGCTGTGCCGTTTGACCGCTTCTATGAGCAGGAGCAGCTAAAGGTTGCGTACAGTCGCTGTGAGCCGGGCTATCTGGTGGACGCCGAAGGTCCGCAATTTGAACACGACGGGGTGGTGTACCGAGACAGCATTTCATGGGAGGAGTGGGTGTAGGGGGGGAAGAAGAAAGGAGAAAAGAATATATATACGGAGTAAAAGCATTCGTATGACAGGATAATTGGAGACGGAAAAAGTAAGAGAAAAAGAAAGCAAAAACCGAAACCCCTAGAAACCGACAACCAACGACCAACAGCCAAAACACTTCACTGACACCGGAGAGCACTGCAGTACAGAGAATTCAGGAATGTTTGTTGACACAAATAAATATTCATTACCTCTTGTCTATCTATCGTTGCGCCGTGTCCAAATGGAAACCCTAGTGGGCAAACCCGTGCCGAGCAGGCAATGCAAAAAACAGCCTTAGTCATGACGCCACACTGTATACCGAAACGCCGCTTGGAGTGGTGGTCCACGCCAATCCTACAAACACGTCGGCGGCGCGATCTGGCTCGCTACCGGCCGCAGGTGTCCCAGGACGTGCGCTCCATATTCATGTGCCATTCGGTCAAGTGGTCGAGCAGGGCGACGTCGATCTTGCGGTTGGCCTTGAAGAAGACGGTCTCGTAGGGGTGGACGTTGGAGCCGAAGTAGCTCTTGTTGCGGAAGTGGTCTTGAGCGTTGTCGGTGATGTTGCAGTAGCTCTGCAAGTCGGAAGCGAGGCCGTGGAAGGACGTGAGCATGACGTCGACGGTGTAGCCGGCGGCCGTGATGAGCTCGGTGGTGCCGACCTCGGCGTGGACGGCCTTGAACCAATTGGGATAGCAGGGCGAGAGGCCGACCGGGTCGTCGACCGTGCCAAAGTTGTCGGCATGCGGGACCGAGAGGGCGCGCGACTCGTCGAGCAAGATGGCCATGCCGACGGCATCGGTGGCCCAGAGCATCGACTGCACGTGGGGTCGGGGGAAGCAGTTGGGCGAGAGGCCGACGAGCTTGTTTGTGTCGGTGACGCGGTCGAGGAAGACGTCGGTCCAGCAGGCAGACGAGTAGACTGGCACAAACGGGCCGCGCAGGCTCGCGTTCATCGTGATGAAGCGGCGATACCGTCGCCAGAGCCCGTCAGCCCGGAGGACCTCGCCCATGGCGCCCATGTCGAAGCAGGAGTTGTCGCGCTGCACGGTCCAGACGTTGGGGAGGCCGGTCGGCACCATGGCCGTCGCGTTGGTCGGTCCGTTGAACACAAAGACAAAGTCGGCACGGCCGTGCAGGCCGTTGCGCACAAAAAAAGCCAAGTCTTTGCGTGCTGTCGCCGACTCGGCATAGGCAAACAGCACCAGCGGCCGCACTCCGGGCGAGAGCCGACCGACGGCCGGGGCTGGAGTTGCTGCTGCTGCCGCGCTGCCTGCCACGTCCTGCAGCTTCTCCTTGGCCGAGGCCAGCAGCTCGCGCGGATCCCGCAGTTCCGGCCGGCCGACCGCCCAGACCAGACACAGCGATAGCGCCAGGCCCAGCGCCAGGAACCGCCACGACGTCATCAGCGACAGCGAGTATGGCTTGGCCAGCTTGTAGGCCATCGCGAGGGCGGTACAGGAGGCGCGCGAGAGGGCAGGCGGTCAGTCGAAAAGGCAGTCGAGAGATCGGGTGTGGTGTGCGATTTTCCCGCTTTCCTGGTGTCCTGGGAACAGGCAATAGTCCACAGCGTCTGCGACTCAGCCAGACAAAAAGACAAATACGATACGGAGTAGAAGGGGGAAAATGCGCCCGGGTTCGTTAAAAAACAATTGCACCTCGGCCGTATCGAAGAGGTCCCATACCAGACCCAAACTCGGCGCAGACAAACGACACCCTAGCCTTATCATGACGGCATAAGTGTCTTACTAAGAAAGATTCGAGCAGTAAGACAGGGTAATTCCACTTTGGAACGCCACTAACAATGTACCGACATACGATTTGCACGTTCCGCCGACTCGCCGCTGTCTAGTATCTTGCAAAGGAGAGAATACAAAGGGCACAAGGGCGAAGGGCGGGGTGCGGCCAATGTCCATTGTCGGAACCTTTTTACACAGGCGGGCGTTCTAAATGCCAGACGGCTTTTCCCAGGAACTGATTTCCCTGCAGATGGAAGATACACAGTACCATGTACCATGTATCATGTATCTTGGACAGACACCCCCACACGCTTATACGAGGTGGTAAATGATTAGCCCCATGCAATGTTGCCCTCGTGTTGCTGCGAGTGCTGATCATTGGGTTGTGGTGAGGTAAGATACATAAGATACAGTATCTTACATAGACGCCGGTCACTATCGCTCGTGTGTCTTGCTGATCCGACAGCAGCCATCGGTCACCGGCCAGCAGTCATCGGCCAGTTTGGCGTAAAACGACACTTGGCCTGAAAATGCAGGGGTGGCTGTTGGTAAGATAATACCCGGCCGCTGCAGTCTAAGAGCACCGGCGCACTGGCACACCGGCTTGAACGCGCCGCCCACGTCTCTGTCAAAGTAAAACAGGATAAGATACAATTGGTGCGCGTTGGAGGGGCTTAGCAGACGGCCGCATGGAGCTCAATACGACCTTGATCAGGGTTTCATTGTTGTGTCATTATAAACACGTGATCATCTGTGCTGCAAGTGGGGGCATACGAGCTTACGAGTACAGTGGCTTTCCAGTATGACTGCACCGTATTTCAGAGGGCTGCCAGTGACATTCCAAACCACAACACAAGGAACAAGGGCTAGCACTTGCTACTCGTACACATTGCTGTCTCTGCACCGCCCTTGATGCCAGCTGGCTGGGAGTCTATTCATCTGATCAGGACCAATATGATACCGCAAGGGAGCGCGCCCTTGCCTGAGAGCATCGCAATTTCCGCACAACATAGATTTTGCAAATTTGCGCTGGAAGAACGCTTCTGGACGGGCCATTACTAGCATTTCCATCTAACCTAGATCGGCTTAGGGCCTGGCCAAGCCGGCCATTTGAACCTGGCGAAGCTTTTCCCTTACCTTTCTAATCTGTCCATCTGTGGCATCTCCACTCCACCACAACATCTCGGCCAACCAGGAGCTGCACAGCCAGACAACATGCCAGACAATAGGCGATCGGATAACCGGTCTCAAGTCTGTCGCCAATCCTCCCAGTCCTTCCTGGCCCCACCACCGACACAGAGCCACTAGTCCTGTGCATTTGGGCCCAGAATGAGAGTATTTTCACATCTTCATTCCATTTTTGCCCTTCCAATATCGCTGCTTCCGGCGCACGCCATGGGAGAATTAGAAAAGTGGATCTCGTCCCGCGGCGATCCTGTTTTACGGAGTTTTCCGTACTTCAGACTGGTTTGCGGCGAAACATCAATCCTGCCCCAAGTCTGTTCATCTGCGTTTTGTCGCATACCTCCCCGTCTCTCTTGTCAATCCTTAATTTTCAGGGATTCCGTCTGCTCTCGACTCTTTGCCCTCCTCGACCCGTTCGTCGCGTACGCGTGACGTGCCTTTTGCCAGATGCGCTCCGTCTGTATGTCCCCGTATGCGGGCCGTGCAGGAGGCGCAGCACGAGTGTACAGCCCAGCTTCTTTGGACGACCCGAGAATCACCAGAGCTGGACTGTCGGGCTTTGCTCGACAGCCGGATCCTGGTCGCTAAGGATCACGATTGATGCGTCGGAAACGTCGGCATCCTCCTCTACCAGCTCGCCCCGAGTCAACGTGAACGGTGGTAGGCTGTCTAAATTCCCTCTAAGCAAGAAGCCCGGCTGCCCGGTTCTACCTCGTGCCTTCTCTCAGCCCCGGCCACGTTCACGTAATCAACGGACCTCATGTGAGACAACCGCACAACCAACAGACTGTTCTTCAGATATTCTATTACAACCCTTACGTCTCTAGACGGTCCAATACCGATGCGTCTATCTAGTACGGACTTGCAGATTGCTCTTCAAAAGAGAACCGCTTCAAGTGCCTGCTCGAGGCATTGATAAAAGTCGAAGTTGGCCGGCGTGTCCACATCACCACCGCCCTCAAGGTCCTCTTTAGGTTTCTCCATATCCAGGCCCTGCAAGACCTTGGGAAAGTCACTCTCAGAAGGAAAGCAGCCATAGGAAAGGAAATAGTCGACGGTAAGCAGAATCTGACAGTATCTCCGGGGACTTCCAACCAGCAGATCTGTCCATACATCATGTGGGCGTTGTGGCTTGTCGGAGATCTCTTCCAGTACCGCATCTTGATATGAATTCTGCAGCAAGTAGGAAGCGTATTCTCGTGGTCGTTCGTGGGTTCGCTGCGGGGGCCATACTTCCTGAATATGCTTCACAATCGACTGGATGCACAGCAACACGTCGTCGGCACTCTCGTGCTGCTCTCGGAAGCCCCGCATGATGGCCTTGTATGTCTGTATGGGCTGCGAAGCCTGGTCATTTCCCAGGGGACTACTTGTCACTTTTGTCTCCAGGATATACCACACAAAGGGAAAAGCCGAGAAGGCAACACTGCTTCGTGTCAGTTTGAATCTCGACCTGTGTTATACTTGTACCACGTACAAGGTATTTGGCAAATACTGGGCGAGTCCGCGCTGCAGGAGCTCCATGAGATCGACCGTCGTCTTGCGGCGAGCCGTGTTGATTTCCGACTGTGCATGCAGCCGCAGCTCCCGGGCGGCATCCTGGTCATCCTTGTCCGTGACACAGAGCACGATAGTGTGATGGCATAGCAGCACTTTGGCCGTACTACGACTGTTAGCAGGGAAGAGAACAGGCAGACAGAACGCGTCTTACTAGTAGTATATGTAGATCATTTTCGTAAAGAGAATCAGCGACTCGTTCACGCCGCAGATATGCATCGGGATCTGGAACCGTGCCACTGCCTTCTGGTACCACAGGTCCAGCCGGGCGAGACAGCATTTGAGCTCCTGCAGCGTTGGCTGGTTGCTGTCGGCGCCCATGCCCTTCATGGGATCGATCATGGTGAGGATGCTGTGCAGAGGACCCATGAGCTCGCAGAGCGCAATGATCAGCTGCACCATAACCTGCTTCGTCGGGCGGTCGTACACATCGGAATGGAGAATCTCGTCGCAAAAGTCGCCCTCGTTGAGGCTGTTATGGTCGAAATCGAAATCGGATGACTGGATGTGCAGTGGTCGCCGCAAGCCGAGGGCCATGATCTTGTCCCGAAGAATACAGCACCACCACAGTCGCTTCAGGACTGCCTGCCGGGCCGCGCTTGTGCTTGCGAGGTACCTGTGCGCCTGGGCTCGCTGTGCGTAGTGGACGGCAACCGCCAGCCAGAACGAGCTGGTCTTGTCGTTGGGCGTCGGCGCTTGATATGTCAACATCAGGGCTGCCTGCGCACTGCGCACATCGTCTTTGAACACGTCGACGTCAAAAAGAGCCTGCCACCGAGGGTCAGAAAGCAGGCAAAATAAGCGCCAGCCGGAAAGAAGAAACCTTTGCTCTAGAATAGAACTCTGTACGCGCTTGTTGGGTTGTGGCGAACCCCAAGCTTCGAAGCGTAGACACTGGAACGTACTGTCGATGCTGTCAGCTTTCCGAAGTCGATGCCCATCGGCCCCACGAGGGGTCCTCTTACCGGACAGGATATGAACAGCATGGCCTGGAAGACAAACAAGGGGGTTCGCTGGCCGGCCGTCGAGTCGGCCGATTGGTCTGCGTAGGCGGTACAGAATGCGGCCTCGTTCAGCACCGGCAGGAAAGGATGGACGTAACGGAAGTAGGCCGCGACAAAGGCGGCCAGAGCAGCCTTTTCGGGGAGGCGGAAGCAGCTCCGCTGTTCCAGGAACGCGATATCCGCCGGTCCCAGACGCCATGCAGTGTCGGCCTCGACGAAGCGATAGCAGATGCAGGGGACAAACGAGTGCAGAGGTTCCGATGTCTTGGCCGCAGGCAGGAACAGAGGAGGTTGGGCTACGCCTAAAGAGTGGGTGGATGAGCCATAGTCCATACGATCGCGAGGAGACACGGCTGTCGGGCCCAGAGCGCCTTCGACGGCCATGTTGCACTCATCCAGCATGTCGACACCGTGTCCAGGCCTCTCCTCGTGCTGGCCATCGTCTGTTTCGGCAAAGAGGGTGTCATCCATATCGATGAAGGACTCGTATGGCCTGTCCGCTGAGAGGCCGGTGATACTGGCAGAACTGAGGTCTGGCTGTGGGGAGGATGTGGAGCAGGAGCTGAAGCTTCCTGGCGATGGCCCAGATTCAAGATCGAGCTGCAGCAGCAGCTGCTGCTGCTGCTGCTGCTGCTTCCGATATTCGGCCACGGCCTTGGCAGACTGTCTACCATTCCCGCCATCAATACAGCTTCCTATAGCACCAGTACAGGCACGCACGAGGTCACCACCTACCTCTTGCCAGCCCGCGGCTTGACGATGCAGTCTTCCGAGTCGAGCTTGCAGTTCAGACAGGGAATCCCGTGCACGGTGACATCGCAGCGTATTTTGCGCACCCTGCAGGCCAGACAGGCACGTTTTGCCCGCTGGCCGCGTGCCCTGCCTGGGCGTTTCGCAGGTGGGTTCCCCTGCATTTTTTGTGACGTTGAGGACCGCGTCCCTGGAGCTTTGGTGGTCATGGTGGATGCGATGGACTGGTTTGAGAGTAGATTGGGAAGCCAAAAACATACGACCTGCCTGTAGGAGAGACCGGGTCCTGAGGAATCATAACTACTACGGAATACAAGCCCCCAATAGGCACAGTCCCGAACCCGCCTCCAGGCTCTCGCACATGACGTCGGCTTTCTCGGTCCGAGCTGAATCCACCTACGACGGGATTCGCCGAAGATGTTTGCGAGCTCGAACCCCAGTGGACTAAGGCGAATTATGAGCGCATTACAGGAGGCTCGTGAAAATGCGGGGAAATTGGCATTTGCAATTCTCATCGCCATGCTCATCCTTGCTATCTTTACAGATCCACAATCGACTGCGCCGTGGCCAAGACTATTTCCTGCCAGCCCTTCATAAAGTCTCCCTCCTGGTAGTCGTCGTGGGCCAGATCCACAAACCCTTCTGCCACCTCCTCTCGAGGTACAATTCCAAGTGCGCGGCCTGAAGGATTGGGTCAGTACACAGTTGAGCACGTGTCACGCAGTTGGGCACGTCTGGACTCACCATTGACTTCTTTCCTGGCTGCAATCTGGATCATCGCATGCGCACAGTCCTCCACAGTGGCAAACTTGACCCCTTTGGATTCCAGATACGCAATGATTTTCTGTGACAGAATGGGCGTTCGCACATACCTGAAAGCACGCTGATTAGTCATCACAAAACTTGTTCCACTGTCCTGCTGTCCTTTCATGACTTACCACGGGGCCACAAAGTTGACCCGGATGCCTTCTTTCCAGATGGTGCGACGAAGATTTCTAAACAGGCCACGAGCACCCCACTTGGAGATATTGTATTGGGGCGAGCCCGGCTGATCGGCGTAGGCGGCAACGCTGCCCTTGATGATGAGACAGCGGTCACGGGCTGCAGTCTCTGGCTGGCGTCGAAAGTAGTGAAGTGCGAGTTTTGTAGTGTATATAGTTCCCATCAGGTTGATCTCTACGATGCGCAGATTTGGCTTTACCGGTGGCCCGGATGGATCTGCTCGTGTCGTCGCGGTAAGCTTTCGGTAGGCAGTCAGGAGAAGGACGGAAAGGGATTACCATCTAGGGTAAACATGTCATCTGCGCCGACGATGCCGGCATTCGCAACAACCACGTCGACGCTGTGTTCCGGGGATGCCGCGATGGCGCCCTCAAAGACGGCCACCTGGTCATCCCAGCTGCGGACATCACACTTGACAAACTTGGCATTTCTGGGACAAATGTCAGGATCTCGGCTTTAGAAGAAATCCTTGGGACTGTCACGTACGGTGATAGCTGCGCCTCGGTGGCCTTTCCCGCAACTTCGTCGTAGTCCGCAATGGTAACAAAAGCACTAGAGAACGTTCAGATGAGTCTTCTGCCTCGATCCGTCCGTCCCACCGTTTAGAGCAGGCGCAACTCACCCGGCTGCAAAAAAGGCTTCAGCGTATGCTTTTCCCAAGCCGCTTGCCCCTCCAGTCACGATGACGGACTTGCGTGATAGGGTTTTGGTGTCTGGCTGAGCCAGAATGTTCAGCGAGCCGATGTCTTGGTACTCTGGGATAGGCATGATTGGCTGTTATTCTTTGCTTGCTTTCGTTCTCAGTGGGCAGTTCAACTGTCAGGAAAACACGGGCAAGCATCACAGGTTATTGAGTAGAGTCCATCTTACCTAATTTTGAGCAGTACATATCATTATGCCGATGGTCCTCGGCCAATGCGGCCGGCGATCACCGACAGTTGCGGGGACATGAGGCTAGTAAGGATCTCCCCGCATAAATGCACACCGGGCGCTTCGGCTATCAAAGTGTGGAGAGGCATGTAGAAGCTGCTAGCCGGAACCGATTATCTTTCTATGCGGATGATCCGGCTTTTCAATACTCGGATATGTGTCCCGATGGTGACAGGTCCATACTTAGCAGCCAAGTCGACAGATGACGGCATTTTCTCAAACATTGGCAATTCCGGCGCTGAACGTGAACAAACAGACAAGCACAGTCTAATCACGGTATCACCAGGATTATGGCTACAGAGGAAACGACAAGCAGCACGGCCAATGGTCGACGGTATGAACATCTTTCGAGTCCTGACCCGGTCTGGTTGCAGGTCGCAGAGAAACACCAGGTTCTCGAGCCGCTGGCGGACAAGCTGTACAGTCTTCCGATCGAAGAGTTTCGCAAGGTGCCGTACAAACCACCACCGCTACCAGCAAACGCTCCTGTGATTGGGAAGGACGTCGCGGTCGAGCAGGCCGAGATCACGGTGCGAGACGGTGCAAAGATTGCGGCGCGAATATGTCGCCCGATCGAGCGCAAGGACGGCTCAGTACTGTTCTTTAACATACACGGAGGAGGTGAGCACTGGGAACGGCGAATCGGCCGAGATGTGGTTGCCACCAACTAGTATGCCTGACGTCTGGAAAACTAGGATGGACTGTCGGAACGCCTGAGACTGAGGAGGCCGTAAGCCGTCAGGTGGCCGTCCAGAACAAGGCTGTTGTTGTCAGCATTGATTACAGAAGGTAGCAGTGCCGGACTCGACTGTTGTATGCGCAGCAGATCCTCTAACACATCGTAGAGCACCAGAGTATCCATTTCCGTATGCTCTGAATGATTCAAAGGACGCACTTCTGTGGGTAAGTATTCAGGAGAGCTTGCCGGGCTTCCTTTCCGTTTTGGATACTGACCGTACTGCAGTGCAAGGACCATGCAAAGTCTCTCGGAATAGATCCAGAGAGATTAATCATTGGAGGCGGCAGCGCCGGTGCAAACATTGCAAGTCCTATATTACCATTGTATCCTGTCACCAAACCTAGAACTAACATTGCAACCGTGACTCAGGCTGCTGCACTTTCCCACATAGCACGAGATGAAGGTATTGGTGGCATAATTGGACAGGTCCTGAACATACCTGTTACTTGCCATCCGGACCATTTCCCCACATCAAAGTACGAGTATCACTCCTTTGAGCAGAACGCAGGCTCGCCAATTGTGAACGCCTTCAGAATGAGAAAGTTTTGGGGCTTCTATCTTCCCACGGCAGACGCCAACCCGCTGGCCAGTCCGCTTCTGTCCAAGTCATTCACGGGGTTGCCCCCAGCACGTACGTCAAGCCTTGTATTCTATTCTGCCATTATCTGCAACTAACATTTTGCAGTCGTACAAGTTGCTGGAATGGACCCTCTCAGAGACGAAGGGCTGGCGTACGCGGAGGAGCTGAAAGCAAACGGGTGAGTTGGAAGCTATTGTATTCACGGTTGCAAGATGAGTTCTAACTGGTGTTTAACTACGGCAGAGTGGACGTGGTGCTCAATGTCTACAAAGGGCTACCACATGCATTTTACATCTATCCTGACTTGCCACCGTCTGCGCGGTATACGCAGTCTGTGGTGGACTGGATTGAACAGCTGTTGGCGAAGACGGGTGGGCAGTAGGACGTTGGGATTGTGAACGATAGATCTGCGTGTGATGAGATAAATATGAACACAAGAGAGACGATTGACATGGATGGAACCCCAAGTCCCAACGCGGCGATGTCTACAAAGTAGAGCATCTTGAGAACTCGTCAGAATCACGGAAAGATCTACTGATTAAATTTGAAAGAACTATTTATGAAATCTACTCCATTCGTCGCTCAGCCCAGGGAGATGGGGTTGCTGAGGAACTTTGCAGGCACATCGACAGATTTGCTGCGGATGTACTCGGCAACGCCCTTGCCGAGCATGTCGATGCGGGTGCTGCTGGCAGCGCCGCCGCCGAGGAAGTCGAGTAGGCGGAAGTGGACGGCCCAGATGTTGGGGAACTCACAGCGCTCGACGGTGACGGAGTCGCGGTAGTCCTCGCCGAGCAGGGCCTTGATGCGGGCGATAGTCAGGTAGGACTGCAGCCAGCGAAACTCGTCGGCCGAGCGGACGTAAATGCCGACGTTGCAGTTGTCACCCTTGTCGCCCGAACGGGCGTGGGCCACGGCGCCGAGAGGGACCCTGCTGGTGAAGCCAAAGGAGGCCAGGTCGGTCGGATGGGCGGTGTCGCTGCTGGGCCGCTTGCCAGGTGCGGGTGCCGTGATGCCGTGATGCTTGACCTCGATGACGCGGTCGTCCATGACGACACGATGGGGCAGCTTCTCGTATGAGATGATGCCGGGGAAGAGCTCCATGAACATACGAGGCGTCATGGTGCGGAAGTCGAGCGACATGTGGTAACCGGCGTAGAACTGCATCCGCAGGGCGTAGATGTGCTTCCGGAAGACGTCCTCCCGGATGTCGTCCTTGGTCTTTCCCTTGACGAGAACGCGCACAGACACGGTCCCGAGGGCCTGGCTGGCCGGGTTGGCGGCACCGGCGCCGTATCGCTCGATGCTGAGCTCGGAAAAGTTGGCGTCCTTGAAGGCGTGCTCGATCTGCTGGCGCATGAAGCGCTCCTTGGCGTCGAGGTCGAGCCCGTTCATGTAAAAAGTGGCCTCGGCTAGGTAGCCGCCAATGCCGACCGTCATGGCCTTGGTGGTCGGCGGCGGTGGGCTGCCGACGGCACCAGAGATGCGGACACGGTCCCGGTCGCCCGTGTTCTCGATCGAGACGTGTTCAATGTCGGCGAGCACGTCGGGGTTGATGTACTTTGTCCCCTGGATCTCGTACAGAAACTGGGCGCGCACGTTGAGGGCGTCGACGAAGCCGGCGTGCTTGGGGTTCTTGGTGATGATGGCGGTGCCATCGTGGGCGATCTCGGTGATGGGGAAGCCAAGATCAACGAGACCGTCCAGCCGGGGACGCACACCGGAAAAGTTGGCACCGGTAACATAGGGGCCGCATTCGACGAGGTCTATATTGGATTAGTAAGCAAACAGTAGCACAAGAGGGGAGGATGACAGGACAACACAAGGACCACAAACTCACGTCCGGCAATCAGTGCGCCCGCCAGCTGGTCCCAGGCATCATGCGACCAGCCGTGCCACCAGGCAGCCAGGGCGATGACCGGGCTCGCATCGGTGACGCGGCCGCAGATGACAATGTCGGCACCGGCGCGCAGGGCCTCGACGATACCCCAGCCGCCAAAGTACGCGACGCCACAGAGTGGCGTGCCCTCCCAGCCGTCGATGGAGCGCTCCGGGTGGTCGAGGTGGACGAAACCGCCGAGCTCACGGCGGCGTGCCGGGTCGACCACGATGGCCGAGATGTCGTCGCCCTCGACATAAGCCACGCGCAGATGGCCGTGGCCGTGACGGGTGCAGATCTGCTGCACCTGGCGCGTGCACTCGGGCGTGTTGAGCGCGCCGGCATTGCAGACCAGCTTGATCTTCTTGCGCGCGATCACGTCGATGGACTCGTCCAGCTGCTCGAGGAAGCCGACCTCGTAGCCCTTGGTCGGGTCGTCGTGCTTGCGCATCGCGTTCCACGCAATGTTGAGCTCCGACAGCCAGTCGCCCACGATGGCGTCCATGTCGCCGTCCGAGACCTGGCGGAACCTTGGGAAGGGAGTTTAGCCATCGTCCAGCGCTCGCTCAGGTCCAGCTCGCCCGCAGCTCACTCACATCGCGCTCGGCTGGTCTTCCATCGCACCGGCCACGTTGCCAATCACAATCGGCCGTTTCTCCGCCATCGCGCCGGTCATGTTTCGCGTTTGGGATGTTGCTACAAGGACCATGAGGACAGATGTGAAGTCTGGAGGACGTGCTTCGGAGACGGACAGCAGGTGTTGCTCAGACAAAGTGTGCACACGTCAGGACCGGACGGGATATGCATCTCAACCATTTATTGCAGCTTCGTCCATGGCTGCATCGCGTGGCCATCCGGCTGTTCGGCCTTCGCCGCCGCGACGATCGAGCTGACGGAATAGCGGATTGGTTGGGTGAAAACTGCCGAAGCACGGTGACGACACCCGAACACGGCCCGACAGCTCTGGTTCCGTGGCCCGTCTTCGTGTTGCATACAGTGCGGCCAGTCAATTGCATGCTGTGTTCCGACAGCGGAGAACAGCTCCGTGCTCAGGACAGCTGCAGGGCTAATGGCTGTACAGTCGGATAGACTGCAGCCAATGTGGCGGAAAGAGGCCGGCATATGTACTCCGCATGCACGTGCAATCGTCCTGCGCTTTGCTTACCTCATTTTAGCCGGCGATCGCCGAAACGGCTCCATATTGCGTGGTGGTGCACAGTCCATCTTTTCTGGGCACACTTCTCAGCCCAGGCTTCCACTTTAGCCTCACATAGCCGTTTTCCCTGAATACTCCGTACAGCCCAACCCTCCACCCAGAGAAGCCGCCGGGACTGTGTCAGACGAGGATTCGCTGCACTGTAGAAAGTATATGCTGTGGAATATTGACCGCTCAAGAAGAAGCATTACATGCCAGCATACGCCTTGTCACTGAGCGTGTGATGCCGAAGTGCAAGGGCGACTGTGTGCGGGAGTCAGGGGCAGCAAAGACGGGCTGGGCGGGGGCGAGGACGAGGTTGGAGAGCGCGAGGACAGGAAAACCACGTAATGCAAGTACGGAGTCAATTTAGATCACTCCACGTACGCCATTTATTACCCGTAAAGTCTCAGCACTGTCATGCAGGTAATATGATCTGAATGCGACGGACAGACGTCACCAGTTGTTACTTTACCATTTACACCATGTGAAGTGATTTACGTGTGGCATACCTTCAGCTTCAATCGTAAGGCAGGACTGCTGCTAGTTTGGGCAACGAAACAGCCCTTCTCGTACGTCTCCCGCTAAACCACGTTCAAAATAGCCCGACTTCACTGCGAAGCCTATACGCAATAACCTAGCGGTGATTTTACTCATGTAGAATTGCGACGGGATTATTTTCTTCAACGTTTCGCCTGTTCGAGAGATCTGTTTGATATTCGTCACACAAAATGGAGTACCTGGAAGCAGATCTTCTTAGTAACCGATTAGCCTGCTATGCTTAACCGCTTAGTTAGCGATGAATCCTTCTTGAAACTGGCTCAGTTGTTCTTGAAAGCATGCAGGGAGGCCCCAGTAGCAGCGAACGGCACGCGTAAGATAAATAAGGCCTTATTCAGGCCCAGTTGCTGCGGCCAAAAGAGCTTCTAAAAAGCATGTTACCGCCAGAGACCCGAGAGACCAGCACTGTACATTTCAAAGCCGGCCTACTTCACGTCACATTCACCCAATATCATGTCGTCCACAATGTCCTCTGCGACTGCAGCCACCACGACGGCCTGCGCGGGCCTTTACAACTCGCCTGCGCATGACGCCAGCTGCGCCATTCCAGCCGGCGGCAACCACACCGAGATCATGTCTGCCTGCTGCAACGGCGCCGACGTCGTCAGCTACTACGACGACTGTGGCCTCTACTGCCTCGCCGAAGGCCAGACTGTTCAGGATCTCATCCTCTGTCTCTACAACAAGGGTGCCGGCTGGTCGGACGTCTTCTGCAGCGGCAGCAGCAATGGCACGGCCACGGGAACTACTGCTCTTCCTACTGGGGCCGGCGCCTCGGTCGTCGTCGGTACTGCCACCAGTACCACGAAGACCGGCACTAAGACTGGCACTACGACCGGAACCGTGAGCAGCAGCAGCAGCACTAGCAGCAGTGCGGCCTCTAGTACACGGCCTCAGGCAATCGTGAGCACGCTGGGCATCGCAGTTGGTACATTGCTCTTCTCAGTGGCCGCGGTTGCTGTTCAACAGGTTTGAAAATATGTCGAGTACGAGCATATTTCTAGGGGCGAAGGACATGGATATAGATGGCGTTTTTCTTCATAACTTACCATGTATTTTCTTTTCTTGTATAAGACTTCTACATTTAACCTTTGCGTGCTTTTCTGAGACAGCGCTATTATGGCTTGTCGTAAAAACAATACATTTTTTGTCGCTCATTCTCGTCGTCGCTATGACTTCGGTGGCCACATGGCTTGCCAGTATCAACATTCCTCAAAATGGCGAGTGCCCTTTGTATCGACATTTGGGAGATATTTCAGATTCTGCGAAAGCTAAGTTTTAGGTACACTAGAATAAACGTATTTGCCTCTTGTATGATATACGCCTGCATCTGCCGTATGGGAGTGTAATTTGTAAATATTATAGATTTTGAAATGTCATCTTTCGAAATGCATGCATATACTTATCACCCGTTTGTCATAAAAATATGCTCCATGCTATTGGCTGAAAATCGACCTGCCACTTCTAACATTGCATTCAAGATTATGTAGTAACATCAGAGTGCCAATTTGCCAGTTTAGACCAAGTCACACAAAGTTCCCCACAAAACAGAATGGAACTTTGAGTAAGAAACAGAGCTGCACCTATTATAAGACGTTCCTGCGGTACCCTGCCGGCAATACAATGGTCAAATAAGGCAGGTACTTGGATCGTAAGATATATGTGCTAGATAACGAATTCATGGTCCACAAATAGAATGCAACCGTAGAGCGGCCCAGGAACACGATAAATGACAACTTGATTTATATATCACAACAGACCTCGTACTAGACTTTTGGCAAAGAAGAATGATTTGTATTCTTTAGTTCTACATCGGTGATGAGGTATCTTCGACAACTATCTAAGAGGGTCGATAATGTTAGCGCAACAAATACATCAGCAAGAGGCAGTCTCGGAACAAAAGGCTGACGCTGGCGAGTCGCTCTCAACCTCCCCACTCCCGCACACGACTTACGTACAGGACACCATCGTTAGTATGCTACAACGGAAACGTACAGTCACGGTCCTCAAATCTAAAATTGTCTCGCACAGACTGCCGACAGTGAAGATGTAGGCTCGGAAACTGGAGAGGTATAAATTTCACATCTCTCGCCAGTTTGACGCTACGAAAAGGGCTGATAGTTTATGTGGAGTGATAGAATCCAGAGCCTTCTCTTGTCTCGCTGTCTTCAAGCATCTTGGCATACCACGAAGAAAACGGGCGCCGTTATCATTCTCTCAGTCACGGGAGTGAGTTTCTTCTTTAAGCCACCTTATTTGGACTGCCATACCCAGTCAGATATGAAACTGAAGCTTCCCAGAATACGTTCTCCCGAACGACGAGGTATACACAACAAAATCATGGTATTGGCGATGCATCTTTTTTACTAATTGTGCATCTTACTTATACTAGGCGGAGAATGAAAGATTGGGTGCGTATTGAGATGAACAGCATACCCGCGACTTGCACTAAGCTCAGACCGAAAAAACAGATCTTCAACACGCACTGTATGTCCGTACAATGGACGGGGAACTGGCTCTCTGTCCTATAGCCAAGAACGCAAGGCGCGTTTTAGACATGGGCACGGGGACTGGACTATGGGCTATTGACTATGGTATGTATTACTTTGGCTCGCTGTGCCGCCGTGTTATCGACATTTGTACTTACGTATTGGCTGTTTTAGCGGACTTACATCCAGAAACTGAGGTTTGAGAACCTTGCCTAATTCTCGATTGCCGAACCTTGTTCTCACATTTAGCTTTTCAGGTTATTGGTGTAGACCTAAGCCCCATTCAGCCACCATTGTATGTCCGGCCTATGTCCTTGCGTGCCTCAACCTGGTGGCCTTGATTCGTTCACGCCGACAGGCTTCGTGAGCGGAAGGTATTAGAAAGATATCACTGACGTGGCATACTCCTTATAGCGTCCCCCCTAACGTCAGCTTTGAGATCGATGACCTAGAAAAGGAATGGACGTGGACGAAGAAATTCGACTTTATCTTCTCCCGTATGATGCTTGGCTGCTTTGAGAATCTCCCGGCAATCATAAAGGTGGCGTTCGATAACCTGGAGCCAGGAGGTTATCTAGAGCTTCAGGATATGGCCCTCCCAGCACGCTCCGACGACAATACACTACATCCGGATAGCTACCTCTCCAATTGGTGCAATTACTGCTTTAATGCAGGAGAGGCACTTGGACGTCCTGTTTTCCCTGTGACTGAGTACAAAACCTACTTAGCTGCTGCTGGATTCGAAGACATTGTTGAGACACAGAAGAAGTGGCCAATCAACACTTGGCCTCGAGACAAAGAGTATAAGGAGCTTGGCGCTTGGGCGTATGCCAACATTGCCGAAGGACTTGAGGGCCTGTCACTTGCCTACTTCACGCGAGGCCTTCACTGGTCATCCGAACAGACATTGGTATTTTGCGCGGAAACAAGAAAGGACCTGAAGGATACAAAAATACACGCCTACTGGCCGATGTAAGCGTTTACTTTCTTTATCGTTGTCTTATTTCTTTCGTTTAATCGCCTGTCTACAAATCAGTTGTGCTGCTAAATGTTAACCCGCACTAGATATTCTGTCTACGGACGTAAACCAGTAAATTGACAGCATGTAGACAAAAGGTTCGATATTACTGTTAATTCATTTTCAGCTCTTGCAAAGCTGAAATTTTCATGGCAGGACGCCGGTGGAATAGGGTATCGCGGTATGATTGGGTAAAGTGCTCAATGTTGCTGCCTCATTTGTCATTTATACTTGCAGTACTCCGTATTGCTACTAGAAAACAATGTACAGTAAACGCATAACTAATTGCACAACAACACCGTTCGATCAACGCCCAAGCCGTAAAGCCTAGAGTGCCGAGGTTCGTCGACCCATCAACCTTGACCAGAGGCTCTTCCTTTTCGCGAGTTCATGTGCAAAAATTTGGCGACAGCTGCATGGATGGCCAGCAAGCGCGATAGAGGTGGACCGATGGTGTCATCCTCAGACAGGGAGGGCGTCCGTATTACCGGCTGCGGCGCCTCGCTGAACGGAGCCGAGGTGTTGCCGTGCAATACTCCATAGGGTTAGCATATGGAGCAAATACAGCGAGAAAGTTTATACTTTTGTCAAGCATTGGAATCCGCCACACTGTGGCCCTTCCGCCCCACTTGGCCGTACGGGCCTGTAATTGGTCAGAAGGCACAAAAGCGGGGCCTGACACTAGTATTAATACGGATCCCCAGAAGGGTCGCGATGTATCTATTTCTTCCTTAGTACACAACACTCTTTCGCCCACACTAGACCCTATTCAGCCTCCTGCTCCTCACAGTGCATCACGTTATATGACCGCTACGTATAGCCTCCTTTAACCTTCACAACTTTCTTATTCTACTGTAAGTTCTAGCACGTCATAAGATTGAAGTACTTTGTAGGCAGAGCAGCCTACTTGCTTGATAACTTAGACCAGCCCTGCGCAATATAGTGCGAACTTTCTTAGGAGAAGGTGGGTAGGAAAGGTCAGGCTGCGGCAAAGCTTCAAGGTAGACGTAGTAGGCTGGAAAGATTTTGGCTATTGTTTGTTGTAGTACTTTGTAGAACTTTGTAAGAAGGGCATCTGACGCATTACGGAGCATTTACGATACTCATCACGTGCAGTGCATGCCGTGCCTCTTACGACGTAGCGTCTACAAAATCCTACTGTAACTGTCAAGCAAAATGGCGTCTGCGCTTTAGTTGGCTTATGACATAAACTACCCTTTTGGGTTTCCGGGCCGATACTTTTTCCGCTACGCGCCGTTTTCATCGCGAACTCGTTCTCGTTTTTGACGCCACGATAAGTTCAAACGGCACTCTTTTTTTTTCTTTTCGTCCACGTTTATAACTGCCCCCCCACACACCTCTTATCATGACAGTCTCTGCTCTTCTCCGGCGTCGGGGGGAATGGGAGGGGGGAGGGTGGTTTTTTTTTTAACTGCACTCGCTGGCCAGGCACAGCCAAATAGTTGGACGATTATACGGCAAGTCAGTCAAATAAATAATATAAAGGGCGATTCACTCCTCTCGCTTCTCCCATTATCTTACATTTTCCCATGCTTCTTCAATTCATTTTCTTGTTTTTTTTAGCTGCACTAAATCCGCACATCACGATGAAGGCCACGCCGCGCCGCGCTCGTTTCTCTACCGGCCTTGGCTCAACAGTAGACAGCCTTTTCACCGAGTACTCGGCTGCGAACCCAATCAGTGATACACCCTTTGTAGCCCCAGAGACGGCTGCTGAGCGAGATCGGGTATGGTCGGCTTGGACGGAGTATGTAGCTTACCTTTGCTTTCTCATTACGCAGCACTGTGCTAAATACAGTGCTCAGGTTCTGCCGTTACCGCTCCGACGTGGACCCTTTGCAGTACTGGGTAGATTTTGTTGGCGACCCAGCCAGTCCTGTGCTTCAGACTCCAGCTCAAGTATTCCTACACGTATATGTTACAGAGTCTCATTAGCAGCGCGTTACGCTAGGCCCTGAAGAGACGGAGGAAGTTCGAACTGTCGGCTTAACGCAGAGCGTGATCGAAATCTGGCGGAGGCTAGTGACAGCAGCCGACCATACAGTATTGCGCTTAAGACGCAGGCAGCTCAGACTAAGTGGGAAAACGGCTGAGGCTGAGCGACTCTTCCTTAAATGGGAACAGACTGGTGACCGACGCGAAGGTCCTACATACGTGATAGTACGGGTATGTGTTACTCTTTTGTCTCTAAGCTCTGCCTCCTACCGCTTATTCGTCCCCTCATTATTAGTGGATCATCGCAGTCCTTGAGCCAAGGTTACATTTAACGCCTATCTCGTCATATAAAAAGGTCGAAGCAATAGCAGAAGATGTTCTTACGATAATCATTACGCTTTGGAAGCATGCGACCCTTATACCTTGCGAACCGATCACTAGGGTCGCATTCCATCAAGTTATCCTTCTTTGCGCCCTTTGCGGTTTCCGACCTGGCTAGGTTATGAACCTTCGTTTTCGTTAATACAGCCTTGCTCTTATTCGTGATACGACACGTAGCTATCGGTGCAAGCCGGTGGTTACTCCGAACATCAATAGGAACAAGATAAAGGAGAAGGCAAAAACAAGCTTACTGAAAATACAGGACTCGTAAGTGTGTCGGAGGGCTTACTTTCTTTTAGGCAATCTACTAATTACAAGCAATCGGTAGGATATCCTTTTCTTTGACCACGACCGCGTCAGCTGTTGTTGACTTAGCAGGCATCGTCTGCGGTAGGGCTATCCAATCTGGGGCCTTACAAACACCTTACTAGTTAGGATATAACCTTCTCCACCGACTAGATTTGGGGTCCGTCGACCGTATCGAACTTCTATAGAAAGAGGAGTGGCTTGACGAAAAAATTTTCCTTATTAGCTACGATACGTTTAATTAGTTATGGCATTTGACCTTAACTGTAATGGGCTGCCGCGACCATATTCGCCCCTATGCTCTGCGTGTAGGCTCTGGGGCTAGGCTCGATGGTAAGAGACGTCGTCCTTTGTCTTTTATAAGTTAAAGGAGTACCTAGTTTTGTTAAACTAATCGTATCAAGATACTTTAACGGGAAGCTTACGAAATTTCGTTATGTCGCAAACGCTAGATGTGTTCCAATCTAGTTACCAAACCCACCGCCTACGGCCCGATCTTACTTATGTGGCATTTGGACCAAAGTTAGCTGGACAGAACAAGCTGCTCTTTGAGAACCTCCGCAAGTTCTCTTTCAATCGGGATGCAGGGGCGCCCTTGTCTATTACAGAAGCATAGAAATTAGCGTTTGAGAAACGGAAAGATATTACTAAGCTGCGGGCTCAAATCGCCAGTACATCTGACGCCCGTACTAAGAACCGGCTTCGCAGTAAGCTGCATTGTATTAGGATGAGCCTTGAGAAGCAGCAGCTGGCTGAAAACCGGAGAGCCTATTTCGAAGAAGCAGATAAAATGCGTGCAAACAGGGTGGAGCCCGCTGCTTGCCACAATGGAGGTGAGCCGGGCATAGCGGCTCTAGTTGCTGAACACATGCGAAACGATCCTCTAGACGAATATTGCACAGCGGATTTCATCGACGCTATAGTACAGTACCTCGCACCATCTCCGGCTGGCAAGATCGAGAAGAAAGCTGGAAGTGCACGTCCTGCAGAATATTCGTCATTCTGCTTCATATGCCAAAAAACATTTTCTAGCCGCGCAGCTCTTACCCGCCATTTCCGAGCTGGGCATCTTGTCGACGGAACGTTCGATAAACCGGTCGCATGTCGCAGCTGTGGACATGTGGGGTCCTCTGGGGTTGCTTTTCGGGGGGTCTCGGAATGGTGCAATCACTTGGAACAGGCCCATGGCTCGGCCCATACGCCCACGATCAACCCTAGTGTCAACTTCCTTGATCGACCATCAGCCTCGCGACTCCGTTGCCCTCTTTGCCCTTGCTCGCCTTTGTACTCGACACCCTCTCTTCTGTCCCACATTAATCGCATACACGTACCTCTATGTCGCAACCAGCGTTTCCCGTGTCCTCTCTGTGTCCGGCCAGACGTTGGCAATGTTCTGAGCTTCTGGGAATTGATGACTCATTTCAAGACCCATCACAACTGGCCTTGCGAGCTGGGAGTGGCTTGTCCTGAGTGCGCCCACCTATGCACTCGATCTAGTGGCTTGCGGAAGCATTTCAACGAGAAGCATAAGGACTTGAATACAAAGTCGTTTGAATGCCGTGCCTGCTCTGCTTTGGGTGATCCTGACTGCAGCATCGATGGCAGCAAAGGCCTTTCTCTTCATATGCTTCGCAAGCACTCGCTGTCGAGCCGAGCCGAGTCGCAGCTTGTCCCTTTCCAGAGCAGTAGTTGCAATGGGAATACAGAGGGCGAGGACATCATGGCTCCCGTGGTCGGTCCTATACCTGCTTTACAACAAGGAACCCCTTTGCCTGCGAACGATACCCGACTCGAATGCGGATCTTTGGGGGCAGTCGTAAATACAAATGTAGACTGTCTAAGTTGCATAGATCCTCGTCTTTTAAGGCAGACCGCAGGGCCTTTGCTTTCATCGACATGATTATATTTGCCTGAGAAAGTCTACCATATATAATGCGGGTTAACATTAATACAAGCATATTCATTGACGAGCATTTTAGGCGGGCAGGATAACAATTTTTTTTGTACTTAGCATAACGTTATAAGACTTTAATTTAATGCACACGGTGGCCTGCTATTAAGCAGTGCTTAAATGCTGTGCAAAGAAGCGGTGCCGTATTAGTCACCAAGTCTACGCCTATAAGAGCCACAAAGCACTTTAAACGAAGGACATGCGAAGTGTTGTTTAAAAATATTTAATTGTTATGTATGCTGTGCATTACGATGCAGATTTCTCCGTACTGCATACCCGTGTTACTCCCTAATATAAGTCGCGTAAAAGGTGCACTGCGGCAGTGCTCGCGGCCTCTTGGTACATGCCTACTCTACTCTGTATACTCCGTAGTTGCGCACCTATTATAGGGCTAGATAGAAAATCGTATTACGGTAGAATGATTTGCTTTTTAAGATACAAATCTAATGGTTATTTTCTATAAAGAGCCTTTGTTCATTATTTACTCCGTAAGGATAGTTATCTGATTTTGATATGCTATTTGTCTATTACATTATGGACCTATCTTGCGAGTGTACGGGCGCAATGAAGAATTAGACGGAGAATGCGTAAATTATATCTTCTCTTTAGATCTATAAACACAAGCGCTTAACTAAAGTTCTTCCTCTTCCTCTTCCTTAGGCACAGTATTAGGAATTTTAAAGATTCTAACAGACTGGACATTTAAAGTATCTATCTGTAGTTTAGCGCTTCTTAATGCAGTTGAAGAGCCCATTCCTAATGCAGAGTCCATAACCATGTTGTCCGATTTTAACCGGTGTATTTTTCGGGGTCCGTTAAATTTCTGTAGTGCTATATTGCGAATTAGTTGAATAAGAATGCTAAAACGTCTCTTTTTTAAATTTGTAACTTGTTCGTCTATGATTGTAGTAGTAGCTAAGGCATTATGCTCCTCTAGAATCCTTAGAAGTTAATTAGGCTGACGAGGGGGTAGCAACGTGTTAGAGCTTTCTGGAGTATTTGGATCGACGAAAATAGAGCGAGCGGCGTCTTTGCGGTTATACTCTTCTAACCTTTGTCGTTTTCGATTTCGCGGCGTGAATTGAGCATTTTGAATTATTCTAGCTCCTATTTCCTTACCTTCTTAAGGTAGATCGAGACTAGGTAGTTGACTACGTTCTATATTAGCATAAAAAACCGATCGGGCTACTTCGCGCCCTAGTGAAGGTTCTTGGCTTTCGGCAGCTAAGGTAGCTGTTTGTGGTAAAACCCGCGACCTTGGCTTAAAGCGGATGTTACTACTTGGCTGAAGAGCTTTAACTAGATTAACCATACGAGTATCGTCCATAGTGAAGTCCTAATTTCGAAGGGTTATGTAATGTTCCCCGAAAAAAGCTGCCATTATATCCTGCATTACAAACTCCAAAGTGCGCGGCTAACGTCCTTGGCGCCAGCGGGAAAGATATGCCGTCGTTCGCAGCTCCCAAAAGTTTCTTGTAAAAGGGCGACCTCCCCGCCAATCCGGCATCTCCATCCAGTTGCTTTCCTCTATTGGCCTAGCAGACGAAGCCGGTAAGCCCTAGGACTTAATTTTCGCGGTTTAAAATCCTAAAGCATTGGCAAGTCCTAAGATGTACCGAACCGAGTTAGGGCTGACATAAGCTGAAATGGACTTAATTGGATTGTCTTGGCGGGGCGTATCGGTGCTTTAAAGCCAGGGAAAGACTCGTAGGGCTGCCAAGCAGAGTTCTTCGAATGCTAATTCAGCTAATAGGGCTTCTATAATCGCTTCTGTGCTGAGATCTCCTGAGTAAACTCTGCTTGCTTCCGGGGCGGTCTATACGTCGAGAAGGAGCTCATAGATTGTTAGGCTGCGGATCGTCCGGCTTTAGGATCTTAGTAGGTCGTTAATAACATGCCGAATTAAGCTCTTAATTGCAATAGACAAGAACTTTATATTTTCGTAGAAAGTTTCCAGGCTAGGTATCACCACGTCTAAGCTGAGAATGTTTCTCCTTAGCTGATCCCGGTCTGAGCTATCGGCTACTTCAGGAAAGAGAGTACCGTCTTTAAAGAGCTCGTTAATAATAGTAACATCGTCAGAGCGGACGCTCGGAATGCGAAACTAAAGAATTCGAACGCTCTCTAGATCAACTTTGGCCATAGCCCCTTAATTGTCACTGCAGATTCTCCTCCAAACTTTATCGATATGCTCAAGGTACTTGATAATCTGTTTATTATAGTGCAGCGCTAAATGCTTATAGATATTACCCAAAAGCAACCCGCCGATAAGCCCCCTAAACTTAAAGAGCGCGTCGAGAGCCTTACAGATATTCGAGTTCTTTGGTAACAAAAGCGAGCTTATTATGCGCCTTTTGGGTAA